ATAAGATACTTAATAAGAAATAGCAGAAGAAAATCCACTAAGAATACTTATTTTATAATAATAATAATAAAGTATTCTCTAATAAATTTAATTATTACTATAGAATATTAATATACTATAGGTAGGTATTTATACCTTGGGAATTAATATCTAGCTTCCTAAAGAAAAAAATAAAATACTACTAAACTAAGAGGCTTACTAGAAGCTAAGCCTATAAGAGATTCTACTATAATTATATAATACTAAGAAATAATAACTACTTATAGATAGTATATATAGAATATAACAAGATAATTAAATATATAATAATAACCTAATAAAGGAAGTATAACTTGTTAATAAAAAAGAAAAATAGAAGTTTTATAGATCTAATAGAATTCTTATAGTAATATATATAGTAAAATAAGAAAACCTACTACTAAAGGAAATCTAGAAGTATAATAATATACTTTCTAAAGAAGAATAAATAGATTAATTATAGATACTAAATAAACTGTAAAAATAGTTAGTATAGAATATATATAAACATCCTCTATATAGATATTAGGATATTAATAGAATTCTTAGAAGATTAAGAATAACCTACTTATTCTCTTAAATAAAGAAAGTTATCTTAGATATTACTAAAGATTATAATTTATATAAAAAGTTAAAAATACTATAATATAAGCCTTATAAATACTTATAATTACTACTAATAATATAATAACCTTAGGAATTTATTACTATAAATTATATTATTAAGCTTCTGCTATTTAAAAATCTAATAACTAGAGTATTCTATAATAGTATATTTATTATTATAAATAGGCTTATAAAGTTTATATACTTTTTACTCTATTAAAAGTCTACTGATATAGAATAACTTTCTTATATATTTTTAAGAAATATTATTAGTATATATAAATTGCTAAAAGAGATTGTATTTAATAGAGAAATAATCTTTATATTTAAGTTCTGGTAAGAATTAATAGCTTAGATAGAATTAAATTATAAGCTTATAATAGCTTAGAGATTATAAGTAGATAGATAAATAGAAAGACTTAATTAAATAGTTAAATAGTATTTATAGTATTATATTAATTATAAGCAAAATAATTAGATTTAGAAGCTGCCTATAGTATAACTAGCTTATAATATATCTACCTTAGGAATAATAAAGCTTATACTAGCTTATATTAACTTTATATTTATTTCTAATATCTATAGATTATTATAAAAAGAACTCTTAAATATTAAGATAATTCTTAATACTAACTAGTTATAATAGCTATATAAAGAAATAAAAATAGAACTGGAATTTATTAGAAAATAAATAAAAAAATATTATAATTAGAAAAGATTAAAGGGATAATCTTCTAAGAGGGAGATATAATCTACCTTATAATAAAAAACATTATAATAAAAAGGCTAAATAATAAATTAAACTTTAAATTTATTAGATCTTATAAAATTTTAGAAAAAATCTCAGAAAATAATTACAAACTAAACTTACTACTAAAAATTAAGCTTTATTTAATCTTTTATATTTTCTTACTTAAATTAGCAGCTGATATTATTTATATTAAGATATAAAATAATAATTAAGAAATAAAAGTTAAGAATAACTAGAAATTTATAGTTAAAGTAATTCTTAATATAAAAAGAGAAAATAATAAAATAAAGTATCTTATAAAATAGAAAAATTACAACCTAGTAGAAAGTATATAAAAACTCTATAAAAATCTTATATATTATTAAATTAAATTAAAAAACTTCCTTAAATAAAAAAGCACCTAAAGAAATATATATTAAATATAATAATTATATCTTCTAATCTGCTATAGATATAATCTAGAGTAAATAGAAGGTAAGTTACTAGTAGATAAACTATAGGTTTATATTAATAAAGTAGTTAGAGTATTACTTATAAAGTAAATATTATATCTAGTAATAGTTAAGTATAATAATATATAATAAGTTAAGGTAATTAAGGTAATTAAGTTATATTAATAGCTAAGTAGCTGCCTATTGGGAATATATACTATTCTATTATCTATATATTTAAATAGATTGCTAGATTGTATAAGTAATTTAGTAATTTAGAATTATAGAATTATAAAGGTAATTCTATAATTCTATTTTAATTAGTTGAAAATTATAGGTATTAGAATACTACTAATTCTAACTGCCTGCTATCTACTTAAGGTATATATAGGTTATAATATTAAAATAGATTTTAGAAATAATATCTAGAAATTATAAAAAATTCTTACTAGTAATAATAAAATTTAATAGAGATAAATTAAGTAATATATTTAGTATAGAGGACTAGTTTAATATATTTATAATATTAGTAGCTTATATCTTTTTAATAATTTATTACTTCTTAAGAATAATAAATTCTTAAGAATATATCCTATTAATATTATTTAGTTTCTAGATTTTTTAAATAAATAAATTAGAATTATACTTCTTTAATATTTTTTTTTATTTATAAAGATATATTAAATAGGCTAATATTTTAATTAAGATGCTCTTAGCCTTCTTAATATCTAAATTAACTTTTTACTAAGCTTTTATATTCTTAATTACTATAAAATTTAATATTAAAAAGAATAATAAAATATATAGAATTACTTATAAAAGCTAGTAATATTAAAATTATTATAAGAATAACCTAAGCTTATATATTTATTATACTATAAAAACTTCTTAGATATATAATAAATTAATTACTTCTTAAAGTAGTAAGAATAAAATATAATTTTATAACTCTTAAAAATAATAACTTATATAAGAATAAAATATTACTTAATCTTAATAAATTTAAAAATATAATTTAATATAATAATTAGCAGAATATTTATAAATTTAAAATTAGATATATATATAAAAATTAAAGAAATAATCTTATAATAAACCTTAAAAATAAGAATTAATAGAAAGAAGATATTATATTATAACCTATATATACCTTAAGTAGGTAATAGGCAGTTAGAACTAGTAATATTCTAATACCTATAATTTTCAACTAACTAAAATAAAATTATAGAATTACCTTTATAATCCTATAATCCTAGATTACTAGATTACTTATATAATATAATAATCCATCTAAGTATATAGATAACAGAGTAGTACATATTCCCAATAGGCAGCTACTCAGCTATTAATATAATTTGGTTACCTCAATTATCTTGACTCGCTATATATTACTATGCTTGACTATTACCAGACGTAACATTTACTCTATAAGTAATACCCTAACCGCTCTGCTAATATAAACCTACAGTTTATCCACCAGCAACCCGCCTTCTACCTACCCTAGACCACGTCTACAGCAGACCAGAAGACACGACCGTTACATTTAGGTCCTAGTAGGAATCAGGGCGTCGTAGTATAAGTTATAGTGGACCGATGCCGCGCCAACGACGCCAAGGCCGACAACATAAACTCTAGTGCCCGCCACGTCAAATCTTCTTGCTGTTGCACTTTAGTCGGTCCCCCGATGCATGAGATTACGGTGGCCATAGCCGCAAAGTATATTCCCCTGGTCGCCGTTGACGGGCTTGGGGAGAACTGCAGGCTCATCGTTGAGGCATATAGGCCAGGACTAGACTTTACTGTTATATCGCACGTGTAAGCGCTACCTCCTTTACTCACTTGGGCCCGGGATATCGTGGCTGACAATGCCGAAGCGTGGCAGGTGCCTTGGGCAACGCAGCCGATAACAAACTGCCCGTCTGTCAAATTGCCGCCATCCAGGAAATTTTATCCCAGCTGCCTCACTCCCAAGACCTTCCCCTGGATCGAAAATGGTTCTGGATAGACACGTTGTGCGTGCCGTTGGCGTACCTGCATCGACCAGACACCCGAAAAGCCGTTGCAAGATCCATAGAGTCCATATCCCGGTGCGCCAAGTGGACCGTCGTCATCGACGCCGATCACTCCCTACTGTCGTCTACTTCAGACTTCAAGGAGCTTTTTATCCGGATGGCGTATTCTAGTTGGTCGAGTCGCCTCTGGACCTTTCAGGAAGCTGTGTACGCACGCCATCTGATCTTTCACCTATCCGACCAGAACATCGAACTTAATGCTTTAATGGAGAAATACGGGAGCCGGGCTGCAGACTGGGAGTCGGCGTGGTGCTTTCGTCTGCCTTATCGGCAGTGGCGGCAATATCTAAACTCCGAGACGAGACTTGGTCTCAGCAAGAGCGATGAGCACCTTCAGTTTTTATGCGAAGCGCTGGAAGGCAGGGTAACTAGCAATGAGGCCGACGAGCCTTTGATACTCGCGAGTCTTCTAGGTGTCGACCCTGATGACGCGGAAAGCGGGTTGGAGGTTTTCAGATCGATGAAATGTAGAGCCGACAGCGAGACTCGTATTACTAGGGCTCCTAATACTGTAACCAGTGCGTGTAGAAGCCTCAAACTGCCCATTTAGTCCGTTTAGCTTGACCAGACTAAACTACCAGTCTAAATACCCAACTTTCATACTTGCTATTGGCAGTACCTTGGGCTACACATCAGTCACAATACTTCTCGATATTTGATATACGTAACAGTTAATTTAATTCAATACACGGACTGTACGTTGCATTGACAGGGTACTCTACCTAACCTTAGAAGCGTTCTTGGTGAAGTACCCTTGTACTTTTCTACGGCATACTGGTGAGACGAGAAAGTGTCGGATCGGACACTGTATCTATATTGCCTTTAACTGCAGAGGGTAGTAAGGCTCTCAAGTTGAAATACAGCTAAAGGTTGTAGTGAAGATTGAGATAGAGAGACTAAGTTGAGTCAGGCTGATCTAATATGCTACTGAGCTAAGATTAAGCCGGGGAGTAAGTCAGCTTTAAATCTAGTTATTTGGTTTTTTTTTTAGCTTTACTCAATATCATCAGATAGATCAAAGCCATACAGTAATCTCAAACAGTAGGGATAAACAATAAGTGCTACACCCAGCACCTTAAATCTAGTTATATATACGGTTTAAGATTTTATTGAAGTTTTATCTTAAGATATCAAGAAAAGTAAAAGTGATAGAAGTTAGATTAACTATCTCAAGATAATATACAGCATTTCAAGTTGAATTAATTTTCTTTTTTAAGTTTATTACTTAATATTTCGTGTTGTATTAAAAAACTTAAGTATTAAGTATTTAGAATATACTAGAGATATATAAATAATGCTAATTCTCTCTAAAGAAGATGAAAGCACTCCACACCACTACCTAATTCGCTAAGAGGCACAAACTCCACTGCCCTGTCTAAGTCGCAGCCGCCATCTCATTTGTCCCCGGCAATAGTCTTCTTTCTAAGAACCCCCTTTCTTACAACCCTTCGGCTATCGTTAACGGCGTGCTGCAGCTCCTCCATGCACGCTGACTTGCTGTAGCAGTTCCCCGAATAAACCTGTGTCGTCAGGAGATCCGACATTCGTTGCTGGCCTCGGCTCTTCCGGAGCTGAATCACAACGCGGCTGATGACTGCACTGGTAATGACCCGGCCAGGGTGCTTTTTAGCCTCCCAGAAGAGCATCTCGTCGATGAGAGTTATGCCGGAAATCATCTTTAGGATGACGGATGCCGTCTGAGGCGCTGACAGGGACCCAAAGAAGTTGATAGCTGCCATGAACTTGGCGCCCAGTACTTCGTAGGCGGAAGCGTCGAAGCACCCCTCACGGAAGAGGTTTCGAACTTTGGAGTCGTGCAGAAAGCGGCCACAGCTCGGGATGCCCCATATCGCGTTGATATTCTTGAGGAGCTTGACAAAGGCGTTGTATAAAGCCGTCGCCCCTACGAAGGGGACGAAGGGAACGGATGAAGCACTAACCGCCTTCTAGAAGATATCCATGCCGACTTGGATCAATTATTTAGGTTCAAATTGTTAGCAAAATACAATGGTAAGATTCTTAAGGATCACAACCAACCTTGCAACTTCATATCTGCGTCTTGTCGCAGTTCTCGGGGACGTTCTGGAAGGAAGTCGGCGCATTCACGACGATCTTTGACGTGTCGACCTCCTGGCGACAGTCGTCATCGGGTGCGTTCGAATCCACTGGGCACTCTCTCTTGAACCAAACTCCATGGTAAAAGGACGTGGTTTTCCGGCTCTGCTTATCGCACCTAGACACGCGTGGATGGGATGCAAAGACGAGACAGGGCATGCCACCCCGCCAGGGAGGCTCCCTCGGCAGGGCTCATCTGGAATTCCGACTTGGAATGCGCAAAAAGGCATCATTGCGTTTTGGGACTAGAAAGTCACATGCAAGGCGTTGCAAGGCGTCTAAGATTAGTAGACTGCCTTTCTAGCGAGTCAATAAACTTGCTTTAGGCCGTCCAGGCGGAGTATCGAGGAGTCTATAGTTTTGCGGTAATCGCGAATTTAAAATTGCGCGGGTACTGGGAAAATAACTAAGAGCTGTTACTGTAGCGATTTTTAACTACTGGCCTGGTGTTATATATATTACAGCCTGTATTAGAAATAGTTATTAGTATTGTTGTTTTCTTATTCAGATATCTATTTTCTAATCTTAGGTTTTTTTAGATTTTTATAAGATAGATTAAGAAAGTACAGTAATCTACAAATAGTAAGGTTTAAATACTTAATTAAATACCTTATTAGGCAAGTAAGGCAGGGAAAATCAGACTGGTATATACCTCCTATAAAACCCTCCTCCCGGCGATTCTCAGTAGCTGCCACAGTAATAAAATCAGTAAATCTCTCACTTCAGTATTTTTGCCTCATCCGACCGCATCGTAAATGATGACCTGATTGGTTGTGCACAGACCGCAGCAGACCATATCAGCCTTTTAGCGAGCAGGTCTCGGGTTCAGCTTCTTGGGGCTTAGTCTTAGAGGGTGAAATAAATAGTTATAACAAGTAGTATAATATACTTCAGCGGCCAACCGCCACTGGGACTCTGTAAAACCGAGCTTCGGCGATATGCCTCCCTAGGAGCTATCTGCATGAGCTCATCTGGATCTAGCCTTAGAGCGGTGTTGCAAAGGGTGATTACTGTGGCCGCCTCAAAATGACACGTCTGAAAGCCTAGGTGCTCCGTAAGCGGTAGCAAGGCATGGCCTGAGACATACATGGGGAGGTTTCCAAGTGCAACAATAGTCCGGCTTCACCGTCTTTTTACGAATACCCGAGCGCATGGTTCTTGAATGTTAGTGCGGCACGCATCACGGGGATACCAGATTTCTGCAGTCTGTGATAAACAGGTCTTGGGCTTCCGTGTAAGCCCAATCATTCAAGAATCACTGCTAAGGCCTAGGAGGGGAAACCGTGCCTGAATTAATACTCTCAGGGCCGCGTCGACTCCCGACTTCATTCTGGATTCTGGATCTGCCCAATTTCTTTCCAACGGACACAGCCTGACGAGGCTCAATCATCCAGTCGGACACACGCCGACTCGGAACGCCTTGGCTTTGGTCATCTTACCATGCATGGCGTAGCTGCCCGTGCCAACTGCCTGACTCCCCCTGCAGCCCAGTTTAAAATGGACACCCAATGGGGCATTTGCATGCAGCACGCTTCAGATCATTTCGGGCACATGGAAGGCCTCTCAAGGAAAATGAAACCATTAACGCTTACCAGTTGTTGCACAATGAAGCAGCCGACGCTAAGAAATCTGCCAACCAAGTGACAAGCCAAGGCAGAATGCCAACAAGGCAGACTGGGTGGCTCGTGGAGAGCCCAACAGAACTGACCACTCACTGGCACCCATCATATTTAGGTAACAAACACGCGTCATTATGTGATGGGTAGCCGCTTGTGGCTCATCTAGTGGCAGGTGATGGCATGCAAGCTGCCTAAAGGGGCCGTTTTGCCCACACCGAATACATCAGGCTACCAATTACATTGTAATAACAAACACCGGTTAGTGGTTTACCCATGACCCTGCTCGTATCGAATGATCTTCCGGGTGACGCGCATTAGCTGAAATCTCGTCATGCAGCTGTGCAGACGGGATGAGAATTTTGTCACGAGAACAGGCGCTGCGTGATAATGAATGGATCAAAGTACGTATTGATTGGCAATGATTGTATATCGAACGAGTATATCCCAATTGAAAGCCCGATAGAGCACCCATCATGCAGCTGACACAGCCCACATTTGCCTGTAATCTCCAAATATTCTTCCCAAATATGCGCGAGCAGGCATTTGCACAGTGGCAATGTGAACGCTGGCCTCCTTCTTCTTCTCGTTGGTGGGTATCTGCACATCGACGTGCCGCTGCCACCGCTTAATGTCGTATGAATAGGTTGCTACAGAGCATTCGGTCAGTGTCAGTCCGATTCAAGTGCGGCACAACGAGGCCAAACGAGATGGATCTTACGCGTAATGTGTTTTCTCCCCAGCTTTTCGACGCTCGAAGTCGTCCTCTGGCTAGTATCCAACTCGAAGACGACAACTCGCCCCCGGAGCGACTTTGTCGACGATGTCGTCGAGTTTGATAGTTGGGTTCCGGTTCTAGTGTCCGCCATGATGGTCGCTTTGGGTTGTGTGAGTTTGATTGCGACCGTGTGGGGGGCGATGAGATATTATTTATGTGTGTTCTCTGCTAGTAGTAAGTCACCGCACCATCCCGGCCACTCGAAAACGCCCAACTGGAGATCATTTTTAGCCCACACACCCAAGACATTGTAGGTCACACTTGCGTCGAGGCTTCGTCCGGGCACATGCTCCCGTTTATCGAACGTGCCATGTGGCTTTCCCCAAGGCCGCCTGAGACGTGTTGACGAAGCACAAACAAAGACACCGAGTCCTTGTTTTAAGTGGCTGCTTATGCTTGTGTATCACCAAGTGATAGTGGGAATTCTGGCAGCCACAACTGAAAGTCGTGTCTCTGAATGTGCTTTCAGCTGCTCGTTTCCCGCCCCCTCGAACCGCCTCCCTACCTATGCACCAGGCCGTCTTTCGGCCCCCGCAGCCCCTACACCCATTGTTCGGGTTTATTGACTGCCAAGACAGCCTGATTGCCCTGTTTTCTCCAATGAAGTTGTTCCTTTTGCGACATGGCTGACACTTGTGCAACGAGGTCATTTGAAATATATCGCGCATGACTACTCATCCAAGGATCAACGAGGGTATTATCTCAATGAATGCAGGGCAAGTTCCGAGCTGAGAACAGCCAGCTTCTCTGAGGCGCAAGACTCGAGATGTGGTATTCCAAATCTCCAGGATATGACAGCGGCTCCGGGCTGACATTTCCGCCAGCCTGATTCTTTCCCTTAGGAAGGCTCCCATGTGGTATATTAGGCTCGACTGGCGTGTTGTCACTATGTCACCTCCATACGTGGCCCCGTCGTACTCAGTCTCGTTGATCCGTCCTGTTTCACTACTCCACGGAGACACCCACTTCTATTCTCTCTATCCAATCCAAACATGTCGACATCTGACAGCAGTAAATTGACGCCCGAGCCAATACTTCGAAGGGCAGACACGATTGCCACCCGAAATAAAGCCAAGCAACACCCCTGGGCGCCCATTGTTCTCTCGTTAGGTGAGAGTGGAGCTCAGCTCGATGCACAAAGGATGAAGTCTAATCTATTCGTTAGATGGCGGTGGTATCAAAGGCCTGTCTGAGCTTTTCATACTGCTCAAGATAATGAACCGAATTGAAGAGTTGATCGTTGAAGGTTCAAACGACGAAACCACTGCTGAAGAAGCCGTCCGCTCCCATCAAGGGCGAGTTGCTGACAAGAAGCAAGAGAAGAAAACTACCATCAGGGACGATGAGCTGTTCGCCTTCTCAAAGGACCCCGCGATTTTACCTTGCTACTTTTTTGACTTCATGGTCGGTACAAGTACGGGAGGGTAAGTCACCCCTTCACATCGCCCACATTTGCACGCACCTCATCGGCTAATTTGCTCTTAGCCTTATTGCTGTGATGCTCGGGCGGCTTAGGATGAACGTCCCTGATGCCATCAAGGCGTACTGGTGCCTGGGAAACGACATATTCTTGTCACGCCCTATAGCAGGGCCGTACAGCTCGAAAAAGTTGAAAGACGCAATTATCCGTGTCATAACGGACCACTGCCGCTGCCATGAGCTTGGACAAGACTGCCATGACACAGAGCCCCTCAGACAGTATGACTATGCCGAGGAAAACGACATTAGTTATAAGAAGACTCCACATCGCCAGAACTTCACATGCAAGGTGTGAGTAAATTGCGCCTTTTATCATCGCGAATATGTCAGTCAGCTAACGACGGAAACCAGGGCCCTCGTCGCACAGTGTAAGAAGAAGGGGTCGCAACGTCCGTACCTTTTTCGTAGCTACAACCACAGTCCTCGCTCTGAGGGAGATCTTCTAGAGCACAACCCTATGACTTTAGGAGGGAAGGCTCTTCACATGTGGAAGGCTTGTCGCGCCACCTCTGCGGCGCCATTTTACTTCGAAAGCATGGCCATTGGTCGTGACGAGTTCCTAGATGGCGGTGCTGGCAACAACAACCCTAGTAATATTGCCTGGAACGAGGCAATCTGGATGTCCAAGCCTGTCAATTCTCAGGCAACCGCGACTTCTGGCAATGAGACGGTTGCGGCAGTGGTGAGCCTTGGCTGTGGAGAGAAGGAAAAACATCATCTGTTTAAGGATCGGCCGCGCGGATTCTATGTGTTACAAGCCCTGAAGTACGGGAGAAGTAGGATCAGCGATACAGAACTTGCTCATGAGGAGACACGCCGCCTCGCCGGCACAAGCGATTCATACTACGCCAGATTCTCAGTCAAGCCCACCGAGGGCGACCGAGGGAACAAGGGACTCGCAGACGTCAAACTCAGCGATTGCGCCAGAGTGTCAAAGAAACACTTGTGGGGATATGGACCACTCAAAGAAGTCAAGAAACCGGTGGGGGACGCCGAGTTACCACTCCCAGAATGGTACACGGCTTTGCAGGAGGAAGCGACCCCGAAGGGATCACGACGGAAGAAAGGTACCTTCAAGCCCGAAAAGTTCTGGTACACCACCTTCGACACCATTTTCCGTCGAACGGAGGAGTACTGCAGACTTCACAACGACGGCGGCGAGAATGTGAAGGGAGATATTGATACTTGCGCCAAAACACTACTGAGTTATGCTCGGGAGCGCCAGGAGAACGATCCCGAGAGGTGGAAATGTCATGTCAGTCATCCAGATCCAGCCCACTATGCCTTCCTAGAATCTACGAGGAGGCCCAAACCCAGGGAAGAAGAGAGTGGAGGGGGGACGCCTTGAGGATGTGGACCACCGTCTCCCCATTTCCTGAGATAGATGAGGGAGCTGATTACATGACAAGTAAATTATACTTTAAACGCAAAAAGAAATATGATAGAGCTGGAGGTATCAGAGTGTTGATATCTAGAAATTCAAGACTGATTGTATCATCGGGAATGCATTTATAGTACAGTTGAAAGTTCATATAATTATTTCAAGCTAACTCAATATAACCACTTCGGAGGATAATGTCCCGGTGTGTTATCTTGACGGCATCGCTTAAGGTCTAATTTATTCTGAATTGAAATTGCTTAAAAGAATAAAATAGCATCAAAAGCCAAATACAGACGACCTAGGGGCTAAACATGTCAGTTCGCAGCACGGAGATCTTCCGTGTTCATTAGAAGACTGTCCTCGAGCAATGTCCATCCCGGCCTTCCCAAGTCACGAAGCAGTTGCTCTGCTCTGGCTCTCGGCTTGACCTCGCAGAGATCCTGTTCGCTCTGGAAGTTATCAATGAACTTTCTTTCCGGATTTTGCCTGCGCAAGATGCCCAGAATCTTATCCCAGTTGATAGTTTCTGCTATAGCAAAGATACATTCGTCTTGAAAATCAGGGTGGATGGCTGCAGCAACATGGAGAAGCCCACAGTCTTAGACATCGATATAGTATTCTTGCGTTGGTGTTAACGTGCGGTCAAGAGGTTGGGGCAGGGTTGAGCATACGAGGCAGAAGCTGGTGAAGCATCTCCATGTTTCGACCATGCCACGCAAGAGCAATAAATCCGGAGGTAGAAGCATGCCCTTGATTGACAAGGTCAAGACTCTTGCCAAGATTCGCATTGGGAAGCACTTTGTATGGTTAGAGGATGAGTATTCCTAGGACTGCGCTTTCTCACCTATATTGACAACTAGGTCTGGGCGTTTGTGTTTGTTTTCCCCATGAAACTTCCAGACCTCCTGCTCGGCTTGCGTCTTGCTGGCAGCATAAGTAATAGCAGAGCGTTCCGGAAGGTAAGGCGGTTCTGCCCAAGCCAGCTTAACGGCTTCTTCATTCCAGGTATCTTCTGTTATAACGATTCCGGGCACATTTGGCTTGGGCGACATCGCTGCCGTCGTCGAAGAAGAGGTAAAGATAAAGCGCTTAACACTTGGCTCTGCATAAGCAGCTTTGAGTGCATTAATGGCACCGGAAATGACAGTAGGGATGACTTTATTTGGGTCGGGATCGAATATCATAACAGTGGCTACATGGGAGATAGCTGACACCCCTGTAATAACTAGCTTCTTCTTTTTCTGTAGAAGGGGGAACAACGCGTACCCTTTATAGCTTCGTCAAATGCTTCAGGCACTGCCATGTCCGGAATGGATACTAGCTCGAATTTATCATTTCCGTACTTTTCGTTGAAGACAGTGTTGAGCCAGGCATTCTTCTTCGTATCGCGGACTGCGCCACGGACTTTATAGCCGAATTGAAGGAACTGGTCGGCAACGTGAGAGCCAACCTGGCCGTTGGTGCCGGTTACCAGAACAGTCGAGCCCTTCGGAATTGCAAACACATCAATAGGAGACATTGCGCCGTTGGGAAATTGAGTTGCTGAATTGATATCTTGGAGGATTGAGAGTTAGAAGGTGTTCAAAATCAATTTGACACAGACCGCAGGAGCCTTTGGAGATATTTATCCTAGACACTCCTTGGTCAGTGAGGCCTGAAAGTCCCGTGCCGAATAATCCCCTAAGATTACAAATCCAGTTACCTACGAACTCCGCTTGTGATTCAAGGAATACATGGAGTGGAGCGGAGTTGGGCTGCTGGGTCAGGCAATCTCTTGCTTCCACGGCGCTTTCCGACAAGGCGGCTATGGTCGATGGTCTTACTTTCCTGTTATCCGTGAGCTGGGGCTGCTAAATACGCTTATTCATATTCAATCCGGAGGTAATCAAAGACCCTTTACCCCAAACGGGACTGAACTGCTTGATTAGGCCTCGGAATCCGCCTATGAGTTCGGATAGTGGGATCATTTTGCCTCACTAATCATAAAAGTCGTGAAAGACAAACTCCAAAGACAAACTCGAAAGACAAATTCCACTTCCCGAGTTGCATTTCCCCAGTGCTTACCAATCAAGGCCTGATTGAATAAACATCGGAAAAGGAAAAGCTTTTTGGTTTTGAAGATAAGGCCACTCCTAAAGCCGAAAGTCTGCCTCCCAACGCGGGGGTGTGAAGCTTCCCCTTTACTAGCACAGGCTCGTTCCGTCTCCTCTGGTCCAGCGCATGCTTCACCCTCCTCATCGTCCCGTATAGGGCTACATTCACCCAAAAATTGTAATGGAGATGCGGAAGCAAGCCTCAACTGAACACAAGTCAGGTTCAGACGCAGCAGACTCAAATGGCACTGAGTTTAAGAGGCTTCTGCAAGAGGCAGCGAAGGAGACGTTCATTCGCGGTTTATTACCAGGTGTGGGTGTCATCCTGGCTGTGATAGCGTTGGTTCTTTGAGCTTGTGCGTATGCCGTGTACTGGTAACTTTAGCCGATGCCGTGCAATATTCCTCAATAATATATCGGACAATCTCAGCGCGTCACACACAATATAGCTACACACGAAAATATATGGTGGAGTAGTCAATCAAACGAACTAATCGGTGTCATAGGTGAAGCGCCAGCCTGGTTCTGAGTGAGACAAAATCTTACGGTTGGTCGAGAGTGGACACAGCCGCAAGCCGCGCAGTTGTGGCCTCAGGCAGTCTTACGGCCCTGCATAGCCTCGCATTGCTGCCTACGTGTAGGCAACTCAACTCGATACACATCGTGGATCTCACAACAGACGGCTCACCAGCCATCGACAATCACTCCTCGTCTTCACCAAACGATGGTCGTGAGAGCCTGCTGCTGCTGTAACAATTTCCTATCCCGACGAATCTTGGACCTTTCCCCATGTCTAGCCATGCCAGCGCTCTCCGCCGCGAGGGCTTTCAGATTGCGGTAATATGCGCCGTCGGCTGCGAATACGATGCCGTTGCTCTTGCTTTCGACGAGATCCAGGAAGGAGATGGAGGCCAGTTGGGAAATGCACCCGGGGACAACAACAAATACAAGACGGGCCGGATTGGAAGCCATCACGTCGTTCTTCTTCTCCTCCCCGGCATGGGAAAGGTCAACGCTGCAAGCGCAGCGGCCAGTCTCCGATCAAGCTACACCAAGATCAAATTAGCCATCTTGGCCGGTATTTGTGGTGGAGTACCTGGAGCCAGGACAAGCAAAGAGCTTCTGCTAGGAGATGTGGTCATCAGCAAGAGCATCGTGCAATATGACCTGGGGCGACAGCATCCCGGCAAGTTCGCCCCCAAGGACACTGTTGAAGATAGGCTGGGCAGGCCTAGCAAGGATATCCGATCCCTTGTTGCAATATTTGAGACGCGCGATGGACGCGACGACCTGCAGCGCCGAGCCAGCCAGGCCCTGGAGCAAATTCAGCAGAAGGCGATGAATGCCGGGCATCGGGACCTCTACAACCGTCCTACAGCATCTGAGGATCGCCTCTTTGAGCCAGGCTATCTTCACAGGCACCGTGACTCTTGGAACTGTGGTTGCAGTGAATCGGGTGCCTGTAAAGCAGCCTCGAGTGCTTCGTGCGAGGAGCTTCAGTGTGACGGCAGTCTCGTTCCCAGAAGTCGCCTCAACAAGCGAAAATTCCAGCACCATGAAGGTGACGCCTTAGTGGCACCAGAGCTTGGGGTGTTCATCGGATGCGTGGGATCAGGCGATACCGTCATGAAGTCTGGACTAGATCGCGACAGGATTGCCAAGGACCACGACCTCATTGCCTTCGAGATGGAAGGAGCCGGTGTATGGGACGAGATCCCGTGCATCATTGTTAAGGCAGTCTGTGACTATGCGGATAGCCACAAGAACAAGAAATGGCAGGACTTTGCTGCAGCGCGAGCTGCCTCTACAACGAAGGCACTCTTGGATTTCTACCCAAACACGGACAGCCCAATAACTCTTCGCACGCAGTGTAGGTGGCTCGTCCCTTGAAAATGGCCCCCACTAACAGAATACAGTTGTATCGCGACATGACGAGAATGTGGACTTCACAGGGCGAACTGAGATTGCTGCTCGGACCGACGGGGAAGGCAATATGCATGTCCGAAGGCAGTACGAAAAGCATGAAAGAGAACTGCTTGAGTTGCTGGCCGCAGAACATGACGCATACAAGAATTTCAACCCAAGGAGAATCCCTGGCACGTGTGAGTGGTTCTTCAAGGACAACAGGTATCAAGAATGGCTCGAAAGCACCACCTCAAGCATCATCTGGGTCTCCGCCGGTCCTGGCTGCGGCAAGTCCGTGTTAGCACGGTCTATAGTTGACCAGATACGACAGTTGGCTAACCCCGCAACTACTACGGTCTGCTACTTCTTTTTCAAGGATGGCGAAGAGCGGCGTACCGACAGCCATGACGCCTTGTCCGCTATCTTACACCAGCTCTTCACCCAACACAGTGCCGACTCACTGATCCGCCAAGCAGCTGACTCTTATCAAAACTACGGGAAAAGCCTACGAAACAACTTTCATCAGCTCTGGCAGATCTTAACAGCTTGTGTGAAGGAAACCAACGCTGGGGAGGTCGTCTGTGTGCTCGATGCCTTGGACGAATGCAGCCAACGCGGTCGTGAAGAGATACTCGAGGCACTTCAGACCTTCTACTTCGGCAACCGGACACATCCGTCATCAAGACTCAAGTTCCTCATTACAAGTCGTCCGTATGATGACCTGGATATGTCTTTCTCCAAGTTCAAGAAATCGTCTGCCGCTGAAATATACATCCGATTCGACGGAGATGACAAGTCTGAAGAGATTCGTCATGAGATTGACCTCGTTATCGACCACAAAGTTGACGAATTTGCAGAGGATTTCGAGGCAGTAGATCGTCAGAAGATCTCGGAATGTCTCAAAGCCATGGATAACCGCACCTATCTCTGGCTTAGTCTCACTTTCGATATCATCTACCAAAATCGAAGTGCGTACAGCAGAGCTTCAGACATAGAGGACCTACTATCTCAGCTTCCATCGGGGATATTCGACGCCTACGAGAAGATTCTGAGCCGCAGCCAGAATGAGAAGCGAGCTAGATATCTCCTCCAGATTATCATCGCTGCCACACGGCCCCTAACACTTGACGAAGTCAACTACTCCCTGGCATTGCAAGAACAAGAGTTCAGAAGTTATGACGGCCTCAAGTCTAGGCTGTGGCGTCCCGAAAACTTCAAAAGGACGGTGAAAAACCTCTGTGGCCTGTTCGTCAGTGTTTACGACAACAAAGTATCTCTCATGCACCAGACGGCAAGAGAGTTCTTGACAAGTCCTGAACTGCAGAACGTATGGCAGAGCAGCATTGATGTGCCTTTGGCGCACAGCACCATTTTTGTCTCTTGCGTTCGTTTGCTGTCACTTAAAGATCTCGACATGACAGCACAGGGCACGTCTGGCAGCAAGGCTTTGCCTTTCATCTCATATGCTGCCATGAACTGGACGTTGCACTACAAGTCTCAGGATGGGTCTAAAAGAGACGCATTTCTACAAAATGCCCGTGAGCTCTGTCGTATATCCAAAGGACACATCCCGACATGGGTTGAGGTATGGAAAGCAGATTTCGAAATTCCTTGGAGCCATTTGTTTCACTGGACAGATTTGACGCTTACGAGCTATTTTGGTTTACTTGAGGTGGTTGTACACATCGTGAGCCGCGAAGACGTCGACGTCAACTCACGGGGCGGGTATTTCGGCACAGCGGTCAAGGCCGCAGCGGCGCAGGGTCATAGCGAGCTGGTTCAAACGCTGCTTCGTCGTGGGGCTGATTGTGACACAGGGGGTGGTCCTTTCCGAACAGCTCTTCTCGCAGCCGCATTGAATGGGCATCCAAGGACGGTAAGATGCCTGCTAAACAGTGGAGCCAAGGTCACGCAGGAGGTTGTTGTGGCTGCAGCGGGGAATATTTCCGGGGAACGGACAATGGCTTTACTGCTGGAGGCACGTGGAGATGAGATTCAGATTACTCCAGAGGTTGTTGTGGCTGCAGCAGGGAATTTTGACGGGGGAAAGACATTGGATTTACTGCTGGAGGCACGTGGAGATGAGATTCAGATTACTCCAGAGGTTGTCGTGGCTGCAGCAAGGAATTTTAACGGGGAACGGACAATAGCTTTACTGCTGGAGGCATGTGGAGATGAGATTCAGATTACTCCAGAGGTTGTTGTGGCTGCAGCAGGGAATTTTGATGGGGGAAAGACATTGGATTTACTGCTGGAGGCACGTGGAGATGAGATTCAGATCACGCAAGAGGTTGTTGCGGCTGCGGAGGGGAACTCGTATTGTGGAGAAGAGATAATGGCTTTACTGCGAGGAAAGACAGGCGGAACGTCATAGTCCAAGGCATACGACGGCGTTGCACATCGTTTATCTATAGCCTTTAATGGAACTGAACTTCTCATAAGGCGGAAAGTTTCCAGCCCCTTGCCTGGATCTACAGCGACTCGCCAGTCGTCGGAACTGCGGTGCTAATCGGTGATTGGTACTATCCCACTCTCTTATCCCTAATTTTCATTTGCGTCAGGCTGAATCGCTGCACTGCGGTGGTTCGAATCGAGCGAGTGAGCAATCGAGCGAGCGAGCATCGTCGCCTTCATCGGCCAAGTGCTACCGGTTTGACGATACGGGCTGTTCTTCAGGTGGGCATTTCGGAATCTGATCTCTCAAGACAAATTCTCTGAAAGGTACGAACAGAGCATGATGATTGTGAGGCTGTGGAGTCTATGAGCTGTCAAATTAGGTTGGCATAGTTAACTTAAGACACGCTGTGCAGCATCCAGTTGCGGCGTAATGATTGTAACTAGCATGAAAGTGCCGTGTTCTCTTAATTAGGAATCAGACGCCAACCAAATCTAGAAATTTTACACCGCAACGTTGGGGACGTAGAACAGCGGTAGTAAACCAAGCGATAGCAGCGCCCACGAGGACTCCGTTGTTATCTGTTGGATATTGCTGAGCGGCTTTAATTCCCTGTCAACTGCCGTTTTACAGTATAGAGATTTGAGTCCCCCTCTGGATATATATATATTAATGGCCTCTAACCTTTTTATATTAAGGCCTGTACTCCTGCTACGCCAAACGATTATCGGACTAAAAGTTTAGTCTATTATTATAATACTGGCAATTGGGTGTAGCACTTACTGTTTGAGAATACTGCATGGCTTTAATCTATCTGACGATATTAAGTAAGCTAAAAACAACTAATAATACTTGGGATTATAGGTACGGCTAGCAGCCACTATAGGGCTCGGTCCGTTGTTACACTGCACGAGCCGTAAAATGGAGTCTATTGCAATTTACCAGAGCTTGTTGGCGTCAGGTTGCAGCGAAAAGGGGAAAATGGGAAAAAGGGAAAAAGGAGGAAGTGCGCGGGCAGAAATTGAACTCTAGGCTTAGATTGTTGCAGTTAGCAATATGTGTCATTTGGCGGAAGAGGGGAGGCAAGTGAGGGAAACTATTTGGAAGTGACGGGCTCTTACGGCAGCTATGCCGGCAGGTTTGGGTTGCTGTATGTGAGTGAGGGCATTCCTAAAAGCGGAAATAAATAATTGGCAGGGTGGCAATACGAAATGTGTCACGCTATGATTCGTTCATTAGAATAAAAATCTTGTTTTACTTGCTGCAAGAGTTAGAGTAATCGCAATCTAATTGGTGGTATTACGGTAAAATACAAGAAGTCTGCATGTGATTCTTAGAGGTTGGAGTACATCCAGCATTACAGGGCGGCCCGCCTGAATATAAAAGTTGACGCGGGGCTTTTGAAATCCTGCCTTGCGTACCTTGATTGCACTGCTATTATCCTATCTCTGTTCTTGCAGCTCGAGATCTTTTAAACTGCTCATTCACGACATCCGCTGCCAGGCTTCAAAATGAGTACAGCCGAGCACTGGGAATCTCCTTTAGCGAGATCACACAACTCACTCTCCAGTCTTGCCAGCTCTCCGCAGCTTCCCTCCCAACCATGCCAAGCTGCCAAAAGTCGGCCCTGGCAACAGTATCTTTCGGCCGAAAGAATGGTCATTATCGAAGAGAATTCCAAGATCCCCTTCACAGGGTCGGGCCAGATACGGCTTCGCTTCGACATGACAGCGAAGTCCTAGCGCTAAGTGCTGGGCATCACGGGACAACAACGCATCGAAAAATGGGTTCTTTGGAAATGGCATGGATGATATCGGGAATTTGGAGCCAATATGGCCTATTGCAAGGATAAAAGGTCTTACGGAATGCCTATCATGTTGTCGACTAAATTGTTTCATCATTCATTAGAGCTAATCGAACTTCAACCCACGTCAATTAGCTCTTATCCGCGTCTCTGACGGCATGCATGTTATGCTGCATTTCGGGCTACACTGCTCCACGATTTCAAACTTATGAAATCACAATCATGCGCACTTCGATAGATTCGCGTGGCTTATTCCCCACCGTCGTCTGTGGTCCACTTAGAGACGCATGAAATACACCCGCTATTACTAGGTCAGTTCCTACTCCAGTGAAGGAAAGAAGGGTCCTGGATGGCCTACTGGTATCACTGGGAATTTCGTAGCCTTCCCATTGCACAAACATTAGGATATCTCCCGGTGTCTGCCTCGATATATAATACCATTTATGATGCGGCCGAGAGTAGAGATAAGCCTCTAGCTCCACAACGTTGGGAAGTACTTTGTCGACTTCGATCAAATCCTCACTGTGAACAGAGCGCCGATCACAGACGCCGAGTGGAGCATTCTCAACCTGTCCTAAGGGCCTCCATGCGCTTCATTCATACAGGGTCAGTTCCATGGCGACTCATTCGGGTCAGCTGAATCTTACTTAATGAGGCGAACTTTAGCTCCATTCTGTTTGTAGGTCGCTAGCTCGTCTTGAGTTAAATGTAAGAAAAGCCGATCTAATGCACCTTGATGGGAATAGTCTTCAGACGTTAATCAGGGCATGTTTCCCTGTATAAACAAAACTGGGAATTAGGGCCCCGTACCGCTATGAGCAACTCCAATGGGGGCATAGGTGAGATGTCGGTGGTCCTTGATTTCCTCCTCGAGACTTTTGTCTTCGTAGTCGGTCCCATTCTTTCTGTACTGGCAAGATGTGTCGCGTTAGTGGCCAGCTGTGCCTGATGCTCGAGCGAACTAAAGGACTCCACAACCCACCCTCCAGTCGTATATATATATCGCGCTTGATCCAAGAGCAGACTTTGTGACCCGGATAGTCTCTTCCAGGAATGCTTGGACAGTTCCATGATCTTCGTCAACTGACACAAAGGGTCGCGACGTCCCCAGGTACTGCGACTCTTCCCGGAGCCAGCAGAAGCCACAGGTGTCCAGAGTTAGAGGTTCATCCGCAACCCGCATGTCCGTGATGGGAATGGATTCTATTGTCTCAAAAACCATGTTTGTGTTGCGACTTTCTGGTATCTTTTCGTTGCATAACCCAATGATCGCATACGGCTTTGTCGAATCGTAGAGGGGTAGTTCGGCAAGGTATGAGACGCTCGCTAATATCTTACCATCCTAGTAAGGCAAGGTGCTGATCTGGAGGCCGTTGATGAGGTTGGGGAAACACCAATCTTTAAGGCAACAGAAAATAACCAACTCGACTCGATCAAAGTTTTCATCGAGGCTGGATGCTGTCTCGATGTGGTCAATGCCTCTGGAACCCACCTACTATCGTCTGTAGCACTGCACGCATTACCCCGCGTGATGGAAGTCCTAGTCCCTGAAATTGTTCGACGTCTCAGCTCGGATACAGAACGAAGAGTGAAGACTAAGGCATGGGCTTTGTTGAACGGAGAGCGTGACAGAACGTGTTACGGGAGCCGCCAATCTATCGAGGAAGAGAGGAACATTTTTGCATCACTTCTGAGACTAGACTCAGATTCGATGTTGCACAGCCCATACCAGGACTCAAATAAGGATGATGGTAGCATTTATGAAAGTGCGTCTGAATATCAATAGGAATAAAAGAAGGTCATATTAGAGGTGAGATTCGGATTTAGGTTAAGATGTATAGTAGTATAAAGACCTTATTATTCAACTTTAGCCCATCGGTTGCAGCAAGTCCCCATTTGTAATCAATTTTTCGTTGATTGTGCGTGGTGCAATAATCGTCTGACTCTGGATAGCATAGTTCGTGGTCCAATACGGAAATCGAATGCCTCATGTGAGAAGTTTCAGTATGGGGATCAGCGAGGTCTGCAATGCCCGTTCGTCTGATGCCGATGCGTCACCGAAGACAGTGATGTATGCAGCTGTCGAGGGCCAGGACAGTCACGTAGTCCGCCACGTCGGCTTTACATCGTGGTCGGTGACGTCCCTGATTGCAGGGGAGCGATACTTATAAGTGACGATATGTCACGGAGGTACTACGGTTTCAGCATCAGGAATGCACAGCACTTTCGATCAAGCAATAAATGTTCAATCGTGCTACAAGTTAGCATCAGTGTGGATGCACTGTTCACTCTTTATTTTTAATGTAGCAGAATGTCTTCATAGGCACAATTATATGCTTTAGGTTTGTCAAAGGTTTGAATAATATTGAGAGGGGAGGAACTATTTGTAAGCTTTCGATGGGCTCAGCATTAGGTCTTCTTTTCCAGCTCCAAGAGATAAGATGATGCAAGCCCATACGTTGCCAGTTTCTCCAAACGTGCTTTTACCAAAGGCACCTCTGTCGCAGTCTCGAAATCCTACATCCCATTAATTTTAGTATTTTCTCACCGCTGATGAGAGGAAATAGGAAGAATCACCTCCAGAGAGTCCCACCCAAGCATTCCCGCAAACGAACTTGCGCCCTGGACTTCCCAGCCGCTGAAACTCGGCGTGTCCTGTTTTCCTAGCTCGGAAACCAATGCCTGCCAAGCGCTTTCCACTTGTGTGGCTTCCGTGTTGATATCATGGACCTTGACGTATTGTGTATATTTGCAAGACGTTGTCCCACCCGAGTGGGTTTGTTTGTCAGAGCTAAACAGGTCTGGTGCTACAGGACCCAGCAGGTAGGGCTTCATGGTCTCCCGGAAGGATGCAAACTTTTCGGAGGCCCAGAAAGTATTGAATGAGGATATGTCATCCCACTCTGCACATTATTAGCTGAAGATCGATGTGGTGATATTAAAAGATAGTGGAAGCGACATACCCAGAGTTAGAACCAAGCCACTATGCTCGATCGCTGCGCTCTCAGCGATACGCTGGGCCTTGACCACCTTGCCGCGGTAGTGATTCAACAAGCCGGGAACATCGGAAAAGGTGGCTTTGGCCGCCGGTGGCAATACGTCTTTGAGACCTTTCAAGAGATTCGGATCTTGATTGAGGCGGGGAAAAACAAATTCTGTGATGGGCATTTTGCGGAATTTGACGAGTCGTTGAATCATCTAGATGTGTGGATTGTAGTGGTTTGTCGAATCAGGTCTGTTTCTGAAGGAACTGCCAGCTCTTATATATAATGGCCGCAATCGTCGATGGCAAGAGTCTACTTGAACCACGCGAGTCAAAGGCGAGTCTCTGCAATCTAGCTTACGGAGCACGCGTGTCTGCTGTCAACGGGATCACGGCGGAGTAAAGTGGGGCGGCGGCGAGAAGTGGAGCAGCCGGAAGCGGAGGGCGGAGAGAAGTGGAGATTGGTTTGTCATGGCCACTCTCACCCACTGCCCAACTGCGGACATGCGTGGGTCGACTTAATTAGGTATTCGATGAAAGAGATGAGTTGTTGGGATGGCTTCTCCACTGCAGGCATAGACGGGAGGCAAGTGGTGGTGCATTTAATGGCATCAATCCCCCATGATCCAACCTCTCACATCGCTGAGCACAATACCTTACATTCCATTGAACCAACCAAACAACCTGTCAACCCTCTTCAATCTCGCCAACATGCCCAAGCTCGTCTCAATCATTGGTGCCACTGGCATCCAGGGCGGCTCTGTGGTCCGGGCACTCCTCAGCGATGATGCTTATACCGTCCGGGCTATCACCAGAAACTCGAAAAGCGCGGCGGCTGTCTCACTTCGCGACCTTGGCGCCGAAGTTGTACAAGCTGATCTTAACGACATTGCCTCCCTCCAAGCTGCATTTGTCGGCTCCTATGCCATCTTCGCAGCGACCAACTTCTTCGAACCTTTTGCAACTCTTGGCGTGGACAATGCAATCGACACCGAATCAACTCAGGGTATAAACCTGGCCAAAGCTGCAGCCGCAACGTCAACCCTTCAGCACTACATCTGGTCGACGCTTCCCAATGCAGCTCAAATCAGTCAAGGCAAAGCTATCATACCGCACTTCGTTTCCAAGAACAAAGTCGACGACTACATTAGGTCAGACCTAGAGTTGTTGCGTAAGACGACGTTTCTTTGGGTCAGTATGTACGCCTCGAATTTACAGTACCCGTTTTACAAACCAATTGCAATTCCAAGCGCTGGTCCGGATCAGTACATTCAACTGCTGGCAACTCCATCCTCGGTACCATTCACTCTGATTGGTGATGCAAGAACCAATGTTGGACTCTTTGCTCGGGCAATCTTGGACCAACCTCAAACGACCCTTCCAGCTAGGTTCGTTCTCGGTGCGACAGATCAGATGACTGCAGGAGAGCTTCTTTCGCTGTGGGCATCGGTCAATGAAAAGAAGGCAGAATACATCACGGTTAGTAAAGGGACGTACTACAACTTGTGGCCTGGTTGGGCAGAGTTGATGGACGCCGCACACACGTACTGGGAACTTGTTCAGGAAAAAAGTTATTCGGGGGAGGATGTCCTCGTGACAAAGGAAGATCTGGGTATTGTTGGCTTGGTAGATACAGCTGCAGCAATAGCGAGGATGGAGATATGAGTAGTCGTCACCGATGAACCTCAGACTAAGTCCGAAATATTGGTATTGTTGTCACTTGGTAGCATATTAACTACTTCTATTGCCTCAAGATAGGCTAGACAACTACGCTTCACCTCAGGAAGACGTGATTCACCCGACTCAAACATGATTTTGGAATGAGAGATTATCAAGAGTGTTTCTGGGCTGATTTAAGTATGGCTATTAGGTACACAGATGCGCTCGTCAATCACCCCATAATGTCTTTCGCAGCACACTGCCGATTTATGGATCAAGTTATCTTTAATTGCTTTGCACTCTTCGGCGATACTTAAAAAACCATCTCCAAGAACATCTCGAGTCTGGTATCCCGTTGAGACACATGTAGATACACAATCGGATCGCGCGCGGGTAACGAAACGGGTTGCTTTGTCTTACTAATGCACCTTGACATTTCTCCACTCCGATCCGTCCGAAACCGAACCCCGTCCATCTGTCAAACCCATCAGTCTCAGACTCATGAGCCTCATTTCGAGATCATCATGTCGCTCCGCAAAACATCCTGTGCCGCCTGCGTCTCAGCCAAGCGGCGCTGCGACCGCGGGACTCCAGCATGCCGTCGATGCGTCCAGAAGACCCTTGTCTGCGAATTTCCCTACCCAATCACGCAGACACCGCCGAATGAGCCCTTAGTTGACGGTTCAACGTCCTCGGACCTGTGGGATTGGGTGGATAACATCCCTATATTGGAGGGCGTGAATGAGACTGGTCTGAGCGATTTTGAGATGGCAGCTTTGCCTGACTTGACGAGCTCCCCATTGGACTTGGCTTGGGATGCTCCAAACCCGCCACCTCCATGTGAGCCACAGCCACCAGTCCGACAAATATATGAACAGGAAGCAAACATCGAGAATGAGACGTTGGAATCTCTGCTTGGGCGGCTAGACCAGTCCACTTGTATCAGAAGCAGGAGCGTCGATAAGGCTCGAGGGGACAGTCAAGTCTCAAGACATCGCCGCAAACAACACCATCGGAACAGTCAACGAATAAGAGAAAGCATCCCCCGAGCACTACCAGCACACGATATATGGCCACGAGGGCATGATTCTGAGACTTGGGACTTCTGTGCGGGGGAACTCATGTCCTTCGTCACATCATTCGCAGCAACCGCGTCGAGTCCATTTATTCTACATCCAGCTCTCCGGCTCCGCATCAAACCTCACGTCCAACTCCACCACTCCCTCCAAAGAGCACTTGGTGTCTGCGCTGCTCACAGTACGCTAGGTGATCAAGGCCGGCTCGTCCTGTCTCAATTGCTTGAAACCGAGGTTCAGCAACTCATCGAATCCTCGAAGTCGGGGAACACATTGGCATATCATCCTTCAATCTTAGACACCCATGAAAACAAGTCGAAAGCCGCCCTTTTCGCCTTTCGCGAAGCTCTTGCTCGAGTACAGGCCATGATACTGTACCAGATTATTGGACTTTTTGGCGCCGTTGCGGGGCGACAACGTCCTTGCAAACAGCACGAAGCTCTGATGGCATCCTGGACAAGAGAATTGTTACTTCATTTCCAAGTCATTGAGCTACAGCCAAAAACAGTCCCGCCATCGTCCTGGACCTCCTCTGCATCTTCCAGTCTCAACACAGATGAGCTAGACGGCGCTGGATATCACGAAACTGGCGAATCTCTTCCCGATGCATTGCCTTTGTTACGTGACACAATGCCATTACAAGAGGAGGAGATATGGAGCGCATATAGAACCATTCTCGTGTCCTATCTGGTTCGGTCGGTTTATTCAGCACTCACAAGTCATACTTGTACTCTGCTAGCGGAAATGGGATCAATGCCTGTTCTTGTATCTCGGCAGGAGCAACAAAAGCCAGACGAAGCGAACAATGTTTCTCGGCAAGACCTCTTGGTTAACATACGAGACAAGGCAGAAGCACGGGGCTTACTAAATGCGGGGAGAGGGACCATCTCGTATACCGATTTCGTTCATCTATGGAATGGGCAAAACTGGACGCCGGGGCTGGAAGGATATGACCGATTTACTGTTCTTCTTTTGGTGGCTTGTAAAGGCGTTGAAATCTTCACGTGTCAACCAAATTAACTCGGCCGATACATACCACCGGTTCAATGCATACCCACATAAAGCCTCGCTGAAGTTCGGCTTGACATGGAGCAGCTGAAAGCGCCACTATGCAAACGGTTGACGACATCCGAGTAGCGGAGAGGCTAACGGGAGCCTCGGAATAAATATCACGTTGTAGTATTCAAGCCACAAGCCCACGCCGGACGTCGCCGAACTCAATTGACGTATTGAAGCGCGATTATAGCGAGGGCGTTGAAGCATATTCAGGCCTAGTCTTTTTCCGGCGTTGGTCAGGTCCCCGAGCATCGCCACATGAATGAGATGGAGTAAACTCTAGAGCGCCAAGCACAGTTAGCGGAAAGCCTGTGACGAGGCATGACGCAAACGTATTGACAGGCGCGACCGTCAATGTGTATATAGTCTACCTTTCTTTCTTCTTCATGAATCATTATCGATCAGCTCAGCAACGATTACATTACATCTACCCATTGTATCTTGACGAAACCAACCATACTCGCAACGTCAATAACTTAAACATACCTCCCCTTTGAAGCCAACCAATTCTACTACAACCAAAAAGACAAGCCGAGAACATGTGCTTCCCGCCACGACGCCACACCGTTGTACACCACGGTCCTGTCATGGGCCCGAGACCCGTAAGGGTAACACACGTCCATCACACAGGAGGACGAATGGCCCCCATGGGTGGTCCCAGAATGGGTGGCCCTCGAGTCGTTGTGATGGGTGGAGGACGCCGCACGGGAGGAGGCATGGGTGGTGGGCGTCGTTGCTGAGAGGGTTTTCGACATGCGCATTTCGAAAGAATTGGCCCAATAAACAGGGCTTACTATCCGTCGAGAACGAGAAAGGTGCTCGACAGAATTTACGCCTCAAATTTAGAGAACATCAATGGTGGTTGTTGGATATGCAAGGGCTCCCTGAACGGACACGAAGTTATTTGCAGAAGTGCGCTGCATTTCAGGGAAATTGTTTGAAGAATGGAAAACATAGAAAATTCATGACTTCATTGGACATCTTGAATCAAATGAAATTATCAATGAAATAAATTCTAACAATCTCTTTTGTCAACGTCCTTTCCATGGTTTAGCATGTAACAATAATTCCACCAATGGCGCCCCAGGCGCTTAATGTGACCCATGCACTTCTGACTCGCTGCAAGACCGGCTATGATAGTGTCCCGAATCAATTGACTGTTTCTTCACCAAGGGATGACGTTGGATATACTGCAATCCAAGGATTACGCGTCGTCCAGCCTCAACCCTATAATATCGGGAAATACACTCCGTTGTCCCAATCAACGTTCTCCGGCTTCGACTCAATTCGTTCGTGGCAAGTGCCAAAGATTCGATCCCACAGTCTGGTCTGCTTCCCATAGTTGTGGCTCTTCCTCCAACCCTTGCGGTGGTGTAGGTCGTGATCCTCAACGACGAGCTCGCAATGCAACATGCGAAGTAACCAGGTCAAGGTAGAGGGGGGAATAGCGTAGACGCGCAGACCACTGTGGCCGAGGACCTCGGTGAAGGCGATGTACTGGTGGCAAATCCACCAGTCATAGAAGCCCAACGGGATACCAAGAGCGCGAAATGTCATACAAGTCAAGAACGGGACACCAACCATGTCAAAGAACTCTTGTTCATGGTCGGCATACGCTGCGAGAAGTGTATTGGGGTGCTTTGTGAGGTGATGAGTGCGGTGATACTTCCACAGCCAATCGATATCGTGCATCGCGCGATGGTATACGTAGAACCAGAAGTCGAGAACGATGCCATATAGGCCAATCTGCAACCACAGCCAAGCCCACCAGTGCCAGTCTCCAAGAGCCATGGCAGGGGACTGGTAGCTATTGTAGGAGATGTAGGTGGCCATGGCGATACGGGATCCCGTGGTCTTCCAGAGCGCAGCAGCCACTTTATCCACGCCCACATCAGGTATGCCATCGCGCTCGTGGACGTCGCCATCAAGATAACCAAGATCCTGGCCTGCTTTTCTGGCGCCCTTAACCTCTCGGATGACAACCACGGTAAAGGAGAAGAAGTAGAGAAAGAATACGGCGATAGGGTTCAGGCTTTCCTTGCCAGTATACCAAAGCCATGTCTGGTGGATGGTAATGGGTATAAAGGCGTGCATAAGAACCCAAGCATGTCCTTGCCACTGAACGAAGTAGGGTATCTTATCAGTCTTCGGATGCACAGGAACTTCCTTTCCAGGCGTGATGGGGTATACGTTGAGCGCATCGATGATCCGGTGGTTCAAACCCCATTCCGACCTGTCTCCAAGAGGCCAGGTAGATTTGATCGAATCTTTTGGGTTCGGTTTTGACATTGTCGCCGACGCTCGCGTCTTCTCTGGGTGGGCTGTAAATGATTTGTTGACTTTGTTCTCGAGGTGAATCTTGGGTAGTGTTTTGACTGAGGTGTGAAGATAACTAAATATAATAAAGGGAGGCATCGGTCAATAAATACACAACTTTAAACCTACGGACGTTTATCATTTTGAATCGAGAGTACATTTACTCTAGATTTCGGTAGTCGGAAGCCGAGGCACCATCGAGGCCAGCATGTGGAAGAAGGGAGACGTTTAGAAGAGGCCGGCCCGACGCATAAGGAGCATATCACTTTCAAGAGCAGTTCGCAACCTTAACCCTTTGTTGCCATCCTCTTACCAAACCGAGAAAGCTGTGGAGCAGATAGGGCAGGAAAACTGTTGAGAGACGTCATCAGATGATGAATCTCCCATCGTCATCCTTCCGAAGCTGCACAGGGGGATAGAGCAACTAGGCCGATTGGCGATGGAGCACATCTTTGTTTGGTCTGCCACGGGGTAAACCAGCCTTAGTTAAGGTCATGGATCGGAGCTACCATTCCCTTTTTGTGCGGACCTTGCGAGGGTCACCTCCAATTCCACCCCGCCATGTGGCCCACGACAAGGGTTATCAAGCGATCGTCATCGGGCTACCAACCAACTGGCTAGGCGATTTCGGTCTAGGCGCAACCGAGTTCTTTTAGTAGAAATAGGCATCTGAAAACCTGGGCAAGGCAGCTTTGGACGTGGCAGCTATTACTGATCACTATTCTGAAACCTGCCGTGGCCTTATTTTGATCCGGCCACGATACCATGATATCACTTGGATCACATGCGCGATTCAATAGCCGCTGTACCGAATAACGGTTCATGAACAAGCCTATCGATCGCATCATCGCAAGATATTTTCCAGACAGCTGGCATGTGATGAACAACACATGGTAATGCTATGATACCAGTTAAATCCAACTTTCCGAAGATGCGGCACCATCGTCCACGTGGCCGCCACCGGCTATTTAGTGGTAGAACCGAGCATCAAGAAGGCGATACACATGACTTCTGTCTACAACGTAACAGTCTTGCCTATCACTAGGCAGGGAGCCCTCTACGCGTCAGGACATCTCTGCTTAGGCACTGACTAATGTAAAAGTAGATGGGGGTTGACACTTCGAGCTTGAAGTGCCACAGCCATTCGACATCACGGGCTGCAGCCTGATTTCTCAGATGGCCACTCCCAAGTATCGTACCTGAAAATAATTGTTCATGTCTCAGTGAGCAGTGGTACATTACTTGCCGATCGTAAGTAATAGCTTGAAGGGTTTCAATTCCATTTCCACGCACTTACGCGAGAAAAACGAGATACACGAGTCCATTGATTCAGGCCTGCAGAATTGCCGACCTCAAGTATCTGTCCTGCAAATGTGATATTTTGGTGATGGGAGACGCCTTTAGTGCAGACCACACCCGCCCGTAGGGTAGAGGCTAGAAGGATAACGGGAGAAGAAAACCAGTAGAAAAGCAGTCTCTTGAGGGTGAAAGATACCAAGAGCAATTGATGAATTACTTCTGAATCTCTCTAAGAAGAAAAAGAAAAATATCGTCATCGACTGCTGCGACAGCTATAGTGGAATAAGCGTACTGAGACCGAAGGTGTTGTATCAATTAAAGAAGGGAAAAAGCATGCCGTCCTATTTTTCAAGCAGACTCAATGCCTTAAGTAGGGACCCCGTAAGCTAGTAAAAGGTCTACCCTACGGTATTAAACTCTAGGTGGACTGTTGGCTCCATTACAATACATCGACATTAGATCCCTAATCCGGAGATCAGAAAGATAATTCTTGTCTGAACTGCGACTTTCGATCAACGAGCCATCAACTTCTCCCAAGCCACTTGCTTCAATCATGTACATATTAAATGAGACACGCGAGCACAAAGGAATGTCTTTGGCCGCCAGATGTTATGGATGACGAGTTTTTATTCTAGAGTCGGATCTCCCGTGGCATTTCTCCCTCATGGAGTATCCAGTGAGCCATAAAATGAACGATCGAACTCGCGCTCTACAGAGCAAGCAGATCATGGAGCGAGCGGGGCCAAGTTACGCCGTCTCGGAGACTTTGGGCTCTCTCCATGTTGATTCGCTGCTTATCCCCTCTAACCGATAAGGGCACAGTGACCGGGTTTAAGCAATCGTCTACGATACGGATATCCTGACCATGGTCTTGACTAATCGAACTTCTGTTTGCTCCCTCAAGATGAGCAAGTTACCGGCACAAGGTCAAAGAATTCGGTTTTTTCCACATTTCAATTAATTCTCATCAATGCTTCCACGATGACCAAATATCGAGCTTTCAGCTTAGAAATGTCACGCAACATCACTGTCTTGAAATGGACCATCACATGTGTCAGCCGGGATTCGGCCAGTGTAACCGCCGACATCTACGCCAATCAATCATTTGTAATCCTCCCGGTCGGGAACCGGTGATCCCCGAAGGTCGGCACCCGGTCGATCCCCGAAAGCCGAAAACGAGCCACTACGTCAATATAACTTACGAGCAGTGCAGCTGTCGTTTACCGCGTAAACTACTGTATTTCTCTCTTCAGTATCTACAATCATGGTCGCTCTGTCCATCATCAAACAATCCAACGCCCAGGCCTTGCCGGCGGCCCTTCCCTCGGGGCTCGTGGCCGTCTTTATCGGCGCAACATCTGGCATCGGCAAGGCGACACTCGAGCAATTCATCGTCGCCACTAGAGATAAGTCGCCGCGCGTGTATATCACGGGCCGAAGCACCGCGGCTGCCGTCCCGCTATTGGCAGAGCTGCGACAATCGAACCCGTCGGCGTCGCTGGAGTTTATCGAGCAAGATGTCTCCCTCGTCCGTAACGTGGACGCTGCCGTCAGTCAGATCAAGCAAAACGAGACCAAGGTCGACCTGCTCTTTATCACAGTCGGATTTATCAGTTTTCAGGGACGAATAGGTAGGTTCATATCCAAAAAAAAAAAAAGGCTGTCTCCAAATACTCATCGCCATGTTCCAGAGACAACTGAAGGACTCGAGCCTTCCATGACGACCCGCTACTACAGTCGCGCACGAGCAATCCAGCTTCTCCTGCCGCTCCTCAACAACTCAGAAAACCCGCATGTGACCAACGTCCTCGCAGGTGGACTAGAGGCGCCCCTGCGGGAGGACGACTTAGATCTCGTCAAGCCGGGGAACTTCTCCATCGCCAGCTCTTCGCAGCACAGCGCAACAATGCTCACCCTGATGCTGGAGAAGTGGGCTGCGGAGAACCCCAACATCAGCTTCGTTCACCAGTTCCCGGGGACGGTAGCTACGCCCCTGTTCACGCGCGGTTCCAGCGGAGTTATCGGCTTCCTGCTGCGATGGATCGTGTCACCTATCATTTGTACCTTTTTGGCGGCGAGCCCGGAAGATGCAGGCGCGAGATCTCTCTTCCATGTCACCAATGCCCGTTATACCGTCCCGGCACGTCAAGGTCTCTCCGTCCCGATTCCGGAAGGACTCGAGACAGCGAAACAGTCTGGCGGCGGAGTCTTCCTAGTATCTAACAAGAGCGAATCGGCGGATAATGAGAAAGTCCTGGTGGACCAGAGGAAGTTGACTGAGAAGGTTTGGGAACATACCCAGCAGATATACGCGAGGGTTACCAAATAAAGTGCGAAGAAAGGATCGGTACACAAATAATAGACTGAATAGTAGGATATAATTCAGGGAGCACGTCATAATAGTGGATTACCTAACTTAATATTACACATACCATACTACTGCTTGAGTTTATCAGATGAAATCTTGATTATCTCCGCTCTGCAACAGATTCCCTGCCACTAGCCCCCAATCTATATGCTTTACTGTTTATATTAATAAGATCTTAATTAACTTCATAATATTCTAATTGCTTTTTTGGAGCTATATTAAAAGAACAGACCCTGCTGCGCCCTGCAGCTCAGCGGTGTCAGAATAGGGCAGACTATCTTAAGAGGCATAAGACTGATCGCAAGAAGCTCCTCAAAAATATATGCGCTTGCGTAAATATACAGATTAGACTAATTTGGCGGGGACCAAAGTTCCCATCAAGTAGGAACTAGCGACCCTCTGCCAACACTTCGCATGTGGCATCTGGCAGTTTTTTACACTATGTGTATTAGGAGACAAGGTAGCTAGATGTTTATAAAAGAGCCAGAGCAGATGAGTTTTATGAAAGAGCTAGGGACCTAAGTGTCTGTGAAAGTGCCAAAGTGAAGGTACATGTACGTCTCGGGGGTATCAGGGGGACATGGCATTCCTTCGGGAATCATGATGGTGCATCGTTTATGCGGAATCTCGTATTCGGTCCATTTGATGTTCATGGTCTCCGGCTCATCCCTGAGCTTCAGTCCAAACACGCGCTGTACACGGCGCTCAATGACGAGGCGACAGAATTCGGCGAGGAACGGCTCGGACCCAGACATGTCGGGGACGTTTGTGCCGGTTGTGCCGTACTCATACGCCTGGAGGGTGCTGTTCTCATCGACAAAATAGTGAATTGGCTTCAAACCTTCAGCTTGAGCAGTGTCGACGGGACCCATGAGCTGGACGGCGCCCGTGTAGATGGTGGCATTCTTGAAGACCATGACCTCGCCAACACCTGTGTCGAAGTGCTTATGAACGAGTCGCAAGCTGACTCCGCGAGGGACGTGATGCTTGCTCAAGAGCTCACGAAGAGCATCAAGATCCGCAGATCTCTCTTCGGGGGCATGTGAGACATCGCCAATGTATGGGAGGTTGTTGTAAATGTCGGAAGAGATAAGAGTGTCTTTCAGAAGCGCCATGGTCAAGTTGTTGCTGATGTTTGGGGAGCAGGTTGAGAATGCTTGCTTGGTTCAGTCGGCATCTTCAAGACCAAGTTCTAAGAAGACATCTGCGAGCTTCAAGGGGGATTTATAAACAGCTAATATGCGCTCATACTCACGCCGGATTATGAGTCGGCTACGCTCGGCGCTGCTCCAAGTCTCACGTCGCCGACAGCGGTCCGGTAGAACCCTATCCCGAATGTGCAAATCCCATTGTGTAAAACCCAGCCACTGAGAAAACGACACATCACGTCTGCTCAGTCACACGCTTCCAGGCCAAGGCGTTGTTCCCTTCGGTGTGGAGTTGTGATAACCCCAACTTCCAATCAACAGCCTCACAATGAAGCACCAATTAACCATCACCAACACGAACACCAACAGTCCCACCGCCTATACTCAACTCGAACAAACGAAAGTCATCCATCATGGACCTACTCAATAGCGTCCTCGACGACGTCAACGGCCACATCCACGGCAGCGTGCGAGGTTTCTTTGCCAAGTATTTCGACAACACGAGCTGGTCGTCCCTTGCTAAATCCCACGGCCACCTGACACCCGATCTTTCGCCACTTGACGCTGGACAGACATTGCTTGCCTGGCTCCAGCGTGCGGATCTCGGCCCTCGCGAGTCATTCTCCACCTGGCACGTCACCCCCTCGACTCGATCCACCGACCCTCGTTTCTATCTGCTTTCCAAGGACAGTAGCGAGTTCAAGTGGGCGCGCGTCCAGGTCATTGGGCACATGATCGAATCGGAGGAAGGCTCTTACAAGGAAGGCTCTTACAAGGATGGCTCTTACAAGGATGGCTCTTACAAGGATGGCCTCCTCCGCCTTTGCAGCCTTGCGCAAAACGTCTTTGAGGCTCAACCCACGCGTTTATTCCTGCACGGGCTCTATGTCTACCGAGACTCGGCCGAGCCATGGGTCTTCGATCGGGGTGGAATATATGGAGGGGAGCCAATCAATATCCACCAGGATTCCGCTCATTTCAAGACCATGGTTGTCGGCTATACACTGATGGATACAGTACAGCTCGGCAATAATCCGTCGCTTGAAGAAGATGCGACGGGGAGATGCCTCATTTCGGCCGAGGTCGACGCGAAGCCAGAACGTGTGCAGGTTGAGCATCGGCCGCTGTCGTCGGTCCGAGACATCGTGGGCGGTGGCACCGCCGCTTACCGCGCGAGACGGGCGTCAACTTCGGGGACGTGGGACCTCGCTGTCAAGTTCAAGTGGTAGCTGGTTGACGACGGTCCCGTCAACTGGCTCCCGGAAGAAGCCATGCTCAAATTGGTCAACCAACGCAACGTCTGGGGTGTTTTCCGCCTCCTCAGCCAGCATGACCTGAGCAGCGTTGAACGTCTTCGGGAAGGTCTTGAATTCGACACGCCCCGAGTGTTTCCCGCCACTGCCGCAGCCAGCAACTCCACGGCTAATCCCCATGTCAGAGGCGTCCTCGATTTCACCCAACCAAAGAGTCAACCTTCGACAGGAGGGAACACCATTCGGTCTTTTCAGAACTTGATCCTCTCTTGCTTGGTTGTTGCTCCTCTCGGAAAACCCCTTCAAAAGTTCAATGACAAATTACAGCTTCTCGAGGCGCTTCGCGACGCCATCAAGGGCCACAGAGACCTCTACAACAACGGCATTCTTCACCAAGATGTCTCCATCTGGAACGTCATGATTGTAACAGCGAGTGGCCCAGGGGATCCAAAGGGCATCCTCATTGATCTCGACATGGCAGCCAAACTTGAGGACCTTCTTCCCGACGGGAGATCCTCGGTAAGTATACCACTGTTCATGGCCATTGAGGTCTTGATATATAAACGACACACATACCGCCATGACCTCGAGTCCTTTCTCTATGTTCTTCTCTGGATGTCCATCACCAATCGATCCGACGGGCTTCCAGAGGAGAGCATGATGAAGCAGTGGACCAAAGAGGGTGACCCTAATCAACTAGCAGCGCTCAAACATCACGACATGAAAGAGGAGCATTTCGAGACAATGCTTCATGATTTCGACCCCGAATTCCACGATGTCAAGATTCTCGCCCGGGCTTTTCACGCCATCATATTTCCGACTTTGGAGGACGGATCACTGTTCGTGGGAACAAAGAGCGACGCATCATCAGCCGGCGAGATGTACCAGGCAATCATTGATGTTTTTGATGGTGCGATTGGTCGGCTTGGCGCGAAGATGTAGATGCCGACGGTTTGCCGAAGACGCCAGGAGGAGTTGTGATGAGGACAAAAATATCAACGAGGTATAACTACATAATGATTTCAAGTTGTGATGAAAAACGCACATATCTGTATTCTCCTGCGCCAATACCTTCTTTGGCATGGTTGATGTATAACTTGACCGGCTAACAAGCAGTGCACCAACGTCACACGTAAACTCGGTGGAGTTCTCGACTCATTGCCAAGGATGCGGTTGTAGCGGTGTTGAAGCAGCCATGCAGCCTGATTCACGTCTCGTTTGAAGGGTGAAAGTCAGGAAAAAAGCACAACCTGTACCCTGTGTGGGATTACCGGTTCCTTTCGGGACGAGAATAACCAGCCGCGCAAGCTGGTCCTTGGCGTCCCTGAACTACGAACGAGCCATTTTGGACATAAATTTACGGCCGAAATACTTGACGTTAGAAGGTCGGACCAACTTACTTATCCGCTGCGGAGGATAGAACATTCAGAATTCGACATGTCTCCGATCCCAGGATAAGAGCGAGGAAGTCAGCCAAGGAGCCCCGGATTTGCTTGGAGGAAACCAGCTGCGATACTAGCCGCCTTTGGCAGATGCTGCACAGGCTGTTCAGAACCGGTCCGGCCGGGATAACCATAGCGCGCCGTGGTGGTCAGAGAAGAGCCATATGGTCCGGAAGACCTATCACAAGGCCCGTAGGGATAACCCTGGGGACAGCCTGCTAGAGGAACGCAAGGACTTCCTTCGGGTCGTACTGGAGGAAAGAGCCAGCTATTGGCAGGGCCGGATTGATGGGTTCAGATCAGATAAAGAACTCCACGAGATCGTCCACTGGCACAAGCTTGGTCCGGCCATTAACTCCCCGCCTCTAGTCCTAGACGGAAGAGTCATTGCGAATGCCACAAAGAAGGCCAGCATACTTAAGCAAGCTCTGCTCGAGAGACGGGACAGCAACGAAGACCTAGGAACGGACCCTCTTACGATTCCTAGCGCACCGCAGAGACAACTGCCGTAGCGGTATCACATCTTACACAAAGAGCTAGCTGCAGCCACTAACCAGGTCAAAAGTACGTCCTCAGGCACAGACGGTATTTCAGTCCGGCTGCTTGAGGCCTATTGGAGCGTGATCTGAGACCTAGTGCAATAGCTATTCTAAGCTCCTCCTTCCGCCATCCTAAACAGATCCTTCTTTATGCAAATTGCCCTTGTCAAGTACCTGGCCAGATCTATATTCGAAGAATCTCTTAAAATCCTTTAATATACCTTATAGCTGCTATAAGAAGATTCAGGCTATTAGCAAATATCTAGGGTAGGGGTATATTTCTTAAAGTATGCTTCTTTCTAGCGTACTGAAAAAACTTTGTCAACTCAAACAGCGCTAAAATGGACAGACCCGCACTCGGTCAACAATCTGTCCAATGCGTGAGCAGTATTGCAGCTCTCTGGTATCCTCCCCCGTGTATTACCAACTATAGTAGGCTTGGTCCCACCTTAGTACTATGAGAGTTGACGCAGTTTTTACGGTCTTGTTCTTGGTAATAAATGAGGCAACAGGGCTGGCGATGGTGTTCATATCGATCGCTCCGATGACGATACGAGGTCATGATCGATCGCCATCGCCGTCAAATTGAGGTTCTACGTCGATGCAGAATCTTAGGTAAAGCGCAACTGACTCCCCAGAAAATGATTTCATCTATCACATCGAGAGATGGGATCGATGATGAAAGCTCTTAGTTTCTCTAGCTAGTGAAGGACAAGGGATCAGTCAAAAATATATGACCTTGGAAGATGACAACTATCTCTAGCTAATCTGTTGAGTGTCGTGGAGATAATCGACATCTCAACGCGGGGCCTTTGGGGCTGTTGATGACAGATATGTCAGTTGAAATAGCGTTCGTCGTGGTCGTTGATCTCGGACCAGGTCGGTAGCGTTGACAGGGCCCAGAGGTCTCAGAGTGATATGATCCCTATTCAAACTAAGTGCTAGTCGGCTTTGATCTCATTCTCTTCGAGGAAGCTATCGGAAAGGCCTGGTCACATATTAGCATCCCCAGAGACAATGATATTGGCTTGGTCCAACGCACGATTCCTGAGCTCGCATCCGCCAAATTGATCGCAGCACACATCCACGCCCTGGCTATTAGGGGTGCAGGTGACCGCAGTGGGAGCAGCAAGACCCACGGTGGCGAGGCCAGCCAGGGCAGCAAGAGAAATAAGAGAGAGATGCATGATGATTAAAGAGGGAGGAGGAAAGAGAATGGTGGGCCAGCCAAGCAATGAAAGGAATTGAGGTAAGAGGTGAGAGTTGAAAATAATATATCAAGTCATTTCGCAAAAGAGGCTGACAACACAAGGCTTTTATGATTGTCTGAGAACTCTCAAGAACCGGTCTTTACTAAGCAAGAACAGACGTCATCGTGAAGAAGGAGTGTGTATCAAACTGACGTTTCACCACCATTGGCTAGCGCTGGTGTCTCATTTGTGTTTTCAGTATGCTTCGAAATCCACATTAAGGTTATGCCTCCGCTTGACCCACGTTACATCACGACGCTCGGCTCACTAACACGGCGTAAAAAATTGAGCCCTTGGCTGCCCCTGACAAGGAGGTGGCAACACAGCTCTAGAAACAAGCTCAGCTTCACTCGATGTAACAGTTGCGTCCTGTCTTCCCCGCAGCCGATCCAGCCATTGAAGGCAGCCCAGAGTAGGCCCAGAATTCTAGAATTCCTCCGACATCAAAGTAAGCATATCAAACATACGACGTGGGTCGCGGGGTCATTCGTAGCTAGACGGGCTCCAAGCAAATACAACAAATGCCGTAGGGTTGGCCGTACAATGACATCAAAGTCATGCCCTTCAAGGTACTCGGAATTACTTTTGCAATTAGACCTAGCTTCGGAGCCAACCCCACAACCTATTGCATTATATATCGCTGCTATGCCAATCCCACTTGTCCGCCTTTGCCTACTCTACAAGGTTCTCCTACGAGGCCCCACTCCTCCATTGTTCCAGACGGTCCGGCAGAAACTGCGCCAAGTTCTACCAGTGGAGAGTCTGTGATGCAACAAGTATACCATTTGCGCGAGCCCCTCCTGTATTCGTCCAGGTAATTGTGCCGATCCATCATATAAAGCCCATCCACCTACATATTGATTGAAGGATAGGAAATTGGGGTATTCCTCCTGGGGCCAAATTACTTTATACTTACCATTCTCTGATTCCTATTGGATCCATCTCGGTTGCTTTTGTGTTGGGTGCTGTCTTTGGTTAGCCCTCATAAACCCTTTAATACAGTCGACAAGTATCGCTGACCTCCAGAAATCCTATCCTGTTATCCGAATTCCTATTGTAATAACTTGCCCGATATAATTTTACCACCGTCTATCCTCAGAGAGCTGACGTAATATTTCCCTAATCAATTCCTCGTGACGTCTATTCTCAAAGAGCTCACGATCTTTTTCCCTTCTTTCCCTTCTCAATTCCTCGTGACGTCTATTCTCAGGGAGCTGACAATCTTTTTCCCTTCTCAATTTCTCGTGATGTCGATTGTGTCTGGCCTTCCGCAGATCCCTTTTCATTCCCTTCACCTCCTTCTCTGAGGACGAGGTTGAGCTTGTGGACTGAGAACCAACAGTGGCGGCCGTGCTTGAAATGTCTTCATACTCAGCTATATAATTATAGTCATTCCTAGGGGCTGTAGAATACATCGGGCTTCCATTAAAATGTGGAGAGGGTATGTGGGGGGTATGGTCGGGATACGGAAAGGGACCCCGGTAATAGCGGGAATTAAGAGGATTAGCTGTCGGTGCAAAAGGCGGGACCACTTGAGGGAAAGGATTGATATAGGGAGGCTGAAAATAGACGTTGGTGCTGTGATACTGAAATCTCGGATCATAACCGTTGGGGTTGTAGCCCTGGGGGTTTGGAGCAAAGGGGCTGTCGTCATTTCGTTGGCCATAGATCGGAGGGGCAGGATATGGATTGGTCCGGAACTCTTCACCCTCGCCCTTTGACGCACTAGCTGTGATAGGCAGCGGAGAGTGGCGGGCGAGGGACCCAGGCTCCAGGTTCATGTCGATTTGGGTGCTGGCCGGTTGCAAACCAGATGTTTCTTGGCGAAGAAGTCGCACTCTTTGAAAATCGGCCGGCTCGACGGGAATGCTTGTCACTATTGTCGATCTCTGGCCAGTGGGCACAGATTTGACATCGGAGCCTTGCAGTGTATCCGAAGTTTCCGAAGCCTCGATAACAATACTCTGCATGCGGAACCACATCCCGCAGTCAGGCCTCATGCTAGACGGGTTGAGTCTCACCCCTATGCCTAAGGGTATTGCGATTTGCTTACCATTGAACGGTGACATCTTCTGGAGCATCCGTCACCGTATGGCATCGTGGACAAGCGCCAGCGACCACGGTGGCGGCGTCGAAGACCATGCTCATGTTGATCTTCATCCCTCGTCGAAGGCAGAAGTGAAGAGGGCGATTTGTATCGAGATCTCGCCCTGATGAGCTGTCTTCGAGGGCAAATTCTCGCTTCAGTACCATGTCATAGCCTTTACGGTCTTTAAAGCGGCCCGTGAGCAATTGATAGAGGACCTGGGGTAGGTTAGACATGGAAATTCACAGGACTTGGAATCAAGGGCGGATGCTTACTTCCCATTCCAACGAATCTAGCCATTCAGCTGGGAGAGGGAGTTCGTTTCCAAGGGCGTCCTCCAGGACTACCGGAAGCTCCTTAGTCGGGTCCAGCGGGTGAAGGTATATCGAGTGGGACGCCATAACCTGCAGATTGATAACGGTTTGGGAGATCTGAAGAAGGAGCGCTTTTGTTTCAAGGATGCCGCAGAACGTGGCCTTGGCCAATCCTAGAATATCCCGGCCACTCTCTTCCTGTACCACAAGCTGCTGGCTCACATCCTCGAGCTTGTCGGCTTGTTTCTCACTTGCTCTGCCCTGATCTCGCAGGAGTTTAAGGATCTCCTCCCGACTGTGGCAGGTGTTGGACACAAGCCGGTTGATTTCTTCGATTCGGGCACATAAAGTGGCATTGTCGACTCGGGCAGATTTCCTAGTGGAAGCTCACGAGTTAGTATGGCAGTGCAATCACCTCGGGGTACCCGGACGAGACTCACCTTGCAGCGAGGGTGGTCAGAAGCGAAAGCCTCTGGACGCCATCTTGCAGCTTTTCCCGGACATGGCGCAGGCGGTCTGTCTCTCTCGTCATCCACTCAACCTTCCTGTATATGTCCTTGACTTTCTTTCCAGACCCTGCAACGCGAAGACTATCGTGGTATTTCGGATGGACATGCTCCAGGGTATCTTGAATGAGGGATCCGCACTGGTCGATGATGGACTTTGCCGTACTGTCGAGGCCGTTTAGATAGGGCGAAGGCTCGTGCTGCTGGTACGTCGCCACAACCTGCGAAATCTCCTTGTCAGACTTCTCATCATCAGAATGCAGAGACACATTCAGACCAACCTGCATCAGGATGCGGACAAAGGAATCCAGGTCCTCGCGGAAATCCTGGTACTCCTTTGCGCTATTGCCAACGGCCCCACTTCCAACTCCGATGGCGCGGCCGAGCTGGATGGCAAGCTGGCAGACGGCGATGATGTCACCCAGACTGCCGAAAGTGAGAGCGACTTCCATGATGGAGACGATGCACCGTGAACACTTTAGTGACTGAACGATTAAACGGCCGCTGACGTAGACGCAGCAGACGAGGCTGAGGGCGAAATTCCCACAGGTGCCTTTCGGAATAAAAGGTTCTTCCGTCCACACCTAAACACCGCCACTACCGCCACAAAACTCAGCCTCAAATTAAGCCTAAATTATGCTACAGTAATTTCTATTTCCCGAGTAAATTTGGACGAGTGGGGTTAGCCCGGGACAAAAGACTTCTCGGCTCATGCAGAGCCTGCAAGAACTCAGGCCATGGTCGATGCATTCATGGTCTTGCTGCAGGGATATTAGGAAACCAGTCAAGAGGGGGGGGTTACCATTTTGCTAAGAAGTCCCCATCCCCCACCTCCAGTATCAAGCTTGTTTACCCGCCCATCTCGTCTTTTCTAATTTTGCTGGTCGGGCCACCCTCCGCTATCTCTACAGGGAGCTGATATCACCGCAGTATTTCCTGCCATGTCTCTCTACAGACTGCCGCTCTCTTTTCGGGTTCAAAGTTGAACCAATTGAGACAGGCCATCACTCAACAAGCGTTACTTAAATTCCCCGCTCTATGATTTCCCTTTTCTCTCTCTTTTTTCCCCTTCTTTTTCATGCCGTCTGTATGTCTGTTCGCGCAGCTCATCTTGTTTTCCTTGGTCGTTGAACGCATTTGTATTCCTCTACGGCAGTGAAAAACATGGCTCAACCTCCATGCAACATTGGCATCAAGGCCATGGAAATCTACTTTCCCAGTCAGGTACTCCCTCCCGCATGCAGACTATATCTCGCGAGTGTCGCACCCGACTAATGACTTGAAGTTTGTTGAACAATCCGAGCTGGAGAAGTTCGATGGCGTTAGCCCAGGCAAATACACCATCGGACTGGGCCAGTCAAAGATGAGTTTCTGCGATGACCGAGAAGGTGCGCAACATCCAGTCCCCCAATCGACTTTACAATCGTTGACGCCGCATTTCGCTGTGAAGATGTGTACTCTGTTTCTCTCACTGTTACAGCCAATCTCCTCAAGAAATACAACATCGACCCCCACTCCATTGGCCGCCTGGAAGTAGGAACTGAAACCATTCTCGATAAGGCGAAAGCAGTGAAGACTGTTCTTATGCAGTTATTCGAGGATAACACAAACGTCGAAGGCGTCGATAATATTAACGCCTGCTACGGCGGGACGAGTGCCCTGTTTAATGCCGTCAGCTGAGTTGAGTCGTCTGCCTGGGACGGAAGAGACGCTATTGTCGTGGCGGCCGATATCGCGCTTTATGCTAAGGGAACTGCAAGGCCGACTGGAGGCGCTGGGGCAATTGCAATGCTCATCGGCCCTGATGCGCCTGTAATCGTCGAGCCGGGTCTCCGTGGTACACATATGCGGCATGTCTACGACTTCTACAAGCCAGACCTTGCCAGTGAGTATCCTATTGTCGATGGTCACTATTCCGTTGAATGCTATTTGAGGGCATTGGACCACTGCTATACAGCCTATAACAAGTCCCTGTCTTTACAGCAAGTGGAAAATGGCGACGGCATCAAAACCATACCTGTCGAGCGTTTCGACTACATGGCATTTCACGCTCCTACCTGCAAACTGGTCGCCAAATCTTTTGCACGCCTCTACTACAACGACTTTCGCACCAACCCAAGTTATTAAGTGTTCTCCGGGATCCATCAGGAAATTCGCGACCTCAACTACCAAGCATCTCTCACTGACAAGACCGTCGAAAGACATTCATGCTACTGAGCAAACACCGCTTCGACGAGAGTGTGCGGCCTAGCATTGAGGTGCCGACTAACTGCGGCAACATATACAACGCCAGCGTCTATAGCGGTATTGCCGGCGTGCTGGGCCTTATTGATGACAAGCAGCTCAAGAACCAGAGAATCGGCGTCTTCAGCTACGGGTCTGGCCTGGCATCAAGCTTCTATTCGCTGAAGGTCATTGGCAGTGTTGAGCATATCGCAGCCACATTGGATTTGAAGAGGAGGCTTTCCGCCAGACAGGCATCACCACCAGAGGTCTATGATTCCGTGAGGCATTCAGTCCCTGTTCATGTTGAAAGTGCACTGACCAAATGAAGATGTGCGAGCTCCGTGAGAGGGCGCACCTGAAAAAGAATTACATGCCCGAGGGCGATATCTCAACTATTGGTTCCGGTGTATATTACCTTGAGTCTGTTGACGATATGTTTAGGAGAAAGTACAAGGTCAAGGCTTGACTTGAAATAGAAAGCTCGTCTTGAGAATAGCTTTCTCTGATTATGGATTGTTACATCAACCTGTTAGTATTATGCGACGGTTCAAGGGCACGAGCCAGCTCGGGTACGGCTTGGGCAAGATGTGTCAGGACTAGAATACACAAAGAGTGAAGAGGGCGCACGCCCGACTAGGTAGATAGTAGCTCGAAGGTAGTAATTGGGTTGTTACTGAATTGATCTATAGCCTCCATTATGTCAGACGGAGATATTGACCACAATAACACTACCGGCAAGAGGAGTGATCATTCCCTTTCGCCGTAGCGGTATTGCGACATATCATATCCATGGGTATACGGTAGTTATTTATGCTCCCTCACCGGTAAACCAATTGTCGATAGGCCAAGCACTGAGAGGTCGTGAGGAGTCCTATCAAGGCTCAATACAATCCCTTTGACCTTCACCTTGAACCGACATGTCCCTGTTGATTTCTCATGCGAAATTGTCTCCAGCTATCCTCTCCCACTTATCTCGGTCAATTAGCTTTGACTGCTGTAGATCTCGCTTAGATAGAAAGTATTGTATCCTCGTCACTCAATAGGCTTCCATTGAGACCACTGTTTTCGCACACTTGGTTGAGTCTTGAGCCCACTTGATCGTATTCCTGCAGTCTTCCCAGACCCAAGAGGTAGTGTCCATCCCTAGCCTGACTGACTGTTTTGTGCCTAGCTAGCCTCGCCCATGAAGCGGGCCAGAGTCGTCTTGTTTCAACTTCGAGGTGATCGGTCGCGGCGCTTTGGCTGACTGCTTTAAGGCTGGCTGTCTGAAACCTGACGGCTCTGGGTCTGACTACTGGCCCCAACTACCATACTCGCTGGTATAGGCTAGGAGTTGCTTTCTAGCCGTCCACGAAGATTGTTGGCAATCTTTGGGTCTAGGATCCGGCGATATACGCCTTCGCTTACAGGCTCTCCCAAATACCAACGCAGATGGATATCCTACTTAGCTAGAGGCGTTGCGGTGATAAGCTTTCTGTAGATAGTATGATTGCAGGGGATACCGATCTCGGTAGGCACGGTACAGTCGTCGTTACACAATCTTATGAAATCCAGCTACGGATGTTCCGGGGTTAGGATGCCTTTTAATGCCTTGCGGTGCTCCCCAGTAATTCTTTTTAAAAAAACTGCTTTCTGGGACGCTATCTCAGGAAGCTCGCCCAGATACTCTGAGCCGCACCCTATGCTTTGCTTTCGCGCCGTTAACATCTTATCCTAAGCATAAGATTGATGAAACCCCCTCTCTTGGTTCTCTAGTATACCTTAGATTGCCTCTACGACTCGGTATAAATAGCTCATACCATTCAGGAAATAGCTCTTAGCATTATTATCGCTGGCCTCGACACTGGAGGTCACTTAAATACCGAAGTTGCAGTACTTCCGCATAAAGCAGCTGGCATACCGCGCTCTTATATGTATATACGTACTATACCGATACATAAGGATTGCTCTCTCGTCACTGAATTGTATATAGAGGCATCTCCAGGCCTTCTTATAATCCTCTCGGCAAATGCTATTAGCGTCCACAACACAAGCACTCCGTGGTAATCGTGGGTTATAGATCGAGATAAGTTGTCTTGGGTAATTGGCTCCGCTTATCCTCCAGATGCCTGTACTGTCTGTCAATCGCGCTGGTTTAGGGTATCATCGGGTTCGGTCGAACTGCTTTCTTCGCTAGTACCGTTGTCCCTCGTACTACTAGGATACACCTATTTTCGTTTGGTCTGCAATATTCCATTGCAATTGATATGGTGGATGCAAATCTGCTGATGGGCGTCTTGAAACTCAAACCCTAGTGCCTTCTTTATCTGGTCGTCAAAGTTGGTCATGACTACGTCGGGGGGTCCGATGCTGTATCGGTCGAGAAGCGTGCGGTCACCGTTTCAAGGAACTAGAACTCTTCAAGACTCTCATTGTGCGTCGTGGAGTTGAAAGATTGGTTGTTGGACGACGCTCAAAACGCCCCTGACCGCAATGATCATGGCGGGGTTCGACGAGTGCAATTGCGGGATGAGTGCGGAACGTGCTGTGATGGCTGGATCCATCGCGGCTAGTTATGAGAATTACATGATCCACGTAGTGGCCACGAGGCACAGTTACACTGTCATCACTTGGAGTTGACCGTTTTATGAGTCGAGGGCATGGAACACCAATGGCAAAATTTACGACTTCACACTAGCAAGTGGATAAGGAATAATTACTATGATTTGTTCCTGTTCTAAATAAACATTACTCGTATGCTTGTATATGCCGAGATTTGAAGCTAAGTGGTCCATCCGTCATGAGAAAATTTAAGGAAGAGAAGCGGGGGTGTAGGCCTGGTCAGGCTTGACCACCTTGCCACCAGCAAGCTGCTTGTCGGTGTAGGCAGGGTAGATGATGTGCTTTCCGGTGCTGACAACGGACATGGTGGTGAAGCCGTTGCCGGGACCAAACTGACCACTCCAGCCGGAAGTGATCTGGAAGTTGCCGCACTTTGTAGGACCTCCGTTCCTCTGGGAGGCACCGGCGCCGCTGACGACGTACTTGCAAGCGGTGGCAGTGCCGCTGCCGGGGAAGATCTTGAAGTTCCAGGTGCAAGTAGTGTCGGCAGCGTTGCAGACGCGGTTGAGGCTCTGAATGGTCCACTGGTTACCGGCAGCCATCATGGAGACAGCTCCGGCGGCGGGAGCAGCCAAGGCGCCAGTGGCGGACAGGAGAGCGACGAGGGAGGCGGTGAACTTCATGTTGTCGGTTGGGTTGGTTGACTGTGGATGTCAGTGTTTTGTTCAGTTAGGTTGTGTTCAAGTCTTGGTACTGACCTTAAGGTTGAAGAGTTGAATGGGTTGATGTGTTGGAGATTGAGGCTTTGATGAGATGGGAGAGAGAAGTGGTAGTTGATGAGGATGAGAAGATATGTTTGTCGTGTCGAGAGTCTTCTTAAATACTTGCCGTGTAAGGCAGATGACCTTTATTTTTAGATCAATTACTTCATTCACGCACGGGTCGTCGGCTTCCTTCGTCAAGTCCTCCGAGGTTCCATTCCGCTGTCAGCTCGCATTCGCCGTCCCCGTATTCGACAGTGGTCCCAGACTTCAATCTAATGATGCACATACTACTACGTAACTAGGAACGGCGCGATCCCGTGTGGAATGCGCGGGGTTGGCCACTTGAGGGGTTGGCCACTTGATCGTCGCATGATCACGGAGAAGTCAGTCCGAATTATTCTTCCGGTTCGGCGAGGGCGGTCAAGGCCGAAAGCAAAAGACGCTTGCCGTATAGAGTCGACCGTTTAGCTTAACATAGTTTAGCATGGGCTGCTTCCACCTATCATGAGCTCGTTTATTTTTATGTTTCCCCATCGGCATTCCCAAGAAGTCACGCTATGCCTAAGATGGTTAAAATTATTGTCCTCTATACGAGCTGACTGGGCGGACGGAACGTTGCGTCTCGTATTCTTCACGCGAACGAGTCGCCGTCCGACATTTGAGCACGGTCACCTCGTAATCACACGAGCTATCGTCAATCGATATGATCGTATTGTCAATCGACGTCTTTCGTTTGCGTTAGGCTTAAAGGCAGACCCAATTGAGTAATAAATTGTTCGGTTACTCGGCACGCAAATGTCGCCGAACTGCGTCCAGCGAATGACAAGACCGTGTGTCAGCAAGTGTCATGATCACGAGTTGCCTTACGAACCAATAGTTTCTGGATTCTGGTTAGTTGTGGGTAGATTCGGATATCCAGTCAGGAGACAGTGGAAATAGAGCGTCTGATGTGTTGAGAACGCTTGCCCATTGTAGCGTATAGGGTAGGTCTTAAGATTTTAATGCCAAGCTCAACTTGAGCTTGGAATAGACACAATGTGTGATCTGTAGTCTAAAATGAAATTTCGAATACAAAACTCCGTGATTCCATTTTCAAGTACCTCCAAAGACTAAAAGGCTTTGTATATTAACGCTGCCAAACCCACGACTGCGCAATAGTTCCCGGCCACGGTGAAAAGGAAACTCGGCGACAACCATAACGCTGACATGCCGGGTGCTGATACTAGCTTCATCCAAAAGGCGAAGCACCGCACAGAGAGTCTCTCCCGAGGCAAGTACATCGTCCACCACCACCACTGGCGCACCCCTGGGGACCACATCCCGAGCCATCTCGATCCTCTTCTCTCCTGCATTGTTGGATGCCGAAGACGAAATATGCGACGGGGACTTGATGATAGAAACGGTAGGTGGGGGGAGCTTGCTAGCTTCGCGGATTAGCACCAAAGGCACATCGACCCGCGAGGCTAACGCAGACGCAAAGACAAAGCCGCCAGCCTCGCAACACGCTACTACACCGACTTCAGCCCAGTTACCGGCGAAGTGGCTTTGGAGCAGAGATGTGCACAGCGCCAGCCCACCTGGCTGCTGAGAGATATTGAGCACGTGGCGGAACTCGATGCCAGGGCGTGGAAAGTTGGGTACCAGAGGCACCATCTTGGCCAGTTGTTGCAGATCCTGGTGGAGGAGGGGAAGCAGGTGTTGTTCGGCAAACCGTTTTGCAGCCTCACTTCCTGGCTGGTCATTTTCGAATACGAGACTGGGGTGGTAGTCCGAGGCCGTTGAATCCGACCTGCCATTGTTGCTGTTGCCATCACTACCGGGACTCCCTCGGCGAACTCGCCGCGTCTCTTCGCTAGCTTTGACGCGAACCTCAATGAGTCTGCTATCTGGCACCAAATGCGAGAAAGCTGCAACCGGCGCCTCATCCCTCATGCCGGTAACTAGCAGCACATCCACACCCACGGCGCTATTCACCACCTTCAGAAAATGCTCCTCAGGTAGCCGAGGTCGTTGTCGCACCTGGTCCTGGAAAAAGGATGTCAACGCTGGCCGGTGTTTCTCCTTGTAGGCCCGGTCCCCAAGCAGGAGGTTGAGATCGGCCCCGGTAGCCGCTGCGTACTCTCGCTTGGTTGCATCGCTGATACTGACAACACGTGCCGTGAGACTTTTATGAAACCATGTGGCGAACACGGAGACCCAGACATCGGCGCAATAGTCCTTGCCGGCGCCGCATTCGCCCGTGACGAGAACGACGAGTTTCTGTTCTACCGGCGCTGTCGGGATCGGACAGGCGTAAGCCAGCACATTGCGTGGATCCAACCGGCGCTTAAGACGGGCCAGGCGGGGCCGGTTCGGGCCAAAAGCCGAGGCCGCGAGCTCGGCGTCCCGGGGGTCCGGCCCGAGGTCGGCGCCGTAAGCTCCGTTACCCAGGGGCAACAGGTTCTTGACGACGTTGTAAACCCAGCGTACGGCAGACCGAGCGGTTTCGGTTCCATCTTGGTCGCGGGGCCACACACCGGTTACCACACAGGCAAAGTCCCAGTCTCGACAGCCAAAAGCGGTATCAGCGGCCGCCGCATCGCTGACCGCTCCTCCGCCGTGCAGAATATGGAGATAGCAGAGTGATGAGGGACGAGTCTCGACAGCCGCTATCAACTTGTCGGCGACGATCACTGCTCCGATATCTTTCAAGAATACACATCGCTTGAACGAGGAGGTCTTGCCGCTGCCGTGTCCGCCATGCATCTGGGACATGTACATTTCGGTGTCGAATAAACCGACGCCGTCCACAGTCTTGAAACTGTCTTCTGGTCCCAGAAATGCGCTTATGGGCGTAGGAGGGGGCGTCGGCGCTCCAGCAAGTCCAGTTGTGGAAGCTTCGAGCATAGTCACACCGAGATGCAGCTGGCCTCTATCCCAGTATAGATACGCATCTGCAGAACAGTTCCGGGGGAGCTTCCCGGCGACGGATTTCTCAAAATAGCTGAGCTTGAGCCGTGCCTCGACGCCGTCGCTCAGTGGAACAATCCAGTTCCGAACCGAATAGGTTGGGGCTGCCCAGGCCTTGAAAGTGACACTGACCACGATGCCAAAGTTGGTCCCGGCACCTTTTATTGCCCACAATAATTCGGATTCGTTTTCTGGGCGAACAGCATCGAGAGGTTGGTGTTGGCCTGGTACACATCCGACGCATAGGATCTGGCCAGAGTCGACACTGACTACCACGGCACCGACAATGGCGTCGCACGCGAGCCCGTGAAGCCTCGCCAGATGCCCGATGCCGCCTTGTAGCCACAGGCCAGCGCCTACACTTGGGCGGGCGCCTAGGGGAACTGTCAAACCCGCATCCATGGTCTTGTGGACGATATCTCCCGTCTTGCAACCGGCCTCGGCGACGACCAAGGAATTGAGATTGGCCCCAGATCTTCCTCCCGCGTCCTCGGCTGTGAGAATGTGTACTCGATCAAAGGCGCTCATGTCAACCGAGACAACATTAGGCCAGAGACAATGTCCACTATGACCCCCTCCAATAACTGTCAGGCCGACTCCGTGCTTCAAGGCCCATCGGACGCACTGCTGGACCTGTCGAACATCGGTCGGTCTAACAATCGAGGCGGGATGGTGGAAGCAAGCCTCCCGGTTTTTGACCGTCCTATTCACTTCCGCCAATGGGACTTGCGCTGTCAGCTCCGGCAATGCGGTTGCATGTCGAGTAAATGCCGCCATGAAGTCGGGTGCGCTGAACAAGAGATGGTCTGGGTGGGCTTCCTCACGACGGCCAAGGGCACGACAGGCTTCACGCCACCCAGTCCGAACAGCCGTGTCCACGTCCACGTCCTTCATAACAAAACCCGCAACGAAAGGAGAAAAATGATCCAGTGCCTCATCATCGTCTGCCACGCGAATGACCCCTTCAGGGAAAGAAGCTGTTCGATGACACACCAAGCCGTCCAGCTGTAGAGTCCCGTTGCGATGGAAAACCACCACCATGCCGCTTTCTGGCCGCTCAACAAGCATTTCTAGCGCCCGTTCGGTGTATCTGCGCTTGGGTTTCATGCCGTACATGCTGTGGCAGAATAGAATGACGTCGAACTTTTCGTTGCTATCACTCGTAGCGGTGCTGGTGCTTCCGTCTAGAACGAACGGGGCTCGGTGAATGTCAGGCGGGGTCTCCAGACATGGCAACGAGGACTCCATGTCCGAGGTCGAGGAAATCCATTCTTGCAACCTTGTAGCGAACAAGTTGTTTGGCTCGAATGCAGTGTATCTCTTGATCTTGCGCCTCACATCATCAGGTAGATACCCGAGTATGCTCTTCGGACCGGGTCCAATTTCCAGCACCGAAAGCTGGATAGGCGATTGGGAGAGGGGGGCTAGCAGCAGAGCCAGTTGGGGGATAATGAAGTCTTCGTAAATAGACCACCCCGAGCTCTGCACCAAGATGTCGAAGCCAGAGCTGTACTGCGCGTGGGACAGCGGCTGCGTAGTAGACAAGTCTATTGCCGCAGCTTTCTGTCTAAGAGCAGATTTCAAGGCGTCGAGAGTAGCCATGTCAGTTCACGATGAGTTTCCGTCTGCGTACTAGTAGAGACGGTGATGTACCATTGGCTGTGAAATGAGCAGAACTGAACCGCATGCTAACCGGTTGTGCCCGCTATTTAATTGCTTTCAGGCTGGGTGCTACAGAAAGCTCATCCATCGGAGATACCGGCCATAGTCTCTTGACCCGTCACTAGCCAGTCTACGCAGCCTATCCTCCAAATTATGGATCCTCTGTCGGCAAAGAATTCGTTGTTAGGTATTGTTGAGGCTTGGCGTCATGGTTGATCAATTACCATTGGATTAATGTGCATGGATCCACTGCTCGTGACCTGCAGGAGGCCATTGAAACCGCATTGTGTATCTTGATAATGTTGGTACGTAGCCATGCTGCCTATCTCAGGAAGTAAATCGCTTGTGAAACTATCCAATGAACTAGGGCCACGTAAGCCACGAGTTGTATCAAGATGTTGAGGGGTTTCCGTTGGTAATGAAGTGGTTGTGGACGGCCTCCTGCATAGCCTGTTATTCCATACAGACACCATGACCTGGCAATATGGTCAGACGGCCTTTTCAATGTCACCGAGCGAGATGGTGGGTGAGATACGACGCTAGGATGACAGGCAAATTACAATGCCAAAAGTGTCACATATCTATCATTAGATCATGTAGATGGGAACCAGCCCAACACATTCCTACAGGGGAGAACGACGAAGACTTCATCGTCAGATTAAGAAAAAGGCTGTGGATTCATAGGCAGGCCATCTAGGCCATGTATTGTTTGTGAAATATCACAGTAGAATAGACAACCAATCTATGGATAATTGTTCAATGTAAAAAGAGCCCTGAGGCTGAGTGCTCGCCTGCATTGTTGAGAAGCACATGTCTCAACTGGGGAAGATTTGCTCCCAATACTCAACATTTTGCATTTCAAAGCACTTAAAAAGCCAGAAATCCCGCAAATATGCAGTAGAGTATATATGCCTCATCATGCGGTGCTTCCTTTCGGGGCGTACAATGCATGCTCACCGACAGTTATTGGTGCCACGCCGGGCAATAGTTGGCCTCCCGCAGCAGGACAAAGCACTGCAGCACAACCTTTTAATTCGCGCTACACAACTGGCAAGGGTGCGATCAAAAGGGAAAAGATTACCGAAAAAGTACGATACTGGTGAGTCACAGTAGAATAAGATGCTATCATAGAGGGTGGAAATTACTAGAGATATTTGACAAAGATGATAAGGACATAACAGCGGAGCTAGATGGTTCGCAGAATCCTCAATACACCCATCAAGATACCACGGCGAAAAGGCAAATTACTCGATTGTTTCCGACTGCTCTGATGCGCACCCATCTTAGGACAGCACGGGTTTCATTATCGGCCTCTGCGACATAAATACAGCAGAGAAACCGGGGAGTGAACCTTGCGTTCCATCCGCCTTTTGGACATTGCGCCCGAACCATTCCAGGTGACTTGTACAACCAACTCGAGCCACCTCTCGTCTCACTTTTGGTTTGCTTTCTCTTTCTGTTTCCTTGCGTTGTGCATCCTCCTCGTTTGAAGTGACTTGGTGCTTTCTCTTCGGCCGCGCAAAATGCCCAAGTCCAAAAACGGCGTCAGTAAGAGGGCGTACGACAATACCAGCACCTCTTCCCCGACTGGCGATGATTCATCGTGGAAAAAGCGCAAGAGTTGCGCGAACTCTCTGGGCAAGGCAGCCGAAGATGTCAGCTACGAAACGCGCATCAAGAAGGCTGGGACACCTGGGAATGGCGTCATGACGAGGTCGCCTGGCCCGTTAATTGACGTTAATGGCATTGGTCGACCTGGTATGTTTCCGTTGTCTCTCTCGCACAGAAAACGCAGGTTTCTTGCAGATTTCTTACTAACACCCAACTCCCAGACGCCGAAACCAGAGACTGTCAAGAAGAGAATGAAGAACAGGATGACGAGCGCCTGGAAAAGATGCGAGGTGCTGTACGAACTCTGCTAGAGTGTATCGGTGAGGATGTCGATCGTGAGGGACTGTTGGACACACCTTCAAGATATGCCAAGGCGCTGCTGTCTCTGACCAAAGGCTACCAAGTCAATTTGGAGGACACAATCAACAACGCACTCTTCAACGAGGGCCACAATGAGATAGTTATTGTCAAAGATATTGACATTTGGAGTCTCTGCGAGCATCACCTTGTACCCTTTTCTGGAAAGGCAAGTCTTTCCTCTTCTTCACATGCCTAGTATGCACCAGATTTGGGGAATGCTGGCTAACTTTGTACTTCCAGATGCACATTGGATACATCCCACACAACACCGTCATCGGCCTCTCTAAACTCCCTCGCATCGCCGAGATGTTCTCCCGTCGCCTGCAAATTCAGGAGCGGCTCACCAAGGAGGTTGCCCGCACTGTTATGGATATACTGAAGCCTCAGGGCGTTTTTGTCGTCATGGAGGCCAGCCACTTGTGCATGGTCATTCGCGGCGTTCAAAAGACTAATGCGAAAACCATAACAAGTTGCGCGCTGGGATGCTTCGAGCGCGAGAGCACGATGCGAAATGAGTTTCTGAATCTTGTGGGTGCGAACCGATAGAAGGGAGACATGTTAGTGCACGCAATACAAGTATGACCTTGAGATTCTATTCGGCTATCTTGAGAAATTTCCACAATTCGTCACTGAGTAGGATGGACGGAAGGCAACAATCTTGTCGAATGAAGCAGGGGCAGGGATGTGACGAGCACAACACTAGGGAATGTTGACATTGCAATTTAAAACCGCACCACCGTGGGTCCTTGTAATGAAAGAAATCCAGATACAAGTCAGTGGGAGGGTGTCAATGCGAATGCGTCTCCACCGCACACCGACTTTAGTTCTGCTATTCCGCCTCACATAGCTAGCCCTTCAAGATCATCCTGGACGTGATACAGCACTCCAACCATGTGTAGAGCGCTCCAGGTAAAGTAAAGCTAGTTACCGATGCAAAAGAAATGACCTTTATGCTTGCGCCTCGCCATGATCACGGTGATGCGGGGAATTTCAACAATATCCCAGCAGATTTGCGACTTACATTAACTGGTGCGGCTCCGCATCAAGACATTCTGGCTATTGCTAAATGCTATTACAGACGGCTCAAGAGAATCTTCTGTCAAAAGCCATGGGTGATTGGCTCATTATAATTCTACATGTCTACGCTCTACGTGCACGGTGCTTAAAATGTTTCCTCCGGCGCTTTCGAGTTAATATTACTCCCAAGTGCTCATTTCATTGTCCTAATGCACTTTCCGCTCTAACATACCCAACGGTCTAGCCGTTCCGGTACCCAGCCGCTGGTGTGCTTCAATGAAGTCTTTCTTTGCCACATGGCGGGAGCATAGCCTTGGCCCATGACCAGCCCATCATCTAGTTTGCACAAGTCCTCAACAAATGTCCACTGCATACACTCGTCCCAGCCTTTGCAAGCGGCCTCGCACGCTTCGGCGGACTGCCAGGACTTCTTCCAGAGGTCCAAGTCGAAGTTACCACTAGGAGATGGCCCATCCTCCTTGAACGAGTTCATCTCATATTTGGCAGCTGTGTTGTCCCACCACTCAACAGGCTTCTGGATACTTGGAAGAACCATGCTATTGAAGAAGTCTCTGTGGAGAAGAGTCTCCTTAAGTTGAGATTAGTATATGTTGCCAGCAAGAGGGAAGTGTAACTCACATTCGAGTCCCAGTTCTTCTCAAATTCGTAGAATTGAGCAACATCTCGGTTATGGACCTTGTGCCATGACATCAAGGGCCGACACCAGTTGGACGTATCGAACCGGAAAGTCCAGTGATTGAGCGGGTTGAATCCCCAGGTAAACTTCTTGTCGCCACCATTCTCACCGAACTCAATGTCATATTGCTTCAAAACGTGAGCAAGAACTTGATCTCCACAGCAATGCGATACTGCATAGTCGTGGTATTCGTTGATGATGTTGGGATTGCGACCAAAAGATTTCTCCCATGCACCACGGGATAGAGCAAAGCCAGCGCCACCATGAGCAAAAACAGCATCCGATTTGGCAGCATAGCTACCCAGGTAATGAGGCTCACGCCAGTCGAAGGAAGAGAGGTGCTTCAAGACACTGGGCAGGAAGAGATAGGTGTCGTCCTCCATGTAAATATACCACTTTGCATCCGGCCAATTGAGACCTGCATGCTGGAAGATGGGCAAAAACTTATATTTGTCAAGAATCCAGCCGCCCGACGGGCCATCTTCGTCTCCCTCAACACCGGCGGCCTCAAAGTACTTGTTGTTCTCACGATATTTGGGTATCTGTCGATATGTCTCAAACTCCGGGGCAGATTTTGCCTCATCCGTCAAATTGGCGAGTACATCGATGATAGAAAAGCTCCCAAGAATGTCCGAGGAATCGGAGTAGATGACTGTGTTTTTCTGGGCAATTCTTTCGCTGGCTAGAGAAGTGGGAATATGGGAGAGCATGCGCTTCCACATGGTTGTGCTGCCCGTCTTGAGGATGAGGAGCACATCCTCAGTGCGAATCGCACCGCCACGGTCCGGCAGTGCCTCTGCTTGTTGTGTGGTTTCCGGGCTGTGAGATGGAGCGGTGTTGTTGGACTTGTGCCCTGTGAACTTGGCAAGCTGGGCCTTGGGGGTTTCCAAAGAAGGATTGATGAGTAGGAAGAACAATACAGCGCAGATAGTAGTGATGGCTATCGGAATGAACCGATTATTTTTGTATGTGACAAACATATTTCTTCATAGAGGGCTGACTTTCCGGAGCAGTCCAGTTCAATCAGGAAACAGGTTGGAATATGAAGACCCTGCATCCACAGCGATTAAGACGTGGCCAGTTCGAAGCATTGACCCCTAGTCGACGTAGTCTCATTCGAATTATAGTTTGAAGCGCCCCATCTCAGTGCTGAAAACGTATCGTAATTAGTTAATTATGGATCCATGGGCACAGGCCAAAGGAATGGATGATTCCTATCTAACCCTTACTCAATCAGGGGGCTGACGGGTGGATATAGTGGATATTCTTCTTCATGAAACTCAAAGAGCTCAGGGGTCGGATGGAATGCCAAGTAGAATGTTCAGTGAAACTTTGCGTGTGCCGTGACGTTATCTCCCTCCCTGGACCACCTTGCTGCCAAGGGTCCCGCCATCGTGATCAAACCACTTCGTCACACTTGGCGGATTTCTCAATCGGCTAGGGAAGAGGGAAGAGGAGTTTTGAATCCTTTCGGGGAATCCCGAGACCAGCCTTTTAACTTTCGTGAAAGTGGGTGGTTCCACATAATGTCATTGCATTGCAAGTCGTTGTACGACGTGCCTTGGCGGGTAAAATGCCGATCCAAAAATACGCTGGGCTAATGTAGCCGTGAGATCCCGAAACGGAAGAGTGGAGAGGAAATTCGTTACGTGGACGAAAAGGGGACCCAGAATATATCCCGAAGCCACCGACAGATCTGTGTAGTTCCGCTTCCCATTCCCTCATTTACAACTTGTTCTGAAGCCAACCGTTAGTTCTGTGCAACTTCTCTTCCCATCCATTCATTTACAACTTCTCTTAATCTATCCAACACTCCGCACAGTCTCTACCCTTTACCAGCACCAGGATGGGTGCATTGCTTTCACACAGAGTTGTCCCAACAGTTGTAACTGGGTGGGACGTATCTCTACTACGGAAAATATTCAACGTCATAGTCGGCCTCATTTCGGTACCGGCATTCTGGGTACTGACGATACGATGCGCGTGGCCGATTACGCTTGACATGATTGTTGTCATAGCCCTCACCGAGTTGAATCGCTTCTTCAACGAGGGCCGACGAATCACCTTTTGCGAACAAGGTCTATCGCCCAACAACGATGCGGAATCTAAAAATTTGGACTTGGAACTCGAGCCACCGAAGTCAAGGTTGGATTGTATGGCTGCTGTCGTTGGCTGGCGAGAGGATCCCGCACTCTTCACTCGAGCGCTACAGAGCTATAAATCCGCAATAGGTTGCGACTTCTTGTTGGTTGGCATAGATGGTGATGAAGCTGATGATCAGGATATGGTCGATGTTTTCAACTCGGTAAGTTGTTTCGTTCTTAGTTACTCTTGTTCCGATCGAATGAGACTCCGGGTCTAACCAAAAAATAGGTTTACCCTGCCAATTCAAAGGTTATACACATCGCCGAGCCTTTGGGCGAAATTGCCGAGCAAGTGGTGTTGCAAGAGATCTCGAAATGTCAACAAGCTGGCCGCGAAGTGAACAAAGAAAAATGCCACGAAATTGCCCTGCGCCATTGCATCGACCTAGCTGTGAAGGTTTTGGAGGAGGAAGACATCACCTTTTCGGGCAAACGTCAAATCAAGCAGCTGTGTCTTCGGCAAAAACATCTACATAAGAAGGGCATCATGTTCACCACCTTTATCTTTTCCATCGTCATCGCCGACATACTCGGAGTCGAGTTCCTGTGGTCGTCTGATTCCGACACTTTGGTCCTCCCACAATCGATCGAGCGGAGCGTCAACTGCGTTGCTGCTGATCCCAAGATCGGCGGCGCCAGCACCGGTCTCATCATTCATAACCAAGAGGAAACTGCCATAACCAGGCTCTCTTCGACTGTCTACTGGAGCGAACTATACCTGACAAGATCATCAACTGCCGTCACCGCGACTAGTGATTGCCAAAGCGGGCCCAGCACACTTTTCAGAGTATCGGCTTTGCCATGCATCCTTGTTCCGTGGTATGGGCAGTCAATCCTTGGGAAGAGAATGGTATGTGTACATTCAAGTGTTGTTGGGATCTACCAAACTAACCTGACCTACGTAGATCATCAACGAAGACCGCCATCTCACAACCAACCTTCTTGCTCGAGGGTGGGGAGTGGTTTTCAGCTCCGATGTCCTGACAGCTACAGATACGCCAACAACCTTAAGCAGATGGCTGAAGCAGCAAGTCCGCTGGGGCCGAGCAACTCACGTCGAAGCCATTTTCCACCCGCAGGTTTACGTCAAGCACAACCCTCTTCTCTTCTTCAGCATGGCGAAACGAGAAGTTTGGCCTCTCATCATTGCCACGGCCGTTGCCTGCTACATCTTTACAGACAAGCAAGTCATTCACTTCTCCTTCGGCGATATGGTTTTGCGTAACTTTGTTGGCGTGGGTTACAACATGCTGCGCAACCCTCAACGACTTTCTCTGGCATCATATTTCTGGGTTATTCCAGGAATGTTCTTCTATCACTTTCCCCTACCCGCAGTTCATTTCTGGAGCTTGGTTACACTGACTGCTGACGGCTGGGGCACGAGCATGCGTTCGAGCGGCGAGCGAGCACGAAGAGAGGGTGTCCGCCAAGCTTGGTGGGAGACTGGTTTCTTTACGGTATGGATGGCTCTCGCCGGGGCAGCGTTTTCAAAGTGGATTGCGATAAATTTGAGCATCCAGGAGGAGTATATGGTCATCGCAATGTGCTCCGGTGCATTATTGGCGTCCTTTACAACCTGGAAAGCGACAATCAGTGGGGCTTAATTACAACAGAAAGAGAAGCTGACGTCTCCCAGCGTCTTTGTTGCAGCTTAGGTGAGTTTCAATTATTAATTATTAATCTCTCTACTATTGAATTGGGGTTGGATTATTTTCAGGCCTAGCAACTCTCCGCTTTAATTACCCTTCCGCCTGAACCCGTCCTATATTGTAAGCCATATTGGACCCTGCATATGGAACACTTCCTTTCCCTTGCACGCACATTAGCTGATCTGGGGAACTGACTGACGAGTATTACCGGTAGTTGGTTATTCCGACTCGGGTATCCTTGTGCATTAATTTCGATAAAACAGCTAAAAAACTTAAATACCGGGCAATTTCACACTGGACCCACCGCAGTGGTTGTTAGCATGGGCCACGCATAATTGAAGTTTGAGATGCCTTTTACGACTGGGGCAGTGCTTGTAGGATTCTCTAATCCTTGACAGCTCATTACGAGAATGGTAAAGTCCCAAGGCTAGACACTTGCTGGTTCGAATTTGAGTTTCTTAGTATTGGGGTCGTGCTCATCGTGTCTCATGAGGTTCATGGGTTATTTCAGTCGTACGGTGGCTATTCCCTGACAATGGTGCTACGTATAATGAGAAGAAAGGATTTGGTTGGTGGGATAATAAGAAATTGTGTAACATACCACTTGTTCCAGAAGTACGTAGCTGAATCAATCTAGCACCAACTCAGCCAAGTCTGGAGCGCTACGATCGAGCTACTTTAGGGCGCGAGATCTTCAATTCTCTGCGCCCATGGCCTACCAGAATGAATGGCGCCCAAAGAAAGGATGAGAATAATCTGACTGCTCACCGCCACCTTCGTCTGTAATGACATCATGCAGACTGTTCAAGATCTTGTTCAAGTGGCAGGGGCTGACACGGGCTGGATCTAGCGCTATACATGCAGCTCTGTAGTCTCCCGGAACTGCCTTGGCGGTAGGGGTATCCGTGTGGCACAGTCTGATCTGCGCCCTTCGTAAACAGTCGCGAGAGAAGTCTCACTGGCCGAGGCTTGAGTACTCGTAGTAGTAGGAGCCACGACCTCAGTGAGCTCTTGGAAGAGGAACGACATGAGCATGGCCAATGCCTTGTCTGAGATCTCCCACAGGACACCAAGAAAGGCCCCTCGTCTAACGAGAGGACCGAGCGTGCAAAGCCCAGCATGTCGTTTCCCAAGGAGCCCTTGCCAACGCTGTTAACACGGGCCTGGAAGGCGACTAGCACGGCTTGGCTGCGCAGATATACCAGGTCCAGCATCCTCAGTAGCTCCCGCAGCTGGATACTGAACGCGCGGGCCGAAGCGCCGCTTTGTAAGCTACGAGTGCCAATAACGATGATGTCTGATGTCTCGTACCCCCGTCTAAACGTCTCGGGGCTGGCCTTGTGTGCCGCCCGGCAGCTGAGCCGAAACGCAATCTCGATGGCCGCGGCGCCCGATGTTGAGCGCGGAACGCGCGGGTTGTTTTTGACCAGGGTTTTGTAGACGACGGCCGCGCGTATCGCCGCGTGATCCTTTGTACTTTTGTTTGCCACTTATACCTAATGCCCGAAGACAGAGAGGCTCGGCACTGCGGACACGTCTTTCCGGAGGACAAGAGGCTGGCCGTTAAGGAGGAGTGCCGAGAAGGGAAATATGTTCAATGACTGCATGGGACGACGATCAAGTCCGACTTGTCGTCAATGAGCTGACGCGCCGGGCTAATGATTTCGTCCGACAGCTCTTCCCGCAGACCTTGGTACTCCGTCTTGGAAGGCAAATTGTAAATATCGACATTCTTGAAGAGCTTCAGGTATTGCAAGTCGGGCCGCTCCATCCGCTGGTCGGTGAAGTAGCTAGGCCGTCCTAGTTCGATTCCCTTGCGGCTTATACATAGCATCAAGACCCCATCTCACGAAGGATTCATATGTATGACGATAGAATCGTCGGTGATTGACTCGTACCAGCTTCTCGTATCGACAGCGAAATGTGGTCGGTGCAGTCAGGCGAAGATCATAGCTCGACTCGGCGACTCAATTCCTTCTCGCATGTCGCTGCGTAACTTGGCCAAATAGCCGGCGAGGCGCCGTCTCCATAGCCACCACCTACAACAGTGGTATTGCCAATCCGCATTCAAGCTTCTCCGTCCGTAGTCGATGCGACCAGTCAAGGAAGTCTTCAGACATGTCCTCTGGGGCCAACAGGTCGAGGAGTGCTCGAGCCCGGCCCTGTTCAAGGAACAACAGCAGTGCTTCATCTTCCCAGGTCGGGTCGTGGAAGGCCTAGTGTTCTGTCAGTCGGCCAAGCCCCTTGGTATCTTGGGACACAGGAAAGCGCAGCGATAATCTGGCCAGACCAACAGAGCTCTGCCGAGTGAATGATGTTCAGGAGCTCCGAGCGACCGACCACGTCTGTCAGCCGAGACCTGTTGGTCTCTACCATGTCAAGTGCTTTAATAAACCAGCTGAAAGAAGGCTCGAGGTGATCGCTATGCTCCTCAATGGCTGCGATGTAGACCGTGGTGATCCGGCTTGAGTCGCTCCTGTGAGTGTACAGCTTGTCCAGCAATTCTGAGTAGTGTTCCCTGATGTCACTCAGGACCTTCGCGCCCAGCTCCCAATCTTGGGCGATAAAGCGAAGCAACAGAGATATCTCGCCATACTGGCGGAGTAAGTTCTAGTTTGCGGCCTCGAGATTTAGCCTCCCGGCTACAATGGTCTTATGGAAGTTGTCGCAAGCCGTGGACATCCGGCCGCCATCGCTGAATCTCGTCATGCCTCCCCAGGTACTCCTGACCCTTCTGCCAGTCGTTGTACACAACAAGACTTTCTTCCGGTCGGCTACGGCCTTGTTAAACTCTTAGTGAATGTTTGGAATGTCAGCCATGGAGCTTCCGACGAACTGCTTGAGTAAACTAGCCATGCTCAGTGCCTTGTTTGACCCATCAGCTTCAGGCTGCGCTTCCGCAGATTCGACAATGTTGGCTCCGGTGGTGGCGCCAATCCGGCCATAGGATAGCTCCAGTGACGTTGGAATTGTTCAGGTTCGTTATATTATCTATCGTGCTGTTGAACAGGCCAGTAACCCATGGAGCCATCCTCTTCGGGTAGTAGTATGTGCCGTAGAGCTGCCCACCCATTGGCCGGGGGGTTATTAACGTAGATTGATGTAGCTGCGCTGTCGAACTAAATTATCCTGTTGGTTCTGACCACCTTTAGGGTACGGCGGTCCTCCACGCCCGGGATTGTCTGGATCAAGGGGTCGATCTGATTGTCGATGGCATCTACCAGTACTCTCTCCACAGCGTCAAGTTCATGACTCCGTGAGAATGGTGCAACTTGGCTAGCTGGATCGTGGGGTGGAGTTCGAGGATGCGCTCCACTGCTCCTCCCAACTCCCAGGAAGCGCAGATCGCTAAGCCGGGCGACACTCATGTTAGCGTTGTCCTTAGTCCATTTTCATATGTTTGCAGCGTCTAAAACAGTATCATATGCCTCTCATGCAGGATGCTGGAGCGTACTGGGAGAGCAAGAAGCAAGAATCTTTGGAATGATCGTATGGCAGACATAAGTCTCTGCATACCGCCACCCCCCTGGTACAGATTGAATATATAGTCGAGCTTAGACTCTGCTTACCTACACCAGATATTGATCTCCAGTAGAAATATACTTAAATTAAACCTAATTTATATAGTATTTAAATACTCTATTAATATAGATAATTTTTTTAAAAAAAAAGCAAAAAGCAGTTATCTTTTAAAATCAGTTAGCAGCTAGTTATTCTAACTAGATCTCTATTATTTATATATTTTAATATAGTTATTTACGCTCTTAAATATCCTTCTTGGATCTATCTGCCAAAAAGTATTACGTATTAAGCTATTGTAAGTGTTGGAATATCGCTTTGAGACCTAGGCGCTCGGGAGGTGGAAAATAAATGCTTGACTCAAAGAGAAGCTCGAATTTGTTTTTGTGTATGCTGGGTGATGTGGAAATGTATACGGTCTGAGTTTCGAAGAGCACTCCGCAAACGTGCTGATCAAGTCTCTTTCCAATATATCAAGTTCGCCTAAGCTCGACCAAGCGGCGGTCCTGTCTCTGATGAACTGTCGTCGCCGTTCAGAAGCTCCAGTCTCCGCATCGCTCACCCTGCGCCAGTCGCCGTGGGTGCCGTCGTAGAAGTTCGTAATGGAAAGCTCTCGATGGTGAACAACAAGGACTCGTATGTTTCACATCGCGAGATCAACCGTGCGTCTCCTGTCGATTGGACCATGAATAAACCAATTATGAAGCGGGTCTCAGATTATTCAGACTTCCCCTCGGCCGCGGTGATTATACCCTGAAGAAAAGGTAATTTAATGTACCCCTCCGTGGATAAGGTAGGGTCGAAGGTACCCATTCGCTCCTCGACATCTTGAACATCCAATTTATAATCGTCAAATAGAATTGAACCACCGAGGACGTTTGAGACCTCCTACGGACACCGAGAAAGATCCCCGTGCCTGACGAGAGGACCGAGTGTGCAAAGCGCAGCATGTCGGTTTCCAGGGCACGGCTTGGCTGCGCAGATATACCAGGTCCGGCACCCTCAGTGGCTCCGGCAGCTGGATATTGGACTCGCAGCCCGAAACGCCGCTTTGTAAGCTATGAGTGTGTCACATTATTAGGTATCGGGATATCGGATTTCTACTGTATTGAAGGTTTCTTCTTTCATCATAGGCGTCCATCACCACCGGCCTCGTCATCGGCCTCGTCACCGGTCTCGTCATAAGACCTAGCTTTTCCTTGATTTTTCCTATAGCTAGCTGAAGCCAAAGACTCCGGACCATCCGGAGCCTCTCGGCCGTCCGAGGTCATCCGAGGTCATCTTCATCTATAAGACTGACCTAGCAGACCTCAATTAGATAGAAAGAATAGCAAGAGCTTCTCACACACATGATCTTATCCATCTGCTAGATGCAACAGAGTGCCAATCACGACGATGTCTGACGTCTCGCACCCCTGTCTAAACGTCTAGGGGCTGACTTTGTGTGCCCTACGGCCGGCAGCCAAGCCGAAACGGCATAACCCATGCCACACTATTAGTAAAAGTCTGTCTGTCGGACCCCAAGTTGCTCCGCTTTCCCGATTTGCTGTCATAACAATCTGTGATAGCAGCTGTTGACTTACAAATTACATGCAAATCGGGCAGCGGGTTAACTAGAAGTCTGGCGGACAGATCCCCACCAATATGGGTTACGATAAGTAACACCGGAGCTTTTATGTAAAAATGTTTATGAATTATCAAGCTTTAAAATAATGTGTTTAGAGTGTTTTCATATATAGATAAGACTCGATTAAATTATTAGTCCGTTATATGTATTTATATAGTTCTGTGATATAAGATCTGTTGAACACAAAATTGCCTTGATACTTATAGCTATCTCCACAGCTACGCACTTTAACATTCTATCTACTACGGCATCATCGAGGCTATCACCCAGCATCTACTCCTCTTAACAAGAATAGCTCCATTCAAGAATATTCTCCTTATTGGCGTACGTCCTATCACTCCCTAAACTACTCCTATTTCGATGTGGGCTGGGCTCCGGCTCTATCCTTCGAATATTATACTTAGTAATATTTCCAGGCTGGCGGAACCCTAGGCATGCCTATCCTCCAAGCATTTCTAAACTCTTCGTCGTACAAAGTCAGCATCCTAGCCCGCAAAGAGTCTACTTCTATATTTCCAGAAGGCATACCGGTCTTCAAAGCAGACTATACCAACCAATCTGAGATCCAGCTTGCTATGGAGGGCCAGGATGTAGTGATCTGTACGATTGGGGCCAATGCAGCGGGCGACCAAAATATCTTTATTGACGCAGCTATAGCTGCTGGTGTCCAGAGGTTCTTCCCTAGCGAGTTTGGGCCATATCCACGGGATGCCAAGTTTGCTGCAATACTCTATGGCATTCTGCCCCATAAGGCGGCTACTGTTGACTACCTTTGAATAAAAGAGTCTTAGCTATCTTGAATAAGTGTTATTACTGGTATATTCTTTGACTGGACTTTAAAAATTAGATTTTTCGGCTTTAACTTTACTAATAAGACTGCAAGTCTTATTAATAACAGTACTGCAGTTATTACAGCCTGCACGCTATTATATATTACCAAAGCTGTAATTACAGCCCTCGACTATACTAAAGAAACAAAGAACCAATATATTTTTATTAGGGAATATTATATCAGTTAGAAAGATATTCTGGGAATACTTGAGGAAGTTCAAGGGCAGAAGTGGACCGTCAAGCATCTGAAATCTGAGTCAGTCATTACTAATAGTCAGAAGATGCTTGCAGAAGGTGACTTTAGAGGTGTTTTAGATTTGACTCGGGGTGGTATTTTTAGCAAACAGGAGCTAGGTGATAATAGGCGTTGGGGGCTTTGGGATGATAACTTAGAGTTGGAGAAGCAGGGTATCGAGCAGGCCGTGAGAGATATACTCTAGAAGGATCTACCTGAGCCATATCTATCTCGCTTATGCTGCCATTCATCGCCTTTAGCCCCAAGCACCTCACGTCTTCAGGAAACCTACACTCGTCAACGCCACATTCACCGTCGTCAGAAGCTAACAGGCGGGACATGATGAGACACCTTCCCGTGCGTGGCATATGTTCCAGCGTAACATGTTGTCCCATCAGGATATGGGATTTCAACCGCTATTGCGGGGATAAAGCTTTTCCTTCATCATTGGTGTCCATCGCCACCTGCCTTGGCAGCCTTGTCACCGGCCTCCCCGCCAGCCTAGCTTTTCCTTCAATCGGGTCAATAGTTAGATAAATCCAAAGACCCCGAGGCATCCGGAGCGTCTCGGCTGTCCGCGGCCATCTTGAGGTCATCGTCATTCTCTTCGTCTATAAGACTAACCCAAAAGACCTCATTAGACAGGAAGAATATCAAGATCGTCTCACACACATGATCAATTCCATCTGCTAGATGCAACACATGTCGGCAAGCAATTTTTGGAGCCAATCCAATGAGAAATGCCTGAATAAGTACGGGTCTTTGACGAAGAATCCCTTCCTTGCCCTGTTCGTTCCCAGCAATCACGACTGCAACAGCCCCAACCCTCCAAGCACAACAAAGACCGCTCCCCTTATCCCACCTTCGAGGCCCTTGGGCCGCAACCCCACGTATCTGTCACAAACAACAAAAGTTCACGCCGCCCAGCATAGGCCTAGGCATAAAATACAATACCCAAGCAAAGAAGTTGTACCGTGAGAGAACACAGGTGTAGCTTTTGTTTAGTTGTTGATCGAGGAGGTAAGGTGGTTCCGAACAGTGTTTCCATAATGCGGGTGCTTGCTGATAAGGTGCTGGATAGAGCAGCATCGTTCAGCCCTTCATGCTGTAGTGTTTCGATTACCTGAGCCAGCCCGACGAGGAGGTCGAACGGGATGGTGTTCATGCACACTGTTGAGATATTTTCGGATGGTGAGCTTTGTTCACCAGCTGTAAGCACTGTGAATCTATTGCCATGGGCTTGGTCGAACCCTTCGTTGAGACGGCTTTGTGCACTTGATACTCCAATGTGGAAATTCTCAAGCCGTTTGTCGAGCTGGATCTGCGCGGTTGCTGCTGTTTTCTGGACTTGCTAAATGTGCTGGTAAGGTGATTTTGTAAAGTTGTTACCCCTACTTCAGCTCGGTCAAGTCGACTATAAAGACTTTGTCGGCGATAGTTGATTGCTTGTGGTTTCATCTCCGGTTGTATATTTAATGGCAGTTGGGTTTGTTGGGTCAGCTAAGCCGACGAGGCTTCTTGTTACTGTAGAAGAAGGCATCGTTGCTCCTTGGTGGGAAAGGTAATATGTAAGAGAGGGAACGAGTCAGAGCTCGGCTTCTTGGGCCAACTACAACTTATATATTTATATAGGTTTAACCTTTTCAAGCTGAAAAGCTGTATATTTGCTTATTAAGGAAGTAGTGGGTAGAAAATGCTTGAATCATGGATAAAGCTGTATTTTTTGGATCTTGGGCCGGCAACTTGCCCACCGTAAGGGAGCAGACAGAAGTTAGATTAGATCGTATGGGCAGCACAAGTCTCTCCATACCACCACCCCCCTGGTACAGGTCGAATGCATAGTCTAGCTCAGACTCTGCTCATCCACGCCAGGTGTCAATCTCTGGGAGAGGTGTAATCAAATCGAGTCCAGGGAATACAGCATTCAGATACTCTGCTAATGCGACGCAGCCTCGACGAAGATGGACTACAGCCGTGCCACGGATTGAACCGGCCGCGCCAAAGAGCTTAAAAGCTTGTTGATAGAACTGATCTGCCTCAGAATCGGACATTAATAGATATCCAGTCTCAAGGCTGCCATGCCAATCCGTCAGCCCGCTCGATATGCCATTCATTCGAGCCATATTTAGCACGACGGGGCTGGTGAACAGGAGCAACAGGCGGTTATCTCCCCGAATCAGTTGGCAGCTGGCTGCCCTAACCAAGTCTCTGTCATTCAAGCATTCTTGATACAGTCGTTCAAGCCCTTGGATGCCTTCCTCGGATCCGCCTGCCAAAACCTATTGCCCATTGAGCCGTGGCAAGTGTCAGGATGTCGCTTTGAGACCTCGGCGCTCTTGGACATGGGAGGTGGGAAAGGATTGGTAAAAGACATGGCTTGGAACGCAGATAAAATTCACTTTTGTTTGATTGTATGTTTATAATATAAATTATTGATAGTAGTAAATTAAACTTGTGCTTAATCAAGCAAGTTGGACTAGTAGCTTCCGTGTTTTTCGCCTTCTGATGGGGCGAATAGAAGAACCTATGTACAGTATATTGTCCAAGTCGTACTCTAAATGTAAATATAGCACAGCGGGCTATCCCCCAAAGTATTGAAGAGGTCGCTGATGGGACGATCCATGGCTAGAACACCGCCCATGTTGAGGATGTCCGACTTGAGGGCATCACGGCTTGCAGGCGAGTTGTTAATGGTGATGGTCCCCGCAATGGTGTTGGCCTTGCTGAGGTGAAGAGCCTGCCAGATCCAGTACACGCGGTCTACCATGGCGTGATGAAGGAAGAAGGTGGGCTCATTGGGTGAAGAGAAGACGTCACTGGCCTCGCCACCAATACCAGTGTGACCCGAAGTATGGAGACCGAGGAAAGCATCACCAAAGCGGCCCTGAAACTCCGTCTGGAATGAGCCAATACTGTTACTCGCCTGGCCAATGGTGATGTTGACGAGGTTCTGCAGCGTAAAGAATTTGGTGAAGACGATGGGAGAGAGGTCGCGACTCAAACAGCGCGGGTTGTATCCCAGCCTGCCATCGGGGCTGGGGTTAGCAGCCAACCCACGCATAGCAGGGCTCACAGGACCGATGTGCAGTTCCATGCTTTGAAGGCGTCAGTATGAATGTACTTGTGTATGAACTTTGGAAGTGACAACGTACTCCTTAAAAGGCCCAGACTTTACACAACCTCCACCCTTGCCTGACGGGACAAAGAGATTGCCCTGAGAGGCAAGGGTACCGTTGTGCTCCATGTACGCTCCGTCACTGCCCATGCTCGTGTCGCTACCATCGAACAGCGGGTTATTGTATGGGTCATCGGGCTTGTAGAACCAGTTCCAGTACTGGAGGCGAGGGTCAGCCTCAATGAAGGGGGAATAGGGCATGTCAGAAAGGCTCTGCACTTACCGGTTGGTACCCAGTGTAACCACATTCATCTCGAAGAGCAGTCTCATAAGCCCACGTGAAGTATCGGTGCCACGTCAGAAAATTGCCCTTGGGGAGAATGTTAGGCCACTCTTCTCGATATTGACCCCCCGAAAGGACTGCTTACCGTGCCATGGATAGTCAACGTCTGGTTAATGTGAACGGCTACAAAATCGTCGTATCGGTTACGAGCACCGGGAGCAAAGGCCGGGTCAATCTTGGAGGGCTTTGCGAGGAGGCATTGAACAGCGCTGATGTACGCCTTGCGCTCCTTTGCGCTGAGATAGGTCCTGCAAGGGGAGGGTATAAGCTAAGGATCTGGCCATGCGGCCGTGTGGTTTTCAACATACCAGTCCTTTCGGACGCCGGCCGTAAACAGATTACAACTGCGCTTGGCCGTCTCAGTTGTGTTGAGGTTCTGAATAGCCTGCTCGTTAAGCTGGTTGATGAAGTCATCAGAGGCTTCCGCATCTGTACTGGCCGACACAGTGTTGGCCAAGAGGCCAATGGCGGCGGTGACAACAGTTCCGAAACGCATGGTGTGTGATGGTGTACTAGGCTGCAGGAATGCCACGTGGAAGGACTTAGCGATGGATGGTAAGAAGGGAAATAGAAGGAGCAAAGTCCTGTTGATATAAAGAACTAGACCACGAGCACCCTGGGCAGTTCGCATGGGGGCCTGCACTGAATAATTACAGCACGTGGCGAAGCCTGAAGGAGAGCAAGGCTATCGGTTCATGCGTCAAAGACTATTGAAGCGCAGAGACCACCTACAAGGTGAGAGACCCAACAGACCGTTCTGTCATTTTCCAGGGGAAATCCTACGTAGAACGAGCAGGGTCCGAGACTTGAGCGAGACAGACGATTTGCCGTATAGGCAGCATCCCTGCTAACGGCCAAGAAGCCGGCTGCAATTGACAAGGCTGTCAACATTTAACGCCCTAAGCTGATTCTTGGCGAAGAGTCCTTCCTTGTCTTTCTCCGGGTCGTCGGTAATTTGACTGCTCCGCTTGTCGCGGAACGGATGTCGGCGATCGTTGGTTGCGGCAATTACGGGGAATGAATGCACAGATGACGGTCAGTCTAACCACGAGAAGCCTCTCTGATCAAGGAGTCTCAGAAATGCGACCTCAGCCCAGAATGGGAATCATCCGCCCTCAATTTCGCACGAGTTAACAAAAGAGTAGAGGTCAGGCGGTGGCGGTTGGCTGGACCTTGCTTAGTTCGAGCCTATGTGCTTCAGCCACTCTGTCTTTCAATGGAACCGTGTAATTTACTTTGACGTACCGACAAGACCAACTGGATCAAAGGATTATTATTCAAGCTGTCTCCGAACCAATCCAATTGGCCCCCTGGGGCAGAATCTTTCTTGTTGGGACTGACCGTACTCAATCCTGGGCCTAAAAGTGCAGCTCGAGCGCTTTGGGACTTCACTGCTGCTTTCGACATCATGTTCCTGCCGAGTCATCCAACCTCCGGTTTTCTTTGGTGGGCGCATGGTCTGTCTTGATTAATTCCTACTCCGTACACCTGCAGGAACCCATCTGCCATGCACACTACTAACCGAGGCAAGGGAGAATCCTTGACGGCATGCATTGTGTTGGTCGCGATGACCAGGGTTGAGATCCTCCTGTCTGCTGTCCAATCCCTGATAGGTTATTTTGCGAGCTGATCTGATATTTCCGCGATTTCCCTGTATGTGCGTGGAGTAACTGGACCTAGATCAACAATCAGCGGGGCCGAGATGAGTTCCTAGTGCTAATTCCAACCACTCGGGACCAGGAATTGACAAGGCTGCGACAAGGCCTGGTATCCTGTTTCTGGTGGTGGAACCCGTGAATTTATGACGGCACAACAGTTTCAGCCGGATAGAAGGACAGTTTTACACCAACTCTATCAATTGCATATAACCATTGTACTGAATGGGACTGTATATCCGTAAATTTGAATGGGTCAGAAAAGATCTTCTTCAGGAAACTCCCATTGCTTTCCATGTGATGAACCCAGGACCCATGACCCCCTTAGATATTCTCCACCAACATCTGCCTAAGAAGGTAACATTAACGACGAACTCGACCCCTCTTTGCTGCATGTCTGCAACAAGGGGCTCCAAGGGGCGGAAAGGAACAAGGTTGACCAACACACCGATTGCTGCAAGGGTTTATTTAATTCCTTCCCACATCAGCGGTAGTGACCGTAAAGTAATACATTGTAGACGACGGAGAACATGGGCCGAATCTGACGAGAGAGACGACGGCCAACATGACTAAAGTAGGCTAGACGTCCCACTCCAATGCCCGGCATTTTCTTCCTAGACCTTACAGGGCTCGGAGTCGGGCTTTGTTCCCCGGGTTTTAGCTACTCAACGATGATATTTTGTCGCGAGCATCGGCCTAGGAATACTTGAGAATTATTCAAATGTGCATTACAGCAACTTTCAATTGTCGGTTAATAGTCAAAGTCCTTGATCTAGTCTAGTTGCCCATCTGGATCGGCAGAATTATCATACGATCGCTGGGCAGTGCGCCAAGACGGCCGGCACCCAAACTGAACTAAGCCAATTTGTGATGGGATGGATGCGACATGCGCCCAGGATGTTTGACGAGCGAAGGCGAAGAATTTTGTTAGTATGTTGGTCGACTGGCATTTCCCTGGGCGATTTCTGCAGCTAGAGAAGCTCGCGTCGCAGCCCATCCCTGCTCATACGTTCAATCTTCCCTCCTTGGTTGCTTCGTCCATTGTGTCTGTTGGATTAAAAAGCAGAACGTCATTCTATTGCCAGCAGCTCAGCCTACTTTGCTTTCTTGGTCCTTTTCTCTCTTGAAATGCTTCTTGCTTTATTTTTTGTTTAATAATTTCCCTCCTTTTCGTCCCGCCTTCACAATGGGACTCGGTGGGCGGCCGTTGCCACCACCGCCTCCGAACGCGGCCGAACGGGCCCACGAGAGCAACACGGAGTGGATCTTGGGTGTCACCGGCCTCTTCTGCAGTCTCGGACTTCTGGCAATTGGCTTGCGAGTCTATGTGCGGGCCTCGATATCTAAGATGGTGGGATGGGACGATTACACAATGATGTTCGCTGGGGTATGGCGCTCCCCATCGGTGATCAGCATGTCCCTCGTTCTAGGGGTGAAACAGTAAAGCAGATGACTGACTTTGACATACGGGAGCTACAGATAACCAGCTTGGCCACCATGATATGCTTCGGCGTACAAGCTAACTACGGCATGGGCAAGCACTACGAAGCGAGAACTCAGGCCGACGATACGAATCTCCAATTCGTCAGCTTCCTCCAGGCGAACATCGGCCTCATTCCCGGCCTTGCCATTCTGAAAGTCTCCATTGGACTGTCCCTCTTGAGGCTGAGCCGCACGCGTTGGTACAATTATGCGCTGTACGGCCTTCTCGGTAACCTCCAACCCGATCTGGTACACCTTCACATGACGCTGACCTAGCTGGATGCATGAAGCATTCGTCGTGTTTTCGGAAATTTTTGGATCCTGTACCATCATCTTCTTCTGCAGTCCTGTTCGACAGTACTGGGATGGCTCAGCTAATGGGAAATGCTATCCTATTACCCTCTTTGTCAAATTTGGTGTCATTCATACTGGTGAGTATTGATATCTCACTCTCCTCCATATGCCTTGGCCCCCAACTAACCATTTTTGTGTTCAGGTTTCAACATTGCCTCCGACGTCGCTTTCGCTACCTTGCCTATCCCGATCATCTGGAACCTTCAGATGAAAAAGTTGACACGCATATACTTGGTCGGTGTCTTTAGCTTGGGTTATGTGTATGGACCACGAATGCTTCCCCAATGTTTCAAAGCTAAGTTTCGATTCAAGGGCCGTCGTTATGGGCATTATACGAGCTGTTTACCAGATCGGTTTCGGCGCAAGCCCAGACTCCGCGTTGTAAGTCAACAATAACACACCCTCAAGTAATCTATTCTGACAGGTGTGTTCTCCAGCTATCAAAGGGTTCAGTTCTGGGGATAGTAAGTCTCTCCTACGTGAAACCACTTGGACATTTGACTCTAATATCATGTGCAGTCTTCAGCTCAAAACTGGGATTATCGCGGCTTGCGCACCGACTCTGAAACCTCTCGTGGGCCGTTGGCTCAATATTGCGAGCAGCAAAGGATACAGCTCCAACTTCTACGGCAACGCAAGCGGCGGCCAATCGAGGCGACGAACTGGATATATCGTACAGACGACACCGGTGGGACCTGGCTACGAGCTCAACGAAAGAAAGGAATCCTCGGCGCAAGAGACAAGCAACTTCCATGCGAGCGTCAAGGGCGGTCCTCTTGCATCGGGTACTTACGGTAAACCAGACAGCTTGGGGGACCGATCCGGAAGCGAGGAAATGATCCTGCCCATCCCAGACGACGGCAAGGGCATTGTCATGAAGACAGAGGTTACCGTCCAAAGAACGTAGCGTGTTTAAATGGGGTTCGCAAAAGCAAGAAACACTCTTTATCGAGTGTATGAGACACGCTGAGAGGAAACAGTTGATCAAGCCTATGATGGTTATATACTCCCTCAGCTTCGATGTGCGATGTCAAAGATCCTTGATGCTCCTGGGTCCCGGATGCCCATTCTCCGTGGGTGGTTCCCCGGGAAGGATGGCGACTAACCCTGATCATCCATGACCTTTGTCAGAGTAAACATTTGGTATAGAGTCATATTAAGGTACTGTTCGATTTGATCCCGATGTTGTTGCGTCGCGATAGGTGCTTTTCAATGATTATGTTGTAGTTGGGAATCCATCAATGCAGTCTCGTGCGGTATGGGGCTGTTTACAGGTGTGTCACGGCGGAGTTTACTCGGCGTCCTGATTCACACTTGATTCAGAGGGCGATTTCCAACACCAGTGGTTCACACAAAAACACGAGTTTCGCGTCCCTTAGTTAGCTACTCCGTACGGAGTGCGCATCTACATTTCAGGGGGCGAAATGTCCAGCGTCAATGACCGTACAGGGTTGGCACAGACCTGCGTGTCAGAAGCGCGCTGCATTCCGCGTTCTTATCAAACAGACCGATACTGTGAGTGCAGCGCGTTTCTAGAAGAAATGTAGGGTAGAGATCTAAGGGTACGTTCGCTTGTATGCCATGACAGTGACCGTGAGTTTTTTTTGCTTGGTCATGGCACTTTTATCCTCAGTCTCACTGATTCTAGTTCTACCCATCAAGACTCTATGGTTACTAGCTTTGATATGGACTTTTCAAGGCTGGAAATGCTCCTATGTGGTGTGACCTATTGAGAAATAGGGTAAGCAGATGTTCAAGCCACATTGTAGATGCGTTCGACAATTTGGTAGATAAAACCACAACTGCCCAATTGCCAACCGCCCTTAGTCCTCAGCTTCTAGCTTCTCGTGTCAATACGACCTTTTTTACCCTCGCACGAAATAGTGATATTTAGGACATCGCCAAGTCGACCCCTTTATATAAAGCTAGACATGAATCTACTCTGCTACTTGTTCGCAACGAATTTGCTGTGTTATGGCTGCTATCCCTCTCCAGGCAACCAAAGCCCTGATAATCTCGTAGGCCTTCCGTCATCAGTTTCTCGTTAGTTGTAACAGAGGTCTTGAGTTAAACTATGCATATAATTAATTTGTTACGTAATCACAAAAGTTATTCACTCAGCTATATGGGGAAAAGATTTGCGATATAGAAGACGTATGTTTGCTGTAATTTACTATGAAGGGTACTAATCTAGCGTCGATCCATCCAGATTAATAACTTGGCTTAGAAATCACTTTTGGGACAGCCCTCTGTATATCTAGTGGGCAATCCCAGGCAGTTTAGATGAAGTTGCCGCCACCCTCGCAACGGGACAAAGGTGGGTTTGCCTGCCTCTTCTCACAGTACGAGACAGCACCCTCAACCCAGCTGAGACCGTTGTAGCTTGCAGACTTGTGGCTGTCCGCATACCAGGTTCCGACTTGCTTGATGTTGCCGACACATCCGACGAACTGGCGGCCATACCGGCGCGTAGTAATAGGCTTGTAGATCATCACACCACAGAACCCGTCGTGGACCACATGGGCGTCCGACGTCGACTGTGTGGTTGTCCATGTCCTGCTGTAGTTGATCCCGAGTGAACCGGTCAGGCGATCCTTGACGAACCCCAAGTCAACGCCCGCGCTACCACCAATAGTATTGGCGATAGAATGGCCCGAAGTGACAGTGACGGTCAAATCACCGAAGTGAGCGCAGGCGACTGTCGACATCTGCAGGTCCCAGTCCACGAATGTGATCGTGTTGTCGGTGGTAATGGAGTAGGTTTGAGAGCAAGGGGCCCGAGCCTCAAGGTCACGCTCAGTGACGACCTCCCTGGTCTCGACGGCGGGAATGTCGGAAGCATTGTAGGTGACCCAAGATGGGTCCAGCTCAGGAGCCTTGAGGAGCACACCCTTCGACTTGAGCCAGTTCAAGTAGTCGGACTCCTTCACGGCATGTTCTACTCCAGTAAGTAAATGTTACAATGGGGGAAAGAAAGTCGCTTACCGACGCCATCAAGAGGAACAATCAGGTGACCGGGCTCAAGAGTCGAGCCAGGAACCCACTTCGACGCGTTGGGGATCCCGCCACTGTTGACAACGGCTGCACTGACGGCAGTGATCAGGAAGAGGCCGGCGAACTTGAGAGTAGAAGCCATGTTGGAAAGAGTTGAATTTCTGAGAAAGAAGGACTGTGAGCTTGAAGATGTAGCTTAGAGTGATGTTCTACAACAAAATTTGAAACCAGAGGGCGCGACTTGTGATGGTTTATATATTTCAGATAGAGGTTGGGACTCCAACTTTCTGGTCCGCCCGTCTTCTTTGATCTTAGCGGACACTACGGTCCCCAAAGGATGAGCGATATTCCGAAATGAACATCGACATGGTATCTATTCACACAAAGCTAAGATAAGGCACAACTGTTGCTGATCGTCAGGTTCGCGGCTCGGGACCAGGGACATGAAGGTGTCCTGGATGGCAGGGTTATCGGGTAACGGCAAAGGTCGAGGCCTTGGCCGTAGCACATGGGCAATTAAGCGCGTTGAACTGTGGGGAGTCATACGGCAGATGTGGATCTCTATAACCTACCCATGGGAGTGTTAGTGGGAAAGTCTATTCTGCCAATCAAGAGGTTTACTCTATAGTAAAGTGCCCTTTATCTTGCTTCCCGGGAATGGGTTCCAGCGAGGCAAACTCCAGGCCGGATTAATAACAGTGTGTCTGATGAAAAAAGAGCCGATAACTACAACTGCATTATCCCCTATTACCTCTGATGCCTTTTAGATGTAGTTTCACCGCTTCAGCATTTTGCGAACGTTGTGTAACTCTCTTCCATTCCCAAATTCCAAATTGGCAATCAACCCTTGCAAGTCTTACCCTACGAATCGTGCGACAAGTGGAGACATAGAAAGAATGTCACAGCGCTTTACTCCTACCCCACGGTCTTTGCAGTGGCTGGCCAATGATATTGTTTATCTTTTTAAGGATAATCTTAGACCTTCCTCTTACTCTACTAGAACGTCTGCGTCCGAGCGTAAACCGGCTATCACGGCTACTGTTTCAGGGGTATATCTACAGATTAGGCAAGCTTCTAGAACGTTTCTAGCTAGCGTACCAGGTTCAAAACCGAAAGCGACTAACGCCTGCCAAGGCCACCATGTCTGGTGGGCACACTACCAACGATACGAAGAGCCAACACGTCAAGATTGAATCGACGCTATTTTGGACTAGAATCATAGATACGGGATACGAGCGAGTATGGGTACACTACGAGTATAAGTCTAAGTTTCGCTAGTATACCTGCTTCGGGGTCTCCGTGTAGTTGGCCCCGCGCCTATCAACCCGCTTTGGGGGCTTTTACTCTTCGACCGGGCGAAAAGATGTCATATGATCAACCTCGAATGAGGGGCGGAGGGAGGAGGGGCATAGGGCGGTATGACAGGCGATAAATCCCTGGACAAGCGTGATGTTTAGCGTAGGAACAAAGCTTATTCCTCCCGCGTTCTCATGACTGTGACATCTTAAGGTGCCGCATATAGGTCTTCGGTGCGTCGCTTAGAGAGTGTAGAGAGCCTCATGGTCTTGATGTGAAAGGAACACTACTCCAGGTTGTAGAGTGGTGGGTCCCTGTGCACGCAGGCGATGAGTTCTCGGCCGGTCGGGCCCCATCCTCGCCCGTGTTGTGTGAAGCGGTCTGAGCATAAGGCGATGTGTCATCCACTTTGAGGATCGTCTCCGAGCCACGCTTCGGTGAGGTCTCCGAACCATACTTCGGAGGAGGCGCCGCTGTGTATTACTATGGATGCTCCTTCTTGGGGTCTGACCAGAATCATTTGATGCCCCCAAAGTCTTTGTTTAATTTCCAGAGCCAGTTAAGTGAACGTAGTAGGAGTGCTATCGATGGTGCAGTCGTTAGGTTATTCCGTCAGATAAGCGGGATAACATGATTCTCCAGAGCCTTGTTAGGCTGAGCTGTTAGGCTGAGCTCCCCTCGTACGTCGGTCTCGGTCCTGCACCCGGGCCAATCAGTGATTGTTTTGGTTCTGTCCAGGTAAGGTTTGGCGTTTAATGGTAGTTCGTCGTTAGTGGATTTGATGCGAAATTGGGACCCATGTTGTTGGGTTGGTGAATTGCGGGCGTACGGATAGTTGGTGCCGAATTCCTATATCAGAGTAGTCTTGGAATTCGTCTGGAATTTGAGTTTCAACCCCCCCACCCGCCACTCCGCCAATTTCAACGTTGGCCGTGAGGTTGGGAATTACGATCAGTTGTTCATAGCTTTCTTCCATAATGGGAAGGTGCTATGTATTTTCTATACGAGAGCTATTCTTACGGTTAGCACTGGAATATTATACTTTCGCAGGGGGGTTATCCTAAGCGCGGTTCTGTTTAGGGACAAGTTCTCTATCGGGTTGAGTCTCTTCAGACTGATAGATGCTCAACAGCCTCGCCTTGCTCCAAGTATTTAATATCAACTATTCTGCCCAGCATTTCATCCAACATCCAACACCATCCAACTCCTACATTCTTCATCCATCCTTCTAGGTTGAACAGCTCGCCTCGTTCATCCACAATGCACGTCGCTCATCTCGCTTTCTTTTTGGCGGCTGCCGGCTCGTAAGTTGTCTATCTTCTCCTCACTCATCCTCACTCCCCCAAGAAACTCAAGGGGATGAAGCTAACACACCTCACCTGCTGTAGAGCATTCGGCCACCTCCATCATGCCGCTTCTTGCCGAGGAGACCGAATTGATTCTCCTATCGGAGGTACCGCATGGAGCGTGAGCTACAACTGGCAGACGACTTATGAGATTATGGTCGATGCCACGAAGTGCGCCTGCCGCTATTACCACGCACGCACTGCGGGTCACAATTGCCCGGATTGCACCTACGTGAGCTCCCTATCATCTTGAACTCTCATTTCGGCTTACTAACTAGAATAAAGAACGACAGCCAGTTGGCTTGCACCTCTGCTGGTGGACTCATTGGCGGTGATGAGGTAAGATAGCCGTTTAAAATGGCCTTTGATAGCAGGATATTTGCTAACGTCTTTTCTTTTTCAGATGAACTACTACTGCGAGAAGAAGTGCGGCGCTAAGGGCTCTGTGGCTGATTAAGATACCCTACGGTTGTGTTCTTATGGGAGGAAAGTAGTGTGATGGTGCTTGTTGACGGGTTGGAGTTTTTGAATAGCAGGGCTAGCCTGACAAGCTAGATACTACTAAAAGTACTGCTCCTTCCTTAGTTGGAAGGGCATACTTTTCTCTTCAATTTGAACTATGAGACGGGCTGTATCTTATTTGTGCCGTTTGACTAGCTGTTACGGCAGCTCTCATCTCCTACTAACAAAGTAGCTATCAAGACTGACAGTATGTGACTTTAACTTTAACTAATTGTTAGATTATATTCATAGCTAAGGAGCTTGGGTTATTTTACTGATCCTGAAAATATCAATTATAATAGCTACTATAGTAGAATACTCAATTCGTCTCAGGCTTTCAAGACGGTAGGAAACGCTGGGCTCTTCACATTGACTCCCTCGTCGGACCCTTCCAGCGGCAGCCAGAGTGCCAAGTATGGGCTCGTACGGTCGAGCACTATTTCAGCTTTCAAAACATCAGGGAAAACATCGCCAATGGAACTTTGTTCGGCCACCGACAATACGCCCTGTTGAATGGAGTCAAAGTCATCCCCTTGCGGCTTAGGGAAAGACAGCTGAACGGCGAACATTTTGGATTCCGGGCAATGTAGAAGCCAGAACGACTCTGCCCCCCTGCTCTCGGCGGCATCCTTCAGAACGGGGTAATGTTGCTGCAAAATCGACTCTGCGTCTTTGATGTCGTATGTCCAGCGCTGGAAGCGACCAATGGCGTGTCCGTCGACGGGAGTAAAGTTGTGAGCCCCAATAACCCTCCACACCCAAAGATTGACGGACTTGAACAGCGGTTGATTCCAGAACGTGGTCTTCGGCTCACCGACCTCGAAATCGTTGGTGGTCCAGTTCTCATAGTCCTTTGCCTCCTCGAACGTGCGGAACAGGTATGCACCGCCTGTGAGCAAGTCTCCGCTGACTTCATGGAATCGAGCGGGAAGATATTTCAGATACATCCCCGGCCGTTTACCCATTACTTGGCTGCCATGGTACTGATCGTTCCATACGTCTTGGATGGAAACTCGCGCCTCGATGTGGATTTCCGTCGTGCACGCACCAGCAGCATGGATTACTCCAGCCTTGTAGCTGAGGACCGGCTTGTCTGCGCTCTGAGATTCTGCTATTGCCTTGGTGTAAATAATAACGCCACCAGGTGTGGAGTGCACAAGTAAACTCTATTGACTTACCCATCTTGGATACAGGGCGACAGTCTTGAATCAGTAGCTTTATGGTGGTGACAATGGAGTAGGAAATGGAAAGACTGCACAGGGGTTTTCAGCGTTTGGCTGAGCTTTGTACGAATCTCGCCTGTGCAACATTCCTGTCCCATTAGTATCCGTGGCGTCAAAGGGCTGAATGCGGGGATGAGCATGACATCACGGTGACGTCTTGGGCTGTATTCAGAGTCAACTTGCCCAATTAAGTTCTGCCATGGCATGTCTCACATCAGCCCATCAGCACAGCCTCAAAATAGGCTGCCACATTGAGAGGTTATCGTAAGGGACTTTGGGGATCTCGTGCCATACTTCTGACTTTGCAGCTAATCAGACCTCCCTCTATTTCCCGATTATATCCCTCAAGATAACCCAACCCTGTGATTATGGTCCCAGCTCTGTCAGGCAGCGAGCGACGAATGCTAATCGCCACTGTCTTTCTATGTATCAAAGATGGGCTATTGACCCATCCCTTTAGTAGAAGTCAGAATTCCATGGCTTCTTTTCTCAGATTGAAATTGAGTCTGTCCCAGCTAATCTAAGTCACAGGGATTAATTTTACGCCACATGGAACAGATGTTTAGGAGATTTTTGCAAGTGAGAGATGGCGCAGTTAAGCAGAATTATCCAAGGCGTAGAATGTCAAGCTACACACTAATCATAGAGGATTACGATAACACCATGGAGGGCTTGGATGCATGGATACCTGATTATAGTGCTCGTGGCTTTATGATTTCTAGCAACGGGCGCACTTCACTGCTTCAGCCTACCCTGTACCAAGACGCGATTGTGACACGTCGCGATGACGGGAGCACTAGTACGCGCTTCAAAGGGAACGGGAGAACATTGTTGCGGATAAGTTTGATTTGTCAGCCTGAGTCCAACGCTGCTATTTTGGCTGCGCTCTGTGTCCAATCAGATTAAAGACTAAGAATAAGACTCACGGAGTAGAAATCAGCGTGAGAAAGGCTGGTTCTACTCTATTACATGCCTCTAGCTACGCATTTAGGAAACAAATACCCTTATTATCGTTACCGAGGCACCTTCATTTTATACCATGGTATCGATAAGTCATCCCTCCACAGACGTCGACGATGACATCATTACAAGTAGGTCAAAACATCGAGAGACAATCTCGCGTTGCCCAGCTGTTGACTCTACTCAGATGAAAGGTTTCACTTCATCTCCATCACTAATCCAGACGACGCGAAAGACCGGAAAATGAGACGAGATGCCCGATCTCATGCAGTGAAGCAAGCGCTCAAGAACAAACGAATGCTTCAGCAAGAGTCAAGGGACAATTTCCGTATAGTGTCATCGAACGATTACGCGAAAAGATTAGCAAGCAAAAGAAGAAGACGTCCTAAAAGCCTTGTTATGTCGCCCTACTCCCTATCTGCAGGCGCGCTTGATCCGTTCCAGACGCTTGCTGTGGATTCCTCGAGATTGCAGGTATTTCTTGGTGACTGTAAGCTTGCCCTAACTGCTCAAAGATGCCTAGAACAGACTTACATTCAATATTTAGACAAAGCGAGGCAAGCCGCTGAGCCAGTATTTAGCGTCGCGGACGAACTTGCATTCCATAGCTTTCGCGAAGTTTTCCAAACTGGGCTTGATGATCCTGCTCTTCTGAATGCCGTCATGCTCACATTTGCATTTGCGGCGACAGAGGGAACCATTGATCGAGAGTGCCTTGGGTACCAGAGTGAGGCCATGGGGTATATACGTGAAAGGATGAGTTCTCTAGACAGGGCTACTTCGGCATCAACCATTGGCGCCATTTTGCTGCTAGCTGGTGTGGAGGTTAGCATCTTTTCCTTTTGCACTTCAAAATGTCGACAGTATAGAACTACGAAAGACTGATATTTCAACGATATAGGCTCAGCGTGGGATGCAATTCCAAGTCCAACTTCACATGACCGCAATACAACAACTGCTTGATATCTGTCGAAGAGAGCGAATAAATCTCGCTGGCGGCATTAAGCGTGCCATATTTTGGTAAGCTACAAGGCGGTTAATTTAAGGAATCACTCTTACGTTGACCAATAGGCAAGACTTGAATTCCTCAGTTATGACAGGATCTAGTCGCATTGTTGATCACACCACTTTCGCAGAGCTTCAATGGAGAAGAGATCCATTCTCTCCGAGCTATTTTCAGCTGCCACCGGGATTCCAAGCGCTATCCCACTCACTACCGAAAGAGTTTGGCGAGGTACTTGAAGACGTATACGCATTGCAGTGCATTCGAGACTTTTCCCGTTCACCAAATCCAGATATACTGTCAATGGCATACATAAATAACCACCAAGCATCTATCCAATCCCGGCTGTTAGGAATAGGAAATATTTCACCTATGCTGGAGTGCTGTCGTCTTGCAGCATACCTATGCTCAAGTATGCTATGCTGCAAGGTTTGGTGTGCTTTAGTAATCCCGGTACGTTACCTATATAGATCGCGTTCTTCAAATTTGTTTGTCTTGCTCCCTTCAAGAAGGTCTGGGTATTAAAATCCTTGAAGATTTGCCATATTGATTCGCCCGGCTAACTTGGGTGTGTGCTGACTTTGCGTTTCATAGTCCCATGTTTCCCTGCAACTGCTCCGCAAACTACAGCAAACCAACGACGACCCCATGTGGGATGATCAACCAGATTTGCTACTCTGGCTATTGTATATAGGCGGGGCATTTGCCCAGACAGGGATAATGCGCTCTGACTATGTCGTACTCCTGCACGGAAACATCTCTTCCAGGCTTGGAGGCTTGTTTAGGTCATGGTTGGAACTGCTCGGAATTCTGAAAAAGTTCATTTGGTCAGACGAAGCGTTCATGCCGCAAGTCAAGGGGCTTTGGAAAGATGTTTCGGTCTAAAACGGCCCATCATCTGTGTTCTTATGGTTCCCTTGTAGTGGGGGTTGACATGTTGGCTAGGGCCAGCAGACTTGTTACTGTGAAGGAATATGACTCGCTGAACAAGTTTACTCGTGCCTAATACTTGCCTTACCGCTTTATATTTCATCCAAAAAAAAGAGCCGCGTGATCCAGGAGAGATTGTGTGGGTGGTACCGGAATCCATGTCTCGTAGTAAGACTTGTGTCGTGTCTAGTAGATGTGAATCCTGCAGACAGTTTTCAGAGAATTCCAACCTAGCCTACGTGAGACTTATGCATCGTGCATAGATTCGATCCGACAGATAATTTACTCTTTGTAATCAGCAATTGTTATTGTCGGTATCATCACAATTGTGCGGAATATGTAGGTAGATACTGGCCCTGCGCAAAAAGTACTCTAGGCTACTTCCGGAAGTATGATCTTTCCACAATTGGAAGTACCCACTTTCCCCATTAGGAATCATCTCTTTCCCTTGACTAGAAGTATCTTTGCTCCATGACTGGAAATATCTCTATTCCAAGAATGTAAGGATCTCTGCTCCTGGGATGGGGTATCTTTACCCCGAGAATGTAAGAACTGAGTAATCATAATCGGAACAGTCTAGAATCGATTATTCCTACTAGACATCATTGGTTTGGTTAGGCTGTGCCCTCAAAGTACCTAGAGGCCAAGCGGTATATAAACCTCACAGTCCAAGCGGTTGAAGGTTCGCCTCCTAGATACCCAAACTACCAACATACTTCTCCAACACAAGAGGTGAAATACCAGCATACTGCACACGACCTTCCCAAAACCTTTGATAATGGCCGAATCACAACTTTTCAAGCCTTTGAAAATAGGCAATGTGGAAGTGAAGCATCGTATCGGAATGCCTTCACTCACACGCTTCCGAGCGGATGACCAGCGCGTGCCGACATCCTTGATGAAGGAATATTATGGGCAGCGAGCCGCTGTACCCGGCACCTTGATCATCGCGGAGGGCACCTTCGTATCTCAATCGGCGTGCGGCGGGTTTCCTAACGCGCCCGGGATTTGGAGTCAAGACCAAGTCACTGCGTGGAGAGCCATCACCGACGAGGTCCACAGTAAAGGCTGCTTCATATTCTGTCAGCTCTTTGCAATGGGCCGTGCTGGCGATATCGAGGTGGCTAAGAAAGAGGGGATCAACATCGTGGCACCTAGCGCCCTTCCAATCGACAAAGACTCCCCGACACCACAGGCCATGACCATCGAAGAAATCAAGCAAACGGTTGAAGACTTTGCCAAAGCTTCGGAGAACGCAATCAGCGCAGGCTTCGACGGCGTTGAGTGCCATGGCGCGAACGGTTACCTCCTTGATCAATTTATTCAAGATGTCAGTAACACGCGCGACGACGAGTATGGCGGCAGTGTGGAAAACAGGTCTCGGCTCATTAGCGAAATCATGGAGGCCATGGTCAGTTCCGTTGGCTCAAACCGTGTTGGGCTCCGTCTCAGCCCCTGGAGTTTGTTTCAGGGCATGAGGATGGATGATCCAATTCCACAATTCACAGACATCGTCAACAAAGCGAGTCAATTCAACCTCGCGTACCTTCACTTGGTCGAATCGAGAGTGTCCGGTAGCGAGGATGCCAAAGGCGACGACCGGTTGGATTTTGCATATGACCTCTGGAAGGGACCTATCCTCGTTGCTGGGGGGTATAATCCCGCCGAGGCGCAGAAGTTGGTCGACGAAGAACATCCGGACAAGGATATTGTGGTCATGTTTGGGAGACACTTCATTGCAAACCCTGATCTGGTGTATCGGATCAAGGAGGGCCTGGAGCTTAGTGCATACAACCGTAGCACTTTCTACGTCAACACCTCACCAGTAGGCTATGTAGACTATCCGCTCAGCGTGGAGTATCTGGAGAGCGAAAAGGTTTCAATCAGCACCAACTGATAACGGCACATGCTAGGCAGATTCTGGGCACATCAGAGACTCGATGAGGACGCTTTTAGAGCCCCTCAATTATTAGATAGATTAAAGCCATACAGTCGTTACAAACAATAGGGGCACACTTCAAAAACTACACCTAGCGCCGGGGAATACAGCAACTCGTTTCATAAGGTTGTTGCACACTTATCTTTTCCTGAAGCTCTTACTTCAGCCTTCATTTCTCGTTCACCATAGACGATAACCTTGCTGTGAGTGTGCCAGTGGACCCTTCGTATGTACTATTGCCATACTACTTTAATCCATACAACAACAACTGTGTCAATGGTACTACTTGACATAAGTCCAATTAAGATCCTGAGCCAAAGCAGCATCACCACTGATAGTGACAACATGTTTGTCCCCTGGCATAACATCAAATCCATTGTCACTCAGTTTGAGTCCTTCCCTCTCCTCGAACGTAAAACCCTTTACCGGAGCCTCTGCAGATACTGTGATCCGATCGTTGGATGGAGAGGCTTCTACCGTGACATTTCGATCAGAGAAGTCCAGGTACTTAAAGGGCTGCGGCCAGGCCGTATCTGTAGCCACAACCTGTCCATCTACACTGATGACCGCGTGAATAACAAAGGGATCGGAGCCCTCTAAGTCCCGACCATCACAAGACTTAGCCGCATTCACTCGATGAGCCCGGAATAATTCTGTCGTGCCGTTTGGGCTTGCCAGCGTCTGGGTAGTGATGCTTTCACTGACAAGATCGCCCGACCGGATAGAAATGAACTTGATCGTCACGTCAACCTCCACTGCCACTTGATGGCTACTTGCAATCCACAAATCGAATTCGCTGGTGTTGGTGGCCGTCGTATCGGCATGGCCTGAAGTCCACACTGGACAAGTTCGAGCAATGCCCACGTCCAAGAGCCGTAGAGCTCGCGAGATGGCGTAAAAGGCTGGTTTCTTGACGAGATAATAGTCAACGATAGCCCACGACATGGTAGGCCAGCAATCGTTGAGCTGCCAGACAAGCACGCCGCCGCATTTGCGCGCGCCAGCTCGCCCCCACATTCGTCGCCAGGCCTTGTATGTATACCGCATGGCTTCCGCTTGAAGAATCTGGGTGATGTGGGTGAAAGATGATAAGTTGTATGAGACCTGGAAGTTCTCGGCGACATATGTCATAAGACGACGCTCATGATCAATGGCTTTGTTGCGGAAGTCCATCATCATTGAGCCTGGTTGCTGCTGCTGGGGGTTGGTGATCATTCGGCGGGTGGTCTCGACATGGGGATAGGCCTCCATTCCGAACTCGCTGATAAAACGACCGGCTAGTTGATCACAGTCTTGGTATCTCCTCATTTCTCCGTGCCAGACTAGTTGTTGTAAGGCCAAATCGTAACGAGCGATGGATGGGATGACTTACTATTCCACTGGTGAATGTCACCCACCGTTGGATCGGTTGTGTGTTTCCCATCACCCCAAGGGCTTCCCGGGTGATAGACCATTGACGGATCCTCCTCCTTTATCCATTTCGGTAGCAAGTGCTCGTAGATGTAGCGTGCAGGGAATGTCGACTTGAGCCACGACTCTGGATCAGTGTCCTCACGCTTATACTCCAGCTTGTACCTCTCCTGGACCTGATAGTCCTCGTTGTTTCCGGCCCAAATGACCACTGAAGGGTGAGTTCTCAGCCGCCTGATATTTTGTCGTGCCTCCTCCTCCACAGATTGGAGGAATTTGGGATAGACTGGATAGCTGGCGCAAGCAAATGCGAAATCATGCCAGACCAATATCCCGAATGCGTCGCAAGCGTCTAAAAATGCATCGTCCTCGTAGATTCCACCACCCCACACACGTATCATGATCTGGTTAGATTCCACCATGAGCTTCATCCAGTCAAAATACCGATCCTTGGTCATTTGTGCAAGATAACTGTCACCGGGGATCCAGCATGAACCACCGGCAAAGATATCGATGTCATTGATGCGAAAGTAGAAGGATTTTCCAAATTCATCCGTCTCTTGGACTAACTCGCAACGCCGAAAACCAATGAATTTGGTCTGGGCACTGATTTTCGTATCTGCTCGGATGAGCTCTGCGGAAAGTCGGTACCGAGATTGTGATCCATAGCCATGAGGGTACCATAATGAAGGCTCATTAAGCTGCACCTCTGCTTTAGCTAAGCCGTTGGCGTCAACATGACACTCTTGTTGAAGGAATGTTTTCTCCTCATGGAAAAGTGACAGGACAATCTTGTCGCCCTCCCGCACACCTTCGCCGACCCTTGCGTACAAGTGGCCAGAGCAAGTTTTAAGATCCGGTGAGACTTGGTACTGCGCCCAGACATCGTCAACACGCGCAACGTACTGCTCGAGGAGAACTGGTCGCCAAGGCCCTGCTGTCATCAGGATAGGGCCCCAATCCCAACCCCAGTTGTACTGAGCTTTGCGCACGGGAATGCGGCCTCCTTCGGTTTGGCGGACGTGGAAAGTGTGCTCCGGGTGTTGGCGGACGAGCTCTCGACCACAAAGGAGCGCAGATTTGAACACGATCTGAAGCTCGTTTTTTTGGTTCCAGAGTAGATACTCAGAGACATGGACCCGGTGAGAGACGTGCATATTGTCGGACTCCAGAATTGTCCTTCCGTTGAGACTAACAGTGGCGAAGGTATCAAGTCCCAGAAATACCAAGTCCATTCTAGCACCCTCGACGTAAGGTGCGGTGAACTGGGTTCGGTAGACCCAATCCTTTTCCGCGATCCATTGCACTGCAAGTTCGTTGGCATCCAGGAACGGATCAGGGATTCTAAGAGTTTATTAGTACTTGCGTGGTTTGACGCCGGTAATGATGCATACTGTTTGTTGGCAAGAAGGTCAATATGGACCTCGCTGGGCACTTGTTTTACAGGCAACCAAGTACCATCGGACTGGTCATCACACTGCTTCATGGACCAGCCAGTTTTCAACTCCGTAGATTGCTGCATGCTGGCAAAAGACTGAAATATTGCTACTGCCTTTTCGATTTGTCGGTTGGTGTTCAATGAGGCAACCAGTACAAAGTTGTGCTTCGTATCAATACTGAAGCAGGATTGAGGCGACTTATTTATTCAGTGGTGTTATTATCGCACAAGACTAAGACGATACGGCATTTCACAATGGCTAATAACGGGCGGGGTATTGTGGTGTAACGTATGAGCCTGAGTAATTTCGGGAAAAGCGCTATTCCCGTGCCCAAAGTGATACGGAGATCCAATCCTCCGTACTCGTTTGGTACGAAGACCGAAATGTGGGGAAGCTGGACTCGACTCAGGTGACATGTCTTCTTTGGACTTCAATCTTTCAGTCTTCAGTGCCAAGGAGCAAAAGCGTAGGGTGACACGAAGAGAGAGGATCATGACATAGTGCAACTACACCAGAAACTATGGAAGATAAGCTGTTCTCACTGCCAGATTGTAAGTCATCGACCATCAATCAAGCTGGTCTCGGTCGCTGACGGCTTTAGTGCACCACCACCGGAGCGAAGATGATTGCTGGATTGCAATCCACGGCAACGTTTACAATGTAAGTCTATCATAACAGTGATTGTACAGGGGCGCTGGTCACTTTCAATCGCTTTTAACTGATTGATTCACACCAGGTTACCAGCTTCTTAGGCAATCACCCTGGGGGAAAGGCCATCCTTCTTCGCCATGCTGGCACTGATGCGACAAATGCCTTCGAGGACGTCCATCCAATCGAACTTCTTGACGAATACCTAACCCCCAAGCAACTTTTGGGTCGGTTGGAGCCCACTGCTCAGGGCAAAAGAACAATCACACAAGCAACGCCTCTGGCTCTCCCAATGGCGACGATACTGAGCATCGCCGAGATGGAACGCATTGCCTTGGAGCGTCTCAGCCCCAAGGCTCTCGCGTACTACACATCCGGCACAGACGATCAAATCACAAAACTAGCCAACGGAAATATTTTCAAGTCCATCTTGCTCCGGCCGAGGGTATTCGTGGACTGCACCCACTGTTCGCTATCAACCACTCTCCTAAGCAATCGGGTCGGCTTGCCAATCTTCATTGCCCCAGCAGCCATGGCCAAATTGGCTCATCCTTCGGGTGAAGCTGGTATTTCTGCTGCTTGTTCTAGGCTCAATGCACTGCAAATCATCAGCAAGAACGCGTCTATGTCCGTGACAGACATTGTGCAGGCAGGCCCCGACGCAGTGTTCGGCTGGCAGCTTTACGTTCTCAAGGATACCAAGGCTACAGAGAGGACCTTGGCTCACATCAAGAATATCCCGCAGATCAAATTCATCGTTTTGACTCTCGATGCTCCATTCCCAGGAAAACGGGAAGCTGATGAACGTTACAAGGCTGCAGAAGTCGCAGCAGGCGCATCTCCGTCGGTCTGGGGTACGGAATCTGCCCTGACCTGGGACAAGACTTTGGTCTGGCTGTGCCGTCACACTGACCTTCCAATTGTGTTGAAGGGCATCCAAACTCATGAGGATGCGCACCTGGCGACCAAGTTCCCGGCCGTCCAGGGCATCATCCTATCTAACCATGGTGGCAGGGCGTTGGATACTACCAACACGCCCATTCAGGCCCTGTTGGAAATACGAAAATTCTGTCCGCGGGTTCTTGATCAGTTGGAAGTTTGGGTTGATGGAGGCATCAAGAGAGGATCCGATGTGATCAAGGCGCTGGCTCTGGGCGCGAAGGGTGTTGGGCTCGGTCGAGCGGCACTTTACGGCCTGGCGGTAGGCGGAGAGGAAGGCGTTTACCGATCTCTGGAGAGTATGTTTTCTCGCTTTCCCTTTTCTTCAAAATCGCATTTGCCGACTGACTCGAAATGAAGTTCTCGCGGATGAAGCTGTGACGACTATGAGGCTACTTGGCGTTGGTCGTGTAAGCGATCTTAGACCCTACCATGTGAGTACTGTGAATTCCCACTGGCCCGTCTGAGCGAAGAAGGGCATTGGTTGATTAAATATCCTACAGGTGAACGCTGCTGTATTGAATTCTCAGCTTTATGATGGGCCGTCAGGTTTGGATGTAGCAGAAACCAGTGTCAGCGCAAAACTATAGGCATCGCATAAGACACATCTTTTTGAACCGAGTAGCATGTAATGAATGATAGTAGATGAGCGTGGACATTCCCCGTCACCTCCAAAAAAATTGTCATGACTAAAATAAACCAGACTTGCAAAACTGAAGTCCGGCTATGGCCGTCATTCCGGTGGCCAAAAGCTACATGACCTCTCCACCTCGCATCATTAAGTGGCGTGACGTCCGGGGGATCTGAGGCTACCCCCGTTCTTGGCACGAAGATATAAATCCCCGTGTCACGCTTTCGGCCTAGTCTTTGGAGAAGGCCGGGGACCCCGCGGGGAATCACAGGGATGTCTCATTGTGACCGACTCCCCAAGCCAAGCATCTTCAAGCGAACCTAGAGCTATAAGAATACATGCATGCCTTCTTCAATTCAGAATTTTAGGGAAATATCATTCCAACCTTCGCAACAAGCCTGGTTCGCTTGCTGATTGGAGGTCTGGTTCTTTCTTCGTCAGGACTCCCCTCTCATCCAACAGTCAACACACAACTCGATTGACTCCATCACGAGCCCAAGTCTTCCATCATGGACAAAGTCAAGGACAAATCCATGTTGAAGGAAGTTGAAAACATGGAAAACATGCAGGACTCGATGGAGACGTACGCCAACATCATGGCCAAGGACAAGCCTGACCCACGGGGACCAGGCTACATCAAGCTGTATCTTCTTTGTTCAGCCGTCTTTCTATGCTCGACGATGAACGGTATGCACCCACGTTCCCTGAAAAAGATTGAAAAATGCTGAATTAAGTAGGGTTTGATAGCAGCTTGATGGGTTCCATCAACGCGCTTCCAAACTACACTTCATACTTCAACCTACCGGAGAACGGCAACGCCAGTACCGGTATTGTTTTTGCGATTTTCCAGGTGAGGGCGAATATCATATTCCTTTGCCACTACTTAGTACTGATAGTTTTACAGGTTGGTCAAATGTGCGGCGCTCTCTTCATCTGGATGACGGACTGGTATGGACGAACATGGCACATCTTCTTTGGCTGCTTGGGCGTGTGCATTGGAACTGTCGTAACGTCTCTGTCAACATCTCTGCCCATGTTTATTGCCGGGAGGTTTCTTCTGTCCTTCTTTGCGACCTGTGCGCATACTGCTGCTCCTCTGTATCTGGTTGAGCTAGCCCCGGCAGCTTACCGCGGAACCATCGCAGGAATGTACAACACCTTCTACAACGTGGTATGTATGAATCTTAAACCAGGTAATATTTTACTAAACTATCGATTTAGGGCTCTGTGTTTGCTACCTCAGCGGTGTACGCCTGCCACAAATACCTCGCCCATAGTGGTGACATCGATTGGAGACTCCCTCTTTGGCTTCAGATGGTTTGTCCGGGATTGGTCTGCATACTTATCAAATTCTACCCTGAGTCTCCCCGATGGTAGGTCGATTACCCTTGAGCAGTGATAGCCCGGTCGATAGGGAGATTTCAGGATTGCTGACCTCTGACTGTAGGCTCGTTGCCAAGAACCGACGCGAAGAAGCAAGGGCTATTATCGCCACGTATCACACCAACGGCGACATTGACCACCCGCTTGTTGCCCTGCAAATGAGAGAGATGATTGCAACAATTGATGAAGACCACCAAGCGTCCTGGAAAGATCTTTTTGATCTCAGTGTGCTTGTTGAATCGCGTTCCAGCCGTTACAGATTGATGCTCAATATCGCATTCTCTTGGTTTGGCCAATTTAGCGGAAACAAGTCAGTTATGACGATCCTTTGTCCACAACTTGCAGGACTGACAGTCGTATTAGTATCGTGTCCTACTACCTGCCCATTATGCTTACTGGTATTGGAATCACCAACACCAACACCAAGCTGATTCTGAACATTGTGTATGCGGTTGTCGGCTGGGTCTCTTCCATTATTGGCTCTCGTCTACACGATGTCGTCGGTCGCCGCAAGATGCTTATCACTGCCACAGCAGGCATGACCGTATGCTTGGCAATAGTTGCGGCATGTGCAGCAGGATACACGAAATACGGCAACCAGGCGTCGTCCACTGTCAGTATCGTCTTCATTTTCATGTTCGGCGCAGTTTTTGCCTGTGGCTTCACTCCAATGCAGCCAATTTACCCTGCCGAAGTCGTGAGCAATAAGATGCGAGCCAAGGCCATGGGAACGTTCAAACTGACAGCCGGAGCGGCTGGATTCCTCAACACCTTTGTTGGTCCCATTGCGCTCTCTAATGCAAGTCACCCAATCTCCCTCCCTCTCAAGCTCAGCGCTAATCTTCTGTCAAGATCGGCTATTGGTTCTATGTGTTTTTCGTGTTTTGGGATACCTTCGAGATGACCTTTATGTATTTCCTATTCGTTGAAACCAAAGGCTCTACACTGGAGGAGCTGGATGTTATATTCGAAGCAAAGAACCCGCGAAAGGCCAGCGTTGAAGCCGCAAAGGCTCGGAAGAGGATTATCAAACAGAGAGGATCCTCGGTCTAGTTTTTATCAGATAGGCTCAAGGAGCACAGAGGTTGTGATTATAAGACCTGTGAGATAATGGCGTTTATACTACCGAACCTAAAATTGAGCAAACAGTTTGTAATATTTATTAACTGGGAGGCGTTCTTGTCGAACCGTGAAATGAGACGAATCGATGCATTGTTACATGTCCATGAAATACACTGTGGCTTCTGTATATGCTAAAGCAGGGGAATTCCAACCACTACTACTCCGTATAGTGCAATTAGAAGCAATCGATCACGGAACCAGAAAACAGGATTGAGAGGGGAGAAACATGTACAGTAGCCCTTTAAGGTGGGTCGGAAAAACCATCGCCCATTAGTCGGAATATTTACCCCTCTCAACTAGCTTGGATTTGCTCGTGTATTTCTGTCTCTTTGTCTGCGTCACTGATGATCTACTCTCCGCTCTATACGAGACCGAAGGATGCCAAAGAGAGAAATAGCATGTCCAAGTCGGCATGTTTCATTCATTTGAGTCACAGATTCCAACACATCCCGCGCCCGCAAGTTCGGGAAGGTCCTCGGGTCCTTCACGCAAGGTAAACAAGTCGTGTCTGGAATGCACCCGTCGAAAGGTGAAATGCGATGGTGGCTATCCCTGTTCGAGTTGCCAACACTACCACGTCTCTGAAGCTTGCGTCTATACACACCGGAATAGACGCCAGGCTGCAAGCAAGAGGTACCTCACCATGTAACGAAAAGAATGCTATTGACTCTTTTACTAATTACCGTTTCTTGTTTTGTGTAAAGTGCTTTAGAGAAGGCTACAGACACTGTGCGCCGCCAAGCTGAAGTTCTTCAACGCCTCTTTCCTGGATATTCACTCGATGACTTGCTTGCAAAGAACCGATCGGAGCTCATCGGCTTGTTATCGCCGAGCGCCACAGACGACAGATCTCTCCAGACTCCGATATGGCCAATTTCGACCAGTGTATCCCCTGTCGTCTCCGGTGATCTCGAAGATGCACACGACTCCCCCGATGAGTCTGAGACTGGTGAGTCTGGGGAGGAGAGACATTGGGAAGAGCCGGCACAAAACCCGGCCACAATTGCCGCGAGTGACGACATCAACGCCATCAGTCTGGCAGGCGACCGTCACCGCCGCTCATACCTAGGCATCACCTCCGTGAGCGCTGTTCTGAGAGTGCTATTTCGGCTTTGCCCGGCCGCCAAGAAGCGCACTATGGAGGAATCAAAGACATGGCCTGACGTTCAACAAAATGACCCCCGTCCTTCTGTGATGAAACCAGCTCTTGGTATTGCTCCGTCGTCCGATTCATTGCGAGAACAGCGCTACGTTGGCTTTTACTTCGAGCACGTACACTCGATTACACCGCTCATACATGAGGAGTCCTTTCGGGCAACTTTCGCCGCTGCCGATCGTCAAACTCCGGCATGGCAGGGTTTATGCAACATGGTGCTCACGCTGGGTTCCATTGCCTCTGGAAGTGACACTGCTCACATCCATTATTACAACCAGGCTCGCTCCTTCATCGATCTAGACTCTCTGGGCTCTGGAAATCTGGAAAGCTTGCAGGCGCTGTGCCTACTTGGCGGATACTATCTCCACTACAGAAACTCGCCAAACATGGCATACGCGATCCTCGGCGCAGCTCAGCGCTTGGCTATAGCTCTGGGGTTACATCGAGAGTCCCCAGTCCGGAACGACTATCAGGATCCCGACACTGCTCAGCGCTCTGGCATTCGAATCGAGACTCGGCGACGGACATGGTGGAGTCTTTACTGCCTCGATACGTGGGCCAGCATGACCTTGGGTCGCCCGACTTGTGGACGGTGGGATAGCACGACTATGAACACATTATTACCAAATGCCCTGAACACGGACGATCACTTTGCAATCTCCCTCCGAGCAAGTTGCCAGTTTTGCCACATCTGCAATCGTCTCCAGCATCGTTTCGCGCAATCTACACGCCTCAACACGGCAGAAGCTCAGGCTTTTGATCTCGAACTGCAACAATGGCATGAAGCACTGCCTCTAATTCTCAAAGACACCATCAATCCACCACCTCGCATCACTGTCGCTAGTGAGTTCCTCCGCAACAGATATTATAATGTACGCCTCATGTTGTCCCGATGTTTTCTCTTATATCTCGCCTACGAGGACCTGAATGGACAAATTCCAAGCCAAGCAGAGGTGCAGATGGCTGACTTGTGCCGTGCAATTGCGGCGGATGCTATTGACGCCATTGCGGTCCATTGGGTCCCCAATCGAATCCAAGTTTGGAATTCCGCGTGGTACCTGTTCCAAGCGTGTATGGTGCCATTACTCTCAATATCCATGAAGACCTCGTCTAGTCCGGGTGGCATGCAGGCCGATAGTGTTGTGTCATGGAACAAGAGCTTAAACAAGGCTCTTGAGGTATTTGCAGAGATGAAGCCGTGGATGCGGACTTCTGATCGCTCTCCGGATATTGTGGCTGTATTATTCCAAGCTGTATCTGAAGGGGCCGAAGGGGCAGTACATACACCGTCGGTGACTGATGGAGGGTCACTTCTGTTTGGGTTGGGCAATGAACAGCTGACAGAGATGGACTGGAGCATGTTTTTCAGTGAGGAGAGCATATCCTATAGTTTATTTTGATTGACTTGAGTGTATTAATCAAGTTACAAGCATAATGACAGTTCCTACTGATGAATTTAAGTACATCAAAATCCTTCAAAATAATTTGCTAACGCGGTGCCAAATATGCAGCAGCTAATACCTGCTTCCATAGCCCTTGACAATTTGTCTACATGTGTCTCAGCCCAGGTTCGGATTTTTCTCTGATAAAGGGAGCCCATTGGTATGGACTCATTCTCGCCATAGCTGGTCATACCACTGCAAATCAGCCTACTCTCCTTCTTTTTGCTGGCCGACTCTCTGTCTACCGATCCACCGATTTATTCCTCCCCTGTTCAAATTTACCCCCTGCTGTACCTACCCCTTGCTTGTCTTGGCAGAAGCCATCGTTTCAGCGTCCATGCGTCTCATGGGTTCCATGAATCTACCTGGCGGCCACCGGGTTGACCCCTGCACACGAGGACTCCCAGCGGACCGGAACAGAGAACGGAATTGTATCATATGTACCCATTGTGTAGATTGTTGGCTAGAGCTAGAGCATACGTAGTAAATCGGTCTTGGAATTGCTTATCTGGACCGAGCCGAGGTTTGTCGTCCTACAGCCCCTGCTAAGGTAGTATTACCGAGGCCCTCGCTTACCCCTCGTTTTGCAAATTTTGAACCCTGCAAGACTGTACATGAATCACTCTAGGTGATGTGAAAGCACCTGCAGCTCGTGACGAATGCGGAAGAACTCGCGTCTCCAAGAAATTAGGGTTCACAATCCTGGGGAAAATCGCAAGATGAACCCGATATGGTAGGGCGGCCTTTAGCATTGTATCCTCGACACCATTTTACAATGAGTTCTGGATAATGAAGAACGACATCAGCCGCTTTCGAGATGGCCGTATAAAAGTGTTCAAGGAGACTAACTCTTGTTCTTTTGCCGTGTACTTATTCCTTTCAAGCTCATTTGCGCTACGAATTGAGAGATCGGTGTAGCCTTTCTTATTTTCAGTCATCATTTTAAGCCAGTCTTATCAAATATGATGCTGGTAAATGTTCTCGCTCTCTTCAATCTCGTCTCCTTGTCGAGTTTGTTACCCCGGGTAGCCGGTTCAGGATTTGATCTTGGTTTCAACTATACTCGGGGTTACAGCAAGATTGGTTCCAACACTTATCATTATTTGCTTTGCAAACCATCTGGAGAGCCCATTGGCACAATATTTCTGCTCCATGGATTCTCAGATCTCTCATATGGGTGGCGATATCAAATCCCTGCTTTGACGTCGCTGGGGTTCCAAGTTATCGCCCCAGATATGCTGGGTTATGGCCGCTCCAGCGCTCCCGTCGCACTTACGAAATTCTCGTTGAAAAGCATGTCTAATGATCTTGCAACATTAATCAACCGAATTGTGCCTGGCGAGCAGGTCATTCTTGGTGGCCACGATTGGGGTGGAGCCATGGTCTATCGCACAGCACTCTGGCACCCTGAACTCTTCAAGGGCATCTTCAGCGTGTGCACACCGTACTTCCCTCCCACCACAAGATACGTGGATCTAGCAGATCAAATCGCGGCTGGAATAAACCCAACCTTCGGATACCAGTTGCAGTTCCGCAACTCGACCTATGACCTCTACTTTAATGCCCCTCATAGGATCAGGCAGATTCTAACGGCTTTTTATGGAGGGCTTACTCCAGATGGAAAACTCGGATTTGACTCTCGTACAGGTCTGATTTTCGAAAATCTTCCTTACCTGCAACCATCTCCCCTGATTGGGGATGCCGATATGAAGTATTATGTCGCCGAGTACTTCAAAAACAGGATGAGGGGACCTATGAGCTGGTATCGAACTGCTGAGATCAATTTCAATGATGAATTGCCACTAGCCTGTGAGGGGGCTGTCAATTTTTCCATCCCGGGGTTGTACATTGGCGCTACCCAAGACACAGCTCTACCGCCTGGATGTCTGCGGGCATGGCGAAGTATTTTCACGCTGGTTTAACTCGGGGGACAGTTGTGTCTTCGCACTGGGCTCTATGGCAAGCCAGTCAGAATGTTAGCAAAATCATTGGAGATTGGTGCGGAACTTCAACCTGAGTTTCATGTTAGCTTCTGTCACGTCGTATCATCCGAATTTATTATTCACCGTTAAATGTGTCACAATCCTATTGGAGCGTATAGTTTAATGTCAGTGCGGTAAATTGAAAACGACCTGTTTTTGCTTTTTTTAGGCCTCATTTTTTCTAGTGGCTGTACTTTTGAATCCAGTCATTTTCACATACAAGTATGTGACTACTCGCTGCAAGCCCTGTGATCTTGGCACCTGTTTCCCCCGCCTTCAAGATTTACTAGCCTCATAGGGAGGGGGCACGAGGTCATTTCCTAATGTGTTTACGTCCTCCGTTCCCTCTTCCAGACAATGAGGGGAAACTGCTACACGCATGCATGACTTGAATCTCGCTTGGAGAAGCTACAAGCCTGTCCGAGTTTAAGGTGACATTCTATGGTAGGCAAGGATTAACAGGTGGCGCATAAGAGCACTTCTTGCCCGTCAGTTCCGCTTCTATCGCTACGATCACATCAACTCATCCTGTCGTTGTAATCATCGTCAAAAAAGGAGACATGGATCACGACAGCAACTTAGAGTTGCCTAATCGGTCAAAGGAGTTGTTTATCATCCAACTGGTCTTTCTTATCGTTGCCGGCATATGCACTCTGATCCGAGTGTACATCAAAATATTCCTTGTCAAGTGTGTGACAACAGATGACTACCTGATACTCTCTGCGATGGTAGGCTTCCCCTGTTTCACGTTTCCCCGGGTCTACTTGAAACTAAATATCGTTTATGTAGATAGGTTATACGGCATATGGCGCAATCTCGTTGGACGGTGTCCAGAATGGAACAACAGGCAAACCCAGCTCGCAGATCGACGGACCTCACGAGGTGGCTAGGTCACTCCGAGCTTGGTATATCTGCGAAGTGCTTTATGCGCCAATTACTCTCACAATTAGAGCTTCGGTCTGCATCCTTCTTCTTCGCATGGCGACCCGAAGATCCTATCGCTGGATTATTTGGGTTAATCTTGGCGTTGGAACTATCGTCTCTACTGCCTTCTTCTTCATCCTTGTCTTCCAATGCAAACCAGTGTCGTACTTTTGGAACCAGGCGTATGGTTATAAGGGCTCTTGCGTTGACAAGAATGTCATTCCGGTAGCCGTCGTTGTGCATAACATCCTTTCAGCTCTTTCCGACTGGTGCCTGGGCCTGTTACCTGTCGCCCTCTTATGGAATGTGAAGATAAACAGGAGAACCAAGGTGACTATAGTGATCCTGTTGAGGCTCGGCATGATGTTAGTGTTCCGAAATTGTTAAGCGCTACCTAAACTGACGAAAACGACGAAATTAGAGGAGGAATAGCCCTTATTGTTCGAATTCCGTATATCACGCATTTGAAACCGTCTATTGAGTTCGTTTATGTATCAATGTGAGTCTTGATTCCAAGTCGGAGTAGCTCAAGTTCAGTTTCTGACTACAGATTAGTGACGTAGCCATTTGGTCAGTGATGGAGCCAGCGTTGGGTATTGCGGCGGCTTGTATCGCCACGTTTCGTCCCCTGTTCAAACATAGTGGCTTTGGATGGGCCTCAGGTCATTCAGCTCCTGCTGCAATGGGAGAGCCGAGCCAAGGAATGAATTGTGAGAGAACAGAAAGCCAAGGCGCACTGGGTGGGGAGAGAGACATTTGCATACCCCTCAACACTCCTCAGCAACTGTACAGTGCCAATGATCCGATTGGATCTGAGCATGAGCTGTGTAGAGCCGATCAATGATCAAGAGGGATCTAGCAAGCATATAGATATTCGGTTCGTCTTCGGATCTCCGATTAGAATCGAATAGTATTTAGCCGTCTTGCCTCTTCATAGGAGTCATTCACAGTTAAAACATATTTTGTTAGAGGCTACAAATATCTCTATGTTGTACCAAAACGTTCGCCATCGGATATGTTGAATCCCATGGTTTAAACTAAAGGATTTACTGGTTAAATACAGTCATCCCAGTGAATAGAAGCTAGAGGTATAGACTCGGTAATCTCTATACCCGACTACCCTGAGGCCCAGAAACACTTAAACATTGCTCCTAAGCCTCTGGCCTGGACAACACAAGGCTTCGCCGTGCATCTTCAAAGAAAAGTATCGGGGCCTGGCCCTAAGACTAACACAGTGGCATTCCACCTAAGTGCAACCTGATGCGCGATTGCTGATACATACATCAACACCGCTTACGCCGCCATAGGCCTCAGCACTGAACTGGTTGAAATCGACAGCGGATAGGGCATCTTGAACCAGTTGCTGAGCGAAATAGCCAGAGAAGGCGTTGAGTGGTTTTGCCCATGAAAGGCAAGCGCCACTGGTGCAGACGCTTCTTGGGCTCGCCGGAAAGGTATTCCAGGCAAAATTACCGAGGTATCCGGCGAGAACCTGCACTCCAAAATTGGTGGCGACGTGTGCTTTGGACCTGGTCCAACTCCATTTGGAGCGTGCCTCGATAGCAACGGCGATGTCACGCTTCTCTACACCAGCACATTTGCTCACATGGGGAAGCATGACGCTGTCGAGTTCGCCGCAAAGCCAGTTGTTGTCGCTTGCCTGCTCCTCCTTCATGTGTCCGGCCATGGTGGCATTGACGAAGGCGACTAAGATCTGATCATCGTCCCCAGAAGTCCATGCCGCCGCATATTGGTGCGCAGCTGCAATGGCGAGGTCCTTCTCAGACTCGATCACGATGTAATCATAGTGGGTGGCATCTTGACCGAAGATCTTGTCTGTCACCTTGGAGAGGTAGATGTCCTCAAAGTTAGGTGAGACAGCATTCCGTGCATTGAGGCTCGTGCCAGTCATGGGAATGGCTTGAGCGATGGGGAATCTCTCGTACAGAGCCATGCCAATTGCGACGGAAACTGCCGAAGTGGAAAGTCGGGTGAACCGCGTCTTCATCTTGAGAAATTATGGCTGTGAGAAGCTCGACCCTGGGTTGATAGAATGTGTCGATGATGATGATCAAGAATGTGATGATAATGAAGTGAGATAGCATAGCTTCCTGAACGAGCTTTGTAGGAGTATATATACTTGAAAAACGACATGAAATAATTCCCATAAGCATGTGAAAAGTCAAATATCTCCAATTACTGTTTTGTCCATATACTTCTTAGTACTGGTATCGTAACTAGCCTGTAGTAGGAAGGTATAGTCGTTCGACTAGGGACTTTTGCCCCTTCTCCAAGAAAAAAACAACATGATCCGACTATGTAATTGATATGGTGTCATATTTCTCTCGCTGATGCCAAAAGTCCCTGTGATTACTGCAGTAGAGTGCATTTTCGGATACGAGCGGACTGCACATGCAGGCCTAAATCCGAATACCATCAATTGGAATGAGCAGCAAAAGTGATGAACCTACTACGAAATTTATTCCGTTCTTCGTCAGTCGGCGGAGAATTTCGATTTTGGCAACGGAAGCACGGTTCGACTCGCCTTGATGTGAAGATGTAGATACTGACACCCTTATGAAATGTGTTTGAGTGAATCTGCCCGTAATGAGTGACTCAATAATAACGTTCGTAAGCTATTTGGGGAGGCAACGGCGGTAATTACTGTCAGACGGAGATATGGACTACAATAACGCAACCGACAAGAGGAATAGTCATCCCCTTTTGCCGTAGTAGTATTGCGACAATTACTTTTACAAAGAAGTTTGTAAGGCTCGTACCTGACGGACACCTTGTCCCGAGATAGCCGGCTAGACGACGGGGGCGTCATGCAGTAGGGATACGAGGTGACAGCGAAGGAGTGGCTGCGCTCAACCTTAACTCCGTTCCGACATCAGCGGCTAGATTCGGATGCGGTATTAGGCTTAATACTTCCAGCATACTCTGCACCGTAATACTGTCAGGATTTACTTCGCCTGATTGCTGGACTAGATGGTTGTTCTTGCTCGCATCGTGTTAAGGTGGAGACTTACTGGATGCCTTACTGCGAGGATGAATGGCGACTGTCGACCCTGTTCGATACGTATCATAATTTGGTAGAGTCATGGGCCGAATTACTGCAGGCATGCTCTGGAAGCCTACTGGCGATGGTATCACACTTCCAGGCTAGTGTACTACACAGTTGGCTGGGCGAAGAAATGAGAGGCACAATATTTTCTGATCATGCTAGTCACGGAAAGAGATGTGGGCAGGTAAATCGACACAAGCGACTGCTACAGCAATGGGCCCAAACACAAAAGAGCCTTTTGAGATTGTATCTGAGCTTTGAGCGTAAGATGAATCCAGGACCATCTAAGAACATCACTTAGTGGCTCACCATTCCGTGAAGCCGAAACCGGGTTGTTAAAATCGAAAAGCCCGCGGACTGAGAGCAGGAATCCTTGAATAAACCGAATTTGCATCACTGCCGCACCACATCAGTCTCTCATGTCCGACTATCCGCAGTCAATAATTCTAAGATCGGCCCCAGGATATTGTGCTCCAGGTTGAGGGCTTGCAATCTATAAAGCTTCATGTCAAGAGGCTGGCGCGCTTGAATGATCCCCAAGATGTCATCCTTCGAATGGAAAGGGATCTGAAAGTCGAACAACAACGATCTCATCTTTTCCGAAGAGTTCGAAACGCTCAATTGCGGGTCAGATCCGAGTTTGACGGTCAGCGTTCCTCCGAATTCCAGCGCATCCTTGGGGAGTTGTACGACGGTTCCGGGAAATGGGTGGCCGATTGGATCGATGGCCACAGTGACGTTAACGACGGGGGAATCATTGACGTGCACTTTGATTCTCGACAGATTCTCTCTATCAATCATAGATAAGAATCGCACTGCCCATCCACGACTTGCTGGCGCATCGACAGTCAAGGTTCCGGACTCTTGATGCCACTTGATCGGGATGGAGCGCAGTTTGTTTGAGGAGTCCACCGACTCAGGTTCATCAGTCGGCTGCAAACTGTTGTCGTCGCGTCGATCTTCAACAATCGTGTATTCTCCGTCACGTCCCACAACGACGAGCAATTCGAAATCATCTGGGTTGCCTCCGCCATTGACTGGTTCCGCGGCAGCATCAAGAGGGATGATAGACCCCTCTGGCGCCAGCACAGGTATCCCACGCAAGGTCCGCCACAATTCAATCTCCCGATCGCTGTTATAAACAGTTCCCGTGAAGATGTCGACGTGGCGAGGTGCTGATGGAGGCAGCCAGACCTTGACGGCTGCGAGCTGCGTCCGATGATCAATAGGTTGCACAATCGGCGCCACGAGCAGTGATGGGCCAAAAAAGTACTCGTTTGGATATCTGAAGGCCACGCCAAACTTTGGGTATTGCCAGTACAACGGCTGCACAAGCGGCTGGTCATCCTCGGCGAAGCTGACGTTGGCTGTGTACAAGTAGGGAATCAGGCGATGCCGTAGCTTCATGAAGAAGCTCATGACCTCGTTTGCGTCTCGGCGATAGTTCCACGGCTCCTTGGACATCCACTGATTGTTGGACGAGTGCAGCCGCATGATGGGCGACATGACACCGAGTTGGACCCAGCGGGTGACGAGTTCGTCATCTCGTGAGCCGCCAACGTGGCCGCCGATATCGTGACTCCACCACCCATACCCGATGTTTGAAGCCGTAGCAGTAAACTCTGGCTGAAAGGCGAGAGAGCTCCACGAAACTATACTATCTCCAGAGAAGCCAATGGGATAGCGATGACTTCCTGGTCCTGCATAGCGAGAAAAGACCAGGGCGTCTTTTGCGCCGGCCTTTTGCTTTGTGTCGAGATATTGGAAGTGATTCAGCAACCACAAAGGGTCGATTCCGGGGATACGTGAGATTGAGCCTTGCTGCCAGTCAATCCACCAGAAATCGCAGCCTTTTTCTTCCAGGGCCTTGTGAAGAATCCCAAAGTATCCTTCCATGTACCTGGGGTTCGTGGGATCAAAGAGAATAGTGGTCTTGTCAGATGTGTCATGGCCGAGAAAGCGAGCCATTTTTTCGTATTGCTCTTCGTGAGGTCCAACCCCGCCGTGAGGGTGGTCATTGAGAGTCATCTTGAGATTTCGGTCGTGCAAAGCGTCGGCGAACTTGACTGGGTCCGGAAAAAGCCTCTTGTTCCAGGTATATCCTGTCCACCCAGTATGTGTCACTTCTTTTTCATGAACGAGATGCCAATCCATGTCGATGACGGCAACGGACAGGGGAATATTGGCTTCCTGGAACTCGTCCATCAAGGCGAGATACGAATCAGCAGTGTAGCTGTGATAGCGACTCCACCAGTTCCCCAAACTCCATCGGGGAAGCCGTGGTGTATGTCCAGAGATGTCGAAAAACGCCTGCATAGCTCCCTTGAAGTTCTGGCCGTATGCGAAGAAATACCCATCCACACGATCTCCAGGGCGTCGTGTTTGCACAAAGCCATCATCTGAGAAGAGCATGCTCCCACTGTCGTCGATGACTGAAAATCCATCCTTGGAGAGCACGCCTGCGCCCATGTTACAGCGGCCGTCGACTCCATCCAGCGTTCGCGCCGTGCCTCCAAGATTGGATTGCCCATGGCTGTATCGCCATTCCGTTCCCCACAAATTCGTCGAAACCTGGAGATTGATGATGAATCCGTTCGGGCTGAAACGCTTCTTGTCGTAGTAAAGATGGATGGCGGGGGTAATGATCTCAAGGCCATCCTCGGTGTCTTTGATGACGGGAGTCGGGCGATGGGAGAAGCGCCGGTTGATGGCAAAAGTTGAGGCGCGGTCTTCGAAAATGCCATCTACGGCCCATTCATACCGCAGAACGACGTCGTTGATTATCGTGAAGCGGTAGTTGGGACCAGAAATAATTGCATCAGCGTCTGCGACCGGCTCCGTTGGGAAGTCGTAGTTTGGCATAGATGGCCGGGTTTTTGATCTGACATCGACGGAGAATCTCATGTTTAATGCGTATCCAGACAACAGAATTGAAAATCGGATATTCGATGCTCAAAATGGATGCTTTGGATAAGGAACGATGGCGGCATTTTGCGAGACATTCAGCGTCACAACGTCCCACCCACTTGAAGACAGACACGTGCTACAACGACGCGTGCAGAACGCCCCTCACGTCACTTTGCGGCATTCCCTTCTTGGACAACATAGCCTCATCTAAAGCGGGGTTGACTGGGCTGAGCTCAAACGCCAAGTAAGCTGAGACGAGGCTTGTTATATCAATCAAGGCGGGGTAATAAACACAAAGAGTTGTGCACAGACTGGTCATAGTCCAATTCACAGAGTATATCTTGTGGCAATTTGTGAATTAAAGTCAAACAAGGCTTGAGGGCGGCAATTCTTGAAAAGAGTGCCCAAAGAAGAGCAACTATTCATTCCTAGGAAGATGGCCTCTACAGTAAACAGAGCTAATCCACCCTAAATCAACTCTGGTGCTAGAGCCTCTCTTCCTACAGCAAAACCAAAATCCGGCCACTTCCCATTGTGGAAGCTACCAAAGAATGGCTGAGACGGCACATGAATACGCGAATGGATAACTCGGCTCAAGCGCAAGTTGCCTTTGTCAGATGTAAACGGAGTAAGCCAAACAATGCCGCATCGGAGGTAACAGGTGGGCAGGGAACAACCACACCCAACCTGAGAGATTTTCCGTATCTGGGGTAGTGAGCTATTTCCTGTAACGCTGGCAGCGTAAGTGCGTGATATACGAAGGCGAGGGAGGTTTGAATCGCAAGAACTTCCAGTAATCGCTGGCTCCTTTGCTTCAGCGTGCAAGTATGAGAACTGGGGTTTGCGACGATTGGGACGCCTCCGGCGCGTGTATGTTGACAATTATCAATCAGTTGCAGCATAAAAAGCAATGCGAGGCTCAGCATAACCAGGCTGGAGAAAAAACGAATAGAAACATACTGTGTTACAGATCTACGGTGATAATCAATAGTTTAGCATGCCTGGCCAGCCACGAGAGGATTGGCTGCGCTAAGGACCAACCCCAGACGCGATCCCTTGCCAATGCTGACCAAGAGTTCCTCTTTATCGACATATCATTCTGTTTGATTCCAAAAACGCCATAGATAACGCAACGCTACACTGGTCTGATGGTCGTCATCCTTGGCGAATGGAGCCCGATTCGGCAAGCTAGGGCCGACAACGAGGTGACATTTATCCCACATAAAACAAACATCAGAGCCAAGTTTAGTGACTCAACCAATCCAATAATATCTTGAAGTTTGATATGCCGGCGATGATACGCGTTTGCTCAGACCCACTGGTTCGGCAAAAACGACTTGGTTTGATGGGGTGTATCATCATTCGTTAGTTTCTCTTAGCTAGCGTCGCATTCTATTTTCGGACATACTCCCGCGCTTCAAACGCAAATCAGGAACATTTATTGTCGCGCTTGCGTTTGGATGGCCTCCGCTGCAGCATTTCACTTGTCAATTGCTCGTAATGAACGCGTCGACGGTCGAGAGCGGGATTTATTGGCCTCGGTGAAGTGGGTGGTTGCTGAAGCACATAAAGATGGCGAGGGAAACTGAAGTTACGCCTCACAGCCTTGGATGAGCTGCACTGCGATTCTACACAATAACCATGTTCTCCCCATCTACTCGTTCCATTCAAGACGGAGAGTCCCACGTGGATTCGCAGCTTGGCACGCCCCTGGGCTCCCCCATCAGCGCAGACAACCGCTCTCTTCTCAGCCCAATCACGCCTCAGATTGACGGCGATGAGGCTGCGCTGAAACAGAGACTTCAACACCATGAGGAGTTCTTTGGGCCTGAACACACGTCGACTATTGACGTTGTTCACGAGCTGGGTAGCTTCTACATGTCAAGCGGTCGACTTGACGATGCTGAGGCCATGTTTGCTCGGGAGCTTGGAGTGTCTCAGCAAGCGACTGCGGCAGAGGACGTGCCAACACTCAATGCAACCGCCAGTCTCGCAGCTCTGTATGAGAAACAGGGCCGATCGGACGGTGCCGAAGCCATGTACCGACGCGCTCTCCGAGGCTACGACAAAACACTGGGACCGGAACATGCATCCACACTAACGACGGCCCGGGACCTTGGACGTCTCTACAAAGCCCAGGGTCGATATGGGGAAGCCGAGGCCATGTTTAAGCGGGTTATTGGAGGTCTGGAAACGAACTCGAAACCCGACCGCACATCGGCAGCCGATCCACTGTACGACTCGAGGCGCCCGTATCAAGGTCAAACGCACCTTGACCCGGCTGACATGGCATCGAAGCGGACTTTGGATCACAGTGCTCCTATCCCAGAGCTAAATCAGCTGTTGACCATAACGACGGTTGATGACTTGGGGAGCCTCTATGCAGAACAGGGTCGCCTGGAGGAAGCTGAACAGCTGTACAGAAGCGTTAATCACGCAATGTAGCCAGCCGCTTTGCATCAGGTTGTAAAGCGCACGTTTAGGATGGGGTTGCGTTGGAATACGCTCACGTGAACGTCAAGACTCTGATATGACTGGGGGGCTATATAAACACCACGGCTGGGCTCCAACCGCCCAACCCCGGTCGCGGAGAGATATTGACAGCCAGGGTTCACGTGTTAAATTTAGGACAGAGCGATGTCACCTTCTACATTACATACACTTTCATTAACATACGAGCACGATTACCTTGAACTCTTCTCATCCCTAAGTGTCTGCTTTGTCTCCCAATGAGCAGCTGATGACAGCACTATCCACGGATACCACGTTGCGCCAACCTCTAGATTTACCGTCATGCATCCTAGATTGCTGAGATCCTGCATCGAACTGCCGGAATGTAGGCTCAATCAAGGTGGAGATGAGTACCTCATCGCCGCATCATGGTAGATCATCTCACACGCTAGCTAGTGACGTGTCTCGGTTCATCTGAGGTCAGTGACTATCCTGTCCTTCACCCAAATCACTTTCATGGGGGACATCCTAGTCCAAGACCCCGATCCATTGTCAAAGTCGCACTGTATTTATACGGGGATATCCCCTGACCTTCTCTTGAATGCACCCCAATCTATTGCGAGAGACGGAAGCCCAGGATAGAGGATTTTCTATCGCCAACATAAACTCCGGGCTACCCTACACCCAAAAGCTTCATACTCAGGGGAAACATCACCTTCTCTAGCGCATTATTTGATTCTATATTGCCTACTATGGAAACAGGAAGGAGCAACTTAAGACTACCCTCAATGCCGAAAAAACAAGCAAAAAATAGGCATCTGTCATAAGTCTGAGAAATGCCACCGATGGCCAGTTGAATGGGCGCCCGACAACCCACTCCGAAGCAATATGGATAATCAGCATCAAGATTGGTGTTTTATAGACAATAATACGTGCGATGTCGATGAGAGACGGTATATGCTAAATCGACATGTGTTCAGGTATGGATTGTGGCGAAGTTACAATTCATCCCTGCAGTCCTTGTAGGATGTTCTTTCTGTTGCGGATCTAAGACATGACCATGAACCTTTTAACTTAACCTTGACCTTCATTCTGCCGCGTTCCCACAACAGACTACGTTGAAAAGCTGTGGAGAATATAATGGCGGCCTACCAATCCAGATGAGATCTGCATGCCAGTGGTTCCGTGAGCTAAAATATGGAATCCTCCAAACTAAGCCACATGCCGATGTCATTCTTCATACTCTTTGGCACTTGATCAGCAACAGCTGGCAACTTCCAAGACTTTAATGCCCGGTCGAGTACCGATTTCCGTCCGCCTTATCCGTACCATCCAATCGCCATTTTGGCTGCTGCTGGCTCAGCTTGGGCCCTGTTGGATGAAGATCCTTATTCTCAAACCCCTTTAGGAAGGAGTCATAAACGGATATTTGCACCCTCAGCCAAAGTTGTCAACGCTGATCTCGAAGGTGTTTTCCAATTCCACCCTATACGTCATTCTGTGGCCTCAACAACCAATGAAAGAATTGATAGTGGGCATTAATTAACAGGCAGCAGTTTAATAAGTCGTAACGAAGGATTGGAAGGATCAACGTCTAGGATTGATCTCGTCAATGCTTACTCGGAGTTTGCGTGGATATTTATGACAGAACGAATAGTGCGCTTTCTACGTCATTTGTAGTTCTGAATTTCTAGGTCGATCCTGAGAACACTTTAACATCGGACATAAGAGAGGGCGAATCTCTTCTAATTTCACCAACTCTCTACCCTCATCACGCTTAACCCCACTGAAAGTTACAGCCTTGAGTCCACTTATCATTCAATCCCATTTCAATCTCCATCAGATCATTCATCACGATGTACTTTGGTATTGCTCCCCTAGCGGCTGCTCTCTTACATACTCGTTTTGCCGTTGCCGACTTTCTTATCTTCTGCGGCGCCGAAAACCAGTTTCCCGATGCAGCGTCGAGTCTTTCTATCTCGTTCTTTAACAACCCCCCTAACTGCGATGACTTTGTGAACTCGGTTGGTTGGACTCCGCAGTTTTACAACGATGCTTCCCATGGCGGCATTGCCTGTGACGGATGCACCGCCGCCAAGGCAGCTGCAGACTGGGATGTCACTCGGTTTGAAGTCTATGACAATGATGGCAAATACTTCGATAACGGCGATGATGCGCCTCACTTTAGTAAGTGGATTCGAGCTCTAAAATTACTACACTAGTTTCACAAAGTTGTGAGAAGCCATGAAGCTAACTTGTACTACAGCTCTGTATAAGGATGAAGAAAACGGTGGCTGGGGTATGTACGATGTTGATATGAACCTGATCGGCACGTGCGAACGCCCGGATCCTGTCCAGATCATCACTTGTCAAGATGTTCTCTCTGTGGACAATGCTGCAGGAATAATTCACTGTAAGCTTTTCATATTCTCAAATTATCAGCCATCGTTTCGTCTAGTAGGTGCATTGACAAATCTATAGGCACAACGGTCTTGAGTATGAGGGACTCGAACTAAACTCCACGGAGCTCGTGCATGATGGAGTTAAGTTGCCATCAAGGTCTCTCGCTCTTATTCTATGTGGCTATAATAAGATGAGGTGGCCAAGACACAATGAAAACCCGGGGTATCGTCATATTACGTTAAGACCTGTACGCTAAAATAGGCCAATGAAAACAATCAACGTCTGTTCCTATACTACAATGTAGACTGAAAAGAATGATCCGACCTCGCACTTTTGTTATCATGATCCCTTATTCGAACCAATTGAATCTCATCAGTTTCAGCATGACCCAGGGCTGAATCCTTGAAGCCATCTCCATGCGAGTCGTTTCGACTGAATGCCGTCTCTGCGTTTGACCCTCGGATTGCTGCGAATTGCCTATTTCCAGTCTTCGTCCTCGGAGGGCCTCTGTCGTAGCTAGCGTGATACCTTTCGCTACTGCTTTGCAACGCGGGGAACAATTGAAGGATAAATAGGCGGAAAGATGGCAAGCAGTTGCAAATAATGCCAACGTGTATCTCGATTGTTGACCAAAGGGCCGCATCCAGATATTCCCAAGTCGGATTCGTCGACTGTGCGCCGAATTTGACCAAAGAGTGAAGTCGGAGTATACTCACAACAGTGACGCTGAGATGATGTCAGTGTTTGTTTCCATCAAATGGCGGGAGGGTTGAGATACAAGGTGCCAACACAAAACATGCCCCCAACAGCAACCTTTTTCTTCCAGTTCAAGTGAAGTGAATGGATCTGGACCATCGGGATCGCGATCATCCATATGTCGAGTGTGATGCTGATTGCGGCGTTAGACCATGCAATTGCATTGATATCTAAACACTGTCCTTGATGCTCTCCATCCCACAGCTGCCAAGAGTAGCTAATTGGTTTGCATTGAAAAATCGTAATGATAGCGAAGAGAATACCAAATAAAGAGTTGAGGATGATGGTACCCCAAAGTGCTCGGCGGATAAGCTTGGATGGAAATATGCGAAGATAGAAGAATAGCATGGCGATCTTTAGGAGGGCGATTTCGGCAAAATAGATAACTTCCATGATCAAAAAGTATTTGCCAAAATTATAAATCTTGGCAAATTCCAAGGTCCAGATGTCGCGACCCATTCCATTGGGCACAAGGCCGTGAATAGCAAGGACCGTGATCGGGATGCTAACAAAGGCGCAGATTAAAGTAAACCAATCATCTGGGCCTACATCTAGTCGTGAATAGAGCTTCAACGCGAATCTCTGGATGATAAATAAACCAGAGATCACTGCAAGCACACCGGTGACAACGGCGTAATTGACGGAATGATGTCGGATGGATGCACTACAAAAGGTCATGGTTGCATTCTTGGTAGCTGTAGATATTATTAGCTTGAGCATCATGCCCGATTGCAAGACACATACTGAGCGATTCCTTAACGGTGCAAGTCCCTGCAACGCAAGCAGTGAGGTTTGCTTGCAGTGCTTCATTGGCGCAGATGCAGGTCTGATTGGTAGCGGAACATATCGAGTTGTCAATTGAAATCGTCAGACAATTGATCTAAATGACACGCATTAATCAAGGGGGCTTTTGTGGTAGAAGTGGTAGATGCAAACGTACAGCACAATCCGGCAGTGCTGATAATGCCGAGGTAGATGAGATATTGCCGAGGGCTGTGGGAATCGCCACCACGGCGACGAAGATCACCCACGCAGCCCGGGGATACCACATGTCGATGAATGCAGTAAATGGCGGCCGTAGAGGTAAATCGGCTAGCACAGCATTCAAGCAAGGTTGAAATGTTCAAAGATGTACGCACAATCATCGGCCCCAGAAAAAGGTAAGGAGGCGGGGCCGATTTTGTACGTCGATCTGGTTCCCCGGATTCGTGACAGGGGGGAATCTCGGGATTTCAAGAATCAGATCACAGGAGGCCCGAGCGAACCGTCTTGATTCAGCCACACAGTGCCGGTTAACATAATGCCATGGTGCAGATGTGCATGTGCAAGTAGCCGATTAAAGGGTGACTTGGTTGGACCTTGCTGGGGCTTCTGAGACCTCGGTCCTGGCTCACGTTATGTACTGCTACCACTGCACTCACTGCGGCACAGTGGAAGTATACTGCGGCGCCGCCAGGAATGTCTACAGGAATATGTTTAGACTGAGAGAAGCTTAGTCTTGTAGCCGAGAGCTTCGACTGACAGGGTCCACCCACACATACATCGCTCTGACAGAGTCTCGACGTTGTCAGACTGCCTCATCTGGCGTTTGGAGCGCCAACGCGCTTTGAAGTGTTTAGGCGTTCCTGGTTCTTCGCGTGCTGCTTTCCTTTTTGGTATTGTGACCGGGCTTAAATCTGACAAGTTACACAAGAAAGATGGCTGCCTCCTGTTACAGAAGCGCGTCCTGCAGGGTGACACAGAAGCGGCTGTGGCTGATTGTCGAAAGACGGCCCAAGAGCCCTTTAAAGTCTAGCGGGGCGTCCGAGGGGGAGCTCGGTTGAAGAAGCCAGTCGACGGTGTGTGGACGCCCGGTCGATAGTCCAAGGTGGCATTGCTGTATTCGTACACGTTCTCGAAGCGAGGGTGGGCAAATGAAACGCACAAATGAGGATAATTGCTTGATTGGCTCTTGACGGAGTACGAAAAAGGCACACATGCTGATATTACAAATAGAAGCCGGATTGCCGAACCTTTCGTGGGCTGGGGCGGGGAATGCCTGTTATTAGTACAATTTCTTTGTGAACAACGCTGCTCTCTATCCGCCCCGTTAATGATTTGTTTGAGAATAATTGATAATATGGGAGCATCGGAATTCAGATGCCGCTCAGCAATAATTTGCCTGCGAATTGTAAGCGTCATATCGAAGTCTGTCATGAAAACATGACGGAAGTGGGGTAATCCCGGTCTTAATACGCACCCCACGGAGAAACGCCTCACCACTCCAGCCTTGTTTGACAGGGGACTTAGTCCCATGTTACACTGACTGAAAGCTGCGTCCGCAATAAAGCGTGGGATATGCAAGTATTTGCATTCGTGCCAGTATTTGGATCTGGATCGGGAACCACTCCCGCAGATCCGGAGGTGGGACTGTGAAGATCCGGGGTCATTAGTTGGGTTCACAAAATATTCACAAGCCGGATTGTCATCTAGAAGACTAGAACCCGCACACTACTGCATCTAAGATTGTAAACCCTGTCCTAGTAGCCCCGGCTTTCAATGCGTAATCTGCGTAGATGAGGCTAGCCCTGTCATGCTTGACGCGGAGACTTGGGCATCCATAGCTAGGCCCTTACAGTCACAGCACAAATTGTCTTCACTGCCGCTATCGCCATGATGCAACGGCGACACACGCCCTTTTTAGTGCCTTTCCTTATGAACAGTTTCGGTAACCACATCATGAGAAGGCACATCGCATCATGCAATACCCTCCTGGTTTGGATCCAGCTCCGTCTTGACAGCTAGCTAATGGCTATTCTACAGAACTTCAACCGTCACTTGGCCACCACTGGTACAGGAGCATTCCCTCCAGTTTGCAAGGTCACTGAGGCAATAATATGTTCATGGGGGGTACGATGAAGCGCGCGGACTAGACCAGCGGCCCCTTGCTGCCAAATCCGGCCGCATTTTCGTATCCAAAGACGGAAACGCGTAGCCGACGGCTATTTTCAACACGGCCAATCGGGGTCCGGCTTTTGTCGACTTTTTTAGGGCCTGGCAGAAGCCTTGATCTTCCATTCGACCAGTGGGACTTGCTAATCAGGTAGTGTGCACGCAACAGAAAGGACAATCTCCTAGACGATTGACATCTGAAACCGGATGTATTTTAGGCTTAATTGTGAGCCCAGTTGGTATCAAGCCTTGCTCTTCTTCATCCGTGTCATGGACTCGAAAGGAGTCATACGCACTCTAGCCTAGGTACGGCTGAATTCTCTGTTGGTAGTGAGATGGAGATGGGTGGCGGTCCGGATTGACTGTGCAAATGTGAAGTAGGGAACGACGGTGCAGGCACGAAGAGACTGTTGACAAAAAGCAGTAGGCAATATTCTCGATGGTAATTAAACACGACCCAATTACTTCGTCCCTGTCTGACGATGTCAGGATGGCTGAAAATAACCCTCGTCCAGTCGGAACTATGTTCACGTTGACCGAAAGCAATTTTACACGGAGGAAAGGTGAATCACAGCATATCGATTGAAGATAAAGAGCTCGTCGATGTCGACTTAGCTAGCACGCTATCGGATTATTAATGTGGACCTACCTAGACAAGGATCGATCTTTCGCCCTCATACGTCTTCATTGTAGCACTTTTGCAATATTCCTACGGAGGATGTAAGCATGAACCTGGAAAGAGGAACGGGTGCACGTGATGAATTCATTTATCCGCCAAGCGAATGAACGCTAGTGCAGACTCGTGGATAAAACCTCATCATCAACATAACAATGGCAACTTCACAGTCAGGCCAGTCGGACGAGCCTCCCTACCGCTCGTACAAAGAGCTTCGAAGCGATCATGTACATGTCCTCTTCTCTCCTACCATCAAGCGTCTCTTCTGGCCTCTCGATGGCGTCTTTCCCACCGCAATTTCCGTCATGAAGACCCCTCGTAGTGCGGACGATCTCGAACCCTACTTCCAACCAGACACTGGACGTAGTGGCAGCGGCACGTGGCACGAGATCTCGCAGCTGCCTCTCACCGAGCCAAAAGTTTCATCTATTGAGGCCTCAGTCTACGACCTCGACCAATGGGAGTTTGATTGGATGGCGTGGCATAGGGATCACACGGGAGGCGAGTTCGACCCCGAGTATGTCACGTACGGAGATCTCAGCGATGAGGACCGGCCTTACGCGAATGATTCGAAGCAGGACGGTAGCTGGGAGGAGGACTCGGACACGGAGTTTCTTGTGAAATGCTGTGGAGAAGACAGACCGCTTAGGAAGAGAGGAGTCAAGTTAGTGATCACGCCTCCTGCAGAGAATCACTTTGTCACGGTGCACGACTATGTCCGCGGTAAGTCTGGCTTCAAAGAGTTAACGAATTTTCTAATGATAATGTCAGCTGTGCATCCCTGGCTCATGAGCCTGCGTCAGGATATTTTGAAAGCTAAGACGGTTGCACGTCCTCAGCCTTATTCTGCGTCGGCGCCAACGGAATGGATGGTGAATGAGGGGCCGGAACACAAAATAGAAGAAAAAGAGAGCTGGATTCGGGAGCATGGCGGTGGCCCGCCTCGTGCTATGTCTGCCTCAACTGCCGCGATCCTCAATAGGATACGTGCGAGTAGGAATAGGTAGTTTAAAATTGATGCAAAACTTAACCATTACGTCCAAAGCATCAAGGCAGTTTTCATCCATCTACATTCAAGCGCAACGGTAAAATTTTCTCACAGGTATTATATTACATCGAAGCAACCCCCCAATAGCAATGCTAAACTATTCTTACATCTGGTGAACATTACTATTCTTAGTCCATCTCCTGAAGCTCTTCCCGTAATAATAGAAGAGGACTCCAGAAACACACCAAAGAACCGTGAGTCCCATATTGGTCATGAAGACCGGCAAGAACCTAGGCGATTGATTAGCGGATTGCGTCAAGAGACAACTGAAAAGTCCTCTTACCCTGATTTGATTGTCCACGGAGTGATGAACTTGCCCATTCCGTAACCCCACAGATTCTTGTTGACAGTAATGGCCACGAAAAGAGGACCTGCGACTGGCTTATAGCTGTCAACAGCGTAGGTACTAGCAATACTTGGCAGAGCAGCCACCTGGATGCCAGCACAAGAGTAACCAATGACCACAATAACAGGCCATGGCCACTTTTTCTCGTATCCCAAGGAAGTAACGACATTTCCCAATATCATGATAAGAACATAGGGGATCATAGCAGGGAGACGCATTTCTGGCTCTCGAATACCGCCGTTTCGGGTTGTTGCTCGTGCAGAGATCCAGTCACCCAGAGGACCGGCGGTGACGAGACCGATCAACGCACCAACGAGAACTGCAAAGTTCAGGAAACCTTTGAGAATTAAAACATTAGATATGACTCGAAAATGTGGGGGTTGAGGTCGGACAAACTTACCAATCGACTGGGAACTCATATTGTATGGGGGAGCTGCAAAGACTTGAGACTGGGTGAGATTCAAGATCAAAAAGTTGCTGCAGCTCCAGCTAACGACGAAGGAGGCGAACAAGACGATCGGAAACACGAATAATCTCCAAGGAGTCCAAAGATCGAACAAGATGGTCTTGAAGGGGTGTGCGTTGGGCTGAAATAACCACCATTGCTGCTTAGAGGGCGTTCCTCTACCCAAGTAGGGATCTACGTCTGTCGCACGTTGCTGTGTAGGATGGTCGTTTGTAGCAGATAGCTTCTCTGGGTTGTTATCGGTAGCAGAGTTTTCACTGTGCTGGCCAGTGCCTTTAACAGATGTATCACTCGCAACGGCGTCCGTTTGGCCGGCTTCGACTCGACTCCATCTGGTTTCTGGAAAACAGAAAATGCCCAGGAGAATAGACACCCCTGTCATAGCCACATTGAGCCACCAGAAGTTCTGCCAGCCGATGTGATCAGCCATAGCGCCGGAAATGATTGGGGCAACCTTAATATGTCAGTCATTTCCTTAATGATGGGGTAAATTAACTGTTACCATCAAGGAGCCCATGTAAACAACCCAGTACAGAGTGTTCCAGGTGCCGCGATCATGGAGGAAGTAAATATCTGATATAACGGCAGGTTGGAGGATCTCGCTCGGACCGGCTCCAAGACCATTGAGACTACCAAAACAGATCAATAAGACAGCCAGAGAAATGAGTATTTAACGCGATTACTCACACACAAGCACCCATGAAGACGCCGTACGAGGTAGCTCTCGCGCGGATGATATGAGATGCCAAACATGCCAACTGAGACGCAATGAGCACTGGGCGTCGGCCAAACGAGGTAGATATCGGAGCCCTGTAGCAGATGAGCATGTGTGGAAACGGAATCGGGGCGGGTGATCAACAAGGAGCACTAACCAGATAAAGTTGCTGAATCCAAGGATTAGGATTGTGATGCCGGTGAACTGAATGATATCCCCGAGAGAGCTTTTGTAATCGGCCATAAGGTAGGGAATCATGGGTGCGAGAGCCAGCGGGGCAAATCCCTGGGTGAAAGTCATGGTTGACACGGTAATGATGGTCGACAGTTTCCACATGGGTTTCCAGTTGAGGGGGTCGTGAGGATCCTGAGATGGCTGGGGAACAAGGACCCGATGGGAGTGTTCGCTCTTGATGAAGTGGTGTTTACCAACATCAGCCATAATCTCAGTACCAGGGAGCACCTCGATGTGGAGCTCATCCTGGATTTCCTCCCGTTCCTACGGATTGATGCTGGTTAGTTGTCACTGGTTCGTTATGTGGGGAGATTCAGCGTGGGAAACCAACCACTTGCAATGTCGCCATTTTGGACAGCGCAGGAGTGTGTTTGGTAATTGACGGCGCGTCTCAATGCAGATTGATTGCCTGGCAAGGAGTCTACAACCCAACATGGAAGGCAAGGAAGGGCTGTTAAATATCTAGTTCTGAGATTTGCCCAAATTGTACCCATCATCAATCTCCATCGACGCTACCCTCGTGGCTACCCTCGTGGCTACGCTAGAGTAGTATTGCTCACAACAAACGTTCCAGACCTCGGGAAACAAGACCCAGAACGCAGCCAGACCTATCAGCTGTAGGGTATGAGTCGATCCCTGGACGCTTTGCGCCACTCATATTAGCTTGCACGGCACGCGTGTGCCGATATCATTTTGCGGGGTAGAGAGTAGCAGTGGTGATGGGGCACAGAGTCGTCTTGTGATACCGAACCCCATGGGGAAGCTCGGCGATTGACTCGTATCTCGCTAAGCAAGCTGCTTTATGCGGAGCAATAGGGCGGTAACTGGCCGTCACCACTTACTGACTCCTAACTGTTAGTGGTTTAATCTGCAACGAGTACTTCCTAGGCTACGAAGAAGTTAGCGTAAATGATCTACCACCACCACGCCCCTCGCCTTGTCGGCCGCGGCATAATCTAAGGCCCATAGAGTTCACGCCACGCGGCAGTCGACATCGGCAACGCATTTAAAAGAGCTAGCCTTCAGCTCGTTGATATCACCATGGCCTAAAAGGGTTCCCAGCTCCGTGGATTAACTGGAAAGCGGTTAATCACAAAAGCAATGGCCCGAAACTCTCCAATCTGTCAGCGATGACAATAGTTCTGCACATAAGAGTCAGGCAGTTGCACCGGCAATTCAATTCTGAGCTTCAATTAGCAAAAGTTCTCCTCAGCACTGCAACCGTTGCAGCTGCCTGGTATCCAGAGCTCATCTACGGAGTCATCCGACATGGTTGATTTGCACTTAGCCAAGGCCAACAACGGATATCGACTCCTTACACAAGGGCTTGTATTCACAGCGGTGCCCCTTTGATGGTCGATCTAACGACACTGTCCGCGTGCCGATTGAGGAGCATCTGTCGGGGCAGCTTTTTTGCATCAGATACATTTTCGTGTCACGAGATGCGATATCAGGACAAGCTCGGACAGAGGACACGTTTATGACAATACTGACGCTCTTTTGATGGCCGTCAGATACACAAGCAGCCGCCGCGTTACCCCGATCGACGATACTTCCGAGTCGCAAGAAATTCCACGCCGCGTGTCGACCGACCAACAAAGTTGATAGCAGAAACTCCCCCAAGCACTTCAGAACCGGCCAGAGTCACGCAAAGAGGCAAGTGGCTAAGATGCGCAACGCACGCCGGCGAGTCTTTTATCTATAACAACTGTCCGAATCCTGGTCGCACCATTTTATCTTTATTGACGAGTCATGGAGCCACGAAAGAAGAATGACACGCTGAGCGCCGAAAGGCGTGAGGCCAGTGACGCCGGTCTAGGTCGCTCGTTTCCATCGCGGTCGTGGTTTTACTTGGCGCGGCAAGCAGACTCCAACTTATGCACGGCCGTTGACCTCGACGGCAATAATATCTTCGTCGCCTGTCTCCTGGCTTGCAGGGGAAGCCTGCTGCAGCCATTGTCATCTCGCTGACATATCCTGCACATCGGCAAAGTGGGATACATCCCTGGAGATAGCGTCCCGGAGATATTGTCTCCGGAGGGAAGCGTCCCCGGAGATAAGCGCGATATTCACCTGGGCGATCTTAAAGTGAGCCCGGCGGCATCATTCAACATGATCTGGGGAAGTCCCCATGGCCCCCGCCATCGCTTGTCAGGATCCCTGTGAATATTATGCGCGATAAGAAGGTAATGTAATAGTTCTCCGATGTGAGTAAACGCCGTGTTGGTATCAATGGAACAGTGGTTTCTTATACACACCCATCAGCCCTACAAATCGAGGTGACGCATGCACATTCAGTCAAGCGAGCGACATGCAGTTGAAACGCAACTCGAAGTGAACAAAATGGAATGAATACCAACTGTGGCCGCATAATTGCCGAGACTCAGCGCGTTGAGATGCTCATGCGAAGCTTCAATATTGCCAGTGTGAATATTCGCAGAAAATATGAGGCAACATCAAACCAATTGGCAAAATAAAATTGGCGAATAACATCATTTGACGGCAAACAAACTCCCAAGATTTGTGGTTAGGCGATGTGGCTTTGAGGTTAGAGTAGCAATCGTCTAAGCCAAGCCTGCAAAGCAAAGGCCATTCCCCAGACTGCATCATGACTGGATAGATTACACGGCGTGATTGATGTCAAATATAGAGCAAGTTAAATGCCACTGCCGAGCCAGTGTACAGAAAAGGTACATGCCGCCGTCTAGATCACATCCATTTCTAGCATGGCCGCTGTCACCGCCCTCGCTCTATGTGAAACCACCTACGCGGCTATTGCAGCAGCTCTTGTCGCTTTCTTTGTATTATTTTCCTACAGTTACATTGTAAAACATTTGATCAAGAGCTTCCACACATCAGTTCAGTCAATCCCTCAGGTGGTCTCAACCAAAGGCCTTCAAGCCCGAACTGTAGGGTAACGCAGACTCTCTCGGCGGCTCCGTCTGCACCAAGTACATCTCCCACCAACAAAGCGAGTCAATCTAGGTTTTATGCGAGAGCTGTACGAGGATTTGGTGCGACGGGAGCCTGTAGTAGATAAATAGATGTCGCAAAATGGGTAGAGGAGCAACAGTAGGTACATTAATGGAAGTGGATATCTTGTGGGTGCGCGGAAAGGGAGGTCCTCATTTTATCATAAGACTCCGTTCACCATTTCGGACATCGCTGTTTTAGCTCAAAACGTACGGAGTAAAGAAACGGGAGTTCGGCTCCGCGGAGACCGATGAACCCTTGCTAGCCCTAATCCGGTGGCCCCTTGATAATATCTACAACCCTTGTGATTGGAACAGCATCTGTAGTTCAGATTCAGCTAAATCGCCATCCACGATAAGTGACAGAATCTTCCACGAATCATCAGTGTCCTCTCTAGCAACACCGTTCGGCTAACCTTTTGTCAGTGGGCATCATAATCTCCCAGATTGCTTTGGCACTCCAACATGGCCAGTTTCTCGGTACTGATCTTTGCTGGCGGCGTCTAGCTCGCATCGCTAACCGAGACTCCCTACTTACCCTGTCTGACGTGTCTCAGGTTTTGACGTCCTTCATGATAGCGTGTTTTATTATTAATGTAATCAGCGATATTCCCTCGCTCTATCATTGTCCTTTTCGAATGCCAGTCAACAGTTGAAGTTTCTTCTTTACACGAGAAATCTCGTCCACTCCTTTCGTTTTGCTATTTTCACTACTCGTTCCTGAGCCGCACTCATTATCATGATAAAGGCGTCGCTATTGTTTTCGCTTGCCATTCTTGGTCCCGCGTGCGGTAGGCATGCTTGCAACGCTGGTTCACACCAGTCTCATCATCATGGCGATAGCTCCAGCATTTACAATCTGAAGACCTCGGAGACTTCGGTACAGAGTCTTTCTACCAGCCAGTCATCCACTTTCTCTACAATTGTTTCCATTTCATCTTCTACCACCCCTCTGCCTTTAAATACTTCTTTAACCTCGGCATCGGTGATTTCTCCCTTCTCCACGCCATCGACACCGAACTTGTCGGTTTCATTCCCAACAACGACGGTATCTTCACCAGCGTCCAGTACCTCAGTCTCTAGCTCGGTCGCACCGACCTCGACTGGCCTAGTTTTGGCACCCGCTTCGTTCAGCCATCCAGGACTTCTCCACACGGACAAAGACTTCGCTCGCATTCGATCCAAACTCGCCGCAGGAGAGGAACCATGGACAACTGCCTGGAACAAGCTCCTTGAAAGCTCATACGCCTCCTCGTCGTACGTAGCCAACCCAGTCGCGATTGTATATCGAGGATACGACGGGACACACGCCGAAAACTATGGACAGTTGTACCGCGATGTGGCTGCTGCGTATGTACTTGCTATTCGGTGGGCTGTAACCCAGGAAAGCGAGTTTGGCGACGCAGCCTTGCGCATTATGGATGCTTGGTCCTCGACATTGACAGCCCTTTCTGGTACCGTGGATGTCTACCTCGCCGCGGGTATCTATGGTTATGAGTTCGCCCAGGCCGGAGAGATCATGCGCGATTACGAGGGATGGTCCACTGACAAATTCCAGCAGTTCAAGGGCATGATGACCGGTATCTTCTACAAAAAGGTAGATGGATGGTTCACAGAACACGAGAACTGGGCATCTTATGCACCAGGGGTATACGCTAATTGGGACCTGAGTCAGATCGCCTCGGCCATGTCTATCGGTGTTTTGGCTGACGACGCAGCTATCTACAACCGAGGAATCCGCTGGTTCTATAACGGCACAGGCAACGGCCAGATCAACGAGGCGGTTCCATTCATGCATTTTTATGACAACCAGCTTCTCGGCCAAACGATGGAGTCCGGACGCGATCAAGGACACAACACACTGAACATCGCGCTTTTGGGCGTTATTGGTCAGACTGCCTACAACCAAGGGAACGACTTGTTTGCCTACAATAGCAGTATTATTCTTGCCGCGTATGTCTATATCTGTCTTTTGCATTTCCGCCTGTCACAAATTACACCATTCTATCTTCCCTCTGCTTGAACAAAGATGACGGTTCATTCAGTCTGTTACAACCCTCTGGAAGGCTGTCAGATATAAGTCGCATTTTCATCTTACTAACGCGAAATAGGTCCGAATATGTAGCCCGATATAATCTAGGCTATGATGTCCCCTACACTCCCTACGACAACGGATGGATAAACATGCCGACCATTAGTAGCACGGGCCGCGGGCAATTGAGACCCAACTGGGAACTACTCTACAACCACTATGGTGTTCTCAAGAATGAGAATGTGACATGGACGAAGCAGTTCCGGGACCTGGTCGTCTCGGACAACGGGGGAGCTGAAGGGGGATCTGGCAATTATGGTCCCAACAGCGGTGGATATGACCAACTTGGCTGGGGAACGCTGCTCTACACCTTGAAGTAGCAAAACTGAGTAAACAGTCGCCACGTATGGGTGAGTACCTTACAGTCGTTGAATCATCGGCCTTCTGGCAAGGTTTACTAGAAAGGCACAAAGAAATTGATCCTGAAGTGCGGATATGCGATCCATTTGTATTCACCTTCTATTTATGTATTTATTTAACAATTGCATGCTGAACATAGGGACCTTATCCCCTCTGTCGATTACTTTGTGGGGTTCTCCATGTGCTGTTGGATGCCTTCGTGTGTCCTTCATCACTTTAAGCCAGTAGCACTGCTATTTTACTAGGAACCCTGTGGCCACTACCAGAGGTAATAGAAGATCAAGAGGTCTGAATCGTGACTCAAGATAGACCGCAATGAATGAGTAGGGAGACATGACCAACAAGCGTTAGGTCATTCGCTATATGGTAGGAGGCAAAAACTACAGGTCAAACAGGGAGGCATCAAATAAGGTCTGGAATTGATATCTTTCAAGGAGGAAGTCTCTCTGTAGACAGTAAGCCGGTCTGAGATGCCATTACAGACAATATAGACGGCTAAAGACTCAACAGGGCTCCAATTCCAGTTGCTTGTTGGGCAAGCGAATAATTCTTGCTCAAACACCTCTTCATAAGCATGGAGTAGGCCGTACAATATGCTGGATTCCGTCAAAAGGCTCACCCAGTGGCCCTCAGCTCATCGAGTCAACTTCGTTCAGGTCTAAAAGGGGTCGAGGTCGCCCAGAAAATAGGATCTACTGTTGTTGGCATAAGGGTTCGGGAATGGCAAACATCAAGGAACCCTTAGCCGCGGTGGAGGCCATGGATAAATGGGTATTACGGCTACTACATGCCCAAAATAGGCGAGGCTGAAACATGCGATATCTACAATCAAGCAGGTTAATCAAAACACGATGACTTGCGGTATTAAGCTGCTTAGAGTGGCTCCTTCGACCCAAATTCGGGGCCCTAACGGAGTTTTCCCAATTGACGAAGATACAGAGACCCAATACTGTCACCATTCTGCCCCAATCTCTGGAGCCCCTCGTCTATCAATTGGCCCCGATATGCCACAGCTCAAGGTCACTGCATAATAGACATTCGAGGGATGCCAAACTACAGAGTAGATTCGTGAAGATGGGTAAGATTGAGACGCCGTGAGCATCTAACAGGATTTACATGCCTCCAAACTTGCAATTCAATGTGAGGTACCTTGATGCACGTATTTAGGTAGAAGCCGCCGCAGTTCCAGCACTGCATTCCACTCATTGAAATACCCTTCTTTCTTTTTTATCTTTGATATCATTCATCCCGTGGATCTGACACTTGACTGGGTAACTGGTACGCAGTTACTTAAGACAGTTCATCACCTTCGGTGTTGCTGATTTGAACATTTTGGTCTTGTTCGTGCTTTGGTTGCTTCCCCTGTTGCTCCTGGGCCTCGGAATGTTGCTCCGTGAGCCGTCTTCCAATCTTGACGATGAGCATCCTGGAGAATTCCATGATCTTCTGGCGTGCCATACGATTCTCTGGGCTGTCTGGGGGAAAATTGTTCACTTTATCCCAAAGGCCTTGTAAGCCTCGTTCGTAGTCAGTCTTTTCCTCATCATATAGCGTTGGTAAGTTTCGCATTTGACTTGGTCTATACATAGGCGGAGGCGGCCTGATTTGAGGTTGCTGAGGCTCGACGGAGTGCTGACTGCTGGGCTTAGACGGCTCTTGGTACTCTTGAGTCCCTTGCTTGTGAGGCGTATCCATGCGAACGTAAGAGCGCTGGTAGGAGTGCTCCCATGTAACGTTGCGAATCGCTTTTCGAACAGTGGTTGGCGTGTGATATTTGCTCGTGTGGTTTCTCAGAGCTCGAGCTGACGCGAAAGGAGGGTACTGACAACCGGTAAATGTGCAGCGGAAGCATCGGACGTGGGACATCTCGTGCTCCGAACGAAGCATCTCAGTCTCAAAGCCTAATGTTGTCCGTGGACAGGAACTTAGTCGGCAAGTGAAGGCTGCGGTTCCAAAGTGAATTTTGAACAGTTCCAGTTCGTCGACAGAAAGACCGGGGTAGTGAGTTTGGTACAGCAAGGATCTGACAACCTCTTGGTATGATGCTAGCATGATGGAGATGCCCTCAGAGACAATTGGTGGTTTTGACCGCTGACGGTCTGATTCAGAGGCTGAACAAGGGTAAATAATCTATTCGACAAGACCAGATTGCAATAAATTACTCACTATGTGCTTGCAAGATCCTGGACTCAAGGTTCTTCAGAGACCTTGCCTTCAAAGCTCTTTCCACGTGTTTCTGAAGTACCACGTGGTCTCGCAGAGACACCAGTCGCTCATCCATCAGGGTGGCTTCTGACTCACATTCAGAGGGTTGCTGGGCCTAACAGTTCTAGCTCATCTGCCAGTTGGCAAGCAAGGGCAAGCAGAGACGGGGATGAGGCTGTGTTAAGCGTATCAGCAGACACAGCATAAGAAAGTAAGTGTTCGGTCCAATACTCGGTGGCGTAAACGTGAAAGCCATGTAATCCCTTGGCCACCCGGAGATATGCATCCTCTTGCCGGTACGTATTTCCAAAAACTTTCAATCCAGAAAGAAGACAAGTAATGGCAGCTACCCCATGGTCGTGAAGTACTCGTTGCTTGTCAATGATGATGCTACTTGAATAGATCTGAAGGAACCTGATACTCGCTTAATAATTTATGTTCACCTGCTCATTTCTCAACACTTACTCTTTCACGGAAATGTGGATGAAGGCCAACGTTGAATCCTGTCTTTCTTCGATGAGAGTCCCACATATGTCTAAGATGTACTGGGGCGTCAGACGACCAATCTCAGGATTACCAGAACTGAAGGTGATGGCAGAGAGTAATTCGAACTTCTGGAGCGGTCTTTCGGCAAATGCAACCCAGCCCAGAACGCATCTGATGCGGTCCACAGACCGAGAATCCAAGGGAACTGGGATTTGCGTCAGAATCTTTTGGTAGCTAGTGAGAGAATTAGCATTGTGCACCATGCCATGAAGTAACTGAAAACGTACAAATCCGTGAGCTTCTGCGGTAGCTGATTTACCGATTCCTTGATTTCGTCGCCACTGAAAAAGATATTGCTCGCAAGGTAATCCATGACAAGTCGAGCATAGAGGAACATGCCTTGAAGTATGAGCTAATATGCCTCTGGATCATAGGTCAGAGGTCACTTACCGTCAGCTTTCGTCACAACCACAGTCTGGATCTCCTCGATTTCGGGCTGTTCTATGTCGAGCTGGCGGAGCTTTGTACCCAATGATTTCAATCTCTGGCCAACATATTGACAGATTGCCCCATGTAAGCAGTCCTTCTCTTCAGCAAGGGAAATGGTTTGCTTTTTTCGAAGGCGTTGCAATGATTCTGAAGGAGCACGACTCGAGATTAGAACCTTGCACACAGTACTCCCGGGTAAGGAGGGCTTGGATGTGAGCTGGTTGATCAGAAGTACTAGGCGCATCTGCTTGTCTAGCTCGCACTCATCCAGCCCATCAATAATGATCCAGATATATTCGGCCTGGTTAGGATCACTTGACATGCTCAAGAGAAGTGTGCGCAAGAGCTGCTCAAGTACTGCAGTCGTAGGTGACTTCTTTTCCAAGACGTATGACTTGTACACGTGAGCGACCGGATCGTCGTCCTTTCGGAGAAGTTGTAGCACCAAAGACATTAAGATCTTCTCATACATGATGGACGATGCATATCGATAAGTGCAGAAGTGATGAACGACGAATTTCGATCCTTTCATGAAGTTGATGAGCTGGGTGCACAGAACGCTTTTTCCTGTTCCGGCTGACCCCTTTAACCAAAGGGCTGGTGTGTCTGGTTTGCTATCGGCCCAAGACCTGACCTTTGGATTGGCCAAGATCCATCCACAGGTTCCTTGGTACTCTGTCGCTTCTGAAGATATGGAGTCAAAAATGGCCAGTTGATCGGATTCGTTGATTCTCAACCATGACGTGATCGATTCGTACTGCTTCGCGTTTTGCTCAACCTCCTCGCGGCGGACCTGGCTCTGGCTCTCTTCTCTCCATGTTCGAATATCTTCGCGCATCTTTCTTGCTTCTGCAATGTTGCGGGAATTTGCCTCCTGATCAATCAAGGAGCCATGCTGCTTCAAGTCTTCAAGGATGGTATTGAACCGCCTCTCGAAGCGCCCCCACGATGCGAGAAATATCAACTTCCAGCCTGAGAGCTTTTAGATAAAGTAAAGTAGCTCTTAACATGCAGTTGATACTCACCACTCCGCCGAATAAACTTGTAGGCATGTATATGAAATTGAAGAATATCAGCATAAAAAACAGCTAATGTTTGCTGAAACTCTGGTTCATCAATAAAGGCAACGCTGAGAATCTCAAACCGCTTAAGCGACTCGGCAATACCAGAATAACCTTTGATAATTTGTTCAAAAGCGTCAACATACTCAGAGGAAACTCGTAGGATAAGAGTAATTGGTGCCCATATCCATGGTAGAAATGGAGTCCCGTTACAGAGGACGTCGACGACTTTTGAATAGTGTTCAAGCCCTCGAAATAAGGGCACGAGGCGGCGCATATTTCGAAGGCATTGTTTCGCGGCAAGCTGATTCTCGAGGTCAAGCACAGCCTTTTTGACATGTTGGAGAGTCGTGCTCTGGAAATCTCGTTTGTCGCCTAGGCTGATTGTGCGATCAAGCTCATCGTAGGCAGTCTTGAAAGTTTGTCTCGCAAGAGCTGAGACTGCGGGTGCCAGTGGCATCTTGAGCGAACTGTTGCGCGACTGAGGTTTCTTTAGATATGGTTATGTGCGGATCACGCAGATTCCAGCAGAAAGGGCTTCATTCAAATGATCCGGGGATGCTTCGTAGACGAAGAGAAGTCCAGAGCCTTGTCTAGAGAAATCGGTATGTGATGAGGCACAGCCACCACCAAATGCGCAATTTTGGGGGCGAAGGTGCTGGCAGTGGAGTTGTTGCAGGGATGCTATTCCAATCAGCTTGCCTACTAAGCGCCGAGTCCCAAATATGCCACACGGGCTGTACCTATGACCTTGAGCTGAACATTGTCATTGCTGCCCGATACTTAAATGCGCTACTGATTCTGCCTCACGAGGCTCACCTTCTATTCCAGGGAGCTAGGGTATAATTGGCAATACGGACTCCGCTATAACGCACTAAGTAAACCTCTGACCGGCACGATTCCGTTTGTATAAAAATGAGGCTGTTTCAATCTCTCTGCTGTAGGCTCTTAGTAGGCTATGTTGCGCAGCCTGTTGGACAGGCACCTCCAGCCTCGATAAACAGCAAGGAATTCCAAGGACCTCCTCGATATAGAGATATTCCATAAGAGACCTGGGCACGAAAACACCTCCCTGGCGAGCGGGGCAAAGAGGAGATTCTGAGCAATACAACCATCAGGATTTCTACCCCAGCTTCCAGAATCATCTAAAGATGGACCCAGCTCAAGTACTGAATCAAGCACCCAAACGACGACGATTGCAATATGAAAGCGGGGAACAGGTTCAAGATGATGGTGACCAACCTTTACTCTCACGATATCAGGCAGCTTTTGATGCTCAACCGGCATCGTTGGCAGAGCCTCAATCCTGTCCTTATCCAGTATCCTATGGCATTTTGACTACCAGCATACCGCACCTAGATGCCCGAGTTGCTGGAGACGTCACCTCAACGATCATACCGGACCATAACAGCCATTGGAATACCCTAAGCTTTCAGTCACAGAGCGCACCGGGCAGTGAAACCCAGGGCAATTGTTACCAACCTAATGTAGCCAGTCCGTGGCACTCACCTGGAGCTTTCGCCTGCCATTCACCAAACCCATGGGGGTGGAACTTCCATGCGCCACCTGGGGCCTCAGAATTGCCAATTCCTCAACAACCGACCCAATACCACGTCCCGATATTGCCTGCAGTATTGTGCCTTAAAGAGGCTAAAACGTCTCTCGGCCTGTCTTATACTCAGGCAGGCCAAGGGAACGATCAACCTCCCTCCTCGGCGAGATATGCAATGTCCCGTCGACTTCAGCCAGGAAGAGCGAGTGTAGTACAACAAGCTACGCCAGCAAGCTATCATCAGTATTGACGCAGCTCTGAAAAAAGACCTCGAACCCTCTGGCCCGGGCACATACGTCAACATCTTGCAGCAAATTGAGTCATTGCGACTTGTCTGTAACTTGGGACTGCACTACCATATGAGACATGGCAAAGCACCGCAAGCTTCACGAGAAGTTGACAACTGGGCGAGCATCGCCCAAGGGGCTTTCAATGTGCAGCGGGAGATGGGGCCATTAATTTGCTCGCAATGTTCGTCAACGCTGGAGATCGCTGAGACACTTCTGGAGGACCCAACTGCCACACAACAGAGCCCTCAGTTCTTCAGCTGCCTGACATTTGTTTGCGCTGATTGTACGCAAAAGATTGTCCAAAACGGTCACACCGTAGCGTGCGGTCACAACCCCCGTTGCCCCACGGCACTCGTCTCTACACACGGCAGCGCTCTTGAATCGAGTTTAGATGAGATGGAGCCGCAAGTGGAAACAGAAACCCTCAGTCTGCCGTCTAAGGTAGAGGCTCTTATCGCAGATATTCCCGCCAAACCAGAAATGGTATTTGCTCATTTTCAGTGGGATACTCCGATAAGCCAGGATCACCATAGCTAACTCATCGCAGCATCATATTTTCAACCTGGAGAATAACGCTCGACATTGTCGAAGCTGGTCTAGAACGGGTTTCACTTCGAAGCGTTCGGTTTGATGGTAAAGTGCCCCAGAAAGAACGACAGAATATCATAGATAGTTTTAAGACTGACCCATCTATTCGCGTGATGCTCTTGACACTCTCTTGCGGTGCAACTGGGTAAGCAGCCCCTTCGATAACATCCTTGCCGTTCCGTGATTTCTGGATAACTGACAGCTTTCATTCTCACCTTGACGGTAGCAACAAGAGCCTACCTTATGGAGCCACATTGGTAAGCTTCACACTGAGATCTCGTCGGCATGGGACTAAATATCCAAGAACCCGAATGTTGAAGAGCAGGCCCTTGCGCGAATCCACCTCATCGGTCAGACGCAAGAAGTAACTACTGTGCGATTCTACGTGCGTGACTCATTTGAAGAGGTAAGCTACTTCGATGTTAGCTCGGTATCATTTCTAATCCTACGACAGCAAGTCATGAAGGTTCAAGAGTCGAAGACATATCTGGCCGGCTTGTTACTCTCGCCACACGACGAGGGACAGGCGGATGAAAACCCAGGAAGGTTGCAGGTTTGTGACCAGCCGCCCTAATTACCAATCTTTGCTGACGAATTTCCAGCAATTGTTATCTCTGATCTCGTGAATTGATGGAGCGAGGGACCCTAAACTCTTCAGGCTACGAACTAACACGCACACGCACACGCACACACCTTCTGTTAGCATGGTGAATTTTAATTGTATCTCCTGGGTCGAGCCCAAGCCTCGGCTCTTTTCACAATGTCCATATCTCGCTAGTTTCATTGCATGTGCACGCCGAATATCCGACCACCCCGCAGTGTAGGAACTAACAGGGGAGAGAAGTAAACTTAAAAGCCGGGAGATTTGAGAGTATCTAGATAGCGTGCTATGGAGAGAGCGGACAGACCTGTGAACTTACACAAGTATCGGCCCCGGACATGCCGATAACGAAAGCAAGCTCGTCTTTCAGGGACGTATATCAAGGCGGGGAAGCTGAAATTAAACGGCGGCCCTAAGTGTAAACCCAATGAAATCCCTGGTTTGTTTTCTCAATCGGGGAAACGGAACAGCCGACGGAGGCATCGGTTCAATTCGGACTCCCGCTAAGACTGATGATAAGCTCCACTTCTATCCCGCGGACACCGAGAACATGACCAAGATATCTACTAATATGTCTTGGCAATCTTTGATCCCCTGGACATGCAACGTACAGCTCTCAGCAATTTACAATTATTCAGGCTGAGGAACCATGGCTTCACAGACACATCTTGTCACCGGCGGCAGCGGCTTTATCGCCATTCATCTGGTCCATCAGCTCCTACAGGCCGGATATGCGGTTCACACCACTGTACGCAACTTGAAGAATGCTTCAAAAGTTCAGCCACTGCGAGGGTTGCAAGAGAAATATCCCAAAAAGCTTGAGCTCTTCGAAGCAGATCTGCTACAGCCGGGTTCATTTCAGGCTGCGATGCAAGGTTGCTCGGTGGTTCATCACGTTGCTTCCCCATTCCTTATGGCCGAGAAGATCAAGGATGGACAGAAGGAGATGGTCGAGCCGGCCCTCCAGGGAACTCGAAATGTGTTGAACAGCGTTAACCGCACGGAGAGTGTTGAAAGAGTTGTTTTGACATCGACCAGTAAGAACCAAGTTTGAGAACCCTATGTTGTTTTAATTACTAACGAATGTCAGTTGGCGCAATTTTTGGAGACTACATCGATGTCAGAAGTATGAAGGACAACATCCTGCATGAAAGCTACTTCAACGAATCAAGCTCTGCTACTCACAACCCATACCACTATTCCAAAGTCGTTGCCGAAAAGGAAGCCTGGAAGATCCAGAAGAGTCAATCACGCTGGGATATGGTTGCTATCTGCCCGGGACTAGTTCTGGGACCGTCTCTAACAACTGGATCCGATTCTGGGAGTCTCTTCTTGCTAGACGAGCTGTTCAGCGGACAGCTTTGGTTTGGCGTTCCCGACTTGAGCTTCTGCACCGTTGATGTGAGGGAGGTCGTCACAGCGCATATTAAGGCGGCAGAGGTTGCATCTGCAAGCGGGAGATATATTATCTGCCACAAGGAGATGACGACATTCCTCGACATTTCCAACGACGTTAGATCGCATGCCAAATCATGGACCCTTCCCCGCCACGAACTGCCGAATATCCTCGTGCGAGTGGTGGGCCCTCTGTTCGGTTTGACGCGGAAATGGATTCGCGCCAATCTTGGGGTCAGGTTCTCTGTCGAGAATAAAAGGGGAATTAAGGAGCTTGGTGTATCGTATCGTCCACTGACCGAGACATTAGACGATCACTATAAGTCATGGGTTGCTCAGAAAGGAAAGTAGATGACCGTGATAAAGAAGAAGGGGAAGTGAGTGTTAAGTAGCCTTTAATGATTGGATTCTCTTTACTCGTACTCCACCACTATATCTAAATATTTTGTACTATTGTGTGGGGAAATGAGCAACAGAGAGGCTCAAAGACCCAACAGCCTCGCAAAAGAGAAGTGGAAGCTATTGTGGTGGCGTGTGTTTACTAGTTCGGAAGGCTAAAGTTCAAGAGTTCGAAATGAATACAAAGATGAGCCAATAGGGATACCGCAACGGGCATAATTTGATTAAGCAAGTTTTAAGAGAATGTTGCATCAATAGGCTAAAAATACTGTCAATTGAACAATCTGTAGATAGTAACTAATTCAATTCCCCACACATCATGAATCGCTAATACTTAATTCCAACTCTGATACTGAGTGAGGGCGTGAGCAGAGGACGCTAAGAACACACAACCCACCCAGAGGCAGAGCTGTGATGACCGCGATAGTGTTGTGACGGAAAGGTCGGATAGGGTCGAGATTAAAATTTGGATAAATAGCTTGACTGAGCAAAATTGATGACTTTCTCAGCTGATACCATTTGATCATATGGATCTCTGAGAGGTCTCAAAAGAACGGGCCAAAAGATTGTAAATTGAATGAGATACTAAAAGAGATGATGACTCCTAACAGATCTTGTACGAGATCTTCCCAATTTCTGGTCCCAATAGGTCAGGCTACGGGCCTATGCGGTACGGTATTTCCTGTTGAAGGAAGCCGCTAATCCTGGTGCTAGTGGCTGCAAGCGTCTGATCAGATGACCTTTATCCCCAAAGACCGGAAAGCCCCGACTTAATGCATTAAAAAATATAATATAATTATGAGGTATTGATAAGACAGCTTGCAAAGGAGGATACATACGAAAGAGGGTGCATTGTGCGTCAGTGGAATCTCTGATACCCTGGACTAAATTGGGCTTATGTACTTCTACGTATTGTACTTACTCGGGCAAAGGAGGCGTACACCAAAGAGCGTTCAGGAATGTGCACAGGAATATGTCTCGGCTGATCGAGCGGTAACCCTATAGTTTAGGACCTCGACGACCGAGGCTCATATACGCACATTCCTCTGACATACTTAAATAAACTGTAGAAGTGGTGCTGAATGTGGTGCTGAATGTAGCGCTGAATGTTGTCTTTATTGTTTGCAAATACTGTATGGCTTTGATCGATTGAATGATACTGAGCTAAGCTATAGAAAACCAACTACACTGCAGAACTGGTAAAATATATGTCAATAAATACATTAAACTTGGCTAAAAGTTGATTTTATTTATTACGCTGAATTTTACAATACGATATCGCTTACGATAAAGCCAGTGGAGCACAGTGGCGTCCAGTCAAGATCACCCACGTCTCATAGGAGAAATCAGGTGCGCATTCAGCCGCAAACTAGTTCGTCACTAACACAGCCCCACGAGTTGGCCCGATCAGACAGGCAACTTCATTGATCCCAGCTGGTCTATCTGTCTCTTTTCAAAACACCGCCGACATGGCTAATCAATGGGACGCAAGCACGATCTCGGCCGTAGTGGCACTTGTCGTCTCGCTGTTCGCGCTTCTGGTCACCAGCGCTCAGGCGCTGCAGCAGTATTTCATCACCGGCCAACTCATCCGCCTCTGTGACAGCGTTGTATTCGGTCCCCTTCCCGGCCAGGGCCGCCGCATCTGGCAACTCTCCCAGTTTCGCTTCCGCGTGGTATATTCTATCCCTCAGATCAGTCTGCGGGCCGATCTGTGGCCGGAAGAGAGTCCACATATCAAGTCTTACGCGGTTGGAGAAGAGCCTCTTCCTGACCTCGATGAAGTTCCTGTGACCAAGGATGTTTCACGTAACATCCCAACCTTCTCGAGCTCCACGGCAGGCGTTGCAGCTATCCGACGCCGGTTTAGACGATCATCAGACTACGAAGTGCATGTTGTGGATATGACTAACTGCGCTCCGATTGATCCATCTAAACCTCGTCCTATACCGGGTAGACTGCATCGTCAGTTGAGTCGTTATTGGTATTCGACGAGCTTCTGGCTGGGCAGCCGGCTCAACGAAATCCGCGGAAGGATGCTAGGTCCAGCAAAGTTGAGAAAAGCTACTCCTTCGATTGAAGGATCTGTTGGGGAGGCATCTTGGGTGTCCTTCTGTAAAGCCATCAATGGACCGTGTGGTGCATCAGTGCGATATGACTCGGTCACCTACGACGCCGATCGATGCCCCTCAGACCTAGTCACTGCGCCGATGCAAGTTTCCATGAGGGACATTGCCGTGATGGGACTGATGACGGGTATGAGAATCACTAGTTGTTCGTTCAAAGACAAATCTGTCTCGATGCAAGGCGCCGTTGGATCGATTACTAGTTCTAACCATCCTATCCTCGGCCCAATCCTTCATTTTACCCCCAGGGCTTTCACGTCGGCGATACCTCGCTCTGTGCCTTTGAGTTATGGAGATGTCAGGGGAGTTGTTTCGGAAAGGTGGCTGGCGCGGACCTGGGATACCTGTACTGTGGCGAAGAGGTTCTTCAATTCGTTGACGAGACGTACTACTAGACGGTTAGATGATCGATGGGCCGGCCGCCAAAATCCCAAGCGACGCCCCCGATACAGTCGTGATGACAGCTACGACACGGATGAATACAGGTATCGGTTCCGACCGACGAGGGAAGTGAAAATGCAATTACCAGAGGAGAGATTTGAGCCCGAGTATGAGCGACCAGTCCCCAGGACATCGTCATCCACCAGAAGGTCATCTCGTGATCGACCCGATGATAAAGCAGATACCAAGGCTTCTACGTCGCAGTCTCGGGGTACCCTCATCACCCGTCGGCCTAACGATGGCCCTTGGACTATCATTCTGCCTGCTCCGCCTGCTCGATTGGAAATGAAGAGGGAGTCGAGAGGAGAGGCAGAAGTCCAAGCCGCGAAGGTCCAGGTCAAAGCCAAGGAAGCCAAGGAGGCCCAGCCTCCACCTCCACAGCCATCTGACCCGGCCGTTGACTCGGCCTTGGCTGGAAAGAAGGCGGGTAAGGAAGTTCCAGGCTCCAGTGTGCCAGGCATTGTCACGGATATGCCGCTTGAACATACGCAAGAGCTACAGCCTGAAAATACCAGCGACTTCGTACGAGAAGACGCCAAGGAACCTGGAGAGAATCTTTACGATCAGCCTCCGCCAGTTCAAGTGACCGCATTTCACACTGAAGGCCAGATAAGCGAGTCACTATCCCCGCCAGAAGGGGCAGAGGTTCAACAACCTGGAAATGAACCAGCAAGTGTCACTATGGAGACCATAGATGGCAAGGCGCCACCCGTAACCGAAGCTGGAATAGGCAGTACGCCCTTTTCTTCCCAGAGGCCATCCACTACTCTTCTCTTGACACAGGCGCCACACTGGGAGGAAACGACCGCGGAATCACACCGAGACTCAACTAGCCAGAAGCGAGAGAAAGGCGAACCTCGAAGGCAGGCCACGGTAGAAGACGAATATGAGAGTACAGAAACAGAAGGGGACAGTCACCGAGAAGAATCAAAAAAGAGAACTCCTGCGGCCAGGTCAGAAAGCCCGGAATCGCAAGACACGTCTATGAACGACCGGAGCTATGCTGCCAAGGTGCGACAGGCTGCGCGAAACGAGCGGATCCGTGAGATCCAGAGAGACAAAGTCATTGTTGAAGAATCAGAATGGGAGAGACGACATGATAGGCATAATTTCCTACTAGAGTACCCGGAGGACGGGCCGAGCTCAAGCCCGCGAAGGCGAGCTTCTAAGACAGAGGAGGAACTAGCTCGTGAGAGAGAGATCGAACGTCAGCGGAAACGAGACGAGAGGGAGCGCGAGCGAGACAGACGGAACAACTCGCGAGGGAGGACCGTGGCTCTCCAGCAGATGGACCTGTATTGGTTCTGTCAAGTCGACGTCTACCAAGGATTCTGGGCAACGCCGTGGGAGTCCAACACGCCTCATCTAACATCACTCGTCGGATCCGTCACGGTAATTCTGGAAGCGCTGCTAGGGTTCCTAGAAGAGAACGCGAGCCTCGTCTACTGCAACCCCAGGCACTTCGAGATGACCCGTGAATGGATCTCGCGCGGTAACATTTCATATCCGGCCTACGCGCATAACGCCCGCGGAGGCGTTATTTCACAAGGTCTCTACAAGGGAGTGCATGTGTCAGCCTTCCAGACACCTATTCCCGCACTCGAGCTGCTCATTTCGTACGATTGGCAGGTATCGATGGATCTGCACAACCAAGAGACCTACTGCGAGAGCCTGAACGTCGAGCTCATGCGGATCGACTCCTGGTTATCATATGTCGGTCGTACTTATGAAATCTCACACGGGCCTAAACAATTGCTCAAGGAGGCGCCGGGGTACGTACAACTTCTCCGTGAGGAGTTTGAGCTCGATTTCATGAACATCGACCTCTCGGCCAAGGAGGGCGGCTACCAAGACATCAAGGGCCTGACCGAGAACGTTATGGATTTCCTCACGGATGAGGAGCTGAACGAGGCGGAGCAGCTGTACATCCTCGTCGCCCTGCTCCGCGCCACGAAAGTGTGTCAGTTTGTCCAGGCCGGATCAAACACGACGGAGATGCACGAGATTCTTCTTAAGGACGTCCAAATACATCTCGTGTAGATTCCAGTCATGGACCTTTCCCATGTCAGAATCTGCTAGTCAGTATTTCATCTTTAATAACTTGTAAGTCAAGAGCTAGGTTCTGTTAGGCCGAGAAGCAGGGTGGTCCGTTCGGCGCGATTGATTCGAGTGATGCAGCGATGATATTCGGAGACAAACTCCAATCTTAATATTCTCTCCGTATGTAGAGGCTATCACCTAATTTCCAACACATATTCCCTTCAACTATTGCAATATAATACTAGAGAAACCCGCACAATCCTCCAAGCTCGAACGTTATCAGTTTGCCAGCCCATCAGCCAACATAGCGTTAATCAGCTGGCAATGTCGGTTCGCATTTGACTCGCTCCATTCGGTGTCGTAGTTCAACCCGTATGGCCAGATGTGGCCTCCTCCGCAGTTAATGACTGCCGACGATCCGTCCCATGTTCGCAGGAGCGCGGTTGCCGAAGGCCAGTTGTTGGCGTTACACCTGTCGGTGAAGGCTTGAGTCTGACCGATACCGAGAGTGTGTGCGATTTCATGGAGCGAAGTTCGCTCGTTCATGTACGAACGGTTCGAGCCGAATCGGATGTTGCCGCTGAAGCTGCCATCCGCAGTGGCCACACCGGGGACGTATTGGACCGTGATGGTTTTGCTTGCACGGGAGGCCAGTCTATTGTAGCGACCGACTGCCAAGTTCATAGCGCTTGTGATGCGGGTGTATGCGTCGGATTGGTCTGACGTCGGGTTCGAGACCCTTTGCAACGACCATGTAATGGTCGCTGAGGCAAGGGCGGCGTAGAGCCAGACGAACGAGAGAAGTGTGACACGCATGATGAAGGCGATAAGAGCTGGGAAGGCGTTGGATAATATCCGCAGTCAGCGGAGGAAAGAAGCTAGATGGCGGACAGGATAGAGATCGTGTTGTAGAATCGTCATGATGCTGAGCACTGCTTTATATATGTTCATCGTACATATGTTCGGCGAATTACTACCGTAAACCGGCAGTATTGCCAAGCCTAGAGGGGAACCCTGTTAATGGGTCTGCACTATACTCGAGGTCTACATTGGGAAGGAAAAACGAATTGCTCCAATGATTAATTCCCAAAACTTGGAAAATCCTACGTCATTCGGATGGACAACCCCATTGGGAATAGGAAATACGAGCTTTAACTAGTCCGCTTGGATGCTTGAAACAACCCCTCCAATCTTGGAAATAACCTTCCAGACTAGGTTGTCCAACAACAGGGGAACCCTGTTTGGGCAAAACAAAATAGGTCTCATCTATGACTATCAATGCGACTGGCACCATAAAACACAAGTTCAGCGTTGCAGTTGGCCCACTAGGCTGAGCTCATGACCCAGAAAGCCCTGCGCCCCTGAGTGAGTGAACGATAAACAACGGTGAGTATTACTGCAGGGTTTTGCCGAAGGGCCGAATCCGACTTTACTCAACTTCGGGACCCCTTTTTCTCTGAACGCTTGAGGCTAAAGGAGAATATAACTCCGTACGCTCCTGGTTTCCTGCTCGCAATACGCGTGTTGACCTGAGGCTAAGGAAAAGGGGTGGTCCAAGGGCTAATCCGACCGCAGTCGAAGCCTATCGTAGGCTCTGGCCTCTGACATCTTAGCCACATCGGTGAGCTAATGTGATCGCTTAATGCAGAACACGGATCATGGCTTCCCGGCATTACTAATATTCTCATGTACATTTTGGCCCGCTCATCTCGCATTCGGATCATCCTGTCAAGGGTTGGGAACCAGGCGTAGGGTACACTAATATTCTATTATTGTGACCTTAGACCGATTGTTTTTTGCATGTCTTGCTCTCTAAGTCGGAATTTTCTCATAGATTTGCTTTGGTTAATGCCCCTGCTGGTGAACAACCGCTACGGCATGAATTTACCCAGTAAATGGCACAGATGGACTTGAGTGACCCGTATGCTACCTCCCCTAACTCTACAATGTCCCTGCTATTGGGTGCAGACACAAAGTTGAATCTCAGTACAGGATAATATTCAGAACATCATTCCCTCGGCCACTAGTCTCGAATAGAGGTTACTCTCTTTGGTAAGTTCCTTGCCAAATCAAAACCAAGTAAAAGGTTCAGTGCTCACGCTTGAACCATGGGTCTGGGAGAACAAATCACTACCTTTTGAACCTTCTTCAGTTACTCACCGCATCCCCTGCTTGCTTTTCAAACTACCAAAGTCAGGTAGCAATGATGTATGACTCCCCGGTTCAAGAACGGCCTAGATCTCGCATATGAGGTGAACGGTCACATTCTTGAAACGGATCCTTCGTTCAAGCGTATTGAGCTTTTAGCAATCTAGTTATACATACCTCTGTCTCGTTTAATTTTCTTTCAATTTGCCCCTTGTCCCGTCTTCTATTAGCAACCCACGCGTGACAGGCGGTTCGCACATGCCTCCCGACTGGCACTTACACTCGACTCGATCTCATTACACCAGCCTCCAACGAGCCCGTGCTGGGGCTTTTTGCATCTAAGCTCACTATCTAGAGGCCTTTTTATAATGGGGTCTGGAGCCCGTGACCATCTCAATCATTGGATGTTTGCGGACTGCAAATCTTACTCGAGTCTTTTGGTGGGTCCACTGGTCTGATCATCGACGACGATGGATCGCGAGCTGGGGCTCTTACACCCACGTTGTCAATAAGCAGATCGACCTCGATAGTGACTATGGCTGGTGCTAGCGAGGAGGATAGCCTCTCCGCTACTTCTTTTACGGCGCCTTCGAGATGTTTTTGAGCTCCGAGGTCGCCATTGTGCAATATTCCACTATCTAGTATTAGGCGGATTTCCTGTGACTAGGTACATTGAGAACAGAATCATATTTTTGCCACTTTAGCAGCCGAAAGGGACAAGAACAACACCCAACTCATTAACCTACCCTAGGGAAACCACACACAGAAAGTCGTCGCGTAGTCATCTTGGCTGGTCAGCCTGAAGCTGTACCAGATTATGCGTATAAGGTCGGAGCAGTCTGATTTCTATATCTTCCGATAGGGAAGTATCTTATGAGAAAGGATCTTGGGTTGGTCGCAGGAAACTTCGCTAGTAAGATATCAATTAGGTCTGCAGCAGCCCAATATTAAAGGAAGGTTGAAGATAGAGGTCGGGCGAGATCGCGATATCAGGTGGACGGACTCAAATAAATCTCTTAAAATTAAGAACGGCAAAATAATAGATCCTCCTTCCGCCTCGAGACCTTTCGGTCTCTCTGACTTCCAGAAAGTATCTTAAAAGGAAAGGAAATTGATGTCTCCCCTCCAGCTTGATTCCAGTTGATCCTTTAACCTAGCCCGGACCACCCTAGAGGCACCCCAGCAAGCGACCAGCTAGCCCAAACATTCCAAGTCGCCTGTCACACCATTTTTCTCTATTTCTCCACGCGTTGAAATATTGCTTTTCTCAGATGGAAGCGTAAGTAGTTCATAGGCGCCGATGTCACTCACAAAACCCCTCTCTGCAGCGTCGCAGTTTCAAATGATGTTCACATCGACTAAAGAATTTGGGACGCTACGTTGTATTTTGTCAGATTTCGCTGATCCATTTAATATGGCCTAAACTAGTCACAGCTGATCCCACGACTATATGAAACTCTGATTACTCAACCGCGACCGATCTTTATAGGTACAATACGACACCATCCCGGGATCTCGCTTTCTCAGTCGCCACGATGGGCACACCCAACACAGCCGCGGATCTACGGCCGTGCTTCACACCATCTCCCATTTGAATGTTACACAATCGCAGGGCCCGAATGCAGCTAAGTTGGGACTAAGCAGCTCAACCGCAGGGCAACCAATCGTGGCACTTGAATGACATCCTTACCAACCCCGGACTATTTCTTGCCGCCCGCTGTTCAAGTCCTGATGGCACAAATAACATGACCCCGCAATGACAGATAATTGTGAATTATGACTTCGTCTACCCACTGGTCACTCCCACTCGCCTCCCTCTCAACTATACAAGACCCGTGAAGACAACCTCAGCACTAGACCAGGCTCGACGGAAACGCGTGAGGCTGACTTGATATCTTCACCAAAATCGAATACAGTGATTGATATCTGAGGCTTTTTTCCTTGCCGTGTTTTGAAGCCGCGTATTGCCGCGAGTCAGTATCGGATTCTAGACCCGGGAAACTTCAGCCATTCGGCGAGTGCGCTTGCCCCTAGATTAAGAGCCATCGTCTAGGCGTCTGATCTCTGGGCCTGCACGTGTCCGGAGCCGTAGCCGGATAAGCCGCAGTCTAGTCTTGGCTCGATGCTGACGCGACGTAACATGGCTTTGCATATCCATTCTATCTCGCCAAAGACGGTGAAGAAGAGGGGATTATGTGGCGGCCTGGCTTTCCTCAAGTTTTATCTAATATCTGCAATGGTGTGCCGGCCGGTATGCTAGCCTCAAAGAAGCTAGTTGTGACCCTTCTCCGCAAAGACGCGAACACATGCCGGAAGATGATCCCCCCTCCCCGTCATTCTACTCGCGTTGGCACTCATTTTTTGGCGACTTCAGTTGTTCTATGGTCACCGCCGTTCTTTGATGAAGTCTACTCTCGACTATCAAATCCTTGATAAGTGCGAAGTCGTGGGCTAGTAGTCGCGGCCATGGCAGGGCTCCAAACGAATGTCTATGTCGCCGCCATCGTCACCTGGACTGCCGCCCTTGTGGCGCTAGTACTTCGAGTAATCGCACGGCGGATTACGAAACAGCGTTGGTGGGTCGATGATTACTTTTGCGTGTGTGCCTTTGTGAGTCTATCCGCCTGCTTCTTCACGTATAGAAATACTTACAGGCTGGAGATATTTGCGAGCAGCTACAACATCCTCATGATCATATGTAAGAGCTACGCCTCAGGTCAATTACTCCCATGCTAATGATATAGGGGCTGCCCGTTGGAACCTTGGCCAAACATTCCATCCATCCATCACTGAAGATCAAAGAGTGGAGATACTTGAACACGGCAGACGTCTCATGCTTTGCTGCGAGTACTTCTATGCCTTCTCAATCGCCTCAACAAAGTTCACAATCCTGACACTCTACTGGCGGTTATTCAAGCTGTCATGGATTCGAATTCCGATCCAGATTATGTTTGTCATATCCGCCATGTGGATCATTCTCCGAACGTTTATGGTATCCTTCCAATGTATCCCCACACGATACTTTTGGGATAAATCGATCAATGGCCATTGCGCCATCAACGAGTCAAAGTTTTTCTTTGGCACAATCCTAGCACATTGTGTGATGGATATTATTATTCTTGCCTTGCCGATTATTGAAATCTGCAAATTACATCTTCGACCTCGTCAGAAGCTTGCCGTTATTGGACTCTTCTTGGTTGGCTTTATGTGAGTTTCCCCTGTGTCACTTGGGAAGGCGGACGACTAACGAGGTAGTGTTTGTCTCGCCTCTATTATTACCATTGTTGAGTCAATTCGATTTAACCCCCAAACAACGGAGCTGCCACGTGACGTAGCACTGGGTTTTATCTGGAGGAATGTTGAGATTAATGTCGCAATTGTGTCTGGTATGTGTTGAATTCCGTCCATCAGCCCGCTTGGCTTACCTATGTTAGCTTGTTTCCCATTGCTTCGACCAATTTTCCGCCGCATCTTCCCCTATTCATTCATCGGCTCGTACAGCAGGAGCCAATCTATCAACCGAGCGGGCCACATCCACCCCATCAAGCTGAGCACGATCCCAAGGACCAGTGAAGGGGAGGCCGATGATTCGAGCTCCACTCGTCAACTATCAAATCATATGCGTGGTTTACATAACTCGTTAGATTTTGGTCACGGTCAAGAAACGATCCAGACCGTGATATCTAGTCACTTGCGCGATTCCCGAAGCTATACTGGTATTGAACACGATATGCCTGGAATATATGTACGAAATGACATGGTAGTAGAAGTGGAAGAGGTCGAACGTTCGTACGCGATGAAAATATGATACCCAAGGCTGCACTGAGAATTCTTGTATACCTAGACTAAAGAATTTTATTCGAATGAACAAACAATAAATCACCAATTTCCATATTAAATGCTACCTCTGATACCTCATTATCGACTTCGGTTGATGGTCATGTCTGAGTTGGGTTAAGATATGGGATTCAATTCCTACTTCAATCAGTACCACTCGCAAAACGGACGGCTTTTCAGCTCAAAAGTGCATGGTTTTATGGAAAAATAAAATAACGATACCAGTATTAAGCATAATTAAATTCACCTCTTCAGACCACCGTGATATTTTAATTGAACCTCTCCACTCTTAAATTATGTCTGACAGTCAAAATCTGAAAGAATCTATAATTAATTCCCCAAGCGCTAGATATTCTAAAAAATTCAGGATGGACTGGTCCATCTCTGGGGGTTTCAGCTCCGGGTCAATCAAATTTTGGATTCCATATTGTGAAATTGCATTGGAATTCATATGCTCTCCAGAGATTTCCATGCTTTCCAAAGGCATGCCATCAGTTTCCACATCAAGATAGTGGTCACGGGTTCGGCCATGGTGTTGGTGTCTCCTTTTTGTCCATGTCAGCACGGCAGAGACCATGGGAAGCGGAAAACGAACTACAAAGAGCGAGAACCTGGATCAACGACGGGGCGGGTGGTCAGCGGGCGGCGCGCGAGAGGAGGCGGGAGATGGTGATGGTGAAGGTGAGCTGGCAAACCAGCCGGCCAAAAGTAGGTGAAAGAAGATTGGGCGAAACGCGCAACGAGAAAGAAAAAGAAGAAAAAATGGGCGTGGGCGTTGGAAATGAGTAAGAGAGAAGAAGAGAAAAGTAGAGCAGACCACAGAAGAGGACAGGGAGCGGAAAAAAGAACCAGCCGTGCTGGCGAATAACGGAGGAAGGTGCCAGTGCTATGTTGGGGAATCGACGCGAGCAGCAGTACTGATAGAAGGCACGAATGTCCCCGTGCACAGGAGCTACCATAAGTCTACCATAGAGGAGCCTACCATAGAGCACTCTACCATAGAGCAGTCTACTATTAACCTACCGGCGACGGGAAACTGGTATATGATGAGCTATTGAGGCTTGGGGGTTCTGGTTGTACTTCGGGGTCCTCTATTGGAAATGGAGGGGCCTCTAGCCTCGGGAAGGTTCTGGTAGGTTGGTTAGCCTTCGGCCTGTTGGGTTTGTAGGAGCTGAGGAGAGAACAAAGTCAGGGTGAGTTGAGTGGGATAAAGACGTGATGCCGTCAAAACTCACATGGTAAGAATAGATATTTCATCTGCTTCTATTCTCTTCTTCAGACAGTTTGCCGAACTAATTATTATAGCATCTGTTCATGTAGGTGCAGACTCGAGGTTATGCTTCTGCCATCATAAAGGCTAAACATTAGAAAAGTCAATATCTGCCCCACGAGAGCATCACCTGTCTTTCTAAGTTTGCAGGTACCCGGATAGTGAGAAATCAAGCAGATATTTAAGCAAGAGTACGTCCCATCTTTCATGCTCCCCAACCTAATAATATTCAGCTTCTTTCATAATCTTCGTCCCAAATCTACAGACATGAAGACTCTCCTCTAGGAACCTCGAAGTCTTCTTAACTGCTATTATCACTTGAAGAACAACCCTCGAGCCAACAAACACTAAATAATATGGCTAACAACAACGCACCACGGGCACATCGAAGCTGCAGAGAAGCTTTCCTGAATGGGTTGCACTACCGGGATGAGGAGGTTTATCAACGTAAGGAGCGAATTATCGCCGCTATCAAGAATTGGATCCACAACTGGAATGAGGAGTGTTATGAACGTGAGGGTCGAATCATCGCCACTGTCGAGAATTGGTTCCACGACCGGAATGAGGAGGCCCGTCAAAGTGAGGATCGAATCTTCGCCGCGATTCATAATCGGTCACATGAGGTTGATGAAACACCAAGGGAATATCGAGGTATCAGAGGATCTCGCCGGAATAGATTTCGTCAGTGGCTTGAAGGCGTTCGTTATCGTCACTATGAGTCCATCGCTTATTGGACTCGTTCACCTGATCTGCTACCGACTTATCAAGACGCCTGTCGATGTGAGACTCAAATCATCGCTTCTTCTCTCTCACATGATCTGCCACCGGCTTATGAGGAAACGGCGGCATTCAACCCCGATCCAAGAGATGCGACGGGTCACGCAGGACCTGCAGTTGAATGACCATCACCGGTGTCGACTGCATGAATCCAAAGAAGATGCCACATAAGGAGTATTGGAGTATGCTACAGTAGGACCTTTTGAATACCAGTTGAGAGCATTTGGACTAGTTAGCCAGCATTAGCCGCAGGAAATAAAGAGCCATAAGGGAGAAGCCATAAATTCTTTTTTTAAAGCTCAGGTTTATAAACTTGAGTCACATACAATCAACATAGAGACAGAGACGTATCCCGGATTCCCTTTCATGTACCTCCAGTGCATGATTTTTCGAGGGTGCTGGTATGTGTTTCTACAGGGGGCAGATTTCAAACCCGCCACCTCTGCTCGACGGGTACAAAAGCGGACACCCCTGCTCAAGTGGGTTCAAAAGCAGATACCTCGGAGAGGAAATGGGACTGTCTAAAGGTGTCCACATCCCTTCACTATAAAGTCGCACTCATGGATCTTGTGATCTCTGGGTAATCCTCTACAACAGTATCCGCAATAGCTTCCTCTTCCTCCACACTAGCGGGATCAAGGGACATGAAAGGGCTCCTCTTACTGCAGTTACAGATGAGGGAGGCATCAGTTTTTGTGGAGTGGCATTCTGTCAGCACACAATCTACAGCAAATTTCGTAATTACCCATATCGGCTTGGCACAAGGCTTACACCCAGAACTAAGGTGGTCTAACCGTAACTTAGGAAGTACTCGACCGTCCTGTAAACCTAGGCTGCACTTGGGGGATATGCTGAAGCCTCCCCGATGCTATGAGTGCCTGCATAAGGTCCCGGTCATCGGATTCGAGTTGCTGCTAACAGACTTAGAGGTGAGCCATTTAATGGGGTAGGCAGGGCGCACCGTTTATCGAAAGCCGAACAGAGGGCCCGAGGCAGTTTGATGGGTGCGATGCGTCGCGTTCATGGGAAGCCTAACAGGGAACACTTGCATACTTGCATATGCGGTTGGTTTGCGTTGTGGGTGCTCGTTGAAGATTCTGTACCGAAGTATATGATTGGCCGCGTCGACCGACTCGAGGCGTTCTCGGACAGGCTTCGGCATATTCGCAAATGTAAGGGAGCGAACAGCACCAACACCATATCCTTCGAGACTTGATTTGACGACTCCAGGGAACCAGAGTTTCTCTCCCCGGAATGCTGAGATGATACCCCAGGCTTCGCCTATCTAGGCCTTGATCACCTTCGATACCTCCATAATCTTGAGAGCCATGGCAAAGGAGGGATAAGCTTGGTCACTCGTTAGTAAATAGTATCAGAGGATATTAATCAGGATTGGAGGAACGTACATCGTCTATTCGACTTGACGTTTACTCTTCACGGTGATTCTATCGCCGGCCTTGATTTCGAATTTTCAGGATGGAAAGCAACCACAGGCCACGTCGTATTTAAGACGTGCGACAGGTTTTCTCCACACCAAGATCTGACATGAACCAATCGCTCTATAACACGGGCTTGCGGAAATCCGGACTTTCGCTAAACGCGAGCCGCCGGATCTTGGACCTAGAGCTTCTGGGTTCCAAGGATCAGTGGATGGGGCGGCCATGGGGCTAATAATTGTCGGTGTCAAGTCAGTCAAACAACTGGCTTGGTGTCTAACGTGGGGTTTGCCAGACCTCTCATTAACCCTGCCTGAAGTTCATTTATCTGACCTTTGTAAAGAACCCAGCTATGGCGTTTCAATATCTTTGGTCAGATCCCCGTTTCCCATCTATTTTTGTTGGTCCGTTCCGTCGTGCCTGGCTTTCCACAGCGAGGATACTGGATTATGTACGCACCATTCATCTAGATGCGGTCAGTGAGATAGTCGGAGCTTTCTAAATCCGGGCTGTTCGGTGGATTAATCTCAGCTTAGGTATTTAACGATAGTCATCTCGCTACGCAGGAAACGGCATGAATGGCGTCTTCTCGACAGGCTTGCAAGTGAGGGGCATGAGGCGCCAATATTACCCTAGCGTCACGCACAAAGGAGAAACGGAGGCCGCGGACACCGTCAGGGTGAGACAGACGAAAACCACACCCGTTAATGGGTGCCGCGGAGTCCGTAGCTGATGAAATCTTGGCTTTCTGGTGGACGAAAGTGCGCATTATTTCTTTAACATATTTATACCGGGCATAATCCAAACTGTAGTAAACCTCCAACACCTGACTCTCAGTAGGGGATCGGACAAGGAATATAACCTATTGATAAACATTCCTTGTTATACGCAACGGATCGATGGAAATTTTCCTCAACCTATACAAGTGACTACTGGCCGCTTTTAATCAGGGATGCTCAGTTGCACCTCCGCATTCGCTCAATGCAACTCTGCCGACTATTTCTGTGCCACAGCGGACTAGGAACTGCTTCGTCTTTAATATGAGTATGCAAAAATAGCTCTTAAGGTGGTCTAAAACAGCTGTCTTAATGATAAAATCCCCCCCTGCGTAGGGTTCAAGTCAGGCCAGCGACTTGTCAGCCCTAATGAAAATCGAGCGCCGTAGCTACTATTCACTAGGGATCATGCTGGTGTCACGACAGTGGACTACCTATCATCTGGATGTGATAGGCACACCCAACTAGCAGCACAAAACCTGAAGATAGATATGTAAAGAATATTAAGGAATCGGATCTAGACGAGAAAGAGAGTCTATGCAGACGAGAAATCGTGAACGTGGAAGAAGTCCAAAGATTGTCAAATTAAATGCATTTAGCAGAAAATGCGGCCGCTCAACTTGTAATTACAAGACTATGATAAAATGAGTGAGATTCATCCAGGGTTTTTAAGACAAGGTCGGGAAATGCACCCATCAATCAAGAGGTCAGGGTGCCCTAGTACACACATACCCAGAGGGGGGACTAGAAGCTCAACATTAAAAGAAATCACCAACAATAGTATCAACAATACAGACCATACACCCAGTCCATTCAAAGGTCAACAGTATACTCAGCACCCATCAATAAATATGTAATAGTTGCTCTATCGGCCTAGCCCTCGATCTACCCGGTGCTAAACGGGATGTGTTCGCGTGTATGTCCATAAATATTCCTCGCCCGCTGAACTTTCTCTCCAGCTGCCATCGGGGTTTTCACATCTCGACACCACTCAGAGTGACCCTCAGTAGCATCGAACTTTGAATCTCTTCTGCTCGAGCCATAAGCTCTTGCGCGTCCCAATTGGCCCAGACAAATTTGCCCTTGAGAAATGCGGCTTCTTCTGACGCAAGCCAAACAAGAAACTCAGCAGGCAGTTCGACTAAGAGAATTAGATCGGAAACAAGAGAGAGAGTGCTTTACCATAACAGTAAACCGCTGTTGGGAGGGGAAAGATACCTGTATCAAACCCAGTAGTGATATTCGGGTTAATCTCCGTGGCAATGATGCCCGGTTGGATACTCACGACGTGAATGTCGGGGTTCTCGGAAGCAAAGTAGTCAAACATCTTCAGTGTAGCAGCTTTCGTTGCCGCATAACTAAATACTCCTGGAACTTCTGGAAGCGGCGCCCAGTGTCCAATGCCGGACCCTGTATTGAAGAGCTTGGCGCCGGGGGCCGCCAGCGGAAGAAATGCTTGTAGAGAGTTGAAAGCGCCCATGACGTTAATCTCGAAGCCGAGCCGCAACTGGGCCTCGCTGTAGCCATAAACCGGAGCTTCTTCGGGGAGTGTACCAGCATTAGAAGCAAAGATGTCGATTTTGCCCGCCTTATCCACGACGTTGTTTAGGGCTGTCCTGATGGAATCGATCTTCGTGACATCGCCGGTTTCCACGATAACCTGAGTCAAAGTGCCAGCTGCCTTGACCGCGTCCGCAGCAGTTTCGAGGCGATCGAGTCGACGACCAATAATGGCGACAGATTTGGCGCCAGCCTGGGCAAAGGCGATGGCAATGGCTTTCCCGATCCCTGTGCCTCCGCCTGTGATTACCACATTCTTGCCGGCTGCCGATAGTTCTGGACGCGTGGGCGAGATGAATGCGTAAGGCTTGTTGTGCCACGTGTTTGTGAACGAGACGAAACTGGGTAGGGGCGGCGACGTCATGTTGGAGGTTGGAGGTTGGTGACTTGGCAGCAACGGCGTTTCGAGAAAGAGTAGGTGTGAGAGGCGGTTTGAGGGTTGAATGGTTACCGTGATCTTCTTATGTATTTGTATCGTGAAGTGAAGAGGGAGTAGCAACTAGGCCACGGAAATAAGGGGCGAAGTCACATATTTATACTTCATTCTCGACGCCCTCTGACTAGGGGATGGCATCGCAGCGTTAACGAGGTAGAATCCTTCCAGCTTGTTCGGCTATTGCTCAGTCTCCATATCAAGCCATGGACTCACTTGTGCGCTGGCTCATTTCCATTAAATCTCCACGCAGTGGGGCAATTTGCAGCCGTTGTTTGTCAGCTATTGCAATGGAATGAGCCAACGTGGCCAGTCGTGCAGATCTCCGATTGCGGACGGCTTCCGTGGAAGCTGCTGAGCGGCTTTGAATTTGTCACCAAATCGGCCACCACCGGTCACGTAACTGAAACTACTCTGGCTGCAACACTAGGGGTGCTGCGAGAAGATTTGCCACCTCGTCAGTTTTTTTGCTTTGGGCCAAAATGCAGGTCATTTCAACTCCTCCGCGCACATCTCTGTCATAGCGCTCAACGATCCTAAGATTAGGCAGTCATCCGTGTAAATACGTAACATGGCGAATCTTAAAAACAATATCTATAAGGAACATTTCTTCTTTGTACGAAAACATCCAATGTTTAACTAATCCCGTGACTGCTAATAGTAAAGCGATTCTATTCCCCAACCATATTGATGATTCCTATTTATTTTCCGCTGACCCTTCTTGAGATATAAAGGAGGCCTTTAGCATGAGTTCCTTGCAAGCGTCTCGTAGTTTTTGAAGAGAATCGTCTGTTGTTTGAAGAACGATATCTTCCAGAAACAGCAAGGCAGTGACTGACAAGTGCATGTCAAGTTGCAGAAAATCGTGGAGCGGATAAACGACGCTGTTGGCTACTACACAAACCAAGCAAGCAATATAAGTGCATGCAGTCATCCTAATCAGATACTGTGTTAACTCCAACATCACACCCAGGCGCGCAGTTCTTACCAGATGAACGAGGCATCCTTCCGGTGTATACTCACGAAAAATGCCATAAATTCGCGACATTCGTGCACTAGCCCTTGCCAGTTATGAGTGAGTGACACAGGCGTATCTGTTTCCTCTGCGACGCTTCCTCCGCTATAGGCTTGGAGGTTTTCAAGCCAGCGCCTGTCCCAGGGATGCGCCTGGCTGGCCAAGCTCAAACACGCCTGGCGTGTAGCGTAGAGAACCCCGAAGTACCTTGATAAGGTGGGAGTGCCACCTTGTGATAACGCAGACATTTTAACTTGTGATGGCAAATGAGAGGTCCAGTCGTTCAGCAAATGGCGAACCCCTGCTAACTCTTTATTTCGCTGTTCGGGGGATACATTTTGTGCTTGAACCGAATAGAGGCAGTTGTATACCCTTCCCTGTATGTGGGCCAACTGTATTCGAGCACGCAGGAAGTTGAACTGGCTGTTTCCGGTGGCCATGAACTCTGCATTGTCTCCGCTAGACTCTTCGGGCGGCAAGTCAAGATCAATCTCAGTTTCGAGTTGGAGGGGTGGCTGCCTCGTGCGAAAACTGATATCCCGATCTAGAATGTATATTATCCAAAACACACGGTCTCTCTCCAAGGCCAGCGAATTATCCAAGTTCGCAGAGCTACTGCGGGTGTGGAGACCGAGTCCATGTGCGAGGCGTAGAGCAGTAGCGATGAGAATTGTTGCCGGTTTAAGATCCAGGGCCCCCTGGAACAGCATGGCCAACCCAGCGAGAACCTGAACATTCGTGAGGTCAACATCTCGCATCGTGATCTCTGTCAATACTGATTGCGCGTTATTGAGGTATTTGACGGGCTTTTTTGCATAATTCTCTTCGTCCGAATCGGCTTGGCAGTAGGCCAGAGCGAGGACTACGTTAATGGCGGCCCAGGTTGCAGAAACCCTCTGTTCTGGGTGCGAGTACCACCTATGTACAGAACGCAACAGCCTGCCAGGGTGGAAAAGGGGGAGGAAGGCGTTGGACGTTGTCAGGTACTTCTCCACTGCAGCCAGAACTTCTTGCAGTGGCGGCAACTCCATAGAAGGGCCGTGTGGTTTCCCTGCTGGCAAGCCCGGGTCATTGATATCTGAGCCTATAACTGACAATGAGGGGCTCCGCGCAGTGTTCTTGGGGACTGGTCTCTCTTCAAGCCGGTCAATCTTTTCAAGAACGTCCGCAAGACGTGTCTCAAGGTATTCCACACGAGATTCCAAAGGTGCAACGGCTGCGCGCTGTCTTTGCTTCCGGCTCAGTGTTCTTCGGCTGGTGGCTGCATAGGTGCAATCCGATGTGTACTGCTCGCAATTCGAACAGCGAGGCTTTTGCGCATTACATTTGATCTTCTTCGTATAACAGAGGTCGCACGACTAAACTCGATCCCATTAGCGAAATGACCCAGTGACGCACATATAAACGGCAGCGGGGGACGGCACGGACTCTCCGGGAAGATGCCTCTGGTGTCATGGTACGAGTATTTGGGTCTTCGGGGTACCTGGAGTGGTCAAAATGGCAATTCGAGGTGAATGCACTCAGGGATCACAGGACTAAGATCCAGACGAAAGCAAACGTCGATCAACAATCAACATTTCAAACAGCTTCCGCGGAACCTCGGCTGACAAATACGCCGGCGGGCTGAAGTGGGGGCCAGGCCGTGGCTCGTCTAGGTCACGATAGAGTCAGGATAAGGTCAGGATAAGGTCAGGATAATATACGAGCACCGCCATGTTCCATATTTCAGTACAGTGTACTACTGTACTCTATCACTCCGGATATAACCTCGGAGGGTCAGGGCTCAGTCTCTTGATGCCTTCAACGCGCTGTCGTGTTGCTATGGAATCACCCTGCATACGCGGGGCAAATGATTGGCACCATCACCGCAAAACGCGACGCACCGAGTAGATGTAGCGGAAATGTCAACACGCGTATGGGAATGCTGGACGTAAGTCTTGTGCTATCTGTGCGAATCTTGTTGTATCCCAAATGCCTACGATTCAGGTCCGCCTAGCCGTCTCTCCAATAGGGCGCGATTATCGAGTGAACAAATTGAGACGAGCGGCCGCCGATTTGCCTTCCCTCTCGCCCCCACATGTAGCAGACCGGCTTCTTGATCGGAATCAAGAAAATACATCCGAGAAGCCGATGGACATATCCCGGACGGTCCGGATCTACTTCTCACCGCCCGTCCCATTCAAAAGATAGGAGAGTTGGGAAACTCGAAGCCGGTATGTCGGTAAGTCTAGTGCCCGTTCAGTTGGCGTTGGCACCAGCGTTGTTCCGGACTTTCCGGTTCTTTGGAGAAGATCCCAGTCCGCGATCGCCGAGCCCAACAGAATCCCCGCATAGGATTTCTGACACAGGTCGAGGACTCCAGGACATTGTTACATTTTAGAGGGAGTTGCAGCAACTTCTTAGCGATCGCGAGGAACTGCGATGGGGAATAGGTCTTGCGAGCACCGTAAGAAACTCCCAGTTGCACACTAGAGACCCTGTAATATTACGGAATAAACTATGGAATAATGGCACTGAGGTATTTTAATTTCATCGAACATCGTAGACCCTGCAGAAAACAAGTTGACGATTAAGGTGTGATAAAATACTGTCGGGTAGTTATGACTCGCAGCATACATCTTCCTGAAGGAATGGAACACCCATCAAGCATTCCGTTACTACAGATTACTGACATTGAATTCTATGATTTTACAATCCTTTAGACTCCATACTTTATTTCTTAAATCGCGACGTCATGCTACCCTATCTTTGGAATAGTAATGATGGGTGCACCTCGTTAACCGTTTACAGCCACTCAGTCATTGTTCAAAACTACGCGCTAGAGATAAGCATGAAAGTAAAACGATATCCTTATGCGGAACTTTAATTATATTTCTCATACAAAAGCGTGCGTCGGCTGTTAACATTCGGCTCTGCCGCTCTCACACTTCGAGCCCCGCTGATCGCCAAGGAGCTCTATCACGGATGAGGCAGGTCACACTACAATCCCCGCACCAAGACCGGCATTTGCAACGGCGTGACTGGGCAGCGAGGATGAGCTTCCTGAACTGGCTATCACCACTTAGCTAGGCAGCAATGACGACACTGACAAGGTCAATCCCGAGCTCACTGACATCACAAAGCTGACGGTGTCGTAAGCTCAGAGGCCTGGAAAGGAAGCTGACCCGAGTGGCACGACATATCCACGGTAAGAGTTGGAGATCAGGATTGGCTCGGGTCATTATCTGCCCCATTGCTGGGCTGTTGCGGATGGTACCACGGACAAGCACAATTGTGGCATATCTTGGCAATGTGTGTCTATTTATATGGCTCTCGATACACACTGCTCCTCATACCCCTCACCAACACCGTTGAGAGAGAACAGGCTCTCACCAGATCATACCATTACGGGATCTGCATAATAATTACTCCCAAGGATGCGTGTTCAGCAGCTCTCTGTTCTCGGCGCCCTTGCTGCTACGGTGAACGCCTGCCAGCATGACTTCAATGTGGTCGCCCGGCACACCCACCGTCAGCGCGTCGTTAAGCGCAACGACCAGTGGCCGCCGATTTTGGATGATCAGGAAACACTTCTGGTCAATGCGTTTGATAATGTAACCATCGATGAGTGGTCCCACTACTACGGCTATCAGCAAAAGCTCGCTGGTTATGGCAAGGAAGCAGCCCAGTGGACGGCAGACCGCTGGAATGAGAATGGCTTCGAATCGCATCTCAAAGAGTACCACGTCTACTTCCGATACCCCGTTAGCGCGGATTTGCAGTTTACAGGTGCCGACGGCAAGACCTCGAAGGTTAAAATCGAAGAAGACGTCCTCGAGGAGGATGAAGTCACCGGCTTCGAAGGGATTTCGCAACAAACCTGGCTCGCCTACTCGCCAACAGGCAATGTCACGGCTGAATACGTGTACGCAGGGTAAGGCTCCAGAAAAGAGTAGCACGGCGACCAATGACTTACTGACGGGCGTTTACTAGTCGTGGATCTATTGATGACTTTGAGAAGCTCGTCGAGCTTGGAGTTGAGATTGAGGGCAAAATTGCCCTCATCAAGTACGGCGGCCTCTTCCGTGGACTCAAGGTCAAGAATGCTCAGGACTTTGGTGCCGTTGCGGCCGTCATCTTCACAGATCCTGGTGATGACGGCAACATGACCGTTGCGAACGGTTATGAAGCATATCCTGGTGAGGCCCTAAACAGAGATGAAGAAATGAGCCTCCCGCTAACATAACATCTCTAGATGGACCTGCCAGAAACCCCAACTCCGTTCAAAAAGGCTCTACCCTGTTCCTCTCTACCCAACCTGGAGACCCAACAACTCCAGGCTATCCGTCCCATGAGGATGCTCCGAGAGCTGATATCTCCAACGTCGTTGCGAGAATCCCGTCTCTTCCCGTCTCGTATCTCTCCGTGGAGCCTCTGCTGAAGGCCCTCGATGGATACGGCATTTCCGGAGAGGTGGTTAATCGCACAACGTGGGTGGGAGGTCTGGACGCCGACTATAGCACCGGCCCAGCACCGGGTGTGAAGCTCACGGTGGATGTTGCGTCTCGCGAAGAGATAAGACCCATCCAGAATGTCATTGGATGGATTAACGGAACCAATGCCGACGAAACCATCGTGATTGGAAATCATAGAGATACATGGATGATTGTGAGTGCAGTCGACCTACACTTGGGCTATGAGGGCAGCCAAGTATAGATAGCAGGTGCTAATTGCGCAATTAGGGAGGCAATGGTGACCCCAACTCAGGCTCAGCTATTCTGGTCGAATTCACTCGCGCCATAAACAAGCTGCGTCAGTCGGGCTGGCAGCCTAAGAGGAACATTGTTCTCGGCTCCTGGGATGCTGAGGAATGGGGTCTCATCGGATCCACCGAGTGGGTTGAGGACCATACTGACTGGCTCACTGAAACTGCGGTGGCATATCTGAACATTGATGTCGCCGTCAGTGGCCCGCGGCCAAATCTCGCAGCTACGCCTGAGCTTCACACCCTCGCGACCGAGACCATGAAGAAGGTCATTCATCCCAACTTTGGAGGGTACAATATCTCGCTATTTGAAGCGTGGTATGAAGCATCTGGCGGAGAAGTCGAAGTCCTTGGCTCTGGCTCCGACTACACCTCTTTCCTCCACCGAGGCATCAGCTCGTTTGACGTTGGAAGCTCAGGCGGCGCGAATGATCCGATTTGGCATTATCATTCCAACTACGACACGTACCACTGGATGTCGACGTTTGGAGATCCTGGATTCCACGTCCATGCTTCGATGGGCCAATATCTTGCCCTTGTGGCATATCATCTGGCTAGCGACGATATCCTTCCTATCGATACTCAAAACTACGCTGTCGAGCTTCGCGCTTACTACGATGACCTTGTGGAGTATGCCGAAGAGCAAGGTGCTGAGCTTGATCTCTCAGAGCTTGACGCGGCCATTAAAGTGTTCAAGAAGAGTGCCGATGAGGCCAAGGCCCTTGAGCTTCTGGCAGTTGAGCGCGGGGATGACGATCTCAAAACCATCATCAATCACAAGTACCGTGATTTCCAGCGTGGCTTTATCTCCCAGGGAGGACTTCCCGGTCGCGAGTTCTACAAGCACGTCGTCACTGCCCCCGGCCTCGACACTGGCTATGCCGCTGTTACTTTCCCCGGAGTGACTGAGGGTATCCAATATGCCAAGGATGGTAACTTTGAGGTGGCCCAGGGGTGGGTGAGCAAGACTGCTCGTGGGATTATTGTTGCTGCAAATATCCTCAAGGTATAAACTTGAAATGATAGAAATTAATACACTACTGTTTGCAACGATTTCGTATAACTATACAATTAATAGTTGCGTGACTATTGGCGTCGGGACATCACGATTCGGACATGTCGTATGGAGACCATGATCAAGCTGCTGAGATATCAGAAGTGGGGGTGTGGCGGAATTCCGCCATGCAGTCGATGCTAATAGAAACTGGAATTAGTGTGCGTCATGGAAGATGCGAGCAAAACTGCTGCAGTGTAAATTCGCCATTGCCAAGGCCCGACTTACACGCCAAGCAGCAACATGCCAAGCACGCTACACGGGGAAGCGAACGGAGGTACCGGCTTCACTCCGCCTTGCTTCAATCTACTGACTCAGAGTGGCCAAAAGCAACACAGCAGCCAATCACTCGGTGGGGATCTATAACTCCGAGCTGATCTGAGGGCTTCGCATTCAGGGGAGGGAAGCCAATGGGCACAGGGGCATATTGATTGGCTGTGTACTACGCCTTGTCGTCAGCTGACTGCAGTAGACTGGAGTAACTTTCGTCTATCTTGCGTACCGCCAAGCTTGGCTAAGTTATTTACGTCAAAGGGGGTTAGAACAGCATAGAAATCCCCAGCGGCAGTGTAGTCAGCGGTACTGAAAATAAGCATTTCTGCGACCCTCCAATCTGACGATGTACCCAGATCTACTGGGGCTGTGCGCCACTGTAATTATAGGTATAAATTTGCTCGGCCCCCCCATCTTGGGCACGAGATGCGGAATACTCGAGCATAATTTTAGACTCATTCCAGTCGAGAACCTGCTACAACTATGCCGGGAGTTCCGTCATCTCGAGGATGCAGTGCCTGCCGCAAGCAAAAGAAAAAGGCAAGCTCCCGTATTGTACAAGGACCAGCATAGGGGCCAACTGACCAGTCCATGTAGTGCGATCAAGCAAAGCCGACATGTGGGAGATGCACCAGCCGCGGAATTCCTTGTGTTGGAAACGGCGTACAGCGCTGGAAGTTTCACCAGAAAAACTTTCGCGATTCGATGCAAGTAGCAACCGTCACCCACACTCCAAGACCAAGTTTGAGCAACGAAACGACCAAAGTTGCATCTTCCTTTGTCCACATCCTTGGTGTTGAGGATGTTAGGTACAATATACGCTCGTTCGGGGGCCAGTTTTTCCTGGACCTCCCTCGACGTGTTGGCTCTAGCCCGGCGCTCGATCTTTCCGTATCTGCTCTTGTTGCCTCATTCAACACTCATCTGTGCAAACACCCTAAAGTCGATGCCCTCGCTGTGTACGGGGACGCCCTCGAGGCCCTGAGGATCTCCTTGGCAAATCCCGCTCAATCAATAGGAATAAAGATATATACAATTTTTAATATCTATATCTGCCAGGTAGGAGAACTTTGCGAATTTTTTTATGGTCAAGTAAGAATAACGAAGGGTGTAGGGTATAATTGACCCAGAGCACAACGAAATTGCAACACACCGCCTAATGTTGGCAAATCTGGTCCAGGATGCTGTCTCCCAAGGCAGACTAAAAGAAATTGATTCCGAGTACATGTCTGGAATTTGTCAGATAATTGTAAGCAGTCATGCAGAAATTTGCGTTACTTGTCTGATGGGCACTGACAATTAGACTTGCAGCTATGGGAGAGCATGATCAACCGTAAAGTCCAGCTTGGCCAATGGTTCTGGGAGGCCTTAAGCACCTGCAGCAAATCGCGCCCGCATGAATGCCAACAAGGGCGAACCTTTATGAGTCTCGACATTGGAGTTCAAGCGGAGGGTGCATCATATCTTCGTGAGCCTGAGAGATATATTGACCAGATACAGTCAGTCTACGATCTCATGCAGCTCGAGCGCCCAACGATTCGCAACATAGTTCAGCAATACAGTGTGGTGGCAATGGCCTCATCGAACGTCGCCAAAGTCACAGAAATCCGTGTGATTTACCAGATTGGATACGCACATTTGCTTTCGTTGGGTGCCAGATTGAACGGCGCCCTGCGCAAATTCAACCAGTCCTCTGAGCTCATCAAGGAGTCGCATGACATTCGTGACGAGGCTATCATGTTGGCTAGCCAATGCGGTGATATGAGACCATTCGGGTCCACCTTTGTGCCTAAATTTCTCAAGATAATATGGGCATCAAATTCAGATCCGTACCGCCGACAAGAACTGGAAGCGCTGATTCTATATTACCAGAAGGATTTCGAGGGCGCACTGTATTTGAAAGAGGCGAAGTGGATAAAGGAACGATTTAATGCAATAGCTAAAGGGGCTTAATGTGCATACATATACTGTATTATACAATATGAACTCTATCTCTTATGCTAGCAACTAAAAAGTCCAACTAGCTTACCCTCTCTCTCTTCTATCCTTCTCTGAATACCCATAACTTGCACCATTCTTTCATAATGTTCGATCCAGGGCGTACTGCTTATTCGTGCTGGCCAGTACCAACGCAGTAGGGGATAGGGTAGGTATCGCTGCTGCAGAGACGAATGACTCCCCTGACCCACTGCATGTCGCCATAGCTCTGGCTTGAGTAGGTATCCGACATGAAGCTGGTCTTCTTCCAGTCGTCGCTGCAGCCCTCCAGCATGAAGCCCTGCACGCGGCGGACGTAGGGCTCACTGACAATGACACCGTGCTTTCCATCGGGAACCGTGAAGGTCAGGGTTTGAGTTTGAGAGGTGGTCCAAGTCTCCGAGTATGAAACGGAGAGAGACATCGAGAGGAGGCTCTCGACAACAGTGAGACTGGCGGATGCGGTGACGGAGACTGAGTTGGAGATACTGTAGCCAGAGGAGACGGAGACAGAGCCTACACCGCCAACACTGCTGACTACTGGAGAGATGGCAACATCCCAGTTCAGGAATTCTTCATCAGAGAGAACTTGGATCTCAGTGCTGCTGTCCTCGCAGGAGCGACGAACGAGTTTGGCGTCCGTGGCATCCCGTAGACCGAAAGATGTAGGCGCTGATGACTTGGACTCAAGAGCTTCAAAGTCTGCAGCCTTCATGATCTCGGTGGATCCATCGGTCTTGAGGACGATAATATCATCGGCGGAAAGGACTGTAGGGGCCGGGGCGGCCGTAGAGGAAGAAACGAGGCCGAGAACGGCAATGGCAGTGGCGAAAAGCATCTTGAAAGAGTGTAATTAAGACTGAGAATGCAGATGCAAACGAATGTGGTGGCAGACTAGGAGTCTTGTAGGTGGAGTTGAGTTGAAGCGAGTGGTGATGCTGTGAGCTGGTTCTGAAGTTACAGTGGCCGTCATGGACTGTCTTTAATAAAAAATATTGGATGTCCAGTATCACTCCCCTCGGTTCATCCCAACTTGCTAAAGTCCGTGAATTTGCCGTCAGGGTCTGGTGTGTTTGAGACGTCAGCGGAGAGACCGAATGACACCCTGCATCTCGTCCGTTGTAGATCACCAGATACGCCACAACCACATCGGAAAGCGGACGAATCTGGCCGAATCTGGACATTTCCGGTTTGAGAAGTCCCTTGGCAAGACTTGGTAAACTCTATTGAAGTCACGGGGTGCCATTTAATCGTGTTCTCAGAATAGAGCCATGCTTTTGCGCTTAGCAAGCGACTGAATTTATGCGTCCCCATGTACGTTCATCCGATCCACGTTTCGGGTGGACAAGCATCCGCGGGACGGAAATTACCTCTCCACCAGCATTTATGCTCCCTTTTACGGTGCACAGCCAAAAGTTATGGGGCGTGGCGTTGACTGTTGGCGGCGTGCCGTTTCAGACAGACGTAGTGAGTTAGTAAACGGAGAAAGCAACCGTAATGGTGACAATTAGACTGGGGACGAAGCATAGACCTTTTCTATCAGCCCCGCAAGTAACAGGAAGGGCCAATCCCCGCGTTGCAAGGACCAACTATCACGGAGAATGATGCCGATTATAGTAATTCGTCTGTTGAGGTTAGCACGTTACGCTACGGATAATTTGACGTCCGTCGCGATTCGCGACTCTGCCGCGATCGATCAGGCCAGACGAAACTCTATTTCGGTCGGTGTAGTATTCAGACTCGGCCCCCACGTGGTATCTCAGGCCGCTGAACCTCTGAACTGAGCACGGAGATGCCGGATCATGGGGTTGTTTCGTAACACGACGGTTGGTTCATGCCAAGACGGAGTTTGCGAGGACAATGGAGTTTCCGGCCGGTCTTGAGTCGATGAAGATGCTCAACTCCTGCTACACTTTTATATAAGTCGACCTATTTTGCACTTTAGCTATCAGACACCATCGACTAGCATCACATTGTCTCATTACCACACTCTTTTACACACCCGCCTAACACAAGGAATTCCACTCGTTGTCTTTACCGACCCCTCTATCCACCACCATCATGCATTTCTCTGCTCCCAAGGCCATTGCCGCCGCATTCTTTTTCTTCTCCCTGGCGTGAGTTATTCCTTCTCTAAGTGCTCAAGCACTTTCGCTGACAATAGTATAGCGCCGCTGATCTTCACGAAAACTGCGCTTGCAACAATGGCGATGCCTACAACTGGCGCATGACCACAGCCGCTTGCACGACTTACGATGATGCCCAGTACCAGTGGGGCGGTGTCACCTACGACAGCCCTTCCGGTCGAGTAAGTAGTCTCTTCAGCTGTAGAAACCACGGCTAACCAAATACGCAGTGCGTAAAAGAGAACGATACGGACCGTCTCGCTGGTGATCAGTGGGAGACGGCTTGCAAGGATGCTGCGAAGAATGGTTTCGCATGCTCAGATGGTCTCGGAACCTGCTTCGCTAACCCTGACGATGTTTCAGGCGCGTGCTGAGGCGATTAACCTTGTTTGTGAAGCGGATGTGATTTAATTTATTACTATGAACAATTTAAAACTTGATTAGTTGCTCTGATGCTTGCACTCTCGTCACCTGCATAGTGTATACACACCCGACTCTCTCACATTCACTACCAGTGGATAAAACGGGGAGGGGGGTATTTAATAATTATACTATGCTAGCAGATCGATGATCATCAGTTGTACAAGCCTCCGTTAGCTGAAAGGACAGACCCCGTCACCCAGCGCGCCTCCTCGGTGCACAGGAACGAAACAAGAGGTGCTATATCCTCAATTTCTCCTACTCTTGGCGCGGCAGGCGTCGATTCAATGACGGGCTGCATAGCCTCTAAAAATTCCTCGGAACTCGCACGCCACTGATCTAATTCTCATCTCATCAGCGCTCGATCTCGCAATGGAAGTAACTGACCGGTCATCTGCCGGTCATGAACTCACCTGTTGCTACCGGCCCCGGGTTAATGCAATTGACAGTAATACCATACTCTTGTCCCAGCTCCTTAGCCCATACTCGAGCGAGAGCCTCGCCAGCAGCTTTCGTGGCCGAGTAGATGCCCTGAGTAGCTACGCCAAGTCGCGCAGCAACGGATGAGACGATGACAATGCGACCGCCCCGGGGCAGATGCGGCAATGCTTTTTGTGTCAGGAAGTAGAGTCCACGGATGTTGCAGTCGACGTGGTCGTCGTAGAACTGGAGCGTCGTATCTTTCAGAAGTGCATCTCTCCCAACAGCCGCACTAGATATCGTAGTAAGCCAAGATGTTAAGCGAGAGTGCAGAGGGAGGTTGGGAGGGATCCTACTTGTGTACCAAGATCTCAATCTTGCCTGTTTCGCTCACCTTTTTCAAGGCGCAGTCAAGGATGCTCTGGAGTTCGTCTACATTAGAGAGATTCGCCCTCAGTGTGGTCGACTTCCTCCCGAAGGCGCGGATTTTGTCCGCCACTTCTTCAGCTGCAGCTGTGCTTGACTCAGAATTATAGTGGACAAGAACATTGGCTCCTTTCTGCGCAAGGTCTAATGCAATTCCTGCCCCGATCCCTCTTCACCTCAAATAACAGGATTTAGCCTATGACACATTCCATAGAGAGAGACGTAGATGGAATGTATAATCTTACCTAGATGATCCAGTTACGATGGCCGTCTTGCCCTCAAGTGGTAGTTTGGCCATGGTTTCTGAGACTTTCTGCTATCAATGATGCCAGTATCCTAGGCTGTCGGGTGTTTGGGACGGGCCGTTAAATACGTCAAGGCAATCTGCAGGTAATAAAACTTGCGGAGTGATTTTCTGGATGAGGAAAAAGAACACGCTTGAGGGCGCCTACATCACGGAGTTTCATCGGATCCTCGAGGGGTAATATTTCGCCGAAGCCACACAAAGAGAATGTGGGGGCGAGGAGATGCAAGAGAAGCAGACCATTGCCTGTGACACGTACGAATCATCTCTAATTCGCGAAGGGATCCGTGGAATGGTGCTGAGGCTTATCGAGCCACAGAGCTAGACTCAGCTAGCGAAAAGCTGGTGGAGTCCATCGGGTTCGCATGACCTTCCATATTAGGCAGTTGAGCCAGGCCGGAGCCCTCCTCAGGAGAGTCGGGTTGGAAGCTCTTCCGCCATTGAATGAGGCTCGGATTAAGTTAGTGTTATCAATTCTTGCGCTGGTACGTCTAGATCCAATCCTCGGCAATAAGGTAGTGGCAACTCAGCAAAGGCCTTCTACTAGATACTCCAGCATCGGCTGTTATTACTGCATGACTTGTACTAGCCTTCCATCGCCGCTGTCTCGACTTCCATTCCCGGCATTAGTGCACAAAGAATCACCAATTTTTTAACGTGGGAAGTCGTAAAGATATAAATGGTTCTGAGCGAACCATCAATCGAGTATTCAACAAGATTCCGTACAAATAATTCTTGACTTGAGCCCTAGTCCAAAATCTTTTTCTGTATTCGGCTGGTGTCACCCTGCAGCCATGTCTCTCGCCACGATACTTCGTCGACACCCTCTCGACCCTCTACACGCAGATGAGATTGCGCAAGTCGTTGCAATCTTGAACAGTACTCATACTAGCAAGCTACGATACAAGGTCATAACTCTTGAGGAACCTCCGAAAAATGACTTAATTCCATACCTCGAAGCCGAAAGGTTGCACCTGGATCTCCCCACACCACCAAACCGAATGGCATACGTTTATTTTCACACTCTTGATGATAAAGCCTTCCATCGCGCCGTTGTGGATCTCACCGCGAATTCGGTCCAGATTGATCAAGTTTTGTCGGGCATTCAGCCGCCAGCAGATGCTGACGAGCAAATTGAGATTGAGGATGCCTGCAGCAACCACCCGCTTGTTCTGAAAGAGATTGAGAAGCTGAAACTTCCTGCGGGGTACGTTGAAAAGTTGTCTCCTGATGCACTACCAAATATATTGACCTAAGACGCTTGTAGGGCGAGGGTTTTGAACGACCCATGGGCGTACGGCACGGATGACGATAGCGTGCACGATTCACGTCGTCTCATCCAATGCTACATGTATGCGGCAATGTCGGATGATCTGGAGGCCAACCACTATTCAATTCCACTTCCATTTTCTCCTGTATTTGATTCGAATACAAAAGAGCTAGTCCGAATTGATCATCTGCCCCTGGGCTCAAACGATGATCGGGTCGACACTCAGGAATGGATTCCCCGCAAGCCTGTTGAATACAGCGCCGCGTTGCTCGAGGAAGGTCTTCGGACGGACCTGAAGCCTCTGCAGGTTGTGCAGCCAGAAGGACCCTCTTTCACGGTTGATGGATATTTGGTGAAGTGGCAGAAGTGGAGATTCCGCCTGGGCTGGAATGTCCGAGAGGGTCCTTTGATTCACAACCTCACTTTTGACGGCCGGAATATACTACACCGTCTTTCTCTAAGTGAGATGACTGTTCCCTACGCAGACCCGAGACAGCCTTATATCAGAAAGCAGGCTTTCGATTTGGGCGATATTGGGCTAGGCATGACGTCGAATTGCCTAACTCTGGGTTGCGATTGCTTAGGGGCCATTCGATACTTCCATGGCCACCGAGTAAATGCAAAGGGCGAAACCGTCACAATGAAGAATGTCATCTGCATGCATGAAATCGACAACGGAATCGGGTGGAAGCATACAAACTATCGAAACTCGACTTCCTCTGTGGTCCGGGACCGACGCCTAGTGATCCAATGTAAGTATTGCGAGAATGCGACCGGCCATGAGTGAACTGGCGCTAACATTCGCAGGCACTGCTACTGTCTCGAACTACGAGTATATTCTAGCATGGACCCTGGACCAAGCTGCCAACATCCACGTTGAGGTGCGGGCAACTGGTATTGTGTCAACGATGCCTGTTGCTGACGGAGTGGCACTGCCCTGGATGACTCGTGTGGCTGATGGAGTTGGCGCGCCATATCATCAACACCTATTCAATCTCCGTATTGACCCTGCTATCGATGGCTTTTCCAACACCGTGGCCTACGACGATTCGGTGCCAACGCCTGATGACCCCGTTCTAGACCCCTTGGGAGTTGGTTATCATGCTGTAACCACAGATATTACCAGGCCCGGAGGCTATGACTTGGACGTCAACAAAAGCAGAACCTACAAGATCATCAACAACTCTTCTATCAACTCAGTGTCTGGCAAGCCAGCAGCGTACAAGCTTCACGCGCATGCTTCCCAGATGATGCTCATGAGACCCACGGCGCCTGGAGCCAAACGAGCTACCTTTGGAACTCACGCCATTTGGGTGACAAAATATCGCGACGGCGAACTGTACGCAGCCGGCGAGTTCACGAACCAGAGTGCCAAGGACTCCGGTCTCTCCGTTTGGGCAAAGCGCGATGAAGACGTGACGGATACAGACGTGGTGCTGTGGCACTCATTTGGTCTGACACACAACCCGCGCCCCGAGGATTTCCCCGTCATGCCTATGGAGATGATCAATATTGAGTTGAAGCCATCTAGCTTTTTTACGCAGAACCCCAGCAACGATGTGCCACGCTCTAACCAGCAAAGCAACAAGTCAGTGGCGATCAAGGAGTGCTGTAGCAAGCTATAAGTTTAGCTGTTTGCATGTATTTTAAGAATATCAATAAATATTGACATTATGAACATCCCTTTTTTGGTGAAAACTGGTCCAAACCCGTCTCCCAATAATCACATGGGTAAAATTCCATGTCGCTGATAAACTTGATACCATTATGACATCCAGTTTCCCAACACTATCTTCACAAGAATTCACATCTTTGGGTAGGCAGCCATGGGGGAGGAAACGGCTAAAACAGAACGCTCAAACTATTGCACAGGAGGCTTATCATTAAATCATTATATCTTCAAGCCTAATCTGGCAAGCATTTAGTCAGGACGCATGTGAGCAAACGTATTTGCATTACATGTTGTAGAGGGTATGAATTAGAACTCGCTAATCTCGAGCCCATCTCAATCGCCGATTATCCGCCAAACATCGGCAAATGTGCTTCCGAGATTGGGACACTTGCCGGTAAAAGGCGCATTTTATCCACTAGCCAATACGAAGGAGTCGTGTCACCGAGAATCGGAGTGTTTTAACGGACTGGGACATCCCGAATGGACTCTCCTTCCAATGGCGTGAGTGGCCGAAACTTGGCCTTCTAGCCTGGGGTCTAGACCTTCCGCACACGTATTGTCTCACACGAGTAGATGGAAAAGTCATCATGCATTGTGCCTCTTGGGCGGCCTGCCTCTTTTGATAGAGCTAATTGAGATACAGGAGACCCATAATATCTCTGTGCTACTTATCACTCGTACAGGCGCCTAGTGTAGTTCCCCGCTTGAGTGTCTACGTGCGCCACAAGCCTACTGGGCCAACTGCCTCTCTTGGAAGAGGTGGGTTTGGCAAGTTCACTTAGCCTCCACACTACAGACGCCTTAAAAGACGCTTGGTTCGATGGGCTCGGGGCAATACTCGCGTTCTTCCACTATCTCGATGTAATTGTCTTACAAATTCTCAGCATTTCAAACAGCCAACAGCAACAATGAGCGCTCCAACGATCACTTCCGAAGGCTATGTGTGGACGCCAGCCTCCGGCATGTCTCAAGGTTCCTTGCCCTGTAGGGGCGTCGTTAGTCCCCCGAAGCATGTTAAAAGCGAGGACGCCTACGATTGTATTGTTATCGGCGCCGGGTATGCTGGCTTGACTGCCGCCAGGGACTTGGCTCTATCAAGTATGTGAAGCAGGTTAGGGCTATGGATGGCCTAGCACGATTCTCTTGGCTGACCGAAATTAGAAAAGAAAGTCCTCTTAATTGAAGCGAGGGACCGCGTTGGCGGCCGAACGTACAGTGTTGATCTTGATGGTATGAAGGCCCTCATAAATCCGCCTAGTATTTGACGTCACGCTAACGCACCCCAGGCTACGTCTATGAAATGGGAGGCACCTGGGTCTCGCACTTTCAAGGCAACTTGTTCAGGGAGATGCAGCGCTATGGTGTTGATCGCGATCTCGTCACCACCAGGCAAAGCATGCATGAGAATAATTACTACACGATGAATATTTCTGGTAAGATACTATGCGAATACTAGCGTCTAAAACAGTGCTGATTACCACATTCTCGCAGGTGATACGAAAAAGCTGAGCCACAGTGAAGCCGGAAAGCTTCAGGCAAAGGCATGGGACTTGTTCGTAAACGTGGATGGGAATGGATGTCGCACCATCTGCCCATTGCCGCATCAACAACTTGGAAATGTACTGGTCAAGCGAGAAGACGTCGAACGGTTGGATGCCATGTCTTGCAAGGAACGGTATGAGCAAATTAAAGACCAGCTCAGCCCCGACGAGTCTGCATTGCTCTTGTCTTTGATCCTCCATATTTCTGGCGGCACCCTGGAGAATTCCAGTCTTTGGGACATGATCCGATCGCATGCACTGGCAGCACACTCTTCTGACAACTTTGAGGACGTGTGGCTCCTGTACAAGCTTCGCCAAGGTCAATCGAATCTCTCACGCGCCATGCTTGACGAAGCTATCAGAAATGGCATGGAATATTCCTTTTCTACCGAGGTGTCTTCCATCGTCGATATCGGAACGTTTGTCGAGGTCAGCACCACCTCCGGCCTCACGTTTCGCGCTTCCAAGGTCATCTCGACGATTCCTCTCAACGTCCTGCGCCACATTCGTTTCGAGCCGCCTCTTTCCAAATTTCGACAGGAGGCCGTCAATCTTGGCCATGTCAACTTCATGAACAAGATCCATGCTGAGGTGAAAGGACCCGGACTTGCGTCTTGGAATGGCATGGCCTACCCTAATCTCTTGCTTTACGGCTATGGAGATGGAGTCTTGGACAATGGCAATGCTCATATAGTTGCCTTTGGGAAAGATGAACGAGATCACTATGTAGCCGAAAACTGTCCAGAGGAGACTGTTGAAGCTTTCCAAAAGCTTCATCAAATGGATATCCAGAAAATGGTTAGTGATCGTGTCGTCACCGTCATATCAAGAAAGAAAGCTGACCTTCCGATTTTAGATCTTCCACAACTGGAACACGGACCCTTACTCGCAAGGAGGGCCGGCATGGTGGCCACCAAAGTATATGACCCTGTACCAGGAAGAACTACAGAGCGCACATGGGAACATCCTTTTCGCCTCGGCGGACTGGGCCCATGGATGGAGGGCATTCATTGACGGAGCAATTGAACAGGGTGCATTGAATGCCAAGGAGGTCTTAAACCAGCTTGGTTCTTAATCTGAGGAGATTGGGTTCGGCGACAAGTTTAGCTATCTCAGGTTGCTTCATCAAGACATATTCACAGCTTTTGGCCACATAACCTTTGAAGGAATTCCCAAACTGGACAAAGGCAGGTCCGTCAGCGTCAACTTTCAACAAGTCAAGTATCCGTACGTTACTACTCTCTGCCTGCATCAGTCCCACAATCTTCATTATCAACCATTCTAGATTTTATCCAAATGTCTATACATTTTATAGGTGCGTGATTTGGTCACGTCTTTATTTGCCGAGATCAACATTTGTCCAGCAATACTTGATCGCCTCTCGGAAGAATCCGAGCCAACACGAGTACAAACACGCCCCCTCGGTAATTATTTTCAAGTAAACTCCTTGAAATATTAATTGTGTTAAGGTAGGTAAACTTCTACTCGAAATCCCGGAACCAGTCTCACTCTCGTGACACAACCATATTCGGAGATTGAATTGACTCCTCGGCGCAACACGAGTTGTGCAGAAACGTATCTACCCAACCGTCCAAAGTTCCACATGTTGACGTTGTGACTATGCACTCTTAGTTTACCACAGATGTTGAAGGTTCATCATCGACAGCATTCAGCTCGTTAAGAAGGCTCCAGTCAATCGTCGGGCCATCGAAATGCCGTCTCTGGAACGTCCAAAGCCCCAAGATCAACAATAGCAGAGCAACAAGTACGACTGACGTATAGTTCATCGAGTCTGCAGACACTGGTAGTGAACCCGGGAGGCAAAAAAAGGTTCCAATGATGACAACCCAGAGTGGTGCAAAGAAATTTGGAATATACCCCCATTTGCCAAGATCCAGATGCCTCCTTGGAAGCTTGGATCTTCCGTACATGGCACAAATGCCCTGGGGCACACAATAGGTAATGTTTAATGCCAGAACCGCTGTTGTTATGATGGAGTTAAACGCGGCCGTCGATGCGATGTACAAGAGGCCATAGATGGCACAAAAACACGCGGACAGAATCGTCGTTCTTAGGGGGAGTTGGAATCGCTCATTGATTTCGACCCAGTAAGCTGAAAGAGGGAGACCTTTCTGTAGCACATTGTCAGACCATAAAATTGATAATAAAACTGGTTACTCACATCTCTCGCAAAAGCCCAGGTCATTCTCCCACATGTGATCCATTGGCTAGGCAAAGCAGCTACAAAAGCTGTTAGTACTGAGAACTAATATTAACAAGATATAGGAGGCTCACAGTAGTACACGGCGGTGGTCCAGGCTTGTAGAAAAGTTGCCATGACCTTGCTACCCGTAGCTTGGTAGAAGAGTTCCATGCTTGGCAAGGGTGAGGCGATGACGGCATCAATGTCTTGGATGCAAAACATGTAGGCGACTGCTAGAGGAACTGTCGTGACAACACCAATGAGCATTGTCGTATTCCTGGAAATATTAGCCTAGCCCAAAGGGTTGGCATTGATACGACTAACATTACTTGCGGCAAACGCTTTCCAGGGTGAGTGATTTCTTCGGAAATATGGATGACCGCGTCCGTTCCACCATATGCGTACAGGGCGTTACCGATGCCGAGAATCCAGGCTATTCCATCTGGCCAACCACTGCTGTTGCTCCCCTGCTTTGCAATTGTGCTACCAGACTGAAAGCTGTCGCACATGGCGAGTATGGTGATGAAGACGAGCAGAAATCCCACCAAAGATAGGTGTAAACAGAATTGCGTCATTCGCCCCATGTGCCTGTTGGGGATGAGGAAGATGGGGATCACTGTGAAGCAATGTCAGAGCACTGCATATAGGAGAAAGAATCCACTTACGTGTTAGGATGATGCCGAGATCGAAAATCAGATATGTCTGCCACTGCGTCGCCTGGAAACTAGGGTTCCAAAAGGAAATCATGCCCAGGGTAGAGATGGTCCCGAGGGAAATGCCGGAGCACGTCACGATCCACCAGGCAATGACATTTAATGTGCCGACCGCAAAGGCGGCAAAGTTCCGGTGCTTTTCGGGTGCCAGGATGTAGGTGAAATGGTATTGGCCCTGTATTAGCTGTATTTAGCATCGGTTGATGCGGAATGTCTGCATGTGTAACGTACCCCGGACGACGGAAAGGCAGAAGCCAACTCCGATAACCCCAGAGTGATGATCCATTGGATAACGCCGGCAACCACTACGGCGATGACAACCGCCTGTGGACCTCCGTTTGCGAGAGTTGTACCAAAACAACTGGTGTACGACATCCATGAATTGGTAATACTGCAGAGAAAAGACATTAGCTAGGGGTATACCTGGCTTGCATATCACTGTACCTGTAGCCCAGGCCGATGGCCCCCCACCACGAGAACGACCGTGGAAGGACAGCTTCGTGGCCCTGTGCTCGCAAGATGGCATCATCTAGGCCGTTCAAGTTCTGAATCTCAATGGTCTCGCCGACTCGGTCGTTGCTGCGATTTGACAGAGTCGACTGTAACGCTGAGTGCTTGTCAGTCTTCATGTTGTCAGCCTGCATTGATTTATGTCGTGAACCACTAAGCCTATACGAAGGATATTTATCCCACTTCTCGTATAGTTCTCGTGGCTGAAAACCTCGGGGATGGTTGGCTTTATTATCGTCAAGCGGGTACACCGCAGCAGCTTCATCGCGTCCCCGACACTATCTGCGGGGTGCCGATAAGCCACAAATGGGCTTGGTTATCGAGGTAAAAAGCCGATCATTAGAGAATGGGCGCTGACGTCGCTTGCATCCAACTCAATATTGTGTCTTGAAACTAGCTTAGCTCGTCCACGACAGCCGACCTGGCCGGGTCGCCCAAAGCAGAAGGTTACTCAGGATTTCACTTCCGTTGAGATTAGTATCTATATATGCCCGGGGAATATACTAGGGTGGTTGGGGGCAAGATAACCAGCTTCAAACACAGTACTATTCCTTTCTTTCACATTCTCGCCTATCTACTAGCTCCCAGCTGCGCCACCAGGATGCCGTCAGTCACCTTCTCACAAACCCCCGGGCCACTGGGAGAACTCTTCACATCGTTCGGGGTATCGCATGCTGCCAAAATTCCCTTGTCGGGTAGTTTGGTCGTCACCTCGGGGCAGCCTGGGTTCGACCTTCAAACGGGCGAACTCGTCACGACCTCTCTCCGAGACGAGATTGAAGCCTGTTTCAATTGCGTGGATGCCGCTCTCAAAGCCTCCGATGTCAAACTTGGTCTCGCTGGAGTGCACAAATTCACCTGCTTTCTCACCGATGTTCGCCATGACGCTTTGATGATGGAAATCTGGAACGCTAGGATGCCGGATCACCATCCTACCTGGGCGACTGTGGGTATTTCCGCCCTCGCCATCCCCGGGATGCACATTGAGCTACAGGCAGAAGCAATCATCCTCGAATAGAGTATTGGCCATCTTATCGTTCAGTGGGTCAAGGGCAGATGGGAGGATTGATAGAGCGCATCTTGAAGTCCTCGGGACACGACCTACGTAGCAAATGAGATGAATCAAGACACTTCACTTGACGGTTCGCAATCACTGCCGCTTGATTTATCGCAGGACGGGGGGTGACATGTGTACCTAACTAGAGGGCCTAGAACATACTACGCCTACCTACCTAGGTAGGCACAAATACCTCGGTCGCGACCCAAATGATGAGACGACCGACGAACATGATTACACTTAAAAGATGCAGTCGATACGACAATATCGGTAGCGAAATAAATGAGCCTTAAAAAGGATGATAAAGACGGCCACGACAAATTGTAAGCTAAGATCTCATTGACCCTTCAACAGCCATCTGATACCCTCAACCATGTCTTTCCAGTAATCACGGCTCCTTTCAAGCTGTGGCCAATTCGTCCAGAACATGTGCCCAAAGCCTTCGTAGATATTAAGTCTCGTCTCAACCTTCCACTCCTCTTCCAAAGCCGTACGGTAAATCAAGCCATGATCTCGTAACGGATCTAGGCCAGCCACTTGGAAGAAGGCTTTCGGTATCAATGTTCGATGCGCTGGGGTCGTGTCTTGATCATCTCGTGGTGGGTACCATTCATCGGCAAATGGTGAAAACAAAGGCGACAGCACATCGGCTTTGACCAAGTCATGGATAAATCCGCTGGTCTTCATGGTCTCTGGCCCGTCAAGTAAAGGCCCAAGGACGGGATCAGAACGGTTTGCCCACATGCTGGAATAACGCTCCTGATACTTGCTTGGGACAAGTTCTGGTGGCAAGAGATAGGGGACGCAGAGCCATTGTCCGGTCAAAGGGGGATTCAGCTTCTCTCTCGCCGCTCGGTGTGCCAACACGGCCGCTATGTTTGAACCGGCTGATGATCCACCGACAATGAAGCCTTTGGCGAGGTCAACACCCAGCTGGTCAGCGTTTGCCGCAGCCCATTTCAAGACGTCCCAGCAATCAAGTACGCCGGTTGGAAATGGGTTTTCAGGCGCCAATCTGTATTCTGGATTGAGACAAACCGCTCCTAGCTCTTTTGCAAACGTCCTGGCGTTGGAGTCCTCATCCGTGCTGTTGCCCATGACCCATCCACCTTCGTGGAACAAGACAATCAAGGGTCTTTGCTTTCCGCCATGAGAGTTGTTGAGTGATTCTGTGACTGACGAGGCAGGTCGGTAGCATTTTGTGCGAATGTCATACCCATCTCGAGCTTTGATGAAAATGTCATCTTCAGTTACGGAGGGGGTTGGTTCAGGCTGGGGCAGCAAATGTCGCTGTCCATCCAAGTGAAGTTGGCGCGCCGAGCGGTATTCTGGGATGAAGGGCAAATCAGGGAATGGGTGTAAGGAGATGGCTTCTTGAAGCGTATGGTGTCTACTCTCGTGATCGGATGCGCTCATTGTGAATAATTGAGGAAAAGAGTCGATATTCACAACAGCACAATCCCATCGCCGCCATTTACCCTACACAATGATGACACCGTAAGTGGTTTGCCATATAAGGAATAGCTTGCGATTCAAAGCCGCCTATTCCCAATCAAGCAGTTCGGCCAGCTCAACCGGATCTGTTTAGCGTCGTTGCTCAGCATGGAGCCAATCTGCATGTCGCCAAGATGCGAGGATTGTGACAAATCACGGCCAACCACATGCTCAGTGAGTATTTATGTGGTACTTGTGCGGTTTCTTCTTGCCATAGCTATATTCCCCGCCTTGAATTTCAGCTCCCAAAGGAGCACAAGTAGGCGCAAAGAGACGAAGCGACCAGGGACCAGACGCCTATAATCCTTGCGGTATAGCCAGCCGAGTCCATTCACCAGCCAAACATCATGGTTCCTCCACTCAGCACGGAGAAAAACCAGGCGGCCATCGCCTACTCCAAGTCGTTGTCCAAAATCCCATGGTGCGATGACTACGAGAAGATGATTTCGGGCATGCTGTACAGCTGCCTGGCTCCAGAGCTCGTTGATTCAAGAAACCGCGCACGGCGGCTCGCCCAGACATTCAACACGTATGTCCCAGGCGAAGCCGAGACGGCCGACGAGGTGGCCGGGAAGAGGGTCGCCATGATCAAGGAGCTCTTCGGGAAGGTTGGAGAGGACATTTACGTCGAGCCCAGCTTGCAAGTCGACTACGGATGCAACATTACAGTTGGCGACAGATTCTACGCCAACTTCAAGTACGTGGGACAAACAGCCTGTAGATCAGGTTGCTAATTATTTACAGTACCGTCATCTTGGATTGCGCTCATGTGACAATCGGCGACCGAGTCTTTTTCGCTACCGGCGTCAGTTTGATCACTGCCACGCACGAGACGAGTCTGCAATCGAGAAGGGACAACATTGAGTACGCCGAGCCCATCACCATTGGAGACGATTGCTGGCTTGGATCAAATGTGACGGTGTTGCCCGGCGTTACCATCGGCAAGGGCTGTACTATTGGAGCTGGGGCCGTCGTGTCGAAGAGCATCCCTGACTACTCGGTTGCGGTTGGCGTCCCGGCCAAGGTTATAAAGTCGGTCGAGCCTCTTGATTCGTAGATTTGCTAGAATAGCTGGGTTTTTAGCATTGCAAATGCATCATCTGGATGCCTGGGATAATATCCAATTATGACCATGGAGTCTTGAGAGATATTGCGAGACGATTCAATTTGACAGTGCATGTGTAAGCGCACAACTGAACGGCGTGAATTAATTACCAAACCCGTATGTATGGGACTAGATATGCAATTGGTAATGGAAGTTGATACGCGAAGCCAGGCCAATGGCGGTGACTTGCGTGTCACCTACGCCTTTGTATCCACGTCTGTTAGCCACTCCTGTCGATACGTATAGCCACTTCTCCCCTAATGACACTTTGTCACTCCGGTATCCTTCCGCCGTGCAAAGGTGGCGCTCCCCGCAGCCGATTTGCGGGCGCACTAATCTCGATCGTTACGTAGGAGGCGAATGGGAATCTCCGTAGAGTCCGTATCACACACACCTGACTCCACTTGAGACTGTGGGGAAGACATCATCTTGATAACAGCCGAATGAACCCCGCTCTGTTAATTGTGTTAATGGGCCATTTACCGCTTTCAGCTCAAATGAACAACCACTGCCCCCAGAACCACACGGTGCACCCTGACTCCGTTTCCCCTTTCCGTGTAGTATCACATTTTCGAGAAGCGTCATGCCGACCAGCGTCAAAGGTGAGCCCCTGTTCACATTGCATATGGCGCGCGTCTCTGACCCGTGTCCAAGGTGCCGCCTGTGGGACATGTCGAAAGAAATGCAGGAAGTGCGGCCGTGAAAGACCAAGCTGCTCCCAGTGCACAGCCAAGGTATGTGGCATCTCCCTTCCCAGTAGAAATTCTCAGCTAACATCGCGTTGAGGGTGATGTTTGCGAGGGCTACCCGCTAAAATTCTGTGGTGTTGCCAGCAGAGGGAGGCTGTCAGGGAAACTACTCCCTGTCCTTGATAGTCCTCGACCAAACAAGATCCGTCGCACTCGCCGCACTGATGTCTCTAGTATCACTATCCCATCCATACCAGAGTTGGAGGAACCTAGTCTTGATCTTGGATCAGCCTCCACCCCTACAAATCACTCATCCCCCATCTCTAGTACGCCCAACACCTCGCCAGATATCCGCCTGGCACTTCAGGATAACCAGCAAGAAAATTCCTTGGCCTTCAAAGACACCGTTCAACCTGTCGATGAGGAGTCCCCACTCAGTATTGCCAGTTGCCTGTCTCGAGATGACGAGCTACTGCTCCCTTTGGACGCCGTCTCCGGCACAAAACGCGTCTTGGGCCAGCGAGTCCTGGTTGGTATGAAGACATACTTCTCATCCAGTATTCCAATTCAAGAAACACAAATTTCACGATCGGAAGTTCCGTCATTTAGCCGCATGACCTGGGCTTCTCGGATTGCCGCCGTCAAATTCGATGCCCTCCCAAGTTTATCGCCCCCACTCGACACTGCATCTCTACCAACAAACCTGGACCAGGAGCGCGTCCAATTTCTCCTTCAATATTGTAATTCATATCCTAAAACCCCAGGTGGTACCCTCTAATTCTTTACTAGTCGACGAGTCAGTGTGCCCTAAGCTGGTTGTAGATGATGCTGCGTCTTGGTCCAATCCCTTCCAACAGTACCTGCTCCCGTTGTCGCTGCAGTTTTCCGGAGTCTTGTACGCGGTATTGGGCCTTTCTCTTGGGCATCTATCAATCAATCACTACGATACACTGGACAACGAGCAAGAAGCCTTAGAGTATCGGTTTATGGCAATCCGGCAGCTAATTGATTGGCTAGAAGGTCTAGACAACCACTCTACCGATCCTTGTCTTGTTGAGGCCGGTTTAGCCATAATACTGATTCTTGTACTGCACGATGTAGGCCTGAACCTTTTTTTATGAAAATTCTTTGTGTCAAACACTCACTGATTCATTCACATCAGGTCTGCGAAACCGGTGTATCAGCTGGAGGTATTCACCTGAATGGAGTCACGAGCATCTGTCGGAGGCATTCCGAACTCCTGAAGTCTTCATTATCTGACCGACCATGCATGACCTTTTTATTCGGTGCATTATCATGGTAAGTCTCTTGGCCTTTTTGCTTGGAAATACTGACACTTCTGGGATCAAGGCTTCATATGCTACGTTGCATACCCAGAACTTACGAAACACTGCTCCCGGACAGCATTCGTGAGGCCGCGTACCAAGAGATGTGCCCCAGGCTTTTTGAATCCTTTTCAGGATGTCCACTGAATTTATTTCTCAAGTTTTCTCGACTTCTTGAATCTTCTCGGGATTTAGGATTAGTCGACGAAGAAGGCCGGAGGCGGGACAGTTTGGTGAGCTCCATTCGGGAAGAGATCCGAGTCTGGCGTAGAGAAGAGCTCGAGGGATCCGAGTCCGATCCGACTGGCGACTATTTAGCCAATGCCTTTCGACACAGCTTCCTTCTCCACAGTCTGAGAATTGTGGATAAATCGTTGCCAGCTGAAAGTCCAGAGATACAAACCTGTATCAATGATATTTTGAACATGGGGTCAAAAATTGCCGTCGGATTTAAGGGATCGAGAAGATTATTCTGGCCGCTATTCATGGCTGGCACAGAAGCCACCATGCCCTATCAACATGACTACATTCTAACAAGGATTAATTCGATCATTGATGATACGGGTTTTCGAAACCTAGCATCTACCACCATCCTGGAGAGAATTTGGAAGGAACGCACGACGGGTTTGGGCGACGGCGTTTCTCTCTCAGTGCCGTGGACAGAACACGTAAGTGCGCTTTGTTTGAAGACCTTATTGCGTGATGATGCGTTGCTAATGCCATAAATAGTTGTCAAGACCTGGCGTTACCGAGAACCATGATTACCTTATATTCTAAGTTTTCTTATTGCATTCAAACTATTGATCACTGCTCAATTCCTCCCGTCAGGTATGAGGCGACGAATTAAGTGACGATATCGATTGAGATACCCCATAGTCATGACCACAAAATGTTGTATCGTATTGTCTGCTCTGTTCTCGTTGAAGACATACCTACGTATAGAGATCGAACCACATAATGTTCTTGGCTGCTAGGGATTGCTGGTATTTAACAATTATCGAGATGCAAGCAATTGAACCCCGCCATCTTCCCAAAAACCATATCAACTTGCCTCAGAATGACGATGGATTGCGACAGGGCTGCAGGAACTTGTCAAACGCCCTAGTAAACGTAGCGAAACTGCGACATCTCCTTATCGGTCTTGTCCAATGAACCGAAATCCAGGCTTCCCTGAGAATCACTGTTGATCTCCTCATTGCTAACACGGTCACGACGGCGATTCTCCCAGATAAGGTAGAATCGTAGGCTAAAACAAGTTACCAATGCAACTCCATAGCAGATCATCATCGCCAGAAACCCGGAAGGATACGACGGGGCCTCATCATCAAAGAATAGTTGAGGTCCGATGATGTTTCCGGCGCAATACCCGATGAAGATCTACGAACAACCAAAATTAGCATTGCTTGACTTCAACAGTGGACCGACATACCATAGCGTTGACAGTGGTTTTCTTTGTGAATCCACCAAAATTTCCAGACGACATGGCCAATGTCAGTGGGAAATTGGCACTGTATGCGACGGTGAGGCAGTATCCCATAAAGCGAGCCCAAATGTTGTCCGAAGAAATCTGTCGAACCATTGCAGCTCCGACAATTGAAACGGCCAAGTTCCATGCCATCCAGTAGGTGCGAGTGTTGTGCAGCCAAGTGCTGCCTCCCGTTGCAAGGAGGACGAAGACAAACTGGAACACAAAACTGATCATCTGGACAAGGAGGGTGTTGAGTGTGCTGAAACCGAATCCCTTAATCACGATAGAGCCGAACTGTTACAAGATGGTAAGTCATGAACCCCTTCCATTGTGGTGTTGTTCTTACGCTGTGCACTCCTCCATTGGCAATCTGACTGCAGAGTTGGATTAAGAAGAGTCCCCAGGTTTTTAGGTCAAGCAATGCCTCGGTGCATTGGTACCACTTGAACTTGTCGCTCTTAATGCCGGTCATGTTATCTTTGACTCGCGCAACGGCCTTTCGGCTGTCCTCTTCGCTCAGGAACCATGCCTTCATCGGGGTATCTGGAAGTAGAAAGAAAATGGCAAACGACCAGGCGACAGTGATTGCTCCAAAAATGAGAAACACGGCCTAATATATGTCAGCCTTATCGTTCCTGCTTTGCGTCCCCTAAGAACCGAACGAGATGACGAACCTTCCATGGTGCAATGCTCTGAATATGTCCAATACCATAAGCGACGACGCCACCAAAGATTCCTGCGCACGTGTTTCCAAGGAACCATACTCCATGGCGTAGAGGCTGCTCTGATCTTTTATACCACATTGCAGTGACAACGCTGAGACCTGGGGCGATGGCGGATTCAGCGACACCCAGAAAGAAGCGATTGGCCAACAGGCTTCCAGTGTTGAAAGTTACGGCGGTCAGCATCAATATGACTCCCCAGATGATTCTAGGTATCGAGTCAATATTATTCCGGCAGTATAAAGGAGGGACGGGGGAACGCACATGGATGCCGCAATTGTCTTGCCAATGGGAAACCGAACCATGATAACACCAGCTACATAGGATGCAATCAAGTATCCAAAGTAATAGATGCTGCTGGCCCATGAATATCCAGATCCTGAAAGCTCGAGGTCTGTTCGTAAGCCCATAATGGCGGTGTAACTGAGGGCAGATTTGTCTAGAAACTGAAACATATATGAAGCGGCCATTGCTGGGAGAAGGCTGCCATTTTGTTAGCTTGGACTCCACAATCAAGCCGAACGCCAGTGTTGAATGAGATTGTCACTTACCACATGTCAATCCTGCGTAGAATTCTCTTGTCATCTTCTGCACTAAGCTCCTCGTAATGGAGTTCGCCCTGAGAAATGTCTTTTGCAGTTTCGTCCGCGATTTGGGACTTGACGTCCACTGTTCGCATCTCAGACATGATGAAATGGGAGCGAGGCAGGCCACTGGTGAGAGAAGATTGTAGATCTCTGTGGTGCTTCCGCGGGGTCAAGGCAGTGCATGAGGTAAATGAACTATGAAAGATGCATTCAGCAAGTCTGCATTGGTGGTTGTCCTGAATAATATATGATTCAGAGAAAGGAATATACTTGGTTTCTTATTTCCCCGCAGTTATCTCCTGCAATCATGACGAAGCCCCGGGAATGTTAATCTTTGACCTGGCAAAATGATAAGAGATAGCAACAAGATGTGTGCTTGGGTTTTCAGATAGCCGATGGTCGGGTATAATTAGTGCACACCGCTCAGAGTAGTATTCCATCGACGCTGTGGAGACCGCTTCATTCCCCTGCGAGTGCTAGATAACAACAGCACCACTTCGCTAAACTCGGAACAGAACAGTACTGGAGAATGTGATTCAGCCTAAGGGTATCCGTATTTATTAACATTAATTATGCGAACTACTTCTTGCTAGATGACAAAGAGGCCCACTTCCCCAGACTGAAAACGCTCACGCACATTCACCCGCCTGCCCGACTGGATCTGCATATCAACTACGCCGACTAGGAACCGATGGGCTCGCTCAAAGTTTTTGCCGAACCTGGTTATCGATTCAAGTCGTTCAAGGGCCCACTCGCGGTGGAGAAGGTCGTTTGTCTCCAATGCAACCATAAAGAGGGGCCAGGCGATTGGCATCATGGCCTCATCCCCGCCATGCTTGTACGTTTGGAATGCCAGGTTCATGATCTGGCGTAGCGCGCTGGTTTGCCGTGGACATAGCCCTGCTTCATCGTCGGGCCGCGTGAGACGGAGAAAATCCAGCACCACGCCGTAGAAATGCGGCACGACACTTCGAATGTTGGCCACCAGCCGATGCGAGTTGTCGGTAGTGAGCGATAGTTCCGCAGCTACCTCCATCAGCTCGCTAAACTTGCTGCTGACTTCTTGGATGGAGAGTTCGACAACCAAGGCACGTTCCGTTGCACTGGCCGCATCGCATTCGTAAAGCTTCGCGAGCTGTGCTATCATAAAACGTAGCTGGGTGCAGGCTCCCAAAAGAGAGTAGACGCTTCGATTCTCCACGTCATCAAGCAACTCACTTTGGGGATAGTTTTCACCCCAAGTCGTTCTGTAGAGAGGATTCGAGAACCGGTGCAGTTTATCAAAACTCTCCAAGGGTTGAAAACGACTGGCAAGGCCATCAGTTCCATTATTTCCACCCATCAGCTTGAACAGCATTGCGTTCAGCTCTCCGCCAACTCCACAAGATGCCGCTGCGGCATCGAAAAGGGCGATCCAGACTATCAATCGAGCAGAATAGAGAGATAGTGGTTTGCTGCCGGGCGCTTGTTGTGTCATTTGTGTCGATGTCGATATCAATGCCCTTGAATGGCCTCCTGACGAAGGAGATGACAGCAGTAGTTTGTCATTGCATCGGTGCTTTAGGATCAAAGCCGCACCGCTCAGGTGGTTTGCGACGCCCGTACATCTCTCGTCACCATATTTTTGCTCATATAGAAGCATCAGATATAACGCCGTATGGATCGAGTCGAGATCCAGCCGCTCACTATCGTCATCCCCAACCAGGTCGGCCATCATCTTCAAGGCACTCGAGTAATGCCAGAGAGGGGACCCAATACCTCGATTGTCTTCGGTCTGCATGTTGCGTCGGAACTCCATCTCTCTTCCACCGACAGCGAGAATCATGTGCATGACGATGGGATCCACCTGTGCAATGCCAAACATGATGGAATAGAGCGAATAGTCTGGGTTCTTTGTGTGGTGCAGCTTCGCAAAGGAGGTCCGAAAATATCGAATTGACTCGTGGTCTGCTGATGTGAAAACGACAGAGGAGGCTCCGGTAGCTGGCGCTGGGATGCAAGATGTCGATAGGGATCGTGATTCATTTTGTTCGATTAATGATTGAAGCCGATTCCGTGCCAGTCGTTGAAAGCATGCAACGTTTGTCCCATCTTCCGCCGTTGGAGTGTGTCTGCTCCGTGATTGAATCGCGAGACTTCTGTTCTTGGACGCCTTCCTCCTTGGAATATAATCGCACAAGAGGCTCAACCTCAAACATCGCCGACACTGAGGTGTTGCCTCGTCGCATTTGACCTTCTTTGCCCTGCACGTCCAGCATCCCTTGCGTGAGCGCGCCGCATTCCGCCCCTCTCCCTGTCGACACAACTGGGGCGACAGCGGCGAGCCGGGACTGGCGCTGCTTTTTTCTGCGGCATATTCGAAACTCATGTTGGCAGGCAAGAACTCGATTGCTTTGAGATGGTGACTGGGATGCAACTCGCGTGGCTGGGTGATTGTGGAGAGGGGAAGCATCGGCGTGGAGTTCTGTAGCCGAAGGTCGCGATAACATGACCGATAAAGCCGACCGACGGCTATCGATGATCGACAATGGGCTTATCATGTGCCAGAATGTGAGAGTGGAGTCAGATGATGGCTTTCTTCGTGGATGAACGAGATGTGATAAGCTCGTTGTCGACCAGGATCTTGAAATAAGTGGATTGCCGAGCGTCGGCTGTACATAATACATACATAATACGTGGCGTAACGTTCTGGAACTCCATCGACACGATCTACAAGTCTAGGTCGAATTCGCCACAAAAATAGAGGAGTGGCATTATGCTCGTGTTAGTGACGCAAACGCTTAAAAGCCCGACATGATGTCAGAATACCCCAGGATTCATACTCATTTCCCCTTCCTCCATTCTCCATTCCTAAATCCCGTAAACTCAGCTGGATACTATCTTCCCCAGGTACATAATGACTGAGATCAAAGAGGGCGAACCCATCAGACCCGGTCGCGGCCATGGGACTCAGCCAGCTTCACAAATTTACGAGGACCAGATTGTGAATGAACTCGACGATAGCAGAGCCTGTCTTCCCACGTCAATGGACTCGGCCGAGTCGTCACCCGGAGTCATCGAGACGGCACGCGCCATCATCGACCAAAGTCTTGACAATCTGAGTCCATCGCTACATCAAAATATCAACAAATTTCTCCACGCAAACCCCGAAACAGCATATCAAGAGTTTCTCGCCCACAATACTCTCACGGCGTACCTCGAGGACCAGGGATTCACGGTCAAAAAGCAGACCTATGGCCTTGAGACCAGCTTCGAAGTCGAGATTGGAGAGGGCGGACGGCTTGTCGTGTTTTGTGCCGAGTACGATGCCCTCCCCACGATAGGACACGCCTGTGGCCACAACCTGATCGCAACTTCGTCTCTCGCTGCTTTTTTGGGAGCCGCTCGTGCGATGACAGAGCTGGAAATCCCCGGTCGTTTACGCATTCTGGGTACGCCGGCAGAAGAAGGCGGCGGCGGCAAAGCGAAACTCATTGACGCTGGCGCTTTCAATCCTCCACAAGATATCGCAGCCGCCATCATGGCGCATCCCGTGGCAGCGCACCAGATCGGAAGCAGCGGTGACTTTTCCGGCCTCGCGGGCTTCAAGCTCATCGCAAGCCACAAACTGCGTGTCGAGTTTAGAGGCAAGACGGCCCACGCGGCTGGTGAGCCGTGGAATGGAGTAAATGCACTTGACGCAGCCGTTGCGGCATACAATAATGTGGCATTGCTGCGACAGCAGATCCAGCCTGATGAACGGATTCATGGCGTCATAGAGGCTGGTGGTACGGTTCCCAACGTCATCACTGAATACACTCGAATGAACTGGAATATCCGAAGCCCTACGATGAAGCGGTGCAATGACCTGCTACGTCGGGTAAAGGCGTGCTTCGAGGCTGGTGCTGCGGCTACTGGTTGCTCTATTAGCTACATCCCGTATGCAACTCCCAAGTTCTCGTTCCTCAAGAAACTTCACTGACGTGCTCGTAGGTCACCGACGTACATGAATCTCCGCGTCAACGACACGCTCTGCAAAACATACGTGGACGAGATGGCAGTTCTGGGCGAAAACATCATGCTTCGGCAGACCAAGAACTTCAATGCGTCGACAGACATGGGTAACGTGTCGCATCTAGTCCCCAGTTTCCACGGCGCTTTTGCGATCCCAGCAAGTCCGGATATCTCTGCTCATAACCCAGGATTCACCGCTGCTGCTGGAACGGACGAGGCACACGCAGCGGCAATCAAGTGCGCAAAGGGTATGGCGATTCTTGCTATACGTGTTCTTGTTGAGGATGCAGTTGCGACAGGTGCGCGAAGCGACTTTGGACTAGAGGATGAGTGATTGAGCCTGTAACACTATGCGAGTCTCTTCTATTCTTCCGCGACTCTGCTACTCAGGTTGACTACTTTCAAACCAGATGTAATTGAATATACAACCTATGCATAGCTAAGCCGATCCTTGGTCCATCCCGGTCTCAGGTAACTACTCTCAAATCCCATGTCAAAGCTGGTAGAATGAGTATAGTTAAGCTCCCACTCCACATTCATCTCAACTCCCTCACTCGCCTGGCTCCAAACCGTCACTACAATGGAATTATCACCATGGTAGTTGAGAATGCCAGGCGGCACGGGGAAGTCAATCTGGTGTCCGATGTACGGGCTGAACCTGCCGTACTGATATCCGTTCACGAAGAGCAGAGCCCGTAGACGGTTCGTGTATTCAGGCTTGCTGGGCGTAAAGGTACCGTCTGAGGTTGCTGTGAGGTGGAAAGAGATGGAAACGTCGACACCCTTGGGCACGTCAAGAGGTGCGACGGTGCGGAACACGCGGACACCGGCGGAGGGAACCACGAGGGTAGTGGTGCTGCTGGGGAGGTCGGTCCAGTCGTTATCGGGGTATTCCGGGAGGTGCATGCCTACTCGCTCGGCATAGAGTCCTCCTTCGTTGAACGGTCCTCGCATGGGATCGATGTTGTCCTCCAGTCCAGCGTTACCGGCAATCCGCCACTCAGTGAAGCTATAGTCACTCCCCGAGCCGACGAGAGTTGCGTTGGTGATGCCACGAGGGTCAATCGCCGATGAACGTAGCTCGTGGCCGCTTTGGTCCATCAACACGACCAAGACATTCTCGCCATCATCCTTGAGCGTAGCATTGTCAAAGGAAAAGGTTCCCGAGTGCGAGCCGAGGTACGAGAGGCCGTAGTAAGAGCCGATGTAGTCCGAGTTGACCCAGACAGAATAACCAAAAGCAAATCCGCCAATAAGATCGAGGAAGACACCCGTTGGGGGCTTCTTCGTGCTGGGGAAAGTGGCTCTGTAGATGCTGTTGCCGTAGTGGACCTTGTAGTCGTCGACGTATAGGACCGGGTTGTTGCCAGCAGGCTTGGTCGGGTTGGGAGTCTTTGTGTTGTTGGCAACTGGAAATGGTTAGGTTAATCGCTGTATCTCATGCTTCTCAGGGATTAACACTTACCAACCCAACCATCTGAAGTCGGCTTATAATCATTGGCAATCTCGGGAAGACTGTCGGCCCACGACCAGGGACCTAAAGATGGAAGCTTCACAGTCGAAGGACCTTTGATGGAGGCAACATAAACTGGGCCGTCACGAGATTTGACTGGAACCTTTTCTCCATTCCAAGTGATGGAACGCAGCTTCTCGGGGCCAAACACTGTGATTGTCTGCGCCTCTTCCTCGTCGCCAGTGAGAGCAAGCACTCGCTTCTTCGCGTCATATGCCGCAGAACGGACAAGATAAGGGCCCTGGACAAAGACTAGAAACGATCAACCCTAATTCTTTATATGTTAATGTTATCAACTTACCAGTGTTGTTGACAGGCGCAAACGGATCGTTGTCCAAAGTTGGCACCCAGAAACGATACGCCGTCTCTCGATCAAGCATCAAGATACGTGTACCATCATTCAGCTTAATGGAGTTCATGCCCGCCTTCTGGGTGTATGAGACTGTGATTCCCTTCTTCTCGTTGCGTACCGTCACGGATTTCTTCGTGGCAGCGCGCAACACCTTGGCTTTAGACGCGCCCCTGATCGCAAACTCGCCAGACTCGCCCTGAGGCAACCAAAACGCGAGGATCTGCTTGCCGTCAATGGTAGTATAGCTAAGCACCTCAGCAGTCGAGTAGAGCAGCTTCTTGTCGCCGAATTTGAAGTCGGTAACGAGGACCTTCGCCTCGTGGCCGTCGATCTTAATGTAATTGCCGAACCGAGGGATGGTGAGCTCGCCTTCAGATGTGTCGACTGTGAGACGGAGTGTCTCAACAGTTCCTGACGATGAGTCCTCGTGTCTAACCACATAAAACGCAGCGTCGGTCTCGGGATTTCTGAGTTCAGCGGCTGTGATAACGTCGTTGGTGGTGTAGTTGGTTCCAGAGCCCACCCGATCAGTGTTGGCCAAATCATGGGCGACCCTAGTGAAAAGAACAAGAAGCTTCGTCTCGTAGTACTTGTCCCAAAGAGCGCGATTCTCAGACACCGGTGAGGAGTAGTCGTAGCTCGTTGCCACAACAGGGCATGCTGAATGCCCCCAGTTGGTCCCGCCAAACATCATGTAGAGCGAGATGGCTGTGACGCGCTGAGAGATGAGGTCTCGGTAGAAGAGATTCGCGAATTCGGAGCCAATATCTGCCGGGCATCCGCCTTGCGGGCCTCCCCAAGGGTTGTACGACCCGCCTTGGAATTCGGGCATAAAGTTCGGCTGCTTGGGGGACTGAACATTGAAGTAGGAGAGGTACTCGGCGGTCTTGTAGGCCTTGTATTCGCCATTTGTGCCCGTACACTCGCTGAGGTTGCAGCTCCAGCACGAGGGGTAGCTGTCCAATCCAACGACATCGACATTACCGGTGGCGCTGGAGAAGTCCTTGGACCAAGAGTACCCATTCATGTTGGGAGCATTGTGAGCCAGGGGAACATCAATACCGCTGTCACGAGCACTGTCCTCAAGCAACTGCATGTAGTTTGCAATAGTTGGGTTCAGTACTCGGTTGGCAATGTTTTTCCACTGGCCGTTTAGCTCGTTCTCAATCTGGAACATGATGACATTGCCGCCGTTGGTGATGAGGTGCGGCTTAACAATACTGGAAATTTCTTCCCAGTATGGTTTCCAAGCTGCGGTGTACCTATCGTCGTCGTTACGGAGGTCACCATACTCACCCGTCGTCAGCCACAGCGGGAAGCCACCAGCGTTGGTCTCGGCATTGACGTAGGGACCAGGGCGCATGATGACATACATGCCGAGCTCCTTGGCCAGGGTCATGATGGACGTAAGGTTATGGCTACCATTGGTGAAGTCCAAAGCATCCGGTGAGGCGCTGTGGTAACCCCATGATGTGTAGATGGAGAAGGTGTTGAAGCTCAGATCTTGTTAGTCACATAAGCACTTAAGTCGAAGGCTTCAGATTGACTTACCCAGCCGCCTTGATCTTTTCAAGTAGATCTCGCCAAAGTTCGGGTCTACAAATGACTATTAGAGAGCAATTGGCAATTTTTGCGGCCAACTTACACTGGAAATCTCCACGGGTGGAACTAGAACACATTAGCAAACCGAATTGAACTGAGGGAGCAATATTTACTCACCTCGCCGGAAAATATGAACAGTCTCTGGCCATTGACGAAGTAGCTGTGGTGGTCCCTATAAACCTGTCAGACCATGCAAAGTTCAAAAGCATCTGGCGTGGGTCTAACCATTGCACAACTTCATTCAAACCATTGTCAAGTATCGGCCACTCTGTTCCCTGCGTCAAAGCCGGAGCAACGAGAGACGCAAGTCCCGCAAGCCCCAAACCGAACTTGGAGAGCTTCATTGTCGCAACTGGAGGTTTGTAGAAGCAACCTGACTGGTTTCCATCGTGGCATTCTATTCAAGGTCCAATCGAGTTTTTATCCTCATTGTTGACTTGACTTTGCGCTTACTGCACAAATCGGGCCGAGTCGGCGCAGAGAACCATTTGTTCCTGCTTATTGTCCCTCCAATGAGCCTTGCGGATTGCTTTTAGCCTCGATGAGGTTGCAGCCGAGCTCGTGATCGACAAGGGGGTCGGCTGGATTCGGCAGTCGAACGACCACCAAGCACGAGTTTGATTTGAACGGCTCAAACGAGAGGGAAAAAAACTGGGCAAGGTTCATTCCCCGCCTCACCGCTAAGGACATGGCGATATTTAGTGCGGGGTTTCGGCATGTTGACTACCGAGTTGGTTTCTGCTGGTGCCATTCATCAAGTGGTTGATTTCTTGGTCAAACGAGATGACTCTATGGACTTCATTTTCTGGCATCTTTCTCAGTCACGCAAGTTGAAGCGGCTCGTGGAGCGGTTAATTATATAGGCAACGTACTCTTTCCTTTATTGAACTATTCCTTTTGCGCCTTCTTTTTTGTTCTCGTTAGCATCTGGAATAATTACACCGTGGAGTTCGAGATGAATGATTCTGCGGAGGTGGCGGATGACTGATACCAAACTAGAGCAAGCTGAAGAATATTTTGAGGTATAGTTACGGGTGTAGTGGCAGCAACACTCCTAGAAGCTCAAAGCCATATATATAGCAGAAATCACGTACAGAATTCGGAGGATGATTATTTGATGATTTCTATCTCAATTGAGCATCACATCACCACCATCAAGTTTGAAGATGCGGGGTAATGTTCGCTTAGAAATCTTCCGGTCCAAGCTTGTTCATGCGACACCCCACAGGTGCGGATAGACGTGGATTTATGCATCTCATACGAAGTCACGTCATATTTTTATTCATGTCCCCAATTCGGATTTTATTTTATTCCCGAGTTGTTCTATCTTATCGACAATGTTCTATCTTATCGGACGACGCGTATCCGGCGTTCGCGTGGTGTATGTAGAGAGACGCGGAGGGGACCTAGAAATGCCTTCTTTAGAATGTTCGATTTTAAAACTATTTACTTGGCATGACCAGACGATTCCCGACCAACTGCTTTGCCTGCAGGTCAGAGGGAGTAAATTATTTATCCTGAATCTTACCCATTATTTCAATCTAACACCCAGCTGCGAGAAGTACCCCAGCCCTTACTTATTATAGAAGTCATATTGAAATATCTACTATTTCAAGGCGGCTTACCCTGTACCCGACTGTATGTTTTGCCGCGTCCCGAAGAGAAAACTATCTAAATTTGACAGAACTCTCGGTGCGGATTAATTCATGAGCCGCCGGAAGAAATCCCTATTTTCTACCGTAGCTCATTTTAAAGTGTTACTTCAGGCCGGTATCGTGGATGGTAAGAAAGACTGTGTTTTGTCACGAGTCGCGTTCCCTCCAACACCATGTCCTAGTAAATCCGAAAACTTTACTAGAATATTCCACTGGCTTCCAAAGTCTTGACATCTACAGCATGTTTTTATGACACATTATAAACCTCAAGTCTGAGTAGAATGAGAAGGAATTCGGGGACAAACGAAACGCCGGAAATGCCTGACAGGCAGGGTTCCCCCATCCGGGAAAACCGTCAACGTGTGGATCGTGTCAAGGTCTTGTATGAGACAGGACTTAAGCTTAAATCATACGTTTCGGTACAGTCGGAAAAGGTTATTAAGGGGGCGGAGAAGCCTCAACACCTAATTAACGGCTGGGGTTCTATACGACGTCACCTGTAAGCTGTTCGTTGCCAAGCACGCAAAGACCCTGGGCGCATATTGACCAGCTAGCCCTGATCCGCCTTGCTGAGACGTGTCCAGCTACCCCATTCCGGTAATGGAGATCTACACTCCGAACAGGGTGGTAGCCGCGCCGCGAGCCAGTTTCAAATCCATCTATCAAGCTCGTCGTTTGTGCTTAGCAAAATTTTGGTCCGGATTTTCCACCAACCGCCAAGCATCCCGGTTTTAAATGCACCAATGACGCCTCGACGGCGAGTTGTGTACGCCGTTGCATTCGGTCTTCGGATGACCTGCGTTTCGAATTTAGGGTATCGGATATGGTTTTTAGGCCAGATCGGATACGTTACGGCTGAAAAACAACTTTAATTCCTAATTCAGCGTGTCGAGAGTACCCCAGAGCGGCGAAGCCATGATGTTGTCGTGATCTCGTGTAAGCAGCTGTACCAACAGGGGCAGGTCGTATTATCTGTTGTAGAAACCTCACATAGGGGTTGGATGAGTATAAAACCAGCTTGTTTCGTCCTATTTATCATCTCGGCTTTGTTCAACACACTCTTCTTCTCAACTCGCCTGGCCGACTCTTCAACCTTCATTGACTTTCACTTTATTTGCATCCTTGTTCACCAACTTGTCATCTCCCAATCCCGCAATTACTCTCATCTCTTCATCATGAAGCTTTCCGCCGTCTTCGTTACCTTCCTCGCCACCCTGGTCGTTGGTTCTCCCATCGACTCCACGGATGCCGTTCTTAAGCGTCAAGCTGCCGAGGCCTGCTCTGTAGGCTACTGCACCCAGAATGGAGGCACCACTGGCGGTGCTGCTGGATCTACCATTACTGTAAACACTGTTGCTGCCCTCATCGAGGCTGCTAAGCGTGACGGCCCCCTTACTATCATCGTGTCCGGCCAGCTGAGCGGCAGCGACCGTGTCCGCCCTACCTCTGACAAGACCATTATTGGTGCCGCCGGTAGCTGTATGTTTTCTATGTGGCAAGCTGTGGTGTTTTCGAGATTCTGACCTTTCATAGCCATCACCGGCGTGGGATTCTACGTCCGCCGTCAGAGCAACGTCATCCTCCGCAACCTCAAGATTGCCAAGGTCCTTGCCGAAAACGGTGATGCCATCGGAATCGACGAGTCCACCAATGTCTGGGTCGACCACTGCGACCTTTCTGGAGACCTGAGCGCTGGCAAGGACGACCTTGACGGCCTCCTCGACATCTCCCACGCTGCTGACTGGGTTACCGTCTCCAACACCTACTTCCACGACCACGTATGTTACCCGTCCACAATTAAGTATTGATCGCGAAGGCAAGTCGCTAACCATGGATTCTCCAACAGTGGAAGGGCTCCCTGATCGGACACTCGGATAGCAACGCCGCCCAGGACACTGGCAAGCTCCGCGTCACTTATGCCAACAACTACTGGAAGAACGTCAACAGCCGACAGCCTCTCATTCGATTCGCCACCGTCCACATCGTCAACAACTTCTGGGATACCATGACTCTCTCCGGTGTCAACACCCGCATGGGAGCCCAGGTCCTGGTCCAGAGCTCTGCCTTTGTCAACTCCGCTGAACGTGCTATTTTCTTCGCCGACTCCAAGGAGACTGGATATGCTGTTGTCGAGGATGTTTCTTTCGGTGGCTCCATCAACTCGGCTCCTCTCGGCACGCTCACCTCCGCCAAGCTGCCTTACAAGGTCACTGCCCTGGGCTCTGGCAAGATTGCCAGCACCATCCCCACCACTGCGGGACAGAAGCTGTAAGAAGTCCCAACTCAACAGTAGTGTTGTATTACTCAAGCTTCACTCGCATATTTATGCTGGTGAACGGGTGTTTGAGTATAGGGCCAGGAGCAGCTCGGGACAGGTTCTCGAGAGATAGTGACAAGTTATCTTAGAAGTACATATAGCCGCTGTGTAAATACTTTTGCATTTCGAGAAGGATAAATTGATGCCTCATTACCTTTTTCACGTTACGTTTCATTGCTCTTCATTCAATGAGAAGTGGCCCAAAGAACGGATTTAAGTACAATCCGGTAACTGCCCCAACTATTGGCTATGTATTCACTCGGGAACTACTCAATGCATGTGTCAAAGTCTCCTCTTGCCCCCAATCAATTACATCCATTGTTCTCCTGGTTTATCTCCTTGATTTCTCGATATCGTACGAGTTTGATAACGGTTAAATAGGAATACTCCTATCGCGGAGCTACGTCCCGACCCAATGCGACAGCCCGGTCATATGCTACTTGTGTATCGCTTGCCTGGCGGGCCCCACGGACGGCCCGGGGAAAACTTAAGACGTGAAGAGTATTACGAGTAAAGCAATGTATGGATCAAAGAGCGTGTTCACCTAGCCTAAGTGGTATGCACTGACGGAGGGCGCAGACATTGTGTATATCCAGAGCCAGGGCAAATGACCCTTGCAATGTACCATGTAAAACAATCACGACTAGTGCTCAGCTTATATCTTATAAACCAATTTCTCCGCGCTGACCGGCCGGAGATGAGCCTCCATACTCCGCTGTGAACCATCCCCGGAAGCCAAAGGCGATTGCCGAAGCACGCTGAAACCACCAGAGACAATCTTCTCGATTCCACCTGGCATAAGACGAATAGGAACTGATTGCGGGACGTTGAGGTCTGAAGCCGTACTTTGGCCGATGAACTTGAAGAAAGCAGCTGCGAATTTGCGCGCCTCCTGATCCGCGAGCAGAGTGACACCTTTGCATACGCGTTAGACAGCAGTCACGCCAGAGTGAGAAAAATAATACACTTACCATGGTATTCAATCTCGACTCCAAGGCCCTCCCAAACTGCGCCGATGACAGGCTTAATCTTCAAGGCAGCCATATCAAAGTTGCCAATATTAGGAGTCCGGTAGGCGGCAAACTTGCCGTTGGCGCTCAATGTACTCTCGACATTAGCAACTGTTGGACCAGAAGAAACCGCGTCAATTGCATAAAGAACACCGCTGCCTCCGGTTGCCTGGAGGGCCTCCTCTGTCCAGCTAGACTTCTTGTAATCGACCAAGACGTCGTACTGGTACGGCGCCTCCCGTAACATGGCGTGCTTTGAGGCGCTGGCAGCCCCGATGAGCCGAATCTTTTTACCTGCAGTCTTTTCCGCGATACGGACCAGCTGCGCTGCAAAAAGGCCAACATTGGTTGTCGAACCGTATATCAGGACATTCACGGGCTCTTCTACGCCCTCAAACGTTGGGGTCCCGTAAAACGGACACGGAAAGCCCATGCGGTAGAAGAGACCTTGCGCAGCTGTGAGACCACAGAGATTGACCGTGGCGGCGTTTTCCAACGGCACGTTGGCTGCAACACTCCAAGTCAAGTCGTAGTCTGCTACGACGTACTCGGCATAGGCACCGGGACGGTCGTTGCCAGAGTTTGCTGTGGTTTATTAGATACGACTCTATCCCAAGGGAGCAGAAGAACGCTTACCGCCTTGAACAAACCCAGCGACACGGGCGCCGACAACTGCTCGGGGGTCGTCCACGCTTTTGAGATCCTCGCCGATAGCTGCCACAACACCAACGAAATCCGACCCTACCACACGGGTATCTTGAACAGCCAACGGATGATCCAGGTTCATCACGTCCACCGTATTGAGTGCGACGGCCTGAACCCGAACGAGGATCTGCTTTGGCCCAGGGACTGGCACAGGGACATCTTCGACGGCTAGGGACTGCCCTTTCGGCCTGAAGATCAGAGCCTTCATGGTAGTGCTGGCCGCCATGACTATTAAATCCAATAGTTTTAGATTCAGGAAGAAAACTCTGCACACAGAGCTGGAAGAACTGGGTATTTGGCCAAGTTTCGCCGACACCTCGGAATCGATGTTGCAGAATTCAAGCCAAGGTGGCAAAAGCTCGCTGGGAGACGTTGTTTTATAGATATTCGTACATCGAGGAGGTCTTTGAAATTCCTTGCTGCTTATCGGTGCTTGAGCGGACTGTCTAACAAATCTAGCACCAGCACACCAGCACACACATAGTCACACGATGGAGCAATACAATCAATTTGACCCAATCAGACAGAATCGACATCTAAACACGCGGAAACTCTACGCCGAACATTTACGACTAGATATCCCCCGGTCTCAAACCAAAAGTTAGAGTTGGTCATTCGGAACGCTAGCCTCATGTAGACACTGAGTGAGTTGGCGGTTGGGTGATTCCGTGCGAATAGCAAGGTCTGGTTTCAATCCTCGGCACGACCGGCTAAAATAAGTTTCGTAAGGGCGTTTGCGCAGTGCGATCTGGAGCTTGATGGGTGTGGCTAGTGCTTGACAGCCAGGCTACGGTCTGATGGATATCGGAACATCCTTGACCTAGAGATTATGGTGGGTACAATTTATCGTGACCCTTCCTGCAGCCCACTCGATCCCTGATTGCTCAATTGCAGTGACGGGCTAAGTCTGGCAACTTGAATTAGATCACTTCCATATCACTAGTAGTACCAGTGGGCCATTTGATCCCCATTTCTCAAGGTTGCAAAGCCTAAGCTGAGGCTCGTTCCTTCGTTGGAGCGGTTATAAACTGAATACGGTTAGGCTTCCGGTCTCCACCCATGAGACGACCTCTAAGTCATGCAGATACATAGAACGTTCTGGCTTTTGTTGATATGGCCTGAAGACCTATACCGAGCGTAACGGTTTTAACGACACTGAATTCGGCACCGCAGATTAGGTTGATGACGTGACAAACTCCTCAGGATGGAGCACTGGGTGCCCTACGACCCTTGTGATTTTCGTCTGGATTCCAAAGAAGCCGATACGAGAGAATATTAGCCGAGCCCGCGCTTGGTGGGATGTGAGAATCAGGCTCTGCCAGTTGTCAGAAGGCTGCCTCTCCCCACTCAAACCAGAAGATGCTATTAATTATGATGCCTGCCTGGCCGCAGGCTCCTCTTTAATATCATTATCATAAGAGGCATTGAGGCTGTCCCGAACATGCAACTCTCTTGATAAGAAACTCCCCTTGCTGAGCCTTGTCCCTTGTTTCCAGCCAGGCAGCACTGGGCGTCGTCTCTCTTTCTCTCAGAGCCCTACATAGTATTTCTCACTGAATGGTCTAACCTTGTAGAGAGCCATAGTTTCACGGGCGTATGCGCCTTCAAGGTCATGGGTACCCATGAGCCTAGTGCATCCCCCTTTTGAGACCGATTTGCCACTCCTCTTATCGGAATACGGAAAATGCCAAGACTGTGTCTGGCATTTAAAATCCACGTCTTCTATCTCCCAAATGAAAGGGTGATTAATAGCGGTTGGACGATGGCTTCGGTAGCGCGACTTGATCAGCTCCAGCAACTCTCATAACAACATGTCGAGCGACGTTCTCAACTTCAACAAGCCCTGCCGTGTTTGTCGCCGCCGAAAGGTTCGTTGCGATAAGAAGCAGCCCTGCAACAACTGTGTCCGTCATGGAGTCCAATGTGTCTATGAAGCCCCGCCCGAATCTGCCATGAGCCAACAGCTGCTTCAAAAGAGGGTCGAGCGGTTAGAACGTATAGTGGAAGACCTGATCGCCTTGTCTCTCCCCGACTCAGCTCTCCAACTCTCTCAGCGAAACAGTTGCCCATCTGGAAACAGCCCTTTCAGTAGTCCTGGTCTTGGTTCAGACACTCCTGCTGATAATGAAAGCCATATATTTCGGCTAGGAAACTCCGATCACATGGGACCGCATCCATCGATGAGCATCGACCACTTCATCTATGAACCCTGCCATCTTAACATCAATTTTGATAATAGTGCTGATGATGAGATGTGGAACTGGCCTCTACACCCAATGAGCCCTAAGACCAGAAATACATCTTACTTTCATCTTCCGAGATGTAAGGAAGATGTGCTGATGAACCATTTTTTCGACCATGTTGAACCTTTCATTCGAATCAGCCATAAGGGACACTACTGGCAAATGGTGGCAGACTATCGACAAGGCAATTGCATTTCCGCTGGTGAAGTGGAGGCTCTTATGTCCGCTACGCAATACATCACCGCAACAGTTCTACCGGCATCGATCATCCAGGAGCAGATTGGCGTGGCTAGATCGGAACTGAGCAACCAACTTCAGCAGAAGACTGAACTCGCACTTCAACGGGCGGACCTGATGAGGAGCCGAAATACCATCCTCTTTAATGCTCTACTCTATTACATTGTACATGAACATGTTTCGTCCTTACTTTTATCCGTGCCTAACTAATCGGTGAACAGACCTGTCAGTTCCATACTGGGAATGCTGAAGTAGGCTCGGGTTTGCTTGGTCTTGCAGCGAGTATTGCTAGGCGGATCGGCATACAGAGAGATCCGGCGTACTACGGCTGCGGGCCGTGGATTGCTGAGATGAGGCGACGGATGTGGGGCCATATCGCTACTCTGGACGCACAGTTTGCTAACATAGACGGCTTGGAATCAGTCATGTTGACTATCGGTGATGTTCACCAGTCGCACAACGCCAATGATGCGGACTGGAAAGTGTCCACGTTAGTGGGAACCGACCCTGGACCTCGCGATGGGGAAGGATTTAGCGACGCGACGGTACCTCTCATAAGAAGGGAACTCAGTAAGGCGTGCCACAACCTTTTCAAGGCCCAGGGAACAATATCAAATTGCAAAGATCTCGTGGCGATTGTTGACGAAACCGAGAAATACCTTCGGTGCAAGTTCATTCAGCACTTCGACGGATCCAATTCAATGCAACTGGTCATCACCCATTGGTACAATGCGATGATCAAGTTGTTACATGTCTTGATACTCTACTTCCATGCGTCACCATCAAAAGTAAAGTTGCAATGTCACGTGTTTGAGCAACTCCAAGGCCGGTGAGCATACATCCCTACGTTTTAAATTTCCCCCTACTAACAATCCCAGGCTCTATGATGATTGTCTCGCTTGTCTTGAGGAATTTGAGTGTGGAGAAAAGGCAGCAATCTCGAATCATTGGCAGTGGGCCTTCAGATGGCCAATTCCGATTCATTGCATTGCGGGCCTGCTTCTGGGTCTCGCGCGCCGGCCTGACCACGGGGATACAGATCGGGCATGGAAGCAGATTGATGTTGTCTTCCAGCGCTACAACAACGAGGATATCTCCGTGGCCGAGGTTCTTGCATGGAACTCCGTCGAGAACTTGTGCGACCAAGCAATGCTAAAGCACCCGAACCGCGCGCACGAGGGCCGGTCATATGTCGAACGCATTCACAAAACTGCTCCTGTGACGGCCTGGGAGCCGCATAGATCTGATGCGGTGTCTTACGACGGCATGGGTTTCTCGAGCTTAGACGAAAACATCAGGCAGTCCAACTTATCCCACAGATTTTCAGGAGAAGGCATGGATTCGGGTTTCTCGACTGGCGATATTGAAGCACTTTTCTGCAACTTGGATAAAGATAGCGAATTTCTACCTACAGACTTCTAAAATCCACATTCTCTTGGCGGGGTACCAACTTGAATGACCCTGTAGTGTCAAATTATAGAAAGGACCCAGTGTGAGCAAGATCTCAAATCTTTTACGGGGGGGGCTGAGAGGCTAACTGAACCGCCAGACATGCAATATCGCCGCCTGAAAGATCTATGAGTCACCGAGCGATAACATTGGTCAGACAATGTGATGCGTGAATTTGTTCTACAAGAACAGCGCTGTATCTGACTGAGATTGAGGCGGATAGAGCCATGTCTTCTGGTTTGGCAACAATTGGCGATAGTGTCTTGGAGCAACTGATAGTTCCGACAGCAATAGAACCCGCCCCTATCACCTTCTACCCGAGGAGAAAATAAAAGAGGAGGAAAGACACGAAGAAAAGCACTTGCCATCTTGTTTGATATCATGTTTGTCGATATAGTTGATTCCCTTTAGCGATTTTCAAGATATACCAGAGGAAGAACCTCCACCTGTTTGTAACTCCTTCTTTAAGCCCTTGTTTCAAGTTCTCGGATGCAGGAAATGTATGAAGCAAAAAAATCGTCATCTTATCCAGGAACCATGGATATAGTCGTATTCTCGCGGCAGAATGGGAATTGTTCCAATGATCCAGAGAGCTAGTAACGGGACTGAAGACGCAATCATCAGGGTCCTGCAGCCTACACCTATTTCGCCGCAGAGTACGTAAGAGCACGTAAGCTTGGCTAGATCCGGGGTCTCAGTGATCCCTGCTACATACAATACACTCTCTTTGAAGCATCTAGCTGTCGTAATAGTATCAGTAGCCTAGAAGTTAAGGTTAGACACTCCGGAACGCTAACTATTTCAGAGCAAGCGTTTATGATGGAGACTCCGCAACGCTTACCTGATCAAGGCAAGCTTATATCGGTTGAGACTCCGGAACGCTAGCCAAATACAGGCAAGTTGAGGCCTTCGGCAATGTCGGGTTCTTATTGCAGAGATTACTTCGAGATCTCTCCAAAACATTCTGGCACATTCAACCGGAGTACAAGCAGTTCACAGCCGACTTTCGTGAATGAATTATGGTGAACTACGGTCAGCCGTCACGGGACTGTCTTCCCTGCCGGAAGAGGAAACTCCGAGTACGTACACTCCCCTGCCACTCCAAACTCGACGTCATTGACCTAACGTGATGACAGTGTGACCTTCTGGTCGAGGGCTGTGGACAATGCCGGAGAGCTCGGATCAAATGCCATGGATACCGCGATCGCCAAAGTCTTCTCTTCCGCGATGAGACCCGCTCTACCCAGCAAAAGGTGTTGGCACGTCAGGCCGCCGCCCAAGCCGTCACTCAATCGTCCGCTCCCCAAGGAATGGAATTCGGTTGGGATGTCCGCGCTCGATATCTCTTTGTTTCCACCTACGTTCTCGGATTCTCCCACAGTCTCGGATCAGTAGCTCCGCTCTGCAATAAGGCGTCTGCAGCTAGCCATCTATCTGCAAGTCTTGAGGCGACTAGCTTAGCTTTTATGGCGAATCAGTTGCATGCTCCTGACTTAATGCAACTAGCTAATGCCAGCTATTATAAGGCTATACAGAAGCTCGGACAAGCTCTAGCGGGGCTGTCAGCCTCTGGAGTAGAAGAGGCCCTTCAATCTGTTTTGCTTCTCGACCAGTATGAAAAGATAGTCCATCGAAGCCCTCAAAGCTCATCCTCATGGATGAGTCATATATATGGAGGATTATCCTTAATCGCCCCATATACACAAGAACGACACCTAAGCCCTACTAGATGCCAACTCGAGGCCCGCTTAATTACAAGCTTAACTGTCAGTTCTGCAGCAATAGCTGTCCGAGTACCAGCTGCAGTAGAAGACTTATACTGCCACCTGAACTCTCATCTAAGTGGTGTCAAGTGGGAATTCTTGGGTATTTTATTCCAAGTTGTTAACCTGCAAGCTGATATTCACAGCGGTGGGGATAACAACCTGGTCCAGAGAGCAACTCAGTTAGACAAACTTCTTCTCAACTTGGAGTTGAAAATGCCGTCATCCTGGAGGCCCCACCAGATCTCTCCTGCCAAGCCTCATCCACTTATCTTTGGCACTCATTACGAAATTTTCGCGGACCACTTCATTACCCAGGTCAACAATGGTATCCGCGTGGCACGCCTGATAGTCAACAACATTGTTATAAAGCATACTCCATTCGACAGGTACGAGGCCAGCTCTTGCAGCAAAATCCTGGCTACGGTTATGGACCTTACGCAGCAGATTTGCGCCACTGTACCCCAATTCCTCCTCCCAGAGACAAATTCAGGTCACACTATACCTTTCTCATCACGACAGAGCTTACAGTGCTATGTTCTACTTGCTCCTCTCTACATGGCCTATCAGACTTCAAACGACATCCTCATGCGAGACTGGATTATTCAATGTCTCACATATATGGCGGAAACTGGGAGGATGAAGGTGGCACAGGATGTTGCTGACCTGATAAAAAGTGACCAAAACTTGGACTACTGGCTCGTCTATGCCATGGTCGGTAGCTATGCGCTGGCAGCATGAATAAAGTTCAGAGAATACGTCTTTTAGGTATAATAATAACACCCTTACGCTTCTAGGGATGCTTGTCAGGGATTGTCAAAAACTTCCCTTCATGTTTGCCTACTCAGTAATACACGATGGAAGTGCGCCGTATTTCCACTTCTGCACTAATCACAGCCCTCAGATCTCTACTTCTTATTTCGTTTCCAGAAATGCGGCGCACTTTAATCGTGCTTTACTGAGTAGGTAGAGTTTATTTACATGTTGCGAGTAGGATGATGGGTCAATTCTACAGGCTAGATCTTTTTTTCGTCTGATATCGCTGACGTGAGTAGTAACGGTGGTGGCAGCAGTGGCAGAGTGTGCCGTAGTGGTGGCGATATTACCACCGCCATAGCTAGCTATATAATAGACGATGCGATGCAATAAATGGCCAACAAGTAGTTGCTAGAGATTGCGGTTACGAGCCCGTTTGTTTGAAGGATTAGGAATGAGTCAATGTAGGAAACGATGAGCCCCAAGTAACCCCAAGTGACTAGAGGTTGAACTATAACGAAATCACTGTCGTCATTCTGCTCTACAGTTGTTCTGTTCCAGTGGGGTGCGATCCCATGGCGTTATTAGCTGAAAAGCTAACTCCAACTTAGGGTGAGCAGTTGCGATAGTCGAACAACCACTGGATGAAGTAGATGAGTCACGATGCCGTCATGAGTTCGTCGACTTCCTCCGGCTCCTGACTCAGGACCAGGCATTCAGCAACGTGTCCACATTGGCAACGAGTCGCGACGAACTTGACACCCGGAGAGCCCCGGATCCGATATCTATGTTCCTATCTATGTCAAATTCGTATTTTGACTAGCATATTCGGCGTTACATTCAAAGGGAACTACGTTTAGATCCCAAGTTCACTCCCTAGCCCCTTGACCAATGTTAGAGTGTTGAAGAAGCGCTCCCGCATAGGGCGAAAGGAATGGAAGTGAGATATTTCTTTCATGAAATACCAAGGCACTGATTTGTGAAACTAGCTAACTGACATAGGTTTCATTAGGCGGCATGCTAGTTGGCAATCCTCTGAAGGCTCAACCAGCCCTCGGCTATCCACGCAGCCTTCACTAGCCTACCGGAGACATTGGACGAGACCTACGAGAGGATTCTTTGCAGCATTTGGGAAGAGCCTAAAAGGTTGGCCTGTCGAGCCCTTGTACTTTTTTGTGCAAGCGCGAAAGCCCAATAATGACGGTCGAAAACTTCTTCGAGGCTGTAATTTGGGGAGACGTGGAGAACAAGTACCTACGGGACCAGTTGTTCGGCGTAGACAGTCTCCAGGGGACTCGCATATGTTTGGTCACGGTCTGCCAAGAGACTGAACCTTTCGCTGTGACGACGACGCTTGGAAACTCTTACACATACAACGGGCGAATAATCAAGCTGGCCCATGACACCGTCAAGAAGTTTCTTGTTTTGGAGCGATTTCGGGTTGGCCCGGCGAGGGGCTCTCGGACTAGAGCTGGCAAGTTTGCTTCAACATGAGCTACCAAATGTTCCCAAGAGCTGAAACTGGAAATTATCTGGAAAAGACGACAATTGCACGTTGATTGGAGTTGAGAAGCGATGGATTATGCGATGCAAGGGGTGAGTAGGGCGTCAGTAAGATACATGCTTACTATGGAACCTAAGGATTGGTATGTCTATGATTGTCGAAGCGGTTATATTCCCTTGCAACAGCCAAGCGAGCTTCTGAAGCTGGATTGGCAAAATAAACCTGATACCAAGTCTATGGCTACCCCTGTTGCCCCGGCTATTTCAACCTAGGCGGGAAGCTTCAGACCAACAACTTTCTCGCACGCTTCAACGACCTTATCCTGCAAGCTCACATCTCCTGACAAGGGAAGAGGAGTGGCTTGCTTTCGCTTAGGGTCAAAGTACTTGCCAGTGAGACTCTGATCGTAGTCCCCTTCAGCCAACATGACGTACGTCTCCACGCCGTCCTCTAACTTGTCAGGGGCTCCCTCGCCTCCAACCTTGGTGGCAACCCATCCCGGGTGAACCGAAAGAACCGACGTGTTCTTGAGTCTTCTCGCAAAGGCATTTGCAAGCAGCATCACATGCAGCTTGGAATCGCAATAGGCGGGGAAGTCCTGGAAAGCACTCTCGCCACGCTCCAACCAAAAAATGTCATCGGCGCTGAGATTGGTGGCATCGCGGTGCAGTTGAGAGGAAATGAAGATGAGTCGCTTGGGGGGGTTCAAGAGGCTGGCGAGAATATAGGGGGCCAGAACGTTGACAACAACCATAGCCGGGATGCCAGTATCGGCCGTCTTGCGGAAAGGACCGTAGAGCATGCCGGCGTTGAGGATGATGGCATCAAAGTCCCCAGTAGCATTGACTTCTTCGGCGAGCTTCTTTGTCTCCGAAACGTTGGACAGATCCGCAATAAATACTCCAGCCGCGCCGGGACAGGCCGCCTTGGCATCGGCAGCACGCTTGGCATTGCGGGCGTGTAAATAAACGGTGTGCTTGCGTTGAACCAGCTGACGAGCAGCCTCGAGGCCGAAGCCGTCGGCAGAACCAGTGATGAGAATGCGGGCCATTGTGCGATGGAATTGATTCATGAGATGGTAGGAATGATATGGAGACTCAAACACGAGGGATGAACAGTGCAATATGTAGTAGCCAGAGAACGAGCTGCTTGGTGTTTGTCTACCATCAGACAATTCCGAAACAATACAAGGTGTACTCGGAACCTCCAGAATGCTAGCCGAATTCAGGTAGGTCAGTCATTATTAAGCCTCAAAGAACAACTCAGAATAAGTTGACGTGGGTTGAGAGCTCCGGAAAGCTAGCCTAATTAAGGTAGGTCAGTCATGATTAAACCCCGAAGAACAAATCAGAATGAGTTGACATGGGTTGAGGGCTCCGGAACGCTAGCCTAATTATAGAAAGTCGTCGTGATTCTTTTGTAGGACTCCGGAACTCTAGCCGAAGGGAGTTTCTGACTAGCTTTACGACGTTTCGATCATGACACAATACAGACTCCTCTCAACACTGAAGGACTGAAGTTCTGCAACAACACGACATACTGCGAAATCTGTGAGTCCCGCTGCTGATGACAAATAAACTGATTAAAAATCAATATGAGTGTCACTCCGTGGAGTTTGCGATTGCTAACAATGTTGAAGATCGACTTAGTCCCGAGTAACAAGCCTATAAAATGTCACTCTGCCTTCTCTCCTACCCATTCCTGCAATCAACCTCCTTTCGAATCATCGATAATCAACAAGACTCACTCAAGCACCTGCTTCCATCTATTCTATGAACCATGGCACAACGTGTTGAAAGAGTCGCCATTGTTGGTGTGAGTGAAAGCTTCACCTGCACTTAGATGCTCATACTGACTATTCTCGATAGGCGAGTGGCCAGATAGGGTCCTTCTTCGTCGAAGAATTATTTAAAACCGGCAAGCATACAGTTACCGCCATCACGCGCTCCGCCAGCTCCACAGGATTTCCTGCCGGTGTCAACATCGCAACTGTTGATTATGACGACCAAGCATCCCTTGTTGCCGCACTCGAGGGCCAGCAGTTTCTCATCATCACTATGGCATTGACGGCTCCTAGGGACTCGCAGGAGAAGCTAATTCGAGCCGCTGCCAAAGCAGGGGTGCCGTATGTCATGCCAAATTGGTATGGTGTTGACTTTGCCAACAAAGTGCTCCTCGCGGACTGTCCCTTTCCACCGCAACTGACAGGAACTACTGCTCTGATCGAGGAGCTTGGTGTGAGTTCCTGGATCATATTGAGCTGTGGTATGTGGTACGAGTACAGCCTCTCGGTCGGGCTTGATACGTTCGGCATCGACATAAAAAATCGCGAGGTTATCTGGATTGACGAGGGCGAGACTATGATCAATGTCAGCAGCTATCGACAATGTGGCAGAGCCATCTCAGGGTTACTGAGCCTTGAAGAAATACCTGCTCAGGGAGAAGACGCATCGCGTAGTCTCAGCCAGTTTTCCAACCACGTCGCCTACATTTCCAGCTTCAGGCTGAGCCAGAAGGACATTTTCGAGAGCGTCAAGCGGGTAACGGGAACCTCGAACGCGGATTGGAAGTTCAGCAAAGAGACAGCAGTGGGACGCTGGAAGGAAGCGGCTGACAGAATTCAAAAGGGAGATTGGTCGGCTTTTCTCAAGCAGTTATACAGTCGAGTATTTTTCCCCGATGGCAGCGCTGATATTGCGGGGAAGAGAGTGGTAAACAATGACCTTCTTGGGCTACCGTTGCAAGATCTTGACGAACTCACTAGGGCAGCTATAGTATTAGTAGAAGCTGTATAGGTGAATGCATTAGTTTCCCTTGATAAGGGAACCTCGTATTTGAATTTACTGCATTTTCATTATGTATATCCCGCCGCGACATAATCAGCACCCCAGTGTCCAGTGACGCAATTTCCTACTACCGTATTCACCGCCAAACGGCGTATACTTAGGCTAGTTTATTGGCGAGGGTTTCCTGTGTAGACCCGCACTGCTCGCCGCGAAGGAAGCGGCACGATGCGTATAGCTTGGTTCTGTAAGACGCTGGCTAATAACAGTGTCAACTTGATGGAATTCATATTCCGAAACCGAAACTTAACAAGGAGGTATTAATGCATTGGGGGGGGGGGGGGGCAGGTAATGAATTTCATATTCCGATTGACGATACCTTCCAAGCCTTACACTCCCTCTCACTTTCGGCTTCAAAACTTGACAGACAACCCTTCCTGCATCATGAACCAATAATCATCGAATCCGTACGTCTTTCCGTCATCTACCAATTCCATATTAGAATGCAGCAATAGAGTTGGAATCAACTTGGTCATCTCCATGATGCTAATCCATCTGCCACTGCACGTATGAGAACCGTGTCCAAAGGTGAAGAAGGCACGGTTCATCTCTCGCAGCCGTTCCTCATCTGAGACAGACGGTGACCATCTATCCAACCAGAAGCCATCCGGGTCCGTATAAATCTCAGGGTTTCGATGAAGAACCCATGGGTTGAGACCAACTTCGACTCCTCCGGAGATTTGGTAACCGCACAGTTGTGCGCCCTCAGCAGGCACCGTCCGCGCCAACAGCATGCCGACCGACGGATGGACTAGCATGCCTTCTTAGATAACGAAGCCAAGATACGGCAGGGCATGCGCCTGTGCAAAGCTAACAGGCAACGAGAGGTTTGCATCTCGGATCTCGCTACGCAGCTTGGCACATACGTCTGGGTTCTTGAGTACGTGGTAGACGATAGATCGCATGGCCGTGGCTGTGGTATCGCTTCCAGCTGTGATGTTTCCAAAGGCGTGCGTCATTATCTCCCGGTCGTGGAGGAGCTTGGGGTTGGATTTCTGGTTGAGTAGAAGGCGTTGAAGAAAGGTCATGGGGGCCTTCTTCCGAAGTGCGTTCGCGGGCGTTTTCAACCTCGGCCGCAACTAACTGTGCCAGGTCTTTCTCGCCCTGGCCAGTTAGGCTTCTGAATGCCCACATGGCGATCAGTGGCTTAAAGATCCGGAACTGGAAAGATCGTGTGATTTGCCCAAACTATATGACACGTCAGCTCATTGGAAGCATTCCTCTTCATTCGAGAGTGCAGCTCCTTGTTGGTGAGGATGAACGGGTCTGGGAGTATATTGATGATTGTCCGGTGGAATTGCGATCCTTGTGCGGAATCCGCGGACAGAACGAGGGGTACGGCCAGCTTGACCGGGGCAAAGATGCGAGAGATATGGCCGAGCAATTGCAAATCCGATGGTTTCGCATCTTGGTGGTGTTATCTTTCTTCGGATGACGGCCGAATGACTGAGCTGCATGCTTGGTATCAAGATTGGACATGCCAGCAATGCACTGAGTGAGTGAGTGTTTCGACACGTTGTATATCAATTGCGAACAATGCAGCCAATTCCAGTCGTATACCGGGAAAATCCTCCCTCGATGAGGGAACCTAGTGTTTGAATTTACTGCATTTTCGTTGCGCGCACGTCACCGTTGCCAAGGCCCAAGTTTTGGGTTTCAAGCTGCTTTTTTCTTCTCTGCCGGAATCCTGTCTAACTTTTTCGACCCAGTCTAACCTTGATGAATGCACTGACAATTCCCACGACCCGACCTAACGCCCCAAGATCCCCAACGCCCATAATAGACAAATTCGTCGAACTCGCCAAGGAAAAGGGGACTCCAGTCATTGCCGTCATTTTCAAGTATACCGCCCTCTACGACCGACATACATGCTTAAGATGAAGGATAGCTGACGGACACAAAGTTATCGACTAGGCCTTCCGGGTCTTTTGACGTCGCAAGAACTGCGAGAAGCCGGTTATCCTGCAAACAACGCACTTCTTGACCAAAAGACTTGTTTCCGATGGCTTAAAAAATACATTGGAGGCTTCGGTGGTGATCCGGACTCCATCACGGCCGTTGGTCAGAGTGCTGGAGCAAGTAAGTCGTCGCCGAGCTGAACTGCAACTTTTACCATCCCCCCTCCCCACCCCGGGTTCTAATTGATATCCAAGTATCTATCTGCTATCATTTGCAATCCTCGGAGCCTCTTTTCAGTCAGGCTGCAATTTTAGGTGGCTCCACCTTTGTTCAAAGTCCTGCATCTCTCGACACTGCTGAGGCGATATACAACAAGGTCACAGACTCCCTTAAACAAGCCGACCTATCACCAAATGACCGGATTAACGCATTGGTGACAGCGAATGAGGATGAAATCTTGGGCCAGGCTGACTTCACCTTGGGGCTCAATGTTGTGGCTGATGGGCAGGTGGTTCCAGACGCCGTCTCCTTTGACGGATTGCTCAAAGATAGCGACACCATCTTCCCGGGCAAACAGTGGTGTGAGCGCTTGCTCATCGTCCAAGGAAATTTCGAGGTGTGTCTTTTATTAATCCTTACCGCCAAAATCTCTTCTTACTGAACCCTTACTGTAGTCTTCTATCATGGGTTTCCTTGTCCTGGCGCCTAAGAAGAATGGAATAGCCAAGGTCTTCTGCGACTCTATGACGCAAACGTTTGAATCCAACCCCGCTATCGAACAGCTCCTCCATTTGTACGAGTTGTCAGTCGATACTGATGACGACGCGGCGCTCGTTTTCATTACGGCTTATCTGAACGACCTCTTCTTTTACACACCTGCTTGCCTCCTGGCTACACTGTGGCCGAAGGGCTACGTGGGAAATTTTAACGAGGGTAATCCCTGGGACGGTCCCAATCGCGGAAAAAGCAATCACATGCTCGATACAGCGCTTCTTTGGCAGCAGTACAATGATCGGTTATCGCCGTCACAGGTAGGCGTTGCCGAGGCATATGCTACTGACCTGGCCGCTTTCGTGGCCGGCCTGAATAAATTTCCTCTATTCAAGGAAAGCAATCAGCTAGTTGTGTGGGGTCCAAGCGATGGAGGCGTGACTCGTCAAGTTGCTAGCAGAAGTGAGGCGGCTTCCGGACGGAGGCCGGAATTCTTCGGCATCATGGAAGCCTTGGGTGGCTTGCCCGCCCTGTTTGCGGCTCATAGGGCGTTTTGTGATAATTTGTATAGTGCTAGTAGATCCCAAAGCTAAATGTGTTCTTTATCGAGCCTTTTTTCATAACCAACCACGATTTATGTTGATACCTTCGCATCGTGTGTATGATATATTAGAGCTTGATTGCTAGGTGGGAACGTCAGGCGTGATGATACCTTATCATATCTATCAATTCTTGGTAGATTGGGGGGTTATGTAAATTGAGTAACATGTATCATCACCTTGCAGTGGCTGTGAGAATACTTGGGCACAAAATCACAACGACTGTTCACAGCACAGCCAAAAATTGTAAGCATAGCTATGTAAATTGAATCCAGTCTGCCAAGATACGGTCGGATCCACACCAACAAGAGGATAGTAGAACGACAGGTGGGGGTGGGGTGTATTGTTATCAGTGGATTATAGCTCTTAGCTATCTCTACATCTGCGGATCCCGCATCTATCTTTCTCCTTCAGTACGCTACTTGTCTCCAGTTATATCCAACTTGGCTACTATATATAGGAACTGACTTAGTCTCTCTTCTATTTTCCTTTCAGTTTTGTGGCACAATATCTCAATCTATTCAGTATCAATCTCAAAATCATACATCATGGTGAACATTGCAGTAGCAGGCGGCAATGGTAATGTTGGCCGAACTATTGTGGAGGTTCTAAAAGAACAAACTCGTCATGCTCCATTCATCCTTTCTCGCCACGTATGTTTCCCTTCCGCATCGAGATCTAGCTATGGAAACAATTTTGACAGCATTTCTAATATGGATCATCATATACAGGCTGAGACTGAAGTCGGCGTTCCTGCTCTAGCAGTTGACTATACCAACATTGACTCTATCCGAGAGGTCCTTGAGAAGAATAACATCCACACTGTTATCAGTTGTGTTAATTATGAAGGCGATGCTCTAGCTGTGGCTCAATTGAACTTGATCAAGGCGTCTACCAACTCCTCTACCACAAAGAGGTTTATTCCTAGCACATTTGGTATCGCTTATCCAGAATCGTAAGTCAACACGTCTTCGCCCTCTTGTGATTTAGCTTGCTAACACATCTTTCTAGAGCTATTAAAGAGCTCCCTATGTTAACTGATTACTTCAAAGCTATTGGAGAATTGAAGAAGTCAGGCCTACAGTGGACTGTAGTCAACAATGGTTGCTTTCTTGATTACTGGGGTCAGCCTCATATTAAGAGCTTCCTTCGCCCGTCACCCTTTGGCATCGATATTGCCAACAGGGAAGCTGCTATTCCTGGTGATGGCAACACGCCTTTCTCTCTCACTTATTCCTTTGACATGGCAAAGTACGTGGTAGCTCTACAGGATCTTGATGAGTGGCCTGAGGTCTCAAGATTTGCTGGCGATATCATTACATGGAATGAGTTTCTAAGTCTCGCGGAGGAAGTGACTGGCATGCCAACCCACCTTAAACTAGCCTATAGAAGCCCAGTCTGCTAACTTACTGACAGGTTCCAAATTCAAGGTTACTTACGACTCTATTGAAAAGCTGGAAAAGGGGGAAATAACCGAATTGCCATCCCAAGTGCCTTGTTATGCGTTTATCCCCAAGCCGCAGTTCCAGGGGTTCATGTCCATTTTCACAAAATGGACGGCAAATGAGAAAATTTCTCTTATTCCAGCGGAAATGAACTCTAGATTTCCAGGCATCAAGCCTCTCACTGTACGAGAGATGCTCAATGTTTGGAAAGATGAGTCAAGTTAGGTCCACCACTCGATTAGTGTTTATTAAGTTTAGGGTAAATTCGATTGGAAAGATACAATACTTCTGGCAACAAGAGATCTATTTATGTGAAACTTCCTTTCTGTCGGAGTGGATTGGGTGAAGGGACACAAGGATTAACTACCTCCAATTTCATACGGGTTCACCTACCATCCCGATTTACACCTAATTTGTAAGGCAACAGCCAACATTGACGATCACAGAGCCGACAGCAGTGTCTCCTCTTTTTTAGCTAGTCAGATCAATCACATCATACAATTCCTATGCTTCCTGCTGCAGCTCTAACTTTCAATACCCCTTGACTGTCATAAGCCTCCACCTAGGTCACGAGACCCACTAGACCCCTACAACAGCTGAGGTACCTAGAGTGACCTAAAGCATTGCTGGAATCAACTCCGCCTAATTCTATATATAACTTATTCTGTGTATTCTAATAGATTCCTAATAGCCCTTCAGCTAGACAGTTAATGCATATAATAACAATAGCTAGCGGCAAATCCCCGTCTTAGATGTCCAGTGCTATTCCCCATGGATTCTGTAATCCCTACTCTCCAATATATTGAGCGTCATTAGCGGGCGATTTGCGTCTTAATCCGCCTGTTATCATAGTTTAGCAAGCCAACAAGGTGCTAGAATGCTCCTATTCATTTTCCGTAATAATGGAATGTAAAGAAGCGTGCTGGAAGACCGCTTGATACTCGAGTGACGCTGATACAGGTAGTCGGCCGTCTAAGCCTCCCTTTCGCACACCCGTTGGTGCGCACTCTTGAGACATCAGGCCGTCCAGACACATGGCGCGATATATGACCTGCATCTGTCAGCTTCGGAGTTCAAGTGGAAACCTGGAGCCCGCAAGTCCACCACGGTCCAATGGCGATAACACTGGTCGCAGCGCTCCGGCTTTGGACTGGGGTCTCTCCGCGGAGACTCTCCGCGGAGACTACCATATACCAGGCTTCGATGAACCGCTGCCGGGAATGGCTGGGAGAGTAAACCCATCTAGTTGTCACCGACTTCTTTCAATCTTTCGTCACTGTCCCGCCTCAGCACATCATGGCACCCATCCGCGTTGGCCTCATTGGGCTTTCAACATCTCATTTTCCCGAACCAGGCTGCTGGGCCGCGTTCGTTCATCTCCCTAGCATCCTAAACTCGCCGGACTACAAGCTAGTTGCAATCGCAAACTCGACTGTCCAGTCTGCACGCAATTCGATCGCAGCTCATGGTCTGCCGTCGACGACCAAGGCATACGGAAGCCCGGAAGATTTGGCCAATGAGCCGGAAGTCGACCTCGTCGTTGTTTCTGTGCGGGTCGGGAAGCACTTTGAGCTTACGCAACCCGCTATTCTCTCCAAAAAGAGTGTATTTGTCGAGTGGCCGCTTGGCGCTTCCCTGGCTGAGGCCCAACAGCTGACGGAGCTGGCCCAGGCCAATGGCGTCAAGACCATGGTGGGCTTACAAACCCGAGGGAGCAGACTCGTGCTGAAACTGAAAGAAGCCATCTTGAATGGCAAGATTGGTAAAGTTATCAGCTCGTCTGTTCTTGCATCGTCGAGTGTCGCTCCCACAGCCATATGCCCGCAGGGCCTTGAGTATTACCTTGATATGAAAAGTGCTGGCAATGAATTTTACATGTACTTTGGGCACTGTGAGTCTGGACCCTTTCTTCATCTGCTGCCACGCACGCATCTGACCACGAACAAGTTCTGGACTCATTTGTTGATATTCTTGGGGACTTTGTGAAGCTGCAGTCTATTTTGAAGACAAACTTCTCCACCGTCCCGATCGTTGGACCCGACGGCAACGCTGTAGACCCGGTACACATCAAGACTTCTCCTGATCACATCTTCATACAAGGTGTTCTGGAAGGCGGAGCAGTCGCGTCTATCGCGTTCCGCAAACCCCAATCTGCCATCGACAACACCGGTTTCCGTTGGTTGATTACAGGCACTGAAGGGGAGATTGTGGTGACTGCACCCGAAGAACACTGGCAAATGATCCACAGTGATATGAGAATGAAGATCAAACTTGGCAAGGCTGAAGAAGTTGAGGATGTGGATCTGAGCGGTCAAGGGCTGGACGTGGCAGCCGAGATTCCCGAACAAGGAGCCAATATTGCGCTGATCTATGATGCGTACGCGAAAGGCGACACCAGTCGCTACGCAACTTTTGAGTCTGCAACCAAGACACATCGGCTGTTGGAAGAAATTGTCCGAGAGGCAAACTTTTAGGTGTAGCGAGGAAAGGCAGAAAGATATAGGGGGAACTGGTACTGTAGAACGGCTAGTAGTTAATTTTGGCCTCAAATCGATTGAGCTAGTCGCAACTCGAGCTGTTCTACGTCATTTAATTGGTTGTGGAGGCTATTGCTGAAAATTGAAAAACGTGGTAAAAATATGCAGGATGTACTATCCGAGCCCCATCGCCACTTAGCAAAACCATTCTATCAACGCGCTAGAAACTATGCAAGCCCCGACGATATGGGGGTAAGTTTGCGATGAAAAGAAATATAAGGTGGACGCGCTAATGTTCTAGGGCCCAGAAGATGACTCTATACACTAGCCCATGCTCAATGCTAGTCGTTGATCGCATATTTCGAAGCTGAACATGTAATGTTCTCCAGAGCATCACTGAGCCTCTGTCGCAGTGTCCGAATTGCGCTGATGCTGAATCTACACAAATTCGACGGAGTTGACGAAAGCTCAACCTCCCCTCTGCAACCACCCCAAGACTGGACTTATTCAGAGGAACAGCGCCGAACACGGTGGGTGATATTTTGCGCTGACCGTCTTGTTTCTGCAACTACGAAATCGCCAACACTGATCCAGGATCCTCAAGTATGTCTTGCAGCTCTCTCATGCACACGTACGAAAATTGATCGATATAGATGCAAACCCGACTTCCTGCTTCTGATAAGGCTTATAGCAGTGGCCGCGAAGAGAGAACATGCATGTTGACAGATGAGCGACATGGAGAACGATATTCCGCTCTCGCAGCAAGAGTGAGAGTTTCACAGCTTTTCTACCAGATTTTGGACCACACCTCTCAAGTCAACCTGGCGACAAATTTGGATTCCAAAATTGACCCTTTCTGGAAGCGACACAGAGCTTTAGACAACGACTTGGCTATAATCTTATTATTACTGCCCGAGACTCTCCGTCTTCCCGCAAACAACCACTGTCAACACGCCTTGTTCATTCATATCCTTATCCATACGGCTACAATTTGCCTTCACAGAGCAGCTCTCTTCATGGTGAAGTCACAGACTCTCCCAGAGCACCTGAAGCTCGAATCTCAATATCGGCTTCTCCCGGCACCTGAGGACATCCTCAATATTTTTCGGATCACGTCTGATCTTCAAGTATCTCTCATGAACCCTTTAATTAACTTCTCCGCGTATATTGCGGCCCTGGTTTTTCTAGAGGACGTACTATCTGACTACAGTTCTCATGGAGAGAAAGACTTGGAGTTTTTACTCAAGATTATGATAGCTATAGGCAGGGGCAATGCAGTAACAAGATCCTTGGCGGGCCAATTGGCAAAAGAGATGACAGAACATGGTATCCAATCTTCGACAATCGAAAAGGTAAGATGATAGAATCGTGTCCCGTACAAAGCTAATAGTCGAATGCAGATTCAGGATCTAGAACCAGGACCGGAAATTGTTCCACAGCTAGCAGCACTCGGTCCCAACTCGGCTAATATAATTTTCAGTTTCAAATAATTACAACGGTAAGATGATACGTTGATTTGAGAGCCTTAATTAAATATAATCCAGCTCTATATTATATTTCTATAACCTCCAGTTTGTGTTATAATATTCTAAAACGGGGGAACTTGCCTTTTGGACCAAAACAATCACACCCACCAATTGAGGCTTGTAGGGTTGCTGAGATAACAAGAAGTATGAACTCGATCAAAATAACAACCTCCCGGAGGAATTGCACGTCAACCAAGTCGTCATGAAATCAGGGAAAATGAAGAAGATTGTGATTATATCCCTAACAAGAGAAGGTATCAAAATTGAGGGAAAAGAAACAGAATTGTTGGCCGTATGGCCCAAAAGCTAGAATAGACTGCAAGACTCAAAAAAATCGATGATGGTCCCGTCAACAGTTGCAGGCGAGTGGGGCCTTATATGTCCCGTAATCCAGCTAGCTAAGGCCTAGTCATCGGCCTCTGGGGTGTCAATCCGGTCCATCACAGTATCTTCGTGGATTATTAAGTGAATTCATTTATGGATAGCTATATTTATCTATCACAGTATTTTAACAACTGAGCAGAATAACTCATACACTACTATCTATAGCACCTAGGTCAGTTTTTGCTCCTTATATATGCCTTTGACTATCGACTGAATGTACTCGTTCAATCGGCTTCAATGTTGCGACACACTCCTATTGCGGAAGTAAAATGGATGCAACCGGAATGCTCAGGAATGCCTGATGAGTGCCAGAAGTCTCATTCACACAATGTGCCGCACCAGCTCCGACACCAATCCTCATCCAAATTAATGATAGGTGTATACGAGTATAGCATCTCCGGAGAGCGGCAGAGAAGGTTTACGTTAAAGTCCAAGTGCGATTCTTCATACCACTCATTGGCTACACTAGCATCCAGTATGGGGCGGGCGTCATTCGGGCCGATTGTGATGCAGGATTGCTGGCCAACAAGCGTGCGAGCAGGTCAGCCCATTAGGATAAGACAGATTGTTTTGTGACCTGCCACACAAGTCTCGGTACGAATAAAGGCAGGTAACTAGTGTGAGCAGCAGAGTACTGATACCTTCCCAGCTGTGACAATCACCTTCGCCACCTAACGGACTGGGGACGCCAGGTATCTTGTCATACGATTTAAGGTGAGATGAGACCTTGACAAGGTGAGACATTAGTGGCAAATCGTGCAGCCAAAAACAGCCTTTTTCAATCCTTGTGGGCTAGACACTCGAAACCGAGAAATGCGAGACCGAGGGACACAACGAGTAATATCTGAATGAATTCATCGGTTTATTCGTATCCCCATTCCCACGACTCCCCCCTCTCGTATGCCAAGCCAAATCGTCCGGGTTACTCTTTTCGCCGCAGCAATTCCTGGAATTTTACGGTAAGGCACCGGCTTTCCGTTCTCAGACAACCATGGCTCTGGAGAGTAAAAGAAACGAGGCTCTTCACGAACTGGAGGGCTTAGAGGCAGTGGAAGAACTGCCTCGATACGAAGATGTCCTTGATTCAAGTAGTGTACAGGGGAATGTAGAAGTGGCAGGTACGAAATTTTGCGACAGAACGAATGTCATCTTCCATATCGCACTGATTCTGATATAGCTCTAGATGACGGTCGTGTCAATGTGGACCCGGACTCAAGACTATTTCGGACACTATCACGGTTTGTTCCAGCCTCACCCACCACAGACGCCGAACGACCTGGCTCTTCTCAGTCAAGCCACCCTCCAGACTATTCGGAAAGTAAACCAGAATCTCCAACAGTGGAGCCGCGGCACTGGAACATCCGACTCAACATTGTCATTCAAATCGTTGGAAGTCGTGGGGATGTTCAACCTTTCATCGCACTGGGGAACGAATTACAAAAGTCCGGTCATAGAGTCCGCTTGGCAACACACAATGTCTTCGAGCAGTTTGTGACTGAACATGGCCTAGAATTCTTCCCCATTGGCGGCGACCCGTCAGAGCTTATGGCCTATATGGTCAAGAACCCAGGATTGATCCCGAATATGAAGTCTCTTAAAGTCAAAGAGATCAAGAGGAAGCGACAGATGGTTGCAGAGATGCTGAACGGGTGCTGGCGTTCGTGTTTGGATCCTGACCCCAAGTCAAACAAACCATTTGTGGCAGATGCTATCATTGCGAATCCACCAAGCTTTGCACACGTTCACTGCTCTCAGGCCCTTGGTATTCCCGTGCACTTGATGTTCACGATGCCTTGGTCAAGTACCAGGTCATTCCCACATCCTCTAGCAAACTTGAAAAGGTCAAAGACGACTGCGGTGAGTGAAGGGACTTCTAATTTTGTCTCATACTCTATGGTTGAATGGATGACCTGGCAAGGGTAAGCAACCCTGTTCCTTAATGGTTTTCAACTACCTGACAAATGGACTAGACTCGGAGATGTTATCAATGATTGGAGAAAAACGCTAGACTTGGAACCAGTGCCACTATCAGAGGGCCCTGGTCTCGCAGAAACTCTGAGGATTCCTTTCACATACTGCTGGTCGCCCGCATTGATACCCAAGCCAACTGACTGGGATAGTCACATAGGTACGGATAGTATGTCAATGATGAGATTGAGTGGATACTAACTTGAATAGATGTGTGCGGTTTCTTCTTCCGAGAACCCCCCTCGTACACACCTCCTCCTGATCTGGTCACCTTTTTGGATAAGGGTCCTGCACCAATTTATATCGGGTTCGGTAGCGTCGTGATTGATGACCCAGGAAAGGTTACAAACATCTTACTGTCTGCTATCGAGTCTACTGGAGTACGTGCCATTATATCGAGGGGCTGGAGCAAGCTCGGAGAAGCAGAAAACTCGAATGAAAACATCTACTACAGCGACGACTGCCCACACGAGTGGCTGTTCCAGCATGTAGTAGCTGTCGTGCATCATGGTGGAGCGGGCACTACTGCCTGTGGCCTGAAGTTTGGACGACCTACGACCGTTGTTCCCTTCTTTGGAGAGTAAGTAAACCTCTTGAAAACGTGAGCTATTCAGTGCAATTACTGACTTGATCGCAGTCAACAGTTCTGGGGTGATATGGCTGCGGCGGCGAATGCTGGACCTCGGCCAATTCCTTACAAAACCCTTGATAGCAAGAAACTTGCTGAAGCTATTCTCTTCTGTCTAAAAGAGGATGTAGTTGCATCCGCAGGGAAGATTGCTGCTAAAATGGAAAAGGAATGTGGCGTGAAGCGGGCCGCACAGTCCTTTCACGCAAACTTACCCATGGTCGGCCTACCTTGCGATATTCTCAAGGATCGTCCAGCAGTTTGGACTTATGAACGCAAGGATAAAGTTGTGAACCTCTCTGGCGTTGCCGCTGAGGTTTTGGTCGACCATCTCAAAGTCGATCGGAAGCATCTCAAACTGTGAGTAAAGATATCCTAATCTAAAGCTGTCCAAGTTCTCTTCACGCCGCGGAATGTCGGTGTATGCCTATTCATTGGGGTTCTTGATTACTAATATTCAATTCAGGCATAGTTCTTTGGAAATTCTCATAGAGAATCGACGATGGGATCCATTTTCAGGCACAGCATCGGCTGCAGTGGGAACATATTATGGCATGTTTTCTTCTGTTGCCGGTATTATTTCACGACCCATCGAAGTGCATCGTGCAGCAGTTTCCGCTAAGGAAGCTTCAAAGGCCGCCGACAACGTTGATGAACCCACATCAAGCCGTAACTCACTTTCCCCGACACCTTCCGCTGGAAGTTCGTCACGATCGATCCTGAGATCGTTACGCAAATCGTCATCTACGGACAATCACTCGTCGCACACTTCAGATAGTGTTTCACTCGACGGTAGGACACACAAGAGCAGCTCGGTCTACGATTCCAAATTAGTGTCATCGATGACCCTTGCATCTGCTTCTGGTGTCGGAGACTTCTTTAAAACCTACTCTAAGGGCGTCTTTGTCGACATACCACTAGCCTTTGCAGAAGGATCCCGAGCTCTTCCAAAGCTTTACGGCGAACAGGTGCGAGACTATGGCAAGGTCACGGACTGGAAGTCTGGTCTGATGGTGTCTGGCAAAAGTCTGGTTTTGGGCATTGGGGAGGGCTTTGCTGACCTGGCAGTTAAACCAGTCCAGGGCGCCGTCAAAGACGGTGTGGTAGGAGGTGTTTTAGGAGTTGGGAAAGGCTTGATAGGATTCTCTACGAAAATCTCTTCAGGTAAGCGTCTGGTTCTAAGCTGAGGTAAATCTCGGTGGTATATGGCAGATCGCTAACTAGCAGGATCCCAGCCGCTTTCGGAATCGTAGCATATCCCGGTCTTGGTTTTTACAAGAGCATTCGCACCGCGGTGAAGACCAAGACACGGGCGTCAATCATGAACGCAAGACGGCAGGAAGCTTCTCAGTTATTAAGCGACTCAAGAAATTCCCAAGTCCTTGATTTTCAGGAGGACGCTATCATTGACGCTTTCACGAAGGAATTAAGTGTACAGCCAGCTACTACTCAAACTGCTTGGGGCAAGTGAGGGAAGACAACATATTGACATTCACCAAACCAAATTCCCTAGATCTAGATTTATGCTTCTGTTAACCTCAAACGTCCTCTTGCCGTTGTTTTGTTCTCCTCTTCATTGCTTCAAAAATGGTGAAGTCGGAGTTTGCCCTCTGCTGCTTGTGGCAGAGGATGTCTCGCAAAATCTGTCGTACGTCATGGGACATGTTCAGTGAACCACGAATATAAATGTTAGCATCCTCATCAACGAGGAGTTGCCCTAACAGCTCATGTTCCATTTTGATCTTTTCCTTGGCCCCTAGATGTGCCGGCCCCCGAATACGAGGTGATGATCTGCAGCTGTCCGTGCAAGCTTTTCTCGGCGGCTTGGAATTCTTCATTGTATAGTAATTCACCTAGGATCCTGCAACCAAAGCAGAAGGTTATCAACCCGATTTCCTTATCGAGCTTAGATTTCTTAAAATATACTGGATAAAAACCTCTAAATAGATTGATTCCGGACCCGGTAGCCACTGTAATTATAGGTTAAGGCTAAGAGACGGGTGCTTTAAACTTGGATTTACGGATGCAACGATATGCCGTCCGAAGTGTATCGCTAGACATCCCCACCCCAGAAAGGCCCTTTCGTGGATTCAGCATGCCAAGTAGGTAATGCGACGTCAAGTCATAGACAACTCCGTCTGGATTATCTGGCTAAAGCATAGCAACATTTACAGCTAGCGATGCTAAATGAGGTTGAACAGTCGATACTGAAACGATCGAGTAATATCGAGACTTTAGTGCAGGGACCCGCTCGAAAAGGAACGAGAGGGGAATTTTCCAGGGACATTTAGGAGATGCGTGGCGTAAGATGAAAGCCAAGGTGATCTTTTTCGACGCACGATGCCGTACAGGTTTCCTTGTCCCGTGATATTGACCGCAAGGCTGATCTCGCCCCATCGGAGGGTGCAAACTGTTCCTAGTCTCGAATGACCTCTCGTGAGATAGGCGTGCGATCTCCACGTGCCTTTTGAGTGATGTGTGGATCATCCGTTGTTATCTCGTCGAGGAATTCAATCTTTCAAGCTAGCGTGTAAGGTCGAACTTGCTCTGCAATGTTGAGCTTTTTCACAAACACTATGAAGAGATCCGTTGACCAGTTGAAGAAATCTTCGTCTACCATTTCCAGGACGTCGTCGGCAAGGTAGAGGTCAAAGATTGGCTGGGCACCAAACTTGAGCAGAGCCTCTTTGATCTGTTTATCAAACTGGGTGTAGGACATATACTTGCTACTTCTCAACCCTGATATAGCAAACCTCATGCCTTCCAGGGAGGCTTGAGGCGGGGGAGAGATAAGCTAATTGGAGAAAGCAAAAGTATTGTTTGAGAGGTTATCTTTGCTATAAGTCAATAGGATAAAGGTGATTAGTATTTATTTCTATAATATAGTATATAAGATTTCCCTCGATGAGGGAACCTAGTGTTTGAATTTACTGCATTTTCGTTGCGCGCACGTCACAGTTGCCAAGGCCCAAGTTTTGGGTTTTAAGCTGCTTTTTTCTTCTCTGCTGGAATCCTGTCTAACTTTTTCGACCCAGTCTAACCTTGATGAATGCACTGAAAACTCCCACGACCCGACCTAACGCCCCGAGATCCCCAACGCCCATGATGACCCAAGTCATTCGAATCCCCCCTCTAGCCAGCACCCTATATGGCTAGCATCCGTACCAACCCAATACAATACAACAGCTCCTGGAACCAGGGGTCGTATTGGGGCCCGGCGATATCCTGGAGGAAGACTTGACCTCTTGGATCGGGATTGTTGATATTTTTAGCCAAGTCGTAAAGCGCGGCTATTTCTATTCAGATATATAGAACAAGATTGCAGATAAGAATTTAATTTCCTTACCCATTAACCCTAATTCTATTATTAAGAAGCAAATAGTATCTAAAAATAGCTAATACAATTTATTAGCTTCTATTTAGGCGTTATAGATAGTATAGCGATAGCTTAAATAGATTTTCTTTCTTAAGAAAGCTTAAGAGGAATTTTAGCTTCTATCTTTCTAATTTATCTTCTAGATTCTAAGAGAATCCGAGATTATATTAGAGTTGGGATCTATAATGCGGATATAATAGGTTATCCCTGGAAAGAGCTGCTTGAATGAAATTCGCTATATTGAAAATTAGTTATGATAGGATAAGTATTAGAAGGGAAGTTGGTCTCTTGATGATAGGAGATGTCAGTCTCCCTTATATTCTATTACTCGGAATAAGATTACTATCTTAAGGTTATTAACTACAGATAGCAAGGTTGTTAACTGTAGATAATAGAGTTGAAGTTAGAGGGGTTAAATAGAAGCTTCAGGCAGAGACTAGTGGGCAATAATCTTATTATTTAGCTACTGTTTCTTCTAGTGCTAGATGAAGCACTTATTGTTTATTCCTACTATTTGAGATTACTATATGGCTTTGATCTATCTGATGATATTGAGTAAAGCTAAAAAAACCAAATAGTATATAAGATGGTAGCACTATACCACCATCTCAGGTAACCCAATTCTACTCTATTCTTCACAAGTAGCTTCTAGAATAGCCAGGTGCTAACGTAAGCTACTTTGGAATACACGGTTTTCAAAACATACATCTTGCTTCTGAGGTATTAGTGAATGTCTTTAGACACGAGATTTAGAAATTCGACAGTTATCCGTCCTACATTGAGTGGCGTGATGAATGAGCTGTAATGCACTGACGCCTCGCTTAAACCCCCCACGGGGTAGGTGCCAGCAGCGAAGACTACAACCAGTGATAGGCCATTAATATCCATTTATTCATGCTTATTTGTAGTCTCCATACACAATGATCTGATGGTCAGCTTTTCTCTAACCGAATTAATTCACCTGCAGGCGACAAAACTCATCTGCTCCGTGTAACTTGGCACTCTGGAAGTTCGTTTATCCAGAGCTTCACGTGACTGCCCGGTTAGCTCCAAGCCTTCTGCCTTCGCGAGTCAATCTACGGAGTATGTTAGGATCGGATCATGGGCAGTGACAGGTTGGTGGATACGGCGTGTCTGCTTGATGACGCACGTAGCCGACAAGGGTTCCTTTAGCAGGTCCCTGCATAATCTACAATAATCTACGATAATCTACAATGGGCATTCAAGTTTGCGGTTGCAACGGCATGTCACTTTTGCACGTGGACTACTTTGTTATAGTAATTTTTTCATTCATATATACATGGCCTCATCTGAGTCAACCTGCAGCTAATTTACAGATTTAATTCTCAATCGCTACTCGCGTATTCCGCAAATGAGTAGCATCTCGCTACGGGGTCGTCTCGACTCCACGGCTCATGGCCGCCGCTATCAGATGTAAATCAAAACTCGCTTAAAACTTGCTCTGGTTGGCGTTCTCCATCAACATGGTGTTGTCGGGCTTGTACTTCTTGGAGATCAAGCGGACGTCGTACTCGCAGTCGAGGATGGCGCCGTTGGGCTCGTTCTCGACGGGCTTGAAGTCCAGCACCAGATCGCTCTTGACGGCGCAGGCAGTGTCGGTCTCGAGGTAAGGGTCGTCGCGGGGGTACAGCTGAGCGGTGACGCCGACGTAGTCGGGGTGAGTGACCATGATGTGGATGTGGGCAGGGCGGAAGGGATGGCGGTGCATCATCTTGAGGAGCTCAGCAGAGGGGCCGCTGGTGTCGATGGCGTACTCGGTGGGCTTGAGGCAGTAGAACCAGAACTTGCCGTCGCGGTCGGTGCGGAACTTGCCTCGGAGGTTGTGGCGGGTCTGGTTCTCGGGGTCGAAGACGTCGTATTTGCCGTTGGTGCTGGCTTGCCACATGTCGAAGACGACGTTGGGGATGCCCTTGCCGGTGTCGACGTCCTTGACGACGCCGTGGAAGAGGGTGAGCTCGCCGTCCTTGGGCATGTTCTGGACGACGCTGGCGCCGAGGTCGCGGAAGGGGGTTTCGGGGGACCAGAAGGGTCCGAGGATGGCGGAGGATGTGGGAGCGCGGCCGTCGTCGGTGGTCACGGTGTGGTTGATTTCGTCGACGAGACTGAGGTTGTTTGTTAGCGGCGGCGACGCGATTGAGGAGAGAGTAATGCTCACGATTCAATTCCCAGGACGTCCATGACTCTCCAGGTCTCGTTTCGGTTCTTCTGGTAGGCCTGGCCGAGCGAGTTGATGTAGTTGACGCCCAGAACCCACTCTTCTTGCTTGAGCTCGACGTCGCGGCAGAAGTCGTGCATGTGCTTGATCAACGAGGTGAGGATCTCGCGGTGGCGGGGGAGAGTCTCGGGGCTCATCAGGTCAATGACATGCTGTGTGAAGTTTGGGTCAAATCTGTGGGTGGTGTTGGGAGCGGCGTCGGTGCCGTTGGTGCCGCTGGCGGCGGTGGTGCCGTTGGTAGCCATTGTGAAGATGTGTGGAGACTTGGTTCAAGAGTTGAAGTGACAAGTAAGTGTGTTTGACGCGATGATGTCCGAAATAAAACCCAAGCAGCAGGGCGACGATGGATATTAAGTATCAATTGAAGCCCGGCCAGAGCGGCTACCCTCGCCATGTGGGCACGAATCGCATGACGTACAATGCCAGACAATGCGGCAAACGAGTTCGGCAATGCGGGCGGGGTGAACGCTCAAGTTACGCTTGTCAAGCTGGGCCAAGCAATTGAGCTGTGCTACTCGCCACGGGTAAGTGTATTTCCCCCACTGGCGTGCCGCATGGGATGGGAGCGTGGCTCGGATGTGGAGATGGTGGCCAGGAGAGGCTAGATGGAGTCGTCTAGCGAGCTTCGGATCGCGGACCACAAAGATTGAGAGAGCAGATGAGGCAATATCCAATCATCTCGCTCGCTTTGCAACTCGTAGACACGCTACGGAGCAGTCGTCCTCGTAGTAGCCGATCCCAACTGCCGCCACCCACCGTTCTAGATGGCCCTAGATGGCATCCTGTCATCAGCATCGAATCATCCAGGGTTTGTCACTCGCTGCAAATTTTCAGTCTCGGCATACAGGCGCGGCTCGTAGCGTTTATCTGAGTGTGTATCCCCAGATTCCCCGGAGAAGCCCGACGCCCAGCCCCGGATATCCGGATGTCTGGCCTCGAGTCTGTCCGTCCCACTGACCTTGAAGCCCCCGTGCCCTCCTTTTGAAGCTCTGACTATCCCCGGTCTCCCCAGACAGCCATGGATAATGATGGACCCCCCGCGAAATCCGCCACGCGCTACGGCCCCGCCCCGCCCGGCTACGACAACGGCAAACTCGCGTCGTGAACCAACAAAGACCTCACCACCAACCATGCCAGGATATTGGAAAACGCACGGCAGGCGAGGCCGGTAAGCAGCGTCAATCCGGAAAAAGGATGCCAAATGGAAAACATACAGAACTCAGGAGCGACCACGGTCAGAATACAGAGACCCTCCCGAATGTCATTGACGTACCAGCTATCCAAGTCTCTTAACACATCCTGGAGGTCCGGCACTGGTTTAAGAACCAGAAGATAAATTTGTATCGTACATATATTACTCCAGAACAAGTGTAAGGAACCTCGAACTAGTGACGCATCATATCGCTTCATTTCATGGTCCATTTCGACGAGATGAGCCATGGCCTCCGTAGTCGCTCGAGCTCGGTCCCTTGAGTTTCAGTCAACACATCGGTAGACCATCAAGATAGATCGAGAGAGTAAATTCTGCGCACAGGTAGATCAGTCATAACTTTTCTGAATTTTGTAAGCGTCAGATGGTTTCCAGCACATTTGATGCTCCAGATCATTTTCCCAAAGACGGATGAGGTATTTCCCGCCCTCTCAGAATCAGACACCTGTGTCGCGATACCTGTGAAAGCTACAACATGATGCTTGTTATAAGACATCATATGCTGGAATACTGCTCTACAATGTGCCTCCACCCGTAGGGCAGAGGCTCCGTCTTGCACCACAAGCCCAACGTAGCCCCGCTGAGGTGGCGATTCGCGCTATCTCGCTTCACCGGCCGTCTGCCGCAGGAGAGCACTTCCAGTTAAGCTCCTTGGAATGGTAATACACGACTAGCTGTGCAAGGAGGCGCTCTTATAGCGCCCAGCCGCGGCCCTAGAGGACCGGGATGCTGTTAGAAGCGCGGTAATCGGCGCCAAGTCCCTGCCAGTGCTCCCGACAGGTTGTGGCCCACGTGGATACGGCAGGCTACGAGCACGGGGCACGAAGGGAATTATTATAGGGAATTACTTGACGAACAAGGAATTTTTTGGGATCCGCGATGCCTGGCTGTGATATTGAGGTACCATTCACCGTAGACAGACCTCGACAAACGCAGGGCTTAGGAGAGACGTATCCCGACTGATAGGAGAGGTTTATACTGTTCAGTATTGATCCGTAATGCTGAGATGAGGGATTTTTAGACATAACATTTACCATTTCCAGATGTTCTACTTCGAGGCTGTCCATAACGCCACGGTAAGCATTTCGGAGATGTGATTAGTACCTGGAGCTGTTCTGTAGACAACTGCCATGTGATAGCGACAGCCTCAACCTTGGCACTGATGATAACAAATGCTCGTTGATGAACTAGAATTCGTGACAAACTCCCACTTTTACCTCTAGTAGCTGAATTTTGCGAGCAAGCGTTCGTTGCCTGACTCAACCTAAACAGTCTTGGCTGTGGCCATACCAGTTTACGGGCCGAGTTGGTCCAGATTCCTCGCATAAAATATTACTCCAGCCGACTGCACTAATTCTCGGTTCTTGTCGGATAGACCTATCGAGAGAATGTGCTCCAATGCCAATATAGTCCTACGTATAATTTTCTCAAAGTTATCAAGTCAAGGTGTGGACTCTCGGCGTGCTCGAACCTACCTCCGGACCACACGCATGCACACCGCTTGAGGAAGACCTGGCCTGGAATTCTGCGTCAGTAATTTGCGCTGCGTCTCACATAGTGACGTATTTCGGCAGACAATCAAATATAATGAGACAAACATGGAATGAGAACAAGGTGTCAAGTCCGCCTCAAGTTTATTGGCGAGTTTGTGAGGAATGTGACGGGTGGGCCGTCCCGTGAGACATCACCGGCCGCCACTTGTCAACGATCAAAAATACGCCACAGTATCCTCAAAAATGCCCGATACGATGTCTAATCGTTTCGCATGAAGTGTCATGTAACGGTTTGAGAAAGCAGTTGGGCCACAGGGATCCCATGTTTTGTTGTGTGATGTGCGTACTTTCTGGTGGCCCAACAAAACGAATTGAAAGAAATCTAGAATATGATCAGCGACTGATACATGACGTGTTAGAACAGACACAAATACTATTGAAACATGAGTCAAATGAGAGCAAAACAACACGGCCATGGTCATGTATCCGCCGAGAGCTAAAAGCGACCCGAGACAGCTCCGTCCACATTCCAGACCCGAACAATGAGAAATGACGTAGCACCCCAGCGTAAAGGGGCATATTTAGCCACATACCAATAATAATACGCGCAGGTTGTCTCAGATCAACAGTTCATTCGGCCCGCAACGCCAGTTCCAACTAGACCCAGTTCCAGATGAGAAATAGGCAATCACAAACGCCAAGTGGCCGAGGGCGAAAGCAAGTACAGTGGGACATCATGTTTAAGTCAATTGCATCTCGATCCAAGGATATGATTAGATAGCCGCGGCTCAAATGCCTGCCGAACTCTCCCTGGGCAATTCCCTGATCCGGCACCTCAACTACAGCAAATACCGTTGGTTCCACCCATCCGTTGTTATCGGCGTCATATATGAAGACTGACCCCAAAATGAACAATACCGTCAATCCCTCCCATCATCCAAATTCATCCTAGACTCAACATGACGTCCACGCAAAACCCCCCTCCTGTCACCATGGATTATGACATCTACCCCGTGCACCCCACCGACGACAATAAGACCAATCGCGAGAAGACCATGTCTTGGACACTGCGGTTCAACGACATACTCGATGCTGAAAAGATCCAGGACTCCCTCCGCCGACTTCTCGAGATAGGGGACTGGAGGAAGCTCGGTGGGCGTTTGAGGGAGAAGGTAAGAGCTTGATGTCTGATATGATGTGCAAGTAGACTGACACTACGTAGAAAGATGGGAAGCTTGAGCTCTTTGCCCCACAGCAGTTTATAGCTGAGCGGCCGGCCTTCTTGTACAATCACGATGCCTTGTCGGACATGAGCATTAACGAGCACCCGTTGGCTAGTCGGCTCCCCAAGGCAACTGAAGGCCCATCCCTCCAGAAGTTCGATGGTCACTTTCGACCGTTGGCAGGCCCGCCAAGTTTTCCAGGAAATGCTGCAGAATTGATTAGCCAGGAAGCGCCTCAATTATCATTGAACATCACCTCCTTCAACGATGCAACGCTCGTCACCATCTCCTGGCCTCATATTCTGATGGATGCTCTTGGCTACCAAGATCTCCTGCGCTGCTGGTCGCTCGTGGTCTCGGGTCGAGAAGAGGAAGTTCCACCATTTTTGGGCGCAACGAAAGATGTCCTTCTGGAAGCGGAGCAGTCAAATAGCGAGAAGCCAGAAGACTTCAGACTCGAAGGGAAGCGTCTTGGGACCTTGGGTACTTCCATGTTTCTGTCCCGGTTCGTATGGGATCACCTCCGCAATCCTCCCGTTGAAACACGCGTCATTTTCCTTCCCAAGAAGGCATTTGAGAAGATCCAGAGTCAAGTCCAGGAAGAGGCTACTGCGGCTGCTCAGGACACTGACGAAAAGCCGTTTGTCGGAGAGGGAGATGCACTGACAGCATGGTTCACTCGAACAGTGGCATGGTCAGAGAAGAAGGCACGGCCAGTAACAATCGGGAGTCTAGTCAACGCTCGATTCCGGCTTTCCGCGCTGGCCAACCAACGAGGCGTGTATATCCAAAACATGGTGCTGGGCACATTTACGTTTCTATCCCCTCAGACCGCCAGAGGACCCATGGGGCCAACTGCCGTGGCTCATCGACGCCACGTCATAGAGCAGACGACAGAACAGCAGACGCTCAGCTTCATGCGCTACGCTCGCCGCATGGCTGAAAAAGGCGGTAACAAAACACCCATGTTCGGAGAGAAGGACGCGCTGCCGGTCATGATCAACAACCTGACCAAGGCCGAATTGATCAAGACTGTCGACTTTAGCGGGGCAGTCACGCGTCAGGGAGACAAGACGGAGTCTCGGAGCAATCCCGTGGGGAGTGCGGTAAACTATCATTTCCAACATTGGGACGAACTCATGGGCTTCCGCAACTTTTTTGCCGTAATGGGCAAGGACCATGATGATAACTATTGGATTACGGCTGCTATGTTTCCGAATGCGTGGGTCAAGTTCGAAGAGGAGATAGAGAGGCTGCGATGAAGGTGGGAGGTGTACAGCGGAGTTAAGGCGAGGACTTCTGAGGGCAGGTGTTGACAATAATTCACTTTGTTCCATCTTGTGCAGTCAAGGCTCGTGAATTCGCTACTTCCATTACTTGAGCCTCTCGAGAAATTGTGGCGTAGATGCTTGTTGATTTGGATTGGAGTCCATATTCACTTATCATGGAAGTTCAGTAGTTCAGTTGGCTCGACACAAGACTCACTGCCAACTGCGAAAGGCCCAAAGTCCACCAAAAGCTAAACTGAATACACAATGTCGCCCTAGTCAAGCCGAGTATATTAGCAATGGCAATTGGGTAGTCATATGCCGGCTTCAGGGACCCATGAGCCATGACGCGTGAATGCTGCAGCACTCTGAGAATAGAGAGTGGTGACAAGGTGATATTTTCCTACCTGTACTCATTTCCTTCTAGCGCAGTCTCAATGATGTTAGCAATGCCCATGCCAATTCCATCCTCATATACGAGAGCCCTCTCTCTCCTTGGCCATCATTTCATACATTGGCGCCGTGTTCTCGCGGAATCGTTTGCCCCACAATATGAAAGCAACATGTAAGAATCCCACTACCATTCCCCAGATGCCCATGACGATGAACATGTTCTGCAAGCCCTGCGCATCCATCCACGGAACAAGCGCGAAATAGATGGCAATGCTAACGCAATTTCGGACAAAGGTAACAGCAACAAACGCCTCGCCTGTGACCTATTGACGGTTAGAAATATGGATGCACCAAGCGTCTAACTTGACTCACCACTTGATAGCTATCCATCAGGAGACAAAGCGCAATATCGCTGATACTGCCCATTCCAAACCCAAAAATGGCGCCTCCCAGACTTGGATATATCCAGTGCATTCCCTACTACTGTCAGTATGTCCGTCGCGATATGGGGATGACTGTAATTACCCTTTGTGTGGTCACTCCAAACATGATCATGCCGCCGCCAAGGCATACCGCAGGGAAGTGAAGCAAATGAAGCCGCATCTCTGGCTCAAAATACCCGTAGTTTCGACGAGCGAACCACAGGACTGTTCGATCCGACAGGAGACCACCATAAACGGACCCAATAATACAGCCAATAAAGACACCCAAACTCATATTGCCAATGCCGGCGGGACCGAAGTTGTAAGGAGGGGCTGAAAATGCAATCGAAATAACCGAGGCTTGGGCGGAAATCCAGCAGAGGGAAAATGCATACTGAATGGCCGTGTACATGACCGCAGGGAATCGAAACAACACAATGAAAGGAGTATATGTGCATTTCCAGAGACTCTCGTCAGTCTTTGTGATAAACTGCAGTTTTTGGCGCCAAGAAAGCAAAGGGATATTTGGGTCAACGACGTTTGTTTGCGAATCGGGGGCATTTGACGAAGCGGAGGAAGTTTGTGGCTGCTTGTTAGATTCGATACCCTTCTTTGAAACGGGACTTGAGCTGGGTTCCGGGCTGTCTTGCCGCAGAGCTTCGATGCGCACAATGTATTTGCTCTCCTCGTAGAAGAGGCAGAAGTAGACGAACAAAGCGCCCTCCACGGCAAAGAGAACCCAGAAACACTGCCTCCAGTTGCCACCTTCTGCCATATACCCACCGGCTATGGGGCTGAGGAAGCTCTGCAGATTGTTAGATGTGCTAGTGCCCAACAAATGATGGATACATACCCCAATCATAACCATCACCATGTACGCACCATTCGCCGTGCCGCGGTGATGGACGAAAAATAGGTCAGCGACCTAAATGCGTAAATATTAGTCGAGTATGAAAAGAGGGAAAGGTGTATTTACTGTCATCTGGACGATCGTCTCGTTGATGGCATTGGCAAGGCCGAATATGAAAGTCGATAGGTACAAGTCTATGATGGTGGTCATACAAGCTTGCCAGGCGGCTGTAGCGACGATGACTGCAATTGACACCACATAGACTGAACGACGGCCATATTTGATGGCCAGAGGAATGAAGAAGATGCAGCCCGTGGCTGTTCCGACGAGGCCAATAGCTTGTGAGTTGTTGAGTTGGGCATAAGTCCAGTTGAATTCGGGGACCCAGAGCACCCAGAAGATCAGAGGCAAGGAGGTTCTGCAGCAAGCACAATGTTAGCACTGACAGCACAAAGTCGAAAGGACTACTGACTGAGTGAATATCGCGGCCGTGATAGCGAGGATGGGAATAAAATTGGCGGCCTTCCTAGCAGAAGTCCAGTTCTGTGTAACAATTAGGTCAGTATAGGCGGGCAATCCTTCCAGTCAGGAGAATTACCAGAGGATCATTTGGATCCTCAGACGGTGCCGGGTGTGGCAAGATCCGAGTCTGCTCGAATTGTCCATCCTCTATAGTTGTGTATCAGTCTTGCCATCTCGAGATCTAGTTAAGGTGGAATATTCAGACCTCCAAGCAGACGGAATGTCCCCGGGGGAGTTGAGAAGTCGGGTGGAGGTGGCCTCATGTGCGGTGCCATTGTCGATGCTGTAGACGTGCACCCAACCTGCGAGTGATGTAGAGGTGTGAGGGAGGTTGATGGCGCCGAGTTGGCAGCGGTACAATCAACTTAAATGCATTGTATGGCTGAGCGCTGCATAGAGTTCAATATCCAGGTTGTTGATATGGATGAGCGTCTGGCCGGCACTACGAACACATGCACCCCATGATCACTATCAGTGTGAGGGCACGATATCACAGGACGGCTCCGGTTGCCATATTCAGTTAGTGGTGTGAAATTAGTTTCATTCCAACAGGGGCAAAGATAGACCGGAACATTCAAGCCGCATGCGGGGTATCAACGCCAATTCCCGAGGACCAGGATTGTGGTTGCAATATTGTCATGATAAGCGCAAGACGAAGATCCGAGGCAAGCAAGGGAAGCAAGATCTGCCGTGGGTTAGTCGTGTCCTAGCCCCACCGTGCACTGCGGCAGAACTAAGAAATGAGAACTGTCCATACCCTCTGTACAAGTGTTGAAAGTTATGGAAGCCCGGAGGTGTGGGTGAAGATACAGGTTACAATTCGTATAAGCACGGGTGTCATTATTCGCATTAAGTTAACATCAAGTCGCATGTCGTGTATTGTAATTGGCAATCGAAAGCTCAATACGGTATTTACAGGTCTCTATTTACCAACATAAACATCCTCAACTGCACACCCAGGGAAGTTTGTTAAACGCCAGCAGTCGATGATGGCACTGCGCTCGAAGCTTTGCAGTGCACCAATGGCCACAATCCCGTTCATCCAGTTGTACGGCCCGTCGCCTGCGGCCTCAAATGTGATATGAGTGAAGTACTCAACCTCATCCTGGGAAAAGCTTGTCTTGCCGCCGCCATCGTAGTCGAACTCAACTCCGGGGCCTGGTCTAAAAAGGCCACGGGCTTGAATGAAGACATGATGCCCATCGTTAGTTCGAATAGCGTATCGTGCATCGAGCTTGTAGTAAATCTGTACTCGTTAGCAAATGATGGCATATGTTGATGAAACCTTACCTTCTTGGAATGCACTCGTTCGGCCCAATCAGCACCGCTGTTCTCGACTACGATCCCATTGATCCCCGGGCCTCGCACGGTGCCGGATTGAATGTGCCCAATTGACCGGCTAACGCCTGTGCCTTGAACATTCTCTATGTCGTAGCCATCGGTTGGGTGCATCTGGGCCACAAGGCGATAAACAAACTCCAAGTGCGGCGATCGCATCCTGGGTACTTCGGGGTACAGCTTGTTTCCAGGGCTGTCCTGAACGGCGTTATCTTGTTGAGCCATGATGATTGATGGGTAGAATAGCCAAAGAGCGATTTGGGAATGGAATTGAGCTATGGAGAAACGATGTAATGAAAGGGTAATGAACAGATCTTGTCGGTTTTGACGTCGGTCTCAGCACGCGGCAAGTACCATTCAGACAATTGGAGCTCATCATGGAACCAAATTGATGCATGAGAGGCTTGCAAGGATGCGTTATCCAGCACGACGCTAATGTCCCCCGCCCTTCAGCGCGGCACCGCTTGTCATAATGGGATAACTCGTCTAGATTGTCTTCCCCTGCATTCCAAGATAGGGCTTACCTCTTTTAGAAGGCCCAGCCGCGACAATCAAGCCGTCGGATGATCTCCTCCGTGGCAACGTCACGAGAGGGGGGATCTCTCCCCTGTTCCGAGGGAGCCGTTTATCGTGTAAAACAAGACTGGTCCAAGGTAAAGCGTGCCGCCCCTTCTTGTTGAATGTGCCAGAAGTCATTGCTCTTCGGGGCCACACTCTAGAGAAGAATCTACCTCTTTCAAATTGTTGACAATCAGCCATGGTGAACGCAGCCCGTCTTGGTGTTCACTTGCGACCCTTGGGCTTTGGTACGTGCAGCTGCATCAATTCGAGATGGGTTTACAAAGCTAATTTGTTATCCAAGACTCCAAGTCAGTGGCAGCTGCTGCCAAAACGTTGAGCCTCTCGTTTTCCTCCGACCCTCTCATCTGCTGGCTCTACCGCGACCCATCCGGGCCACGATGGGATAGCCTGCTCCCTGCACTACAGAGATGGCAGGAATTTCGAGTTCGCGAGTACATCTTGGCGGCCATAGGGATGGAAATCGTTACTCAAGAATCGACGCCCACCAACGTCGGCGTGTGTTTCCTGTACCCGCCCGGATCACAGTACCGCTGGCTAAGACCGTGGTGGTGGGGTTCATACCTGAGATACTATTGGGAGTTTGTTTGGAACAGACCGAATGAACCATTGGGTGACGAAAAGGCAAGTTACTCCCTGATAAATACGACACTCAACGAGCAATTGGCTGACTTCTTTGACAGCGAGCTGCCGTGATGTATGCCCATCACTACGCAGCGTTCGATCGAATCACGAGTAGATATGCCCCCGGATCAGTCTTTTATCTCGAAATCGCTGCCGTCAGACCTGACGCGCAGGGCTTGGGAATTGGCGGCCGGATCATGGACTGGGTGGTGGATCGTATAGGCGACTCGTCATGCTTCCTCGAATGCACCAATGCCAAAAACGTCCCCTTTTACGAGAAGTACGGATTCAAGCTCGTGGAGGAAGAGAAGCTCCAAGATGAGCATGATCCAGAGCTGGTAACGACTTTTTATTACATGGTCAAGGAAGGTGCCCAAGGAGAAATCAAGGTGAAGCAGACTTAGACTCTGATTTCTAGATTAGCTTCAATTGGTTCCTTTTCAATCACTTTTGAGACTTGCCCAGACGAAGCGTATATCTTGCCACCGTATATCTTGCCATTATCGCCTATGCAACCACCAAGATGCCATCTGTAGGGTGGAACTCTGGAGAGCTCAAATTAGCGGGCAGTCTTATCGTGATGAGAGCTATCACGTGCTAAATTGTACCGCGTCATCCCCGCAATTTCATCTCCGTCCAGTCCGTTACATTCCTCAACAACACAGCGCTCGAGATGATCGAGAGCATCTAAAATTATACGCCATCACATGAATCGTAATTACAGCATATAAATTGTACATACTCTGAGAGGGTGACTCTCTATCCGGCTCGGAAGAGACCTCCATCCTTCCATCATGATCCGGCGATCTCGAAAAGGGTACCCCCTGCTCCTCCCACAATATTGTGAGATTATACCGCTTACACGCGTCAGTTGTTGGACTTGCAAAAAGCGCCATAAGAAATGCGACGAAGCGCATCCGGCTTGCGGGCGATGTATACAAGCAAAAATAAGTTGCGAAGGGTATGGAACGCGCCTCACATGGGGCCCATCCGATATAGATTCGTCGACGACAGGGATTTTGTTAAATCCTGTCCGTCAGTCACGCCTCGAACAGAGATCCATAGGCTTCGATGATTCCAATATCGCGTCCAATGCGTCGATGGAGCTGAATGACATGGTGGAATCAGGTCAAGTTTGGTCACCGGATAGCCAACTGGACATGCTCTATCTCCAACACGGCGTCGGCTCCACACCTAGCACAGAGACAGAGCCAAGTGATGAGGTGTCAAAAAGGCTCATGGAAAATTGTAAGAAATCTCCTTGCTGAATTGGGTTAAGCTAACACTCAGACAAATAGTTGTCACCAGTGGGCATTTAACACTCACGGGCAGAAATGGACAGGGTAGCCTGCTGAAATCAGATATTCTGCCTCTCTGCGAGACCTCTCCGTCCCTCCGTCAAACCTTTTTGGCCTACCAAGCAAGTGTGGAGGAGGATTCGAGGCATCTCACACCGATTTACCTCCAGTCGGCTCTTTCTAGCTACTTTGAAGATCTCGTCACACCTGAAAAGCTTGAACTAGATGCAACGCTCTCAACCGGCGTCCTTTTATGTAGCGTCAGCGTATGTCTCGTGGCTTTCAACACCGTTTATTCGATGCTAATATTGATGTAGATATCCTCTCTATACATTTGGACACCCCTAATGAAGGGACTACGCGCTGTTTTGCAACACCGAGGGCTTCTTAGCAACGCTCAGCGGCCAGTGCTGGCTGACCATCTGGTTGAAGTCATTGCCCTCTTGGACATTCCCCACTTCACTTTGAACCGAATTAGTCAACCCATGAATCTGTGGACCACATATGTGGCCCCTAGCAAAACATCTGGCATTGAGCACACGTCTGGCCTGCCGTACTCACTCATCAACATACTGGCGGATTTAGAATCGCCCTATGCCGAGAAAAGGCTTCTCGAATGGACGGGCGAGCTTGGAGATGAGTTTCTTCAAATTCACATCTGGGAGGCCTTCCGTCTAGCGTCTATCCTTCACAGCCGGGCTCTTCGATCTATTATCGCAACCCGTAACGGCGGCGAATCACCCATTTCAGAAACTCCCAGCAAGGAACTTATACGGATGAAGACATTCGCATCTATCCAAGCAATAGTGGATTCCGGAGCATTTACCTTTCGACAGCCGCTAGTTGCTCCCCTAGTTTATCCTTTATTCATCGCCAGTCTTTTCACAGAGGACAAGGCTCAGGAGCGAAGGGTGGCTGGCGTTACGTTCCATCACTTGAAGAACAATGGCGAGGGGCGGAACAACCAAGTAGCGTGGGACATTGTTCAGGAAGTTTGGGAAAGGGCAAAAGTTCAGCCCGACGTGTCGAGGCTCACTTTAGCTACGGATTTTGCAGCAGAGCTGAAGATTGAAATGTATTTGTACTAATCCAAGCCCCCCCAACGGATACGCTTAGTGAATACATCCGGTGCTGCACTTCCTCGATAAGTATTTCACTACCAAGACATGTCGAGTTCCTGGCAGCATGGTTAGGCATACACTCGGCCTCTAGTCATCACGAGTCGCATAGCCGTCTGCATCAGGTTTCCATTCGAATGTTCCCATTCGATGACGTTTCACGGCAATGTCGTCCACCGCAAGTGTGAATTTCTGATACACGCCCATGAGGATGATCTTTTGCATCCGTGAATACTTGCGCACTTGTTCATCTTCAGCCTCGCTGACGACCTTGAACCCGTCGTCGGGTCCATACCGCATCCAAGATGCACCTTCACTGATGCACGGCCAGGGTGCTTTTCCATAGGCGAAGTCGATGAAATGATTGGCCATGGACCTGGCGAGCTCTTGTTGTGTTGGGGTAAGATTCTCATCGAAATTAAGAAACAGGTACAGCAAATCTAGCGCATGGTAGGCCAATCCCTTGAAAAGACCCTCATGGGTGCAGCGTTGATCGAAATGATAACCAAATGTCTGCCGGACCTGGGAACGATGGGCAGCAACCCAATTGTGGGCCTTAAATGCCGAATCGCCGGCCATGATCTCCATCTGCTTAACAAACTCGCTCTTGGGGAGGTCTGCAGTTATTCCGTACAGTTCAAGAATGGAATCGGTGATATCAAGGCCAAGCCGCGTCGCCATTTGGGTCCGCACTGATGAGAAGTCATCCTCGCAGAAACTTTCGTAGAAAATCATCCCTTCATCGTACACGTCTCCCACCATGTACGACTTGAGCCAGTCAGGCGGAGACGCGATTGTGTTGAAACTTGGCGGTGCTGCGTGGAAGACACCGTCGTCGCATGGGTTTCCCGTTGCCACAAAAATGCCCTCGACAGGCAGTGTTGCGCGAGCAACGACATCTTGAGGAACGTTTCGAAGTTGATCAAGTCCCGATGGGGAGTCTGGATCGATGCCCAGATATGTAAGAAGAGCGCGATAGTGTTTCTCGTGTCGCTCCAAAGTCCAAGCAGGGATGGTGTTTAGATGGCCGGACATGGCGATGGCTCTATGGAATGGCGCAGGGTTCTTGGCAGCAATTTGGTGAGAAACACTCATCCCTCCAGCAGACTCGCCGTAGATGGTGACGTTGTTTGCATCGCCGCCGAACGAGGCGATGTAGCGATTAACCCAGTGAAGAGCAACTTGCTGGTCGGAAAGTCCAAAGTTTCCCACGCCCTCATAACCATCGCGCTCCAAATCTTCTTTGATGGCAGCGGAGGCAAGAAATCCGCCAAGTCCGACGCGATAATTGAAGTTGACTGCGATGACGGGAGTTTTGCGAGCCAGAGCATGAGTGACGAGATTGACGCAGTCGAAGACGCCACCGTTTGCGCCGCCGTAGAGAAAAGAGCCGCCGTGAATATACACCATGACAGGGAGCTTGGTGTCAGAATCTACTGGCGGAGCAGTAATATTCATGACAAGGCAGTTATACTCGTCCTCGGCAGGCTTCTCATAATGGCTGGGGATGTGGACTGGGACAAGCGTATCCACCTCAGCGTTATACTCAGGCGGGTTGGGGGCACTGCATCTGGAGGGAATTAGCGTTTTTTGTTGAATATCCCATCTGTAATATTTACCCTAATTTGGTGCCATCATGGAAATTATCGGGCCATGAAGAATTGAGCTGTGAACGCGTCCAGCGTTTGGTGATTGTTGCGTACGGAATTCCCGAGAATTGACGGACTCCGTCGGGGAATTCGAGGCCGTCCACATCGCCGAGCCCTTCGACTCTCAGTTTGGTGGTTCCAGTGGGAGTTTTACTTGCAGGCATGGTGTAAAAAGATCGATTGATTGAGTGAGATAAGACTTGTATAGAGTGAATATGGCGAACTCTTGGATATTTATTTCAATCCCTCTTGACTACGGGCATTTGCACTCTGATTCCATGGCTCAGATGGTACATCTCCGTCTAGAATCCACTAGTCCTGAAATGGGAGGCAAAAGAGCGCGCGAACGTGAGACAGCCACCTCGTAAAGATTCAACCCTAGGCCCATTTAGGCATCCAGACGCGCGATGAGCGGAGGGTGTGGTGATCTAGGGTTGAATCTTCCGCCTGTATATTGGACCGGGACTTTGACCGGCTTGTTATCTCGGACACTGCGGCAGCTGCTGTGTAGTATGCAGTTCATATGCAGTCCCAGATAACTAGAGTGATTCCAGCCACTGAAATGGTGGCGGACTGGTCACATGGTCTTATTGCTCCGGTTCTAACCGCCGGATTTCTCAATTCAGTGTCCAAGGGAGAGGGACAAATAAATGCTCACCCCTCAAAGCTCAGAGGGCATTCTGCCGTAGTCTTTTCCATTCGTCAGCAACACCCACCATCATGACGAATCCAGGTCGGTATAGCTCCTTTCCAATTTTCTAAAACGAGACTAATTCTATTAGGCTACTTCCAAGATGTCAAGAACCTCATCAAGCAACCACCCGGCTTGCCGAGTATGAATCCGACGGTTGCCGCTTGGCAGGAGCCGGCACATCCAACCATATCGAATGCGCAGTCGCCTTCTCTCCCCGAAGAGGTTGACATCGTCATTATTGGATCCGGAATCACCGGTTGCAGCGTCGCACATACCCTATTGCACCATCCCTCTGCCGCGAAGCTTCGCGTTACGATGCTAGAGGCTCGTACGGCGGTGAGCGGGGCAACTGGTCGCAATGGAGGGCACCTCGTTTCTGATAGCGACTCTCTGTTCTCAGTACTGGTCAGCTCCATTGGATTTGAACGCGCCGTAGAGACTGTTCGCTTCAGTGAGGCGAATATCCGTCGTATCAAGGACCTAGTGGCTCAGCTCAGCCCAGCCGACCAAGATGCGGTTGAGTTTCGTACAGTGAACTCCGTAACTGGTTTTGGAGACAAGGAATCGTTTAAGGATGCTGTTGAAACTATTAACCAACTTACAAAGGCGGTACCCGATGGTGATGTAAAGTACAAGGTGACACCCAAAGGGGAGACCGAGGTGCGCTGCTCCTACCCTAGAGCCGAAGGGATCACTGACCGTGTTCAAACACAGAAATACAAGTTTGGGAACGTCGTTGGGGTTACGGAGCAACACGGAGTGGCAGCGTTATGGCCCTATAGACTGATGACAGCAATCCTGTCGGGTCTAAAAAAGGACTACCAGGAACGGTTCACTCTAGAAACGAATACGCCTGTGTTATCTATCGACTACGAATCCGTGCCATCAAGTGCCCACGCATACACGCTACATACCCCACGGGGAAAGATTCGAGCTAAACAGATCGTACATTGCACGAATGGCTACTCGGCTCGATTGATACCAAACCTGACCGGCAAGCTATACCCTTTGAAAGGGACTATGTCTGCTCAGAAGATGGGCCCCTCCTTCCCGCTACTCGGAGACCGAATCTCATGGTCTCATGTCGCCAAGGGGAGCTACGACGCGGAAACCGGACTGCTCAAGGTCGGTTTATACTATGCTCAGCAAAATGCGAAGACTAGAGTCATGTTTCTCGGCGGAGAAGCGCAGAGACTTAGCGGGTTACTAACGAGCGACGACTCGTTTGTCGCCGCCGACGCTCGCGAGAGTCTTTGCTCGGCAGCTTCACATATATGGGAGGACGCAGCTCCCGTCGAGCCACTCAAGGTGTGGTCGGGGATCATGGGATTCACCGCAGACGGCATGCCGCTTGTGGGCAACGTCCCGGCAAGTCTTACGGGCAGGCCGGGAAGCGGAGAATGGATATCTGCGGGCTTTAATGGGCACGGAATGGACAAGTGTTGGCTCAGCGGCGAAGCGGTTGCGCGGATGGTGCTGGGTGAAACGGATATCCCGCAATTCCCGAGAGCGTATCTGTTGGATGCTGAAAGAATTGGAGCTTTCAGTCTTGACATGGCTGCGGAGACGTTGATGGATCATATTGTGTCTGGAGGAAGCGACGTGCCCAAGAGTCATCTCTAGTGCTTGAACATTTGTAGAGAATGGGTCTAGTTTGGTCAGATCTAGTCTCAACGTTAAATGATGTCACCCTTGGCAATTCTTGTCGTGGACTAGCTATTTTACCACGCGAGCCAAGGTGCAAGTGATGGCGAGTGACCATGAACCAGGGTGCGCATGATGCTCTCACCGTTTTCAACAGCTGGACCAGGGAGCTCGCGTGTAGAGAGCGGTGGCGAGATCTGCCGATTGGCTCGAATCCAAGAGTTCTAGTGTCTCGTTAAAATTAAATCTTAAAATCACGGGCCTCATGCCTTTGTTGAACCCGTCCCAGTTATTCCCGCGGGATCCGGGCACTCCTGGAGCAGCACAGAGTAACAGGTGCGCGTTTTTAGTGCTGCCGCACCGAAGAGAGCAGTACGATTAAGTTCAATAGTCATTAAGTCTAAACTAGATAAAGTACGAGGTCCACCAATGTAAGAGCACTTTACACGGTTGGCAAGGGTGTACGCCCTACCAGGTGATCCTTCTCGTTTTCAATGCTACCCTTGCCGGATTCGGTAGTCAATCCCGCTGTCAATAGGATATGATATGTCTGTTTCCTTTAAAGCCGACCCGCGGCGGGTTCTTGTCCTTTTGAATCGTTCGCTCCGGTGTCACTATCAGCGTGCCATGCCCATGCAGATGCACTGCCCACCTCCCACGTGGTATGGCAGCTCTATTAGTCCCAGGTGGTGATGAAAGAGGAAACTCGCTACAAATGGAGCGTGGCATTTCCCGACATCGGATTTCCAGTTCCATCCAACAGCGTAAAAATGCCTCTGGCGTTGGCTTGGCATCGCAACGTCGAAGTCGAAGGAGGAAACGCACTAACCTCATGGCTTAAGCTCCGGCGCCAGCGCCACGCTATGCAGGGGCCGTCCCACGCTGCGTCTAGGGAGCCCCTGAGAGATTGATAAGTCTATTGGCAGTGTCCCTGGAAGCGTCCTTGGCAGGTCCTCGGGAGTGTGTTTACGCTCGTACCTCAAAGGAAGGTGCCGTTGGACCCGTTTGCTGGTGGTGTGATCTGTTTAGGCGCACGCGTCTTATTGGAGGAAGCCAGGGAAGCCAGAATACCTCAAGGATGCATCGGTACTGTCATGAGAACTGTTCCGCTCTGGGTGGAGTTCGCGTTGAGATTGGCCGCCAGTCTGTGCGGCCGATATAGGAGTGAGGATGGGGGATACTTCTTTATCAATCTAATCAGATGGATCTAATCAGATGAGCTGCACAAGACCAGCAGTCGCGTACTTGGCGACAAGGATGGGAGATGAGCGGTGGCATGTTTTGGGGCACACAGCCGCGATGCCCGGCTCCCAATACGATTGAAGAACTGCATATAAGAGGCCGGCACATATCGTTTGGGATTGATGAAGGATCAAGGCACCTCGCCCACTCTCTCCTTGGCATAAACTACCCAACCAGGCCTCACCATGGGTGTCCTGAAGTCCCTCGTTTCCGTAGCCTCGGTGCTGCTCCTGTCTGGGAGTGTCCTTGGCGAGACCACCCAACCAGCTCCATCGGCTGCGACTGCACTCACCTCCAATTCTGGACGGTACATTGTCAAGTTCTCCCAAACGGGCTCTGCCAAGTTTAGGAAGCGTGATGGAAGCACCGTAAGCGATTCACCATTATCAGTCACGGCAGCTCTAACAATATTGTAGGATAGCGATGCGTTCTATGACAAGCTCCAGGAGACTGGAGGCGAGGCAACCCCTGCGCTGAGCTTCGACTCGGAACTCTTCCATGGTGCCTCGTTTGACCTCAACGCCGCTGACAACCAAACTGTTGCCGACATCGAGGCCTTGGATGAGGTTGAGAGGATCTGGCCAGCCGCTTACATGACGATTCCTGTGAGTGGCTCAGCGGTCGTTCAGGACAGCAGCAAGAGCAGCTACCCTGCCTGGACTGCGCACAACGACACCAAGGTGACCAAGATGCACGCTCTCGGTTACTACGGAGAGGATGTCATCATCGCTCTCGTCGACAGCGGAATTGATTACACCCACGAAGCCTTCGGCGGTGGCTTTGGAGAGGGCTTCAGAGTTGACGCGGGCTATGACCTGGTCGGCAACGACTATGTCGTTGGAGGTGAATACATCCCTGACGATGACCCGATGGATTGTCTTGGCCACGGAACCCACGTAGCTGGAATCGCTGCCAGTGGCGATGAGTATGTCCCCGGTGTAGCTCCCAAGGCGCGTATTCGCTCCTACAAGGTCTTTGGCTGCGAGGACGGCACGTACGAAGACGTCATCGTCGCTGGCTTCCTCCGAGCCTACGAAGAGGGCGCAGATGTCATCAGTGCTTCACTAGGATCCAACCGTGGCTTTGCGGACACGCCCACGGCCGAGGTTGCCACCGCTATTCAGGCCAAGGGCGCGTTGGTTCTTTTTGCTGCTGGCAACAGTGGCGATATGGGTGAGTGTCTTATTGCCACTGCATGTAATTGACACTAACACGGTATTTCAGGACCTTTCTACACTAGCAGTGGTGGCAACGGCTTCGAAAGCACCACTGTCGGTAGCGTTCAGGCCTCGGACTGGGTCGCCTACAGCGTCATTGCTACCTCGTCTGGTGGTGAAGAGCGAGAAATCGTAAGCCCTGTATTAGAGGACCTTGACATGATACATGTACTGACATCCATCAGGTCTATCTGAGCGATAGATTCCTACCGTTCAACCTCAACGGCACCGTCCCGGCCAGCATCCAGACTGGTGCCCGTGACCTTGACGCCTGCAACTGGGACCTCGAGAGCACCGCCGACGACTCTGTGATGATCATTCCGTAGGTGTTGCGCCATTGATTGTAGCCCTTGTACTAATGATATCTAGTTTTGGTGATTGCGGTTGGCAATTGCAGGACAGCACACTTATCGGCAAGACGAGAAACGTCTTCTACGTCCAGACCGAAGGCGCGGATTGGGAGCGCGTCGACCGAGCCGTCTACAGGGAGGACCAACCACAAGGCTGTAAGTTACCGTTCAGCTACTGAATGACACAAGAATGTAACTAACAGCAGCTCATAGCCGCCCTCATCCTCTATGACGATGGAGACTGGCTGTTTACCCAAGCAGAGAACGGCCACGACGTTACCTTTGAGTTTATCCAGGACGACAAGGCCATCGCGATTCCTAGGACAGGCTTCGCCGACGGCAGAATCAACGACTTCAGCTCCGAGGGACCTACTCTCGATGGCCGGATGAAGCCAGAGATCTCGGCGCCCGGTGGCTATATTCTGTCCACCTGGCCAGTTTCGCAGGGCAGCTGGGCCGTGTACTCGGGGACCAGCATGGCTACTCCTTACGTAGGTATACTCGTGCTTTATGTGGGCTTTGTGACTGACCTTTCGTCTAGATTGCGGGTGTTGGAGCGCTCTTCTTTGGATCTCGCGGTGGACGTGCTGCGATGGGCGCTGGAGGAGCGAAGATTGCCCATGAGCGAATGATTGCTAGTGGCAAGCCCGTACGTCACAACGATGGCACTGACAACTTCGCGTAAGTTCCACCGGCAAGTTCAGTCTAACTTATGCTAACCATGACTCGTAGCTCTGTCGCCAAGCAGGGTGCTGGCTTGATTGATGCTGAGAAGGTGCTTCTGTACTCGACCTTCATCAGCCCTGCCAACGTGAACCTCAACGACACGGTCAACTTCAAGGGAACCCACGAAGTCAAGGTCACCAACTCCGGCGACGAGTCCATCACCTACATCATCACCCACGAGGCTGGCATCACCTCCCACACCAAGGGCAACGGCGACGCCTGGGTCTCCTTCGAGCCCTCGTACTCCGCCGGAACTGGCAATGTCGCCGAGGTGTCTTTCTCGACTGAAAGCCTCACCGTGGGCGCTGGTGAGACCAAGACGTTGACTCTAACCTTTACAGAGCCGGAGACCATCAGCGCGAGCATGCTCCCTGTGTACGGCGGTGGTGTTGTGCTTGTCGGTGATAACGGCGAAGTCGTCCGAGTGACCTACATGGGTATCAAGGGAAGTATTTACGCCAGCGATTCGTGGGAGATGGAGCGCGGTGTGCCTTTGTTCTTCAGCGGCTACGGAGGACTCGTCGAAGAGGGCCATGTGTACACCTTCGAAGAGGGAACAGACGTCCCTCAAGCGTACTTCAACCTTCTCTGGTCCTCGTGGGAATTCAGCTTCGACGTAGGTCACCACTTCTGTTGCTGATAATGCCTGCTAACAACGCGACTCTAGTTCGTTTCAAGAGACTGGCAGCCAAGCGATTGGACCTACCCAACCGTCCCAGGCGAAAACAACTGGCACGGCGCATTCCGCTTGGTTCCGAGTGCCCTCAGCGGCGAAGTTGTCGATTTCCCTCTGCAGCAATACCCCCGCTTCAACGGAGGAACGTATGCTGCTCCCCAGGGTTTCTTTGCCAATGGCACCAAGATTCCCTCCGGTGACTACAAGATTCTGGGACGAACGCTGCGTACCGGCGGAGACCCTGCCAACATTGACGACTGGCAATACAAGACGTCAGATTGGTTCAGAATCACTCGCGATCCGGTATCCAACTCGACCGCCACGACTACAGTGGCATCGAGTACTACCGCTGAGGCCAGCTCAACGACCGCTGCCATCACGAACGCTGCTCCGTCTTGCGACGCAACCTCTACTCCCGTCAGTCTCAGTGCCTACGTCGGTGATGAAGAGGAGGCCTACGGCTTCTACATCTACTCCAACTTCTTGGCCGTCGACTACAGCAGAAGCAAGACCCATCTCGAGTGGAAGTTTGTGGACAACAGCCATCTCCAAACCGAGGTTGGCGATGTGACGGTCTACGCATCGGTTCACACCAACACGAACAGTCTTGTGTATCTGTACCAGACTTCCAGCATCGCCGGGTCCTGGTCGTTCCTCGAGTGCACCGAGACGGACGGTGAGCTGACCTGTGTGTCCAACAGCAAGACGGCCTTCTACATCTGCGAGACTGGAGATGCCCTTGTGCGACATGGAACTGCTCCTCTTGATGGTTGCACTCCCCTCAAGTTCAAGATCGAGAACCTGATTGATTGCGGTGCCGCTACCACTACCGCATCGACTGATGTTTCGACTTCGGCAACCTCAGTTACAGAGAGCACTCCGGGTACCTTTGGCACTCCCACCAGCTCCTACACTTCCCTTACCTCCTCGGTGGCCACTTCAGTCACCCTCACCACCCCTGGAACGTCCGATGTGACCCCTACCTCCGCTTCCGAGACTTTGACCTCGACGAGCGGTTCTCAGTCTGAACAGACTACACCCACGGGACAGCCTACCAGTTCCGATACCTACACTCCTTCGCAGACTCCTTCTGCTTCTGAAAGCTCGGCCTCCACCGACGCCCAGACTTCAACTACTTCTGACGATTCCACCATTTCCCAGACTTCCGATGTAACCCAGACCCCTTCCATTTCCGAAACTTCTTCGGCTTCTCAAAGCTCCGGTGTCTCCACAGAGACCACTCTTTCGCAGACTTCTTCTTCTTCTTCTTCTTCTTCTTCTTCTTCTCAGACTTCTTCCCAGAGCTCGGGTGTCTCTTCCGATACCCAAACCTCGAGTGTCTCTACCGATACACAGACCTCCGGTGTCTCTAGCGACACCCAGACCTCAACCACTTCTCATGGATCGGCTTCTTCTTCAGAGGGTGCTTCCGGATCTGCCACCAGCACTGCGTCCGAGTCTTCCGGCCCGTCGCAAACTGAAGCTACCTCGGACTCGGCTGCTTACCCTACTACGACCACCTCTGGCTCTACTTCCCATGTTACCAGCTCAGTTGAGATGACCACGTCCACTGCCTATGTGACTAATGTGGTCACTATCACCGCTTGCCCATCAAGCGTCAACAACTGCCCTGTCATCTCCAAGACGACCTACGTTACGACTAAGACCATTGCTATCGGCACCACGGTCTGCCCGGTTTCCGAGGTTGCCGAGGAAACTCAAACCTCCAAAGCAGCTGCTCACAGCTATAGTGATGCTCAGTTCACGACGTCGACAGTCTTCAGCACCAACGTTGCCACCGTCACCGCCTGCCCTTCTACCGTCCCCAACTGTCCTGCCTCGGCCCAGACGACCTTTGTTACCACCAACATCGTGGCTGTGAGCACCACCATCTGCCCTGTTGAGGAGGCAACTGAATCCTCGCATGCCGAGACCTACCCAACCGTCAAGGTGGTCGCATCTGAAGCCACTGCTTCAGCCTCTTTCTCGGCAGGCCAAGCCTTCACTCCCTACAACAGCGTTATCCGCATCTCCACTCAAGCGGCCTCTAGTACTGTTGAAGTCCCTGAAAGCGCTCCTACTGGATCGCACGAGGATTCTGAGGGCCAGAGCACCAAGGCGATCGTCGTGAGCAGCATCCAGCTCTCTACCATTGCTACCCAGTCACGCGCTGCGGAAACCGTGGTGGACATTCCCGAGTCTACCGGTACTGTACCCGATTCCTCTGAGGCTGACAACGCTCCTGCTAGCTCTCAGTCCGGCAGCGATAACGCTGCTGAAACGGCTGTTGTGGTTGTGACTGGTAGTGCATCGCGTGCTTCTGGTAGTGTTCTTGCTGTGATGTCAACTCTGGCGATTGGCATCTTTATGGCTTTAATGTAGATACGACTTAACTTTCTCGTATATATTACTATTACTTCTTACATAAAGGGGACGAATAATCCAATAATTCGATCCTTCATCTTAGAATCCCCACGTGTTCTCCAGAACTATTCAACATGAAAAAACTGACAAGTTGCAGAAATCGTAAAACTTGTCGGGAAATGAAAAGGGGGTTCCTGCTACTTACGTTCGCGCTCAGTCAGCATTGGCTACTTCCTTCACGACAATACGACTCGGTTTCGCATCCATTTATTTCCTTGTTAAAATCAGTTGCCCGACAGCGCCAGTTACCCGACAGCCCACATTTTTACAGCCTTGCTCATCGGAATCCTCCCCGATGTGTTCCAGACTTAGAGACTCAAAGTTAAGCTTGAACTTAAGGGGAAGAATACGAATTGTCAGACATGGGTCTCAAACACACGACAGCTCATTTGGGTGGACCAACGGGGCTCATTACCGAATATAGGCTAGACAGTCCGTGTTTACCCCGTTTCATGTCACAGGTTTAGTAACTAATTACCCTCAGCAAACGACTTTATCCTGACGCAATAGGTGGGAAATTAATACTGTGGTCCAGAGGACCATCGGGGAGAAGCCGTCGTATCACGACATGTCCAGTCCAACAAAATATATACCTATTTGCGCCGTCGACTTGTTTGTTCTTCATGTAAACCACGTCTTTCATTCATTCAGTCCGCTTGGGTCGGATTTTTTCGTATTCGTTCTTTATACATTCACTCTTTTCTCATTCATTCTTTACCAACAAAATGCTCTACTCCGGACTTCCCGCCATCGTCTTGGCCAGCTTTGCGGTCTGTGCCACGGCACTCTCTGATCTTGACGGATCCGTTTGGGCAAACCTCGACTCCAAGCAATCCAAGCGCTCGTTTCAATACCAGAGCCGAAACCGCCCCGTCAAGCGTGCCAGTGGATGGAGCCCGCCCTCTGACCTGGCAACCCCCCTTACTGAGGTCTGGGACCATGTTGTTTCCACTTACGACGGTGGAGCTGATGGAAATGTCAACTGGGGCTGGCACCAGGTCATGGCCAATGAAGGGTAAGCGTTTCCGAAGCAGCATCGAAGAAAGAGAAGTTACTAATCACAAGTGTAGCAAATTGAACATTTGCGTTCGCTGGGACTCTAACCAGACCGTCACTGAGGCCGAGCGCGCCAAGATTGCCACCGTCTACAACACCCAGTACCAGAAGTGGTTCAAGTGGGTGTATGGCTACAACGGCTTCCTTTACTCCAAGGTCGACGTCAACATTGTCGGCTGGGCTGTCTCCGACAAGAGCCTCCTTGAGGGCTCTACCACTGGCTACGATGTCTACACCGACCTTGACGCCGACGGTATCCCCATGTGCAATATCGGTTGCTCCCGTGACGCCCACCTGGACAGCGACTACAGCGCCTGTGAAGGCGGAGCTGACCACCACTTCGATCAGTCTCTCTGGCTTACCGAGGGTCTCGATGGTGGTTACGGCTACAGCTGGGGTCAGCAGGTCGGCCGCGAGTACTTCATGAACAACATTGACTCCGAGAACATCCACATCCTCCTCCACGAGATGGGCCACACCTTTGGCCTGGACGATTTCTACGACTGGACCCCCACCGGTGTGACAAACTTCATCATGCTTGCTGGCGCCTCGATGGAAATCACCGACTTTGACGGCTGGATGTACCGCAACTGGTGGTACTATCTCTCTGAGAAGAACGGCTGGTCCTCGAGCAGTGTAGTGTCAGCATCGGAAAGCGCAACGGCCTCTGAAGCTGCGGCTACCACGACCGAAGCCGTAGCTGAAGATGTTGAGGATGTTGTTGAGGAGCCTACATCAACTCTAAAGGCAACCTCTGCCGCCTTTTCCGTAACTGAGGCTGCTACCACCTTCCAGGCCGTTACCACCTCCGAAGCTCCCGCTACTGTCTCCCCCGTTGCGCCTGATGTTACCCCATTCCTGCCAACCCCTAACCGCAACTCGACCCCTGTGGCAACTCCTTCTTCGACCCCTTCGGCTCTCCCCGAGAGCGGCTCTGCGGGACGATGGGAGGCATGCGGTGGTGGTTCATCTTACAAGGGTGCCACCAAGTGCGCTTCCGGACTTAAATGTGTCAAGCACAATGACTATTACCACCAGTGCCTGTAATCTCCGTTAATTTGAGAGATTTCGGAAATGGTGCACACCTGCTTCAACTCCACTTGATGGTTTAAGGTGTATGAGAAAACAACCGGGCACTTGCCCTTACCTTCTGTATTAGTATAGTGCAGCTATCCAGCTGGCTGTAATGCACTATTAATAGATTTTGAGAGACTTGTTAAACGAAATCCCGCCCCTCGTCTTGAAATTCATCGTGACGTCGAAACCTGGAGTGAATAAAATGAGTGCCATAGACTTGGTTCTTCTGACTATCTGCGACTAGGTCATGCTTTACTGATCTAAACAGATAGCATTGTTACATCTCTCCATTTCTCATCCGATGCAGCCAATTCATCCGAGGCTGTCTTCGCCAACTGAACAGTATCCGGACCAAGCAAAAGTCGAAGCGGCGGGTTGTCAACCCTAGAGATGTGCAAGATGGCGTCTGCAATCTTTTCAGGCTCGGACCCGTTGTCGATATAACGCATTCTCAAATCTTTGAATGCACCGACAGTTTGCTGGTATGGCTCACTGATTGGGCTTTGGACCATGGATGATCCTGCCCAATCTGTCTTTATACCGCCCGGCTCTAGAACAGTGACTTTGATGCCGAACGGTGCAACTTCTTTGGCGAGGACAGTTGAAAAGCCTCCAACGGCCCATTTTGCAGCCTGGTACGCTCCAAGGCCGGGTGACCCAACTCTCCCGCCAACCGAGGAGACTTGTAGGATATGTCCAGACTTCTGTTGACGCATAATGGGGAGCACGGCTTTAGTGACATTGACCACGCCGAAGAGATTCGTGTCGATCTGCGCCCTGAACGCTTCGGGGTCGAAATCCTCAATCGATGTCGTCTCGCCGTAGCCTGCGTTGTTCACAACTAGATCGATGCGGCCAAACGTTTTGTGGCCATTTTCTACCACACGAAGGACTTGATCGTTATCTGTGACGTCGAGAGCCGCTGTAAGGACTCGGTCGGAGCCGTACTTGTGGACCAGGTGGCTAAGTTGGTCCTTGTTTCGAGCTGTCGCGATGACGGAATCCCCAGAAGTGAGAATGGCCTCAACCAAGGCGAGGCCGAGTCCCCGTGAGGAGCCTGTTACAAGCCAAATTCTCGCCATGGTAGTCAACAGCGGCAAATATTTTCTTTGGAGGGAGCGGGGAATGCAAGCAGATAAAAAAGAAGGCGATGGAGTAGATGATTTTCTGTAGTCATCTTTCATGCCATTTTATACCCATTGCCTCTCTAGAAAGGCTAGCATAATTAACAAGCAGATTCGCGACCGCCAAACTCCGGTCCGACACATCCGCTGTATTTTGCCCAATTTCCATTATCTCCGCGTCGGCGCGGCGACTAGGACATAAGACGGGGCTAATTATCACAAATTCCGTGCTGATTTTATCTGCGCCTAAAACCTAGTAGTTTACCTCACGTAAGAAAACAAAAATAATATGCGTGCCTTCCAAGGCTTTATCGGTTCTATCCAGGATTTAATTATGACAATTAAGTAACCTACCTTGCGTCTCTGGGTGCTATGCATCCGCTAGTGGCCAATTGCGCCTTAGAAACCAAGAAGACTATCATCACCAAGCTCAGCATGCGTCTTAGCCATCTTCGGAACTCGTCGTTAATCGTCCGCTCATCTGGCATAGCGACCCTCATCCTCTTCAATGTCTCTTTTTACCGGTCTGAGAAGGTCGGAATTACGTGGAATGTTGTCGAGCGGTACTCTGACGGCTGCTGCCACTGGGCACCCGCCGTTTGTATGCAGTTCTCAACACGGACATTACGAATGACAACTAAGCGACGTAAATTCTTTGCTTCCTCAGTAAAGTTCTGGGATATCGCCCGTCGGGTTTTGTTGCGCGAGCTTGATGCCGACAGTGTTGTTGATGCGATTAGTGACGTGGTCAAACGGCCCTTCGATAGAAAGGTCACGGTTCAGTCTTCGTGCTTGTTTCCCAGATTATTCGCGAATTCAAGTTTCAAGCACCAGTCATTGCCGCCATCTTATAGACCATGTCCGGTTGTAATTATCTCTTGTATTGAGCCAGCTGATTTGAAGGCAAGGAATTGGATTTCAATCGACGAGAGGAGACATGTCAATATCGCCCGCTGAAGTTCGATTGGAAACCTGCGTAACGGGTTTTGGTGCCGCTCTGTCATAATCCTGATGGGTAGCAGTTGATGAAGCGACGATATTTGGATCGGGGCAGTAGAGGAGGGGATAGTAAGACAGCTTAAGTAGAAATCATTGTGGTATTTATGGGGTAATCAATTGTCTGACGACTAAAAGATCTTGCTGACTGTAGTAACATGCATATCCAAGATAATCCGACCCGGTTTCTAGATACATGCCGAGGTCCAATGAGGTTGAAAAGGTCATCTACTCAGCCCAGGTGCCTGAACTCCCGTTCACATAATCCTCGACTGGGCCTCAGGCTGGAACTAGTTTGGGAATATTTTTGGGATATTTTGGACTGGCAGAGGCGTCAAGTCAATTCGTTCATTTCTGGTCAGCGGCAATTAAAATAAATAATTATATTGTGATATATGGAGAATTTCCTTGGTAATTCTTGTGCCACTTTATACCAATTACATTAGTTTAAGGTGATACCTTGAATCTAGTGAGTTACCCTATAAAATATCATAAATTCGACCCTTTTTAAGGCATTATCAATCTCCTCCCCCCATTTAACTACAGCGCAGCTGTCCACTTGCTAGCAGGTAATTGCTGTAACACAGGGGAATTTAAATGAATGCTATTTGAAGCTATGGCTGGAGATATATCCATGCTTCGCTTCATCTACGTGAATTCCACTCGCAATGCACATCTCCGTTTGAGCGAGCCGAGAACACTTTCAGTGGAATGGAAGGTCTACATAACAGAACACTTATTAGATCAAAAACGGTAGAGCTATGACTGCTAAACCACACGTCAAACAAGGCAATAACGCCACCCCAATACTCCCAAATCCATACCCACACACACTTCACCACCTCTCCAGAGGGGACAAAGAATCTTCCCATTAATGGCCATATCTTGGACCGCTCTGACCCCAACCATAACCTCCGCTCCCCGGGTATGCTTGGTTACTCGGTCCCCCATATGCTTGACTGCTAGGTCCTCCATAAGCTTGGTGGCTAGGTCTGCCATACCCTGGGTTGCTAGGTCCCCCATAAACTTGGCTGCTAGGTCCTCCGTAGGCTCGGTTGCCAACTCCTCCATAACCTTGGGTGTCAAGGAAAGCTTGGGACCCAGCTCCGCCGTAAGACTGTTCTACCATGGGATGAGCAGTGCGGACTGCGCGGTACTGAGGGTGAACAGGTAGTTGACGGTGAGCCGTCGACCCAGCACTCGGACTTCTAGACCCGCGGTTGCTTGCACTCGGCACGTAGAGCTCATTGTCGCGTTCAGGCGATGAAGTCTTGGGAACTCGGTTCCGCTGACGCGGCCGTATGCCCGACGTTTCTTTGCTTGTCTCTTTCAGTTCCGCCAGGGTGGTTGGACGGGCTCTGGATGATGCACGGATGGGGAACGTCAGGTCTGAAAGCGATTAGAATCCTATCATCGGAGCGAGGGAGGTCTAATGTCAAAACTGTACTTACTCCCGTCGATGAACTCAAAGATGTAGTTTCTCGAGATCTCAATTGCTCTAGAACTTTTTGTCCCGTCGTCGATCAAGTAAGGCACTCCTGCTTGTCGTCTTCCCATGGGGTCTTGCTTGTCGTCGTAAAATTCCACCACCCCGCCAAACAGACTGGCCTCAAAATAGCGGCCTGCTTCGCCGCTACGGGGAAGTGAATATCCCCCCAGACTCACAGTTGGAGGCGTCAATGGGCGATGGTGATAGGGCACGACGACAAGTTTAGCGGAGCCATGGCGGTGATAAGCGCCAGCCCCCAGAAGCGACCAGTTTGAATAGCCGCTGCTTGCGAGAGGATGGCAGTCTTGTTGTGCACAGCCTCGCTGTTGTGTTAATAGAAAAGACAGGCCAGGACTATTTTGGGAATATTTTTGGAATATTTTCGGATTGATCAAGGCGTCAAGGCAATCCGATCATCACCGTCTCACTTGCTGCCTTGGTGCCTCAGGCCTGTATCATCACTGTTCTCGCGGATGCTTCAGTAGATCCAACTTATCCCAATCAATCATCCCTATCAATCATCCCTCACGCTGCTGCAACACTCGCCTTCACTCTCTGGCATTCGATTTATCGCCTTTTATACTCTAATACGTTACTTATCTCGCAATCTGCCATGGCAGAGGAGAAAGACCTGGCCCATCTCCAACCAGATGGCCCTCCTTCAATGCCTAAGATCTGCATCGGCATCGGTCTGGGAGGCGCACATCACGATGTGTTGATTCGCGCCATTTCAAACGTTCTCTCGACCAAGATTGCCGAAGAGACCTTTGCTCAGATCATCGACGGACTGCCCCTGGCCAGTGTCGTCCAGGACACTTCAGACGGTGGTCTGACCGATGACCACCCCATTCACGATGCACACAAAGAGCTATGTCCTGGCGTCTTGGAAAAGACGCGCGAGTTTCGCAGGGATGTTGATCTTTCCTTGATAAAACTAGATTCAACTGTAAGTGACGTTCGCGGGCTCTTGATGTTCTCTGAGATGTGATTACTGAGTCCGCGCTTAGCTGATTGCCGAATACCGTGCTGCATCCGTTGGATCTAGATCCTTCAAGACTCGACTAGTCGAGGCCACAGCAGAAGCAATCCATGAAACCGCCGTCCAAGTATTCAACTTGGGAACCAGTCTCCACACCAGCGATGGCATTGCCTCATGGGTTCCTCCCAAGGATGATATGTTCTGGCAATGGTACCCAGACGGTGCCTGGCCTACTCTATTCCGCCAGCCATGGTACCAGGACTTTGAACAATATCCCAACGGTCTTGCCGATGTGGTAGCCTTCTGGGCCGAGTCGCGCATCATAGGCGGCGTCGTGCTTTTCGACAGACGTCACCCGGAGGCATCTCCAGACGTCCAACCAGATTCCGTCTGGCTCCATCCCGACCGCTATGACATTACATACCGAATCTGGCAGCTTTCAGACACCTATAGGCAGCAACTTCTGGAATTCCTCACTTCTGAAACACCAGACCTTAAGCTACTTCCCATCCTCCCCAGCCAAGAAGACACCCGACGTGAAGATCCAGAGGAGCCAATTGAAAAGACAGGCATCTACCGAAACATCTGGGAGAGGAAGCCGCTGCCAGTAGATGCACCGGATTTGAGATTGAAGGACGTATGGGACCAGTTCGAGTACCCTCTGAAGGGAGATTTCCAGAGGGCACAGCACCGAGCGTATAATCGCAAGGATGGCTCGTCGGATGGAGACTACCCTTACGAATAGTGTAAAAATGTCCTGACAAGCAATTTAGCTTCCCCGACGCAAACTGTGAGGTCTGGAAGGTCGATGATATGATCGAATTGTGCCTGCAGGGCTGCTTCTTAACTAGAGAGTGGAATGATCCTAGTAGATATCAGAGGGCTGGTATGATGTGCTTGAATGATGCTCTTGAGTTAACAAGGTCACACCCAAGCGAGCCAAAGCACTCAATAGAGACAAGGCCCAACTTGACGAGTCCTGACTCATCGACAGGCGGTTGCGCATGTGGTCGACCACGCGTTGACGCCGTCGATGCGTCTATGTGGAGATTTGAAGCATTGGAACCATCCCGCTACCGAGGAACCAAAGAAGCCGACTACACAGGCGAGCCAATGAGGAGGCAAAATGTGACCCCCATGATCCATGATCCCCGTGGTCCCCGCCGCCGGGGATGTCGGAGCCGAGACGGTGCCTTGATCCCTCGAGAACGATGCAGGGCCCCAAGCTCTTCCCGGACGGCGCCTTTCCGCGTCTGGATGCCGTTGGACAGTTGCACAGTGGTGTGGTTGTCTGCTTCTGCACCCCAGGCTCGCCATTGCCCAGTCCGTCACCTCCTCCGGCTCTTTTGCTCCCGGATTGGCGTCGCCAGAATGCGGGGAAGCCGGAGCAGACTCAAGACGGGAGAGAGTGGGCCATACGTGATGGAGTTTATTGAGGTTCGTTGTCATGGGACGGAAACAGGCCATCGAGCTTTGCGACGGGCCCTGTCGATCTGGTATATAAGGCCTTGGATCCCTCGAGTGACGATACAGCTTCGACCCAGCCATCCATTGTCCTGCTCTCTTGTGCAGTGTTGAATCATCATATCATTGCCGTACTCGCCGACTTCGGATACGAGCCTCAATTGCCATGGCGAATAGCTCTGAAAAGCCGCGCCCTGCGGATGGTGATGAGGGCATCCGCGACACGGGCGCCGCGGTGCAGCTGGCCCACGATGCGCAGAACCACTCTGTGTCGCCGTGGACGGGCGGCATGTTTCGCCTGTACCTCGTGCTGGCCTGCGCCTACTTGTGCGGATGTTTGGTACGTCGATCTGTCAATTGTGGTGTAGTTGAAATCGGCTTTGCTGACCCGTGGCTTGTGTAGAATGGCTACGATGGATCCCTCATGGGCGGTCTCAATGGCATGAAGTCGTACCAAAACTACTTCAACATGTGCGTGGCAATTCTTATATTACAATGACAAGAGCGAAACTGACAATTCAACTACAGGGGCGTCGAAGGCTCGAGCCTCGGAATCGTCTTCGCCCTATACAACATCGGCTCCGCCGCCGCCGTCTTCTTCACCGGCCCCGTCAACGACTCCTTCGGCCGCCGCTGGGGCATGTTCACCGGCGCCTTCATCGTCATCATCGGCACCTGTGTGCAGGCCACGTCCACCGGCCGCGGCCAGTTCCTCGCGGGCCGCTTCCTCCTGGGTTTCGGCGTCAGCTTCTGCTGCGTGTCGGCGCCGTGCTACGTGAGCGAGATGGCGCACCCCTCGTGGCGCGGCACGCTGACCGGCCTGTACAACTGCACTTGGTATATCGGGAGCATCATCGCGAGCTGGGTCGTCTACGGGTGCAGCTACATGACCACTGCCAGCGGCGATCCCGACCAGAAGGCCTGGCGGATTCCCATCTGGTGCCAGATGATCACGTCGGGCTTCGTCGTCCTGGGAGTCTTCTTTCTTCCCGAGTCGCCGCGTTGGCTCATGGCCCAGGATCGCTATCAAGATGCCGCCAAAGTGCTTGCCACCTACCACGGCGACGGTGACGTAAAGCACCCGATGGTGCAGCTGCAGCTCCAGGAGATGAGCACGCAGATCTCGACCGAGGCTTCGGACAAGAAGTGGTGGGACTACCATGAGCTCTGGAACACCCACAGCGCTCGCCGCCGTCTCATTTGCGTCATCGGCATGGCTTGCTTTGGTCAGATCAGTGGAAACAGTCTCAGCTCGTATTATCTCCCAGCCATGTTGAAGAACGCTGGCATTCTCAGCGAGAAGAAGGTGCTTGCGCTCAATGGCATCAACCCGGTGCTGTGCTTCTTTGGAGCCATTCTCGGAGCCCGCTTGACTGATGTTATTGGCCGACGCCCTCTTTTACTGTACTCTATTGTCGCGTGTTCTTGCTGCTTTGCCGTCATGACCGGAACCAGCAAGCTGTCCCTCGAGCAGCCCGACAACACGGCGGTTGCAAACACCACTGTGGCCTTCATCTTCCTGTTCGGCATCATCTTCTCCTTCGGATGGACGCCTCTCCAGTCCATGTACATTGCCGAAACCCTGACCACCAGCACCCGCGCCAAGGGAACCGCCATCGGCAACTTCGCCAGCGCCTGTGCGTCGACCGTCGTCCAGTACAGCAGCGGGCCTGCCTTTGAGGACATTGGCTACTACTACTATCTGGTGTTTGTGTTCTGGGACCTCTTCGAGTGTGCATTCATGTACTTTTTCTTCCCCGAGACCAAGGACCGCACCTTGGAGGAGCTGTCGGAGGTGTTTGAGGCGCGCAACCCGGTCAAGAAGAGTCTGGAGAAGAGGAGTGCGCAGACGGTTATGAACACGCTTAATGTGACGGGCGATGAGAAGATGGACGGTCTGGCTTAGGGGGTTGTAACTTGGGCGTGATGTCTTTGTGGCAGAGCTTACGGTCACTGAGGGATCGAATGACAGAGGTAGCATTATAATTGAGACAAGCTTCTGCCAATGTGAACCTCTTGATTGATGGCTTTAGCTAAGAATTTTATTATCTCGCACTCTTCTGCCCATATGAACCTGTTGATCGATGGCTTTAGCGAGGAATTTTATAATCCTGGATGCTTCTGCCCATATGAACCTGTCGATCTATGGCCTTGTCTATGCATTTCATGATCTTCAACAAGCATTAAGCGCAGCATCCCTGTTCAGGTCCAGACATTCCGAAAACTGGGCCAGCACCCGAACCAGAGTATTGGGAGAGTCGTAGAGCATTAGTCCATCCTCGACAGATGCCCACTACGCGTAACAAGGTGTCGAGTGGCATCCATCCCCAAACGCAACTATCACCAAACTACACCACGCATCAACAAAACTAGAGCATCACGAGCCGGCCTCACACGAGGAGCAACCAACAGGCTATTTCCGCACCAATAGTCATCGTCCCTAACCCTTGTTCTCCCCGCATGCCCCTCCCCCGCCCCCCCGGACGGCCAATTTACCCACTCTCCTCATAAAGCTGGCGATCCTTCGTTCCCTCGGTCCGTCTCGGTCCGCCGTTCTCGCAGCTCCTTCACGTTCGTGGTGATGTGCAATTGACCAACAACCGCTGCAGGCCATGGGCGACAGCTTCCACCAGCCCGCAGGCGAGCCGTCGAGGAAACGGCTCCGCACATCGCATGCGGTAAGTCAATTAGCTTCATCCCCTGCCATCTTCTCTCTAACTCTCCGCAGTGCGATACTTGTCGTGGGCGCAAGATACGGTCAGTCGGCTGCTCCTCGGTGCTTCCGCGTGTTTCCTGTTTCCTGTTTCCTCGTTCCTCGCTGACTTGAGTCGTGAGATGTGATGGAGGAACTCCGTGTACCACCTGCTCCACGGCCGACCAGGATTGTACATATGGTGCCGAGTCCAACTCGTACGTTTCCACCAAACTGCCGGGAATAATAAACAGCACCTGTTCTAATTGCATCGCAGGAGAGGCAAAAATGACCTCATCCTCGAGGGAATCCTGCGCGTCGAAAAGTTCCTCCACGAAATAAATGCCAATCTCGTGAGTGCCAATGTCACGACTCATTTTTGACGCCATATTCACTGATCGCGCAGTCCACTGGCTCGCAGCCCGATCGTCGCGTCTCCTACGTCTCCCCAAATGCGCAATTTGGAAGCTCCTTTTCGGGATCGCCTCACAACGAGGGAAATGCGCGCCGTCCCAGCGTCCCCATTCAAGAAGCCCTCAGCGAGTCGCATCCCAGCAATGGATATAGCTTCGACAATGCAGTGCTCGACTCAATGCACACTTCGACCACGGAATCAATCCTCCAATGGCCTCACTTCGACATCTTCCCGTCGCTTCGCACCGAACACACTTCAATATTCCACCTGGAACAATCACGAACAATCCTTCCGATAAGGCCAAACGCAATGTATCCATACGTCGACATTGACGACATCAATTCCATCCTCGACTCGTTCGAGCACAATCTCAACTTTTGGTACCCAACCATGTCCCAGGAGCAACTTCAGAAGATTCGAGTGACACTGCAGGCTGGCGTCCCTTCCGAGGACAACGTCGAGGTGTGTCTCACTCTCCTGACCATGGCGCTTGGGTGTGCAAGTCAGACCCTTGCAGGCCTCGCGTCTGGGGAGGTTCTCACCGAAGACGAGTCGCGAAGACGATTAATGAAGCGGAAGATGGGCGACATCTACTTTGAATCCGCCTTGAAGAAACTCTACGTAGCACACTTGCATACCAACTCAGAAGCTGCGCAATGCCTATTCTTCGCTGCGTAAGTACTGCTCCAACGACTCAAACATGTCGTTCTTTGCATAAAGAGCTGTCAGAGGCTAACTAATTAGCATGTACTTTGCTTTTCTCGTCCGGCCGCTCCAAGCCTGGGAGTTCCTTAGCGCAACGGCTGCCAAATGTCTGCTACTTCTCTCTTATCCTCCCAATGGAGGTACACCCGAAGACCAGGAACGTGTGAGAAGGATATTTTGGTCATGTTATATTCTTGAAAGGTATTTTTTTCCAGTTGGCCGAGTCGGCTGCCCAAACCATGCTAATTCGCACAGCGATTACGTAGCAGAACTATCTGCATGCCCTCCGTCAGGCATCGCACGAATCGAGTCTTCCATTCCATTGCCTGGAGCGTATCACACACATTCTACAAACGACCAAGAGGAGCAATCGGCTCTTTATTTCCTCGCTTGTATCAGCATGCGTCGCCTTTTGAATCGAGTCCATCAACTGCTCTATGCTCGGGGCACCGGAGCCGCCCTCGACACGGCACGATTCCCGCCTATTGTCGCCGAGCTGAATCACCAGCTTGACGAATGGCGTGATGTTCTGCCTGTCGCCTTTGAGTTTAGTATCGACACACGACCAACTCGGACAGATGCAGGTGGCTTTCTGAGGCAGCGGTACTTGACCTGTCAGGGCGTCATCTACCGTCCATATCTGATGTGGATTCTGAGTGGAAGTCAGATCGGCTCCCATGGCATCAGTGCAATTTCACCTAGTCAAGATGCGCTATCCAAGTGCCGGGCCTGCATTGACGCCTGTATGCTGCATGTCCTCAATCTACGGGGGTTTGCACACACGATTCTAGTCGATACGTGGATTTGCTCTCTTTCGTATGTCTCCCCTTGTACTGATCTTGACATTACAAGCCGACCAAAACTATTGCCAGACCTTTGCTAATTCATTTCCCAGAATGTCCGGAGCTATGCTCATTCTACTTGCAGCCTGTCAAGTACCAATATTGAAGAACCTCATCGATCCAAAGGTCCTCAAGATGGGTGACCATCTCAAGGGCCTCTTCCAAGAATGGCGGCAGCTTGATGTAGGCTCAGATTCGCCGAGCGTGGATCAAAGCCTCTGGATTATCCATGAAGCTGACAGATTTATCAAAGAGGGCTACAAGCCAGGTGCATCCAGTGTAATGTCTTGATATGAAGAATATGTTCTATAGCTATCTTGATGACGACTCTCAAGGGATTCGAGGCTAAATAACTCGATATCGTCTTAACGGATCATAGTTGCTCTTCTGAAGTAAGTGGCCCGAAACGTTACAGAGTGAAATGGCGCGGAAATCGCGTGACCGGGTGTTAGGAGTAGGCAACAATGCGTGGAGAATGAACATAGAGACACACCCAGTTCGCCCAGTTCGCCGAACATCCCAACAATCTGTACACTTGAGCCTCGTTTTTGTAGTTACTCACCTTCTGACTCAGGCCTGACTCAGACGCCGGTTCTAGTGGGGTTGCTGACCATCCCAGATCTGTGTGACTCGTGCTAGGTTGATCAAGGCTTAGTGATTCGTCCCCGCCTACAAATATTGCGACGTTGGAATGTTGGAATGCTGGAATAGTACATCTGACATCTCCTCATCCAAATTATGGCCGATATGACGGATATGACCGGAGAGGCGTTCAGTCGCCAGAGATTTGAGTCTCTGCTCAAACGACGGTTCTTCTTCGCCGAGGCCTTTGAGATTTATCGTACATCGGCCAGTGCCTCGACTGACAACCGTGGCCTATACGACTATGGCCCGCCCGGCTGCGCGCTCCAGGCCAACATCGTCAACGAGTGGCGGAACCACTTCGTCATCGAGGAGAACATGATGGAACTGGACTGCACAGTACTGACACCCGAGGTGGTTCTAAAAACGAGCGGACACGTCGAGAAGTTTGCCGACTGGATGAGCAAAGACCCGGTCAAGGGCCAATATCTCCGTACCGACCACCTGATTGAATCTGTGCTTCGAGCGAGGTTAGCGAAATACCAAAGCACAGCAGAAGTCGACTGTCAAGAAAAGTCCAGAAAGCTGGATGATGCCACGGCTACAGAGTATGAAGAAATCCTCGCCAAGGTACGCTCCCCAACGATACTCTACAACACACCTGCTGACATCTACACTGCAGATCGACAATTACGATGGTCCTGAACTCGGCCAGCTCATCAAGCAACACGACATCCGCAACCCCGACGGCAATGGCGAGGTTCTGTCGCCGATTCCCTTCAATCTCATGTTCAAATCCACCATCGGTCCCAGCGCTGCAGCCCCGATCTACCTCAGGCCCGAGACGGCACAGGGACAGTTTCTCAACTTCCGGAGACTCCTAGAGTTTGGCCAGGGCTCCATGCCGTTTGCGTCTGCGAGCATCGGAAAATCATACCGCAACGAAATATCGCCGCGTTCTGGCCTACTGCGAGTTAGAGAATTCCTCATGGCCGAGATTGAACACTACGTAGACCCCGAGGCCAGCAAGTCTCACGAACGATTTGCCGAGGTTGCAGAGGTAAACCTACCATTGCTGGATAAAGGCACCCAACAGTCTGGCAAAACTACCATCGCCATCATGTCAATTAGCGAAGCTGTCCAAACCGGCCTGGTGGAGAACGAAACTCTTGGCTATTTCCTTGCGCGAGTATATCTTTTCCTCCTGAATATTGGAGCAGATCAGAGTAAGCTCCGGTTTCGGCAGCATCTTGATAACGAAATGGCCCATTACGCTGTTGACTGTTGGGATGCGGAGCTTCTAACAAGCTACGGCTGGATCGAATGCGTTGGTTGTGCAGATCGAAGCGCATACGATCTCTCGGTTCATTCGGAGCAGACAGGTACAAAACTTGTTGTGAAAGAGCCCCGATCAGAGCCGATTGAGGTGGAAGAATGGCAGGCGACTCTGGATAAGAAGCTCCTTGGCCCACGATTTAAGAAGGACGCCAAAAAGGTCGATGCCGCCATGGCTTCGTTGGATCAGCAAACGCTGGAGAATCTAGCTGCGGAGCTAACCGAGAAAGCCGTCATTACGGTTCCAACCGAGGAGTTGGCTGATGGCAAAACTTCCGTGCAGCTTTCTGATGACATTTGTGTCATCAAGAAGGTTACTCGAATTGAGAGAATACGTGAGTACACGCCAAATGTCATCGAGCCCTCGTTTGGCATTGGGCGTATCCTCTACAGTCTCTTGGAGCATGTGTACTGGCATCGGCCAAACGATGTTGCGAGAGGAGTAAGAGCCCAACATACTTTAAGAGGAAAATGTACTGACTGTCCTAGGTTCTTTCGATTCCCATTTCCGTAGCACCCACCAAGGTGCTCATCGTCCCTCTCTCTAACAACCCCTCACTCCAGCCTGCGGTGAAAAAGCTTGCAGCCCGACTTCGGCGGCTAAGGATCTCCAACAACGTGGACGCATCATCGACGTCTATCGGCAAGCGATACGCTAGGAATGATGAACTTGGAACCCCGCTGGGCATTACAATTGACTTCGATACTGTGGAGGATGGTTCGATTACACTACGAGAAAGAGACTCAACTAGTCAAGTGCGAGCTTCGGAGGACGCCATCATTCAAGCTGTCTGCAATTTGGTCAATGGTAGCGAGTCATGGGAGCAGGTTTCCCAGAGACTGCCGGCTTTTACTGGGCAAATCCAGGATGACTGAATCTTTGGAACTTCATGACATTTGTAATGGGTTTTGTAATTTACACGATTGAGCGAAACTGAAAAGTGTCTGAAAACGGAAACAAGGAAACGCAACAGTGCGCCGTTCAGAATTCAAGCGAAGTAATTTAAATAGCGATTCATTTCTCCAAGAGCACCACGTTGTCAACCGCCGAGAGCACCGTTAAATCAAGATCAAACGTAGACATAGGGGAGTTACAGGGAGCGAGATGGGTTTTAGCCATTGGCATAACAGGGCTGTAACTTAGCATTAGGTCCGGACAATATACCGGAAGCCGTCCATGGAGATTGATAAACTATCCGCCGAGTATTTCGCCGATTGCCTGAAGTATATCGAAAATCTTATAGCGAAGGCGATGCTCTGCCTCGATTGCAATCCAGCATGTGAAAACAATCGTTTCCTCGGTGATCTCGCCAGAGTGAGACCCATCAAAGTTGATGTACTTGGTGTGTTTCTTGGGCTTGGGCTTCTTGGAAGGGTCAAGTTCATCCTGCTCTGCAGTCTGTCTGGCGTGATTGATACAAGCGGGAGTGCTCGGGGAAGCTGAGGGGAAAATACTGAGGGTGCCAAGATAGGACTTTTTCTTGTTGGCAGGGTCTTCGGTTTTTTGGGCCTTCTTGAATGATGCCCACCGATCTTTCTCGAACGTCGCAATAACAACGTTGTCCGAATTGACGAGCTGCAAATTTGAGTCAGCGTATGTTGTAGTGATAAGAGGATACGGAAATTACCTTGAGATCGTGGGATACTCCCTTCCACCGCTTCGACCATTTGGGGAGAAACCTCCTCGTCCCGCTCCACGTATACGTCTCTCCCCCTATTGTGAACTGAAGGCTTCTGGTCAGGAAATCCGGCTTTCGCATCCGCAACGGCATGACAAGGCCTTGCACTTCCTGCGTATCCTCCAGTGGCTTCTTCGGTGGCGTCGGTGCCATGCAGAACCATTTGCGGAATTTCTGCTTCGTCTGATACCACTTCCGCTCCCGAATTCTTCTCTTGTTCTGCAGCACTTCCTCAACGCCATCGCCAAGCTCTATTCTGAAGGAGTCCCAAAGCCCGGACCGACGCGCACGGCCAATGGCCTTTGTCGTCGGAGTGTACTTGGGATTATCACCGCGGTAGAAGATTGGCTTCCACTTGTCGGCATGTTTGTTTGGGATAGGATTCTTGACGAAATATTGGCCGTGATCAGAATCCGACTGGGCAAAGAGATGTTTGCGGCCTAAGATGGCTCGACGATAGATGCGGAGTGTCTTGGCCGGAACTGGGAGTGAAGGGAAAAGGGAGAGTTGGGCTTTTTCATCTGAGATGAGCATATGCTCAACACTGGAGTTCTTCATTATGATGCTCTAGAAATGAGAGAATAATGTCTTGTCCATGGCCACAAAAGACTACATTTGATGCGCTGCAATTGATCATTATATGCCTTCCACCGGAAACGATACGAGATACGAAATATCGCCCTGTGAATGAGAACAAAAACCGCTAATCTGAATTGGGATTCATACTGCGAGCGCGTAACGTCGCGCCCGCTCTAAAACAGCACGTGGGCCAGAGACGGAAATACAGCCATTCAGAGTCCTTAAATATCCCTGCATGGGCGTAATAAAATGAGCCTACCCCAAGAGAGATACCGAAGCCAGCCACAGTGAGTCTGCAGCTGAGACGCGAAGGCATTCCTGCCCTCTTTCTTCCAGGGCTGAGGCAATCGAGACAGTCTGCCCAATAATCACAAATGGATATGACGCGAGATGACTGCGTCGTCGGGCACTTAGGGCAAGCTACTGAGTGCATGAGACGCTGGAAGACCTAGATGGAAGGCTAAGGGAAGGCGAACAACCCTTGCTAGTCATCCATGACTCTGTTGCATCGTGAGCCAGAATGGGATGATAACCGACACATGTAGAAGATTCATGGTCATCAGCCACGATAATGGCAACGCAATTACCCCCTCCCACCTGTGAACCTACAAACAATCACATGTCGGTTTCACATGATTTTAGGCGATTTTAGATGCATTCTATCCGGGTGCTTGTCACTGAACTGTGAAGGGGTCACCGCGATGATTCAAGTTACCCTATACACCCCAACTTTGCTGTTTGTGGATACCCCAAATGAGAGTTTGGTAAACTAATCCAAGGGAGGTGGGATATTTGACAAAAATGATGATGGGCCAGTGATTTAGTCCCTGAATTACCTTCCAGGCCGAGTCTATCAATTGGTAGAATCGTTTCAAACGATGTGTAGTAGCTAGTATTGTGGATGTTGCTTGTAGGTTGGTTGAAGGGGACGGCTCAAAACTGATTCATTCATTTCAGTGCACATTCTTCCTTTCGACGTTTATCTAAACCAACCATTCGCTTTTTAAAATGAATTTTTGACAGTGGTCACATTTCTTTGATTGTGCTATCTGATTGCTGGCTTGAAGACTCTCAGATAAAGTGCGTGCCTAGCTATCACCTCTTTGACCTGAGCCGGAGATTGATCGTAGACTGCATGTATTCTACGTAACGGTTGGTGCCCTCCTAGACCTAGAGATCCACCACTGGTTGCAACTCGTCTGACTTCTTGCTCGACTGCCCCGCTCGGTTTGACTCTGAATGGCCAATATAGTGGAAGAAGATTTGAACTTTCTTCGCGAACTTGATAGCTGCCGCTGAGAACGTATTGATAACGTTGTTGATATATGTCGAGGCTGAAGTATAGGAGCTCGGAGGAGGCGTGTCGGCATCCTCGTCATACTCCACATTCACTTCCAGACCTGTATTCCAAACACTATAAGCCTTTGAGCCACCACACGCGTCCAAGTCATAGCCGGGGCATCTGAAATCGCATTGGTCGTCATCAATCAGTGCCAACCGAGACGGGTAAGTGTCGGCACAGAAACACTGCAGCTTGTGCAATATCATGACAGGTTTCTCCTCGCCATTGCACAGGTAACGGCACTGGCCCGGAGAAGCGAAAGCCGATCCCATCATCCTCTCATCTGGGTCGATCTTCGTCGCATTTGCTGGAAGCAACCTGAAGCAGCCCTGTGGAGTGATTCGACCTGGTATCGCTGCGGTTGCGGGTGATTGTAACGGTTCCTGATGGCCCCCGACGGCCACAAGGGTCGTCCAGAAGAGGAGAGCAGCGTAAAAGATGGTGACGCCTGCCATTTTGATAAAAAAGAATAAAAGATTGAAGTGGGTTAAGAGGTTTAGTTCCAAATTGAAGCGGGTGTTGATATTTCTAAGGTTTGTTGTGGCGCAGCAAGGCATTGTAGGCCCCTGCAATTTTAACTGACACACTGCTGTCAGCCCTTAACTGAGAATGCCATGCATGGATGTTGGTTGCCGGGTGATAATTAGAACATGACGAAGGGCGTAAGATGTAAAATTGAATGTACTGGTGAAGTGGTTAGAAGTTGGGATGCACATAGATGCTCTCGCGAGGGCATCTCATTAGCCATCCTAACTATGAAAGCCGCAACGATGGCCTCCAGATTCGAGCTAAATTACAAAACGATGGGAGTAGTCGTGCACAAATTGCAAGTGACGTCAAGACATCTTCGTAATCGGATAATCTCATAAAAATACTATCTTAGAATTGAATAGACAGTCATCTCAAGCTATCGACAGAATGAGCTCTCACTCACCACGTCAACACAAATTGGCTACAACCGTGCACTGATTCCGCCATTTTCCTTCTCCCACCTCAGTGCAGCATCAGATGTTGCATTATACCCGTACAGCCAATCTTGGAAAATCGTGTTGCCCATCAGGTTCGGGCTGCTGGCGTAATCTCCAGCCTTGAAGACGCCGCGCCGCATAGCCAGGATCTCCTCCTCCTTCATATGGATGAAGAACCGGTTGGTAAAACTACCCCGCTGGATTGCGTGGACGCGATCTAGTCTTCCCCGATAGAAGAACTGTAGCAAATCAGGGAGGTCGTCTTTGGACTTGAGGTGGGAGAAGGTTTCTTCCAGGAAGGCGGCGTCTTCGATTGCCATGGCAGCGCCTTGAGCCAGGTAGGGGAGTGTCGCGTGAACAGCGTCGCCGATGAGGACCATTTTGTTGCTCGGATGCACCCAGTTGGTCATTGCAGGGAGATCTGTTAGGCGCCACTTCTCAACTTCGTCTGGCAAAAATGAAAGCAGCTTCTGGATCCTGGGAGATGTGAGCGGTTGCCAAACATTGATGCACTGGAGGTTGACTTACATGGGTGACCAGCCCTTGTACGCATTCCGCACCTCGGACGCATTGGCGGGAGCCTTGTAGCCCTTCATCTTGCGGTCATCGGGAATGACCATGAGCAGGTTAAAGGTCTTCTCCTTCTGCATGTTGTAGCTAATCCACCGTGAGTCGACATGTTCAGATTGTACCATTGGGTCGAGACTTACCCAATAATGTGATGATCAGGACCCAAGAACTGCTCAAAATTTGGGTCTTTGCTCAATGGCGCCAGCTCGGGATCGTTTGTCAGACATTCCCTTGGAATCACGACTCGGAAACAAGTGTCGCCAGTCTCATGTGGTTCGGTCCCAAGTCCCGCGGCCCGTCTCGCGATGCTCTTGACGCCATCAGCAGCGATGATAAGATCACCACGGACGACCTCGCCGGATTCCAACACGACTGAAGGCTCCTCCGGATTGTATTTAACCACAGTCTGGCCCTTGCGTACTTTTGCACCTGCTGCCGTGGCCGCCTCGAGGAGGACGGTGTGATAGTCGGGCCTGTAGACTTGCCAGTACGGAGCGCCATACTTTTCGCGATGTCTCGACAAATCGGTGAAGCCCTCAGGCGCTCCGGTGATCCAAGACCGGTAGTTGATCCGCGTCGGCTTGGAGCTGATGGCGTCCATCCGGTCCCCCATTCCCCATCGTATCAATTCTCTTGCTGCGTTCGGGGGAACTTGAACGCCTGCACCGATCTGTGAAAATTAATGGTAATTAGCCAATTGCTTGGAATAATTCGAGCGATGGTCACTGTCTTACCTCGACAAACTCCACTGCTTGTTCTAGCACCGTCGCACGATGTCCTGCATTTGTGATGGCGAGCGCAGCCCCAAGCCCTCCGATTCCTGCGCCGACGATGATAACGTCAAGTTGGAATTTCGAAGACATGTTTATTATCGCTGCGAATATGCAATTGGTGTGATGATGGAGTGATTGATTGATTGATTCAATTCGGTGTGGGCAGCTTCTTTACTGTGCTATGTGCCAGTATTTTAACCACTGGCAGCCATTCAATATGGGCTGATTGAGGTAGGAAATCGAAAGGTATTCACGATGCCGACCGAGAAAGCGCGAGACCAGAAGGCCTTCTCCGACACAGAAAGGCCGGTGTTGCGGAATTCTATCCGTCTAATGTTCCGAGATGGCTGGCGATTTCCGTGCAACGGACCGAGCGCGGGATGGGCTTAGTGCCTTGGGTATTACGACTCAACAAATGGGAAAAGATGCACAGGCAGTAATGAGAACTGAATTTATATGTTTGGGTAAATGTAGAAAAATATGGGTTGGAGATTATGTTGATGAAAGGACTTTAATTCATTGATAAAATAACGCGAGGTCTACGTGCATTAATTTGCACTCCGCTAAAACGAGACATTTAAAACGACATATACCATCCTTATCTCCCAAAGACCAATAATTACAATGATTATGCGATATTTAGCGTCCCAATCTCATCCCATGCTTCTAGTAGTGATAGAAGCCCTATAGGCTCTGCAGGAGTAGACTGAATGCTCTTCGAGGGCTGGCGATAAGCCTCATCCATGAGTGTCGCTTCTAAATCAGAGCCAACGCTGCTCGTGAAACCATCGTCGCCCTCCATGCTCATTTCTGCACACCAACATGACTGACTAAAATCATAGCTAGCCTCACAAGAACAAGCTGAGGTCGATTCATGCGTAGGCACACCCGAGAGGGGCGGTATTTGTTGATTCATCCAAGATGCACCACGCTTCCTTGGACCTCCAATTAACCGGCGTAAAATCGTCCCCGCTCTAACATTTGGGTTGATTTGAGTCGGAGCCTTGGGCCTCAGCCGTCTTTTACTGGACGGGATATTGCATTCATCCCCAAAGAGTTGGCAGTTGACACATCGGTCACCAGGCGTGCTCTGGATACACCGAACCTTCCGTTTTCGACAAGTTTGGCATGCAGGATAATCGCTTCTCGGCCTTCTGTGCGAGACTCTCGGCCGGACTGGCGTAGATTCATCGTCGGATTTGGCCCGCTCCGGTGTCGTTTCGTAGACCGGTGGGCTATTTGTTGGCGAAGAGTCAATTATAATTGACATGTCCAGTTGAATGCGTTGTTTGGTGTTCAAGTTGGTATCATTTCATTTGTTAATGGCGTACTATCACCATCATAGATGGCGGGGGACAGAGCTTGGAAAATAGATGCTCTCATCTGATATGGACCTCCTTCAAGATCGACAATGGTATCAATTGCGGCTACGGAGTCTAGCATTGTATGAAATGGATCGCTCTGGCACTCTCAAGGAAATTATGGACACTGGCCATGCCCGGAACGGAGGTGTCTTAGCTCGGTGAGTGCACCCGCTGCTCCGAAAGTAGCGCCGGGGGGAACGGTATTTCCGCAGAGCACCTCATATATCACGGAAGGCTGGGAGACAATGCCCAGGAGACAGTTACACTCCTAATATTTTTGAAAATGGAAATGCCAGAATTGTCCCATGTCGTCCGCCCTTCCTTCAGCGCCCTGCCGCTCCGAAAAGATGATCCCCCATACTCGGCCTGGGGGCTATGGGGGAAGGATGACCAGTTGGGAACCTTGGTAATTATTCAGAAGTATATCGTCGGTACACGTATTGACAAATGACCGTAGAACCTGTTATCGCCTAATTCTGTTCGAGACGCAGCGTCTGAGATCCGCGAGGGGAAACGGTTCAGCCTAAAGTATGCCTAGACCCAAATATCATTTGCATCCGCGAAGGCGTCCAATTCCCATTCTTACGGTGCATTTTAGCTGGTGCTTGAGCCACCCAAAGACACCCGGTTTTCAGAGGCACAAAGACGTATATTCCCATACCATTACTGGTCCAGGGCATGTCCTCGATGACACAGTAAGCCTCGAACGAAGACGAATTGGCTTGGATCTCGATGACTGACAGCTGTACATAGATCACCTTCAACACACAGAAAAGCACCCAATGGGATGGCTTGCGTCATTTCGCGTACCAAAAGGAGCAGCTCTTTTACAATGGCACAACTAAAGACGAAATCGTTAACGAGCCGGATGGGAAGTTGGGAATTCATTCGTGGCATGAAGCAGGATGCATCGCCGGCCGAGGAATATTGCTCGACTACTGGGCGTACGCAGAGGCCACGGGCATAAAGTACGACGCTGCTCGCCCTCATGGCATTGAGTATGACGACTTGATGGCGTGTCTTCAATGGCAGCAGAAGATGTCGTCTGACAAGCTTGAGCCTAGGGCTGGTGACGTTCTCTTCATCCGGTCCGGGTTTTCGGTGCGATATTACGAGCTTACCGAACATGAAGAACGAGAGGTTGGAGAAGCTTGGCCGCCGGCATCGTGTGGCGTAAACCAAGATGTGAGGTTGCTCCAATGGCTTTGGGACAACCGCTTTGCGGCAGTGGGAGGTGATGCGCCGGCGTGGGAAACTTTTCCCGCTGATGAAAGTGCTGGCTTCTGTTATCACGAGGTGCTCATCGCTGGTTGGGGCTGTCCTGTGGCAGAGCTGCTTTGGCTCGAAGACTTGTCCAAGTGGTGTCGAGAACAAAAGCGCTGGACGTTCTTCTTGTCGTCTTGCCCATTGAATGTTCATGGAGGTGTAGCGAGTCCTGCCAACATGATTGCTTTAGTCTAGGTTTATTGTTTATGGACAAGTATTTTGGATACTGTTTCGGAGATGTTGCGAATTGGAGTACTGGGATTTCTGAATTGAGACTATGAATCAAAGCTGTGCATCTGTCGCTGTGCTTGCATATCCGTTAAAGGGCCGGTGATATCTTCTTAGTCCCGATTCTGTGCCACCGTACCGTAAAGGAGCTCGCCAACTCATTCGAGTCCCATACGCCCGTTGCTGCCCCGAAGACTTGGCTATCACCAAACAAGACAGCCGCGCTCTGTGATTGCAGCTCCACGCAGTTTCCCATTAAAGCTGCTGCTTTTCCTTGAGTAGAAACGTGTCCCTGGAATGCTGCCCTTTGGATTTGGCCGTCGAGTACAGAAAACTTCAAAACCAGGCCATAGCGACTCTGGTAGACTGACGGGTCGACGGTTCCCAGGTAATAATGCTCCACGGTCGGTGGCCCCGTGGCTAGCGGCTGCACCCTTTCAAAGAAGGGACCCGCGTCGGGGCTGTTTAAAAAGGCCTCGTGCGCTTCAACGCTGTCCCATTGGGTGAGTGACACGGCGAAGAGTTGCTCTCCATCTTTGGCGGGTATAGTGACGCCGGTCATGACTGAGCGTAGTCCCGGCTGGGCCAAAAGAACGGGCTCCAAATGTTGGCTAAAGACGCTCAAGAATTCCGAGAAGGGGACCGCAAGAGGGATTTGCACCAGCTCGGTAACTGGGCCGTTCGCTGACGCCATGGCTCTGGTGTTTGGTTGAGATAATTCCTATAATGGCACCAAGATAGATAAAATGATGTCTCTCAAATAGTCAGACACAAGAGCATATAGATCTGCAATTGGACTTTCTGAGCAGCTGTAGACATTATGATACAAAATGATGAGGTCGTGTGGAGATCGCTGGCTGTGGGCACCCCGAAATGCCGTAGCACCGGGACGCTCTAACAGTCGCAATTCCGAAGGTACCGGAACTTCACCGTCGGGCAACATATCTTTAAAAAGCCCCAGATTTGGGAGGCTGAAACTACCTAACAGCAAAAGTAATCGAGTATTCCGACACTATCAAAATGACAATGTCACCAATTGAGCTCCCATCGCGTGGGTTATTCATTAATAACCAGGTTAGACGCAAGTGCCGTGTTCACACCTCACAAGCTGATCGTCCATTTGGTGTAGATTGTGGACAGTCTCAGCAAGTCCGCAGAGAAATTGACTCTCTTGAACCCAGTAGACGACTCAATCGTCGTGGACGACGTGCAAATTGCTGCCAAGGAGGATATCGACCATGCAGTTGCCATCGCCCAAAAGGCGTTCCAGCAGGGCCCATGGGCAACATTCACAGGCTCTCAGCGAGCAGCATGCCTAAACAAGCTCGCCGACCTCGTTGAGAGAGATGCTGAACGCCTGGCGTATGCAGAGTCACTACCCACGGGTCGTCCGATTGCCGGAATCATTCACTTCGACTTGGCGCACATGGCGCAGGTGTATAGATGTAAGCATGCGAGATTGTCCCTGCTGGGTGGTTTGGTTTGGAAATATTGAAACATGCTGATTCCTTTTAGATTATGCTGGCTGGGCTGATAAGATCGCTGGTCAATCATTCACGGAAGACAATGGATTCGCCAAGATTGTACGATACAAGCCGTTAGGAGTGTGTGCGAGTATCGCCTCTTGGAATTCTACCTTCATGTACATTGGGTGGAAACTTGGCCCAGCCCTTGCAGCGGGAAACACGGTTTGCGACTATATTTCCTATTTGGTTACCACCCAACTGACAGAATCTTCAGGTCATTTTCAAGCCGTCTGAGAAGTCGCCACTTGGGACTTTGGCGCTGGCACCTCTGTATGCGGAGGCCGGCTTCCCCCCGGGCGTTGTGCAGTTTGTGACGGGCGCTCGGGAAACGGGAGCTCTGCTATCGTCGCACTTGGGCATTTCAAAAATCAGCTTCACCGGATCCATTGCTGGTGGATTGGCAGTTCAAGATGCTGCCAGTAGAAGCAATTTGAAGCGTGTGACACTTGAGCTGGGAGGAAAGTCTGCTGCAGTAGTCTTTAGCGATGCCGATTTTGACAACGCGGTTGCTGGGTATGTTTACGCCCCGCTGTATGTGCCTCCTTCATTGATGTTTGCTGACTTCTATAGTGTCGCTGAAGGCTTTCTCGCGAATTCAGGCCAGATATGCGTTGGTGAGACGAGGTCCTGCTCATAGCGTCAACAGATTGTGCTAACAACCTCCAGCGGCCTCACGAGTACTCGTCGAGGAGTCCATCGCAGAGAAGTTTTTTGCTGCCATCAAGTCCGTATTTGAAGCGGCCTCGGCAGCGATGGGCGGCAGCCCCCTAGAAATGACGACGAACCATGGCCCAGTGGTTGATAAATTGCAGTTTGATCGCATCATGTCCTACATCGAGAAAGGTAAAGCGTCGGCGCAACTTCTTGTGGGAGGCAAGAGGAAGGGCACGGTAGGTTGTTTCATCGAGCCGACCATCTTTGTCAATCCAGAGGCAGACAGCCCGGTCTGGTGTGAGGAAATATTTGGGCCCGTCTTGACAGTCAAGACGTTTAAAAGCGAAGACGAAGCTGTTGCATTGGCGAACAATACTGCCTATGGACTCGCTGGTATGGACCCATGACCCTGCTGTTCTATACCTTCACTGACAAAATTGCTGGAACACAGCATGCATATACACCAAGGACCTGGCTAGAGCTCTGCGAGTATCGGTGGCCATGGAGACAGGCGGCGTATCCGTAAATTCGCCATATCTCCCAGAACTCAACACACCATTTGGTGGAGTGAAGCAAAGTGGCCAGGGCAGAGAGCTGGGAGCATACGGGTTGTATAGCTACCTGGAGCCCCAGGCTGTTCACATCAAGTAAGAAAGCAGATACGTCGTGACGTGGGAGTAGCTGACAGTATCTAGGATGACACCGCCGCCGAAATTGTAGTGTGCATATCGACTGCAGGGTTGACTGTAGGCTAGTGAAGACTTGAAACGGGATACCATAGGTACATCTACCTAGATTTTATCTATTTTCAGTCTGCTATTGTTGTAATTCTTTACAATTTCCAATCTCCCACGTCCAGGGTGGCCCAGGTACCAGCTCGTGCCAGCTTGCTCCAGGTCTGTCGCCTTCCGCTGTGCCAGGCGCTTTCAAGGTGTTGTCCTATGTTGTCCCGTCCTGACTAGGTAGTCGTCTACATCCTTCTGCGCCGGCTAGCTCAGCCAGCCGTGTCCCGTTGGCCCTGCTCTCGCTCTAAGGATCAAATCTGATAATATTCAATCCAGTCGCTATCGTTCAGTTATACCAGTTCTAAACACCAGCCCCTCAATCTGCCAGTATCTGATCGTTAAGCTTTACACTGAGTCGGCTGCATCCACCGGAACTGCTCTAATACCTCTGAATATCTTCCCGTATAGCCGGATGATTAAGGTGTATCCAGCCGTACTCCTATATTTTATGATTATTTTATGATTTACCTTATGTTTTATTTTCTGACTTATTTTCTGATTTATTTTCTGATTTAGTATTTATTATACGGAGAGGGCTATGTCTAACAATTCTTTCCCTTGTATGACTCGGGCCCCTCTTTAAATAAGCCCGGAGATGACCTCGAAGACGACGATTGGGCGCGATGTTCCAGTCACCTGGGCAGGAATTGACCAGCATTGCAGCATTGGCCTGCATGAAGCGGCGGAGGGTTCGCTTGTTGAGGTCTGGGCAAATGGCCGAACCTCCAGAGTAGTAGGCCGTGGTGATGAAGGTGATATTCGCGCGTGGATCAATGGCAGCCTGGAGCCTGTCGATCCTAAGCAATGCTTCGTCATTGGATTTTTGTTTGCTGTAATCCAGGTAAATACCAAGGCTTCGAGTTCCATGACCGAATAACATAAGAACGATCGGGGACGGAGGGGTTGACTTTGCTGCAAGCGCGCATGCGGCCTGAACCTCGGTGACCAGTGTCGACACTAACTCAGAGGACTGGCAAACTGAAAATGGCGTCATCCCATTTTGGTCGACAGGCCAGCTGTTGAAAACAATTTTGCGATCCATGTAGGGATTGCCGTGCAAGAATCCTGGCCACAGTTCGGGATTCTTGGCGAGGACGTCAATTAAATCCTGCTCCGAAACTGCACTGAGCCATGTTTGCTTTTTCCCAAGGCCCTTGAGCAGAAAGTTGAAAGTACAGAAATCTGACAACAACCAGTCGTCGTCTAGACACTCCTCGATGCTGACACCACAAGCGCCAATAATGATAGAGTCGGCTTCGATTTTTGGAAGCGTGTGCGAAGGTATAATCGATGGCAGATGTTTGTGGTCCTCGTATATGGCGCTTGGCGCAAAGTTTGTCGACGACATGACGGCAATGTTCCAAGAAGGAGGAGGAGGAGGAGCAGTAGAGGAGGGTGCCAGACCACCAGATTGATTTCTGAGGTGATGAAAGAGGAGAGAGGCCTGGGTTGAAAATTCATTAGAGAAGCAGGTTGTATTGCAGGAGGCTCTCAGGGTGCCTGCGGGAAGCTTCTTCACATCGCAAGCCAAACTTAAGCCTCCGCCATATTTTATCTTGACCAGTTTTGACATGCTCTGAACAATGGATGGCTCCCCAACAGGGTGGTGTGTCCTTGATTAACTTAACTTGCCCTAGCAGCGGTGCCGCCTTCAGAGGTTGGTCGGCCTCACATATCTATATAGTTTATCTGCATACACCGCATAGCCCCTCAACAGCTTCAAAAGACGTACGTGTAATAAACCAGTGAAATTGATGGTGTCGAGCCCCGTAGTCTGAGGTTGTTGCAGGGTAGGTATGAACCAACCCGTCTAGCGCATCGGTTGCTTCACTGACTTTGGGAATGAAGGTCTCGGTGTCGGCAGCCAGTCTGACCTCCGCTAGAAAGTCTGATGGGGGCAGGGAACGGTTCTGTCTGAGTATCACTAGTGTTGAAAACATATATGATGCTGGATGCGCGGACAGTCCTAAGCCCAGTGCTGTAAGTGATGCTTGGGGGATGCCAAATTGATACTGGCCTTGACCGGAGAGACGTGGAAGCGTTCGATTCTCCCTGAATTTTTACAGCGGGGGTCTATTTTTACAGCGCTTATCGAATCCCTGTAGCGCTGGTGGGCCGGAATTTTAGCGGACTGCGGGCGAACCCACCGCTGTACGGAATTGTCCCAGTTCCGGCCCGTCGCGCGCGGATGCGTCCAAATTTGTTTTAATAACAGTCCCAGCGAAGGCTTCAAACGCAGCTCAGTGAACATTCCATTCAATCATTCTGTGTCATATCTGCGGCTGGATCCTTCCAATGGCGTCTCTTTATACACGTCAGACCCTTGTCATCCCAGCCAGCGTCCCGGGGCAAAATGAAGCTTCGGTCCGACACAATCTCCCCACACCGTTGAGGCTGTCGGCGCATGATTACCGCATCCGTGACGCAGATGAAGCTGGGTTTACGATAATTCTCACGCACGGGACATCGTTCAATAGACATTTCTGGAAATTGATCATCGATTTGCTTCTAGCTCAACCGGAATTACGGTCTAGAGTCAAGAGATTGATTGCGATTGATGCTGCAAACCATGGCGACAGTGCCGTGTTGAACAAGGACGTCCTCCCACCAAAAGGTTAGCTGTCTCGGCGATGTCGCCTCGAACTTCGGTCGGTATTGACTGCGTATAGCATTTTGGCCCGACGACTCTCGCGATATCCTCCATACGCTGAAATATTTCGATGTTGAACAGCCTGTAATCGGCATTGGACACTCATTTGGAGGGGGAGCCATGTGAGTTGGATTGGCTTCACATGTTAAAGAAAAATACTCATTGACGGGGTAAACTTTAGGTGCCATGCAGCCATGATGGAGCCTGAAGCATTTTTGGCGACCATCTTTATCGAACCTATTTTATTCCAGATGAAAGATCAGACCGAGGCCGTCGCACGAATGACTATGAGGCGCCGGGACACGTGGAATTCCAAGTCGGTTGCCAATAATTGCTCGGTGAAACAGCGCTGACAATATTTTACAGGGAGGATCTCACCGCAGCATTTCAGAAGAGTGCAAGTCTCCAAGACTGGGATAAGCGACAGCTGCAGGTATACATTGTACGTATTGACATGCAATTTGCAAATTGGGCACGCACTGATGATTTCAAGGAACACGGGACGTTTCCAATTGACGGGAGTGCTACGTCGCCAAGGATGCTCAAAACACCAAAGGCTCAAGAAGCGGCACGTATAAAGCTTACCATGTGATTTGTGCATCATGCTAATGCACTGAATGGACAATATAGGCCACGTATATTGCCGCACCATATGCGGAGATTCTTGGGCTGATAGGCCAATCTCGAGGGCGCCACCACTTCGTCTGGGGCTCCGAGAGTAAAGTGATGCAAGTGTAACCGTCAATGCTAGTCGAACACCTACTGACAAACCTCAGATCTGTTCCGGACCGAGAATCGGTTGCGCGAATCATCCGGGCCCCCTCAACGACGCAGGTCCTGTCGGGAGCTGGTCACCTGGTAGGGCCATAGTGCAACTTCGTCAATCCGCTACCATACTAACCTGTTCACGTAGGTGCCAATGACTCACCCAGAGGCCTTGACGTCTATTCTTGATGGCCTTCTCCGAGACATCCCACTGCCTCGCCGGTCTTCACAGGCAAAGCTTTGAAATGCGTTACTCCAGGGCTCAATTGGCGTCTCGAGCACGGAATTTCCGTCCAAAATTCCGGATGCTGGAAAAGTGGCCACAGCCCCTTTCCCCTCATCGACCCCGTCTAAGCTCCTTTCAGTCAAGATCCAAACTTAGACAGAACTCGTCGACGCCGCACAATGCGGGGGTGGGCCGCGACGCTGCTCTCCGCGGTGGTGATCCGGGGCAAGTGATCTGGGGTCTGGGGTTCGCCGGTGGTCTCGACCGAAGTTGAATAAGCGAACTATTGCTACGTCATTATAGGCTAGAATCTAAATCATTTGCTCCTTTTGCTTCATCGTCCTCCGGCCCCCCTCGTCGTGAGACCCCACACTCGCATATCGCGGACCTCCCGGCTGCATCTCCCTCGCGTCCACAGCTTCCCCAACGCGCAGTTCTTTGCCCAGGCGCAGCCATCGATCAGCATGGCGACTGAGACCCGAGAAGAGCCTGGCCAGACCATCTTGGTCGCGGCAATAGACGATGACAATGGCGGTGAGCCAGCCGACGCTCCCGCCGAACACGCCGAACACGCCAAGCGAGGATCCGTAGATGAGCAAGCCCAAGGCTCGCCACCCAGCCCGGACCCTTCAGAGCGACCCGCAAAGAAGGTGAAGCGGGGGAAATACATATCTAGAGCATGGTAGGTGCCGATGTTCTCACGCAGTCAAATTTCATGTCCAGGCGGCTCACCGAGGGTTTGTAGCACATCATGTCAACAGCGGAAAATAAAGGTTCGAATCATACTATACTATTCCAAACACCAGAGTGCTAATCGATTCAAGTGCGAGGGCGGCGAACCTTGCGCACAATGCATAGCCAGAAAGCGGCAATGTGTGTCTGCCCCTCGTGGTGGACAAGCCAGGCAAGACCAGAAGAGTTGGGCTACGGGCTCTGAAGCAGACTCATCGAGCCTCAATACTGGCAGCAAGTATGAAACCCAGTCCTTCCACGTGTATCTGTATGCCGGTGATACTCACACTTGACTAGTGTCTCAAACCACGAGCTTCTGTCACGCCTGGTCGAAGTCGAACGTCGATTGAACGTCATGCAAAGTCCAATCCAAGATGGCGCAAAATACCAACCTCCGCTACATTCGCACGCTCACGGCGGATTGCCTGGAGAAGATTTCCCAACACCGAGATCTACTGAGCTTGAAAACGTCCTGGAGGCAGACGGGCAGACATTCGCTGGCGAGATTTCAATGAGCCCAGCATTTCAAGACGTCGACGAGGGCCTTGGCCATGCAGTCAACTCCACTTCAAAATCGATCCCGAAAATCCCCTCAGGTCAATCGTTCTCGAATCCGGCGACGTCTGGGGACAAAGGCTCACGGAAGGTTCGGGGCTGGTTGGAGAGTGTTCTGAACCAGCACGGCGTTGTCGCCAATGAGGAAGAATGGAGGCGCTATCTCGCTATTTTTATGGACGAGATCCATATCCTCTACCCAATTCTTCACCGGCCAACTGTCTGGGAGACATTCAACGAGTTGTGGGAGTATTCAGCACTGTGGTCAATGAGCAATTCCGCCGATCGAGAGCAGAAGCGCATGTCGGTGGCCCTAATCTGCTTCTGCCTAGCTCTGGGCCGCTGCAGCGTATCGACAAGAATGACAGATGCCAACGGCGTCCATTCCGCTGGGTGGAGTCTGTATAGTGTTGGTCTGGCCTTGATGCAGGACACAATGGAGATGAGCAACAATGCTGCAAAGTCATTGGTGACAATGCAAATCCTGCTGCTGAGAGTAAGATTTTCTGGTTATGTCCCCTTTTCCGCAGAGTTACTGACAGTCTGTAGGTCTTGTATTTGTTCCGCTTGGATGCCACCCAACGAGCGGTCAGAGTTCACGCACTGCTCGTTTCCAACGCGCACATTGTTGGCTTGCACCGACAGAGCACTTACGACAAGATGCCCGTATTTTGGGCCCAGATGTACTGCCGAACCTGGTGGTCCATCTATGTCTTAGACCGTCGACTAGCAATCGAGTCGGGGCGGCCATATCTCATTCAAGACTGCAACATCGATACCGCGTTGCCGTTGGAACTTGGCGATGATTGGTTGAGCCAGTACTCAAAAGCAACGGACACGGCTCAGAGCCTCAAAAGAGAGACATCGGCAGAGATTGCAAGCGAGCCGATCACACCAATACCATATTTGATGGCCATGGTGCGATTCTCTCGAGTTGTGGGCAAGGTGTGGGAACTCATGTATGGCATCAAGGGACTGAATCCCACTTCGTCTGCCATGGTGGAGTATGCAGACAGTGTGCTGTGCAACTTGCTGGAAAACGTGCCGAAAGATCTGTCATTTGATCCAAGGATATCACCAGATCTCCAGTTTGGCACGAGGTTACGATGGCAGGTCAAACAAACAATGCTGCTCTTCTCGGTAAGACTCAGTTCTGGACATTCATCTTCTTCAAATTGGCTTACACAATATGCAGTGCAGTACCTTCCTTCGACTTTTAATCCGAAGACCCTTTTTAACCAACGCGCCGCCCGATGGCCGCACCCAAGACGACGAACTCGAATCCGTGTCGCTTTGCGCGAGTCTCGCAGCTAGCATCCTCAGCGCCCACGAGAGTATACAGGACAGCGCGCTCAAGTACTGCTTCCCATTCAGCCACTACTTGACCAGTGCGACGATGGTCATGATTGGCTTGGTTACAAGGGAGCCAAATCTCAAGAGAAGATACAAGGACTTGATCCTGGCTGCTACTCGATCGTTGAACATGTACTGCCACCGGATCTGGGTGTCGGGAAAGACGATGCGCTGGGTCCGTAAGCTGACCCTGATCGTTCAGCGCACGCTAAACGAAGTCGTCTCGGAAGAGCGGCCTGCGCAAAGTGCAAACGGCTTGCAGAATGCTGGGGGTAGTAATCGTGTCGAAGAATCGCGGTCGTCTGTACTCAATGTTGACGGCTTGCCACACGACTCGTCAACCAAGAGCGGGCAAATGACGACAGGCCAAATCGACCCGTCTTGCACATTCTCGGCCGACGACAAAAATAACACGCACGGGTTTGACAGACGAGGAAGCATGGTTACCGAAAATGCCTCAATGCTCTCTGACACGCAGCCCGGACGATCCGATCAGACCAACGCTAGCCTGTGGGCGATGATGGAGGGCGGCGCTGACAATCCGACGCCCGAGCTGCCGGAGTGGGCGATGTTGGATTTCAACTTTGAAGCCATCATCAACGGTGATGGGATGAACCCCAGAATGCCCGCCGAGGGACTCTCTACGATCGCAGAAGACGACAAGTCCAGCTCAGGAAGAGGGGGAGGACTAGGCATGGATTTTGATATCGATCATTCAATATTTGGTTCGTTGGAGTCCACGGGGGTGTTTGACATCGATATGGATGTGGATAAGGCTGTGATGAGTCTTTGTAACCCTACGAATGGTGGTTATTAATATGCGATAATTGATGATTCTCAATATGTATCTTGGACATGGTCAAATGGCTAGCTAAGTAATGGTCAAATTGAAATCTATCACTGAACTTCTATCTACATTGCTGTCTCTACTGAAATCTAGAATTCCCGCCTACAACTTTGCAGGCATGCCAGTACGGTAGGTGGCTTGTAGCTTGGCCGGCAGAAGTCGTCGCAGAATTTTACCAGCAGGGCTTTATTGTTGTTAGTATTAAGGTCTAGAACATGAATGCGTCGTGTGGACTTACTTTCTTGGAATAGCCGGCAAAATGTGCAGGCCGCCAGTGATCTGTTTGTATCTGGTAACTTGAGAGTGAACATGTCTCAAAACGTCAGCTTTGAGAAGTTCCTGCTCTTCAGCACCTTGCACGCTCGTCGTGATGTACCCTACAGGCATCTCCGAAGTCCCATGTTCGTTGTAGATGCCACAGACGGCGGCATCGAGAACTTGAGGGTGGGTTATGAGAATCGCTTCCAGTTCGGCCGGTGCGACTTGGTTCCTGCAAGAGATAAAGTCGTCAGTCAAAGAAGCGACAAGCCTAGATGAATATAACCTACCCCTTGACTTTGATCATCTCCTTTGCTCGATCGACAATGAAGAGATATCCCTCGTCGTCGACATAGCCGATGTCACCTGTTCTCAGGAATCCATCTGGTGTGTTTGGGTTGTCGGATCGCTTCTCGCCATCGACGTAGCCTTGCATGGTATTGGGGCCGCGGATCGCAAACTCGCCAACCTGTGCGTCTAGAAAAGGTTAGCCATGATTAATTCCATCAATCTAAGCGCAGTGTAATCAACTTACCGTTGTAGTGTTCGTCGATTACCCTCATTTCAATACCAGGCAAAAGCCTTCCAATTGTGCCGGGAATATTGACCTCGTCTTCCTTTTGAGACGCGATACTAGGACTCGCCTCGGTCATCCCATACCACTGAGTGACAACGCAACTGAACTTTTCGCAAAGTTGATCTGCTTGTCGTTGGTTCAGCGGGGCAGCAGCATTGATCAAACATTTGACGGAGGGATATTCCCCCTTCCCAGCGATGGGGTAGCGCAAGAGCTCCAGCGCGATTGGGGGTACGACGTTGATATGCGTGACTGTCCGGTAAATCAGCTGCGCATTCGGAGTATTAGTTTTGATCTATCTTACTCTGGTGTTTCTTGACTGCTTCCAGCAGAGGTCCGACTTCAAATCTTCGAAATGTCACAATTGGGGCGCCCTTGATAACAAGTGTTAGCATGGCCTCTATGGGACGCGTAATAGACAAGAGGGAGGAGAGAAGCTTACCTGGCTGACATATTGACAACAAAACCCAGCCAAGCCCAGGACGTGGAAGAATGGGACAATCAATGCGACAACGGTGCTAGGCGCAAACATGCCTCGAAGCCCTTGTGATTGTTGAAAAATATTGGAGACAATATTCCCATGACTGAGCTTTACGCCCTTTACTAGCCCCGAAGTTCCAGAGCTGAAACAAATGAAGGCGAGCAATGTGGCTGCGACACCAGGGGCGTGTTTGATGTGTTCGAAGTCGGCCGAGCCGTGCTTTATAATGTGTTCCGCGTTCAAGGCCTCGTACACGCCAGGCTCGGGCTTTTCAACGTCCCAGACATACAAGGCCGGCTTCTGGAAAAGATCGGGCAATGTGTCCAGAGCTGTCACAAGCCGGGGAAGCAGTGCATCCTCGACAAGGACGTGGGTAGGTTCACTGAGCCCCAGTGCGTGTGCCAATTCCTAGACTTTTTGTTAGCATATTTGTCGCTAAGGGACGGATTGCCGAAGGTAGATAGGATGGATTGACTTACGTTGGGCTCATACAGCGGATTCAACGCGGATACCACGCCGCCGACGGCGAGGATGGCATGCACACATATTGGGTAATAGTTCTGTAGCGCACCATGCGTTAGTGATTTATTCGACCATAGTCGACGGTCGATAGTGAATATTAGACTGGACCTGCTTACCTTGTTTGTTGACAAAATACCCACCACTGAGCCAGGCTTCACCCCAACTTCATGCCGGAGATGGTTCGCGACCTTCTTCACGCTGGCCCTGAAGCTGGAATACGTAAAGGCAACTTCAGCGGTGATTCCATCGATAATAGCCGGCTTGTTTGCAGGCGTATTATTCAGATTGTGGTGAAAGAGGACGTCCGTGATGGTCGCGTCTTGGGGGTAGTTGAGAGACTCCTTGCTCCTGTAGATGGCCATTGTGTCGCTGAGTCGATGGTAGATACTGCCGCTGTAATTGGATCAATGAGAAAACCACACGACTCTTTGCTGAATTAAAAATGACATTCCAGATGATTGTCCGGGGTAAACTGCCCCGAACCGCAAATGGATCCGTCGCTTCGCTGCTCTCCCATGCTAGCCCCGGCCTCCGAATTACCCCAAGTTCCGGAGCTGGAAATGGCCAATTCCGAATCTGGGGCAAACGATGCCGTCTCCCGTTCTCCGGAATTATTTCCTCGTCCCGTCGATGAATCAATCCGGGCTGCTTTGTGTTGATCTGGACCATTCTGGACCATGAACTGAAATACACATAACCCCTCACGTTGCCAAGTGTAGCTTTCTTAATCATCCTATCTCATTCAAGCATCTTCTCATCCACCAACATTTTCAGTTATCATTATCATGGCTTCGCACAAGGGAAAGGTCGCTTTTGTCACTGGTGCCAATGGCATCACTGGCAATGCAATCATCGAGCATCTTATTCGACAGCCCGAGTCCGAGTGGTCAGTCAATCTTCAATAATGCCATTGGATGCGCTACTGACTGGTCCGTCTAGGTCCAAGATTATCATCACATCTCGTCGAACTCCAAAGCAGCTGTTCTGGCAGGACCACCGCATCAAGTTCATCGCCCTCGACTTCCTGAAGCCTGTTGAAGACCTCATTGAGCAGATGCGACATCTCTGCCACGATGTGACGCACGCATACTTCGCCTCATACGCCCACGTCGCCGACTTTGCCAAGTTGAAGGAGCTCAACCTTCCCTTGTTCACCAATTTCCTTGTCGCAACCGACGTTGTTGCTGCCAAGACTCTGCAGCGCGTCTGCCTCCACACCGGAGGAAAGGTTCGTCACGAGCACACGATGCTGCCGGGCTATTTTTATTAATATCATATAGCACTACGGCGTTCATCTTGGTCCTGTCGAGGTTCCCATCCACGAAGAAATGCAGCGATACGACGACCATGGCGAGAACTTTTATTACCCACAAGAAGACTTCCTCTTCGACCTTGCTACAAAACGCACATGGGACTGGAACGTCATTCGACCCAACGCCATCATCGGCTTCACTCCAGCAGGTAAGGAAGACCGACCAGGGTTATTGTACGTCACACTGACAATGGGTTCAACAGGAAACGGAATGTCCGCTGCCCTCACCCTGGCCATCTATATCCTTTGCTGCAAAGAAAATGGCAAAGTCCCCGTCTTCCCAGGCAACAAGTTCTTCTTCAACTCGGTCGATGATTCCTCATATGCCCCCAGTCTCGCAGATATGAGTGTCTGGGCTTCCACGGGAGAGCACACCAAGAACGAGGCATTCAACCACACCAATGGCGATGTTATTGTGTGGAAGTACTTTTGGCCAAAGCTTGGCAAATACTTTGGCGTCGAGGTTCGTGGCCACTTCTAAGCCTAGGTTGCCCGTTTCGAATACTAATTGCATGTCACAGATCCCGGAATCAGACTCATGGAAGGCCAGTGGAGAAGGCCAGCGCATGGAACATAATTTCTACATGAGCGACTGGGCCAAGGACAACAAAGAGGCCTGGGATAGTGTCGTTCGCAAGCACGGTGGCCACCCTGATGCTTTCCACTGGGGAACTTGGGACTTCTTCGACTGGGCGGTTGGCAAGGCCTGGTTCACCATCGGTTCCGTGTCCAAGGCGCGCAAGTTTGGCTGGACGAGGTACGATGACACGTACGACTGCTGGGTTAAGACCTTCCGCTCCTTTGAGAACGCTGGTATTTTGCCCCCATCGTCCGCACTGGACCTCGGGGAGGCTTTGAGACAAGCTAAGCTGTCGCCACACCCAGCGGATGCCGTTACTGCACGCTTGGAGAGCGCTCGTAAGGAGAATGGTGTTGCCAAGGAGAATGGTATCGCCAAGAAGCAGGAGAATGGATTCAAGGAGAATGGACTGAAGACCAACGGCATCACAGAAACTATTCTCGGGATTAATGGTGGTTCTGAGTTGGAGTCTGTGGCCTAGACAGCGGTTACTGTACATGATCTAGTTGTATTTGTTGATAAATTTGATTTCATGTTGCATCAGTATTTGTTCTTTCATCAGGACTACTACATTGTCATGCTTCTATCATCCAATAAACTCAAGAAAATACCACATGATAAACTTCTCATTAATTACTAAACGTATTTTAAAATACCTATCCTGCAGGCATGACACAAAGACAGCGTGGCATTATTCTCTCAAACTCGGCCTAAGTCACACATTGACCCCCCTTGAGTCTTGTTCGTGCTCAATAGTTCACTACCCGTGAGAAGCGGCTTCTCACATCGCCGTTCTTCGCCCCAAAGGTCGTTGCTTCGATTCCATCAAATTCCGCCGCGACACCGAACCGCCGGACACCTCGGCGATGATACCTGATTAGAGTTTGATAATGAAGATTATTGAGGAGATGATAACAATACCAGGATAGCTGCTCGTGAGGGGAAGTGGAGCCCCTAGTTCCTCCTTGGTGGCTTTGTGGTGACTGGGTGACATCCCTGGCTTCGCGCGTCCAACGGAAATTTACGGAATTTCCAACCACGTTGGTGTTGACACCAACAGTCAGCTGCTCATTACTAGCTTAAGGACACGCCACAAGTCTCAACCCCGTGGGGAAGACGCGCCCCGTGGGGAACTGGGTCCGCAATTTCGGAACCCATCCTGCCATCCTGGAATATGACCCCGGGCTGCTGCTCAGCAGGGATATTGACATGGCATTTGGCCTGCACGTATATATGAAGCCGTTCAGCTTGGAACAAGCTTAATGATATCTCTCACGCTTTGAGCTGAAGGTCAATTACATTCAGTGTTACAACTATTCCCCCTTGCCACTATGGAGAAGCCAGATGTCGAGCACGTCTCTTCTGACGAAAGATTGGACAAGCACCCGACTGTTGAAGCCTTTCCTCAGGCCGCTCGAGCCGAAGGCGGCGTTGTCCTCAATGTCGATTCACCCGGCGACTCGCCCCTTCATCTTGCTGCAGATGGCCATGTGAGATCTCCCGCTAGATTCTTTGCCGCGATTTTGTCGATTGTATAGTTGAGTGTGGTAGCTAATACGCAGGCTTTTGCAGACTGTTCTCCTGCCGCAGCCCACCGAGGACCCTAGTGACCCCCTGAACTGGCCCTCCTGGAAGAAACATGCCATTCTTCTCACAATTGCCTGGGGAGCCTTTTGCGCCGACTTCACATCGGCTGCTGGCAGCGCTCCGATTCTGCTACAGGCCATGGAGTGGCACGAGAGCATTGCCAACGTCAACCACACCAACAGCATTAACGTTTTGATGATGTGAGAAGAGACCACTGACGACTCCTTAATACATAAATATGCTGACCTCGACTTCTTCGTGCTCTAGGGCTTTGGGAGGCTTGATCTGGGTCCCCATGACATCTTTCCTTGGACGAGCGCCGACACTATTCTGGTCCAACTTTTTGGGGCTCATCTTCTCTATTCTCACCGCAATTTCGCCCAATTTTACCTTCTTCTTTGCTATGCGAGCACTCACTGGCTTCTTCATCACATCGGCACAGACAATCTCGATCGCCTTCATCAAGGACATGTTCTTCTTCCATGAACGCGCTCGCAAGATTGGCCTGTGGGCATTGCTCTACATCGCCTCGCCATTCTGGGGACCGTTGGTCGGAAACTTTGTTCTCGGCGGGACTGGTTCCTGGGAGAATGTTTTCTGGGTCTGTGTCGGAGTCTGTGGTCTTGATATGATCTTGATCTTCAGCTTCCTTGACGAGACCTGGTACAATCGCGATATTCCCTCTAGCGACCAACCTCCGCGCGGTCATACCGTGCTAGCAAGGCTGTCTAGGGTCATTGGAATATGGGAGCTCCAGCACCATCGGCTTTACTACGAGACGGCATACGATTCTTTCAAGAGATATATCCAGACTCTGCTCAAGCCACCGGTTTTCTTGATCTTGTCCGCCTAGTTCGTCATTTCTATGCCCCATCACTGTCTGTACATACTAACTCTGGTCCAGTCTGCTCTTTTTTGCCTGGGCCATCGGCATCAACATTACAACCGCCATCCTATTTGGCACACCGCGAGAATTCGGTGGCTACGGCTACTCCTTCAATGGTGTCGGTTACCTCTATTTCTCTCCCATTGTTGGAATCATGTTTGGCGAAGTCTTCGGCCACTATTTCAACGACTTCGTCGCTCGTCGCTATGTCCGAAAGCACAATGGTGTGTTCGAGCCCGAGGCCCGTCTGTACACGATTTACATTTCCTCCGTCTTTATGATCGTCGGGCTCGTTCTGCTTGGACAGGCGCTTTTCCACCGCCTCTCAGCCGCAGCTGTCGTAATGGGTTGGGGTCTACACAGTTTCGGTATCATGACCGCCTCCGTTGCCGTCACGGCATATGTCCTGGATTCGTATCCTACTGCGCCTGCGGAGGTTTCTGGCTGGTCCAATTTTGCCCGAGCCATCGGTGGCTTTGGTGTTGGCTATTTCCAGCAGCCGTGGGGTGCAAAGGTCGGATACGACGTTAGCTTTGGTACGCAAGCTGCTATTGTGGCTGCTGGAGTTGTCATCGTTGCTATCGTTCATCGATACGGTCACATTCTTCGCCTCAAGGCAGGGCCGGTGAGGTAGAACGAAAGTCATTGAGCCGAGCCGAGTTTTGTTTCTCAGACAATAAGTGAATAAGAACCACCAGAGGCTAACTTCAAATGCCAAATTGACTGGTGGTCGCTAACAAGCCAAGGTCTTCACGAGCAGCATTCAAGTGAGAAACAGAAAGACTGTTATGTGGAGTGTTTATGATAGTGAACCCGTCAACATAAATCCAATTGATATCGCGTCATATGTAAATCATTAATCAATCCATGGATTGTCCAGTTCCATGTCCGAGAGCGGTGAGAAATGCGGCATTTCTCCCCGAGCATCGGCTTGCTGATACGTAATGTCTCCTTGATTCAACTGCTCCTCGCAATGAGACTCCATTCTTGGTGATTCCTGCCCATCACTTTCAGATTCTGAGTCTCCACTTGTATCTTCTTCGACATTCTCCAGGCCGTGACACTTCTTCCAGCACTGATCACACAACGTACGACCACCTAACTCCATAGTACCCTCCCATTCCCGGAGTCCATCACTTGATATCTCGACTTGGCTGTCACTTTCATCGCCTTCGCAATCCATCCTCTCTGAGTCATCCTCGGAGCAACCCCCATAGCCATAGTCGATCTCTCCAGGCTCCAGTGGCGGCCAAGGTTCATCATCCCAGTATGGACATTCGCTTTCTCTCCCCTCCCAAAGCGCTTCGAAATCTTCTCGACTATATTGCATTGTGTACTTTGCATATCTTCGATGGCTATGCGAACGGAATTGCGAAATGTCGAAACTACAGCTTTGTAGAACTGCATCCCAAAGGTCACCATCATAGCTCCCTTTTTCTTTTGTTCGGCAGTAAGCAAAGTCGCTAACTGAAGCACCGAGATATGTCCTTGAAGACGGGTCGGCTCCACTTTCCACGAGGAACTTAACAGCATTGAACTCTTCATGTGGATCCTTAAGGTACGATCTTTCTAGGAAACACATATGCAGACATGTAAACCCATTTTCGTCGCGATCACGGATATCTGCACCTAGTGCCAGGAATAACTTGATGCTCTCAGTAGTCATAGTACACGCAAGATTCCTGCAGTGTGCTAGAAACGCCGACTGACCATTGATTTTGTAGCTGGTGGCATTTGCAATATGCCCAGTCAGCTCGGAATTCCAGGCAATTCGCAATGATTCCTGTAATTTTATCAGTTCGTGTTAATGTAGATTTGGACGAGAAATTGCGGACACAAGTACCCGTGGCAATCGAGTTTCCGAGATAGCTCACACTCTCTCCCTCGTTTGTGAGGTTGAGAGTTGGGTCACCGCCGGCCTCAAGAAGCAGTTTGCGACACTGATTTACTCGCACAAGTTCCTCACCATCCATTTCATCATCATTTAATTCAAACTGTAGCAGAGATCTTGCCTTTGGTCAGCTTTCTCGTTCAATCATTCTCACGTCCAAGAGCGTTAGGCGTACACGAAATACCCCTGGCCACCTTCGACCCCAGCAGTATTTGCAACGTGGTCTGGGTCTAGACCACAAGCAATTAAGAATTTACATACTTCAGGTTGTGTTGTTGAATACTTGCATTCAATCAGAAGTTAGTGTCTCGTTGACGAAGACATTGAGTGACTTACATGAAGTAATGAAGCACCGTGCTCATCGTGGTCTCTTGGAGATGCTTCTCGGTTCCTGAACATCTCTTGAAGCTCCTGAAGGTTTCCTTCTCTTGCTAGTTTGAATACCAATGATCCTGCAGGCAGGACTCGGTTTACCATGAGAGTTGAGAAGGTCAAGATGCCTTCATCGGCTGTTTGATGCTGAAATGAAGAGGCCACAATCATAGGCTGATAACTCGACTTTTTTGGTAAAAAGGTCAATGACATTGAATAATCTGTTCCGCCTCTCTTCTGAATCTTCCGGCTATTTTCAAGATTCTCCTGAATAGACCGCTTGCGCTTGTGGATCAGAAAACTGAGCTTCCCGACGCCAATGTCTGTGTGATCCAATGTTCTAGACTGTTGGATTCTTGTACCAGGTGAATATTTTGCTTTTCCGTTATCTGTGGAACATTAAGGGTTAACGAGGCTCTTGTTGAGGCTAAGTCCTGGAGATAAATACTTCGGCCATTGATTTCAAGTATGCCACCCCCAAATCCCCTCGCAAATCGACGGAGGCCATTACGAAAAGACACTAGCTCTAATTCCTTGGTTTCAAGCAAGCCATCTTCCGAGCGTTCAACCGGCGCTCCATGTTGCTGAAGGGAATTCACTATCTGTTGAAGATCTTCCATGATGGATTCTGCTAACTCGTCATCTTCTGAGTATGCATCAATCGTTCGTCGCTTTTCATCGATGAGGCGGCAAAGACGATCCAAGCTGTTCATCATTTGCTGGTCGACCCGTGGGGGTTCAACTTGGCTATTTAACAGCCCATCAGTGGTACCTTGGCCAGTCACAGGTCCTGAAATACTCTGTGTAGGAGATGCGACGATGTGGTCGCGGATTTGTTGCAGCATGTCGCCGATGTCTTTCACCGATATCGGTTCTGCGGCTTGTGTGTGCTCAGGCGGGCCAACCGGCAGATGGGGTTTTCTGTCAGCTAATTTACTTGACAATGCATCTTCCATTTGAACAAAGCGTTCTGTCAATGAGTTGAATTGGTTTTGGATGGACGAGTCGAGTGCTTGAGTTGTTTGCATGAGTTGATCCTGTCCATCCTTGATCTCAAAAGTTGCATCGCTAATTCGTCGTTAGAAGAGGGACAGTGAGTATTCGATATAATAGGTAGGCAAACCTGGATAGCAGATTGATTCGAAAATCCAGCAAGGAAGCCTTCTGAGTCACCTGAGTGCTGATTCTGGCCAAGTCTTTTTCGCTCAAGACTGTCTTGATCCGCTTCCAAAACCTGCCTGTCAACCTCTCGTTTGTCGCTAGTTGAAGTCTCTGCACGATTTCTGCCAAGCTGCCTAGATCATCTACGCATTGCTGAGCATGAAATAGCAGAGATTCATCATCCGCAGCAGCTCGAGATTGATGCACCCGTTCCAAGATCCAGTGCAGCTGTAAGATGTCTCGTGCAACCCGCTGGACAATCTCTGGGCCATCCTTGACTGCCGACAGAGTCTCATGGATGAATTTTGCGCTCTTTAGCCCGAGAAGGACGAATGCCAGAACATTCGCGCCCACACCGATGGCTTCCATGGCTCCGGGTGGATCTTGAAACCTGCCAGAGGGGTGACTGATCAGAACTCATGAGGTTTCCTGATGATGATCGATGAGCAGTTTACCGACTATCTCGTTACAGTCTGGGATGGAGAGATGAAAAACAGGGCGAAGAAGAGGAAGGGCGGGGAGCGTGAAAAAGCCTCAGTTTTCTGACAAGGCAGACTGCGGCCTGATTTGCACTTGTTGAACCCGACGAGGCTGTGACAGAATAGGCAAACCGGGCCCCTCAGCCACAATCTCGATCAGCTACTTAATGAATCTTGGCTGAAAATCTTGTTAGGACTGATCCTTGACGATTGAGGCTGGTGAAGTATCATTGGGGGCCAACAATCAGAACCGCGCCACACAATGTGGGCTTCGAATCTACACCGCCGAAAGTTGATGCACGGAATGAATCGTAAAGTTTAATAGTTCCAGCTTACAATCGCGTCATTCGAGCTGCTCCTTACCAAACTTACGTACGATAAGGTGAGCGATAGACTGAATTTGCCGTGGTTGCCAAGGACTCTCGCCCTCAGTTTTGGGTTGGAAATGGTACTTCCGTTGACTTTATTCCAAGCGAATTCCCGATCGCTGACGGTGGCTCAAAGTTGGGTTGAGCTTCATCGGCCGCAGAATGACAGCGAACGTCGAACACATTCTTCCCACCGCAGAACAAGCGCCTCGACCAAAGCGCACAGAAAAGGGCCAGTGACACCTGGGAATCCAAGCCCGCCAGAGTTAGCTATGACATTGTGTGCTACGAGGCCTCTAGTGGTGGTGTTGTCTTCGTTAGTCGACTTAATCGGTATGGCAGTGTGCCTTGGGATAATTATTAGAGCGGCCATGACTGCCAATTTTCTCCGAGATTTTCTCAAGCCATATACTAAAAAAGCAAGATAAATAGTTTGGCTGTACCTGTCAATAGAATGTGTCATAAAAAAAGTCTGATAAACGGATTTTACTATATGAAAAGTATTAACGAAGCCCAAACGGTAACCGATTGTGCGTTCCTGTTTCACACAGCGTGGATAAAATCAGGGTGGTAATTATTAAAGCTCTTGATTTCCTATTTAACGAAGGGCTATGGTTCGATCCTGTAAATGAAGATGAGGGCACCATCCGGCAATCTCGGGCACCGAGATCTGGAGGTCTAAGAACCGTTCCAGATCGGATTCCAAGCCGCCGGTCTGGAATCTATCCCAGGCCTCTCACAATGAGACCAAAATGTAACAGTCTGTAAAATAAGAAAACATAAGAAATACTCAACATCCTTAACCCATCTGCAAACGCCTTTCTAGTATTTGCGGCACTCCCACTCGACCCTGACGCCTTGCAACTCTTCTAGAACACTGTACTCAAACCCAACTTGTCGCGTTGCGATGAGAATCATGTCAAATGTCTCCAGCGTGGTAGCGTTCCATCCTGCGTCGTCGAGGCGGAGAACCTGCGGCACTGCTTCCTGAGTAACCAATGTGTCGGCGAAGCTCACATCTACCTTGCCGGACATATCCAAGGACTTGATGATGTCGAGTCCAGGTGAGTTGCTCAGCGTCGATTGGCCTGGCTTGAAACCAACACCGACAACGAGCACGCGAGGCTTAGACTGGCCAAGGCCGTCCGCTTCCAGTGTCTCGATAGCCCGGGTCGCAATTTCCGCAGGACGCCGCCACATGGCTTCGGTAGCGGCACTTAGGAGGGGGAAGTGGCTGTTGGAGAGAAGATAATAAGGGTTGATAGGGATGCAGTGGCCGCCAACTCCAGGACCGGGAGTGTAAGGCATGTACCCAAAGGGCTTAGAAGCCGCGGCTTCGCAGACCTCATAAGGGTCAATGCCATGGGGAACGCATGCGTCAGCCATTTCGTTGGCGTAGGCGGTGCACATCATTCGCTGGCAGTTTTCGTAGAGCTTGGTCATCTCAGCGACCTCAGGCTTGGATACCGGAACGACGTGGTGGAAAACAGTCGAGTAGAGACGCAGGATGCTATCCAGGGAGCCTGGAGCAATGTCATCCAAGCCCGACACGACCTTAGGGATATCGAAAGCAGGTGGCTCGGTACGTCCAGGATCGACACGCTAATTCTGTCAGTATTCATGCTTAATGTTCTGTCCGCGTATCTACATACCTCTGGAGACATGCCAACGAAGAAGCCGCAGGTCTTTGCAAGAGGACCGAGAAGCTCTCTGGTCATGCCAATGGCGACTGAGCTTTCAATCACGACCGTCGAACCCCGCCGGGCATGCGCCGCAACAGTCTGGAGGGCGCTGCACAAGTATGACGAGTCAATGCTGCGGTCGGGACGAAGCAGCGTAGGCACAGAAATCAGGAAATGGGTTGCATCTTGCAATTCGCTGGTGTTGCTGGATAGCCTGACACGCTCGTTCCCGGCGAACATTGACTTGACATCTTGAATGCGTTTGTCGGAGATATCGAAGCCCAAGGTGTCAAAGCCGCGGGAAAAGGTTTCGACGAGATGGGTACCCACGTACCCGACCCCGATCACGGCCACCAAAGGACGCGAATCGCGAGTGACTACGCTCGACTGCAGGTCAAACTTGTTGGACAAGTCCAAATCCGCAGGAGGCGTCAAGGGGGGCGAATCGGGAAAGACTGCCTGTTGGAAGCCATTGGAGCGGTGTTCCGCAGTCATGCCCAAGGCAAGAGGAAGAGGCAAAGAGATTTGTCGAGTCATCTTGGAGAGAGTGATTGAGGGACAAGGAATAGAAGTTGTGATGTAGGTGAGTGATAGTTGAGTGTTGGGTGAAAGATGTAGTCAATGGATGAGGATGAGAAGCAGGGAGTAGAACTGATCGGACGAGGCGGTTTATATCTGTCTATTGCCCTCCGCAAGACGAAAATTTTCTCTTTCAGCATTCGACATAAAGTGAAGAAACATACGACGAGAAGCCGCATTCAGAATGGCCTCGGCCACATTTCCGGGAGTTGTTGGGACTTCTGAAGGTGGAGGTACGCAAGGTTCGCTCCAAAAAGCAACAACAGGCTAGTCAAAGCCCAGAAATCACGAGAAAGAAGAAATCTCTCGTCCGAAAACGTGGTTCGATTCGATGGATGTGTGATGCAAATGCCAAGACAAGAACTGGGTTCAGAGACCTGGTACGACCTATGCCCAAGACCAAATGGAACCGCAGTCCACGTGGTTCTAGAAAGAGCCAAACCGTGTTCATAGACTTTAGGCTTGAGTAAAGTCAAGGCGTCATGGTCTAGACAAAGCCTGACAAGAAAGTACCGAGAACCGCATAGGCTACAGGCTGGCTGGCGTCCATACCGGTAGTTGTCGACTGCTCCCATCTAGCGTCCCGTACTGCGGGAGACATACGGACACTCCCCGGTTCCCCGGTGTCTAGCGGCCGGCACGTAGCGGTGCTTTACCTTTGGTCCTAGGGCCTAGAGCACAAGGCCTAGACCATGCCATGGTCGGTTGGTGGTGACAGCCACGAACGGATTACGCTTAGCTTCCAAGCTCCCATGGAAAAGCAAATTGGGGTCTCCTGACTCAAGTCACGCATTATAGCCACGTTGGCAACTGTCACTGCGCGTCTAACTGTACCGCATTCGGCCCACGAGTAACGCCCGCCACACTCATGGCAACGTTGAGGCCGTTCTCCGCATTCCATCTCGGCGGCTTGACCCCATTCAGATACTCCACCAACTTACCTAGTTAGTTAAGTCCTGTGAGAAACTCAGTTATCCCTCCCAAGAACGGAGTAGCGTCTACCATAAAAAAACAGTAGCGGCGCTCTAGAACTAGTGGTCGTCTCCATAAAAATAAAGGGTGGCCAATGGGAAATAAAGGACAGCCGGTATATCACTTATGTATGAATCCTTGTGCAGTTAACAGTGGAACTATGGAGATCAAGTGGAGGTACTTCTGAGAGTTGACTGGGATTCTTCGGTCCTTGCTAGACTGGCTAGCCTGATTTTGTCATTGCATTCATCTTCCCAGACGCTAAGGCTGACAACCACGTTTCCAGCACCGGCGAACTGGGTCTAGAGCTTTTGATATATCATTTTGCAGTCTTCATCCATGGTGAACGACCTGTATTTTGTGGAATGTATTACATTCCATTCGGCATGGCCGCCATGAACCTCTCAGTTCATACCAATGCAGGGTCACGATACAAGCGTGCTGCCAGCGCCTCATTCTAGGACATAGCGCTGCCGCCGTTGCTTTCCTCTACTTTGTCCTCCTCTTCAGTGGCGCTTCCCACCTCAATGGTCAGATGGCAGAGACTAATCAACGCAGGAACGGCCACTTTCGACAAAACGAGCCAAACCAAGTGCTGCGCGAAAGCACGATGGAAGTCAAACTCGACATGCAGAAAACGATGGACGACACTAAGCTGCAGCCATCAGGTACGACTCCTGTGCAAGTCAAGATGGAGATACCAGATCCCGTGGATCTGGAGAAGGGTCATGACAACGTCGGCGTCGCATCCAAGCCAGTACCGGAGGTTCTTCCTCGGTCTTGGAACTATGGAGACACTGTTGAAACTTGTCAATACCCTACAGTCGAAGAACCAGTCAATCCAGCACGGGTACTCAGCCATATGGATCTTCGAAATCAGCGCATCATATTCATGGCACTGATCCTCCTTTTGAACATCGTCATGGCGGTCCTTACAATTTTTGCCAAAAAGTCGAAGCTCAACTTGGTTGTGGTTTTATTCATCAAAAGCAAGGACTTCCTTTCAGCTCTGATTTCCCCACTGGGCATGGCTTCTCAGGGCATCTACCATCTATTCCGACCTCTCGAGCCTGTTTCTGAGCGCTGGATCCTCTCCCTCATACCCGCCTACTCTGAGAGTGAAGAGCAGATTGTGAAAACAGTCTACTCTCTCCGAGATAACGGTGTCGAGCCCCACCGCCAAGTCATGGTGATAGTCCTTGACGGAAACCCAAGAGACATCCGATCACATATGACGAGGGTGGTGCGCGAGTTTGAACGCCCGTATATCAGTCTGAAATTCAAGAGAGGCATTCTTCGCATTACGGCTGGTTTCATGGAAGATGTGCCTGTCATCGTCATCGAAAAGCTGAAGAATGCCGGTAAAAAAGACTCCCTTATTTTCTGCCACGATCTCTTCAACTACCCCCGCATGAACTCGCCACTTTACACGAAGCTTCTAAGACAGGAGATATGGCAAGAAATCCTTCCGATCCTCACCGAAGGGTCGGACTTTAAGGGGTTCGATATGGTCTTCTGCACTGATGCGGACTCAACCATCCACAAGGGCGCCATAGCCAGACTCGCCAACGCCCTCGCACGAGATAAGAACGCCATTGCAGCCTGTGGCTTGGTTCTTGTGGAGTTGGAACCTGGATATGAATGGTCATTTTGGAATCTTTATCAGCAATTTCAGGTCCGTAATCTCTCTCCCATCCCCGGGCACCATGCTTACTTAAAATAGTACACCTACGGACAGTATGTTCGAAGGCGAGCGGAAGGCATCGTGGGAAAAGTCACCTGTCTTCCAGGCTGTATCACGATGATTGCAGTGCGGAAAGAGATGGCAGGAGCCATACAGAAATATGCGGAGCCAGTCACCGAATATCTCGTTCTGTCACATCAAGTGCAGTATCTGGTAAGATAGGAACACCGCACAAGTGAAACCGGTCAAGTGGCGCTGACAAGCTACTCTAGGGAACTGATAGACGGCTCACCTATTCTATGCTCTCTCAGGGGAAGCACTTACGCACTCTATTCGTACCTGATTCTGTCAGCGAAACCGTCGCACCTCAATCAGTCCAACACTACCTCAGCCAGCGTCGAAGGTGGGGGTCGAATGCCTACTTCAACAACTACTTCTATACAGCTGGAGAGAATATGCTTCCCATAACTCGCATTGCCTCTAGCATCGAAGTCATACGGCTCAGCATGGTCTATTACCGAGTTCTCAACACAGCACTTTTCTTATGGGGACTTACTTCGGCGCATGTCACCATCATACAGTTGATTCCGATGCTCATAATTGGCCAGCTGCCAAGCTTTTGGTTCTTCTGTTCAGTTATCCTCGACCCTGAATTGAGAAAGCGAGCACACAAGCTTGCCATAGGATTTTCAATCAACAAGCTGATCTCACCAGTAATGTCATTGATTATCTTCACAAAGGTTGCGACAAACCTAGGAAGCCAGGGTAAGTCGTGCTCCTGGAAACTGTATTCGCACAAGGTGCTAACATTTACAGCGTGGGGCATGTCAGGAGTGACGGCATCCACGGCGGCCCCAGCTGCCACTTCTTCCACTGAAGGGAGTGATACAGAAATTGGAGGTCTCTCGGAAGCAGAGAAAGGACAATGCGGTCCATCTATGACAGAAGACTCCGAGGACGACGGGAAACGCAAAGGACCCAGGCAAAGGGCCGGTTCGGGTATAGACATAGATGGTGATTGTTGATTTAGACATAAAGTGAACTGAAAAAAGTACTGAGCTGTTATTCAAGCAATATCCTTAAGAGTTCGTTGCCATCCGTGGTTCTTCAGTGCAACGCGGTAAGTAAGAGCTACCTATGTTAGATTACTAGTTGACACCTACCCTAGAACGACCATCTTTTCTGGGGTTTCAGAATCGGCGAAAGGGATCCTATGACAAGTCTCGAGCAGATCTAGACAGCGTCTAAGATCAATGAGCTTTTGCGAAAGGAGCTCAACCTAGTGGCACTTGAAAGTCTGTACTACACTGTCGGGTAGGTTTTAATTCAAAAACTCAGATTGCTTCTTTTTTCTTCTTTTTTCTTCCAGATTAATCCAGCCGTATAAACGGCGGCGGACTAACTCTAACTCAATCGGGAGTGATGAGTTTTTAGTACGCACATATTCACAGTGTAATTAATCGTCCTCTCGGAGCTTTCCGATTTCCCATTATGGCCATCAACCCACCAAAAGTTTCCTGGAATCGCCGCATTTCTCTTGGCAAACTCAGTTTGTTCTAGACGTCCCGATTGTCTTCCACTCTCCTGCCAAGACAATATAATTCATATCACATTACAAGCCAACGTGTGCTGTCTCTAGTGAAAGTCACTTTTAGCCCGCCAAGGCCGTATTTCCCAATTCCCATCCCTCAATGCCGTCCATCTCCACCACGCTAGCAACTGACAGCATGCCAGAGACATCAAACTAGCCGAGATGGGAACGCCTCCGAGGCTAGTGTTAGACCGTTTGTGGTTTTCCCATTCCTTCACCAAGAACTACCGGCCAAAGCTCTTGGCGCTTTCTGCCGGGGAATGCTAGTTTCTGCATTTGAACTTCACCGGCAACACTATCCAGAACCGTTACCAACATCGCAAGGTCGGCGACGGAAAGACTAATTCAGGCATGATAGAGTTGATCTAGACGCGCCAAATTTTGAGCCATGCCATCTTCGACCCGGAGAACTGGACAAGTTATGGATAGAACCTGTTGCCGGCCGGCTGTTCACACAAGCTCGAGAATAGACTCTGGCGAGCAAGCTGGCTAAGAAATGTCTGGCCCGGCACGAACGGCACGGCGTACAGCCCAAATCCGTCAGAAAGAGTACCCGAGAGGTAGCGAATATGACTGGTCACAGATGGCCACGGATCCGGACCTTGGATTGCACGTGAGTGGTCTGAATGATTCATCATGGCGAAATATGTGGTCTTGACGCTAGTTCTAATTGCGGCTTTCTGTCCGATATTCAAGGAGCCGTGATGTATCTGAAGTGGAGAGTTCATAGTGTGAGCTAGTGAACTTTTATGAACCCGTCCTGTGGCGGCCAAAAAGATTACTGCCTGGCTCCCCATTCGTATTTTCCGCCACCATGTCAGTCCAGACTGCTTAGCTGACTGCACAAAAGAGGAGAAAGGCACGTTTTGTTTCCTCTTCTTGCACTTTCCAGGATATTTCTGCGTGTTTCCAGCCGTATCGCGACCAGATATCTCCTCGTCCTCGATCCACCATCACATTCTCTTGGTACCGTGTACGCGCATTTCGCAACTCTATCACTATGTTACTTCAAGAAAAACCCCTCTACGTCAGAGTTCTCGTCGTTATGTTCCTCACCTTACTCTGCCTTGGCATTATCTTGGGCCCCACGCTGCGGCGAAATGCCTCAGGCCCCACCATCAAATGGCACAAGATCACCACACTCAAAGGAGATCTATTGCCCGACTTTAGCTTCAGCGGCTATCATGCGTCAAACCAATCGCTTCCCGCAGTCAAGAAGACACCGAGGCTTACGCTTGCTCCCACCAACGGCGACCAGACCCAGCGAATTCAAGAGGCCCTCAACCAGACTGCATCTGCAGGGGGTGGTATAGTTGCCCTGGAAAAAGGCAACTTTACAATCTCCTCTGGACTGTCAATACCCAGTGGTGTGACGCTCCGAGGGGCCGGCCCAGGACAGACCAGGCTCATCTCCACTCAGCAACCAGTTTCCCCGTTAATTACGCTGGGAACTGGTGGGAGTCCTGCCAAAGTGCTGGTGCGGGCCAACATAACCGACTCCTATGTCCCAATAGGTACAACGGTGCTAAATGTTAGCGACACTGCGGGCTTCAGTCCTGGTCAGTCAGTCTATGTGCAGAGAGCAGTGACGGCGGATTGGGTCCGGTACAACGGAATGAGTGATTTGGTTCGAAATGGTGTCAATCAAACTTGGCTACAGGTATGTGCCTCACAGCCTTCTAATCCATGTTGCCTGAGCTAATTAGTGCACGCAGGTTGGCAAACTGGTCCGGCAACCCAACACTATCTCTTCTGTTGAGGGCACCCAGATCAACCTACTAGTTCCTCTTACGGACAGTCTGGACGCAGCCTACATGCAGCCAGAGATTTTAGCATACAAAGCGCCAGTCCTCAACTCAGAAATTGGGATCGATCAGCTTTCTATCTATCTCAAATCTTCCTGTTCAGGAAGCCCTCTTAGCAAGCCAGCTTGCAATGGCGCTGCAATCAGTTTCGCACCGTGGACAGTGGACAGCTGGGCACGTAATCTGGTGCTGAGTGGTTTCAACCAGTTCGTTGACATTCAATACGACGCTAGCCGGATAACGGTTCAAGATGTAGCCATGTTCCGGGACGCAGATACCACTGGAGTGGCAATCCCTTCCGACATCTGGATCAAAGGCTCCCAGATTCTTGTAAAAGATTGTGGACAATACGGGCTCAAGACAGCCGAAGCATTCTCCGTCATGACGGGCTCGCTAACGCCAGGGCCTAATGCTGTCCTCCGCCATGTCACGCAGTCAGGGCTCCAATCGATCTACCCACACCAGAGATGGGCTCAGGGACTTCTAGTGGAGGATTCTTCAGTGCCAGTATATTTCGTGAACCGCGACACCAAGGGTACTGGCCAGGGTTGGTCTATAAACGGTGGAGTTGGGTGGAATCTCAGGGGGGATACTTCTTTCGAGTCCGCACCTCTGGGGATCAATTGGTGTATCGGCTGCAGCGGAGACGCTGGTCAACAAGGCAACGGGACTTTTATAAACCAGGGCACACAAGTAACCCCTAGAAGTCTCTTTGCGTCGCAACTTAAAGCTAGAGGGTAGAGGGTTGGCATAGTCTTCACATTCATGTATGTAATAGGCGAGTGACGGCGAGGGGGAGATCTATGTACCAGGGGAAGCTGGGGGATAAATTTCGACTAATCCAAGTCGTCCCTGGGCTTGGGGATGCTTCATGTCAAACATTAGACGGTTATTGCTTGTCGGCGCACAAAGCTGGGTGGGAAGCCGCCAATTAATACCTCTATGGTGACATCCGTTACACCTTTTTCTTGATTTTCCATCTTATTCGGGCCCATGATGTTATAGAATGCCTTACTGCCTGGGTCACGTCGGCCGTATTCAATTATTTACAGGATGGTCTCTCTCTCTGTAAGCCGCACCATAAAACCGCTTTGCTTTACAAACCAAGCGTTATGCAAATTCCAAGATGATTTCGGGTTAATGAGCTCAATCTAAGATGGTTAGGTGATTAGCGCTGGTAGATAGAATCGCCAGATTCTCCGCTGCGGTCGCTTACCTCAAATGTTCGGATGATGGCGGGGACCAATTTGTACATCTCTAGTAAGGAGATATTCTTTCCGATGCATGTTCTTGACCCTGCACCGAATGAAAACAAGGCGTTTTTCATCCTGGCTTGCTGTTCTGCGGTCGCGTCAATCCATCTTTCAGGTCGAAACTCGCTGGCATCTGACCCAAAAATACTCTCGTCGCGATGAATCACCCACGCTGAGCACCCAGCGATGGTGCCACCGGGTAAATGATGTCCTGCAACGGTGATGCCCTGCGGTGGAACAACTCTTTCAAGCGTAAGCCCGGCGGCCGGATGACACCGCAGAGCCTCGTTTATCACGGCGCCCAGATAGGGCAAGTCTCGTACTTCATCCCATCTGACAAGCGCGTCGTCTCTGGTGAATCTTCCAGCGTTGTTCTGTTCGACAAGCTCAGCAGTCAACTTTTCCATCTTGGGAGGGTCCTTGAGTAAATAGTAGAAAATGGCGCGCAGTGTAATAGCAGTTGTATCGGAGCCAGCGAACATGTTGGCCACCGTGAGGGCAAGCACGCGATCTTCGCTGATGAAAGCGGGATCTTTGATGTGCGCTTCGTGGAATCGAGACAAAAAGTCCTTTCTCACAGGCCCCTTGGTTGAGGAATCATCTGCGGTCTTTTCCTTGGCGAAATCACGAGTAGACATCTGCTTCCTCGCGAAGGTAACCACCGGGGATGTCGTGTTTCCAAGCTTGAGCCATAATTTTAAAGGATTCTTAATTAGCAAGCGGTCCAAAAAGGGCAGTTGGCCGACCTAGAGAACGTCAGTTATCTCGAATCTCAGAAAGATTATCATGGTGCATCGACTCACCACAGCAACATAATTCAACAACCACTCTAAATTTCCGATGATGTTGTCTACGTCGATGCCGCGGTCCACAAACCCCAGTCTTTTGGAGTAAGTCAACTCTCCAATGACGTCAAACGCGTAAAATTGCAGCCACTGCCCAAGATCACATATGCCGGAATCGCCGGACCGATTGGCGTATCGTTCTTTCAGTTGCTTGAGAAACTCGACCGAGGTGGAATCGACAAGAGGCTCGAAGTTGACAAGGGTGCTCATTGCATATGCGTTCGACACAGCTCTCCGGAGCTTGGCGTGAAATTTGTTGTCGGTTGTATTGAACATGCTCTGGAGAGGAGTGCCATTGGCGGTCGTCTGCTGAACAGGGTAGAAATCGGACTTTAAAGCGACTCATTAGCAGGGCAAGCTTACCTACGCAGCTGAAATGACACCGGTCATACCTTGACAAAGCCTGAATTCAAGCCATAGATAATTTTAATGGCTTCGGGATCGCCGACAGAGACTGTCCGCGGCCCAAGTCTCACGATATTCCCATACTTCTCGTGGAGCTCGATGTGCGCTAGCTCGGGCCGTCGTCCCCAGACAACAAGAAGCCTCCACAGGTCGCTAAATCCTGCGAACCGAGGGCCGGGAATTGCATTCAGTCCTCCACCGAATCTATTAATTAGAGCCTTAATCACAATAAATGCGAGAACCCAAAGAAGGATTCCGCCGATGGACTGAGGGAGGACCTGGTTGACGATCATGGCTGAGACAAGCTGATTGCTATGTGGTGTAGATGGTCAAATTCGTGCAGGGTAGTTGCCGGGGACGAAAATCAGTTAAAATCAATTATGATTCAATTACCAATCTTACTATTCGTCCAAAGGAACTACCGGCCACGGAAATTACCCCGGATGCGGGGTTGAGCAGCGCCATTCCGTGAAAGTTGGGCGAGGCGGAAGAGGACGGAATTCCCATGACGAGAATTCCGGGTCCCGGACAGAGCGTGTTGTAGCGCGAGAGTAAAAAGACATTCCACCACATTGTAAAACTTACCTTAGGCCCAATCATTGGGCAAATACTGCTCCCTGAATCATTCGCCGATAATATGTTTCCTCTTTCGGATGAGCTGAAAAGCAAATGGCTGTATGGCTCCCCATTGCCATTCGCTGAGGCGCCGTGGGCAAGAGGATGTCCAAGCCCGTATTACCACGACAGCCATCGACGGCTTCGCCATGCCATGAGAACTTGGGTCGAAAAGGTACGCGTCTTCACTCACTCAAGAGTGCGTGCGACGAGAACCGGAGATTTAACCGTGAAGCAGCATCTCATCCCCCATGTCCACGAGTGGGAGGAGTCCGAGTCGCTCCCACATTCACTCTACAAGCAGGCAGCTGATGATGGGCTGCTCATGCCCATGGCATCTGGAGCGTCCATCCGAGAGAATTGGAAAGGGAAATATCCGATTATCGGTGATGTCCCTGTTGACGAATGGGACGGGTTCCACGATTTAATTATCCATGACGAGTTTGGTCGCGTCGGAGGTATTGGGTGAGTTTATCATATTTTCTACTGCATCCGAGGACTTGATTCTAATCATTTCATGGCAGCATTGAGAATGGATTGGTCGGTGGTGTTGTGGGTAACATTCGCTCCTTCGGTGCTGAAGTAAGCTCATTGAATCGCAGACTCTTGCCGTTCCAGCTATCGAGCGGTTTGGTACTGAGAGGATCAAAGAATCGTGAGTAATAAGAATTATTTTGCAATCGCAGTCATCACTAACCCAACATGTGCGACAGCGTCGTGCCCGAAATTCTTTCTGGTCGCTCAAGAATAGCATTGGCTATCACAGAACCTGACGCCGGCTCGGATGTCCAGGGCCTCCAAACTGAAGCAAAGCTGTCTGACGACGGCACTCACTTCATCATCAATGGCCAGAAAAAGGTTTCAAATACCCAAGACAACTTGACTAGCAAGACAACAAGCTGACATCTACTGCAGTGGATCACATCTGGCATGTATGCTGATTATTTCCTAACGCTGGTCAAAGAGGATAGCGGTAGCTTCACCCTCTTGGTCATTCCCCGAACAGAGGGCGTCTCAACCAAACACATGACAATGTCCGGTTCCAACGCTGCCGGAACTGCATTTGTTGACTTCGACGATGTTCAAATCCCATTGGACATGATCGTCGGCGAACGTGGCAATGGATTGAAATACGTAATGTCAAACTTCAACCACGAGGTAATTTTACTCAATACCATTCTACAACTTGAATGTACCAGCTACTAATGCGTCGTAGAGACTCTTCCTCGGATTCCAAGCATTGAGATGCGCAAGAGTTTGCCTAGAGGACTCGATCAAGTATATTGGCCCGCATCCCTCTACCTCGAATCACGCTTACTTGAATTTAAAAGATACGCCTTGAACCGAGAAACATTCGGGAAAAAGCTCACTGAACACGGTAAAGGCTCCTGAGTGACTGGAATACTTCGAGACAAACTCCATGCTAATTCACTGGCTAGCCGTTATACGATTCAAATTTGCCAATATGAGCCGAGAGACAGAGGCACTTCAATCATGGATAGAGGTAAGAGGACATGTTGCAATATTCGGGTGCATTCAAGTGCTAACAGAATCGTTTAGAGCTTGGTCTATCAACTGAGTCAGCTGTCTCAGCAAGAGAGTGAATTTCTCCTCGCGGGTACAACAGCTCAACTCAAAGCCCACGCCGGGATTGTTCTGGAGCATGTTGTTCGCGAGGCTATTCAGATTATGGGCGGAGTTGGACTCACTCGAGGGGGCCGAGGTGAGAGGGTTGAGCGTATTTGGCGAGATGTAAAGGCACTCACCGTCCCGGGAGGGAGCGAGGAGATCCTCCTGGATCTGGCAGCCAGGCGAGCGTTGAAAATATCCGCCGAGATGCAAAAGATTACGGTGAAGGGCCGACTTTAATTCAGCTTAGACTGTGCAACCCCGGGTACCATATTTAGAGAATGTTGGCCCATTATACATATATATAGATAACATATTCGTCATAAGTACATGTGACTCTCAGGATTGCGGTAGACTCTTTGAGGTGGACCATTAATACTACAGAGGTAAGATGTAGTAATACCAACTGCAAGCCGTCAGTCTTTCCTAAGGAAGTCGATCGACTGTAGCTGCTGCCCAATACCGACCTGACAGCTTGAATCCTTCAATTCATATCTAGAACATTGCCATATTTATTGAACATCGAGTGCTGGCTGGGTGTGCCTGGTTCGTTTACTGTTTATGTCACTGCTCTGTCTATATATCAAGGAGCACGCTCCCCACAAATAAACCGCTCGAGCGGCCCTCATTCAAGACTTCACCAGGGAATGTCGCATATATAGTGGGCGTCTAGGTTCGCTGTGCGAGTAAAATCTCACAATGTATCAGATTCACCTCTCTACATACGGGCTGCAGGAGGCCAAGACTGAGCCGTGGACATAACTTGGCTCTTCACTGCGATTTCCTTCGCGGCTCTCCGGCCCATTTCAATCGCTCCATCGATATAGCCAACCCATCCATTGGCCCAGTCGGCATTAGCCATATAGAGCCGCTCCGTAACCTGGGGTTTGTTCATGATCTGGCCAAGACCCTTGCTCAGAGTCCCTGGTTGATGCGACGCCCATGCCCCCTTTGCAAATTCGTCACGCACCCAGTCGTGCCAGAACATGTGCGTCGGCGAAACGTTCAACCCGGGCGGGGTGACATCGGCGGTAGCAGCCTCAAGATATGCTGATGGCTTTGCTTTCAAGTGATCCTGAGCAATCATTCCCTCAGACATTGCAAAGCTCACCATATGTGTCCCCCCCGTCGATGAAGGCGATTCTGTAAACAGGGCGGAAACGTTGGCAGTCTCGTCACGAAGACCAAACCAGGCAGGAACTTTCTCTTGGACGTGAATATGGACCTTCCCGCCCATATTGGCATGTCTCGTGGTTGTCCAGACTGCAGGGAGGGGAGGAGAAAACTCGATGTCAGATAGACAGTGCAAAGGCACGGTGCAGATTACGTTTGAAGCGCGGAAGGAATTTCCAGACGTCGTTGTGACATCAACTTCGTTCGGCTTTGTTGTGATTGACTTGAGAGCCTCTTTGAATAGCGTCGTACCCGAGAACTCGTCAAACATGCAAGATGCTAGCTGCGTAGTGCCGTGTTTGAACTTGAATTTCCCACAGATCTCCATAAAGCCATTGAAGTCGTAATTGGACAAGGCGTAAAGGCGGTGGAAGTTCAGGTAAGAGCTAGTCGTCGGCGCGGACAAGCTATTGATATTGAGGAATAATAGCAACAATTCCTTGTCTTCGTCACTGATATCCAATTGATCCGCTCGCGCTCGCAGGCTCATGTCGTACTTGCTCCAGATGCGGCGATTTTCCAGCGGAAGAAACGGCTGCGGGAAAAGAGAGCGGCCGCCTTCGCCATCACAGTCCATGAACTTTGCGATCAATGGCAGAAGTCGTTTGTCTATAACGGCCGGGTCATCAACGGTGAACTTGCCCTGACTGCCAATCGCATACGAGCACACCGCATCCATTGACATGCCCGAAGATTCCTTCATGGAACTGGTCAGCCCGTACCGTGTTATTTCAGCCCAGACATGGGGCTGTAGCCAGTGAACCCAGGTTCCGCCCATTTCGTATGTGTGGTCCAACGCCTTGGCCGACCAAGTGCGGCCGCCGATGCGATCGCGAGCCTCGAGCAATAGCACCTTTTTTCCTGCTAGAGACAAGTCACGAGCAGCGGATAACCCGCAGAATCCGGCACCGATGACGATGACATCATATGAGACGTCTGCGGTAAGGGAGGAAGGCTTAACGGACTCTGTGGTGAGGCCTTGAGACAATGTGCCTGTCTTCACGTCATAGGCGTAGCCTTCAGTCGTTGTGGTAGCAGAGGATGGCATGGCTTGTATTGGTGAGTGACAAAAGAATGAGAGGGGTGACTGTGGGCTTGGTCGGTGAGTGTGTTGGCGATCTATTAATTTTGCCTCCCTCTCTATGCGTACATATTTATTCACACTGCCGGGTTCATGCTGGAATTGTTAATCATACAGCCATGCAACACAGCATGGCCATATCTAGACGTAGAGTCCGCCTTGTTTGATTGGGCAGTCCTGGAATGTTCTCGGAATTTGTGTGAACAATTATTCAATCTCCGCTCTCCACTTCTCAGGAGACGCGCTACATCGAAGCTGATAGGCGTTAAGGAGCTCCAACAGCTCCTTACCGCAATAGGAAACCGAGAGCGAGTCTTGCAATTGGTCGCAACACATCCTTATCGTCATCCCGATATCTTCCATCTGGTCTCCTCCAGATCTCTCGGAACCATCCCCCACTTCTCCGGAACCAAGTCCTCGTCAACATCAGTTTTTTGTCGGTGCCAGGGTAAATCTCCTGATACTCGTTTGATCACTCCATTACCCGCTTGAGGTCGACGATGCCTGCTAAGCCCATCGCCAAGCTGCCGCCTAGGATCCGGCGTATCCCTGGAGGTAAACCCAATCACGCATGCCCCGTTCTAGTGCGTACAGACATTGATGCGCAGGCTCTAAGGATGTGAAAATTGCCGAAATCGGCATATCCGATGCGACAAAACTCTCCCCAGCTGTGCCCAATGTTCCAAAAGAGGATTCGAGTGCCCCGGCTACCCTGGAAGGCAATGGCGATGGCAACCCGGATTTGCCCCATCGTCACCAACAAACACATCCGAGTTGAACCACATCAGGGCTCTTGGACAGCCTTTATCCTTTCCGAGTAAGTAGTTGACCTCTTAGATCATAAAGGCACTGTCAAAAATACTCAAAAAGCCTTCTAGAGCCCATCGCGAGTGAGCAAGGTACACATAAAATTAGCGATATCGCGTTCACCCACAAGTCTACAATTACGACGTCACTTTCGAGTTTTAATATGAGCCTATCCCAGGAATGCCGCGAAAAGTACTTTCTGGATCATTACTTTAACCATACAGCCAATATCATATCGATGATGACTGGCCGTACTAATCCATTTGGAGAGAAGCTAAAACCACACATGAGTCACAACATAGCACTCAATTCGATTGTGGTTGCCATATCCGCCCTACATATGGCGCAGAGTAACATAGATCAGGACGGGATGGCGTATGCATGGCATTATCGCGCTATGGCGATGTCCAAATTGCAAAAGGATCTTGCCAAGCAGTCTGATTCCTTGGCAGTCCTCACTGCTATCTTGTTTATGGGCATGACTGAGGTAACTCGTGTGTTTCGTGCCCCGGTGTAAGCTTAGTTGTACTCACCCTCCTCGATCTATAGTGCTGGTTTGACCCGAGGAGCAGCGGCACGGAACACCTCCATTCCGCAAAGCGTCTCCTGCTCCGACGCCTCGATTCGAACAAAAGGATACCGCCATTTTTGGCCTACTGTCTTTGCTGGCTTGAGACTCTTGCTAGCTTTGTGTCTGACAACGAAGGGCTCGTACATTCCTCCCCGGCCATCTACGAAGTGTTGTCTGCCACAGACATCCATACGGAACGCCGCAACATGAATAGTAGCAGTTCATTCGATCCTCTCGTCGGCAGTTGGGGTACTCTTATGCCCCACGTCGGTCGAGTTGGCAGCATTATTCGCAGATTACGAAAAGGACCCTATACAGTGGATCTGGAGGACCTATTCGAGGGTGTTGAAAAGGATCTTCTAGAGTGGGAGCCTCCCCATGGGACCAAGATACCTGGCTGCTCACTCGAATGCGACTCTTTGAAACCGGTATCCTTCAGTCCTAACGCTGACAGATGTCAATTACACGGCGAATCCCGACCGGCTTTTTCTTCCACCCAAAACCACTACACCAATGAGTTTTACAGCTTAGCCGAAGCTTACAGGTTCTCAGCACTGCTGATACTGTACAATTACAGCCCATATTTACGGGTCAAACGTTTTGCATTAATACCCGAGCAAGATTCTGCATCCGATTTCCTCTCGGAGCTCGCTTGCTCAACGATCGCTCTGTTGCAACGCATCCCGTTGGGGAGTGCGCTTTGGCATGCCTGTTCGATCCCGTTATTGACGGCGGGCCAGTTAATGACAAAGTCTTCGGATAGGGAATTTATTCGCTCAGTCATGCGAATGCTCACGCAAAAGATACGATTGCATGCGGTTGATAGTGTAAGCAAATTACTAGAAGAGGTCTGGTCGCAGAGGGATGCCGGGATGGAGGTGTGGTGGATGGATGTGTTGGATAGAACTGGTAGGCCACTACTAGTAAACTAACTCATGGTACTACTCTCGAATTTATGGCCCATCTATACAAAGAATCTCCGAGATTCTATGCTCTAACATTCCGTGTAGCAGACCAGACAATGTGGTTAGAATGCGCGAATCCATGGCTCACATTTATAACTTCCCTCCCCGGGCTTTGCGAGACTTCTTCTCGTGATCTCTGAGCACCCGTCTGAGTATCTTACCGCTGGCACTCTTTGGAATGACCTCGATGAACTCGATGCCGCCCTTGAGCCATTTGTGTTTCGCCTTGTGCTCTTCCACGTGAAGATGAATCGCCTTCGTGGTTTCCTCATCAGACTTTTGAGCCGCTTCGAGAGATTTGACGACAAATGCTTTGGGGAGCTCCCCAGCACGTGCGTCTGGGACTTGGATGACTGCACAATCGGAAACAAGTGGGTGGGTGAGGAGGTGAGATTCCAACTCGGCGGGGGCGACTTGATGACCCTAGTGCTTTGTTTAGTAGTGTTTCACTGCGTAGGAGAAAAATGGTGCAAACCTTGACTTTGATCAGTTCCTTTATGCGGTCCACGATGACAAAGTGTTCGTTTCCTTGGGCGGACTTGCGCACAAGAACCTCGTCGCCTGTCTTGATCCAGCGACCGTCCTCGTGGAAGACAAACGTCTCGGCTGTCGCTTTCTCATTATTGAGGTAGCCCAGAACAACAGAAGAACTCTGGACCAGTAGTTCACCAAGAGTCTCGTAATCTGTCACCTCCTTCCCCTTGGAGTCGATGATCTTGGCTTTGATCCCGGGGAGGAGTGAGCCAGAGGAGCCGACGAGTGTGTCCAACTCACTAGTTGACACTACTACCGTCGAGGTTTCGGTCATGCCTATTACGCAAGTTGATTAGGCTGTTGTCAACTACTAGATGATAAGATGCTTACCATAACCTTGACCGATTTGACGGTTTGGGAACATCTTTAACAACTCATCCACCGTCTCACCTCCCAAAGGCGCAGCGCCGGTGTAAATGAACCGAATGCTACTGAGGTCGTATTTCGCACACTCGTCGCGCTTACTCAACATCTGGATGAGGATTGGGGGCACAACGCTAATTTGTTCTATGCGGAACTTTTGGACAGCGGCCAGAAACGACTTGAGCTCAAAGCGGGGCAAAACGATGATTTCGTCACCTCGGTAGGTGCCAACGTGCGCGATGGGAACAAGGCCGTAGATGTGGCTGAAGGGGAGTAGTCCGAGCATGACCTGGGTTTTGATTCCTTGGGCCTCGCGTCCGACGCTGTCGTATGTTCGTTTTTGGATTGTGTTGGCGATGACGTTGTAGTGGGAAATCATGACGGCTTTCTATCTCACTTTAGTATACTCCGCAAGCACGATGGGTGCCGACTTACAGGTAGACCAGACGTGCCGCTAGAATAGCAGAGGTACGCAACCTGTCTTGTTCCTTGCCCTTTAATCCAATTCAGCGGTGGGAGTTGCGGCAAGTTCTTCCCTTCTTCAACCAAGTCATCAATCGTTTTGAAAGGAACCTGCTTGTTGAACCCGGGCATGGGGAGAATGAAGATGTTCTCGTTTGATATTCCAGCTGCCTTTGCAGCGGCAAGAGCAGTTTCTAGCAGAGGAATGCAGGTGAAAAGTGCCTTGGCGCCCGCAGACCGCAGCTGCTGCTCTAGCTCCGGGGCTGAATACGCAGCGCTTGCGGGTGTGACAATTCCCGACATGAGGTGGATGGCGTGCGTGAAGGGCAGGTAGTCGATCTGAATGGTTCGTCAGCTTACAGGGCCTTGGAAATAGCCTCATCTTGGATTGAGCCGCTGACCGTGTTGAACGAGAAGAGTCCAACCACCTTGTCCCACTCGGTAGAGTCGCGGTCAAAGGTGTCAAAGCCCAGCCTCTTTGCAATGGCGCGAGCCATCCAGTCCTCGCGCTTCACCACCTCGGCGGCAGAGTACGTCTTGCCCGTGAGACCGCATGTGTACGGGTTCCTGGACTCTGCGACAGGGTAGCGGCCATACTGCTCATTGCGCATGAACTCAGCGATGGTGATGGAGTCGGGGATCTCTAGATGTTCAGGTTTAGCCACGGATAGATCCACCTCCGCATTCTCCTAGCCGCTGCAAAGTGCGGGGAAGAAACACGTACCGAAGGGCAGCTGGGGGACCCATTCCGGCGCCGTGAAGACCATTTTCAATAGATCTAGAGCAGTTTAATCGCTAGAGGCAGGTTTCGAATCAAGGTGGTGTATTGCGAGACGGTCAATGATGAATGAAGGAACAGATCTGATTTTCCAGGTTACGAAGAGTCGCTAAAGGAATTCCGCTTCCATCATCCCCGCTCAAGGCGAATGCATGCACGCATTCCCATTCCAAAACCGGTTGGCTGCAGCCCGGTATTCGGCCACTAGCTGTTTGGGGCGCACCCGTACCTCGGCTGTCCTGTAGGGTAATGATGTGCACTAGTCCCGATGATGTAGATCCCACTTCACGCAGACGGTGAGTCTGTCGATAGAGCGTTATTGTTGAGCTCGTGGAGAATCCCAACGTCGCGTTTGAATCGTCGCAGCCACTCAGCATTGGCGGCGGCCGTGTGGTTTCAATGGTCATCACTATAAATGTTAGAGTTGGTAACCATACACGAAAGGCATTTTAGTGCTTACTAGTGATATAAAATGCAGCGGGCCTGGTGCTGCAGTTCGTCGTCCGAAGGGATGTGAGTTGGGATTGCTGTGAAATTGTAAATGCAGTGTTCTCTGCAGGTGAAGCCGAAGTATGCGGCAAAGAAAGGTTTGCCAAGTTTGGGTTGTCAGCGGAAGACCACTATAGCAGCTCCAATCCTGACAGCCAATTGTCACTCCTGTGGTAGTTGGAATCACTTCGGCTTTGTCGCCACTGCCATCATCACTACGCAATCCCTAGTCGATATCATCTTAGGGAAGTGCTAAAAAACTGTTCTTTTCAAGACAACCCACCACCTGCAAGTCCGCCGGGACTTCATTTAGGCTACTTAAGCGTTGTCGAAAGTTCAGAGGCCAATTACCAGACAACTCTGTGAGCTGGACTAACCAGTCTGCGACAAAGTCGGATGGTACTTTTTATTCCTTGTCCGTTATGGTAACGATATGACATGCCTCCTCCTGTAGTTCATGGTCCCCAAATGGCTATTGAGCTTGATGCGTAGCCGAGACTCTAGCAGACATGATTCGAACAAATGCCCTTGACCATTGATCTTGAGAACAGAACGTTTGCATTCCGCCCGCGATCTTACAAGAAACTAAGTAGAATTCTACATGCTTCTCCAATTCAGCTGCCCGACACGCTATCGCCTTGCGTCTCGGCGACCCCATTCACAGCCTGATCCAGCATAGACCAGTATACTTTGTCAATGCCTTGAAACACACCGTTCTCAAAATCTACATTTGAAGACGCAGGGGTAAGGAAAGACTGGTCAGCAGTTCCTACCCCAAAAAGCTCTGAGCTCTCCATGCCAAGAAGCTCCGAATCTAGAGTGAGAGACAGCTGGGGATCGAAGTCAAAGTCATCAAGACTAAACCCAGCGGTGCCGGCTTCCAGTTGCGGAATCTGTGCAGCACTGTTCAAACCGAGTGGCCTGTTTTGAATTGTGACAGTGCCGAGGAACGGAACCTTGAGTCTGAGAGGTTCTTGGCCCCTTCCCTGAGGAGCATCCGCCATGATAGGGAGCAGCTGGTGTAGCGTGTCGGCAGACTCAACCGCAAGTCGGTCGTTTTTGCAAGATGTCATGTCCCGAAAGATAAGTATTGCCCTTTCTAGGAGCACTCTATCCGATGCCATCGCTGAAGAATTCTCAAGGCTTTTCTCTAGATAGCCCAGTGGCAGCGTCATTCCTGCAATGAGAGCGGAATAGTCGATGTGTCTTCCCGATATGATCATGGCGTTGTTCTTTCGATAAGCCAAAAATCGTTCCAACACGGCCCTACTAGCGTGTATGCAAGCTTCCTGGCTTGCTACATGCCGTTGGCCCTCGTTCTTTTGTAGCAGATAGGGAAGATGGAGCAGTATGAGCAGTGTAAAGTGCTGAACCTGGAGCTTGATGGCACTACGCGCGGCTAGGAAGTGCGCTGGCGACCCCGTAGGCGAGACTGTATCCCAAGCCGTTCCGGGGGAAGAGGCCGGGATCGCCCACCAATGATCATCCAATATGCCTGAGGCGCGTTCGAGATCGTCGTGAATACTTTGCGTGAGGGAGTGAGCTTCGGGCGATCCAGACAAAAGGTCATTCCGGTCGGCAATCTTCCGGCAAATGACAGCATGCTCCATATCCAGCCTGTCGAGCGGGCCACCGCAAGGCACCACGTCGACGCGTGCAAAGGTATCCTTATGGGAACCAACCGGGAGCCCAAGGATCAGCGAGTGGTAACGATCACTACAGTTGAGGCGGAGCCACAAAACGGGAAGAGATGGCCTTGTCGCAGGGTCTTTGGAGCTCGCACACGACCGAACGAGCTGTCGCGTTGACGGCTTGTCGATACCCATGAGCTGACAGAAGTTCAGGCCCCGGCGGACCGTCGTCCACGCCCTTCGCATATGTCCCGCATCCGCTTGAAACATGCTAAGAAGAGCCAACGTTTCTATGCCCTCGGCACAGGACACAAGCTCGTCGTCATTCGAGACGAGGGATGTAACGGCCCCAACCCACCTCCCAGCCAGCTCGCAGGCTTTCTCCTCGGGAGTGGTCTTCAGGCGAGTGGCGTCAAAGCTGGGCGGCAGGGACTGCAGGCAAATGGCGTATTGTAAAAGGCGTTTGGCCATGAGCACAGGGTGGGTGTCCGGCGATGGCCAGCTGGAGGATGCCAACGACCAGTTCGGCAGCACGCGGCCTGCGATTTGATCATCACGACTGTGGGCGAAAGCGAGCACAAAAGAGGCACCGGGGCTCTCATGTGCTAGAAGGCTGCGCAGATCAGAAGGCGGGAGGAGCGCATACAAGCGTTGCGAAATCTGATCATGTCGCTCGTGGGCGCTCTTTTGATGCGCGGCGAAATACGGGTGGTCGAAGTTGGCTTCCGCAGATGATGCGCCGTGTAAGCCAGACTGAGGCGACTGCTCGGGCGTGATGACACCTTCGGCGCCGTTCGCAGCAGCGGCGATATCGTGAGCGTGCGTCGCAGCTGAGCACTCGAGAAGATCTCGAGTCGACACGGGCGGGCAGTAGACGTTTCCTGAGGACACAGTATCTGTCTGGCCTGATGAAGCCTGAGAAATGGCATCATCAACGGAGAGCCTTTGCGAAATGCAAGCTGATTCGCGCTCGATACACTTGATGCAGGTCGGATCGTCCGGGTTACGGAAGAGACACTTGACTTTCCGCCTGCGACCTGGATTTCTGCGTCAGATTACAGGCTGCGGCGGTGTAAGGATGGGATCTTACACTCCCAGCAGCTGTGAGTGCCTTTGCGGGGGACTTTGCGTCTCTTGTGAGCCGGCTGGCTCATGTCGAGGTTGCGTCGCAGCACCAGTTGAGAAGAGGGAGAGGTGGAGTTAAAGGGCTAGATCCGATGGATGCGGAGAAGCTCGTTCGGAAGGTATTTAGTCGTCACAAAACTGATCCAGCGTGTCCGACAGTGCCGAATCGCGATTATTGGGTACAGAATGTCATAGAGGTATGTATAAAAGTTAGAACTAGCTATTTGCAGGCGAATGGGCCTGAGGCGGGTTTTGTTTCCCGGAAGTACTAATAGACCGGTTTCTATAGGGACTGCCTGCCTACTGATTGGTCCATCGGACCTCTGTTTGACACACCAGAACACTCGGCATTAATCATCATCCATCCAATATGTTGCGACCTCTTCCAATCAGCGTCACGTCTCAACACAGCCTCACACATTGTCACCATTCTCGAACAAGTTGCATATTGCGAGCCAAGACAAAGAAATATCTATAGTAGTATCCAGATCCTGAAATCAAATGAAACTGGAATCGAAATCTACTCAAGCATTGAGGTTAACGTGGATCGTCTTGGACTGAACATACTCCTTGACTGCCTCGAGACCTCCCTCCCGTCCGTATCCGCTCTGCTTCCATCCTCCCCACGGTGTGAACTTGCTGGGGTAATGGCTGGCGTTGATGGTGAGTGTGCCGACCTCGAGTTTCGAGGCAACTCGGAGAGCTCGGGAGATGTCGGACGTGAAGATGATGCCTGTTACGATGGTTAGTACTTTGGACGTTGGTGCTACTACAACTCTGACTTTTATAGACGAATTGGGAGTTGAGAATCCGGGTTGAGGTGCATCTCAGACTCACCAGACAGGCCAAACTCCGTGTCGTTGGCTAGCTCTACAGCTTCTTCTTCCGTCTTGAAAGTGCGAACGACGAGCACGGGACCGAATATTTCCTCTTTCCAAATGCGGCTGTCAAGGCCTGGGTTGAGGAAGACAGTAAGACCCGAGAAACTCCCTGGCCGTGCCCCAACCTCCTCGATGCTGTCCACCAAGACTTCGACGCCATCGGCCTTAGCCCCCTTGACGTACTCCCTGACGCGGTCTGCCTGCGCTTGATCCACCATTGGTCCCATGAAAGTGCTGGTATTCGTGGGGTCACCGATCGTACCCAGGAGATCTGTCCAAGACTTCTTGAGGTTCTCGATGAACGCAGGCGCGATCTTCTCGTGCACAAATAGTCGGGAGGCCGCGGAGCAGGCCTGAGCGTTGTTGGCAAGGAAGCTCTGCGAGTTGTGTCGGATGGCATTCGCCATGTTCGCATCTTCGAAGACAATCGAGGCCGACTTGCCGCCCAGCTCAAGCGTGACGGGCTTCAGATTGCTCTGCGCGGCAGCCATCTGGACTTTGCGTCCAGCCGCTACGGAACCCGTGAAGGACATTCTCGCAACGTCCATGTGTGATGCAAGGGCTGCACCCGTCGCGCCACCGCCGGAGATCAGGTTGATGACGCCGGGCGGGAACCCGGCCTCTTTGACCAGCCTACCGAGGAAGAGGGCGGAGAGGGGGCTCCTCTCTGATGACTTGTGCACAAACGTGTTTCCCATGGCCACAGCAGGGGCAATCTAAATGCAGCAAATGTTAGAAGCGACAAATGCTTGAAGAACAGATGGATGCGATGAGACAGACCTTCCAGCCTACGGACAGGTTGGTGCCGTTCCAGGCTGAGATTCCAGCACAAACACCGAAAGGTTCATAGGTGACCATCTTGAACAGGCCGTCTCCATCCTCGGTGTACGTCTCGCCGTGAACCTTGTCGACGAGCCCGGCGTAGTAACGGAATGACTGGGCTTGAGCGCCGACCAGCATACGGCTGCCGACAATAGGCATGCCCATGTTAGTCGTCTCGAGCAGTGCGATCTGATCGGCATGCTTCTCGAGGAGATCGGCGTATTTGTTCATGACGGCCGCACGCTGTCCGCTGGGCGTCGACCTCCACGTCTTGAACGCTTCCTTGGCGCTTGCAACAGCTTTGTCCACGTCCTCGGCGGAAGCTACCTGGACCTTGTCGGTCACCAGGGTGTTGTCCGCGGGGTTGTACACAGAGATGGTCTCCCCTGAAGAGGATGGAATGTACTAAAAGTAGTCAAAGTCAGCACGATGTCGGAGGACAAAATGGATCGAGCTACAAAGTATCTTGCCTCATTGTTAATGAACAGGCCGGTCTCGAACTCCATCTTGAATTGTGTTGGTGTTAGTTGTTTTGTAGACTCCAAGCCACAATGTTAGATTGCTGGTGATGGTAAGGGAAAATGTTATGCAATTTTGGTCTGAGTGATGTGGGATGTTTTCTTTCTTGTCCTGGAAGGGCCTGCGGTCAGTATTTATCGTTGTCCGAGTCGCTGAAAATCGCCTTGGCGTGTCACTCTTGGAAGCTGACGATTCGGACGAGTTCGGCCGTGGATTCGGGCGAAACAATCGATGTTAATTCCGCCCGCCCGAGTCCATTGAGGCCGGGGTTCTATTGGCGATTTAGACAATTGTCAACTCGGCGAATCATTACAAACTTTGTCTCTATTTCTCGTGGAGCCTATTGTCTGACGAACTCGGTCAGCGAGACTTATTGGGCTGGGTGTCGGACGAATTCGGTCGAACTCGGATGAATTCGAAGCGTTCCACTTAGCTGCCCAAGGATTGTTACTCTCAGGAATCCCTTTGCTTGTTGAGCTATTCTCCCTTCCTTTTTTAGATTCCAGAGTGTATACTACTATCTTAGGATCTAGATGAATGATCAGTTCGCCTAGACATCGTTCCCAAGAGGTAGCAACACGGTAGGAAACCATCCTAGAGTTCACGTCGTTCGACTGAGCGAGGGTTGAAACGATGGTTGACCCGCTTGCCATGAATCCTCGGAACCCGATACTCACAAAGATCAAGTGCAAAAATATAAAATCTGGGGAGATATCAATTGTCCTCATGAATTAGGCCTCTGTTAGTGGCGTTGTTGTCAAATACGCCTTAGGATAGGAAGATTTTGGGGTGTGTCAATAAAGGTGGGGACGAGAATGGCACCAGGATTGGATCAAGGAGGTGGACGAGTTTTGCTTGGATTGAGTGATTTGAGCCAGTTTCTTCCTATAACCATTAGCAAGATGTCATTATTGGAACTCCGGTCGCACTGCTCCAATTGTCGCAGCATGTTCCAGCTTGGAAGCCAGATCCGAGCGTGATCGACGAGGTCGGAAGAATGAGCGAAGCCTCCGTATTCATCCCTATTATCACATCCCCAAATTCTTCAAGCTTAATCCTCAACGATCCAAAGTAGTGCACACCCGTCAGCCAGACCGCCGATGCGATATCTTCCAAGGACCTCTTTGGACAGCGGTGGAGGATCAGCCTCTTGGACCGACGAGATTCTATCGATGCCTTCAACCTCACACTCGACATTAACTGGCGAAGTTACCGAACTGTCGCAGAGTATGCGCAGATGAGTATCTACCATAACCGAATGAGTATCGGCAAAAAACAGGCCGGCGGTTAGCGAGATGCGTAACTACCTTATATCCGGACCCTTAGGAAGGACGCTGGGGGTACGAGTATCGACGTCCACAGTAGATCAGAGGAGCTTATCGGAACGTCGTATATTAACCTCTCGATGATCATTAGTAGTTAAAATGATATTTCAAGAATAAGAAAAATAAGAAAAATAAGAAAAATAAGAAAAATAAGAAAAATAAGAAAAATAAGAAAAAACTTTAACTATCTGTATTTATACTTTATGTTCGGGCTAACGTATGTACCTTCTTATGTTTACATACTGTTCTAAACTCTGTTACGGGTTATACAGACCATGCTCGCTTGGAAGGCACATTCACTCACGGATTCCAATTGACGTGTCTTCATGGATGGGAACCTAACATTGCTGTCTGAGATAGAGAATTTGTGAGATGCTCAATTTTTCCTAATCATCGCTCTACTATCATGAGCCCTCAATCTCAAGACCACGTTCCATTAGCTGGGCCAAAATACCCAACGTCTGGCATCTGCAACCAAGGTAGTCCCAGCCCATCGGCAGTGTTCTGCCACCTATTCAATCCCCTAGTCAGTATCCAAGGTCATTGCGACGTTTTGAAGGCCAATGAACTTACACTGTGTTTCCCCACCAGTCTGGGAATTGGACGTTTGGTCCATAGGTCACCGCGAAGAAGATGACAATCCCACTGATAGCCAACCCGGTATCAAGAGCTGCGGCGAGCACGTAGTTGTACTTTGTCCACCAGGCGTAGAATTTCCTGTAAATAATCTTGTTGAAGATCAGGTTGACGATGTACCAACTGCTGTAGTTGATTCCCGTGGCTGGTGGGACATTGTAAGTTCCCACAAAGATGAGCGGCCAGTTTATCTTTTTGATGAAGTTATTGCCGGTCTTCTTCCAAATGAAATATGTCATGGGCGGCAAGATCAACCCGATCCAGAAGAAATGCAGCAAGCCGCTGTAGATCGCCCCAACAGAGTAGAGGCGAGCGGGGCCAACAAGGCCCCAGATCTAATAATCACAATAAGGGTTAGCAAGACCATTGCATCGGATTTTTCGGGGCAGATCACTTACAACTGATGAAGAGAATACTGTTCGTCCGTTTGGACAGGAGAAGCCATTGGCCTGGTCCTCCGTACAGATATCTTTCACGTTGCCAAGCATCCACTGCGTAACACCGACCTGAGTCAAGGCACCAAGAATTGTCGCAAGTCCTTGAGCAAAGAACAAGGTCTGTGGGGGGATTTTCAGATAATGTCCCAGTTTCATATCGGAAGAAAAGTATAGCCCTTGACCGACTACATCCGTTGAGAGAATCTTGAAGAGGATGTTGGCGATTGGTCGGCCCTGGAACATATACCCACCAATGAACTCCGAGAGTACGTTCAACTGATTAGCATCCACATTCGTTACACCTTGAATCATTCCACAGGGTACCATGTACAGTGCTGGGATCACAAAGGCGAGGAGCACTCCATACCACGGGAGTCCTGTGTCATAGCCCTCGGCCATGCCGAAGCTCATTGCAAGAACACCCGTGAGGATAGTGGCCCACCACCACCAAGGGACTTTGTTGTACGTTGACATGAGACGGGCGTGAATGTCAAGTTTGAGGGAACCTCGAAAAGCATGCTTCAGTTCATCCCAGTGGAAGAAGTAGACATGTGACAGAACACTATGTTTGGTTAAGCAAGTGGCTGGTAAGACATCTGCATAGCGACTTACCTAGTAATTGACGCAAAGGATAGCCCGTAGACGAATGCAAAGGTTGCTGGAAGATAAGGAGGCGAGTATTCAGAGTACTTCTCCTGGTCGAACCGCTCTCCAGTCAAGACATTCGAAACATTATACAACTCGCCATAACGATCGTATACATCCGCTGTGCATAGCGGTAGGTAAGACGTAAACCAAATATTGGTGTAGTAAATCCCCGGCACAACGATCCAAAAGAAGAGAGCGAAGCCAGCAAAGACGTTGACGGCCGCCCAATGTGGACTCAGGAGCGGGTTGCTGTTGTAGGCGACCATGGACCAATCGAATGTCAAAGGGAAGAGACCCAGTCCGGTAACCATACCAAAAACTTGGTTAACGGCCAGGTTCTTGGGTGCAATCCAGCAAATCCACGAAAAGAAGCTCAAGCCCGTGAACATCAGGCCTGGGAACCAATACCAAACGAACGCGCAACCACCCACCACCATGAAGAACTTGATCCGGGTAATTTTCCACCCATCAGCAACGGCATTTGCTCTTGAATGAAGAGAGCTCAGGAGCGCCACGTTGCTCAACACTCCAGGCCAGATCATGCTCGCGGGCTGAACAAGCCATCGACTAGCCAGACCAGCAACGGCATATCCGCTCAGCTGGCAGCAAAGCACGGCCAGGACAGAAAGTCCAGCGGGAAGCTTGAACCCGTAGAGTTTGGCGGCCTGGATGATGTTTGTTGCATCGGCCGATCCGAATCCGAATGACACGTTTGCCATGATGGTGACGAGGGCATGCTCCTTGATGTTGAAATGGCGATCGGGATTGAAGCGGCTGATTGGAAGGACCTTTGCCAAGATAACGCCAAGCGGGAAAGCGATCAGTTCGGCGACTAGGGATACAATGCGAACACCGGGGTAGCGAAGGGAGAAGAACTGGTTGACCCCCGCGCCAAGGAATACAAACACCTATTGAACCAATTAACAATGTGCTCTCGTTAGTACCAATTGGGAGAACCTCACAATTCCTAGGAGCCAGGCACGCAGAGTGTTTACTGGGATGTCCTTGTCATCCGTCTCCGGCACGACAGCTCGCACAGCTGGAAACGGACTCGTATCAGCGGCATAGTCGCCTTCTTCCTCGCCCTTGGCAAAAATATGGTCGAAGTCGACTTCGAGATCGACAAGGTGGCTGTTTCCTACTTCGACATCCTGGCCAGTGAGGCTGGCGCTCTTCTCGCCGGGTATGTCATTGCTGGTCGAGTCGCTTCTCACCACGCCCTCTGGAGACGGGCTAGGAGTTTCCTCTTTTCCCATGATAGAGTCTCGGGCGATGCCAAGCAGGTCGTAGTCTACAATGGGAAATCAGTGCCTGCACATGGCGCGGTGCCACCTTTGAGGTCCCTATTGTTTATTATACGGATTACGGATGCTTATCGTCGTCTCCTACGGTCACTTGACACACAACCCTCAGCACCAACACGTTCTAGGAAGCTGCCTACTAGGCCAATTGACATGTCTAAACTTATCTCGAGCCCGGATCGTTGGTTACGTTGCACCTCCAATGGTAGTGGAGCATGGTCCGGTGCCAGATCTGAGAGCCACGGCTTTGGCGCGCGGCGCTCCAAATTGCGAAACGGACTTGTCTAGGGTTCTCGGCATGCTGGCTGACGACATTCATGGCCGCGTCAAGCAATGGTTTAAGCTAAACCTCGATGGCCCTACGGTGGAAAGACGGACGGTTCTGGACCCGTCTCAAGCGATATTCGTCGCGCTTCTGGGTTATGGGGCAGGGTTCATGGGGTCCATCACTACGGATTGATTTACAACAGTGATAGTGAGTATCGATCTGGTCCGCACCCACATATTAGCAAAGTCAATTCTTCTGCTCTTGGACGATATTAAATGCAATGTTACGGCTGTCAAACCCGAACAGCTGGGTTGCGTGTTCCATTGCATTCAATATCCATGGCCTCGGTCGTCTGACGCCCCTCACCACTTACACGAGACCACCCGATATCAGCACCGGGAACCTTTGCCGCTCTTATCAGCCGCCGTCCGACCGTTTACATGGTATCACGACGGTACTTTTGTTATCGGACAATCTCGCTCTGTGGGGTGAGCTGAGTCGTGACCAAATCAGGGAGCTCAACCCCACACTCCCTGGTCCTTTTGGTGCCGTCTCTTCCGTTGCCGGCTGTTCCCCGCAAGCTTACAGAATATTTAGATCGGCAGAAGGCCGTCAGTTGTTTTAGCCGGCTTCTCTGCATTGTTCAAGAGCCTCAGATCAGAGCGCATACGTGGATAATAAGGTGAGATTGTATTACCACAGAGGGGAGTCTACCACTAAAATACAGCGTCTGCAATGCGACGCATTTACGGGCCCAATCCCATGGGCCGAGTACTTCTGCCTTTGTACAGCCCGTCCATGTGGGAATCGCCCTAATATTGAGGTTGCGTGATTCTGTTCATCCCCTTTGATCGCCCAATCCCCAGATCATCGTAGCCCAGTCAAACTGGTTCATATCAGCACCAGACGAGCTTTGTCCAGTCCCGGGAGGATACGTCCCCGTCCCAGCTCCTCCGTAGGTGTTTTGCCAATCCATGGCATATGAGAAGTTGCTGGTGTCAAGCCCCATCGGCATTGCCATCGAAAGATCGTTGATGGCCATTTCAATAATACCTTCAGGCTGTACAGAGTTGGCCTCTTGTTCATCTTGCATGATTTGCGAGATCATGCTTCTAATGCGCAAAATAATCCTTGGTGGCGTTATCGGTTCTCCCAGTCGTGTCAACTCGACTTCACGAGCTTCCCAGACTTTGAGAATGATTCTGTTGAAGAATTTGAAGAGAGGAGCATGTGTTCTGTTGAAGTAAACGAATCGAGCCTCAAAGCTGTCACTCATTATCTCCCACGCTCGCGCGGCATGTTTGCTGACGGGTCGACGTCTGAGATCTCGAGCGATGTGCATGTATGCAGGAAGTGGAAAGTATTTCTCCAGAAGCCAATGATATCCCTTGGTGAGCGGCGAGGACATGAGTTTCGTGTCGCTCTCGAGCATAGTAAATGCATGCTCAATGACACAGTCGATGTCGGCTTCGGTCGGCTTCTCAGAAGACCCGGAATATCTCCAATAGTACTCCACAATTCGCCATTTGGCAAGGTTCGCTCGCGATGCCCAGATGGTGATGTAGTGAAGTGGTATCTCAGGGTCAGAGTGCTTGAAATACTTGTTCTCAATAGTTTGTTCAAGGGTATCCAGCTCGCTCCCTTCTGGTATGGGCTCGCGTTGGGCATTTTTGGCCAGTGGTTTCAACGCCGGACTAGAAAAGTCGAGATAAAATGAGGTATGTCGGAGGAAATCAGACATCTCACTGCGGACGACGACAAACAGCGCCTCGGTGCATTTCAGCTCAGCAGGTGGAAGCTCCTTCATCTCTGGTCGAAGTTCCGATTCGTTGGCGTTCAGAGGAAGTCGGCAGTCCCAGATGGGGGAGATACCCGTGCTTTTGTGATCTGCAAGTTCGCCGATTCGTGAATCGAAAACGATGAGTGACCACCAGAGTCTTCGACGCATTTCGGCCTCGAGAGGAGTGCACTTTGCATTGTCCATTTCGTTGTGGATCCCCATACGTCGCGCAATGCGAACCGCAACGCCAAGTATGGAGGACAGTGATCGAGGGTTTGTGCTGGAGCTGACAGAGACCTGGTCTGGTAAGTAAACGTCCGGAGAATATCAGATAAACATACCAAATAAAGGTATAGCGCAGTCAAACAGATGCGATCACTGGTCCGCAAATAGCCACAGTTTGCGAGGGCTTGCTGTGCGCCGAATTGGTATCTCATGACAAGATCTCCCTTTGGAGAGCCAAAGAGGGCTTGACATTCTTCTGCGGGGATGGTGTTAATGGACATGCAATAAATGCTGAACATCAACGCCTCGAGAGAAGGACTGATATCTGCCATGTTACCCATCGCCTGGATTATTCGCGGTTGCAAACTGGGGGTGTGGGTGACTTTGAGGAGCGGGTTGACATTGTCAAGGTACGTTTGCCATAGCCTAAATATGTGTACAGGTTCGGGTTGCAGGGCGGAGAGATCAACGGATGTTTTTCGAGAGCCGAGTAGAAGATGGTCAGTGTTGTCAAATAGAGCATCCCATGCCTCTATGGCCACGCCCTCTTTGGTGTCCTCATTAGAGGAGTCTGATTGATTTTTCGGTTCAAGAAACTATTGCAAGTTGTGAGTAGAGCTTCAATTACATATAACGGTGGCGTGCCTACCCCTTGTTTTATGGCATGCCAAAAGTCCCTATCGTACCGTAGTTAGTCAACTTATTCTAGACTTCGTCGGGATACGTACCTGGCCTCATGTGGTGTGTCGGGCTGGGCAGTTGGCGACAGAGACGATGAATCTGCACCCGTGGTTGACGGCTGCTCATCGTCTGAATCGCCGTTGGGTTCCAAGTTGGGAAATGCCTTTGCTCCAGACCAGTCCTTGTGAAGGGGCTCGAAGCTGACATTGTTCTGACGCAGCAGGTCTTCATAATGACGTAGACGCTCCAAGAGCACTCTCTCAGGAAACCGCCGTCTTCGCGGACGTGGGATCACGGTTGTGGGCACACATTGCGCACCGGACCTAACGCAGTTGGAGCAGGGAAACTTGCGCTCACACTTGACCTTGCGCTGGTGGCAAAGCACACATGCAAGCACGCGCTTGTGTTTGGTCGATGGGGAGAGCAGCGGAGGAGCAGCTGGAGATGTGGTCGAAGGCGTGGCGGAGGAAGTTCCTGGCGTCGTCTTCTCCCGCGTCGGCAGAGCCGTTGACATGGCTTCTGAACGGGTAATAGAATGCCAAGACTAGACTGGCCGTGATGCCCTCTGCTGAGAAAAGGAGTATTCGTATGCGACTGGAAAACTGCAGTCTGCTCGGATTGTAGCCAAGCGGCTGATGCCTGGTCATGATGCGACCCAATAGAACGCCAGACACGCACTGAAGCCTTGCGGCCTTTTCTAATGTCCGATCAGGTGATGCTGATCTACCCAAATTGGGACTTTTTAGCGTCTGACGGCCAAGTTGTCAATTGCATCATGTCCGGACCATGGCAGCACAAAGCCAGAGCGATGTTCTTTTTTTAAAGTAGGATAAGGCGACAATATGGGTCGGATATATCTTGTCAAGTGATCACATTATAGCATGAATTCGATCTACAATCAGTGGCTCTTTGTTCTGAGGCAGATGAGCTATCGCGTGGCCCACAAGTCGCTCCACACAGCTGCTGGATGAAACGAAACATTCAGTGAGTATCGGTCAATGATGGAACGGAGCAACGGTTATCACAATTACAATACAGAAGGGATCTTTATCAATCATTTGTTTAATAAAGAAACGTGTTTAACACATATATCAATTCAACCGACGGGCTCATCACGGCTTGGCTACCCCCGACGTTCAGACGTAATAATAAAGTGTTCTACCACCGCAAAGAAGAAGAAGAAAAAATACACATATCCGATCAAAGCCACACACATGTGCTCATAATGCCGAGCACTTACGATACCGGTGTAGCTTTGAGGTAGTTGCAGTTCGGATCGTCAAAGGGGCTCCCGCAGCCGACATCGTTGTCCTTCTCAATAAAGACAGTTGGTAGCGTGAAGTAGCACGTCGGCACTTGGCCCCAGACCATGCTGCCCAGGTCAATATCATCGTTATCGCCGCCGTTGAGCGCACAGTCAATGTTGGCGCGGTAGTACGGCTCACGATCGCCGAGCCCGTACGAGGCCATCTTGTCGTAGATGTCTGCTTCCACCTCGACCCAGTCGTTGATGCGATTGTTGTTCGGGTTGTTTCTCATGATGTAGAAGCAGTACTCTTCGCCAGCCTTCAGCTCCAGCCACTGGCGGCCAGGGGCATAGCCGCAGTCCTCGCGCGAGAGATAGCCGTCGCGCTTGTCGGCGACGAGGTGCAGCCTGGCAGCCTTCATGACGTCGTTGGCCACCTTCTTCTGGATGTTGTTGCTGATGGACGCGATTGCAACGCGGACGGCCTCTTCGTCATCGTCGACGAGGAACCAGCCACCGTTGAAGAACTTGGCAATCTTGGTCTCATACGTGTCCCACTTGGGGGCGGGCAGAGAATTGTACTCATCCTGGCTGGTGCCGCCGCCTGTGGCGATCCGGAGGGTATTCTCCAGGGCAGTGGTAGCCTGGTCGAAGGCGTTGGCGAGGGCGCTTGAGATGGAACCTTGGTCGATCTCATCCTGACCCTGGCCGGCGAGACCGGAGAAGATACCACCTAGGATACCGAAGCCCGCTGCGATACCGCCACCCTGATACCAGTTGTGTTAGCCGCCACTGAAATGAAGAAAAATAAGGGTAACGTACAGCTCCCGGAACGAGACCTCCGACGGCGTTACCAATGGTAGAGGCAGCAGCCAGCCAGCCCAGGACATTACCCGGCTCGCCTTCAGACCCATCAAAGTCCGTCACCATCTGTGGGATCCTCAACCCGTTGATGAGAGTCTCTTGGGTGAGTTGGCGACTGAGCTCCTTGAACTTTTCGTGCAGGCCCTTGACGGCCTGGAAGATCCAGTACGAGTTCTTGGCCAGCGGGTAGGTTCCGAACTTGTCGAACTGATCTTCGCAACTCATGCCGTTCATGGGGTTGCAGTCGTTGCCGAGGGCGGCGCAGCCGGCGGCACCAGACTTGCCTGATGTGCCGCCCTGGACTTGGTCCTCCATGTTCTTAACCCACGAGTTCTCATGCTCTGTGTGGTTCGGACGGTCAGCAATCCATTTCTTGGTGGTCTCTTGGTGGTTTACGCAGATGGGTTGAAGAGTAATACTTACCCCACTGGCCCTTGATGAAGAGCTCAAGAGAAACACCCGCCGCCGTCCTTTCCCAAAGGTCGTCAGCACCTTCTGGGGTTCGGAGATCCCAACCCTTGCAGAGTGTCTCCTTGCTGTCCAAGACATCTTGTCGCTTGCTAAAAAGCGGCGATGCGCTTGACGAAGCAGCAAAGGCTAGAAGAGCAGTGGTGGGCCTCATCGTTAGCTGAGGTCTTTGGAAGCAGGGCGGTTAATATAAGGTAGATTAAAGACGAGATCCCAAGGATTAGGTCTCCGGCGCTAAGAGCTTGAGTCGTTTCGTCTTCAAGAAGGCGAAGAGGATTGATGCGGATGTTCAGCAAAAGCTCAGACACAGGAAGCAGAGACAGGACTCTTTATATGTACTACTCCGGCCTGTCGGCCCGTAAGGAGGCCATAATGGTGATGCCTGGTAGTGTAGGCTCGTGATGTGGATATTTTCCTACCTTAGTTTGGCGAGATGAATTTTGAAGTGTCTATGACGATCAGTCCACGAAGGATGGAATTCCCTACTGACTATTACATAGGATAGGCTGCACTAATACACATTAAGCAAAGAATCACGGTAAGCTTAGCTTTAAGGATCTTCTGTGGGGGTGCAGAAGGATTCGGCAGGATTAAGGATCGGGAGGATTATGAACTCCACAGGATTAATAAGGACTCGGCAAGATCGTTCGCTGCCTTTTGCTTCCCTGTCAGTATAAATCCAGCCCCCAAAGCCAGTGCCAAGGCGGCTCGCACGGGGAGGGCATAGCCGCTGGGAAGCGCCAAGAATGCTCCGTAGTCTGTTTTATGTGACATCAAGAATCCCTCCATGTCACCTTGCCCCACAGGAATTTGGCCGTTGATCAACTTTGAATCAAGTTTTCGACACACTCAGTTGCGGCCATCGCTTGGCGCAAACCTGATTAAGAAGTGTGCCTACTCTCAGCCGCAATGCTGACATGAGATGGGACAGGAGAGACACCTGGGGGGATAGGAAGCGACGGTCAGTCGGCTTCAAGCATGTCAAACAGCCTAACCCTCAAGGATCCCATACAATAACATATCTCAGGCGCTTGTAACCGCCGTTCATTTTTCAAATGAATTTCACCGCATGTCCGCAATACCCCGTAGGGCTCGATCTGTACTACGTATTCGACAAAGTGACGGTGGCCCATGATACAGTGGGGAGACTGGTGATTGTAAAATTCACCAGACATATTAGCGTCTTGGCATTTGCAATGCCCCCCCAGATCCTTGTGGGACTTTGGGGCAGTGAAACAGGGATCCCTCGCTATTCTTGATTTATTACATGATGAAACAGCCCTTAGGGCAGTCGATTGGGCGGCCTTCCACTAATTCCGTGATCCTGTCATCATAGCATCACGGGTATGCAAGCACGTTCCTCCCAGGCCCGATGCATGAGTTTATTGGGAATGACAAGGAGAGGAAGCGAATATTGAACCTTTTTCCAGTCTAAAGTTGAAAATCAGGCAAGCTGAGATGAGGATTGATCCACACGTCACCAATCACAGCATACAATGCCACCATTTAACAGAGGTCCTTAATTTAGATCGGGACATCGTAAGAGATAGCTGCCTTGTAGCCGTGTCTCTCAATGTGGACTTTCCATGGCATAGGTTGAGCCCATTTTCCTCATCGCAGAGCTTGGATTTGTCTTTGATGTAGGAAAAATAACATACCTACACACGACACCTGCGAATCGCCGAATATCGGACACTGCAATGCTCCTTGTCTCTGGCAACATGTCAACTCGATATGGGGTAACGGTACATCAGTCGTGGGTAGCCCATACATGGGTCTTGAGGACCGCTGGAATGCTCGGTTTAACATCACTCCCTACAATCTTGAACGCTATCTTCGTGACGTGGTTATCTCAGCCATCTCGCTAAATCCAAGCGGTCAGCCGCAATGGACAAACGAGAACGATGTCGAAGCACTTGAAGGAGCCCCAACCTACAAGTTCAAGGAGCTCAGCCCTTTTATCATACAATACGCGCTGTGTCTGGGTGCTACAACGATTATTTACTTTTGGGGGATTCGGGCTCTCTACAAGAATGCATCAGGATGGAATCTATTTTCTTGAAACTGCTTTAACAAGGAATCTCAGCCAAACTTTCATGACACGGCTACGGCGCCGAGGAAGATTGCCTAGCTGGAGAAAATGAGAAGGCAATGATGTTTTATCGAGTTTTTATGCTTGTTTCTCCTCCATCGAGCCCAAAATACACCATTTTCCCCAATTGATAACAGTTTCCTATGCCCGAAGCTATTCAACTCCATTGTATGCTATTGTCTCTGAAGGGAATTATGGGAGAAAACCGTCATGGGTGTAGGGTAAGTTGCGGCTCTGGACGATTAATTACCAGTGACATATTATCTTTGCCCTGGCTTTTATAAAGCATATATTCCGGTACTGTTGTGAACAAGCCGCTTCCTCTTCATAGAAAATATGGATTGTCTGGCTTCTCATAATGGCAAGCAAACTCAGATTATTATTGATGATATCAGTTTTCCATCGAACCGCTCCATAGCAGATGAACTGCACGCACCTCTAATCGTGTTCAACGAAATGTGTAGGACGCGGGACCGGCTTGTTTCGGCCTGATACGGCATTAAATTCACTAGAGTGTGACTCGCTTATCGAAGGGATGCGGAATCTGGGTATTAGAGCGGAATGATGGCAAAGCCCTTCTGCAGGGTTGACTAACATCGCACACGCGATTGCCTTTGCCGCGTCCTACCATTTCCCCGCATCACCAATATCCTCGGCAATGTGGGAACGCCTTTGGACGGTAGATGACCACAACAATTGACCAAATTTACCGAAGTTTTGTGGCTATCGGACGGTATGAGGGTGTGATTGAGTATGCATAAGCCCGGTCCAATGATGGTTGGTCGGAAACGCCAGTCGGAATAGAGAGGATGAGAAAGAGTAGGTCGGAGCAAGTTGCTACGACTTCTTGAGAATGCTGGCAACCAAGCTCGGAAACCCTTTCCGAATACCGCCAATAGAGCCATAATGATCCCAACTCAGACGGTAGCTTCGACATAAAAAGGTAGTATAATGCGACTCCATATCCACGCTCATCTTCATTCTTCTTGACAACACTGACACTCTAGAAATTACCTTAGAACACACATCCCCGCTATTCAATACAAAGCAGTTGTGCCCAAAAAGATGTCCTCAACAACAACTAAAACATATGCAAGCGGGGACCCCCGCCTAGCCATTGTGGACGATGAAGCCGAGCAAGCGCCCAAGTTCGACGACCCCTACGAAGAGCGCAAATACCTCAAGCATCGCCTTGCTCTTGCCTTTCGCGTGTTTTCCAACTTTGGGCTCGCGGAAGGTGTTGCTGGGCATATCACTGTCAGAGATCCGGTCGATTGCAACAGCTTTTGGGTAAATCCTTTTGGTATGTGGCTAGTCCTTGATAGGGTTGCAGATCATGGGAATGTGCTCAGTTATTGCCGAACAAGAAAACACACCCTTCATAATGTTGCGAATCCATATCAGATTAACAAATGGGCGTAGGTATGCATTTCTCGCTCATTCGAGACGAAGACCTCATTCGTGTGGATCATGACGGCAAAGTCGTCGATGGTGGCAAGAACAGGAGGTTAAACTATGGTATGCTCAATCCCATTCACTATTTCATTGGCATCCTTTTGCACTGTCAATAACTCCTCTCCAGCCGCCTACGCCATCCATGCCGAGATCCACAAGGCACGCCCAGACGTGCTATGTGCGGCCCATTCACACAGCACTTATGGACGAGCCTTCAGTGCCACGGGGCGGTCGCTGCAAATGATAACCCAAGACTTTTGTGTCTTCTGGAAAGACCATATTCTGTGGTCCAATTTTGCTGGCCTCGTTCTGGCCCCCGCTGAAGGCAAGGCGATTGCTGCGGCGTTGGGGAATAGGAAGGCAGCGATACTTGGAAATCACGGAATCATGACTCTGGGGCCTACTATTGAAGCCACTGTTGCATGGTTTGTGTTGTTTGAGCGATGTTGTCAGATACAGTTACTCGCCGATGCGAGCGCTGCCGGCTCGGGGCAGCCGCTCGTGACTATTGGTGAAGAGGAGGCTCAATCTACTTGGGAGGCTGTTGGAACAACGGGAAATGGGTATTTCCAGGGATTGCCACTCTTCCAAGTCGCAGAGCGAGAGTTCGGAGAGAGAACGCTACTGGGTAAGGGTTTAAAAGCACTGTAGGTCTTTGTGTGATGGCGGCAAAGTCTGCGCCAAGACGAATGAGGACGTCCATATTTACAACACTGGAATTTGCAACTGAACTCACTGTAAAGATGTCTAGGAATTATGTGAGCTTGGTAAAATTGTAGAAGTTTTGTAATTAATGCAAGCTAGTCTGGGTATGAACAAACACGAAATCATCTCACAAATGAAAAAGTGCCTTCAGGCCGAGAATACGCCGACCCAGCCTCACATCTTCTTGCTGTCACCGTTTCCATATTCCTTCAGAATGGTATCTTCCGCTTGAACCTGTGTAAAACTTGGGGGCGCTTGCTCCTCCGCTGGCGGCTCCATCCACGACTCTGATGTTTGAAGCGCTGGGTCCGGTGCAGACGTCTTTTGAGACTGCCCCTCATCGCTCGGGGTCAAGAGTGTAACCTTTGCCGACCCAGTGATGATGAAATCCTCTTTGGCTATTTCCACACGGATCTGCCAGTTTAGCTTGTGGGTGTGCAGGATGTTGTACGTCTTGAAGGTAGGATACAGCTTTCCACGCGAAATCTCTGGTCCCACCTGTCCCAGGCGACCTTGACCACCAACACGTAGGTTAATCATCTTCCCAATGTCGACTGGCGGCGCTTTATCCGAACATGGAATGTATATTTCGCTCGCAATACCGGCCAGGGCGGGTGGAATATTCAGGTCCAATTCCCCTCTGTCGTCTGCGCAGTGAGGAGCAGAAGTCCCCTCGCACATCACTTCAGTCTGAGCCATAATCGACATCGTAAACTGTCGAAGCCTGACCTTTTGTTCAACACCCTTGAGAACCGCACTAGATTTCTCCCAGTCCGGGATCAATCTGACGAGAAATGGGATGTGATTCGGGTTCTCCAGCTGAATAACAGTCGGGAAATCGACCTCGACATTGAACTTGATGGTAGGCACCTTTTTGGACCCGAAAAGGCGCTTCGTTTTCTGAGAAAACGACAGTTCGACGTCCTCATTTCCCGGTATCAGGCGAAAAGAGGAGAGAGTGCGAGGGGAGCGGAATGGCATCAGTTTGAAGTCCGCGATTGGAGCATTAGGGTCCAAGGTTCTGACGTTCAAAGGTAGCACCGCTTCCTTGACATCTGATGAACCTTGTCCCGCAACGTTCAATTCAGCTCGGAGGAAGTATTCGACAAAGCCCTCTATTGTCGCTCTGAATCCACTATGCTGTTGATGGAAGGTGGATGGCAGGGGACGGGTTGCGACGTCTCCACCGGTGTAGGGCAACCAGCTACACAATTCTGGAACTTTGCCCAAGGTTGTGTGGTCCACGTACTTCGGGAGGGTGATGGTGAAGGGCCAGACCTGCTCGTCGCTTCCATCTGGGAGATGAAGGGGCCCTTGAAAGAGCGTTTGCGTGTGGTCGGCGGTGTTGATCAAGTTGAACCGCCCACGATACGTTTCAACCCCAAGATCTCCGCGACTGAAGTGAATCCTGGACTTCGTTCGTCCATGTAGACGGAGGATGATGGAAGCATCGGGGCTGACGATCTGAGCTTGCCGGTAGACGCACCCAGTGACCGTGTCACCTGGCGCGAATTCAGTCTGACCGCCCTCTAGGCGGATGCCCAACATGGGAGTTGAGTGAACGCTAGTCAACGGCATGATGGATGTAGAATGTGGGCAGCGTCGAACGACTTGGTTGTGAAAGAATGAGTATTTAATTATCTGCGAAACGGCAACGCGGTGACCGTCCTATATAGAGCCAAGGCGGGGAAGAATCGGGCTGTGCTGGTTGAGCTGAGTGTTGTTGGTGATATGGTCAATTGTGCCTCGTTCGAGACCCGTGGCAGTGCAACAGTTCACCTTTCCTTAGCCAGCTAGTGTGATGTCGAATCGTTCCATTGAGACGCCCTGCGCCGCCGCTTGTTGCCTGGTTGGAAATATGCAGTCCGACCAACAGCGTAGCCGACATGTACAGTATTTACTCGCGCACTGAACAGGATTTTAAGGATTGAGTTACAAAATCGGGTTTGATCGGGTTTCGGACAAACAGCAGCAGATCACGAATAAGGATGCTTTGTCAATTTAACCCAAAACCATAGGCTTTTCATTAACGTTGTCTGTCGCGCGCTAAGACACTAGCAATCACATCCTCCTAAAGCGTCTCCTCTTTCGTCCTCCCCTGGCCATTCATCACACACTAGCGATTTCGCCAGTCTTCACCTTCCTCATTCGGTCAGTGCGACCAGGGATGACAGTTGACAAGTCTCCAAGCGGAAGGGTGTAGGGGAAGTCAACAGATAGGAGGATAAGCGAGAGAAAAATGTACCAGCCCAACAATGACACCGCTAAGAACAGCCCAGCCCCAACGTGCTGGTAGGTTGAGGCGGACGGGCTGTGGTGGGAAATGGCGAAGAACCAGGCTGACTGACAGGCAACTATGAATTTTTAGTGTCGCCCCTACTTTAACGCTGGAATAGGGATCACTTACAAGCCGGCACCAGAAGCACAAGGATTCCAAGAAGGGCGACATTGGTGCGAATGCTCGCAATGGCAAAGAAAAAGCAGATGAGAGCCATGGCAAGGAGAAGAAAGGCAAACGTGGCAAAGAAAGCCGGCTCCTGAAGGCCCTGTGCAGGGTCGCTTGTACCGTTCACAGAGTAAAGGCCATATGCGCCATACCCAGGGACAATGGTAGCACCAAAGGACAACCAAAACCCACCAAATATGGAAAATACGGTTGCAGGAAACGTGTTGCCTTTTTCTTGTCAGCGTATGTTGGCAGTATGGGCAAGTTTGGTATCCATCTTACCCAAGATCCATTCGCCAATTCCTCCAAGAATGAGTAGGAGGCCACCTAGATAAAAGTACGATCCTCTACACGATAAAAAATGCCAAAATTAGTCGAGAGCGATTGTTTTCTGCAGTTTTTATTGTTAACTTACACGTTCGCAGCGCCGCCGAATCCACCAGCACCTTGCCAGCCAAGCAACACCATGGAAAGTGGCATAGCACATAGCAAAAGACCACCCAAAGCTTTGAGAAATTCAATTAGCAACGATGGTACATCTACGTAAATGATGAAGCAATACAAACCTATGGGGGTAGGATTTCCAAATGTTTGTCGCAGTTGTCCTTTGACATCGGTCTTCGGGGCAAGGTAAAGCTGCTCAAAGAGCTCGGGCGAGATCGGGATGCTGCTTGAAGTTTGGATCTTGTGCAAGATCTCATTGCGCGTAAATTCATCATTGTCGGACATGTTGAGAAGATTTAATTTGGGAAGAAAAATTAATGTAAGGACCTGAGAATAAGCACCAGGGACTGGTGAAGGGACTGTTAATAACGCAGGCACAATCGTAAGCCGCGGGAACGCTTGAGCTTTATAGATAAAAGATCATACTAGCAATATCAGGCTGGAAATTCCTGCATACGTTTCAAACGAGCAAACAAAATCAACCGTATAGTCGATGATAGGATAGCCGTACAGCCGGAGTTGATGTCAGGCTGCTCGGCTTTGATGCCGATTAGCGCCATATCTAAACATCATGTATGCACCATGACCAAAGATCAAGTAAAATTGAGGTGAGTGAAATAGCCGGCCAATCAATTGCTTGGACGTCATGGATAGACTTTTAATATCGCCTCCACATTAGGTCTTTCTTACACTCTGACTCGCTGGGTGAGAAACAAACTTAATGAGGCTATAACCGGCGGAATTAGTGACATTGCCATGTGGGACTGAGTTTCAGAGGATGCGGGGAAGCCGCGGGACTCCGAGGATCTGGATCTGGGGAACGGCAATTAGACTCGTCGGCTCGCGGTGTCGGATCCGGGAGCGAACTCAAGCAATCTACTCTACCGCAGATCTCTGCTTCCGAGTGTGGACATCTGCTTACGCCCTTAGTCTGCTGGCTCCAGTCTTGGGCGGGAGAGTAGGCCTTTCCTCCAAGACTTAGATGTAACGCAGGAGCACGATTCCGTCAGACGTTCAAGGTCTGTGGTGAGAATTCTTCAAATCTGCTATGCGTCTGCGTCGGAAATGGGGTTGGCGTGGCCACCTGCGTCATTGACCGTAGCAACCGAAATACAGTGCAAGTGGGTGAGTCGGGAGATATTATCTCACTTGATTCGCTTCGACGAAACACGTAATTAAAATCTCACTCTATAGACATTTCGCGCATTCTGTAGAAGCCTGGGTAGGCATGATGCTACCGAGATGGCCTTCATCAGCACACCGCTTACGACGAGGTCGTCCAAAGCCAGAGCATTCTCGCCTTTATCTCTTAACGTCGAACGTCTTCCATGAGCAAATCGGTGGCAAAACCCATCTCCATCTCACCGGGTGGCATCATACATGATAACAATACGTGAATAATACCGGGGCATTGACAGGATAATGCTAATATTTCTCCTTTACCTTGGTAAACCTATGGAACCTGCAGATCGGGCCGAGAGGTCATAGAGATCCGAGGCTGTGGACTTCCGGGACCGCCCGCTGAGTGCCCTCCGATTCGGGACTGCTGATTAGGTTTCGGTTAGGTGTTAGTGGTTGAATCTAGAGAAAATCACCACTCAACTGCCCTCCTTCCAAACCAAGGTAAGCCCAGACATTCGTTATGGCCGCTTATCTGCTACACATTAGCTATTGAGATGACGCCTGGACAGACACAGATGACGGAAGCTGGTGGATTCCACTAATGCATGCTAGCAGTTTGAGAAGTTGATTAGACAAATAAAAAATACGTTTTGATCGTAGCTCGGGGAGCGGAGCGGAGCGGACTTCAGTCACCAAGGTCCGAGGCCTTCACGATACCGATCCTTGATTCGCTGGTCTGAACGGCATGGGCTTACGCCGCCAAATGCTCCAAACACCACCGACGATCATACTCTGCCGGAGTAGAAGATGAAGCTCACTGGACCGGTCACAAAGGTATAGGTTAGAGCTTGTAGCTAAATGCGTAGACCGACCAGAAACCCCGCACCGCGGTAGAATTTAAAACCATCTCTCAACTCCCCCAATTCATGCGCAACTTTCCAAAAATACTCCTTCGTTCCTCCTCGACCTTCCACTGTTCCTCAATCTTCCCGCAGAGCACAATGGTATTCGGTATCGGCGCCAATATCGGGCTCTGACAAGTCTCCTTTGCTCTGAGGACCGGGCTTGAGGTAGCAATCACCCGGAGCACCACCTGCCTTTGCGTTGGCAATAACGGACCAGTAAGGGATAAAGCTGACGGCTTCACAGGTGGTGCGATTCGTTTCCGGGTAGCTGTTCCAGGCAGTACAGGCCTCCATGCAACCATTGAAATCCCCAGCGAAGAGTGAAAATAGTGGCGTGTTCGGAGTGTCGCGGTGGCAGTACATGGTATAAGAGGTCTTGTCATAGACTAAATAAGAGTTGTTAGCAGCTGTGGGTATGTTCACTTTCATGGAACATACATTTCGATGTGTACATCTTGCCAGTAGTCGTCTCATCGTCACCTGAGCAGCCATTGGTAATGTTCGAATAACCTGTTGCAGTGGCAGCAGCGGAAGAGGATGTGGACGTAGACGTAGACGAAAGGCCGGATGAAGCGGAAGAAGAGCTACAGGTAGTGGTGGCTGCTCCTAAAATCGAATAATAGGAGGAGCTCAATGCTTCCAGTTTCAAGTTCGCATCATTATAGTTGTTCGAGGCGATTCCATTTCCTGCCGCCAACCCAATCACGACAATACTGAGCACAGCAATAATCACCGACAGGGCAAGAACCAGCAGAGAGCACCCACAGATACCCTTTTTCGTTTCGTTCTTTTCTTTCTTCTCGGGCTCGATCGTCAGAGGTTGAATGCTAGTAGCGTCCGCCTTTACCTCTAGCTGCAGTTCTCGATAGCTACCGTATGCGTTCGGATAAACAGGAGTCGGGTTATAGTTTGGCGGACTCGAGTAGCCTGAGTACTTTTCAGCTTTGAATACTGGTGATTGTCCGCCAGTCGCCTGTTGCATCCCAGGGGTATAAACCTCGGGGGCAGCCGACAAAGGAGCCACCTCAGGCGCGTCGTCATACTGTCAAGACGATGCCATTAGCCTCTTTGAGAGTTGTCGGACGGGAGCCCATCCATAATTCACGATGGGGAAACTTACATTGATAGCCATATTCTGCATGCAGTGACCGGTCGAGGAGAAAACTGTCGTGGGACAAGTATGGGCCAAGCCGGAGATCTTAAACGACCGAGACGGTGAAGCTGTCTGCCGGATCAGGCATCACAATCGACGGCCCAGTCCGTCCGAAATGAGGGTTAAAATTGGAAACAAAAACCAGCAGCAATGGTCGGCAAGGGGAGTCTGCTGAAGGGCGTATCCAATCATGCTCTCAGCCCTACAGCAAGGTGAAATCTCCGGTCGCATCTACTACGAAGTGCTAGCCCAATTCGCCCAGAATCTCTAACCGCAGCTCCCCTTTTCTTGCTGAATACAACTCTGTTCAATATAATCACACTTCAGCTGGGATATTCATTGGTGGATGGACCTAAATGCCCCCAAAGCCCCTGCATCTGCATCAATTTGGGACTTTGGTCCCTGATGAGAACGACAACGGCGAAGCTGGGTTCGGGCATCTTTCTGGGTCCGTTTAAATGAACGCCGAACGGGGCATTTCTCAGCCCCCACCGCTCGATCGCTCCAATTACCATCGTCTCAATCCTTGCCAGCTACGCCATATGTACTCCAAGCCGCACTCATTATCCCTGTTGGCTCTCGGCCTCCACACCGGATATCGGGTGCGTTAAGAAATGAGCGGCCCCATGAAGGCGCCTTGTGTCGTACGCGCGGCGGCCATGAAGCGAGTACCACCTTTGTCGCCAGGGCCTTCCCTATATTGCTTCCTCTCTCCATCAAGGTCCAACTATGGGACGCAGAGAAGAGGGGCGGTTATGCGGGATAGGCAATGTAGAGTAGGAAAAGGGGAATGAAATCCATGTGTTGGTTCTGCTTTCTTATGCCAACAGTGGGCCCCCGTGATGTTTAGGCTCCGAAGATGAGAAATATTAAAGTCAGATGCATGAAGATCCTGGATACACACAATACCAAAACAGCCAGCCTGACCCAGAAGGCAAATCTAAATTAAAAGCACTCAGCTTTTCACTCAAGGATCAAAAATCGAGCCTCAAGGCTTACATTGTGGGTTCTCGAGTGAGAAATGGAACTTGTGTGGCGACCTGAGCCGTTTCCCTTGACAAGGTTGGTGCTTTGTGAGTCTCGCGATGACCGCCTTCATTCACTTTCAACCCGATTCTTTAGATCTGACCCTATCTATCATTACCTTTAATCGTAATTGCTGTACTCTGTCTCTACTGTCGTCACTGATGATGAGGTTAATGATGGCTCCATGATCCTCCTCTCTCGAACATTCCGAGACTTACACGACAGCCAGGATGGCATCAGCATCCTTCACCCGACCGTGTACTCCGCCCCGCCGACGGCATGTACTGCCAAGTGAGTTGAGCCTCTTGCATTCCAATCCATCTTCTGAACTAAATGGGAGAAAATGAGTTGGCGCGCGCAACTTCTTCCACAAGATACGACGCCACTGACCTACCCGTTCATGAAGCATCCCACAGTTATTCCACACCTTCAGCACGAGTCCCGAATGTCGGGGCAGTTTGCCATTGCCGTCATGACACGCACTACAAATTGAGACGAAAATCGCTTACGTCCGAATGCACGCCGGGGTGGATGTAGTGAATGTATCCACTCTATTGAAGCCGATATCGCCGGTAACCCCGGAATCATCCAACAATCCGACATGCCAACCCCTCTGGAGCGAGTCTGACATGTTACAGAACACAACCAAGAGCAGACGAGATACGACTACCCATCAAATGTGACTGTACTACTGCGAATATGTCATTTCAATTCGTTGACAACAATACCGCCTTTAGCTGTGCCACCAGGAAGCAAATCCGCAGCCACGCGGGCAAGGGTCGGACTGCCGGCAAGGTGCTCGTGCCTGTATCCAAGAAGAAAGAGTTGAAACCCAGAGTCGCCGCCGCTACTAGCCTCTTTAGCATCTCAGACACGGCATCGGAAGCGTCTGAGGCGCAATCGAACGAAGATGTAGGCGTTGAAATTGTCCGCCCGGTCGGAGATGGTTTGTCCTTTCCAGTAAAACTAGCTCCTGGGTCCACACGGCTGGCACGAAAAGGTATGTTTGGTCATCTCTCACAAAGATACAATATTTACCACGAGTTATCGTCACTAATACTCACGTTCTTCATAGTACTTGACTTGTTGAGGGGACCAAGATATGCGCCGGAGCTGAGCAACGCCATTTCATTTCCGAGTGGAGGCGTTTCAATGTGGGTTCGATACATGTTGCTTGACGAAGCTTGTATGTTTGTCTCCTCACATCTCAATCCACACATCTTTCCGAATCTCTTACCAATACCAAAGTCTTCCATTGCGCTGTGGCTGCTGCGATCCCAGCTATCAACATGTCAGTTACAACCCAGGAAAAGAATACTGAGGCGATGCGCCACATGTCACAGGCGTTACGCCTGATCAATGAAAGACTTTCCGGGAGCGACGCAGTCTCTAATCAGACCATCGCGGCTATAGTAGCAATGGTACTGTATGAGCGTCAACAGGGTCAGTTTCGTCGAGGTCTCATTCACGTCAAAGGGCTTCGGTAGATGACGGAGTTGCGGGGAGGATTATCCCAGCTCGCACAAACGGAACCTGGCCTGACTACAATGATACTGAGGTGAAATGTCCACAACGCGGTGATTCGCTGAATCTGGATGCTAATTCTTGTCAAAGAGTTGATTTGGAATGCTCCCTGCAATTGGGGTCGGAGACCCTATTTACCGTCGAGGACGTCCGACGATGTAGCCACGCGTTGTTTGGACATGATGGAAACTGGAGCGGGGAGAAAATTCAAGATGCTGTAAGCAGCATTGACCTTCGCTTGTCTACACAGTTGGGTACCGACCTATGGGAGCTTTTTGTCGATATCAGAAAGTTTGCATGGGGTCTCAACGACGCAAGCGTTGGCCGTCGACCAAAGATGAGCGGGGATGAACTTCATGAATTTCTAATAGTGCTTGGGTATCGCCTTGTTTCCGCCAGCTCTCTGGACCAACTTCGATTCCCCAGCCATTTGCACGCGCCAATTCAATTCGGTTTAGCGTCATTCCTGGTGACGTTCTTGCGAGGTCTTGACAGGAAGACGATCCGGTACCCTCGGATATCCACGTTATCTTGGTCAGCAGCTCAGCATGACTTTACGGCGCAACGAGAGGATCAAGAAGTGCTGCTTTGGCTGTTGTTTATTGGGAGATATACGATATTTACGCAAACAGATGATTCCTGGCTGATTCCAAAAGTGAAGGTCGCAGTGGAGGCCCTCGCACTGCAAAGTTGGGAAGATGCACGACGAACACTTGCAACATTCCCGTGGGTCGGTGATCTGCACGACAAAGCCGGCCAAAGTTTGTGGGACGATTCAACTGCTTTTACAGAGCACTGAATACATGTATTAAGGTGGTATGATACTATCCAGGCAGTTCAGATATCGAAGGAATAGTAGAACGGAATATAACAAACTCGAATATCGCATGATGGGACAGGCACAAACGTAATTATACAAGGAGGCGAGATTCAAGACCCTTTTTGCATAACATAATATAATAATACTTTCTCACTTGATATGCCACATGCAAAAAGCCGCGTCCTGAACAACTTCTTCCTCCAAGGGCTAGAAACCACTAAACATCCAGCATCTTTTTTATGCAGCCAGGCTCAGCAGACTCCAGTTCCTTGGCGATAACATCCCAAAGACGCTGCTGCGACTCTTTCCCGTCCTCGTTTGTTACCCACTCAGGTATTTTGCTCCTGCATCACATCAGCGTCAGCATCAAGGAGCAATGATCTGGGGTGAAAGGAAATTCGTCAACTTACTCGTCGATTTCGCAGGAATCCATCAAGCGTCCATGGCTTTCCTTGCCAGCGACAGCGCCTGCCAAGAGCGTGCGACTGCCATCTTCGGCCGTCCGTCCATGCTGTGCAAGCTGAGGGTCGAACTTCTCGCGCACAGCTTGTGGCATATCCCGGCTCAGTTCGGTCTTGCAAAGGCCAGGGCAGATGAAATTGATAACGACTCCTGTGCGAGCCACAGGGTTGATGGCTGCGAGCTGGCGGATTGCAAAAGACTCCATGAGTTTGGAAAGCGGATATCTAGATCAAGGGGCGTTAGTCCAGTCCCAAAGGGTGTAACTCTGGCTCTTTTAGGGGTTACATACATTTTCATAGCCAAGGTTTCGTCCGCACTGATCTTTCGCAACGGATCGTCTTTGACGTTATCCCAATCCTCCTTGGCATCGAACCCAACCGTGCTTGAGACGAAGGCAAGTTTAGGTTCGATGTTGAACTTACGAGCGATCTCGCTCATCTTGGGTAACAGCAAGACTCCGAGAAGCAAGGTGCTAAGCACATTGACAGTAATCGGCGCAAGGTGACCTTCGGGCAGAGCACTCCCAGCCATCGCGACCGCTGCATTCTCAATTAGGGCGTCGATACGCTCGAGCTCCGTCTCTGCCTTCTTGGCAAATGCTTTGACGGAATCATAACTTGCCAGGTCGAGGACCCAGACCTCAGCAACACCAGTCGTTCCGGTGGCCTCCTCGATCTTGGCCTTGGCGGCTTCTCCGGCACTGATGTTCCGGACGGCCATGATAACCTTGGCGGCACCAAGTGCCACAAGGTGCTTGGAGGCCTCGAATCCAAGGCCGACGTTGGCACCAGTCACGATATACGTCCCGCCCGAGCAGATCTCCGTCGTGGCGTAGAGCGGAAGATCGTGGCGTTGGGTAGCAATATAAGCAGCCATGACTGATATGTTTGGGGAGGGACAATTTAGAGGTGTGAAAAAGTGTCTAGTTGTACGTAAACCGTGTCGTGTTTTAAAGCGGTGCTTAGTAGAATAATGAGGAGAAGAGTAGTTGCTTGAGGCTTGCTCATAAAGCGAATGGCATGTCAGTTATATATCACATCAAGACACACAGTGAGTTCAAGTGATCGGCATTTACGGATTCAACGGCGTTAATTACAGTTTGGTTTTTGCTAAATCCGGAAGAGAGGACTGGGCAAGCCCCTCGCGCATTTTCAATCTCCAATGCAAACATGATGCGTTGAGAGTCGGCCAGCTAAGGGCATGATCGGTCACCAGCCAATGGGAGATCGGTTTCCAAATCGGGCACTAAACAGCAGAGCAACTTACTTGAAGACGGGGAGAGGGGTGGGGTAGCTTTACGGTCTAGGAGGCGTATCCTAGCCGCCATCAGAATGCCTGTCGTGACACGTTCATGACACTATCATCACAAGTCCCGCTTCGGCAGACATTCAACCAATCAGAGAGTACTATCCTAATTGAGCATAGCGTAGCACTCGGAGCCCGTAAGAATCGGCCTACCCTGGAACTGAGGATGGGAGGGGGATTTCGCACATCGGCAGAGGGACGATAGTACATTCACCTGCACACATTGTGCATAACATTTTGATCGGTGCGTTAACATAACTAGCATAAACAAATGCATCAATCAAGGAGCTACAAACGGATTTTTCAATGTCCCTCAATTATGTAATTATCACGGAGCACTTGATTCCAGAAATAAAAGTCAACAAACAAGCCAACAGCCCACTGTCTAAGTTACTATTTCTTCTAGTGCTAATTGCAGTACTAAATATGCCTCTACTGTTTGTGTCACGGTGATATATCTCGCGATAATGAGTAACGCTGAAAAGAAAAACTTAAATATTGAACTTCATTTCACTTTTTGGAGAATACCGTATCTTGGCTCCGACAAGGTAAACTGGGGGTGGAACTAGGTTTATTGCATTCTCAGGGTCCTCGCCACATAAAAGAAAGCACGATTTCCCCCAGAGACCTGGAAACGCAAAACATTATCCTATCTCTTCTCAATCCCAAGCCTCCCGGGCCGCCCAAGATTGTCAATCTATTGTTGCACTCTGTGCCGAGAGACTGGCTTGGAGCCCGATTCCCGAAATGCCATCGAAATCCACCTCCCACCATTCTCTGCGATCTCTCCCTATCTAGTAACTGGCCCTTGCTATAATAGAGAGGATGTCCCGGACCAGACAGGAGCACCCTTTTTACAATCGGAGATATCTGAACTCACCAACCCCAGAGCCGCTATCTGGGCAGATGACGTTTTTGATACGAGGAGAATTACAAAACATGTTTTACGAAATAACAGCTCTTTCCCTCCGCTCAGTAGAGCCTTGCAGGCTTGGATGGCGTCGAATGGGGCGGATGACAAGATTTAATGAGCGACGGCTTCCTCGATGAGCATTCGCTCGAGGCGGTGATGTGATGGAGTACCTCAACAAGGAGATCATGGTATATTTTGAGACCAAAGGCCTATCTACCGATATCCGAGATGATAGGATTGGGCGCTACATTTATCGTCTATGGCTCCGCCTCATGGTGGACGACCACCCTTCCAGCGGCGAAGCTTCTTTGCCAAGGCAATCTGCTTTGGAGAACAAGGCCCTCAGGATATTTCAGACCTGTTATCATTCCACCAGAGCCTTTGTGACGGGATATCCGCCCACCTGGACGACCCAGTCAAATTCTACCCCCTTGCGCGGCGAACCGACCTACGGGACAACGTCAATGTCATTAGCACAGGGCAGCCGCAGCTTTTTAGCCAGCCCCGACAACGCGCCTCTCGCACCCTATGCCGATATGAGAACGACATACACTGTCAATAGCGCAGAGAATTCCCTCCAAAGAAGGGGTCTCGACTCAACAAGTCTTCAAACAGTATCCTACGAAGCTACAACGTGGATACCAATCGACTAGCCTGGTGCCAGGCCTACCCCAAGGGAGATAGCGACAGCCATATCACCCTCACAAGATCCGATGACCATGGTGGTATTATTTTCATCGATGAACTCAGGCGCGAAAACGATACGACGTTAAAGAACCAGTAGTTCTAGGAGGGCGACTCGCACACGTGCGAACCTGGACAAGGCTGGTGACGAGATTACTAGTACAGACCCGATGACAACAAGCAGCCCCTAGGGGTAGCAGAGCGAAGCCGCAGCGAGGTTTTCATCCTGTAGCTAGAAATAGCTTTCAGGTTTTTTCCTCTCTGATTTAGTAAGCAGGGGTTTTATAGGCCTAGATATAGGTAAAATAGCGTATACTGAATAAATAAATAAAACCAGCAGTTCTACATTTCGGGGCTGCTTTAGTGCTTGGAAACGAGTTTTGAAAAAGCCTTCATAACCAAAATCTTAGTCCACCCTACAGCCTAAATGCACTGACCTAAATTAAGCCTATAATTATAATCTTAAAATGTAGAATTTATTTAGATTTCGGTTGGTCGGGTCGTCAAGGGTCCATGTCAATTTTCAGGGAGCAGTGGAGTCGACGATATCAAAACCCACACCGCAAGTCCCACCCACTACTTCGGCGCCCTATTTTGTAACCAAAGTCTGACTTCCCCTGCTACCAATCTCTCAGTATTGACCTAGAAAGTCCGGGATTTGAACAGTGGGATACACTTCACCGTACTACTCTTCCATACAGACCCCGCACCATGGCATATTGGTTTATCATAGACATGACCATTCGAAAACAAGCAGATAGTAACTCGACATGAGACTGACTACAACAACGAGACCGCCGACTATCATAAAGAAATTGCCAATGATGCCCCTTTGCAAATATCCATAAAGGAGATGACTAGTAAGAATTACTTTCCAATATTCCATGTTGAACCTAATTCAATGAGAAAATATATGTCAGTCGGATTTAGGCGTATGGTGAGATGAGGAAGTAGCAATAGACGTATGCGTATATGCGAATAATAGTATTCTACACGCCGAGCTGACTGTCAACAAGGATTTCGTAGCTCACATATCTCCTTCACAAGCTAGACAAGTTGATTTTATCGATAAGAACTCACATTTGTTTTTACTCTGAAAGCTGCAACAGAACCGGTGCATGCAATGTCTATATATAGCGAAATACAATAAATACAGTGAAAGGGGGTTTACAACAATGGTCGGCCAACTAGTAGCTCCTCAATAATCCAAATCCCCATCATTTAGTTGACAGAGATGGTGTAGGCAGAGGTCGTGAAGACACAGTTGGAGCCTGTGAATATGTTAGATCAGACATTTTGAGGGTATATCAATTCGCAACTTACCCTCGAAGGGCTCAGTGCCGGCCTGGAGGCTGGTGATGACCGAGCTGGTGGGGACGCCTTGGCTGGCGGTCAGGTACTGGAAGAACTTGTTGAGATCACCACTGAAGTTGCCCATGTTGCTGGGGGCAACGAAGGAGAAGACAGTGGTGTCGCCGTTGGGACCCTTGAAGAGCTTCCACTTGGTGCCGAGAATGGTAGGAGTAGCAAGAGGGGTAGTTCCGGTGGAAGAGATGGGAAGCGCGCCGCCATAAGCGCCGAGCCAGATCATGATCTCGTACTTGTTGTTGGCACCAACAGACGGGGCGAGCCACAGGTCGTAGGACACATCAGAGATCATGTTGGTTCCGGTGTATCTTGAATGGGGTTAGTTTGCGACAATGTTGTATATAGATGTGGGTTTGCATACCTCCAGGTCCAGGTGGAAGGAATGGAGCTAATGGCCGAAAGCGGCTTATTGGTCTTCTCCAGGGCGACGTTGGAGTAGGACTTGACCTTGCCGGGGCCTCCAACCCAGGTCCAAGAGGTGGACCAGACGAACGAGTTGCTCGAGACACCGGTGAAGGTGGTGCATTGAGATCCAGAAGTAGCATCTCCGCTGCCCCAGTTGTTGTGGTAGACAGTCTTTCCGTTGGTGGTCACGCTGCCAAAGGCACCGCACCAGGTAGTGGCGCGCTCCTCGAGCTCGGGAGTGGGAGAGGCGACGGCGACAGTGGCCAGCAGAGCCGACACGAGGTAGGAGATGGACTTCATGGTGAGGAGAGTTGGAAGAGGATGCGGTAAACTGAGAATGGATGGATGGATGCAGACTAGAAGCCCTTGGCGGACGACCGAAAGCCTTATATCGTCAATTGCGGCAGTCAGCGACCGCGGCATTCCCGATAGTACTCCTATCATCAACTCCTGTCATTACGGCCTCCAACCCCAAAGGAGAAATTTAGCTCTAACCCTCGGGGTTTGGCTTTCCGAACGGCCTTAACTAGCTGGCCTATAACCGCTGCGACCTGAAACGGGAGTTGGGACGATGTCGATTGTGGATTAGCAGCCGCTGAGAATCGTGCCGACGTCCCCGATCCATGGCCCCATGTGGGATCAACTGGGATGTTCCACCAATAGGTAGGGGTATGTTAATTTTCCGCCTCGTACAGAAAAGGGCCCGGCCATCCCAGCCCGTCCGGGTCTTGTCTCCGCTAGCTTAGATAGTATGTTTCGGCTCTTGATTCTGATTAGTTTATTAACTAGCAATTCGCCACTGGTTTCGGTCCGGTGCCCAAATATTGAACCTTCTATCATGCCAAATATGAATTTAGAGATTCTCTTTGACCTATTTCGAATACGACAAGATGCAATCCCAAAGTTACGCATTCAATAATTGGAATTTCCACCAATTCCATGGCATCGCAGCTTTCACCTCACGGTTCCACCACGATGTATCCACGACACTAACTCATAAACTACAGGCAAATGGATCCAGCTGCGTGAGCTAAATCAGTTAAAGTCTTCGGCGAGACCGCAAGTACGGCCTATCTCTCTGCGCCGCGACATAGTCCCGGATGGGATGCTCCATGACGCCTAGAGCCAGGTGCATCATCGGCTTCCTCGACTGGAATGATCTCGATCGGCAGTGAGCGTCTCAACGTCCATGACGAAGAAAACTTGCGCCAGCATAAGCATCAGCTCGTTCATGGCAATTCCCTTCCCCCAACCTCCCCGGGGCCCGGTTTAGAACGGCCCGCACGCCTTCGTATCGTGGTTTAACAGTTCGGTCTCGCCGACACGATCCGGTCGCCACCGCTCCGGCCGGAAGGTTAACGGATCCGAAAATTGGTCTTACTTGCGGTGAGCGGTGTAAATTCCCGAACCGAGCAGTACGAGCCGGGCATATACGAGGTGTTGATAACGAGACCGCCCGCAGGTGTTTCCCCACGGGAGAGATATACCGCCTGCCGGTGACGAACAAAGGGGCTCCTGGAAGCAAACCCGTAGGTACGTCTACGATGCTAGGATGCCCCCTACACTATTCTCGGAAGTGGGATCCGACTTCCTTGGCAGCCTAGGAATAGGCGGATCGTCATGCCCCACGTAGATGTCGGGATCCTATTTCACCAGAGTGCAAAGCGTTCAGTGGCTTGGTTAAATAGAAAATGCCTACTCACTTTGAAAAAGTGTTGTTGGTAATCAGATAGTCTGATGTTCAACGCACATACTCGCCGTCCTCTTAACGGAGGCGATAGATCTCCGGGTCTAGTTGCTAATATTTAATTCAATGACTGAATTCTATGTAGCGAATTAGGCCGCGTCATCGAGATCCATGTCTCTGGGAGTGGCCGTCTCCGTCACCGTTAATTTAATTGCACGTCCGCTAACCGGGGATAAATTTAGACATAAAGAGGGAAATAGGAACCCATTTATGGTTTTCCTCCATGTTAGTTTACCTTCCCTGCTCTTTGAGATGCAGAAAGGAAAGCTCTTACGTAGCTCGAGGCCGTGAATAGCCACGAACTGAGGATCGATTTGAACACATCGTAAGTTTTCAATAAAGGGCAAAGTAAGATCTGATTTTCAATTCAACGAGGCACGGTCGTGTTGCTTGTTGTCTTTAATGCAGCGATCCCAGCTCATTGATCTTTGTTAGAGGTTATGTTTGTGAAGAAGTTGCTATTGTGAGTCCATCCGGAGGGGGAAACACCCAACTTTGGGCTTGCGTCCTGCACCCTGTCATGGCTTTAACAAAACACTCCACAAGAGCAGGGGGGGGATTATGCAGCTACAGCAATAGGCGTCGGCGCTCAAGTCTCCTGATGCACAGTCCGCCAGTTGGCAATGTCTCACAAGCCGCCCTCTTTTGTCGACACCCCCTCTTAATAGGACAGGCAGCAACAGATGTTCATTCAGTCAGGACTTTCTCTATTGCGTTCTCAAAGAGGTCCTTCACGAAACGTGAAAGATGTGCAAGACCAGTGCTGTCTCCGTTAACCCGATTGCTCTGATCCGTTTCAACGGAGTGAAGTGGGTGGCGTCAGCCATCGCGAGCAACCACGCAGGTCACCGCCAGGATTGCTCCTTTCGGTGTAGCCGGTAACGCAAGGGGGCACTTGTGAGGCGAGACAAAATTGGAGGTGAACAGTCAATAATTTATCCTGCATCCTGCTTACACCTCGGTCGGTTGGCTAGGGAGTCATCGGGCATTTTATTGCATCATGGCCTGGGGCTGATGCGGTCCTATTAATCCCCCAATCTCGCCTGAAGTAAGACCGGTTTCCCTTCCACTATTTGCAAGACCTTGAATCAAATATGCATCTTATTCTCACCGGTGCGACCGGTCTCGTCGGCTCCGGCGTTCTCCAAGCCATGCTGGCGTCGAAAGAGATCACCAAGGTTTCGATTCTCAGTCGGCGAGCGGTTCCAGCCGCATCCAACAATCCAAAGGTGAACGTCATTATCCACCAAGATTTTGAGAAATATGACTCTCAAGTTCTCAGCCAGCTCCAAGGAGCCAACGGCGTGGTTTGGGCTTTGGGTATTAGCGCTCTAAAAGTTACGAAAGAGTCAGTCTGACCACCTCATCTTAATACACCACGTAGCCTTCGTGACTCGAGCTCACTCTACGCATAGGGACTGCGTCAAGATTACGAGAGATTGGCCTCTGGCTGCGGCTAAAGGTTTCTCAGACCTTGCTCCCGAAGGTCAAGCCTTTCGATTTATCTACGTCTCTGGCGGAGGCGCAACGCAAAACCCCAACTTTTTTACCGCCTTCTACGGTCGGGTCAAAGGTGAAACTGAAACGCTCTTGTCAAGTTTGCGTACTCCTTGCCTCCAAATCGAGTCTGTACGCCCAGCCGGTGTAGACGCTTCTGATCACGATGCCATTAAGCCGTTCATCCCCGATCCTGGCCTTGCGTATAGGATCATGGGTGTCTTTCTGGGACCCTTGTTCCGGACTTTGATGCCTTCCTTATACAGTCCTACTAAGCCACTTGGAGAGTTCTTGGTGGGCATGGCAGTGGGCAAATACGATCAAGACCTCGATGCGGGTGGAAAGGGCATTACTACACTGCCGGGTGGGCTAAGAGTATTGGATAACTGGGCATTTCGAAGGCTTTACGGGTTGCCTTAGCTGCAGGTTGGAAACAGAGTGCACCGAAATTTAACAAAATACGCAGGCTGCAGAGCTGTTCTGTTGTTCGTCCTATCCACTGGTACCTATACTGAAGTGACCTCGACAACTTGTCTTTTTCTGTCAGGTCTACCTAAGTTTCTTGTTACAGTCAATGCATTTGAGACGATGAAGCAGAAAATAGATATCTACCAGGAGATGAGACTCACTTCAGTAAACATCTTCAGAACGGAGCCTTAAGTTTCTGTTCGCGGCATTGAGCCTAAAGATGTTGTTGGGGTGAAATCGCGGGGTAATAAAGCGAACAGATTTGACTGTGGTTCACTTCGCCAATCCTACCCTGTAGCTGTTACAGGAAATGGAAACTTGCCAATCCCAACCAAATCTCAATTGCAAGTGGCTCCAAGATAAAGGAAATAGTCTAGATTGATGGATGAATCATTCAGCTCGTAATACTACAACAACGTGGATAAAAAAGCCGATTCGTGGCATTCCATGTTACAACCTGATGGATTCAGGCCCAACAATCCAGGACGAGTCGGGATAATTGTTCGAGCCAGAGCTTTTCAGTGTATTTGTTCCGCATCCAGGTAAACGAGCAAAGCGATATAACCTCAATTGACCGCCGCGTCCCGTGGTAACAGAGGAGGTCGAGTCCTCGTTTGTCGATACGAGCGAAGTGGATCACCAGACCCTGCTTTGTACTTTGTACCTCAACCGGGATTAATAAAGGATCAATATTGGCAGCGTGGAGGATTTGCGACAATAGGAAATCAGTGGGGGCTTCAGCCTCACCAGGCAGCCCCGTTATTCCCATTCCTCCCTGGGTGGTACCACCAAGCCGTGATATTTCCCACGGCTGCGTAAGCTTGCAACCGTCAACCTGCACCATCACATCGCGACGGAGCCATTCCGAATCTGCATCAACCTCCTGCACCAGACTGTTCACAGACTGTTCAGATACTTGTCCTTCTTGTCTGTCGCTCGGCCGGATCGTTCCGTACTCTCAATCGCCTCAACTGCACCACTTCTCCAGCTCCTGCATTCCCCACCGTCAACGACTGAAAATGAGCTCAGATCACGAACAGCCTGGCGCTACAGCCATCCGATACGTCTCGGATCCTCGCTTCCATCAGACCCTCACTCTCCCGGCGACTGCCGACCACGAGGCCCTCACTGTCAGCTTTGCGGATGCTGGCCGAGCTCCAGAACCGCCCACGGGTCCCAGCCCTCCAACTGTCCTGTTCATGCCTGGCATGTTCGCGTCCCGCTATCTGAGCATCACCTTGCATTTCGTCGCTCAGAAACTAGGCGTACGCGTTTTGGTCGTCGACCGGTGGGTCACTATCTCTACCCTTCTTATGCCTATTGAGACTTACTCTCGAATGCATCCTTAGACCCGGGATGGGCAAGTCTACCGATGTCCCCCTGGAACAGCGAGTCCCGGTCTGGCTTGAACTGGTGCCCCGTCTCCTGGAGCATCTCGGTATCAAGCATGTCGCACTCGCGTCCCATAGTGCGGGGACAATTTATTTACTGAACACGCTGTATCATTATCGCGATATCCTCCACCCAGAAAAGCCGTCTGTGACGATGCTGGGTATGTCTCCCTCCCCTTCGATGTGGATCTTTTTCCTTCACGCCTACCACTATGAGAAATGTTGTTGCTAATTGGCGAATCATCCTCATAGCGCCTTGGGTTCACCCCTCCCACTCTCGCGTCACATCGATGCAACTGGCTCAATACATACCTGCCTCAGCCTTCAGTGTCTGGCATCTCATTCCCAAATTCTTTGTTCTCAAGGCGGGGCCTGCTTTCGCTTCAAGTGGGGCGGTAGTTACCAAGGCTTCAAATGTGATTTCAGGCGGTGGTCAGGATGATTCTGAATTGGAGAAGAACCGCCAAAGGATGGAAACAGTCTATCAACTGCCTCGTGACGTGCAAATTGAAATAGACGCCTTGGTGATGAAGAAAGTGTTTGAGGAGAATACCGTCGGCGCGAATAGCGAGGCGTTGCAGGTCTTGAAGAAGGGACCGGCATTGTCATGGGGGAAGTGTGAGGATTACGAAATTTTCGTGAGGGAGGTAGTTGACCGTGAGCGGAATAGACGGAGTGCCGGGAACAATGAAGGGATGCCCAAATTGAAGGTGGCCGCCTACTTTGCCGAGACGGATGCCTTGGTTGGTCCCAAGGGACAGGCCTATATGGAGGAGTGCTGGAAAGGAAAAGAAGAGGGGGAGTTCGGGGATGTGATCGATTTCGAAACTCATACTGTTCATGGAGCTGACCATGACAGTGTAATGCAATCCGCGGTGGTTCTGGAGAAGCTTTTCATCGCTGCCGGAGGGGTGATGAACGAGAATGCGGCGTGATAGACCAATGGTCGGTAATGAGACGAGCACGAGTGCTGGTTCAATGAAATTGAAGGACAACACCGATCATAATAATTCGTATTGCTGCTTGTTGAAGAGATTTTGCAGAGCGATATATCTTGGCTCTGATTTGCGTACTACAGCATCCGTTTCCCGGTGTCGAATCAAATCCGGTGGCTATCTAGACATCGTTGCATCTGTTGGTGTGATCAAGTGTCTAATATATGTTCGAGCACAATTATTTGACCACGGCCTTTCTTTCAAGGGACGTCGCTTCAAACGTCGTCAGCACACGCCCAATTGACGCGTGCATCGGGTCAAATCAGAACCTCACTCTCTCACTTCACTGGATACGAGATTGTCTGAATAACCACGATAGATGCCCAAAATTCACGCTGGACTTCACGCCGAAGAGAGTTTTGAAACTGCAAGAGAATCGAAAGGACCAGTATCATATCATTCTTCCACATCCATGGGGACCAGCCGCACAAGACGACAAAAGACAAAGTGCATATGGGCGACTTTGTGGTGAACTGGGAGGTTTTGCCTCTATCGATTCAAGATGCAATCAGAATCACTATTGACTTGAGATATGGATGTTTCCAACCCGTGTTCCATGCTTGCTTGTGTTAGCCGCTCGCCGTACCCGCTAAGATGAGACTTCGTACCGACATGCCTGTTCCTCGTCGGTTGGATCACCGCTTGGTTCTTTATTCAACACGTTCTCACCCAGAATACAACGCCTGAGAAATAGATCCGTGAGGCTGGCGGTTACCGCCAGTTATAGCAGAAGGCAAAAAGAACAAATTAAAAAAAACGACATGGTTTCTAATAATAAGCTACATTGACGATGCTTGTGGACCTACTTTGCCGTCCTAGTCGCCGAAAACTGCATCCCGAACACTCGCCCAGAGCTGCAGCCAATTGCAATCGTCGATCCTATCACCCCGTATTGCCGCGGTCGATACTCTGAAGGCAGCCACAGTACATTCTTTCCATCTTTCATGATCCACATCCTATCGGTGGACAATCCGTAGCCATGATAATGGGGATCCTCTAAGATTTCCTGCGTCGCTTGTGAAGACGACAAATCCAGATCCAAAACACCTAGATCTGTATAAATTCGCGAGCTGCTCGTCGGATCAAACTTGAGATCAAATACCACTCTATTGGCGTTGATGGTTTGCATGCAAGCGCCAGTCGCCAGATCCCAGATCCTGATTGTCTCATCGCCTGCACTAGATGCTAGCAGCTGGTTATTGGCGGAGAAGGCGACTGAAAGTACTGAGAAAACATGACCTTCCAGCGTGTGGAGGCAGTCTCCAGTGTCAAAGTCCCAAACTTTGATAACATCGTCATCTGAACCCGATGCCAGTCTCCGAGTGTCCGCTGAGAAAGCAACTGCTTTCACTGAACCACCATGCCCCTCAAAAGTCCGAAGACAGATGCCCGTACTGGTATCCCATACCTTTACTGAACAATCGACCGACCCAGAGGCGAGGTGCTGCCCATCTTCAGATAAGGCAATGCACTTGACTGACCCAGCGTGGCCCTCAAAGGTCTGAAGACAGGCTCCGGTCGATATCTCCCAGATCTTAATCGTATCATCGCTTGAGCTCGACGCAATCGTCTGGTGATCTTTGGAGAAGAGAAGCGACGTCACTAATGTCGTGTGTCCTGCGAGTGTGCGGATACAACTTCCCGTAGCTGTATCCCAAATCTTGATATCCCCTTCGCGTGCACTTGAGGCAATTTGCTCGCCGTTACCCGAACACGCGATGCACGCAACTCCGCTATCGTGTTTCTGCACCACCTGTACGTCGTCGATTATTTCTGCGTTCCAGATCCTGATTCTCCCATCGATCGCACCGGAAGCAATCCGGTAGCGATCTTGTAGACAGACAAGCGATTCCACCGTGTCGGCATTTCCCTTTATGGTCTGTACACAAGTCCCTTTCATCGTGTCCCAGATCTTGATTGTCTGATCGTAAGAGCCCGAGGCAAGATATTCATCGCTTCCTATGCAGGTGTAGATGACTGACGTGATGTAGCGCTTGTGGCCGATAAGGGTGTGCAGACAGGTTCCCGTCTCCTCATCCCAGATTCTGATTTTGTTATCCGCAGAGCTGGAAGCGATTTGTTGTCGAGCCAGTGTGGAGGATATGGCGATTGAGTATACAGAGCCACTATTGCCTTCGAGCAGCCGAACGCAATCCCCTGTAACCGTATCCCAGATCCTAATCGTGCCATCGTTTGAGCCGGAGACGAGTCGTTGATCATCTTCGTCCAAGAAGACGACTGAACTAACAATGCTGTCGTGACCCTCCAACGTGTGGAGACAAGCTCCCGTAGTGGCATTCCAGATTTTGATTGTTTGGTCGTGCCCGCCTGAAGCGACTTTCTTGGTGTAGCCCGAGAAGGCGACTGACTGCACGGAGCTGACATGACCGGAAAGGGTGCGGACGCAAGTTCCTTTCTCAGTGTCCCAGATCCTGATAGTAGAGTCATATGAGCTTGAAGCGAGTCTCCATCCATCGTCGATACAGGCCAAATCGACTCCTGTTATTGTGCCAGTATGGCCCGTAAGGTTGCGAATACAGCGCCCAGTAGAAACAGACCAGAGTTTTACGGTCCAGTCTGATGAACCAGAGGCGAGTATTTCGACGAGCCCATTTTCCTTGAAGTTTCGCAAAAAGCCAACAGCGTTTACGGCGCCAGAGTGTCCATCGAGCGTCTGGAGACAGGCGTCCCATTCTTGATCCATGTTTGGCATGGAACTTATCCACTTTGGTGTTTCCTTGCCGAAGAACTCTCTCACCAAGCTGCGAGAAGGACTGAACACGAGACTTGAGGCGTAAGCTTGCAAGGGTGCCGCTTCTATGACCTGGCCATGGGAAAGGATGAATCTGTATGCGTCTGAAACCAGTTTCGTTACTTGAGGTGCTCCGGATTCTTCCTATTAGATATCAAGGTTAGTATACACTCTATTTCGCGACATACTCTGAACTTACCACAAGTGCTACTCTGAGACGATCCATTGCGCTGATCCCCCCTGGTAATTTACCCAGCAGGCTGAGCGCTTCCAGCCAATACAGGTATTTCTCTCGTAGAAAGACATGGACGGTGCCGTCGTCCTGTAAATGCTCGATGAGACCTGCACCTAGTCTGGGATATACGTGAACAAGGTGATCAATCCAGTAGACGCAGGAATATTCAGCTGAAGCCAATGGGTTGGGATCGGGTGGGGATACTTCATCTATGAGAGTCCCTAGCTCTCGCAGGCCGTATATGTCACGCTTCAGAGCTTCCGACATCACCTTGATGGATCTCGAGGATATAACGTGGTGATGATGTATGACGCCAGATGGCAAGACTTGATCGCTGGCTTGGTTCAGCAGAAAATCCTTTGCCGACTGATGGATGAAATAAATTGCATCATTTCTGATATTCAGGAAAGAGCCGCAGCATCCAATGAATTCCTTCACGGTTTCGATATCTTCCTTGAAATCTTCGAGTGACTCCGCAAGAGACGTCAGTTCCTTCAAGGTAATTGGGCGGTAGGTGACGGAAACGGTGGCGAGGATGTCCTTGCACAGATCCGCGTCAAGGGAATCGCTGATTTGCCCCATCATGCGAGTATATAGCGCATCGAGACCGGCTGGGAACGTGTGGAGTTTTGCAAGCGTATGCCATCTGCGGACCTTGGGATCTCCAAGTTCCCGGCAGACCAAGGCTGCCCAAAGGAATGTGTCGTCGCTGTTGGCTGCCAAGTATTCCAGAACGGCTTGTCGTGTTTTCTCGTCGTATTTCTTCTCGCGGGACAGCTGGTCGACCTTGTGCCCAATGAATGTGCGGACGGCACTCGAGACGGAAGATTCGTTCAACTCAAGGGACAGCTGGATGCTCTCGATGGCACCCAGCTTTTCCTCAATATCTGGCCAGTTACGACTCGATAGGACCCATTTAGCGCTGGCTGAAGTCGACATTTGACAAATGAAGTCGAGAAGCTCGGGCAATCCAGTCACGCACTCGTCGAGTGCATCAATGATAAGCGTTACACCATCCAGTATCGGGTCATCGAGCATAGCAGTGAGCATCTTGGACAAGGTCCCCCAGGCTACGTTATCCTCAAACAGTTGCTTGCCGACATGGTCATACTTTTTGGGAACGTGAGAAATAAGGGACGGAAGTTGGTCGATGAGGACGTAAACAATACCGCGCAGCACAGCTGTTGCAGTGCGGAGGGTTGGCTCAGTGGCTTGGCAAAAGAAGTAGGACATGGCGTGTGTCTTTTCTTTCACCAATTCGTCGATGATTCCGCACAAAAGCATTGTCTTGCCCTTGCCAGGATCACCTTTGATCCAGAGGAGTCGGCTCTCAGTCTCGGTGCGCCATCGGTTGAAGTCGGCGTGTTCGAGAATCCAGCTGTATGAATCCTTGAGCAGGCCGCCTTTCGTTTCCTGGATTCGCGTCTTGTTGTCTCGGGGATCGGTCTCACGTAAATCGTGTAGACATTTGTTGTAGTTGTCGTCTTTTCGAATTTTCGCCTGCTGCTCTTGGAACTTGGCCTGCTGTTCCTGGAATTTTGTTTGCTGCGTGGTTTGGGCTAAAAGAGCCGAGTAGATGTCCTGGAGCTTCGACTCTTGGGAGACGGCGGCTTCGGCAATACCTTGAAGATGCGACTTGACCTGTTCGGTGTTGTATTGCTGAGAGTCGTTTCGCACAGCAACCTCCGCGTCCTGGATGTCTGTGAGTTGGCCATTCCAATCATCAAGCTTGAACATATCCCTCAGGAAGACGACGGTTTGGTTTCGGTGGTAAATGCAGATACTCCTCATCTGGTAGAGGAGGAGCTTTTTGTAGAGCTGGATGATGTGCTTCTCTAGTTCGTCTCGAAGCCCTGCAGCAGAGCTTGCAGACCGATTTTTATCAAGGAGAAGGCCGGCCAAGTTCCAATACCAATCCATTCTCGATACGACGTAAGAAACTCCACGGCGGTTAATGCCTGCCTCGGTGATTGGATTTGAGAGAATCTATTAAAAATTGAGTGTGAGCAACCATGTCTGTACAAACCAGCGTTGTGTCGTTCGAACTCACATCCAGTGCTAAGCAGACGCCCACCCAAGCGACAGAAGCTTCGGGTGATGCCTGAACTGCCTTGTCGACAATTCCTTTCATGATGGATGCTGTTTGAAAACCGCCTTCAATTCCTTGCTTGACAGATGCGCCCTTCGCCGTCTTTTCCAGCCCCAGACGGACAAGTTCTTGCATCTGATGCGACCGCTCCTCTCGGGTTTGTCCGATGTCATTCTTCTGCGATGCAGGTGGCGAGTCCCCGGCATGAAGTTGGCTGGATAGAATCTTCTCGTACGTTTCTACCACGTCGGGCTCGTTGGATTTGAGCTGGTCGTAGGCCTCATTCCAAAGGCATTCTTGAAGGCTCTCGGTTGAGATTGGAGCCTGGGGAGGGGACGAATTTGAGGCGGGCTGAGAGACATGTTGGGAAACGGGTTGGGATGTGGATTGAGGGGTAGATTGAGAGGCGTGCTGAGAGGCGGGTTGAGAGGCGGATTGGGAGGCGGATTGGGAGGAAGATTGAGACGTCGCTGGCTGAGAATCTGGTGGAGATGGCTTGACCGGCGGTGGGACAGGATCAGGTGTTGTAGCTTCGTGCGACCCTTTGAACTTGGAGCGCAGGTTTTTGAATAAATGAGGCGCCATGATTGGCGAGAAGTCGATTTGAAGCCGCTGTGGGATCTGGTGGCGGCGACTATGGGTTGTCGCGTTCCGAGAGATGATGCATCAGTGAGATTGCGCGAGATTTAAAGGCGGGGGCAGATATTCGGAGTTTGAAGCCAAGGAGGATTCGCAATGTGTTACATGACGTGTCTCCAATCTACAGGGGCTTGAAGGCTGTGCAACATCCCTGGCCGGGTGGTTCAATGTCCAATAGGGGGTTGATTATACTGGATCCATTGTTCATTGTCAGCCCCAGCGTCAACACACGGCACTGGTTGGACCAAGTACGAGATGAAGAGTGCGGCCACCGTCGTAGGGCTGACGGGGATGGCCAGGGTTTAGTATGCGGGTGTTCAATCATTAATAGTGGACATGTTGCAGTCTCAACACCGCTTAATTTACAAAAACCTGATCATCAGACAGGAAGCAGTCACGGCACCCGAATTCGTGGTCGATAAATGACCAATGATCTATCCGAGCGTGCCGGGGACGATAGATTGACACGTTGAATGTCGGTAGATGATAAGTCAGGTGCCCTAGTAACGGATCAACCCACTAACGGATCACCCCACTTTAAGCCGCGTTGACCACAACGCGTCTCCGACCACACGCGTTTCTTCCTTCCACAACATCTTATTGGGCAATTCAACCTCTTTGAGCTATTCAGCATGCCCAATTACACCCAAAATGACCTTCAATTGGCTATCCAAGAAGTTGCTGAAGGCACCTCAATACGCAAAGCAGCCAATCATCACAATATTCCCTATACAACCCTACACAGTCGGATCAATAGCAGAGAAACGCGTCACAAGGCTCACCAATGGCAGCAAAGGCTTTCTACACATCAGGAAACGGAGCTCTGTAATTGGCTTATTCTTCAAGACAAGCTGGGTATGGCTATGACTCATGCCCAGATCCGGAAGTTGGTTATTTCCATTTTGGGCGCAGCCGGCGATGACCGACCTCTCGGAAAACGCTGGATAGCCGGGTTTTTAAGCCGCAATCTACAAATAAAAACACTCAAAGCCAAGGGAATTGACTCAAAAAGGATAAATGGGGCCAATCCGTATGCTATTGGCAGGTTCTTTGATATATTGGACCAACCAGGTATCTGCAATATCCCTCCGCATAACCGTTGGAATTGGGATGAAACTGGGATCTTTTAAGGGATCGGAACCAACAGGCTTGTACTTAGCCAATCAGAACTACAATCAACTATTAAGAAACACCCGGACAGCCTTCATTGGACTAGTATTCTTAAGGCTATTTCCACAACTGGAAAGTACCTTAACCCATTGGTTATCTTCAAAGGCAAAAACTCACAATAGCAGTAATTTCCAGAGGATATGAACTATCTGACTAATTGGAACTTTACATCATCTGAAAAGGGCTGGACTAGTGATGCAATTAGCCTAGAATGGCTAAAAGAGATCTTTATTCCAGGATTAAAGACAAAAAGACCCAATAAGAAGCGACTTCTTATATTAGATGGCTACGGATTACACGCAACGTCCGATTTCATGCATCTCTATATAGCCAATCGAATCCAATTAGTCTATTTACCGCTACATACAAGCCATATTCTTTAGCCTCTTAATATATCAGTCTTTGGGCCAATTAAGGCTGCATATCAAGCTACATTAACCCTAGCCAATCCCCTTGTTAATACCAGCCCAATAAGGAAAGAGACCTTCCTAAAGTGCTATTTTAAGGCTAGAAATACCGCCCTGACAGAAGCCAATGCAAAGGCTAGATGGAAAGGGTTAGAATTGTGGCTAATGGACCGAAATAAGGCATTGGGTAGTCGGTTCGTTATTGATAACCCCAATCAGACTATTACAGTCCAATCAGCTAATCCCTCGCCTTCAAGACTGAATCAGAGGTTGGAAAATAACCTATTTACAACCCCTAGTCATTCAAGGGATGTATAGTTATTGGTGCGGTCACAAGGTCGACCTAGCTATAATAGCCCAACCACAAGACATCTATTTCGAACTGTGGGTAAGGGTCTAGATGCTCTAGGGATGAAAGTATCAAAGCTAGAGGAGGAAAATAGGGCTCTAAAGCAGCAATTAAGCCAATCGAAAAAGAGAAAAAGAGCAGCAGTTAAAAGAGACCCAAATAAGCTTTTTATCTCTATTCAAAATATTAGAGCAACAAGAAGCCGGATAGAACCTTCTAAGTTAGAATATTCAGAATAAGTAGCTTTTACTAGAATTTCATTGGTTAATTTATAAATATTTAAAATCTTTAGTCTTTTTTTTATTTAAAAAGTCTTTAAATTGACCAATTAGAATACTTGGTTGTTGTTTTATTTGTATTTGAAGTTGATAGGTAGGTCTATTGATCATGTAAGTGGGGGTGATCCGTTAGTGGGTTGATCCGTTACTAGGGTAGTTGACTTAGTCAAAATTCGAGAATTCATCCAATCGGCAATACCATATTCACATGCAGTCAAAGCGCATTTCCAATGAACATGTACCATAAATAGGCCCGAAATCCGTGGTAATTCAGCAGTACAAGACTAGAGAAGATTAGGACATCGCCGAGCGAAATGCAGATCTGTTGGTTGTTGGTTGTTGGTTGCTACACACTGGAAATTAATACGACAGCGTGTTGGCCAGCCCTCTCGGCCCATCGTTCCGGGGAGCGCGGGGCCTGTAATTAGCGGACAAATAAACAACTTTCCCCTGTAGAGCTCTAATTCAATCCCAGACAGCGGCGGGAGCTGCCTAAAATGCTCCCGATCCGTTCCTTGTGGATCACCTTCAAGACCCCCCCGGAAGATACCTAAAGTGTGAAATGTCAGGTGAGCTAATAATGCGAAGTTCTTTAAATAATCTTGATGCCCAAACTTAACCCGCCATTGGCTCGACATTTTAGGTGGTGCGACTTATTTTTCTCACCTCGAGAACCTGACTTGTATGCATACTGCCGAAGACGCTTGAATTCCCGTGGGTTGAGCTGGCCGACATCACAATCCACCATGGCGGGAAGAGATCAACACCAGGAGGAGCTCGTCAGGGCAATGATGGAGCTCGACATGTCAGTTACCGGGCAAGGGACACCGCTCACTCAACCACTCGCTGATGCCGCTCACCGACGAGGAAACGTTCCGACTGGCATTGAAGACCATGTACGGGGAGCCAGCCGTCCGAAGGGCAAGCCCCCGCTGTGGGTAGTCGATCGCACCCTGGAGCCGCAGATGATAGGAAAATTCATCAGCTTTCTCTCTTTTGGCCATCTGCCTGGCGGTAGGAAAACATCACTCCCACGACCGACGGCCAGAGAGGTGCTCAGGATCGTGCGGCCCTTCTCCGAGTGGGCTCTGCCGCCTCACAACCACAGCAACCGATCAACAGTTGACTGGATGGGCGTGCGAATCGGTTCCTACGAAGATGGGGCGCGGCTTATGGTAATCTCAAAGGAGCTTCACTCTATGAAGACCAGAGTGTGGGAGGGCCTTGCTCCCCTGTCCGAGAGGCGCTGGAAGGATCTGAAGCTGGACGATCCCCAAAATTTCCACGCTGCCTGCCAGTACTTGGTGGCCGTCACCAACGTGTTTCACTATCTGAACCATAGAGTGGTCAAGGACAATCTGCGAAAGACGTGCAATCTCATCTGGGATCATCTCAAGCCATACGAGGAAGCCATCAACGCCCTGCGAAGCGCCGCCTCGCCCGAAGGCTACCACCAACCCGTTTCCGTCACGAGCCTCTGGTACGAATTCATCAGCGCCCACTACAAGTACATCTCTGCCAGAGCTCACCAGTGGGTGATTGAGCACGTCTACCGTCTCAGGGCGCCAATCGCAGCAGCCCTTGACATCCACAAGCCGGTAGCTCCAGGTGCCCACGACGCAATCCAATGGTATCTCACCAACAAGATTCACGATCTGCAGGGAAACGTTGTGCACGCTGACAGCACCATCTTCATGCCTACCGACGGCTACAAGGGTGACCCGCTACCAGCGCAGGATAACGTGCTGTTGACTGAACAGGATCGACGACCCTTTCGCGAGCAGCCCATCACCTGGCATGCCAATCAAGAGCGGCGCGTAGCCGACTATACTGCACGACTCAGATACGTGGCGCGACAGGAACAATACAAGGAAGTCGCTCAGGCCGGGGTGCAAAATCTTGTCTCCCGTCCTATGAACGACCCTACGGAAATTACCCTCATCATCCGCAGCGAACTTAGTAGTCAAACAATTACCCGGAGGGAACTTCGTGGGGAACCCGAACCACTGGGGTTGGGTCTCTGGCTCGATTATCTCAGGAACAATGTTGATAGCAAGCTACTTAAATGGAGCTATGTTGCGTATCGGCTCGACCATGAGCACAATGATGGCCAATGGAACTACTTCAAAGAGAGGTTTGAAGCCGACAGTGCCGACTGGGGCCAAGAGTATGCAGGAATTGACGAAATCCGAAATATCTCCAAGATCCACTGGTTGGACGGAAAGGAGTTGGGTATCGAAGACGGAAACATAGAGGCTGCCAAGAAGTGAGTTCGTTATTGATATCATTTATAGCCATTGCACTAACACGCCATTTCAGACATTTTATGGAATTCGTCAAGTCTGAAAATGCGCCCAGGCAGGCTCGTCAGAAGATGTTCCTTGTGGCCGATGGCGATGTTCTTCGATCGTACTTGAAGCCAGGGAGAGTCAAAGAGGGCTTTATCCTAGCAGTAGACGCTAAATTTGATCCTCTCGAAGCCACACCCGATGAGCAATCTCCCGGATACAACGGATCTGTGCGAGTGCTCGGAAGTTTGCTGTGGGACGACCTCGGCGCCATGGGCCTGATGCAAAATCAGGGGCTCAGGGATCTCTGGCCTTTGGCCTTCAACAATCCATCGCGTATTTATGAGGGGCCACTGCCAAGGTCGGTAATGCCATCGGGGGCCCCAGTCGCAGAGAGCGTGGCCATGGCCCAGAGGTATTCCGCGCCCCAGCAGGTTTCTTGGATTGTGGTTGCATGCATTCTAGGAAACTACTTCTTTGGCGGGTCGGAGCAGTGACTTCCCAATTTTTGGCTTATTATAAACGAGGAGAAGACCAGTAAGGATCAACATTGGTCAGGGGTTGACAAATTGTTGAGGATCGAGCGTGCGTCGCTGGTATTGGTTTACTAGAAGACCAGTGACTAGCAGCGAGAAGATAATTACATAGAATTTAATCCATAAAGCTACTTGCTCCAGCTATCTACAAGTTGAAACAGCGCTTCATCAGTCCCAACATTTCCAGGAAATACGACATACGGCAAACTAGGCCACTTCGATGATGCTTCGTCGCACCTCCAGAGCGGCACCCCCGACGCTGCCTGTCCCAGAATAAGAGCTCTTTGCATTCTAAGTCCCTTGGTGGCCATATCTGAGGATGTGATGCCTCCTTTGGCAATGATGTATCGTGGCTTCGTCTTGAGCTCAACCAGGAACTGAACGAGAGCGTTTGCCACAATAGATCCAATCGTCAAACTCTTGGCCTTGTCTGCATCTTTGATCAACTTGCGGCTTGTCATTACAAGCGTATCCTGTCCTCTGGTAATTTCGCGCTCGGCGATTGCGATTGCATCGGCAACGGCTTTTGAGGCGTCTTCGGGGGACTTGAGCAATTGCTCCACCTGAAGCTCTACCACCGTCAGACGGTCACCACTTGAAGCTATTAATTTGTTGAGCTGCGCCGTCGTCTTTGGGACGTAGGACCCAGCGATGATCAAGCCGCCCACGTGTGGAGAGAAGGAGAGCTGGGAAGACGAGATGGGCGCGATCTGAGCAATCGCCAGCCGCGCGGATACAAATGCGGCTCCTGTTCGGTAGATGTACCGCTTCCCTTGGCTGGCTGCCCTCAACACGGCCAACACAACGGCGTCGACATCTTGATCTGTGGTGGCGTTTACGACCACGACAGATCCTTTTGGTACCTGAAGTAGCTGTTCAAATAACACGTCTGGATCTCTGTTGCGAATAACGTCGAGACTCAGCGAGGCCACAGTATCAGCCGGGATGCGGCCCATGCTCTTCTCTTCCACGTAGGCTCGGAGATTTGAATTGGCGTACCCAAACGTTCCGTCCTTGGCGAAGGGTGTGTCCGCAGCTGGTGTTAGAACATCGCCTTCGACCACGTAGTGCACGTCGTCAATCGTGTATCGACCTCCTTGGAAGAAAAAGGGACATAGAAGACACGCATCTGCAGCCCCAAGGACTCTTTCTGCGACGTCGACCTCTAGCGGAAAGTGGCCCCGAAGAGTAGAATCGCTACGGAGCACAATCTCAAAGGCAATGCCAGTAGCGGCCGAGGCGGCTTGGAGGTTGGTGCAGATCTCAGTGATGAGTGCTTCCGCCGGTTCCGGATGCAGGGCTCGCGAGTTGGTGAGGATGAAAAAGCCCCCGCCCGTAGGTGTTTGTTGAAGTTCAGTTGACAGTGTTTTCGTGTCCCAGATCAGCAGAACTGGGATGTTGTTGCATGTTTGCGTGCCGGTAGGGTCATCGTCTAAAATTACAAGGACTGGAGCTCGGGCAGCAGGGTCTTGCAGGATGGCTCGTACCTTTGCCTGCGGTTCGTCTGTGATGACGGGGGGGAGACTGGAGAGTGTGGCTGAGAGTGGGAGGGCCATGATTGTCAAGTTTCGGTGACAACGAAGAACAAGAGAGAATTGGTAGGGACAGTCAACTTGCTGCGCTGACTATCAAGCCACTATAAACTAAGGTATGGTGTGAGAACACACATACGCATCTAAAGCTGGTGGGGGCGCATCGGTCTTACGGCCGAGAGGCGGCAATCAGGCCGGTGACCAACTAACCCAACTTGTCTTTGCCGATGTAGAGGGATACGACGGCCTCGGCTTAAATCCGATTCCAAAATATACCTCTCACATTACAAATAAATTATATACTGCCCCCTGTTCTAGACACTCTAACATTATTAGTATTTTAACGATAGGCATAGGGCATGGATAAATTACCTAACTGCCGTTTGTAGCGCCAGCACAGGCAAGACCTTTTCGACGTCGATTGTGAGAGCTGTCTATACTTAAACTTGTTTTCATACTTAGAGCTGAATCTGCATTCCATATGCGTTACCCGAAGTCTGAAGCCTGTACTCTTGCCCAATTTCAATAGCGGAACGACCTTGGCTTGCCTTCGAGCGTTTCAAGACGCCATATACCAATTGTTTGATCTCCTCTTTATTCTTGATTTGATACCAGTGGTCACTCTCGTACCTCCACTGGACCACACCGTGGCGAACCACAATGCGGTCTGCTAGGATTTCCAAGGCGTCTTCAACTGTCGATTGACTCACAACAGCCCCGTAACTAATCATCTGTTGAGCAACCTTGCCCAGCGCCTTTCGGTCTCTTGCGTAGATAGACTGGTAAGCAGATGCACAGACAATTCTTGCAATAACGACCTTCCAAGCCGTTGGTGCTTTTACCCTGGCGCAGTAGTGGAAATCGAACGAATAGTTTGGATTGCCTCCTTTCTGGAGAATGGCCTCCATAGTTTTAACTGTGAAGTCATTCCACGGGTTGTTTGATTCGACCGGAAGTAGTAGTAGCGGGTAGCCGTTACCAGTGGGTTGGAAGAGCCCTGGAGCCAATTTTGCAGCTGCCTGAACAAAACGACCACGTCCCTTGTTGGCTGCCCGTTCCTGCGAGTGACCTTTCCTGCCCGTACTCCCATCATGTGAAATGAGGCAGTCCTTGTTTGCCTTGGCGCTGACATACTGATAAACCCCAAACTTTGCGGCTTGGCAGAGAAAGCGACTTGCGAGGCTAATGTCTCCGGGTTGATTCCGCGCCTCTTTTGGGAAGGGGATCAGGATGTTCTTAGATACTGTAACATCATAAAAGTCGTCCATCAGGTGAATGATGTCAAATTTGTGTTCTGGGAGAGTCCTGGCCCCATGGTACATGTACTCCTCAACGGTGGAATCATAGACATTGGGGTCATTGCCAGGGACGGCTTTGAACAAGGCGAGCCTAGCCGCAAGAAGTTTGAGATGAATATCGTCGGATATCCGTTCAAGCTTTCTCTGCGCTTCCGGGCTCCCAATGTAATCTTTCACCGTCTTGTGTAGATAATGGACCTTGAAGTCACATGGATTGAGCGTTGACTGGCCAGGATGCTGGTTACTCCTGTCCATCTCAAGTAGACCCTTGCTTCGGCTGTTAATTCGAAGTCTCATGGAATTCACTCTGTCTTTGATTTGCTCAGGCGTCATAGCTGCGCTCTTCAGCCTCAAGGCAAACTTGATCGGGTTCTCTTCATCTGCGAATGAGAGAAGGAGGGCACGAGGAGGTTCAACGCACGCTTCCATAAGCGCAAAGTACTCCGTAGCATGTCGTCGATAGAAAGGATCAAGACTGTCTAGAATCCTTCCGTATAGTTTCTCTAAGTCGGGGGGCAGGAGATCGAGCCGCCTTTTGAGATCGATGACGCGGTCGCCGAAGCGAATTCCCGACAATAAAGAATTGACGACGAGCTGAACCCATAAGAACACCCCTGATGCCTTCACGACAACTTCTTCAATGAGAGCTTTAGCAAAATTGGTCTCACTCTGTAGCAGATCCTTGAACGATAGATCGCCGAGGAATCGACTGCTGACGTAGCTTTTAATATCCGAGTATGTAAGATCTTCCAGCCGCAAACTTGGCTGGTGTACGAAGGCTTTCTCAAACTCAACCCATGGACGACTAGAGACACAGAGTTTGACAGAGGATGCGGAGACGAGATCATGAAGAAGTGAGATCAACTCTTGATGATTGCCATCAAACTCGTCCAGGCCGTCAATGAACAACACAGGTGTCGCCAAGGAGTCGATGTGCATCACTGCGCGACGAAACATGGCGCCAACTTCGCCATGCGTCAAGGATCTTGGAGGTTCATCGAAAAGAGACAAGGCTTCCCATGCATTGGGCGAAACGAATGGTATCGCTTCGGGGTACGCCTGTAAAAGTTGGGCGAGTATCGTCAAGAACATGCCCGTAGTTGACTTCTGCACCATCGAACCTCCGGCCCAAAAGTAGAATGATGCCACAATGAATGGCTTCTCCTGGGTTCTGTTGTGCAAATACTTTGCACAACGGACTTCGGGAGGCGAGTATGCTCCAGGGGTTCGAGCGGGCTGTGTGACGAATTTCATCAGAGTCGACTTACCAGCTCCAGCCTTGCCAGTAATCCAGTAGAGCTGATCGTCTGACTGAAGCCAGTCTTTGAAACTCGACCATGAAACAGCATGAGGGTCATCGTTCGGTTCTTCAAAGATCCAGCGGAATGTTTGTTGATGAGCTTCAGCAATTCGCTGTTCTCGATCCTGATTTCCAGGGAAGTGGAGAGAGGCCAAGAAAATGCCGTACAGACTGGCTCTATGGCTCTCAGACATGCCGATCTTGGATGAAGCCTCGCCATCCCTCCCTCCCTGGTACACCTCGTTGACCAATGCTTGACGAAGGAATAGTTTTCCGTTACTGCGACTGGATTCCTGCAGTGGCCCAGCGAGATATTCAATCACCGCAGATCCAAATCCGTTACTTGCCAAAGAGGTTTCTTCCGGCAGGGTGTTGCGATCGCCCGTCAGTGTGGCTAACTTGTCGAGAATTTCTTGCTGGTTTTGCAGCGAGGTGTTGGCATGCATTCTATAAACATAGATCGTTAGCCTCCGTGCTAACGCGGCTCTCAGTTTACACTAACCTAAGTGAGAGTATCAACTTCAAAGTGAGTTGTTTACTATACTTGTCGAGTCGGTCCTGGAGGGCATTTATTTTGTCTTTATTCCAAAGAACCTTGAACGATTGAACAGCAGTGTCGCGCTTCAATCCTTTCGAGGGTATATGAATACTGCCCAGCGTCTCTATCATGTCCGATAAGGTACTAGCACATTCCTTGGCCAGTGTATCGTCGGAGTTGTCTCCAGTGGTCGCCTCGGAATTCGCTGATTCATCTAGAAGGGCATCTACCACAACCTGGAGGTTTTTGGCGAAGACTTGGTGGTCCGAGAGGCTGTCTAGGCCTTCTATGCCCGACTTGTGTATCTTCCGTGCTGTTACCACAAATTGCCTACTAAAGTCGACAACCTGCAGAATTCCTGCGACAAGGCCGAGAGTTTCGGCCATGGTCGTGGTATCGGTGCTACAGGCAAAATAGTGTCTGGATAATCGGGCTGTGAGGAGCGACAGGAGTCAAATGTCGTTGCCTTGAGGAACGAAAGGTCTTTATGCCCAACCCCGCTTCCCTCCGAAGCTTACGTCACGTGGTATGACTGTGTGTCAGATACATGCCGTCAGGCTGAAAACATAGTGAGTGCACTGCTATAATTAGTACCTGCTTCATTATCTGGGTCTATACTGCACTCTGACACAACGCCCCAGCGAGAATAGCTTCCAAAGGTTTTACGCTGGCTCGTTGTCTATTGAGTGGGGCTTGAATACTAGGTTATCGGGGGATTATCAGATTATATTTAATAATAATATTAATTAAATGTAATAGGGGAAACTAGCGGGTGTCTAGCTGCAGATATATACTCGGTGGTCATCTAGTATGCTGACCGATCGAGAGGCGATCTCCTTATGGTTAAATAGAGCAACCCCTTAGACTAAGAAGAGAGGGGTAAACTTCAGTCCTATTATCCTACAGAATATACCGTTTATCTGCCTGACTATCGTTATTGAATCCCCTGTGACTCGTAATAACCTATATCTGTATTATATTAAATCATTTTCCTCGGCTTTAAGGCTGGAAATTCATGATTAAGCACTTTAGGGCTTCATGCACTTCAATTACGGGGTGGACTTAGACTGACGAGGCGAAATGATGATCAATACCGGGGCGGCACAGATTTTTGATGCTCTGTCTCGAGCTCTCAAGGGTCGATATGTTATTCTGCCCCTAGATACCTTCTACCTATTGGACCTTCCCCCTTGTATCAACTGGCCAGATTTCCTCAACAACGCCCCTGCGATGCGCGTAGTAGACATCATGCAGGTTGATGGTGGGATCAATATGGCTAGGAATCATGTGGACGCGATCCCCAATCTTCAATTCCGGGGTTCCCTCCTCCCAATTCAACGAGCCGTGTTCGTCTCCTAGACACCCATACTCGTACCTTGAATCCTGGCATTCCGCTAGTCCGCTGTCCGTCGTCAAAGACTTGAGCCCGCTGTCGATGGTCACTTGTCGATCTCCCTGCTTGCTGATCACGGTCGACAGTATCGTCAGACTGTTGGAGTAGCGTGTGCCTATCGCGTTCCTGTAATCCGTATCCATGAAGATGAATGAGCCGGGCTGCAGCTCCGTCACGCCCGGCACTGTTGCGCAGAACTCGGCCGTCCCCGTGCCTCCAGTTGTGATAACATCCATGTTAAAGCCCTCCCTGCGCAACGCGTCTGCCGTCTCCGTCAAAGTCTTCATCGACTCCAAACACTGTTGTTTGCGCTCTTCCCGGTCGTGCAAGTGCTGTAGATGCCCCTCATAACCCTGGATGCCAATCAATCGCAGGTTCTTAAGCATGCCAACATGTCGAGCGAGGGCCAACACCGGTTCTCCTGGCTGGGCTCCTGTGCGGTGTAGCCCAACGTCCAAGTCTAGCAACACATGGATAGGATCGTCTGCAACTTCAGGCGCCTGCCCCAATGCATTGTTGATAGCCGAAGCGCCAGTCTCGCTGTCCACCACGATCCGGATGTTTCTATGCTTTTTGTATAGCTCAACCAGCCGATTGACCTTTGGTGCGCCGATGATCTCACAGGTGATGAGCAGATCGTCAAAGCCAGCACTCGTCATGGCTTCTGCCTCGCTTAGCTTGGCCACACAACCGCCTTTTGCGCCTGCGGCATTAAGTTTGTGAGCCAAGATGGCGCTTTTTGTTGTCTTGAGGTGGGGGCGAATATTGAGGCCTGTTGGGAGAAGAGAATCCATGAGCTTCTTAATGTTGGCTTCCATGAGGTCAAGGTCGACGATCATTGACGGCGTGTCCAGGCTTTCAAGCCGGTCACCAACGCTTGGGGAATAGGATGAAGCCATGTTTGATTGGATTGTTTGACTTGGGGAAATATTTTTTTCCGAAAAGAAAAAAGAAGTAGAAAATTAGCACAATCAAAGGAAACGAGCTAATGCCTGGAGTGAGAGAAGCACACTGATCTCGAAATTCTTTGGTGTTCGGACAACAAGTGAGGGGTTGCACGCATTTCGACCCTCCTCTTCGTATTATTGGTACAACGTTACATAATCGAACGATGATCCTTCCGCTCCACAGCTTATCTGCATCCCCCCTCTCGCCTCTCGACTCGTGACCCCATACAAGCACTTCGAGGGAGATGCGCCGATATACGGCCGCCATACTGACATGATCTAGGCAAAATGAAGGAAGCCGGGCTTGTGTTTGTGGGGTAGTACCGGCAGATGACACACTATAGTCCCCTTTGCCCATTCCCCGCCCATAAGTCGACCCGCCCTTCACTAGCTTAGTTCTTCGTAGGTCGACTCGTTTCGGTAGTTTACAAGAACCAACGGAACTCGGGAACATCAGGTCCTTCGCGGAGCCTCTGAGTCGGAACATCTGCAGCCGTTGTCTTCACTCCGTCCCTGCGGTTTCTTCGATGGTTGTCAAACATCATAAAGGTGCCCAAGCATCCGGCAATGAGACACCCGCATGCTCCAAACGCCGCCGTAGTGATTAATGCCGTCTCGTACTTTGGCTTCTCGTTCTCTCGGAAAATGTTACTGGAGACAAGGCCCATCACATTAGCCAGCGGGACACCCACCGATGTAAGAACTACACGACGACCCTCGTGCGCAATGTTGTTGTTGTACCAGGTCGAGAGAATGACGGATGGCGCAGATGTGCCCCAGACCATCATAAAGCAAGCGTAGTAAGCAAGCTGAATTTGAGCTTGAACATCTTCAATGGAGACGTAGATGATGAAGCCGATAAAAGTGAGAGTGAATCCAAGCATGATGAAGGGGAATCGTAGACGGAGCAAGTCAGAGCTAAAAGCCAGAATCAACAGCATGACAGCGCCGCCGATGTTGGGAGCCACTGTGTATAGGTTTGTCTTGACCGTATCGTACCCGAGACGACCGATGATCTGAGGCATGAAGAGCCCAACAGACTGGATCGGCACGCCGAGGCAGATCTCAATCATGAGAAAGCCGTAAGTTGAGGGGTATGTGAAAATCCGCAGCGAGTCCTTGAGATTGAACTTCTCGGACACGATAGACGACGAATCGACCTGAATACGGTGAAATGCAAGCGCCTTGTCTTCCTCGCAGAGGAATTTGGCCTCGCGAGCGCTGCGAGGAAGGTACCAGAAGGCAAAAAACGAGAAGAGAACCGATGCAGCGCCTTCAATGAGGAAGAGGTATCGCCATACAAAAAGCTTCGAGCGAATATGAAAGACGCCATAGGATAATAATCCGCTCTTTCAATTTAATATCAGTGAAATTGACTCATCATAAGCAAGGGAATTGGTACTTACAAAGGCGTTAGCAATGTTGGATGCGGCGTAAAAAAGGGCCAGTCGACGAGCCAACTCTCCTCTACGGTAGAAAGTTGTCAAGTAGTAGATAACCAACGGGAAAAATCCGGACTCGGCCATTCCCAGAATAAATCGCAGCGCAAATAGACCACCGAAGTTAGAAGCTGCCACAGAGAGTATGGTAGCAGACCCGAAAATAAACATGAGGATGGGCAAGACGCGAGCTGGGCCGAAAGTCTTGCCAAGAATAGCGACAGGTGGAGCAAATATGACATAGGGAACGAAGAATATGGAGACAAGCAAGTTGTACTGATTCGGCTTGAAGTTCAGGTCTAGATGCTGTCAATCCCGGAAGTCAGGTATGTTGGTTGGGAACCAATACCTTCGCTCAGCCCTGCAGATTCTGCATTGCCTAGGTTTCCTTTGTCCAGGGCATTAAAGAGGTCTAAATATTGCCATCAGCCTAAACAAGTCAATTTCTCACCCAAGTTGTGTTAATACTTACACATGACAGATAGCACGGGTAAGATTCGTACGTCGAACTTGCGACAAAGCCGCCTCTCCGCTTGGTGATCAACGACCCTTGCTGTTTCCTCGATGTCGCCGAATTCAACATCGTTGATAGCACCAGCTCTACTCTCGTCCTTTTCGGAATCCATCTTGTTGAATTTGAGCGGAGGGCAAAATGGGACAACCGCGGAAAGCAAGTTTGGTGCAAACCAACGGATAGATGAGGGTTCAACTATGATGTCGCCTTGAGCATGTAAGGATAGAAACTTAGAATGAGGGGTGTCGGGGGTTCAGAAATACTATGTAGCATTTAAAAAGAGCTTCCAGTGCTGATAATGATTGCCGGCCGATGCTTATCTTGTTACCTGGGTGTATGCAGGGCCTTCTGAAGTGGTGGGCTTGGGACACCGAGTTTTGAGAGCTGTGAGACACAGTTTTGCCGGTCAGATAACAACTGGCCATTGTGCCTTGTTTGTCTTTGGTACCACCGTCGATCACACTCAATCGTTGTGCATAGGAGTATCCCTACAGGCCGTCGCAATGTTGTGCCATTGATGTCCCCGCACTGTGTATCCAACCTCGCGACCGCACCAAGTAATTGATTGACACGAATACAACCTTCCCTTTCAGAGCAAGTGCCGTAGAGTATGATTTTATGCTGACTCGCTGCAGGCCTTATCGCCCCGATAATTGGTCGGCTTTGTACTTTTTAATACTCAGCGTTACGTTACATGCCAATCTGATATATCCCGACAGTCGCTTGCTTGCTGGTTTGCAAGCCCACCTGCGTACCTGCCACCTCCATCATGAGTACCCAACCACCTTATCCCCTTCACGAATCGGTCCTCGAGCGAATCGACCCCGAATATGCTGCTTTCTACAATAAGAACATCCTCGACAAGCAGCAGGTACACTTGCAACCTGTAGAGGCGTCGAGAACAAGCGGCACGCTTATCCCAGGCAGTGGTCCCTTGCAGCCCGTAGCCAGCACCGTCGACTATTCCATCGCTCGGGCCGAGAGCCAGGGACCTGACGTTAGAGTACGATGTTTCACTCCCCGAGGTAGTAAGCCGGCAGCTGGATGGCCTGTGTGTGTCTACTTCCACGGCGGGGGCTGGGTACTCGGGACAATCGACACCGAGAATGTAATTGCCTCGCATCTTTGCGCGCGAGCCGAGTGCGTGGTTGTCGCCGTCGACTACAGGTAAGTGCTGCCATTATTTCTCGTGGTTGGAGCACCCGACGAGGTATTAACTATTGCAAACAAGACTAGCTCCAGAAAACCCTTTCCCTGCGGCCGTTCATGATTCGTGGGAGGCTGTTCTTTGGGTGGTTGGGGATGGTGCGGAAAAGCTTAGCCTAAACACCACCAAGATGGCCACGGGTATGTATTATCCCAGATCTGTGCACCAACTCCCAGTGTCGTGTACGAGATATTTCCTTTGTATTGACTCTACATTAAATAGGTGGTTCGTCAGCGGGAGCAAACTTGGCTGCCATCATGTGCCAGAGGGCGGCTGATCGAGGAGGACCAAAATTCTCGCTCCAGCTTCTCTCAGTTCCCGTCATGGACAACACCGCCAACACCACGAACAACGTCTCTTGGAGAGAGAATCAAAACTCCCCTGCTCTTCCCGCGCCAAAGATGCTTTGGTACCGGAAACATTACCTGCCCGAGGAAGATGACTGGTCGCACCCCGAGGCGAGCCCTCTCTTCTGGAAGGGCGACTGGTCGAAGCTGCCACCGGCGTGCTTTGTACTTGGCGAATTGGATGTTCTCCGTAGCGAAGGGGAGATTTTTGCCGTGAAGCTTGAGGAAAACGGCGTTTCTACAGACGTCACCACCATGAGGGGCCAGCCGCATCCTTTCATTGCTATGGATGCTGTTCTGGAAGCAGGTTCTCGTGCCATCACGTTGTTCTGCAACGCACTACGCAAGTCCATGTATAGCTAGATCATCTGAGTGATAGTGATGAGCTAAATATGTCTCTTTTATGTTACTAGCTGAGGTAAAGGGGAATATCGGTGTTATTTGTGAATGGCATTCTAGGTATCTTCTCAATTTGGAGGACCGACGAGTGAATTCCTACACGGTTATCTAGCATCTGATTGGAAGCGTGTTTCTTTTTGCGGGGGACTATACACATCTCAAGACTCCCGTATATAACACTGCTAAGATTTCTTGTCAAATTTTTTAATCTGACTTTCCGTAGCCACCACCACCTGGGCTTCCTGTTAGGTGTTAGTTTCATTTCTCTTACTGGCATTGCCAATACTTACGGATGATGATTCGATCGCCCTTCTTCATCTCACAAGTGTTCTTGCCACCAAGCATAATCTCACGAGTCCCATACTCATCATGCCTAATCCATATGTTTTCTCCCCGCTTCCCCGGCCCTCCTCCTTGGATACCCGGAGGCGGGATCGTTCTCCGCTCGCTCAAAACCGACACCTGGACCGGTCGTCGGAACTCGATATCACGGATGCAACCATCTCCACCAGGGTGAATGCCTGCACCGCCTGAGCCCTTGCGGATGGAAAACTCACGGAGAATGCAAGGATACCGCTTCTCGAGAGACTCGGGGTCCGTGATGCGCGTGTTAGTCATGTGGACGTGGACTCCGGACTGACCTACCCAACTTGGGCCTGCACCAGAGCCTCCTGCTATGGTCTTTAGAGGTGTGAGTAGTCAGCGAAACGAAGACTTCTTGAATCCGTAGCATGCACACTTACCTCATAGTATCCGAAACCAGGTTTGACCTTGCCATCCACAAGCTCACCTCCATATCCAAAGGTTAGGTTGTTGCAAGTTCCCTGGCTAGCGGCCGCGGCTTGGAAAGCCTGGAGGACTAAGTCGGTGACACGCTGCGAGGTATCGGTGTTGCCGCCAACAGTAGCAGCACCACTGGACGGCGACAGAAACGTGCCCTCTGGTAGAATGACTTCGATAGGTGCAAGACATCCCTGATTGAGAGGAATGTCCTCATTGACGAGAGACCGCAGGACGTAGATGATTGCGCTGAAGGTAATGGCACGGGGCGCATTCAGGTTACCATACAGCTCGCCTGTTGTGCCTGTAAAGTCAAACGTCGCTGAGCCTTGTTCGCGGTCAATATGAATCTTCAGACACATCATGGAGCCGTCGTCCAGGTAGTCAACAGCTTCGAGGGGAAGGCCGCTGAACTCATCGTGAACTTTGCGGAGGAGACTGCGAACAATCTTCTCGGCATTGGTTTGGATGCCGTTCATGTATTTCTGCATAGAACATGTTTAGTGGTGCGATTTTCTGCTTGAAAAAAAGGAATGACCTACTTGAACAGTACTTAGGCCATACTCCTTGATACAGTCTTGGATCAAGCGAATGCCTTTCAGATTGGCCGCAGCTTGGGCTTTGAGGTCACTGACATTGTCGCTCCACGTCCTCGTCCCAGTGCATCCGGGATACCTGGCAGGCTTCTCAAGCATAATTTCGCGAAGTTCTTCTTCATTAAACCGCCCTTGTTCGATGAGCTTGAACGAGTGGAAAGAAGCACCCTCCTGCCAAATCTCCTTGGAATGCGGTGGCATCGAACCCGCGCAGATTCCGCCAATATCGGCGTGGTGAGCCCGGGAAGCGACCCAGAACAAGACATTGTTTGTTCCCTCTTCAATGACGGGCGTTATTACATTGACGTCGGGGAGATGGGAGCCACCCGCAGCGGGATGATTGGAGACGAGGACGTCGCCTGGACGAAGTCGGTTACCCCATAGCTCAGCTTGGTAGGCGACGGCGAAGCTCATGGCCCCTAGATGGCATGGAATATGAGGAGCGTTGGCAACGAGTCCACCGCTTGATGAAAAGATGGCACACGAGTAGTCAAGACGCTCCTTGATGTTGATCGACACCGACGTCTTTTCGAGTGAGCGGCCCATCTGTTCGGCAATGCTCATGAAACGGTGACCAAAGACGGACAGCTGAATGGGGTCAATATGGTCCTCGGCCTCCTCTGTCGCCTTAATCTTGGACTGTGCGGCCTTCTCCAGGACAAGATGGCGAGGAAGGACGGTCGCCAACCAGGAGGGCTGCACGAGAATCGTCTGTGTCTGGTCGAGGATGACTGAAGGCCCCTCGACGCGATCTCCAGGGGCAAGATCATCGAGCTTGTACAAGTTAGCGTCGCACCAGATGCCTCCCGTGTACAGCTTGGTCTTCTTGACGCTCTTCCCAGACGAGAGGTTGTTCGTCGGCGCAGACTTGAGCGCCTGGGAGATGGTCTCAAAGTTGTGACCCCTCGTTTTGCCGAGAGCTCTCACACGAATGTCATCGACGAGGATATCACGCTCGAGCGTAAAGCCAAATTCCTCGTGATGCTGACGAGTGAAGACTGAAGCAAAGTCCCAAGAGCCGGTAGGCTTTCGGATCATCAGTGAGCTGTTTGTGCCTGCGTATCGCAAGTTCAGAAACAGCTCCAATTCGACATCTTGGGCGGGAAACCCTTGCTGGATGAGCGCCCTGCTACCCTCATCGATCAGGGGCTTAAACTCGGCCTCAAAGTGGTTCTGAATGTTGTTCAGGCTGTCCGTTTTGGGGCGCTGCATCTCGTGGGTTAAGTCACCCAGAGCGATTCCATACGCTGACAAGATGGACGAGAAGCGGTGAATAGCGACCTGTTCGATGCCCAAGGCTTCGGCAACGTCGCAGGCATGTTGACCTCCGGCACCTCCAAACGTGACGAGAGTGTGATCGCTTGTCCTGATGCCTCTCCCTTCGGTTAGGGCGCGAATGGGTCGGCTCATGCTCTCGTTGGCGACGCGAAGAAAGCCACTCGCCACCTCCTCCGCCGTGAAATTCAAGCCGTCTTCAGAGTTGATGTCTCGCGTAAGCTCTGTAAAGGCTTTGGCTGTTGCTTCATAGTCCAGCAGCTCATCTTCGTTCGGGCCGAAGATGGCCGGGAAGTACTCTGGGAGAAGTCGACCGAGGAACAGGTTAGCATCGGTTACGGAGAGCGGACCTCCCTTGCGGTAGCACACTGGGCCCGGATGCGCTCCTGCAGACTGGAGGCTCGTCAGAAAGCTGACTTGGTTGAGAGACTGGAGAATATGAGTTACTTACGTCTGGTCCGATGGCAAAGAGGCCGTTCTTCCAGTGAAGAATGCTTCCTCCGCCAGCAGCCACTGTATTGATGTCCAGTTGAGGCACCTGAAGCGTTACCTCGGCGGTCTCGGTCTCAAAGACATGGTCGTATGTGCCTGCAAACCTGCTAACATCCGTCGAGGTGCCTCCCATGTCAAATCCTAGAAGAGGCCGGTTCTCAACGTCGTCGAAGCAGGATTTGGCATATCCAATGACTCCTCCAGCGGGTCCCGACAGGATCGCACGAAGGCCGGAGAAGTTTTGCCAGAGACAGAGACCGCCATCGCTTTGCATGAACAGAAGCTTTCTAGCAATGGCTTCTACGCCACCCCTGAAGCCAGTGCCAAAGCTTTCGACGTATCTCTTAATCATCGGTGAGAGGTAGGCGTCAGCAATGGCCGAATTTCCTCGAGGGACCATCTTAATCTGAATTTATGGTCAGTGATCGATTCGTGCAACCAACGTGTCGAACCAGGGTCGCTTACCGTTGGTTGAAGCTCTGATGATACCGAGACGTCGAATCCCATGTCTCGGGCAAGCTTGGCGACCTTGTTCTCATGGTCCGGATAGAGATAGGCGTGCATGAAACAGACGGCTATGCTCCTGTAGCCCTCGTCATATAGCCGCTCTAGTTGTCCCCTAACGACGTCCATTTCTGGGACTTTGAGAACGCGAATTATCTCGCCTGTCAGGCTTTCGACAAGTGATGAATCCTTGCTGATGTCAATAGGCTCTTTTTCAGGATTCTCAAGAAACTCCTCCATCGTCACTCGCTCGTCCACCTCAATCACCTCTTCGTAAAGATTCTCGAGCTTCCGCACCGAGAGGTCAAAGATATGCGGCCGAGCCTGGTTACCGATGACAAGGAGGTCTCGGAAGCCCTTTGTTGTCAAGAGTGCCGCCCGCTCGCCCTGCCTCTCGAGGAGAGCGTTGGTGGCAATCGTGGTTCCCATGCGGATAGACTCAATGTCATATGTGTCAATGAGCTCATCTCGTGGCAACCTCGTGCCCCTGAAAGTCTCGAGCACGCGTCGGATGCCTTCGGTTGGGGCATCCTTGTAGTTCTTGGGGTCGACTGAGAGAAGTTTGAAGACTTGCTCATGGCTCGTGTCTGGCACATAGGCATGGACATCGGTAAAGGTGCCGCCCCGGTCTGGGTGGAGCGGTTAGCTATGCTCTGTGCGGTCCTCTGGTACTCGGGGCGACTTACCAATTGCAATCCGGATCCTGGGCTGGACGATTGGAATGGACCCCATTGTGTAACTGCTCAACCTTGCCAGAGTGTCTCTTTCAAACGAGTTATTGGGAAAGATCGAATCTTGATCTTCTTGTGCATTGAGTAGTGATGACCAGGGGTTCTCTTGATACACGACCGTTGCCTTTTATCTTCCTTGCAACGGCTTGATGACCTTTGATCAAGTAGACTAAGTCTCTCTGTCGGAGAAGATCTCCAGGTAAGATCCATGCTACGTTATCTGAGAGATAGGCCGGCCCCACCGACCGAGGCCACCATTCCCGAGACTCGGCGGGACCGACCGAGCCAGGGACTACACCAAGCCCCACCTCACATCGTCTTATCAAGTGTAACAGGTAAGCTACGGGAGTTTTGGGCGTCACATAATGTAAATTTGATTATCAGTAGATTCGTTCCTTCAAGTTAGTCAAGGTCGATGAGCTCGTCTGACGGACCCCATACTTGCTGATGAACCTAGAGCAGTGCAGTTCAAAGACTGCCGCGATAACGAGAGAGGCCCCCTGACTGAAAACAGCCCCCCCCTTGAATCTTCCCCGTCCCCGATATAAACCCTGTTCCCAGGCCGCGATCAGCAGTAAATCAAAGCAACTCCAAGTCAACTAGCATCAAGAAACTCGAGAGCCAAAACCAATCACGCAATCAGGAACCAGCGACCAAAACGCAGCCATGTCTACCGAGACACCCGTGGACCTCAAGAAGAATGAGGTCCCAGCAACCGATGCCAAGGCTACCAGCACAAACGACGAAGCTCAGAACGCTCTTTACATTGATCCCAAGGATGAAGCGAGAGTTGTTAGGAAACTTGATCTGTTCCTGACGCCGATTCTCTTCGTCGTCTATCTGTCCTGCTTCATTGACAGGGCAAACATAGGTACTTGGAAACCAAACACTCCCCGGGCTCTCAGTAGCTGACTTCACCTTGCAGGAAATGTCAAGGTCGCTGGCATGCCTGAATCGATTGGTGCCTCCCAATCCCAGTACTCAATCGCTGTGTCCATTTTCTTCATCACATACGTCATCATCGAGATCCCATGCGTGATTCTCGTCAAACGCTTCACGCCACGATACATTCTGACATTTCTCTGCCTCGTCTGGACTGGCGCAACTATTGCGAATGGCTTTATAGTCAACGTCGGTGGCCTCTACGCCTGCCGCCTGGCTCTAGGTGCCGCAGAAGGCGGTCTTTTCCCCTCGCTCAACATGTACCTCACCTTGGTGTACAAGAGAGATGAAATGGCGAGGCGGGTTTCTTACCTTGTCTCCTGCGTCGCCCTGTCTGGTGCTATCGGCGGACTGCTTGCGTACGGTCTGTTACAAATGGACGGAGTCGGGGGACTACCGGGCTGGAGGTGAGTCAAGATAGCCTGGTCTTTGCAAATCTGCTGTCGGGCTGACAATACATTGCTCAGATGGGTCTACATCATCGAAGGTGCCTTCAGTATCGTCTGCGCTTTCGGAATTTGGTTTGGTCTGCCTAGCGATGTTCGACAAGCTTACTTCCTCAATGAGAAGGACCGTGAGATTATGGAGATCCGCCACCAGCAGAGAATGTCATACATGGGAGAGGATGTCTTCTCTTGGGAAGAAATCAAACTGGCTGCCAGCGACCCAAAGGTCTGGCTATGGTATGTCACCTCCGGTAATGCAAGAAAGACACTCTTCAGTCCTGACGATTTGTGGCAGTGCCGGTACGCAATTCTGCCAGAACATTCTGAGCAATGGCTTCGGCACCTTTCTCCCTGCCATCTTGGCTGCAATGGGCCACAGTAGACTGGCTGCTAACTACTTGACTATCCCGGTCTATGTTCTTGGCGCCATCGGATTCTTCACCTTCGCATTCCTGTCCGACAAGTACCAAAAGTGCGGCCCTGTAAGTTACCACCGATGTACTCCAACAAGGTCTTAACTCTAAAACGTTCTAGTTCATTCTCTTCACAAACTCTCTGGGAGCTATCGGATACATCCTTCTCATCGCCGTCAGTAACAACTCTGTCAAGTACTTTGCCACCTTTGTATGCACCATTGCTGTCTACAACGGTACTGGCCTGAACCTTGCGTGGCTCAATGTCAACATGGCACCCCAGTACCGCCGGGCTACGGCCATCGGTATCCAGCAAACGATCGGTAACTCGGCTGGAATTGTCGCCGGACAGGTCTACCGTAAGTCTCCATATATGCTCGGCCATGGCTTTTCCCTCGGATGTATCGTCGTGGCCAACATCCTGGTCTCTACTCATCTTATCTACCTCGTGAGGTCGAACAAGGAAAAGGCTGCCATTCTGGCTGGAGAGGTATCCGATACTAGGAAGAAGACGACTGGTGACCGCGATCTCGAGTTCAAGTATCGCGTTTGATCCCCGTCCCACATATGGACGCCAATGATAGGGACGCCTTGTCTCGGTGGCTTTCAGCTGAGAGGTCGCACGCGGATAAAGCAGCGCAGGTTTCGTGAGGGTTTGGGGTTCTGGAACAAAATATGTTCACGGGGCATGTCGTCTGTTGCAGCATCTCAAACCGTGCCTTTCAGTTATACCGCCGTTTTACTCCAATAAGGTCTTTTTGACTATTGTCCATCTATGGATAATTTACTGGTCGGCTATAAGTGAGCATGTTGACGAATCATTCCTGATTTTCCAAACCGAGTACTCCTAGATCCGCCCATGCCTACTCTGTGCCTTACACCTTGGGACAAGCACAATCGACAACCAAATCTATGGCCAAGTAGTGAGGCTAGAACGTAGAATGAGGAGTTCATAGGACCCTAGTAGCACACATACCAGAGGGGGGACCAGAGGTCCAACGGGTAATAAAAGAAACACAGAATGTGAAGTGAGTACAACCTTTAGGGTATTAAAATAAGAGTCCAGGGAAGCTTCGCGAAAACTATAGGATTGTAGAGTAAAAAGCTATCCATCTTCCGGGTTTTCGGCCAACGGCATACTCACTAAGTTGACTGCCTCCCACAACCAGCTATTTACAACTTCTGAATCGAGATGAAGGGTTGAATCACCGTCTAAAAGACTTGCCAACGCGAGCATCTCATTTGGCGAGACTCCTTGCTGTGAGAGATCGTAAGTACCCGCGAGGGGTAGTCCAGACCGGGCGGTGTCCTGAGGGTACGTATCGCTATTTGATTCCTTCAAGCAGCGCAGCAAATCATGCAAGCAGGCTAGTTCTTGTCGCCGAAAGCCAGCAGGTATTTTCCCGCCAGCAATGAGCGTGTCGAGAAGGCAGAATGTCCTCTCGAGATGCGCATCATTAACGTCGACAGAATCGGGGTTGATGACGGATATTAAAGATAAGACGAAACCAGCAGAAAACGCATGGTCTAGATCAAAAGGGAGGAAGTATTCTGAAAAGTCTATTAATCACTCAAATCTCGAAAAGTCTGCATGAGATTGGCTTGCCTAGAAGACCTTGCGCCTGTAATGTGGCCAGAATACGCAAAGACTTTTGAGCAGAGTCATGTGAGGTTTTCAACAATGCCTTGACAGGATCGATGATAATGGTGGCCTGTCTGGTCTTGCTTGCCCGTCTATCAAGTCTGTCATGTAAAAGGCATACAAGGAGTGGCCTGGTGGCCAGTACCATGCACTATACGCGAATTAGGCGTTGTAAGCAGCGAAGATGGGTAAACAAGCAGCTTGCCTGATGATAGCAGAGGTTCAAGGTTGCAGACAGTCGGGAAACCGGGCCAGAGTTTTTCAACTTTAACTCAGGAGTGGCGTTAAGTTCAACAGCAAGGTCCGCGAGCTCTCGGACAGTAGCCTGAATATTCTTTAGAAAAGACGAGTTGAGCCTTCCATCGACACAGTAGACAGCTAAAGGCCAGGCATTAGAGGTCAAACGGAACCATTGGGAATAGGGAAATCCTTTGAACCTACTGTTGAGAACCTTGGCAAGAAGTCTCGATAATCTAACATGCATATCTAGCGCGCAAGTCTTTTGCGTAGATTTCTGATACATGGGTAGCGGGACCGATATGTCGCTATCGTGTACCGAACTTGGAGCCCCAATCAACGACGAGAATTTGCGGTCCAGGATGTAGAGAGTCCACCAAACGTTACGATGCCGTGTCATATCTGTGTGGGCATCGAGGTCACTGACGACGTCTCTGTGATAACCCTGAGAAAGGGCTACTCTCAGACCGAGGCCAAGCTGTGTAGCAGATGTCAAAACACTTGCCCTGGACAGAACCAGAATCGAACTCACATAAACATATGCGCTATTCCGATGATCCACAGACTGCAAGTACAAGGCCAGTCCACAACAAACCTCTACTGATGTGATAGTGTCTTGATACAGACCGTTGATATCGGGAAATAAGTCTACTGCACGAATGAAATAACCTCTTCCGGGGGGGCTCGTTGTCGAGACACCGCGCGCGAGCAGCGCCATACCCAGAGCCATAACTAGGAAGAATTGCACAAACCACATGCGGTTCGTCGCATTTAGGGGTTCCGGACCGTCTTTATAGAGAGAAAAGAGCCTTTGCATGAAAGCCTGCTCGTGGAATAGATGGTACGTTTGCCCAACGTGAAACTTGACAGTGTTGGTGAGATAGAGGGCGTAATCGAGGGATGGTAGGTCTTCCATCGAGATAGAGAGCCCGAGCCGTCCCGTGCTTGGGAATTTGATGGGGAATGCGGCGCCATCAACGTTGAGAGGCACGTCCGGAGAGAGATTGTGATTGAGATGCTGCTTGATCATACCCATGATATGCCGGCTGTAAGCCCATGTTGACGATGGACCGAGGAAACCTGGAACAATTGTCAAATAAGCGCCAGTTCCAGGGCGGTAGATATCCCGAATAAGACTCACGCGTTCGCCCTTCAGTGTCTGTGACGACCTGAGAAGGGGTCATGACAAGAGGATTCGTCAAGGCGGAGAAGCTTTCGTCGCCCGAGTCGGCTCCCAGGTCACAATTGGCATCAGCATTCTCGTAACTAGCCTCACCTAGACTCGTATGCTGATCTCTTGGGCTCTTATCAGAGGGGTGGCGTTTCTTTGTTGGTTGTGGATTGCCATCTTCCCCCGCTTTTCGCTTCAACTCGTTGAAGTAGCTAGACACGTCACATCAGGGCAGCCCAACTAAGTATTTACATCAAGTTTGGTCTTACTTCTCCGAGACAATAATCTTGCGATCCTCGGGCTCAAAAACGCACTCGGCGGAACGGCGGCTGCAATTGGGGCATGGAAACGATCCGGAACATCGGACCTTGCGCTCACGGCATTGGACACAACTATTGTAGGATAAGTAAGGACGCTAGGTCTACGGTCAAGAGCAAAGACTCACGCGACATGCGGCTTCTTGTTCCTGCAGCTGATTTGATCAGAGTTCTTGGGGGTGTTTGATGGACTCATTTGGTACAGAGTGGGATTTTTGAAGCAAGTAGCAAACGAGAACAGGAGCGGAGCAGATGGAGTCATTCAAGTCAGTTCAGCGTATCTGGGTGGTCCACATTTATTTGAGCAGCCTCAGAAGTTCAGATTGGGCCAAAGTCTCTGGCCCACATCATCTTCCTCCCAGCGAGCCACGAGTTACAAACCCAGGGTAGTGGGGGGTGGGAACCTGACTAGCCATAGATGAGTCTGGGGAAGTCCCCGAGACTCTGGCAGCGTGCGGGCAACTGAGGCAGCCGTTTTGCCCGTTTATCACTTCGGCCATACTGCCCGAGGAGTGCATGGCGACGATTTTAGCAGGGGGGGTTAACTCGGTCAGCTACCCCGAGAAGATCTTAAGAGCGATAACAAACGGTCTGCCTGTGCCTTATCACGATAAAGACGAAGCAGTCAGTCTATACTTGTTGAGGGTTAGTGCCTCAGGGGTTAGATGGGCTTAAGGTGCTGATAAGGTAGGGTTTGTGTTGGATAGGGGAATAACACCTGATGTGCCGATACTGTAGGGTAGGAAGAATGGGAGGAGAGAAGGTCCGACAACCTATTAAACAAATCGTTAGAAATACCAATTGAGTCACAGGCAAGGCAGTTAAAAAGAAAGGATAAGTCTGCAATTTTTAGTGCCATCTGTGATTTTTATAACCCACTAAGTAGCCGAGGCATAAGGTCTTTAGTTGATGTGAGTCCCCCTACCTTAGCCAACGGGTAGTCCTCAATTATTCACGTCGTCGATAACTACCTCGAGGCGAACTCGGCCATCTGGTATAAACCTTCACGGAATCTGTATGTTAAACAGCGCAAATTTACCTGTATTTAAATCTTCTAGTGTTTAGCTATGCGTGGTGTTCTTTATACTCCTATATGTAATGGCTTATTATTTAGACGCTTCCGCTGCCAGTCGAAGTCGCTGCGAGAAGGTGGTCACGTTTTGCACCAAGTCAACATCTGCCACCATTCCCAGCTCTGTAGCGACTCGAGTATCAAATTGATATGGCCAGCTCCCTACGATGGCCTCGATCTTTGGGTCTTTCTCCTCCTTGATCAAGTCCATGGCCTTCTTCCCGCCAACAGCCTCCAGAGCATCCAAGATTTCCTGCACCGTCACAGAGATGCCCGGAAGGTTGACGACCCTCGTCAGGTTAAACTTGCTCGCCGGGACATCCTTGATCAGGATGAGGTTCTTCACCACCGTTTCCGGGCTGCAAACCCACATCTTTAGATCTCTAGCCACAGGTAAGACTGTGTCCATGCCATTCAATGGCTCCCGCACAATGCCGCTGGCGAATGAACTCGCGGCAGCTGAAGGTGCGCCTGGTCGCACGATGATGGTGGGCAAGCGGACGATGCGACCGTCGAGAAGCCCGCGACGTGACATGTCGTTGAGATACGTCTCCACCATGAGCTTCTGTGCGCCATAGCTGGACTGTGGGATTGGGCAAGTCGTCTCGCTATTCGGGGGGTCCTCGCTCTTTGCGGGACCGTACACGGCGAGACTCGAGGGGAAGATGACGACGGCGCCGGGGTGATGCAGTCGCAGAAAATCGAGAATTCCTCGGTGTGAATCCCAGTTTACTCTCCACCCAAGCTCGAGATTGGCCTCGGCGCCTCCAGACATGAGGCCATGGAGGAGATACACAGCCGAGTATGGCTGCTGGAAGAGCGAGGCGATGACAGATGGGTCAGTCAAATCGCACTTAACGGTGTTTATGCGGTGGGCGTGCTGGCTGATGGACTTGGGAACAGGCGGCTCTACAACGTCGCTGAGAGTCAACCTCAAGTCATCGGAGCTGTTGGCAAGGGCGGCTGCCAGATCCTGTCCGACGAAGCCCGCGCCGCCAGTGATGAGAATGTGTTGTGGACTGCCCATGATGATGGTGTTGTCGTGATTGGAAAGAGAAATGGAATTGGAGAGAAGCCAAACACCGATGCGTGTACGTTTAGTTTACAATGAAGCAGAGGAATAGTGCAACTTTGAGTGATTCATGAGCGTATTCTGACTCTGCGCCGTGTTTACCCCAAATGTGAATATTAGATCGAGGACAAAAGGTCGCATCCCCACAGGACCTCGGCCGCGATGGCCGCAGTGGCTCACGCTACGGAGTTAAGTCCGCACGCTAACCGAGGTTGTGTTGTAGAGGCTGTTGCAGCGCAAAGGTGGAGTTTCGAGGCATCGCCAAATGGCAACTTTCACGAGCTTTGGGTCTTGCTGTACCGCCTCAGTCGCATTGTGTTGCTGTTTGTCCATATCTCATGTTCTTGGTCAAAAGGAGGGATTCAATCTGCGCTGAATGAGGATGACGATGGCGTGTTCTCCCCTCAGGGTTCTTTAGGGATGGGATCCCTGTTGGAGCTAATGTAGTACAAGACCGGCTACTCCCTCATTCAACATTCAATATCGCACTATGGGTGATTCACCAGTCTGAAGTCCATTAGAAGCCGAGATACTGTGTCCGAAAAGGTGGCCTAGACAGTTTCCGCATGAGGCCATCGGATTTATCCCCGTTGCTACGGCCGTATGACCGCTTACCCACACCCGATCCTTGCTACTCCTCCATCTCCATCGTCCTCGCCATCAAACGCGGGGTTGGTGGAGAGGCGGCTTTTAAACAATGCAATGCAAGGAGACGACTCGTAAACTAAGAGTTGGGCTAGAAATCTGACGAAAATTCCCTTTCACTTATTGCCTCTGATATTACACAAACACCTCAGATGACGTCGAGCAAGCCAATTGTTCTCCGCCTCGGCGAGGATATCAAATACAACCACGACTTCTACAATGATGTCTTTACCAAGCGCTTTCATGTTGTCGCCAACGAGGAGCCGGACCGAGCTTCCTTCATAAAGGCGCTTAAGGAGAAAAAGTACCGCCCCTTTTTCCATCGCCATTGGGCATCTCGTAATCCATCTAACAAATCTTAGATATGGCGACTTTGCAGCCATCTATCGCCCGCATTTCCAATCCGGTGGTGAGATGGGCCAGTGGGATGATGAACTGATCAACCTTCTCCCTTCGTCGCTCCGTATCTTCGCCTCCGCTGGAGCTGGCTTCAACTGGGCCGACACGGATGCGCTGGGCCGCCGAGGCATCTGGTACGCCAACGGAGCTGGCTGCAGTGACGAAGCCGTCTCAGACACGGCACTGTTTATGATCCTGTCAGTCTTCCGCAATTTTTGGCGCTCTCAACGAGGGGCCCGCACTTGCGACCCGGACCAGTTCTTTGCAATGCACAAGCTTGTCGGGAGCATTTCGTACAATCCTCGTGGGCATGTGCTGGGCATTGTAGGGTTGGGAAACATCAGCAAGTTGCTGGCGCAGAAGGCCCAGGCGGCGTTGGGCATGGAAATCCACTATTTCGATGTGATACGATCGAGCCCGGAAGTCGAGAAAGAGCTGGGTGCGGTCTTCCATCCCACTCTACACGAGCTACTCGCTGTTTCCGACTGCGTCAGTTTGCACACGCCCCTCAACGCGCACACGCAAGACCTCATGAACACGGAAGCCTTTTCTCACATGAAGGATGGTGCTCGACTTGTCAACACCGCACGCGGACAGGTAGTCAACGAGGATGCCCTGATCGAGGCGCTCAAAAGCGGCAAGATATCCGGTGCTGGACTTGACGTGCACTATCACGAGCCACAGGTTTCCAAGGAGCTGGCAGCCATGGATAATGTGACGCTGACGTGCCACAATGGAGGTGCGGCTATCACAACAAGAATAAACTTTGAGTTGAATGCGATGAAGAACATTTTGCAAGTCGTTGATGACAAGGGCGAGTTTTGCGGGGAGCCTTTGACACCAGTGAATCGCAAGGCGTTTGAGAGTGCGTCACGGTAGGGAGTGATTCGAGATAGAATAGCTTTATAATGTAGACAATATGAGCCCTTGGAAGCGCTTCGTTGGTTTGGTTGGGATTGCCACATAAATATTTCCCACGATAGACGGAATTGAATCTACCTTGACGTAGGTTTCATTTCAATCATGGCGCACTCGGTAGTATACACACGCCCTCTCTATCTTGCTAATCCTGTGGAAGAAAGTTGAGTCAAATGTTTGAGCCACTTTAGTTTTCCATTACCATCCTTACTCTCCTTGCGCTGGGTTGCATGAGTCTTGCGGTGCTTCGGCTTTTGTCTCGCTTCGTTACTTACACTGAGACGGTAGTTTGCGCCCCCCAAGATTGCGTACCCGTGGCTACCTGTACGTACCTACCACCCGCTTACACAATTCTAGTACAGGTCGTAACGATCGACATCATATCGAATATAACGAACCTTCTTTCAGCCTCACTGTCGCTTTGGCTGCTATACCCAGCCAAAGACGATACGACAATCAAGAACCGGCTTCATCCATCGCGAGTTTAAATATTCAGTTAGTCATGCGCCTCATAGGGAATGTCTGCAAACCCCGGGGGGGAAATATCTAGTGTTGCATTGAATCTGCATTTCTGTCGGCTGCATCCCGAACACTCCCCACTCTTGATATCAAGTCATTCACTGATAACATTGCCCACTCTTGACTCTGGCTGATAATTGTCGTTTCTTAACCAATAATTGCGCCCGCTTTCATCTTTAATGGGACGAATTTTCTCATTTATGGCGCCTCTGTGGGTTCCTCTTGATAATCCTGACTCTGTCGAGTCTAGCGTAATGTGGTAACCTGAATCATGTCTCAATTCGTGAGGAGCTTGGAGAGTAACCGGTGCCGTTGAACTACTTATAGCCACATATTCCATTGGATTGAAAAGTTTCGTCCACTATTTTCACCATTTACCGCTGTCTCATCTCGAGCCTCAGTCATGATGGACACCAACGAGAAGAATCTCAAATCGCAGGCCCGATCCAACAGCGTCCCGTCAGAAGCGGCCGAAATTGGGACTTCTACCAATGTCGTTATTGATAAGGCCCTCGATAGGGCATATGGTAAGCAATCTGAAGAGCATGATCCTTCATGCTGGCTAATTGTACAATCCAGTCAGGAAGATGGACTTGTACCTGCTACCCTATCTGTCTATTATGTACTTTTTCAACTCTGTGGATCGGGTACGTATTCTCCAATACCGCCAGAGGGCTGGATCTTCTCTAACATGCATCAAGAGTAATCTAGGGAATGCCGAAACGGATGGTATGAGTACTGATCTCAACTTCGTCGGCGAGCAATATTCGCTGCTTATTTTGCTCTTCTACGTCCCTAATGGACTTTGCGACCTCCCTCTCAACATGCTCACAAAGCGTTTCTCGGGTCGTGTAATGCTGCCCGGTCTGATGCTTGGCTGGGGAGCATTGTCGATGATCCAAGTCGCCTGCAAGGGCTTTGCCAGCTTGCTCGTTGTCCGGCTTCTCATCGGCGGACTCGAAGCAGGTTTCTTCGCGGGGACAGTCTTCTACCTGACGCTTTTCTACACACGTGGAGAGCTTGGTTTCCGGATCGCAATTTTCTTTGGAAGTGCTCTCCTCGCTGCTGCCTTTTCCGGTCTCATATCTTTCGGCGTCTTTCAGATCGAAGGGACGGCGATTAAGGGGTGGCAATATCTGTTCCTTCTTGAAGGTGGCCTTACGGTCATATTTGCTTTCTTCGCATTCTGGTGGCTCCCAGCATCTCCCCATACAGCTTGGTTTCTGACCGAGGACGAGAAAGAGGCTGCCAAAGTTCGGCTCCTCCGCGACGGATCCCAGCAGCTGGAGGTCGACTTTAATCTGAAGGAATGCTTCTCGTCTTGGAACAACTGGAAGTTCTTCCCATGGTGTGTCATCTCTTTCACATACCCGGTTGCTTTCTCGACCTGCGCAAATTTCCTCCCTCTCGTTTTGAGGCGTCTTGGATACAGTACTGTCGTCACGAACTTGCTCACCGTCCCACCCAACTTTGTGGGCTTTATCGTTCTTCTTTGCGTAACTTTCCACTCCGACCGGGCTCGCGAACGGACATTTCACATAATTGGATCCCTCGCGCTGTCTATGTGTGGCCTAATCATCCTGGCTGCCATCGACGCAGAGGCTCATAAGGGGGTGGCATATTTTGCGACTTTTCTGGTAGCTGCTGGTGCATACATTCCGAGCTGCCTTGTTCACTCTTGGCACAACAATAACAATGTGAATGAGAACTCTCGGGCAGCCACCACCGGACTCCTTGTTGGCCTCGGTAACTTGGGCGGAATTCTAAGCTCAGCCACTTTCAGGACTACGTATGCTCCTCGGTATGCCCCGACTCTCATCGCAACCGCGGCTTGCAATCTGACTTGCATATGTTTCACCTTTTGGCTTGGAATGTGGATGCGACGAGACAATACGAGACGGGATCAGGCACAAGGAGTTGTGGTGAAGGCGGAGAATGTCGACACGAGTGAGCTAAGGGATGGCGAGAAGGATCCCCGCTGGCGTTATTTTGTTTAGTTGGCCATGGCAGGTGGATTGTAGCCGTAGGAGAATTCAGCGGCGTTCTTTTATTCAAGGGGCCATTCTACTACATTCTTGGACAGTTTCTGCGAACGAAGCCTACCCACGTGCAAAGTCCAAACTCAACAATATTTATTACAGCATAGTCGATCTCCAATCAATATTTCGTCAAGGCGAGCACAATTAAACCAATATTTACAGTCATTTGGGAATGCTAGCTAAGACTGAGAGACTCAACCCCAATGTTGAGGTCATTTTCACGAAGTTAACGAACTCAAGTTCATCAGGAAGTGTTCGTCTTTTGTCCCAGATATCTTTGTCGATGTAACCATTACTGGTTGTCTTATCATGAAACACCACTTCCCCCACTCTTGGCAGTGATTATGCCATTCTTTTCCCACTTACACGCTGGATCAGGAATGATCTGCCCATTTCAGTCTGGGAATAACATGGGTTGAATCAGAAGGATGCGGGTTCATCGCGAAGACCCGCAGTGGTCAGGTAAGCTAGTACGAAGTAAGTAACGTGTCTTGATATCGAGAGTGGGTGCTGCTGGCTGTTATCTGTCGGCTCGTTACTCTGCAACGGAATAAGGTGTCACCGGAGTTCTGCTGGAGACATCTTGAAAAGAAGCCGAGTCCAGCGCATTTCTGCTCGCACACTGAATTGGCTCCGGACCATTCGTCTCAATACGCCCCAGTAAGGTATCTTTTGCCGATGATGACTACCGAAGTCGACTTCAAACAGCCCATCTGGCGGAACGGCTCCAAACGACGCGGCCTTACAACCCGGGGAGCGGAAATAATCAGGGCACAGTGAGCTGGCTAATATGGCTTCCAGCCTCGCCCTTCCGGTTGCGCACACAAACTCAAACACGCATCAAATAGAGACCACAGACAACGATTACTAAATCTGGGCTATTCATTGGATTTCCCCGTCTTCCGGCCGGCTTCAACTCCGGTCCACGAGCCCGCAGCGCGATCGTGATGTGGGGAGAACCTCAACCAACCACTAAGACTAGAGAACTAATTCCCCATGCCCCAAATCATGGCGGAGATCCGGATACGCTCCGGTTGATTGGCTGCCAAATTGGCCAATCGGAATTCGATCATCCGCCAGGCTTCGCGTCGTCTCCCGCACAGAAGCCGGAGGTGTAAGTCGACGATATTGCCGTTTGCCGTAGAACAGTGCCGACGCCGGGTAAAGCTTACTCCTCAGAGTATATATACGCCGCAGCGTGTTGAATACGTGGTCTTCAAACCAACAAACCAGCCACAGGCATCCTGAAACACCTGTTGCGGACGACAAACAACTAAATATGAATGGAAACGGGACTACGGGGCCTGACCCCACGGATTTGCGCATCGCCATCATTGGTGCCGGTAAGATTCAACCTCTGGCATTGGGTAGAAGCGACCTGACAATTAGTAAAGGAATGGGTGGCTTGGCCTCTGCGTTGGCTCTCGCCAAGAAGGGATTCAAACACATTGAAGTCTTTGAAATGGCGTCTGATCTTGGATTTGTCGGCGCCGGTATTCAAATGGCGCCAAACCTGGTTCGAGTGTTGAGCCGGCTCGGTTGCTGGGAGAGCATTGAAGCTGAAGCTACCGAGGTGCTTGAAGCCAGCATCAGGGGTGAGTTCCCTGGAGGTTTCTTGAATTGGAAAACCGCGTCTCTAACAGCGACTGCAATCAGATGGTGCCTCTGGCCAGGAATTAACCCATGTAACCATGCCCAACATCCGTGAGAAATACGGCTACCCCCACTGCACCGGCCACCGCGCATCTCTTGCCGGGGGGCTTTACGAAGCATGCAAGAAGGAGGCCGCGATTACTTGGAGCTTCGGCTGCGCTTTTGAAGGCATCGACCAATTCGTCCCCGTTCCTTTGATCACTGTGAAGCCTCGGAACGGCGAGCCCCGTCAGGTTCAATGCGATGTCCTGCTCGCAGGCGACGGCGTCAAGTCCCGCGTCCGCGCCCAGATCCTCGCCAGGCTTGGAGCGCCGGGCGTCGTTGAAGACACCGGCCAGGCTGCCTACCGCGTCATGCTTCCTCGCGAGAAGATGATGGCAGACCCTGAAATGGCTGCGCTGCTCGATAGCAACCAAGTCACGCGGTGGATTGGTGCCAAGCGACACTGGATCGCGTATCCCGTTGCCGGTCAGACCATCTACAATATGTCATCGACTCAGCCGGATACTCACTTCGCCACAGCGCCTACGGCAACTTACACCACCAAGGGCTCGAAGAAGGACATGCTGGACGTGTTCTCCGACTTCTGCCCCCTCGTGCTGCGCATGCTCGACATGGTTCCTGATGGCGAAGTCTGCGAGTGGAAGCTGCGCATTCACAAGGCGTTGCCTACTTGGACTCACTGCACCATCGCCCTTCTCGGCGACGCCTGCCACCCAACTCTTCCGCACTTGAACCAGGGTGCGGGTATGGCCATCGAGGATGCAGCAGTGCTGGCAGAGGTCTTGTCGCGGGCCCCCGACGCTTCGCCCAAGACAATCGGAAAGTGTCTGCAGGTCTACGAGCTTCTTCGCAAGGAGCGCACTACCACCCTCGTCGATTTGGCGGCTGCATCAGGACGGACACTCCATCTCGGAGATGGCCAAGCAAAGGCTGAGAGAGATAAGCAGTTTTCAGCTGCCAACCAGAACGGAAAGAACGTCCCGGATAAGTGGGCGTCACCCGAGGTCCAGGAAATGATATACGGTCATGATTGTATGAAGATTGCAGCGGAGAGGTTTGATGAGTTGTACCAAGGACTGGCCCGCGGTGAAGGTACGCCACGGATGTAGACTCATATTGTGGAATGTTCCGCTATTCCAGATATCTTGAGCTTAAGTTGAACAAGTTGTTACAATAAATATTCATCTAGTTACAAGGCACATAAAATGATGGCGCGTCTACAGAAAGCCCCCCGCATCGTAGTTACTGATGTCCTGATCCATGCTGAGCAACTCGCCCCCTAAGAAATCGTTGTCGCCCAGTTGACAGAACAAATCATCAACCGAACCAAACATAAAGTCCAGGAAATTGTCGGAGGGCAAGGCATCCTTGGATAAGGGAATGCCAGCAGACTCGGCCAAGCCCTCTTGGTCACTTGGGTTGAGGCCTTTGGCGTGTGATGACGCGTCAGTATAGCACTGCAATGATGAAAAAGCCAAGGGTGTACGGGAAGGTAGATGCTTACCCATCGTCTTTATCAAATGTAGTATGCGCTGTAAAAAGCGATGTGCCTTGCCAGTCATAATGCTGGACCCTCCCACTGACTTCAGCGTCTCGAGGCCTTCGACCATGAAAGTTTCGGCATCTGAGCTTGTGATACCGATTGCTTGTGGCAAACTTGCCGAGCGCATACAAACCAACCACAATCCCAAGCCATGCCAGCACACGGTAAGCGCTATGTCTTGATCAGCACTCGCCAACACCCAGTGTCGATAGTATCATACCTGTAAAATTACACACCCACCATACCGCATTGGCTTTGAGAAACGGCCGCGCATTCCGTAGAATAGCGGAAAGAGTTTTCTGAAATCCCCGTATCGCCTCCCAGTCTCTTTTCAGCACGGAAGCCGAAACGTCCTTTAGCATCCCGGACAACTCGCTGCCAGAGGCAGGATTTGTGACTTGTTCCAGAACCGCCATGAGAACAGGTGTACTGACCAACATGACGGTTCTGTAGTAGAAAAGAGACAGAAGTATAACATGAGCTTCTGGCTGGAACATGTCGGCAGACCACGAAGACAGGTCAGATTTAGAGCTTAGGATCGCAAAATGAGCGTTGTGATCACGCCAGCGCTCTAGTTGATCCAGCAACTCGATGGCCTTCAGAGTGAGATCCCTCGGTTGCATCTGGGTAGCTCCTATGTTGGAACTGTAAATTGAGTCCAGCGTGATTCCCACGATTTGATGTAAGGATCTAGACTTTGTTAATTCCATTAGAACGTTCAAAATGGCTAGGGAAACCCACATGAGATGACTGTAGTATATCGAGCTCTTGAGGGAAGATGACATGGTGACAGTTCCCGCCGTGTACTTGCTAGGATCAATGCTCTCTGGGATGTCAACCTGGACATATTGTGGGGGGATGAGAACCGGCCGTCCGAGGGCCGCACTCAAGACTCTGCGCAATGTTAGCTATGGGGCTTCAAACACAGTGCCGGTGTAACAGACCTGTCCTGAATCACCACGGCAAACCACACCTTCACTCGAAGCTCCTTCTCCTGCACGCCCAGGCCTTCGTATGTTGACGGGGAGTGAAGACCGAGTTGATATGAAGCCTTGACTGCGAGAACATGAGTTGTCAAACTGGTCATGGCGCGCTGGCTGTTTTGTTGGTAGCTGCCAACGAGGAGCAAGGCTATGACTACGGCAAATTAGCCTCAAGCAGACTGACAAGAAGCCAGTACGTACCTGTCTCCAAATTCCAGCTGAAGACGGATTGCTCGTTCGTCATCAGCAATCCTAGGGATCGGTGGTAAAAAGGTTCAGGCGATGCATCATCGAGCGTGGACAGAGCATGAGCGAAAACAATGTACAGCAACGCCTTTGTAGACCGTGAATGTGGCGAGTCGTTCCATATTCTAGCACCCATTCGGTTCGCCTCTCTCAACAAAGGTGCTTCGCTAATGTATGGCAGCACCGAGCCAACGGTGTCGAAGAATCTCGCAATCCATTCGATGCATGTCTGGGCATTTGGGAAGCCTTCTTCGGCGTCTCGCCTTGCGGAATGATCGGGTCCCGAAACTGGTACTTGGAGTGAGGGGCCAAACCTTTCACCGGGTGGGTTTTCCTGGAAAAGATGAGAGTCGCGGGCGCCTAATTTGGTGATGAAGACGGTCATGGACCGAAACAAGGCGTGGTTTGAACTCGGTCCTTGAAACGCAGTGAGCAATACTGATATTCCCCAGGAGCAATATCACTTACCAAAGTACCCAATCTCGGCTGGGGTGAGGCGGTCAAAAGCACCGGTGGCTAGAATATCGGCGGCAGATTCAGGGTTTGTATCCAGGCTGTCGACCTCTGAGACTTCAACGGCAGTTTCTTTAGCGAGTGACGATATCCCCTGGTCGTAGAAAGTTGGATCTAGAGCCTGTCCCGACGTGGACGCCACGGCGAGCTGAGCCTCGAGTTCATTGACTCTGTTTCTCAACACCAACAGTGCCCTGTGGTTCCCTATGCGATTTAGTTTGCGTATTTTCCCAGGCGTTTTTCTTCTGTTGGAGGCGCTGACCTTCGATCTTCTTGGCGCTCCAGTCGCTTGTCCCAGACGGTCTGCGTGTACACGCATTCGACACTCCGAGCTGCGCAGCGCCCACAAACAGGCCTGCCGCTATCGCACTAATCTGGTCAGTACGGCGGATAATGGTTGAGACAGGCGCAATCGTACTTTTGACTTGGTCTGCCGACAAGCATTACACGCGACAGCGGCTCGCGGACGCTTGGTTAGTGGAGAGCTGGTGTGCTGCATGTTGAACCGGGGGCCATCAATTCAATAGCCGTGTATAGTGAAACGACGCTATACCAGGGAGTCAAGCCGTACAATGACGATCCTCTTGGCATCTCGCGACGGAGTGAGCAAGAGAATTCATGGTCGATGGCGGCGGGGTAGGACATGACGCGGATTTAACTATTTAACTGTCCAGCAACAAGCCGAAGTGGGTAACATTGGCCCGTGTAGCTCGGTTCTGTTTACGTCAGCCTTTTGCCTCCGTCTTCATTTTAATCCAGGGTTATTGAAATTGGAAACAAGTGCAAATGGGCAAAACGTTGAAAAGCAAGAGCAAATTGCCACGACTTGTATATGCGGCAATTTAACTAGTTTAAATACTTGATAATGGATCATCTATTCTATAATACTCTCGTCATTATTTCAGTGTCTTGATTCTTAAATCCAAATGCTGAACACGGCCCAACATCACCCAAGGCTAAGAGTTCATCCAGCTACGGGATCGAACAGGTGTGCTGAGCCGAAGGGTTTAATTTACAGTGGCCGCCACAGGAGGAGACCCTTAAAAGAAACAAAAGGTGCCTGTAACGCAAAAGTCTAGGGCTGACAGCGCTCAAAACCTAGGGATCCATGCGCTACAGAGTAGGGGCCAATGCGCTGAAAATCGACGAGATGCACAGGCGGGCACTAAAACCTGGAGGCTCGCGAAGTGTAATTTACCTACAGGGTTTCCATTTTTGACCATCTGGCTATTTGTACTCTTTGCGGGTGCTGTTGTTCATGAGCGATTGTGTATTCGTATTCCAGCTCCATGCAACTTGTAGATCAGTTACAATAGTCTTTCAACCCTTCTCTGAACTTCATTTATCTTCCAACTCTCCCATTAGTTCTATCCGACAGTCTATTCGTGAAGGCGGCTTCATCATGCGACCAAGGTATGGATTGACTTGCGCATCGCAGCCAACATAACACAATCAGGGTCAAAGGGTAGAGTCACTGAGCGGAGCTTTGAGAGTCCAGAAACTTTCTCGTCGACACGACAGCAATATGTGATGCATTTGGCGGGGAGTGCACTCTGAATATGGTGTCCCAATTAAAACAATCTTCCAGACAGATCCTGCGAAGCAGACGGCGAATCAATATGGAGTAAGGGGCATCTCAATCATCTGATTGATGTTCAGATCTCCTATTCCGCGGAGGTCTCGTGGCGTGCAGTTAAAACTAAGAGGAAGAGAGCCGGATCGAACGAAAATGACCAAAATGCTCCCCTATCACATAGACTGTGCACTCCACTGCGCAAGTCACAGTGGTCACATTTGTTTATGGAGTAGTCTGGAACCAGCTGTCTAGTCTTGTGTGTTTGAGATATAATGATAAAATGATACACGATGTACAATTGAGATGATGAGAGTGTTGTAGAAAGAAAATAATCTACTGTCTGCATATCTGAGACCTGTTCCATTTGCCAAACAACACATTAAGTGAAGGTCACTTGCGTAACAAGGTCAATTCTGCCTTGTACTCTCTTTCAAAGGCAAAATTACTTCCTAAAACATAGTATGCTACCAAAGCCAATTGCCTGGTTCCACCTTCTTAAATACAAGATTTAGTAACTCAGTCGCCCTCCTTGCCTCCCTTGACCGGCTACTTGATTGGGCCCATATCCTGTAAGAATTCTTGAGAGTGGCTAAAATTTCCAACTTGATGCTTTTTTCCAACTCCTTTGGAGAGGAAATAGCTTGGCACAGCACTGATGACAAAACGGTAGTTGCTGTCAGAAACTCGTGCGATATTGTTGACGACAGCCTGATCCTAGCGAGAAACAAAGATCCGTCAGGTTCCATTGCGGATTCTAAAATTTGCTGGTTCTTTAGGATCTGAAGGGCACCATTGACGCAAACATTTCGGGCATTGTCAATCTCGCTAGGATCATTAGGCGGGCAGCGGGTGACCAGAAATTGCCAATGGAGGACAATTCGCGCCTTGTGTAGGAATCCAACCAGAATGATGCGATAGAAAATTTCTTCGGCGGAGCCGAAAAACCAATCTCCATTTGGCGCAAGCTGTAGCCGGGGTGGGAGAGAATTGTAGGAGTCGTCGAGTAGTTTGTTCAGCCCTCGGAGGTCGCAAGCCTCTCGACTAGTATTCATGGATGTTTGGTATATAATTCCCATGACGGAAACCATTCTATACCTGGCAACAACATACTGAATAGATGTAGGCTCATCATCTAACCGTGCTGGGGGAAGTTCTATGCTCGCTTCGTTGAAATCGCTGTCGGATATATTCCGCGGGGGCTGAGTATCCCACTGTCCCTCCTGGATTAACTTTGGACATCCGACTTGCACAGACAGCATGATATCTGCAGAATATAGGAATGACCATACTCGCCTTCTCATTTCGCCTTCGTAGGGGCTGAGATGTGGGAAGTGTATAGGATCACGGTGATAACCCATGCGTAAGGCGATGCGGAGGATTGTACCCAACACAAGCCAGACTTTAGCCTCCGTGTCGGGACGCGACCAATGCTCTATCATCAAGTAATGCAATAGAGCCTCCATGACGTGAGGCCCTCCGTCGGCATATCCCCCCAGACAGAGACATTGCACGACTTCGGTAGCATATAGCCCGCCATTGCGGCGTGTATCCTGGTCGTGTGGCTTAAGATCTTGATTGTCTAGGTTAAATTTGAACAGCATTACCATGGACATCATGCCGAATAAAAGGCCCAACCAGATGACTGATGTGCCAGAAGGCTCTTCCCAGAAATCTTCGTACTGAGCACCATGTTTGTTAGCAATATGAACCTGAAGAAGGTTTCCTAAAAAAATGCCTTGGCTTTGCACCATGCACTCCTGAAGAAGTAGACGGGGTCTTGGGGGTAGTTTGTACCTGTTGGAGAAAAGTCCCTTCGTGAAGACAGGGAAAAGCTAATGAAATCAGTCGTTAGTGATCAGCCACTTTACGCAACAATGCCTCAGAGCACAATGAAAATTACACAAATGATTCCTCACCGTTTGAAATGCCTAGATCTCTGAAGTAGGCAGACACCAAGTTGTCTGCCACCTTCCGTTCTGGGATGGCTGCGAGGAGGTTTTCCAATGTTGTCGGAGCGCATCCATAGAGCAGCTGGGGCCCAGAAAACACCGTTGGGGGCGAGCTGGACGACTCTGATGAGACGTCTCCGCCCTGCTGTTGAATCTCATCTTTGAGCTCAATAATGTTATTGAGGATCGATGTCCAATGAAAGTAGCTGACATATCCGGTCTCGACCGGGGTAGTACGAAGGGTGTCGTGAAGCCTGTGAGTTGGCGTGCAATGATCCGCCTCAGACGCGTCGTCTGTAGGAGTGACATCGTCTGTAAGAGTGACAGTGGCGCTTGATCCAGACGGGAGGTGGGATCTTTCCAACAAGCACACAATTTGCTCTTCTAAAGCGGCCAACCTCCCCTTCAGGTCGTCGCGAGGGCAAGTTGGACTGCCATGGATATATGCAACGCGGGATTTAACGGGATACACACATTTAGAGGATAACCCGCGATTTGAACATGTGCTGCAGGGTCGTAGTCGGTCGCAACGAGTCCTAGTTTACCTGTTAAATGGGTCGTTAAGCGGCAAACCGATACGAATATTATACGAACTTTCGTCTCCGGCACAGGTCACATGATAGCTGGTCTTTATCCCTGCGTCTACTTGGTGGAGGGCGCGGAATTCCGCCTGTAGGTAGCTCCGACGTCGATGAATCCATTGTTGGGTGAAAAGCATGCTCCGCGTTTGATGAAGTGAAGGAAGAGTTGACGAGTGAGCTGAGAATCATGTACCGAAATATCCACTTATATGAACCCCATTATTGGTCAGAATAGTCGCTAAGAAATTAAGGTGACGCGAGTCGGACTCTCAGCAACCCGACCATCCGACCCTCCGATGCTACGAACCCGATTCCCGGAAAAGTGGAGTCAAAGGATTGTCAGTCACGGAGGAACATGCCACTATGGATGATGTGTGCCGTACATAAAATAAAACACATATAAACCAGTTGTCCTGCAACTGTATTCAATCGGGAGCCTGCTAGCTCCAACCAAACTCACAAGACAAGAAGACCCCCGGTCACCATGGAACCCAAATCCGATTCTCAAGGCGTCAAGTTGGTCGATTGGGACGGACCCGATGACCCACGACACCCGTACAACTGGCCCAAAACACAGCGGGTAACCCATATTGCTCTCGTCAGCTTCATCACATTGGTAGTGTAGGTTACGGTTGTCGCCTCAGGGTCGAAGAGTTGGGTCATGGCTTACACTTACAGAAACCTTGCTGCAACGCTCTTCTCCCCAGCCGCAGCGAAGGTCATCGTCGACTTTTCCATTACAAACACAACTATTGCTTCACTCACCGTATCTATCTACCTATTGGGATTCGCATTAGGCCCGTTGGTGATTGCGCCGCTTTCTGAGCTTTATGGTCGCTTGTGGATCTATCATATCTGCAATGTTATTTTCTTAGCTTTCACCATCGGCTGCGCCACCTCCCAGAATCTCGCCTCGTTTCTAATATGCCGATTCCTTGCTGGTTGCGCTGGCGCTGCCCCTCTTATTATTGGCGGTGGTACGATTGCGGATTTGGTCCCGGTTGAAAAAAGGGGGGCGGCGATGGCCGCGTATGGCATTGGCCCGCTTCTTGGACCGGTAGGTCCCTGTATGAAGCTCATGTGGGTTATCAAGATTAATATTTGGGATGTAGGTATTGGGACCTATCATTGGAGGCCTTGTAGCTGCGGATTTGGGTTGGCGGTGGACATTATGGATCATTAGTATCATCGTGAGTGGGCTACCATTCAGTCCAACAATGACTGAACTGTTCACTAACCACGCACCAGGGCGGTACTCAAACTATTCTAAGCTTCATCTTTATGAGAGAGACCTATGCACCTGTCCTACTTGCTCGAATAGTCAAAAAGATGCGAGCAGAATCGGGAGATCAATCGCTACAGCCAAATGGAATGACCAACGACAAGCCTACGACACTCTTCCTACGTGCCACTATCCGACCTACCAAGATCCTGTTCTGCTCTCCAATAGTGTTGTCTCTCTCTCTTTTCAATGCTTTGGTCTTCGGGATGATGTTCCTGCTGTTTACAACGTTTCCGACAGTCTTCCAACTCCAATACGGGTTCGGCACTCGTATTTCAGGCCTCAGCTACCTTGGACTAGGAAGTGGGATGCTGATAGCTCTCTTCTGTTTTAGGATTTTGAGTGACAGGATCCTAAAACGAATGAAGGGCGTGGATGCCCCAAAACCTGAATACCGGCTTCCTCTCATGATTTGGCTCTGCCCCCTTATCCCAGTGGGATTCTTTTTCTATGGCTGGACGGCTGAGTACAAAGTTCATTGGATTGTGCCAATCTTAGCGACATCATTCATTGGTTCTGGAAGTCTCTTCATAATGGTTAGTCCTCCAAGGCTCATAAAACTGGCTCAACCAATGCAAGCCGGACGCACTAACAAACGATGCAGCTGCCATCTCAAATTTACGTTGTCGATGCATTTGGGGCTCACGGCGCGGCATCTGCCCTTGCCGCATTAGCAGTTATTCGATCTATTTTTGGATGCTTCATTCCGCTTGCGGGGCCGAAGCTTTATGAAGACCTTGGATTTGGGTGGGGAAATTCGGTTCTTGGATTCATAACTCTAGCATTTACACCAGTTCCATTCGTGCTGTACAAGTACGGCGAAAGTCTCCGGCAGAGGTTCCCAATCAAACTCTAGTAGGGATCGAATTGGAACGACGTATTATAGGGACAAGGTCTCAGTTGAAAAGCGAGTGGCGTCACGAGACACACCTGAAGGCATCCAAACACACATCACAGGTTCAAAGTGTAGAAGGGTATCGAGTAGCCTACTTTTCATTCATCTTGGGAAGGCCAAAGTGTATTATTAGAAACATACGGCGGGTCTTCAATGTAAACATTAAATAGCAATGACTTGACCAGTCGAAGTATCTCGAAGAAAGTGGCAAGAGTTGCGTGGGCTCATAACGTAAGAAGATCTTGTGTCTGCCATTGACACGCTGTAGCTGAAGCGCCCGTGATCTATAGCACGCAAAACGAGTGACGTCGTGAATGACTTTGACACGGACTTGGCGAGGTAGATCTCGTCGTTGTAAACGCGTCGTCCATCAGGTGTCACTGTACCGAATGTCTTCTGCAGGCCAATTGGCAAGAGTGGCAGATCAATTGTATGTCCTAAGATTTTCACAAGTCTCCAGAGAGTTTCGTTCAAGTCAGAATTGCTGCTTATCTGTGCTCACCATTTCAGTAGCAATTTTAGCTGAGTGTGGATACTGCCGGTCAGTCTTCTGATGGGCAAGGTCAATATAAATCTCAAATAAGATTGGGAGGCCTAAAAGTGTCAAGCAGATCTAACGACTCCTAAAGCTGCGCACCATCTAAGGACAGAGAGTTACAGACCCTCTATTTGACAGCTTATCAACTTTTAGGCACTGATGGCTAAGCATGTCAATTCCATTCCCTTTCCAGTTCATCCATGGTGTCGGTCAATGCAAATAAACGCCCCAATTGAGAAAGATTAACGGTCCGTAAAATCCCCTTTGGTCACCAATCTAGGTGGCTCTCTCCCTTGTGTCGCTCATTCGTAAACACCAGCAGCAGTATCGGCATTCTCTAGATACCTAGTCCGAATGCCGATTCCAGGTATAGCACAAGTTCTTATGCGCCCGGTCGTCGTCGCTTCCGGTCGTTGCGTGGCTCTTCTTTGGAGATACCAATGACAACCGATCCTTCCTTTTCTCCAACAGCGTCAAACCAATCGCGCGGCTCAATAATATCTAATGTTTCGAGTGCGTCTCCCTGGGCTTATAATGGGTTAGAATTGGTACGCGCTTTTTGTTGTTTTCAAGAATAACGTACTGTAGGATTTTCTCGGCGCATGTCCGAACACTCCTGACCCTCGCTGAGCGCCCGTAGCGGTATGAACGTTTGATACGAGGACGACGGAATTTGGTTCAGAAGGCTTGAGCATTACCGCAAAATAGGGTTCCCTAGTCTTGAGTGGCTCGAAATCGTAGGAGCCAGCACTCAGGGATAGTGTCAGGCTAAGGCATCCTTGGGCTGTATTCCCACCAGTTCCAGAGGAATTTGGTGGCTGTGCTGAAGCTATACAGCGTACGGTCGACTCATGGACTGGCCGAATGTTAATAATTTGTAGATGCTGGGTAAGCAAGTGGAACTTACATTCTGATGCAAAAGCATATTGGCGAAGATGGGAGCAAGTTGCCTCGCGATGTAGCTGAACACTCACACCGCCGCCGTCGCCCCATGACGACTTGTCATCCCATTTAAGTGAGAGCTGGCGGTTGGCAGTAGAAGACGTACCTAAAGATAAGTGCTTCTTCATCTCCAAGTATTCAAGAAGTCTCTGCTGGGCGCCAATCCGCTCTCGCTTCTCTTTTTCGGCTTGGCCGGACTTGCCTGCACATACTTCGCGAAGAACTTCCGAAAATAGTCTGCTGATTGTGTGAAAAAGCACATTTCTCTCCAAGAGCGTGCTCGTTACACCGATTTCTTTAGTTGATTCAGCCTTTGTAAGCCATCTTGAATGGATCTTGACGGGGCCGCTGGTGCCGGAGAGGCAGATATCGAGGGCCAGCGGTCCTGCTTGAACGAACCTGACCCCCATGTCATGAGTCTCAGTGCAGCCGCGCAGGCTTGCTCGAATGAGCCGATAGGTCTCTTGGGCAAACGCAGTATTTGGTACTACGGCCATTTGGGCTTCGAGGAATCGCCGCTCCTCCTCCTGTGCGGCTGTTCTCACGAACTTAAACATTTCCAATATCGACCAGTATGCGTTGGGGATCTGCACTCCCTCACGGCCGAGTCCATGAATAATCTTCGGCAGTTCGTGATTCTTAGCGTTGTTAGCTCTCACTGTCAATAAGTAGTCAATGGTGCTCATAGCAGGGTGGTTGAATTTACCTGTGCCTTCTCATGGGCAGAATAGTACCATTTCTTTCCTCCCGAAAAGAGGTGGTTTTTGAGGCAAGTAACAGTTTCTTTCTGAAAAAGCGATGGGTTTGCCACATCCGCATACACCGTTTCTGACGAGGGGATCTCGGAGTTGCGTGAGTCGGAGGCAAGCAGCATTTCATGGATATGAATGACAAACTCCGGCTTTAGGATCAAAACTTGATCCCAGATTCTGAGAATTGCCTGGGATTCCGCATTTCGCCCCTGAATATGCTTTCTTTCCCGGTTCGTCACTCCATCGCGGAAGTTATATCCAAACTTCAACGGCTTGCCTGTCATGCTTGCCGAGTCGACGCCGGTTGATTCCTTTAGGAGGAGACCTTTGAGGTACAAATTTCCACTACGGGGCAATAGGTTGTTGTAGATCAAATCACCGGCGGTAGTTCGCACGATATCTTCGTTTCGCATAAATTGCAGGAAGATGGCGGATTTGCACCACTCCTCGAAGTCATTGATGTGGACGCGGTCTCGTGTTCGTAGGATACCCTTGTCATCTCGGCCTTTCCTCGTCGACCAACCGATCAGGAACTGGACGTCGTCAGACGCGGACGGTGCGAAGGGGATCACGCCGTCTTTCCGTAGAACTTGACTTGCTTTCTGTTCGGCGTCGATCTGGGCGTAGGTCATTTTACCAAGTCGAGCCACCAAATTTTTGAGATTGGAAAAGTTGAAGTTCCAACGAACATTGCCAGTAGTGCAACGGATCGCATGGTTTTGGTGGCCACGCAGGAGTACCAGAAGGGCGAGTTTGAGGCCTTCGCCATGTGTACCAGCCTGGGTGTTCTCGTTTCTCTTACTTGAGCTGCCAAAGTCGAGATGCCCTGGTTGAAGTACAGCTTTCCGGTTTGTAACTTCAACAAAGCCCTCTTGGTCGTCGAACCGGGCGAACCGGATGTACCCGAGGCAGTCCGTCGCCACTTTCGGGTTAGGGACAGTGTAGAGGATGTGCGTTTTACCGTCAATGGTTCGCTCCTTGCGGATAACCTTGAACTCGTCTTCAGAAAGTCTAAACGAGTCGATGATGCCATCTCGCCTGGGAAGTTACAATTTAGCAACGGAATCTCATGAAGGGCATAAGTTAACAGTAGTCATACCAGTTCTGAACAAGCTCACGGAAGGCCTCCACTGGGCCCCATTGCGTATACCCAGAGCTAACACGGAGATTTATGGTGCGGTTTCTGGCGATAGAGGCCAAGGTGACTTCTTGTTCCACGCCGGAGTCGTTTTCGTCGTCGCTGGACATGGTTGGCAACACGTACTGGTGGCCAGTAGAGTCGGGAAGGAGTGAGTGAAGAAGGTAGAATGTCTGCAGGAATTCCAAGGAGGAGAGGAGAAGGGAGTGGCCTTTATAGTTAGTCGAGCATCCCATCTCGCAGGCAACAAGAGGCAGGCTGTTTGTTCACTGAGGCAATCACAAGTATGTAGTATGCGCTACGCAAGATAAGCATGGCTGTTAGGTACTCGTATGGAAGCTTGTGCAGGTCGGCTAATTGACCGGCCAACAAGTCCAGTTTAAACACGGTTGATAACAAAGGCAATTTCATTTGGAGAGTGAATTGTTTGACTGGTCTCAAGGCTTGCAAGCAAAACCAGCAGTTTGTGTTTGTCCGCTATTAAATGTGGTGCTGCAAGCGGGATAGTTTGTCATTTGCGCCTACGGGTCTTTGAGGCTAAACTGCCGAACACAAAGTGGTTTGACTTAGATTGTCTTAGCCACTACAGCTTCCACTGCGCCGGTATTCGGTTTGCTATTGTCCAGGGGTCAAAGATGTGTGTTTGTGATGACTATCGCTCGCTTGCTAGGCGAGGGAATTGAGGTTTGTATGAGGCCCTGATTGCCTGAGATCATTGTTGCCTGAGGCCAAAGCGGCCGTGGGCTTTCTTCAACAGTTCGCTTGATGAGATTGTATGTTTCCTAGGCCATAGAATGGCCGCGTCACTGAGTGGAGTGGAGTTGAGTGATGACGACGTCTCGGCTCTTTGACCCTCACACACAATCATGGTGAGCTTGGAGCGATTGCACGGTGTTTGCGACAGGAACCATGAAACCTGATTTTAAACATAATTTTATTGTATGCCAGCGCCTTGGGCAAACCCAGCAATCTAAGACATCCACGTTCCAAGTGAGTGTAGGGTAAACACCTGAAACATTCCTGACGCCAGCATCCAGCTACTTGATTGGCTGGCTGGACAATCTCGGTGAGATCCACCGCTTATCGCGCCAATCTTATCCGATAACGTCTCACCTCGGCCGCGATTGGCAAAGGACAGCTCACAGCTCTCCTTTTTACGCTTCAAGGGCGCGTCAGCTCAACTCAACACGCCAAAGTCTCATATCAAGAAGCCACCACCCCGTCTCCCGACGCCACTACAGAGTCAATCCACCCTGTCATGACGTAGACGCAGGGATCGAGAGACTGTCGACCCGTCACGATGCGCCGGGCGCTCAATCTGCGCCTCGCCGGCCAGGCCATGGCGCTCAAGGTCTCAGCCAACCTCGTGGTGCAGTTCCTGATGCGCTGGAAGGATCCCCTGCGCATCTTCGACTGGCAGCAGGTCGGCGAGTTTGCCCTGTACGGCCTGATGGGCTCCCAGGTCGGCAACATCATCCAGTTCCTCCTGGAGGACTGGTTCCCAACCCGGAACGCCCCCGTCGGCGGCCTGCTCCCAGATACGCTCGGCCACGCCCGCCAACTGGAGGAGAAGAGGGACGACGACCCGGCCAAGACAAAGACGTGGAGGACCTGTCTCAAAGTGGGCGACGATGTCAGCTACCGCAACGTGCTGGTCAAACTGGTTCTCGACCAAACCCTCGGCCTGTTCATCAGCGGCTGCATCTTCCTCATCTGCACCAACTTTATGCGCGTGCCGCAGCTGCCCCTGGTCTTCCTCATCGTCCGCGAGCGCATCTGGGCCCTCATCAAGGCCGGCTGGCACATCTGGCCGCTGGTGGCCGTCTGCAATTTCCTCTGGGTGCCGGTGCGGTCACGCGTGCTCGTGGCCGTGTGCGTGGGATTTGGTTGGAGCATCTTTTTGAGCATCTTTGCGATGAGGACTTAGCGAGCGGAGGAGAGCATGGATTATACCCGTCTGGCCGAGAAACGGCAGTCCTTCCTTTTGTACTACTACCCGTTGTCCAATCTGTTTATGGACACCCTCTTAACCCAATTGAACCGTCTGCTGGTAGCTCGCTTTAGCAAGCGGCAGGCCTCACAATTCGTGCGGCTCAAAAGCGGACCGCCGGGATGCTGATTATGGCAACACATCTCGCCCTCACATCAACGCTGAGAAAGCGATTCTTTTTTATCTTAGTCTTTGGCGTCAATACTATGCATTTATTTTCCTTTTTTAAATCACTTCAAATGCTCCTTCACGTACGCACTAAGCTTCTCCAATCCCTCCTTCAACACGTCTGCATCGCAAACATAGCCGAACCGAACGTAGCCTTTGAAGTCCTTGCCGCCGCCGAAACACCTTGAACCAGGCACAACAAAAACTTTGGTCTTCTCTAGCAGATCCCTACAGAGGCGCACATCGTCGACTGGCTCACCTTTTACAGTGAATCGCACGAATGCAGTTGTCCCGGCCAGGGGCTTAACCCACGAGCACACATCCTTGTGGTCATTCACAAATGCCTCCAAGAGTGCCACGTTGTTCTTCGCCATTCCAACATTTCGCTTGAGCAGCGGGGCCAAAACGGGCGGAGACAGTGCATAGGCCGCCAACTGATCATCGATTTGAGAGACGCTGATGGAGGTATAATCTCGTGCCGCTGCCATGGCATCGATGATTTTCTTGTCTTTGGATGCAACCCACCCGACACTAATGCCTGCCATGGCGAATGCCTTTGACATGGATCCTGTGACGACAGTTCTCTCATAGCCCAATGTGGCGACAGAGGGAGGAGCGACATAGCCAGGTTGATACAAATCGTGGAACAAGGGCCGGTATACTTCGTCAGAGAAGAGAATGATATCCCGAGCCCTAGCGAACTCGACAATCTTGGTCAGAACCTCGACGGGGATTGGCGCTCCTGTAGGATTGTTGGGGTTGTTGATGATGATCATCTGCATGGGTTAGTGTAAATGTAATTGGTTTAGGGAGGAGCGTAAGTGCCGTACCTTGGTGTTGGACTTGGCAAGAGTTTCAAGAGAATTGACATCTGGCACATTACCGTTGTCTGCAGTGAGCTTCCATAGCGACACCTCAGCTCCAATGCTCTCTGGTAGACTGTAGAGTTGCTGATAGGTTGGGTAGACGCAGATAACATGGTCCCCTGGGTTGATAAGAGTGTAAAGCGACAGAAAATTGGCACCAATAGCACCCTGGGTAATAAGAATATCGTCGGCACCAACATTCCCAGCGGGGCTCCCCGACGGCCCGGAGTTGTACAGCCCAGCTACTCTCTCGCGGAGTTCGGCGGAGCCACGAATTGGACCGTACAGGAGCTTCGTCCCAAAATTGATAGGGTTGGACGACGTCTTGTCTAGGGAGAGATCGAAGAGATCATTGATGGAGACGGAGGCGACGCAGGTCTCTGCGGTATTGATAGCGCCTGGTGTCGTCTCATAGTCATTCATCCATCGCTCGACATCGAATTCAGGGAGGCGAACCATGATGGCTGTGGAAGATCTGAGAATACAGGGATAAAGTTAATATGCAGCAAGGGTATTGGATAAGGCAGATGCCGATATAATATGGCAAAAAAGGCAGGGGATATTCCGTCTTGAAACGGGCGATTAAATACTTGACTTACACCTAACTTGCGGTCCGAGGTGGCGATCTAGACCGGTCCCACACCCGCCCTAAAAGAATCCAGACACAACGGGCGCAACGAAAGGCGTAGCCCCACAATTTGTCGTTAGATCGAGGAGGGAAGGACTCTCCGAACAATTGAGGGAAGGAAAGAAGCTCCGAAGTCCTGGGAGGGAAGTTCGAGCCGGAGTCGGGAAGGAAGCTCGAACCGGAGGCCTTACGCAGTGCAGCCACCACCACCTCACGGAACGCCTCGGTCTACGCCTGGGATGATTGATGAACCACCATGTAGCCATCCTGTTTGGCAATGAGAGAGTCGACATGTGACTTAAAAGAAGCCGCGAATATCCGCCGCATAGACCGTGCTATAAAACCTCCTTTCATCCCTGAATGCCTCGTGACTTTTAACACAGTACCATCGTCCGGCGTCAACTCACCCCGCACCACCAAACACTGCAGCAATCCGATCCATTTTGTCTCCAGCACGCACCAAGATGAAGTACGCTCGTATGTCGATTGAGATTGAGTCGCCCGAGGAGTACGGCTACGACAAAATCAAGAACAACCTCTCCGAAAGCTCCATCACGGACCAAAGCCTCGACTCTCTGGGGCTCAAGATTCCAAACTTGACCCTCGTTTACAATGAGCACCGAGGGAGCTCGGAACTGCGCAATTTGATTGTCGGAGACTCGGGACTGCAGAAAGACGATGTTCTCATCACGACTGGTGCCGCTTCCGCGTTGTTCATTATTTCGACTTCGCAGCTGACCTCGGCGGACCACCTCGTTGTCGTGCGACCCAACTACGCTACCAACCTCGAGACTCCAAAAGCCATCGGCTGTGGTATCACCTATGTTGACCTCGAGTTTGAGTCGGGTTTTACGCCCGACATATCTTTTATCGAGGCCGCTATCCAACCCAACACTAAACTGGTCTCTGTGACCTGTCCTCACAACCCCACTGGTACTGTCATGTCCAGGGCCAGTCTGGATCGGCTCGTTACTATTACCAAGGAAAAGAAGTGTCTGCTCCTGGTGGATGAGACCTACCGAGATGTCCATTATGGAACCCAGTTGCCAATTGCCGCATCTCTTGGTGACCACGTACTCAGCGTCAGCTCTATGTCGAAGTCATTCGGTATCCCGGGAATTCGTTTGGGATGGGTAATTACCCAGAACAAGACCCTCCAGGAGACGTTCCTCGCTGCAAAGGAACAGATCAACATCAGCGGTAGCGTCATTGACGAGTGGATTGCCGAGCAGGTTCTTGCCCGAAAGACCTCCATCTTGGAAGCGACTAGCGAAGAAATGAGGATTCGGCGAGAGATGGTTGCCCTATGGGTTGAAAAGGACGACATGTTAGAGTGGATCAAGCCCCAAGGTGGAGTAGTTTGTTTCCCTCACATGAAGAAAGAGCCTGTTGGTGGAACTGCTGCATTCTACGAAAGGCTTCTTAAGAAGTACCACACGTATGTCGGACCTGGACATTGGTTTGAGATGTCCGACACGTACTTCCGGGTGGGATTCGGATGGCCGACTAGAGTTGAGCTTCAAGCTGGCATGGATGCTATCTCTCAAGCACTTAGAGATGGCAGTTGCTGAACGAAGCCTGATGGGCACAAAAATACTCCGGAGAAGGAATTACAGTGCCATGCACGCTTAGTCTAGAGGCCTAGGCTCGGTATTTCTTTGATAAACACAAAGTCTTTAGAAAGCGAGATAAATACTAATTAATCTTGCTCAAGCAATTTTCTTCCCGATGAGGGAGTTTAATATCTGCATATGCTGCGTTTTCGTCGTACAAATCGCGGCTCCCAAGACTCGAATTGAGGACTCAATGTAAGGCAAGTGGGCAACAACGTCATTGCTTGAGTTTCTGTGACTGTGTGTGGACGCCAAGATACATATATGATATACGCAGACAGTGATACTTCATTTCAAACAGCCTAATCCTGAATATCCAGCTTCCATACATCTCCAAGTCTAGAGTTATCCTCAGCGAGGCCCCCATGGACGATGATTGCGTCTCCGTTTGACTGCTTCAAAATGTCCGCATCAAACCAGCCTCTGGGCGCTGGCACACCGTCTTTACCAGTAGTCTTGACTGCGCTCCATGTTTTCTTCTCGATATCAAAGGCCCAAACATCAGTCAGCATCTTACCGGCTCCGGCGTGGCCCAATGAAGAGGGATCTCTCTCGCCAAACATTGTAACAAGGATGTCTTGTCCGCTCGGGGTCTTGAGAGTGAGTAGAGTGGCCACACTTCTGGCCTCCGGGCCCTCTTTCCCATCAGGCGCGTATATGATGCTTGTCCACTGCTTTGCTTCTGTGTCATACACATCCAAGCTTCCACCCTGTTCAGTCTTGCCGTCAAAGCCGCCCATGCGATACAGTTTCCCGCGGCAGAAAGCAATTGATGTTCCACCGCATGGAGGAGAGGGAGCTTCGGGGAGCTGAGTCCAGGTACGCGAGGTGACATCAAACGTCCACAGGTCGGAGAGACGACCTTCAGCAGGGCAGCCAGCGTGGAGATAGAGCGTAGATGCGCCATCAGAAGTCATAGCATGATAGCTACGGGGAATGGGGTGTGACCCGGGCTGAGGCTGGATCAGGGACCATTGGCTGGAGGATGGTGTATAACTCCAGACACTGCCATTTTCGTCGATGGCATCCATCGCGATACCTCCTCGACCAGAAAATAGGTAGATCGCTCCATCAAGGACTGCACTGGATGTGCCGACTCGGGGAGAGGGAGCCAGAGTTGGCGCAGGGAGCGTCTTGGCTTGGACTGGCAATTCATCGGTCAGTCAATAGTCGATGACATTCGAGTGACGCTATGAATGCTTACCAGATGCATTTCCAAGCTCAACGACGTCAAACTGGCTGTCAACAGGCTGCCTGGGAAGCAGCTCGCCTCCAAAAATCCATGCGTTCGAGCCGGAGATGGAGAGGATTTGAGAGGAGCGCTGGAGACGCTCGCTCGACGCAAGTCGAACCCAGGATGCTGAAAGTGAAGTCATTGTAATTGGAGGTGCCGAGTAAAAGTTGGTGAGATGGATAAAGCTGCTATCCTTGAGGTAATTCAGTCGTGTATTTATATTCACCAGTTCTAGTGGATCTCCCCTGCTGTATGATTATACCTACAGAATCAGCAGATGTCGGAGCTGCGGCTTCCGTGGCCTCGCACCCGCGGTTTAGCTCCATTATGCGCGCAGATTCAGGGCGGTATGGTATTCGGACTCGTCATTGGGGGCTATGAAGGTTGCGGGTCGCAAGGATGCAGTGATGGAACGAAGGCATCTAGACAAGTCAGTCATGATTGGCCTCAACAGACCCGCTTAGCAGTACCAGGCTATGTAATCGGAGTGAATCGCTTCCATCTCCGATGAGTCAGCCATATTGGCACCCACAAACTTCTTGGCTTGTCTGAGTGATTTAATCGGAATGAATGACTTCCATCCCCGATGAGTCAGCTATGTCGTTGCATGTTGATCTTGCTGCAAACCCCATCAGTTCTTTCGTTGGGCCACGAGTCACTGGAACGTACGAACTCCGGATCAGCCCATTCGAGTCACACTTCCCGAGCTTGCTCAGTATCATTATCGTAGCCTTGCCAAGTCGGGGTTGTAAGAGTCTATAATATTGATAAATTTGAAATAGTCATTGATTGATAAATGAAACGTCATTGTCTTGATTGTTTCCCCTAGAGCGATTTAAATGATTAAATGAGAAAGAAAATTTATGTGAGCGACCTGTTGTGTCCATCCGTGATGCGGAATCCCCCTCATACCACGCAGTCTCTAATACCTCCACCCAATGTACTCTAATTCCTCCGACTGATGATGTCTAATACCGTCTATATCCTTCATTGTCTATACCTGCTTCTTGCCCTTGGGCATGCGGACCAGCCAGTAGAGAGCCAGGGAGGCGGCAATGTTGAAAATGATATAAACCATACCAATGCCAAAGTTGCGCCACCTGTCACCATACTCGGAGGTCAGGGCGGTCAAATAAGTGTTCGTGCTGGACATGGTGCAGTAGCTGCAGGTCGTGGTGCTCATCTCATCCTGGAGGTAGCCTCCGGTCTGGTTAATGTACGAGCTCATGTACTCCCCACAGGTCTGGCCGTCGAGGGGCTTGAACTTGACCAGCTCGTTGGCGGCGCATGTCACGTCGGTATTTGCCAGGCCCACGGCCAGCATAGCGGATACCAAGTAACTAAATGGTGACATGCGGTACAGGAAGATCCAGAATCCAGGCATGCTATCGGGAGAAGCGAGCACACCACAGAAAAGCAGGCACATCATGAAGAGAATGTTGGCCAGGTTTCCGCCGGCCTCTGCGGTGTCTGTGATGGCGATACATGCGTGGGCGAAGGTGCAGGTGAAGATCATGAACTGCCAGAACAAAAGCCACATCAGAGCACCGCGCTCAGCAGTCTGGCCGGCGTCGGAGGCATTCTTATCGAAACCGACAGGATAGTAGACGCAGATGAACATGAAGACCGACATGAGCGAGTTCCACGGAATCTCGGTGATGACCTGCGAGAGCATAAAGACCTTCCAGCTGTAGGTCTTTGATGGACGTTCGCGAACCTCGTAGAGTGCTCGTTGAGTGACGAAATGCGGCATCTGCTGCTGCACCAACTGACCGAAAATGCTGAGGATGTTGAAGATGGCGAACATCTGATTCTGCAAGCCTTGCATACTCAGCGGGGCGTTCAGGAAGACCAGACCGATGAACAGGGAGACAGAGCAACAGAGGATGAACTTGGAGTAAAGGTACGACGGGGTTCTCCAGTACTGCTCAAAGACACGGCGGGTGACGATCAACAGCTGGTCCCAGAGAGGTGTGGCAAACTCGTTGTATGCACCGGCATGTTCATCCACAGCTGTGTTGGCCGCTCCCTCGGTCTTGAGACGCTGGAGCTCGGTCTGCACGGCCTGATATTCGCTGCTGTCGCGCCAGACTTGATGCCAATCGTGATCAGTGGTAGAGCCGGGGGCGGCGCCAATGGCTCCAAGCATCCATTCGGCAGGGTTCTCCTCGGCAGGACAGTGAGGCGCGCCGTGCTTCTGGAAATACTCTACCATGGTCTCAGAGTTCTTGCCGATGTCGCCAAAGTAGACAGTGCGACCTCCCTTAGCGAGGAAGAGGAGTCGGTCGAAGCGCTGGAAGAGCATGGCTGACGGCTGATGGATGGTGCAAAGAATAGACTGGCCGGCCTTGGAGAGCTTTTCAAGGAGATCGAGAATAGCCCAGGATGTCTGAGAGTCAAGACCGGAGGTAGGTTCATCAACGAAGAGCAGCAGAGGAGGCTTAGCAGCCAGCTCAACGCCGATAGTCAGGCGCTTTCGCTGTTCAACATTAAGACCCTCACCAAGAATACCAACAACGGCATCGGCATATTCTTGCATATCCAGGAGCTTGATAACTTCATCGACGTAGGCAATCTTCTCGGCTCGGGGCGTCGTATCGGGCTGTCGAAGCAGGGCGCTAAAGGTCAAGGCCTCTCGTACCGTGCTCGTTTCGAGGTGGAGATCCTGTTGCTGAACGTATCCGGTTTTGCGTTGGAAGGAAGAATCGCGAATCTTTCCGTCGACAAGCATCTCTCCGGTGATGACACCCATCGAGACACGGTCAGCCAAGCAGTCGAGAAGCGTGGTCTTTCCGGCTCCAGAAACACCCATAAGAGCAGTCAGAGTACCCGGCTTAACCCAGCCGTCAACGTGGTCCAGAATTCGGCGAGGTTCGTTCTTGATCTTGATATCGTAGCACACATCGTTCCAATGGAAGACGCTGGTTGAGCCTTGAATGTTACCATCGTCGGAAGTGTTTCCGCTTGACTTTTCGGCGACGGCGATGGGTCGCGAGAGAGACGATTCGACATCACTGCTCATCTTGGAGGCGGCGTTGTGCTGGTCCCCACGTCGGAAGATCAGGACTTCGCCCTTGGACTTCTTGGCTGCGATGTACTCGGTGGCGACGATGTAAGTGAAGTGGAAGAAGATGACGAAAGCGACGAGGATACCAAAGTTGCGCCACTTATGGCTGTGGTAGTACTTGAATGCCGTCTGCATGTAGACATCTCCATCGACAAAACCCTGACCTGCAACAGAACCAACGGTACTGCAAGCGCGGTTTTCCGCTCCAACATTGGCGTATCCGTCGATGAGAGAGCTGGGTACGAAGACATCGCAGGTGAAGTTTCGTCCGTGGAACTCGTTAATTATCAGTGCCTCGAATCCGTACGCAACGGGGTCGAGGTAGTTGATCCAGCGGCACCATCCAAGCATGTAGTCGACTGGAATAGCAAAACCGGCGAAGATAACGAGGGCGAGGATGAGAATCGAGGCTGGAACCATGGCCTGTGATAGAGTGCGTGATACCGATGCACTTGGCTGCGTTAGTATACTGTAATCTCTCGGCGGGATAGATTGACTTACATTGTACGGAAGATGCCGGACATGGCCAAAACCATACAGAACGTGATGAGAAGGAAGTAAAAGAAGTTTCCAGCCTCTCGGTTCAGATTCGTCATGAAATACAAGATCAAGTCGTAGAGGATGGTATTGGCGATTTTGTACGGCATATCGACCAAAATAGAAGCGAAAGCTTCGGCAGATGGATGATAGAAGGCGTAGCGGACGTGTTTTTCCACAATCGGGCGTTGGGCGTACTGGGTCAGAATTTCGAGGGCACTGGCAAATGCGTTGGTCAAGATTGCCACGAACAGGGCAGCGGTACGCTGGTAGAATGATCCGGTGGTAGGTTGCATGTTGTAAAACAGAGACGAAACGATGAGGCCCATACCAGAATTGGCGAGCAGCATGAACACGGTGAGAGACGGATCTCCCATAAGGCGCTTCCAACCGCGCCACAGGCAGAGCATGACTTGTTGACCGTACGAGAGAGTGAAGGGCGACTTGAGACGCTGGCCTCGAGCTTGGGAGGACTTCTTGTGCTCACGGAACGCCTCGGCGTCGGGTCCGTCCAGAGCGTGTGCGCTCTTGTAGTCCTCGATTTCCGCCTGGAGAGCCTTGTAGTTCTCGCTCTGCTTCCAGCACACGGCAAACTCGTCGGGGGTTCGCGGGGCGCGACCCTCGAAGCCAGGGCGGACGATGCGCTCCGTCGGGGCTGTCATCGAGGTGAGGAAGTCGGGGGTTGTCTGGCGAGCAGGGCAATCGAAGCCGAGGTTGATGAAGTACTCGCGGGCCTCGTCGGCGCGACCGAAGAAGATCTGGCGTCCTTCGTACAGCACGAGAGCCTTGTCGAACAGGTCGTAGGCGCTCTGGGGAGCCTGGTAGATGGACACGGCGCAGGTCTGGCCGAACAGCTCGGACTGCAGACGGAGCGTCTTGCAGAATTCAATGGCGTTGGCAGAGTCCAGACCTCGAGTCGAGTTGTCCCAGCATTGGAACGGCGCGTCGGAGAGAGTGGCTTCGGCGATGGTCACTCGCTTGCGCTCACCACCAGATACTCCGCGGACGTACTCGTTACCAACGCGGGTGTTGACAGTGTGGCTGATGCCGTACATGGCCATGACAACGTCTCGCCTGTGGTCGCAGAACTCGTTGGCGGTGACTCCCTGGGGCAGAGTTCGAGGGCATCTCGCGCGGGACGCAAAGGTGAGGGTCTCACCGACGGGAAGCATTGGGAAATGGACATCGACCTCGGCGGTGTAGATGCACTCGCCCTTGTGGTGCTTGTGCATCTCCTCGGCGCTGACACCCTGGTAGTTGAAGTAGGTGTTGTCGTCGACGTAGATGCCGCTGGTCTCGCCTGAAATTGTCTTGAGGAAGGTCGAGCAACCAGAACCGGGAGGACCAAGAACCACGAGCATCTCGCCAGATCGAACGATGCCGTCAAAGTTGTCCAGGATGTCAATCTTTCGCTTGCTCTGGTTGCCGAGGAGTTTGCGAGCCAGGCTGGGAACCTCGAGCCAGACGTTGCCGACGTCCTTCTGGTAGTCGGTCTCGGCGCCGTATCCAAAGACGTTCATGTTCTGGAAGCAGAGGCCGGTGCGGCGGAAACCAGCACCCTGCTCAGTCACCATGTGCGAGAGAGTCTTGGCCCATACGCGCGCGTTGAACTTCTCGCCGCGGGGGTTCAAGGGGGAGTTGGGGTCGTCGGTGATGAAGATGGACTGAGCGGCCTGGGTATTGACTCTTCCCATAGAGTGGTTGGTGTACTGCCGAGCGAGGTTCTGGACGATGGAATGGCGGCGCTCCATCTCCGTCTCGTCGCCATCGTCACCCTCTTCGATCGAGTCGCTGGCGTCTCCACCCTTGTTCTCGGCACAGTTGTCGAGCTTATCCTTGCTGTCAAGTCCATAGCTCTGGCCCAGAGGCGGAGGAGTGCCGGTGCCGGGGTCGACATAGGTGATGTTGCTCCCAGCCGGGGACCTTGGCGGTGCCGGCAGCGAAAAGCCACCGTCAGGCGGTTGCGACATGGTGGTGATTAAGTTCGGTAGTCGATGCGATGCGTGGAATTAAGTCGAAGATATTCAGATTGGGTTGTCGGGGGTGGGCGGTCGATGCAGGGGTTGGCTGTGGCTTGACGATGGAGGAGTTGAAGCCGAATAGAAGTTTGAGTGTCTTCCAGATTACTGCTAATTGGGGGCTCGGACGGTCCCGTTTGCTCTTTGCCTCTGGGCAATAGTCACAGAGAGTAGCACACGGGAAAATGTCCTTGCTCGAACCAACAGAAAGGAAAACGAAGCGGGGGTGATGCTTCTATGTAAAGGAGTGTTGAATTAGGATAGAAGATGCCAAAGATAATGCTGGGGGGGGACTGTCAGAGTAGATATTATACTCCATCGCGTGGCAACGGACACTTCGACCGCCCGCTCGGACTTGCAAGTGGGCCTCCCGGGGGCCAACTACGCAATCGATGTCCATGTTTTCGAGTTTGGGGTACGTGTAAGGCTCTGATTGTGAGTAGCCGTCCGTCTCGGGTTCTTGGAGGACCCCGGGCTGGAGGCACTGCATTAAGCTTGTCGGGGCCATCTCACCCCGTAGGGTCGTTGGGTGGCAAGAATACGAACTAGGGAGCGTGGGGAACGTGCTGAAAAAGTGATTTGTTTATCAACAAAAGTACAATCAGATGCAGTGAGATTTATTTTATTTGGTTATTTTTATTTGGGTTGAGTGTAAGTGAGTCGTCGCCTTAGATGCGGTTTACAAGATGTTGGGTGGATTGAAGCACCACTACGGAGTACAGCAGCATTGAAACCTGCTTTGAAATATGTACTTCTAAAACGGCAATACACAGCCTGTCGATTAATTCCCTCAAGAGCCTAGATATTTCTGGAATGGTTTGCGGCAGTGATAACCCCGCCCCTGAATTCGGATATCGATGATGTGATATAGATGTCATGAGAGTTGTTGGAATAAGACGCGGCAACTGGGCTGGGGAATCAAGGGTTCTCGGAGACTGAGCTGGCGCCAAGTGGGCCATCCGCGACTCATCACGACTCATTCCGTGTGGCATGATCCCTGTCAAACCCGACACTCCGTACTTCTCGGACTGCAAAACGGCCCCGCGACCCGAGATTGCTTCCCGAGCACGATTACGCCCGGGGTTGCGTGAGCTTAACACAACCCGAACAGTACTCCAAGATAGGCTTGAGAAGATGCGAAATATATGGCAATCCCCCTGCGGCTGGAGACTGCATGGCATGCGACGGGCGCAGCTTAAGTACACAGAGGATATCGACCCAACAGGCGAACAGGGTCTTGGCGTCGCGTGATTATCTTGCGATGCAACTAAATCTCTTCCATGGGGTTTGATTTAGCTGCCTTACTGGGCGTCAATAGTTCAGTTCTGTCGGTACTAACTCGATCGTGGCTTCTCAGTTCTTCTGTCTCCAGTGGCAAATCCGCCTTCATCTTGGCAATGCTGCTCTCTAACTCGGCATTGACTGATAATTCAACTCCCCAGTCGTGTGGATTCACAGAGGCAATGCTCCAGATTACCAATCTCCAAAGTTTCATCCCCTGCATTCCATGTGCTACGCGGTATTTTGAGAAAACCAGTCACAGAACCAAGACAGGGTGGTCTACACAGCCTGTGGTGGTTTGCTGCGACACAGTGGACTCTCGGGCCACGGACGAATGCGGACGAGTCGGACGGAGTTTATTTGATTGCGTGTACCCGTCTTGCTTCTTCTCTCATCCACATGATTCCCCCTGATTCATTGCCGTGGAGCCGGTACCGAATCCGAACACCTGATATTTGGTGTAAACAATGTGGGTTGTGGGCTTTTTCCGAATATCGAAGTTTTCGGGGATGGTGAACTCTCTCCAGTGGAGCGTCCCACTTTTGCAGTTTACAGGGGGCGGTCCCTACCCTATAGCGTTGAATGAAGTGTCCATTGCATGTGTGAGGAGCATTTGCAAGACCAGCTGGCCGGATAGATGATCACCATGATTATCATGGCAGTAGTAGCATGATTAATGACCATAGTTCGCATATTATGTATTGATATTGCTGAAACGATTTGTTGGGGGTGATCTCCAGTATTTCTACAAGATTTTTTACTCCACATCTACCCTCTTCCATGTCACCACTCATGCATTGCTACTTTCCAGGCACCGTTCACAAGGGGATAGATGAGTAGGAAGGAAGTGTCTATTCAGTTTCACTACCAAGGAAGGACAGAATATGATCTGTGACCAAGACGATGCATTACGCCTTGCTGAAAGGACCGGAGTAAATCCTGCAAAAAACCATCAAACAGCCATCTAACGCTCTTGCCATCCAATCCATCCGACGCCTCAGTGTAGAAAGTAGTCCCAAAAAGGTCAAAGAAAGTCGAAGAAGAATAAATCGATCACGTCAACCAATAGCCCAGCACAGCGGGACTTAGGTGTACACGATTCGGGGGCCGGCGTGGTTGAGGTTCCAGGACACAAAGTCATTGTCGTACACGCCAACGAGCTCGAAGCCTTCCTTGGTGCCAGGGGCCTTGCAGGGGGTCTTCTTGGTCAGGTAAGTGCTGTAGGTGGCGTCGTAGGAGGCATCCTGTCCACGTGCGACGGAGAGGCGGGCGAGATGCTGGTTGCGCTGGTTTCCTGGCGGCCAGGTGGCGGTAGTGCCGGGGGCTGGGGTGAGGCTGCTGAAGAGGTCGATCTTGCCGCTGCCGTGGAAGTTGCCGCCGTCGTTAAGGTAGAAGGCGAACTGGCACTGCTTTCCCTTGGAGGCGGCGGGATAGGTAAAGGTCAGGAGGGCGGTGATGTCGTTTCCCTTGTTGGCGTCAAACTTGGAGACGACGCCCCGGGACGTGGAGGCGATCTCGCCCGTGCGGACGTTGTATGCCCAAGTCGCCGAGGGGTTAAAGTGAGGCTTGTTTTGGGACGTGTCGCGCTCCTCAAGGGGGGCTGCGAGAGCGGAGACGGCCACGGCAACCGCGGTGAAGAGAGTCTTGAACAACATGTCGAATGGGGAGAGCAAGAGCTGAGATTGAGAGATTGAGATGTAATCGAGAATCGCCAATCTTGAATTGATCTGAGGTCTGTGAGTGTGCCGATGATGAGAAACCACTTCATTTGGCCAGACTTCACGCCGGTTATATACTAGACAGCATCAGCCCAAGTGAAAAGCACCAGCTCAGTGTGCAGAAAGAGGCGGCGCTCAGCCCGTCCCTGGCGCTGACGCCTCGGCGACCTTGGGCCAGCCCAGAACCTAATGGCTGCGACAAATATGAAAATAGCATCAGCCTCGCAGCTTTGGTCGCCGTCTAGAGACACGCTGGGCCAAGCACAGCCCACGAGGCGGCTCAGCCATCAGCTACTCGGTACCGCAGCGAAAAATGCGCAGCGAAAACACAGCAGCAGAGAGGAAGCTACATGCGGGGGAGGATAAACCGAGATAGGGCGGCCAATAGCACTCCGGCGGCGTCATCCCGTTGCATCTAGACTGAGTAGAACACCGTACTGGAGCGGAGACTCGCACGGCAGATGGCTTGGACTAAGCCGTTTGAGGTCTTGGAGGCACACATTTTACCTCAGCTGAGATGCCACAAAGGACTCTAGCTAATAAGGTCTGCTCATTGAGCCATCACGAGCTCCTCACCGTGGCTTGGCTAGCTCCTCTGCTTTTGTGGTGGCTGGGGACTGCGCATTCGATTGGTGCCGCAGAGACACGCTTGCTCAAGACATGAATCTGCCTAACGAGCCAGAGCTTGTCCAGCGGGGCGGGAACATACAGAGCCATAAGCTTTCAGCCACGGGCAATGCTAAGCGTCATTCTAAATGAAGCTTTGGCTGTGGCGGCATCTTCCGTCGGTGATGTGAACTGCCTCCAATACAGTACTGGCGGTGGCGGTGTGGCTCACTTAGGATCGCTCCCACCAGTCCACGTCTCTTAATCGACGAGATCCACCTCTAGGATTAGCCCAAGCGAATATCGCATATTTTTGAGTGCTATTGAATTCCAATCCTGTCTCCAAGTATGGAGAAATCTCCGTCTACACTCTGGAAGTTGCATACAAGGATCCCGGGATTTCAACAAGGCGTTCTATGGCTGACCACCCACTCCTGCAGACACAAAGTCCTACCTTTTCGATCTGAAGCTTCGTATTTGAATTCGTAATTAATTCATTGCAGCACTTGATTCGATATCGCCTGGATAAAGATAGAAGGTGTGCAGATGCATGTGAGTATGAAGCGGCGATTGCCAATTGATGATTCGCAGAGGAGGGTATCCGTCAGGCTGCGGTCACACATTTGTCCGCGACAACGATAAAATGTAGAAGTGGCGTCTCGTATATATGAGTTCTTTCGACCATATCTCGACACTCAGGCTCAGCTCTGCCATGGTTAGGTTGAACGCGGTAGATTGCGCGGTCCCATGAATGTGCAGAAAGCTGACAGGAGATTAAGCTGTACGTTTGGTTACGTCAACATGGTGATGCACGTCAGCGGTGACATCCGAATTTCCAACTACGCGGCTTTCCCCGCTGACAAAGATTGTTCGCCAGGCATCTCTGCCGTCATCACTGTGCCCGGCTTTGGTCGCAGCATTTTTGGAAGTAGGCGGCGAAAGGGCATGACTGGAGCTTTGTTCATGTGTGCCTTTCCGGTAAAGAAAAGCCATCATCTTGGATGATTTTATATCTACGACCTCTGTAACTCTCATGGAAACGTCTTCTTCCTCAGCCAACGAGCCAAACACTTGTACAATGTCCACAATAAACCGTGATTCGGACAGAGTCCATGACTGCATGAGGCAGACTGCGAGGAAACGGTCTAGCGCAGTATCTTAGCGTAGGACCTTGGCACGGTGCCGAAGGGAAATTCCGCGGATCTTCTTTCCGCGCTTGTGCTAAAATACTTGGTGGCAGCCATCTCGCCCGTCTGTGTACCAGCTGAGCTCGCTACATTGGCGCTGACTTAGGGTGATCAGAGAAGTGCTTCACGACCCTGACGACGAAGATCATATGAACTTATCTAGATCTTGATGGCAATTAGATGCGCGTCATCTGTCAATCTTGAGGCTGACATAGTTCCCTGCGTGCTGTATTTGTTTCCCCAGTTTCGTTCTTATTTCGACGCGCTCACTTAGTCGCTCTTTTCCGTTCGAAACACTCCTGGTCTTTTTGTCCCCATTCGTTCTTTACTCGTTTATCATGGCTCCTTACATGTTCATTCGAGGGCTCTCCCTGGCAGGCCTTGCCTGAGACCAGGTCGACAACACGTGAGCCAGTGACACCGACACCATCAATCACTTCAAGGTGAAATTTCTGGATAACCAAGCCGCCGAAAATAGCCGTAGCCACCGTAATTTGGGTTTCAGAGGCCATCTCCAAGGTAAATGGCACGCACTCTACGGCCTCACGCTGTGATGGGCCGCCGGAGTTAGCAACCCTACCCAGGACACCGACGGCTTCTATGGCATGGTCCGTGATTCTGCCTCAGCTCTCACGGACGACCCTTACGACCTAAATTTGAACAACGATGACCTAGTGGAGCACTAGAATTAGTTCGTCCCCTCCAATGAGACTGGGAGCAAGAAAAATATATTCGAGCTTGGTGGCACTAGTATTGTCGAAGCGGACTACTGTAGCGGAACCGGGGCTGTTCACTATTTCGTGGCAAGCCGAAGCTATTCACACGGAAAGACTCCTCACACTTCTGCGTATTAGAACGACGCCGAGAACTACAAGGGGGCTGGTGTTGGGAAGGTCGAACTTGTCGACGGCGTTCCTAGCGTCATTCATCGCTTTGGAGACAGCGGCTGATGGTAGAGCGGAGATTGAACGCCCAAGTAGGGCGACTTCGCAGCCCATCGAGATCCCAAGAGTGAATACAACTGCATCCTTGGCAATCCTAACAGCGAGTCCGGATTCCCGGCGAATTCATTCGTTTACCAAGCGCGCGTGTCAGCCGATGATGCGTTCGATCCGAGGAAGTACGAGTATCGGTGGGCCGGGAGCAAGGATGGAACTCAGATGCTCTCTCAACATTTACCTCCGAGACGGCCGTGATGTGGAGAGTTGGCTAGGAGCAAATTACATAGGACAAGCACTTTAAGACTTACATCTGCGTCGACCTCAGTAAGTCCTACTAGGTGCGGCTCTACCGTTTACCTTCACACTGCTCCGAGCCCCGAGGACCCATGGACTGCAGATAAGGAAATTTAAACGGCGGCACCTATCGACGAAATCCTCGTGTACGCGGGTCTGGCTTATCCTCATTTGGACAAATCAGGCTGGACTCCCACCATCGAACAACAATCGCATCCAGATCATCAAGGTGTCTTTTTCGTAAGATGGTCGGTTGAGGAACTGGGAACTTGGGAAAGATCAAAATGCAACTTGACTGTAATTGGATAATTTCAAGCTAGATCGTCATTTTGGTCTCCCATTTTGGCCTCGAATATAGAACGAATAACCCAGTCAATTATTCGGCATCAGTTCCAAGGCCAGTGCCGCCACCGACCCATTCAACCGCTGGTGTGCGGACCGCGTTGACAAGGAAGAGTGTGTCCCCGCTGTCTTCGAGACAAAGGGTGCTATTGTCGGCGGAGCTGGAGTTTTCGATGTAACCGACCACAAAGATGGCGACAATCGCTTGGTTTTCTGCAAGGAAGATTCGATCTAGTTGAAACGGTGCACCAGGGTTATCGCCAAGCCTGAAGTGACGGCGATGAAGCCAAAGGCCTTCTTACCACAGCCACACACCCGTGCTCGATTGGCAGCTGCTTGATGAGTGTAGACGGGCTGATGGGGTGGCAGATTATTACATTTTGTGTTGGAATGCCTTTTAAACCAAGATGTTATTGAAATGGCAACTATTAACAGGTCCGCGATTCTGTTACAATGCCGATTCTGTGTAGTTCAACGTGGGTTTTCATATGACTCTAGGCGGCGTACAGTTACAGTTTCGAGCCCATAGTCCCATTGACTAATGTGAAGCCGTTAGGATTAGGACACAACCAACTAAACACATTTATTGCATGATCTTGTGGACTCACATGCTGACAGTCTCCTCGTATTTCTCTCTTATATCTTCCTATAACTGGAATGACACCAAATTGCTCCACAATTATGACATCCCACTTCCACAATATCGACCATCAAGGTCTGACTCTACGCACGTGCTACACGCCATTCGCAATTCCGACGAAGCCCATTGATCTGGCAACAGCTGAGGATTCATATCTTATACTTTAGCTTACTGCCCGAGCTACTAGCGCATATATTGCTACCGTGACTTGCTGATGAAAAGAAAGAATCTTGGGGTTTGTGCTATTTCATACAATAGCTTCCAGATGGCGACCCATTATTATTGATCTTACTTTGGCATACCGCCGGTTGGAAATGAGGCAATTCATAGATGTCTCTACACCGCTAATGCCAAAGGGTATTTCCTGCCTCGGGCTTTGTTCATATTCGAATCACGCCAGTCTCAGCCCTCCAACAACACTCACTCTCTATCCTTACTATTATGTCATCTATCTATCTGCATGGCTGTGATATCTGTTACCACCACCTCTATCCTCAATTGAAAAGAAACGCCTCCTGCTTCAGCTGCGCGTGATTAAACCGCTCGACATGATCATCTGAACGTTATCGGCCATGCCGCCATTCGCCACCGTGAGCAGCTACAGCAGTGAGCCAGCCTCCATTTCTCTTCATCCTGGTTCATTTAATATACCAAGCTAGATGAGGATTCTCAGCCCTCCTATCGAGCTGTGGCTAAACCATTTAGAGAGCATAAACAGCTCCTCACTTTGTCCCGCATCCGAAAAACGGGCGGCACTGAGGCAAATAAGCATTTCTGACATATGTTCAACACTAGATCTCAAGCCCCTGTAGTAATGTTGTCCTGTGATTTGCTGTGACGATTAGGCAACAGAATAATGGCTGCCGGTTTCTGAACAAGGTAAGAAGCTATGCAATATTTTCCCTAATCATGCCACCCTTCACCTCGAGCTATCCTGCATGCTTCTAGAGCTCGAACCGTGGCCCTCGTTCGTACCCACATTCTTGGTCAACTTCGGGACCAATGCATTCTTGTTTTTAGCGATGTAACCATCACATCGCAGCCATTGATGGTTGCTCACCCTGCGGAGATCCTTCGAGGTAACCCTCACTTGCGCCTCATTGGACAGCGTGGGCTGACCTCCGCATCGTCCCCGGATAATAGCGAGAGCGAAGTAGTGAGACAATTGGTTGGGCCAACTTCGGGCTCTTCCCCAGACAAGGGACAAAAGTTGGTGCCTAAAAACACCCAAATCTCACCCGGCACATTGATAGCGTAGTGCTCGGCATCGAGGTCGATTGACTTCCCCGGTTTTCCGTCAAGTGCCGTGTGATGAGCACCGGGCCGGACTCTGGCCGAAGGTATCATCCTAACAAAGCTGATGTAGCCTTGCTGTACTCCGGGGTCCCGGTCCTTTGCTCAACATAGATGCCGCGTGACAGCGGTTGGGTGACATTTCTAATCAGCTTATGAGCTGCTCGGGCACACCGACCACTAGCAACGACACCATGAGACGAAGAGATCGGCGGGTTTTGAGCTGTTTAAGTCAACAAAGGTTCGGCATATGCAACATGAACAAGGAAGATGCTGCCAATGAACTGGATTTTGTCTGCGTCTGATACCCTGATGCTTCTGCGTGACGCAACATAACTACCCCTCATCGGCCGCCTGTCTCACCTCATCAATTGGACCAGCATATTTATTCTTCCACTCTTCCCAATACATTTCATCGAGTCTAAGAATACCCAGCTTACTTTCATTAATCGGCGACGGAGACCGTCCCTGGACACAGTCAACAGCATGGCAGATGAAAAGAATGGCACCAATGGCATCGACGGGCCGTAAGTTCTCCCTTCTTAATCTATCTTCATAGATCACTCCGCACCTTTCCACTGTTACATTCGCTTACCAGTTTCACAGTGTGGCGCACGATGACAAGCACGTCTTGGAGGAGGAGGAGAAGCGGAAGATCGCCAATTTGACCGAAAACCTACCGGGCGAGATTCGCAATCCTCTCAAGGGAATTCCGCGCGACCAGCTCCTCGAAGATGTCACCAACTTCCACCGAGATCATGGGCTCCCAGAAGACATCCTGCCCTTTATCAAGAAGGGCGCCTTGGTGGCACAAAACCCAGTCAACTTTGAGGACATTGATGATCTTGACGAGGACGACAAGCGTGTATTGAGAGAGGAGGTCACCCATCGGTGGAAGCAGCCTTGGGCGCTGTACTATACCATCATCCTCTGCTCAATCGCCGCAGCTATTCAAGGATGGGATCAGGTTGGATAAGAGCTGTCATCTTCGTCTTGGGAGATCATGCTGACGTCGACAATAGACCGGTTCCAACGGAGCGAATCTGAGCTTCCCCGACGCCCTGGGCATCCCCGACGCCGCCGGTTCGTCCTGTGGACCCGTCGCAAACGAGGGAGAATGTTCCAAGAATAGTTGGATTATCGGATTTGTAAATGCGATGCCCTACATTACTATCTGTCTTTTGTGAGTATGCACTATATGTCACCGGGGCATATAATGTCCGTTGCTGACAGATATAGTGCGGGATGGATTTCTGATCCACTGAACGACTTACTGGGCCGTCGAGGCGTCATCTTTGTTGCTGCCATCTTCTCTCTGATCGCGCCATTTGGCATGGCCGGCTCACAGACTTGGGGACAGCTCGCAGCCTGTCGGTAGGTGCTCGATCCCGGCCCGGCGGAGACTCGCTTTCTAACAAACTCCTTAGAATGCTACTTGGTATTGGAATGGGTCTCAAAGAAGTCACGGTCCCTGTGTTCTCAGCAGAAAACTCGCCTGCCATCATCCGTGGTGGCTTGGTCATGTCGTGGCAAGTGTGGACGGCATTTGGTGAGAGCTATGAGCCGATGGAATTAATTGCCATGCTAACCATGCAATCTCAGGAATCTTCTTGGGCACATGCTCCAATCTCGCTATGGGAAAGACCGGCGATATCGCATGGCGGTTGCAGTTGGGATCGGCCTTCATCCCCGCAGTGCCTCTCGTTATCGGCACGTACTTTTGCCCAGAGAGTCCCCGATGGTACATGAAGAAGAACAAGCATACAAATGCATGGCAATCGCTATTGAAACTTAGAAACACTCCCCTTCAGGCTGGCCGAGACTTATACTACATCCACTGCCTGCTGGAACAGGAGCGGGTTATGGTTACCGAGGCTGGACTGAAGGTCACAAGCAACTTGGTCACACGCTTCATCGAGCTTTTCACCATTCCCAGAAATCGGCGAGCGACATGGGCATCTGGAATTGTCATGATTGCCCAGCAGATGTGTGGTATGACATCACTAGTTCAATGCATGCCAACTTGAGGTTGGAATTTGCTAACCGTGCGGCTAGGAATCAACATCATTGCTTTCTACAGCGCTACTATCTTCAAAGAGAGTGGTATCAGCGACTACACAGCTTTGTGGGCCAGTTTCGGCTTTGGCTTGATCAACTTTCTCTTCGCTTGGCCCGCAGTGTGGACGATTGACACCTTTGGTCGGCGAACGCTTCTGCTCTTCACATTTCCAAACATGTTCTGGACCCTCCTAGGTTGGTTGCCCTCAAATGTTTTACACACAAGTATCGCTGATAATTTGAAATAGTTGCCGGTCTTTGTTATCAGATTGACAAGGGTAACGATGACAGTAGTGCTCGGATTGCTGCAGTCGCTACCTTTGTCTACTTGTTTGCAGCGTTCTACTCTCCAGGCAAGTCTCATTGGTACAGAGGATCTATACAACCAGAATGCTAACAATTTATAGGGGAGGGACCAGTTCCTTTCATGTACTCTGCTGAGGTCTTCCCACTATCTCATCGTGAAATCGGCATGTCCTGGGCTGTTGCGACCAACAATTTCTGGGCTTCGGTCCTTTCACTCACCTTCCCGCGAATGTTGATTGCCATGACGGCTACAGGTGCTTTTGGGTTCTATGCCGGACTGAACCTAGTTGCTTTAGCCCTTATTTTCTTGTTTGTACCCGAGACCAAACAGAAGACACTCGAAGAACTGGACTATGTGTTCGCGGTCCCCGATCGCGTCCATGCATCATACCAGCTCAAGACTGTTTTACCCTGGTGGACGAAGAGATGGATCTTACAGCGGAAGACTGAAAAGTGCCCTGAGTTGTACTATGATGAGAATCAGAGCTCTGTGAGGGATGGTCAGGCTTAAGATTGTTCTCGCAAAATCCCTCATCCTCCGCGTTTGCGATAAGGGTAAAGAACGTCGGATGGAACGATGTACTCCGTGATCGACTTGGCTAAATTGACTCTTTGGTGGATTTTTTCACGACATCTCTCACTTTCGATAGCTTAGATAGTTACTATAGTTCGGCTTGATATCCTTGTCATTACTTTATCATTGAACGGTACTCTATGAGGAAATTTGTCCTCTCAAATGAGACAACGGGAGCCATGCCCTTGGCGGGTTTGCAACGCGGGCTAGAATCTGGGGCTGTGCAACAGGACCCTGATCGGCAGGGCGATTAGCGCATCGGTTCCGCATAAATTGAACCAGGTTTTTTCCCCGGTTCCTCTCTTGAGAGATTCTCCTCTTTTTGTTCCTTTTTTTAGTGAAGCACCAACAGGAAAAGAGTGGGCTTGGGTGGTGATTAGTTTGCTCATCCGGGGCAGCCGGCCAGCGGTTACAAGCATCTACTTGCCCATGCGGTTCATCTAGCCTCAAGGGTGGAGTTGACATGGGCCGTCCCAGAACTCTAAGATCGAGCCATTAGGATGGCTGTGAAGCCATGAACTTGTCCCACCTGATACATGTAAAGGACGCAGAGATGCGGCCTGGCGGTCATAGATACCAGCCTACCAAGCGGGCGCTTATTTCGAGACGACTTCGACACAATTGGCAAGCCAACAAGTAGCTAGTGAGAACTCAAAGATCCTGGGGCGAAACCGGGACACGGATTGGCTCATTCGATCCAACATGTTGGACCAACAACTGTTTTACCAGCCCAGATTCGTTCGCCCGCAGGACAGCTGATACAAACCTGAAGAAGAACGGATCCACTGAGACGCAGCGGGATGTTGGTTGACGTGCGAAATGGAGCACATCACACCCAGCTGAGGACCGGGAGTGTTTGAGGGTACAGTTAAATGCCGCTCTGTCACCCTCCCGTACCTACGTATCTTCAATTCTTAGGGTTTGCATCTCATCTGAAATTGCGCCTGCCTCTCCAATTTGCATATGCTATATCACGACTCTTTCATATTTCCCATTGCTACTCTTATCATCTTCTCGCCTCGCTCGCTCGCCACTCTTTACATCTAATTTGCGCCAAGTTCAACCATGTCCGATCCAACCGACCCCCCTTCGGCCCAGCTGGGAGCTATGTCGCTCAGCAAGCGCGTTTTTGCTAAGCCAAGAAGCCGAGCAACAGTCAACCAGGCCACTCCACGGACCTCCAATCCATCCTCTGGCTCTTTTAGTTCCCACTCCAGTTCCTCATCTAACGTCTTCGTATTCGGCCAACAATCGCCGCGGCCAAGTGTTCATCCAAGGACGTCTGGCTCGTTCTCATCCCCACCACCAACGCCGAATACTCCCAGCCAACAAAGCAGTAGCCCAGGTCCTGTGTTTCGCTTTGGAGGCTCCGATTCTCAGCCTTTGGTCACTCCTAGTCAACACAGCAGTGGCCCAGGCCCTGTGCTTCGCTTTGGGGGTTCTGACTCTCCGTCGCCGAGCACTCCCAGTCCACAGCGTGGCAGCCCAAGCCCTGTCTTTCACTTTGGGCCCTCCAGTTCGAAGCCTCCTCCGTTCCCACCGCCAACGGTGAACACACCAGAACATCAGAGCACGAGTCCAAGCCCTGCATTCAACTTTGGGGCCTCTACTTCGCAGTCGTTCTCTTTTCATTCGCTCCACAATGTTACACCTCTGCCATCACCGACGCCTTCTCGTGGAACGTCACCGCAGCTGTCTGCTACTACGCTTCAGTCGCCATTCCGCTTTGACTCTAGTCCCCCGATGAGCGGCTCTCAGACTGCATCGAATCCTAACATGCACGCCTCGGTATTTGGCTCGTCGATTTCTCTAACAGTCCCTTCCACCCCTCCATCGGCTGGAAGGTCACGAGCCCTGTCACTCACATCACCTCCGTCGTCGATTCCTGGACAGCCACCAGACACAACGCCAAACACACAGCAACGTTTCAGAAGTGCATCTGAAGTCTCAACCCCCATCACTCAAACTTCAGCCGTGAATCCTCCGTATGATGCCCAGGCCGAATCGGCACCCGCACATTCTTTTTTTACCCCGGTTTTTCAGACAGCGCTGAAGAATGGTTCCACGATTGCTAAAGACGCCTTCGCTTCCATGGAAAAACTGGGCTCGTGTGGTCTAGCCGAGTCTGATGCGGACCTGAGGAGATTGATGGAAGACGCAAAGGGTTTGAGAAAGTTCCAAGGCTCCGACACCCGAACAATTGCTGTGTTGGGTGACTCTGGAGAAGGTACATCTTCTTCCAGTCTTCATGTATTGATGGATTGGCACTTACTATATCGCAGGCAAGAGTAGCCTGATCAACTCACTGCTTCACGTTCCAGAGATCGCTCAGACGGTAGGTTTCCTCTGACTACACCCGGGGCACTTGAAACTACAATTCTGATGACGTCTTCACCTCACAGGGAGATATTGGTTCTGCATGTACCTCGGTTGTAACCGAGTATCGACAGAAAAAGGCGGAGCATGTCGCTCCTATCACGATAGAAGTGGAATATCTCTCTGCTTCTGGAATGAAGGAACTTGTGACTGAACTCCTCTGGAGCTACAGGCAGCTGTATCTACCTGGTGTTGAGTCTGATGAGACTCCAGAACAAGATTACGCAAGATATATGCGAGAATCAGACCAAGCCTGGTCTGCTCTTCAATCTGCATTCCGGCACCAACGTCAATTCACCAAAGAATTCCTTCGCGATATGTCGGAAGGTGCGCTGGAGAAAATCACGAACCAGGTCCTCCAATGGGTCAGTGATATTGAGTGGCCTAGCGGAGGAAATGACGGTTTCTGGGTGTCTACGGCCCAAACCGCAGAAGAGTGTTGCAACAAGACAAAGGTTTTCATGCAGGACAAGTACTGGCCATTCACCAAAATTATCCGGTAAGAGCAGTCGTCGTCTCTCCAAGATCTGATCGAACTAACATTGCGGGATCAGTGTCTATCTCAACTCTCAGGTCTTGAAGACTGGCGTTGTCCTTGCGGACTTGCCTGGTATGATATGAAAAGTTGATGCATTATACTAGCTCCTCTGCTTACACCTTCCGAAGGTCTTCAGGATACTAACATGGCGAGAGTCCGAGCAACACAAGACTACCTCATCAAATGTGACAACATTTTCATCGTCGCCAAGATTTCCCGAGCCATTACTGACCAGTCTCTAAAATCATCTTTATTTTGGGTCATATCTCGTCACGTCCCAATGGAGTGGGAAAAGTCGGGTGGCAAAAACTTCAAGTTGGCTGTTGTCTGTACAAAGTCGGAGGTATAAACCAGGTTGGTGTCTTGCCGTATTGATTGGCTAATATATTAATAAGGAAATCAATCAACGAACGGCGAGAACAGAGTTTTGCGGACCTAATAAGAGGATTCTCCCAGAGACCATGGAGAAGCTTGACAAAGAGATTGAAACTGCAAAGGCTGCAGGTGACAGAGTGGCAAAGAAGACTGCAAAGAGAAGGTGAGTTACAAGTATTGCCAATACTTAACAGCGAACTCCAGACTAACAATATGTCAGACAAGAGCGTATTCTCATGCAGGCGAGAAATGATTATGTCAAAGAGGGTCTACAACGCACCTACGCCGCTGACATGGAAGGTGGGGCACTCAACGTCTTCTGTGTATCCAATACGATGTACCAGAAGTACTGCCCGAAAGGAAATACCGAGAGTGTAATAGCCAGCGGGATCCCAGACCTTCGCCACTTTTGTCACAGTATGACTGCAGACGCTCAATTGGGCGAATCGAAGCATTTCTTGCGGTCGAAGCTGTCGACGCTCATCAATTCACTTGAATTGTGGACCAACAGCCACCAAAATACCCAACTTGAAGAGGAAGTCGATTTGGCTGAATCCATCTATGACGATTTGAACAGTGTCATACGCGAGGTATTGTTGATAGGCAGTTGATAAATATGTCACTTGAAGCTCACAAAATTCAGTTTCCTAAATCCGTCACGGCATTCCGAGAGGGTTTTAATACATGCTTCCAAGAACAAATCATGGATTTGCTAGGTACGTTATTAGTTTCCGGTCTCTGTGCGTGTGATTAACACGAGTCTTGGGTGAAGCCAAGAGAGATCAGCATTGGGAGCAAGTCGCCAGCGGTGAGGGGAGAAAATGGCATAGTGTAAGTAAAGGGACGTTCAACAGTCAACAAACTTGAAAGCTAACCTGCCCTAATAGTGGCATTGGAGTACTTTGAACCCAGACCCTGATTCAACAAGCACAACCGCTGACCGCACTGCGACAGCCCAGTACCGAGCGTGGTGCCGAAATAACGGCAACCACCAAACGGCCGGGCGGGACCATGAGGATTGGAATGCCAAGATTATCTGGAAGATGCGCATGGAACTTGAGTACCAATGGGACCTCGTGGAAGATGAAGTCCCCGAGGTCTTCTCAGTTCTTTTGGACGCTACGAAAAGTCTATTGGAAAGACTGAAAATGACGATTCAAGGTATGTTCACAACACCGGGGTACAGATTCAATGAGATCATCAATAACGTGTTGGCATCAATCAAGGCTACGCCACGTCTGATTGCGTCACTCCTCTCGTCAGCAGTATTGACTTCCAGATCCAAAACCTCGAGTATCTGATCAAGCGGGAAGAGAGAACCTTTGTTGGCGAAGTGAAGTATGTTATCGTCATCATCCAAACATCTGTGTTTAACCCACTACCTTTGACACGACACGAATTCTAATTACTCGCCAATTCACAGATCTATTCGTCGATATGCGTCAGAGTCGAATTCAAACTCGTATATTCTGAAAGAAATGGTCCCCTCCTATCGTTCTGCCAGCAGCCAGTCAGGTATGTTAAACTTCCAGTCATTCTCTCACTTTTCAAATGCGCATTGTCGCTTTATATCTTGTTTGTTGAATGCTAACATATCAAACAGGGAGCGGAATGGCTGCGAGGCAAAGGGGAATAGTCCAAGGCCACATCGAGGACGGAAGTCTTTTCCCCAACCTCGGCATTTCGATTTCTACCAGCATGGAGGAATTGATTACGTCGACAGAGAATAAATTGACGAAACCCTTCAATGGTATCTTAGAAAGCATCAAGAGGGATGTCGATATGGTGTTCCAGCATCAGACAAGGGTTGAGCAGAGGCCGAGGGAGTCTGACGAAGAGAGGGAGAACCTGCTGAAACAGCTTGCAGTTGAAGTGAATGGTCTGAAGCAGAGACATGGGCTTTTATTACAGACCATTGAAGCGCTCTGAGGCGCCACATGATCTAATATCACGGCCTCTGAGATGCGCTAGGCCAGCGAGGCTACTGTTCTTGGTTCAGAATGCGGTCACTACTGCGACTTGTCTTCATCGTCAAATTGCGTTCCTGAACAAGTCTTCATAAATATATAGTACGATAAGACTCCTAGTCTAATTAGGCAATTAAAGTGAAATTAGAAACTGGTCAGACAAAGACAACCGGAGCCAGTTTCCTTTTACTTAGTAACATGTCATCTACCATCTTCCTTCCCAATACCAGCCTTTCCGCCTTGTCGTAAGTTGTAGTTCCCCAACAAAGGCTCTCAAAAGTCTTATCAAAAAGGGCCCAGTCGGCGGATGCAATTAGAGGAGTCTGGCTAAGCAGCCTTATGATGTCTTCTTCATCATTGCCCTCGCTCAGGTAGGATTGAACATCATCATATATTCTGTCAGCCATGCCAGGAGTCACGCGCGACTTGTGACCCTCATCGATGACGACGAAATCCACCCCCGGAAGTTTCGCAAATACCTCGGCCAGCAGATTGGTTTTATCTCTCCAGGTCTCTAGTGCCGATTTAAAGAGCTGCGACCATTGTATCTGGCCGCCAGACGATCGGGAGAACCGATTTATCACGAAACGCGATTGTGCTGACAAGCTCAGAATGCTGCGGGATCTACACCATTGTTTGAACTCAGGCCTGTAACCCGTAAGATTATATTCGACATGACACAACTGTCGTGCAGTTTTCAAAGCCTCCTGGTCCCAAAACTCGAGCAGAGTGTGCAGCGTGGACTGAACGCGATCGGCGACTTCTCCGACCTGGGTAGAGAAATCGCGGTTCAGGACCATGCCATGTTCATTCCACACTGTTGTATGTTTCTCAATTTCGTCAGAGAGGTCCCACTGTTGGCCATTTGGCAGCGCCTTTTCGACGTCTTCAGACACGGCCTTCTCTTGTCCCGCAGCATTGAGAATGTACCTCCACTGGACAAGAAAGTCAAAGGCATGCTGATACAACGGGTAGCACGTCTCCATCAAACGTAACTCATCAATTGCAGTGTTGCTTCCAAAGTAACTGTTCTTAACATCATGGATGAGTGCAACCACACATGAAGAACACAGCTCATAGGTGATTGGATGGTCAACTTGCTTCGACTTAGTTGCAAGGAATAGACTTTCGCAGCCTAGGACCCCTATTATGTAAAAAGGGCCCTGGTTCAAATATCTTGCCATTGTCAACACCCACGGACGAGCGCGAATGGCTAACACAGCACCTCCGTCAAAATCGTGAAAGTCGGTGACGATCTCATCACTCTCGATCTTCGCCTCGATTCTTGCGCTATCCATGGGCCGCAGTAATGGGTTGCCCAGTTCGATGACTGTATAACCGAGTGTGACAAGGCAGCCGCTGCCGGCATGAACCTGCATTTGCAGACTGGATGGTGCCAATACTCCTGCTCCAGGATTGGCAGGTATGCTACCAGCCCCTTTTATCCTCAGAAATTCAGATATGTGCATTCTGGAAGGTGAATACACGTCAAAGTCATTTTTGAGTGCTGAAAATTGAAGTGATCTGTCGTCGAGGCCGTAGATGGTAGTCTCAGAGTTCCAAAGAGGAACCCAAGAAGGTATCCCGTAAGTCTCTCGAAGGTTTGTTTCCACTTCAGTACCTGCAATCTCGAGAATCTGGTGGCAACCCCTGTTCTGCAACAAATAGGTGGCCACGCCAATGTACACTTCCCGAACCATCAGATCGTAGTCAGCATTGAGCATTTCGACATCAGTATCTTCAACCAGCCCAAGCAGGCCGAAGATCTTGTCGCGCAAGTCACTCATACCACACTCCGAAGTTGCAAGAAGCAGGCTGATTAATTCGCCAGAGGGTATCTTAGAACCAGGTTTCATCCGTGCGATGAGGCCGATCCAGGATGGAACGTCGACGCCCTTTTGTTCGATCCGGGTAATTGTGTCCCTCGAGAGCTGTACAGCCAGCTCTCCACAATGCAAGGTGAGGGAGCGCGCTAACAGGACTTCTTGAACGACCCATAAACGGGAAAAGTATGGTCGAGCGAAGAAACTTGTAAAGTTCGGCTCTGAAGGAACTTCATCGGAACCCAGGTCGGCTGCTTCAGATGCCTCAAAGCTCTCAAGCTGGGTGATGGATTGGTACCCAGTTTTGTCGGCGCCATGTTCTACCTCCCCAACGTAGATATGTACCGTCTTCGCCATAGAGTAGATGTGGTGCATCAGGGAGACTTGGTGTGATCTCTCAGTGGGAGACCATTGATTGATACAAATAGCATCAACCCAGATGGTGATTTTGGAGTCTTTCCTGCGCAACGAACGCAAGGCTCGGTCGCAACTGAGAGTAATTGGCAGTGGGCTGTAGGTATCGTCGAGAAGTATGCGCCTACAGAGCGAGGCATCGCCTTCAGCATCCGCCCAGGTATACGACAAAGCTCCGTACGAATGTGATTCCTCCCAGTCAACCACTCGCAGTTGACCACGGAGAGCCTCGGTCCGGCTGCCTGGAGAAAGATCGAGGAGCCGGATGCACTCAAGTTGCACCAGGGGTTTGTAGACAAAGGGCTTGGCCTACTAGCGGTTAGATTTGCCTATGAAACTTAAGAATGGATATCAAGAGGTTAGGGTGCCCTAGTACACACATACCCAGAGGGGGGACTAGAAGCTCAACAGTAAAAAAAAACACCAACAATAGTATCAACAATATAAGAATGGATATTTAGTCAAACTTACTTCCTTGTTGCTCTTAAAGTCCGGGGCATTCTGGGTATTTTGGACATTTGTGGCTTGAATCGATCGTGGTCTGTGTTCAGCGCGAAGCAAAGCGTCCTCCACTTGGCCATCACTTGAGCTAGACAAGTAGCTAACTGAAGCTGGCCAAGTTAGCGGCCGGATGGATGTCAACGTTGGGGTCACATTTTCTTGGTTGGGCCATGACGGAGGCGTGGTGGGCTCGATGGAACCGATAGAACCGATTGCACCACAACTTAAACAAGACAAGAGAGATGTGTCTAGACAGACAATGTCAACGTGTCTGCAGTTTGGATCACCGCCGTCCATCATAAAGCAAAGACAATATTAATAAAAAGATGAATCAGCTGTTGCTGAAGGATCCGGAGCGGGGAAGCATCTGCCTGAAATGTGCTGACGAGCTGATAATAGGCGGTGACGGCTGGCAAAAACGAATCTCACGAAGTACCATAATTGTCACGAAAGCGTACGTCCCTTTGACCGCATATACCTGCTTACACCGTTGCAACATGAATGAGGGGAGATTTCTCTTCAAACTTGACCCATTGTGAGCCGTTCTATACCTTGACAAAATATACCGACATCGCACGATGATAATATCACAACCCGTGGCTTGTAAGCTGAGAAATGTGGTTCAATTACACGTTTTAGTATATTCATAAACTAGCTCATGATTTAACGCTCACCGCTGCCCTCCCCAGATCTTGCAAGAGTTGCTTCAAATTTTCCACCAACGGGGGCGCTGTCTCAACTTGCAGGCTGCACGGGAAGTTGCCCTGTAGTATCTCAAGAACGGCGCTGATGACGGCTTCCTGATTTGAGAGGGGAACGAGAGTTGTGGTGGTGGTGTCCGTGATTTGAGGATATGAGAGGCTCGGGATTCCCTTCCCAAGCGTAATGAATCGTTGCACAGTGGATGTCTCTGGCCCGTCCAGACAAACCGCATTTGGGAATGTGCTTTGCAGGGGCACTTCGTTCTGTGAACCGTTGGCCAGAGACATAATGCTGTAGGCCCAGAGCGCAAGACTGGCGTGGTATACAGCAATGGCAAAAAAACCACGGATGTGCTTCAGACGAAACTTCCTTGCTGCCCTGATAACCTGACCAGCGTGCCAGATAGCTTGACGAGATTGCGGTCCGTCCACCCAGTCTTGAAGAGTTGGCAGAACACGGCGAGCGTCCTCCAGATCTCCCTTTCCAGCAAAGAACTCGATATCTTCGAACGACATGTGAAGATGCATGTGCAAAAGTTCAAGAGTAAGGGTTGTCTCCTCAGAAGTCGGATCACGGCATTCTGAAATGTTGATTCGGAAGTGATGGAGCATTTTAAGGAGTTCCTGATGTCGAAGCGCGAGGGCAGGGTCCGTATAGCCCGGTCTCCGTAGCGTTGAGAGCAATTGCGACTGTTGCCAAATCATACCCCAAATTCCGTGCAAGATGACCAGCTGTAAGAGGTGTACATCGCAGTCCTCCGGAAGCTCGATAGGCCCGCGCAAAAAGTCGATGAGGCTAAGATACGGGTCTGTCGATCTGGGTCTGCTGAGGTAGATGGTCTTCCACTGCTCGGCATCCTCTGCCAACCACAACTCTCGCGGGGCTGGCAGTGGAGTGCTGAGTTCGGCAAAAGATATTACAGGGTTGATGAACAGTGCCATACTTGCCCGTGCGTCCATGATAAAGGCATGGAACACGAACCGTTTGTAGCTTTCTTCCTCGACCCATTCGAGCCACTTGTTGTGCAGAACTTTGCCGGTGTCTTCGATAAGAGGAGCTTCCAATACCCTATTCGGCCTCCGGAATCTCCCGCCGCGCCGAAGCATCTGCTAGATGTTAGTCCTGATCATATATGAGTGTAGGCTGAAGCATACCGTGTAGAGAGTTTGCGTGTGACTTTCTGCAATCTCCGTCTTCCGTTTAATTCCACTCCAGAGCCCAATCTCAATTTCACACATAAAGGACTGCACAGCCCATAATTGTCGAGTCCTTGCATTTGACTCCTCGAATTTGCTGGGGAGCGTTGTGCGCACAGCTTCCTGGATTGCAAACCCCAGCTTATGCACCGATGTGATGTCTGTCAGGATAGCGCCGGAAGCGACGATGGCACCAAGGAGTTCTGGCCTTAGTGCATTAGGTCGAAAAGATGGCGCGTGGATGTAGGAGTCCGTTTGGTGAAGATGATGGGAGAAGAAGCCTTCCAACAGATCGTCCAAGACCTCGGGTGTGGGGAAGGCCTTGATGGCGAAATGGGTCTTTTCCAGACGACAGTGATTTAGTATCATCCCTAGAAACTTGTCCCTCGTAGGTCGACTCAGCCGCTCTCTGAGGTAATATTGATTAATTGTCGATCGGCCTTCAGGAGAACTGTGATCAGTCCCAAGCGCCGAAAGGTCCTCGAGTTCCGCCGCGATAGTGTCTTGCGATGTAGGCTCCCAGACGCTGAGAGAAGATCGCTTGTAGGCCTCGGCTCCGAGGGCAACGTGTTTGCGTGGAGTCTCGATGCCCAGCGCGTCAAAGGCTTGTTCAGCCATGGGCTGCTGGTTGGTGTCGATGGCATTGGGGTCGCTACATAACTGGTCGATGAAGCCAAAGTCGGCGTCGTCAAAGTCGAATCCCGTCTCCATGGTGAAGTCGAGAAGACCCCGAGCGCTGAAGCCTGAACTGGTTTCATGCCAGGCTGGGGGGCCGTAGGTGCACGATCCGTCGGGGAGATGGGGCGTCATGACGCCTCTAAGAAATCCCGAGATGTTGTGCTCGGGAAAGTCAAAGGGCGATGTACTGGGAAGTCCAAGGGGTGCGACTGAAGGGTCTGTGGGTGGGAGAGATGAGTAAAAAGATTGGCTATGAGGAACAAGACGCTTACGTCGGATCATGGAGTTGGGAGTCGGCATCGTGGCCACTTGTTCGATGGAGTCGATGGGAACCCCCATAACTGGCGACTCGCCCGACTGGCCAGCGACTGGGGATGTGCCATTTTCTATTACCAAGGTGATTAGAAAGAAACGCGACAATATAAACTGCTACGGAATAAATAATAAATAAAAGTCTTACCGGATTGCGAAGCCTCGCTTCGCGATAGCTTCACACTGTCGCGCGCCTCAAAGGTGCATGTGATGCCTCGCTGCGTGCACCTCCCACAAGGCTTCTCGTCGTCGCACTTGAGCTTGGCCGTGGCGCAAGGCTTGCACGCTTGAGAAACACGCAGCGACTGGTGGTGCTGCCGCTTCTGTCGCTTGCCGCTCTTCTCGTCTCCCTCGTGGCAGGCGGCGTGCCGCTTGAGCAGGTCTCTTGGAGCGCAGTTAGAGATTATAGGGCCTCAACCAAAACGTGCTGTGCGAGGTGAGAGTGGACATACGGCCGCCCGAACGTCTTGTTACATGTCTGGCACTGAAAGGGTCGTTCCTGTAAGTCTGCGTCGCTTGGTTAGCCCCAGGGTCTTGGCTGGAGGAAAGGCGAGGGACTCACGACTGCGAACGTGGCGGGCGAGATGATCGACTCTGGTAAAGGTGCGCTGGCAGGCTGAGCACTGGAACAGGCCCTGGCCGGGGGCTTTCTGCGGTTGCTGAGCCGATGTCTCCATGGCGTGTATGATATCCAGGGCATGCAGCGTGGGCGAGGGAGGTGTTCAATGGACAATGGGAAGAGGCCAAGGCTCTGAAACGGAATGTTCTTGTTAGACGGGAGGCGACGCAGTTGCGGAAACGCACCGGCCATACGCGGACTTTGTATCATGGTGAAGTAGACGGATCCAGGCCCTACCCCGTCATCCCCGTCATCCCCATCTGCATCCCCAACCCCATTTCCCATTCCCCGCGTTCGGCTAACCGTGCAGATCCAGCCTCTCATCCAGCTAGGGAGCCTGTGTCCCGGGGCGTCCAATCCGCAGCGTCACTACTCCCAAGTCCCTTGGCGGCTTTGTCCATGGGCCTATAGCGTCCACTTCTCCTCCCCCGCGCTACCGGCCGCAGGTGACCCCGGCGAGGCCCGGCCAGAGCGACGGCACTTGCAGGAGTATATCAACGACAAGGGCCAGCAAGATCTGGTCGTTGCTCAGGCGTGGCCATGGGCTTTCCGGGCTCCTGACGTGATGGGATGCTCGGGACGCCGGGCTACGTGTCGACGGGTTCACCCGAGTCTCCGTGCTCGTTATGGATACTTCTCCCGACGAGATCTATCCATCTCGGAGAACCTGGTGAACACTGGGGCCGCGAAAGCCCTGGTGTTGCGAGGCCCGGGCTACCCTGCGTCAAGCCAGGGCATCCGTTGGCCACACAGCAAGACTCAGAGGCACGCTCATGTGGATGGACCCCTACAAAGTCCACGCGTCCCTTACCCCAGGATGGCTAGTATTGTAGCTTATGCGCTGTCCGGTTTTTAATGTGGGCGGTGCGGAGATGGGTTCGGGGAAGGGATTTGCTCGAGATACAATCGGATCTGAACCGATCAGTCGAGATTAGAAGCATGGTTGGTCCCTACAATGCATTTAGAAGGATTGAGTGAGACATTATGCTCGCCATTTTGAATCTTCCAGTGATTGAGCCTTTGCGACGTTTCACAGAGCAGCGGTGATACAGCAACGTCTCCAGCGACAGAAATTCCCACGCCTGTCAATGACTAGCCTGCCCCCAAGCCAGCACAGAACTAAGCATTTACTAGCACTCTGAAGGGGGCACGGGTTGTGGGAGGTGGGTAGATCCCCAGGTTACATGCACCAAAGCCGTCGTGTGCCACAAATGGACAGCAACACCAACGGAATGTGGGGGTGGTCCCGATACACACGACTGACCAAAGCCATCCAGACAGCCTACCTATTACCATGCAGCACAGAAGCCAGGGCTGCATGCCAAAACGACGGGCAAGGCGGGGGCAAAATCTAGCAGCCACCCATGCCAACAGGGATAGAGAATGCTTGCCAACCAGCCCGGGAAGCCTCGGCCTCCGCTGGGGTTCCCCGTCAGTGCAAGGTGTAGCCTTGCCTGCGTCTAATGGCGAAAAGTTTGAGCGGGACTATGTCTTGTTTAGGCGCGTTGTATTGCCACCGTGGTGGCAAAGGGAAACCGACCGTGTTGCAGCCGGGAGAGATTTGAATATGCATGATATGACAATCTCGAGGGGAGTAAACTTGACGTGTAGCTGTGACTATCCTGCGGGAATTGCAAGAAGTCAAATGATCCTTGGACAAAATACGGCACAGCTGATGGATTGCTTCATTGCCAAGATAGTTATTACTCTCACAAGTAGATAGTTGGTCATGGTCACAGTGAACATCAGATAGACGGCAAAGCGCAAAATTGTAACTCGTATAAATGACGTGGATCTTACATAGGTCTACAGGTATTGATATCGATAGGGATCCTTGCTAAAATGCTAATCAGTAACGGAAATGCTCAGATACCCAACCCCAGCCTTCGCCGGGATCTGGTTCTCATCCTTCAGATCTTCGGCGCTGCCATGATCTGGTTCTCGTTGCTCAGGCCCTGAACGCCGCTCTTGTCTCCCTCGTCCAGGTATCCGGCGACCACGCCCCTGGGGTCCCGCGTCCTGCGGATCTCCATGAGCTTCTTGCCCTGCTCGTCGCCCCAGAACTTGGCGCCGCGCACCTGGAAGTCGGCGTCGCCCAGGTACGCGCCCTCCAGGTGCTCGTGGGCCTCGGCGAAGATGGACTTGACCCAGCTCTGGCACAGCCTGTCGTGCGCCTCGTGCTCCCAGATCGAGTACGTGGCGAAGTAGTGGTCGCTTTGCATCGACAGTGCCATGTCGGGCATCGTGCCGGCTGCGGCGCTGCGGCGCGACCCGGGGCCCATGGCGTACCACAATGCAAAGGACTTTTCGGAGGGCAGGGTTGTGAATGCCTTTTCCATGACGGAGATCACATCTGCGTCATTCTTGATATAGCCGTTGTCGACGGCATATCTGTGGCCGTTGGGGTTTGCGGCATGCTGGTCGTCATATTCCTTGAGGAGTGACGTCTCCTTCATGAACCAGGTGATAACGTGGCCAGGAGGTGCTGAGTCTTCAGCTGGCTGCAATGCCGCTCGTGCTTCCTCCTCGCTATTCTTCAGTGTCACAAACAAGATTGTAGTGTGTCCGCCAGTGCGGCCGGGGATGTGGTTGCCAACAGCCACGATTTCAGTGTCCTCGTCGAATGTGGGAGTAATCTATTTGAAAGTCAGCAACGAGTCTACTAGAAACATGGCACGGGTGCTTACGCGGAGGATCCATTCCATGGCCTTTCGGTAGTCCTTCTTATCGTAGATATAGGCAGCAGAGCGGACATGGGTAAAGGACGGGAGTGTCTTGAGATAGAAGCGAGTGACAATAGCCGGGAAGCCTTGATAACTTGGCGTCAGGAATGGATTTACTCAATCTCGGGGGAGTTCTTGGGCATCTCACCTGGTCCTGCACCACGCGCGGCCCAGTATATGTCGCTGTTTTCCTTGTCGTCACAGTGCAGCTTCTCTCCATCGGCTGTCACCACATCGACGGCTAGGACCTTCTGACAGGCAAAACCCCAATTCTGATACTCGTTAGCGTAAGTTCAGACAGTTGGGGTAGTCCTCTACCGACCTTGCAGTTCCATCCCATGCCGCCCTGCAAGAGGAAGCCTCCCAGAGCAACGTCGGGGCAGTGTCCGCCGGGGAACATGCGATTGTGCGGTGCCAGCAGCCCGTTGACCATTCTGCCCGTCATGCTGGGCGACGCCTCCAAGATGCCCGTCTCCTTGTCGAGGTGAAAGTGGAAGAACTTGCCCAGATCGATCAACACAGCGCCCTCGCGGACGCTCCACGCCGCCCAGCTGTGGCCGCCGGAGCGCACCGACACGCGGCATCCGATCTTGTTGGCGAGACGCACCGCGGCGACGATGTGGTCCTCGCAGGTGGCCTCGACGACAGCACGCGGGTAGCGCTCCGGCCGGCGGTAGTTGAAGACGCGGCCAACGCGCGCGCGCTCATACACGACGCTGTCCTGCCAGACGATGGGCAGGGACGGCGGCAGGCCCAGCTCCGCAAAGGCAGCCTTGTCGGCGGTGGAAGTCATGATGCGTGCGGAGAAACAAACTAATCTCGATTGAACTGAATCTGAATTGAGCTGGAGAGGGCAACGGGAGGAGGAGATGGACAGTGACGAATCAGGCTGGATGAGGAGATGAGGAGGGCGAGCGTCGTAGCCTGGCCGCGAGTCTCTTTAAGCAACTCTGGGCCGCTGGACCGGCAACCGAAGATGCAAGCCGAAGGAGAGAAATGGGCAGATTGCTGACGGAGACGGCCTCACAATCGACATGGACATGGAGACTGACGATGGAATCTGGGGGTGGCCGCTCCCGGAGAGATCGACCCCGTGGGGAAAGACGGGGAAACGGGCCCCCTCCTCCACCTGAGCCGTGGATTGTTAGTCAATTGTTCCATACAAAGCCTCCAGAATACACTCACCCGTAGCCTAAACCCAATACATCGCAGTCCCACCGCCATATTCCGCGCCAGTCCCGCTCGGATACGTCGGGCGGCCACATCGCGTCCAATATCCGGCTCCCGGCTGTCACACCTGCAGCCAGGCCCCTGGTTGTGACTCCGCGCCTCAATTAGTTGCTCCCCAAACCTCAGCCCTTGAACGCCTCTTGCAGGGAAGAGCCAGAGCGAAACAAGGTGGTCTGCCGGCGTCCAGAATCTCGCTCATGCCCGGTTTCATTGGGACGAAGCCTCAATGCCCAAGTCTCCTGGATGTGGCCGCGTCTCTACATAACCCGCCCTGGCACTCCCCCTCCGTGGCAATCCCCAATCTTGGTCCTGACCCCAAATCTCGATCCTGGTTCAACTCTCATTCTCATTCCTATTCTTATTTTCCATCCCGGAGCCGTGCAACTGAACGGAACCAAGATCCTATCCATCTCGATCGACGCCTTCGCCACACAACGCACATTGGCCTCTGTCCTCTGCAATTGATTTCAATTGCAAGTCGGCGCCATGTCCGCCACGGCCGATTTCGACGGCGACAGGCTCTCCAAGAAGGAGACCGCCGCCACCGTCGCTGACAAGCTCTCCAAGAAGGAGACGTTGGGCAACGTCCAGCTCCGCCATCATGAGACAAACGAGATCATTCTCGTGCCGACTCCGACTAGCGACCCCAACGATCCCCTCAATTGGTACAACTCCTCCTATGCAGTATTGTTCCCATCACACGGTACTAACTAGTTCTCATCCAGGTCGAAAGCCTATCGCCTATACATTGCCGGCCTCGTCTCCGTCACCATCTTCCTGAGCAACTTCCTCGCCGCCGGCCCGTCGGTCGCCATCGTCGAGATTGCCATGGACTTCTTCGGCGACTCGGACCTCGGCCTCAGCGGCAGCATCGCCAAGGTCTCGTACTTCTTCACCACGACTGCCCTCCTCCAGGGCATGGGAAATTTGATTTGGATGCCCGTCATGATCAAGTATGGACGACGCCCGCTCTACATCTTCACCTTTGCTCTGTACACTGCCACGGCAGGATGGGCCGGCGCTCCTACTTCGTATGGGAGTGTGTTGGCTGCTCGCATCCTGATGGGCTTTGCCAACGGCGCAGCTGAGTGTTTGGCTCCGTTGACCATCTCCGACATTTTCTTCCTGCACGAAAGAGGAACCATCATGGCGTAAGTTCTTGTTATTCATTCATCTACTATTTTGTTAACAATGTTCTTTAGTCTTTACACTGCTTCGCTGTCCGCAGGTGTTGGTGGCGGTATCGTCATCGCCGGCCTCATCACCATCCACCTGCACTGGCGCTACATCTACTACATCTCGACCGCTTTGATCGGTGCCTGCACCATCCTGATCTTCTTTACCCTCCCCGAGACCCAATATCGACGTGCCGCTGCCAATGCTGCCGCCGAGGCCCGCTCAGACAAACTAAGCGCTCCCGCCAAGAACGAAGACGACGCCGAAGTTGCCTACTCGGAAGTTGCGTCTCAGCAAGAAGCCGACATCCCCAAGAGGCGCACGTGGGTCCAGGAGCTGCGCATCTTCACCGGTACCTACACTAATGAGAGCGTTTTGAAACTCATTATCCGACCGGTTGTGTTGCTGGCTCTGCCCCCGGTGCTCTGGGCAACCCTGGTCATGTCTGTGACCATTGGATTCCTCGTGGCCATCACCTCCAACTTCTCCAGCGCTTTCCAAACCGTCTATGGCTTCAAGGCTTACCAGGCGGGGCTCTGCTTCATCGCCTCCATCATCAGCTCGTTAATTGGTGTCTTCTTCGGAGGACACCTGGGCGATATGGTTGCCGACTACTTCACTAAGCGGAACGGGGGTATCCGAGAACCCGAGATGCGTCTGCCTGCCATGATGATATCTCTAGTGACCGGGCCCCTGGCCCTTGTGCTTTACGGAGTGGGTATTGGCAAGACTCTGCACTGGATTGTGCCTACCATTGGATTGGGTCTTTGTGAGTCTCCCTGATATGCAAGTGATAGGTCGAATACGACTAACTTTGTTTCAGTGAACTTTTCCATTGTCCAGGCTACCAACATCAGTCTTGTCTATACCATCGACGCCTATCGCCCAGTGGCTGGTGAAGTCACCGTTTCGCAGTTTGCCTTCAAGTGTAAGTTGAACGCTACTCAATGAATTGACTCATCCGTCTTACTAACTTCCTTCCACAGCTGCCTTTGGTTTCCTGCTTTCCTTCTACACCAACCCATGGATCGCCAAGAGTGGCTACGTGACAGCTTTCGGCTCAATGGCAGGCATTTCGGCTGCCGTTATTTCGTTCTGGGTCGTCTTCTACTTCTTCGGCAAGCGCATCAGACACGCTACGTGGGAGTGGGGTTTCGTAGAGAAGCTGGTGCACTGGCACGATGATCGCGAGGTTGGCGAATAATGGTCTGGTGTGGCTGCACTTGACCACCAAGTGGATTTAGATGTACTATCCATAAAGGCGGATATGAATAGATTTTTTCAATTCAATTATCCCCAAAATTCGTTTAATTTGCATTGACTCGCTTTGAATCGAAATGTCTTGACTCGGGAGATTTGTGGCGTTGACGGTGTGGAATTGGAGTAGCTCGGCGTGATGGTACGAGTCAACCCTTTGTAGAATCGACTGAATTGTCTCTGACATAATTTGAAACTTCGGTCGCTTGTGAGGTTTGATGTGCAAAAAGAGAAACCTCATGAGCGCAGAATGGTGAGGTCATGGCGCATTGCGTCTCGTTATGTGTCCCCAGAGTCCAATATCGAAGATAGCTTCACAAGTCTCGACCATGCGACCAACAGCCGACGAAAAACCGCGTCGACAATTGAACGGGACCCGTCATCTGCTAGATGGCAAACCTCCTAGCACCAAACCCCCCTCACCAAATACCCAGCGCCAACTCCCCTCGCAAAGACAGCAACACGGTACAGTACGTCTCATGCCCCTACGGGATGTGGCCCCGCGACCCGAAATGCGGGGAGGTCAAGCTGCAGACGCTCCATCCCCCGCATCCCGGCCCCAGGATGATGCCAAGCTGGACGGGCGGAGAGTGTGGAGGGCGGCGTAGCGTCAATGTGCATCTCCAGGGCCCTCTAGAGACGCCTCAGCTCGTTGACGAGGCGGTTTTGGTACAGAGAAGCGTATTATAAAGAGTCATAATTTACACGAGTTGTCTGGACGTGTTTCCAAGTCAGCACCCCACACAGCCACTTACACCTACACCCTACACCCACTTACACACCCCCTACTCTACAGATCCTTCACCACTTCACACAATGGCTGCCATGATCGACCCCGCCGTCCTGGCTCCCGCAGTCTCCCAGACGCTTGCCGGCAAAGTCGCCATCGTCTCCGGGAGCAACAGCGGTATCGGCCTGGCCATCGCCAAGGAGCTGGCCTCCCGCGGCGCCGACACCGTCATCAACTATCCCTTCCCCTCCCTAGCGGCCGAAGCCGACGTCGCGGCGAGCAACATGCCCACCAAGTGCATCGCCGTGTGCGCCGACATGGGCACCGTCGACGGCCCCAAGGCGCTGGTGGATGCTGCGGTGCGGACCTTCGGCCGCGTCGACATCCTGGTCAACAGCGCCGCGCTCGCAGTCAACCTGCCGCTGGAGGAGCAGACGCTGGCGCACTGGGACTCGCTCGTGAACCTCAATGCCCGCGGGCCGTTCCTCATGACGCAGAACGTGCTCCCCCACCTCACGCGCGGCAGCGGCCGCATCGTCAACATCTGTTCCGTGAGCGCCCGCGGGCCGCCGCCGCTGCAGACCATCTACGCCGGCACCAAGGGCATGGTCGACAGCTTCACGCGCTGCTGGGCCAAGGAGCTGCCGCCGAAATACGGCTGCACCGTCAACGCCGTGTCGCCCGGCCCGACCATGACCGAGGGCTTCCTGGCGGCCGGCGAGGAGGCCATGAAGGTGCTGCAGCCGACCATTGATGCGACGCCAGCCGGGAAGCGCATGGGCAAGCCGGAGGAGGTGGCCTACGCCGTGGCCTTTTTGTGCGAGGAGCGGGCCGGGTGGGTGAATGGGACGCACATATTCGTCAACGGAGGGTTGTACGTGGATTAGACGAGGAGATGAATGGGAGTAGTACAGATAGTTACACATAGCTACACATCGGGACAGTAGCACAATACCACAATACCACCAAACCACGACGAATCCTTCAGCAGATTGATATCCGGACCAGCCAGAAGGGAGGGTCAGATAACCCCTCTTCTGACCGGTCCGGGAAGGAAGGATCATCACGATCATCATCATCATCAATTTGAACACTATTCCATTGATCAATTTGACCGTAACGGATCCATCACCAAGTACGACTGCTTTCACTACCTAAGCCAACGGGTAGTCTCGGGGCACGCACCTAACACGAGGGGTGCCCTGTACCTAATCTGTCAGTACCTACAGCTCACTAAGCGCGGTGATTTCAAGCTCGGCACCTAATCAGTTAGTGCCTAGAGGTCACTAAGCGCGGTGGTTTCAAGCCTGCCTGTGGGATGGAGTCGACTTGTCATTGGCTTAACATTGTATTTATAATATATTTAATATCTTAACTTATAGAGTGCTCTGCAATTCCTGCATTTTAAGCTAATTAAAAATCGACTCTACTCTACAGGCGGGCTTGAAACCGCCCCACGTATGTAACCCCTACTCACAAATGATGTACCGGGACACCCGCTGTGTGAGGTTGGCCCCCATCGGGGCGAGTGGGGCCGGAGAGCGGAGGGCTGGCAACACTCCCGACCGACCTCGCTCCCGGCAATTGTCATTGGCAATTGTCATTGCTGCCACCCGAGACTGCAACTCGTGACGCTTTCAATCGGTAATCGTCCCGTGATCGGATCCCAGTGGAGCAATCGTCTCGATACAGCAGCATATATAGTCTCAGCAATGGGACACAGGCCTCAATCCCTCTCCACTACTCCACCACGCCGCATCTCCCAGCAGCAACACCCACACCACCAACACAATGCCTCGCACATATCTTAAGAAAGCCACTCCCCCCGTGAAGCCTGCCAGCGGCTCCGCGGCCGACGTGCCTACTATCGTCAAAGGCGCCATCGACACCATCCGCGCCGAGGGCGATGCCGCCGTGCGCCGCTACAGCGAAAAGTTCGACAAGTGGACGCCGCAGTCGTTCAAGCTGTCCGAGTCGGAGATCCAATATGCCATCTCCCAGGTGCCTGCCCAGGTCATCGAGGACATCAAGACGGTCCAGTCCAACGTCCGCAAGTTTGCTGTTGCGCAGAAGGACTCGATCAAGGACTTTGAGCTGGAGATGGCCCCGGGCGTCATCCTGGGACAGCGAAACAACCCGATTGAGTCGGTCGGCGCGTAAGAAACCCGGTATCCGTCGTTTCTAATATGCAGCTAATTTGTACTTGCAGATACATTCCTGGAGGCCGATACGCTCTGCTCGCCTCGGCGCACATGACCATTCTCACGGCCAAGGTCGCCGGAGTCCCGAATGTCATCGGCTGCACCCCTCCCGCGGCCGGCAAGATCCCCAACGCCACCGTCGCCGCCATGCATCTCGCTGGCGCCGACGAGATCTTCATCCTTGGTGGTATCCAGGCCGTGGCCGCCATGGCCGTGGGCACCGAGACCATCCGCAAGGTTGACTTCATCGCCGGGCCTGGAAATGCCTTTGTGGCCGAGGCGAAACGGCAACTATATGGCGAGATTGGCATTGATCTCTTCGCCGGGCCTACGGAGGTGCTGCTCGTCGCCGACGAGACGGCGGACCCTTTCATGTGCGCCACGGATCTACTCTCGCAGGCCGAGCATGGCCCAGACAGCCCTGCCATCCTCATCACCACATCTGCAGAGGTCGGAAAGAAGACCATCGAGCTCTGCGGAGAGCTTCTCAAGACCCTGGTGACGGCCCCCATCGCAAGTGTTTCTTGGGGAGACCTCGGAGAGGTGATCGTGGCCGATTCCATTGATGAAGCTTACAAGATCGCCGACGAGTTCGCGTCCGAGCATGTTCAAATTCTCACAAAGAACCCCAGGGACGCGCTGGAGAAGATGCAGCACTACGGTGCTTTGTTCTTGGGTCCCATGACTTGCGTATCATATGGTGACAAGGTAAGTCAATTCTCCCCTTAGAAGACCAACAGCTAATCTCCAGCAAGTGCATCGGAACCAACCACGTTCTACCCACTCGCGGCGCTTCTAGATACACCGGTGGACTGTGGGTAGGCAAGTTCCTCAGGACAGTCACCTACCAAGAGGTTCGCAATGGCGAGGAGTCCGGAAAGCTGGGTCATCTGTGTGGCCGCGCTGCCAGGGTGGAACAGTTTGAAGGCCATGCGCGATCGGGAGATTTGCGCGCGAATATGTACTTGAATGATGGGTTCGACTGGATAACCAAGGGTCGGGAGAGTAAGGCATCTTCCAAGATCTAATAATCTTCAGTACTTAGTATAGATTTCTAGAATGTAGATTGGTCGGGCATAATTTAACACTATCTTGCTACTTCAAGCTGCCATTACATACCAACCAGACTGTCACATATAAACCCACTGACGCTACACTCTCAGTACAACGAATTTCCATACTTAAACAATGACATAGCACGTAGGGTAAAACCGAGAGTTCAGCATTTCATAGCCCAGATACAATGCCCTCTGCACCAGGAGCTTCAGAATCGGTAGGCATCTAGAGTCGTAGTACAGGAGAGCGAAAGTGTGCCCTGTCGTCTCAAAATGCACATTGTAGATGCTCAAAGTCTTTATCGATTTAGAGAGATCAGTTTCTTTTATATTTGCTTTCAAGTACTCTACCTTTCACCCATTCATGACGAGACAATGGTGACTAGCTCCTCTAAGCCCGAAGAACATAGAGGCATAATTGTAATGTGGAATTAATTCCAACTTGACGTGGCAATGCATCTAGGTACTGGTTTAATTTTTGCTATTCTAATGTACGGTGTCTTTACACTATGGGACTAAATCCACCATTCCCTATAATCATAGGTGGGAAGATGCTTCAATGGGTCTAATATCCTTGTCAATAATACGCATCGCATTCAGACACTCCTCATCGCGAAACCGAGGTGCAATAATTTGAAGGGTGCAAGGAGCACCGTGCATCACTTCTGGGTCATCTGTTTTACGTTAAAAAATGTCTCGCGGATTAATCTTTGGACCGGTGACTTACAATCGGCATCGAAAACAGCCGTAGCCTTTTGGAAGTCGGGATCGCTATGCTTGGACGAATTACCGAAGGGGATAATACCAGCAGGGTACTGCAGGGCTGGTCAGTAATGTCCTAAATATTTTAAAAGGTGAGAACATACGTTAAGAACGTTCCACATCAACGTGTAAACGGGGTTTCCATAGGTATCGTGGGGAACAGCAGTGGTAGCCGCGCCAGGAGCCAACACCACGTCCAGGTCGTTCTCGACCCAGACTTCCCGCCATGACTCGACATAAGAGTCGCGGACCTCGTTCAGGTCGGAGAACTGACGCGGGATATCCAGCTCTGGCGAAACCGGCAGCGGCGCGTTGGTAAAGGGATGCACAAGCCTGGCCACAGATGCCACGAGCGGCTCGCCGACTTCCTTGGAGATGACATCAGGGGGAGGGCCCATCATGCTGAAATATTGAAATCCGATTCTCGCACCAAATCCAGCGCTTCGCTTCGGGTCAGCGGGTAGGTGTACGATCTTGTGGCCGGCCTTTTCGAGCGCTGCAGCTGCGTTTGCCAACGCTCGCTTCACAGGTGGGTGGAGAGGATAATCAGGATCCTCGGCCATAACGCCAACAACCAGCGCGCCGTCCTTGATAGACTCCGCTGCCCTCCAGGGGATATCTATAGCGGTGGAATCATACCGCCACGGCCTCTGTCCTAGTACAACTTTCATGAAGGTCGCAAGATCCTCAACAGAGTTGGCCATCGGACCCGCTACAGGAGGGACGCCAGGCAGGGTCGTCTTGGGAAAAGGGTACTCGGCCTGGCCGGAAAACGGGATGCGATCTGCGGTAGGCTTGAAGCCATAGATGCCACAGCATACAGAGGGGATTCGGATGGAGCCGGCAATGTCACTTCCGACGCCGAGGACAGATCCTCGGAAGGCCAACAGAGCACCCTCGCCTCCGGTAGAACCTCCAGCGGTAAGTTTGGTGTTGTGGGGGTTAAGAGTTCGTCCAAAGATGTTGTTCTCAGAGTCGGCCGTCTAATGACGCGTAAGTAATTAACATATCTGATATGTGGAGGCTAGGAAATGACTTACCATCATGGTTTGAGGCAAGTTGGTCTTGCAGTAGAGAACCGCACCCGCGTCAAGAAGCATCTTTACGAGGGGCGCGTCGGCGGTTGGAACAGGGCGCCTCAGAAACTCAATATATCCAACAGTAGCGTGCTTCCCTGCCACAGTGTAGGAGTCCTATATTGTTAGTTTAAGGTCGCATTTGGTTTCGTTGGGACCCTTTTACCTTGAGGCTAATGGGCAGGCCGTGCAGGGGACCAACGGGCTTTCCAGTCTCCTTCAACTGCTTGTCGAGATACCGAGCCCGTTCTAGACCATCCTCGAAGAAGATTTCGGTCAGACATGATGTCTAGAACGTTAGTCGGCGTGTATGAGGACAGCTTCAACGAACACGTACCAATTGCTGAGCAAGACCGGCCCGCTTGCAGAACGCTTCCACCACTTCCTCGGAACTCAGCTCCTGGGCCGCCAGCTTTTCCAAGAGCGCGGTGGCTGTGAACTTCTCGGTGATGTTGAGCTCATTCTCAGACAAAAGCCCTGACTTCCGAGCGACATCAAGCTCGACAAGCCTCCCCTCTGTTGGGGCACCAGCATTCTTCAACTCGCTTAGTTGTTCAGCACTCAGTGTCCACTTGGCCGGGATGGCCTCCTGCTGCTTAGCACGGTGCGCGGCCGCAACGACCTCCCAACTGTCAGTCGTCGTCATGATTGGAAAATAAGAGTGGGAAATAAATTGGGGCACGCGTGGGATATCTCAACGGGACGCAGGAGAGATGATAGAGGAGGCCTGACAGCGGCAGAGCCTTGGAACTAGCTATTATATGGGCTACCCCGATCTGTCGGAACCGTTGGCGGTCCCGAGGCCCCACCAAACAGCTGTCTGTTATCGTTTAACCCTCCGGTGGATAATTCGGTGTGTTCCCTGTCATGTCAATGCGATAGACGGCGCGAGTAATGCCCCGATCTGGAAGGTGGAGGCGCAATCCGCGCGGTCGGGTGGGCAGATGGATTTGAAAGCTATCTCGAGCTAACATCTGGGGAAATGCGTATTCCGAAGCTTCGGGTGGATGTTAGTAGCTTCGGATGGGCCATCAACATCCATATGGAGGATAAATATGCGACATCCCGTCGCCCTCAAAACCTTGCCCGCAACTAACAACAGGCGATAGTCTTATTATTCATAATACTTCAACGCCTCGCCGGCTATCAATGGAGGCGCAGCATGATCACGTCCCCTCGCCGGGCAATGCCTACTCCGCCCATGGTTCCGAGGTTCCACCCATGAGGATGCCACACATGGAGTTTGTCTATCGCATCGTAGCCGACATGGACTCGGAAGGAATCTCGGAAATCCCTGGTGTTGACGGCACTAGTGTTAGCAGAATAGTGCTTCCAATTCATGGCGGTTCCGTCAGCGGACCTCGGATCCAGGGCATCATCGTTGAGAAGAGCGGGGCAGACTGGGCACAAGTAGTTAATCCTCAGAAGGCAAGTGTTGAGTTGCTATGGGGCCTCGGCAAACAAGAGATTCCAGCTAACATGTCACAAGACCTTTTGGCGACTCAACGCAAACTACACGCTGCGAACCGACGATGGCTTTTACATCCTCGTCCAGGCCACGGGCATCTTCCGCACTGGGCCTGGGGTCGCGAATGAGGTAGTGGACAAGAAGACGGTGTCTCAGGATGACGTCGAGTATTTTACAAACATCAAGTTTGAGGCGCCGGGCGGGAGTCCATATGGTTGGATGAATGGCATTGTGGCGATGGGAGTCATGACGATGTGGGAGGGGAAACCAGTGATTGACTGCTACCGGTTGACAAACTTTCCGGGGCAACCAGCCTTAGATGTGTAGAGATAGTAAAAGATGCAGCAAGAGATATTTCATTTGGCATCAATTTAAAACTGCCGTATTAAAACATGATTATTGGCACAGAACGTTGACTCGTCAGATCGAAAGTACTTTGATTTAGAGACTATTCTGATTCCAATAACCCCCCACTTCATACACCACTGGCAAAGTACACTGGTTCGAAGCCAGAGCCAAGACTTAAATCTGGGCACGCTTGTCCACCATGCGCCAGTACCTGGGTCCCAGAGCCGTGCGGATCCGCTTTCCCCAGATGATCATGGGGATGTAGAGAAGTGCGATGGCAAACGCAATGCAACCGGCAAGAATCCACATGTTGGTGAGTCCCATGTTGGTCATCCACGTGGTCAGCGAAAACGGCACGGCGACGGAGACTGCGTTGCGGAAAAAGGCAATTCCAACAAAGGCCTCGGCCGTGAGCTGTACGAGCTGTCAGTACATGGTTCTTTGATTCTTCCATAAATGTGGAGGCTTACCTCGCGGTATGTGTCAATAACAAGAGTGAAAGTGATGTCGCCGTTGGCACCGAGTCCGAATGCGAAGAAGGCACCGGCAATAGACGGGTAAATCCAGTGCATTCCCTATGTCTGTTAGATGTTGCAATATTTTAGAGTTATTGCATAGACTCACTCGGTCAACCGTGATTCCGAACATCATAATGCCACCAGCCATGAAAAACATGGGGAAAATAAGAGGGTGGAGTCGCATCTCCGGCTCATACTTGCCACCGTTTCGCCGGGCCAGCTTGACAATAAACCAGTCAGAAAAGGGTCCGCCGTAGATGCTTCCAAAAATGTTGCCGACAAAGGGGCCGAGAGTCATGTAACCCACTCCAGCGGTGTCAAAATTGTAAGGTGGCGCGGTGAAGACGATGGATGACACGGTCATGTACAGAACAAGCCAGCAGACTCCGGAGGCGAACTGGAGGGCGGTAAAGATGACGTGCGGGAGCGTGATGGCGTACAGAGGCATCATGAAGAGCTTGGGGAGAGACTCGGGGGTCGTCGTTGTCCAGCGGAGGCGTTGGCGCCAGGTGTTCAAGGGAATCGACGAGTTGCTGTCGACGGTGATGGTAGCGACATCTCTACCCTTGCTGTCTGTGGCGTCCTTGGAGTCCCCGTTCGCAGAAGGGGAAGGAGGATCGATGGTATCTTCGCCCTGGCTGAAAGTAACCGGGACGTATTTGGTCTCTTCGAAGAGGAAGAGGAAGAGGACAGATATGATGGTGAGGGCGATAGACAGCGTGTATTGGGACCATCGCCAACCCTGGCCAGCAGCTTGAGAGCCTGCGGCCATGGGCGTCAGGAAAGAGCCAATCATCACGGCTGTGAAATAACACGCGTTGGCGGTAGCTCGCTGGTGGACGAAAAACAGGTCGGCGATCTTGCGGAGGCGTTAGTTGTGGTTTCGGTGGGTGCAATCCGCCAGCTAAGAAATCACGAAAAATGAGAATCAAAACTCACAGTCATCTGCACGGCAGTCTCGTTGACGGCGCCAGACAGGCCAGTAATAACAGCAGTCGCAATGAGCTCAGGATAGCTGTTCATCCTGGACGTCCACCACGAGACGGTGGCCATCAGAGCCGTCGAGATAATGTACGTCGACCGGCGACCGTACTTGATGGTAAAGGGGATAAAGAAGATGCATCCCATGGCCAGGCCTGCCAGCTGCGCAGACTGGGCGTTGCTCAGCTGGGCGTACGACACGTTCATGTCGACGACCATCTGCTGCCAGAAAATAGTCTGGATGGACAGGTTCGTAAAGGCGGCGATGCTGACGGCCATGGTGAGGCCAAAGTTGAGATATTTGCGCCATGGGCTCCAGTTCTAGCCGGCGACAAGACATGGATTAGAGAGGTTTCCCCAGATGCAGAGATGAGGTGGAGATGAGTGCTCACCAACGGCTCATTTGGATCGGAAGATGGAGTCGGAGCCAGCACAAAGACACCTGCGTCTGTGGCATCCTCGTCTGTGAATGATGCGCAGTTAGCATAAAAATCACTTCATGTTATGACGTGCATGGATGGATCTGTGGTTCGACTTACGCTGCACCAACATGACCCCGCCGGGGGTCGTGTCAATAATATCTTTGCCCAGCATCTTGTTGGTGGTCCGTCTACAGAGACTAGAAGAAGGCGATGAAAAGGAATATTGTCGACGAAATTGGTCAATCGACGCCGTCGCCTTTAACCTTTAAGTGTTGATCGACGGGAGATGATGCAGCGCTGTTGGCTCGACGCCCCTGAGACCGGGTGAAACCAGGCTATAATTATACTTGCGATTCAGTCGAGGGCAAGGCACTAAGTAGCTGCAGTGATAAGCCCAGCTGGCCTAAGCTTGGTTCAGAGAGTGCGTCGTACTGCCGCGTTGGTCCATCGGCCGCAAAGGACAGGCAATATCTGGTGATGCCGCAGATAGCTTTTCTCTCATCCATACCCAGAACCGGATTGATAGCGGAAATCACCAACTGCAGCGCCGTCCGATAGCAACTCCGAGGCACAATCCAACGCAAACCCATGCGAAGCTTCATCGACAAGCGCTGCGGCCCCCCGCATTTCGCTACGACGCCTTGCCGGATTGTCTCGTCCGCGGCCGCGCTGGTGGCGATAAGGGCATCGGCGCCATGCCGGAAACAGCACCTCGATGCGCCCGGCATTATCTTCCTCTTTTGTCTATAATATGCCCTGCTGGCCCCTCGATGCGTGGGCCGGACCAAACACCTTGCAACTCTCTCCACCGGCCCGTTCGTACGGAGCGCTCCCTGGCCCCGATTCGATTCAACCCCCTAGCGACCGACTGAATACCGACGGGAAGCAACAGGCCCCACTGGGATCTACGACGCGGTCCATCCATCACGCACACGCTCGGATCGTGATCCGGAGGGGACGCGAGTGGGTGAGACACGAGAAAGGGGGGGGGGTTGATATCACACGCCCACACCACCACCGCCAAAACATCGCCATGCCCAGATCCCGTAGCGGCTGCCTCAACTGCAAGCGCCGCAAGCGCAAATGCGACGAGCAGCGCCCCAGCTGCCAGGCCTGCGTGCGCCGTGGAATCCAGTGTGAGGGCTACGCCACGCCGCTGCGGTGGGCGGGCGGCATTGCTGTCCGGGGACGCTTCGCCGGCGTGTCGATTCCAGACGTGGCTGCATGTGCTAATAAGACGCCTGCAGCGGTTGCAGTGTCTTCAGTCTCACAGTCACAGCCGCTGTCCAGCTCACATTCACTCTCCAGCTCATATCCACAGCCCACCAGCTTCTCTCATCAGCGGCTCGACTCCTCCGCGGACGCCTCCACGTCTTCCCCGTCCTCGGCCGCCTGGGGCTCCATCTCCAGCCCGTCGGACCTATCATCGCCCTCCAGCGAGGGCCTTGGCATGGAACGGGAGTTGTTTACAAAGTGTAGGCCCGCCCTGCCCTGCAAAATGCCGCTGTAGGATCCCTGCTAAGCCTGTTCTAGTCCTCAGCTCTGGCCTTCGCCGCCTGTACACTACCGAAGCCTCATGCTGGATCCAGCCGCACTTTGAGGAGATGGCGCTGCAGAGTCCAGCTCTGGTTAGAATCTCTGCTGCAATTCAGGCCTATCTCGATGATGGCAATGAGACTCCGTCTGTCCAGTCAATGGAGCATGTTGACCTCGCGCTGCAGACGTTTCGCCTTGAACTGGCGAGTCGTCATGAAGTCATGCATGCCGCCACCCTCTGCGCAGGGTTGCTATTATGCACGTTACGCGTACGTTCTTTTTTATTCATTTCATTTGTCTCTTCAACATCCTATCATATCTTCCACTCCTACACCGTAATCTCTGCTGTCGCCTGCTTTGCCCTAAACCTATAATGGCAGCTCGACCCACGGAATTAGTAGTGACGTAAATTACAGCTTCTACAAGCCCAACCGTGGACGGCGTACATCGATCTCATAGCCGATGCCTATAGCTTGAGGACGCGGCTGCTGTCTCCAGAGCACGTGGCCATCGACAACATGCCCATCCGGCACACTTTAGAAGTCATGGGGGTAATGGACATTCCATGCATGGCGATAGGCCGCGTAAATTCTCCCATCGGCATCTGGAAGCTACTGCGGAGGCTGCAAGACAGCTTGAAAGACGGCCGGCTTGGAGGCATCGAGATTGTATCGGGCCTGCCCAGGTCTCTCCTTGACATCTTTGCCAGCATCTTCGACAACGATGACGAGTACACGGAAAACCGCTTCTGGACTTGGCCCGGTGAAATAGGCGAGTACTTGCAATGCCATCTCTGGGACAGCTGGCGGTTCAGCGGCATCCTCGAGGTCCGGCGCCGTAAAAGAATGGAGCGGAAGCGGAGGGGGTCCAGGAGTAGCCATGATAAAGGATCCGGCGCATCATCTGCCGCTCCAGGAACCGAACTCATTCTGTGTCGATTGATCGCATCCATGGACGCACTAAACCGGGCCTTTGAACTGCCTCACAACGAACACTTACTAGTCCACAACGGGCTGATGTATCCGATGGTGACGGCAAGCCTAGAAGTTGAAATACTTAAACGACACCCCGAGTGGAGGAAGACTCTCGACGAGGTCCGCATGGCCTTTCTGCGACGAGACTCGTTTAAGCTAGTCAAAGTTACTTTTGAGATGCTGGATGAGGCGTGGAAGCATGGAACGTCTGACTTTGATGTACATGAAGCTGCCAGGCTTAGAGGCATTGAAATTGCCGTCTTCTAGCGGACTGGATGTCAAGCGTCCCGGCCGCCGTGTATGCGATTGTGTACCGACTACTTGGTCTAGACTACCGCTCTCTAGCCACTCAGCTTGCCTATCCGCAAGCCATCATGCAGCACTGCCCAGGGGGTTAGTCAGCTGCATTCAGCTCCATGTGAGCATTCCAAATCCTCGCGGTGCCAAAATCGATCTCCTTGAGCGAAACAAACTTTGTGTTGCGGACTATCTTGCACCCAACGGCTAGGATGATGAAAACCAACACAATAATGTAGTTCATGAAGAAGGCCTCCACGTCCCAAGGGGCAAACGATGTCCAGCCTTGGAAGAAGACGAAAAAAACGTTGCCAACAAGCCCCAGGTAGGCGCAGAAGCGCCAGGCGGGTGCCTGGAACGGCAAGACGTCGGTGCTGATGTTCTGTGCGGCCAGAGCCATTCGGAGACGAAGGTGATTAAAGGAAATGAGGCCCCCTGTGTGCGTCAGAGGTGTTATGGTCAATGGGTTGGAAAATGGTTTGACTCACAGGTGATGAAGGTGGCGACACCAGTCATCGAAACAATCCAGGTGTAAATAACACCTGCTCCGCTGGACAAGTTAAGCAGAGACAGGAATCCAATCAGGTTCATAAACACGAGCGAGTACACCGGGACACCGCGTTTATTCGTCCAGCGAAAGATCTTTGGTGCCAGACCTTCGTCTGCCAGGCCGTACAAAGTGCGTGAACCCACGTAGAGGGAACCGTTGATGGCTGAGAACATGGTGATGAGAATGATGGCGTTGATGACATGGGCTCCGGCCGAGGCGCCAACGCGGGTAAAGGCGATGACGAACGGGGATCTCGCCGTCTTGCTCGTAGCAGAGAGGAGATTAGGGTCGTCATACGGGACAGTGATGGTCAAGAAGAAGATGCCCATGAGGAAAATACCCACAATGCGCCAGAGAACACTCTTGACGGCCTTGGGCACATCTTTACTAGGGTTCGCCGACTCTCCAGCCGTCAATCCAATCATCTCAGTGCCGCTATACTGGAGCGCTGCAAAGACAAAGATCTTAAAGACGCCCTTGACGCCGTCGGCAAACGGGCCCGGGTCGTGATAGAACTTAAAGCCAATCTTCTCGCCGCCGATGACGCCCGAGCTGATGAGGATTGCACACAGGAAGAAGGCCAGGATGGCGAGGACCTTGACCAGCGCCAGCCAGAATTCTGCCTCGCCGAAGGACTTGACTCCGAGGAAGGTGAAGGCGAGGAAGAGGCCCCTGCGAACGTTAGACTGGGTTGTGAGGGTGTTTGTAAGTTGTACCTACCAGAAAATGAGAAGCCATCCCCACCGAGGAATTCCTGTGTCCCAGTACGTCAAAACGAGGCCAAGATTGTCTGGGCTCGAGCGTTAGCACCTGAAAATTAACGGGTGAGCCACAACATACTGTATTCAGCGATGATGATACCAGCCCACAGAAACCAGTAATTCCAGCCCAGCGCAAACCCCACGGCAGGGTCCACAAACATGGACGTGTAGTGCGTAAAGGAGCCTATGTAGTTCGTGTATCAGCTATGTACAACGCCAGTCCCGGCTGAAGCTCTGGAAACTTGGAAGCAAGCAAACACGTACCGGACATGGGAATAAAGGCGCCCAGTTCGCCGAGAGACTGCATGACAGCCCAGAGCAGCACGCCAACAATAGAAAAGCAGATCAACAAGCCGGCGGGTCCGGCAGTTGACAGGCCGGTGCCCATGCCGACAAAGTAGCCTGGGCCAATGACTCCGCCAATTGCCAACATCATCTGCACGCACCGGGTTTATTAGCCTGGTCCCTGGAGCCGTGTCCCGGACCGAGTGGAGCGTCACGACTTACGAGATGCCGACTGGCTAGGCCTCGCTGAAGACCCGGGTTTTCGGGGGCTGTGGTTTCGACTTCTCCATTGTCGGTTGTCGTGGTGTGCTGGAGCGTGTTGTCTTTGAGGGAATCGGCCTTCATCGTGGCAATCTGAGGTGAACGCCGACTTCAATGTGATGAATTAGATCCATCTCGAGGAGCTACACCGGTCTTAATAAGGCGCTGCTGCTTCCCCAGACGCAAAGGCCACTCAGGCCGAGTCACTGTAGCCGTCTGATTCTGGCGTAGCGTGGGCCCAGTCTCTTTAGTTGACTTTGGGCCGAGTCATATCAATACTTTGCCTATCGACAATTTGTGGGCTTAGCATCACTGCACCAATAAGGGCCACAAATGCTTAGGCGTTGAGGAGGCTACTCCACTTGAGACCCTGGCATCCGGATCCCCGAGCCTACCCTAGATCTGTGTCATATCTGACAAGATGGCCATGATGATAACGAATAGTACGTGGAGGGCGCATTTAATTGATAAGAATTTCGCTGCATACTACTTATACCAATTTAGAGGGTATTTGACGAGGTTTTGGTTGATTTTGTAATAAAGTGTTCTTGCTAGATCCACATATTATTCACGATTCGAAGATATCAATAAATGTGGCGGATAGTCACAACGCTGGCTAACAGAAGAAGAATCATCAACTATCGAGACATATACAACGATGCCCTAGAAATGTCTCGCCTCGAGGGAAAAAATACCCCCAGTGTAAGTTAAATGAGTTTAAAAAGAGCCTGGCGCTCTCCACATATATCCCTGAGCTCGCTCGCTCGCTCCATCCTACTCGTATGTGCTTCCTGTATTATGCAATGTTGGTTCTGGAATGGACTCCTTACTCGAACCCTCGACATGATGTCTTGGATCGCCCTTCATTATGTGGTAGTGGTAGTGATGATGCACATGGATAACCTGCTGTGGTTGCCCAGTAAACCGAGATGAATCTGTCCGAGGGGCGGGGGTAAAGTCATCTTCCAGGAGTCCCCAGAGCTGGGGGTCTTCAGAAAGCGACGCCGTGCTTGGCCAAAGGTTATTAGGCTGACCTACAGGCGCTGTTGGAGCTGCTGCGTCATAGTCTGTCGAGCTGATGGGGGACCAACTGGCTGGTTCGGGGAGATAGCTCCGAGCAGCCATCGTATTGAGCGGCCTTGGCTGGAGGTTTGCGTGAGGTGATCGAGCCAGCTGTGACCAGTCATGTCTCGAGGTAGATGTCGTGTGACCAGGGGTGTTGAGAGCGATTCCATTCAAGACCATGGGGGAAGGCGGTGCATCAGCATTGGTAATCTGGAGCTCCATCCCTGACTGATGGGCCGAGTCCGAGAAGGAGTTGTATAAGGCGGGATCGGGGAAACTGGCACTACATTGACCTCGATCCCCGATGTCGCCTCCAAGAAGGTCACAGGAAAGCGAGTTTAGGCCAAGTTTATCAGGGCCATCTCCGTTTAACGACTCCGGCGCGAGGGCCGTATTCCGAGACCCTGGCGAGGTGCTCGGTTCACTGGCCGACATCTGGGACGGAATTGATGATGCTGTATCCTTGGGAATGCTCCGTCTCAGCTGCGATTTTCGAGAGAGAGTCCGCCACCTGTTTCGACAAGTAAGAGGTGGGCGTCCAGGGATCCTGGATGATATTGCGGACCAGCGATGGCCAAGCGCACACACGCCTTGTCGGAGTAGGTCGTCCTCGTGAGGGGTCCAATCAATGAGGCGATCTCTGGCTAATGGGTTGAGTATGTCGTTATATCTCTTCGAACACTGGTCGTCTTTTCTTCCAGGGATCAATAGAGCTGGTAGGCGAATCGTTAGTTGGAAGGTTTATGATCGGAAGAGACGCGACTCACAGATCTCACGCCATGAAGGCCCGAGCCGAGCGTGAGCTCCGAGTAGAATTTCGTCTTCCTGTGCAGTCCATCTACCTTTCCGAAGGGACGGATCTAGAGAATGGAACCACCGTTTTCGGCAGTCCTACAATATTGTCAGCTCCTGTTCCTCTCAAATACCCCTGAACTCTAGGGCGTTGACGGGCTGGTGCAGGGGCCTACTTTGGGGCTTCTGTTGTGAAGCGATGCTGCAATCTCCTTCCAGCTGCCGTCCTGGCCGCGAGCGTCACCGTAATGGCCGACAAGTGCTTTTAGTACCGCGTCCTCTGCTGGCGTCCAGATCCTCCTTGCCTTGCCGCCGTTGACAGAGGGCGACTTTGCGGATGACTCTGAAGTGGACATGAGGGACGGAGAGGGTCTGCGATGAGAAGATGTTGGGACAGAAGATCGGAGAGATGGCCGAAGGAATCTTGTGAGAGTACTCGTGAGCTCATGGGACAGGTGACGTTGACTGTACAGGGGAGTGAAAGCTGGACCGTCTTCCAAGATTGCTATCATGCTTGATACTGGGATTGTTTATCTCTCCGTCTCTCCACCGCATATCCGTAGATCTGTCGCGAGTCATGCCCTCTCCCCGCACATTTGGCGGGGCTGGCTCCGATATGCGCTAGCTCACCACGTTTGACTCGGCCCACGATAGCGATTAGCGATAGCTTCTCTTTTGGTACATGGTTACGTAGCAAACCAATTTGGCACTAACTATCGCCATGGATAAGTTATGCCTTGCTCAGATGCGGAATCTGACTCTGGATCCTGCGTGGGCCGTGTGAGACGGGCCATCTGACTCGGCTTTCGAGATGCCGACGATATAAGCTGCAACTCTGGAAAGCATTTGGGCCAGATCATCCTCCTTCAATCTATAGTCATCTTTCCTTCTCTTGAGCATTCAGTTCAATTCAGGTCCCGGGCCACCTTGATCATGACTATTGTTGGCCTCCACCCGCTCGACCCGGCCACGGCCGACGAGATCCAGGCAGCTACTGACATGGTCAAGAAGCTGTTTGCTCCTGTCCAGCTTCACTTCAAGGCAGGGGGTCTCGATGAGCCTCCAAAGAAGGAGCTCGTAGCCTATCTGGAGGCCGAGCACAAGAACATTCCTCGTCCTGACCTTCCGCGCCGAATCTTCCTAATGTGGTACATCAAGAAGACTCCACGCCTTTTTGAGGCAGTGGTCGATGTGACCAACGGCAAGATTGTTCAGCAGCAGGAGCTTCCTCGTGATTTCCATGGCCCATGTGATCGCACTGAGCTCAACGAGGCTGCTGATGTTGTCATGGCAAACGCGGGTGTTGACATCGAGTTCAAGCGACTGGGCCTGGAGAAGTCCTCGGTTGTTCTGGATCCTTGGGACTACGGCGTTGACGGTATTGACACCCAGACGCGCATGACACAGGTAAGCCACCAATTAATACAAGACTCGAATTTTATGCTAACTGGGAGAAGGTTTTCTTGTACTTGAAAAACCCCAAGAACAACGACCCCGACTCCTCGCATTACTCATTCCCCCTGGACTTTATGGTGCTTGTAGACCTTTGCGCGATGAAGGTTACCAAGATTGTTCGCCTTCCGCTAGGTTCTGATGAGAGTACTACCGAGGGCAAGGCAGTCTCTCTGCAGGATACGGACCCCGCAGAGCCTGAGTACGACCATCGTCTTCAGAAGAACGCCCCACGAACCACCATGAAGCCTTATAATGTGATTCAGCCTGAGGGCGCATCGTTCACCGTCAAGGGCCATCTCATTGAGTGGGAGAAGTGGCGCTTCCGTGTCGGCTTTAACTGGCGTGAAGGTACATTGCTGTCTATTCATTTTGACCTTCGCTCATATAGCCATAGGAATTACTCTTCACGATCTGCATTTCATGGGCCGAAGCACCTTCTACCGACTTTCGCTCTCGGAGATGTTCGTGCCATACGGAGACCCCCGCGGCCCCATTTATCGAAAGGGTGCTTTTGATCTGGGCAATGTTGGAGCTGGTGTGACTGCTAATAACCTTCAGCGTAAGTCTTCCATTTTTCTCGTCCGGTATAATTTGCTAACACAACCCAAACAGTTGGATGTGACTGCTTGGGCACAATCAAATACATCAGCGGCCATGTCGTGGCAGCCGACGGCACTCCTGCTCCACGGCCCAACGCCATCTGTATCCACGAGATCGACAGTGGCATCCAGTGGAAGCACACCAACCACCGAACCGGCAAAGCCACCGTCGTGCGAAAAAGACAGCTTGTGCTGCAGCAGATTATCACTGTGGCCAACTATGAGTACATCTTTGCCTGGATTTTCGACCAGTCTGGCGAGATTTCATTTGAGACCCGGGCCACTGGTATTCTCTCGACCCAGCCCATCGACAAGGACTCCAAGGTTCCCTGGGGTACCAGAGTCGCCGACGGAGTCATGGCCCCGTACCACCAGCACTTGTTCAACGTCCGCATCGACCCTGCGATCGATGGCCACAAGAACTCTTTCGTTTACTCCGACTCGGTGCAGATGCCTTGGGACGAGAAGCTGAACCCCCTCGGCACTGGCTATGTCACCAAAGAATTTACAGTGAACCGAGCGGGACCAGTGGAAGACAGTCTCTACGACGGCCGTGTCTTCAAGATTGTAAACCCAAGTGTCGAGAACCCAGTGTCCCAGACACCTACCGGATACAAACTGGTTCCCATTCGCTCTCAGTTGCTTCTTGCCCAGCCCGGATCTTGGCACTGGCGACGATCAGAGTTTGCGGAGTCGCCCATGTGGGTGACCAAGTACAAAGATCGTCAGCTGTTCCCTGCCGGCGACTACACAAACCAGTCTCTGGGCGGCCATGGAATTAAGTCGTGGGTCAAGGATCGAGACTACGTTGTCGACGACGATATTGTCATCTGGCACACCTTCGGATTCACCCACAACCCCAGAGTGGAAGACTTCCCAATTATGCCGGCTGAAATCGCTCAGTTTCATCTGAAACCGTATAACTTCTGCCAATACAACCCGACAAATGATGTGCCGCCGTCAAACCAGGCCTTCAACAAGAGCACTCTCTATGAAGATGCTGAAATAAACGGAACTAACGGGAAGGGTGACATCGAGACCAAGACGAACGGGGAAAATGGAGCCAATGGAACATCTTGTTGTATCAAAGATTAGATTAGATGGAATAGTGTTTATACACGTATTTAGGTCTTGCCTTGGAGTTTATAGCGAGTTGTGTACGCAGCTCCTTTCAAGTCCGTGAACATCCAAGCACGTTGGGCGTTGGGCATCTTGCCACGAGCAGACGCGATGGTTGAATCGAATTGAATTTCGATTCGAAAGACGAGCGCTACGTTTCGTTGCCAAGGAAGCTCATCTTATAAGGTGAATGGAATAAAACAGGGGAGAATGTTGGATTGAAACGAAATATGATGACTTGATCCAATTTTTGATTGGTGTACTTATGAGTAGTGATGTGAGACAATTACGTTTCGTGTGTTGCAAATCCGACCATAGCTAGCCGTGGCACAAGGCCGTTGCAACTTAGTCACTTGACATGTTCGCTGCGAGGCACAAGAACGATTGACAGGAGGGCCAATCCATGACTCATTCAATTTGCGGCTCACACAGATAGGTCACATGGCATGCGAGGTCCGAAAACTGATCATGACTCAGTTGGCGGTTTGAGGAGGATAAGTCTTCTCTTGCTCCATCCCTCCTCTATCCACCTGACTTTTGGAGTCGTCACTCGACAAGGTTAACCAACGAACAACATCGTGATAATTGGCGTCGGATTGCTGTATCGTACTCACAGCGAAAACTCACAATGGACGATGATAAATTGCTAGCAATAGGGGGCTTAGCAGCTCGGTTCTCGTTGGACTATGTTCCAAGAGGTTCCGTATCTGCTCCAGGCAATCTCCCCTGGCGGGAGGGATATTTAAGGGACCACTAGATGTGGCCCTTTTCTTACATTGTGTTGCTCAACGAAGTGAATTAACTAATGTCCCGTCCTGTTTCAGTCTATACATTCTTCTTGATATCTTCGGGGCGTGCAATTCCCATCCGATAAACGCCTCCCTGACTCAAGCCCACCCCACCGTACTGAAAGCGCTCGTTCTTGATAGCTTTGGACAAATTGTATCCCTCCATACGTTCCGTTCCCAGAGGAATGTCAACATACATCGAATCGCGCAATATAGTAGAGACATAGCCTAGTGTCTCCGGTCCTCTGACCAAATGGGTAAAGTGCACACCAAAGACGCCTCCGAACAAGAGTACTATACAGGATACTAAGGAAGCAACCATCCATTGCCAGGAGATATTATAGACGTAGAGTTGATCGGTAGTCTGTGTTTCCATTTTCGTCACTTCTCCTATGCTATTGCGAGAACGCGCTTCGAAGGACCCCGAGGATATTTGGAAACCCACTTGGGATAATAAAATGTAGGTGTTTATTACCTGGCTAAGTCGCATACTTAGATCGCCACTTCCAACATCTTGTAGCAATGGCAATAATCCCCATCTGTCCTGGAGGTCGTCTATCGAACCAGAACGTAGGTATACCAGAGTTGGATTTGTTATAGGCGGAAAGCGTGTTGAAATCGATGTTGGGAAAAAGTCGGATAAATAGTAGAAAGAGTACGGATGCGAAAGGACTGATAAATTTTCGGATGGGTGCTCCTTTTTGGATTTTCGTTGAGCAATCACGCTGCATTCCCCTCGAGAAGCATGAAGGTTTCGAGAGCACTTAACTCGTGATTCAACATATTTTTGAAGAACACGACATTTTGTCCTGCCAATCTGAACTCTCCCGTAGTCGTTATTACCATTGGCGTCATTAGAAGAACAAGCAGATATGTTGATTCTTGCTTGGAAAAGTAGATGTGTTGGTTCGGCCTCTATGCCTGTCTCATTCTCAAAAGAGCCCAAGCTAACAGAGTTGTTCCACCATCTACGGTCCACGAATCGATCGAGAGCAAGATTCCAATCAATAAAGTGTTCCGCTGTGCTATTATGCTGAAAACCGTTCCACGTTCCATTGAGTATTTGACCAGTTTCAGTTCCGAAGGGGAAGCTTGTGTCATGTAACGCAATTTCGTATGGGAAGAAAGAAGATGCGCATGAATTCAGCAAATCTGCCGTATATGGTGTACAAACGAGATCAATGTAGCTTGATTGAATAGAGAAGGTTGTATTCCCTGCGGAAATATTGGTAGCTGGGATCCCGACAAGAGAAGAGTATTGGTGGGTGTCCTCACGACTTAGCTCACGCCAATCTTCATCGTCAAGACCAACAGAGGTGCCTTGGAAAAATGGGATTTTGACGTTTCCCCAGATATCCATGGGCCCTTCTATAACCGATGAGGGCGCAAAGAGGGCATTATCATAAGCAGAATCGACAAAGAATTGCTCGCCACTAAATGGGAAGGACCTTGTGTTGTCGAAATAGTAACCCGTCGAATTAAAATTTTGAGAATTGACGTTTAGAATGCGTAGAAGTGATTGCCCTCCAAGTGGAGACAATGACCAAATAGTAAGCAGTGCTAAGCCTGACAAATTGAAAATTCGCAGTTGGTAATGAGTTGCGAGAGTTGCACCAAAGGTTCGGCTGCCCATTAGCTGCTCTAGAACACCGAGAGTAGCGCCGTTCTCTAATTTCCAGCACGCAATTTGGAAAAAAAGACGGCCTAATACAAAAGCAAAGAGAATTGGGAAAGCCGATGCCAGCTAATTGTATTGTTAAGAAAATGTGTAAAATAGGACGTGGACTGGGCACTTACGACGGTAAGTGCGTTCTGATATCTATTGTAGTACTCATCGATTGGATCGTTGTTGATCCAAATTAGGAAACCAAGGAATGTCAAAAGAATCAGAGGCAGAAGTATTGTTGCACATCCCGATAAAATGGTGGTTAACTGCGTCGTTTTCTTTCGGGCGGTCGTGTTGGCTGACACGGCATCCACAATCGTGGGACTTTCTGAAATGGCTGAGTCCTCTGGAGCGGAGGTGATTTTCTTTGATACAGAATTGTCGAAACTCCTTCTCGGAGAGCCTGGCTCGGGGATGTGGATGAGTTGGACTGCCTCTTGCTCTTGGGGGTTCGATACTGGTGAGTATGAACTCGCCATTTTGATTGCGAAAGGAGCAAATGACAAACGCGTAACAATCGCAGCAGGAGCTTAATTTCATAAACGGGTGCCCCGCTTCGTATTTATAAACATGCCAAGTGAAAGAGACTGACTGCAGCCGGGCGTCTCGGAGTGCTGTAAAAATAAAGCAAGCATAGTAGCGTCTTGGCAGAGTCTACGATATTCCAGTTATATTCCGTGATATCTCAGCCGTGGCGTGTCGCTAAACCCTTACGAGAACTAGATGCGTCGCTTCCCAACGCTAATGCGTGTGTTATCGCCGTGTTTGAAGTCAGCCTGGAGTGGCTTGCTACAGGTCACACGGATAAAAAATATCTCATCATTTTGGTAGTATCCTTCTGGGCTGTGCCCCCCGCTGCAAAGTGAAATCTGCCTCACTGTCGCACATTCCAAGCCGCTCTGATTCGAGTGGAGTCACTGGCAGATTTAAGGTCTTCTATGGGATTCACTGAACCTGTTGTTAGGCAGACTGATGGGATTTCAGGCACTGTCAGAGACACGCATGTGGGTAAGCGACTAATTCGTGTTGGCTTCCGTCTCCATTGACTTGCCTACAAACTCAGCGTCGTGCTTTTCTACAAATAACTCTCTTCTTATGATAGAAATACATACTATGCGCGAGACTGATGCTGCTACTCAACATTGCCAGTGGTGTTGGATGATTGAAACCAGATCTCTATATGTGGCGCAACATCGGTCATCTCAACTTTTGGTTCATGGGCGCTAAGTTGGCTCTTTGCCGAAGCAACTCGCGACTCTTAGCCCTCCAGATCAGGGCTGTAGATGTGGGACTTTGGAAGCAGGCATAGTTGTAGTAAAGACTAAATTCCGCCTGTCTTGCTGGAATACAACCCATGCTTATCCTTATCCCCTATGATCCTCTAATCATCCATTCATCATCTCTTCACTTCGTCACTCGTCGTGCGATCGAGTCTCATGCAACACGCTCGTGTGTCCAAAACGATAAAACCGCGTATTCACTGCGAACCTACTCTCATTAGTACATGCCCTTCAAGTTACACTAGTCACTATGCCAGGAGCAAAAGTGCAGTGATGATTCCAGCGATAGTACTGATAAGTTCACTCCGCTGCGAAGTCTCATAACTTCCAGACTCGTCATCGTTTTGAGATCCGTTACCAGAACCATTGCCGGGACCGAGCTCGTCTAGAGTTAAATTGCGGGCCGTCTTCATCATCTTTTCGATAGTGGTATTCCGTTGGCTCTTGGTGCCCTGATTAATCTTGTTTCTGGGGACCATCTTCTTCGCACGCGTTGCGGGTGATTTGTAGTAGTCAATGTGCTTGCGGGAGGTATTGCCTAGCGATCGCGACGACTCCGGCAGGAAAGGCTCTTCGTTGTCTCTCACCTGAACTTCGAGACACTGTTTGAACTGTACGCTCGGCAAACTACTGAAGAATGAGTCATATTTTTCATCCATGGCCGTCTCCAGACTGGCAAAGATCTCGCCGGATTCGGGGTAGTCGTCATAAGATTCGAGGCTGCTCTGGAGCACTGTCCACGGGTTTCGGCAGTTGTCGCGTTCGCAGGACTTGGTCACCAACAGCAGGGCGTTCAGACGGTTTATCAGTCGTTTGGTGTCCTTGCTAGGATTGTTTGGCTCATAGGCGAGGTTATTGAGCTCAAAGGGGTCGTCCTATTTGAATCACACTCCTTAGATTCCGAAGCTTGGTGTAAGCCATCGCCAGGGGCCTTAAACTCACTCACCAACGTGTTGTAGAGCTCCGTCTCGCCAGTGCACCACCTCGTAAACAAATAAGCCGAGTTCTCGCCTACAACGCGCAGTGCCTTGTAGCTGTTATTCATGCTGCCCTTCTGGGTCGGCAACTCCACAACCGAGTGGCCCCAGAACTCTATGTTGATTAAGTCTTGGTGAGCGGAGCCAGTGCTGTTTTGCGGGCTATGCCAGTCACCGAGGAGACTTCGCCCATCTAGAAAGACCGGAAGATCCGTCTGATCGACACAGGCAATATCTAGCAACGTTGGGGCTAGATCTAGATGAGTACCCGGTAGTCGTGAAGTTTCCCCATGTGGCACGTTGGGGCCGCGCACGATGAATGGGACGTTCGTGTCAGCCAAGTAGGGCAGTGTCTTTCCGGCACCAACGCGATGTTGGCCCAAGTGGTACCCGTTGTCTGAGGAGAATATGACTGTGATGATAAACACGCGTTAGCAAGCAACGCATTCAAGGAAAAGCGTACTAACTATATGTGTTGTCCAGCACGCCTTTCGTTTCGAGAAACTCGACGACGTCATGTACAATTTCGTCAACGCCCATCAGGGCCTGAATTCGGCGACGGTAGTGAAGATTGATCCGTGCAATTTGCGTTTCATTCAAGCGGTCCAGGTGCTTGAGCCACGATGGCTTCCCGTCGGTATAATTCTGGGCCGGGTTGAAATTTTTGTCTTTTGGTGCCTTGAGACCTGGGTGAGCGTTTGCATGTCTTGCCAGAGGGACTGGTAGTCCACCTCCGCCGATCTGAAGATGAGGTGATACGGGAGCTATAGTTAGGTAAAATGGTTTGTCTTGACTCTCCGTCAGATATTCAAGCCTCGAGATACTGAGTCACAAATTAGTATGTCTTGTGCATCACGTCTGGTACATATCTGGAAGGGCACCCTTACGCTTTGGCCCGGATCACGTCTGTCTGGTGATAGCCTCGGTAGAGAATAGGCGTTTCCCCATTTTGGGTGAAGACGGGCGTGTTGAAGTTGTACATCCACGGATCAATCTATCATGAGCCATCAGCTTGCTGCCTGTCATGAGGTGCTGAACCATGAAAACGTACCAAGGCGTCGACAAAGTCCCAGCCTTTAGGATTGTCTTGGTAAAGTTCTCTACTATAACCGTTCAAGAACTTGCCAATATCTGGAACACGTGAACGCCATCAGCTTTGATCTCTGTTGAACACATAGGACTTACACTCTGTGCGATATCCGGCCCCGCTAAGCCACATTGGGAGGTAGTTGTTGTCTTGGCCTGAGAGACGCCATTTCTCATAATTTCCGCTGGAGGAGATTGTTAACAACAGTTCCGTGGCTGATTTGCGCATCCATCCATGAAACTACTTACCCAGGAGGCGTCACATGCGTTATGTTGGTATTGTGACCATGCTGGCCGCGAAGAAGCGACGCTCGACTCGGGCAACAGTTTGAAATCGTGGCGAAATGGTTTGTGAAGTTTGTTCCCTTCTGTAGGAGTTCACTTTGCACACTTGGCATGAAATCTAGAGAGTTTAGATGCAGATCTTGGTCATCTGTGAAGATGAAGACAATATTGGGACGCTTCTCTGGACAGCTCGCGGAGTCGGTCGCAAGACTGCTGCCCAGAATAGCCGCGATAATTAGGGCGTTGGATACAGATACCATAGCATTGAGCATGGTTAACGATAGTAAACGACTCGTCTCCAAGGATGGGAGTGAATAACCAAAGCGACCGTAGCTATGATGGCCCTGCCAGCGAGCTTGGCGGTCTGGGGCGGCAGTAACGAGACGCCCCCAAATTAGAGAGGCGCAGGAATAATGTGACGTGTTGGGTCCACCTTGCCTTGATAATTCTTGAAACAGCTGCTCGGACTTTACTTGAAGCGGAAGTTTTTGTTCGAAGGCCCGAACTCCTGAAATCTTTCTATCCACTTGACGCGTAATGCTCTGGCGCTTGCACGTTACCTCTTTGGTATTGCGTTGCGAAATTCATGGGATGGCAGTCCTTGTAAAGTACTTGGATTGATTGGTAGGCGTGCTTGGTGCAACAGTAAACAAGTGGAATTGATCGAAGGATTCCAAGTTAGCCTTGCGAGTGGAAGGCAGACGCCCGTGATATATCCTCTGGTTCAAGATAAGATTATTTCTCAAGGGCAGCAAGGTTGTGTACGGAAGGTCTGAATTGAGGACCCGAGGCAAAGGCAAATGGCCAGCGACCCTGATGTACTGATTACTGCAAATCCCAGTTAGGTGCTCTGCTCAGATTTTCAGCCTGCTGCCGTAACCTTTGCATTGATTTGATGTATCTGATTAAGATCGAATCACGCTGGGGAATGTATTTTGAAAGAAAACGCGGCGGCGGAATCCATGCATGCGCCTTGATTGGGTAAAAAAGTGATCTGAAAACTAATGAGCACAACCGAGGAGGAGATTATGGGGATCTGTAGCCGTTCGACTTGAATTACAGACCATCCCGATTTCAGTTGGATGCTTGACGGCACACGTCGGCTTTGGTGATGCGGGGAAGAAGACGAAAGGTCGGAGACCCCACTGGCTCTAGATTAACGAGTAGATAGGAGAGAGATTGAGCAACACTTCACAAATGACATGCTTAAAAGGGTGCGTGGGCTGTTATTTAGTTGATCATCTGGCCACAAATGTGTTTTGTTGGATTGGCCTTGCAATCTCGTCAGCAGGTGTCATGGAGGGATTCTACCGCGACCATACCACCAAAGCTACCCACGATCTTTGGCCCAATATCCCTGCAGCACTGGTGTAGCTACCGAGAGCGTGAAATATTGGTAGCTAAGTCGACTCGATAATCTAACCGTCTACTCAGCCAAATCAATTGCCTCCCGTGTACTAGTACCAGGGATTCAAATGCCTTTGAGGACTTGGCTTCTAATTTCTACCGGTTTTATGTCCCGATTGGTGTCCTCGTCGTTCTCAGCATCTGTTTCTGTCACTTTCGGCATCGAATATGTGTCGTCTGCGTGTCCTATCGCCGCTGACGCTGAACACAGACCTCAACCCGAATTAGACGAGCGATAGTAACTCCAGCTGCACATTGACCGGATATTGCGGCATCTTACATCCAAATATGACCCCGCAGTGCTTAATATCGGCAATAAATGACAGGTAGAACTTGGAGAGCATCACGCGGAGAGAGCTTGTGGGCTTATCTCTTGGCGAGGCTTGAGCGACACCGGCGCCATTGGCGAGATCGGATGGGCTTCCGAGATACAAGGCTCGAGTACTTGAAGGCAACGCTCGTTGCCATTTTCCTCATTCACCACCATCCCACAGTTCTAGACATCGCCTCCACACACCACCATCTAATTCACCACTATGGCCAACCGCGGAGTGCCGCTGTGCCCTCACAATGAGATATTCTGCATCCAAGATTTGAAAGAGAAGGGATCTAAGAAGCTCCCGCGGATGTATCGAGGTAAGAGATATCATAGACTTCATTTGTACCGTCATGACCTAGGTGTCGCTAACTTAGCCATTCTAGAGTACTACAACCATGGGTCCATGGATATGCTCACGTACGTAGTTCCAAACTTGGCTGAGGCTACCCGTGGCACTGCTAACAGAAACATAAGCCTGCAAGACAATGAGGCAGCTTTTGATCGATTCAAAATCAGACCCCGTATCCTCCGAGATGTTTCAAACATCGATCCTTCAACCACTCTTTGCGGAAAGAAGGTGGCCTTCCCATTCGGCTTTTCCCCAGCGGCAGCGCACAAAATCGCACACGCGGATGGCGAGGTTGGCACGTCGCGGGCAGCTGCTGCCCAAAATATCCCCATGGGGCTGTCGGCATATGCAACCACGTCGCTTGAAGATGTCATTTCCGTCGGAAAGGGCAACCCGTATTTTATGCAAATCAATTTCTTGATGGACAAGGAGATTATGAAGAGTCTATTACATCGCGCGGAAGGTCTGCGCCAAGCCTCCAGATTTCCACCTTTTGAACGGTCGCTAATCTGGTACAAAGTGGCGGGTTATGATGCTATTATGCTGACCGTTGATGCTCCTATGTACGGAATCCGATTGAATGAAGGTCGTAACAATTTTGGTATGCCAGACGGTATCGAATACCCCAATCTCGCCCCCGGTATGGACATGAGAAGTTTAGCAAAGGAGGAAGACCCCCTTGCTTATGGTAAGATGATTTAGACCGAACTGTTGGTATATAACAGAATTCTGAAAATATATCCACAGATCCCTCGGTTACATGGGAAAGGGCCGTGAGATTCATGAGAGAAACGACCAAGCTTCCAATCTGGATCAAGGGAGGTAAGTGCATGAAAAGCGGACAAAGATTTGGAACTCAGGATCAGTAATGCTTACTTCTCTCCAGTTTATACTCCCGAAGATGTTGAGCTGGTCATCGAACATGGCTTAGATGGCGTCATCATCTCTAACCATGGAGGGCGCCAACTTGACAGCGTTCCGGCTACCCTCGACGCACTCAGAGAATGCGCCCCTGTCGCCAAGGGCCGCATACCTCTCGCAATTGACAGTGGCATCCGTCGCGGCACAGATATTTTCAAGGCACTAGCCCTAGGTGCAGACTTTTGCTTTGCCGGGAGAATTCCTATTTGGGGCCTTGCGGTAAGGTCCATCCTGTCTACCTTATTTGACAGTATCACTATTGTGTGAGGAATAATATGCGCTAACATTGAGTCTTGAGTGGAACGGGACTGAGGGCGTTGAGTTGTCAATTAAGCTTCTGTACAGGGAGTTCCAAAAGACCATGGGATTAGCTGGGTAAGTGCTTGGCTGTGAATGGAGGTCCGAAGAAGATACTAACAATGAAACAGAGTTTCAAAAGTTCAAGACATTTCAACGGCTCATTTGTCGGTGTTCGACCACAAGGGCGCATTGAGCAGACTGTAGCGTGCTTTGGTACGTAATAAGCTCCATAAACTGAGGAGAATAATCGAGGTCATGTCAAAGGTGCAGTTTTAGTCATAATGTCAGAATTTAACTCTCATCATCTAGCATACTATTTTCACATTCTTAATCAGACTTCGTCGTAGGATATGAATTCTGAGAATATCCACCGTGTTTCGACTTTTTTACTGCGGAATCGGGTGATCCTTCGCATCAACACCCTCTGCCCATCTGTATTTCGCGGCAGTGTGTTCCTCTGGGGGGTATTTGGAGCCTTCTGTACCATAGAAGTTCTCTCGATACGTACCCCCGGGAACAGCATAGTCATCCCAGAACAAACCTCGAGCCCGAAGCTCGGGTAGCAAAAGCTCAATGATATCCTTGAAGGATTGAGGGAAAACAGCATAGGCCTAAAATATTAGCGGAGTTTACTTAAGCGGAAATGGAAATACACTCACAAAGTTGAATCCATCAACATCAGCTTCGTTCACCCATGTCTCAAGGCCGTCAGCCACCTGAGCAGGCGTGCCAACCAACAAGGGCCCATTTCCTCCAAGGCTGACATGCTCGGCCACGGTGTGCTTGGTCCACTTTGAATTGGCTGGCGAGAACTTCGCATAGCCTTCGACAGTTGATCTGTTGTACCGTTAGGACCGAAGAAATCACTTCGACTTCATGCATGGAAAACCTACTTGACAGCGTTGCTCTCGACCTGTCTCAATTCTTCTTCATCCCCATATTTGTCCAAGTCCATTCCTGTCCATCCACCAAACAGTGACAGAGCACCCTCGAGCGAGGCATACTGCTTGTAGTCGTTGTACTTGGCCAATGCCTCCTCCTCTGTTCTGCCCAAAATCGGGGTAACGAGGGCGAGAACCTTGATTTTGCTGGGATCTCTGCCAAACTCATCCCGCGCTATTTGCCGAATTTCGGAAATATTCTTCTTGCAAACGGCAGGTGCGTGCGCCGACGTGAAGATTGCCTCGGCGTGCTGTGCTGCAAAGGCCTTGCCTGCACGCGAAGCGCCCGCCTGGAGAAGAAGAGGCGTGCGTTGGGGGCTGGGGTCCACGAGATGAGGGCCCGGGACGGTAAAGAACTTTCCTTCGTGGTTGATCTGACGAACCAGTTCCGGCGAAGTGTACACGCCCTTCTCGCGGTCAAGTTTGACGGCATCATCGCGCCAAGAAGACTGCAAAAGCTTGTACATGACCTTCATGTATTCTTCTGCCTGTTCGTAGCGATCGGTATGCTGTAGCATGTTAATAAATGCTTCTGGAGACCGGGAGAAGACTCACATCTAATTGCTCGTTGCGGCCCATGTTCCTCGCCGCAGAGTCTAGGTAACTGGTCACAATCTATGCACGTTAGATGGTAACGCTGAGTAATAATGTCGAGTTTCTTACGTTCCAACCAAGTCTATTGTTTATTGTTAGTGTAAGATGTGCGGAAGAGATAAGATGTACTTGCCTTCCTTTAGTGAGATGGTCTACGGTAGAGAGACGTCTGGCCAAATGGTAAGGCTGCTCGTAGGTTGTTGATACCGTGACACCAAATCCGATGTTCTTGGTGGCCGCAGCCATGGCCGGAACAGCAACAAGCGGCTCTGTGAGAGGCCATTGGGCACCCGAGATGACAGCGGGATCGAGGGATTTCTTGTAGACATCATAACCTCCTGTGAGAGATTGGTCAATGTCTCTTTCAGCCACATTAATGCGCATCTTTCTTACCAAGAACGTCTGCAATGAAGATGCCGTGGAATTTGGCTTCCTCGAGAAGCTTGGCTAGCTCAACCCAATGTTCAATGTCCTTGAACTGCCAAGATTTATCGTCGGGGTGTCGCCACAGGCCTGGTGACTGATGTCCGCTGCCTAATTCGCAAGTAAATGGATCAGCTCATGATTGCCAAAATGCTATCGGACGACGACATACACATCATCACAAAGGCATTGACAATGAGGCTTTTCTTGCCCTGCGGCTTCACTTCTTGAGATACCATGGTCGCTTGCTGTTGACCTAAATTCTGTTCCAAAAATGTTGAAATTCAGTTTCAAATTAGCAAATTGGCCAGGACTTCGCATCGTGAAAAGCAGTCTTTATCTTCAAGGTCGTTTTACTAGGCCGCATCATCGGCAGTACGTCGGGATCTGAATTGCGTGATTCTTGATGTTATGATACACTCGGACAATCTCATTGCATCCGCTAGTGCGTACCGAATGAGCGGGGAGATGCACCTGCAGGTTGGATACAGTGGCTCTCGGTATTCAGTGTGGGTCAACAAGCGTGGAGGGCAGTGCTTCAACATGAGGGGAAGTAGAATGGCGCAATTGTCGATGGGTGTTGCAAATATCCGAAGACGGATAATCCCTGAATGCCAATGTTGACAAATTAACACTAACTAATTGAGGCATTCTGATTAAGCAACTGAGAATTATTCGGTCCCTCACGACTTTTTGACGGGGCACAATGGTGAACTACACGCCAGCGTGGAACCTGATGGTTACTCTATTTTGGCTTTCGCCATGTGTTTGCAATTAATACCATATTTCCGTATTGAAGATTTAATTTATTTTAATCTCACTCGGGAGACTACAATTGCGCATTCAAGATGTACGGGTTGAATTAAGCCCGAACGTGCCTACTTTACCACATTTATAAACTCATACCTAAACTTGGAGGTGGATGAGTACAGGTGAACTTTTCAGACATATGTAAAGTTGATTTCCGTAGAGCCAGCCCAAAACTTATTAACTACTCTTGCCAAGCGTACCCAGGTAGACCGGACTACTTAATGTGAGCTTGTACTCAACTGACTTGGTATCATTGTTACGTTCAACAGATATAACTATTCTAATTCTATTGTTGAAAGTCTAGTCTTGGATTTGAGCCCAAAGTAATTATCCTTCCTCCTCGTTTTTATCTCGAACAGCATATCTCTCAGATAAATCTGGTCGACCATGTCTAAGATTTTGTTACCTGCTCCGAACGCTCAACGGAGTTCGAGACGTCCAGTTGACTACCGGCCGAGTCTGAGGTAGCCCCCTCATCCCCAATGGCCTTGGAAGTTCCAAAGTGTCTCAACACAAGCCAAGCAGGGAAAATCGCAATGCCCCACAGAAGGAAGTTGAAATAAACTCCACCAGTTTCGGCAAAGAGAGGCAGAGAGGTCAAGCCGTAGCTAACAGCTTGCCAAGCGGACTCTGTTCCACGGAGCAGAGCCGAGTAGCGGATGATCTCGTCCTGGGTATCGGCAAAGTTGTGAATAATGAAGTAGCTGTGCGAGGTTAGCATAACGTGCGTTCGGCATTGGGAAGTTGACATACAGGAACAGGTAGTTCATCTGGAAGCCAATGGTGAGCAAGATGAAGATGGCGAAGGCGACACCAAAGCCGGGGCTGGACCAGTCGTAGGTAGGTCTGGTGTGGTGGAACCTGGTAACTAGGACAGTGGCCCAAGTCCACCATCCTCCCTGAAGGGTAACGATAAACCAGAAAGAAGTTCGGGTCCTCGTCTTAAGGGGGACACCAGTTCGATCAAGCCAGAGCTGTAAAGTGGTTAGACTTGCAACAAGCGGAGGAATCAGGGGCAAACTTACCCCGAGGAGGTTTCCTGCAGTGACAGCAATGATACCAGCGACGAATGATCCCAAGGCTCGAGATCGCACGGAGAACCAAGCTAGATGTTGTCAGCTAGAGTTTCTACCTTGAGTGGAAAAGGAAACCCACCACTTAGATAAGTGAAGAAGACGGCTTCGGCAAACACAGCCTGTCCGATGAACAGCACAACAAGCAGAAACTTCTTGGTGAAGAACAGTCTCGTAGTGTGCCTAATTTCGACCCAGGGGTTGTTGAGAATGTTCAGCTCGACCTTCTTTCCATCCTTGCGCTCGACTTCCTCGGGCTTGTTGAGGAACAAGGCGACAAGAGGGCCAGTAGCCTGGATGGCAATGAAGATGAGGAAGACAGTGTACGAGACTTTACCCGCCTCGCTCCGGTCTGCATTCAGGCCAAGGTTGATGGCACCTCCCAGGACCTGACCTCCCAGTCGATATGTGAGCCAGTAGCCAAGTGCCTTTCCGCGGTTCCATGGCTCTGGGTACGCAATTGCAATGGCAGCCTCTGCCATCCAGAAGACACCGGCGGAAATGCCACACAGGGCTGCGCCGAGAAGGGTGAGCCATTCAGTTCCGAATCTGTTGTTTGTGTAGAGACCCGCAGCAAACGGGGCGTATCCAAGGCTGCACTTTGTCAATAACAGTCGAGCTAGGGTATGGAGATCACATACGTTCCAAAGATCAGGGCCCCCTTGATGCCGATATATCGGACGAGTGCACTACCGAAGTAGCAAGAAACAACCATGAGACAGAATGTCAAGGCATTGGCAGCGTTAATCAGTCGTGGCGATGCTGCACCGCCAGCACCCAGGGAGTTCATGGCTCCCCAAATTCCAGGCGCCGCAAAGTTGCACAGGCCCAGAATCGTGATGTTGTAAAATGTTGACTTGTGCCATCTCACTATCCACGGTCAATAGGTGGACTCACACCTCTCCATGGCTAAAGCTTACCTGGATGCTGCTGCTCCTTGGGCGGAGCAACCTCACTCTCATTATGCCGAGAAGAAACCGCCATTGTGACTTTCCTCTGTAGAGCTCTTTTGGGCTGCAGATGTCTTGCAAGAGAGGCGAGACAATTTGGAAGGTTGGCAAGGCTGATGATCCTGGGTTTCTTGGCGCATTTGAGTGCCGCTCATCTACCTTATATGCATCCATACCCCAATGCCTACTCTTTGTCCTGCTCTGTCCCGACCGCTTGGCATAGGAAAGCACGCCATATCGAGCCCCGGTTGCTCTTACACCTAGGTTTCGATAAACCCGGCATGGACATTTAGTGCCAACGTTTTACCGTTAAGTGATTGCGTATGGCATCTAGAACGAGGTAGGGTGGTCTTTTCCGTCTAGACGACCTCCCTTCTCCCTAGCTCTGCCAAGATATGGCTATTCATGCCGAACCCAACTCGCTTTGAAGCTATCAAATGGCAAACGTCTTGCGCGGATAACTCGGTGCGAGCATATGACCCACAGCGATACAAGGATGGGTAAACGTGGTGGTAAGGATCAACTAGTGTGGTTATTATCCCTGTCGCACCTAGACGAGTAGTGGCTGTCACAACATGCACAACGTGTGTCGCGACATCGCCAGAGAAATGACGTGCAAAGTTACTCGTACTGTTATCATCAAAACCGATTCATTGGGTGCCGATCTAACCTAAGCGAGCAATGGTCTACGGTACTACCCACCAATTCTCGTGCAAGTCTCTAAGATCTACCTCCTCGGGGAGTTTCAGATACGGAGTCATGTCCGATTCTGGCTCAGTTTCCAGCCTAGTCCAGCCATTGCCGAAGTACCACGCGAACCTGTTCCCTGAGTCCGAGAGGTGCTCATACTCCCAATCTTCCCATCTGGGATCCCGACGAATCACCGTGAGATGCGCTGCACTGCCGGGCCACAGTCCATGGATCCGCGCACCCGGTCGGCCGCCATTGTACCAGGAACTGCAGTTGTCCGTGAGAACCGTCTTCGCGAAGAAGGCATCCGAAAACTCGGTGAAGTCATCAGCGGCTTTTTGCTTTGGAGTAATAGATTTGATGCCTTCCCGCGACGCCTTACGCAGCAATTTCGCGTAGTAGGTCAGCTGGGTCTCGACGCTCTGCGGCACGGTGCCTGACGGGCCCGTCGCCTGGGGACCATGGACGAAGAGAAAGTTGGGGAATCCAGGCGTTGCCAAGCCCAAGTATGTGTATGGGAAGCCGTGTTCGCCGTCTTGCTTCCAGACGCTTTGGAGGTCTTGTCCATGAGCGCGGATGGGAAATCGCGGGACCATATCGACGTTCGCTCCCGTGGCGCAAATTACAGCATCAACGTCCCGCTGCACGCCGTCTTCGGTCTCAATACCAGTCTCTGTAAATCTCTTGATGTGCGTCCTGATGTACTCGACGTTGGGTTCCGAGATTGCTTCGAGATATCCCGGTCCAGGCGTAAGGCGACGACAGTTCGGCGAGAAGTCCGGGATGATGTGTTCCAGCAGTTCAGGCTTTTTGACCAGCCTCTCCTTCATGATCTCGATGAATTTGTTGCGAAGCTCTTGATTATCCTCAGTATTTCGGAAGAATGATCCAAAGCGACGCCAGTAGCTGTCCTCAAGGTTCTTCCTGAACGCTAGATAGGCCTGTGGATCAGCCTCAAACTTCTTCTTTTGCTCCTCAGAGTACAGCTGAGGCCCAAATGTCCGCTCATCTCCCGCCCACGATGCGGCAATCCAGGTCTTGTTTCGGGCATAGTGATCCAATCTCGCCACCGACTTTTGCAAATTGGCAACGACCTGGATTCCGCTGGCGCCATTTCCGATGACGGCCACTTTTTTGTCTTTGTGCTCAAAGGACGGATCCCAATTGGAGGCGTGTCGGAGGAGTCCCTTGTAGTCGGATATGCCGGGGTAGTCGGGGAGTTTCCACGCGTTGAATCTTCCGATTGAGGACAAGACAAACTCAGCCTTATCCACGGTGACCTCGCCTGTCTCGACGTTCTTTACCGTCGTCACCCACACACCCTCTTCGCTGTCCCACGTCGTCTCTTCGACTTGGTGATTGAGCTTTGCATACTGATAAACATCGTATTTCCGTGCGATGCCCTGCCAGTAGTCCCGAATCTCATGTCCTGGAGCAAACTGGTCGGACCAGTCTGTTTTGGCATCAAACGTGCTTTGATACACATGCGAGGGGATATCACAACGGACTCCGGGATAAACATTCTCAAACCATGTGCCGGCCTATTCCATGGTGAGCGAGCGCCGGTAAATGGGTAAGAGTTGCACGTACAAGGTCCGCGTTCTTCTCGTAAATTGTGAGTTTAATCCCTGGCACCTTTTTAGGCAGCAAGACGCCTGCCAGGATACCGGCGAGACCACCCCCAATAACAGCGACCCTCAAGGATCGAGGTTCATCAACATATCTATCCACCAGGGTGAGGCGAGGGTTGTCGTATGGCGAAGTGGCATGGCCCTTGGCACCATTCAGGACCGGTAGGCCGTTTTGGGTCTGTGCCGGGAGACTAGTCCCTGACTCGTGCGACGGGCTCTCTTTCTCGGCAGTTTTAACGCCGAGCGTGCCATTCTGGCTCGCGGTCCGGATTGTCATGGTGTATTGGCAGCGGATTTAAGATGGCAGTGCGCAAAGGCAAACGAAAGAATTTCGAGCCACGTCAATCCTTTATTCGACTCTTCCAACGCGTACCTCGCCGCGACCCCGACTCTACCGAGCACGTTTGTGCAGTGCCCTGTTACATCATTTTGGTGTTGCAATTGGCGTGCTTCTGTCACCATATCAACGGCGCCGTGAGCACGAACAAGCCCCACGCTCTTACACCATCGCGGCCCCACCCTCCTTAGGCCGAACGGAAACAATCTCTGCCAGTAGGAAGCATCCGATTGATCATGTTGCATTTGGCGCCTGCAAGTGATTTGTTTGAATGATCCTGCGCCTAGCCAAAATGGCTCAGGCAATCTCTAATCTCGGATATCCCACAACGGCAAGTGCAGAGAAGAAACGGCTCACACCCGATCTCAACATCGAGTCTGCTGTGCTTCACATGTATCACTACGTTTACTCTATCAGGTCCAGCCTATAATGAATAGCATGAGTAGCTCTGGATATTCACACAGCTTGTCCTCACAAAAACTGATGTTTTGACAATTTCTGCCACTGGCCGTCCTATTGTTCTTGTAGATTAATGGCAGCGGTGGCCTTCGAGGTCGACGAACTAATCTCAACAAACGGTGCCATAGCCCAGGAAATATCTTTCAAGATTGAATATTAGATATCAAATAACGATCTCTCGATTAGGGAAACTTCATATTTGTATCTGCTGCATTTTCACTCCGGATGTTAGAAATGCCGAGACACGGGTTTATACAAATGTGAGACTTTCAAGTTAAGAGCTTGAGTCAAGTCAAATGCGTAACAACATCATTATCTAACTTTCCACATCTGTCAGCATTAGTTGTGGTACTAAATGGGTGCTCCTGTTGATTACAACCACTGCATCGCTTTGACTTGTTGACTGAGATAGAGTAGAACGGGGAGGCCCCAAGGAAATCTTCAAAGTTCACTAAATAAATCTTTAAATGATCTCAAAAAGCACCATTTAATTAACCTCTAAATATCCAAACCTTTACTGATCGTTGGAGATCTATCTAGGGTAAAGCAAAAAGCCGGGACTTGGATATACGTGCAAATGGGGTGTCAAGATATGCAAATGTGAACAGAAGAGACTCCAGTCAGATGGTGACCGTCGCTATCTAAGGTTAACATAAAGTAGTAATGCTCATCTTTCAATATCTTTACAAACTCTTTAGTAACTTTGAGTTTGATGCACCACTATTTAAAAGCAGTCCTACATCCTGCGCCCCAACAATCCACTTGGCTCCAAACTCATGGATAACTTTTGATAAGATATCCGGGCGGTGATAAAGGCCAGCGATGCCCATAATTTTCCCATGTTTCTTAGCCGCAGCTCCCACGCTGCGCAGAGCATCAATGAACTTGGGATGGTCCCAGTCAGGCAACGTTCCGATTTCACTAGCCAGATCGTTAGATCCTACGAGGAGGACATCGGATCCAGGAAGAGCCGCAATATCGTCAACAACGGCGAGGGCGTCGGCTGTCTCAATCATGATGAAGACAGTGGATCCGGTCGAGTTCATTTCGGCTTGGATGATGGAAGTAGGCAGTGGCGCGTATTCAAATTGCGAAAATCCAGCGCTGATGGAGCGATGGCCCATTGGCGGATATTTCGAAACGTTGATAACACGACGAGCATCGTCTTCGCAGACTGTTAGTGAGTGTGGTCTCCTGAAGCACTTGGTTCTCGGGGTTAGGTGGGGGATTGCCCACCAACAGTGTGGATGTGCGGAACGATGATTCCCATGGCTCCAGCGTCCAGGACTTTTTGCATGAAGCCCAGGCCGCATTCATGTGGCACTCTAACAAATGGCGTTATTCCAGCTGAATTGGCAACTAAGCAAAGCTGACCAGCATCGCGAATAGTGAGAGTTGTATGCTCAAGGTCGATGAACAAAGAGTCGTAGCCAGCTGACTTGGCAATCTGGACTATCTCTCCTCCCGGGATGATCTTGATTCCAAAGGCCGTGCATATTTTTCCTTGTGATGCCAGCGACAGCAAGTTGTTGGGAGCGATGTGTTGCGTAGCGCTTGGGACAGTGGGAGGAGAATGCCCAATATCAGAACTGGGTGCCATGTTGGAAATAAGTCGATGGCAAACTAGGAAGTACAGATGGATGAATGATGAGATGGATATCTATCAAGTTCGTGTCAGTAATCTCTCAGATATTTTATGAGTATATATATAACAAGATGGTCAGCCGGCCGGCCGTATCCTTGCCAGACCCTGGATTGCCTAATTGAGGTATTGAATGCTCCAGGGTAAGGGACCACGGATGTCGAAGCCGCACTTGCGCTAGCCTCCGCAACCTCGGTCCAAGAGCTGAAGTCCCACGTTCTAATCAAGCCCAAGCCTCGCGAGGGTTGGATGCGGAAGTCTGGCCCGTTCGGCTACGAGACTGCGGCGGGTTAACAAAACAGCTGCGGGAGCCGGCCAGGTGTTGGGCGTTTGGGAATCCTGGAGCGTCAAAGGTTCGCCGCCAACTCACATGCGGGAATGCCGCTGCGCCGCGTCAAGATCTGAGAGCGGATAGGATGTAGTGGATGGCGACGGTGATGGTGACGGTACAGGAGGGTTTCAGACAACGGCTTGATCTTCATGGAGCACTTCCGCCTTTCTGACGGCGTGTTCCTTTCCTTCATTACTCGGGATTTTCTAGCCAGCAGATTACGGGTTAATGTTGTCATAAGCTCACCCATGAAGCGGTCATGCATGCGAATCACCATGTCCCGGTGTTTGAACAACTGGTTTAACTTGGTGTATGTATCGTCCCGAAGTATTTTGTTTTCCATTGGGAAATGGCATTGCTCTTCCGCTCAGCCCTATCCCCTGTTCCTGACCCATCTCGACGTAGTAGACAAGTGATGGAGAATTTTGCGATTGCATGAGTGTATGTCAATTTATCGGTATCCATGGGGGGCCGAATCAAATAGAGCTCCAAAGGTAAAAATTTCATGCATCCTTTCATACCAGTGCACCCTTCGAGATATCAGTAGCTATATCTAAAACCCTTGTCCTGGCGCTCCGTCAAGTCAGAGTCAGTTGCCATGCCAGCCAGATCGACATCGTTCAACTCCTCGGCAGCCTTGTCTCGCTTCTTGTTAGACCTCTTAGCCGTAAAGTAGTGGACGAGGAATGCGATAACCAGACACCCAAAACTGACAATGCTAGCGATGCAGCCCTTTCGGTATCGCGGAGCGTCCTGTTTCTGCCATAGTTGCGGGCCCACGATACATCCAACACAGTAGAAGATGAAGAAAACGGCGCTGACAACTGACTTCTTCGTGTTTCCCTTGACGTTGGACGCCATTAGACCTACTCCCTGGCCAAGGGGCGGAGCAGTAGCAGCCGCCAGCCATGTGCTCGCGACAATGCCCCAGGAGTTGCTAGCGGGAAGGAGAAGTAGCAGCAGAGTTCCAAACATCGGAACAATAGCTAGGAACACACCGAAGAAGCAGCGTGTGTTAGGGAAATAGCTAGGGCCCAGGCCGCCAATCCAAACCAATACGAATGCTATGGCTCCACTGGGCAGGCCAACGAGCATGGTCTGGAACTTGGAGTAACCGAAGCCGCTGATGACGAGAGAGGAGAACTAGAACACTCACTGTTAGTATACGTATGGCCAATTCCCTGCTATTGGATCCCACCTTGACAATCGGTGTAGGAATGGTGATGAAGAGAGCCGTTGCCGCAAAAAGGGCCGTCCTCGGATCTCTGAGCGCCTCTCCAACCTGAGCCCAGTCGAAATTGGCCCGATCACGGGTGGCTCTGTCGATAGCCAGGCGGTTAGTAGCGATTTCCCGCTCCCGCTCGTTCAGAAACCATGCCGTGTTTGTATTTTTCGGCATGCACGCCACGAAGAGAATGCCGGCTGCGACTGTGAGACCGCCGCAGACCATAAACATGACTCGCCAGGTGGCAATGGCATGCTCGGTCGAGCCGATACCGTACATCATCAGGGCGCCGGCAATTTGGGAGACACCAAACATGGAAACCCAAGTCCTGTATTGCATGATTAGCATTTTACACAAGTTAGCGAGGTTAGCCTTACGAGATTCGGATCGTGTGTTCACTGCGCTTATACCAGTTGCTAGTGATGATCATGAAAGATGGCGCAACCGCGCCCTCAGTAAAGCCCAGGAGAAATCGCGTAGCTCCCAAGCTAGCAAATCCCTGGGAGGCGCCAAGACACATCTCTACCGAACCCCATAATATACTGAATAAAGCAGACAAGAGTCAGTCATGTGCACAGTCTTGGATAGGACTTTGTTACTCACATAGTAACGCCGACAAAGGTCGTGATCGGCAATCTGCTCATCAGGTAGGCAGCAGGGTACTCGGAGCAAAACTGGCCAAAGTAGAAGAGCGAGATTGCCCAAGAGAACTCTTGACCACTCAAGTTCAAATCTTCGGAAAGACCAAAGACGGCAGCATAATTGATACTCTGCTTGTCAAGATCTTGAGGACCAAGTTAGCGGTGAACATCAGACTGGATGGGACTGTTATTACACTGGAAGAAGTAAACAATAGCCATGATGGGCATGATGACCCGATCGAGCTTCTTAATAACCGCTTTTTCCTCGGCAGGATCGATGTGCAGTTCTGCTGGCACACCCGCAAGAACCTTGCCAACGACTTCATCCTCGACCATGGTAGGTTTTTGGATTGTTTTTCCCTCCATCTTCGACGAATGTTGAAAAAAGAAAAATATTTTGGGATTGACGGCTTGGAAGTTTCAGGCCTGTCTGTTATGGGCTTTCATTTTCCATGGGAGGCATCTGATTTATATGTTGCTCTAATTCTTGACACGGTCGGTTCGCACGCCACCCACCAGTCGAAAGTGACAAAGGATGAAAGACTCGGTCGCCATGTTCAATTTACTCCCCGCATTCCCCGGGATTCGGAACGGCCAAGACCTAGACGAAATTCTATCTGCGGGAGTTAAGGCCGCACCCTCATGAGTTGACAATCCGCTGCGGGGGCCAGAGAAGGCCAATCAAGGCCCATTTTACTCAACCAGTTCCCCCTGTTTCCCCACAAAGTAGCTGTTCCCATGGCGTCCCGCTTGTGCGGGGATGGGCCACGGCTGTAGAAGCCGCACTTGTCACGGTCACGGGTGAGATTCGACAGACGAGGGTCGAGAGTTGGCTCCTAACTCTGACGAGATATTGAGCACTTGGGTCGTACCCCGTCTATTCGTTCATCATGGTGCCGAGGTGAATGATACTTCAGTGCCAGCGGCATGGAGCACCGCCCGCCTGATTGTGCCTCCATCCAGCGACGGAAACAGTTACCCGCTCAAGATCTGTTGTTGCCGATTGCCGATTGCTGATCAGGTTGCTGCGTACCAAACAAGATTGGTCAGTGCATAGTGGACGGTTCAAGCTTAAAGGCGACGCACGGTGTCGTTGTTGGGCTCATCCGTCTTTCAGTTCGGGCGCCATGAAGTGAGACGAAATTTAGCTTCAATACTCAATTTTTGCCCATCGCACGTATAATTCTTAGCATTATTTTAAACACCATCACAGCACTGTTTTCAGTCCCCGCCATGGCTCCTTCAAGAACAGACTCACTGGAGGCCTCGAGCGTCGCCAGTCCCAAGCCAAGCAAGAAGCCCAGCATGTACCTCCTAGAAGTCTTCCCCGAGGACTCTATTCGCTATTGCCAGACTCTCTTCAACACCATCCTCCCGACCGATCCAGAAGTTGAACATTGGCGCGAGAACGCCGACGCCATCCTTGTGAGAGAAAAGGTCATCTCGGCTCAAGATATTGCGGCTGCTTGCAGGCTTCGGGCCATTGGGAAGCAAGGAACTGGCATCGACATCATTGATCAAGAGGCCTGCAAGAAACGGGGGATTCGCATCTGCAATACCCCGGGGGTGAACGCCGAATCTGTCGCTGAGTTGGTGCTTGCTTTGACCATGACTATAGCACGCCAGCTCCGGAGCATCTCAGTTCGTCAGGCGGCTGGAGAGGAGGTCAGAAAGGAGCATTGCTCTGGAGTCATGCTCAAGCACAAGTCAATTGGCATTATTGGTATGGGTGCTATCGGTTCTGCTGTAGCCCGCATGTTCCGCGCCGCCTTCGACGCGCGCATCTTTGCCTACGATCCGTTTGCGCCGGCGAATGCGTGGGGAGATATTCCCCACACCCGAGTACAAGACTTGGAAGAGATGCTACCACAAGTGGACATGCTTACGCTGCACATCCCACTGAACAACCAGACAAGAGGCTTGATAGGTGCGATGCAGCTGGCTGCGATGAAATCAGATGCCATCCTCATCAATGTTGCTCGCGGAGGCATTGTGGATGAGGAAGCACTAATTGAGGCACTAAATAATGGACGGCTGTTTGGAGCGGGACTGGACTGCCACGATGAGGAGCCTCCAACTTTGCAGAGGTACGAGAGGCTGTGGAAAACGGACAGGGTTATGAGCACACCGCACATTGGCGCGACGACTAGGGAAACCGTCATCAGGACGGCCACAGCGGCCATGGATAATGTCTATGCATACCTCAAGTCAGCTGATATGAAGTAGGGGCCAATTAATGATCTTGGTGTGAATAGAACAGTCCATCGTAGAAAGGGGAAGATAGCATAGTCAAATTGGTATGAAACACGTTTGCATATATGTGGAATTGAATGGCTTTCTTTATCTCGCTGCACCATAAAATATCGTAACTAGCATGATCTTGATATGCTATGCGACTGTCAAGAGTTCATCCGACCATTTAAGAGTTACCGAGCTAGTGACGAGCTTCCAACAAGGCCGAGGACGAGTTGCTGTGGGGAAGTGGATTCCCAGCCCAAGCCAACTATTTACAGGGGCAATCTTCGCCTCTCATCTCACTCACTTTCCCCGCATGCTACGTTTGCTGATTTGGTGTGTTGTACCCAGCCTTCATTAAATTCGCGTCACCACCACTGCCAATTCTCGAACGCCTTCTTGAAACGAATCGTACCTACGCCTGGATCCCAATGGCAGACTCAGATGCAGCAGCACACCCGCAAAAGCGGCCAAGGCTAACTGTACCAACGGTAGAAGCTGCCCGGACCTCTACAGCGTAGGTCCATCTGCCACCATTGCCCAATTTCTTGGACCTCACACCTGATCAGATGCAAGCCCTGCCGAGGAAGGAAGATCAAATGTTCCGGCACCACACCCTGCCGGTACTGTACGAAGCGGGGCATCTTGTGCACATTCCCCGAGTCCGTCAAGAAGAAGCTGTACTCGGTAGAATACGTCGAGGAGCTTGAAGTCAGGGCAGCCGCTGCAGTGTGCAGGCCTGGGGCTTTCGACTCACCAGATCATTCATTCTCCCCCCCTGAGGACCCTCGCGCAGACACCAGTGGTCTGTCGATCCCTCCTCCAGTCACTTCGCAATTGCCGCCGTCCAATGCGAACTCGGGCATGGCCTCGCTAGTCGTCGTCCAAGAAGCTTCTGACCCCTCTAGAGCGTCCTCACATACTCGGGCAAATTCCCCTGATGCCGGCCGAGATTCAGATGATGACGAGAATGGTGGGTACCATATTCGTGAAGTGCTCCCTGGTCTGAACCATCTATTAACTCGGGGCTCTCGCAGCACTGTTCCCTGACACTGTCACGTCATCAAGTCTTCACTTTGGCGATCAGATTAAATCACTTCACACCAAGTCACCGGCCAATGGTCAATTTTCCGCCACAACGCCGGATATTGAGCCTACGCCGGCTGATGACGTTTACAATATGGCCGCTTTGAAACGTCAATCGAGATCTGGCGAGTTGAAGTGGCCCTCTCTCTCAGAGGCCCATGCTCTGTTGGACACTGTGTTAAGATCTGTTGGAAAGCTTCAACATCTTTTTGAACCTCGGGCACTTTCTGATCGACTATCCATGACTTATGCGCAACCTCCATCACCGACACATGCTAAGGATATGTGGTACATAGAACTCCTTATGGTCTTTGCACTTGGCGAGCTACTACAGGGGAGGTTGAGGAGCGGAGTCATCTTTCCGGGGGCAGACTTTTACCTCGAAGCCGAGAAACACCTTCCTGAGTTTTCGTCGCTGCGTGAGAATGGCATTCAGGCTGTTGAAGTTATTGGCATGATGACATTTTTCCTACAATGCGCCGATTGCAGAGACGATGCATACGTCTATGTGAGTCTGGCACGGTACTCCTCGATACTATCTATCAGGCTAATGGATTTGTCACAGGCTGGCATAGCTTTGCGACTCGCCATCGCAAATGGCTTGGCAAGAGAAAGAGGCTCGAGGAATATCATGAGGTCAGAAAAATCTCACAGAGTCAGATTATGGTGGACGATTTACATGCAAGAAAGGTATTAACCTTCAGACGATGATGGCGTCAGTACTAACATCCAGCAGGAGACTCGCTGCAGCTACTGGTAACCCTCTATCGATCCATGATGATGCGATCGGCACATGCATCCCGGGAGATTCACCTGGCTTCAGCACGCCTGGAGCATTAAATGTCAATATTAAACTTGCAAGGGTCACAGGGGAGACCATGGGTGGTGAGTTTGATAGCATGCATATCGATTCCTGCTGACTTCAATTCAGCCATTTATGGCCACAGAAACCGCTCTGTCGCTTACTATCTCCGTTCCGTCAAAAAAATACTTGCACGTCTTCTTGAAGTGGCAAAATCGATTCCAGTCGAGTATGCCATTGACTTTTCCAAACATCTCGTCATGTCAAGAACCTCGGCAACTTTGCACTTGATGCTTTACCAAGTATTGGTCCCTGCCCGTTATCCTCGCGGGGGTTAATGCTGAGCGCAGTATAGGGCATAATTCTCGCTACACGGCCTACACTGCTGCATGTTGCAAAGCTGAGACTTGAGCCAGGCCCAGGAAAGCCGGAGCATGTTGACTTGCCGCTGTTCGAGAAATTATTGGACACATGCATTGAAGCAGCCAGCAGAAGCCTCGAGGTTTTGCAAGAAATGGTAGAGCAACGGCTTATAGGTGGGTCCCCTTACCTTCGGAGGGTGCATCCCTTTTTGACAGGTCGCAGCAAATTTCGGCTTCTTCGATCTTGATGCTACATTTTCCGCTGCTTTCGTATTCGTTCTAGTTGAAGCATTCTATTCAACTCCAACTCGGAGTGTCGGTGTGTCTGGTATCCCAAAGGCGTCTCGCATCATGCAATACCTAGCTGCACAAGGTAACAGAGCGGCAGAAAAGCGACGCGCAGACCTGGAGCAAATATGCAACTTCCTAGGTATCACATATCCACAAGATCAAGATGAGGGTGTACCAGTCGGAGAAGAATCTGTTTGCACGACAGCTGTCCCCGAGCCTGAGGAAGGCGCTTTGTCTACGCATGCCCTAAGCATCGACGCCGCCGGACAACCAGAGGCTTCTGCGGCACAAGACGACTCACCCCAATTCGACTGGGCTGAAGCTGCGGCCACCTTTTTTGACCAGCAACCGAATATGACGATAGATCAGGACATGATAAACAACTTGTCCTTTGCAGAGGGGGGTCATATCCCGAGCAGCTTTTATCTCGATGACTTCACTCTTACGGGTGTTATTGAGACAGACTGGGAAGAGTTTAGCAAGCAACTCACATCCTGAGTTCTGATCATTCTCCCATTTAGGCCCAAGTTGTGCGACTGCCTTGACCGCCCGTGGGATCGTCTCATCGAAAATGAGTATTAAATAAATATTACCATTTTAAATTTTGTTTCAGAATCCTTTAACCAGTCCGTCAATGTCGTTGACGATGCGATCGTGCCAGATTTGAGTATGGTCTGGGATAATGAATGGCTCGTTCCCAGTGGCAAAACATTCCCCACTACGATGGATCGGGACAAGACAAGGGTATATATGATTGGTAAACGGGTTGAACGATTGTTAGAATGAGAGTTCAGCTTATAATATTCCAAGTTGAAAAGCTTGATATTTGGTCATCATGGTAGCATTGGTTAGGAAATGCTTGAATTGTGGATAAAAGTGTGTTTTTTTGACCTTGTGCCGGCAACTTTGCTCACCTTGAGGGAGCAGACAGAAGTTAGATTAGTTTATAATCTTCAAATTATAAAAGCATTCCATCCCCAACTCTTAACGGAAGAAATTGAACTGCCCGCCTCTTGTACTCCAAACAGTTTATTTATGTAAGCGAATGTGCCCCTTCCTGCTCATGCAATACCCATTCGATACAGCACTATCCATCACCAAACCCAAAACTACCGCACTATTCCGCGTTGCGGCAATCAAAACAAAGCAGAGGCATTCCTTCACCATCCAACAACAAAACGCGTCTCTCACGACATCCGTGGTCTCTCAGAAAACTATCCTCATGATGGGGACACACAGGGAGCCATCGGTATCCTCAACAGGATCCGAGCATAGAGACAGCGAATACAACTTCATCCACGATGCCTCTGTGATCTCGGTTCATGCTTCGCTATCGACGCTTCTCTTCAGCGAAAAGTTCTCCGACATGACCATTCGCTGCGGTGGACGCGAGTTCAAGGCCCATCGCGCCATTATCTGCACCCAGTCCTCATTCTTTGATAGGGCCTTCAGCAGCGACTTCAGAGTGAGTGTTTGAAGCTGGGTTTGATCTTGCCTTCTCATAACCTTTCTTCTAGGAAGCTACTTCTCAAACCATTGATCTGCCAGAAGACGATCCAGCTGTCCTGGAACGCATTCTTGAGTTCCTCTACAAGGGAAACTATACTGACGGTACCGGAAATACCTGGGAGAAACCATCTACTGCTGCCATGATGAGCCCCGAAGAGGTTCAAGAAAACCTAAACAACCCTGCTGGATTCCTCTCCAACGGCAAGAATTTGGCATCGAATGAAGAAGAATATGATGATCTAAATGATCCGACGTACGCACCTGGGGAAATCCCGGAACCCGAGGTCGAAGAGGAATACGAAGAGTTCGACGAAGAGAGCATAGATGAATCTGAGGATGAGGGTGAAGAAAAGGGCGAGGGTCAAAATGACACAGTCCCCCCAGACGACCTGGTCTCAAAGCTGTCGAACTTGGAACCAAAAGAAGCCCTTCAAGCATTGGCCAAAGAACGCGACGATTTATTCTTGCCTCTTCGCTTATACGTCATGGCAGACAAATATGACGTGCCAGCCCTACGACTCCTGGCCAGAGATCGATTTTATCGGGCAGCCGAACTTGTCTGGGAAGAAGCCGAGTGTTTTCCAGAAGTTGTCGACGAGCTCTATCGCTGCACCCCAGAAACCGATACAGCCATGCGGGACATTGTTTGTCGCCTTGTCGGCAGCAGAATCAAGAACGATGAAATCAGAACGAAGATGCGCCCTGTCATGGCGGAGCATGGGGACTTTGCTGTAGGTGTCCTGGAATACATGATGTATCTCTCCAAGGAGATGTGGTGACCTAATTCCACAGTTGGAGGGGCGTTTCTACTTTCAAGGTTGCGGGTAAATTATTTGGACCTGCGTCATGTCGATATGACTGACTTCGTTAACAATGTACGGAGTTTGAATTGTAGTACGTCTTAACTTAATAACAACAAATTCGATATGTATTGAACCATGAAATACCATTCTTAGTTCCCCTCGCTTCCGGAGCCCTTCAATAGCAAGCAAGTTGAAAAAAAGTCGATATGTAGCCACTAGCCAGGTCATGATTCATCTTTCGGGTGTAGGCATTCTATGCCCAGCACTCAACAGCATCCTCTCACATATCACATTTTCTGTAGAAGCTCACCAATGTGAAAATTTTATTCTCCTTTACTTTGTCCCAGGAGTCAGTGATCATTTGTCGACGTCTCGGTCAAATGACCCCTCCTCCTTGGGGGAACTGAATCACACGACAGCGAATGCTCAAAAATATGTTCAGTTTACCTATCATTTAGACGGACAACATTCTTCATGGTATGATGACCTCTATAGATACTTTGTGCGGTAGATGGCACCAACTGGATTACATCATAATTCACTACCACTAAATGAGGCGTGTGATTTCGGGTGCCCGATGCGACCACAGCTGGAGCGTCCAACGACCTCCCGAGGATAATTATGTTGCTGGAATTGCAGCTAAATTTGGCCCGGAAACTGATCCTATGGTAAACACAATACGAATATCCCCATAATAACTTGAAGCTTTGGACATAATGCTGATGCCGCCATTGAAAGGGTGGTCTCAAGATGAGGTCAGTCACTCTCATTCACATGCCACTCCCCCGAATCCCTTGTCAATCAAAAGCTTAAATCGAGATGGAGGATCAGAAATTTTATGGCTATGACGTCGATTGATGATGTAAGTAGTGCGCCACAGGTCCGCCTTCGGAGATTTACTGATCCTTATTGTTAATACTCTGTACAGAGTACTCGAAGGTTCCATGAATCAGAAAAGAGTGAGGACTAGATGGAAATTTAGACGTGCAAAATCCAATGCAATCCATGTATGGAAGGCTGTGAATGACATTAACAATCTATATGAGTAATTGCAGATTATTTAGACTATAGTGAATTAATGGCAAATATGAATTCTACTAGCATTGACGATGTATTCCATCGACGTGGTATCTTAAAGAAGAGCGGACGCGCACCCACACAGCCCTAGTTGCTGTCTTTTTCTTCGGTCCTCTGATTAGAACTCTCATCTTGGCCATTTATGGTCATTCCCACAGTGACATCGGGTGCAAGGTCATCCTTCCTGCCCAAAGGCGGGCCAGTGAAGTTCTTACGGGCATAGGCAAGATACCACACGAAGGCGATGGCAGCGAAACCGGCAAACACAACCGAGGCGTAGTTCATGGTGCTAGTGTCCACGGGTAGCGACACGGGCATGCAGAAGATGACGACGGCGAAGACGATCCAGATGACGCAGATGATGTTGATCAACGGGCCGAACTTGCCGAGCGGGTATGGCGAGTTCTTGACGGCCTCGCGGCGACGCACGAGACTCACGAGAACAGGCACGCCGTAAGAGGTCGACAGGCAGATAGTGGCCACGCCGGTGAATGAGTTGAAGGCGGCCGAGGATCCAAAGTAGATGCAGCCCAGGACGCAGTCGACAATGGTGGAGAGGAAGAGAGCCCACAGCGGCATGTCCAGGCGATGGTTCACACGGCTCCACAGCTTGTAACCGGGGATGGCCTTGTCGCGAGCAAAAGCGTAGGTGCAGCGAGAAGCGGCGGTAAGGGCACCGATGCCGGCAAACATGAGAATGCCGAGGATGAGGAAGAGAAGACCGAAGCCGCCTGCAGCAGAGCCAGTGACGGTCTTGAAGAGCGTGCCAATTGGCTGCGAGTTGGCGACCGAGAGCAGCATCTGGACGTCTGGCAGGACGAAGAGAATGGGGATCAGGTAGATGACTCCGGTGACACCGGCTGCCATGACGGACAGGACGATGGCTCTGGGAACTTCGCGCTCAGGGTTCTGGACCTCTTCGCACATGGAAGCGACCATGCCGTAGCCCGTGAGGGTGTATGCGGCTGTTGATACTGGTCAGCATTGCATTTGCATTAAATCAGTGAAATGGCGGCACGTACCTTGGAGCAATCCGACGAAGAACGACCATCCCTCTGGCCAGCCGCTGGCGGATGCGTCGTAGTGAGAAAAGACAAACTCGCCGGAGCGACGGGTGTCGGCCATTGTGAGCAGCGTCACCAGAATGATAACGACACTTGCGGCGGTCCAGTAGATGCAGACCTTATTGATGAGGTCCAGGTAGCGCGAGCAGAAGGCATTGACGAGGGCGCACACGAGCATGACGGCCCAGAAGCACAGGATGGTCTGCCATTCATTTGCGACAAAGTCCTCATTGAAGATGGTGATGGCGCTTAGGATCAGCTGCGCGCCGGAGAAATTGATGGACAAGGTGACGGTCCAGTTGCCGACCAGCGTCAGCCAGCCGTCGATGAAGCTGACGATGGGGGCATACTTGGGCGTGCTCAGCATGGCGGACCAGTAGTAGACGCCGCCGGCGGTGGGGAAGACGGCGCAGATCTCGGCGAGCGACGCGGCGATGCAGAGCGAGATGAGGGAGACGAGGATCCAGCCGTACAGGATGGTGACGGACTGGCCGTTGGTGAGGGTGATGTAGAAGGTCGTCGACAGGCCAAACGGCACGGCCATGATGGCGAATGAGAGCCCCAGGATGCTCATCATGCTGAGGTTTCGCGGCAGCTCGGCCTTGTAGCCCAGACGGGCGAGGGCCTGGTCGGCATCGTCGACGTGGCCCTGCTCCGACGCCATGGTGGATTGGAGGGCGTGATTGAATGGAGGTGCTCCTTTGCTCTTGGGGAGAATTGGCCGAGGACGAAGAGATGTAAAGACCAGGGACAGGGGAGGAGCAGCAGCTTGCAGAGATAAAAAGAGGGTTCAGATCAGAGTTGGACGCGCAAAAGATGAGACAGACAGACGCCCACCAGCCACCAGACCAAAGAACCGGACCCTCGCTAGAACAGCGAAATGCGGAGGGCGGCGTTCCCCAGAATTGTGTTTGGCCTAATCTAGCTAGATCATCCGAGGTCTGCAAGCGGATGTCTGAGTTCTCATGTGTCAGTCAATTGAAGGAGCTTGTCTGTACGTGTCTCGCGTGTGTCAACCCGCTATATTTGTGGTATGACGGGAGGCTCAAGACGGGCGTTGATGCCAAGATTCTCAGTGAAACGCCGGCCTCGAACTTCACTCAAACAAATAATCCAACACCGTCTCTCGGGATTGTCTCTTGTGCCACACCACCCGTTCATCATCGACCACGCCCCACACGATAAGCATGGGCCGTCGAAATCCTTGTGGGAGCATGTGTACATGTATCTATTGGGTAATGGGCCCACCCTCCGACTCTTAGACTCTGGAGATAGCCCCGAAGAAACGTCAGCTCGCTCGTCTTGTGACTCTGGCCTGGAGCTGGCGATGTCTCACTGGCGAGCTTCGTTGGAGGGTGGAGGGATTGGATTTTCCAGCTTCCCAATGCGGTCGCGTGTCCTGCAAGATGCCCTCCACTTCGACGCCCTCCAGTTCGGTCTACCCGTTCCCGCCCCGGCTGTTAGGTCGATCGCTAGCAGAACCCGCCTTGGCAGGCACCGGGTTTTGTTTAAGCCTACTTGGTATGCATGGTGCAGCGGCAGTTGGCTGACAGAGGTGACATGGTATGGCTCACGTCAACCCTGAACCATCCAACCCCGGGAACGAAGGACTGGGGTTAGTGAAGCCAAGATAAGGCTGGATGGTACAGCGAATAAAATTCTAGACAGGGTTGCGATACAGTTGGACGCATTCGCTGCCGCCGATTACCTGCTGGGCTATCGTTCTACTCCCTCCGGAGCTCCCATCGGGTATCGGCCAATCAGTCCAGCCAGGCAGCGCTGATAGGATGCGATAGCCAGCAGATGGATTTGATCGAATATTGTCATTTCTGGCCGAGACGAGAATGCAAAGTGGGACTAGTTTTTATCTTCGCTCCCTTACCCTCATCATGATGCAAAATAAATATACTAGAAATGCAATTTTCTTAGGAATAACCTAGGCAACGCGTGATGAACGAGTGAGAGAAGGAAACCCTAATTGACCCAAACACCAAGAATTATCTGTCCATACAGGCAGGCTGCATTGAAAAGTTTCTTCTCTCCTCAATAATTGGCCCATTCTTCTGTTGGGGAAGTGGTGTTGACTGTTAAATCAATAATGGCTGTTGAACTGTCTCGTGTCTCCTTAATAGGCTTGACCTCAGAATGGGTCAAAACTGCTGCACACACTCCAGATGTAAACCTAACAGGCAAATCCCCACCGCTTGCCATTTGTGTTTTGATATACTCAAACTCTTCAGCTAGTTCACCCTCGTTGAGATTTGAGAACCAGCTAGGCATGACGTGGCAAAGAAAGTTGCACCGCCTCGGCCATTTGGACTTGGACGCTGGAATATATCCAAAGAAAATGATCAAATCGTCCGCCCTTTGACTGTTTGAACAGAATCGAAGAAGTCCTACTGAAATCTCTTGGTCGTCGTTGAATTGGAAGATGCTCCTCGTCTCGTCAAATTGCTCAGGCGGATAGCTTCGACACTCGTGAAACATTTCCACATTCCCGATAAAGAGAAGAAGAACAACCGACGTTGCAAATTGGCTGGCAAGGGATGTAATGACTAAAACCTGTTCGTCTGCTCAAAATAACGAGGTCATGTTCTTTTGCTTTGACTTTGCCAGGTAAAGACATCGGGCTCTCTTGGGCTCCCATCCTGTGTAAACGGCCGACGTCAAGGGAGCCATATAAAGCTATGCCAACTCGCGCACCGCCTTGATTTGCCTCGAGTATAGCAATATGGTAGGACCAGGCGCTCAGAATGGGAAGCCGAATCGATAGCCCAACGTTCGTGATCGAGTACGGGATGGGTCGGCCACGGCCATGCTGGGTATTATACTTGGCCGAGTTTGAGAATGCTAACGGCGACACGGATAGTATAGTGCCGCAGAACCCGGGAATTTCTTTATCCCACGTCCAGCAAAAGATTGTATGGTCATTAGACACTCTAATGATTTCCTCTTGCAGGCGCATAAAAGCTTTACGCCCCTCCCCGTAAAGAAGGGGCATATTTATGTCAAATATTCCAAGCATACAGTAGGCCATGTCTTCTTCCCGGGTAGTTTTTCGACGGGAAATCCAGTCCATTCTTGTAGCGACGCTGGCATATGTAAAATCATTGCGTTTAACAAGATAATTCATCTCGATGCCTGTGATATTGGAGATTTTCGTGGCCAGGTTCTGCTTGGTACCCAGCATCGTCCAACCATCGTCGTAAAAGTTGACTATGCTGGGGGCCAGTAATTCTTGTAGAGTCCAACCGCGAGTAAACCAGCGACTGTTCTCAAAATTTTTCTCTGGGACATCCTCCAAATATACATAGCAGATGCGTGCGTCGCGATACCAAGTGAACATGGAGTTGATAGCCTCGGTTAGCTCGGCTGAGCTAGATTTGTCGATGCAATTCGTATCAACCCAGAGGTAGCCAAGCCGATCTCCCCTTGCTTGGCGGCAGGCGGAATCGATTTTGAGGTATCCCGCCTTCGCAATTCGGCGGGTCGGATTTGCCCAGTCTTGGAACGAGACCTCCTCATTTCCCCAGGCATGTGAAAGAATCGCGTATTTGGGTATATTAGACCCGAAGTACTCTTCGAGCTCAAAAGTGGTTGTGTTGATGAGACGCATGTTGTCGGACAGATCTTGAAGTGTGACGCTTTGGCCGGGCATTTGCTGCTGTTTGTCAAAGTTGCGCTATAGAGGATTGAGGAAATATATGTAGGTGAATTCGGGCTGTGCGAGAATGCCTCGATTGAGGCTGTGCATAGAACCGCCAGTGCAACCCCAATTTTTTGGCATTGCTTGCACTTATGCCGATACTGCCTTGGCAGCTTCACAGCCAATATTTGGACACAGCCACAGTTGGTACAGACTTGTGTCAGCAGCATAGGTTCGTTGATATACACACCAGGCGTGCTGTCTCGCTCCATGTAGAAAAAAATGGACATTATCTTTCGTTAACCTTTTCCTACCAGGTCTAAGTCATAAAATCGATATGTCGCCTTTGCAAAAAGTAAGGCTAGAACCGCTTTCGTTTTATCGGAAAATTTAGCGCCCGACTTGCGGAGAAGGGTTGCGAGGAAGATTGCTGGTTGAATCGATAACCAGTTCCGGCTGGTATCCTGAACCTCCAGATAAGCGGAGGAAGTATCTCATTAAATACACTGCGTAGATTCCTCCCATGCCTCCTCAGGCTAACTTATCACACCTGAGAAACTCCGTGGTCAAGTACAAGTAGACCTTCTAGGTAGTGTCCCCAGATGACTGCATGCCCATTCCACCACCCAGTATAACTTGTCCCTGGTCCCTCTTTACCATGCTGTTGGTGAAAATACAATAAGAACTGAACTCAGGCTGTGCGGGAAAGAATCAACTAAGGCTGTGCAAAATGTGGCCTGAGAAATCACTTTTAGTGGCATCCCGTCTGCCCCCACCACTGTGCATCTACACCAGTATTGCTGACACAGCACACAGCCCGCACAGCTATCGCAGACTTATTGGCGAGGTCAGATCCACCAGGAAAACGCCACTGAGGAGAAATGTTTCTCCTCTTGGGCAGGTCAATTGCCTTGAATATAAGCATGTTTGGCTAAGCATAGGCCACAGGATTAGAGCAATGGATCAACCTTCCTTGGCATGGAGAAAGGCGACGACAGACTCGATTGCGCATCTCCGCAGTGTTCTCACACACCTTGAAGACCAATTGAGAAAAGTTTCCCGGCGGAAATGGTTTCAGTGGGGAAATATGCAAGTCGCGGGGGCTGGCTTGGCGGGATATGATGCGCAGCTATTGAATGGACTCGCTCAGCTAGCTAGATGTGGACATGACTGATCTCCGCATCTGCAGTATCGTGAGTCGTGATCTCCAAAGTGAAATTACAGGTGATGTATCTGCACCATGGTGGCTCTGCAACAGCGATTGCAGCTTTGCATCATCAAGGCTGGATTGTCAAGGCGACATCCATTATTCAAAATATTCTCCAGCCTTGGCCTTCAGCGCTTGCGACTACTCTGGAGAAGGCAAATCAGCAGCTTGCTTGTTGGACTTGGCAGGATTTCGCATTACTACCACCAGGACTCGTTGGAAGCTGCGTCTGCTACGGAATGCCAATGAGATACCGTATTTTATCGTATCGAGCTTATGCTCAAGGAAAGTCACCGTTTGCCAGGGCTCTCCGTAATAAACGTCGGGGCAATCAGCAGCATGCACGGCAATGACACAATGGTCCCCGGCCCCAGTCGAGTAAGGCATTCTAGTTGGTCAATCTCGTACAAGACAGGCCACTCGCGAGGCCTTCCTTTTGCCCAGCTTTCGTGGACCCAATGGGGCGAGCATCTGTGGGGACGGGGAGCAAGCGGTCAGGGGCGGTGCTCCAGTCTGTTGTAGATTTCCTAATCGGGCAATCCTCGCACTTTGGAGGGAGGCGGTCCCATGGAGCTCTTTTCCCTCCATCCCGACAGCTCTCCCAGCTCTTTCTTATACTCCAGAGCCCTATCACCAGATTATCTTTTTGCAGACATCCGAAAAAAACAAACGCCTCCGCGGGTAGCAATGGAAGAAGCCGAACCCTCAGACACCAGCTCGGTATGCCCAGCCCTAGGCAGTGCCTATTCTTCCAGTGAACCATCACCCCGCAGCAGTCGAAGCTCGTCCGTCGACGGGCGCTGTGGCCGGGTCAGCGAGCATCTCAACGACAACAATGGCCCTTGGGACCACCTTCGGTGCAATGAGAAACAAAGCTCCCTCGGGTTGCAGCGGCCAGACTCCAAGGAATCCGCCGGTTCCGGTTCGCCCGTAATTGCGGACGAGGCGGAACAGTTTCTCAGCCTTGGACAGGATCCCCTGGCACTCCCGTGGGAGCTCTCACACGCTGACGCCCAAACACCCATTGACATTGACGTACTGCTCGCTCGACCCTATGGAAGGACGGTGCCAGGCCAAAACCCGACGTTTCGCTCGCAAACGGGTGTCGTGAGCAGCCAACCGGAAAGGAAGAAGAAAAAGGCGCCCAGTTCATCATCTGAGGCGCCACCTTTACTTGTACCTGTACCACCCAGCGACAACATTCCGGATGTTTCTCCGCCAGCCCCGGCGCCGACTGGCGACTCCTTCGAAGTGTCGCACATGTTGTCCTCGCAATCCGATGTCCCAGCAGCCGACTTATTATCCGGGCCGCTGTCGCACAATCCCTCGTCTCCTACCCTCGGCGACTCTTATCCCTGGAGCTCGGTGCACAGGAGGTCCCAGACCGGCTCCATGTCAGATGCCTTCCTGTCGCCTCCAATGTTGGCACGGACGAGCGACTTTGGGGCGTCATCCTTGAGGTCCGAATCAATCCAGACTCCGTCTGATGCCCCCACCAGGCCCGCTGCGGCTCCTTTCGGCGATTCCCACGAGTTTGCGGCACTCTTCCCTGGGGAAATCCCCCAAACCGTCTATTCGCCCTCACAAACCCCTTCAATTCCTGACTGGAACCCCATGGACAACTGCATTAATCCAAGCTGCCTCTGGATTCAACCCCCCGCACATACTCTCCCTAAGTGTATTTGTCCATTTTTCTCGCAAACCTCGGCATTAAGGGAATGCCCGGCCCATCCAAAAGATTGACGGTGGTTGTTGAGGTATAGAGAGGCTATCACCGACCTTGGTTTTTTTGGTTACAAAAAAAGAAGGGATGAGTTAACTATGGAGGTATGCCCGGCGAGAGGAGTGGGGCCGTTGGTGAATGTTGCCTCGCTCAAACGTCTCCATTTCTTTGCCTTTTTCTTTTTATCATGGATAGGGGCTGCAATTTTGGGTTTTTGGGAACGAGCGAAATGGTTAAGTATGAACTTATGATGGACAGGTGGAATTTGGACAAGACTGAATCTCCCTACATATGATGTAAAATGCATTAGGAGTTGGACATATTTTAGGTTACTTGCAATGCCATGTATTTTATTACTTGTTGCCTTCGCAAACATGACGTTTACTGTGGTGGCTAACTTATGCCTCAAGGGCGTTACTGCGATGCGTCGATGGACCGGTTTAGGTGCAAGGGTATTAAAAATCATCAAGGATCCAAATAAATGAAGATGAGTCGATCTCAACAATCCTAGTCACACTCAGCTCGGTGCATGCGCCGGATCAATGTGGTGCGCGCACAGTCAAGAATCCAGGGTGCGTGATCCGCAGCGATATAAAGGTGCAGCCCACTGTATATCTGGGACATCCATGCTCTACGGCGGTGTCTCGACGCAGACCTCTCGCAACACATATCCAAACAACGAAATTATGATGGGGTTAAATTGGGCTAGTAAAGGCGGAGCCAAAATGCTCCTGAATCCAAGCGAGCAAAACAATTCAACGAGATGACCGCACATCGACAGGGTGAATGCGTGCATGATGGGCAAAAAGACAGCGGACCGTCAAAAATGTGATTCCGCCCGGGCTCGAACCGGGGACCTTCTCGGTGTTAACGAGATGCCATAACCAGCTAGACCACGGAACCAGCTTGTTTGATGCAAGGACGGGCTGGTATTGATAGCCATACACTCTCTGGACTCTTGTCTAAAATTACAATTCAGTTTTGCTGGGTAAATCACTGCCATTGTATCATTCAGGTAGGTAACAGTATCTAATTAATAGGTACCGCACGTAGATTAAGTACTATCAGGGTAAGTATAGACTACGTCAGGGAACTCCTGCCCATGCCCGTCGAAGGATCCCGCCGCACTCGACCAACATCAACATCAACATCAACATCAACATCAACATGATCCATCTCAAACCCTCTCATTATAACACCCCAAAACACATCGTCTATATGCCGCATTGATCTTCTTCCTTCAGAGGCAGCTGCATCACGTTTCCTCTGGCGGCCAGCAGCGACTCCAGCAGCGAGCCGATCTCGGGGTATATTCGCTCGATGCTGGCCAGTCCCTCGGGCCCCAGCTGCACCACCACGCCAAACATGTGCGCCAGCCGCGCCGCCTCGGTGCCGCGCGTGACGGCCGCCTGGAGGCCCTGGATCTCGTCCTCGAGCATGTTGGTGTTCTTCTCCGCCGCGTCCAGGTCCTGCTTCGCGCGGTGCAGCTGGTCCGTCTTGGCGCTGATGGTGGACTCTTGCTTCTTGACCTCGTCGCTCTTTGCGGCCCTACGCGAATCGTAGCTTCGAATGGCCTGCGCAATTTCCGGCGGCAGCGACATGTTGTTATCCTGCAGCGCCTGGAGCTGCGGTGCCAGCGCAGCCTGCTCCGCTGTTTCCTCGTGGAGGCGTGCGAGGTTCTGCTTAGACTCGTCGATGTCGTCCTGGATCACCCGCACGCCGTCCTGGCAGGCACGCAGCTTGCTCACGGCTTCTTGGTGTATCGTCCGGTGGGGGAAAATGTCTTTCTGGGCCATGACGAGGGACTCGCGTATTGATTGGAGGTGGGAATCGATGGCGGAGGCGAAGGCAGCCGTTGCTGGCTGGAGGGCATCATGGAGGCTTTCAGGATCGAGAGCGCGGACGGAGTTGGAGTTTGCGGTGCTGTTACGGAGGGGCTATTCAAAGTCAGATCATGCCAGTTGAGAACGGACAAGACACTCACCAAGCCGCTGGGCCCGAACGGCGGCGCCATCTGGAAGGCCGCCATTGGGGAGCTGAAGAGCATCAGGCTTTGGGCGGCTGAGAGCCGGGAGCCCTCGGGCGAATTGGGGCGACCCCGCTTGTCGGCCGGGCTGGACAGGGTGTTGCCGGGCCGTTTGAGGGCCTTGACGGGGCGGGACATCGGGCGGGGCATCGGAGGAGACGGCGGCAGGTCGGAGGCGACGGTGATGGATGACGCCATGTAGTCGTCGCTGCCTTCCGGGGAGGAGAGACGGCGGGAAGCGGCAGTGCCGGCCAGCGAATTGGACGCGTTGTTGAGGGCCGGGCGACGCTTTCGACCCGACCGTCGCTCCACGGGTTCCTGCTCCGCGCTGTCCTCCTGGTCGTCGGGAGCCGGCGACGACTGCGACGCCTTGACGAAGCGCTTCTTGGCGGCGTGGACATCCTGGGCCATGAGCTTGCCGGCGTACGAAGGCTTGCGGTCGCGGGCCAGCGAGCGGCGCAGCTCGTTGCGCAGGTCCTCGAGGGTGTCGCTGGGGTCCTTGGCGACGTGCTCGACGACCAGGGCGAGGTCCTCGAGCAGGTTGATGGCCCAGATCTTGGGCGGCGACTCGGGCACAATGTCCCACGGCCACACGCCCATGGCGCGGAAGATGCGGCGCGCGGCGCGCGAGCCGCGCACCTGGAGGTTGGTCCCGTACGGCTCGGGGATGCGGAGGGTGTCCGGGATGGAGGATCCGTCGTGGCCGGGGTCGAGCTGAGGGAGGAGAGGTTTGGGAGGGGGCATGGCGGTGGAGGTTTCGTCCGCGATGGAGGTTTCGTTCGCGATGGAGGCGTCGCAAGTGGAGAGAGGCGTCCTCGTGCGCCAGCTCTCACATTCAATCGCACCGAGGCTCGTCTCCCGCCCGGTCAGAGTCAATCTCCGTCGTCGGAGCTGCGCGACTCTGCGGGCGTGTGCTGCGTCGTCGTGTCCCAACCGCGGCCACGACCGGTGCTGGCGGGCGGAAGCGGAAACAAGAGGCTGCGAGCCACATGATGGAGATTGCCTGAAGCGCTTGCATTTGGAGCTACACGAGATCCTCATGTGAGGTCACGTGACGCGTTGGGTCCGCTCCCCGCAGTCATGATACCCTAGAGTGCTGATCCACCAGATGTATCATGGTGATATGATGGATTTGAGCATGCCGAGTGTCTCTGGATGGTGCAGCAGCGCTATTGGAGTGGTTGGCCGTGTTTGGAAGGTATTTGAAACCGTTTAGACGTCGTACGGTGATACTACCCAAAATCGCATGTTTTGTCCAGCGCTGCATCTGCACGTTTACAACCTCAGAAAGCTCAGGACCTGAAAAAGACAACCACAATAATTTGAAATGGACCCAACACCTGAAAAGACCATCTATATTTCGGTCTCTGCATATTATCATTCAATCATACTCGGCTAGACCAGAAACCTCCGGCTCTTGTCCCTACCAAGTTCCGTTCAGCCACTTAGTGCTTGTTAACCCTGTCGTAGAACGCCTGCACCGCCTCATTAATCATCGCCTTGACCTTCGTCGAGTCCAGCTTCTCTTGGCGGTCAAACGTATACACGCCGTTGACCTCCTGCTCAATATCCGCCCTGCAGAAATTATTAATACAAAAATTCTTTCACGACGAACGGAACAGTCCTTACAGCTGAGTGTACACAAAGGTACAGCAGTGGCCTCCATTCGTCACGCCCTTGACCAGGCGCTCAATTCGCTTCAGTAAGTCCTCGGGGTCAGTCGCAGTCGTGTATCCCCAGTCGCGCTTCTCGTCGTCGGTTTCGGGTTGCTTGGCCGGCGCGATGTTGACGCCGCCAAATTCAGTGTTCATCACTGGCGCACCGGGCTGGTGCTTGGCGCCGGGATCGACGCCGTCAATGGGAGCTACAAAGACGAGTCGATCCGCCTTTTTGTCAAGAATGGCCTCGAGACTGGCGCAGGTCTTTTCGAGTTCCGGGCCGTCGCTGTAGTCGTGGAAGGTCGAAAGATCAGTGATGACGTGCTCCCATCCGCAGTTGTCGTTGATGCTCCTGGTGTTATCGAGAGACCTGTGCGTGTTAGTTGTTCTAATTTTTTTCAAATCGCACATTGCTGGGCTTACTTGGTCAGGTAGTAAAGCTGACGGATGTGGTTACGCTGGTCGACATTGTCCTTGAGAGAAGTGTAGCCCCAACTCTCATTGACCGGGGTCCACGTCACAATGGACGGTCGGTTAATGACAAGCTTGACAGCTTCAGTCCACTCGGCGTTGAAACGGTCGACATACTCCTGGCTAAACTGGTAGGCGTTGGCCATCTCGCCCCAGACCAAGTAGCCCAGCTTGTCGGCCCAGTAGTAGAAGATGGGGTCCTCGACCTTTTGGTGCTTCCTGCAGCCGTTGAAGCCCATCTTCTTGGCCAGCTGGATGTCGACCTTGAGGCTGTCGGCCGTCGGGGGCGTCATGAACGTCTCTGGCCAGTAGCCCTGGTCCAAGCAGAGCGCCTGGAAGTACGGCTTGTCGTTGAGGCGCCACAGGCCGTCGCCCTTGGTCCAGTTGATGGATCGCATCCCGGTGGTTGTCTTGACCTCGTCGAGCGTCTTTCCAGACTCGTCCAGGAGCCGGATCACCAAGTCGTACAGCTGGGGGTGCTCGGGAGACCAGAGCGCGACACCATCCCGCCAGCAGGAGTCGTCGGCCAAAGGAGCGTCCTGGAGTACCGACTGGGGGAGGCTGGATCTCTGCGCCTCCGTCAGACGCAGGTCCAGCTCCACCAAGACCGCATCGCTCTCGCGGGCCAGCGCCTGCTTTGAAGACTTGCCAACAGGGACTCCAGCAAAGCTGGCCTCGATTTCAACGCTGCAGCTCTGACCAACACGTCTGCCCAAGACGGCGACGGTGCTGCGCAGCGTTCCAGACTCGATGTCGTTGGACTTGATGACGGTGCCGTAGCTACTGTCGGCGATGCGCGCCGCGGGGACCACCTCCAGCCAGACGGACTGCCAGATGCCACCAGAGGGAGTATAGAAGATGCTCTCGGGCTTTGCGCCCCAGTACTGCTTCCCTCGCGGCTGCGTGAGGTCATATGCAGAGTCGTATACACGCACCGTCAGCCGGTGAGATGCGCCTCCAGGGTTGGCGGCGAGGGCGTCGGTGACGTCAATCTCAAAGGGAACATGGCCGCCACGATGGCCACCGACGTGCTCCCCGTTGACCCAGACGGTGGCGATGTAATCCACAGCGCCAAAGCGCAGCAGCAGGCGATGGCCCTGGCGCTTCTCGTCGTCGGAGCGCAGGTCGGCGATGGCGCGCTCGTACCACAGCACCTCGTGGACGCCGCGGTCGTTGATGCCGGACGCGGGGGCCTGGAAGACGAAGGGCACGGTGATGGTGGTCTTGAAGTTAGACGCTCGCGCGGCCGTGGAAAAGGTATTGTTCTCGATGAGGCTCAGCGTGTCGCCTACGATGTTGCGCGTGATGGAGTCGTTGGTCGGGATGACGCTGTCCAGCGCCGCCGTGGTGGTGACGCCGACCTCGTCCGGCAGGCTCATGCGGTGCCAGTTGGCCGAGAGACCTCTGTCGTCGTCGTCAAAGAGAAAGTCCCACGGCCCATTGAGCGATTCCCAGCGTAGGGGACTGCGCTCGAAGTCAGGGCGAGGGTAGGTGGCTTCTTGGGGGGCCGCCATTGTGGTTGTTCTTGTTCACTTGGGGAGCTTTTCAGGAGGAGACGGGTCCTGGATGTTCAATTGCGAGCTGAGTGAGGGGAAGACGAGGATGCAGAAAGTTGAATATGCCAAACACCAGACTACACCTAAATATACGAAAGAGGACACCTTGGAGCTCTCGCAGCAACGATGGAATCGTAGTAACCGGTCCGAACGCGTAGCATCACCTCGTGTTGTAGCTCCAAGGTGAGGGGTTGTCCACACTTCCATCCACACGCTCATCCACTCTGTCATCACAGTGGGGCATTCTCGCCCTGTAAGAGCCAGAAGGATGCGTGATAAGCCATCTGATTGCATGCCAGCTTCGAGGATCTTCAGCCATTCTCCACAAGCGCATGCTCGAACTCCAAGAGCGGTATCCCGTCCTAGGATCAAGGTGGCGCCGGTTCCTTCGCTTGGGGCGGCGAAACAGGCACAGGTTTCAAAAATGAGCCAACGGTGCGATAACGGGAGTCAATTCATCCACTTGAACAGAGGGGCCGCGTTAGACGCAGCGCATTAGTAGCATCTACGTCACCCAGCTTAAGTTACACCTAAGTTACTGCGGTTTACGGCACCAAGAGCTGCTATAACGAGACGAGAATCAGGAATTGAATACTGTCTGAGTTGAGACGTCTCCAACGATGTTACGATGATTGAGATTTGTTAATTGCTTCGACCGATTGAGCATCTATCCTGCGTACCGCCGGGTATCAGTCTCGACTACAACCCCCACATGAGCAATACTGTGCCGTCACCAAAGACTCCAATTCAGGCAATAGTTAATTCAGTTAAAAATTACTCTATGAGATTGACTGCGCCTGCCGTGAGGTATCTAATTAAGAAAAATTCTCTGTATGCGAAACCCGCTTGCCCGTCTTCTTTTGATCAACCTTCCCTCAAAAAACAACAGCAACAACAATAGAATCATAGCCGCATCGTGTGCGACCCATCCCCCGACGACGAGTCGCTGACCCGGCGGATCGTCTTCCACGCATTGATGCCCTTCTCGGTCGCAGCGTCGCCCGCGTTGAGGAACGAGTTGCGCCCGAAGCTCAGCGTGCCGACGCTCGGCGACGGCGACGGGCTCTGCGCCTCGATCTTGGTGTGCACGCCCAGCATCTGCCCGTCGAAGACGTTGCGCCGGCTGCTCGTGTCGCTGCCGCGGCTCTCGCCCCGTTTTGGCTCCCGGCCGGATTGCTTCCTCCGTCGCCAGAAGAACCAGGCGAGGCCGGCGAGGGCGAGGATGACGCCCGCCGCGGCGCCGACGCCGATCCCGGCCATGGCTCCGGATGAGAGGCCGTTCTTTCCGGAGCCGGAGCTGTCGCCGGAGGATGATCCACTGTCTGAGCTTCCGGAGCTTCCACTTCCGCTGTTTCCACTGCCGCTTCCGCTTCCACTTCCGCTGCTGCTCCCGTCCTGGCCGTCCGATCTCATGTAGTCCTTCGGGTTGCCCTCGGTGTTTTCGATGCCGCCGGTACTCGACTTTCGCTCCGTCTTGTCGTGGCTGCCGACACAAGTATACTTGCCCGTCACAATCGGCTTGACGTTGGCGTCGAACCAGCTACAGTCCATCGAGTCGTCGCCCACCACCTTGAAGTCGCCCGTCACCTCCTCGAGCCCGAAAAACTCGACGTCCGTAAACGACCCCTTCAGGGAGATGGTGCCGGCCTTCTTCAGCGCGTTCGCCGTCATGTTGGTGAGCTTGTCGTTGCTGCTGATGAACATGCTCTCGACGTACGTCACGCGCGGGAGAGCAAGCGTCGTCAGCGAGGGGTTGTCCTGCACTGTGATGCTTCCGTTTAATAGTTGGATAAGGGGAATAGTTAGGTCCTTCATGTTGGTGGACTGGAAGGTGAATGCGCCCTGGACCTTGCGGAGCGACGAAAATGTAATGTCGCTCACATCCTGAAAGGTGGACGTGGCCGAGTCGTTGCCCGTGCCAAGGGAGGAGAGGTACGGGAAATAGACGATGGGGTTCTCGCCGTTGGATGTAAAGGATATGGTCCCGGCATACTGCAGCGCCGAGAGCTCAAAATACGTCATGGCTGTGTTCTTGTAGATGGTCATGTCTCCCTTGACGGTCGTGAGTTTGGGGCACGACACCGACTCCAGGGCAGAGTTCTCCTGGATGCTAAAGGCCTTTTCGGCCGTGGTAAGTGTGCCCATCTCCAGGTCCTTCAAGTCCGCGTTCGTGTCGACGGAAAAGTCGCCCTTTACGGTTTGGAGGCCACCGAAGCTCAGCGTCTCCAGGGCGGACGTGCCGTATATCCTCATCATCCCCCCAACCTGCAAGCTGTCCGAGTGAGTAAAGGACGCCTCCGAGTATCCGCCGCTGAAGACATAGTTGCTGGTGATTTCCTCAATTGCGGGAAATGAAACCGTAAAGGACCCAATCGTGCTGGAAGCGTCGGTGTTGATGATGTCGAGCTCGCCTGTCACCGTCTTCAACTTCTTTGCCGTCACGACCGTCTTTTTCGGCACTGCGTCTGGGTAAATCACAAGGTCGCCGTCCACGGAGCTGACGGATCCTAGGTCGACCGAGGCCTCGGAAGATGGCCAGTCGCCGGGGTGGCTGTCAAAGAGCAGCGAGAGCGAGCCGTCGATGGCGCCGCAGGAGGAGATGCCGCTGCTGTCGTCGGGTCCGTCGATGATGGTGTAGTTTGAGGAAACATTGCAGTCTGGCGGTTCGATTAGCTGAGCCTCCGCCGGGCCGACGCGATAGGGGGCACTCACCAGCGACAACGAGATATCTCGTCAGGAGCAATGACGCCGCCGCGAGGACGACGTGGGACGTTGGAGCCATGTGTGACCCTTTAACCCCATCTAGCTCCCGTCACGTCGGATGTGAAGCTGAGCCTCTGTTAAGCTGTCAAAACCGTCAGAACGACGGAGGCGGCGGCGGGAGGGGAATAGGCAGCGCTTTTATTCATCTCGCGTAAATCCTCCCACCCCCCTTCAGATGAAATTGCAATCGGCTCGCCCGTTTGGGGGAGGCAGTCGTTAGCTCACGCCATGGATGCCACTAATAGGGGCCATTCTCCGGTGAGGGCGAGGGATCACGCTAAGAACCGCCAGGGGCCTGCCGGACTCTAGCTCAGTTCGGGCGTTATTTCCCGGCCTTCAGTCTAGATTCTTCAGCAAATACGGGGTACCGCCTTATGCAGGTACGGACCGATAGCTGAGGGCAGGACGCGCTACGCCCGGCAATGGAACAATGACGGTTAGCGTTGTTTATCTGTGTGGTGTTTCGGGAGGGGAACCGGCCAGGAACGAGGGTCCAGAACTGCCGACGGCGAAGGTGTTCTCATCCCTATCTTGTGACATGCACAACTACTGGATAAAGAACCCAGGATACCCGTGTTCTAGTTCCCTTTTGCGGAGAATTTCGTCTCCTCTCTTGGCAGGCGTCAAAATGAAACCTCATCGCCCGGCAAATCGGTGAAGAGCGCCACTGACGGTGAAGCAGTTCATCACAGGCGATAACCACGCCATGGGGCGCACACCAAGACGGCACTTACGAGCGATAGTAGGTCCAGCGGTCCGGTCCAGACCATTCAAGGAACGAGAGAGAAGCTGCGGCAGTGTCGGATCCTCGGAGCTGTGGAGTGCATCATCGGTAATTATGCTAGCTCCATCTTGACCTCCCCTTTATGCAGGCGGACAGGACGCCAGCACAGGCCAAGTTCGATGAGGTCACAAGACGCGACCTATTTATACGCGCAGCATGTCACTGCAGTGCCGGATGGCATTCATCTCCGGCGAGAGCGATGATGATGCACTTACATCGATTGGGGCTACTTAGACATCTCGCGTGACCTGAGCGTGTGTTTCGCGTTTGAGGTTTCAGAAGAACAGCCTAATTGATGGACGAAACATGGACAAATGTAGCACCGCAGATTCCGTGCACAACACGGGCTGGCGCGTGGAAATTGCAAAAAGCAAACATGCCCGGCTGGGCTTCAGCCTTTGGCCCGAATCCACTATAACCCAATTCAATGCCTCGTGGTTGCTCCATAGTAATAAGTGATCAACGCCAATGCACTCGGCTGCTCCATGTGGCTTCCAAGGAGCTAAAATATCTCGTATAGAACGCGCGCGTGTTCAGCTTACAGCATGTATGGTACTACGTAGTAGGCAATGGAGAGGGCATTGTGTTGTCGCTGGAGCTGAAAGATCCAATAGCGCACCCGCTAGCACGCGAACCCAAAGATATTAGCAGAAACCTTTTCTTCTTATGCATTATGGTTCGATTTTGCTCTCTAAAATTCGTCCAAGGTAATACCAATGTTCCTCGACTTGGCAAGGTGAAGCAGACTCTTGCCAATGGCGAGGTCCATGACGGCAACACCCACGCTCTTGTAGATCACCAGTCCGTTCGCAAGCCACTGCTTTAACTCGGCCTGATCGGCGGTGCTCTGAGGGTCGAGTATCCGCCCAATCTCGAGGAATTTGTCATTTGACAGTTCGGCTTTGACCAGCTCGCCCGCCTCCTGCAGGCAACCCTCCAGCGTGTCGACGGAAATGATGCCGCCCTTGTAAGCCGAGCTCGCGAAGACGCTTGAGGGGTCGACGACCAATTTCAACAGTTCGGGGTCAATCTCTTGCATATCCAATCGGTATGAGCCGATGGCCGACAAGAATCGGGTCTTGGTTGTGGCCTTTTCCGACGTGAGGAACGAAGCGGGGAATAGAGGATGGGTGCTTGGTGTTGTGCAGAAAATAACATCTGAATCCACAATCAACGCCTCCAGGGCGGCCTCGCGGTCCTTTTGCTCGTCAAAGACCTTGAGGTTGATGTGGGAAGGCCAGTCAGATTGGCCACTGCCGCTGAGCGTGTCCACGAGCTGCTGGGTTCGCGCGGCGGAGCGGTTGACGATGGTGATGTTGCGAATGTCCTTGCCCTTGAGCAAAACGGCGAGGCGAATGTGCCACAGCGCCTGCTTGCCCGCACCAAAGACGACAATATTCTCGGTGTTGCGGCGGAACCTGTACATGAGCATCGACCCCAGGGCCGTACGGAAGGACGTGAGTTCAGCGGCATTCAGCGCACCAATGGCCTGGCCTGTCTCATCGCACAGGGTCAAGACGCTCTTCAGCGCGGGCGGAGGGATGCCGGAGCCGGCGGCCGGGGCGGGCGTCTTGGACGGGCTGATGCCGACGATCTTGCAGCCCACGAGATCCGGCGTCGACGCGGGCATGTACAGCGTGGTTTGACCGTCCGGCCGGGCCATTACGGCGCGGTGCGGCTGGTATTTCTTCTCATCCTGGCACGAGTACTGCACCAGGGCGTTCTCGAGCGACGCGACCAGGTCGGAGACGTCGGCGGGCGAGAGGGAGCCCAGGATCTGCTTGATGTGCGAGTCTGAGAGGACGGTGAAGGCCATGGCGAATGAGAGAAGCCGGAAGAAAGAGAATTAGGCGTCCAGGGTGAAGATGATGAGGAATATCTTCAACTTCAACGTGATATCTCACTTCGTAACGGCGGCTTTTTTCGTTAATCGCGGGGCCGTGGTCGGAGAGGAAACCCGGCGAAGATGGCCAAGATATGTGGGGAAGCCATTCAAGAGGCAAGTCAGCGCGAGATGAGCACGGACCAGGTCGGAAGCGTCATCCGGTCGTCAAGCATTAGGCAGTTGAAATCAGAGGTCGACATTCCCTGTATTTTCACCAAGACTCTCAACACAATTGTTGAGTCTCGCTCAAACTCGTCTGTTAGAAATCCAACATCTCTACCTCGAAAGTCTACGGGTGGGGTAAGTTGGACAGGATCGGCTCCCAAGCTGTTATGAGAGTGTACTGGTACAGACTAGCCGTATCTTTGTACTATTATACTTCTCCTTCGATATTTGGAATACAAGATAGAATCTCCCACATTTTTCAATTGCCGTGAGGCTGTCCTCCAGGAAGGCGCTGAGTTGACGCAGCGCAAGTGGTCAGCATTGAAGAGGTTGACTATGTCTCGAGAAATGTGCCAGTCTTCTTTGCCAGTGGATGTTTGGCCGAGTCTTGATAGCAAGAAACCCTTCTGCTGAGACCAGAAAATGGAATAGTTCTTGTGTTGTCTGGCAGACCTTGATGGATGCTGTTGTTGCGACTGCTATAATTATGAATCCATAGCCTCTGTGTTCTACGGTTAAGAGGACAGCAGTAAGCTAGGCTGATAGACAGATAGGAGGAAGATTTATCAACATCTAGTAATAAGAGTATCATTTAGCAGTATTTACAAATTGTAAGGGATAGCAGTAGATAGTGCGTCAGGGAAATTTGATCCTTGGGAGTACAGGGGACGTTGGAGTCTTTACTTTTGCCAGGAAGAAGCCCATAGCAGGCTGCCTTCAACAGAAAGTTCCACTTTGCTCTAGGACTATTGGTTCAACCAAATGAGTCAGTCTCAGAAGGCTACAGAGGGATAATGATGGAATACAGATAAAGACTGTTTATCTTCACCAGCACCCCAATTGATAATATCCCTTACTCATTGTTGCAGAATTATGAGAGAACTATACTTTTCGGTATAAAAGGTCTCCTTGCGCTTTAAGATTTTTCATCCCCGTTTGGAAAACCTTACAAGATGTTTGCCGTGAAATACTTCCGTGAGCTGATGTGAGTCAGGGCTTCGTTCATCATTGATGCTGTGCTTTGTATCAGTCACAGGAGCAGATTCACAACCAACAGACCTCTACCACCCACCCTTAAAACTGCTCTCACTACAGACACTTCTCTACAATCTTCCAAAGGTGTAGCCTCGATCGTACCCAGCGCTCATACACCAAATCCTTCAAAAGCTGCTTTAGCTATTGGCATCGTCTAGGGTCGTCGCCCCTACAAACTCACCATCATGTCCTTGTTTCATATCAATGGCTCCGGTCCCGACGGCCAGCACATGGTCCGTTCTGATCCCTATAGAGACCTAGTCTAGTTGCTCACGATAAGTAGGCGATGCTTGATGGCAAATATCTCATTGATCCTCAGCCATTTCCACTTATACTTCAATATGTCGGATTGATTGACGCTCCCAGCAGCCATGCTCCTACCGAACTACCTCACCCCCTCCATCTACAATTCCGCCCAGCAGTTGTAGTTTCGGTCGAAACACACGAGGATGGTGCCAAAAATCTGCGGTCGAAGATGCTTAAATTTCTCGCCGACACTGAGTTCGAGCGCCAGTTTCTAGGCGTTCTCATACTGGCCATTCCGACGGGCGCTGCTTATCCATCGTCATTTTGGAAAAGCATCATATCAGTCCTTGAAGAATTCCGCTGCTCTTCTGTTTTTGTCTTATCAACTAGGACATTTGTTAATTTCCCTGAAGGTCCGTACTTCACCAAAGATTATTGCCTCTACCGTACGTGGAGGCTGTTCCCGGATGTGTACGAGGCGTTTCAGCTCCCCACTATCCACGAGGCGAAGTCGGACAAGTAAGTAGAGGATGAAATCTCTCCGCCTCTTCTGACTTATATTGACAACTTCAGATTCAAAGCCGTAACCCTCATGTGCGACGGCAAGCTGATGGTTCCAGTTCCATCGAGACTGCACTTCCAGAGGACACAACAGATACCACTCAACGGCCAGCGCGTGACTGTGAAAGACATTATCGACCTGAAGGGCGTTAAAACCACAGGCCAATCTAGGTCTTTCGAGAAGCTCTATGGACCTTGCACAGAGACGGCTGCCATAGTAACGAGACTGGTTGAGCTTGGCGCAGTGATCGTTGGCAAGACAAAATGCACCCAGTTTGCCTCAAGCGACCAACCTACCGCCGATTGGGTTGATTATCACTGCCCATGGAATCCCCGTGGCGACGGTTATCTCTCTCCTCGGGGAAGCAGCACCGGAACCTGTGTTGCCATTGCTGGCTACGACTGGGTGGACGTGGGCATCGGATCTGACAGTGGGTGTCACTACAGCCTTTGGTCATATCGTCTGGCTAATGATAGCAGCGGGTGGGAGCATACGCGGTCCAGCATCAGTGATGGGTCTGTTTGCCCTCAGGCCAAGCCAGGACCCCAAGAATATGGACAAAATCCTCCCCATCATTCGGTAATTGTGCGAGGCCCTAGTTCAAATCAGATTGCTAACGATTTGGAGGAACATCGACACACCTGGAGTTGTCTGTCGCAATGCAGAACTCTTCCATGAACTCTCTGCGTGTTTATTCAAGGCACAGACTTCGAGTGTACCGCTTGTATGTGCATATCCACATCAACCTGTCATGCTCCGGAACTGATTTGTTCAAGCGGCCAACAAAACTCCTGTACCCTGTTGACTATTGGAGTCAGTGGCCTGATAACTCAATCAAAGACGCTATGGAGGCGTCAGTAACGAAGCTTGAGAGCTTTCTAGGAATCAAAAGATCTGTCATCAACCTGGCAGACCGATGGCTAGAAGATGATCCAGCAGGGAACGGCTTGGCGCTGAGATCCTACCTTCAAGATGTAAGAGAAATCCCGTTCCATAATCACCCCGTGGTTCGTGCCGCTGACCATTTGTATTTCCAGACCTTCATGAATCTACTCTGGAAAGGCTACTACGACCACTTCCTGAAATTTCGACGAGACTTTGAGTCCAAATACTTCCATCCACCATATGTCCATCCAGTCATCCAATATTGCTGGTAAAATAGCAAACTCCCAACGGGTGGGTTTACTCGAGAGCTGACAAATGTCTAGGAAGCGCGGTAGCCAGGTCTCAGCTGGCGATGAGGAAGTTGCGCAACAGCAGAAAGCAGTGTACTCTAAGTGGCTCAGGGATAAGGTGTTCAGCGGCGACGGCTTTAATACCATCATGGTGTTCCCCTTTGGGGATCTAGCCCCGTTCTATCGAGATGAGTACCGAAAGTTGGTGTTTTCTCCTACTTTGGTGGAGGTTCTAGCCACTAAATTCTTCAATAGGGCGCCCGACGATAGGCCAGGCTCTTGCGGCCGGACCCTGAGAGAAGACCACCAAGCAAGTCTAGCAGGAATTCCATGCATCGTGGTGCCAGGTTAGTTTGGACAGCAAAGAGCCCAACGGGAGATGAAGCTGATTTTCGTACAGTCGACCAAGTATCTCAGCCATCCAAGGTCACAGGAGGCAGGCAGCTTTTGCCGGTCGCAATTTCACTCATGAGCGGTGTTGGTGAGTGCTTCATCGAAGCTGACAAGATTGTCGATGCCTGGGCTTATACTGCTTTTAGATACTGATGGTGATTTGACCTGCCTAGTTCGAGATATGGCTCGACAATCTTTGTTGAAGGGGGAAGTGAAGGTAGGCGAGCATGCTTTTGAAACCAAGCTGAAGTCGTCAGGTGGCTTGCGGAGGGTACACTCAAGCGGTCACTAAGACGGTACAGTGCTGTCGAGTTGAGGTAGTCCAGCGATAGATGGAACCGGCCTCAAACAGAACACCAGGGTCTGGATAATATGCCTTGATTTATGCGAGGCGTAGGGGAATAACTAATGTCTGCTGACATCTTCTTGGTGGCGATGGCCGATAATAGAGAACAAACACACCGCTTCTCACTACGTTTTGAACCTGTATGCCTCCCTAGTGCTTAAATAACTTCGGGCTACTTCACAAGGAACTTCATTCCAAGACTGCCGCGTGATTCAGTGTGATAGTGAAGTCATAATACTCCAAGACCACAGCTACCTTGTTTGTTTCGTACTAGATTCACGCGAAGGAACACCAACACCTAATCACTCTTCTCGGACGCTGTATCGAGCTTAATTCCAACACCTGCCATAAAAGCAAGACGGACGAATGCTTGTCCCCATAGGCTGCCAAGATTTACCCAATCCTCGGGCCTCCAAGTTCGAGGGTCCCAGAATACCGCGCTACCGAGAGCTGCCCAGCTTCCATAAAGATGTATGGCATCGCATAATAAGATTCCCGTCAGAATACCCCTCCACACCCGAATGTCGTTGGTGATGCGCAAGACCACGGCCTCATTAAATGCGAAGAGGACGTATGTCGCGGCAAGCTGATCGTAAATGACTTGGTTATCGGGCGCATACTTGGCAGTCAGGGACATGGTGTTGAGAAAGATTGTAGGGAAAAAGTGAAGAAGTACGGAGCCACCGAAGGCTGCGAATGGCTCAAAGTAGAGAAAGAGGGCGCGGTAGGCGAACGGTATGTTGAGGGGTCGCTGGGTCGCCATGATTGAGGGTCGTATAAGGTAGATGATGGCTAATGATACGACGGAACCTTTTATGAACTATCGGTGTGACGTCAAGAAATGATGAGGTAGCTTTGATTATTTGCCGGCGTCAACGTGCTGAGATGTGAAGCAAGAGAAAAGAAAGATCTGTTCACAGGGACGGGATAACGCGGGGACGCGAGGTTATGAGGGGAAGACGTGCCGCTCTTCCGGCGCGTGAGGCGGCACGACGCTACCACTTCACGTGAGACAGGTCCATGCGTGCCTTTCGGAGCATTCGGGTCCTGTGGCTTATCTGTGGCTCACTTGGTGCGTAAGATACTGTGCAAGGGCATGTGGCTTACAGTCTGGGATCTTATTTGCTTTGTTATATATATGATACCGTTGACATTGAGAACTTTACTTGTAAATTCTCTTGGTAATCCTAAAGGCTGCTGCAATAGTAAATTTCTATTTTATTTGTGTACAATAAAATTAACCATATAGAATAAATCCGATCTGAATTCTTCATCATGTCTCCAGACACAACGGAGTGTTAGAGCTTAATGACATTGTATTCGGCGGCATATCACCTACCCTAGACCGACAAGACTTCAAATAGGGAATGCTGCTGGTGGGCATGACCTGGCTACTCTAATTAAACCCAATTGTATAAATATAGGACGAAAGCGACTAAGACTCTTCGACACGTTGGCCTTTATCGTATTCTTTAATAGCTTTTACTCTGGTCGGTTACTCATCTAAGCCGAAGAGCACAGTTGCCTTGACCCGACTTTGACTGCAGAAATGGCATAGATCTTGGATCTGGCGATTGTCGAGTGCGTGATTGCAGTAAGCCTATTTTTAGGAGCGCACGACCCTCATCTTAAAATTGGCTCCACTCACTCTGAATTAGAACATACCCCGTCAACAGGTGGGAGGAAAATGTCCCTCAGTCGGACGATTATCAACATGGGGATCGCAAGTTGCTTGGCAACGGCTACCAATTGTTTCAAGGAAATGATGCCTTGAGGCCTGTTGATCTGGAAAGAGGTCTCCCCAAAAATGTCAGGCAAATGCTTCGCTCGCTATGCTTCTGAGCAGGAACACAGGGTGGGTACAGGATGGGAGCACCGAGCAGGGGAAACTTGATCATGAAGCTACAACAGACAATTGCTGGACAAATCTTTATTAGAACCACAGAACCCTACGCACAACTCAACCTACATCTTCAAGTTTGCATCCCGCCATTTTCACTCAGAGGTGAAAGGGACCCGCGGGATGCGCATGGCGCTAGTGGGGTGCATAGTCCGCAGAGTAGCCCCGAGCCCGCGGGGTGGACATGGGCGATTGAAGCGGCGATAGCAGAAGAGGTGAGTAAAATGGGCAAGAGTGCGAAATGGGTTGAAGGGAGTGAGATGTAGGAGTATGTGATTTCGCAAGGGATTATTCCATTTCAGTTCTGTCCCATTGACCAACCAAGCTGGTCTCATACTCAAGGAGCCACGAGATGGGTCTGGACACACTGTTATTTCCCTAGACTTGGCTGTGTTTCTTTGACATAGGATAATCAGAACGCCAGGTTTGATTTGAGTACATATTAAGAACCTAAACGAGTGAATATACAATCTCACCCTCTCACCTAACCGTCAACACTCAAACCTGCAGAGCTCCAAACATAGTCGCAGAAAGGAGCAGTGCTCCAATGGCGAGACCCAGAGTGTTGACACCAGACTGAGGCCCCATGCCCGGCGCAGCGCCCTTGGAAGACGTGGCACTCGCGGCTGCTTCCTCGGATTCCTTGCTCTTGCTAGCAGTGTCGCTCGAAATGACGCTCGCCGACGCACTGGCAGGAATCTTCACCTGGCCCGTGGCCGTAGCGGTAGCCGAGTTGTTGCCCTTGCAGAAAACATCGCCCCAAGGCGCACCCTTTCCGTACAAGCAGTCAGAGAGGTCGGAAACGGTCTGGTCGACGGCGAGACAGTAGAGGCCGCAGTCGTTGTAGTAGCTGACCACATCGGCGTCGTTGCAGCATGCCAGCATGATCTTGGTGTGGTTGCCGCCGTACGGCATGGCGCAGGCGGCATCTTGGACGGGCGTGTCGTAGAGGTTGCGGCATGCCGTGGAGGTGGCGGCGGCGCTAGAAACGGTCTTGGACATGTTGACGGTGGGTTCGTTGCGAAGTCGATGGTGATGGGAATAGTGAGCGATGGCAACTTGTAGCGAGCGGATGTTGATAGTTGGTTGTTGCTGAGTGTGGAAAGAGAAGGATTGTCGCGTAGATATTAAATACAAGTCCGACCACGACGACTCTGCAGATACAACTTCTCTGGGAACCAACGTTAAGGCGATGGGCATAAATTTCCCTTCGTATGGGCCCACCGCTACGGGAATGCGCTCCCGTCGGACATGTCGATCTAAATAAAGACAGCCAACAGCCTCTTCGACGTTCAGTTGCCTAGGCACCGCCTCAGATGAGATGCGGCGGGTGGCCCAGCTGCGTTCTTCGGCCAGCGTCAGTTTGCGTGCCAGGCCACGACCGACAGGTGCCCGCCCTACTTGGAGGCTAGGTTAGCTTGCCTATACTTAGCCAGTTGACACTCGCCGCCCCTGATTACCCCTGCTTTAGTCGTTATTTTTTCGCGGGTGGGAAGAATGAAGGCGGCGGGATGATGACGTGCTGGGGGCGAAACGGGACGCGCGGGGTGCGAAATGCCACCCAAGAGGACACTAAATGCTACCAAATTCTACGACATCCCAGATTCGCATGATGGATGCTGCTTGTCAGGACTCCGTGCGCGAGCACTGTCTCTCTACGGGCTCATGCGAATTGAGAAAGTGGATTAGCAACAGGGTGATCAATACTAGCCTGAGCCTGCTCCTCCACTTGGGCCATCTCGAAGAGGCTGGACGAACCCTTTGCTCGATATGCGAGCTCGCTATTTTTGAATTTTGTTAATTTTCCGCATTCCGACACTGACAGGCAGCGCAGTGATGATATCCATCTGCAGTGATGACATCCTCCTGCAGCGGGTCGAGACTAGCGAGAGCCACCATGACAGACCAGTTCACGCTATGGTGACTCCCCACTGTCAGCATCACTCAATAGCAGTTCAATTGGATGCCGCTACTTCTCTTGGCACTGCTCATCTTTCCGCGGGCTCCGTCCACGCTGTGGTTCTCTGGGCTGCCACGTTCCCGTTGTTATTGTCCATGATTCTGGTATGCGCAGTGGAATTGAAACCGGCCTACCGTTTCGACGGCTATTTTTAAAGTTACTCTTGTTTATTCAAATGTTCTCTGTGAAAACTACTAACGGGATCCGCCGTCTCAGCCATGATCTTGCCGATCTTGTCCAGTATCCCGGGCCCTGGGTTGCATGCAGCGTAGTCCACGTCGACCTCGCCCACATCCGGGCCGATGTCGTAGAAGACGAGGCCTGCAATTTTGGCTCGTAGCTCAGCGAGGCTCTCTTGGATATCGTGGGCGTCTGGGAGAGGCCAGAGTCCTGCTCCCATGAGAGCAAACATCAGTGAGCCTAATACGATTGATTCGCACCTGCGAGATTCTATCCATCTTGAGTTTGGACTCCAGCGAGGCTTCTCTTCGACAACAATCAACCCACTCACGGCATCTTCGATTGTGCCCAATAATTGCTGAATGGTTTGGAGGCGTATTGCCCGGATGCGTTCTCGAATTCGCTTAGCTTTCTTCCTGAGATGGGACTCGGGCAAGTGATTTACATACCAATAATATCTGGGGGAATCTTTAAGCCGCCGTCATCAGGGATACTTGCCAACCCTGATTTGCTGGAGTGTATCAAGATGTATTGTGCAGTTTCTGCGAATCCTCTTGTGCATCGGAGCTCCCAAGAGATGCAGAGTATCTGAAACACGGATCTCCTATCGTGGTTCGATAGCTGGCTGATAGATGCTATCCAAGAATCAGCCCAAGGAGCTAACGTCCGAGTGGCGTCGTGGTAGTTGGTTAACGTAATGAGATCATACAGCGTCTTGACGGACGTGTCTCTCGGAATCCGGTCGAAGTGCCCGTGGATGATGTTGAGAAAAATCGCAAAGGGGACGGGGTCATCGTGGGGTAGTTTCAGAAGCCGCTCTCCCGTTCTACCCATCTGATTAATATCTTCAGCAGAACTCCCGTACAGGATGCGGCTGAATACTGGTGATGAGCGTGCCAGCGTGCGGGAGCAGCACTGAAATGACGTCGCGGGCCCGTCGTCGTTTGCGCCGACGAGAAGCTCGATGTCTGAATGCTTGTCCAGGCTCACTTTTTGAGAAGCCATCGCGGGTGGATTGTTGACGGGCGAGTAGATGTAATGGTGCGTCGCACCGACGAGGATAAAAAAGTTGGCAGGAATTAACGGCGCAGTCAGCGCCCGTATATCGTTGCCATTCCTGTCAGGCAATGATGCTCATCTGCCCTCATCATTTGCCAATAACACGTCACCGGGTCTAAAAATAGGCTGCTTCCCCAAGGCGAATTATTAAGATTGAACAAGACGGAGGGCGAATGTGGCTCGAGACGCAGATGCCCAGACTCCGGATTCAGCGGTTGGTGGCACGTCGGGCGTAGAATCTCCACTGCTGAACATGAGGCATTCTAGCGGCCTTAGACCCGTTTGGAACTGAGTGCTGTACTGCCGGAAGCGGCTGCTATACGCGAATCAATCAAGCGGCCTGGGTTTGTCTTGCAAGGGCACTCCCGCGACCTTGGCGTCTTTTCAGCCCTGCAGAACAGGCGAGCCCGCCTTGACGAAGAGCTCAGGACCTGGAGATACCCGTGAAAAAAAGGCCCATAAAATCGGCTGCTGTGTGCATGGCGTATTCTAAAAATAACAGGCTCGCTGTCCCGGTGGCAAGGCGAGTTGGCCCACGCGGGATCCGCAGGTGGAGCTTATACGAAGAAACGACCGCGAGATCAACGAGATCTGTCTGGCTGAGACGTCGGTTCCCGTTTCTTGTCCTTCACGCGCTCATGCAGGCCAGCAAATAACTTGGCCGGAACCCGTCGGGTCCGCAAAAAGGAGAAGATTCTCGCATTTCTAAAAATGAACAAATTCACCGTCCGCCCGTGTTTCCTTTTCCCGTCTGCAGTTTTTCTCCCAGGCACCGTCTTCTCTTCCTCGCGACCGTCGTCTTACTCCCGTGATATTGCCCGTGGAGCTCGCCAAGGTGCGTTACAGATCAACGTGAACCCGTGGCAAGGGATCTCAGTCTTTTACCTGTTTCCACTTCTCGCCTGCGTCATACGACGTCATACTGCCCCAACGTACGAGCAAACATCCCCTCCGCCCGTATTCCCAGATCGTCACCTCATCCGCGGTTTCCGAGGGCGTTTTGGTGAAGATGGCATACAACGGCCACGGCCAAGAAAATGCTGGAGGACATCCGATGCAGGATCTGCCTGCTGGCGTAAGTAGAAGCTACTGTCAAACTCACGATAATTACCTTCTGATTAATTTTCTCTGCAGTACCAAATGACTCCCCAAGAACAAGCATCCGAATCCAGCCGGCACCTGCTTAACATAGATCCGCGCGCCCCTGGGTATGACCGTCTCAGCGTTCAAAGCCCTCCTGGGTCTCCCGTCTCGACGTATTCTCTGACCGAGACGTACGCCACTGAAGCTCCTCGTCTGCTCGCTCCTGGCGTTGGTCCCTACGACCCGCACAACCCGCACAACCCCCACGCTGACTTTGTTCATCGACGACCCGATTCAACCTTCCACGACCCCGAGGAGAGCTGGCTCCAGAGACAGCAAGAGCAACTTATTCCCGGGAATGGAGAGGGCGGTCTCAGACGCCGGCAGACCCGAAAGGTCAAGCTGGGCAAGGGCTCTGTCCTCAGCATCGACTATCCCGTCCCGAGCGCCGTCAAGAACGCCATCCAACCGCAGTACCGCGGGCCCGAGGGCGAGAACGAAGAGTTTAAGAAGATGCGATACACCGCCGCGACATGCGACCCAAACGACTTTACCCTCAAGAACGGATACGATTTGCGCGCCCGAATGCTGAACCGACACACCGAGCTCCTCATCGCCATCACGTACTACAACGAGGACAAAGTCCTCCTCGCTCGAACGCTGCACGGCGTCATGCAGAATATTCGCGACATTGTCAACCTGAAGAAGTCCACCTTTTGGAATAAGGGTGGTCCTGCTTGGCAGAAGATTGTCGTCTGTCTTGTATTCGACGGTATCGACAAGGTTGACAAGAATGTCTTCGACGTTCTTGCTACGATCGGCATCTACCAGGACGGTGTTATCAAGAAGGATGTTGATGGTAAGGAGACTGTAGCTCATATCTTTGAGTATACCAGCCAGATCTCCGTCACTCCACACCAGCAACTCATCCGGCCCTCCGACGATAACCCCAAGAACCTCCCTCCCGTCCAGTTCATCTTCTGTCTCAAGCAGAAAAACACCAAGAAGATCAACTCGCATCGCTGGCTTTTCAACGCCTTTGGTCGGATCCTAAACCCCGAAGTTGCGATCCTCATCGACGCCGGCACGAAGCCAAGTCCGCGCTCCCTTCTGGCGCTTTGGGAAGGCTTCTACAACGACAAGAACCTCGGCGGCGCGTGCGGAGAAATCCATGCCATGCTGGGCAAGGGCGGTCGGAAGCTTCTCAATCCCCTTGTCGCTATCCAGAATTTCGAGTACAAGATCTCAAACGTCTTGGACAAACCCCTCGAATCCTCCTTTGGGTACGTCACTGTCCTCCCAGGAGCCTTTTCCGCCTACCGATTTCGCGCTATCATGGGCCGTCCTCTGGAACAGTACTTCCACGGCGACCATACGCTTTCCAAAATTCTGGGCAAGAAAGGAATCGACGGCATGAACATCTTCAAGAAGAACATGTTCCTGGCAGAGGACCGTATCCTCTGCTTCGAGCTTGTGGCCAAGGCAGGGCAGAAATGGCATTTGACCTACATCAAGGCCGCAAAGGGCGAGACAGATGTGCCTGAAGGCGCCGCCGAATTCATCGGACAACGCCGAAGATGGTTGAACGGCTCCTTCGCTGCATCTCTTTATTCACTCATGCATTTCGGTCGCCTCTACCAGTCGGGCCATAACATTATCCGACTATTCTTCCTCCACATCCAGCTCGTCTACAATTTCCTCAACGTCTTGTTCACCTGGTTCTCCCTGGCATCTTACTATCTCACCACCTCAATCATCATGGATCTTGTTGGTAATCCGGTTGTCTCGTCCGGTTACCATGGTTGGCCATTTGGCGATATTGCAAGTCCTATTGTCAATGTGCTGATCAAGTACGTCTACTTGGCGTTCCTGATCTTACAGTTCATCCTGGCTTTGGGTAATCGACCAAAGGGCTCCCAGTTCACTTACCTTGCCTCTTTTTTCGTCTTCGGCTTGATCCAGGCTTACATCCTTGTTTTGACCGTATTCCTGGTAGTCAAGGCTTTCAGTGAACCCATCCAGGATCAAATTTCTTTCGCATCTGGACAGGCTGTCATCGACAGCTTTTTCGGCAGCAAAGGCGGTGCCGCGGGCGTCATCATCATTGCCATTATCACCATCTACGGCCTCAACTACCTCGCCTCCTTCCTCTACCTGGACCCCTGGCACATGTTCCACTCCTTCCCTCAATACATGCTTCTCATGTCGACCTACATCAACATTCTCATGGTCTATGCCTTCAACAACTGGCATGACGTGTCCTGGGGAACCAAGGGCTCGGACAAGGCCGAAGCTCTGCCATCTGCTCATACCCAAAAGGGCGAAGGAAATGTGGCTGTCATAGAAGAAGTCGAAAAGGAACAGGAAGACATCGACAGTCAGTTTGAGAAAACCGTGTGGAGAGCACTTGCCCCCTTTAAGGAGGAGGATGAGGTCGAGAAGCGGGATCTCGAGGACTCTTACAAGTCCTTCCGAACTGGCCTGGTTGTTTCATGGATTCTTTCTAATATCATCCTTGTCATTTTCATCACAAGCGATGACTTTGCCGCACTCGGAGTCGCAGTAAGTACTCGCCAAATTCTTGCGTATTACTCACACTAACACACGTCCAGCCGGCTGCCACGAGCCGAACGCCAATGTACTTCAGAGTTCTACTTTACTCGACAGCGGCGCTGTCAATTATTCGCTTCATTGGTTTCCTTTGGTTCTTGGGCAAGACTGGAATAATGTGCTGCATCTCGCGAAGATAGGTTAGACATGGATGGTGGGCGCGAATAGCAATTGCTTAACAGGTTTGATGATGGGTTTGGGTTGAACAATGGGAAATTTTGGGAATAGCTTGTTCTATACCCTCTATCTCTGAGCATACATTTGGCTATTCAAAAAGGAAGTTGAGGGATTCAACTTAGAAGGGTTGTACAGATATTGGCACTGCGTGCCCGGTTCGTTTGAGCTTCTATCAAGACGCGTTTTATTATTTGTTATGATAACTTGTTGAAACATGTCAAAGATCTAAACTGCATGTGAAAGACCTAAACTAAATGTCAAAGACCTAAGACTACATCATTAAGCCGTCACCTTCCCGATTGTAAACTACTCAACATGCTTGAATGCTCACAGTCATCTCATGCCACACTGTTCAAATCACGATCAGTTCCGTTCCTTACCACTGTCTGCTCAGCCACCGGCTCTGTTTGTATACCCTTCGCTTCAACTTCGACACTGGGAAAGTCCACATTATCCATCACAGTACGGAAATCGAGGTGACAGTCAGTAATGTTATCAGAGTCGTAGTAGTAGATCGCCGATACCCTTTTTGAGATCGGGGATACTTCACGGGTGTGTCTCATGGAATCACTGATTATCAAGGGGCTGGCATTCAGAGGGAAATACCTATGGCGTTCTCACGTCTCATTGCGATTCGGCGGTAGAGGCATAAGTACTCAATTGCAACGTCGCAGCTGTTCGAGTTGTCAGAGCACATGCAAACCGAGAAAATAATTAATACTGGCTTCATAAGATAACCACGCCCCTTTGCCTGTTTTAGATCTCCCTGATATCCCGTTTCATCTCTTTAGGCTCGGCGGCAATTCCTTCATTCTGAAAAGCCCAATCTCGATCATCATCTAGCAGCACATCATTAGCTAAGATGATCGAAATTACTGACTTGGGCTGGCCTATACCTAATTGTTAGAGTTTGCGGATCCTCCGCCTGAACTCTACAGCATGCAGCTTCTATTCAACAACCCGAATCGCTGACCGGAACCTTATAAAAAGTTAAATCTCTGTAGATAGTGTTCAGATGCCAAACCCTCCAGCTAGACAAAGAGGTGCTTGATTAAATATAAAACCCAAGCATCTCTCGAGATCAGCATTCCTCATCGTAAACGAAATTTCCCTTCTCCAATGAATTCTCGACAAGGGAGTCCCCTCATTTCATCGCTTTCCTTGGTCTTCATATGTGACTTTCTTAGGTTGCACCAGCCATGAAGAATTTCCGTCGCCTCAGACAGAGGCTTAGAGTGAAAGCAGCTGAGATATCTGAGGCATATGAACTGGCCAAGGCAGCTCAAATATCTGGAAAATCTGGAACGGCGGGAAAATTTCCAACAAATGCCGACAGTCTTCAAATATTGTTTTCACATCGCATAATCTCCAAGACCCGCCAGTATCTCAGCAACATCGACTGCGCCGCTCTATCTCTCTCATGTCGCCAAGCCTTCTCCGCTCTTGGTCGAAATGTCCTTAGGCTGTCTTCTTCGGACAAATTCCTGCTTTTACAGCGGCTGGAGCGCGACGGGTACCTGATCCGGGAGATTCTCTGCCCTGTGTGCCAGTACTTCCACCTTCCCAGATTTGACCCAGGACGGGAGCCGTCTGGTTCGGAAGGGCAACGCGCTTGCTTGAATCGTAGAACGGAAAGAATGGAAGCCTTTGGGGGCCGGCTGCCATTATGATTCGACATGGTCGCCGCTATTCTGAGGAGCTACCGGCACAACACCGTATTCTATCATCAAAGCGTGCTCGATGACGACCGGGAGTACGTGGCAGAGTCAACACCCAGAGCCAAATTACAAGTGCGCACTGAGATTGTCAAAGACGAGCTCTTTGTGAAATCAGAGATCTTCCTTCAGCCATGTCTCCCGCAGGGTGATTCTTCTGTTATGGTGCCAGTTTTGAGGAACATTCCGGGGGATAACCCCGAGTTGACGAACGCCTGTCAACACTTTGCTTGGGAAAGTCTAGATTACGTTCTGAAAGGGTATGATCCAGATGCAGAGCTCACGACACGAAGTGCACACAATTGCCTTTGGAACCACGGGACCCGGTGCAACCATAGGCGTTGGAGAGGCCAGAGAAGCTGGCACAGAATTAACGGCAAACGTTTGCGATGTGTTTATTGTCACACCGAACTTACGGTTTCATGCTGTGATGGACCCAATGGAAGCGGCATGGTGGTACTTACTACTTGGAAGAACTTTGGATATGGGTTGGATGTGGACGACCCAATTTGGGCTTCTCATATCGACACGCTTGGGGTCAAGGGAGAAAAGCGGAACAAATCCTACCAAAATCTCGCCGAGCAGTTTGAAGGAGCGCGTTTTGACGAGAAGGTGGGGTACATTGCCTCGAAGCCTACTTTATGGTGATGGGAAGAATGTACTCAATCAGGAAAGAAGATAGAAGACATCTGAGGGAAATCAAAGTACGGGCAACCGGCTGAGATTGCTCCTGGCTGGCTTGGTTGGGCCTAAAGTTTATGAAATACATAAACCCAATAAAAGTTAGCCCTGGATAATAAGTCAGAATTCTTAGCTATTAACTCTACATCCTAGTGATAATACATAACTTTATTTAATTTTATTTAGATCTTTATTTCCAGAAAACCACACCTATATATCATACTGTAGAATTGAACAACCTTCTTTGCGGCCATCATGTCGCCGCTTAAGGCCGGATTTATTGATACATTCCCAACATAAATTCATAACAGGTGAGCTCATTATATGGACAATCTCAGTAAGCTCACCCCTTCGTATTTCTTGCTTGTATATACTTTCCTTTATTATCGCTTCTTCGGGTTGCTTAGGCGTCCTCCTCGTGGGTGGTACCTGCGTGCTCCTCCTTTCTCCGACTTGCGTTTTGGCTATTCTCAGCACCTGAATCCCGCTGCAGCATCTCCTCGTCGCTTGTGGCCGGAAGAGCCGTTTCGAGATCAGTGCCAGCCTCCTTGCGAATTCTACTCATCTCGTCAGGCGGAGGAGCCACCCACTTGGTGCTCTTCATGGGGTTCACACGTTCGAGATACATGGTATCGATCTCTTCGAGGGTGCGCCCCTGGCCCTCAATGACGAAGAAGTAGACGAGAAGGCCACCGAGGATATTGCAGCCCGCAAAGACATAGCCATAGCGGAAATCGATGTCCTTGGTAATGAAGGGCGTGAAAAAGGCGAGCAGGAAATTCCACAGCCAGTTACTGGCCGTCGATAAAGCCATGCCCTTCGCTCGGTAGCGCGAAGGGAAGATCTCAGCCATAATGGTCCAGATCATGGGTCCCCAGGTTGTAGCGAAGCCGAGGATGAAGAGGCAGGCCATGACGATCATGGCGATGCCCGCGCTGCGCGTATTCTGCGGCGTTGTGCGGTCCAAGGCAAAGTGGCCAACCGAGGCAAAGATGAGGAAGCATATGAACATCCAGATGCTGCCTGTGATCAAGGACTTGCGGCGACCGTAGTGCTCGACAATATAGAGACCGATGAATGTGACGACAAAGTTGATGGTGTTGAGGATGATCTGTGTGATGTAACTGTCGATCTCGACAGACTGGAAGATTGTGGTACCGTAGTAACTGTCATTGAGTTAGCACAAATAAAGCAGTGGCCGCTCGAAGACTGGACGAACAAGAAGTAGTTGGCACCCGTGAGTTGTTGGAACATCTGCAGAGAGACACCGATGAAGATACGATAGGCCATCCGCGGGGCGCGGAACATGTCGATAAACTCGGAAACGGGATTGCCCTTGACCGCCTTTTCTGCCCGCAGCTTGGATTCAATCTCCTCCATCTGCGTATGGATAGCCCAATGGTTTGGTGCCGCACCGTAGATGCTGCAGAGGGTGTTGCGGGCGCGGTCGACATGGCCTTGCCTGTAGTCGAATCGCGGCGTCTCGGGGAAGAACAGGATGCCAATGCCGAGCACCAGAGTGAATACCCAGCCCAGGCCAATGATGATGCGCCACGAAGCTGAGCTGTTGGGATGGTGCGTCACGGTGCCGTAGTTGAAGCAGGCGGCGAGGAAGATGCCGATGGTGATGAAGAGCTGGTATGTGCAAACCATGGCGCCTCGGATCCAAGGAGGAGAACTCTCAGCTTGGAACATGGGCACAAGGAGAGACAAGGCGCCGACACCGAGACCAGCAACCTGTTCGAGCAAGTTAGAAACAGCAACTCAGTTGGAGAGCTCCGGGACTTGACATACCCAACGACCCATCATGATCTGGACCCATTCGCGGTCGGCGGAGATCTGGATGATGAAACCTATGGCGATGATGAGGTTTGCCAAGGAGATGCAGTACTTGCGGCCGAAGCGGTCGGCAATGGGAGCAGCACACAGAGCACCGATGAGGGTGCCGATGGAGAGAAGACCGACGATGAGGCCAGAGCGGACCGTACTGAAGGCGTGCTCGCCGTGGCTGTTTGTCTGAGCAAAGCGATCCAGGAAGTCTGGCATCTCCAGGAAGCCGGAAATCTGGCCGGTATCATAACCGAAGCTGGGCATCGCATCAAGCTTGGTCAGATCATTGCATCTTCTCGATTTGTGTTGTGCATTTGTACTTACAGAATTCCGCCCATAGATACAAATGTCGCGAGGAGGAGAGACTTCCCTGTGATACGGGGCAATGGCGAGTAGTCCAGCCCCGAGAGGGACCGACGAGCATGCGCATTTGCCCCCTTCTCCGTGTCGGGGTTGTGCTCGTCAAAGTACACTGTGAGGAACTTTGGAGCCATGGTGAGCGGCGAGGCTATAGCCTTGTGGATTGTCAATTGGGTTCAAGTGGTGATTGATAATACAAATTGTTGTATTTGGATGGGTGGAAGAGAGTCCAAGACATTTGCAGCTCGGGGTGCGTCTTGTTTTAAGTAGCTGGTCTAACTATCCGACGATGCCATGATTTACGCCGAAAGTCTACCTCGTGAGCGAACGATCCTGTCAAGCTTGAGCAACTGGTGATCCAACGGCCCCGTTGTATCCCAACGGCTTGGTCGGAGCTCATCCTGGCATTGTCTGGGGCCACGCGACGACCTGGGAATCGGTCCGTCCCCGGCAGTCAGGTGCACTCCGCGATGACGCTCCCGAGTATCTGTCTATGGGGGAATACTGGAGAAGAGGCAAAACTGGAGGTGCATTGTGGGAGGTGACGTCTGGACTCTGGAAGAGGCCATGTGATTCGTGGGCTGATCGCTGATCTCCGGAGAAGTGGTGGTGGCGGGGCCGAAAGATCCGAAGTAGCAGACAGACTGCTGACCCGAACGGCCCTCCCTCGGCCGAATCCATACGTACGAGCTTTTACAGGCCAATCATTGCCGGACCACATTGGGTTTGACGGTTGTAAATACGCGTTGACCGGAGGTTTGTCATTCTCCGAGTGTGCGAGCCTCGGAACTTGATGGGCTCGGGGTAAAGCTGCAGAATACCTGGTACAACTGGGGGCAGCAAAATGAAGACGGTGCTGATCAATTGAAGAATCATATGTTAGCTAGGATGTACAAAGTCACCTCTTGACAAAAGGATTGATGCAGAGGAAGAAATCGCCCTGTGTAGAGGGAAATATACCTGTGGGAGTGGATCACCAGCAAGCTCGACCAAGGGTTCAGAACAAGGGACCAGCCTTCACTTCTAGCGTACTCCTCCATTGATATCATCGGAATTTTGACTTCAAGCTACAAAATGTTAAAAAGACGGTTCATAATTGAGCTTGCTACTCCAAACCCAGAATGTTCAGGGCCTACCTTCCAAAATAAGTCCCTTTTCTGTTGTTATCTGCAAAGTCTGACAGCTTGTTACATACAGTGCTTGAATAAATGGTCCGCGCCAATCTTCAAGCTTAGTAATGGGAGAGGAGCCGCAGCGGACTTGAGGGCCGCTCAGAGGTCGTTGAAATGGGCTTATCTGACTTGATGGCACGGGTTGATTAGTCCATAACGGGAGTGAAACCTGTATTTTCACAGATTTTGGCCTTTTCTAGAGTTCACTAATGCACTAGGCCCGTAAATGATACCTGTGAGAGATATGGACAATACAGTGACTTACAGCATCAGCCATATTTTCGGTGAAGTCGGTATTTTGAGGTGCTAGGCCCAGGGCATCGTAATGGCCTCATTCTTCCACCTTGCAATGATCTCTTGATCGCTGAACTTGACCCATTAGTCGGGTTTATTAGTGATGTCCTCAATAAATTCGAGCATACGCCTCTCGAACAGGAGGAGTGTGGCAGCGGTCCAGTCACAACCCACATCGCTGATGAGGACCAGAAAGGAATTCTGGGTCCTGTTGTCCAGTGGCAATCCATAACCAGGAAGAAGAATGGAGCCGCCTCACGAATTGAGAGATTCACCGGCGTCATCCCTACTCGGCATCACTAAACAGACGGTGCGTTGATTTTGATCCACAGGGAAGTGACTCACCGGCAAGCCATTTGTTGACGGCGGATGCAAGGCCAATTCACCGCATTACGAGCAGTAGTTGTCGGACAACAAAACGCAGTGTCAACAAAGTCACGCCACTGTTATTTCCTCTCGGAGGTGATCACCAGCAGGTGGATATGAGTTGTGAATTCCGTTGTTAGACAATTAATTGCTTATGAGATCTATTCTCCAAGAGCACGGTCCTACACGATACGACGAGGTGTTTCTGAACTAAACTAGTCTATAGCTAGGGCCTCATATCTTGAATCTGTGCGTTATTTATAGTTTACTCTTCAGTGATAGATGTAAAATCTCATCAGGGTTGCACGTAGGCGCGTTTTTGATCATATGAATGTACTCTTGCCGTTCTCATGGTTGAAAGACTGTGAGTACTATTCGTACCAAGTAATCGTGTAATATAACCCTCTAGATACTCTTATTTCCGTTTGGGAAAGGATGAATGTGGAGGAAATATGCCATAGTCTGGTAAGCGATGATGAGTGGGTGAAATTCCTGCTCTGTTTCGGTCCTTTCCCGCCATGGAAAGAAGCGCTGCATACACGTAGAAACCTTGCCAGGGTAGGGAAAATGACTCATTGGACTGTTTGTCACCCAAAGGGGTATCTTGCAATATTCCCCTATTTTCACCGTGGATCCAAGATTGCATGCATAGTTGTCTCCTGGCGCCGAGCTCATCGTTGTCACAGCCGAAAGATGACGGATGTCGTCTTCGTGGAAACCTGAGGTATCTTGACTTCTGGCCGGTATTGAAACCTCAGAGATCCAGTACGATGCAATAAAATAGTTCGTTGTTCGATAACTTAGTTTTGATTAGCATGAGGCATAAGAGAGGAGACATCAGGGAAAGACTGATCTCCGAGAGTATTGGAGGACATGTACTGCACGCCATCGAACAATTAATATTGAAGATAGCCATCAATTGCTCTGGTATGCCGCAGATCAAGGGAGTTATCCTCAATTTAGGTTGATTGGTGAACATAAGCAGCCGCAAGGGTCTTGGATGTGAGACCAGGAGGTTTCATAGACTCCTTTAGGCTGTCAATCTCACTGAGAACCGGAGACTATTTCTAATAAATGCCAGCTTGGAATTTTTCAAGTTGAGAAGCTTGATATTTGGTCATTGTGGTAGCATTGGGTAAGAAATGCTTGAATTGTGGATAAAACTGTGTTTTTTGACCTTGTGCCGGCAACTTGCTCACCTTGAGGGAGCAGGCAGAAGTTAGATTAGTTAGCTTGGAATTTTTAGAATTACCCAAACTCCAAGTTTAGGGAGGATTTTATTCAGTTCCACTGGGAATTACGCCACGAGATTTCTGGGGACCATTTGAACCCCTGGGTTGGGAATATCTGCTGTAACCTGAAATAGCTATGTCTGAGGCTATCTGCAGGCTGGTGATAGTCTTCTTAAACGCGCTCTGACTTGCTCAACGCAGTTCATTCCGGGCTGTTCTGGGCAAGGTTCGAAAGGATCTGTTGATATCTTCTAGGAACTTTTTCCGCGCTATCGCTAGATAGGGTCCAAGGATTCGTCAAACAGAACGTGATCGTTATGACGCCTTTCTGCAAAAATCTACGCAAAGGCCAAATGCTTTCCGAAACTTCGATGACCCTTTTCAAGTTACGTCTAGTCAAAGGTTGAGTGAGCACGGCACCTGTAAGTCAAAAACGGCCCATGGGGACCAACAAGCATATATCTATTATGCAAATTCAGACCAGGGACCGGAGTTCGCCTCCTATACGAAGACAAAAATTGCCAGCCTGGAAAATGCCAATGAAAAGCATGTTAACAGCAGGCTTCTTTCGAACGATGAAGCGGCCTTGAGCCTATAGGAATCCACAGTTGAGGCTAGGAGGACGAGGACGGTGTTATAATTAATCCAGTGGATGGGAGAGGATATAGCAGGAATGTATTACTAGAGTACCTAAGCTGAACATCGGTAACTCGAATAGATTGCCTCAGCACATATATTTTCCGCCTGCACCGTGATTTGACCAATGATGTGAGTGAGACTGGTACACAGGTCTGGGCCGGATTTTTCGGATCTACTCGGAAGTCCGTGCCGCATGACCCCTCTTTTCGTCAGCCAAATTCTTACTTGATGACGTTAAACCTCAAAACCAAGCGAATGCCAGCAGACAGTCTTGGATTGTAGATCCTACTCATTTGAGCCTTGTACAGGCTTCTCAACGCCCCACAATATCAAAGTTCCTTCTCATCGTCCAGAAACATGGCTGAAACACTTGGGGTTGTGACAGGCATCCTGGGTTTACTTCCACTTTGTAGAGGTACGAGAGGGCCAGGCGCCCAGCCACTTTGATACAGATGCTAATTCGTGTAGAGGGGTTCACTATGATCGCAGACATGATAGAGGCAAAAGGAAAGATGGCGGAGCTGCTGACAAGAATTGAAACCCATCATGGTGTAAGTCATTCGGGTCTCGATGGGAAACGAGAGCGGGTGGAAGATTTGCCATTTTCTTCCTCCAATCGACTTTGTACTCACCATTACAAATAGCATTTTGTCTCTTGGTATGAAGTGTGGGGCGATGAAAGAACCCGCGAAGCAAAATTCAGAACCTACGAAGAGGAGCGCCCGGTCAGTGCGAAAGAAGTCTTACGACACCTTGCACTCTTTTCTCGTCTGTTCTATGACTTCAAATCGCTCGAGAAATATGGATTTCGGGTGTCCAGCACAGTAAACAAGGTTCTATTTCAGTTTCCGTCTAAGGATAGTGCTAACAATCACAATAGACTGTTCAAGACGTGGAGACATTTCGGTTTGAATCTGACGAAGATCTCCATCCACAGAACATAGAGCGATTCCGCGCTAGATGCACCGAAAACCTCTCGTTGGCTAAAAGATTGAAATTCGTTCTATGGAGCAGGGACAAGAAGCTTGAAGACTTGATCAGTCGACTCCGTGAGTATAATGAGGTGTTGTGGCGATACGGGCCCGGAGTAGAGGTGGCTCGACTGGACAAGGGAGTCTATGACAAAATTGGCCAATTAATGGCCAACCAGCTACAGACATTCTTTGCTGTCTACAAGAAGGAAGCTGAAAGCACAACTAACCCAGCGAGCGCAAAGAAATACGATGCCTTGGCAAAGATGGCAAATTTCCGATCTCTAGTCTTGCAACGAGAGATATCTCAGAGCGCAAGACCTAGGGCGTTTCGCGCCAGCGAATTCTACATTGACGAGAATTACAGGGTGGAAAGTAGCGGAAAGTCGACTTTGGCACTTCTATCCGATTTCCCATGGCCGGGTGAGAGACGCGTCGTTCTTATCGAGTGGATACAGAACCCGCAGCTTGCGGACAAGAGGAGGGATACGGAGAAACTGGCCGTCTTACTGTCCACTCCAAAGCCGAGCGAGATGCTGGTTCCTGGATGCTATGGGATCCTCGATGATGTTGCTCATTCTGGCAGGTTGGGTGTCGTCATGATGCCGCCAAGTAACATTCGGGGGAATATACCTGCAACCCTGGCACCTGGCGCAATCTCCCGTCGACGGATGCCCATTAGCCTCAGAGAGCTCATCCAAAATACCTCCAGATACTACCCAAAGGGGTTGAGCTTGGGGATAAGGTTCAAGATTGCGAAACAGCTCGTGGACACCATCCACATTATACATGCTGCTGAATGGGTTCATAAGTGAGTATTTTATGATCGGATGTGTTTGAACCTGGTAATCTAATCGTAATATAGGAACGTTCGTTCGGAGAGTGTTCTCCTTTTCCCAAAAGGAGAAGTCCAGGACGATGTTACTTCTCCGGTCTCGGTTGGCCCAAAAGGCTTCGACTTGAACAACCCCCTTCTGGTAGGGTTCAATAGCGCTCGAAGCGATTACAAACCTCAGGGCCACGTAGATTATGGTTACTATGGTACAGACCCTGAGGCCAAAACTGCAGCAACTAATATGACATTTGACAACTATCAACATCCTGCCAAGCTTGTTGACGCCAGTCTTCCTTACAGGCGATTATATGACCTGTACAGTCTTGGCTGTGTGCTCCTTGAGCTTGGGCTGTGGGATACAGTGGACAAACACGTGTATGGACAGGAACCGTATGTTGCTCAGAGAACACTTCGTGGGCTTGCTTCGAAGTCAAACATAGATACGTAAGTTGGTGCGTTTCTCTGAATGCGATGGTTGAGCTGACAAAATCATTCAGAATCATGGGCTCCATTTACGGGGATGTTGTCAGGGATTGTCTGGATCTTGGAGAGGAGATCGCACTTCATGACCCGGCCAGTTTTGGCACTGACATCGCGTCGCGTCTCTCTCAGTGCGTGGTGTGAATATGTTAGCGTGGTGAACTGGTTTTGTCTTGTCTATTGTATTTGCACCAATTCTAGTCGAATGAAATTCTAAATGCGGGCGTGGAGTGGTGGTAACTCTAAAAACGGCGTACTGGACATGTCCTAAAGAATAATAGCCGAGAGTGTGATTTTGACGGCGGTGGTGCATTCTGTAGTGAAGTCGTAGTTCGGCTCGGTTCGATAGAGACGACCATTGCACGCCCAGAAGGCAGCATCCCCTCCACCGCTCCAGGGAGACTTCAAGTTGTGTGCCGCATCCATGGACCAGACCCCCTTTGGGCTATTGAAGGCAGCAAGATAAGTATCTGGCGCCAAGCTGATTCCTGAGCTCACAATACCAGCTGCTGTATTATAATTCGTGTAGAGGTTGTACGAGCTAGTTCCCAAACCTGTGAGCGCCTGTAGGGACCCGTCCTTGGTATACAAGGCCCATACTACGGCGTTATCTCTTGAGCTCTGTAACGACATCGTCCAAAACATTCCAGCGGTATATATGCTCGAGGCATAGATGTTGGTGCTGCTCTGCTCTGTGGGATAGTTGGCAACGACAAGTATTGTGTAGATTGGGAAAGATTCCGCCTCGGTGGTGGTGCTGGTCGGGGTGGTAGTACTAGTCACGGTAGAGGGTGTCGTCGTGGTCTCGAGTGCCGTGACCCCAACGCAGGAGCATGCTGAGATGTATTGCGCTGGGTTGGAACAAGCAGCAGCGTAATCTGGAATGTTGAACTCGTGGCGCTTTTCCGGGGCACGCGATGTTTGGATGACGGTGACTTGGGAGCTGGTCGAGGTCTCGGTCACGATAGGCGTCGTTGTAGCCGAAAAAATAGATCTGCAGTCATCTTTGCCGGAAGTCTGCGCTGCAAGAAGGCCTATTACTGTTAGTAACCGAGGACACAATAATTCTCAGACCAACTGTACCGTTTAGACAGCCGTCCGACTTGCATTGCGCCTTGCAAGGGGACGCGACTGCAGCTTGGATAGCCAGTAATAACAAAATAACTGTTTGGAACTTCATGATGTATATGATCAACAAACTTCCGAGGGAAAAGGAGTCACTGTTGCTGTGCTGCGATGCGAGGTGGCGACGGTTGAGAGAAAAGGAACTGGTAACCTGCCTGCCCTAGGCTATAATAAGTAAAGTTAGGGAATTGATGTTGCCAAAGAAGAAAGGTACCAGGATGAATGGCGTGCGCTAGTAAGACAAATATTGACAGACTAGTGGAAATGGAATTGCCAGGCCTCACTTCAGCTAACAATCATCTAGATAGCCGAGATGCGTTTGATCTTAGAGACTAGAATAAGCGTAATTCTAGTCCATAGTTCGTGCTCATTGTCGCTTCCAACGGAGATTGTGCTTCCATAAGTTACAAGTTCGTCCACTGCTCTAAATGAGGACCTCTATTTTCGGGCAGTAAATACAGGCCAGTGGCGCCTGGTTTCTTCCGGAGAGAACACACTCTTGCTTCTTCCTAATGTCCTCATTTCCCATGCGCCAGGGAGCTATGGTGGCGCTCGGTGGCGCGGCTGGGCACGCCACTGTTTCAATAGCTCGACTCATGATTTAGCCGATGAGGCGATAAACAAACATCAAGCTAGGGTAAACCAAAATAGGACAAAGGATTGACCAAGGCGAAGCTAGCTTTGGTGATCTATCGCCTCGACCCTTGCAGTAGATGAATAATTACACGAAGACGCGACACAGTACATTATTCCACTTACCAACCTCTTATGCGAGTCATCACGAAAGCGCCACAATCGCACTGTGGTGTGCGTCTAGTACAGAGTATATGGGTTACGTGTCTTGTCCCCCCCGCCGCCTTGTTTTCCGTAAACGCAGAATAGCTCGCGATGGACAGATTCGCGCAAAAGTTCCGACAACTTGAAAATTCTAAATTTATCACTAGTAAGATCTTTATTTTATTTAATCAGCTTTATTCATATGTCATAAATTCTCATATTAGGTAGGGTTTTATTATTTTTAAAGCTGACTCAATATAAACTGGCCGGGTTGTCGGACCTGTTCCACGCCCACTTTAAGACACGTCCCGTCATGCATTCCGTGACTCCATTCAACATATCTTAATTGTTATCATAGGTGTCCCATCAAATCCTTTATAGAGCATCCATGTCCTTGGCCAACTGGGAGAGGTTGAAACCCCCGGATGCTAATTGAAGCTTTTGTATTTGCCTCTTTTCTACCAACTGCTACAAGTATAAGCTTTTGTTTCCTAGTGATACTACAACAAGGCTTACCTCTTCAATTGAACCTTTCATAATATAACGAAGGATGTTTACTTCTCGTTCTTGGCCTAGTCGTATCACTCGGCCAATTGCCTGGCGCTCTACAGACGGGTTCCATTGTGGCTCAATAAGGTGCACGCGGCTAGCAACGGAGAGGTCATTAAGCCTAATAAAGTCAGTGACCCCTTGCTTATGATAAAAAATAACATACCCCACCGCTCCGGTTCCAAGAGTCATTAACAAAACTCGTATGTCATCTTGCTCCTGAAAGTCGAGAAGAATTTTCTTGCGCCTGGTTGTCGTAGATATTGAGCCATCCACTCGACAATATTTGATTCCATTCTCGGTGAACAGAGCCTCGACCAAGTTGAGAGTTCGCTTCCATACTGAAAAGACAATGCTGCACGGTATTAGTTTCGCTACCCTGGCCTTTTGTGGGGGCATTCATTGATCCTCGTACCATTTCTCTTGACCCATGTGCAACTTGACATCATCTAAGAGGTGCAGGAGCTTAGATGGGTATGATCGAGGTGATTCTCGAACGGGAATTGGGTCCTCACTTGAGGTCAACAGATTGAACTTCCTGTGCGGTACCTTGCAGACCAGGCAAACGCTCTCGGTTTCAGTTTGGTATGCCAGAGTGCAAGATATGTCAGTGCAAATAAATCGACCACACTCGGTTAGTTGAACAAGTCTCCCATCAACTGCGTCTGGACTCGTTATTTCAGCAGTGCAGTATGCACATCGGATTTCACCCGACTGTTCCATGATGCTAAACAATGCATCTGGGCCATCCGAGGTGATGGCCGTAATGCCGTTGCAGAACTCGCGAAGACGGAGAAGCTTCTCCAGTACGTTTTGATGCGATGCCTTGGAGTTGACTGCCATGTCAATCGCTGTTCTACACACCGCCTCCATAGCTAGGTATTCGCTTCTTTCGTTTTCCAAGAAGTCGAGTCTGAAGATTTTCGTGGTTGAACGTAATCCCAGGAGGTCCTGTGTTCTCTGGAGACAAATGGAGCGCAGCAGGAGATGAAGATTCGGGAGATTCTGCTTCAGTGTTCTCGTTGACCCAGGCCCGGCACAGATGTGTCTTCTAAAGGTGCCAATGTCTTCTAGGACGGGCACTCTCAGAAACCGTACTAGTGACCCCAAGTCCTCGAGTCCGTTTTGAATCGGTGTTCCGGTCATGCACCATCTGATATGAGCTGGGATATCATTAACTGCGGAGAATTGCTTGGTCGACCAATTACGTATCGTGTGAGCTATTCAACCATAAGCAGATGGCCTTGAGGAGTGATGCCAAGAGGGGTGCACCTTCATCCAGGACGGTCCGATACCATCGAGCGCTGTTCAGTGTCCCCCTTCGCTTCCTGAAATCTGCAGCAACAGTCCCATACGTTGTTAGAACAATATCATACTTTCCAAATAGAGAAGGGTCGTCAGTCCGTTCTCTTCCATGATACTTGTAGTATTTGATCGTACCCCAGGATGTGTGACTTTCTGGATTAGCTGAGAAAGGATTCAAGGCGGTACCTCTACCTACCTTTCTATCTGTTTTACCCAATTGGCAAGAAGAACTGTGATTGATTAGCCATATGTGGTAACATCTTTTCGAGATGTAAGATAATTACGCTCTGACAGAACCACAATCAATGTTGACTTCGTGGGAATGATTGGACGATGTTGGTGCTTCAAATCATGAACAGGTCCAGCGTCATTTTGGCTCATGTATTCTTGAGCACGATCCTTTGAACCGAGAATCGCTGCTATCATCATCAAAGTCTTCCCCAAGCCCATATCATCGGCAAGAATGCCTCCAGGGCTGTCCTCTTCTGTTCGACTTTTTGCACCGGTGATGGCGTGCCGGTAACTATAAGATCAGAACTGGAAGTTTCGGAATTCGAGTCAAGCTGCCGCAGTGACTTACCCAATCGTGTTCTGTTCGGGGTTAAGTGGCTCCCATAATGTCTGATTCGGTAGCGATTGACCAGACTCACGTCTGGAGATAAACTCAACACCTTTCTTCTGATATCTGTAGCCATTTTAGTACCCAAAACGTAAGGCACAGTCAGAAATCGTCGCATACAGATGTAATTCTGTTGTTATTCGGGAGTCAATATCCACGAGTCCTGAGAACTCGTATTGATTGATCCCGTTCAAGATCTTCACTGGGTCTAACGAGATGGTCTCTTCATTAGTATCATCTTGCCCATCGGAATCGCAACCGCCCTGTTTATTATCCTGATGCAGATGAAGAATCCCATTCCCGTCATGGAAATTCTTCCGAGAGACTGGAAGTGGTAAATTCAAGCACTGTGGATTTTCATAAGGCAGGACACCCCATCCAGCAGGACTTTGCAAAAACAGCTTCGCGACCCCAAGGGTCCGCGAAACCACCTCAGCTTTGTATCGCGGACCGATGACGTCGATTTGAATAGTAATCGGCTTCGCCTTGCGAATGTGGTTGGCCATGGAAGATGCGATATCTTGCCATTCTGACTCTGGCATGGAGGCCTCAAATCTGACTGGGGAGGTATCCTCGACCAGAGCGCCAAGGGCATTCAATGCCCTAGCTTCTAACACTCCCACAGCACCACCGGTGTTAAGTCGGACAAGACAATGTTCGGCACTGAAATCAAGAGTGAATTCGCGAACATTCTCTCCAGTGTGGACGATCTTGGCCGGAATTTTGGTAGGTTCGTCGGTAGACTTGGGCTCCCATTTTAGAAGCACCTGAATGTCCTTGAGCTATTGACGGTTAACAATATACCTGCATTGTCTTCCAAGATGAACCCACTATACCGAAGAGAACCTCGCCCAGCTCGTAGGGATCTCTCTCTGGTGAGCTGGGCACTTCGGATGGCGTCGCGGGTGATGATGTTGTTACGACCTCCGCAGAGCGGCGCACCGCTAGAAGCGGCGACGGTCGCTTATGTCGCGGTGTGAGAGGCTGTAGCAATCGAGTTGGATTCTCATCATGAGGGGGCAGTTTTCGCTTGAGCGGTTTCATTTGAGCGGAGTCGTGATTGAATCTGCTCCCGACGATTGAACAGCATCGAGAGATTAGAGTGTTGAACAATAGCGAGCGATGTTATTCCCGCAAGCTCGAGTCTGCCGCCAGCAAAGAAGACCAGGCTCCGGCCGACCGACTCGAGGCACCCAGCAAGGCGTCCCGTTAGGCGCAACTCAGGCGACCCAGCCTCTCCCCAGCCTCCAACCCGATGCGCTTGGTCTCAATTGAGAGATGCGTTGGTTCCAGGGCGGCTGCAAATGGGGCTTAGCCTGGCATCTGGACTCATCTAGCGAATGCACGCTCAGCCACAACGGCCGCTGAAACCGTGACCTTAGCAGGTTGAAAAGGTAGGGAAAAAAGCGATCTGCCCAAGACGGCAGCAAAATGCCATCGTGGCACTCTTTCTTATCTTTCACCACCACTGGATTGCGATGGCACCATCCACCACAAGCAAACAGCCTCACTCTGGCAACCATCCGGGTCCGGGGAAACAACAGCCTGATCCTAAAAAAACTCAGCCTTTACCTAATGGCGACGCAAACCAGGATTTCAATCTGTTTCTTGATAAGTTCAAGACAACAGCCAAACTCACGAGCCAGCAAGCGCTCACATTTCAAAACACTACGGTTGACGACGTCAAGAGCACCATTGCAAGCATCCAGCAGAAGCAAATATCGAGCGGCCGGCAACAATGGATCCGCAGGCTGGAGCCATTTCTATCGAGCATGGAACAGTATGGAAAGGTCATCGAGGTCTTCTTGAATGCGTCAGAGGCTCTGGCCTTTATCTGGGTACGGCAAGCTTTCGTTGTTCTGCGTGTCGTCCAGCACACTCGCATTCTGGTCGGTTAGACTATGCTCCCTATGCATGTTTTTTTTGCATCTACTGACATCACATACTTGTACAGGGCCCAATGAAGTTCATACTACAGGTATATGATTGGTCATCTTTCTTAGCTCGGAATCTTCCTGACAACACTTCCAGATCGCTTCCAACTTTTCAGAGGCTCTGAGTTCACTGCTCGATGCATACTTTGAACTAGGAGAACTCATTCCCCAATTATCAGCGTATCGGGCCCATTGCGTTTCTAATGAGTACATGAGAACAGTCTTGGCTTTGATTTACAAAGACATCCTTGAATTCCACTCATGCGCGATGAAGCACTTTCGAAAACCGAGTCAGTATCATTATTACCTTTACGTGAAAGAATTCCCAAAAACTAAGCAACTCTGCTAGTGTGGAAACAGATGTTCCAGGCAGTTTGGAGAGGCTTCGCACTGAAATTGGAGGAACTCAAAGATAACATGAGGCGTCATCGACATCTTGTGGAGTCACAGGCGTCGATAGTACTATTTGAGGAGACCCAAACGTTGCGAAGATTGGCCGAGGAAAAGTTTCAAGGCCTCCAAAACGAGTATCTCCGTCAGAGACTACCAGAGGTCATGCGGTGGCTTTCTCCGTACAACTCAAAACTCCAGCATGACAAGTGCACAAAGGATAAGTTCCCCGGATCGGGAGAGTGGTTGCTGGCGGATCGCGGCTTCAATAACTGGTTTGACCTTTTTTATTGTTCTACTCCGTTGCTCTGGTTGAATGGCATCCCTGGAGCAGGTGTGTAATACCTAATTCATCTCATTAGGCATTAGGATGAGAGAGGACGAGAGCTAACAGCATTAGGTAAAACCGTCTTAGCCTCCACTATTGTTGACGCAGTCCAAGGACTTGTCGACAAAGATCAAGTCAGACTCGCCTACTTCTATTGTAAGGGGACGAATGATACTCGAAACAATTTTGTGGCCGTAGCCCGCGGCCTACTCAGTCAGCTAGTCAAAGGCGACGAGGATCTTCTCCTTCAACTATACGAAAAAGGAAACTTGCAGAGCGGTGAAGCGATTCTACGAGACGTCTCAATGGCGAAGGAGCTGCTCGATGTTGCTTTGGACTCTGATAAGACGACATACATCATAATCGACGGCATAGACGAGTGCAGGCGTGAGGAGAGAAAGGAAATTTGCTCCTGGTTTAGTGAGCGGGTAAATAAGCTCGGTAAGGACGACCACGGTAACATTCGATGTCTCTTTGTGAGCCAAGAAGACGGGATTGCGAAGAAGGATTTGGTCATGGTTCCAGCGATCAAGATCCTCCCTTCTCACGTCCACAAGGACATTAGGCGATATGTTGACTCTTGGCGCGACAAGATTGAAGAGAAGCACGGTCAGCTTGATCCAGCTGTGCACCCATTAACGGACATTATAATGTCTTCTGCGAGAGGTAATTTAGCGTCCCCTCTGAAATTCTTTAGTCTAACAAATTTAGGCATGTTTTTATTCGCCAAACTTGTGGTGCAGTGCTTGTATGGAATGCCTACTCGTGAGGAGCTGCTAGCGCAGATTCAGCCAGACCATTTCCCAGACGAGCTTGGAGATTTGTAAGAAGCCCTGAAATCATATGTTGTGGCATACTAATTCTTGTACAAGGTATGATACGATTCTTGGTCGAATCGTGGGCGAAAATGCCGGTGCACCATCTAAAACAATTCGCCGACTTCTCGGGCTTCTGGCGGTGGCAAAGAGGCCCCTTCGTTGGCACGAGATCCAGGGATACTTTGCCTTTGACTCTGAAGAAGATGAGCAAGTAGATCACGCAATGCGAAAACTAAGGGTCGACCCGAAAGACCTGTGCTGGTCGCTGGTGGAACACCAGGAGGACGATTCGGTAGAGCTTGTTCACCCAACGGCCAAAGCGTGAGATATCGCATCTGTGTCCACGGCCTATAAAACATTGCTAACTTCCATAAGTCATCTTATTCGGACAAAGTATTTGCAGCCATCCAAAGTGGAATGCGACTTGGCACAAACATGCCTTCTCTTCTTGAGCACGGACGAATGTGGTCGAGGCCAAGATCCCTCTGCCATCAAACAATACTTAATGAAGGGGCATTACTCCTTTTTCGAATACGCCGTTGCTTGTTGGTCTCTTCATTTGCAATCCGCTCTACCCGGCCTTAGCAGCGACGAAGAAATCAGCCACCTGGGCGAGTGTCTTGAATCGTTTCTGACGTTCCATTGGTTAGACTCTCGGACGGAATTGACGGTCTCAGCTACCATTATGGAAAAGATCAAGATATTCCACGAGTCCGATTTCTCTGTCAAACTCGCTCAGGCGATTGTGTCGTCCCGGAAGCAACTCGGACCGGACGGTACCGGACCGTCGCTCAAAGATCCACTGGACCTTGGACAGGTCACAAATGACGTCAGGGAAGCGATAGAGAACGCGGTTGCGGTGTCTGACGGTGACGAACTAGCACTTCTTCGCACTTACTATGGCAAGAACTCGGACTGGTTCAAGTGTTCTCGAATCAACTGCGTAAGATTTTATGCTGGGTTCGCCAGGGATGCAGAACGAGCCCTGCATGTCGAAAAACACGAGAGGCCATACAGATGCACCGACACGGGCTGCAGCATGTATACATTTGGGTATGGTACTGAGAAGGCTTTGCAGAAGCACCTGGTTGAGGTTCATGGAGCAGATCCGGGGAGCAACAGGATGATGGAATTCCCTACTCCGCCAAAGGAGGAGCGAAGCACAACAAAAGGGCACATTCCCTGCCCACACTGTCCCAAGTTGTTTACACGGCGGTCCACGCTTCGAAACCACATGCGAACCCACGAAAACTCCAAGCCATTTCGTTGCGGTACATGCAACAAGACTTTTACACGCCAGTCAGATTGTAAGAGACACGAGGCTATTCACGCCGGCGACAAAAAGTACCTGTGCGCGGGGGAACTGGACGATGGAACGCCGTGGGGTTGCAGCGCGGGCTTCACACGAGCCGACAAGCTGCAAGATCATTTAAGGAGCGCAACGGGAAGGGGGTGCATTGCTGCCCGGATGATCGAAATGGAATCCAAGACTGGGCGAGAAGCTGAAGAGGTGAGGTTTCAGGAGCTTTTTAGTTCCGTGGTGGGAATTGTTGAAGCGTGGCCTCAAGAAACACCTCCAAAGTTGTGAATAGCTCCTGGTGATACAAAGTACTGCTGCCCGGCAAAATGAGCGAAATCTCCCGAATTTGCGGGCCCGCCGATACTCCTTGCTGCCTTATATTCAAGGTATAAATTTGTGAACATGTTGCGGAATATAAAGAGGCTCTGCCCGCCCGGCGCAATGAGGCCCCCCTCTTAGTGCCTTGAATGTCATTGGCTGCAGCTGCACTGCCCGCCCGGCGCAATGAGGCCCTCCCCTCTTAGTGCCTTGAATGTCATTGGCTGCAGCTGCACTGCCCTTCATCCAGGTCTCAAGAAAATTGAGGACGCCGGGGAGCATGGACTGTCATTGGAACAAATATTATGATGACAAAGCACCGGAACTCTGCTACTTTTTACACTTCTGCGGGAGGCCTACCATAACCGCCACACCCTTGGCCACACACTTCGCCACAGCTTTAACCACAGCTTTAGCCACAGCTTTAGCCACATTCTGCTATTTCAAGCGCTGCCTGAATGCTCGCGCAGAATTTTATTTATTAAAAAATTAGCAGTATATTCGTTAGGTATGTAGTTAATATGGAATAATTCATCGCGGCATATTTTCTCTATCTAGTATATCCCGCATGATCTAGTGGAATAGAAAGAGCACATAGCCCCTTGGACTCGTATATGGCCTCAAATAATCAAGCACAACAAGTTCTTATTAACTTATCCCGGGTTCTTAAGCTATGCGACATTCCTCCGTGGCCTGGATACTCTCTGTCCTCAGGAAAGGTACAACGTCAGTATAGGCCAGACCATCAGTCACATAATCTGCCACATTGTTAATCAGCCACAGCCAGACATACCGGCCTCCTCCGAAATGTTGGATGAACGTTGACGAATCTCTTATGCACGAGATAAGTGAGTTATGAATACCTATACTTGTACTAAACTAGCCACGTGTTAAAGAATGCAACAGCCTGCATAAATGCTTGTTCTTTGGCGAACCTTTCGTGCTTCTTGCTAAGATCGCATCGCACCGCAAATCCATGCACCACTCCTGAAAAAAGATTGACCTGGTACAAACTACCATTTTCTTTCAGAATCTCCTCGCTCCGGTGGCGCTTCTCCGCCGGGAAAATGGAATCCGTCTCCGCAGCTGCAATCGACAACGGGCCTGTAATAGCAGCGAGCTCATCTTCTTCAACAAACGAAGGGTGCGCTATGAACCCGACTTCGATGCCGTTCCGATAATGACGCAGCACGTACTTGGCGCCGAAACAATACCCGACCGCGCCGATGTGCAAAAAGCCCAGCTCCGTCTTCATGTACGCCAGGGCTTCCTCCATAATCGGGTCGATCTCCTTGGTCGTGTGGCCACCTGCTCCGTTGCGGCCATTCTGCACCCAGTCTGGCAAGTCAACTTCATTGAAGCGATTTACGTCGATTGCATCGCCGTTGAAAAGATCAATAATGAGGGTAGTGTAGCCGTTGGCCGCGAATTCGTCTGCGAGGAGCTTGCTATTATCCCATATTCCAAGCACGTCAGGGACGTAGAGTAGACCAGCACCTTGACGGGTATTTTGGGAGGAGGCTGTCGCAAGGTAGGCGTCATGGTGTCCAACCTTGATCATCTTGCCAGTAGGGGTGCCTCTGCGTGAGATTAGCTTGTCAGCTCCATGACAAACACCGACTTTGATACCATCAACGAAAGACGGAGCCGCGTTCAACAAGTGCATCAAAAATCTCTGAAAGCAGTAAGGAGAAAGGAACTTACTCATGGTGTACGCCAACGATGCAGCATTTTCCAGGCGGGTGGGATGCCATGTTGAAATTTTTATACAAAGGATTGATGGATATTTATCGACGCCTTCGGGTTTTTTTTAAAGATAGGGAGTTCTTGATCGGTTGAGAGAATTTAATATGTGAGGTGTTGAAGCGGCCTCATCTCCAACTTAAATACTCGCCTTTCCTACAACAGGCCGTCACAGGTATTACACATCGCCCCTACATGGAATGGAATCCAGTACTCTGGATGTGAAAAATTGGTCATCGTAGCTAAAACGGGTTATCTCCGGACTGCTTAAGCCAGACTCGCTAGCAGATGATGATACGATCCTAGACTGGAGACACAATATCCAATCTCAGCCTAGCCTCCAAAATTTCTCGGACGACATCCGGGCTCACACGCTAACTGAACATCGGCAATTACCCAATGTGGAAAATGACAAACTACAGCGCGCTGGATGCACGCATAAATATTCACAAAAGCTCTACTGCGGATCGCATAATGCCAGGGTTACGCGCTTTGCAATATTAAATCTGGACTTCTCAGTCTCATTTTATGAAAAACATTTCCGTCAGTTTCGGTATATTCATTGCAACTATGATTGAGTAGATTAAGCACATGTATGTACAAATGGTTATCCTTCAAACATTCACACCGTCATCATCAATATCAAACCATCAACAGGAAATTTCAATATCCATCTGCCGCATCGAGAGTATACCAAACTCAGCCCACAAGGCCCTGCAACATACTCTGAAAAGATGCATCCATTGAAGCCCCAGCCTCTTGAAGTCGCTTGATCAAAGACATGATCTTCCCGAATCTTGCTTGGCTCTGTTGAGTCTGCTGCAACTCACTAATGCGCACCAGGAGTTGGTTGAAATTCCGAACCTGGATCTTGGCAAGGACGCGGATCATGTGTAATTGTTCATCGTAGGAGTACTGGGCCCGAAATTCAGGAGAAAACATCTCCGGATTGCAAGGCGTCGTAAGCCCAGCGTCACCAGAGAAGCTATCGAATAGCTGCGCAGTGGATTCGTCCTGCAAGGGAGCTTTGTCCCTCGGGAGAATCCCCGAGGATGATGGTGTGGTCATATCCGGTGTTTCGATAGACCTGGGATCATCTACCTCTGTCGGGTTGGACAGTGGCAGTTTTATGCGTCTTGATAGGCATTTAAACATCTCTGCCACCCTGTCGCAAATGATAAGTATGATGGTGTATGTCTGAAGCAAGTCGGCACACTTGTCGCAATCGAGAGGTTTGCAGCAATGGAATATCAGCCATTTTTGAAGTTTCAGAACATGGTCGAAAGCAAGCGTCCTTAGCTGAAAGGCATCGTCATCAAGCTTTTGCACAATATCAAGGGCGTCTCCCAGGCAAGAGCATGCAAGCGCGCCATTGGAATTCTCAGTTTCATGCACCTTAGATGTAGTGAAGCTGGTGGCTGATAGACAAGGCGTATCAGGGAAGTCGGCGAAGAATTGAGAAATATCCAATGATGATGAGCTTATCAGGTTTTCTGCAGTGAGAGATTGGGCCTGGATAGGTTCGCTCATCATGAGATCTGCTTTTAACGCGACGTCAGCACACCCTATAACCGTAATCTTAAACATCATGTGGAGATTTTGACATACCTGACTGGTCGCCTATGAATGTTGCACTTGTCTGTTCTGAGGCCGTGACTTGGGCCGCCACTACATCTGTCGGGAAGCACATTGGGTGCGGCTGACCTATCTGAATGCCAGTCGATGCAATACCGTGACCTGATCCGCTGATAGGTTGAGGTTGTACCGATTCTTGACAACCATCATGAACAGTATTTTTGCTAGAACCGTTGTTCACCGCGTGCTTTGCCCCAGAGTCAAGATTAGGTAGCGAGGTGCTGGGTTGGTTGACCACATGTGTTGACTGAGCTGTTGAGCCATGGTCGCCAGACTGAAGGAGACTCTTTTCCAAATTTCCCTGCAACCCTGAGTGGCAAATGGTGGACGAAGCTACTCGGTTGCTCCGGGCCCGACGGCGGCCATGGGAAGGGGGAAAGATGCAAGCAATTTGTTGGACGTTGCATCTGTCGCATGATATTCTACTACCAGTACAACGAAGCTGTGATTAGATGGATTAGATTTGGTCTATACTCATAAATCATAGTGCGAAAAATGGAACGCAGTATAACGCACCTTCTTGTTGTGGCATCCAACACATGCCTCCCTTCGATTTGACCCGAAGCGGCTATGCGTGCCATCTTGGTTTGCATGGCTTAGTGCGACCTGCTCCATGCCCGTCTGCTTGGCTCCATTCTTGGCAGCTTTCAGCGTAATGAACATGTTGCCAAAGTTGGAAATACCGGTGGATGACAAAACGAAACAAGATGAGGTTTCGAGATGACAATGGGAAATGGAGGGAGGATCATGTGTTCGGCGTTTACCTATCACGGGCATGGCGGTTCGGCAATTGCCTCATTGGGTTGGGACGAGCTGACTTTTGAGTGACATTACTCAGCTGCCTGGTGGAACAGGGCAAGCTGATTCGTAGAATGACGAATGTGGTCCACTTTTTGGGCGTCGAGGTCCAGGCTGCAGCCCATCGACTAAACCCAGAATCGACACAGCGACTTTGAGTTGTGCAGCTGTGCAAGAGGAGTGTTAACGTAGCCACTATCCGCACAGCCCAATTTAGGGTTGTATTAATAATCTCTGGTTAGTGATCTTCTGTGAATCGGTCAAAATATGATCGGGGATGCACTGAAGAGGAAGCCGGCTTATTATCACTGAGATGTCTAAGCTAGGTGGTCGCTCGTCTCCTCCCCAAGCACGCCTCATTTTCTATTTTCTATTTAGATACGTAGTAAATCCATCTTCGATTATCTCAAATCCCCAAATCCAATAGTTTCAACCATCGCTTCTTCCATCAAACAACCATTCCATCTTACACTCTAAAAATGGCAGCCCCTTACCCTACAACCCACCCAGCGGTTGTCACCACCGCAAAGCGAGCCCCCCTCTCAATCCTGGAAGTACAGACAGAAGCTCCGGAACCTGGTGAGGTCGTCGTCCGAGTTCAGTGGACATCCTCTTCGCCATTGGATCTACACCAAGCTGACGGTGGTCTGCTTACAATACATCCATTCATCCTCGGCTGTAGTTTTGCAGGTATCGTTGTGGCTGTTGGGCCCACCGATCCAGCAGCAAAGCAACCCAACTCGGCGCCACTTGTAGTTGGTGACCGTGTGTTTGGATTCACCAGCAAGATGCAAAAGCAGCAGGGCTTTCAAACATATGTCACGGTACCTCGGAATCTCATGGGCCGCGTCCCCGAAAATCTTACCATGGAGGCGGCAGTCACAGCGCCCGCGAATCTAGTGACAGCATTTCACACAAGCACCCAGGATTTGGGTCTTGAGCTACCCTGGCCTATCCCAGAGAATTATGTCCCACCTGAGGCGGACGCGCCTATTCTCATCTGGGGCGCGGCTAGTAGTGTCGGTAACTTTACCGTCCAGGTCCTGCACCACTGGGGATACAAGAACATTTTGGCTGTAGCGAGCGAGAAACACCATGACGAGCTACTGGCATATGGTGCGACAAAATGCTTTGACTACCGCAAGACGGACGTCACGGATGCTATCCGTACCCAAGCCGACCATATTCCCTATGTCATTGACTGCATTGGGCAGCTTGAAGGCACGCTTCGACCCTTGACCCGCATCGCACAGAAAGGCACCAAGGTCGCAATAATGATGCCTGCCATCGTCAGAGATGCAACCGATGATCAAGAACCTGAGTTGAGCATGGATCCGTCTTCGCTCTTGGTTGGCGAGTGGAAGGATGGTGTTGAGCTCATCGGTGTTAGGACGTTCTTCTACGAACAGGTAAGATGATCCTAGAACATTCCTTGAGCAATTTACTAATTGAAATCTGCTTCTTTAGAACGAATTCTTCAAATGGCACCTGCAACCCGACATTATGCCCGCCCTGCTGGAGTCGGGCATTATCAAGCCCAACAAGCAGAGAATTGTCGAGGCCGAGACATTGCTTGAGCGTGCCCAAAAGGCGCTGGACTTGTTGCGCGAGCGTGCACCAAGCGGCGAGAGACTGGTTTGGAGGGTGGCGGAAGAATGATTCGACTGTAGAATGGGGTTGCCTGATCCAAGTTCAAGATACAACACTATTTCAATATCACTTTCTATTGTCCGACATGTGCACAAGGGAGAAACATTTTCGGCCCTCAAGCTGCACCATCGCCAGATAGCACACCAGCCAATGATACAGTGCGTTATGGCTGTCGAAGTCCCTTGTCGTGTGAAAGTGTGTCGATCTTCGGTGTCAACCCCGCACGCACGCTTTGCACGATGGAGTGAATCTGTCTTCCCAACCTTCACATCGTCGTGATTATAAATGAACGCGCTGACTTCACGAGAATATTCTTTTTTCGCTTAAAAAGATCAAATCACCTCGGAATCCGGTCCACTCCAAGAAATAGCAGCCAAGCGCGATGGCTGCCACCGAGACCGTCGACGTTTTGGCGCAGTGCCTGTGCAAAACTCACAGATTCACGGCCACAGTGCTACGAGCCTCACTCCCTCTCAAAGCATCATGCTGCCACTGCAACTCATGTCGCCATTCAACAGGCGCCCTGTACACCTGTGACGCGTCGTGGCCAGGTTCATTTGACGAAATCCGCGGTTCGTCTCTGTGCAAATACCAGTTCAGCGCCAATCTCACGATCCGGTTCTGTGGCACATGCTCAGCTCCCATGTTCTACCAAAAACACTCCGTGGGCCGAGAAGATGCATTTGGTGTATTTACTGGCGCTCTGGCCAACAGTCCTGTTGCCAACTTCATCAAGATTGTTGACCACATCTTTGTGGGCGATACCATTGATGGAGGCGCCTCCGTTTGGATGCACAAACCGAACGAGGATGGGAGCGTCCCGCGCCGTTGGATGGCTGGGCGAAACAACAGTGAAGAACTGCATCACACTTGGCCTCCAGTTGAGGACCTCCCTGGTGCTAATCATAAGATTGGACCCGTTGAGATTCCCCTTCGTTGTCACTGTGGAGGCGTCAATTTTGTCCTCCGTCGTGGCGACGCTGATTTCGCCGATATCCAGCCTGACCAGCGACCCTGGTTCGTGGAGCCGACAACTCACAAATTATTAACCACCTTTGACGCATGCAACTCCTGTCGGACCATGTTTGGTGCTGACGTCGTCAATTGGACGTTTGCTTTGATGCATCAATTGGAATTTCCCGCCAACAACAATGGCCAATCCGCCACCACAGGCTTTCCTAGGACAACAAACGATTTAAAATCCGCCGTTAGCAGCGACGATCGGGATCCTCGCCTCGGCACGCTTTCCATATACGAAAGCTCTCTAGACGTGCAGCGTTATTTCTGCTCACGTTGCTCAGCCTCTGTCTTTTATGCCGTTGATGACCGTCCGGAGCTCGTTGATGTAGCCGTCGGGCTGCTTGAGGAGCCGAGTGGAGCTAGGGCCGAAAGCTTTTTGGCCTGGGGGTTCGGATCAGACGTGGGAAGTATGCAAGACGTTATTGGAGGATGGAGGGAGAAGCTTGTGACTGCTGTTCAGATTGAAGCAGAGGCTTGGAGGATTGCCAGGGGGTATCCGAAGAGTTGGAGGAGGATTCTCAAGCAGGAGGATTGAGTGGCTAATTTTTGAGTGTCTCGATATTTTGTACTTACCGGGGTGATTATTTGTATCTTTTGACTTTGCTCAGTGATGGTGGTTTTTTTTTGCCAGCAATGACACAGGTGACCGAGATTCGAGACACAGATTGAGGTCTACTCTGTGCAGTCATGATTCATGCCTGAAATTAAAGTGACGTTTATCTTGACCTCAAGAAGGGTTCAATTATATGCTGTTATTAGAAAATGAATCAAGAAAAAATATCATCTATAAATATTTCACACATCGCATCCCTCTCCGACTAAATTCCCCCAGACTTAGTACAAACCTGCCACCTCAGTACCGCGATCAAACATCAGGAAACATCAACTTTCCTTATCAAATCCCCAACACGCCTGCCAGAAATCCATCCATCATGTGTACGCTGAGAATCACTACGTATGACTGTGACGAGTGTGGCAAATGGATCTGCTGTAAAACCGAGAACGAGCCTTGTGGACGTTTCGGGCGTGGCTTGCTGTGCCAGCCGAACCCTGTAAGTGGCAAAGACAAGATGAAAGCGAGTAGCTGCTATGTTTGCGTCGAACGAAAGAGGAAGGAGGAGGAGGACAAGAAGAAGAATAAGAAGGACGATAAGAAATAGGTAGGGCTTTAGCGTCGACGCACGTTCAGAAGGGGATAAATAGAAACCGGGTATCCCGAGCAAAAAAATACCGTAGCAGACATTGACTTAAAGCTTAAAGCTGGTAAACCGCAGTTTATCTTGTGTACATGACCTATCAAACCCGTGATACATGGACTGAATTGCAATCGAAAATCCTGCTCAACTTCTCGCCTCATGAGCTTGCCGATAACCGTTATGCTTCCGCTGAGGCCCTCAGGCCTGTGATGCCTCCTGAACATACTCTCATTTGCCCTTGAGGACTGGTTCATATGTCGTATTGAAGGAATCACGGCGATCAGCGTGGCTGCGTGTTAAAAACGGCACTGCATTAGTGATTCCTTAAGCTGAACGAGAGCGAGAGGACTCATAATCCTGCGGCAGTAGAGGCCGTTCCCGCTCGAGGAGCCATGACCTGGTGTCCTTCAGGGTACGACATGCTGCTCTGGATATTCCCCGTAAAAACGACAATGTTGTGAAAAGAAGGACCTGGATACGAAACGTTGAACAATGAAGACCTTGCTCCAGGCTGTAGCAATCAATTTGAAGCAAAGAAAGATGTTGAGCAATGTTATTTACCCACCGGAAGGCTGCCCTTTTATGCTTTGGAACGTGGGAAGTTGTGCGCCCAAAATGCTAATCGCCTATCTCTGGGGTCATTTTTGGACAAGCAAATCAACAGATCCCCAAGGATGGGTGTACTACTCATCTGCGTTTTAGGTTGGGCATCCGGCATGGCTGGTAGACTTGATCTTATTCTTAGATGAACCCATGCTTGGCAGATAATGCGGCTACAGGAGGTCCATGGCTGGCTTCACTGCTGCCCAAAACGATGGCGGTCAAGTTGCACCACAATAGTGAATCGATAGTCGCCGAACAAATCAGGTGTGTGATACTACGCCACGTTTCGGGTCGTAAGGCTTGGCATTGTTGGGGTTGTAATTGTATCCCAGACCCAACAGTTCTATTCTGGGATGAGACAATGAGACATACTTACCCAAAACACACCTTGGGCTGATAACAGCTGTTGGCGGGCAAAAGAAATCCCGCCTCCGCCAGCCCTTCGCACAGAAGAAGCGCCTTCTTTCATTCCAAGTCTCCCCGCCATCACGCTTGTCGGTCAGCAAACATCTCTGCGGAATCCATCACGCGACGACGCAATGACCGGCATCACTAGCCTTCCCTGCGAGATAGTGGTTTCCATTTTCCGGAACTTGGACGATGTGCGCTGTATCTCTTCAGTGCTTCTTACTTGTCGCTACTTCTACGCATGCTACAACGAGAGGCCTAGTATTGGAGCCGAGATCCTCCGCCGCCGAATCCCCTCGGCCTTGTTACCCTACTCTGTCGCCTTGATTGAAGCGTCGCGTCACCCCTTCCTACCCGCGGTCGGCGCTGTGCTTCAACTTCTCCATGATTTATACGAACACCCCGACCAAATGGCCAACAAACTACATTCGCTTCCTATCTCCGGCTTGCTTGAACTGGGGCACATCCACGTGATCATTGATACCTTGGTAAACGACTTTGCAACAGATGCTTGGAAGCTCCTTTGTCAAGAAGCGGAAGATTTCCCGACAAGCGTTTCTTTATCATCCACCGAATACCTCCGTTTTTGCCGTGCTTTCTATCGTGCCGAACTATTCTTTCGGGTTTACCGAGGTGCAAATCAAACGACTCTTGAAAGAATCGGGGGCGCCGAGGCCCGATTGTTCTTCTCGCGGGTTGCTCCGTGGGAAAACGAACAACTTGGCTGCGTGTATGATTTCCTCGACAAGAGGTTTTCCCATGGTAAGCATTGATCCTGACTAAGCAGATCAGCGTGGCTAAATTCTTCCTGCAGCTGCTCGGGATGTTCTGGCGCACGATGTTGAGTTTGGGGAATATAACATAGATTATTTGAGTATTGGCTCTGAGAATGAGTGGACGCAATGCTCGGTACGCAAACTTCCTCAATATAATAACACGCTACATTTGTCTAACCAGTCAAACGATAGATTTCGCGAGGGCTCAGCTTCGTTCATCAAGTGATGAATGAAAAGTCATATGACTCCAAAATGGCCTTGTTAAAGCCAATATTTTTTGGAAATATATATCTTTTGCTTCACAATGCATTGTCTGCGTGTTCTGCTGAGTTCTGTGACAATCTCGGAATCTGGGAAGGAACCTTGGAGGAAATCTCCGACGAGGAAATGGAGCTTCTGATTGAGCGTTCTATTCGGCAGGACACAGACCACGGACCATTTTCTGCCTGGCACAGCGAGTATAAGTACATTTCGCGCAATTCTTGGGTCATGGCTGAGTTTAAAGCCGGGCTTCGAGAGCGAGCATATGTCCTCTGGGACAATGACCGCATGGATCATCTCGGAATGCTTGACTTGTATGAGTTCGCGCCTGAGGACCCAAGCCACATGTGTCATCATGAAGAGGAGTATAGCAAGATGCAGAAGTCCTTTGAGGAAAGATCCCAGATATATCGGCAAGGGGGTCGGGGGTATTGGAGTCCTAACGATACAAGTAGGATAGAGTGGTTAAGCTCAAACCAGTTAAATGAGAACGAATGAAGGGTTTGAGAGAATTACGGATGGAGACTCGAGGATGGGATTTTGGGTTGAAGGGATACCTGACAGGAAAAGAATACAGGCAAAAGAGCAATACACGAAACAATAGATTTGGCATTAATACAAGCCTAGCAGTCTTGAACTTTCAGAAACTACAACGTCAATATTACCTGAGGAAAGGTCAACAAAGGGATAGAGCAGCAGGTGTAAGCGTTCTGACGCGCGACGCTCGCAGCACTTTGTTCATTAAGCTCGGGTCCGGATATTTGGGAAAACCGGGTAATCTCCACCTGGGTCCAGGGTCCGGGGGTAGATTTGGCGTTAGACAGGTCCCCGGCATCAAGCTTTGGCCTGACTTGGGTCTGTGATCCTGAAATTCAGCCCTTCTTGGACAATCAGTCCAAAGCGAGGTCCACTCATCTCTCGTCGCTTATTAGAGCAGCAGGAACTCGGCTTTAGGGACAGAACTGGGATTTGGCGAGCTTAGGACTCGCCCCCGAGTATGTTGGTATTTTATTACTAAGGAAATTTGCCCAAAAGTTTATAGAACCCATTTGCAGCGTTCGGATATCTCGGGATAGCATCGTGCTGGGGACAGACTGGCCTACAGGGCCATCACAGCGAGCCCATTTGTAAATACCGTGTCATCCCAAAAAAACCATAGAAGGCATTTTACTTTGATATTCTTAGATTGGTTAGTGAGACGGCGAGTGCGCAGTTAGAGTAAGGAGAATATTATTAAATGACGCTGATTATCTATGAATGCATGCTTGAAATGTGTATCCTGTCTTTAGGCGCGACTGGTCTATCCTGGGAATATCCGACCTTGATTGAAACCCTTTGCTTACTGGGTGTAGGTGCAGCTGTTGGGCTTGTTGATCTTGATGGGGCGAGCAGTCAAAGTCAAGCATCCCTGGCCACCACCGGGTTGGCTGACGCCAGCGTTGACCCAGACACTCCAAGTGCCATCGCCGACGGGGCAGGCAATGAAGCCAGAGCCACTGAACTTCAGGTCACCATTGCTGTCAACGGCCCATCCCTTGCGCTCCCATCGAGCGGGGATATCCTTCACGTTCGTGGTGTAGCCAAGCTTGCCCTGGCCCATTCCGGAGCGGTCGACGAAGAGCTGCTGGGGGGTCGAACCCTCGTGGTACAGGAACAGATTGCCGTCAACCAGCTTGAACGTAGCCAGGTTATCCGTCGCAGTTTTGCAGGTGGCCCCCTGCTGAGACATCTTGAGCATGATGTTGTTGTTGGAGGCCTGGAAGCCAGTGAAATGAATGCCGGTGGCAGGGCGCAGAGCAAGCACCTCGAAGGTGTTGGATGTGGCGGGAGCGGCGGACACCAGGCCGGCGGCCACAAGGGGAGTGAGGAGGATGTTCTTCATCTGCATTTTGAAGGTTTTTGGTGTGTGGGGTGTTGTTTGCGAGATTGAAGGATTTCTGTTGAGTGGATTGTTGATGTTTGTTGAGTTGAAGCAGTGTGGAAGTGGTGATGTAGGAGTGGTGAATTGATGAGAGAATGGTTACACTGAGGCACCCAGCAGCTTATATACATGGCTCCTATGTCACCTCTGGAATGAAAATAATAACCTCTCTCGGAAACCACAAGCCACCGACTTCGTTGATTCCCGACGACGGCGACTGCTAATGCGCGCCTGACAACAATACCAGCCAATCGTGCCAAAGCCTGACATAACAGCGCGCTTCCCGATTGGAGCCACGGGAGAATACGAGCAATAGTTAGAAATTTAGGCCTGTGGCGCACCTCGAACAGGACAAGGCGATAAAATGGGGCGGCGATGCGAGGGCCCATGAGGTCTAAGCCTCTCGTTCTAGACCCAAGACTGAGACTTGGCCGCTTATGGCTTCTGGACGGCGCGCTCTAGCCTCTCGCTTTTTTTGGACACAAGCCACAGGAGGGCCTCCTGCTAGGGGAAGAGCTAATTATCGGAGCTTTTCTCTGGATTGCCGCGCTGGGTGCGACGTGGAAAGGCGGTGCTTCGCTGGAACTTCAGCCCTACGCCACTCGGGAGACGCCGAGTGGATCATTCCCCGAGGTTCTAAAAAAAGAATCGCGGTGAGAGGGAGAGTCATTGGCGTGCCCACTGTCGTATAGGTTTCTTGCGCGGTTAGACTGTCTCGGATCAGCTCATTCCTCATGTTGTGCGCTGTATCCTCGTATCGAGTGGGACTACAGGTTGGACTTTACGCTGGTATCCCTCGGCAGAGTGAAGACACAAGCTGATCTGGTGTGTGTTCTGTGACCGGCAACATAATTACCATGCTAAACTTGTTTCCCTCCTTGGGCTCTCGAATCTTAAGCTATCTTGATCTTTGAAGAAAGAGCAGAAGTCCTTGCTGTGAATGTCTTGGTCATGCCTGCAGCTCAAACAATTCTAAACATCCTCGCAGCAAGCTTTCCATGTTCCCACGCCCATGCCTCACCCCCCATGATGCCATAAACAAACGCTTCGCCAATCAGAGTGTACGCGTCCGTCGACGCCGGACGCAGCAAGAAGGGAGTCTTTCCTCCTTCCAGCACAGCTACTTTATCTCCAGCCCGCGCGTTCCAAGGCGCCAAGCCCAGGTAGCCTCTGGCAGTGACAAAAAGAGCGCGATGGGCGCAGGCCCGGTGGATTTTCCGCAGGTATTTCCTGTACTTCTTTTGCAGGACGCCTGGCCTCGCCGCCGCCCATCTCAGCGCATCTCTAAAGCCCGTCGGTGAGTCGGTCGCTGGGTTGATCTCCTCGTGGTGCCTAAACATCTTCAGTTCCTGCTCGCCGTAGGCTCCCTGTGCTTTCGTCGTCTGATGAATTCCCATCGAATGCGTCTCTGGAGGTTCTTCCCCCCATCCAACACGATCATTCCAGACTTCAACCATTGACCAGTCCTCTGCGGGTGCAGAGCGGTCCCCGGCGTAGTCCGCAATCATGGTACGCCACAAGGCTTCACTCCGTTCTCCATTGTAGGGGCAGTCGGCACGTGGAGCGAGAGCGAGCGTCTCCCACTGTTCAAGAATCGGTATTCCACGGCGGGAAATTGGTGGCGCGCGAGATGTCGGATGCCAGGCTGCACCGATGACCTTGATCTCGTCAAACAAGATCCCGCTCAGGCATAGCTCGCTATCGTCCAATCCAACACTGCCCAAGTCTACGAATTTGTTCTTTCCCATTGCCCAATGACTAGGCTCGTTGGTTGTCCAATCCAAGAGCGGATAAGGGTCATTCTCCATGGGAAAAGCCCAGCACGGTACCCAAGACGGATTTTGTTCCAAGCCTACCAGGTCATCGTCTCTCTCTTTAGTGGCAGCTGGTGCAGCGGCCAACGGTTTGCAGTACTCAACGGATACACGACCTAGATTATCCCAGTCCTTTACCCACCCCTTTGGCAAGCGCCTCTGGTTAGGTATGCTCTGGGCTTTGGTTGGCTTTAAAGCCTCTAAAGGGCTAGTCTGGGACGGCTTCTCGGTATTATGGTCGATAAAATAGCATGAATTCTTCCCCTGCTGGACTCTCCGCTCCCACCCAAGGGGCAGTCGTGCCCAACCATATCGCAATTTTTGATCTGGCCCGTCATCGAGTCGAGCCTGGACATCGTGATACTTGGCCTGGTCAAGGAGGTTGTAAGCTTGGTCAGCCAGCTTGGAGTCACCTCCAGAGTGCCACTCCCTCTTGCAGTTCAGTATATCAAGTGTTGCCGTCACCTCGATGATTTTTCTGGCGAACTGCCGGTACACTTTGGCTGTCGATACATGGTAGTTGGGCGTTATGGACTGGGCGATTTCCGAAGGGATGATTCCCAAAAACCCGTAGATGCGATCGCGGGGATTGCTGCATTGGAGCTCCCGAAACCTATACAAGGTGTCGTATAGGCTAAGGCTGTTTGAAGAGAGAGCCCAGCTCTGTCGAAGAGATCTCAGCGTGCAATATCGATCATCGTTGAAGACGACGTCGCTCATGGAGTGGATCCCAAACGGGGAACTGGCTCGACCAAAACGCCTCGTGTAACGAGCCGTGGCTTCATCAATTTTATCCCAGGGAACCATGTCTGCGCCGCACATGACAACAATGTTTCGAGCCAGCACCACCTCCTGTACGATCCAGACTCGCTTCCACCACGGGCGGTCGAGGAACTCTCGCACTTCTCCAGTGTTCTGCTCTTGGATCAGATGTGTTCGGTTCTGTACGCTCACGGAATTCCCCAAAGTCTGAAGCCAAGGCAATGCCGGCTTGCCGTGTTTCCTGTCGATCATCCACTGGTGCCAGCCTATGGTGAAATTGTTGCCATTCAGCAAATCGATGGCAAGCTTGCCGCCTTCCGTGGGCTCCCCGAGCCAAATGCACACCTGCTGGGCTTTGCTGTAGATGTCTCTCATCAGCAAAACCTGGCAATTACGCTCATCTGTGTCGTTCTGGTTTATGCAGATTGCATCGATCCAGACGGTCCGGGGCGTCTTCCGTTGTCTTAACCGCCGGATAGCCCTCTCTACGTTCTCTTGCACAGTGAAAGATTCTCCATTCAGAGTTATGAACTTCGGCTCGCTCTTCTTTTTATCCCAGGTATAAGATAAAGCCTCGTATTGCGGGTTCTGAGAAAGAAGCTGGGGATGAAGACGGCATATTATCGGGTCGACAAGTGACCCAGCTGGTTGGATACTGAGAAGTCGGATCTCGCCAGTGGAAGACTTAATCGGGTGGTACACTGAAGTGGCCATGGCGTGTGACCAAGTTGTAATCCAGCGAATGGGCACTTGGACGAAGGCGAGGCACTTGAAAAGGATGAGGGAGGTTTCCAAATCTGGGGAGGCAGAAGCTGGCAATGCCCCTGTATTTCTGCTTCAGCTGGGCGGGGTTAACATTCAGCTGGTGGCAATATTGAACGCCACATGCCTCAGTTAGCCGCTGCATGCGACTGTCACTTCTCGCGGAACCAATGATCACGCGAACGGATTATTAATCGCCCTAGTTTTTAGGAATAACTGAAAATGGCTCCTCCTAGATTGATATGAAAGATTCACTAAATATAACCCCTTCTCATCATCCCCTCATTTTCTCCGCCCTTTCCGACTGTTATAGCTTCTTCCCATAGCGTTGTATCACGCGTGAGGTGTGCCACTCACCTTCGGTCTATATTCCTAACCTAGTGGAAAAGGTTTGCGTGGCCGTCACCCACAACGTCTACCTTCCACTCCAAGCCATGCACTCTGACCGCGTCGTGCCAAACGTCGAGAGTCTCGTCGTTCGGTTCCAGCGCCCTCGACGGTCCTGCACCTCCCTGTCCCGAAAACTCCAGGCAAGGGGTCTTGAGGGTGCGTGTGACGAACCCGATGCCCATAGGCGCTTTTCCGTGATGAAAGACGTAGAACTCCTTTATATTCGGCATATGGCTCGCACGGCGACCCGCAGCCAGGGCGAACTGATTCATGACGCCCTGGTCAAATGTTGATGGGAATGTTCTTTCGTGCTCCTCACCTGGAATCTCGCTACTCCACCGTGGATCATCGTCATCACTTCGCGATTCGAAATATTCGTTGTGGTCTCGAACTTCAATCCACTGGCCTGTCGGTAACACGTCGTTCAGTTCAATATGGAACAGTGTCAAGGTGGGCCAATGCGCGTTGTCGTTAGGCTGCTGCGACCGCGGCCAGAGGATTGTCCAGTCGACGCTAGCGTTAAGGAAAAACTCCTTAAGACCTTCTCTTTGGGAGAACTTGTAAAATGCTTGGCTTAGAATGTCGCCTGGAGCATCAGAAGGTACAATGCTGGGAGCCTGGAAGTATCTATCCCTCGGGGGTTCCCGGACATATTCGAGCCTGAAGGCTTCCAGCGACTTTGGTAGTTTGTCTAAGGTGTGCGCAAACACTAGAGAGCTTATGAGTAATTTTGCATGATATACGAAATTCGAGTGCGCATATTTCATTGCCCAGTTCAAAGACTTACTCGTTCTTTGGTGTATGCGTACGTTGGCATCTACCTTCTCAGCATCGCTGAGCCACCACTCCACCTTTTTCAATCGCGTTATCTTGCTAGTTATTAAGTTGATCGAGGATGGTGCGAAAACAAGACTTCGCGAATCCAAGTCCGCTCGAAAATAGGCGATCGCAGGTAAGTCTGGGATGCCCTGGTCCCAATGTGAGTCCAGCTCGAGATACGTCGTGCCGACTTCGCCCATAGCGACCTTGGTCGCTTCTGCCACTCTGTCCACTGAGTTCCAGGGAATCAAGTACTTCATCGGAGGTGATATGAAGAATTCCAGTGAGACGGAGGGTTTTGGGCGAGGCGGAATTTGCGCAAGAATGCCGAAGAACTGTCTGACGCTTCTGGTAAAGACAAACTGGTCGTCATAATCTTCCTCCGGATTCGTCGACACATCGAGGTCATGGGCGGGAAATTCGAATTCGAACCAGATGTAGCGGAGATGGCCAAGGCGGGTTGGCACGAGGCAGCTGTTGGCTTCAGGAGCAGCAATCTTTGTTGGACTCAACACCAAGTAGCGGAATGTGATCGTCTCCACGATGCTCTGCCACAAGCGAGAGACGGTTGCGTATGAAGCAAGCGAAGTATTCGGGATAAGTCGCCCTACATCAAATTCCCAACAGGGGTTTTCGATGAGGCATAATGCAATTTTGAGAAGTATTTCGGGTGGAAGATATTTCATGGTAGTCTCTGGAATGTGAAAACCCTGCAATGAGGTGCTCTGGGAAGATGATTACTTCAAGCGTTACGAGACGAAGGCTCTTGTGCTTGTTCTAAGAATGGAATAGGGGCACAGACTGGCCTAGATAAATGAATTATATAAGCACACACGTGATGCTTGGCCGAATCGATCATGACGCGAAACAAGAAATCCATGACCCATGCAGATGTTGCTACTTAGAAGTTTGAAGCAATAGGGAGGATATTGAATTTCATCGCATCATCCTCTCAGGCCATGGCATCCAACCAAACACGCGCCATCACGCGGAACCGTGAGCGCCTGGTCTGCACCGAATGTCGACGACGCAAACTGAAATGCGACCGATCAACGCCCTGCAGCAGCTGCGTTCGACGAGGAGTCTCGTCATCGTGCGAGTACCATCGCTCTGGCCGTATTTTGGAAGATGGACGTCAGCGTCGTGTGCTCGCTGAGGAACGCCTGGAGCATCTTGAGAAGCTTGTGCATCAGCTGGCTACCCAGCGGTCTGAGGCTACTCCCGCTTCGTCTGGTCAGGGACTATCTACAGGTCTATCGGGAGGACCAACAGATTCGGCAGTCGACGACCTGTTCTACAACGGCTCAACCCACTGGTCGGCAATGCTGCAAGATATCCAAGCCCTGCGGTCAGCAATGACTTGCGAGGTTGCCGAAGACACCGAGGTGGAACCTCCGGAACAGATCTCGGATACCGGAATCAGTCTTCTCTTCGGGGCCGCCCCCTCCGGTCTCCTCACCTTCTCCGAAGTCCTCGCCCATTATCTCCCGTCTAGACAAGAAACCGACCGAATGATAGCCTCCTACTTCAGGCACAAGTCCACCGCTGCGCCATTCATCCATGCCGCCCAGTTCCGGCGCCACTACCAATCCTTCTGGGTCTCCCCGACCAGCGCGCCTCCACTCTGGGCTTCTCTTCTCTTCTCCATATGCCACATTTCCTCCAAAAGCCACGGCGGCTCCTCTCCAAATAACCCAGACTCATCGCCGAGCACTCACTTCTCTCTCGCCTCCGCGCACTGCCTCGCTCTTGGCTTCTACTTCCGCCCGCAGCCATTGGCCGTGGAAGCCCTCCTTCTCTTCGCCCAGGCTCAATGTCTCACGTGTCTCGAACTCCCTTCAGATCTCGGGACGCTCTTCGGCTCACTGATTCGGGTTGCAACACAAATGGGCTATCACAGGGATCCGGACGTCCACGGACCCGGCAAGTTCACGCCGTTCGAGGCGGAGATGCGCAGAAGAACATGGTCCGTAGCCATGCAGCTTGACTTGCTCATATCTTTTCATTTGGGCCTCCCTAGTAGCGTGCAGTATCCGACATGGGATACCAAGACGCCGCGGGCCATCATTGACGCCGATTTGCGGGAGGATATGACCGAATTGCCTCCGGAGAGGGAATATTCAACCGAGACACTATTTTACATAGTGAAGCATCGGTGCATGCGAGTGTTTGAGAAGATAATGAGACACGTATTAGCGATGGAGCCTCAAACCTTTGTCAATAACGAAAAAGGGCAGCCTGAAGATGAGGAGCTTAACGTGCTGGAACAGGAGATGCGCGAGGTGTACGCCGCTGTACCAGAGTATTTGCGACCGAGACAAATGGCGGACTCGGTGGTCGATGCGCCTTCGACCATTGTCACGCGGTTGTGCGTGTCGAATCTATACAACAAGTGCTTCTGCGTTCTACACAGACCGTATGTGGTGCTGGGGAGGGCGGACAGTGTGTCGGCGTGCTGGTCGTCCTCGAAGGCTATCGTGCATCATATGATTGATGTGTACAAAGAATTCGCCCCCGGAGGGCTATTGGAGACGGAGATGTGGTTTATGTGCAGTCTTACCTGGCACGACTTCTTATTCGGCGCCACGGCACTGTGCCTGGCGCTCTGTAAGATGAAGGACGGCGGGGAGGCTCCGGACGCCGATGTCGAGTTGCTTCAGAAAGCGAGAGCCATCTTCGCGGAGCAGGCGTCAAGGAGGGCAAAAGATACCATGAGGGTTGTCGCCGTTATCGACGCGACAGTTCGTTATGTCTGGAACCGAGAGGTTACTGCAACCCAGAGCTCTGCCATTTCGGCTCCTGATGTAGAGATGGCCTCGGAGGATGTCGAAACCATTCTACAATCCGTCCAATTGGATGAAACCTGGGCATTTGGTGGTTTTTCTGTCACGGCTGGGCCTTTGGAGGACCCGACTTGGCGATATATGGAGCAATTGCTAGATCTTGAGCCACAATGACGTATAACTGTAAAAAAATGAGAAACCAGTGTTGCTAGACAGTTCAGATTCGCTGTACAAATGCCGAATGGCGAGCCAGATTTGGGCGGAGTTAGACTTAGTGGTGCGGAGATAGCGGCCGAGAGAGATGGATGACGGGGAAGTGGCTGCGAGTGGAGATAGTCTACCGGCCGAGAATGGCCTTAAAGTTCCGCTACTGTACTCTAAATATGTGTATATAATATATATCCTTTCCATAACTTTGATCTCTATTCTCTGATCTTTATCCTTCTCATAAACTCCAAGCATTTAGTCCTGCTCAGTTTCCATCACTGCCCCATAGTCAACACCAATCCTCCGCTTCCACAATGGCCACCACCCTGAAAACCATCTTCATCACAGGCGCCAACACGGGCCTGGGTTACCAGATTATCCGCGCCCTTGCTACATCCACATCCCCGTACACAATCCTTCTCGGCAGTCGCTCCCTCTCCAAGGCCGACGCTGCGATTCAATCTCTTGCAGCCGAGTTTCCGTCGACCAAGAGCACCATCACACCCATTCAAATCGACATCGAGGACGACGCCTCCATTGCAGCGGCCGTCAAGACCATTGAGGCCAAGTATGGCCACTTAGATGCTCTGGTCAACAATGCCGGAGCCCAATTCGATCAGCACCTCACTGCGGGCAACATGACAATGCGCGAGGTCTGGGACGCCTCGTGGCGATTAAACACTACCAGTACACATGTCATTACCCACGCCTTCGTGCCCCTCCTCTTGCAGTCGTCGGACCCGCGCCTCTTGTTCATCACGAGCGGAACTTCCACCCTCGAGGGAAGCGACAACCGTCACATACCGATTAACAAGTTCCCAGCACCTGGGTGGCCAAAGACAGGGCTCCTATCAATCGGGAACATGCCAGCTTACCGTAGCAGCAAGACGGGCATGAACATGATGATGCGAGAGTGGCATCGTATGCTGAAAGAGGACGGGGTCAAGGTGTGGTGCATCAGTCCTGGGTTTTTGGCCACAGGCTTGGGCGGCAACCAGGAGGCGAACAAGAAATTCGGAGCCGAAGATCCGGCGCTAGGAGGGGCGTTTGTTCGGTCAGTACTGGAGGGAGAGAGAGATGAGGATGTCGGCAAGGTTGTTTCCAGGGCTGGGGTACAGGCTTGGTGAGAGTATGTCCGGTCCTATTAAGTAGTCAACGACACGGGAATTGTAGTTATTGAACATAACGCTCTCTTTATCGTCGCATGAACATTATATACGGTGTGTTGCGGCCTACAAGATGTCGATATACCGGTGTTTGCTGCCTAACTATGTTCTTATTCTTGCTACAATCTCTGAGAAGTTCACCAGCCATGAGACTAAGGACAGAAGAGGATCGTTGATAGACGATTGGAAGACCAAATTTCTCATAAGTAGGCCAACAAATTCACTCCATGCTATAAGCCATAATTCATGAACGTGATTAATGGATCCATACAAAGGGCGAGCGACTCGCCTCAGACAGTTCAGGCGGGCACAAACATGATTCCCTTGGCAAAAGATCAAGATAAAATTGCAAATGTTTCCTCAGTATCCCGGCCGATCGCGCTACGAAGCTGAGCCATATAAGCCCGGCTGAGGCTCCTGCTCCTGAGAAGATGGGGAGCGTCTACAACTCATCTGATGAGAACAGCGCCCTGATTCCATAGAAGTCCTCAGTCTCGAAAGCACATTTTTCTTGTAGCAATCGCTCCGTTTCGGCATGCCCTTCAAATACCGCCAACTCAAAGGCATACCACTGCTGTTTGCCTCCACCTACCGCGGCCTCATCCTCCAATAACATCTTGACCACATCGGTTTGTCCGTTCTTCGCAGCAACCATAAGTAGTGTCTGGCCATGGCAGTCCTCAATATCCATATCAGCCTTTGCAGCGAGTAATAGCCCGACCACTTTACTGTGTCCAATTTCTGCTGCCAGGAAAAGGGGTGTCTGGCTCAAGTCATCGGTTGAGTTTAATCTGCCTCTCTCCGAGGCAAGGAGCACCCTGACGACCTCATGATTCCCGTTTGCTGCTGCACGCGACAATGGCGTCTGGCCATCATCATCTTTTAAGCTAGTGTCAGCTCCCTTCTGGAGCAGAAGTTCGACGACCGCTAAATCCCCCCCAAGTGCGGCCCATCCCAATGGTGTTAGATTTTCCTCATCTCTCGAGTCAATCTGAGCTCCATGGCAAATCAGTATTTTAACGACGTTGTGGTGCCCTCTTCTTGCGGCATATAGCAGCGGTGTGCTCTGGCTGTCAGACCTCGCGTCTACTTGGGCTCCCATGCTAAGCAACAGCATGACAACAGGTCCATGTCCATTGAGAGCGGCGTATGCCAAGGCCGTCTCACCTGTTGTGGATCTCGCTTCAAGTTTAGCTCCATTCTCAAGTAGCAGCTTCGCAATGTGTTCGTGGTTGTTGATTGCAGCCCATGATAGCGGCGTCCTTCCGTAACTGTCACCCGAGTCGAGGCCGTTACGACCGAGTAAGAGTGGTACAGCTTGCTCAATGCCGAAGTACGACGCTAAGTGCAGTCCAGTTACTCTCCGTGGAAACCGTTGGCTATAGTTTGAATCCTGTGGAGAGGTCTTGAAAGCCATCAGAGTTTGGGTCGATGCCTCGACCAGAGTCTCGTTCTCGAGAAATCTCATGACAGCCTGACTTAGAGTCGACGCCTCGCATGCGTGATAACCCCAGTTGTGTGCGGCATAGTCGTAAAGCCGATTTATTTGCAGCCTTTCTTCAAGTTCGTTATCTGTGAGGCAAGGCCCGCTCTGAAAAACTATGAATGAGAGGTAGGTGGCGCAAATTGTCGTAATATACGTCCTGGCATCCGGGAAAAGTTGTGTTTGCATTTGCTCAAAAAATTCCTGTGTCGTATAATGGACTAGGCGGATGATGCCGCTCTCTTTGTCGACCGTGACTAACCCCGCACATACGGACACTATTCTCTCGATCCGCTCAATATTATCTTCGTCGAGTTTAGTATCGCCAACCTCGACGGCAAGCGCATGTTGAAGCTCCAATGTAGTGAGGGGCCGCTTGGCACAGGTGATCCATGACAAAACCTTGTTAGCAAGTCGCCGGAAGCCTGGTTTCTGCTCATTAATCCTTGCCATAGCCTCCTTGTAGGCGAGATCTAAAACCTCTCGCCTTTGGTCTTCGCTTGACGCTGAATTTTGTCTCTGTAACTGCGTTAACGCCATTCTGACAGCGGTTACAGTGGTCTTGTCATCAAGCGAGTTGAGGTATATCTGTGCCAAGAGAAACCTGCAAGTGTCAACCTCGATGCTCCTACACTTATATGAAGAACGTACATTCCATCGACAGCGTCCGATATCCTGGTCTTGACCTCATCTCGTAAGCGTTGACTCCACTCATCGAAGGCCGAAAGTGGGCCAATATGTCCCTCCAGATATCTTTCGACGTCTTCTTTACTGGCACGAATTTCAAGAGACTTGAGTCCCATAAATTTTTCCGTAACTTCAGGAATAGGTCTTGACGTCGCAAATATGTTTGCCCTACACTTAGCCTGGAGGGCAAAGATCTCGAGGAGGAAGCTCTTCCGACTGGTTGTCTGGCATTCATCGAGTGCGTCAACGATTATGAAGACCCTTGAATACAGAGCGGCGACATACTGGAGAGTAGTCAAAATCTCATCAAGCGACGGTCGCTTCCGCTGGTCCTTGTATTTGTTGTAGAGAAAGCTCACACCCTCCGGTAGAGATCGTCGTCCATCAGCTAGCTGCTTCAACAAGTTTGCGAAGAGATCGTCGGCACTCTGTTGGTTTTGCCGCCGGAAGTGGCAATAGATGTACGCAACACCGATATTCTCGTCGCTGACAAAATTCGTTGTAAGTTCCTGAACTATAATCGACGTAAGGATTGTCTTGCCGGCTCCTGGAATGCCTGGGCAGAATATTGTCTCGTTGTCCGTCTCCATCCATGCCTTGAATTCTGCCGAGTCCAGCAGCCACTTTCCAGTTCCGACTTGTCGTCGATTGATGAAATCACTTTGCTGAGGCGCGTAATCCATCGGAGCAAGCCAGTCCAGAATTGTTCTGCGGACCTCGGCGGTGTGTTGATCATCTTGGCGGACACGTAATGTATCCAAGTTGTCCTTTAACTCCGCAAGCTGGTCATGGCTGTGCTTCGAATCCTTGCCGATTGCGTCGACCAAGTCCGCCAGCCGTCTCTCATGTTCCCTGGAACTCTTCTTGATTTCCTGGATGAGCTTCCGGCACTCGTTTTCCAAGGCCAACCCCAACAGCGACTTCTCCCGCTCGATGGCTGCGATGATCTTTTCCACCTCTTTCTCGCTGAACGGCCATTTCAGGTGTTCTAAAAGCCTTTTCGGTCCCTCTTTGGGTTGTAACTTTGCTCTGACGGTACGTAGAGCAATCCACAATCGAGCGAGTGGCGCGCCGGGGGCCTCGAGGGCTTTGATGGTCTCCGACCACGCCTTGCCCGCCTCCGAATCATCGGCTTCGTCTTTGAGCTGTTGGAGGATGTATCCGCATGCTCGCACCTCCTCACGAAGACGTCTCCGCTCGGTGGTAGCGCTAACGGCCGAGTTGATATATGTGACAACTTCGGAGGACAGTTGGAGGACAGCAATGACGCTCGCAGTTGCGCCGAGGGGATCCATTCAGAAATGGTTGGCTCAGTTTCGATGATCAAAAGGCTCGCGGTGGTGAACTCGGAGTACATGATGGGTCTCCTGGCAGATTGGTACAAGAATCTGGTGTGAACCTGATTGGCGTGCTTGGAGCTCTGTCCTTATTTAATGGTGTAGCATAGCAGATGAGGAAGGGTTGGGCATCGCAATCCAGTCGGATCGGGCACAGAGAAGGTCAGCATTCCGACTTGCATGGCTAAATATGGCGGGGTAAATTTATGTTGCCTGCAGCATAACCAAGTCTCAGCCAATTAAGAATAGAGGCTGACGAACAAGAAATGTGTCAGTGCCAAGATGTGGGCAGTGACAATTCTTTTGGGAGGGCACCTCTTTTATATATTACAGAATACAGGTCCAGATGTGACCTCCAGGTTCAAAGGAGCGGGAAGCTGTACGGTCGTTTATCTTGAAGTCTTCATGGTTCCTCAAAAGGAGTGCTACGAGGTGGCAGGCTCACTTTCATCGTGAGCTTGCGCCAACGTTCGAATGAACTCCAAGCTAAAGAAGCCATTCAGTCTGTCACCGCAAATCATCTAGCCACAGCGTTGCAATTTGACTCATTTTCGTGGCTTCATAGGTTAACATTTTAAGAATCTCTGAAGCTGATTAGTTTGTTGCCAGCTTACCTACCCTACAGCCCGTGTCTCAATACTTGACAATCCTCGACGACATTACTGTTGATCGAACCAAAGTCCCCTCATTTTCTCTCAATTCATTTCCTTCCATTTCAAAGAGTTTCCCAGGGTCATTTGTTTAGCTTCGGCAATCTACGGGTTATTTATCGCTGGGCCGGCTAACTCGGCGCTATTGGGACGACCCGCCATCGATGACTCCACTCGGCTGCCGAGCTGTCTCCGAGCGGAGAAGGATCGCAGAAGGATCGCGATGTCTGACTCACGGCTATCATAATACAACAAACCAGACCCTCAAGATTCTCGGCTAAGCCGTGAACTTTTTTCCATCATCTAATTGTCTTTTCAGGACATTTCCCTCCATTAAACAACAATGTCGTTGCCTGTCGGTCCCCTAGTCTCGGGGACGTCCACCAAGCCGTCCAAGGTTGCACTCCACGGGCGCTACATCTCTCTCGTCCCTTTGCAGTCATCTCACGCCGTCGCAAACTTCAAGCATCTTGGTGGTGAGGAGAATGCCCAAAGCTGGACACACATGTTTGGTGGACCGTACCTGGACACGAAGGAGTGGCAGGAAACCATCGACAAATGGAGTGCATCGACCGATCCGCTCTATTTCACGGTTCTTTCTGGCCTAGAGTCTGATCCGAACTCTGAGCCGGTTGGACTGATGACCTACATGTCGATCTTCCCGGACCACCGCAGAATTGAGATCGGTAGCATCATCCTTGGAAAGGTGTTGCAGCAAACTCGTGGGGCGACAGAAGCGTTCTACCTCATCCTCAAGCATGCCTTTGAGGATCTGAACTACCTCCGAGTCGAGTGGAAGGCAAACAACCTAAACAAGCCGAGTCTTTCAGCCGCTGAGAGACTTGGATTCGTGTTTGAGGGCATCTTTAGGTGAGCGCTGCATGTCCCAGGCTTCTATTCCCACTCCGCTAATTGGACACAGGAAGCACATGGTTATCAAAGGCAGACGTAGAGACACAGCTTGGTTCAGCATTACAGATGAAGAGTGGCCGGTGGTTAAACAGGGACTGGAGGGTTGGCTGAGTGAAAACAACTTTGATGAACAAGGAAAGCAGCGCAAGAGCTTGAAAGAAATTAGACAATCCTTCTAGGCAAACAGCGCCTGACTAAACTACCCAGATACAAATTAAATCTAAACTATTTAGATTCAAATTAGATGGCCTATTCAAACATACAAGCGATGGTAGGTTCATCTTCCGCAGCCTGAGGAATACTGAAGGGCCTAAGGAGTTAGAGTGGAGATCATCCCCGGAGTTGCGACAATGTCGACATGTCAAATATCTTCCACCGCACGCCATTTAGACGGAAAAGAAAGATTCATTGTATCAAAAAGGAACAGGTAATGGCGGGACAATACACAGCCGAGTACTTCTGCCAAGTAGCCATGTTTCTGACAAGGCGATCGGGGCGAAGTCAAAGAGGCTGCCCAATTATGACATCATAGAAGGAATCCGATCCCCAAAGTGCGGATATCGTCGATCTGTGGCCAGGGCCGATTTCAACTCCAATACGCTCAGGTAGCAGAGTAGCCTTACGTCGCGCTAGACTGTCTCAATTTATCGAGACTTTGTGGTATCGCCACTACAATTTTAGGCCGTGCCGCATTAACACAGGCTAAGTTAACCATCATGTCATTCTACATGCACCTCATTGCCCTTGTTAGGTGAAGATCGATCATCTCTCGGTTACGTGGGTGGAATGGTTCCGCTCCTTGGCAGCTTGCATCCTACTCCTAGCCGGAGAATTAGGCAGGTGGTTTAAGTCGGCAGCACACACGCATGCACAAAATCTGCGGGAGACCAGTTCAGCTAGTTTCAAGCACAAAAGTCCGCCCAAACGACTTGAAGGGGATTCCCTTAATCGGCTTCAAGCTCAAAACACCATCCCTTGCTGGTAAGATCAACCCTGGCTAATCAGGGTCCACTTGCCGATCTACAGGGGTCTCTGCATTCCTTCCTTTTCAGCTCGTCTCCTAAACGGGCGTCATGGTGGACTATCCCCGATTTTGACAGTAATAAGGAGAGAGGATCATCTCAAGTGTCGGGTACATAACGCTACGACGAGTCATTAAACAGTGAAATCGTTTCATCAGCAACAGTTACTACATCGCAGCTGTCGAAATAAAACCCTTTACTTAGCATTTGACCACTTCAAACTAGAATCCGCAATCATGCTCCCAATTCTCTTTTCTCCCGTCCTTCTCCTCTCCTTTGGAGCCTTTTCCAGTGTCCAAGCTGCCTGCGTCGGACCCGAGGTCAATGAGGCCACCATCAACCTAATTGAGAGCTTTGAAGGCTTTGAAGCCGATGTTTGTAAGTGAATGTGATCACTGCAAATATTTCGCAGCTAATCTTGGATGAGACATTGACGCTACCGGCAACCCCACCGTTGGATATGGCCACCTTTGCACACAGTCCAACTGTGCCGAGGTCCCTTATGACATCCCACTATCGGATGCCGATGCCGAGCAGCTACTTCGTGATGACATTGAGGTATGAGATCGCGTTTGTGTTTATCTCTTAACTCGATGGCTGACTATATGGTCCTTGGCACAGGTCGCTCAACAATGCATCGCCTTGGATACGACCTCCCAGGCAGTCCTCAATGCGAACCAGTATGGCGCCCTTGTCAGCTGGGCATTCAACATTGGATGTGGAGCTTCAGGATCCTCCACTCTGATCAGCCGCCTTAACAATGGAGAGGATCCTAATACAGTCGCCGAGGAGGAGCTTCCTCGATGGAACAAGGGAAATGGACAGGTCATTGATGGCCTTACCAGGCGTCGCGCCGCGGAGGTGGACTTGTTCCAGACCGCCACAAGTGTTGCTGCTCTCCCTATTGGCTGTTGAATGCTCCTCTAAGTGCCAATTGATGGGTTGAAGTAATGATGAGAATCTGAAGAGCCGAGGCGCAGTACACCCAGTGAATGTCAAAGGAGTAGGACTGGTCATCCCTAGAGCTCAGAGTAGTGCAAAAAGAAATACGTACAAGAGAGAGATTGTCAAACACCAACTTATCCATCATTTGTAGATCTATGATAATCATCTAAGCCTTCATCAATCCCTTTCGATCCCCTAAAACATTGGATCAGTCAGTTGCGATGTAGTGAAATTTGTGTATTTTAGATGTGTTCTCGATTCTACTGACTTTCGTAGCTATGATTCTTCAACTGCATCTCTCTTGGCTACCTTACATTGTCTTCATGTGGTTGTTGAAAACCCAATTCAAACCTAGAGTCGTTGGACTTCCAGAACTAGCTCGGGAGTGCTGGGGTGATTAAGTTGCTCCTCCTGTCCTTGCTGTTCATCTCGCATGGGCCATGATATTAAGCTTTCTTCTCCTGTGCTATCGAGGGTGGTGTTGCCAGTTCTGCAACGCGTATTTGATCTTGAAATTGGTGCGGGAAGGCTTGCTGAGATTGTACATCGTAGGCTGGCGGGGGATCTGTCGACAAAGGGGCCATTTGAGACTGTTGGTTACCCTGGGGTACGAAGTTGCCCTGAACGTAGATGATCTGTGGCTTAGCAGCAGGGCGGCCTTTAATCTCATACCAGGCCATGATAATGGTTCCTAAGTGCACCAAGCTATGCAGTATGAGCTGTTAGTCATGCGCTATAGCCTTGGGGATGGATGGGTTAAGTTTCCGCCGGTAAAATACGTACGTCGCCAGGACACCAAAGACAAGGACAATATACAAATACTCTTTGCCTCTCCCATCTTGAAAGAAGGCAAAATAGAAGCCTGAGTCGTCGAGTTTTGAGATAGTGAAAGCAATCACACTTGACATAGCCCCAAGGGCGAGGAATAACAATAAATCGACGATGAGACACGCTCTAGGGTGCGCGCCGGAGCGACTACGCACGCAAAGGCAAACAGCGTCCACACAGTCCCAAAGAAAGGCCACGAGTGCCTGTGAAGATATTTAGCAGTGGACAGACCAAAACACGCCCGAGTTGACTCACTGGAGGGCCCATCATGATCAGCGCACCAAGGGTCCAATGGGCGTAGTAAAAGGCAGAAACTCCGATGATTGCAATGCTGAAGATGATGGACAAGAGGCGAAGGCTCATTCTGGACCACCACATGCCAGCTGATGGGACATGTTTGGCGGGTACTGCTTGCCCATCAGGCAGGGTGAAGTGTTGCTGCTGCATTGGTAGCACCTGCATCGTTTTAGAATCGTCGAACTAGTGTGGGCAATGATAAATAGAAACAAACAAAATATTAAGGTTGCGGCGGGGAGACAGACATGATATAGTGCTCGTATGTATTTAGTTGGCAGACCAGGGTCAGTTCAGCTGAGGGAGGCTATGTCGTAACGGAGCTTGGCATTCTTGTAAGTCCATGGAGAGGTTGCGGCTGCACCACGTGCTCGCCCGCTTGTGCTGAATTTCTCGGAAAGAATTCCGATGCGACTGCCTAAATAGGTATGGCACCTGCACCGCTGGCGGTGCGAAGAAGACCCACGTGACGTGGCGGTGCGGCTAAGATCCGTTGTGTAGGTAAGTATATCTGCACAAGCAGCGGAGTCAGCGCCGCAAGTTTACCGCAGCCATGGCGCCCTAAACTTCTAGTAGCTGTAGCAGCTGGAAGCTTTAGGTGCTGGGTCTGCTGTGGCTGCTGGAAGCTTGTGGCGCTGTGGCTCGTGCAGATATGCTTATAATGCATCTTATTTGCACCGCCGGGTGCTCTCAGACGCAGGGATCCGGTCCGGCGGATGACTAAAGAATTCGGAGTCTGGGGCACGGCAGATGAGGGAATCCCTCGCCGGTCAAGATGATCAACACACAGTCAATCAATCAGTCACAACGACGATATGAAGGCCGTAATTTTCACCAATTCAACCAGGTTAATTTTGCCTCATGCGACCGTGTAGTTCCCTGTGCCAAAGGCCACCAACTCAGACCGTCAGCCACCCCAATTACGGGATCACGAGATCCGACACGTGCACGGTCATGTGGTCCTCTTTCCACCACCAGTGGTACGGGTACGGCTCAGCTCAGGACAGAACTAAGCCTCCTCTAGTGGGGAGTAGAGCTACTCTCTCTACCAATTAAAAGAGACATCCAGCCACCTTCGCCACAGCTCCCGCCACAACCCACCCTTTCTGCACAGATTCTGGACTTGTTGCTATTCCAAATTTAATTCCAGTAGCAACACTAAGACGAAACCTGCTTCGCCCGGTTCGAAAACCACAGCCGTGCCTCCAAGGATGCACTGAAAGTTTTCAATCGGCCAGGGCATGAGCTAGCCTTGCGGAGAGTTCGGGAATATGTCGGAATATCTCCGGTTGGGCCCAACTAGCCGAATAACAAGTGGAGCCAGAGCAGATAACAGGAAATGGGGACTAGATAAGGGATTAGATAGAGGATAAGATAGAAACGACGGAGTAGACAGGAGATTAAATATACCCTAATAGTACTAGTGCATAATTAAAAATAAACACAACGCAATACAATAAAAATCTTGATAATTATCCCTTAAATCACAAGGGTATATTCAGCTCTCTAAATAATTATTTAATTATTAATCTACTTGAATTAAAATATTGTCCCAGCCGTGCAGCTCAGTCTTGATCAATCGCCAGTGAAGCCTCCATCAGTCCAGACCCGTCGCCAGTCGCTCTGGAGGCCAGCATGGGCTCCCTCATAGCGGGGTTGCTCAACCTCAGGTAAGTCCCAGCAAGTAGGGATGGGTCCAATGACGGACCAGCGCTTGTAGCGCCTCGTTATCGATAGCGCCAGGAGCAGAATACACCTTATATTAACTACGTCAGCGATATGACCTGTCTTTTCTCATCCAGCGACTTTCCGACAGAGAGCACCTGAGTCGGTGGCAAAAAGCCGGGAGCCCAAAGGGGGGGGCGCTATATTTCAGCTCGCCAGCCACTTGCTCAAATGATGCTCCCCAAGCGCAGATCAGTTGCCGTGGTGCTGTGCATTTCATTTGGGTCTGTCGAGAGTTTTCTCATGTCGGAGGCAACGCAAACCTGGACATGCGTCATTCTATGGGCGGCTCTGGGGCCCCCACGGCACCCAGCCCTACGGGACCGGCACCTGAGTGACCCAGCTATTGGGCAGCGGCGTGGCAGGGGGCTGCCCAATGGCTGGGTCAATAGCTGGGGCCTCGTATTCAGAGTCAAGACCCTAGCATCTCTGAGACAGTTGGTGGAGTCCCGGATGCGAGAAGCCGCACTGAAGCGGCATCCCAATTTACGCCTTCAGCGAGCCTTTTGGGCATAGCCATCGGCGATTGAGTAGCCATCGGCGATTGAGTAGCCATCGGCGCATGAGTAGCCATCGGCGCATCGCTGCCCGGGGCCGTCACTGGCTGGTAAGGGCATGGGTAGCGCGCGTGGGCAAGGAGAGAGATCTTCAGGGTCCTGCCTCCACTGTAGATCATGCCTCCTCTTGAGCAAGAGCTTCAGTGCCACTTTACCATCTGCGGTGTAGCTTGCGGGGATCTCCCCCTCTGCGAAGGGCGCTTACTCATCCTGAGTGGGCGAGGAATGACTGTTGGTGGACAAGCACCATGTGAGACATACCAGCACCCTGACGAGTGCCGAGCATGGGATGGGAGGAGATGTTCGCTCTCGCTTTAGCCAAGCAAACCATCAGCAGCACGTGCCGATGGCCCAATCTCTGAGACACTCCCTGCGATGTTGGCTTGGTGGCGACTCAAAAACTAACATTCTTTCTCCGTAGTAGAAAGTCGTAGTGGCGGGGTGCCAGAGGTGCCAGATTGGTGCCGCCAAAGGTACTCAAGGGTTGGGTCAATCTCAGAGCTGGCGACATCCTGCCTTGGGCAAGCCAGCAGGTGTTTGCCATTCTGTCTCTTCTGCTGTCATCATCATCATCATCATCAGGGATCAATCTCAACAACCGACCTACTACGTAATCTAGCCTCCAGAGGCAAGCCCCAAGCGCCTTGAATCCACACACACGCAGCCTGAACCTCCCGTTGTTTTAGCAAACAGCCCTCAGCCAGCCACAGCCCTGCAGCCACCCGCCCGGCCGCCCAAACACCCGGCCGCCCTAAACGCCCGACCCAGACCAGCAGACCCAGACCAGTAGGCCCAAACCAGCAGGCCCAGGCCAGTAAATCAGCAAACCAGCAGCTCGAATAGCAGACTGGTAAGTCAGTCAGTAATCTATCCGCCCGATACCTAGCCAACAGCTCAACCAGCAGGAACAGCTCCGTCTACAGCGGTGGCCACAGTGGTAGCCGTAGCCGTAGCCGTAGCCGTAGCCCATCCAGCAGGCCGCCCCGGGGAATGTACAGAGGATCCCAGTTTAGGTAGCTTCTGGTAGGTCTGGAGCCACGCAGGGACCCTGCCGGCACGGTACTAGCAATTGGCCCGGTGTCTGCGTACCTGGTTCGAACGGTGCCCCCCCCCTCCCCCCCCTCCCCCCACCATGACTTTCTACAACGGCTGTCACAATCAATGGCACAGTGGCTTTCGGGCGTCTGCATTTCATTTTACCCTGATCCATTTGCCTCTGAAGTTCGAACTCACCGCCACACTGATCCAGATCAGTGTGCGCTCAAAGCATCTCTTCCACCTAGGTGAAGTTGGCAGGTCTCGGGCGCAGTTGGTGAGCCCGGGTCGCCGTGCTCACAACACTGCCATGCCAAGCAACAATCTCCTCCTCCTGTTCCGGAGGATAGAGCACATTAGCTCGTACCCTCCCTCTTGACTCACGCTTGCCATCTGTCAGATCTCCCGTCTTCTACGAACAGGGTCTGCCCATTAGCTGCGGGCTAGTGGACCGGGCCTCCCGATAGCTCAAGAGTCCCAACGATCTGTTCGCGGTCGGCGCTTTTTTGTGGTGGAGGGTGCGACCCAGCGGGACGGGAACCGCACCAAACCAACGGATAGCAAATGCCGTAAAAGCTCGACGTATCCGGGCGACCTCCCGCTGTATGAGATTTCGGGGTGGCCAAGTGCATTCTTCACATCTGCAGGTCTGGCGTAAAACTGAGGGACAACATTGTGCCAAGCTGTCCAGACCCGTTGAGACTCTAGCGTAGTAGAGGGACAGAGCTCAGGCCCATTAGATGGCTTTTGGAGACGGAGGGCGAACTGGGGGGGGGTGGGGTCTTGTTGGTTGACGTGGCGTAAACACCATGAATACTGTGAATACCGTGAATACCGTGGTCCCCTGTCACTAATTACCACTGTGCGACATACCATGAGTCTGAGGCAATGCAACTGGCCTGCGCTACGGGACTGCCGACCCCTCCCACCCGCCCCCCTTTTCATGATTCCCGTCGTCGTCTCATCGCTGGCCCAGCTGCAAGGAATCAACACGTGCCGCACGACGTTATTCCAGCGCCGGTGAGGAGTTTAGTCTTGGAGTCCCTGCTTCGTTGGAGTCCCCGCTTCGTTTGAGTCCCTGTTTCGTTAGAGTCCCTGTCTCGTTGGAGTGCTGTTCCTCCTCTCACTCATCACATGCCAAGACAATGTCAACGCCAGGAAACAATCTTAGGACCAACTTTCGTCCATCCCTACCCACGCCCAACTAGCGCCTATGCTCCGGAGCCTGGTAGCAATCCCCGGCCCCTTAGCTCAAATGGAATTGAAGCAACAGACCCAAGAGCTAGCCCCTGGAGATGGTGCGCGCCCGGTGAAGCTGGTGGGCCTATTGGCGAACGACCTCTTTGTTCTGGAAGAACGGTCAGACCGCCTCCAAGTTTCCAATTGCCCTTCACCGTCCGCCAATTTCAGGCTCCAGCCCTCGTTTTGCGATTAAGAACAAAATGGTTGGTTTCTTGACTTCCAGAACCCGCTTGATCCATGTGCGCCATTGCGGTGAGAGAGTTCTAGATCCCGCCATCCGTCTGAAAATGGCAACCTCACGGTCTGTGCCCTTCCACAGCGGGTCATTGGCACGGCAAGGACTCATCCACAGGACAGTATTCATCGGAAGCTGGCCAAACGTGACCCTTTTTACGCTCTGGTGGTCGGCTTGTCTCTAGGTATAAGAAGAGCCCGCCATGCCCGAAGCTTGTCTCTTCAATTCTCATCAACACCACACACTTTTCTTGCAGTTAAGGCCCATCTCCAACCACTTCTTGCCCTCACTTGGATCACTCCTTGTGCTCACTTGGGTTGCTCTTTGCCCTCACTCGGATCCCTCCTTCCCTCACTTGGATCACTCCTTTTGGGTCGCTTCTTGCCCTCACTTGGATCCCTCCTTGCCCTTACTTGGATCACTTCTTGCCTTTATTTGGGTCGCTTCTTGCTTCTTGCCCTCACTTGGATCACTCCTTGTCCTCACTTGGATCACTCCTTTTGGGTCGCTTCTTGCCCTCACTTGGATCCCTCCTTGCCCTCACTTGGATCACTCCTTGTCCTCACCTGGGTTGCTCTTTGCCCTCACTTGGATCACTCTTCGCCCTCACTTGGATCACTCCTTGCCTTCACTTGGGTCGCTTTTTGCCCTCACTTGGATCACTTCTTGCCCTTACTTTAACTCACGCCCTTTCTTTTTTACTCATCATGCAACCCCACCTCCCCCACACCTCGCCAATCCTGAACGGCGAGGAGGCACAGGCAAAGAGACGCCAAACTCGTCCCGTAACGGCTCAGCTGTTGGACGAATTGAGTCGTGTCCTGTCGCAAGAGGGAGAAGGGGGCCAGATGTTTCCTACTAGACAATCCAACCAAACACAGCCAATGGTACCTTCCCCCCTTCCCTTCCCCCATCGCCCCACATTTACGTTGTCAAGGTCTTCGCTAACTGACTTAAAGATGGATTTCGCACTCCGAGTTCTGCAGATTCCGATGTCGGAGCTCACCGCAGCCTCTGACATGCCTTGCGACAAGGCGACAATCCGTGTTGCAATCGCTGTCTCTGGGGCGCTCGCCAACATTAAGCCCGGTTTCAGCCTTGTCAAGCAGCGTTTTGAAGCCTACGAGAACACCACGGGTCGAGCGCAGGCCGAAATGGCTTATACTTTGTTTCGCTGTGGGCTTGGCACCCCTAGCTTCTGGTCATCCATCCGGCCTACGACTATTTTGAACGCATTCAATGCGAGCAAAATTCTGTCCGAGGTCACCAGTTCAGAAAATCAGGATCAACCATCTGGCGAGGCAAGCCAGGCGATTCGTGTGATGAACGACATGGTGGACCGGTTCGGCAAGATCGAAGACGTCCAGGCCTGGAAAATGATCCTGCGGCAGGAATTGAGGACCGCGGCGGATTTGCTCGACACGGGAAAGCGTGCCCTCGAAGATGCCCAAACAAGACTGGAGCGTTACGATCAATCGTCAACGCATGTCAATAACGGAGTCCAGCAAATGCATGAAGGGTATGAGCTCTTGGATAGCCTCGAAGGCAAGATCGAATCCACCCTTGATGGACTGTAATATGGTTCGGAGATGACAGGCTTTTGCCAGGGTCAGTTGGAGAGCAGGCGGTTTACGAAGACGGGGTTTGCCCAAATCACAAAACATCATCATTTTCTGTCTGTATCAGTTTCTAGTTATTCTTTCAGGTTACTTTCGAGGCATTTCTTATCTGAACTATCACATTTTTATGTCCAATTTCTCCTCGTTCCTGCAACGACAGGCGTTCCGTATCTAGTGACTAAATCCAGCACGACGGTGACTGGGCCTGTGAGCTATTGCTGGCCAGGCGTGCTTGGCACTTGTAATGTCACGGCCCAGGTTGAGACCAGGCGGTCACAACCGGCAGAACCATGACGGTACCCACTTTTCTTTCATTGGCCAAGGAGTCCATGCACGATGATCCAGTATCAGTGACCCACCCGCGACTCTCAGCAATGCGACCGACAGTCTCATCAATGAGACTCATGACAGGATCACTGAGACCACTCCAGACACCCAGTATATAGACACAGTCATATAGCACTTCCATAGAGATAGCCTCACCAGCTATCAACATACTTGGTTACATTGAATCTACTATTGTACTATTACCAGACCGTGACCCATATTACTCATTGTAACAGCCTGATCTACTCGATTATAAACCCACGTCTCGGACCTACCCTATACCTCTGGGTTAGACCCGACAGTCATATAAAATAAAGAAGAAGATAATATATATAAAAAATAGAATTTAGCCTTTTAAGCTAATAACTTATATATTTATATAGATTTTAATTCTTTTAAGTTAAAAAACTTAATATTATATTACTATAGTAATTTTAAGTAAGTTAAGTTAATAAATATTTAAAATATAAATAGAATTGAATTGAATTTTTGAATTTTATACTGCTAACTTGCTTATCTTAAGAAAGCAGATAGAGGTTAGATGATACCCTGTCAGCTATTTCTACTGTCACTGCCGCACTCATCGACGACGACCTGCGCCTTGCTCTGTTGAGCCAGGAACCTCTACGCAAGACATTTCGTCGCCAACCGCCCAATGGGCAACAATCAATGATATCACCCCCTCTCGTCCCTTATAACCGCTACTGAGGTCTTTGCTAACTGGAGATGCCACTCAAAGATCGAACTCGCGATGAGAGTGCTCGAGATTCCCAGATCGGAGCTCATTGCAGCCCCCGACCAGCAATGCGATGAAGCTACCCTCCGCGTTGCACTCGCCGTGTGCAGCGCATATGCCATCTCGCCCCTGTGCTGCACGCCGGAAGCCCTCAGAATTTTGAAAGAATATTTCCAAGGCGATGCATCCACATTCACTGCAGCGGACTTCAGCCTGGCTCACAATGTGTTTTGCATCGTGGTTGAAGATTTGGGTCGCTGGGCCAATCTCGACGCAGAGCAGATTATCACCCCGTTGGTCATCATCAATGCATTTGATGTCTACTCGATTCTATCTGAAATCTCCGGACCAGTGGCTCCGCCCTCGTTACATCGTCAGGCAAGCACGGGACAGCAGGCATTTGGAGGGATGTTGGGCGAGTTCGAGGGTAAGATTCAATCTGCCCGAACTCTGGTCGAACAGGCGATGGGCGAAGTTGACACCACGATCGGATGGGTCCAAGAGATAGTATGTGCTGCTGAAAATGTCCAAGCAGGGCTCGGGCAAGTCCATCAGCAGTTAGAGGTGGTGGACAATGGAACCCTGGACATGCAAATTGGGCGCGAAAACTTGGATTACATCAAGGAGCGGCTGGAAACCGTGTCTGAGAGCATGTGAGGGGGTGGGGGGGTGGGGGGACAAGAGGTCTTTGCCATAGGCAGTTGGAGAGCGCCGGGTTGGTGAGAACGGAATTTGTGCCAACGCCGAAACATCATGGCTTTCCGTCTGCATCGTTTTCTAGTGATTTTATTGTGTTATATCCTATGCATTAATTATCTGAACCAACTCCTTCTTGTAACCAAGCTTTCCTTCCAGCTGCGGTTGCATGTGTTCGGGACCTTGTAACGCAGATCCAGCGTAACAGGAGCCAGATTCTATGAGCTATTGTAGGCCGGGTATCCCTCTTTACTAATAAAACATGTCAAGCCATTTTAGCAGCCGAAAGGGGTAAGAACAACACTCCACTCATTAACCTACCCTAGGGAAAACACACACAGAAAGTCGTCGCACAGGCGTCTTGGCTAGTCAGCCCGACGCTGCACCAGATTACGCGTATGAGGTCAGAGCAATTCCCATGTCTTTAGATAGAGAGGCATTTTATAAGAAAGGGTCACAGGAAATTCTGCTGGCAAGGATTTAATTGGGTCTGTGGCCACCCGATGCCAAAGGAAGGTCGGAGACAGAGGTTAGCCGGGATCATGACGATTGACAATTGGGCTCAAATAAATCTCTCAAAAATTACAACAACAAATTAATAGATCCTCTACCTATCTTGAGACCTTAAGTCTCTCCGACCTCCCGAAAGTATCTTAAAAGAAGGGAAAATCGATGTTTCTCCTACTGTACGGCTCCGGCTGACCCTTTTAATCTTGTCAGGACCACCCTAGAGACAACCCAGCTATCTGGTCTCTACCCCAAGTATTCTAGATAAACTGTCACAAAATTCTAAAATTCTTACGCGGGTAATTTGGTCCCGCGCTTGACGCTCCTCGGCCACAAACCGAAGCGTAAAAAAGAATTGGCGAACTTTCTGAAACTGATCATCTGACAAAAGGTCTCGATTTATCTCGCACTCTTCCATCCTCTGTACAATGATATTAATATGCTCTGGAAGAAGGTCTAGGGAGTCCTCTATACAATAGTACTCCTCATGACGCTCGCATCGAGACCCAAGGGTTGAAGGATCGAGCCAACAGACATGGGGACGAGACCGCAACTCGCATAATCGGCTCGGATCGGCTCCACCTTCCAAAAGCAATGCCAAGTACGGGATGCCTCCTCCAAGTCCACGCCCTTCGTGCACTTGGCGGAGAGCTTCGCTCAAAGGAGAGTAAACTCCAACATTTCCTGGGTTTACATTCGCACCACTAGCTAGCAACGCCCGAAATATCTGGTACCTGGCCAATTCTCTCTCATTGCTGCGTTTTGTATCTTGTGATGGAGCATCCATTGAACTGATCTGGAGACAAGCTTTGAGCGGCGTTATGTCCACATCAAATGAACTCGCACCTCCGTTGGGATCGGCTTTTTTGGAAAGAAGCCACGTTACAGCACTAACTTGCCCGTATTCAACAGCCGTGACGAGGGGTTGGTAAAACGGATAAATCGAAACATGAGACCACATTTGATCACCCTGCCATGTTATGTTTAGTGGTGCCTCAAGGTCGGAACAGACCTCCAGAAGCCTTATATCGCCTCTCTGCGCCCCGACAAATAGAGGAAGCCAGTTATGAAGGCGACTGCACCTCAGGTACAGTTCAACATTCAGGGCTTGATGAAATCTCCGCGATATATTTACAAAGCCTCTAATATCCGATATTAAATTAATATGCCGAAGGATATTGAGGAGTATTTCATTGGGTAGTAAAGAGATTCGATCCACGCCGTCTTGGTCTATATCTTAGTTAGCATATTTGATGTGCATAACAGTTGTGAATATTTAATGCTTAACGGAAAAACGTACGTTGATTTTGGTAGTTCGTTGATATTTGGTTAATTTTCACTGATAAAGACTCTGTAACTTCCGATTTGTCGTGAGGGGTCCATCTTGACACCTCCAACCCATCTGTAGGAATCAAGCGCTCACCTCCAAGATGGCTGAGCTGGGAAATACTGTCCGTCATGACTGTTTTTCTTTTGGCTGATTTGTGGAAACAGAAGTACCTGTGGGCTAGGCTTTAGACCTTTCGTTGTAGAGTTAGGATTCGAGTCTGCTGCGAGGCCCGGGGGATTAGAGCTTTAAGGGTATTCGGACATTGTTTGGGAATTATCGCAGGTTATACTACCATTTTATAGACCCTGACACCAGCTTAGTGCAGTACAATAACTGTACCGCATCCCACCGACGGGCATTACCACAAAGGGTATACATCGTAAAGCTAAAGATCCAAACCATTGTCTATTAAGAACATTATCTCGTAACAATGAGACGGGCTCTTCAAACATTAGAACACTCAAGGAAGCTGAGTTAAAGGGATTCAACATTACATTACGCTAATAACAATTCAGTCGATGTGTACATGGGAACTAGTTCTAATAATACTACAACTAGATCAAATCTAATCTAGCTTCAGAAAGCTAACAATGACGCTAATAAGGTGGCGTGAAAGTTGGAAGGTACTTGATTTCTTTGAAGTTCCCAGATATATCCCGGCTTGTAACGAGACCCAGGCTGGACTGGGCAGTCAGGCCTGGCAGAATCCTGGCTAATTTTATATACCTGGAATAGACTGATGGAACGGCAAATAGTTCTTACTGGTTTTACTGTAAACTGAGCTGTAATTAAATCAGTTTACTAATTAGTACTTGGTATATAATTATTTAAAGAGTATATATTCAGTATAAATATCTTTTTAGCTATTAATGTAACTTAGCTATATTAAGTATTTTTTTATTTATTTAATTTTACTCTTTTTATAGAACTTTACTGTTACTGTATTATCTTCTCTGTAATTTCATCCTGTTATCTACTGTTATTACTCGCCCAACCGCCGTCTAGAGAGAAGGTTGCCCCCCCCGAGCCGAGGCCGTTCCCATAGCTCAGCCAAATATCTCCGATTTAATATCATGTCATGTAGCGCTTTATCGAACTCCATAAGACGGCGGACAGTTATTAAACAATTGCGACCTACTGCAAACTCAGAATCAGATAAAAACTCTCGGGTTATCTGGCAATTTTCCATCTGCTTTATAGCTCTATCAACCTTCTCCACGCCTCTGCCTGTGTTGGGCGGCTTGCAAAACACACGTCTTTCTTTGTCCTCAATTTTGGAACCAAGTCGGGAAGGATGTAAATAGCAGTAATGGGGCCTATTCTTTCTTTCGCAAAGTCGGCTGGAGTCGGCTTTATATGCCAAAAGTAATGACAAGTACTGAACTCCCGAACCATTGTATGCGAGGGAGAAAGCTTTGGTCAATATGCAGGGGTCTCCTGAGTGTTGATTCGCACCACTAGCTAGCAACGCACGAAATATCTGGGGCTGGGCCGGTAGATAGGGGTGCGAATCAATGCATCCGTGGAGTGGCGTGCGGAACTCAGGATTTATACCCTGTAACACAAGTCCGTTAGGATTGGCCTTGTGAGAAAGAAGACAGGTTACGGCACTGGGATGCCCGGCAAGAACAGCCGTGAGTAGAGGTCGGTAAGTTGGATAACCGTCACAGATCCATAATGTGTCTACTGGTGCCTCGAGCTGCAGACAGTACTCTAGAAGCCTGATGTCACCTCTTTCTGCCCCGATAAATAGAGGAAGCCAGTTGAAACGCCGACCGCACACGAGGTACAACTCGACACCCAGGGCTCGATGAAATCTCCGTGATGCGTTTGCCAGATTTTTTATATCCCGTGCTGAATCGAGATGCTCAAGGATAATAAGGAGTATTTCATTGGGGACCAGGGAGATTTGATCCACGACGTCTTGGTCTGCTTCAGGGTTAGTCCGTGTAATGTGTAGAGAGTGTCGGGCATGCCTGCTGCTTAACAGAAAAAGGATGGAACATAAAGATATGTTTTTGTGGATACTTACTTGGCGTCTGGTCGACTTTGATGCACGGGGATGGTCTATTTCTGCCCTTCGTTCCTGTAGGGAAGGTCAGATGCCGAGAGGACCTCCATAGCCAATCCCGACGCAAAGAACCTATCCTCAGTGGCGAAACCCTCATCAGGCAAGTAAAGACTCTCCCTCAGAGCTTGTGGTTTATATTTTTGATGTAATCGTGGAAACTGAATGACCTGTTGGCTGAGCTTTGCCCCTTTCGTTGTTGATTTTGGGATTTGGGTCTGCGTCTGCTGTGAGGCTCGGGGGATTAGAACTCAAAAGATACTCGGGCATTATTTGACAGTCATCCCAGCTTATAAAGCCATTAAAAAGTATCCTACCGACGCAAATCATCACTACAAAGGGTACACACCGTAAAGAAAGGAATCAATCAAAACCATTGTCTATGGAGAGCACTGTTTCGCAACAATGAGCCGGATTCTTAAAACGTCAGAACACTCGAGCAAGGTTGGTCCAAGGGATTCTATGTTACATTAAACCTTTATAACGTTCCAGTAATGTCTTAGCTAGTTCAAATTCAACCTAGATCCAGAAAGATGACAATGACGTCAAGGTTGGTGTGAAGGTTGAAAGGTGTTTGATTCCTTTGAAGTATCCCACACGTGGTTCACACTGCAGCTAGTGCATGGGAACTGGAGAACCTACTCCGAGTTTCCCTGATTTTCAATCGCCCTGGTAATTTCTCTCTCTACATACACACCGTGTAGCTAGGAAATTGTCGCCATGTTCTAAGGGGAGCCGCTACAGTGATGGTTAAAAGATTTCATGATGACATTCTAGCCCCACAATCCATACTGCTCAAGTTTCCTTTAAAGAAACACACTATTTATAGGGAGGCATACAAAGAAAACGACAGTGTATTGTCATGTTAACGAGATGACTGTGGAACAGCCGCATATTCACCAGAGTATGCGATGCTACGATGGCCACTCAATCCTTTGGCATGAGACGATCCAGTCATTACGTTGAGGAGGAGTCATTTTCTTCAGCCATGCAAGGGGGTTTTGTTCTTTGTTTCTGCTTCATCAGTGCTTGATGGGACTTCGTTGGGACTTATCCCAGCTACGCCTCACCATCTCAGTGTCAAAGACAGTGGGCGTGAATTGAACCTTTGTGCTTTCAAACCTCTCCAATCAGAAGCCTACATACAGAATGAAGCTACGTCTGAAGGGGAAGTGATCATTGTTCACACCATTAGGTGGAACGGCTTCACCGTCGCCCGAGCGTCTTGCAAGAACTCGCCAGTTTGAAACAAATCCTCAACGGAAGAGGCCACCTTGTTTAATCACTACAGAGAACACTTTGGTTGCTTTGATATGCTAGGTAATTGAATGAAGCCAATACTGTAACGCTTGGGGCCTCTACCAACCAGTGGAGTCACCAGCTACCTGGACCAACTCGGAAGGGTTCTAGCCTCCGAGCCAGCAACAAAATTATCGAAGTTTAGATGATGCTTGTTAATTAAAGAGTTGCTGTAGTGTGCAGTGACTCGCTGGCGCGAGTTGCGATGCCTGCAATGCAAGCAGCTGCTCATATTTTGTGGGCTGAGGGTTATTATGTGACGATTTAACAGACATTGCTGACTCATCCAGATCGGCTGGAAGCCGGAATTACTGGGAACAGCTAAACCACTCTCAATTAAATGGTCTAGGGGATGATTCGTTGAGTTCATGGCATTGAACCGATTGACGGAACGGTGTCCGGTGTAGAAACCTAGAGGTGGAGAATATACCGAGTTCATAGTTAGTCTCATGTGATTCTAGATCAAGCACCATCCCTAGCCTTACCAAGACACAGTAGCAGAACCCCGCCGTATAATTTACCACCTTTCCTCCCAAATATCTCCAAGAAACGCGATTCCGTCCTTCCGCTTGCGATACGATCATACACATCCCACACAACATATAATCTGGAGTCTCAGCAAAAGGTCGAACATTCCTGTAGTTGCGTGAATCTCCTATCAGAATAGGCCATGGGAGGATAGATCCACGGTTGGGGAGGTCCATTCTCATTGAACGAAGACCATTCCAAGCTTTGAAGTCATACTTACCGGCAAGGCTCAATATTAATACCTCTCTCACTCAGAAAGGTCGCGTTTTCGCTCGTAATCCTCCATACTTGGAAAATGTTCTTCTAGGGGAGCTATTGCGTTAATATGAAAGAATTGCCGAGGGCTCAGTGGTGAGCTGAGGGGAAATTAGTACACCCCCTGGTTTTGAGGGAGATCGAGGCGGAGAAATTTCCGACAGCATACAACCCTCCGGCGGTTGGGCATTCCCTTCTAGGATGCAGGCGGGGAAATGCCAGATCGATCCATATATTCAGAGTGCGACATCACCTTTTAGGCATTGATCAACCCCCCTCAGTAGATTACCAACATTATGGGGGACGATTTTAGTGTCCATCTTGGGCCAATGAATCCGTCTTTAGAGGGTGATGGGAGAACACTCTATAATACAGAATTTTTAAAATATTGTAATTAGCACTGCCATCCTAGCTATCCTCTGGGCAACCATATCTATCGCGGGTTATATTTTTCAGCGTGACCCCGTTAGCTGTTTTTGGACGTGCTAGAAATGCGAAGCTTCTGGTAAATGTATCCGACGCCATCATCTGGAAGTCTCCATCATCATCACAAGCATTTTCACTGACGCTGTCATGTTAGTGATGCCAGTCTCGCAACGGATCAAGTCGCCCTCCAAGCAGACCCTTCCCCCCGCATACCTACACCAAGAGTACCTAATAACAGAATGCCAGCGAGGCCAAAGATGGAAAATACATTCCGCCCTACACACCAGCACGATACGTCAAATTCATAGTATTTCAGGCGATACTGGAAGCTCGGGCAATTGCATTGAACCGGTACGGCTCGAAGAAGGGTCATCGCGGAGGCAGCGGACGCCTGAGTTTCTTGCACTTTGCTAAATTCCCTTTAGTAGAAGTTTCGGGGTGAAAATTTCCACGCCCCCGCCAAATGCTACGGTCGCACATTATGAGGCACCAACCTCGAATATAGGGCTGCTGCCTCTATAGGCCACTATAAAATATAGTGCTCTAGCTACTGCAGCCCACTATAGCCCGCACCTTTTCTCGCAAGCAACAGTGGCTATAAACTTCAAGCTTTATAGCAAGCTATAGCTACAACAGCCTGCCCTCTACTAGGTATAGGTCTATTGCTACTATAGCTTGCTGTAAGACAGAAGGCTGCAGCTACTTTAGCCTGCTCTAAGAAGGAGGTTGCGGCTGCTATAACTTAGTGTAAGAGTGAGGGCGGCTCTGCAGCCTGCTAAGTACATGAGAGGCGGCTGCAGCTGCTAGAGCCCGCTATACGATAGTGGGTTATAGTGACCATGCTCTCTATATGTGTTGACGAACCGTGCCTAATAATAGGTTCACAGAATAAATGTCTACGCAATCATCTATAAGGCGTCAATGAGAGGGATCAGTTAAGAAAAATAACCCGGCTCCCCATGGTGAATATAGCGATTGGCAAGAGCAAAACTTTGGGAGCAACCTCATCGCAAGACCTCTCCCAAATTGACTAGACATGTACATCACTACCCAAATTCCGGGCCCTTGGCCCAGTTAAACGACGAGGATGATTCATCAAATTTGTATCCAGGTACTCCTGTCCACAACTTCTCGTCGACAATGCATCCCCTTCGCACCGACCCCTCTCGGTCAATGTCTACAACGATAATCAAGTCCCGGCTCTCCAAGCCGACTTAATTTGTCGCCTTCCACTAAAAGTCGTGTTCCATCTCCCTTGCTCACCGTTCCGTCTATTACCCCCGCTATCCTGCTTACATCCACTATTAATAGGAACTAGGGATGTCGGCAAGAGGGCCACCAGCCGGTTTAACGTGTATTATTAACCTCAATGCAGTCTTAAACAAGTAGGCTCGGCTTCTTATCGCGCGCGATTATGGCCAGCATCCAGCTCTTCGGTTCCGGTTAAACCCCCATGTCCAATCTTTCCTTGCGGGGATCCAACCAGTTTGCATCTCCGCACTGGCGGATTGCATGAGCCCATGCCAGCCCATTCATTTGCGCGGGTCCTCAAGACTTGTGATCTTACTTCCCGGCCATGAATCCACTTGAGACTGAACCATCGACCGGCTCTAACTTTAGGCGACGACTTGATCGGACACCTCCATCCCTCGTAGGATCTACACCCTGCCACAGCCCTGCGACGGGTTACCTTGAGCAAATTGAACACGTTAGCGATTCAATAATTCGAGAAGCGTGATCAATTCCCTCGTGCCCATTTGAAGGATAAAAATCGCACGATACCGCCAGGTTCACCCATCCATCCGCTTGACCACTCCATGAAATCACCGACCAACAGATCAATCCTTTTACTCATTTCCCTCATCATGAAGTTCTTTGTCACACTTTCTCTCTTCGCAGTCTCCGCAATGGCCGCTAACTAGGCTAAATCTTGCGAAGACGAGGCCCTAGACAATACCCCCGGAATTCTCACTGCCCGGTGTAACAATGGTGATGGTCAAGGTACTCTTGTTGATGCCGAGTTGTATTTGTACGGCTGCCTCAAGTACACAAACGGCAAGATCTCGATATTTTATCTTTCCCTCCCTCCACATTGCTTATACTCACAATGTCCACGGGCGCCTGGTGGAGATGGTACCTTTGGGGATGTGTGCAACGACTGCTCCGTCTACGGTCTTGAGGATGCCCTCTACGGCTTTTTAGGTGTGACCCGACCCTGGATTAGCTGTATTTGCGACGGTTTCTCTGAGCCTGTGACTATCAACCTCGGTACGTGCCTATAGCACTTTGCAGGCTCCCGTAAATCTGTCAAGGCGCTAATCGGATGTCGAGACATTACCTCAATCACCAACGCATATAGTGTACTCGTGTGCTCTCGATAGACATTAAATTCTAGGTTATAGGGCTCGATAGTAGGAGGAATTCATAGGATACAACTCCATTGGTGGATTACGTCTATAGCGAAGAGAAATCACAACCCATAATCAGTACCTATAACCTGCATACGGATCGTCTTGACAATCCCGTATTCATCAGGCAGAGTTGATCCCCAATCTATTTATGGTAGTAGTCGTGAACCATCACCCAACGGCTTGTGTTTTTGTGGAGATAGTGTACATGCATAACGCTGAGATGATTCACTGCCCATAGAAGATTGTACATTTCATATTTATCAACATCCTAGGCTGATCTAATTGCTTACAGCCGGTCGCACGTTAAAAAGCCACCGCTGACACCTTTAGGCAACGTTGCCTCGGACTTGTTTGATGCCCCTAACCTTGATATCTCTCCAGAAGAAGACGCAGGCCCAACCGAGGGCGAGGATGCACACACTGGTGATGAGCATATATCTCTGACTGTCACCGTACGCGAGAGCAATTCCGTGTCGGATCTCAGTACCCTGTCTATATGCTAGCTGGGTATACATGCTGCCGTAGATAGAATCGATATCGGCTTCCGGGGGGAGATGTACAATGAGCCGGTCTCGGAACGTTCCAGTCCAGACAGCCGCAGCAACAGTCGAGCCCACAGCGGTCCCAATGCTTCCAAAGAGATCGAGAATCGCAATGAGAATAGCAATGTGCTGATGATCCGACGGAGCCATCATAGCCATCTCACCTGAAAGTACAACGGGACCGCCAGCAAACGCAACAAAGATTTGGGTCATGATAACATAGCCAATGGGTGTATCAGGCTGGCGGAAGTGGATCATGAGGCCAACACCCAACACCATCAGTGGAATGGCGAAGTAGAGGTTGACCCATTTGAACCGACCAGTCCGAACCATCAGGAAACCTATTACGAGGCCCGAGAAGCAAGATCCCACACGGTATATGTTGCTGATATAGGTGGCTTGGGTGACGCCAGTATTCCACACGACCAATAGCATAGATGTGAAGTAGCTTCCCCAGATGGCCGAGTTCCAGAAGACAAAGGTGAACATGAGGCCGCCGAAGAAGACGGTTCGGTCGGCAAGGAGGCTGTACGGGATGAAGGTAACTGGGGCGAATACCTTTTCCCAGATAACGAAGGCGATGATTAATAGACCACCTACGACGATCATGGCGATGATCATGGGCGACTTCCAACCATCAGACTGACGGGAGTAGATTGACATCGGTAAGAGAAACAGAGTCATTCCGGCAGTGAGAATAGCGATGCCAAAAATGTCAGCGTCGATGCACCAATCAAGTGCAGCCTTGATGGAAATGGTCGGTTTGCGAGGGTCAATGAGGCCTTGCTTCTCAGCTTTATGACTGTTCATAAAGAACAGAATAGCAAGTGGAGAGACAACAATGGGAATAACGAGGGTCCAAATGCCAAAGCCCCACCGGAAGCCAACACCCTGGATTATACTGTCTGCCATGGGGCCACCGATCCAAGTAGTGACGATATAAGGAGAGGTGGCGAAGGCCAGCATAAGGGGCCGATTAACCAGCGATGAGGTATCAGAGATGAAGACGGTCATGCAGTAGCTCACTCCTTGGGCTCTGTAGAGTCATGTTAGTAAGAAGGCGAGAAGACGCAGGCAGGAGTCAAATAGTTATACCCAGTGACGGAAAAGACCTGTGCGGCAACGTATGCCTCGACGTTGGGGCAGGCGGCCATCAAGATGAAACCGATGGTCCAAATAAGCATGGTGATGACGAGAGTATGGGGACGGCCCCAAGTATCCATGATCTTGGCAAATACGAGCTTGGACAAACCACCAAATAAGCTTGAAATGATGCCGGTGACGGCTGTGAGAGAATGGGCCGAGAACTCGCTGGTCACGAAGGGGTTGAGACTGCGTGTTACCACCTCCTGCGTGGACGTGATGAAGTAGATGAGCCAAATGCTGTTTGAATTAGCTCAGATGCGCTATTTGAGGTCTGGGAGATGTTTGATCTTTTGCGGTGACAGTCTTGCGACAGTGTAGGCCACATCGGACGTCCACTTACATCCCATAGGCGGCAATCATGTTGCGCTTAGTCCAGACGGTGGTGATGGCCTCGATTTGGCGCACACCGGCCTGGTAATTGCTTGTGGCATCGGGAATGCCTTTGGGGTCTGTGTCGGCGTCGTGGACGGCATCTGAGCCACCCATGTTCTTGGCGTTGCTCTCGGCGGTGATCATATCGAGCGCAGGCCGGGCGTCGTTCGAAGCCGACTCAGCCTTGGAAATGAAGCCCATTATGGGCGCTTAATGAATCACCTGGAATCGATCGCAGGCACTGGAAGCGCGAGCCAAGTGGTTAAGAGACTTGGGGTGTCGCAGCTTGCGACGCTAGAAGGGAGGAAGGCAGTGATGATCAGACACATAGGGAGGGATATTATAACAGGCAGGTGAACATCTACTGCTACCGTTACCGGAACCTGAGCAACCTGGATCCCACACCCTCTACCTGGCTCACAAGTGGCTTTAGCTTGGCATGGGTAGGGAGCCATCGGCCCGTAGCAAGGCTGGTGGGATGGATGGAAGTGGGGAAGTTCCCAGGATTCAAGGGCACCACAGAATGATAGATTTGCTCAGAATTCAGTTCCGCAGTACATAGGGCTGGATACCATGCAAGCAGAAGCTGGCATGTGCATGGCTGCTACCGATCTGGCGGGCGTCGGGGCCAGGATTCGAGTAAGCAAGGGGTAGCATCATCACCACCAGCATCGGAGAGCGAGAAGCCACGAAGGATTCACGGAGAGTCACTCAGCCCCGCTACACGACTTGCTCAAAATGGCTCGCTCGGCCGGGAACCGAAATCTAATCCGTGGTGGGTAGAAGCACAGGCTATACAGAAAGAAGAAAGCGCCTCACGCAAAGGTGAGCATCCATTGGTGACAATGCGAGGCCGAGGCAGCCCTCTTCGCCAAGCCCAAACAAGCTTAAATTTGTCTGTTTAGTGGGTGTGAACCATGACATGGGACAGCGGTCAACGGGGCTGTTGTGCTGCTCCTGGTAGCCGGGGCCATGTCCAACGTGGAGAAGCGTCCGCCGTGGGACCTTGGCAGTCCAATGAAGCATCTTATCTGATGATCAGATAACTATTGATCTGGTCATGGGAGGGTCCAGTCGGCCAATCGGCTGACTACAACCCCTGGACCTCGTTTAGAGCTTCCTCCCCTGTCATTCTCGTTGGGCCCTTTTGCGGTACGGCTTCGCTTGTTGCTCCGTTGAGTCCGTCCCTCCCAGCCCAAAGTCACTGTCGTCTGCATCCGTTGCAGTAAAATCACTACAGCCTATAGGGCCCCAGAGTCAGCTAGATGGCTGGTGCTGACGCTTATGCGAGGCCTCGGATATGGACCGACGCCAAGCAATGAGCTCTTGAGCGATTTCGGCCCTGGGTCAAGACAGCTATAAACTGCATGTGCCAGCAGAAGACCATGTCTTCTACATTTTTTACGTGTCTCGCTCCCATTTCTTAGAACCCAATCTACCCTCGGTCATCTAATCCACGTACTCCCCTTCCTCCAATATTACAGCCGAGGGCATCCAACCATGAAGTCTTCAATGTTCATCCTCACGGTGCTTGCCACTAGCTTCACCGCAGCCGAGGTCAAGAAGGAAGACTACTTCCCCGAGTGCTCCATCGATTGCCTCAACGACGGCACCGAAAAGGCCACAGACTGCTCAGCCACTGATGCCGTCTGCTGGTGCGTCCAGTCCAACTACGAGGCCATCTACAACCAGGCGCTCGCCTGTGTCTTGAAGGAGTGCGGCGCTGATAAGGCCACTGGTATATCTCTATTCCTTTTTACAGTAAAGCAGTTTATCACATGGGGCACAGTATCACTGATACGCCTCTCAACTTTTAGAGTCGGTTCTCCCTGCCGCCATCGAGTTCTGCTCGGCTGCCTCCTCGTCTACCTCAGCCCTCGGCGGCACTGAGACTGGCAAAAGTTCGCCCAGCTCATCAATTGACGATACCGATAACACCAGCACCATTTCGATTGTCACCACTACCTCGGACACCGAGTCGACTTCCACCCCCAGCTCCTCCACATCCGGATCCGCATCCACGCCTACCTCTGACTCTGCCTCTGCCTCGGGCTCGGGCTCTGACTCGGGCGCCGTCGTTAGCACCACCGCCAGTACTGATGCTGCCGCCGCTATGGGGACCATGGGCGTCTTGGGCGTGCTGGTTATGGGTGCTGTTGCTGCCCTGTAGAGCCGGCTCCAGGGTTTTGATAGTGGGGGTAGTTGATGCGAGATAACTCAAGTTACGTGTTTCTAGATTAATAGTCAAGACAAATGAGATCAAATAATGAGTGTCGTTCGTACGTATTTGTTCTTTAGCCACAATAAATACCGTTAGATTGATAGCGCGATACAGTAGTTGCGAGCTTGAGGCGCTCACAATGCATTATAGGATTGGCACAGGCTCTTATTTGCCTCGGATCCTCAATTCAACTATCCCGTTTCCAACCTTGCTACTATGGGTAATTGCACCAGTCTTTCGACAGTGTCATCCCATTGGGGTGATGAGGCGCGTCCCCGAGCGTCTACGTCGGGACTTTAGGAGATTCCCACAGTCAAAAGAAGAAAAAAGGACGACTAGCGTGATGTCGAGGTTTTTGTCTCCCAGAATTCTACAGATGCATCATTTCCAATCCAGTGAAACTTAGATTGGTCTTGTTCTCCATGCAGGACTTGAAACCATTTTCGGTTAGTAGCGCACACGGATGGTCAGGCAACTGATCGCCATGTTGTTTTATAATCTAAATATGAATCTATGCTGAGGTTTCAGGACCCTGGACGTTGGGGATTGTATTGTGTTATTTCGTCTTGCCCCAGCTGTAAAGTTCAGCCACTTTGTCCTTGCACTGGCTAGTCTCAAGTGTGGTGACCTTGTACGGCGTCTTCGTCATGCCTAGATAGCAGACGAAGAGTTTACCAGCCACTATTAATAGAACACACAATAGGCTACTCCGTAGTGCATAGTAGGAAGCGCCACGGCCCAAGCTGAATCATTGGCGCATGGATGCATCCACACATAACTGGATAATACCAGTGTGGCTCCTTCAGCTGCTGGTAGCTGCCCTGTAGCGCGCCGCCGAGGCAGAATTTAAGGGTTCCTTCGTAAGCATCGAGCCGAACTAATGAACACAGAACAACTATTAATGAACGAAATCTCCTATTTTCATGCCACTGGAATACATATTCTTGCTCTCCCTTTCAATCCTAGCCCAGCTCATCTTCCGAAATATTGTCGGTACAATTTGAGATTCAGGGTTTGGATGCCGAGGGTGACGTGACACCAATGGCCACTTCTACAGTCGAAAACACTGGCTACTGCTTCATCCCATCTGGCCTCAGCCTCCCCCAACGTCATATTAACGTACATTGTCCCTCTTCCAAGAATGTCCTTTTGATGTTCCTCATTTATGGCATCATCTCGATCATCACCAGCCTCATTCTCGGCTCTGACAACGCCCGTCGCTCTCTTTCCCTCTGGGGTCGTAGAAGATATAGGAGACGGCCATCATTTTGGCCGGGTGTCGCAACGGCCATTCTGCACATCTTCTTCGCTATGGCAGCTACTAAAATCATCATCAACGGCGGCTTCAAGGCCGGCATTTCCTCGTTGTGTCTCCTCTGGATAACCCGCCCGCGGTTTAGCGCCGTCATGACTATACGGATGAATGATACCTACTACCAGGCATACAGCACGCTATTATTCGACCATTTCATTGCCGAAGCGATTCTCGAAATTGTTGTTCTCCTATTTGCCACTAAATTCGTTGGCGCACCTCGCTCTTCAGACCCTTTCTGCGATGGAGTAGAAATGACTTCATGGCAGAAGCATTTGCGCTTCATGATGGCCGGCGCAGGGTGGGCGTTGATCGCTACAGGTGTGGCTCACATCTTTGTTTTAGGAGCGTTCTTGGTTTCAGAGTTCTACGTCCGCAACGCGAAAATGTATTCAGAGAGCGAGCGTCGTTGGGACGGTTTTACCAGCCGTGTGGTGGAAATGGGGTGGGTGATTTCATGGATCTCCTTCATTGCGAGCTGGGTGTTGTGGGCGAGTAAGTACTCTCCTTCCTCTACTGGAATGTGAAAGACGACTAATTAAGGATTATCTAGCATTTCTTCAACTGGCCGGAGAGGCATACTGTCCATCCAACATCGGGGTGGTTAGCGTTTTGTTCGGGTGTCTTCCCCTCGTTGCCTCACTGGTGCGACCAGGGACGAACATTTAGCTTGTTTCGTCAGGAGAATTATGAATGCAACTCCATAACTCACGACAGATCTTAAACCCGGTACAGAAACCAATTTCAATTTTGCTATTTTCTATGTATGCATGTTTTGAGCAAGCTACATGTTCTACTTCATGTTCTACTTTTTCCATCTTATGTGTACGTTGCCGACTACCAAATAAGGGGGTCATGACCATCCTATGGAAAGAAAACCAGGCTATCGATGCAGTTTGAGTGGAGAGAGTACAGTTGATTGGTCCTTGTTGATAGATTGATCTGATAAGATAATTATGTCTCACTATTAGCCCGGCTTACGGGTCGCCGAGTCATTGGGCCTTGTTCCGAAGTATGATGTGGTTTGAGTCTGAGTTGTCGTTCCTTTGAACAACATGCAAGCACGAGGCAGGGACGAGAAACATTGACGAACGCCACTGTTGGATTTCCCTCCTATTTGGTCTCTCTAACTTCCGATTTCTCAACTATCAATTTAGACTAGGGGGTATTCCGGGGGTCAACTTGATGGATGTAGCAATGATCTGCGCCGACAACAGCAGAGCAGCAATACGGCAATCTTAGATAAAGTTCAGCTAAGGTCTCCTAAATCCAACAAGTTGCTGCATCCGTGAGATTTAAATATGCATCATGGGTAGAACTTGGTTGCGATCCGGAAGAGAAGGGTTTTGGCGCGGAAAAAGCAAGAAAACGGAGACGATCGGTAACTTTGGCGGCAATAGCGGCTATGAATGTGGAAGGCAGAAATATTTAAAGCGAAATCGGGAGCCAGGCATAATGACCAGCCGCCTGCACAGAACAATAGAGGGCGACTGATGAAGTGTTTTTGTTCTGAGCGGTTCGTGCACAAAACAGAACGATACGAAGGTCTGAGCGCAGTGGCATGAGGAGAGGATCCAGGATCCACCGTTGACAAGTGAGAAGAAGTGCCGTGGTCACGAGGGTGCAATTTGGAATTGCCCAAGATGGGAGTCCCATGTCCGGCGAGTGAGGGCAGTATTACGTTTACGAGTTGGGAGAGAGAAACCCAGGGTTGCTTATTATGGAGTCAGAATGTGGAATGTCGGAATATCAACGTGGGCGCGTCACTCAGTGAACGGCAAGTAGCTCTGCTCTGCTGTCGGACAACAGCGGCTGTCCCCGAGACAGGATTGGCGATGGAGACAAGTTACTTCACTTGAGGGGCAGGGGTTAATCGGCGAACAGTCACCTCTGATTGGCGAATAGTACCTTGTGACTGGTGACTTTGTGCCGCAAAAAGAAAAACGGTGAGGGTTTCGAGCGCATCGCCTGCTCAAGGTGAGGGAGCGTTGAGCTGCGCTGAGCTCAATTGGGCGCACGTGACGGACAAAAATCCACAATGGTCCAGGTGACCTCTGTTTTTTCCGTCTCCACCGAACGGCCCATTCCCAGTCGGGACGCCGTCCATTGGATTGGATTCCACGATCCACGGCCTTGCCTCGCCTCGCCTGGCCAAGCGTGCAGCTGAGCGAGCGAGCGAGTGAGAGATTGACGACTGAGTGGCTGCGCGAGAGAGAGAGAGAGAGACAGAGACTGCGCCAAAGACGACGACGTCTCTGCGTGTGTATCAGATCGGATCGCCTCACAACAACACCCGGCACACCACGGCACCACGGCGAGCTAGCGGCCAGCCTCGCTGCTACGGTACCTTCTCGTCCAGACGACTCTAGCCTCGCACGCAACAAGCTGCAGCTCCTCCGTCCTCCTCCGCATTCCTCCCTCCTCTCCATCTCCATCCTTCTCCTCTCCTCCACCAACCCCAATTGCGACTCCCTCCCATGTCCGAGGACGACGGCGACGTGCTCGGCCCCGACGGCCAGGCCACCGCCGCCCGTGTCGACCGCGATCGCCGAGCGCCGCGCTTCAGCTGGACCCCCGCCTACGAGGCCACCTTCTTCCGCAGCCTGTGCGAGAGCGTCCAGCTGGGCCTGCGCGAGAACAGCAGCTTCAAGGCCGAGGCCTGGGAACGCGCCGCCCAGGCCCTGCAGGAGAGCCATGGCGCCTATCCCACCAAAAGCCACCTGATCAACAAGAGCGACAATGCCCGGAAGCGCTTTCGCCTGTGGCGTGGCCTGCGCGAAGACCCCGAGTTCCTCTACAACCCCGTCACGAGAACCGTCACCGCCACCGAGGAGGCCTGGACCGCACACATTGAGGTGAGAGCCCATCCGGAGTCACACCGGGTCACCCAACCGGACCACTCCACCAAGGAATCGCGTCACTAACATTACCGCAGAGGGAACCCCTGTCCAGAGCCCTCCGAGGGCGCCCCTTCGATCACGAAGACTACATGGAGATCCTTTATCCCGACGTCATCGGCTCCGGGGGCGCTCCGAAGCGCATCATGAAGCCCCGGAGACGGACGGACGGGCCCATCCCCGAAGACTCAGAGATGCCCGGCACGAGTATCCTCAACCTCCAGAGCGAACCTCCTCCCCGCCCCCCGGGCCTCGAGAGCCCCAACCAGCGACCGACCGTGATCCAGCCGACCGCGACCCCGTCGACCGCCAACGGAGCCACGCAGAGACCAACCTCGACCTCCATCCCCCCTCGCGCCCCGACCGCGAGCTCCAGCGCCCTTACTCCCCCGGACGAGACCATCACCCAGAACCGAAAGCGCCAGCTGCCGACCACGAGCACCCCGAGCGCGTTCGAGTCGACGCCGCCCTCTTCCACCGGTCCAATGATCCAGCAACCCCCCGAGTCCCCCGAGAAGCGACGCCGAACATCCTCTAACGACGGATCGCGCGCCATTGCCTCGGCTGCCACGCTCAACTCGTCCATGCTCCCGCTTGTCATATCCAACGGCCCCAGCGTCAGCTCTCCCTCCCAGGGCGAGGGTCAGGCCTTGCCTCATCCCCCGCTTTTCGAGGAGCTTGTCGAGGCCGTCAAGTCACGTACTTCCCTCCGGTGGCAGGAGGAGGCCCTCGACGTCTTCTTCCGGGACTTTGCCGACGAGGACCTGGACCTGCAGGTTAAGATTTCAGAAAGCGTGTTGGTCAACGAGAGCAAGGCCATGGTGTTTTGCAAGATGCCGAGCCGGGTCCGGCAACATTGGGTGAGACGATTCAGGGAGCCACATCATAGGGCGGGTTAAGAGAGGATTTCAAGAGGTGGATCAAGAGGTGGATCAGGAGGTAGATCAAGGGGTGGATTGGAGAGATGAACACACGAGATGGACAAGAGACGGACAAGAGATGGACTACACATACCCGAAGATGGACTCCGCGGATGCACACTGGACAGGAAGAAAGACATCATGACGGTCAACGGACCAACGAAACTCCACAACCCAAAAAAATTACGGGGCGTCAAGTGCGAAGAGAGACGTGTTTATGCCCACCGGGGGAAAAAGAAAGAGCGATCTGGCGTGTTGGTTCGTGACGCATGTTGAGATACCAGTTTACCAAGAGGCGTTAGGATTTCGGGTCTGCAATGCATTTAGCGAGGATCTCAAAGGGCTTGCTTGGGAACATTGGTCGCGTGAAGCGGCGGTGCTGGCGACTTGGGAATAGCCTTGACCCTTTGGTCTTTGTATCGATATATATAATACCCCTAATCTTCCACGTTGATCAACGATTACTGTACTCTTCCAGATATTGCAGCAGCTTCTCCTTCAGGTATTTGACGTGTTTCGTGCATCAGCCATCGGACCGGATTACGTTGGCCAATCCGACCGTGCAATTGATGTAGGGTAAGTCCATGTTGAATACTGTACCGATACTTGACTGACTACTTTGTATACAATGCTTGGGCTGTGTTCCTTTCCGGCCCAAACCCCAACTAGAATGTCAAAATTTCAGAAGCAATGCGCATATCACTGATGCGTAACCTTATCACCTGTTGTGAGCTTTGCGGGAGAAAACGTACTCATCTGGTGATCATGAGCTGATTTACATGCGCTGGTGCAGGGGCTTGACATAAACCGTACGACAATTGCAAAATCAAGCCAAATCAGCTGTACTGTATTGTAAATCAACCCAAAATTGCAAAGTCAGAAAGGCTGACGATCCATATTGGATCTTGCTTTGATCAGGAGGCAAACTATAGGAATAGCGTAAGATACATATAGAAGAATAACGCACGGCGCTTGCTGTTGATTGCGGTGTACGACCCCAAGTACAGGCACCTGAAGAGACCAACGAGAGCGCAGCTGACCAGGTATGCACAGATAGACACATGGATAGAAGGGTGTATTTTCGTATGTAGTTGGATACAAGGAGGCAATTACTTTGCAAAGTGACCAGCACAGCCGAGTTTCCTCACGGAATGCTTCCACTCGTTGTGGTAAGCAGGCAGGCATGATGGGAAATTTCCAGCATTGTGTTATGAAAATTAGGGAAGAATTATCCAAGTTCTCAATCTCTGCAACTACACCTGCTGATGCAATTCCGAGATCAAGATGCGAGCGTGAGCGTCAGCTCCGAGTCTTACTAGGGTGGAACGGCCCAGGCGCGTAGCTGTGGACCGCGCTGAACCCCACCCCCGCGAACAGATAAGATTGAAGATTGCTCGAATTCCGCGCCAAGTCGTTTGTAATTCCGCTCGCAATGTAGATGCGCTATTGTTACAATCGCTTGGCTTTGTGAACAATGGCTACGGATGGAAGACCATCAGGAAGTCAACGGAGAAATATTATAGCTAGAATTGAAGGACAAATCATTCATGTCGTTGAGCTGGATGTCTATTAATCTACATAACCAGGAATAACCAATGCCAAGAGAACTGAACACAAGGAGCCGCTCGGCACACCTTTTTCTATCATGAATCCGTTGCTACAACAAATGAAACGTCTAAGAGAAATCGCGTAATGGATGCTCGCTGAGGTCCTGATCGTTTTGCTGCTTGTACGAAACATCAGGGGCAAGCGCCTCGACATACCAGACCAAAAAGACCGCCATGACAGCAGCCATGAGGGCCGCATCAAAGAGATAGAGGAAAATCTCGTGCGAGATGAGGTACCCGCCGTTTCCCTGCAGGTACTCAACAACGCGGAAGGCGCTTCGGACGAGAATGAGAGTGCTGGCGCCGTAGAGCACATAGAGATATCGCTCCCAGGTGATCTCCCCAGACGCCGCTCGTGATGTAAGGCTCCGGGACAGGCGGTAGTGGAAGATGACTGCGGTGACCATGAATAGGCCAAAGATGATGATCTGAACCCAAAGACCCGCAATGATGAGCTTCTCTCCAATTTCGTACAGTTCTAGGCTCCCGGCGGACTGGACGCCACCGCCGCCGGCCTGCATCGTGAAGGAGATGACGTCGCCTGTAACGAATATTTTGCTGAGCCACTCGACGGGGACAAGGGAAAGGTGCTGGGCATGCAGCGCTCGAATAAGTCGGCCGAGGATCATGTAGATGGATGCAGCGTAGAGGGCTGGTGCGACGAGAATGAGGATGGCCTGGATAACGAAGCCTCCGATAGCCATGTCATCGTAGTGTGACCATATTCGACCGCAGTAACCGAGAACTTGGACTAGAGCAGAAAAAAGACCGCTTGTTAGACCGTCAGAACTTTAAAGGGGGGCTTAATTGAGACTCACAGACGCCTCCAGTGGTAAATGCGACGAAGTACCACGTACGAGCTCTCATCATGCGCCACGCGTGCAGGCTGGTCAAGATGGCAAATACACCTGCGGAGATGGCAGCCGCCAGGAGAGACGGGGTATATCTGTAAAGCCTGAAGTCTCCGAGCTCCGATTCGGCCCCGCGAGAGATCATTCCCTGCGTGGTTGACATTATTTCGTCCATCGTGTTTTGCGTATTGGGATGGATGCTAAGGTGGGTCTAGAATACTAAGGTCCGAGCAAGCGGCTGGTTGAGATGAAGGCGGACTGTTGAAGGACCGGCGATAGGAAGCGAACTCGAGAGAAAAGGAAAGACAGAAGTAGTAAAGAGTGATGGTCGAATTAATTATCAATTCACTGGGACAAACACACATGTATTATATGATTGCAGACGTGCTTGATTCTCGTTTCGGCCCCGCCGCAGCGAAGGCGAGTATTCGGGCTTTCTCGCATTTCTCGTATACCTCGCACTCAAACCCGAACTCTCGGTCTCAGCGAACGCACGGCCAGCATCCAGCATTAGTGGCGTTGCGAACTAGACTCGGCCACGGGCAGATTCGTCAGGGCCTGGCGTCATCGAGGGCAAGGCATGAACGAGCGTCTATTTTAATTGCTCTGTCTTGAATCGCTGCAGACATAAATGGGACGTTCCCCTGCCAAGTCGTGCCCGCTCAAACTGCAAGGCGCACTCCAACACATACTCATCTCATCATGGATCACAACATCCACCGGAAAGCCTTGCCCTACGACCAGGGATCGGAAGAAAAGGATGTCGATAAGAGTGTCGATAAGAATGTTTGGGATGCCCCGCCCCCTTATGAATTGCATCTGGAGGGATCTGTCCTCACAAGTTCCGCTGCCATCACTGGTAAGCCCCCTTTGGCCTCGTCCACACGAATGAGACATGCATTGACGGTTCTCAAGACGCTGGAACCATCGACATTAGCTTCTCGTCCAAGCACCCCGACGAGCTGAACGCCCTCTTGCCCGCGCTCCCAGAAAGCGCTTCAGCACCGTCTCCTGCGGATCCAGCACAATGCCCACCGTTGAACATCGTCATCCAGGTGGTTGGGAGTCGAGGTGAGACTAATTTCAAGTTGAAACGCAATTGGGAATCACGCTGATCAAGCTACAGGAGACGTGCAACCATTCATCGCCCTTGGAAATGCGCTACAGCGACGGAATCACCGTGTTCGCATAGCAACACACAATACCTTTGCCGATTTCGTCACTAAATCCGGTCTGGAATTCTACCCGATTGGAGGAGACCCAGAAGACCTGATGTCGGCACGTTGCTCTTTCGCCTTGAAAGTCAACCCTTCTAACACGGCTACAGTACATGGTCAGAAACCCGGGTCTGATCCCCTCCCTAGAGAGCCTTCGCGGCGGAGATATCTCGCGAAAACGCAAAATGATCCACGAAATGCTGCAGGGGTGCTGGAAGGCTTGCGTCGAGCCTGACCCGATATCTGGCGAATCCTTCGTGGCGGATGCCATTATAGCAAACCCTCCAAGCTTTGCACACGTCCATTGCGCTCAGGCCCTGGGTATTCCCGTTCATATCATGTTTACTATGCCGTGGACGGCTACGCGGGCTTTCCCCCATCCCCTGGCTAACCTGAAGGTCGATTCAATGAATGCAAAGGCGTCCAACTACTTGAGCTATGGTGTCGTAGACTTGATGACCTGGCAAGGGTATGTCCTCAAACTTCTAAAATCTTAAGTGGCCCTAAACTAATTATTCGTCCAGGTTAGGAGATGTCATCAACGGCTGGAGAGCGCACGACCTTCAACTTGAACCCCTTTCGGCTACTATGGGCCCAGATATCCTCAGCATCCTCCAAGTGCCTTACACCTATTGCTGGTCTCCAGCGCTCGTTCCAAAGCCAAGTGACTGGGGATCCAATATCGGTAAGTGAGGAATCGGGATGTCGAATCGAAATCATGTTAAATCTGAGGAATTAGACATCTGTGGCTTCTTTATGCGTGACGAGCCCGCGTTCCAACCACCTGAAGATCTAGCCAACTTCCTTGCGTTGGGGCCGCCTCCTATCTATGTGGGGTTCGGAAGCATCGTCATCCAAGATCCGAAGGCGTATACAGAAATAATCTTGGAGTCATGTCGGCGAGCTGGCGTGAGGGTCATTATCTCCCGGGGTTGGAGCAAGCTTGGCGGAAATAGCCCCAACACAGACGACGTTTTCTATCTTGGAGACTGTCCACACGGTGCGTCTCTGAATCTTTTGTTCTATTCAGAGGAATTTGAAAACTGATAAGATTTTAGAATGGCTCTTTAAGCGTGTATCTGCTGTGGTTCATCACGGCGGTGCTGGCACAACGGCATGCGGGCTCAGCAATGCTCGGCCAACAATTATTGTCCCGTTCTTTGGCGAGTAAGTTCCGTATTTAATTCATAAATATTATGACACTGACACATCAATCCAAAGTCAACCATTCTGGGGTGGCGTGGTTGCCTCCAATGGTGCCGGCCCAAATCCAATTCCGCACAAATCCCTGAACGTCGACAATCTCACGGCTGGTATCCAATTCGCCCTGAGTAAAGATGCACAGGTGGCCGCGCAGGGAATCGCTTCCAGGATGTTGCAAGAAAATGGTGTGGAAGCTGCAGTCAACTTCTTCCACAGTCATTTACCCCCCTCCTCTATGACTTGCGACCTGCTCCCGACGCGTGTGGCGCGTTGGACATACGCGGGCAAGTCGAAGACGACCATGAAGCTCTCTGATGTAGCATTGAAGGTCCTTCTTCGTGAGAAAAAGCTGAAGCGCTCGGATATCGAACCGTGAGTTCTTGCACTTCATTTACCGCATGTGCACTGCACTAACCAATAGCTGCAGTTTTCGACCTCGCGAATACGACACGGATGTTCAACGTTGGGATCCTCTCACAGCTGGTGCCTCATCCACACTCGGAACTATCACAAACTTCACTGCGTCCCTGGGAGGTACTTTTATTGACCCATACAAGGAGTACAAACGTGTCCGATCAACTGGCGGCAACCATGCAGGTCTCTCAGCTGCTGGGGCAGCTGGAAAAGGGTTTGTGGGAATGGGCGGCGCCGTCACAAAGGGAATGTTGGTAGATGTGCCTCTCGCACTTACGGAAGGCCTGAGGAATACTCCTCGACTATATGGGGACCACGTTGAGGACCACGGGAAAGTAAAGGATTGGAAGAGTGGAGGCGTTGTTGCTGCCAAGGTATGTCCCTTTTTTCTAAAACCGAACCCGTACAACTTTGAATTTTTGGAGTCTAATTGTCAACTATAGAGCTTTGGATCTGGCTTCTACCACGGAATCACCGGAGTTGTAACTAAACCAATGGAAGGAGCTAAGGCAGAGGGTACTATTGGACTCTTGAAGGGAGTTGGCAAAGGATCCCTAGGCCTCATCACCAAGCCAGGAAGCGGTACGTCTCTCTACATTAATCAATAACGGGCGTGATGATTCTAATTAACTGTGGATAGCGATGTTTGGGCTCTTGGCATATCCAGCTGAGGGAATCTATAAGAGTATTAAAACCGCCACGTCAGGAGCTGTCAAGAGGGCAATTGAAAAGGGTCGGGCTGCACCGTTGGAATCAGCAAAGGTGGATGGACCGGAGTTATCGATGATATTGAATGGATTTGCCGCAAAAAAGACATGAATATAATCACGCCCGATCCCTACTCAAATTAGCAATGGGTCATGTTCATTCGCAATACTCGTTGTGGCTGAGAGTGGGCCGGGCGCACTATGCTTGGTAGATACTGAATCTATGTGACCCACGTCACTTTGGTCTATCTTAACACTTGTGCTATGACTACGGTACTTTCCCTATATCAATGTATTCACCTCCTTGGTAGGTTATTACACTTAGCTCACCACAAAACTATACGTGATTCTTATATCTCAATAAGAATGACATGTTCAATTCTTTGGCTTTGTTGCGGGAATAATATGGGAATGAGATAGGCAGTACATAAAAGCTGACGAGCTGAACACAGGGGTAGTTAGACCGTCCATCCATCAGACAAGGGTGTTGTACGGATGTTATGATTCTGCCTACTCATACCGCCTCGTCTGACATGCATGAGAGATTGGCACAATATCTTTTAAATCCCGCGTGCTAATTGATGCCCCTACATATATTTCGGCTGCGTATAAACTCATGCTCCACACTTTCGCTGCTGAGGTCTTCATTGAGTCGGATTTCTTCTTATCCAGTAATTGCAATGGCGGAACCGCCACCAAAGGCTCCCCTGGAGCTCATTCGATTTAAGGATGCAGTTGGCAGGAAGTTCTCGTTTCCATTTGACCTGGTGAAAACCTGGCAGGTAAGAGATTTGGAGTCACTAGTAACCTGGAACACCGTGATCTGATTGCATTTGTAGGGCATGGAAGATCTCATTAAACAGGCCTTTCTCCAGGTCGACGTACTAGGGCCGCATGTCATGGACGGTCATTATGATATAATAGGTCCCGACGGCGAGATTATCCTTCCCCAGATATGGGAGCGGTTGGTTCAGCCTGGATGGTCGGTTTCAATGGTGATGTGGCCTATCGACAACCCCCCTCCCCCTGACAACAGGCCTCGGAACTTCAGAACTGCTGGCCAAACTAATATGCCGTACGGTGCCCCGCTGCCCCAGCAGAGCTTTCGGCCGGGAGGACAGCCTCAGCCGACGTACGGCGCTCCTCAGCCACCGCAGGGCTCGAGGTCTCACGGCCAAACCCACAGGCGGCCGGGTTTTCCGATGCCTCCAGGCCCTCCCATACGTCCAGGGCCACCCGTCCCGCAATGGGATAGTGGCAGTCATAATGGGCCTATTAACATCATAGAGGTTGGCCCGCCTAAGCGCTCGAAGAACAGGAAGAAGAAACAGCCCGACAGTGGTTTGATGTCCTTTCTAGCAGGCGTGCCACCCAAGAAGAAGAAACACAAAGTTCAGCCGCCCCCAAGTAGCCCGTCCGCAGGTCCTTCAACAGTCAGTTCTCGAGCCCCCAGCACTGTAGGTCGGGCTCCCCGCCCTCCACCAAAGTTTGGAGGCGGCCCATTTCAGTCGAAACGGAGACCGCCGGCTCCATCTGAAGACGACAGAAGAAGCCGCAGCAGTCACTCCGACACTATAAGCGAACGCAGCAACCTGCAAAAGAAGGCACGGGTTGATGCCCGCGAACAGGGCCTGATCATCGTCTCGAGGAGTGAGACTCGAGGTCACAGAGTGATCCGTCATCCGACATTTCCAATTCTGGAAAAGAACCCACTGCCAATAGATCGACAAGCCTTTAGTGCAGCTCGCTTATACCAAGATGAAGCATCCGAAGGAACAGTCTGTCTTGAACTCACCAAGTCTGGCTCCGGCATCACAAGTAACTTCGCAAGCAATGATACTGAACAGATGAGATGGCTGTATGTTTACCCTGAATTCCCCAATCCGCAGAGGCATATCTATAACTCTATTCCTTAGGACTGTTACCCGCAATGTCATGGACTTGAACGAATTCGAGGTAAGGTTGATTCTAAGCACATACCAAGCGGCCAGTGCATCTAACATCATACTTCAGAATATTGCCCTGAATCGTGAGGATCTAGCAGTCAACCCGGATGTCCGTCTCGCAATGGAGTCTATTTTCAAGACTTTGCATGACAAGAAACTAGGGAAAAGCCGCAACACCTGGTATATCAAGACCGGGACGGTCATACGATGCGATGTAGACGCTGATGGAAAGACCAATGCTTCTGCACTCTTTGTCTCTGTTCCACAACTTCAGGCGGATTCCTTTAATAGAACCTCCAACGTGCAACTCAGGTCGGGCATATGTCTTCCACGCAGACTACATGAGATGTCTCATCCCTATGATACCTCATTGATACGGGACAAAAACCAACTCTTCAGAAGCCACGAAGGCGCACAGTCGGATGAGGTCCTCTGGATAGGCGACACATGGGTATTGATAATTGACTCTGGTATGCAGTTGATGGCTCAAGTTGTCTCCGGCACTAATTCTTTCTTTAGTCGGAATCCTTACCTATGGTAGCAAACGCCGACAAACCTACCTGAGCGATAACATTGAGATTAGAGACCCCCGATCGAGTCAGGTTGAAGAGCGAACTATCCATGTAACACATCCAGATGGCCAACAGTTCCAAATTCCCTTTGAAGCATGCCAGACATTCTACGTGAGTTGAATCACCCGCGCCAATGAGTTTCTAGGAAGTAGAGAGGCTTGCAATACTAACTGAAATATTACAGAAACTGCAGTCTGCTATTCGAGACCAGCTCTTAATCCTGGAAGACGATGATTCGATTCTTGACTTCGAACTAGTCATTGCTGGCGGAGAAGCCATTAATGCCAAGAGTTGGTCCCGTCTTGTTCAAAAACCAGAGCAGTCGATGATTAAACTGCTTGTGGAATGGGTCCAACCGGATGGGTCGGAATCTGACAGAGATAGCATCAAGTCAATAGTCCTTGACGATGAAATCTCGCATCTCTCTGGAGAAATTGAGACTGATAAGAAAGACGCAGCCTCCAAGAGCAGCATATTGGGTGGGAATAGGTCAAGAAGTGCTTCCCGGCAACGAACGACTGTGTCTTTTGCGGATAACGACTTCTTTGGTATCAAGAAACAAGCCTCTACGACTAAAGACGAAGGTATGCCGACATAAATTCTCAAGAGCCAACCTAGAACATACGCATGACCTGAATTCACGGATGGGTTCATATCTAGGCTATAACTAGGTTTTGACGCGGCCATTCGTCCATCGACTAACCCATTGTATAGATTCCGACTTGGATATTCCTGAACTGAACTCAAAGGTTCCTCCATTTTTAGGATGGAGTATCTTGGAAATTGGCAAGGATGACGACAATGACGACAAGACAAACGACGAAGAAAGTACTGTTCGAGAAAGCATAAGAGTGTGCTTATCTCGAGCAGAAACTGCACTGAAAGAAAGCCAACATCCGTTCATCGCCAAATTGAAAGATAATTTTTCGACATTGGACCTGCCTTCCACGTCGGACAATGTCAGCTTCAGCACCATCGACAAGAGGATTCTACAACTTGCGAAAAAGGACTCGAAGAACGGTAGTGGAAGGAAATTGAGGTTCAGCGAGGACAAGATTGCCTCTCTATACAAGGGCTTTCTCTCGGCTTCAATCAGGACTCTTGAGGCGTATACCTTCAAGGAATTTACTTCCCCCGTTATTTCAAGCTACTACACTGCTCTTTCAAATGGGTTGGAGGTATGGATGCCCCTCTTCTACCAGGGAATGTTGTGCTAGGCAAGTTACTTATATGTGTTTAGAGCCCCAAACTGCCCCCGGAGAACTACTATCCTGTTAGATGGGTTCTATCCCGCGAGCCAATACCTATCGCAGGGTTCAAGTATCTCAACACGACTCTCGACGGTATCAAATGTCCCGACTGCAACTCCCAAAAGATCTATGACAATATCGAGTCAGCGATCGACCATCTCCGCAAAAGACACTGTGCGGGTTCCACGCCGGGGACAAGACTGGTGGAGTATCTCATCCCTCTCTCGGAAGCAAAAGACTCAAGACTCGGGGAAGAATGTTCTGAGGTTTTACGCACGTGCCGAGATACTATGGTCCATATCACAAGGCGATTGCGAGATATCCAGGATGCAATGGTCTTTGATGGCCAATTCCAGAAACCAGCCCAGGGTATTCCATTCTCACTGCTCAAATCCTTGGAGCTGATAGTCGCATTTGTCTGTGCAGTTCCGATGCTGCTTGATGAGATGTATTGGTTTTACAACTACGAAATTGACGAGCAAAAGTTGGGCAATTTGGTTCTGGACGGAAAGATTCGAGCAAAGTATCACCTCCTCAAGGATGTTGGGCGTGCGGCTGAGACACTCACTAAAGACGCAGAGCGGGCACTGGTCTCCTCCATCAATTCGAAAAGAAAGGAAGATGTGGTCAAGTTCTTCACTTCTGTGGGATCTCACTGCGTTGCAACGCAAATCATCTGCAACCTGCTAAAGCACCCCATTCAGAACAATGCAAGTGCCGCCGAGTTGTACCAGGCCTATTGCACCGACTATGTGAGTACATGCAAGTGATAAAGTCAATTCTCAATGGGTTTTCATTTCCCACCGGTTCGATGTGGAGACTGACATGGCTATGTGGTAGGGATCTCAAGTTTTCCGTCATCCCAGCAAGCGTCAAATTCCAGCCATAGGCGCAATGGCCGATGAGTTGGCCCGCCTGAGAGAAGTCACAGAGTGGCAACAGAAACTCGTCTCTTCTCTTCGGACAGTGCTTTCCCCGGAAACGCATCTTGAATCCGCCAAAGCCGTAAGAGAAAAGACGTTTGATATCGAGGACTACATTCTGGACAAGACAGACGAGGAGCTCCAGGAGCAGTTCGACATGATTTCCTCGAGTCTTGACCAATGCAAAGATCTCATCGAAAGTGTCAACGAACTCATGGAGATTATGAGTGATGATCATAACCGTGCAATTCTTGTCTTCACCGTTGTGACAGTCATCTTCCTCCCGATGAGTTTCATCGCGACATACTTGAGCATGAACGGCGGGCCTTCAGAAGCTCACTGGGGCAAGACACAGGCATTGTTTTGGGAGATTTCTGCCCCACTGGCACTGGGAATTGGCATTTTCTGCCTCGCTACAGCATGGCACGGATCTGAGACTGGGGCTGTGAGGGAGTGGATAAGTGAATTTTCTGATCGATGGAGAAACAAATTGGGCCGGCGGGATTCGAAGACAGATGATTCCGATGATTCAGATTCTGACGAAACCGAGTCAAGTTCTGTATGAAGCACCGATCCAACGCATTTGATAGTTCTATTGGAAGACTGTTTATTTTTCCTAACGTCAGTGCACCGACTGGTCCTTTTCGTGTGGCGTTGATTTCATGAGCATCCGATGACATATCGAGGAGGTAACCCTGGTTCCCGATAGTTGACTCTAAAAGTGTCGCGGGCATCTCGTAGTCTGGCGATGGCCACTGCCTCAAGCTGCGATCGCTCTTCAGTCGAAAGATCCGCCCTGTCCACTCTGGCCATGTTCTCGCTATTCGGATGGTGCTTTTTAGATTTGGAACTCTGCTTGTAGGCAAGCGTCTTTCGGAGATGACACTCCTAAAGGTTGGGCACGATTTTTGAAGCCGATTATCGAGTCGCACGAGTAATTAAAAAACAGGTATAGCTGGATTCCCGTCGTTCAGTAGAAAGACGACTTGCCACCCAGGTCACTATTAAGGTGAAGGAGGCGATTAAAATACGGCCTGTAGACTTGTAGTGATTGCAGTTGTTTGACTCAGGAGTTGTCACCCACGGGACAAGGTTGTAGAGCAAAGCCAACGCGAAATTGTCAAACTTCCTGAAATAAATTTACGCTGCCGACGACAACCTCGAGGATGATAAGGGTCTAGCTAGATATTGGCATTTAATATCGCCCTAAGCGAGAGGTGGTTTAGCGTCACCCGCGATCATCCTGTGCTCTTATCTTATCCCAACATGCGGAGGCGCTGAGTAGCTCCCATCCATTATCCTCCGCTAATCTCCGTTGCTATCTTGATCTATTCCTACTCCAAAGAGAAAGGCTACGCTGTGTACAGTTCCTTGGAGTGTCACCAATCCGACAACATGAGTACCAGGCCTCATTTTAAGCCCTATGCCGCCCGCCGCCCACCCTTGTTCAGAGTCAAGACCGGCTGCTTCACCTGCCGAGGCCGCAAGAAGAAATGCGACGAGGTCAAGCCGCTTTGCTCCGGCTGCAAACGAAACAAGTTGAATTGTCGCTGGCCAACGTCCGCGCCAGGCATCAGAAGACCTCACATTCCAAACAAGCGAGTTCCACAGCAGGAGAGCACCTCCAGGGCTGGAACACCGTCTGCAGACACGATATTCGGTGTGGACACCGGGCAAGAATCTCTGATGCCACTCACAGAGAATGCCGAAGATGGTGCAACGGGTGTGGCTATGGCAACCATCATCGTTGGTTATGGGCTTCTTCCAGACACACCCTCTCACTTAAACACCCACGATTCACCGTCATTGCCACTTACCGACTTCCAGAGCACGTGTCTGCCTACAGTCGTACCAAACATGTTACCACCCGACAATGACAACGACAACGGCGAAGATACAAGCAACGCTGAAGCTCCAATTGGCCTCGGTGAGGTCCAAGGGGCAGCTGCCCTATTAGTCCCTACACACGCTTCCTCAATCCCCAGGACTGTCTCCCCATTCCCCTGCCAAGACGCCCGTTCGCTGGAACTATTAAGCCATTATCTATCCCGAACAGCTTTAAGTATGGGGAACGGGTCAACAGATGTAAATCCCTTCATTTCCCAGCTGGTCCCGCTCTCCTTTGCCAACGGGGTGATATTGGATCTTCTCCTCTGCCAGAGCGCCGCGCACCGAGCTATAGAAGATACCACCAAGCTGTGTGTTGCACATGGCCACTACAACAAATCCTTACGCATGTTCCGAAAGTCCATACAGGATTTCATCAATGGCCAGGAAACCAACTCACTGTGGATTGTGGTGGGTGCGTTGATCATGTGTTTCACCGAGGTTTGTCTTCTACCCCTTCCCAAAGTATTTAATCCTGTCAAGCATCTAACCTCACTTGCAATTAAACTAGACCACGAAAGGAGACTCTCATGGTACAGTATTTGATCACATCAAAGGCGTAGGGCCGCTTTTAGAGACCCTACTGAACGACTCCAACACCATCAGCAACGAGCTCAGAAATTTCATCATCGAGTACTACGTATATACCGCATCCATCAGCATGATATCGATGGATCCGGCATCAGGCTCGAGACTGCTCCTGAACCCTGAATTAGAGCGACAAGGCGAAATGTTGGTAGAAATCGGCTATGTCGGCCAGCTTTGCGGTAGTTGGCTCGAGCTCTTACTTCTGCTTCCTCAAATATTTCGGTTTGGCCAGCGATTAAGAGATGCCGATAAGGAGCCGAAGATTTCCACAGCAGATGATTTTGTCGTATTTTCAATATTGCAAAGGCGGATTCTCTCTTTCCAGCCCTCATCACTCTTGGGGAGCGATGTGGCACTCTGTGGGGAAATCTTCAAACAAGCCATTCATCTTTACCTCCTGACGGCTCTTACGGGGAGCCAAGAGAAAGGAGGACCACTTAATTCCACTGTCGAAAATTCCATTGATCAAGTCTTTGAACATCTCAGGCACCTACCGTCTACATCCCGCATCAACACAAGTCTTTGCTGGGCACTGGGGGTTATTGGATCGTGCGTTGCAGATGACGGCAGGAGGAATGAGCTGCGGACTCGTTTGGATATAATGTTCCTGATTATTGGGCTTGGGAACATCCGAGCGACATCTACTCTGCTTGAATACATCTGGGCGTTGCCAACAAGCGAACAAAGCCCATGGGCAATTTGGCGGGTCATGCGGGACAATCAAGTGTGGATATCCTTTGCGTGAGCCCGGTTTTGGAATGTAGGATTGGATGTAGATTTTATTTGACTTTGTAATATAGATGCCTTGAATATAATTCTCTCACTTTGTTATCCCGCTTAGTTACTATGGTTTTTATGTGCTATATTACCTGCTTCTCGAGCTATATATACCTGAGGTAATTTACAGGCTCAAATTATAAGAAAAATACTAGTGAATTATTCTTTTGGTTAGAAAAGAATTTAACTGGGCTAGTTTCTAGTTAGTTATCAAGGATCTTCAGAGTTTGAGGGTATCTGTTGTGGGATCAGAGGGACTCAATCGCAGCTTTGATCAGACACGATATTCATCTATATAGAGATAACGTCTGCATAGCTCTATCACCTGATTTATGGGCCATTTGATCCATGGGAGCCTTCATACGGCTCTGTGGAGATGCAAAGTGGCCACTGACCTGCCGCCATACAAGTGTGTGTATCTGTATTTCGACGTCTTCAGGGTGTCCTAGTGATATCGGGCATGTTATGCTAATACTATGCAAACCTCATTAAAAGACTTATTATGGAGTACCATTTAATGGTGGTATTCCTCAGTCTCCTCTCCGTCAGTCAAGACTGGAGCTTCAGTGGCAGACTCAGGCTGCCGCTCAGTGGAAGCTCTGGTGCAAGAGCCAGAAATGGAACCTCAGGGAGCCCTCAACTCCCTCTCACGGGAAGGAAGGAGGCAATGTCACGGGCGAGGGACGAGGAATATTTATACAACTCAGGGTCTAGAGGGAGGTTGTAATTAATTGTCAAGTGTAGCTCCCAGGAATATTCTTGCACGAATCTTTACTAATGCTCTGCGTCGTCGGGCGTTCAAGATATGATGTTGAAATAATTTCATCTCGTGACTGAGGGAATACTTACGGTCTCAGAGGCATAATATCTGATAGTGGCCCAGATTGCAGATATTATTACATTCGTTTCCGATCCAATATGCTCTTGGTTTGTTTGAACATCAGCATCCCCTGCTATCTTCTTCCCCCTTGTAATTTTCAGGCACTAATTTGGAAGGAGCATGCAGACTCATTACTCATGACTCGGATACATCAAGCTTCGGGGTCGTTGTAGTCTCAGGCCAAGGCTCAACAGTCAGCCCCTTCCAAATTGCCCTCCATCTAGCTGCCTTTTTGTCATAGACCTCCTTCCCTCCGAGGACTGGGTTTGGCCTTACAACCAAGCTGTAAAAGTCCGACAGGCCACGCGGGGCATAGACACTCCATTTACCATCCTCGAGCAGTCTCAGTCCAATCATGGCGCTTGTCGATATCCAAGAATCAATGCCGGCCTCCACGCTGGAGTGCGCCGGGCAAGGAGAGCCAAATTTTGACTTATACCATAAGTGCACTCGTGCTTGGTTGCGGATCTCCACCTCCACCGGCACATCTGCGAATAGCTTCTTACCAGCCTGGATGACGGTATCCTCGGCCTCCCAGGACACGTCGGAATTGTCAAAATACACGAGGTCGTAGTCCGAGATGCCCGTCTCTGGGGGCTGGCCAGTGACAGAGTTCCAGATGGTCTGGGAAACGGCACCGCCGGCAAGGTACCAGTTTGGCACGTTTAGCCTCGCGGCGCGAGAGAGGACGAGGAGCAAGGTGGGATTGGAGGAGAGGGTTGTGCGAAGATGGCGAAGTTGAGAGTCGAGAGGGAGCTGAGCTGGGTTCATATTGAGACTAGTCGTTCGTGATACACACGGATTGGGGGATTGTATTGAGGAATTTCTGTCAGTATAGGCACCATGAAATGTAGTGGCGATTACTTGTACGTGTTCAGATGACAAAGGCAGTGGTGCGGGATTTCTTGCGATATGCAGCTCACGCAGGTTCCACGTGAAAACAGAGTGATTGGACTGACCGCCTCAAGTAACCTTATGACATGTCAATATTTACATCGAATAATTTAACATACTTTGGGAGGCCTATTAGACGCCGCATGATTGTGATTTGGTCCGCCAACCACTTTGTGACTGGTGACAACAAAAGGTGCTCTCAACTTTAAATATTATTTCACTGTGAAGTTCATTTCATTCTCCTTGTCGCATTAAACGCGGCACACCCGGGGGTTCTCACACCCTGCCGTTGCCCTCTTCCATATAGTCGCTACAAGTAAATGGACAAAAAATGGAAACAGATGAAGGAAACGACGGAATTCTAATTGGGAGGCACAACCTTTTCTGCGGCTTGGAATTTACATGCCGAAGACCGAATATTCAACTGTTCGAGTATCACAACCTGCCTAGAATTGTCTAAATATTACGTGTATCCAAGAGTCGCTTATCTGCTTCGAATCAACGCATGGTGGCGATGTTTGGTGCAACTGTTGTGATTGGCATGTCCCACGTTAACTCCTGTGGTGGAGCAGTCGAGGGCCCACAAAGTCTGATCGGGCGAGTTTGGATAACGACGATTACGGCTGGCCTCGGCTTCATCTTCTAACTCCGGCGCGGTATAAATGGACTCAGCATTGACGGACTTGTATAAGTTAGTTTACCGCGGGTCCGCGGGGCTCTCTTGCGATGGATCTCCATTTAGCGCTTTCCCCGCCACCTCGCGGTCATTTATTATCCCCGGCGCCACAGGACGTCAAAGAAGCGTGCAATCTTCTTCTGTAAACAATTGACGCATATTGTTTCACCTCGACAATGGACTACGCACTGGAAAACTACAGCTCTTTCATCGGGAAGCCGACCTCTGAGCTGCCCACTCCGTCGTTCGTCATCAGCTTGCCCGTGCTGAAACAGAACATCGAGACCCTCCATCGCGATGTCGAGAAGCATGGCATCCTGTTTAGGCCTCACGTCAAGACACTCAAGGTAAATCGCTCCGTCGGATAATATCTCACTGAAGGGTTGCTAATCGCGCTACTAGACCATTGAGGTAACGAGATTGATGCTTGCAGGAGGCAAATACAGGTCCATCATTGCGTCAACCCTGGCCGAAATCAGGGGCGCCCTGCCCTTGGTCAAAGAGGGTATCTTGGATGAGGTATATATACCACAACATCGTACCCGCGCGCTCAGTCAGCTAAATGTCGATTCCAGTGCCTTTACGGCCTTCCCATCTACCCAGGCATTCTGCCCAGGCTTACGGAGCTACGAAAGTCACTGCGCATCCTCCTGATGGTCGACAATGAGCAGCAGATATCTCACCTAGAGAAAGCAGGCGAAGAAGCGCCTTGGGATATCTTCATCAAGCTAGACGTCGGTTCACACCGAGCCGGTGTCGCAACCGACGGCCCCGCACTCCGCAGCTTGGTGGAACGCGCAGAGGCGTCATCGGCGGTGCAGATCTACGGCTTCTATTGCCATGCGGGACATTCATACGCCGGTCGCTCACGCAACGAGGCCGAGGATGTTCTTGGTGTGGAAATATCCAGCGTTCTCGACGCTGCCAAGCTGCTTCCGGCTGATCGCGAGCTTGTCGTCTCCATCGGCTCGACACCCACTGCACATGTGGCAGCGAACTTGAAGGCCGTTGTGCCCGCGAATGTTAAGCTCGAGTTACATGCAGGTGAGTAGAATCGTGCCCAGAGTATCAAACCCGACGATTTGGATCAAAGTTCGCGGGTTCATCGATGGCGCACTCAGGCTGATTATTTGACTAGGCAACTTCCCCTGCAACGACCTTCAGCAGGTTTCGACTGGGTTAGTGAGCGAAGCTGCCCAAGCAACATACGTGGCAACGGAGGTCTGCAGCGTCTACCCTGCCCGAAACGAGGCGCTCGTTAACGCGGGTGTTATCTCACTGTCCCGAGAATCCAGTGCCTTCGCGGGCTTTGGCCAAGTTGTGGGGCATCCATCGTGGAGAGTTGTGCGGCTGTCGCAAGAGCATGGGATTTTGGGAACCGAGGACAAGGATCAGACAATCGATGAGGCCTTCAAGGTTGGTCAGCGGGTGAACTTGTGGTGCAACCATGCCTGCATCACAGCTGCGGCCTTTTTCGTCTACTTCGTTGCTGATGAGAACAATATTGTCCGTGAGGCTTGGATTCCCTGGAAGGGTTGGTAATATGCCATTATTGTTTTTCAATTCAAATAAATTCTACACTGGGATAAACTGAGCAGATGAGTTTTTAATGACTGCAGAATAGTATTTACAGGAAGCAATGACTGGTGCTGCTCTACCATGAGCTATTTAACCACGCCATGCTGGAATGACACAAGTCTGATTCATTTACCCTGCTGTAGATAATTGCTAAACGTGACGTGCCAGCAGTCGCTGGTCTGTAACAACCTGCGTGCTATTCTGATTCCGCATGGACACCTTTGTACAAGTTTGACGTAGAGTGCACTTGGTATAATTGAACTTCTCGAAGTGGGGATGCGGCCACCCAAGAAAGACGTCCTCGCAAGGTAGTTTTCTGTAGCTCGTAGCTTAGTTTCAAGAGAAATTTACATAGCAAGAGAAAGATGAGTTATGACCCCGTGGTTGAGGTAAAGTGGTGGATGATGGACTTGATGCAAGTAAGAATGGGGTGAGAGTTGCATCATATTCTTAATCAATAAAACACAGTACTACATAGAGAAGAACCTGGGTAGCTTGGTGGGAGAGGCCTTTAGTGCAGACCACACCCGTCCGTAGGGTAGGGGCTAGAGGGAGAAGATAAATAAGAAAGAACAACACCAAGCTGTCTTCTGGGAGCTGGGGATAGTAAGGGCAATTGATCAATTGCTTTAGAATCCCCAAGAAGAGAAAGAAAAAGAAAATAATATTAAGAGCTGCTGCGACAGCCATAGTGGAAGGAGCGTACTGAGACTCAAGCTGTCATATTAATTCGAAGGAAAAAGCGTGCCGTCTTATTTTTCAAGCTAACTTAACGCTTTAAGTAGGGACAGCCCAAGCTAGCATAGGCCTCCCGTACCGTATTAAACTCCAGGTGGACTGTTGGCCCCATTACACTATGTAATAACCATCACAACCACAAAGCTCCCTAGGTTTGAAACCTCCTGGACCATATCGTTCCTCTTTGAGTCTCTTGTCCTGCAGCTCGTAAGATGTAGGAGAGTCATGAGGACAAGGTGAGTCGCCCAGGTTTGGCATCCATTTGCCATCTGGGCACTCTGGCAAAGGGTAGATGCGGATCCCCGGGTCGGGCATGCCATGGTATGCGATGGAAAACCTATCGACGACGTCGCTGTTGGGCTTGAAGCCGTGCTCCAGCGTGTGCAAATCTGGGAGAGCGACTTGCTGGAGGGCGCACTTCCACCGGCCGTTGGTCTGTCGCTCGAGCATTTCACCAACACTGAGAAGGATCGTACCTAGAATGGGGCGGACGGGCTTGAAGACGTTGTCGTTGTGTACTTCGAGCCCGCCGACTTCGTTCTGGAACATGAGAGTCAGGCCGCCCATGTTGGTGTGTGGGTTGAACCAGCGTTGTTGACGCGACTTGAGCGGAGTGAGGCGCATGTTTGGATAGTGCGCGATTGTCATGTGGCTGTCATTGTGAGCCTCTTGCTTGCGGAGCAACTTTGCGTCTCGTAGTCCCAAAGCCTCGCCCAACACTCCAAGTAGCTTCTGTTGGAGCGCGATGCACATCTTCCACCAGCGGTATTGAAACTCCTTGAAGCCGGGCAGCTCGTGGTGTGTGGCCCAGTAGTTCGGCCTGTCCTCGTCCAGGGATGGGTTGCCCATCTCAAATGTCTCCTTACGCTCTGGGGGACTCAATTCGAACCCTCCAGTCCTCTCGGTGGCCAAGAACTCTGATAGGTCGTAATCGGTCTTCTCTGGGACGTAACCTCGATTGTACTTCAGCGAGGGACGATTATCTGGACGCCGAGCCAGCAACTTGATGTCAAGAGGAATCTCAAAGTATCTTCCAGCCTAGTACCCATGTTAGGAATGCTACTAGCATGCGAGATAATACAATCGTGACATACCCAATAAAACGCCTCGTCAACCATCTCTTGAGGAATGCCATGATTCGCCAGGTACACGAAGCCGTAAGTCTGGAAGCCCTGGTCAAGCTCTGCCGCGGCGCTGCGACGTGTATTTTCATCGCCCTGGAGATCTGCAAAGTCGATAATGGGCAGCTCAATTGGGTTGTCGACGGACTCGGCCACAGCAGCATTCGCCTTGTGGTGGGCGGCGGTCTTGTGTGGAGTGTACACTCGCATCGTGAGCGAAGCCGGAGGATTGTTTTCCGGCTGATTGTCTTCCCTGTGGGACAGCTTGGCATGAATTGAGTAATGAAACGATATATTCTGCGTTGGATGATATCAGGAAGGGAACCACAGAGGGATTCAGATGCTGGGGGTTGGCAGGGTACTGGTTTCAGTGCTCGGGCTTCCACCACATCGGAAAGTGCGCTTTACACCAACTGTCTTGCTTGATGAGAATTACAAAATGGGTTATCCGAGGTGAGCCGCCAAGTCATTGTGGCTTACCGGTGTGTGTAGCCCGGGTCTTGCCCGAGTCGATTATCTTCGTTTCGATTCTCAACGTATCTAATCCTGCCAACATCCCAGCTGAGACTATGTGACAGGTCAGTTACGCCTCTCCTCTCAATCTAAAGCAACGAATCACCGTGAAAAGGACCTTCACCGCCATTAGCAACCCCGCCGGAAGCTCACGACGGCCAATTGGTGCCTCTTCCTACGATCTGGCACGCCTAGACAAGCGTGCATATCCGGCTCCCCGACGACTGTCCCATGGTCCGCGAGTAGATGTCTAGGAGCGGGGTGCAGGGAGGCTATGCTGACTTGCAGAAACGAAACCATCCAGACACATCGACCCTAGCATCAAGTTCCTGTGACTCGCTATGCATGCACCGGCTTGCCAGGCCGGCTGGCCGAGCGCGGGGCACGGAAAAGAAAGCGGTGAAACCAAGCACTAGTTCGCCTTGATAAGAACGCCTTGATCTTGTCAAGATCCTTCATTGGATGCATTTTCACTGACCGGTTGCTACCGGATACACCACCGTGGGGGTCGCCAAGCAGCTAGAGAGATGCGAGCCCGATCCTTTGCGTAGTCCTGACACGGTCTGTTTGCTTTTTCTTTCTTTTCTTTTGCGAAAATCCCTTCCAAGAAAGTTGGAGCTGCTCCCAGTGGAATTCAGTGATTGTTGTGAAGCATGGATTCTTGTTGCAATTTCTCACCAACATTTCACTACGAGTCTAGTTGCGGTGCCACATTGTTGGACTACAACTTCTTCTAGTCTGTGAACCAGCCGACATATCTCACTACACTGTCCCGCAACACAACACAACCCGTTAGGGGTGTGTAAAATGCTAAGAGTGAGACGAAAATGTGTCGCGAGCGATATGATAGATCGCACATTCCCTCCCTTCACTTTACCATACGCATCTGCCGGCATAAATAGCGAAGAACGGCTGAGGTCCTGATTCGCAACACGCAACCACATGGTTTAGCTCCATTAAGTGAGTACCAATATAACAAGCCACAAACCATCGGGATCCGAAAATGGTATCCCCGGTTCCGCGTGTCTCAAATCCTGGCGGGTCCAACATCAGCCTTCCCCAGATTGTGTCTACTATGTAGTCAATCTAGATATCGGGATAATGTATCGCACCCCATGAACAGAAGATGCATTATGCACCCCTTACAAATGGGAGAAGCGTCACGCGTCGTCGTAAGAATAGGAGCAAGGAAGCTCCCTTGCTTCCTCTCCGGTCAATAAAAGTCTCCAATGGCTGATCCCATTGTCATGCATGATGAGTTGTCAGAGGTCAGCACATTGTGCACATCCACATGAAACATGGCTTGAGGAGGCGCACAGGATCATCCACCATGGCTTTTGCCCATTGGCTCCAATACAAGCCTCCTCTTTTCAGCTCGGGGAGTTATGTACAACTTCATCACAATATTTTATGTAGTTTTAATGTATGTGATTGATCACCTATGGCGCAATGGTTGCATGTGGGTCTCGCCTCCCTGTTAATCTTTCGGCAGACTACTCACTTGTCAGTTGTCATATCTTCCAACGCCACCAACAAGATAAATGGTGTAACCTACCAATAAGGATTGGAGATAATTCTTTGTTCTTGTTTTAAGCTAGCTACACTGCCAAGAAATATGTGGCTGCATTGGGCTGATTACATGGTGGACACTAAGCATGGGAAGTCCTCACAAGTCAGATATCATTTTTCAAGTTTGTTCTTCTACTGAGACAACGCTAGGAGTCTCCCAACAAAGAATCATGAAATGCTCAATCGCCATTGGCTGCGGTCCCGACGTACGCGGCATTTATCATGCCAATAGTCGGGCAGGATAAGACCGATATCCACAGCAAGTTGTGTCTCCTTCACAGCCCTGGTGGTCGAGGCAATACTGAGTCGAAGCATCTATTGTCTTTATGTTCATAATATTAAAGGCAGACAGAGCAGGTTTCCAGAAGCAAGCCTAGTGTCCCGAGATCCCTGGTTTACTCGGTCGCTTGAATACATATTCCCTTAGCTTGAAAAGTGCCACCAAAGTCAGGCTCACCAACATCCATCACAATTGGTAATCTTTCTGTAATACAGAGTGATAGCCCGAACCAATCCCGCACCAATGCGTCGGATGTGAGGCTGATTGGCAAACTATGTGTCAGTGGCGTCACAGCGGGTTATCAGGCTCTGGACGTTGTCCTATAGCGATGGATTCAACGGCCTTGGCGTTGAATCGAGGCTTTTACTGCAAGCCTCACAAGGGCGCATCATGAAGCGTTTCGTGGAGGTCAATTGTTCTAGTACAATTGATCTGCATCCGTTCTAGCCAAAGTGCTGCCAATAAGAACATCGGGCCGACGCCTAGTACTCTCCCGCTGTTGCATTGCATATTTATCAAACTCCCCCTTCACAGGCTTCAATACCGCCACACACGTTCAGCCGTCTTTGCACTATCAGCATCCTTCATGCGAGGGATAACGCCTCGTCACACCGCCTGTACACGTTCGCCCGTTTTCTCTTGTCTCCTCCACACGATTCAGCAATCACACCTGATCCAACACGCCTTATTCCATCCTTCGATGCCCAATTCGCCTCTCCTGCGCACTATTTACAATACTGCATGCAAGCCCCGTCGCTTCCGTGTGACGCATGCATATACACCCTTACAGAAGCCCGTCTAGACCATAGCACGGGGTGATCTTTCTCCGTCAATTATGTTTATGACAAGTCAGGCTGAGACATTCTGCATGATGACTTGGCACTGCCCCAGGGATGCAAAGGCGAACCAAATTGACTTGTCAATTCAAAGATGTTGAAGTGTGATGGAAGAGAATAGATTTGCCTCGTAGCACAATCGGTGTGACTGTGCTGCATCTGGTTCGAAGGGACTGTCGACCGAGTACGTACGACACACTAATCTCAATCCCAAGCCTCATTTGTTCCCCGAACTCATTTCCGCCAAGGTTGTTTGTCGGATCTGACCGACAAATTCAGCGACCTAACTATTATCTGAAGTATGACTTGGAACTCCTCATCTCAATCTGTCATAGAGATCTGTCTTCACCACCCTTCATTTACCTTTCCCTTACCCCAACACACAAGCTTCTCATCCGTATTTCAGCGCGGCGTCTTAGTATGGATGGATACGGTCCAGCAAGGGCAGACGCGCAGTAAACTTCTTCTCTGTTCAATTTATGTCGAATTTCAGGACGCTACCGCATTGCGCTTCTTTAGAATGCAAATGGTCATGACAGGCGTCTTCGTCGCCTTTGTCACTACACTGCCAGTAAGTCCATTCCGTTCGGGCCCCGAGAGCCCTGTCAAGCGTCGCAGGGCCAAAATGCCCCCTCCTTTGTCATGGTCCACAACTTTTTAGAATAGCCACTCTCACCAATCACTTCAGGATCATTGCATCAATTGAAGTGATTAGAAGTTGGTGAGATCGCTTTCTTTTGAGAAAATCTTCTCTCGGTGCGAAGGTGAAAGGTTGTATAAATTTGCAGCACAATGGAAAGAACGACACCCATCTTGCTAGTTCTTTGATCGTTGTTGTTTTCATTCTTCTCGATGGACTATTTTCTAGGTTCATCACCGTAGTTGTTGATTCCGGGGGGTTGTCGGGTGGGCTCAAGTCACAGGCTTCCAACGTGTCTTTTATGTTTATGAGGAGCTCCTCCGACTACGTTTCCATTACTTCGTGTGCTAGATGATCTTCAATAATCGTTTTCATGGAACCCATTTTCTGGTGATTCAAGTTTCCCTCCGTCTCCAATGCTCTTTCTGCTCTATATAGCAGACATCTGCTAGGAAGATCAGATATATCGCTTAGGTTATGCAGATGACATCTGCCGTTTACAACTGAAATATCCCTCAAAGTAACGCCGACCTTCTGGGTCGAGACATCAGTCGGATCCTTGATTGCGTTGCCGGAAGTAATTTTACCCTTGACCCGGATAAGTCAGACCTCATCTCCCTTAAGCCAAATGAGGCCCAAGAAGCAGGGGTCTCTGCCCCGGAGCACTACTCCTCTATTTGCCCAGCAAGTGCTGATTCTGTTAGTTAGGCACTTAGTTTAACCGGATGTTGCAAGTCACAGAGCATGTTAAGAGACGATTATGGTACGCTAAATTGTTGCTAGCCACCTACGGAGCCTAGCCATCACACAACAAGATCGCCCAATCGGATCCTTAGAAAGGCAGCTCTGATTTGCATACGCCGAGCCTGCTGGACTATGGAGAAGTAAGGTATGAAGCATCATTTACTATACATAAACAGAGCCCAGTAAAGTGACATTCTTAACTTTCAAAATTAAACTCCTACGTAGAAATCAGCTACCTTGAACAACTTGGATCGTAAACTGAGCTCGGCAGCAAGCTCGATAATTTTCTGACCCATGCCGTCTAGGTACATGAATGCATCGATTCTAGCAGGCCTTGTGATTTTTCGAGGTCGTAAAGAAGATGAGTATGGCACAGAGTGTCTCAAACCCGATGTTCCCTCAGATAAGGTTATGAGTGTTCGACGAGCTTAAACTCGGTTTCCACAACCACGAGCGTGGAGAGGGGCAAAGATTAGAGAATTTAGTAGAGAGGTATCGCCTTAACATCTATCAAACACAGCCCTGAGGTTAGTTTGAAAGCATCCATCAAAATTCATTCGTTTCACAATGCCAGATCGCCAAGAGAGGTTCGAATTTTGGCCATGGTAGGAGGTCCAGCAACAACCAGACCAAGAGTGTTCCACGATGCCGATTTGCTCGTCTGACAGACTTGGCAGATGAAGAAAATTATCCAACTGCGTGGTTAAGGAATAGATGAGTCGTTAGCTTAATTGGACTGTTCGTAGAGCGCGAAACTGGGATGACTCTAGGTTTCGTAAGAAACTAACTGAGTGCGGCGATGATCTCACCACGAAATCCACTAGCCATCCCACCCTAGTTCACATATTTCTGAGGTTGAAACTTCTGATAAACTTGCCCGTAATCTCCTCCATACGCATTTCGATAGCGGGTATATATTGGGGTTTCCTAGCAAGTGTAGGTTTCAGTTTGCCAAGGGTGAGGTATATAGCATTGACTTCGCCATCATAATGATCAAAAACTTGAACAGGCCTTGAATTCGGCTGTAAGATGATTTCCTTCATCCTGTATGAAGAGCGGGTGTACCTATGTTGTTATTCAGGGGTCCCCTCTCATTGATACCCTGTCCAATTCACAGATAGGACTTCTTAAACTTGAGCTATAATCAAAGGATTGCGCACTACCGCAGCCCATTGAAACCCATTTTGGGTAAAAGAATTGATAACGACTCTCTCCTATCTGCGCAGTAGCTAAATCAAACATCACGGTGAGGTCCGCAGAAATATCTAACAGAGTTTGCTTCATACCACTATGGTTGGAGAAAATATCTCATGAATGGTCAGAGAAACCTATGTGAACCAAATGATTGCTTTAGTGTTCAACAACAAATCTCGTAAGTTGAGGACAGCGAATGTTGGTATTCCCTCTTCTTCGACGCGATTGCATCAAAGTTTATCTCGGCCAAGCCGTAATGGTGAGTCGGGGTTTTCCGGTCTTTGGAGATAAAGGTCATCTGATCAGACGCTCGCAGCCACTAGGGCTAGGATCGGCGGCTTCCTTCAACAGGAAATACCGTACTGGGTAGGGACCAGTATCTTGACCTATTGGGACTATAAATTGGGAAGGTCTTGCATAGGATCCATTAGACAGAATCATCCCTTTTAGCATCTCATTCAATTGACAATTGTTTGGCCTGTTCTTTTGAGACCTCTCAGAGATCCATTTGATCAAATGGTATCAGCTGAGAAAGTCACCTATTTTGCTGAGTCAAGCTATTTATCCGGATTCTGATCCTGACCCTATCCGACCTTTCCGTCACAACACTATTGCGGTCATCACAGCTCTACCTCTGGGTGGGTTGTGTATTCTTAGTGCCCTCTGCTCCCTCCCTCACTCAATGGTAAAGGTTCAACTAATTTATCGCTTGTTGGCGTGGAGTATGTCCTCCGCGTATGTTATGATATCCTCACTGGTGTCGTTGACAATAGCATTGCTATTCGCACACAGGTTCAAGTCCCTTCGGCTAAGCCCTCGGGCAAATTAACATACTATGATATACAATCAAATAGTCCCTTCTAATAATCATCTAATATCGTAAAGTTCCATTATGGCGACTACTATCACCCGTCTGACACCCCAAAATTCTGCTGATATCAAGAGGCTAGGGTGCCTGAGTACACATACCCAGAGGGGGGACTGGAAGCTTAACAGTAAAAAAAAAGCCAACAGTATCAACAATAATTCTGCTGATATGAGATCAGGGTATCGGCAATACCTTACAAATCCGCATAATACCCTGGTCTTACATCAGCAGAATCTTGGAGCGTCGGGTAATAGTAGTCGCTATAATAAAACGTAACAAAATTGGATAATTATTGGAAGAAAGTTGGTCTCTTTACGACGAGAGATATCAATCTCTCTTATATAGTATTGCTCGGAATAAAGTTCCTATCTCAAGGTTGTTGACTGCAGACAGCAGGGTTGAAGTCAGAAGGGTCGAATTGAAGCTTAAGGCAAAGACCAGTATGAAATTATCTTATTATTTATCTACTCTTTCTTCTGGTGCTGGGTGTAGGACTTGCTGTTTATTTCTACTGTTTGAGAATACTGTATGGCTTTGATCTATGTGACGATATTGAGAAAAGCTGGGGGGGAATACAATTAAATAGTACATTATCAGGCGTTACGCCTACCTGTATCAACAAATTTGACTTGATAAACAACATACATCTTGCATAAAATATAACGCAAATGACCATATGGAATAAATACCAAGACTAACGGGGATGCAAATTTTATTTCTTAGGCTCCTGTATAATGTTACTAACGACCGATGGCCAATGTCTCCAGTGCCTATATCGTTATTTTGGCCCCAGGCACTCGGCAATATCGGTGCGGATGCCACTCTCTGGAGGACTGCAAAGAGATTTTTCTGTAGTATCTTTCTCACTCATAAGGATAGTAGCCAAGAGATGATCGTGATCCTCAACGTCCCTATTGGGTATTCATTTTGATGATTGAAGCAGGAGACACGTCTCAGGTCGCATAAGGTCGTGATGTGGGTGTGAATCGCAAGCTCGAAAAGTGAAGCCTGAACCTGTCTGTGCGAGGCGGACCCGGAATTACTTCAAGCGTCAACCTGGGGATGAGGGATAGAGGATCGACGTTTGGAGCTGAGAAGCGATCCACTTTATTTTTCTGCCTCGCGCTAGTTTAAGCTTGTCGCCCTCCCTGAACGTTCGCTAGTGTGGTCGTATGTAAGTATCCTGAGAGTCAACCTGTTACAAATATGAGTGTTTTCTTGTATGAAGCTCGAACACCCCTTTAGCTAATGAAATGAAAGTAGTCCAGCTTTTATACTAATTTATATGCAGGCAAAGTATCCTTCGATAATTTCCCAATCGCGACCGACCCATTTCACACTTAGCGACTCTCCTTTGTACAAGAACGTTCTCCGGGGGACGTTTTGAGCCACCCTAGAAATGGCACTATCGAATGCTGCATTGAATGGGTGTGCTCGACGTAGCATCCTCGAGCCGAGCTGAAAGTTCAGCTGATACCGTCGAAATACAAGACCCCGAGACAACCCCGCCATTCATTCGCATGAGCGAAGATTTTCCCACAGCCATGCATTTACTTCTTCAGTTATAAGTCATGTCAGACCCTATCACAGCCTCAATAGAGATCGGCATCTCAGCCATCAAGGCCGGTGCTGCGATCGCGACTTGGTGGGAAGTGAGGCAGTCAAACAAACGCAATGGGGGGCCAGGAGCCTCCAGTGGAACGGGAGCCTCGCTGGACGAGATCTTCTTGGTCTTCTCCTCTTTGGGCCAGCGACTCATGGCGCTAGATGTCGTCAACTACGACGCATTGCCGCAGGCCCTCGCAGCTGTCAAGGTGGCAGTGGAGACTTCCGATGATGATCTTGCTTATGAACTGGGTCGCCTCGATCCGATTCTGCAATATCTTGTTGCTTGCGCCTTCGTGTTCTGCGCCGCGTGTCATCCCATGTCCATTTACTATGGATACGGCTGCGGAGTCATGAACGACACAAGATGGGCCAATCCCGAGCACAGGTCGGCTTGGAACATGGACATCGATCAAGCAATTGCCTACTTGAAGAGCGTTCCACACCCCTGGAAATTGCTCAAGAAGTCACCATCTCAGATCGGCAAGACCGAGCCCTTCTATGAGCAGTGCGAAAAGAAAACGATGAAGTTGGTCCAGGGCATTCAAGCGGACCTGTTCAAGCAGTTCGAGAAGCACGGGTATCCTCAGCCACTACCCCCGAACGACACATCAAAATCGGCACTTGGGGGATGCCATTCGCAACCTATGGCGGCACGTCTATATACGCAGACCACGGCCATAACTTTTCAGCAGCAATTGCTTGGCAACAAGACCCGGGCCGTTTCCTATACGCCTGGACCGTTGGCGAGCACGCGGATCTTCGACCTGGGGAGGCCATTTTGCTGCCCGAGGATCACATCGCAGCCTTGGCAGTTTGGCTCGAGGGGCTGAACGGAATCACATTCAAGGTTCTCCTGGATTCGGAGCTAGACTGGAGTAAAATCAAGCTCAAGTCGTCGTCAAAGAAGCACCTGATTGCACATACTGGAAGCGAGCATGGAATTAGGAACGTGCCCGATGTCATTGTACGAAACCCCGACCCCACGGCGCTGTTGACCGCACAGCTTGACACTCTCCACATGGTATCGACATCAGTACCATTGATAAAAGCCAAGGAATCGCCAGTTGCTTCCGCAGGCCCATCATCGCCGTCTCCGAGCTCTTCGGAAGTGATATCTCCTCAGTCGCCCGGGGCATACATTCCGACGCCTACATCTCCACTGTCGGTGATTTCTCCACAAACAACGCAGGCATCGACAGTCTCAGAGCCGATAAAAATTTACGGAGAAGACCAAATGCCTCGTGCGGAGCCCTCCATACTGTCAACGCCGACCAGTCCTCATGTTCCTTCATCACGTACGTTGTCAACGATTGCATCCTCAGATGCCCTCACCCCTCTTCCTCCTGACTGGGAGCAAAGATTCACGCCTGATGGAAGGCCTTACTATGTCAACCACACCACGCAAGCTACAACCTGGGACCGACCCGCTCCCGTTCCTCTGTCCCCCCTTCCACCTGGCTGGGAGCAACGATTCACTCCTGATGGGCGTCCTTACTATGTCAACCACACCACGCAAGCTACAACATGGGACCGACCCGCTCCCGTTCCCCTCCCTCCCCTTCCACCTGGGTGGGAGCAAATGTTGGCGCCGGACGGAAGGACTTACTATGTCAACCACAACTTGCAGTCGACAACGTGGGATCGACCACCTCCTGTAGACACACTGCCGCCTAATTACCAGACAGTGGCCTCGAGACGGCCTGTTTCATTGAGCACTGCGAGCTCGTCCTTCGGTATGCCTCGCTCCGATGGGGGTTCTTCTATTACGATGCAGTCGGATTGTACCGTGGGCGTTTTCAGATCCGAGCAAGGTATTGGAAAGATCCAGGACCGTCCCAAGCCTCCTCCACAAAAGCGACGAGAATTGTGCAATACCCGTTTGTACACTGGTCAGCGGAAAATCGTCTGCTGGGTAGCAGATATGCCTGTCACACCTGACATATATGAGCAACTCCCATCTGATCAATACGAATCTTCATACATCAGACACACTGCACTGGCAGGCGAGGCCTCGGACCTGCCAAAGCTGGACTACGCTCTTCGCCAAACCGGTCGTACCGAGCTTGTCATCGGGGTGAATTTGTATAGCGAGTCAAGTTACACACGCGAGGTTTTGAACAGCCAACTGACGACGACTCTTGGAAGCGTCATGGAGGAACTTACAACATACTCGTTTTCGGGTGATTTCAACGACAGATGCAACGGCTCTCCGCTGACGGGCATTGTCGTCTGTATCCTGGTGCATCAAGATCGGATGAAAGAAATCCCCTGGCTGCGACAGATGGGCATCAGTTTCCTATGGGATCTGCCTTCTTCCGTGCCGATAACTGACTCGAAGAAGGGGAACGCCAAGTTCTACGATGATGCTCATAAAGCCACCCGCAAGATTCTCGGCAAGGAGGTCAAGGTGGTTCTAAATGAGGTTCGTAATTGCTCTTACCAACCATTCTATGTTTTCTTTACTAATCGATGTAGTGCGCAACTACATTTCGCTTACAGAACTGGCGAGACAGCAAGGCGCTCATACCCGACATCGTATCAGGAGGAGACCCAGTTCAACTGTTGCTGTGCTCGACTTATCGTCCTTGGACACTAGGATCAAAGGAGTATTTAAAGCAAATTACTCGGGTGCTAGATGCCCGATTATGTATTGATGTCAACGGGGGAACAACAGTCACTGGTGGGTCAATCGAGAAGCAGTGGCAGCTGTCCAGGAACAGGAGGAAACCAAGCGAGTCCGGGAATGATGTTTTTGTTGAGGAGTACCTAGGATAGTTGAGATAGTGATTGTGGTTCGCCATCAGTAAGCAATGCGACATTGCCTCCTAGATCTAGGAAAGGCATTGGCCTGCTCGGACTCAACTTGTCTCCTCTGTTACAATTGGCGATGATCTTTTCCGCCTCTCACATGTGTCCTGCACTAAGTGCACCCCGAGTGACAAACATACATCTTTGTCCGAGCAAAAATATAGCTACGCGCGAATAGAAAGCTCAGGATCGGATGATCAGGTACACACCAGCAAATCGGATGGTCGAATTGACGCATTATGCAGATGGAAGAGAATTGACGCCACCACCCTAGGCCGATGACAACCACGCTTCCCACCACAAAGGGAAACGCAGGCTACATCAGCTAACGGCAAGTCATACCCACAATGACCATCTACATTTCCTTCCAGCTGCTTCCGTCATAGCCAAAAACCCTGCTCTTGGGGAATTAATTGCCGGGGACGCTGCCCGGGCGGGCCAGTGGGCCGGGGCGAGCCGCCTACGTCATCGGTTTTTCCCTGCCTTGGCGGGGGAGTGACTCGTCAGTGGGTTGTGTTTTTGGGTGGGCGTTTTTTTGGTGCGTTGTTGGTGTTGCGTCACATGAAGATAATAGCACCAACTCGCCCTTCCACTCACACATTGGCAATCACACTTCCCTTGTCCCGTCACATCACACCACCACCTTTCTGCCAGTTCCCGAGTTCCCGTCGCCAACTTCTCTTCTTCAGTCGCAAAGTCTCGCAATTCTACGTATCTCGTCGCTGTCCTGTTGATTGAGTCGACCATCCATCCCCCCGCCCTCTCCATCACTCCATCACACCACCGCCACCAGTAAGTACCATCGAATCTTCCCCCGCACTTTGGTACTAATTGCCCTATCTGCAGTGTCCTACGCCGACGTCACTGCCAGCGGCCCCAAGCAGACGCCCGAGGAGGTGAGTTTTACACGGCATGCCGCTTTGCGTCCCAGCAGCAATTGACCCGGTCTCTTCTAGGCTGCCGCTCCCCAACCCGCGGAGATCATCAACACCGAGTCCGCGTCCACCGCGTCCCTCGTCGACGTCGACCTGCCCAGTGTGCACACTGTCCACTCGGACTTCCTCGAGCAGGAGGTCCAGACCCAGACCCAGGCCGACCGCATCGCCCGCGAGGAAGAGGCCAAGGCGGCGTCCAAGGCCAAGCAGGCCAAGAGCAAGGCCGCCTCCAAGGCGAAGCAGACCGACGACTGGCTGACCACGTACTTTGCCGACCTGTCCGACACCACGGCGTCGGCCGTCGTGGCCGTCAACCTGGCGTCCGTCGTCGGCGTCAGTGCATTCCTCGGCTACAAGGCCTGGGGCCTGTACCAGAACGGCCGTCTGAGCGGGCAGGCGGTTGGCCTGGGCGTGGGCATCGTCGCCGGTGTGGCGGCCGTCGAAACCTTCATCGGCCGGTATTTGTACAAGGGCAAGAAGGGTGGCTCGTCCTAGGAGCCTCACTCGCTCGACATACCAGTGCGCAGTTCTTCTCCTCGCGGCGTCTCGGGGTGGCAATGAATGAGCTCAGCTTTGCTTGATGAATCTGGGACCTGTGTTGATACGGTTTATGGGTGGCCTCTCCGCTTTTGTTTCTGTTGATTGATACCGTCTTGTTGCCAGTCTCAATATACGCGCTCATACCTTGATTGTGGCGGTTTCCCTCCGATAATACCAAATTGTACCACGGCGGGCTCTAGTTTATCGCGACCTGGTCAAGTATTGAAATGAACGGTTAATGTCAAAGCTCGCAAGAGACCCCGACCTTGAGATGTGATGCCTTCTATTATGACCCACTGCCTTTTGTATCTCTCATTATACAACGTTGGTACAGAGATGAGATCCTCGCTGACGCCACACGGACCCAGTATATTTTACAGTTCGTACACCCATCCTCATGCCTGGTGGTGATCATTTTACTCCTTTTTCGGCCCATCGTGCTCCTCAACCTTTTCAACCGGCTTAACCTCCTCCTTCACCTCGGCGGTAGTCTCAGCAGTTGACACGGGGGCAGCGACCTCCACAGGCTTCTCAACCTCGGCCTGGACCTTTTGAGCATCGGGGGCAGGTTCGTCATCGCCAAAGTCGGGGGTAGGAGCACCGTCCTCGTCATCGGCAAGCTCGGCACCGTAAATCTCGGGATACTTCTTGAAGCACTCTTGCATGCCCCTAATTGACGGTTAGTATAGTTGGATTACAGTCAATCGAGGTGGACGTACTGGAACTTGTCAATGCAGTCCATGCCCTTGGGCTCCTGTTCCGAGTACACGAAGCAGCTAAAGGCCGTCTTGAACTCCTCTCCGCAAGGGCCGTCAGCCATGCCACCCAAGCAAGGGCAGTCCCAGTTGATCTCGCCAGTCTCGGGGTTAAAGGCACCCTGCTGGCCGGCATCCTCTTCGAGCTCTTCTAGGGGCGAGCCGGCGACAGCGGTGTTCTGGGCGTCGGTGGCGGGCTCGGCGGACTCCGGAGCCTTGGCCTGGATCTGCTTGCGCTTCTCCTCAATAATCGAGTCGACGGTCGGCAGGTCGTCGTTGGAGAAGGCGGCGGGGGCGGGAACGGTTTGTGCTGCGGCGGAACGGGAGGTCAGTCGAGACCCGGGTTGCGCCAGGGGCAATTGGGCCATACGGGCGGCGTCGTCAGCGAAGACGGGGCTGGTGTTGTAGTAGTAGACGGCGCCAAAGGCCAGGCCCCATCGCACAGCAGAGCCCTTCCATGATCCGGGCCTGTTGCTGGGCGCCGCGGCGGTCGAGTTGAAGCGTCGGGGAGCGGCGCGGGCTGTGGAGCGCAGGCTGGCAATTACAGGCCTCGAGGCCGAGCGCAGGGTTGTGCGGTACATGGCGAAGGGACAAGGAATTAACTGACGAACAAAAGGAAGGGAAAAGGACGGCGGCGAGAGAGGTGGACGGCGACGACGCAGCGGGCGATTCTTTGATCGAGAGGTTTGGGAATGGGAATTGGTCAGCAGTGGGGCTTCAATTGATCCTGGGATGGACCATCTCTGGCCCGACGCTCCGGATGGGCTGAGGGAAAAAAAAAAGAACAGACGAAATCGCGGCCGCGGATTAGCCGGTGGCGTACGAGAAGGGCTTATCTTATCGCCCAGGATGCAAGCAAGCTCAAGCCCAGTACGTACCACTGGCGACAATGACGATGCGAACGAGGGAGGCCATGCGGAACTTAGAATTGGCTGGAGCCGCCCCGAGTCTGTGGCTTTTTTTTTTTTGCTTTGGGCTCTGCCAGTCAAGATGCGATATATAATGAAGTAGCAGAAAGACGGGCACGGCCAGCGCCAGAAGCTGGTCCCGAAACAACACACCTCACGCCCGCCACAACGCAAAGCGGGCGAAACGACGCATTCGTCTGGTCTCACGGGAAACCAAAGGGCGGCTTTTCTGCTCGGTGACGCGCCCACGCCCTCGCCCACGGACCTATTTAATCGCTACACGAGCAGACCACGGGACCCAGAACCGCACACTTCGCACTCCGGAAGACGTACGTTTTGCCCGCGCTGATAAAACGAGGCGACCTCTCTCTCCCCTCTGCATCATCGTCGCCAGGGTCCCTTTGCTGCCCCTCGCCGTCCCTCTGCCCCTCACCTCACCACCCCAGCTGCGTCGCATCGCATCGCATCCCACGAACCACATCCCAACATGGCCGCGCTGCACCAGTTCGAATGGCGCCCCGCCAAGCTGCTGCAGGACTACAACGCGCCGCAGGACTTTGCCCTGCTCGTGCTCAACCAGCCGCTGCGGCTCGGGTCCAACCTGCGCAAGCTGTGGAAGAACTGTACGTAGCTCGTCGGTCCGTCGTGGACAGAGTGCTGAAACTGAACCATTCGCGAAGCTTCGATGAGAGTGGCTGCCGACGGAGGAGCTAACCGCCTGCACACGCTGTCGTCGTTTCATGGCAAGTTTGTATGTGTTTCTCATTTTGCTCTGCGTCTCGGGTTCTCATATAGCTCATCTGAAGCCATCATGTCGTCTACCCCTCACATGACTACTCATGATACTCAAGACACACCCTCTAACCATCCCAGTCCAACCTGCAACTCATCATCGGCGACCTCGACTCCCTCACCCCCACGGTCCGCGACTTCTACTCCTCCCAGCCCTCCCCCGCAACCATCATCCACGACCCGGACCAGGAATCCACCGACTTCGGCAAGGCCATCAACTGGATCCGCAAGGAGAACTCGGAGGGCATCGACATTGTCGCCCTGGGCGGCATCGGCGGCCGCGTCGACCAAGGCCTCAGCCAGCTACATCACCTGTACCGCTTTCAGACCGACCCGGTGTACGCCCAGGGTCGCATCTACCTGCTTTCCGGCTCCAGCCTGACCTTCCTACTCAAGGCCGGCGTGCACCACATCCAGGTCCGCGAAGATGGCGAGCAAGACGTCTTTGGAAAGCACGTTGGCATCATCCCGCTCAAGGAGCCCAGCATCATCTCCACGAGTGGTCTCGAGTGGGACGTCACCGACTGGCAGACTGAGATTGGCGGCCAGCTCAGCACCAGCAACCACGTCTTGCCCGACACCCAGGTCGTGCAGATCAAGACGGACAAGGATGTACTTTTTACAATAGCGCTCGGACAGGTTGACGGTGAGGATCATGAATAATGCCTGGTTTTGACTTTTGATTCGCTCGTTTTCAGACGCCCAGCAGCCCAAGTAGAGAGCAGGGGATAAACGCCCATGTGCGTGGTATGGCAAAGAAAGAAGAAAGAAACGAGAAAAAAAGAACTCCTGAACACCGCGCTGATGCCACCCCTTTGCTGCCAGAGATGCTTGTAGCCCTCCCCCTTTCCCGTTCCTCTCAAACTGGCCAAATCCAGACTTATCGCAGGTAGTGGAGGACCAGCCAACAAAACAGGAAGAAGACGATGACGCCGGCGAAGAAGATCCACTTGTCCTCTCGCGCCCGCCGCTCAACCATGCGGATCGTGTCCCCGCTAACGCCCAGCGTGTTGGCCACGTTATAGAGCCGCTTCTGCGTGCCCTTGAGCATCTCCCGCTGCTGGCCCAGGTCGCCCAGCACCGCCTGGCCGCGCGCAATGTACTCGTCCAGCGCCTGGTTGGTGGTGGAGAAGAAGTTCTGCTCGCGGAAGGCGTGCGCCTCGCGCGCCTCCTCGCCCGACCCCATCGTCAGCGGGCCATTGGCCTGGGGCTGGTGCCGCGGCTGGAACGTCGAGTGCGTGGTGGTGGTGGTGGTGGCGTTGGCGTACGGGTTCTCGGGCGTGGCATTGTAGGGCCGGCGGCCGAGCAGCTCGGCGCGGTTGGACTGGTGCAGGGCGTCCTCGCGCGTCTTCTTCAGCCCGTCGACCTGGTTGCGGAAGTCGGACAGGTCTTCGCGGAACTTCTTGACGCGCTCAAACGCCTCCTCCTGCTTCTTGGGGACAATCTCCTGGCGCGCGATGCTCTGGTACTCGTCGAGGGTCTTGTTGAAGGAGGCGAACAGCGCCGACACGTTGCCAATCTCGCCGGGCGAAACTTGGGCTTTGGAGTTGAGCGTCGAGAGCTCCGCGCGAAGCGACTTGCTCTGCCGCAGGGCAGAGTTGTAGGAAATATTCTAGCAGATAAACGGGTCAGTCGGCAACCCCAGTCCATGAATCACTGCCAGCTTACCATGATTATTTCGCAGCGTGCTCAGCCTTGCCAGGTGTGCAGCGGTATGCTCTCGTCCATGATACGTTTCGAGCTCCGGTGTGAATGGTTATGGGGCCTTCACATGCCGCTGTGGCCAGATCGCCCGGAAGCGGAACAACCCCGGCCGCCGACAGTACCCCTGTACCTTGTGCATTATCACCCAAACCTGCATCTGATCTCCCTCCCGAGATGTAAGTTGAGTGGTACGTATTCGTGCAGTCGCAATCGGGAAAAATGTCACGACCGGGAAATGGCCCAGCACTTTCGAGTCACGGTAATCAACTTTCCTCCATGTTCCTAGGAATTGTTTTCGATCAGTACCTCGTTTCCACTCTCTGCGTATTGCCGGCATACTAGTCTCTACTTATCCGTGTTGTCAAGGTCCGTTGATACACTTCGGCCAAAACATCGCACCATGCACAGGTCAGTTAACCCTCTTTTTGTTAAATACCGGGAATACCACTGCTATCTCCATTCTCCACAACTATTATGACATATTTGCCGTATGGCTGCCTTGCTTTAGCGCTGCAAGGCTCCGGTATCAAGGCCCCCAACCATTTTGCCGAACTCGGCACCGATGTGGGCATGTTCACGTTAGGTCACAACGGACTTTAGCAGTTCTTCTCCAGAACTGTTCCATTGTAGATGTAATAAATGAAACGGAATCCCCGTTGCAGATTCTTTGAATGAGAGCATCATAGGTCATCCTAGCTCATATTCCTCCCTAACATGACCATGAGCGAACCTTCCAGCCAGAGCCAAAGCCTCGAGCCACCTAGCGACGACAACCCCGAGAAACAAGTCGATCCAGGTCAAGTCGAGAAACAGCTCGAAACAAACCAGCAACCTTCTCCTCCTGTCTACTCAATCTTCACAACATGGCAAAAGCGCTTTATTGTCCTGGCGGCCGCGTGCACCGCCTTCTTCTCTCCCCTCTCCGCCCAGATCTACTTCCCAGCCTTGACGGCCATCGCAAAGGATCTCAACGTCACTGCCTCCCAAGTCAACTTGACCGTCACGACGTACATGGTTTTCCAGGGCATCACGCCCATGTTCATTGGATCGTTGGCTGATAGCGGCGGACGACGGCCCGCCTATGTCATCTGCTTCGCCATCTACATCGCCGCAAACATCGGGCTGGCGTTGTCCCCCAACTACGGCGCACTTCTCGGGCTTCGGTGTCTACAGTCAGCGGGATCGAGTAGTACAGTTGCTCTTTGTGTTGCTGTCGTTGCGGATGTCATTACTTCGGCGGAGCGAGGCCAGTACATCGGCTTCACCACCGTACCCGTCGTCCTCGCTCCGGCGCTGGGACCCATCATCGGCGGCCTTCTTTCAGAATACCTCGGCTGGAGATCTATCTTCTGGTTTCTTGTCATCCTTTCCGGAATCACCATTGCCCTCGTCGTCGTTTTCTTTCCGGAAACCTGCCGCCATATTGTTGGGGATGGGTCTATTACCCCACCGGCCATGTATCGGTCTTTATGGCAAATCATGAAACGCCGACGGAGGGCAGCCAACATAACTAAAGGCCGGGGGTCCGCCGATGCTCCCAAGGTCAAGTCTCAATACAAGTTCAAGCCTCCCAATGTCTTGGAGCCTCTGATGATGCTATTCCAGAAGGAGACTGGGGTGCTGTTGGGGGTCGGCAGCATCGTCTTTGCCGGGTTCTACTGCGTCGCCACTGCCATGCCGACCTTGTTCAAAGATAATTATGGCTTCAGCGAAGTTGAAGTTGGTCTAATGTACGTGCCGCTCGCAGTGGGGTCCATCCTTGCCGCTGTTGTTGTCGGCCCTCTGATCAACTACAACTTCAAGCGGCACTGCGACAAGCAAGGCATTCCCTATGACCGCAGCCGCCAGCAAGACCTCTCCGAGTTTCCCATTGAGCGAGCGCGCCTCGAGATTGCGTTCCCGCTTCTCGGGCTAACGGCGGTAACCCTCGTTTCATGGGGCTGGGCGGTCGACGCCAAAGCGCATCCAGCAGCGCCGGGCGTCATCAGCGCTCTCTTGGGCGTCGGCATCGTTGGCCTCAACAACACGTCCAACGCTCTGCTTGTGGACATCCACCCTGGCAAGGCGGGGACTGCCACGGCGGCGAATAATCTAGCACGGTGCTTGGTCGGCGCCGGAGCGACGGCAGCGATCGTGCCCATGATGGACGCCATGGGTACGGGGTGGGCGTTTACTTTGGTTGGGGGTCTTGCTTTGCTCTGCACCCCGGGACTTCTTGCGTTGATGGTCTGGGGCATGAAGTGGCGAAGGGAGCTGAAGATAAAATTGCAACAAAAGGAGGATGCAAAGAACAAGGCCTGAGTGAGACTGAAATCACCACCCAAAAGGGAAGAATGTGCGTATCAGGCTTGCTTACTTGCATCATATGCGGCATGGCGGAGCTCTACTGAGCCGTCCAATTCTAAAGACGACCAAGCATTAAGGGAGAGGTATTAACGAAATACTCATAGAAATCTAGAGTTATTGATCTGTATTAAATTTAATCATAAATAGCCACTGGTGGACAGACAGAGAGTACGGGTGAGACGCTGTTAGTGATAAATGCTGAATATGTGAATGTGGGGTCCACCACCGCAATCTTTTCGTGGGCGCAAAGTCAGAAACTCGATCTGCCCACAATCACTTCACCAACAGAAGTGCATCTCGGCAGCGCCAAACAAGCGGCGAGAACATGCTCAAACCAGATCAAATGGCAGTTTGACTTGCATGTTTCTATGCGCTTTACGTCTCTCGTATGAGAACCTGTCGTCCGTGAAGTCGGCCCAACGCCCGGGACAAGGCCATCCACGCAGTCGCCATCCAGAGTAACATCCAGAGTAAACGACCTCTGTAATGCTTCGGCCATTATCAACATGCCTCTCACTCATTTTTATGCCGGGATAGCAGCCCTCGGAAAGCTGTTGCTCCAAGCATTTACAACCACTGTCGTCTCGCTCGTCGCCTTGCTCGTCACCATCATCATCTACCGCCTCGTCTTCCATCCGCTGGCTTCCATCCCAGGCCCCAGGCTCGCAGCCATCTCCAGTATTTGGCACGCATACCACGCCCGCAATGGACGCATGGCGCACTTGGGGAGAACTTTGCATCGTCGATATGGGCCTGTCGTCCGCGTCGGCCCAAATGAAGTCTGGTTCAACACAAAACAGGCTTTTCAGGCTATTTACAGTAAGTAACTTCTAGGAGCGACTACTTCTCGGATATCCCAACTAATGAAGCCCAGGCACCGGTAGCGGATTTGAAAAGTCGGACTTTTACTGTAAGTTGTGGAGTCGTCTATAGCCATTCAAGCTGACTCTCAATGTACAGTGGCCACAGCCTTGAGCAAGCCTGAACTCAACTGGCAGTTAGATCCTCACTTTCCAGACGTTCTAGATCTGCTTTCTGAGCGAGACATCCAGCGTTATCGGCTCCAGCGCCGACTGATTGGGCCAGTCTACCAAACATCCAACTTGATACAGTACGAAGCCGCTATAGACTCAGTGTTGGAGCATTCGATTGCGAAACTCAAGGGCTTGAAGGGTGCCGAGGTCGAACTGAACGAGTGGATGCACATCATCGCCGTAGAATGCCTAAGCGCCATCGTCATTTCATGGTCTCCCGGTATGCTCAAGAATGGGACGGATTGGGGATCTGGTCCACACGCATATCATAGCTGGAGGCGAAAGAGCGTGTTTGGCCTTTTCCCTACTATGGCGAAGCTTGAGTTCTGGCACAAGACGGCTGGTCGACTCTTCAGCACGGCATGGGGAGTAAACTTCAAGACGCCGAAGAACTTCCGCCCCTTCTTTCCAGTAAGCCACCAGTCTTTTCTTGCATGTGTTGAGACCGCCTAACCTAATCTTCAGGAAGTCGGGAAGAAGATATCGCGACGAGTTAATGCCGCCACGCGACCAAACCCGCCCAAAGACAACCGGAAGGATCTCATCGCCGACTTGATCCAGCTGCACAAAAGCAAGCCCAGCTTCACGGACACATATCTCCGACGCATGGCAATGACAAATTTTGGTGCTGGCCATGAAACAATGGCCTCGACGCTTACCTCCATCGTCGCCATGATTGGATCTCGCGAGGATGTCCGGGCCAGAGTAACCGAAGAGGTGCTTGAGGCCACAACTGCCACAGAATATTCGACAGCGATACGACTTCCTTTAACGCAAGCCCTCATTAAAGAGACCAAACGGCTCTACCCCGTCATAAGCATGTCTCTACCACGCAAGGTCCCCCAAGGAGGCCTTCACGTCCACGACGCCTTCTTCCCGCCTGGCACAACCGTTGGATGCAACCCCATCGCACTGCATCGCAACGCCGAGGTATTCGGGTCTGATTCGAACGACTTCCGCATGGATCGCTGGATAGATGCTGACCCAAGGACGGCCCGTAACATGGAACGGTTCAGCCTCAGTTGGGGCGGTGGATCAAGGACGTGTCCAGGTCGCCACTTGGCTGAGCTGGTGGTATTCAAGGCCATTCCTGCGTTGGTCAAGGCGTTTGAGATTGAAGTGTCTATCCCGCCAGAAGACGAGATTCCGTCCTATTTCTTATCAATGCTGACGGGCGTAAGGGCTCGCTTTATTGAGAGACAGCCTGCTTAGAGCTAATAATTGAGACGAGTTCACAGATGTCGAAACCTTCCACAGTATGATATGAATTAATTATCTATCGAAGGAACTACAGGTCCAGCATCCAATCCCAACAATTAAAACGACCTCAAGGCCGCTGCTCTGGCCTCTGCTGCTCTGAGCTGTATCTTAGAACCCACCGCGACGATGTCAAAGGCGTGCGGTACACCAGGCAAGAGGTGGAACTCGACCTCAACATCATCCCGCATCAATCGCTGCGCAAACTCAAGGCCTTCATCGCGGAACATATCCAGAGTCCCAACATCAATATACGTGGAGGGCAGGCCCCTCAGGGACTTCGCCCTAGCCGGCGCCACATACGGGGAGACGTCTGCATCTGGCTTGCCCACCTTGTCCTCGCCGACATACGCACCCCAGCCCAATCTGTTCTTCTCCGGCGACCACGTCGCCAGCTTCAGGAAGCCAGAGTCCGCGGGGGGGTTGGTCCTGTCGTCCAGCATGGGGTAGACCATGATCAGCTTCGCCGGCCCAGGGCTGAACTCGCGGTCTCGAGCCATGAGCGCAACCGCAGCCGCGATGCCCCCTCCCGCGCTCTCGCCCTTGACTGCGATTCTCGCGGGGTCAATGTTTAGTTCCGCGGCGTGCTCTGAGATGTACTTGAAGGCTGCGAACGCGTCCTCGGCACCTGTCGGCGCGGGATGCTCCGGCGCAAGGCGATACCCAATGGCAAAGACTGGACGATCGCCGTCGAGGGCATCCTGGGCGTACAGCCCCGTGCACATCTCGGCATTGCCAGCGATGTAGCCACCGCCATGAATGGCGAGGACCGCAGGTTGGGGCGTTGACGCAGCAATATGCTCCGGGGTAGCAAGGCGGCGCAGCTGAAGCTCTGCGCCGTCGTAGCTCTGGATAGTGTAGATGGTCTGCTGGATTCTGTCGCCAGGCGGGAGCTTTGGCAAGACACTTGAGAGGAAGAGGTCGGTGCCAACTCGCATTTCCAGCGCTGTGGTAGGGTTTGACCGGGGTGCATTCGCGAAGGGCTCAATGGCCTTGGCGTACTCGGGGTCATAGACAAGGCCGGTCATGATGATAGCGGTGATGAGATGGTTTGAAGGTAAAGATGGAGGATTGGTTTGCTGGATACATTTCCATCACCACCGGAAAATGGTTTCTTCTTATCTTTCCGACAAAAGCGGCCTCGGTCGTACATTGTCGGCGCCGGGCCAATTCGTGATCCAAATTAATAATGTCGACAATCTGAGGTCCACCATGTACCGCCGTGCATTCCTCTGTGATGCGAGATGCTGCAATCCTGCCACGCCAAACCCGGCGAGTTAAGTTGGAGAATTAAAACGTCAGATTCAGTAGTTTACAGGAAACGTGACACAGAATACATGGTGAGCCTTACGAATAGCTCGTCTTTAGTGATAACGTCACCCCTCCATTTTCGTTGATCTAGCCAATTCAACTTGACGGCGCTGATGGACGAGAATGACGGGTTCTAGACCACATTTACAGCCAAAGCAATGACAAACAGAGTATGACGTTAAGCTCAGTTACTATCACTATCAATTTGTCTTTTCCCCGCGTTTCAGAAACCCACTTTGCAAAGCGCGCTTCGAGAATTCACGGTGGTACATGTCCCTGGCGCGCACGAAGGATCAAGCTGACTACACACTAGACAATAGAGGAATCGGCGTGACTCACCGCAATAGGAAAATAAAACTGGATAGTTTCGTAGGAGATAAGAAGAAAATAGAAGACATATAAGGGCTGATTCCACTTTGGCAACCCTTTTGTCAAACTTCCCTCTTGCACACGTGCCAGTGTTGGCCGACTCTTCATCAAGTCCTGTCTCCAATGCATGGTGGGGAGAACACGAAGTAACAAGGGCATAATATGCTGCACACTGCATCTCTGTCCTTCTCGTATTGGTTTACTGTTACATCAATTGCGTACAGGGGAGTCAAAGGCTAATAAGAGGAGTCCAACCGAAACGTGCAACTCCCCCAGTCCCGTCACAGTTCGCCTAATAACCGGCAACCGGCCACATGGCCTCTGATTGTCAATTCTCCCTCGGTCCCGTTTAATCGTTTCCTGTCTCTCGCCATGGTTTCCCCAACCCCGCATTTCGCCCACGAGGTGCTGGGCATAAACCCTTTTCCCTCCCCCTGTTGTTTTCCCCGCATCTCGGGGTTGGCGCCTCGATCTAGCATCGTGCCCATGCGGCTTCCTTGCAGATTTCCCGCTTCCCCATGCCGGAGATGAGCTCTGTCATGCCTCGGGTTCGACTAGGTCGAACCATACCGTCGAACCGCCATGGGTGTTGTTGAGAATATTAAGGGTCCTGTGGTAAACATTCTTCCAAACCTGGGGAACCGGTGGAGTCTGCATGTCGATCCGCGTGAACTCTTGCCGAATGTCTCACTCCGCAATGTCGTAGAAACTATTTAAACGGCCAGTCGGCTTGGCATCGTAGTAGTCCGTCTCATCCAAGATCACCAGGCACTTATACCATCTTCTCGACTGGATTCTGGCCCTAGGCGCTGGCTGGAACAATGCATCTCAACTGGAAGAACGTCTTCAGCTTGGCGACCTGCCTCTCCGCGGTGGGCGTCGACGCATCAAAGCCCAGCAATGGCGCGGCCTTGAAAGTCAAGACGACCAGCGGCCAACTCACCGGTTTCATCAATTCAACTGCCCCTGCCGTGCGCCAATTCCTCGGCGTGCCGTTCGCAGAGCCTCCAGTCGACGCCTTGCGGTTCAAGGCTCCCAAGCCCAAGCATTCGTCCAAGGCCATCAAGGCCACGACATATGCTCCGTCATGCATGCAGAGACTCAGCAGCACTCCTACCGTGTACACGCAGCACATGCAGGAATTCCTCATCAACGGCGGACAGTCTGAGGATTGCCTGTACCTCAATGTGTACGCGCCTCTCAACCCAACCGAGAAGAAGCTGCCTGTCTTCATCTACATCCCCGGCGGTGGATTTACCGGCGGCGGCGCCGACTCTCTGTACAAGATCCCCGACAAGTGGATTCAGAGAACGCAGTCACACATTGTGGTCACCATGAACTACCGCGTCAATGTCTTTGGCTTCCCCAATGCCGCTGATGCCAGCAAGAACGTGGGCTTGTTGGATCAGCGACTCGTGGTAGAGTGGGCGCGCGACAACATTGCCGCCTTTGGCGGAAACCCCAAGCAGATGGTTCTCTGGGGTCAATCCGCCGGAGCCGCTTCTGTTGGCATGTACGGCTACTCGTACCCGAACGATCTCATCGTCAAGGGTCTCATTCTCGACTCTGGCTCGACAAGCATGCTGACGGCCGCGGCTGGAAACCATAGTAGCTTCAGCTCTCTGGCCAAGCTGGTGGGATGTGGCAATCTCAGTGCCGCAAAGGAGCTGGCTTGTATGCAGGATGTCGATGCCACTGAGATTCAGGATGCCTACTCTGGCAGCAGTCTGGGCTTCTCGCCAGTTGGAGACAACGTGACGGCCTTCTCAAACACGACCGATCGCCTTGCCCGAGGTCTTGTGTCTAAGAAAGAGGTATGTTCTTAGTAGCATCTTCCGCGAGTCAGTATACTAACTTCTTGGTTCCTTAGCCCTGGATCATGGGAGTCAACGCCAATGAGGGTGCTGGATTCGGAACCTATAGCGAGAGTGGAATGACACCTGGCCAGTGGCAGATCGGACTCGCAGCCATTGTCTGCCCCGTTTCCAAGGAGATTCAGTAAGTTGAACTGGCGGATTTAACCCAATATAGAACACTAACACAGGTCAGGAACCGAGTCAAGTTTGGGTACGATACGTATCGCTACCACTACGCCGGTAACTTTTCCAACATTTCGCCACTCCCTTGGATCGGCGCCACACACAGCGGTATGCATTTTGGTTCTAATGATGTCGTTTGCACATGAACTCACTGTTTACTAGCGGAACTCCCTCTCCTTTTCGGGACGCATTACGAATACCGCGGAAACTCGACCGAGTTTGAGTGGGAAGTGAGCTACGGCATGGAGGGTATGTTCCCACGTCTTTCCCGGATATGAACTGCGCTGACCAAGACTTCCCTTTTAGCTCTGTGGCTCTCGTTTTTGTCGAACCCAAAGAAGGATCCCCGGGACGGTCACGGCATCACCTGGCCCAAGTATCGACCGGGCCGTGACACTTTGGCTGTGTTTGCTGAGGATGACAAGTGGGTTCAGTTTGTTAGCGAATCTGTCGACGATGGGTATTGCAGCTAGGGGTTGAGAGCCTCTTGTTGGATATGGGCTGTGTAGTATTTTCTGACGACTCTTGGGTGCCAACCCAGGGTTATGTAGATATTGAACAATGTGACATAAAAAGTTGATGTTAAATTAACGCCACCCTTTTGCAGAGTCCATTCATTACCGTGATATCTGTGCATGCATCCACGCGGTATTCCGTTGGGTTGGCGCACAGCAGTCGAAATGAATGAAGTGGTGCCATGTTACACCGTCGTCTCAATGACTCGCCGAAGAAGATGATGGATGGTGTTGGAACAGCGGGACTAAGATTGGGCTCCGGCATCACGTGGCAGCTGGCAACAGGTGTCAGCGCCCCCCGGGGCAGCCGGCCCGCATCGGCCGACGCCTGAAGGGACTGAGGAACAGGGGACGTAGCGTACCAATCCAGTAAAAGCGCCGCTGGTAAGCCACTGTTTCTGGCAGCCCACCGCCCGCCGCCCACTGTTCTGTCCACTAATCGCGAACCGGGAACCTTGAGTGGCCGCTCGCCGAAAAGTACAGATCACTGGATCGCGACGTGCGACTTGCAGCAAACCGAAGAAGACAGGCTGTCGACGGCGTCATCCCCGCTCAACCCACTCAAACCCACTCCTGTTTGCTTCTTCGCTTCTTCGCTTCTTCGCTTCCGGGTTCCTGGCAACCTCTTTTCCTTGTCCACTCGCCATCGTCAGATGATTGCGCTCCTCTAATCCCCATCCCCCTCCTCCATCCTCTCCGCCGTGACCGACAACTCCTCCGCCGCGAGCGAGATTGAGGCCACCATGGCGCCCCTCGTCGACAACCCGCAGATCACGCAGTCGGAGCTGCTGCGTCCGCTGCCCTTCTACCTGCACACCTACGTGTGGCCGTTCGCCATCGCCTGGCCCATCTTCTTCCGCTACTACCTCTCCGATGAACTCTACGAGAAGCACATTGGCGCCCAGGAGTGGACCTTTGTGTGGTGCGGTGCCATCTTCAGCATCCAGTCGCTGTTCTGGCTGAGCACCCACTGGAGCGTCAACCTCGAGGGCAAGTTCCGGGCGTCCAAGGCCAAGAACATTGACGATGCCGAGTTGATCAAGATTATCCCCATCGCCAACGCCGGATCCCCCGCCATTGTCAAGTTGATTCGCGACAAGGTGGGATATACTCTCCTCTTCTCCTCCCCCTCATGTCACACACTAACCCCCAAACCTCACAGGCCGGCGGCAAGGTCAACCTCTCGTTCCTCTTCCAGAAGCGCCGTTTCCTCTACGACCCCGAGACCAAGGTCTTTGCCACTCTCCAGTACGACATCGACCTCGAGCCCAAGCCCACCATCGGCCAGTTCCAGACCTCCAAGGGTATCGCCAAGCAGGCCGAGCTTGAGCGCATCGAGCAGCACTATGGCCCCAATACCTTCGACATTCCCGTCCCCACCTTCACCGAGTTGTTCCAGGAGCACGCCGTGGCGCCCTTCTTCGTCTTCCAGATCTTCTGTGTTGGTCTGTGGATGCTCGATGAATACTGGTATTACTCGCTCTTCACCCTCTTCATGCTCGTCGCATTCGAGAGCACCGTCGTCTGGCAGCGTCAGCGCACCCTGGTCGAGTTCCGCGGCATGGGCATCAAGCCCTACGACATGTGGGCGTTCCGTCTGGGCAAGTGGACTGAGGTTCAGAGCGACCATCTCCTCCCCGGCGACTTGGTCTCTGTTGGCCGCACCAAGGAGGACAGCGGCGTCGCATGTGATATGATTCTCGTTGAGGGCACCGCCATCGTCAACGAAGCCATGCTTTCTGGCGAGAGTACTCCTCTCCTCAAGGATTCCGTCCAGCTCCGCCCTGCCGACGCCCCCCTCGACCCCGAAGGCTTGGACAAGAACTCGTTCCTCTGGGGCGGCACCAAGGTCCTCCAGATCACCCACGGAAACCCTGACGTGGAGAAACCCAAGCTTGCTTCCGGCGTTCCCACTCCCCCCGATAACGGTGCCATGGCCATCGTCATCAAGACTGGATTCGAGACCTCCCAGGGCAACCTTGTCCGAACCATGATCTACTCGACCGAGCGTGTCTCGGCCAACAACGCCGAGGCCCTCTTCTTCATTCTGTTCCTTCTGATCTTCGCAATTGCCGCTTCCTGGTATGTCTGGGACGAGGGTGTCCGCAAGGACCGCAAGCGTTCCAAGCTCCTCCTGGACTGTGTCTTGATTGTCACCAGCGTCGTCCCCCCTGAGCTGCCCATGGAACTGAGTCTCGCTGTCAACACTAGCTTGGCTGCTCTGGCCAAGCTTGCCATCTTCTGTACTGAGCCTTTCCGTATTCCCTTTGCCGGCCGCGTTGATGTTGCCTGCTTTGACAAGACTGGTACCCTTACCGGTGAGGACCTCGTCGTCTTGGGTATTGCTGGACTTGGCCTCGGCCACGCTGAGATCAATGACAAGAAGGAATCTGACGGCGCCCACTCTGCCATCATCCCCGTCATGGAGACTAGCATGGAAACCAAGCTGGTTTTGGCCACTGCCCACGCCCTTGTCAAGCTCGACGAAGGTGAAATTGTCGGTGACCCCATGGAAAAGGCGACCCTGAGCTCTCTCGGCTGGACCCTCGGCAAAAACGACCTCCTCTCAAGCACCAACAAGGCTGGCAGCACTCACGGCAACGTCCAGATCAAGCGTCGATTCCAGTTCTCGTCTGCCCTCAAGCGCCAGAGCTCCGTCGCCATGGTTCACGGTACCGACTCCAAGACTGGTCACAAGATCAAGGGTACGTTCGCTGGTGTCAAGGGCGCGCCCGAGACCATCATGAAGATGCTTTCGGTTGTTCCCGACGACTACGAGGAGACGTACAAGTACTTTACTCGCAAGGGTTCTCGTGTCCTCGCTCTGGCCTATAAGCAGCTTACCATCGACTCCGAGCTTGGCTCTGCCAAGGTTAACGACTTGAAGCGTGAAAAGGTCGAGTCTGACCTCACCTTTGCCGGTTTCCTGGTCCTGCACTGCCCTCTCAAGGAAGACGCCAAGGAGGCTGTACAGATGTTGAACGAGAGCAGCCATCGTGTGGTCATGATTACTGGTGACAACCCCCTTACCGCCGTACACGTCGCCCACGAGGTCGAGATCGTCGACCGTGAAGTTCTCATTCTGGACGCCCCTGAGGACAACAAGGGTGAAAGGCTTGTGTGGAAGAGCGTCGACGACAAGATCAGTATCGACGTCGACCCTACCAAGCCCATCGACCCCGAGATTCTGCGCACCAAGGATATCTGTGTTACCGGCTACGCCCTCGCCAAGTTCAAGGGCCAGCCTGCCTGGAACTCCCTGCTTCGATACACCTGGGTCTACGCCCGCGTGTCCCCCAAGCAGAAGGAGGACATTCTTCTCGGACTCAAGGACATGGGCTACTACACTCTGATGGCCGGCGACGGCACCAACGACGTCGGCGCTCTCAAGCAGGCTCACATCGGTATCGCGCTTCTCAACGGAACCAAGGACGACCTCGTGCGCATCGCCGAGCACAGCCGCAACACCAAGATGAAGGAGATGTATCAGAAGCAGATCGACCTGATGAAGCGCTTCAACCAGCCCGCCCCCCCGGTTCCCATCATGATTGCCCACCTGTACCCTCCCGGCCCCGGCAACCCGCAGTTCCTCAAGGCCATCGAGCGTGAGGCCAAGAAGAAGAACATTACCCCTGAGGAGTACGCTGCCCAGCAAAACTACGGCCCTCTCGAGACCATCACGTCGCCCGGTGCCCAGAGCCTCATCAACGCCGCAAACCCCCGCCAGGCCGAGGCCACCAAGAAGGCCGCCGGATTCGCCGACAAGCTTGCCTCTGGCATGATGGAAGCCGAGATGGGAGATGACGAGCCACCCACGCTCAAGTTGGGTGACGCCTCGGTCGCCGCGCCCTTCACCTCCAAGCTCCGCGACGTCATGGCTGTGCCCAACATCATCCGCCAGGGCCGCTGCACACTCGTGGCCACCATCCAGATGTACAAGATTCTCGCCCTCAACTGTCTCATCAGCGCCTACTCCCTGTCCGTCCTGTACCTCGAGGGCATCAAGTTCGGCGATGCCCAGTACACCATCAGCGGCATGCTCATGTCTGTCTGCTTCCTCAGCATCTCCCGCGCCCGCGTCGTCGAGGGTCTCAGCAAGGAGCGTCCCCAGCCCAACATCTTCAACGTCTACATCATCGGTTCCATCCTCGGCCAGTTCGCCGTCCACATCGTCACTCTCATCTACATTGCCCGACTCTGCGACAGACTTGAGCCGTAAGTTTTCAGTCACCGCGTCATTTTAAACCCTTGCTAACATATCCCAGTCGTTCCGATGACGTCGACCTCGAGGCCGAGTTCTCTCCCTCGCTGCTCAACTCCGCCGTCTACCTCCTCCAGCTCATCCAGCAGATCTCGACCTTTGCCATCAACTACCAGGGCCGCCCCTTCCGCGAGTCCCTGTCCGAGAACAAGGGCATGTACTACGGCATCGTGGGCGTGACCGGCCTGGCCTTCGCCTGCGCCATGGAGCTCATCCCCGAGATCAACCAGGGCATGAAGCTGGTGCCCTTCAGCAGCGAGTTCAAGAGCAACATGACCGCCGTCATGGTCCTCGACTACGGCTTGTGCTTCATCATCGAGGTCGTCCTCAAGAAGCTCTTCAGCGACTACCGCCCCCGCGACATCGCCGAGCGCCGCCCCGACCAGCTCAAGCGCGAAGACGTCCGCCGCAAGGCCGCCGCCGCCAAGAAGGAGGAGGAAGAGGAGGCCGCGCGCATGGAGAAGGTGGCCGAGTTTGAGCGCAAGGTCGAGGCGCGCCGGAAGAAGATTGAGGAATGGAAGAACAGCTACAACAACTGAGTGGGGCTGTGCTTTAGAGAGGGGAAGAATTGAGAGAAAGAGTCTGGGTTGTTTTTTCTTTGGGACGGCTAGACTTGGGAAGTATTAGACGGACAAATCTCCATCTTTCTCTATTACATATTGTAGAGCAGGTAGGGGGGACAGGAGGAATCCCTTGGGTGTGAGGGTGTACGATCACACTGGCTTTTCCATACATGTCAGAACATGAGTATCTAGTTAACAGTTTAATGTCTTGACCTGGGTGCACTAATGAAGTGACGTGACGATTTATGACGTGGGCAGTGTTCTGCAGAGTAGTACATAAACCTTAGTGTATAGATGTGCCGAGTTCAGTAAATTGCAACCCCTCACAGCAGCATAGAACTAGTTTGGGTAGATTTTTTGTTTCATTGCTATGGTACAGAGACCCGATTCAAGTCTATGGTAGTGGTAGAACAATGGAAAAGGGTATCGCTGTTTACCATACCCCTGATGCCGTCCTGTCTTCCCTAACCACATCTCTTCTTCTACCCCAATTTTTTCCCAGGACCTTCATCAGGATGAGTTTCCTCTCACCTCAGATTAGAATCCGCTCTCGACATGGAGGGGAAATTTAGTTGCCGGGGTTCTCGGCAACGAAGGCAACACCCTTCTCGATGTTCTTCTTGAGGTCACCCAGGCAAGCCTCGATGAGCTTCTCCTCAATGGCGTCAACGGGGCCAATGGGGTGGATCTCCTTGACACCATCAGGGCCGAGCTCGACCTTGCTGCTGAAGAAGTCAACGCCCTGGTCCTTGTAGAGAGGGGACTCGACAAAGGTGGGCTCGACGACACCCTGCTCGCCCTGAGCGGCGCGGAGGAGGGAGTCGGCCATGCGGGCACCGGCCATGGCCATGGAGAGGGTGGCAGAGCCAGCACCGTCCTTGGCCTTGACGACCTCGTCACCACCGAACTGGACACGCTTGACGAGCTCGGCGTTGGAAGAGAGCTCGGGGTGGGCGCTCTGGGAGAAGAGAGGGACGATGGTGACACCGGAGTGGCCACCAATGACGGTGATGTTCTCATCCTTGGGGTCGGTATCCTTGAGCTCAGAGACAAAGCGGCTAGCGCGGACAACGTCGAGGGTGGTGACACCGAAGAGCTTCTTGGGGTTGTAGACACCGGCCTTCTTGAAGACCTCGGCGCAGATGGGGACGGTAGAGTTGACGGGGTTGGAGATGATGAGGAGGTTAGCGTTGGGGGCGTGCTTGGCAGCGGCCTTGGCGAGATCGCGGACGATGGAGGCGTTGGTGTTGAAGAGATCGTCACGGGTCATGCCGGGCTTGCGGGGGACACCAGCGGGGATGAGGACAACCTCGGAGTCCTTCAGGGCACCGGCGAGGCCCTCGGGGGAGGCGTCATAGCCCTTGACGGTGGACTTGGTGTTGACGTGGGAGATATCGGCACCGACACCTGAGGGAGGAGAGTTAGCGCCGAGTGGCTTGTGTTAGGGCGAGGTGCAGAAGAATGGCACGATGGGTGGCGAGGGGCAAGGGTTGGTGTTTTGGCTAAGACGAGCCATTCATAGACACGCAATACCACAAAACAAGCCCATGCCGTCAAAATCCAACCACTACAGACGCCGCAGCTGCGGATTGAAGAACGTACCGGGGGAGCCACGGATGTCGTAGAGGGCCAGCTCAGTGACGCGGGGGTTGAGCTTGAGGAGGAGGGAGAGGGGTTGGCCGATACCGCCGGCGGCACCGAGGACGGTGACCTTGGAAAGCTGGTTTGTGCGTGTTAGCGAGATGAAGCTATACAAGTCATGACGGATCGAATTGGTGGGGTTTGATTTGATGTTGACGGCGGATGGTGAAGACGCAGACCGTGGCCGGATGCGGACCGGGCCGGTGCAACAGAGGCAAGCTCTCATGCGACGACGCAGTGAAGCAGGGAGGAAGCAGCAAGCAGCACAGAGGAAGGAGGAAACTTACGTTGCGCGCCGAAGCGGTGAAAGCGCGTCGCTGGATCTTGGAAGCGGCGAACATGCTGGCGGTTGTTTGTGTGGAGTAGAGGTAGAATTGGGGGATGGGTCAATTGGAAAGAGGGAAGAGGCGGAAGACAAAAAATGAGGCTGGTGATGAGCAGTTTAAATACCGACCTGAGGTACAAAAAGCCACGGAGCCCACCAGGACGCACACAGGACGCCCACGGTGGAAGGAGCCCACCACCCACCACCCACCACCCGCCTTCCCTCGCACCTGCCACCCACCGGCAACGGCAACGCACTGAACGCAGGAAGGAGCTGCGTTTGGGGTCTCCGCTTCTGGGGCATCGGAGCACCCGCTACGCCTGCAACGGCCTAGCGCGCTCAAGGTGGGCAGCGGAGCTTGTTCGGAATTTCGACAAAGACACGGAGCAACGGGAGCCAGCAGAGGGGCCAGTGAGAGGAGCCAGCACGGTGAGAACCGGTCAGGCGGTCCATGGTGAATAGGCAATGTCGGGCAAGGGCACACGGCACACTCGGCGGTTTCGTCATGGGAGGTGGCCATCGCGGGCGAGTCCGCAGGGCACCGCAGATGACCCCGGACTGTCTCCGGGGATACGGCATCCGGGGATTCTCGGTGAGGGCTTCGCGTTTTTGTTTACCTACCAGCCATGATGCATTATTCTGCATGGGTATCATGGATTGATTCATTATTAAATACAATCGTTGCTTTGCCCTTTAATATGTTTTCAGGGGCAAGTAATACACCACCATCGTCACCTTCAATTGATCCGTTGAGCACACAAACCATCCACTCCATAATATTCCTCCCTCTTTCCCCTCCACCCACCTCCGGCGACGAAATGCTACATTCCGGCTAAAACAAGACATAAAAAAGCTGGGGGAGCGGGATGGCCCATAAAGCGGCTCTGATTTGTTCAATTATGTATCAGATTTGTGTCCAGCACCCGTAATTCCTGCACAGATCAGACAGTGGCATTAGACATGAGCGTCATGCCGCCCACACTGAAAACGTCCCTCCATCGGCTAACAAGTTAGCTCACACCATCCCACCATCCAACCATCCCCATCCCTTCACCCGCGACCGCCATGTCCCGTCTCGCTGTGTTATAGCTACGGTGTACTTGCCCATTGTCCACGTATCCGCACCTATCCCATCCCATCCATCACATCCCTCCCAACGACCGCTCATCAGCTCCAATGTTTCCATGCCCTGTTACCCCACGAGGGCCCACCTCCCTGGCCTCCATTGTTGGTGGGCGGCACAGTCGGATGGGGACGGAACGCACCCATCATGAGGACGTGGCAGATATTTTAATCTGCAGATGCAGGTCTGGGTTTGCGATATTTGGTCACACCGATTGCGGCAGACTAATAATAATCGACCACTGGAGAAGATCTCGCATTGGATATGTCTGTTCGCAGGGGTGAAAACCCAACTTTTTTTTTTCATTCCAACATGCCACACTAATAATGTTCAAACGGGCCAGACGCCATGGCACCGTCCACACAACCAGGGGTAGCTCGCCGATGAAATACGACGCGATCGGGATATACATATCTTCCCCTAGCTCTTTGTTATTCCAGGCTACAAACCCTACATTCCAGGGCCTAGAAACCTCAGCTTGGCCCTCCGTGGTTTGCTTCGGCGAGTGACTCAGAAAATGACTACAGGGTAGCCGTCTTTGGAGGGGGCGGGGCCGCCTTTTCTTGGTGGGGGACAGCTCTCAGAAGCGACATCATCTCTACGACGAACGACATCACCACTACACAACCACGAGTCTTCGAATAAGGGCAGACCAGCAACAGCCTCCAATCCGCCTATCTCAAAGCATCGACTCCTAGGTCACCGTCATGTCGGTCTCGCAGCTCTCAAAGCTGCTACCATTGCCCGACGACGAACTCAAGCAGGTCCTCGATTACGCCGCCACTCTCTCCAAACCCGAGGCCGCAGAGCATCTCAACAATCTCCTCGGCAACTCGCCCCAGGCTGTCGAGTTCATCTCTTCATTTAATGCTCGCCGGCAAACTTCCAAGCCTGCCCCAGTAGGCCCCTCCTTCAGTGCTGCTGCGGCGGCGGCGGGGAGCTCATCCGACAATGGAGCAATAGACGCGGTCCCTAAATCGAAGCGAGGTCCCAAGAAGAAGAAAGCTGCGATTCACACCCCTCAAGCTAGACAAGTCGGCGATTACGGGGTGCCATCTGGTTCGACATATAGCAAGAAGGATCAGGACCTAGACTACATTCCCCAACGGCCCAGCGCACCTGGCAGCAACGACGTATCAAGATCCAACACCCCAAAGCCCGCACCGAAGCCTGCCGCGAAGCCGCCCCCGAAGCAGCATGTATCAGCCGGTTATCTGATCGCAGATGGACCCTCAAAGGCGAAGCCCAAATCGAACCCAACGTCACGAAGCTCTACACCCAAGCCGAGCGGCACTGCTACCAAGATTTCGATTTCGGGAGGGTTGCCTATGGCTGGTGCTTCAACAGCAATTGCTGATCTGGATGCTGCTATTCGTGCGCTCGAGATTAGTACGAACCCGAGTTTGGATAATCCCAAGGCGAGAAAATGCAACTGCGTTGCCACTAGGCACCCTCTACAAGGTGCAGCGCCGAACTGCCTCTCATGCGGCAAGGTGATTTGCATGAAGGAAGGGTTAGGCCCATGCACATTCTGCGGGAGCCCTTTGTTGAGTCCGGATGATGTCCAAGCCATGGTGCGAGAGCTGAAGGATGAGCGAGGGCGGGAACGCATGGCTGCAGACCGACAAGCCAATCGCCGGGCAGACGTTGCCAAGACGCCAGCTGCCTTTACCAAGCCCCGCGGCAACGACGGTCCATCCCTGAGTGACGCCGAGGCCAAAGCCAGGGCACACCGAGACAAGCTCCTAAACTTCCAGGCTGAGAACGCCCAACGAACAACTGTGCGAGACGAGGCGGCCGACTTTGATGTCAGCGGAGCCTTGCAGGGGACGGGAAGCATGTGGTCAACACCTGAAGAGCGGGCGCGGGAGCTGAAGCGGCAGCAGAAGATTCTGCGAGAGATGGAGTGGAATGCCCGGCCAGAATATGAGAAGCGGACGCAGGTGCTAAGCATCGATCTGGTTGGAGGCAAGGTGGTGCGGGAGATGGCGGCTGTAGAACGACCCGCAACTCCAGAAGAGGACGAAGAGGAAGACTACGGTGTGCTTAGAACAACTTCGGGGAACAAGAACGTGGCCAAGGCTGGTGGAGCATTCAGCGGAAACCCCTTGCTGGGCTCCCTCATTAGGCCAGTATTTGACGCCAAGGGCAAAGGGGCCGAAACGGAGGGGCGGGAGTCGAGAAAGAAGAACCGGTGGCAGCGCGTTCAGCATGACCTAAAGGACAACGAAGACGTTATTCTAGACGGAGGAGTACGCGGGCATACTGGGAAGGCGGGAGATGAGCCAGAGTGTGGATAGATGCGGGTGTAAGTGGTGTTTTAGTTGAGCTTAGAGGCCGATCAGTCCATGTAGACTTGGTATTTGGGCAGCGAGAAAGATACCCACCTCTTAGGGTTAGATTGGGATTCATGCGAGACCTGTTGAGTATAACATATCCGAGACAGTGCTGCCGTTGAGATTTAGTTCATTGAAGTTAGCATGTGTTGGTGAAACCGTGATGATTGTTGTTCCTTGTAATTAAACTTGGAAGCCATGGAGTCACATTGGCCAATAGGTATTTGGGCATTGGAAAAGCAACCAGATGTAAGTGAAGAAAGGAAATTCAAGGTTACTATACGGAGGCAATCAAATACAAAGGAGAGATAAATGCAAGAGGAACAGAAATCTTACACCAATGCCAATGCCAAGCAGAGCCCCCCCCAGTCTCGGATCTACCCTACACCCCGGATCTGAGACAGGGCTTGCATAACAGCACGTGACTTCGTGTCATGGACGAGAGGATGGAAGCGTGATTTTAGCCGGCGGCGTGCATGAGGCGTGCGTCCTGTGTGGTGGGACGTGCGCAGAACACGAGGAAGAAGTGGCAATAATCCCACGTTTCCGCTGACGACTGAGGTGGGCTGGGATACTGGGGCGGGCTTGTGCATTTGCATCTTTGGTCAATTTCAGCATTTATTAGGTAGTCTAAACCTGGGAGAATCGGAGGCTGGTTTATCTAGAAACGGTGTCCTGTGGATTGATAAAGGATAATGGGTAATGGATAAAGAGGGGAAGATATGGCCTGGACTTAACTCGTCTGCCTAATCCAGACTCGTCTCTGGTGTCAGTCGGTCTGGTCTGCGTCTCCATCTGTGTGTGTCTCCATTTGTGTCTCCATCTGTGTCTCCTCCGTCTCCGTCTCGTTGCATCCCCGTCGTCACGCTTCGCCGCCAAAGGGAAAAGCCTCGCCCAAAACTCTGCAGCGCCACTCGGCCGTTTTTGGGGAAGCGAGGTGCCCATAGCTGAGCACCTTCAATATTTGCCATGCTCAAGTGTCACAGTCGGTATGAGAGAACAGACTCTCGTCTATTCGTGGGAAATGTCCATGCCATCCAGGTTCCATGAGAGGGAAAAAAAAAAAGAAAGTCCCTCAGGGCACGCGACCGCCGTAGCAAGCGCGGGTGGGTTTTTCTTCAGGCCCTAGGGCGCTGTAGAGCACGTCACCCGGGCGGGTGTTTATTCTAGGGTCGCGTGGAGAGGCTGGGGAAGGCGACGCCGCTGCTGGGGGACTACCCGGGTGCCTGGAGCGCAGAACGGCCAGCGATCTTCAGCGGGCTGGCTACAGCGGTGCCCAGCGCGCACCGTCCCCTGGAGGAGGCCTGGGCGCGGGATTGGCCGGCAGGGTGGCATGCCACCATCCCAGGGCGCTGGGGCCGTCGCGACTAGACCGCGTAAACCACCATCCACAGCGCTCGTGCTGCTACGACACTGCCTTGCTCGTGCTCGCTCACAACCCGGGTCTTGGCTCGACTTGGACTTGGACTTGGATTTGGACTCCAGGCTTCCTCCACACCAAACACCAACCATCGTCGCTATCCACACCGGCAGATAGAGACCCAAAGCCGACGCCTGCGGCACCACGACACTGCCACGCACGCTTCTATCGCTCGGGGCTCGTCGACTGCAGACGGTAGGGTACAGACGGTCTGGAACGCGCCCACACCCGCGCTGCTCGCTTGTGTCTACTCGTCTCGTCTCGTCTAACCTCGCCCACTGCTGTTGCTCGCCGCTCCGCCTCGCCTTCCCACCAGGCCGCCGCGCCATCGCCATGACCTCCGACCGGCCGCTCGGCGGAGTCGCCCTCAATCACGCCCGTGTCGCGCTCCCGGCGTCGTTCAGGACCGACGACGCTGGCGGCGATGCCACCGACACCAACGCCAACGCCGTCACCACCGCCCGCGCGCCTGTAGGCGGGGATTTCGCGGTGCAGTCCCCGGTCGACGCGACCTCCTCGCGAGCCTCCCACCGCCCGATTGCCTCGCCGCTCTCCGCCACCGACGCTCCTGCCCCGACCTTTGCCCCTCCGTCCTCCGGTGCTGCCTCTCTCCCGACCGCGCTGCTGCGACAGCACTCGGCCGACGGCGACGACCGCTCCTCCCAGAGCCATCCCCGTTCGACCACCGACTCCCAGGATACCACCATGACCGCCTCTACCGACCCGGCCTTTACGCCTCCCGCCAGCGAGTCCGGCACCTGTCCGCCCGGCCTGTCCAGCCAGGAGAGCCAGCTGCTTCAACTGTCTCAGATCGCCGCCGCCCAGGACAAGATGGCTACTGACGCCTGGGGCTCAAGAAAGCGCATGGCCGACGGGGAGGTCAAGACTCGCTCCGAGAGCCAAAGCCCTGTCAAGCGACACTCTCGGAATACTAGCACCGTTAGCAAGGCTTCCACGGCGGGGAGTTATATTGGAGAGGTAGGCCGTCCTTGTTCTTGTCGTGGACGCGATAGCAAGACCTGCAATTGCAATAGCAAAGGCAGTAGATGCCGCAGTCGTTCGTCCTTGGCCGAGCATCCACAGAGGACTAACACGCTGCAGTTGTCGGCCGAGCTGCGGACGCGTCTCTCGTATGCCATGATCAAGGTCAACCACGGCTGGCAGTCCAACTCCCTGGACGAGGTCGAGTCTCTTGCTTCTCATGCCGCTTCCCCTACCTCGAGCACCTCCACAGTCCATCGCCGCCATGGCTCCTCTGCTAGCCCTCGACTAGCCATCAGTTCTGCTCCCACAGCTTCAGCACTCTCCCCGTACGAACCAGTCAGCCAGCTTCGAAGATCCAACTCACCTCCAAGGACAGCGTCTGGCAAGCCCACCCTGGGACCTCCAGCTTCCATCCAGCCCTCGATGAGTATGCCTGCTCCGCGCTCGAACCCGCGTCGCAACTCAAATCCTCACTATACCCCTACTCTCCTGTCACATTCGCACTCGGCCTCCCCTCACACCCCAGCCCAACCCACAGTGCAGACCGGATCAAGGTCTAGGAATATAGTAGACCCCATCCTATTCTCACCACACCAAAACGTGAGGGAACAAGATGCCATTGAGTCGTTATTGTTCATGAGTAGCCCAGGCAACTCGGCCAATTTGAAGCACGCCTTTTCGCCCACAGGATCGCCGGGACCGCATTCGGGGCTTGTGAGGAACCAACCAGGACGACACGCCCTACCATCAGGGCCCAGGAAACCGCTGCCGTCTTCTCAACGGCAACAGTATCAAAGCAGGAAACTCGGGTTTGAAAAGTCACCCGGCATGCCTCCGCCTCCCGGCTCACCAATGGATCTGGACTCGCCGCAACAGCCCTACCACACACCGAACCGGGGGACCCCGCGGCGACGCATGAATGGCAGCAGCCACTTGAGGGGTGCCTTGTCGCTACCCAGTGGGTTGGGCGTTGGAAACGGAACGGCCAGAAAGATGTTGCGGGATGAAGATATTGAGAGGATGCTTGATCGAGCGGGGGCAGAGGCGGCGGACAGCTCCGATGATGAGGAGATTCAGATTCCGCAACCAAGGAGCGGTGTCGCGGGCGTCATGCACGTGTAGGTGCAGGCCCGATTGTGGGCGTTTGCGCAAACCGGCAGCCTCTTTGCTTCTGCTGCACCTACAGTATCACATCACATCTTGTACACTGGGGTGGTACAGAGCCGCGCTTATCCTGTTTGCTGAGTAGCTTATTGCTCCCTCTTGAAGTTGCTTTTTGCTACACTCTTGAGCGATTTGTCACAGTGATTCGCACCTGGGGCAATTATGTTGGATTGGCTGATGAGATTGGCTGGGGAGACGGGCATTTATCCCTCTGCCCATACTGAGGGGCAGGGTGCGCCTTGCCCTCTTTTAATCATGATTGACGACTATGGATTTGGGCTCATTTACGCGTCATCGCCTGCTTGTTTCTTGTTGGGCATCTTGGATACAAGGATTTCTTTTTCCTGGGATGTCGCAATATCCTAATTGTCGAGTGTCGGGGAGCATTGTCACGGGGGGGTTTTTGATCCTGATGCCCTAAGCGGCAGTTTGTTCACGCATGGAGGAACACGACGGGAGCATGGGCCTGCCGCAGGGCCATTGTCGGTGCATGGGAGGGTGTTGGCGTTTTTTGATTCTGATTGTATATATGGCAGTGTCGAGACAGCGGAGACGCGGAAATGCCATGCCCAAATGCCTATGTTCGACTTGCGGGACTGTCTTGTGATGAGTGAGGGAGACGGCTAGTTGATGACTTGGCGTGCAAGTTTCACGCGAGGTTATTTGAAGAATTGTTTCATGATTCACGGGGGCTCGAATCACCGGGGTTCGTGGTTTACAAGAAATGAATTAATGAGGTAATTAATGAGGGTATCAATGTCGATCAAGTGCTCTCTGTCCATATACAGGATTAATCGAATTATCATAGGGAACGAGTCCTGCTTCGACAGCGGACTACTTATATCATGTGTCCGTCGTGGATCTGTTTGTACTCATGTCCATGCGCCTGGTTTCATGCTCATCCTAATGCATATATGTTTGATGCTCCCACCCACAGCCCTAACGCCAGCAAAACGCTCATTTCCCGAAACACAATCATTAAGGAGACGCGGTTCACAGCTCCATGACGGTGGCGACCGTCGGGGTCCGCGCCGTGGCCGGCCTGCGCCGCGGGCTCTTGGTCCGCACGTCGTCGAGCACGGGCGGGCTGATGTAGACGGAGAGGTTGGGGTTTCTGAAGCCCGAGGAGCGCTTGGTGCCGACCGCGGCCAGCGGCTCGGGGATGGGCTGCGACTTCTCGTCCAGGTAGGTGCTGTTGCGGTGCAGCACGGGGTCCTCGCCGCAGCCGGCGTCTTGGGCGTCCGGAGCCGGGGCCGGGGCCGGGGCCGGGCTGGTGGAGTACAGGCTGTTGCGGCTGGAGTAGACGCTGTTGCGCGTCGAGTACGTGCTGCTGCTGCTGGTCGACAGCATGCTGTTCCGGCTGGGCTGCAGGCTGTACTGGGCGCTCGTACGGTTGGAGTAGACGCTGCTGCGGTTGGTGTTGAGCCCGTCAAACGACGGCGCTCGGTTCTGGCGCTTCGCGGCGTCGACCTCGACCCACAGCTTGTCGGCCTGCCGGGACCGGCGCCGGCTCTCGCCGTGGTCCAGGTACACGCCGTACTCGTCGTCGTCGCTGCTGTCGTCCGAGTCGGCCGCGGCGTCGAGCTCCGGGGGCTGGCCCACCGTCCACGAGTAAAAGGCCCCGCTCTGCCGGCTGCGCGCCGCCGCGGGCTTCTCGCCGGGCGTCGCCGTGTTGAGCGCGTGCAGGGCCTGTTCGCGGTGCAGCGTCGAGATCAAGTCGTCCAGCTCCCCGGTGTTTTGGGGGGACGTCGCCGTGGAAATGGACGCCCTGGCGCCGGCGGTCCTGGGCTCCTCGTTCAGCGAGCACAGCGTGCGCTCGTCGTCGTCGCGGGGCGTGTTGAAGGTGCTGAAGCGCTTGCTGATGCGGTCGTTTGCCTCGTCGGCGGCCAGACGCGCGGCGCTGGGCTGCTTGCGGGCGGCCTTTTTGTTCCCCCGTGCGTTCTTAGAGAAGTCGGAGGCGGCGTGGCGTGGGATGTAGGCGCTGCGTCGGTTGGCGGACGTGACGACCGCGGATCCGGGCTCGCCCTCGTCGTCGTCGTCGTCCTCGAAGTGGTTGGACGGCGAGGCGCTCCAGATGCGCTGGCGCAGAGACACTCGGCGGGAGAGACGCTTCGCATCCGGGGAGCCGACGCTTACTGGGCGCTGGCTGGTGACGGTGTAGCTGGAGCTTGAGCGCGGCGATTCATGTTCACCTTCATCTTCACGCGGTCGAGGTTGAGGCTGAGCAGTCTGCGGCCTGGAGGAAACGGGCGAGTCGTCCGTGTTGGAGTCGCGGCTTCGGAGGAGGGCCCGGGAGAGGCGGCGGCCTAGCACCTTTGCTACCATCTCCTTCTTGGAGGATGTCTTGGCGGACATGTTGGAGTTTCTAGTGTGTCGGTCCAACGAGAGAGAAGGCTGATAAGACGAGAGTCGCGGGGATGAGCTCAGGGTTATATCGGGTTCGTCACGGATGAGACATAAATAAGACAGAACCACGGGCTAACGAATGACTAGCCCGGCCCGGTTCAGGAACAAGACACAGGTATTAGTTCTCGTGTTCTGATGAGGGAGGGAACGGCCAGAACAATGCCTGCACGAGGGAGGGAGGTGCAGGGGTACATATAATGACAGGTCCAGACCTTTGTCTGTTCGATAGTGCCATATCGCGGACCTCACCCTCACTGGCCTAGGCAGATAGCCTGAGATAGGACGCTCGCTAGCACACGCGCCTAGACTCCGCAACTCCATTCCATCGTGGGCGATGGATGCCGGGTACCCGCCTGGGTATTGCCCGGGCGTGTCCTACGCCCTCGGAGGCGTGCGGCCACTGTAAGCCACGAGCCAGTAGCACGAGGGATGCCATGCCGGCGGCGAGGAAGACGAGGCACAGGAATGCGGAGGAGGGGTTAGGGGGCCGCTTTGGGCCAAGAGGGCGAAAGAGCGTACGTGTATGCGGGTCGTGGGGAACAGAGAAACAGGGCAGATCTCCAGAACACTACGGGGATGTGGTTCTACGTATGTAATAGCCTGGCGTTCCAAGGGAGTGAGACGAGGGAGAGATGTGGGAATAGAGGGTGAGAATAAAGGGAAGCATCCCGGGCGGGGGGACTAATGCAGCAAGCAGGGCGAGAAAAGGTTGGACCCGGGGATCTGGATGGGCATGGGAGAAGGGGACAGACAGGGATTTGACGGGTGCAAGAGGAATAAAAAAACAAGTTGGCTCATGGATTGTCTCAGCCTCCTCGGATCCCTTGTTCGTCCTCTTGTGTGTGTGTGGCTCTGCCGTAATCGTCAACGCTTTCTTCCCCCCCCCTGTGGCCAGGAATGGATCGACATGGGGGGGGTTTGTTTGGGGTTAGTCTACGCCCTCCGTCAGCCCTTGGTCGGCGCTGTAAAAGCTCAGGCGGCCGCTTGTGATGATCTTGAGGAGATTGTGCGTGGTGGTGGTGGACTAATATTGAGAGGGCGATGTCGAGGGAGGGATAGACTGGGGAATGGTTCATGTGGATGGATGTAGAGCAACTCAAGCTACGCAATTGATGAAATCATCGACTGCCCTATCTACCTCTTCATGAAGAGCGGCAGCAAGAAGACATGACCTATTATGACTCCGCTCCGTGGCTTGGCTGGGCTGAACTGACAGCAAAGAGGCTTGTTTGTTTTAGTGGGTTTTAGTGGCCATTGTGGTTTTTAGTGGGCTGCTTCTGTGGTGTTTCTTAGTACACCCTGTCCGGCAGTGCTCATGCAGCGGTGCGGTGAGCAGCCACGGCGCTCAGCAGAGTCTGGGCCTCAAAACCCTTGGCGATGGGCCAAGCCGATGGGGGCTTGATTCGCCAAGAGCAGTGGCTTTGTGAAGGCTCATGATGCAGATGGTAATGACGCATCGACTCATGGCTGGCTGGAGAATGGAGCTTCGACAACGGAGAGTTGCCCAATTCTTGTCTTGCACACTAAATTGATTCAATAGCCTCGGCCGGACGTTATGGATCTGGCAAGTCTGCGTGGTGGCATCCACGTCAACCTTGAATTCGATAGCCTACGTACTAATAAAACTACATAATTAATTAGTTAGCACATAGCGCACAACTTCCTCCCATCCCATCGAACCATTCCTGCGTCGAGTCAAGCGCTCCGAGCAAGCATCGCGCCGGCACACTCACTTTCAGGCCAAAGGCCAGCGCTGCAACCAGCCTAAATTTACTGGGTTTTTACCCTCTACGGCTCGTGGTAAAGTATTGACCTGTGCGGGATTCATGCCAGCGCTACAGCCGTCGAGGGAGCTTGGGTGAAATGCGAACTGGAAATGACCTCTCGGTGGTGGTGTTGCCAATTTCACGGCTGATAAGTGTTGGCGTAGGACATATGTACTGTACCAACCGATATCTCATCCTGCGTTACTCTAGTCCCAGCTCGACGACTTGAACATGGCGACGGCGCATAAACATCACCGTCGCTCCCCAAATCCTGCTGGCGGGTCCAGACCCCGTGTTGACGGCCGTCCATGGCGCAATTGGAGGCCCTCGAAGACCCTAAAAAGCCAGCTAACCCTCCCTCCGCTAGCCCAAGCTCCAACACGATCCAATGGCCGTGTCCATTTTCATGTCCGTGTCTCTCTTCCACGCTGCCCTCAGGTCCCCCCTCTCCTCTTTCCGCCCATGTGCGGCGGCGCAGAGTCAGGGCGAGGGACGGGCCAGTCACGGGCAATATGAGACACCGTCGTGAGCATCGCGGCCCGCTTGAGGGTTGGAGCCTGACGCCTCGTTCGGGGTGGTATATCCGGGCCCATGACACGATGCAGAAGAGTCGTCATCATAACGGCCGACTTCAATCGAGACCGCGGAGAATCTCTTGCTATGGTTCTTCTCAATGCCCACTAGAAACAAAGCCCATGGAGGGTTGGCAATGAACAACCCTAAAACAGGCGTCAGGCCCTGTAGATCCCAAGGTCTGCACGTCTAAGTCGTCCTCTCAAACAAAGGACCAGCCCTGCCATCTTTAATCCTCCCCCCGATGCTTGCCGCCACCACCACCACCACCACCCCCGCCATCTACAACCCGTCCCACCAACTCGGGAACGCTCTGGACACCCTCTACACGGGAAACCTCGTTGCCACGGTGAAACGCGGGAACTGTCCCGTGGCAAACGCCTGCCGCGGTTGACATGCCCAGTCCCCCATGGAAGTCATGCGCCTGAGTCGGGTGTGTGTGGAATGTCACCGGCTCTAAGCTCTGAACTCTGCAGAACATGGGCTGCTCTTCTACTCATCTTGCCAAGATTGATCGAGAGGAGAATCGACTCTTGGACTTGGCTCGGGGCAGCTTTGGACGAGAGGTGTGGTCTGATGCCAAGCATCGCGAGCCGAATTCATCCTGCAATAGGGTCTTTAAGACCTCTGCCAAGAATCCCAGGAATGGAAGACTAAATAGCTCATACTAGAAAGACATATTCTTCATCCGAAGATGAACCTACTCATCTCGGCCTGAAAGCATCACATTCCCTCCTCCATGCCACTACACAAACCACGCCACCAACTACATGACGACTTCTGCCCCTCTCACTCGATAATCACTCATTTACAACGCATGCCCCCCCAAAACAGCACTACTAAGATCATCTGAGGAAAAAAGACCCCGGCCTCCTGCAACGCGGCTCCGGTGTCCGGGAACCGGAGGCATCGACCCTACGACTCGGGCTGGAGTGGGGCCGGCGACCGGAAACTTCAGCGCCGTTGCACTCTATTCCCAAGTCATGGCAAAACTTACGAGACTAGGGGACTGTGGAGTTTCTGCTTGGCGCCTCCAATGGAGAGATCAGGGCAATGTTGCTTGAGACGGGGTTTGGCCTAGGAGATTAGTTACGGTTGGAGTGAGTGTCTCATGGGGTCGAAAAGCCCGAGTCTGTCTCTGTTTGCTCAGACCAGAAGTTATCGTTGGACCCTCCCAAAGTATCAACACCTGGGAGACAACTGCTTCAATCCCAACTACACACACACAACAACAATCACAGGGTATTCACAAACAGAAAATTAATGCAGCATCCAAGAAAGTTCTTGTTACTATACTCTCCGATTCGGAGGCCACGAGCTGCTCCTGTTTCTGGCATGCTCTGCCCTTGTGGGCTTAGTACCGCGTTGGCACTTGGGAGCGATGATACCTCGCGTGTGTTGTGTCATGAAAATTCCCAAACTCCCGCAATCGTTCCAACTTTTCCGATGGTTGAAATCGCTGCCCCAGTCCCAGAAACCCACTGCACTTCCGGACTTGAGGAAATCTCCCCCTGGAGTTGGTTGGGGTGTGTTGAAGCCCTTGGTGTCTCAGAAGCCCACTGCTCTTCTAGACCCAATCGTCCGTCTTTGTTGTTCGTTGATCATAAAAAAGAAATGTCTTAAAATCCCATAATATATCCCACAATTGTAATTTCTGTGGTTCTTGGTCGTGAAATCCAATCCCTTCAAGTCCCAGAAACCTACTGTACTTCTGGACTTGAAGTTCCCTCTGACGCTTTATGATGAAGGAAACGCATGATCCCTGAAGCCCACTGCACTTCCGGATTGAGATAAAGCTAGCCCCGGGAAATAGAAAAAATGTCAAAAAAGGAAGAAAAGGCCAGGCGATCAGATCTTTAGTCCGATTTCTGAATGGCATACTGAAATAAAACGTGCTTAAACCTCGACAGAGACTGGGAGGGCAGCAACCTTGCAGGTGTCATTGCAGGGCATCTGCAACTTCTCCAAGGCACTGTAGCCACCGCGGATACTCTCCGCCTCAACGCCCTTGGCACGAAGGACGCTGTTGGCGACTCTGGCACTGTCGCCGTCGTAGCATAGAGTCAGAACCTTCTTACCGCGAAGGACGGCCATCAAGGCCTCGGCGCTGGCGTTGCGCTTGCCGTTCTTGTCCTTGACGGTGAAGAGGTCATCGAGCTCGAGCCAAATCTCCTCGAGCATGGTGCAGTCATCTGCAGGGTTGGCGAAAGGGCTGCCTCTGGAGGCGCCGTCTCTGAGGGTGTCAAGGGGGATGTTGACGGAATTAGGAAGGTGGAAGGCATCAAAATCGGATGAGCGGCGGAAGTCCAGAATCTGCGTGTTGCCTCTGGCGGTCATGACCTTGTCGAGTTGGTCTGCCAGCGAGAGGACAGTGTCATGGGTGCCCAGAGGGTGAATAGAGAAGTAAGTAGACAGAGCAAAGAGTGCCTCGAGCTCCCAGCTGTCGTCATATCGATAGAGATCAACCCGTCTCAGCCTCTGTTGTATAATCGTTAGCCTTGAACAACTTTATCCTATGACTTAACATACCTCGTTGCGAAGGGGACGGAACTTCTCAGGTCCCAGCTGATCAAAGTACTCATTCAAGTACTGGTAGGGGAGATCGCTGCACATGAAAACGCAGTTGATCTCTCCATCTGGCCCAGCAAGCTTGGAAAGAGTCCCTTCCTGCTTCATCTTTTCGATTCGCTGAAACAAACCCTTGAGGGTGATGCCCGAGGAAGGACCACAGACAATTCCTTGTCGGGAAAGGTCTAAAGAGAGGGAGTAGGAGTCCTTGGCTCCGACCTCCTCGAGGGCATCATGGGCGGCCTTGTACGGGAACTTGACCTCCTCCATGAGTGAGTACTCGCGAGGACCAGGAACACGCTCTCCAGCGTTGGTGCAGACACTGGCGAGTAGGTTAGTACACTCAGAAGCTGCAATTGAGAATCTTTGCTTACGCAATGCGGTAGACTGATGGCTTTGCCTCCTTGAAGTAGGTGCCCAAACCAGTCATAGTGCCTATGGAGGTGTGTCAGAGAGAAGCCATTCAACTGAGAGATTAGTACTTACCGGACGTTCCCATGGACGCAACGATGACGTTGATCTCTGGAAGCTGTCGGTGAATTTGTGGGCCCGTCCATCGGACATGGGATTTCCAGTTCTAAAAACCGCATTAGTACTTCAAACCAGAGTTAGGAGCCAGCTAAGATTGAAGAATAGACATACATCGTCGTTGATGTACTGGTTGGGACTGCAGACCGAGTCAGACTCAGCGGCCTTGCGAGCAGCAGCGCGGATGCCACCCCTCTCATCAATGGGTGTAGGCTGGGCTGGACCACCAATCAGAGTGCTTTATAATGCCTAGTTAGCAATTTTCCACTAGAGGGATGAGAAAGTTCTTACACGTCCAATCCAAAAAATTGCATCAGACGCAACTTCGTTTCGCTGGTCTTGTTGCTGAGAAAGGCGTGGACATCATCAATGCCGTGAAAGGCGCGGGCGACCATGGCCATTGAGATGACAGTTGAGCCCGAGCTACTCTCGACGACAGTCTTTGTAGTTCCAGGTTGGACGCCCTTTTCCAAGAGGTTCATGGCTGGAGCACACATCATCCAAGATCAGCTACTTGGACATCATCTACGATGCAATGGGAGGACCAACCTGGCATGACCTTGACGTTGGTCGCCGGGTGAATTGACATCATCTTGGCATAGATGCGAACACCATCTTGACGGAAGGGATTGATAGAATCGGGAATCTCGACGAGAGGGAGCGGAGGGGAAAATTCGGGGTCAAAGTACTTGCGTACTGAGTCCGGCCCAGTGAAAACATTGAGATGTTCCGGGCCCGCCATTTTGAGTTCTTGAGTAACTGGTGATGCTCGATATTCAGAGCTTTACAGATATGCTAGGTAGCGGGGAATAGATGAAGATGAGGATGAGGATGAGAAAGAGGATGAGAAGGGAGGAAGACGACAATATGGAGGGTGATGGAGAGTGATGGAGGATGGCAAGATGGGGGGAGATGGAAGGTGGTGGGAGGAGATGACGGAAAGAAAAGACGGGAGGAAAAGAAGGGACGGAGAGAAAATTTAAACATCGAGACATGGCAGCTTCTGGAGCTGCATCCTCCCACTCCCACTTCTCTCACTTCCCCGCAAGCATGATGCGCACAGCCAGGAAGGGACAGTGGCGGAAATGGGTTTTCAGCCCATGTACGGATTACGAAGTACCTACCCAGCATCCCACGTTCTCTGCGCCGTGACAGACAGCACCGTGGGACACGAGTCGTTACAATTGGTGAGATGATCCCAAGAAACCACGCAGCGGCAGGTGGTAGTTGCCTGGTCCCGGGCAAAGAGGAAACGGCGGTATACCAGGGCATTCCAGTGACCAACGAGAAGAACGTACAAAGACAAGCCGGACCAATGTCGTGGAGAGATTTGCAGGGCGAGGACGGGTGAGGCCTAGCGCAGTCCGGGTCGTCGTAGTGTCCTTCGGGCCCTCGGTGGTGGAGTGAGGAACCGTGACGGGTGGAGCGGCATGGTGGGGAGGGCGGCGTATCGCAGGCGTGAGTGGCTACGGAAGAGCCATTTGCTGCGATCCGGCGGAGAACAAATCACGGTGTCTGTCGAGCTTCAACTGGGGCGCGATGGAGGGCCAAGCCCCTCTGGCCTGAGGGGGCGGGGGCCTTTGAGCGAAGCATGTGGCCAGGACTGGTCGGGGAGTGGTGGCAGTGGTACCTAGCGAGGTACGGGATGGGATAGGCGCGGTCTTTTCGGGAGTAAGGGGTCCCTAAGCCCGGGGTCAGGATCTGCCTGAAACCGTCAGCTCCGCGCTGATTATTCTGGCGAGGGCGATCGGTAGACTTTGCCTTTGGTTCGGCTGGCGATGCGGTGGGTGATGCAGTGGGTAATGCTGCGGCTGATGTTGACGTTGGTTGAGGCTCGTGTTACCATGCGTTTCTTCGGGGAGTTGCTCGGGGAGTTTGTCAATAAGTCTCGTGCCAAGTCAGGTGAGCGTTTTGGTTTAGACGCATACGTCAGAGGCAGCCACTGACCGGGCAGCCCACGCGAGCCTGAGATGCATTTAACGGGTGTCGAAAAACCAACCCCGCCGCTGATTGGCCGGAACTAGCGGACCGCCACAGCAAGCCCAGTGGGGTCCAAGGTGGGGGAGGCGCCCAAATCGCTCCCTCGGCGTGTCTAGACCTGCGCAAACGTGATGAAGACGTGAAAAGTCGCCAATTCCAGCTCCAGTAATTGGCCGAGTCGAACAATCCAATGCGCCTTGGCGAGGAGGGAGGAAACTTCAGCTACACGCGAAGCATCCCCGTGATGCCTCGTGATGCCCCAATATCGACAGTGGTCTCGTGTCACTTCTCACCTTACGTGGGGGAGGCAACATGGAAGGGATAGAGCCCTGATGGAGATGCCAATGCAAGGATACGAAGCCGGATGGACCTTTGACATCACCTCGGCAGCCCAGACCCACGGTTATGCAACGGCCTGACACCCGTCGCATATCCCCGTTGCGTACCATTCAGCTCAGCCAGTCCTGGGGTTTTGTTTCCCTATGACAAAGCATCCATACTCAAGTATGTGCATGCATGCACCTGTCTGCCTAGAACATGGTGATGGAGCTTTCCGTCCCCCTTCGTGCTGCTGTCTGAAATTGATCAAAACCGGGGCTTCCCGTTAGGCCTCCCGTACGCTTCTTTTGCCTGGCAGAGACATCTTGTCGCGGAATGACATTGCGATGCGCGTCCATGGCGTCAACCGCCGAGATGAAGGGAACCACTCCTCGATAGACTCTGAAGCTCTGTAGATCCCCCTTTCCAACAATACCATTCTCGCCAACGGCTCATTCCTTGGGATTTTGGTGGACCCAGAATCCGCTGCGTCAGAATGAGAGTCATCTAGGAGACGACGCCTCAAGGGAACTGCCGGGCGAGTGTGACAAGGCCCGTGGAATCATACCTAAATCCAAAGAAAATATGGTTAATTCCGCCTCGAATTGCCGAAGTTGAGATTGAACTGGAACGCCCGTGTTCTGCCTGTTGGACCGTGGTGGTGCAATGTCTTAAACACGGGATAGGTTGAGGTGCAGATCGCCGGTACCTGACATGTAAATAACAGCACGTCGCCCTCCCGTTAGCTTTCGGGGATCTGGACAATTCACATTAAGCATTCGCCATGATTCCTAGATATTTGTTCTCGGCGTTGGCTCTAGTTGGCCTAGGCTCTGCCAACCTCCTCTGTCTCGAAGAAGCCCCAGTTCTGCCAGCCGGTTGGCGAAAGACTGATGCAACGCCGGATCCTGACCAAAAGCTGACGCTCTCTTTTGCATTGCGCCAACCAAACATCGACTCTGTCGAAAAGAAAATTGCCTTGAGAGAAGAAAACTGCGGAAACCATCTCTCTCAAGAATACGCCCAGTCGCTTCGAGATCCTGACCAGGGAGATGTCGATAGTGTGCTTGAATGGCTCGAGAAACATGGCCTGGCAGGAAAGGCCACCGCAGACAGGGACTGGATCCACGTCAAAACGACAGTTCATGAAGCCGAGTCGCTCTTGAACATGGCCATGAACTACTTTCAGTTTGAGGATAAAAAACCCGTGCTTCGTACGCAGGAGTACTCCGTGCCGGAAGCTCTCCATGACGCCATTAGCTTCGTCCACCCCATTGCAAACTTCATGCGACCAACAAGGGAGTTGACCACGGCCAGCACAGACATGACATCTGAAATGCTCGATAACCGCAGCGAACTTGACAAGCGAGCCGCGGCATGCAACCAAATCGTCACGCCTGCCTGCCTCAGGAAGCTGTACAACATCAACTACACCCCGCCGGATAACAAGTCGTCGATCCGTCTGGGACTTGCAGGCTTTCTCGAAGAATACGCCAACTACGCGGACAGCGATTTGTTCCTCAAGACGCTGGCCCCAGACCTCTACGCAAAGGGCTACAACTACACTGTTGAACTCATAAAGGGGGCTGAAAACTTGCAGGACCTCTCAAAGTCGGGCGGAGAGGCAGCTCTTGATGTCCAGTACGCCATGGCCGCCGGCTATCCCACCAACATCATTTATTACCTCGCGGCTGGCAGAGGGATCAAGCTGGATGACGATGGCAAACCACTTCCGGAGGAAGAGTCCAACAACGAACCCTACCTGGAATTTCTTCAGTATCTCCTTGGATTGCCCGACAACAAGCTTCCCCACGTCCTTTCAATCTCTTACGCCGACAACGAGGTCTCGGTGCCGCTTCCGTATGCCAAGCGAGTGTGCGATCTTTTTGGACTCCTCACAGGCCGCGGCACAACCGTTCTAGTCGCTTCTGGAGATGGAGGAGCGAAGGGTTCGAGCAACTCCAACTGCCGCACCAACGACGGCAGCGACAAGGACGTCGCCATGTCCGTCTTCCCGGCGACCTGTCCGTGGGTGACAGCCGTCGGGGCCGTGACCAACACGAGAGATCCTCCCGATGGCGCCGACTTCAGCGGCGGCGGCTTCTCGCAGTACTTCCAGCGCCCGGATTGGCAGGATGCTGCTGTGGAGGGCTACGTCGGCGAGCTCCACGGGTTCATGAGTGGCTATTACAGCCCCAAGTTCCGGGCGGTGCCGGACATCTCGGCCGTGGGGAGCAATTTCCTGGTGAAGCAAGGAGGGACGTCGATCCTCCTGCGCGGCACCAGCGCGAGCACGCCCGTCCTCGGGGCCATGATTGCGCTGATCAACGAGGCGCGGGTGCAGCAGGGCAAGCCCGTGCTGGGCTGGCTGAATAATAAGCTGTATTCGAAAGAGGTGCGCGATGTGCTTCAGGATATCACCTCAGGCCAGAGCCTTTCGTGCAACTTCCGCAGGGGTGGGCTTGTTGGTGGGTGGCCGGCGAAGAAGGGCTGGGATGCCATCACAGGCCTGGGCGTGCCGTATGACTTTCAGAAGTTCTTTGATGTTTTGGTGAACTTGTAGGTGGAAAACAGTGTGTGTGTTTGTACTTGGTAGTAATGTAAGAATAAAAAGAGTAGCCTGGCGACATACGGGACTGATCTGGAAGAGAATTAAAATGGAAGTAAAATATAGACAATGGATTGCTATGTCCGTTTGCATTGTTTCGTGAATCGACTAGAAACAATTCATTGAGTGATGTTTTGGTGTAGCGGAGTCCTATTATCCACCACTGGAACAAGAGCACGCACTCGAGTCAGTTTGGCCTGGAACAGCCCACTGTTCTCCAGTGGACTCGCCGCCCTGTAGTCTTATCGATAGCGATGGTTCAGCGCGTCAGTGCGCTAAAAGGCCACCGCCAACCGCGCCCGATCAACAAGGGCCCCGGCTCACCACCAGCCTATCGCGTCTTGGACCTAGATGGCCGAGCACAACGTCAACGCCTCTTCTCTTTCATGCTCCAACACTGACACCGCAGGACCAGACGCCGAAGCAGCCGCCGCTCGCGACAGAGGCTTTGTTCGAACCGCAGTCAAGCCGCTTTGCTTCCGTTTCGTTTCCTCGCCTCGGCTTGCCAATCAGCGGCTCTCCGCTCCACTGCGACGTCGCGCTGCTACTGCCCGCGATTCCATGACCCCAGCCGCTGGTCTTTGAACGTCGGACCACAACCGCGCCGCTCGCAATACGCCCACTCTCGGGTCTCGACTTCTCCAGACGCGCAATGTCGACGCAGTCCGTGTCTTCTGCAACACTTTAGAGCCCGTGGACGCCGTCCCCGACTTTCGTCGCGAGACTCCGATCCGCACCGCACTGCACCGCAAAGGCCGTGAGGATTCGCTCCGGTCAACCCTCAACTTAACGCGCGACGCGGCGGGTTGCTCCTCGCCCGCCTCCGCCCGCCTCCGCAGACGATGCCGACCACGCACGTCCAGCCAGACTCGCACGAGGAGCTCCAGGGGATCGCCAATGCCTTGCTCAAGGCGCGCAAGGTCGTCGTCGTCACCGGCGCCGGCATCAGCACCAACTCGGGCATTCCTGTATGTTACTCTGTTCCCCGCTTCCCAATCCAGGGTTTCCGGGTCTCGCAGAGTCACGACAGAACTCACGCTGACTTGCGCAGGACTTTCGCTCCGAAAACGGCCTCTACTCGCTGATCCAGGCCCAATTTGATGCGGCTGCGCGCCAGGCGCGTCAAGCTGAGCTGGCGCTCCAAAGCGACAACGAAAATGATAACGACGACAAAGCGGGCGGTTTAGACAATGGCCGGGAAAGTAAACGACGGAGGTTGTCGTGCGATAACATCTCAGAGCCCAGCAACAAATCACACGAAACTGAAGAAGAAATCCAAGTGAAGCTCGACCTCGAAGCTTTTCAGAAGGACGACTCAAGCGTGGGAACTAAGGAGGAGGACGAACTACCAGAACACAAGGAGACCCGCGCCAGCGTCATGGATACCCTGCCTCTGATCACGCCTAGGAGAACCAGGCGTTCAATCGCCGTTGCACGAGCCATGACATCCCCGTTGTCTTCTCCGCCACCAGAAGATCTTATTGTACCGCCGACTGGGTTTCGAAAGCGCCACGCAACTCGTTTGGCCGACCTTGCAATCCCACCCAGCTCACCTCTTTCCAGCCCCCCTCCCGTTCTCTTCGATCCCTTTGAGCTAGGATCGCCCTTGGAAGACAACTCCAGTCGCCGCAGCACATCGCCCTCTGAGGTTGACGACTCTCCCCCTACAAATCCAATCAGCTTATCTCAAACATCCACCTCTGGTCGTAACACTCTACCAAATATGAAAGGGAAGGACCTGTTTGACGCAGCAATTTGGTCGGATCCTCTCCGGACATCCGTCTTCTATACGTTTGCCACAACATTGCGACAAAAGGTCAAGGACATAGAGCCCACCAGCTCTCATCGTTTTATCGGCCACCTCAGAGACAGAGGGAAGCTTGTCCGTTGCTACACCCAGAACATTGATCAAATCGAAGAAAAGGTTGGCCTTTCAACATCGCTCAAAGATGGTCCCGGCAGCCGTGGCCGATTTTCGCGCAGATCAACCGCCAACATGGCCCAGCTTAACAAAATGGTCGAAGAAGCCTCGAGCATCACCACCGACCAAAGCTCGTCCGATAAATCTCAGCCGACTTCCGATTCAGAGCCAAGCCAGCAGTCTCAAGCAAGTCAATCGGAGGGAACCGAAACCCCAGTGATTCCTGAGCCTGAGCAGTCATCTGACAACGCCAAAGCGCCAGCAAAGAACCCTCGGCGGGAACTGCCACGATCGGGCGTCGAGTGTGTTTTCCTGCATGGATCCTTGGAGCTCTTGAGATGCTTTCTGTGTGGCCGCGTCTGTTCATGGGATGACGGTGATCGAGAACTGGAGACAATGTCGGGACAGCAGCCCGAGTGCCCTCACTGCGTCGGTGCAACCACCGCCCGCGAGGAGAAGGGAAAGCGAGCGCTGGGCGTTGGCAAGCTGAGACCCGATATTGTGCTTTACGGCGAGGAACACCCCAACTCGCACCTAATCAGCCCCATTGTCACTCACGACCTGGCACTCAACCCTGACTTGCTCCTTATCCTCGGCACCAGCTTGCGAGTACATGGTCTCAAAGTCATGGTCCGTGAGTTTGCAAAGGCAGTCCACACCAGAGGCGGCAAGGTTGTATTTGTCAACTTCACCAAGCCGCCTGAAAGCTCCTGGGGAGATGTCATCGACTACTGGATCGAGTGGGACTGCGACGCCTGGGTTGCCGACTTGCAGGACAAAGTCCCCAAACTATGGCAAGAGCCCGAGCCGCCCAAGCCCAAGAAGAAGCGGGAATCTAATGGGGCATCGGAGGATGGCGACAAGGCGGAGATGAAGAAACCCCCTCCCGCCAACCCAGTGGCTCTTCGCGACACAAAGGTCACTGGGGCCTATTGGACGATGAAGATTATGAGCGAACTTCATAGAATTACAGGACCAAAGGAACCGGAGCGCCGAGCTTCAATATCGGTACCGGTGATAACGACGTTTAACGACATTCCAATAAACTCGGAGGTGAAGGCCCTGAGGCCCAAGCCCAGGACCAGGCGACCTCGCAAGTCCGCCCCTGGCGCTCTCGAAAGGCCGAAGAAACCTCCATCCACTCTCAACCCTAATCACGGTCGGTCTCGTCACAAGGCCGAGCCCGCGAAACCTGCTGGTCCCACGGAGCAAACCAGTACCCCTAAGAAGCCTCTTGTCGTTGAGCAGACGAGCTCCATCCTCGACTCAGTCAAGTCGAATCCCCGTGTTAGGAAGCGGAAGAAGATTGACGGCGAGGAGGTGGTGATGCCCACGGTTGGTAAGCGTCGAACCGCTGCGGAAGCATACAGACCTTCCGCGGCTGAGTTGGAACTGCCTCCACTAAGACCCCAGCCGCCCAGCTCAACAGGTTCGCGCTTTGGCAAGCCGATACCCTTGGAGCCCAGAAGCCCTCCGGCAGGACCACTGGCCTCGATCTCTGTCAACATGCGGGGCGCGACTATTTTTAAGAAGAAGAACGCGTTCTTTATTGACGACCCGCTGGTCAAGGCCCTCTAGCATGCCCCCACCTGGTGGCAGGCAACCAAAGGTGAGACGACCATTGTGGTGAAGCATGGGAGCAGGCCGGAGGAGGCAAACGCGGCGCTGGCCCTGGCAGGTCTAAGCCAGGGCAGCCCCGTGGTCCATGAGCCCCCGGGCTCTACGCCAAGGGGGATAGAAATGTCTTTGAGGAGTTGGGGCACGCGATGGTCATGTAAGGGATGAGGGGAGCAGTCATTTATGGCGATAATCAGCGAGCATTGGGACCTCGGCGTCCAGGAGCATATGGGATTCATTCTTGGGAATGGTGTATTTGCGCACGCAGAGACGTCGGCAAGGCGAGACGAAGACGCCCGACAGATATGATAACTTGATGAGGCGTTTGGGATCCGGCAATCAGACCTTGAATTGTCATGAAAACTTGAGTTTCACCCAGCACATTGGCGAATTGACATGGTGTTTGAAGGCGCCCGGCCAGTATAGTGACTCAGAGCATCCTTGAATTGTCACGAAGACTCGACTATCATCAGCCCACTGACCAATTGACTTGGCATTGCGTGGCAGTCACCCATTAGTGACTAAGACATGCCAGAATGGTTATCTTATACACAGCGGTCCACAGAAACCTTCTTATACCGCCATCTCGGGGTAAGTCGGCTACTCCCGGCCTGGGCAATCTAGCTCCGCATGGCGCTCCGCCAGATACAATGTCTGGCGGAGTAGTACAATGGCGGAGTAGTACAAGGGCGTTGTTGACACATCTCGTGAGTGGGGCACTCAATAAAAGCTGCTACGCAATTGACTCATCGACAACCGTTTGAAAGGTATATGAGGTCGTCCTCCCCGCAGCTAGAAGATAGAGTGTGCTGTTAGAACAAAATTACATCCTCTAGCACTTTACAATCATGGGATCAATTGGCCAGGGCTCGTCACAGGAGCTTCCCCTCAGGGCGAAGCCGCAAGGTGACGTCTTTGGGAGTGCTATAAAGAAGGACTTCCTGTTTGATCCGGAATGGAGGAATCTCAACCATGGTGAGTGAGTCTCGATACATATCTCCTCATTACACTGTTCAATTGTCCTGGCTCACGCCTCAACCTCAGGCTCATTTGGTACCTATCCCGCTGCCATTCGGACCAAGCTCCGCGAGTATCAGGATGCCAGCGAGGCCCGGCCTGACCTCTTCATCCGCTACGACTACCCCATGCTATTGGACGAGTCGCGAGACGCCGTTGCCAAGATTGTCAATGCGCCTGAGAACACTCTCGTGTTCGTCCCCAACGCCACCGTCGGCGTCAACACCGTCTTCCGCAACTTGGTGTGGAACCCGGACGGCAAGGACGTCATCGTCTGGTTCTCGACCATCTACGAGGCTTGCGCCAAGATTGCCGACTATCTCGTCGACTACTACGAGGGCAACGTCACCACGAGAGAGATCGAGCTGTCTTATCCGCTTGATGATTCGGAGATTCTGCAGAAATTCCGTGACACTGTCAAGCAGATCGAGGCCGAGGGCAAGCGAGCGCGCGTGTGCACCTTCGACGTCGTCTCTTCCCGGCCCGGCGTCGTCTTCCCCTGGGAGGCCATGATCAAAACCTGCAAGGAGCTCGGCGTCCTCAGCATGGTCGACGGCGCGCAGGGCGTCGGCATGGTGAAGCTGGACCTCGAGGCCGCCGACCCGGACTTCTTCACGTCCAACTGCCACAAGTGGCTCTTCGCGCCGCGAGGCTGCGCGCTCTTCTACGTGCCGAAGCGGAACCAGCACCTGATTACCACCACGCTGGCGACCAGCCACGGCTACATGCCCAAGACGGTTACCCGCAACGTGCCGCTGCCGCCGAGCTCCAAGACGCCGTACATTACCAACTTCAACTTTGTCGGCACGCTGGACAACTCGCCGTACCTGTGCGTCAAGGACGCCATCAAGTGGCGCAAGGAGGTGCTCGGCGGCGAGGACAAGGTGCTGGAGTACCTGTGGGACCTGAACAAGAAGGGCATCGAGCTTGTGGCCTCCAAGCTGCAGACCGAGTACATGGAGAACAGCACGGGCACGATGCGCAACTGCGCCATGGCCAACGTCGCGCTGCCCATCTGGACGGGCGAGAAGGGCCCCGAGGGCAAGGAGGGAGACACGGTGGTGGCGAAGGAGGACGAGGACAAGGCGTTCCACTGGATGCTGAACACCATGATCGGCGACTACAAGACGTTCCTGTCGCTGTTTGTGCACGGCAATCGTTACTGGGCCCGCATCAGCGCGCAGGTCTACTTGGAGTTGGTCGACTACGAGTGGGCGGCCACGATGCTGCAAGAGATTGTCGCAAGGGTTGCGAAGAAGGAGTATCAGTAGACATGTAGAAGCGCAGATAATAAAAAATGACAAGCCATTAGGGGATAAATACCAAGAAGTAGTCTTCTAAAAGTTTTACATGCTTTCACCGGGCCTGCTTTGCGAAAAGCTGCCCGCAATGTTCGCTCCGATAGACGGCCCTCTTCCTTGGAGTCTCGGCCTTTTGCTACTGCGACCAGTAGAATAATTGATCGATGAATGAGGCTTATCACCACCCTTTGCTCTCCAAGGCCATCGGCAATTCGAGATGTGTTCCTTATTAGTGGACTACCTAGGTAAGTATGCGGCTGGGCTGCTCAGCCTCACTCTAGCGGCCGAGGTTGGTCCGCACTGGAACTTCACATTGGTGGTGCATCTGGCAACTGAGTGGAAAGGCGCCTTGTAAGTAAGTAGTCGGGCGACGTCCCTCGCTATTAGTTGACATGTTTTCATCATCGGACGTGTCCCAATTGGTGCAGCTACAGCACTGCCCCTCCAGGTCGCGGGGAAGCTCACAAGATCACCGAGTTGGTGGGTGCCGTATAGCGCCATGCACGGGGGGTCAGCTGAACCAGCGGCCGAAAGCCTGGCTTTCAGACAAGATTTAAGAAGTGTTCTGGAATGGAATAATGTACAGGCCCAGTTCATCCTGCCAAGTTTTGACGTGCCAGGAGCATATATCCTGTCCGAAGCCCCAATCCGACTGACTACCCTACAAACACGATCTCCCATCGTCCCCCAAGCCATGGGAAACGGACAATCCGGACCTGCCTCAGGCGATGCCGCTGCCGAGGGCAACAAGAAGATGTCATTTTTCCAGCGCATGCAAGACCAGAAAAAGAGCAAACCCCTGAGCGACGAGGACATCCTCAAGTACACGGGAAAAACACGCGACGAGCTCAAGACCTGGTCCGACACACGGCCAGGCGTTGGCAAGAACCAGCCCTCCGGCAAGATGGCAATGGGCGGGGCGTCTGGGCTGGGCGGCCTGGCGGCCGCTGATGGCTAAGGAGGTAGAGGACCCAGTGCCGAGTCGAATGACGGGAAGAGAGGATTGAAGTTCCCGCCAGCAGCAGAGAGGGAGAAGCCGTGAGATGCTGGGGGGACTGAAACGGGTCATGAGCATCTTTTATTCGTTAGTGATCGTTTCCCCAGGGACAGCTTTGTTGGAGAGAAATTGAACTACATTATTAATACATGACTACCTACGCCTGCAAAATCCCAGGTTTCCTCCACCTCCAGCTTTCGTGGCTGTCAGGTCAATTGCAGTCAAACAACACATAGCTTACCTACAGGCAGGTAACAGGACAGGGGCTGTGCAATCCTGCGACAAGTTCGATGCGGCCACCCTACGCATCAGCACAAGTAAATCACGCATCTCAGCTCTCGCCTACGAGGTTCACACAACAGATGGGGGTTCCAGCGCCTCCATAATCAAGAGCAAATATTTTATCTTAACGCTCCATACCCAGGATCTGATTCGTGCCAACTTCGAGATGGCACCGAAGAAAGACAGCACCCATAAAGACAAGCCGGCAGACCCCCGCCCGTCGCCAAAACCCCACACGCCTACCCTCAAGCCCGCCACGGAGAAGACTCTCCCGATCATTAAGAAGATTGAGGCTAGCTCTTCAAAAAGCCAATCCAGTGCGAAGAAGGCTCAACCAAGTATTCCAAAGACTCAGCCTACTCTGTCAAAGAGCCAGCCTGCGACACCAAAGGCTCACTCAAGCCCAGCGAAGCCTCAACCCTCACCGCAAAAGAGTCATGCCACGACAGAGACCAAAAGCAAGCCCGGCGTAAAGCCAATAAAAATGTGCAACATTTGCCTTGACCTTGACTATGCTCATATCAAGAAAGAATCTGCCACTATTCGTGGCTTTGCCCCGTGCTTGCAAGAAATCTCTCGATCTGCACGGTCGTGCACCACATGCAACATCATGTACCAAGCTGTGCAACACTGCTACCCAGAGGTCTTTGTAGCCACATCATACTATCGTGTTTTTATTTCTTTTTTCGGAGGAGATGAGAACCAATTTTCCAACGAGATTCTGGGATTATCGGCGTCCCCTAAGGAATTTCCCGAAACAGAAGAAGATCCACTTCGAAAGGTCAAGGACGGCTGGAAGAGTAGAGTACTTCACATCTATTCAGTGCCAGGTATGGACCTTAGATCCCATATACCTCTCTTTACTAACTTTGACATAGGAAAACCATGTCCATGGCCGATCTTTCTCCCTGGAACTCTTCCTTCTTCTAATTTGACTGTCCTCGCTGAACAGGTCAAATCATGGATGAGCGAATGCGAAAAAGGCCACAAAGATTGCAAAACGTTGACACAAGGAATTCTACCTCGGCGGGTCGTTCAAATTATAGCGGGTTCAAAACCAGGAAGTTGCAGAGTGCGACTGTGTGAGCCCTCACCATCTCGACAGGCTCCCTACATCTGCCTCAGCCATTGCTGGGGAAAACAGCAGATCATCGTCACAAAGAAGGGAAACGTCGCTAAGCACATGGACGAGATTCTCTGGGGGCAGCTTTCGGCTACTTTTCAGGACGCCATTGACTTTTCTTGCCGTATTGGTGTCGAGTTTATCTGGATCGACTCGCTATGCATTATTCAGGATTCTACAGCTGACTGGGAGAAGGAGGCAGTAAAGATGGCTTCGTACTATTCCAACGCTGATCTCACAATCGCCGCTTCGGCCGCAAAGGATGGCTCAATCGGACTGTTTCCAAGGGGGTCGAAAACTGACGAAGCACTCGAACTGCGCGGGAAAGATGCCCAAGGACGTCCGTACCATCTTGTCGCCAGGACGGCAATCGACCACCCTTTTGATGTTGAAGACGACGAATTTGACCATTTTCCTCTGACCAAAAGAGGATGGGTCTTCCAAGAGCATATCCTTTCTCGCCGCTTCCTGCACTTTGGCGTGAGAGAGCTCGTATGGGAATGCCACTCTAGCACGCATTGCCAATGCAGCATGATCCCAGCAGCGCCTCGCTCTGATCATTCCACCAACCAAGTTCTCAGCGCCGCAAAGTATGGCTTAGAGACGAAAGACGTCCGGAAACGGCGCCAGTTATGGTATGAGAATGTGGAAAGCATGATGAATCTGGACTTCACCTATGCCACGGATCGATTAGCAGCGACTGCTGGAGTGGCCACGCTTCTGGCAAAGGGTTACAAAGGTCGGTATCTCGCTGGCCTATGGGAAGATTCTCTCGTGGCAGATCTCTGTTGGGCCATCATGGAGAACGGGGAACGGCCGGACGAACTGAAGAAGGCGCCTTCGTGGTCTTGGGGCTCTGTCTCGGGCGGATTGGCCACTCTCTGGTGCCAAAGCGACATTTCTGATCCGAACGTCACGATGGCTGCAAAGGTGGTCAAGATAGACTGTCAGCCAGATCCACCCTCGTTCATCGGGGCTCTCACACGAGGAATCCTAACGCTAGAGGGTAAAATGGTAACGAGCTTCATGAAGATTGAGGAGACCAAAGGTGGTGTAAAACAATCGCTGAGTATCGGGACCGGGTCAAAACTGGAGACATTCCGTGAGGGGTGGTTCTTCAACGCGGATTCTCAAAACTTTTGGAAGCACAGCGCAAAGGGGGCAAATGTCCACTTGCTTGAGATGACGCGGAAAGTGGCGCAAGGGCAGAAACTCCTCGCTATTTACCTTGTTTTGCAGCCTCACAAGGATAAAGGGGGGTCGTTCCAGAGGATAGGGCTCTTGAGGGCTCAGGTTAGAAGGCGACCGCCACAGAAGGAAGCGGAAGGTGTCCCCTTTGTGCAACGGTTTGATGACATTTCAGGGGTGTCGAGAATCCAGATTGAGTAGGCAGGCGATCAAAGATGAATGCAATCATTTGGAGTATTTTTATTCGCATATAGGTACAAGCATCTTTAGCTAAACATCAGGGCAAACCAATTTACCTACTTTGCGCATTGGATTTCTTAACTTGGGAGTTGCTTGTGTTTTCGCTTCCGAGGCATAAGTAAATGAAGTTCCATAGGTGTGGCGGCAAGTCGCTGCTCAGTTCCACCTGCAGTCTCGTACCGGGATTGGTACAAGCCTGTCAATCCCCGGTTAAATCCTCCAGTGTATGTTGGAGATCTTTGAATCTGAGGCTCTGGACCAAGCTCTTCCTTTGCAATCAATGGTATAGTCTCGTTGGCTGCATCGTAGCTGGACACTATATTAGCTAGAGGAAATGGGTGGATAAAGTAGACGTCGGGCCTCAACATCCCAGCTATTCCCATGACACGAGACAATTACTGGGGTGATGGCAATGAAGTTTGAGTGCAACTGGATGCACCAAGTGGTCTCGACCACAACGCAGCCAGCCATGTCAGCCTTGGGCACAGCTGGTGAACATCATCTTCACCGACCAATTTAGACGTGCTCCAGGAAGTTGTCCTGGTTAAAGTTGGGTTCAAGCTTTATCACATGGCAAGTGGGCTTGAGATTGGAAGGCAGCGAATCTCTCTTGACATGAATCGTGTGATTCCTATCTGTCCCCCATGAGTATAGATGATTGGCACCCGGGTTCCGCGTGTGATTCGCGGTCCTTGGGGTATATAATCTTCGCCCCCCACCCCCCTGGGAGCCACCTTCTTTTCTTCTTTCTGTAAACACACCTTTGTTGCATTATATCCCGTGTATCAATAATTTCGGGCAAACGCCAACGGTTCCAAGACGAATCCAACCGCTCCCTCGAGAGTATCACGGCTCCCACGCAAGAGATAGATGCTGAATCAAACGCTAGCTTACATATTATTACCCAACAGCTGACCAGGCAGGGCCGCAAAGACATCCTTTCCAGAATCTCCGCCATGTCGTCACCACGAGCCATCCGCGTGGAATCACCGACAACAACATCTTACAGAGTTATTCCGCACGTTGAGAACCCATCCTTCTTCGGCCGAGAGACAGAATTGAAGCAAATGGAACAATGTTGGTCCCAGAAAGGGAACGCAAGCTGAATGTATTCAGCATTGCTGGTGAGGGTGGTGTTGGCAAGTCCCAGCTGGCCCTCCAATTTGCGTACCGTCACTTCAGCGAATTCAACGCCATATTTTGGGTGTCAGCAGATAACGAATCAAAGATTGCGCAAGGATTCGAGCAAATCGCCGTCGAAGTCGCCCTAGTCCAAGGTGCTAGTAACCAAGAATCTCTCGGCATGGTTCGAGAAGCTACCAAGAGGTGGCTAAGAAACACTGGTGTGTCCGTCCGTCTCTGTTTTCTCTTCCATGTATAGCTTCTCAATATCTCACTAATTATGGCTCTTAGCTCATACCTGGCTTTTGATTCTTGACAATGTTGAGTCCTTGAGTTCTTTGGACGACTACTGGCCAACCGCAGCGCGAGGGTCTATCATCATAACCACGCGAAACCAAAATCTTATTCAACCTCCTATTTCAACCTCCATAGTTCTCAGGGCTTTCAGCTCAAAGGACGGCACTCAATTCATACTTGAAAACGCCCCGGAAGAATCAAAGGCCACCGATGGAACGGATGATGCGAATGCGTTACAAATTTCGAAGGCTTGTGGCGGCCTGCCTTTGGCTCTTTCTCAAGTTGTTCGATTCATCCGTTCTTTCAATCTCCCACTCTCCGATGCTGCCATGCGATTTTCCACCACGGAGGCTTTTGTCGCTGTCAGGTCTGAGCTGAGCCAGTTTAATCAGCCGGACTATTATCACTAGGAGGGGGTACCAGTGATTTGGGACAGAACTCTCAAGTCTCTAAGCCCTGCCTGTTCCACTATCGTACAATTGCTATCTCACTTCGACCCGGATGGCATCACAGAGGATTTGTTGAAATCTTCATTGAAGACCATGGAAGATCGCTTAGGAATTGGTGAGGAGTAAGTTACCGTTGATACTCGCCTTCATTCGTTGACCCTAATTTCTCAACTATTCTAAATCTTTACTGACTTAATACTAGCATAAATACACAAATGATGGTACTTCTTGACAGGTCTCTGATTTCCCGAGGACCCAAGAGCAAGAGTTTCTCCATGCACAACCTGATTCAGGCGAAAATTTTTCGAAGCATGGATCCAATGCGGAGAGCTGATATGTTCGTGCTGGTCTTAGATACCATTGATGACTTCTTCCCAAGTTATGGCGATAATGACCTCTTAGTCAACTCCTGGGCAGGATGCAAACTTGCTCTACCTCATGTTCTTCGACTTCTTGATCTTTTCTCCAGCACTATCCTACAGGATATCTCATCATATGTCAAGTTGGGTGGGCTGGTTGAAAGAGCCTCTTGGTAAGATAGATAAACCCATGGAAAGTTTGAATCAGCTCAGCGCTAATGTCACATCAGGTATCTCCAAGAGCGAGGAGCACGGAAACAGGCTATGGGCTTACTAAACCACGCGATGGAAATCGCCCAACAGGGCTTGCAAAAATATCCAGAAGTCGGCGGTGATTCGGAATCCACAAGTACTTCCGCCACCAGGTCGTCGACATCAGTTGCTATCCAAGATCTCAGGGAACTTGTCTCTGCTATCACCAACTCAATTGGATTGCTCGAGCTTGGCCGCTGTCGTTTTGACAAGGCCCTGAATCATTTTCTTGACGCCGTTTCGATGCGTGAAGGTCTAGGATTAATTGATCGAGAGACGATTTATATGAAACGGAATGTCGGCATTGCCTATCTCAGCGCAAATCGCGTCGATGAAGGATACGCTGCTTTTCAACACTCCCTTTCGCTCCTGGAAGATCAACTCACCACCTCAACAGACCGCGATAAATTAAGAGACGATCTAGCTTTCAACTATGGTTCTCTTTCCTTTGCCCTGCTGGATATGGGGAAGCTTGATGAGGCTTGGGATGCCGCAACAAAATCGACTGAGCTCCTGAAGCAGGGCCACGACAAAGAAAGTGCGATGATGGGAGAGTAAGTTCAAAGTTACATTTCCGATGAACTTTTTCAGTCTGACCAAACAGTTGTTTCACGACATTGGGGAATATTCGACGCCTCCAAGGCAAACTAGGCGAAGCTGAAGCCTTTTACCTACAGGCTTTGGAAATTCGAATGAATGTTTGCGGCCAACACGAGCGAACTGCTTTGTCCCTTCATAATTATGCGCGGATTCTAAAACAGCTAGGTAAAGACGAGGACGCCATGTGAGTTTATGTTGATTCCTTTGATTCCCCGTTATCATCGTCCCCTTCTAGTGATATCCTTGCGCAGCCCGTTTGGCATTGGTCTGATCAGTGACTATACTCAGGAGAGGGATACCAAAAAAGCTGACATCTGAGTACAGAAATGTCGCAAAGAAGGGGGTGGAAATGCTCCGAGAACTACCAGACTCTGAGTTAATTCTCGCAAGGTCATTGTTTTACTTGAGCCAGTACGAATGTGCCGGCGAAATGAATCAATTGAGTCAGAACTACGAGAACGAGGCTGTGGAGATATACTGTGCGCATCATGGCGTAGCGAGAGACAAGTCGTCGTTGACCAACAAGGATTTTGACAATCTGCTTGTACATTACTACCGATAACGTGATTTGAATAACCAAAATTTCCCATCAGAATGCATAAATTTCAGCATGATCTCTCAGCGACGGCATATATTTACGTTATCCTAGCCTCTCGGCATCTTTGATGCCGCCATATTTATACCATCAAATACATTAGCATGCAATATTATTGAAAACATATTCAGTCATTATGAAAGCGACGAAAAACAAAAATTAGTCCGCTCGGTGTATCAAAGATAAAGGCGCACTTATCTATATATGGACTGTCGAACCACTAAGCTAGCAAGGCAAAAGAGGAGCTCCATACCTATGGCTTGTATGGATGTAGTCTAGACGCCTTGATCCTTCAGCATGAACGAGACACTTCCACTTCAAAGACAGAAAACTACTTTCTAGAGGCTCTTGTTGGCCAACTCATCACTGATCTTCCACAACTTGTCCACTAGTCCAGGTTCAACAGCGGTGGGGAGCAGGCCATCTTCGGTCAGGTTGCCGTCAGCTAGGAAGACGCCATTGTCATCTAGTCGGTCTCATATTAGTATAGTTTCCGTGGCGAAGGTGGCGTGGGTGACAAACTGGAGAGAGAGCGATCAAATGCAGCGATGATGCCAGTTGACGACCCCTCAGCAGAGGTCTTCGTTTTGATGGCCGAGCTGAGATTACCGTTCGCATCGGCCCATCCTGTATAATCGCGGTTAGTCCAAGGTCGTAAACATACATCAAGGGCATCAGTGAACAGGCTCTTACCCATGGCAATGAAGTCCTCTTGCGGTACACTTCGAGTTAACGCCGTGGTGACGATGATGCCAGGGTCCACACTGAAAGCACGAAGGCCTCGTGGACCATATCGCTTTGCTAACCCGGCTGCATGAGCAATGTTGCAGAGTTTGGAGTTGCTGTAGGCGGTCCACTTTTCGTAATCCTTGCCATTGTCGTAGGTCAGGTCGTCCAGAAAGGTTGGGTTGGCGCGTGTGTGTGCCTCGCTACTGTAAGTCACGACGGTAGCGTTGCCGGCGATCAGCTTCTCTATCAAGAGATTGACAAAGGAGAAGTGGCCTAAGTGGTTGACAGCAAACTGAAGCTCAATACCGTCCTTTGATTGACTGTATGATGGAACTGCCATGATTCCGGCGGTGCAGATCAAGGCGTTGATAGAGGTGACACGATCCAAGACCTCTTTGGCGGCTCGACGGACTGACTCCAACGAAGCGAGGTCGAGCACGAGAGGACGCACGGTGGTTCCCTCTGGAATTTCAAGAGACTTGATCACTTCCTGTAGCTTAGCCTCTGTCTGGCTGGCCAGGATCAGTTGAGCGGGTTTCTGAGCGACGATGCTCCGGGCAGTGTCAGCTCCCAGCGAATTGGGGCTCACACCAGTTATGACGACTATAGTCAGATCGCAAGTTAGCAAGTTTAGTACATGAAGAAATTTGCTCTTAAAAAATCTCAACTGACTTGTCTTCCCGACGATGGCAGCTTTGAGGGCATTGCTAGCGGTGTCGGATGTGGTGTGAAAATCAAAAGGTGCCATGGTGTCGAGATCAGCGAGTTTTCTTGGGTTCGTATGAATACTGGATGAGCTTGACTTGAGAGGCCAGATACTTGGACAGACCAGAGCCAAATATTTATATGCGTTGAGACGGTACCGGGAAAGTACGGCTCGTGACTCCCGGTGGAGGTGCTGACGCGATTCGCACCACGCAGCAAACGTAAGCAACCTGGAGCGGCAAACGACTGCAACCCACCTTCACTTCGTCCAAATGTCGAACTAGGAGTATCCAGAGTAGCTTGGATGGATCTTTTGCTGCAAATAGCTTTCATGAGCTTGTACTCTCTCAATCTGCAGAGGTAATCTGCTCCCCCCTTTGTGACGCCCACCACCGAGAGCTGGACCAGAGCTCGCCGTCTTTACCACCAATAAGCCACCACCACTTACGAAGGAACCATCCCTTGGCCTGCCAGCTGTAGCTATCCCAGGGCGTCCCGCGGTCCATCCCCCCTTGATCACAGGAGCCCCAACACACAAGCCCATCTCTTACCATTAGATCGATGCAGAGGTCGTCTTCGTCTAGTAATGGAGGGTCGGTCGACAAAGCAGCCAATATCCGACGACGGAAGGTAGGAAATGGCAGCGAGTCGATGTAGGGATGATGTGGAATAGAGAGCTGTGACGATATGGGGCGCAGACTAGGCGGGACGTTGGCCTCATCAGCGCCACCATCCAGCGGCCCGCCGTGAAATGGAGATTTGCTATTCTCGTCGAGGAAGAGAGCAAAGTCAAACCCGAGAGAGCTAAATTGGCGAAGAGAGCGGCGAAGTAGGATATTCGCGCCATGTGCAAGACGTTCCGGTACGGGGAATAGGACGCCGTGGCTCCAGGGTGTTGATGTAGATGGGTTAGTGGTGAGCCGTGACCGTTCCCGTCTTCTACGAGGTAATGAAAGGTGTCTACAAAGCTGAAATTCCCATTCTTGGCCCAGTCCCGGAGCTCATCCCGTGCTGCCTGCGGCAAGGCCAGAATGCGTTGTCGGAGCTGTCGCAGTTGGGCAGAAACTGTCTTTCCACCAGGCCGAAAGATCAGAATGTCTCTTTGACTCCGTGGTTTCTCAGATTGAGTGTCCATAAGGCTGCTAGGATTCTCAAGCATTGATTCTCGATGCGCATTGGCTATTGGTAGTTGCCCAGGAAAGAAGGAGTCGGCGAACTGCGTAGCGTTTGAAGAAGTCTGGATGCTGTACCCGCCTGGTCTCGCCGGGTCGAGCCACGTGGTAAGGCCAACCAGGGAGAGATCACCATCTGAGCTGGGCATGATACTCGGGTTCAATCCCGTGGGGTGCCAATCACGGGGTGAAGACGCTGGGGAAGGGTTGCCCAACAGTGGCACCAAGTTTCCGGTCGCCGACAAGAGTGGATATCCATCAGACTGATCAGACTGTGATGGATAGACGCCATCCAGCCGGGCAACCTTGTCCTCTAACTCTCGCAATCGCGCCCGTCTTCGATCCCCTGCCAGATATTTCAGCAACTGCACAAAACTCCACTTAGGTAGGAAATTGCTTACGGTATGTCTTTTGGGCCTTGCGATTCTGCAGGCGCCGTTCGGCCGAGACCGGTTTACTCGCAGAGGGTAGGCCGCTTGGCGCAACGCCATTAGTGGCGAAGTGGTCATCAATTGCGTGGGTGCTCGAAGCCATGGGTTGAGGAACGTAATGTCAGGAGACGAACGTACGCAGGGAATTGCAGGTTGACAGTCTGAGACCGAGAAAGACCGCCGAGCTTTGCGAGCAATCAAACTACTTCAGAGATGACAGCATGAGAATTAGCGCCATTGCTGACGCGAAGTTCTCTCGGCTGACGCTATCAGACATATAAAACGGAGCCCATTCAGACGTTTGTCAGCACATCCGATACGGATATTACAGCACTATCTCCGTGCCAAGTGCTGATGCTGGCTCATCTGGCGGATCACTCGGGAGTTATTCTATTTTCCCTCTGCCATGCTCGTTACCTGGCAGCAGGCTCCTTTAGTCTGGCCGTTACTTTGTCAGCCCTTCAAGCAAAGGCATCGGCGCCGGTGATCAAGCCCCGGGCGTCATGAAGCCCCGAAGACACCCTTGTCTAGGTTTTCATATGCAAAAGATGTGATAAACCTTTCCGTGAACTTACTCGAACTTCATCACATCCTGTAATAGTATTATGGAAAGTCTAGCAAGCTCATCCGGGCCAGTAATGATGCCGGTGATCTCTTGGCTGGCGAATTCATCACCACTACAGTCGGGGAATCCACTTCCCAAGCTTAATCCGGTTGCCGGTCTGGACTTCTCAGCCAGCGCAATAGAAAATTGAGCCATCTTCATATTTCGGACAGCCAGCGTACCACTGGATCCTGACGATTCTGCCTTAGACACGAAGCAGAGAATCATAGACATGGTACTGCACGAGATTTCACATACGTGACTCAGAAACCTCGTTGCAAGGCGATACCAGGATAGCTTGTGGCTCAAAGAAGGATTTGCAACTCTCATGTTCTGTTGGCCACTGACAAGATCTTTCCGGGATGACATCCTGGAGACGCATATGTCGCTAACCCCCTCCAAACAGCCGTTAACCTAGATAGTAGCCATCCTGTGGTGCTCATTGTGCAATATGCCCTGCGCGCGAACCGGATGTTTGACGATGACTGCTATGAAAGGGTTGCTGCGTGCTAAAGATGATATTGGATGAAATGGGGGGAATCAAATTCCTCGAAGGACTGAAACTCTACCTCCGCCGTCACTAGTTCGGAAACGTAGAATCACAGGACCTTTGGTAGGTCTGGGAAGCTAGCACAGCCGATTCAATTGAGACATGAATTCACTCCTGGACAAAGGAGACTAGGTTTCCGGTTGTCAAGGCCACTGAACAGCTCGGGGAGCATGGCCGGATGCCACCTAATGCAAGAAAGATTCTTTACTAGTGGACCTGAGAAAATCAAGCCTGATGTTACAATCGTTCCCTTTCGAATCGCAATCCGCTCCGAATCAGGCATTGAGAACTGGGACATGAGCGGTCGGGAATTGATTGTTCCAGCTCCCGGAAACGGGTCGTTCAAGCTCAACATTAATCACAATGGGTTCTTAGGAACTCCTACTTCTTTAGGAACTCCTACTCCCCAGTGGGACTGAAACGTCTGATTGATGCAACTTGTGAAATCGGATCAGCTTCCGAGATTGCAATCGGTTGTCTTGCGACCCCAAAGCTCAAGTGCTAGAACGAATCGAAACCGCGCACTACTCGATTTCGTTCTTGGGATGCGACCGATGAACTCGAATGTCATTTAGGAAACAATTTATGGGAATCTCAGAGCAATTCGATCGGTTAGGAAGTTTACCGACGAAAAGTTGAAAGGAACTTCTTAACATCTGGAGAACATCATCAAACAGGTAGGATGAACGATATTTGGCTCTCGAATGCCTGGGACGAGCCAGTGACCCCGAACTTGTCAAATTAGGTCTCGGCTTGCTTTCACCAAGAATGTGAAAGACCAGGATGCAAGTCAATCCCAAACGAATGATAATCAAGTCAGCTAACTGTGACTAGCTGTACTACTTGCTATGGCTTGCTAGTTTGTCCTCCCATGGGGCTATCAAACTATGGGGATAGGCAAAGGAGAACTGGGCAGATTATGGCGGATTGCTGCGGGGTGTCTGTGCGCCTTTGCTTCCCTGTTTATCTATTCGCTGTAGTACCTACTCTGGTTGCGCGGAAGATGAAAGACTCCATCTTAGATGAGGATTCCGTACGGGATTATTGCGTTGTTGCTTCTGGGTAGGATTATGCTGAGGAAGAGGAGCCGGCATCACTTATGATCCCAAAGGACCGTGCTCGTCATCGTCACATCCTGAGGACGCCTAAGGAAAACTCCACCCCAACTTGCCGCGTTAGAAGGCCCCATGCTACTCTGCTCAAATACCGTTTCTACATGTATCTTGGTCCTTCTTCTAGAGGTCTCCGTTGCTAACGCCTGAATATCAACTAATGAGAGTGTGAACCACGATAAGGAAGAGATCGTGGTCTAGTAGGTTCAACAAAGCGAACGAGTTGGCGCCAATGAGGGTAAGTACATAATTTGCTCGCAGCGGGCTCCAAAACGAGAGACGTCTGCAATTCTTAGGTCTTTCCACGTGCAAATATCACCAACCTAATGACACAAGCCAGGTTAAGAGAACGCTTCGCCACTCGGTATTTTGTTGGTGGGCGAGGTCCTTAGTGCAGAACACACCCGTCCGTGGGGTAGGGGCTAAAGGGGGAAGAGAGATCGGAAAAGACAACACCAAAGCTGTCTCCTAGGAGCGGGAGATAGCTAGAGCAATTGATCAATAGCTTCTGGGTTCCCAAGAAAAGAAAGGAAGGAAAAATAATATCAAGAGCTGCTATAACAGCTGCAGTAGAAGGAGCGTGCTAAGACTAAAGATGCTGTGTTAATCAAAGAAGAGAAAAAGCGTGCCGTCTTATTTTTCAAGCAGACTCAACGCCTTAAGTAGGGACTGCCTAAGCTAGCACAGGCCTCCCGTACCGTATTAAACTCCAGGTCGACCGTTGGCCCCATCACAATACCACCCTAAACCATAGAGACACGCTCTTAAAGAGCTGCAAATCAGCCATAACATATGCCGTGGGTATGCCCGGGTGCACGCTTCCTCCCTAGTCTAACTAGTGCGCGCTTCACCAAGTCGGTGCCCTCGAGCCCGCTGCCCATGTACTCGTCCTACGGCTCTCACCGGTGGCCAAGCCCCGTTCAGCTCTTACTGAGATGTCACTGTGTTATCCACACACTGTAGATGCTTAATACTAGGAAAATTACGGCTAAGATGCTGATATTTTTATACAAGTTTCTTTCCTAGCAAATATATAATACCTCATATGAGCTACCTCTTTTATTACTTTCTCAATTAACTCCCTGACTCGACTTCACTTAGAGGCTTCCTTTGCCACGCTAGGACCTTTGAGACGCAGGTATCCCTCGACAGCAGTGTAGGGATTCGGCTCAAACCGGGGTGTCTGATCCACGGGGGCAACGCCGAAGCTCTCGACGCGCACCGACTCGGGAAAGGCTTCCTCGCCTACCTTGTGCGGTTGTAGCCACTCCCACTCCGCCAGGCTGTTGGTCGGAAGCTTGACTTTGGACGGCTCCGGCTTGGGCTTTGGATCCGTAGCCTTTACTTCTGCAGCCGCAACCTCCTCTCCGTCTGCAGCTGGAGGCTTTGCGTTGGGCATCACTAGGTCCGTCGTGATGATCAGCGGCCCCATGTGGAAAAAGGCCTTCATGTTGCGGAACGCCTTTTCCCACATCCACGGAGACAGCTTCAGCTCCCGCACCGGAAGGATGCTGCTGTACCCGTGGACGGCCGTGAAGGGGTCAATGAGAGCGCCAAAGCCGTGCAGTTTCCGGCAGTGCCGGATCTCATGATCCGCGGCTTTGCCTTCGGTGGGGTCGAGGTAGTAGGGCTCGAAGCTGGGAAAGTTTGCATTGCTGATTAGTCTTGAGGGATCATCAGCATTGGGGACTTGGCCCTCTTCCTTTTCTATATAGTACGTATATAGCGTCCCCAGATCGAGGCCGTCACCCACAACTGGGTCTCGCTTTGCGTTCCAGTATGCGACAAGCCCGTCGTAGGCCTTTTTCTCATCTCCCAGCTTCACCTGGAACTTGTACAGTTGATCCTCGGGCGTGTGGGATTCCTCAAAGTCTGGGTCTGGCGTGAGCCTCTTGCGCATGAAAGTGCCCCCAAGGGAGGCGTGGCTCGTGTATGCCTCGGTAGCGAGCTCGATGGACCAACCCATGTTGACCAGAGCAAGGGGCTGGCCGACAATGGCGCTCATGAATTCGGAAAATGCCCCTGGGGCCGGAAGCATGTGCCCCATGGCTTTGTTGATGATACGGATGAAGGCCTTGAGATAGTGCTCGTCCTTTAGAGTCTCAAGCAACCCTTCTAGTTGCTTCAGCGCGGGATCTGTCTTGGGATCGAGGCCTGTCCGATCTGGCATCCAGTTGGGAGAGGCCATGCTGCCCGTGGGCCCTCCGAACCTGACCTCTCTGTAAAACCTTCCGTCACTGGCAAAGAACTGCAAGCCAGAGTTGGCATAATTGATCATGACCCAGCCCCAAACAGGCTCGCCCGCCTGTCCAACCGGCTTCCAGTAGGGCGCATAATCCGAGCCTGCAGGCTGATGCAGCGTGACGAACTCAGCGTTGATGCGTGCGAGCTGGTTGATCTGCGGAGGAATCTGGGCAAACTCGCTCCTCACGAGCGAAGCATCGCCGCGCCCACCCTCAGGGGGCGGGCCTGAAGCGGGCAGCTGTAGCAGCTGCTGAGCTCGCAGATACTCGCTGGTGTATAGTTTGGGGATCTTCTTGTCGCCGTGGGCCTTGGGTGAGATGGCATGCACGGCCTGGCCAAACTTGTCCACAATGTTGAGCTTGGAGAAGCAGAACTGACCGTGTGTGACAGGCTTGAATGGGTTTTCTCCGTTGGCCGAGAACGAGACGGCCGTCCCGTACGGAGTCAGATCCGTCTCCAGGCCCATCAGTATCAAGTCGGCTCCGCTGAATTCTCCATGACTGGCCTTGTTGATGGCTTCGGGAATGACCTGGGGGAGGCTACCGCCGTCTCCGTCGCGGTTCGGCTGCCGGTATGTCGGCTTCACGTGTGTTCCTCCTTGTCTGGTGATGAGGTGGTTGGTAAAGCCAGCCAGAGGGGCCGATATGAGGCTCAACTTGTCGATGTTGGCCAGCACGAGTTTGCGATCGGATGCCATGTCTTTGGGCATGGGAGCCGGCGTGTCGGCAAAGAGCTGCTCAATCTTGTCTTGGAGCGACTTCGTTGGCTGCGGCAACATCAAGACTCTACCAGAAAGCTTCCTCGTGTCCTTGACGCCTCCCTCGCCGAGAGACTGGGTCTTGATATGGTATCGGAGCTTAGGATCCACGGCTGGAGTGGCAGTCAAGTCGCCATTATCCAACTCCCAGAAGTCAAAGGGGATGTGCACAAATTCCACCTCCCATTCGAGGTAGAGAGGAGACCACGGCTGCGTGCTGTGCCACCTGTCACGCCAGCGAACCACATCCGCCACCTTTGGCTTCTCATCTTCGAAAGGAACAGTTCTCAGGTCTATGTCATGATAGAGAGGGCGTAGTGCGGGCTTCTCGAACTTGCGCTCCCGGTCCTGGTCGGACTTTAGGGCCAGGAATTCAGACAGGAGGAGCCGCACGTCGGTTTTCCAGGCGTCGTCGAGCCTCTCGACGATATCTCCAAGATCTTGAGGCAGAGTGGGAGTAACAAGCTCGTTGTCCTTGATGGCCCCCAGAATCTGATGGCGCAGCCTGACCTTGAGCGGGTCGAGAAAGTCGACTGGCCAACCTGACTCGACCCCGGCAACGAGGACTGTAGGGTCTCCGGCTTGGTGGAATGGCTGACAAGTGCCACTCTGCACCTTGACACCACTCAGATTCAACTCGTCCTCTATGGCCTTGATCTTGCGGTGGAGATCCCCAATGTGCTTCGTGATGCCCTCCCTGGACGTCTTGTACTTGCTGCTATTGAAGGCGGCGTTGTTGTCTGTCAGTACCTTCCACCAGAGAGAAAACAGATCCCACTGGCGTTTCCTCAGCGACCGCGACAGGGTATCCATCTGACGCTGCTTTTCATTCAGGACCGACAGCGCCGTCAACTCGTCTGCGGTCGGTTTGTACGTGTCCCCAGGGCTGGTGGTCCCCGCGGAATCATCTTTGGGGTCCGAGAGGAAATATCTCTTTCCTCCCTCCTCGCGCTGGAAGTTGAGGTTACTGAGGACGTCGGCAGCCCGACGTTGCGGCTCGACGCCCTCATCACGATCCAGCAGGAGGGTCTGCAGCTTGAGCAGAACCATCTCAAGGTCGCGAACGTCACCGACGGAAGACTTGCTGTGTCCAGAGACGTAGGCCATGATGGCGTCCATGGGCGTCGTCCCCACGGCGATGGGAGAATTCCTCATGAGGTGCGCGCACGCCTTGTCTGCGGGCACGTTGGAGGGCTTTCCCCGAGCGTTCCATTCGACGTCGTACATGGCACCATGGCAGAGGGTTCTCCCGGGCTCCTTATCCTTGCTCCAGTCTTCTGTAGAGGCATGGCCGTCGGCCTCGAGCACCATGTTTAGCAAGCGGAGCTTAGACGGGCGAGTTGAACCATCTTGGTCCCCTTGGTTTGCTGGAGGGACAAAGAGGTCTCGATTAATGTCTGGCTGCCACCCGATGGCATAGTAGGAAGCTTTGGCTGCCGTCAGACACTGCTCCTTGTTCTCGGCATCCTGGTACTCGAACCGGTCCAGCATGCTAAAGACGTTTCCGTTGTGCGGCTGGTAGTCGGCGAAGAGCTGGTTGGAGCTGTTGAACAAGTTGACACGGACTCGGTTCGTTTTTGCATTCTCAGACCACGTCTCAGCCGGGAAGCGTTGGCCGATAAAGACCTCTGCCTGTGCCTCTATGTCGACCTCGACACTACCGTCGACTCTAGACTCTGGCGCTATGTACGGTGACACGTCCGTCTGCACGTCTACATCTTGGTCTAGGTCGTCGATGGACCTGCAGACGTCACTCTCGACGACCCACGCACGGAACTCGGGCACGAGGCCTCTTGCGCTCTCGGGGAAGATGGATTTATCGTCTGCGATGTGGCGAACGACAAGCCAGCGCGAGGGAACGTCATAGTAGCTGGGCACAGTCGGATCGTGGGAATGACTTGTCTTGGGCTTGCCATAGTCTTTATCACCTGGGACAGCAGTACCTTCCGGCAGGCCTGCTGGGGCCTTTTCCTGCGTCTGGGTGGCCGCTACTCGGTACGGCCGTGGGATTGTCCAGTGGACGTAGACGCCCTGGCGCTTCAGGCGAGGCAGGTTGGTGCCGAGGTCGGTGAAGCGCATGTTTGTAGACGCTGGCGAGGCCGCGTGGAGGTCGACATGGCGTAGCACGTCGTTGGAGAGGAAGTGGTTGTCGTACTGCAGCAGCGCATAATTTGGCTGAGCTAGCGGTGCAATCTTGGCCTCGTTGTCGGCGCCGCTGCAAACGTCCTCGTTGAAGACGAAGCATTCCAACTTGACGGGGAGTAGCAGGGAACTCATGGTAACTGGTGTAGTGGGAAGCCTGGGACGGGGAGGGATAGTGTGAGAAAGAAGGGAGAGAGAGAGAGAGGTGCGAGGAAAAGAATGGTCGTGGGGGAGCCGACTTATATACCCATTTGCCGTGGCCGTGGACAGAAAGGTAACCAAACATGTCACTCATAGTACGCTCACCGTGTCACGTTCTAGTTTGTTCTGGGTCTATCTTACTTGATAGGTACCTAGGGATGAGCGGTATATAATCATAGCCTTAGACAAATTATGGCGGGCTTTCCTGGATAGTAGTAGCTACTCCATCCTCGATTGTTGCTCACTACGACGGCATGTTTGCTTATCCCCCATCACGGCTCTATCCTGTTACAAAAGTTCTCCTTCTCCAATTGCCTCTCAAGGCTTGTCAGAGGCAGGGGCTTTAAGGATGGCTTCCCACTCATCCACGTGGATCTGCGTCTCGGTGCTGTCCTCGGCCGAAAACACCACGGCGATCTTCTTTAAGGAGTCCTTGGAAGCAGCACTCAGCGTCTCTTGCGTGGGGACGCCAGCCCCTTCCAGTATCACATCGGACCAGGTAGCGCCTGCGTCGAGCGAACTGGCGCGGGCTAGAAAACCGTCCGTGTTGCGAACGTAGTACACCACCACGGCCTCCTTTTCGCCTTCAATAAACGAGACGGCCGCCAGAGGCGTGCCGGGCTTGGCGTCTTTCGTGACGGTATGGCCTAGCAAGGTGAAAAGTATTATTAGCCTCCTCGTTTACTACTCTGGCATTGCCTGTATTGTCTGTCCGTCTGTCTGTCTCGCTGGTGGAATAACACGTACTCTCAGTGCTCGCCCCGTTCAGGGCGACGATTTCCTTGTTTTCTAATTGGACAAACACCCATCGTTTAGCCGTCTTGAGCGAGTAGGTGGCAGCGATGCTGCTAAGGCCGGCTGGCGATTTCATGATTGTGAGTCCTTTGTTCAAGGGCTTTGTGCTGGAATTGTCGAGAGAACGTTCGTTGAGGACAGGAGGGTCAGAGCTGTTGTTGGGTTCTTGTTGAGCACTGCGTCGATGATTCCGGGGAGGGGGGGGGGGATGTGGTGTATCAACCTACGTGAAGAAGTACAGGTAAGCCTTGACCTTGCCGTCGCTCGAACCCGTCAGGCGGTTATAGTTGGTCTTGATGCTCAGAGACTGGACGACAGGGCTGAGGAGGGAGATGTAGTTGACCTCCTTGCCTGCCGTGGCATCTTTGACAGTCGTGATACCATAGACTCGGATCTATTGTTCGTTGATTAGCACTGTTAGAACTGTAGGCTCAACAGCAATGGGCTCAAGTGGCAAGAAACTCACCCAGTCACGCCATTGCAAGGCCGTGAGCCCTCCACCGACCAAGACGTTGCCCTTGGTGCTCTCCTCCTTCTCAGCCCACACGGGGCCCCAGCCTTCTTCGCCGTCTGTCCACTGCCGCAGGCCAAGGTTGCCCTTGGAGCTGTTGTAGTAGACCAACATGCGGTCCGCCTTGGCCAGAGGGTTCCAGATGAGGGCGTTGGAGGTCATTGTGTTGATGCGTGGTGGTTTACTGTTGGGAGAAGAAAGACTCGATGAAACAGTGGCTGTTGTCGATTTTTTTTGGCTGTTTCTTGGGGCTTTTATCGTCGACCGTTTCGATACGTCTTTGCCATTGTCACGTTTCCGGTACGTACAGAGACTAAACCTCTTGGAATGAGCGTGACACGGCTGACGTGAAAGTGTCGAGCTGAGCGTCTGTAATTGTCGCGATGCCTCTGTCTCCAAGCGATGATTGGATCACCCGAGGGAATCCCACAAGCAATGCAACACACCTATCTAGAGGCGTAGCAAACGACTTGGTAGTTTAGGTCAAGCGACCTGCCTAGACTGATGTGGGGTGGGTTTTTACGACTCGATGGTCTTATGCACAGCTTCAATAGCGCGTTATGCACAACTTCAATAGTTCGATTCGTCTCATACTCGCTGAAGGCGCAAAGGAAACCAAACTACGGAGTATCCCTAGCTGTGACGCGAAGTGACGCGTCAGTTAGCTAGCTATGGAATAGATGATCGTCTAACTTACTCCGTACATCACACGTCGATGGGGATGAATGTTTCGGGGAAAACGCCCCACCATCCGGTCTACTTGACTTGGCTAGACCCTATTGAACTTAGATTGGACAGTAGCCAGGTCAACTATTGATTATCACGGCATACTCGACGCCGCTAGTTTCGACTATGACCGGGAGCTAATCTATTCTAGGGCTATGAGAAAACCGGCGGATATGTGCCGATGCAGGATCCTGGTGCCGCCGGGAACTAGTACACTGGGAACTAGTAGATGAACTATTCCTCATCAAGTGCAATACCTACTGCGGCCGAAGCTGAGGCCCTGACGGCAGGAGGTCTATCTCGAAGAAATGGGATCTCGGCCCCGGCGAGTGGAGCGGGTGGTACCATTCCTCCGTGTAATGCACCGTCACCGTCCGATCATAGTCGTGAACGTCGACCAGCGGCAGCACGAAGCCGCACTCTCGGACCCGGTCGATGAAGACACCGTCTTTGCGGGCCTTTCTGCTACGTGGCCGAATCTCGAGGAATAGGGTGTCCACCGTCGTATCGGAGAGCACGTTGAACCGCAGATTGCTCAGCATCGACGGCCCGGGCCCCGTGTAGTTGTCCAACAGGTTGGCGGTCGAGGGCGAGTCTCGCTTCTCGCCGCGGGGTACGGCGAGCTTGATGCTCTTGAGCCAATAGTCCTTGAAGAGAAGATCGTCATCTGACCGCCGTATCGTGAAGATGAGGTCCAGGGGTCCCCTGCCCGTCAGAAGCGGGCTATTCGGAGCCTCGATGGCATGCACTCTGTAGGCGAATTTGACCCCGGTAGCTCCCTCGTTTCCCGGTATGGTCACCGCTTGCGCCATCTCCACAAGGGAGGGGGCCAGGGAAGACATGTGTAGCAGCGGGGGTGCGTAGTGAAAGTGAGGGGACGGGCCAGACCCGAGGCTCGTCGCCGCAATGAGAGGGAATGCTGGGGCTGCTGGGGCTACTGGATGCTGTAGCATGACCAAACTAGAGGTGACTCCCTGGGCTGCCTCCTGCGAGTCGCTGCTACGCATAGGGTCCAGTAGCTGGAACGCCTTTACTCGAGGTGGACGGCTCGGGTCTGGCTCAAGGGACTTGAGACTGGACGTCTTGCCGATGCAGAAGCGATAGATGGGCTCGCCCAGCTGGAACGCCGCCACGGCCGACGTCATGATGCCGTCGGTGAAGTCGTCCGGCATCTTGTTGCGGAGAACGTCCAGGACGTCCTGGGCCCAGGCGTCGACGAGGAGGAATCGGGCATCGCCTTGGTCCCCCCAAAGGAAGATGGGCGGCCCAGCCTCGCCCGAAGATCCAGATGCTTCATGGCGGCGCTCCGTTGTCCTCTCGGGCAGCGTCCTCTCGGGCAGCTTGCCCGGAAAGTCGTACTCGTCCCTCGTGACCGTGTAGGTGCGCCTATACTTCGTCTTGAGCGAGTCGGGCGTGAGCGTATTGCACAGCGCAAATGTCTGCTGATGCGGCGGCTGCGTGATGGCCAGGACGGGCATCTCGTCGTCCTTGCCGGGGACCCTGTCGAAGAGACACAGGAGCAGCCCGTCGCCAATCATCTCTTGTCTGAGGATCGCCACTCTTCCTGCCTCTGGGGCGTTTTCCGGAATGGGCGCCTCGATCTTGAGGTCGGGGAAGCGGGAGACCAAGACGGATCTCAGAAGCATCCCGTACGTCGGTATCTGGGGCCTGAATCCCGTGGCCGGGTCTGTCGTCTGGAGATACGTGTTGATGGCCCCTTTGATCCTCCGGCGGATGTAGCTGTCCTTTTTATCCATGTGGCTCCCGAGGCTGAGGGCGCCGTCGATGAGAGCATCGAGCCAGTTGGCATCAATGTGGAAGAACCGGATGCTCTCCTGGGGCAGGAAGCTCGGGTCGGCGAGGAGGTAGGGCGGCGGCACACCAAAGAGATGCATGCGGTCCATGATCCAGCCGAGTATAATTTTCCACTCGGTCGAGACGCACGCGTTGAGCTCGTTGTAGAAGCGCTGCCCATCTGGACCGTCCGAGTATTCCTTGCCGTCGTCGTTTTTGGCCCCGGCAAGCCGTCGAATATACCTCTTGGCTCGTTCCTCGCTCTTCTCGAGGATCGCGGCATCGTCGACTGCCAGCGCAATGACTTGTTTCTTCAACGGGCGTCGAGCAGCCGGCATGCCTCGGGGCTGCGCGTCTTTACCCTGACGGTCTTCCGTCGAGAGTCTCTGGATCTTGCTCAGGGTCATCATGGACGTCTTGAGAGACTGCAAAACCTCGGTTCTGCTCTTGAAGGCATTCTCCTCGTTAAGCTTGTCCCGCTTGGCACCGTCTAGACACATGCCGTATAAGCCGTTCCACAGCCGCGTCAGAGCCGTCGTGAAGGCGGCGTCGGCAAGGGCCAGCGACTTTCCCAACTGCCACGCGGCTGAGTACGTGATGTCCATCATGCCCGTATCGCGGTCCAGGATCTGTAGATCGCTTCCGCACTGCGACATGGCCGTCCATGTTGGCTCGGCTGGCATCACGGGCACGAGGGCAGCTCTGAAGTAGCAGCTCGTCTCCTCGCCCGTCCTCGTCCAATGACGCTGCATCGTGTATCCCTCCCTGACTCTCTTGGCAAGCTTCGCGACGAGCTTCGCGTCCTTTGACGCCTCCATCTTGGCAAGCAGGGCGTCTGGCGCTCTCAGGAGGCCGATGTCCTTGTCGAGGTTCGTAAACTCTGCCTTGAGACTGGTGCCGCCGGTTGGTAACGCCGTGTATGTCCAACTATACAGCGAAGACACGGCAACGCGCTGCGCTGTAGGCGGCAGCGGGAAGGCCATGTCCTTCCACCCTTCCAACGAGACAAGATGTACTACGGCGGGCACCTTTTGGTCCGCTTCGAGCGGCCCTGCCCTGTGCGACATGATGACGCTGAAAAGGCCTTCCTTGTACTGAGCCGAGGCCGTCATGCCGGCGGTCTTGACGTGGCGGACGTGGGCAAAGTACTTGAACCGCGAGATGTCGGCAGCTGCTTGCCCTTCCTTTGGAGACGGCCGGACAAGCTGCTTCCCGTCTTCGATAGGCTCTTTCTTTTGTTCGTAGGTGGTGATGAGCTGTTGGAACAGCTTTGGCTTCAGAAACACAGCTGCCGTCTTGCTGGCTGCGTCATCCGGCTGGGGGATGGGCGAGATGATGGAGCCCTGCCCGTTCAAGGCCGCGATGTCGGGTCCCGAGAGGTTCAGAGCAAATTCGGGACTCTGCTTGATCGTCGCAGGCTTCCCGTCGGCGTCCTTAGCCAGGCTCGTCACGGCAAAGGGCGAGTTACTCCCCCCCAGCACCTCGTCCGAGAGCTGCAACTCGTCCTGGCTGAAGACGAGCAGGGCGAGCCAGGGCATGCGCTCTCGTCGAGCCGCGTCGCCTTCCTCGATGCGCCTCTCCCAAGGCAAATGAGGATCCTTGAAGACGACGTGAGGCAGCGTCTCTGCGGGAGCGAGACCGCCCGGCGCGGGGTTGACCGACAGGACGCAGCCTTCTGGGAGTGAGAATTGCGGTGCCTGGACGAGAAACGACTTTGTCGTCTCCTTAGGACCCAGTTGGCCCTGCTTATCGGTCGCGCCGCTGGCATAGATGGTCTGCGTCGCCGTGATGCTTTGCTTCCCACCGTCGAGGCGCGGAGGGAAGTATGAATAGAGCTTCTGGTAGCCATCGTGGAGTGGTTTCAGCCCAGCCTCTTCTTCTTCGTCTTTCTCGTCTCCCTCGTTTTCCGTGGCGGCGGCGGTGAGCCCAGCTTGGCTAGCTATCTTCAGCGACGCCGAGACTGCAGCGGCTGCTGCAGCCCTCGACTTTGCGACTTGGTGAGCGTGTTGAAGCGTCAGGAAGCGAAGGCCTCCTGGGAGCGTGTCTTCAGTCTGTAGAGAGGCCATGATTCGGTGAGTGCCTGATCTTACTGACTGCCTCTTGCCTGGTTTCGGGGGCGGTCATCAAGAGGAGCCGGACCTCGTCACGCAGAACAACAGGCATCTGAAAGACGCACACCCAGGCTTGGTTGGCCATCCCCAAAGCGTGTTGAGACGCATCAAATAGTGTGGTGTTTGTCTCCACATGCCCAAACCGGTCGATGCGGGTTCATCACGTACGGATTCGTACCATCACATGTATATGCATCCGGGCTAAATATGTAGAGGGGTTACATCCACAGGGGTCCCGGTTCAGCTCGCCACTAGCATCATGTATATACAGGGGCTTCATATGCACAGGGCTCATATGCAGTGGCCCTGGTTCAGCCAGCCACAACTTGGTACTCCCCGGACTATTTTCTCCTGTCTCCATAGTCTTCCCCGTCCTGGTTTCTACCGTCAAGTCACTCGGATAGGATACCCGAGTCCAATAGCGTCCAAAGACCCGTAGGCTATACCATTGTGTAGGCAGTCAGTCGGGTAGTAGCATGATTCCACCAACCTGCTAAACTGTCTGTCTCCTCTGGCTCTTGTTGCAACAGTGCAATACGTTACACGGTGAGCGTCAACGAGTAGTAAGCATCAATGGCTACCCAAACCACGACGATTGTCGAATCCTTCCACATCAATGTTGGACTTGGTGATAGTGCCATCCATGTCCTGTGCCAGGCGGTCGGAAACCCTATAACCGAGCGAATAGCCACGTCGGCCGTACTGATAGACGGCGGGCTGGCACGAGACGCAGCGGCGCGGAATATTGCCAAGACAATCGAGGACATTGAGAAAACCTACAGCAACCTTGGCCCTACAAATCCGCTCCAGTTCCGCTCTATCGTCATAACGCACTGGGATGCGGATCACTGGAGGGGCATCAACCGGCTGCTCCAGCGGGAACTGGACGAAGGCGGGAAGTTTAAGGATGGCCGCTATCCCCGCTTCTACTATGATGGAGTTGGTACAAAGGGGTTTAAAACAACCGTGTACGCGCCCACCACGTGGGCTGGACCAAAGACGCAGAAGTCAGGCGAGGGTATTACCATCACGGGCAATAATAAGGAATGTTTCTTCTCCTTCAACGGCGTGAAGTTGGCAAATGCAATGGTGGGCTCCAGAATCATCGGATACGACTTCTTCACCAACGAAAAGCCGTCTGAATGGGTGTATTCTGATATCCGCAAATTCAAAGACCTGATAGGCGATAAACCAAAGCGCGAAGTGGGTATGTACTGTGTGGCCAGCGACCTCAACGTCATCGGCCTCGTGAAGCGGGAGCGAAGGACGGGCTTGGTACTCACAGATACCCTGTTCAACCAGCTGCCCACAAAGACGAACCAGCAGTCCATCGCCGCCATCATTCTCTGGAAAAACTGGCACGTCTCTCATTACTTTGCCGGCGACCTCGACTTCTGGGGCGAGGGTCTCATCGCGGAGTGGCTCGAGAAGAACCTCGTGCCCAACAAAACGCCCTATAACATCACCTGCGTCAAGTCGAGCCACCATGGCGCTCGAAACTCGAACCCTCCCAAACTGTATCTTGTCACCAAGCCCAGGCACGTCATCTTCTCCTCTGCGGACCACTACGGACATCCCGGTGAGTCATCTACATCTCCAACCCGTCTTTCCCGACACTGACAGTCCCTGGATCCAGCCTGGGAGACCTTGATGATGCTGTACGCCTTCTATACGGAACGAAAAATGATCGGCCCGGGGAAAGTGCCTCCATGCATTGTCACCTGCTACCCGTACTGGCTGCAAGCTATTCACGAGGCTGAAGGCCTGGACCCGAACAAGATCAATGTGGATGTCTTCTTACAGGAACCAGCGTTCAAGGAACTCTCGGCAGCGCGTCAGAAGCACGCTGAACACCTCAGGTTGTTGTTCAAACACCAATTCAAATCCATCGCAGACGCCGACAACATGGAGCTCTCCATCCGCGAGAGCTGCTTAAGACACGATAGCAAAGGCGAAGAGGCCATCTTTGAACAGATCGCCATCAACTTCGCCAGCATTGGGAACAGCCTCTTCCGAGATCTTTGGCAGTGGAACAACGCTGGTCAAACCACCACCGAGATCATATACGTGCGGCTGTCTCTGACCGACAGCATTGACGAAGAGAATAACCAGGTCAATTATGTGTGGAAAACGAGGCCGCTGGAAAATGACGACCAGATCGAGACTGTCTACTTCAGATCGGAAGTCGACGGCGACGACGAGGCGAAGCCTCCGAGCAACCTCAAGAAGCCGGTCGAAAGCTTAAGCAGCGACCAAATTTCGTTTGTACACGTGGTAATGGAGAGCGGGGAGATGCGTTTAATAAAAGACTCCAGGGATTTGCTCGGGAAGAGGGCGTTCGTTGAAGCAGAGAAGAAGAAGGAGAGGCCAGCCGCAAGTGCAGTAAAGTCTCACAAGAAGAAGACGAAGAAGAAGCCTGAAGAACAGTGGGGGGATTACCCTGAGATGGACAATCTCTTCACGATGCAGAGTGTCCAGCTTCCTCTTCTGGGCGCTTCAGTTGCCTCGACATCTGCCAGAGCATCGGTATCTGCCAGAGCATCGGTATCTGCCAAAGCATCCGTATCTGCCAAGGCGACCAATTCTGAGCCCGGCCGATACGCTTTCAGCATCTTAAGCAGCTCATATGAGGCAACTGTCGAAGCCAGGACTGACTCGCTCGACTATGCCGTCTTGGGCGTCGACGACTGGCTCGACGACTTTCTCTTATCGATGAAACCAAGCACCATGAGGCTCAAGTCGAGCCCCGAGGATGGATGGGCGCTTCTGCACGAAGATGACTACCTGGGGAACTGGATCCGGAAAGGCCTAGGCGGCTCCCAGATGGCCATCAACGGCCAAGGACCTGCGCTTCGCATCGAGACGGCTCAGGGGCTCATCTTCAACACCGAGGCGACCTCCAAGGCTCTGGGGACGAATGCTGTCGTCTCGAGTGACGGGCTCTCGCCGTGGACTCGAAACGGCACCATGATATTTGGCCTCGACTCTTCCGCGAGCCATCCAAGCGTCAGCAGCTGGTCCATCGGGGAGATTTTGTCCCTGTTCCCAACCGATCCCAGCGCCAACCCCCTGACGCGAACCATGGCCATTGTCAACGACGGCTTGCGTGGGCTGAGATGGGCCCTGGACCTTGCCACGTCGGACGGGAAACGCAACGCTGTCTGGGTGACCCCTATCGCGAGCTACCGCACGATCCTGCGCCTCGCCTTTGTCCCGGAAAAGGACAGCACTGCCGCCCTCTGCGGCTTCTTGGGCCACTTCTTTCCTTCGGGAGACAAGGACGACGAGGCCGTGTTCGACGTCTCCAACGTCCAGCTGATTCTCCGCAAAACGTGCACCCTCAGGGCCAAGAAGGGACGAGACACGGAGATGGTCACCGTCCAGTCCCTCACTCTGACCGCCGTCATGACGCTGCTGGGCCCCAAACCCGATGATCCGGCCATGGCCAGGGCAAAGGTCTCGCCAACCGTCAGCATCGAGCTCGCCAGCACGGGGGCTCTCGAGCTCACCATCAAGACGAGCAAGAGCGACGACAGCTTTACCTCCGTCGTGGGCGGATGGCTATCCAAGCTGTTCCCCATGGGCAACAGCAGCATGATGGACACGCTCCGCGACCAGAACATTAGCCAGAACATCTGGTTCCGCAGATTGACCATCGCGCTCAGCCCGGACAAGTCCATCTCCAAGGCATCGCTCGCTCTCGAGGTGAATGCCAAGCTAGGCCAGGGGGACAATCCGGCTAAGAATCTTCCCATCCTCTTCGAGGCAGAGTACGTAAACACGCCCGGGGGGGATAGCCAGTGGTCCCTATCTGGGAATCTATGGCTGCAGTCCAAACTGAACATCCCTCTATCCCTATACAGCGACTATGAAGAGTTTCGAAGCCTCAAACCGGTCACGCCAAATCCGGTCCCGGTCTTGGAGCTCACGACTCTCTTTTCCTCCATGGCTGGCGGCTCCAAGATTCCGGATCTTCCCCAGGGTATCCCCAACGCCATCACCGCAGCCGGCTTCCGCGTCGACAAAGAGTCTCTCTTTGTCAGCGGCACCATCACCGACTGTCGCCATATCGTCAGTGGAAGTAGTGCGCCTGCTCTCACCTTCAAGGAGCTCACCATGGAAGCAAGTTGGAACTGGAAGCAGGGGAAAGTGCAGGTCGATCTCTACTTTTGGCTCAGCTTGACCCTGCCTAGTTGGTACGACGCTCCCGAGGGCTGTGCAGCAAGCGCACTCACTGGCAGTGTCTCTTACGGATCAGGCGGGAAGTGGAGTGTCTCTGCTGAAGTTTTGGATTTGAATTTGGGTATGCTGTACGGCTTCTTCCCCGTCAGCGTCCAGGACACTCTCTTTGAGCTGCTCAAGGGCATACGTATTGTCAACCTGGGCGTCTCCTACTCTTCCGAAGGCGCCGGTCAGGGGACCGAGCTCTTATGCGAGGGGAGGTTGATGCTAGGAGATGTAGTGTCGCTGGGGTTGAGCTACACATGCCACGCCAATGGCGAGTGGGAGTTTTACGCGAGCCTCGGGTCAGAGGAAGACATCATCGAGCCGGTTACCCTGGGGCAGATCATGAACAGCCTCGTCGATTCTTCCGACACCAGCCTCAGCTCTAGCCTGCCAGACTTTCTAGCTGACACGGTGATTCTCGGTGGCGAGGACACGAAGCCCAAGCTTGAGTTTACCGTCAAGAAGGACGAGAAGACGGACAGCCCGAAGCTGACAGTGACGGCAAGCGTCATGGGGTTTGAGGTCGAGTTTGTCCAAATGAAACATGTCCCTCCGGCGGGTGGCTCGAGCGACAAGGAGGAGGAACCAGCTTCAGGGAAAAAGGCACCCAAGGTCTTGAGACTGTTCAAGGCGGTGCTGACCAAGATCCCCATGCCCCAAAGCGTTCCCATACTCGACCACTTGGAGCAGCCGTTTGACGAGCTCGGCTTCTTTTGGATAAACCAGGCCGTCACGAAGGAACAGCTCGCTGCCTTGGATGACAAGCTCGACATGCCGAGCCCCCCACCAACAGAGGGGTCAGGGGAAGCTTCGGGTACGAAGAAAGAGACTGCCATAGCCATGCTTGGTGGCTTCCATTTCGTCATCATTGCAAAGAACAAGGTGGTGTTGGACTATCCCCTTGGGAAGTCGGAGTCAGACGACAAGAAGAAGAAGCTTGGAGACTCAGACGATGAGCCCAAGGCACCAGAAGGCGGCGCCGTGGAGCCATCTGAGCCTCAGCCGCCCAACCCGGGCGACGAAAAGCCCAGCCAGTCGAGCAAGAGCGCTTACAAGAAGACGGCTGGTGGCCTCAGCATCAGTCAGATAGGCTTCCGCTACGAAGGGGACACGCTGGCCATCCTGATGGACGCAACCATCGCCTTTGGACCCGTGGCCCTGGACCTCATGGCTTTCACGCTCGGTCTGCGCTTCAAGGCGGCCGACGGGTCTGTCAAGAACCTCAAGAGCCTGAGCTGGCAAGACGTCGACGTCTCCATCAGCGGCGTAGGCGTCAAGTTTGACAAGGCGCCGTTGACGATAGCGGGAGCGTTCCTCCACGAAAAGTCAGGCGACAACGACTTGTACGCGGGGGGTCTACAGGTTGGCTTCACGCCCTGGCTCTTCCAGGCAGCCGGGTTCTACGGCGTCATCGGAAAGGAAGGCGATCTGAATCGCTTCAAGTGCCTCTTTGCCTATGCCATGCTCCGCGGGCCCATCATGAACATTGCCGGCTTTGCCGAGATCTCTGGCCTCACGGGTGCCTTTGGCTACAACGTCGACCTGACGCTGCCGACCTTGAGCAATATATCGACCTTTCCGCTTCTCAGCCCGTCCGACGAGGGGCTCGAGCCCAAGGATCTGGTGAGGACCTTGATCCCCGGGGATGGCCAACGCGGGCCCTTCTTCAACCCCCTCGACGGCGCCATGTTCGTCGCGGCCGGCCTCACCGTGACGGCCTTCCAGATGCTTGAGATGAGGGCCGTCATAGCCCTACAGTGGAGTCCTCGAGTCCAGCTGGCCCTGCTCGGCCTCGCCAAGTGCGACGTGCCGTCCATCAAGTCGGAAGTCAAGTTCGCCCACATCGAGCTCGGCATCCTGGCCACCGTCGACTTGGACGCGAGCATCATGAAGGTCGAGGCCCAGCTCTCGCCCAACTCGTGGATCATCCACAAGAACTGCCACCTCACCGGCGGCTTCGCCCTGTACTACTGGTTCGGGGCTGGCCAGACCGACTGGGTCATGACCATCGGCGGCTACCACGCTGCCTTTGCCGTGCCGGCGCACTATCCTCGTCCGGACCGCCTCCGAATCAGCTGGGCCCTTAACAGCTCCCTCAGCGTCTCGGGCGAGGCCTACTTCGCCATCACGCCCAAGGTATGCATGGGTGGGCTTCGCATCAGGGCCGCCCTCTCTGTCGGCGCCCTGTACGCTTGGTTCGACGCGGCCGCCGACTTCCTCATGAACTACGCGCCCTTCCACTTCACCGCCGAGGTCAAGGTCTCGGTCGGCGTGCGCTACTCGATGAACGTCTGGTTCGTCACCGTCCACATCGCCATCGAGGTCGCCGCCCGCCTTGCCCTCATGGGTCCGCCCCTGCAAGGCATCGTCCACGTCGACTTCTGGGTCTTTGGCTTTGACATCGCCTTTGGAGATAAAGACGGAGCTGCTCTGCCAGAGCCCGCCTCGTCCGTTGAGTTCTGGGACTTGGTCACCCAGGCCGAGGGCAAATCTGCCGCCGGGACAAAGGATGCTCACTTGTTCTCGTGCACAAAGGGTCTCGTGATAGAGAACAAGAAAGACATCAAAGCCTCTGACCCCTGGCTTGTCCGAAGTGGTGTGTTCAGCTTTACCATTGAGTGTCAGTACGCGATAAAGTCGGTCACCGTCAACGACGGAACGGCCAAACTCCCCGAGGGTATCGCCATCGACGAGATCCACGCCAAACCGATGCGTCTCAGCAACGCCATAGATTCGACCCTCTCTGTGCTCATCAGTGGCGCTGGAAACTTCAAAAGTGTAGGGTGGAAGGCCAAGGCCGCGTGGAAAGATGTGCCCAAGGCTCTTTGGGGACCATGTACGTTTGACAAAGACTCCATTCGTGCTCTACTCCCGAGCCATGTCCAGCTAACAAACAAAACAGACAAGGAATCTGAAGACCCCAATGCTGCCCGCCCCGGGAGTGACTTCTCCAAACTACTCAATAGCGGAGATAGCATGGCGCGGCTGTTGATGGGCGTCGTCATTGAGGCGCCCGTTGCAAAAGTCTCCCTGGACGAGATGCCTGCGTACCGCGTCGACCAGGCCATGAAACAGAACATCTACAAGCCTGACGAAGAGCCGCAGTTTCGTCCAAACGAGGACGAGAGCCCAGACTTTGCGCCTCTGCCGCGTGACTCAAAAGTAAGCGCCTGGGAGGCTCTCGAGGCAGCCTGGAAGAATTCGCCTGCTCCGCAGTCCGCCGTGGATATATGGCAGAAGGCTTTCAATATGACGGGACTTGTTGGAACTAAACCAAATGACCTTATTACTAACAACAAGGTATTATTCTTGTCTGCTCCATTGCTTGGGAAAGTTTAAGAGAGTGTAAACTAGTAATAGGTTTTAACATATTTCAGAACGTAAACTACTTAATGAGAGGTTGAGTTAAATTTAAAATTAAAATAGAAAATTTAAAGGTTTATGTTAAAATAATGACGAGATAAATAGAATAAAGATTGCTGTTTTCAATTAGCTTTTATTAACATTTTAATATAACTATACTAAAAAAAGCTAAATTATATTCTAATAGAGTTAGAATGTCGTCTGTGTGTAGACAGCACTCCAATTAACTCTGCTCTTGTTGTGTGGACTTCTCAGGCACGCTCAGGGGATGCTTAGGGGATGCTCACGCCGTAAGCAGGAGGCCATCCTAGCGAGGAAATTTTGCACCGCAAGTTTGGGAATGTAGGTACTGTACTATTGTCTGTTATCTACCTAATCAGCGAGCTTAATAGAGATACCAATTCCATGGGTACTGGCCTCCGGGCCATGCACGGCATTGTAGAACTCCGATTTGCTATTTGGCTGAGAAGCCGAACAGCGCCGCAATGGTGAAATAGCTCCTCGAGTAGAACTGACCCAATTACCAGGAAACAGAGCAGTTTCGATGCTGAGGTGTGGCCAGGGCTCAAATGTACTACAAGAACCTGGAAATGCTACGGGAATGGGAGAAGCCACATGAGCTCGGCTGATAAGGGTTACCGGGATGTTGGCCTGTAGAACGGGCATGCTCGATTTCTCAAGATAGAAAGCAGAACAATAAAGCAAGTTTCTTCCATTCCCTTCTACGAATTATGCCGCATGCACACCCGAGAAATCATCGCGTAACCACGCTAGTCCAGTACATCCGTCACTCACGTTTTCCGACGTGAAAGGAACCGCAGTACCTGCACATGTAGCCATAAATCCTCGTAGAACACAATCTAGTCCTCTGGAAACATAAAATGGAGGAAGTACTGTATACGGACATCATGTGTACGGTTGGATCATCCAAATATGGCTGGCAAAGCGTTCAATTCCGGACCCCACAATTATTCTAGGTACAATGTGAATAAGTCGAAATTATACCCGAGCCAGGGCCGACCATAGCCATGACACAATGATGAGGGATGAACTGATTACCCCTCTTCTGCGGCATATATATTCTCTGCCACATCTTCTAGACTGCGCGGTTTTCTCTTTCTCCTCTTCCATCACTCGCAACAATCGCACAAACAAGAAAATTCTCATCAAAACCACCAAATCACCTTGAACAAGTAAAGGTTTGTCCCATGACGGTGAGCGCAGTGTCGGCGCTGACGCCTGTAACACCTCTAGATTCAATATCCCCAACCGGTACGGGTTTCTCGTCGAGGAGTCGCAATCATGGAGCCTTTCGGTGGTGTGTTATCCAAAAATGATCTGAATCATTCAGGTAATGTAACTTGCGTGAGCCGGTGCCCGCTCTTCTTGTCCTTGGTCAATGCCTCCTGCTCCAGCAGAACAGGGAGCATTGACTGAGGACAGGGAGGGTGTGGCTGAGAATATACGGCCCTGAACTTGATCTGGATAATACCAGCGAAAGGATCATGCTCTCCTCCCCCTTTGGATTGAAGACCCTAACACACCTAGGTCCAACATGACTCCCCCAGCTGCCACCTCGCCTACCTCGCGCTCTGCCGAGCTTGCGACCCCTACAACCAAGCTACCCCTGAACATTGGCTCCAAGACCAAGACGGTCGATGAAATGATGGGTCAGTGGGACAACTTCAAGTTCGCCCCCATCCGCGAGAGCCAGGTCTCGCGGGCCATGACTCGCCGCTACTTCCAGGACCTGGACCAGTACGCCGAGTCTGACATCGTCATCATTGGCGCTGGCTCTTGCGGTCTCAGCGCTGCCTATGTCCTCGGCAAGAAACGCCCGGACCTGAAGATTGCCATAATCGAGGCCTCCGTGTCCCCTGGTGGCGGTGCCTGGTTGGGCGGACAGCTCTTCTCGGCCATGATCATGCGAAAGCCTGCTGATGCCTTCCTCCGTGAGGTCGGTGTTCCCTACGAAGATGAGGGCAACTATGTCGTGGTCAAGCATGCCGCGCTCTTCACCTCGACCATCATGTCCCAGGTCCTCCAGCTTCCCAATGTCAAGCTGTTCAACGCCACCTGCGTCGAGGACCTCATGACTCGCCCGTCTGATGAAGGAGTCCGCATCTCTGGTGTCGTGACCAACTGGACTCTCGTATCCATGCACCACGACGACCAGTCCTGCATGGATCCCAACACCATCAATGCTCCTCTCGTCGTCTCTACCACTGGCCACGATGGCCCCATGGGAGCTTTCTCTGTCAAGCGCCTTGTGAGCATGCAGCGCATCGAAAAGCTCGGAGGCATGCGTGGCCTCGACATGAACACCGCCGAAGATGCCATTGTCAAGAACACCCGTGAGATTGTTCCTGGTCTGATCGTTGGTGGTATGGAACTCTCTGAAGTCGATGGAGCCAACCGCATGGGTAAGTTGAAACTATTAGTTCTGTCAGTGACGAATGCCAGTAGCTAACATACCAAAGGTCCAACCTTCGGTGCCATGGTCCTCAGTGGTGTCAAGGCTGCTGAAGAGGCTCTCAAGGTCTTTGACATCCGTAAGAAGCAGAACGCCTTCTAGTCTGACGACGATGAAGGCAAGTCAGTCAAATTGGATGATAAGCACGAAATTTAGGAGCCGATTCCACGTCACTCTTTTATCACATGGCTCTTTGTCGCTCATTGAGAGTCAGACTCTCGTCGTGTTGGCCAACCCCGAGAAAATGAAGTTGCAATCATGCTGGGAGAATTCACCGGGCCTCTAAGTCTACTCTCAGGACTACCATGCTCAGTATCTCAGTCTTTCAATAATGAACATGTTCCTCAGTGCTATTAGTTTCCACGATAGCCGTACTTTGTGAATCTGTCGAGATATTTGTGCTCTACACTATGACTTTTTAGGTTTTGCCGGCGACTCCTAGCCCATGTTTTTATGTAAGGGCAAAACCCCAAGCGTTGAACACAATGCAGCGTTTTTCTTTTCTTCTGGGATAGTCCCCTGCGTCCTGTTTGGTCCGGAAGATTATGACCACACTATGAATTAACCATTCCTTTATTTTCGGTCTCTGGGTCGTGACAAACCTTCGTGCAACTTCCTGTTGTTCAACTAGTTCGACCATCACACCTCTTGCATTATGGAAGGTGTCACCAGCCCGTGCTCCCGGCACCGTCCATAATACAGATCAAATCTTCTGAAAAGAGAAAGATGTCAACTTCAACCACGATATTCACGACACCGGGCAAGTACCACCGTTTCTATGGCCACGTGTCATAATGCTTGCAAGGAACGGCTCCTCAGTGACTTCATCGATCCAACCAGGCCATTGATTCCTCCAGATATTTAAAAGAGTATTACTATTCGCACACATGTATAAGCTCCTTCAGTAGAGCCTCAGCAGGACCAAGGTAATACTGTACAAATACCTAAAGGGTGGAATCCATACCGATCATTTTTATTAAATTAGATAACATAGATAAAATAAATAAATTATAAAAAATTAAAAAATTAGCCTTCGACAAGTCTAATTTATTAAATTAATTTATGAAAATAACAGATAATTAGTAGTAAGGTTAAGATGTGGATATATATGCAAATAGCAATACTTATTGAAAATATATATATGTTCTTGCCGGTTCTGGAGATTTCATCAACGTTTGGACCCAACGCAATGGGGATATTTTCCGCTGGACTCTATCTACTATATTGTTATTCTTAGCCAGGATGCAGTATCACACCCGATTATAGCACGAAAATCCATGTGTACTTTGTGTATTCCAAACTATAGCTGATAGAAACAACGTCTCTATTTCTTTCGAATTAGTCACTGCAATTTTGACCACACAGGGCGAAGTCCTTAAGTCTCTACGCCTTCTGGTGATGGTGTGCTCTTATGGTTATACTACACTCTGGATGATCAATGCTATGTGAACGACTTTCCCTACGGAGCAAAGAAACTCGGTCCATTTCGGTGATATTAGGTGATATTTCATAACAAGAGCAGACACCGAAGAAGATAAACGGCAGTGAAACGAGACAAAATTCGTCTGGTTCCATCTTTCCTTTGATATCATGTTGTAATTTCAGGTACGTAAGTGTATCTTTGCTTCGCCTATCGTGCTTTAAAATGGAGACTGCTATATACACTGCCAAGAACCCAAAGGCGTTGATGACTTCTGAAAATTCTGTTGAGGTGAAGAAGCGCATGACAGAGACTTCTTTGGGAAAACTCGCGTCCTGTGATTCATCTGCCTGTTGTATTATGCCGAGTCTCTCCGTTTTGGTGGTCCTTGCAGAAAGGCATCACTTACCGAACCTATCATATCGATATGCTAAATATCATCATCCCAAATCATAAGGATCCTCAACAATACCATTATCTGGGCAAATTAGACCGCCTGCCGAAAATTGTAAGACACCGGTGAGCTTTGGCTGAGACCGCAGTACCTTGATCTACCTGCGCGGTAGTGATCTGCAGCTTCTCTCACACCGACATACGTGTAGGCTTGATTTCCTGAAGCCTCGTACCCTGGCTTGCCGAGAGCATCGTCGATTGAATCCTCGGGGAAACGTGGCTCTCGAACGCCACAGTTGTCAAAGCGGGAGCCAGATTAATACAAATACTCTGAATACTAGCGATACAATGACTCGCTAGAGTATCCACACCGGTCAGGTTCAAAACGCCATGGCACGGGACAAGAGGCTTTGTCGATCCAGTTCAAAAACTTGCGTAGTCTCTCCTTTGGGGCCACAGAAAGGTACCAACTAATCACAGAACCGCCTGCATCACAATGGCTGGTATGTCTTAGACTCGACGACTCACGCGAGAAAAAAAAGCCCCCGAGACCACCAGCGCACGACAGCGACTATCAATCACGGCGACGGGCTACGGCGGGTGTCTGATGAGGGGATTTCTCCGACCGGGGCGGGTTCCAGACCGTAACGCGCACCACGCATCAGCTGTTGTGACGTTTCTGGACGATTTGTCTCAGTTGCTGGCCATGGAAGCGTCTGGCAAAAGTTGACGCCACTCCTGTGTCTCTCTTGAGCGGGCCGTCGAATGGCGGTGATGATCCCAACGTGCCTCTCGGTGAAGTCGTGGGGTGGCGTAGAGGTTCTGATCGACGGATTGCCCACGGCACATCGAGATGCCTTGAGCACAACGATCCCCCACCAGATTGCCAGCGATTGAGTCTAGTCCATCACGCGGCATGTCGTCTTGTTCGTTGCCGCAAGTCAATGCTCTGGCGATGTCTCACGGCTAGTTCGTCCGAAGCCGCCGAGGCGCAGAGCGGTTAGCAACCGAGCCTACTATCACGCAGTTGCCTTACGCCACGGGGGGGAACAGCGCCTATCGCTTAGCCACGCCTGACAATAACGGCCTTATTCGGGCTTCCGATGAGTTATCGCCGTAAACTCGCAGGTTCATGTGGCTGGTCGGCCAAGGGTCAGCCACTCCAAACCCAGATCTTGCACCCCGGTTGACACTCCCGTGTCTCACCAACCTCCACTGCCGGCCATAAGGCAAGACACGGCCTTACAGTGTCGTCTCCGCTGCAACGGGCCCCGAAAACCCTCGCGCTGATCCCGCCGGGGCCCCTGGGAGTCGCTGGGACTCTCCTACAGCTCCTACAGCTCTTATAGCCCCCACGCGGAATCCTACCCGCCACCGTCTGGCATGGGGCTAAACCTGGCCCTGGCCTGAGCCACATGGCCGCTGGGAGCCTATTGTAGCGCCTCACCTGAGCACCCTGAGCCCAGCCGCTCTCCGGTTCAGCATCGACAGGTTATAGCCGTTAGTGTCCGGTGGGAGTTCGCCGGTCCTCCGGGAGGTGCTCCGGGTCGGCGTTAACTGAACGGGGCTGAACCGCTGAACCGCTGAACCGCTGCACCTTTGACATTTGACAGCTGGGCAGGGGTCTGCCGCCCCCGGTGAGCGATCAGCGCGTCATGCGAAATTGCCAGGGTGCCCACTACGGATCGACGGTGGCCAGTGACTGCCTCCAGAAGCCCGCCAAGAAGCTGATAGGGCGCTACCTGTTGTGCAGGGAGCTACGCGGAAGTAGAGTTCAGAGCGACAGGTTGCTTTTGCAAAAGGTCGCCGTTTGGGGTTGGTTGTCCAGAGCCACCTTGCTTTTTGAGAAGCATCCAGACGCCCAGAAGCGTCGTAGTCGCACCCTGGGACGAGGAGCGCTCAGGCCGCCGTTTGTGATGCTCGTACGAAGTAGCTCAGCCAGGGTGCCGAGTCACGAGCGCGAGCAGCCAAAGAGCGGCCGAGTTGGACGTTGCACATCTGCACGGGGATGCAGGTCGAGGGACGGACTGGTCGGCTGGACTGCTGGAGGACAATCCTGGTACAGAGCACACATCACCGCCATCACATTTCAGAATTGTTGGGCCCGGCGCCCAGCCTCGGCTCGACCGCTTGCATCATACGAGCCGCCGGTGCGTCCCTTGCCTGTCCGTGGCCGTGGATCCATCGCGACCCTTCTCCCGGTGCCTCGACGCCCTGGCCTGGATTGGCTGTCGCAAATGCAATCGCGGTGCATGCAAGGGCACCGTCGTGTTAGCGGGTATCGAAGGAATGAGAAATATGACCATTTGCGGGTACGAGTACCTTGCAGGAGAGCGCTCCGTCACTTGCAGACTGCAGTCGCAATTGCTGGTCACCGGCATCGTATGTCCGTGGCTGTCAATCAATGCTGGGCTCTGTAGTCACGATGACGACACATAGCACCGCTGTTCTCGGGGGATCGTCGGTATGCGTTCGTCTGTTATCCCAGCTGGAAGGATTCGTATCCAGGCTTGTTGCGTGCTGTGCCCATTTCCCGTCGCCGCATTCCGGGTGAATTGAAAACGTACAAATCCGCAGGGTGGGACCTCAGGCCGGTGGCATGGATATCCCGACTCGGGGAGCCCGGCAGTCTCGCAGATATCGGCATCTCAGCGGAGAATATGCAGGAAATCATGGCTCCATTCTAGAATTGTTTTTCTTTTTTTTGGTATTGAAGGCGAAAGAAAGTCTCCGCGACCTCTCCACATTATCCCTCTGTTACCACCTTGTGTCGTCTCAGAGTTGGGATGACTGTCCAGGCAGTTTTGGACCCTTACAGTAGTTTCTCATGGAAAACCCTTGAGGTAAACGACGTGTCAGCATCGGTAAGAATCCTAGTTATCAGATCAGCATGGGTGGGTGGCTTCAATGCATGCAGGGTTGCGTACACCCGCTCATTCAAGATCAGCTCCTCGACCCAACGAACCGCTAGAAGTGAAACTCTTGGGGTTGTTTTCAATCACGCTGACGCTTAGACGTAACAGGACATTCGAGTTTGAGATCACATCAGCCTGAACGTACGAACTCTATTATTTAGAGAGGTCCTTTGTAGTATAGAATTGAGCGAAAGCAGCTTGGCATCGGTCTAGGGTAGCAGACGCGGATGCACAGTGACTAAATCGGAGGGGAATGCGACTCCAGGGTGCTACCTCAACTGTGTACACACCTCAACTCGGCGAGAAAAAGCTCTCGGCCAGTCATCGACGTCCAGGATTTGCTTTTTCCTAGGCTAAGAGGACCCGCGCACTCTCCGAATGACATCGGCCGGACTGACTCGACAAAAAGGTGCATCGGGTGGGTGGTCACTGTTGCGGTGTGAGAATCTATTAATCCAAATACTAACTTTGGTGCGGCCTGTCGCACAATATAGCGATCGACGAACCGCTACCAAGTTGGCAACTAGACGACGTCCGAAGAATATCGCACCCAGAGGTTGGTGGATTGAACGGGGCGGACTAGTTGCCATCCCTTGCTTGTCGGCTGTCACTATCCCCCAAGGCCGACGGCTTCGAAGACTATCGAAACGCTTGGGGTAACCTCACCGGACGGCCAAATTACCAAGCGGGTTCGTCCAAGCGGGTTCGGTCAGGCCCTCTACGCTCTCACGACCAGGATGTGGTCCCCAATGCCCGGGTTTCTGCGTGCAACTGTGGCGAAGCTTCCACGCCTCGGCGGGTCAGAGCCCGTCCCGTCCCATCTCTAGTGTGGAAAAAGGGGACAATCGCTCTGTCCCCGTCGGGGGCCACGCTTCCTCCCTGTCTGGCCGTGGGCTTGCCGGCGGGAATCTGCAGATCTGGCGGACAGGGGACCAGGGCTGGCCATCTTATTTAGCAACTCCAGATCTGTGGAGGTGCATTCCTGGCCCTTGCTAGCTGCGTAGTGGGGGGAGGGCCTCGCCATGTATGTACGTGCGCTCCATTCGCAGACGGCGGCACCGGAGCACCAGATCCATCGACTGCTTGGCTGCACAGTTGACCTCGTAATCGTCTTTTTTGTTCTAGGCCGGGATGCAGATCTTGACGCGAAGTTTCTTTTCTTTATTTTAAATGCTACCGTCATCGTTCTGCCTGCCACGTGGGCTCAATCGTCGTGAGGTACTCCTGGTTGAGCAGACCAAGCGACATCCATCGCCGAACTGGAGCCACGCCCTCTGTACGTGGTGCCTACCGCCTTGCCTTTCGTCTGCCGAGCTCAGGAATATCGTGCAACGACGACTCGGCTGAACTGAGTGGGTGGCTGCAGGATGGCGGGGTGTGCAGTTAATCCAAGTGATATAGTCAGGCCAGCGGAGCCGGGATCTGGATCTCACACCTGGCCCTCTGCCTCACCGGCACGGGATGTGACATGGTTTGACCAATGAGTTGCAGTCGGGATGGCCGAAAGCCCATGACGCAAGGCGGCGTAACTGGCCCTTGACACTGGTAAAGTGTTTCATTTTTCCAAAAGTTACGTTTCGTTGTAACGACAACTTGCTTTTTTCGGAACTCTTTCCTGTCGAACATTGAAGGGGATGGGCTGGCGGTACACATCACCCATATTGAGTAGTAGGTCGGTGTAGACAGGATGGATTCGCTCACGATACATGATGATTTGCACGACCAAACCATTGCGCCTCGATCTAGCCATATCCTTGTCATGGGTCACACTGCCTCGAGGCCGTGAGATGTGCACCGACCGGGGCGAGACGAACTGCTTCCGGCTCAGACTGGTCACCCAGCACACTGTTATACGGGCCTTTTTGTTGCTGCAGGATCGAGGTCAACGTTGGGGACGAGATGAGGTAGCGTGAAGTGCCCGGTAGTTGCAACCACAACGTTGGCATTGCGGTTTCTTGAAGGTCTGACGACGACGTGCGCTCGCGATGCAGAATAGGTCTCATGCACCAGGCATGCACCGGGGTCTTGTACGTACGAAGTTGGTGCATGCCGATCCGGTCTAGGGCCCGGTAGCTTCTCATCGTGCATGCGCCCTGAAACGACGACGGCTGGAGTGATGAGCGGTCAAGTGAGTGTTTGGCGCCAAGACGATGGTGATGGCATCGTATTGGTCGTCGCGGACATTTGGCATGCCGCAGAACGTCGTCGAACTGCCATCTGCAGCTCTGATAGCGATGTTGGCATGCAAGGTGAAGGCTCAGCCAGAGGGAAAAAGGGCGCTTGCCCATCCCCATCGCTCTTTGCATCCCAACAAAGTCACGATTGGCCATGAGTTTCGTTGCAGTCCACTTGGCCGTCACACGGCTGGTCCAGCCGTTGGACTTGGACTCCTTGTCTTTCAGCGTGCGTTGCGGAGGGGTCGTGGTTACACTGGCCTCAATCAGGCCACCAACCAATTACCAACGTAGGATGCGGGGGATCCTCTTTTCTCGAGCATTCGTGCCGCCTGTCCATCATTGCAACCTCAGTGGCCAGATCTCGAGGTATGTGTAGAAGCAAGAGGCGGTCGAGGCAGGCCCCGCACGGGGCATTGGGTTTGCTCCGGGAGTTTGGAATCTTCACCCGGTGATTGGGCAAACAGAAAAGGGTGTGTGGTTGGGATCGTTTGGCGGTAGGGCCGTGGTGGTGATGGATGCATCGGGGGTGCGTTTGTGAGGGCGGGCGGACAGAGGCGATGCTGATGCTGAGTCTTCTCGAAACATACAGTCTAGGGATACGAATAAGTACAGTAGATGGAGATTTGAGGCAGATTTGAGGCGAGGCCGATTCTGGCTCGTGTGACGAGATTTAGTGCCTCCCTCATTAGAAGTTGAAACAACTCTAAATCTACCTACGGGACCGAAAACGGATCTTCCCTGGAAGGCGCAGGACTTTCCTCCGTGTTGAAGTGGGATGCATTCCTTAGGCCTCAATGCTTCTGCCCCTCGCCGCCTTTTTGCAGCTGCATCTCATTACGCGCGTCCAAGGCACAGACGGAGCAGACGCACCGTCAATGGCAGCATACGCCCAGCACGCGTTGAGGTGCATCTGAACCACGCCCTGAGATCCTGCAGGAATCCGGAAACGGGGGTTTGTCGCGAAGCCTCTGGGCCCGAGATCCAGGTCGCCAAAGACGCCAGGACGCAGGACGCCAGAACGCCAGAATGCAAGCCGACCGCAAGCCGTCACCGCAAGCCGACCGGCCAGACGCAAGGTACCCAGGGCAGGCTATGCTCGCGGCATCGCATCAGCGGGCTTGCCTCTCCCATCACAGTCGCACCAGCCCACTCGAGGCCTGGACGGGACGCAAGGCGCAAGACGCAAGACGCAAGACGCGCCGATCTAGATGGGCTCGCGGCGTGGGCTTCCGACCCGGCATGGCGGTGCGACACCAAGCAGCCCGTCCCATTGGAACCCTCGACGACGAACGCACAAACGCACGGTCGGGTGTCACCGCAACAGGGCGCTCGCGCGGTGTGATCTGGGCCTCTGGCTGGGCCTCTGGCTGGGCCTCTGGCAACTGGCTGAACGCGAGCAGGGTTAGGCAAGGCGCGAGATCTGCGAGGTGCGAGGTGCGTGCCACCTGACGTGCATGATCTCGAAGAGTCACCAGCCTCGCCGTGGCCAGTCGTTGCTCGCTTGTATCACCTCTTGCAGGTCCACAGCCTGTGTGGGTGGCCACGCACGGCCTGTACGAGAGTCGTTGGCTGAATTCTGGATTCCGCTGTGGGAAGCAGAAGCAAAATGGACCCGTGAAGGGATCATTCGATGGACACCGTCACCACCACCGAATCTCGGTCGGGAACGCTGATTCGCCGTCGGATGCGCCTCAACAACCCTTCACCGATTCCTCAGTGGGCTACTGCTACAACCAATGCTCTCGTCGAAACGAAACAGGCGCACACACGACCAGCCGTGAGAGCTGCTCGGCATGATCCGAACTGCGACGGTGGCTGCAGGGCCTGCGCAACCATCCTGCCATACCCGCCCTCGTGGGTTCTTGGACACTGGTCTCGGCAAAAAAAAAAAATTCAGCCCAGCCAGTTGTGCTGCCATGGGAAACGACTGGGACTTTGTGTGAATTTCAACCGCATGGACGCGCGAGACTTTCCTGAACTCAAGAGCGGCTCGCAGTGAGCAGTGAGCGCTAGCGGGCCATGAGCCAGGCCAGGACAGCCCCGAAGTCGGCATGATCCTTCAAAACCCTCTGGAACCTAAGCCTGATGGAAGACTCCAAAGATGGGAATTGTGTTGGTGGGCCTCGCCTGACCTCACATTGGTTTGGAGGGGTGCTGAAACAGGCATCAAAACAAGACCAACCGGGAGGTTCAAAATCCATTCCTTCATCAGGACCTCATGGCATCCACCCCGCAACCGACTTAAACGCACTTATCCCACAGTTCGGCGCCCATTTACTTCGTCTGTGGTTGAGACATGCACGTGTCGTGCGTCCAGGACAGACAACTCCGTCCGCCACTGGAATGAACAACCTTGGGACGTTTCGTCGCAGCTCCAACGGACTGTCCCCATCGTGCCGGGCCCATGATCCAGGGCAGGATCTAACACAAGTGACGCGACCGAACCTGTGTGCCGGGACGGCGTTTCGCATGCTGAAGAAGCATGTGTGCCACTGAACCGACGGACGGCTGCGTGGGTGAAGGGTGCAACCAAGAGTGAGGTTGGACGAAGCATGTCGTGGGACAGTGATCAAGCGAGATTATTGGAAACGGATCGCTGCATTCTGTGTGGTTTCTAAAGCCGCCGCTCGAGTAAAACCAAACTTCGCACGAGGGATGCATGGAATTGATATTGAGACTCGAGTTGGGCCTCACGTCCACGAGGGCCAAGGTGGGTTGGGATTTTGGCGAGGAGCGGGACAACGCTTCTGCCAGTGCTTTGGCGAACCAAGCAAGCGGCGGTGAATACCCCCCCCCAGTTCGGCTCTGCGATTGACTCGGGTATCTGCTTTATCTCTTCAAGACTTTGGGACTAGGCATTGGGATCTTACTTGCTCGCTGACCAGTGACACTCTCGACAAGCAAGTCTGGTTGGCCAAGTGCAAGACGGAAGACCCTGGATCCTTGTCCGGAACCATGCCGAAAGAAAACCATCTAGTACGAGGGCCAGGATTGAGCACAGAGAAGATCGAGCTGCGAAACTGGGAGACGACTCGGCTGAGGCATGTTGGGACAGACGTGATTTGTGTCGTCGCATGTTTGCACGGAGATCGAAAGATGCAAATTGAAATGACATACTGGTGGTGGACGATCTAGGGGCTAGAGGGCTAGCGACTGCTAAGCACCAAGGTCCGCGTCAGTCCGGAGATCTAGAGGCAAGATACCGTCTCTGGGCAGTTGATCCGCCGACCTTGGGGTGTCACTGTTAACTCAAGTCGGTACAATCGCCGACGCAGCTCGAGGGGCCAAGGTCGCCAGCCCGCCAAAGTCGTAGTGTCGTCTCCATAAGTGCGGCCCGCGGCGCCCCATCCATGATGGACCTACGATGTCATGGCCAGGCTGCAGGAGCTTGCTCGAGTCTTCCATCCAGCGGCCCTGCTAGCCGAGCTAGGAGTCTGGGCGCTGCAGGCATTGACGATCCCCCCAAGCCGGACGGGGTCGACCCTGGCGACGGACGACCCTGGTCCCCTGCGTAGATCGCACACCCGCCCCCCCTCGAGCTTCAGTGTCTCTGCTCCCCGCGATCATGGCACCCCGACCCGATGGAACGCCAGGTAGGAGACTAGATACAGCGTCCGAGGGACATGCGAATGCGGCGCGAGATGCGATACGATGGCCTCCCGACCCTGAGGCCGCCTCCCCAGAGCCCGGCGGTCCCTCAGGAGCCGAGGTGGCGTGGTCGTAGAGGCTTTGTTCAACCGTATCGCATCGTTGTCTCCCACGCAGGCGCCCCGGCGACAGACGCAATTTGGCTAGGCGGCCGGGACACCTTCCACGAGCCACAGAGGGCCGCACAGCCAGATCGAGCCGCGTCGCTTGCTCAATCGGGCGGCAGGGGACAGGGCCAGGGGCATCCAAGGTCACCTCGATCTCTCGCGCCGCCGACAACTGGCGGGTCGGGTACCTGGGCAGTACGAAATCGAGCCCCTGGCCTGGCCGCATCGCGCAACGGAACCGCAAGCAGGGCCAATAATGAAGCCGATGTTCACGAAGAGAAGAGGACCCTTGGCGGAGCCAGTCTGCTCATGAGCGTTTGTCAATGACGGGCAGGTTGTATAAAATAACTGGCGTTCCCCACGCTGAAGAACATGCTCCCTCCCTGGTGGCTAGCCTGCACTCAATTGCCATAGTCGCGACCAGTTCGTGACGGCCATAGCAACCAATTCTCGACAAGATACCACGGCGACACGGCAAGCACCTTTGTACCAAAAGTACAAAGAAAAAAACAACCCGACTCACGACGACAACGTTTCTGCGAGCGTTCGAAGCGGATCCCGGGGGGCCAAACTTAGAGGGAGTCGAGGTGCAAGCGTCATCTGAGAGAGCTGTAAGGGTGAGACATGAGCGATGGCTCGCGTGAGTTAGGTCCGTTGCTGACAGCTGCGGGCAAGGAACGAGCGCCACACGTTCGGAAATCGAGGCAGGGCAAGACACCGCAAAACGAACGACAGCAGAGCTTGAGGGTGACGAGAAGTCCAGCGTGGTTTGATACGTGAGTAATGCATTTCCTTTTCGAGGCCATGGTGCCCCCTCTCTGTCATCATCCATCCATCATCTCCCCTCCTGCCGACCCACATGGGGGAGGCTGATCACCACCACCGTTCAATGACATTTTCCCTACCTCTCTTGTCCCGTCTAGCTGGCGTTACGCCTCTTTTGGTGAGGAGGTCTGTTCAAGAGGCCTGGATGACCACATAGCCACCACGGAGAAATCCGCCGTCCTGGTGTCCCACCCTTGCCGAGCAGTCTATTGACTGACGTTGATGGGCCAATCTGGAAATTTTGATGACTAGAGTTGCCGAGACTGGGGTTTGTGGCTAGCCTGAGCGGCGCTCTAGCATCCATCCATCCATCCATCCATCGGTTCTATGACACCAGCTCCCTCATTCTCCTCTCCTGTTCTCTCCCAGCCCAGTCGAGATCAGTTCATACCTCCCTCGAGAGTGCGTGCGGTGACGCCAGTGCTGCACCATCCGAAGATCGGCCTCTGATTAGTCGTCCCGTTCCTGTTTTCCCTTTTTTTCCTTTTTCCGTTCTTGGCTGGGTGTACCTCGAACCTCTCAAGTGGGAGTGGCTGCACAGGCGGGATGGACGGGGTTTGCAGCTGCTTGGCACAGCTAGCGGAGGGAGGCTGTACACACGGTGAACTGGGGGACCGAACGGATGTGTCCCCTGTCGCAGCACGGCAGAACGGGTGTCAGGACCAGGTCATGATTGACCGAGATGTTGCGTGCAGATGGGACGGGGAAAAGCAACGAGTGGCTGATTTGGAATGGAGTTGACAGATTTGACTCAGAAGAGTGCCGGGTTGAAGTGATCAGCGATCGTCCTTCCCTTGCCCTGGACTACTGGACTACTGGACGTACAGGACCCCCCTTGATCAACCGACTTTACCCTTTCAGGCCTGATCCCTGCTGGGCGAACGCGGAACCCCAGCTCTCCGAGCCCAAGACCCTCCCGGTCGAGCTGACGTCCACCCAAAGCGTCTGTCAACCCACCCCCTAGCTCCCTAGTTCCTCTGGGTGGTGGTGGTGTGTGTATCTCGAGCGGTGGTCCAGAGAAGCTGGACGCCGACCTCCAGGACGCAGACGCCCAGGAAACAGGGCCCTAGTAGGAGCGGCGAACTTGACGACGCGGTCTGCTGATTTGGCTGAATTTGGCGGGTTTTGGCATCTCGCGCGCACACCTTGCTCGCTCGTGCCCACCGATCATCCGCAGCAGATCAGATCAGTCAACACGGGAACTACTCCATCGCAATTTCGCCGTCTCCGGTGATGCAACAGAAAGTTCCCACGCAGACCGAACCCGACGACGGCCTCGCTGCGCAGTCATTTTAACCACGGTAAGTTCACGGCGGCTTCCCTTCCCTCCCCTTCCCCTCCCTCCCTTTCCTCTAGGCCCGGGTGCTCCACCGCCCGAGAGCTTGGCCAGCCTCCCTCCTCCCCCTCCCTTAAACGGTGGACGGCAGGCGGCAGGCGGCAGAGGCAGAAAGGCAAAGGACGGACGCAACGTTGGTGGAAACTCTCTCTCTCTCTCTCTGCCCAGCGTCGGTGTCAGTTGCTGGAGCTGCTGGACGCGAAGATGGAGACGGGAGGACGGAAGACGGGACGGGGCCCAGCACGGTTGGAACCGCGCGCTGGTTACTGGCCGTTAGTGGCCTCGCGGGCCCCCTTCGACCTCTCCGGCGCTCTTAGGGCGCTCTCTGGTCCACTGGGCTCCAGCACCAGCGGCCCCCTTCAGCGCCCTGGACGCTCTGGGCCACACCTGGGACCACCCTGGCCCAGCCAGCTGATCCCGCCTGCGCCGTGTGCCGCCATGCGTCCCCCCCCCTACCACCCGCTACCAAGTCCACTACCGGCACCCCTGCGCACCGCTATCGATCCCCGTCGCCGCGGGCCTCCAATCAGCGCTGACCGCCTACAGCCACCCCCCTCCGCCCGCCCCGATCGACTTACACGCGCATTACGCACTGCACTTGCATCGCACCGCACCGCACCGCACCAGGCACGTTAAAGCTGTTCGTTTTGTTTCGTCTTTGCACGTCCCCTTTTTAGCTTTTCCTTTTTTCGCTTTTCTTTGCTTTTTCTTCTTCTTTTTCTTGTCGAGCGTTTGGTTGGGTTGGGCGCCGGCTGAGGCTCGTCTGGCTCGTCCCACCAACGCTTTCTTCTGGCACCCACCCTCTTCGTCGTGTTGCGAGCCTGTTCCCCCCGCCGGTCCCCCGTGGACATGCCCGTCATAGCACATGTTCCCTCCAAAGGGGGTGTGTGGACAAGGTCCCCGAGTGTGTGTGTGCGTGTGTGCGTATGCTTGTGTGTCTCGTAGCCGCCAGCTCCACGGTGTGTGCCATGATCACATTGATGCCAGGGCTTGCGGCTTGAGGCATGACGAGGGGGGGGAAGAAGGGATACTCGCAACCCCACGAACACCGACATCCCCATCGGGGCCAACAACTTGGTGAGCTTCCAGGTCGGCCGTCTCCCGTGTTGGGGGGCTCTTCCCTTATCCTCATCCGTCACAAGTTCGCCGTGTCCACCATTCCCGAGCCCTGGATGCTCATGCCCCCTCCCTCCCCGCCACCCCTACACTACGGCATACATACTATGTAGTACATGGTGCTGCTCTCTGCCATCGCCCTTTACCCTTCACCCTTGCAGGCGACTCTGAGACACCTCGAAATCTGGCATTTCAACGGCCAAAGTGGTCGACCCTGGCCCTTCCCTCCCCTCCCCTCCCCTTCCCCCCTCCCTCCGTCCCTCCGATCCCTAGTTCGCCCTCCCCCAGATGCCACGCGCACCGGCCCCAGGGAATCGGCTGGCCGCCATGGGTTATGGCCGATGCGATCATTGCCGGACGGGGGGCTTGTTCGTCTCTCCCTCGTACCGGTCTCCTGTTCTACTGGTCTATCGGCTTTTGGCCTGGCTGTTGCGAGTGGGGTGGGCTCGACGGACAAGGATCCCACAAGCTTGACAGTATCAAGGCCCAAAAGCAACTAGACAAGAGCCCTCTCTCTCCCTTTCCTACCGCCCTGGCATTGCTTCCTCGCGTTTACACCCTCTGTCACCCATTTGCACTTGTTTTCCGTCCCAGCGAAGGGCTGGACGTCACCGACCGGGCTCCACTCCGTCCTTGTTCCGCTCCACTGGCCTGATCCCATCTCGTCTTTGCCCTGACCTCGTCCTCGTCCTCCCCGCCTCTCCGCCGTCCATCTGAATCACCACTATCGCCTCTTTGACGCAGGGCAGAGCATCGTGCATCACGCCGTCCCAACCTCAAAAAGAAATGCCCCCTCATGTTTCTCTTCTCTCATCTGCCTCCGACACCCCCATGAACCTTCCCGAGCGAGACTCTGACTTTGCCGAATCTCGCCAGCCTGGATCAACCAACACTACCCGCCCCAAACACTCCTCTACCCAAGCTCCGCTTTGTCTCTGTTTGTCTTCCCACCCCCCGGGCCATAGTCAGAACGCAACGCGTCTTCCGTCTTTTTTGGCAAACAGCCGTCTGAACGGGCCGCAGCGTCATCCGGCCTTTTTGATCAAGGGACATGAACTGATCATCATTTCCCGCCTACAGGTTCGGGATATTTGCAGACCAGTGCTTTGGATGGCTCCGGTGCTAGAACTTCCTCGACAGCTAGTTTCATCTCCCTTCTGGTGATCAAATCTCGAGCCAAGCTTGAGCTGCCACGTACGTCTCGTCTGCTTGCTTGATCCTCCTCGACGCAGGGGAAAAATCGTGCCGTTGCTGCACCCCCGAGCGGGCCTCCGGACGCCTCTCGGAGCTTCACGGCCAACCTGTTCCACCGTTGAGGATGCTCTCCGCTTCCTGATGTTGAGTGCTGACCGAGCTGCCAGGCTTCTTTGGGTTGCACTGCACGGCTTTCTTCAGCACACAATCCTGCACGTCTCCAGTCAGATTCCTCTTGCCGGAACTTGACCGCCCACCACCATCGCCGTTTGTTGTTCCTCCTCAACAGGCCTAACCAATGAGGCCGCATATGCCCCGGTAGCTCTGAACCCCCAATCCGCCGCGTCAAACTGCCCGCTACCCCAGTTGAGAAGCATCAGCCCACGCTGAAAAGCAACGCGGGCTGTAAAGGGCAATCTACCTCTCCCTTCTTGGAATGCAAGTGTCTCTGCTCTGGATCGGAACCGCCGCGCGCCCCTCTGAGCACCTCCCTCTTCGCCAGTAAGAATCCCGCCGTTCGCTCGGCTGTTTCACAACGCCACGCCAAAGTTGCAGAAGCAATTCAAGGGAGGAGACTGACAAGAGTGCCCAGCATATCAAGAGCGTCAGCTTGCACGTTAGTGTATGCGCCTTGCTAGATCAAATCTCCGAGAAGCAAAGCTTCCGACCAAAGGGACCCTCTTCCTGGCCGAGTGATCCCCGCCAAGTAAGACCTCGTCGAGACAAGTGTTTAACTACCTCGACCGCCTCTGTCCAAGACAGTGGTTTGCATTCTTCACCTCCTCTCCCTCAAAAACACATTTCCCACCGACTCCCCCTTCCCGACAGCTTGAATGTCTGCTGTCAAGTTCCAGTGTCTGCCCTACAAGCTTTTCGAGGTGAGTCGCAACCCAGACCCTGTTCCAACACTCGCGTGACAAGACCGACGTCTTCCTCGTCTCGCCTCGTCTCCCTCCATCTCCATCTGTTGTGTGTGTTTTCGTGGTGTGGACTTCCTTCCCTACTCAAAGACTATCGTTTCGAGACATCCCCAAGACTGACACCAAGGACCCTCACAGCCTGACTACCATCCCCAAAAGCCAATCATTGTTGGTGTGGACGACAGGCTCGAGTCGCCCGAGACGCTCACGCTTCGTTACGAAGAAGCTGCACGAGCAGCCAACGGGGGAGACCCACACGGGGACTCCCCGCCTCAGCTCTTAGAGATGGCGGCCTACAGAAAAGCGCAGCTGCCCTCGATGCATGGTGAGTTGATACCCTGTGGACGCTGTTTAGTGCGCTCGGTTTGGAGGCGTTTGGACTGGTGGTGATGCGCGGGTGAACAAGTGGTCACGCGTGGACGCTCTGGGGCGATGATTGCGAACGTGCCAGAGTCGACCAGTGTCAAGAGAGTCGAGAGAACGAGCGACAAGAGGCTAACAGGAACCTCAGCAACAGGTTACGACTCGCCGCGGTACCAGGATCCCGCTTACGAGCAGTATCCGGCGCCGCCCTTCTCTGCACAGCAGCAAACCGAGAAGTTCGCTCAACTGAATCAACAGTCGTTCGCCTCGAACAATGGAGCAGTTGCCCAATACATGACTTCAGGGTCGACCGTCCTGTCCTTCCAGCCCACGTCCGGCGGATTTGGTACCAAGGTCTTTATCAAGGTCTCGTCGCAATATGAGGTGCTCTCCATGTCGTCCTTCTTCTTCCTGCTGTTTGGGAGCGAGAAATGCCCTGCGGAAGTGACCAGAGACGTCCAGGACAGCTCTGGCTTCGCCTACACATACAGCGCAGATGTCCCCCAAATCATGGTCACGGGCACTGGCACTACCAACGTGCCCATGTCACTCCTCCACGAGGGGCCTTCGGGAGAAGAGATTTCGCGGACCGTCGTGGGCACCTTTCACTACCTCGAAGGGTCCGGGGATGACATCACGAGGTCAACCAAGATGTCTAAGCAGGAGGACGGGGCACCTGCCACAGCGCTGGATCAGCCGAGTCTCTCACCCAAGGCAGAGCCCGGACTGCCCTCAGAGCCTGCTACAAATAGCTACGAGTACCCGTCGCAACAGGGCGGATACGCCAACAACTTCCCGTCAGGAAACAACGACATGCTCAGCACGTACAGAACCAGCAGTTATACGGACCCTCACTACCACCGCCAGCCGGCGCCGAGGTGGGCCGCATACCCGGGCCCCTTGGGGAGCACGGGGCGGAGTCCCGTCGGGATGGATGCGTCCATGGGGGGACGGCCAAGCTTGACGCCACTGCCGATGCCATCGTCGCCGGTCAACGGAGCGCCGCAGCTCATCCGGACGAGCACCATCAGCAGCAACAGCGCCAACAACTACCACCCGGTCGGGATGTACGGCAACAAGGCGGTGCTGAAGATCCAGGGCAAGCTGGACACCATGGCCGAGAACTGGAGCCAGGAGGAGTGGGACAACCGCCGCCGCATCGTGCGCTTCCAGAGGAACCAGCGCGGATCAACGCTCACGGCCAGCTTCCAGCCCGTGGCCGTCAACGAGCGCCCGCCCAACAGCATCTGCATATCGTGTATCTGGTGGGCTGAGAAGAGCGAATGCTACGTCACCTCGGTCGACACGATTCACCTGCTGGAGCAGCTGGTTGCCTCCCCCAACCGCTTCAGTGTCGAGGAGAAGAACCGGATCCGTCGCAACCTGGAGGGATTCCACCCCCTGACTGTCTCCAAGGCCAAGCCCGAGAGCGAGGAGTTCTTCAAGATCATCATGGCGTTCCCCAACCCCAAGCCTCGCAACATCGAGAAGGACGTCAAGGTGTTCCCCTGGAAGATCCTGGAGCCCGCGCTCAAGAAGATCATTGGCAAGTACAGCGCCAGTCCCAGCAGCACTCTGCCGCCGGCCAGCATGATGAACCCGGTCACCGCAGCCTATGCGCCGCTTCCCACGCCGCCTGGCCAGCCCATCGCTTCGGCGCAGACCGATCCTCACTCGCAGTACCCGCTTCCTCCGCATCACGACTCGATCCCGTCCCCTCGGTCGCTCTCAGGATCCCAGCCGAACTGGACCCCTTACACCGCGGCGCCCGGCTACTCGACGGCTACTTCAAGGACACTCAGCCCCAGCATCCGCCATGTCAGTCCCTCACAGCCGCCGCTGCGTCTCAACACGACGCCGCTTCCCGCCGTCAGCACGTATGATACGCGGACGGGGACCTCGGGGGCATATGGGACGACAGGCCTGCACACGCCCATCAGCCATCATCAGACTACCGCGACTCCCCCACGATGGGATCCCGCCACGCCCGCAACATATCCCGAACCCTACCCCAGCCTGACGTCGCAGGCCGCCCAGCCCGTGTACAATACGGGAGCCTACGGCGAGGCCCCTCCGAGGGCGTGAAGATGCCCTCCGGCGCCCCGGTCGTCCCCGTCGTCCCCAGCGGGTGACCATTCACAAACGGCCTCCCGCCTCGTGTTCCTGCCCCCAGACCTTGAATCCAACGTCTGAGTGACCGCATTGGGCAGCCTCGTGAACACTTGGTGGAGGGTCGCGGGGGCGAGTCAGGTGTTGTGGCGCACACCAATCAGAGGAGCATCCGGGACACCATCATGGCCCAAAGCGATCAAAGACTTGGGAGGACATCCTGTGGCCTCGCGATCCGGCCACAAGCCACGGCCGTCTCTTGTCATGGATGGCGCCATCGCGGGTGCAGTGGTGGTGGCGTCGGGCTACGCTGCGAGCAAGAGGGTGTAGGCGATACGCGCCGCTCCCTCTCTCTGCATGTCTGACCCTTGGAAAGAAGCCGGGAAGTCCTGGCCATGCAGACTCCTATTTCGACCATGGGCCGCTAATTCGACCATGGACCGCTAATCTCTCCCGCTCCGGGCCATCTTATCGGTCCTAGTCCGCCCTGATGGGTGGCCATGGGTGGTCATGCGGTCTCGGTAGTTCGTCAACCGCAGCTCTCCTGACATTACGCCCGGAGCTTTTCAACCTTGTCGACGATCTGCTAGCGCATCCTTCGGCGGGGAACAGCATGGGACTCAACCCAACCACACCTGGGCGGGTAGATCCGTGCTGAGGCAGCATGTTGTTGGCCTGGCTGGTCGGTGATAGCGACGCGCCCCTGCCAAATGTGTCCACGACGTTGGGTCTGACCCTCCACAATCCCCAACGTGCATCCGGCTAGTGGCGCATGCTTATCGTCATCCTGTTGTCATTGATCCATTTTGGGATCGCACATGGAAGGGCGGTGTGTTTGGTTCCTTCATCTTCTATTTGGGGTTGACTACTTCCTTTTGGGATACGGATACGGGTTGTCGTTGTCATAGATTTCCATCTTGTCTTTCTACACTCTTGTTTTATTTTTTTTCTTTACTGTTGGGACTTGACTGTGCTTGCCTACGGAGGCGGCAATATATCATAGATGATTTGCTTGGTACGAGATACATGGGTATGGGAATGGGAATGGGTATTGTGGCGGATTGGGTAACGGGCATGAATGGATGTCGGTCAGACGGCTATCAGGACAAGGGCATGCGGGGTTTTTTTTTATTTGTTCGCGGGCATTCTAGTTGCTGGGTCTGTTCTTTCTACTCTTGGATGATTTTCTCTTTTTTTATCAATAGGCATTATACCCTTCGTGTGCATTCTTATGGCTATATTGCATGGTCTACCTTGTCCGTCTTCTTGAGCAAAGGCGAGACCCGGGGGATGGCGGTAGGTGGGAGTGGGGGAATGGTTGGACTCGCGGGGCTGGTGTATACACGCCGCGCGATGGAATGGGGGCTTTGTGAATTAATTTTAAGGTAGGTAATAATAATCACTGGGACCACGGAAGATGGGGACTCGTGTCTTGAATGTGATGATGTGAAGGCACTCGCCGGAATGTTTGACGGCGCGCTACGTTCCAGCGGGTGGCTGCTCTTACGGTGGCGGTTTTGATGCTCGGCCAGCATGGATACGGCTTTCTGATGATATGAATAGTGATGTCTAGATGTAACAGCTGCATCTTCGTGGGCCCTTTCGCTCTCAGTGATGGTCTGTCGGTGTGCGATTCGATGCGGTTACGTACTGACGTCGGCACGCTCCCCAGCCAGGCTGCCTTTCCCAGGTGATGATGATGGGCGTTCCCTTTTGCACCCATAGCTGAATTTTAATATCCATGGGGCTGGAGCGAGTGATTCTCTCTTGTTTGCATGTGACCTTTCGCTGGTCGTCGTCTGGTGTGCTCAGGTGAGCTGTACGCTCCCGGCATGACTGGCTGGTTGATCCAACACCTGAGCAGAGTTTTTTTTATTTTGGTCTACGGTAATAACCGTATCTGGAAATTCTTCAAAAATATAACACCGCTTTGGTCAATATGGGTTTCGTGGCGAATGCTGTGAAATGAAGAATCCATGTTATGTTTCTGTGGTCCGTCGTAAGGCTCAAGGAGGATGCAATATTTGTCGCCCGGTCCTGAAGGCAAGCCACAGTGGATGATCCACTTAATTTACCGTTCCAGACACGTACCGATGTATTTCAATTCTCGGTTTAGAATGCCCTAGCCAAGTCCCCGATAATGTATCGTAGATGGGCCGGCCATCATTCTCGCCAGCCCCGCCGCCTCCGCGCGCTGCAACAGCCACAATAAGCCCCTTGATCTGTGCCGGTCGCGTCACTTCATATGGTTTTATGAGCAGGGTTTTTATCAATTCGCATTAATGGTGGCGCACGTCGGGGAAGCAAAGACCCACGCGAGACGCGCTCATGGTCTAGATCTCCACTACCAGCGTGTCTAGTAATTTACTGCAGCATGGATGGGCTACACATTCAGGACGTACAAGCGCTCGACCCCGAAGGCATTCAGTTACAATAAATAAAGGGCATTCAATTTACTCCACTGGTTATAGTATGGGAAGTTTATTATGGAAGGCCTACCGGGAACAGACAATTTCTCCTAAGGTCGGCCACTTCCTGAATATTGCGTATCACAACTTGGCTGAGCATCCACCTCCGACATGAGTTACAACCTATGCACAAACGAGTCCTTCGTCAAGCCTCGAAAGTACTTTCCAAAATACCAAAACAAAATTCCAAAACTGCAGAAAAACACAATGAGTGCCATCGTGGTAAGCATCGGAGGAATAAAGCCGTCCTTTTCTGCCCAAGGAGTGATGTACTTGCTGAAGCCATAACCCCAGACGTTCTTATTACTGTGAAGTATAAGCATTGCGTGGCTAAGAAATGATGTGTGCGCTTACATGGTGATCGTGACAAACATGGATCCTGTGATCGGTTTGTAGCTGTCGATGGCGTATGTCGAAGCAATACTTGGAAGACTTGTGACCTGGATCCCCAAGCAAGTGTATCCGATCACCACGATTGCTTCCCAGGGCCAGTGATAATCATATCCAACCGCGACGACCACAGAACCTAGAATCATGATGAAGACATATGGAATCATTGTGACAAGCCTCATCTCCGGTTCGCGAACGCCGTTGTTTCGTTTCGTCAAGTAGTCCGAGACCCAGTCCGACAACGGTCCCGAAGTGAACAGTCCAATCAAACCACCCGCGAGAATGGCAAAGTTTGTGAACCCGACTGACTGAGGGGAGAAGTTGTATGGCGGCGGCGAGAGAGCTTGCTGCTGCGTCAAGTTGGCGAGAAGGAATCCACATGCAGTGAAAGAGACCGCGAATGACGCGAATTCGACGATCGGGTAGAAGTGAAGGTACCAAGGGAGCCAGAGCTCGCGTATCAAATTCCCTTGATACTTTCCCCAAGGGACAAACTGCTTCTTTGATGGCTTTCCGCGAGAGAGCCACGTATGCTCCCCAGTTGGATTGATGGTGGCGGGTGCAGCCCTTTCGGCCTCCCCTTCTTCCTTGATGCTTGCAGTCCCCTCATTGCTCTTCTGCTTTTCGATCTCCGTGCCAGCTGTTTGGTTTGGAAGAGCTGCGGGCATCTCCCGGTGATATCTAGTTTCGGGAAAAAAGAAGGCATTGACAGCACAGGTGAAAAATAGGAGAGCGGTATTCCACCACCAGAAGCTCCTCCAGCCGTGATGATCTGCCATGGCTCCGGCAATGATTGGACCAATCTAATAAATTTATCAATGATACGAGCTCTACTATGAAGGTTGCCGGCCTACCATCAGAGAGCTGAAGTATGTAGTGAAATAAAGGGTCTGGTATTTTCCCCGGTCATGCAGGAAGATCATGTCGGCGATGATCTGAGGCATGACGGTCTCGCAAGGTCCAGCTCCGATTCCGTTCAAACTGGAGAATTTAGCACATGTTAGATCATTCTTGAATCAATCAGCTTACACTGACGCTCCCATGAAGGAGCCATAACTTGTTGCCCTAGCCCTCCAGATGGAAGATATCGCGCAGATGAGAGAACTCAAAATCATCACGGGCCTGCGGCCGAAGCAGGTCGACATTGGAACCCAGATGAAATTGCTGAAACCGAGAACCAGAATGGCGATACCTAGAACGCGGGTTAGCTTGATATGTGAATGTGCATGAGGAAATCGCACCAGTGAATTGGATTGCTTCGGCAAGACTGCAGCCCCATTCGTGGATATAGGCCTCTGTAGTCATTAGGCCAGCTCGATAGAACATGACAATTTACAAACCAAATAAAGGAGCATTAGCTAGCGGTCCCAGATTCAAACTGAACGACAGAAGGCTTCCACAGATGATAGTGATGGTCTTCCATTTCTTATTCCAGTTCAGCGGATCGTGAGGGTCGTTCGAAGGCTGAGGGACCAGCACTTGGGCTTCGCCAACTCTATCGCCGGCCTTGACGAAGTGGTGATTTCCGACGTCTCGCATAATTTCAGTGCCGGGGTAAATCTTTGTATTGAGCTCATCCTCGATCTCGCGGATGGCGTTTTCGTCGAGATTCTCATCCATACTTTAGGCGACGTCTTCTTTGTTGTGCAGATTGTACTGTGCCTTCGTTGGAGATGTGATGAGAGGGACAGGGGAGAAAGAAATGCGAGTGGAAGTTGGACCTTTAAGTGCTGTCAGAACTCAGGACGTGAAAGCGTGTGGCAAGAAGATAAACCCCGCCGAATAGGGTAGGAGATGCATGTTAGCTCTGGTACAAGTGGCATTGGATATTGAAACTGGTTTCTTTAGCAAACCAACCCGAGCTTATACCTACGCACAAGTACTATCCAAGTCCCAAGATAACACTCAGAGTCGCCCGTCGGTGTGCCGACTAAGCAACCAAAGCTTGGCTGTCACTCTAGCCTAAAACAAATCACGCCTCTAGCAGAGCCAAGCATCATCGACATTGGAGAGTGAAGGGAAAAGTCGGCATCATATCCAAATTAGATCACCAACGTCAACCTATGTCATACATCCTAGTCTTCATGAGGGGCAACTTTCCAATCAGACGTCCTTGTTCACGGCAATGGGTGTGCCCGGGATGGAGGACCGGCAATTGAGATGTAACGCTGGAGTCGCTAATGAGCTCACATGATGGTATTCCCGTCATATTTGGAATCTAACTGGAGGTTGGAAACTTGAGCCATCCTGATTCCTTACCAATGTGCGGGGAGATGGAGGAGTCTCCAATGAGACGTCGGGATGAACCTACCAGACAAGCGGGATAATTTCTTAGAGTAGCAATGCCTCCGATGCACCCCACATCCCGAAGTGATCGCCATTCATAGATTACTTAGCCAAGCAGATGGTGGCATTTTCCCTCGGGGTATTGATTGACATTAGTCTCCTTGGGCATCTGCCTCCAGTACAGGCACCCTGATAATTTCATGGACAAATGGCACCGCGTTCAGCGAGTAGCTCTTATCACCCTGGTCCATTGATATTTTGGCCAGGAAAACCTCCAGAAGCCTCAAGGGAACTGGAGATCTCGGACTCAGACGACAACAATTACTAATGTGTATAACAATTGTTGGACTCTTCTTCTGTCAATGAAGCCTGAAAGGAATATCTCGTACAACGACCGAGCTAGAGGAATGCTAACTAACTAATAGCGGATTGGGGCGAAAAGGGCCATGACTAAGCCGTTCGTTCTCCTAGATAAGTGAGTGATTAGGAGCTGTAACAACCTCGGGCGACTTCGGTTGAGATTTGGCTTCTGCATCACCACTAACACCAGACCCGGACGCTCTTTGGACGGCCGCAAACAGCCACACTCGGGCTACTCGAATTCGTCCAAATGGTGTTCTCTGCACCGGCACTCTAAGAAAGATCATCGTCATATCAAGCCGATTGCCCCAGGGTTGTGATTGACATCCGATTGCATATACCGAACCCAGCACGGAACATTGTAATCTCTTCGGTCGTGCTCGGCCGAGCCAGAGAATCGCAAACATGCCGGGCGACACATCCTCTTCCACCTTCCGCAACACGCAACGAGCTCCACGCAGCTGCCGGTCTTGTGCATCTCGCAAGGTCAAGTGCGACAAGTTGATACCCTGTTCTACATGCGTCCGACGCGGAGACGCCGAATCTTGTGCCCGAGAGATGGTCATGGTGCGGGGCATGATTACTAGGTCTGTCCAACCCTGGATGCTGTGATGTCCTGGGGACCCTGGCTCCATCCGCTTCCTTATCGAGATCTCGCTGACGTCGTATGTCAGTGCGAAAGATCCATCCAGTATGCCTAGCTACCAGGAGCTTCTGGAAGAAAACAGCAGGTTGCGCAATGCGTTAGGTGCAGCCAACAGCACAGCTCTCGATCGGCCCGAACCTCCGCTTCCTACACGGCGGAGAAAGCCCCAGCATTTACTGGAGAGTCCCGATGTTCTGGAAAAGATGCTTCTCGAGCCACCGCCTCAACCACCCCAGTCGAACAAAAAGCTCGAGTGGGCTCACATTATTCTACCTAGTCGAGAATCCAGTGAGGCTCTTGTCGCATTTGACAAGAAATGGAACTCTTGGGTTCACTATGCGCTGGAGTATCCGACCTTCGAACATGAGCATACAAGTTTCATGGAATCAATCGAGAACGGAGCTTCTCTATCAGATTTAGATCCCGCATGGCTTTCGGTTTATTTCAGTGTCTTATCAGTAGGTTACTGTTCCCTATGCCGCTCGTTCTATGAAGACCCAGGTCAATGCTCATTCTTTCTAGGCGGCTCTTCTCATGGCAGATGAAGACTATGCATTGGAATTAAACCTACCAGGTAAGCGTCACCATAGCTTCAATATTTGGGCTAGAATATGTACCAACATCTTCTCAGGCGACCCTCAAAGACTACTTCGAAACTGGTACGAAGCATCATTGCTCTGTCTTAACCGAGCTGATTTTATGCGCAAAAACAATGTCCGCACCGTCCAAACAATCGCCATCCTCGGCATGTGTGTATATAACTTTGGCGATTCGGAGCTTAATAACCATCTTTGGAGCTGCGCCATCCGAATCGCACAGGCACTTGGGCTTGATGGCTCTCGTTCGGATTCGGCATGTATGCCATTGAGTAAAGAGGCCCAACGAAGGCTGTGGTGGACTCTAGTGATATGTGAATGGTAAGTTTGTTTCAATCTATTAATGGTTGCGTCTCATTGATAATTAGGCTCTGTGTCCCATATCACGTTCCGCAGGTCGACGAGGCAGATTTTCATGTTCCCCTACCGTCAATAGATCCCATGGGGGACCACATACAACCTGTGCAGTACCACATCATGATGGCTCGCACATCCACGGTTTACCACAGGTTCCGCGAGTCCTTGCGAAGAGGTGGCCGTTCCGTTGCAGAAACAGTGCACCTTGCAGACCAAGAGCTAGCGGAGGTGATAAACTCACTCCCTGAACACCTTCAACCCGACGGTGGCAAAATTCCAGACATGGATCAACTCGAAATGGAGCATCCGTGGATCAAATGGCAAAGGTTTGATGTCAGCCTAGTTCTTCTACATCACAGACTGCGAATCCACCGAGCCCTTCACAAAGATTGGCTCGATTCCCCAGGTCAACATGACGGGGCAAGGGCGGTATGCATTCGGTCAGCAAGGGATATAATATGGATCGCCCACAACTGGGACCAACCAGCAGCGATGAGACGGCAATGGTAAGAACTGTGGCATTATTGGGTCTTCTACATCTGCTAATAACTGTTCCCTAGGGCATTATCACTTCATGTGTTCGTCGCGGCGACATTTCTACTGCGGGAATCAAAAGCAGCATCCCTCCCAGATGAGGTCAATTTTGATGAAGAATTCAGGATGGCTATTTCCTATCTTGATGAGACAAAGTCACGAAACATGGTTGCGGATAAGGCGGGCAAGATCCTACGAAGAGCTTTGGCAGGCGATGGCCTATGGGAATCAGGAATAGATGTCGAATTTTGATATTCATACATAAATAGAAACGTTTACATCTAACTCAAACTCTCACAAGTCAAATCCATAGGCCCTCTTAGCCTCTGAACTGAATCCATCAAGCCCGACATAACCCTTCAGTGTCGTCTCGTCCAGATCGTTGCCTTCGGTGTAGTCGGGCGCCGGCCGTCCAGCTCGAGTTGCTTCGAGTTGTTTCTTCACGTACGCCTTATTGCTTGTGGTCGTGGGACACGCCGCGATGTACACAACAGACGCATTTTCCGCACCCTCTTGCTCGGGGTCCACAGCATGGCAAGCCTACACGACGTGGTCAGTATTTTTCATATTGGACGAAGCTTCAGCTCCTTACATCAGCGTGCCACCAAACAGTGTCACCGGGGTTCACTCTTGGCATGTGAATGAGACACTCCTCCAATCGCAGATGCGGGTGAGACAAACGGCTGAGACGTTGACTCTCAGTCTTGAATGTGCCGGGGAACCAGCCGCTGGACTCATCTAGGGTCCACTTCTTGGCATCCATGATATCCTCGGGTTGGCTAGGCGGGTTGAAGAAGGGACGGAGAATGACATATGCAATAGCAGTGGAGACATTGGGATAGATCAGCAGGGATCCCTCTCGCGGGGCCGCCTTTGTCAGTGCTGTCCAGCCCTGGAACGATCGAAAGACACTGGAATGTGCTAGTCCAGGATACAACTCCTGGTTTGCGCTCTTCCGGGCCCCGAGGTCATATGGGTCATGCAACTCCGGCTTGCCGGCCAGGATGTGTCCATACGATTCGCGATACGTCGGATCCGCCCAACGACACAGGCTCCCAGCATCAATGTGAGGACCAAGTCCAAGAAAAGCCTGCTTCGGAGGTCGGTCTCTGGCTCCGTCAAGGTATATCAGCGGCTCTGGTGACGTCTCCGCGGTTGAATCATGCCAAAGCTCATTTAGCATGCGCTGAAGACGAAGGTGGTTCGGGTGCGCGCGGATGGCATTCTGGGTAGGAGAGTCGTAAAGCATCAGCATAGAGGGGCTTTCTTTCGGCCAGCCGTTGATTTTGTCTTTGTTGTCGGAAACATATTTCCGGAGGTCTGCATAATGCGCCGTAGCCTCAGACTCGGGCAGCACTTCCCGTACAACAAAGGCACCAATGGACTTCACCTCGGCTTTTTGCTCATCAGTGAATCCACTTTGGAGGAGCTCAGTTGCGTTAAGTACGGGAATGATGCTTTGTCCTTTCGTGGCGATCTCCTCCGTGACAGTCTTCAGCTCTTCGCACACAGCAATCCAGCTCTGTCTGAGTGCATCCGCTCCATATTGGGCGATGACGGCCTTTTTCGCAGCCAAGAAGTCAGGGTCCACTGCCTCAGCACTTCTCTGCTTCGTGTATTCGGGCCAAGCGGGCCAGTGTCTAACTTGTCCAGGCATAGCGAAGAGAGAAAGATATCGATTAGGAGGATGGAGTTTGGGTCAGTTGATGCAGAACGGTAGATTTACCCCGAATTGACGCGAGAGCCAGTGTTAAATATCTTATCATCTCCTGCAGTCGGATAATGGCGCAGGTATTTGAACAATTCCCGAGGTCGGGGCAGACTTATTCGCCGCCGGCCATTCACATCAAAATCGACTCGGGCGAGCTCGGGCGAGTTTCCGCCATCCAGAATAGGCTCTTATTAATCAGTTGTGGATATCCTTATCAGCGCTGTTGTCTATCACGTGACTCTAGATGGCTGTTTTATACTTGATACAACAGGCCGTGAATGGATGCTCAGTTTTCAGCTGTCAATCCCCTGGATCGTCAACTCAGCATCCAGGGACTCCAAATCCTGGGGCCCCGCGGGGTGTTATGGTCAGTGCTTTATCTGAGATAAAGATCCATGCTATTTGCCGGTGTTCCACTGTTCTCAACACCGAGCTTTATGGTCTTTTGTAAACAACATCCATAGATGTTTCCGCAGCTTGCGTGGCGCAATACTACGCTGGGAAGTAGGTAACAGCAAGCATGCCCTCAAGAAGAATCTAAATGGGCGTAGCAGCCCCGCCAATTTCTTGTTGATCGCCTCAGTTACTTTTCCTACCCGGCATCAATCTCCCTGCCCCGTGGACTTCGTCACGTTCCATTGCGCTGCCTTACACTATGCCTTCTACGACACCCTCAATTGACGTTGAGATTTCCGTTTCGTCTTCGGTCTTAGACTTTCGTCCACCACGAACTTGGATATTACCCCGCGCAGAAACACACACTACTACGGGTATAGCACGGCAGAAAGGAGATGATGATGAATCAGCTTCTGTGATTGGAGAACAATATTCACCAGGTAAACTAAGCGTCGAGGAGCTTTTTGAAAAGCTGGGTCAAATTCTGAGGGTATGGAGGAGGTGCGGTGCTGGATGCTTTGAAGATGGCGAGATGTACAAGATTGGTATCGAGGAGGAGGGAATCGCCACGGGCTGGATACCATGGGGCAAGGACCAGTTTCGTGCCATACCCGTCTGAGATTGAGCGAGCGGTGAGAAAGAAGATGATTCCATTTCGCATCACGGAAGCTGCACAATTGTTAGTCAAGAGGCAGCGGGGAGCATCCGCCGATAAAGCTGCTCCGGCTCCGCTAGTTCGCGCGATTAGCCGGAGTGCTAGAACAAAATGCGTATATTCACCCAAATCTCATTACTGCAAAGAGTAAGACTCCTAAAATGATGCCGATGATACGCTGGATAAGACGTGTTGCTAGGTGGTATTAGACCCGCTGACTCGCTAAACCGGGACCAAGATAGGCTCACCCGAACTCAACCGAACTAGAACGCCCGCCAATCACTCCAGCCGCATCACAAATCGCAACTTCTCACACTATCATTTTGCTATAAGAAATGACTGGGAAGCATGCATGACGGGGATTTGATCATGCAGCCTGCCCGACGACTCGGACTCTGCTCTCAATCGTCCCTCAAGACCCTCCAACAAGATGGCTGCTTTTGAGCGCAAGCATGTTTCTAAATTGGTCACATCCGACCTCCGGGTGTTGTCTCCCCTGCTCTTAGGAGTGGCTATTGTCAATTCAGCGGTAAGTCAAACTCAGAATACTATATGTTTCTGTACTCACATCGCCAGACCCTCGGCTATGACGCGTCTGTTATGAACGGCCTTCTGATTCTTCCGTCGTACTCGGAATATTTCCATCTCACCACGGCAACCGAAGGACTCAACAATGCTGCGTCTTGGATGGGCGGCATCGTTGGTGCGTTTCTAATGCAGCCCATCCCGGACTACTTTGGCCGCCGACGTGCCATCCTCGTAGCATCTGTCATCACGGCAGTAGGCATCATCCTCCAGGCTGCAGCCCAGAACATCGCCATGTTCATCATTGCACGATTTATCGTCGGTATGGGCTCCGCTATAAGCAACGGCGCGGCTCCAACCCTGCTCGGAGAATTGCTCCCAGCGCACAAGCGTGGTCGAGTGCTTGGCTTGTTTTTCTCGTGTTTCTACGTCGGCAGTCTCGCGTCGGCCATCGTCAACTACGGAAGCCAGAACATTGAAAGCACTTGGTCGTGGCGGTTGCCCTCGCTGCTACAGTTTGTGCCAAGTCTTCTCGCTGTAGCCCTTGTACCGTTTGTTCCGGAATCCCCCCGCTGGCTCATCGCCAACCGACGAGATGATGAAGCGCACGAGGTCCTCGTCATCATGCAAGGGAAGGGGATGGAAAATGTCGAGCAGGGCTGGGAGTCGTTGCGCGAGATCAAGACAGTCATGATGCGAGAGGAGCAAGAGTACCCTCGAAACCCATGGAGAGAGATTATCGCCACTCCAGCCAACCGAAAGAGGTTGGCTATTCTCTGTACCTTTGGTCCCATGATCAACATGTTCGGAAACTTCATCATCTCGTAAGACTCTCTTCTACTTCACTACCAACCAGCATCTCTAACGAGCGATTGCAGATTTTACCTCACCAAGATTCTCGACCAAGCTGGCATCACAGACACAGTCAAGCAGACCCAGATCCAAGTCATCATCAACTGCTGGTCCTTTGCCGTCGCTGTTTTAGGAAGCTTCATGGTTGATATCCTCGGTCGTCGGATACAGACTTTCATCGGCATTTCAGGCATGGTTGTTACTCTATACATCATCGGTGGCTTGATCAAGCGTAAGTCGGCTTCTTTCAGATAATATTCAGCCCAAATATTAACTAATGCTGTGCTAGATTATGGTGAGAGCACGAATCAAAGCGGAATTTATGGCACCATCGCGGTCATCTTCCTCTTCCAGGGCTTCTATGCATTTTCAATCACGCCAATGACGAGCTTATACCCTACAGAGGTCTCTCAGTACAAACTTCGAGCCACTGGCATCGCAATCTTCCGCATGCTTGATTCTGGATTTGGGTTAGTTCTCTTTGATATCTGTCCTTGCGCTGTGCTAACCATTATTCTAGTCTATTGGCATCCTTCTGCATGGCCTACGCAATGGCAGACCTGGGCTGGAAGTTCTATTTCATCAACGCGTCATGGAACCTCGTTTTCCTAATAATCGCATACTTCATCTTTGTTGAGACCAAGGGGTTGAGCCTCGAGGAGATTTCTGCCAAGTTTGAAGGTCCGGGGATCTTGGAGGCGGTGACAGAAGACTCTGCGTCCCAGGAAGTGGAATCTGAGAAGGTCGTTGGAAAGGTTGATGCAAAGGCTGTAGTCTGAATAGCAAACGATGGCAGAATACTTCTACCTTGGTTGTGCTATATATGGAAATATTGCCTAATTACTATTTCTATTCTACCTCCATATTCCCTACCCTTCATCTACTACAGCTCAATAACGGCTACAGTATCTTCTTATCCTATCCCATCAAAATTACTACAATAAGTACCTCTTATTACGTGCCTCCCGATTGGGGAAGCCCGTTCCCGAAGCCAGGATCAATAGGGCGGCTCTAGTGCTTTTAGCTCTGTGAAGCTTCGGATACCGGGTATGGTCAACCCCATTCCCGACCACAATGTCGAGCCCATGAGCCGACAAATGTTCTTACCCCGCATCAGCATACTTTCTGATCACTAGGACTCTGATTCATTAGTGCGGATCGTCAGCAAGACCTGAATGAGCTATGACGTCTGTAGGTTAGCCTACGACGTTCTAGGTCCTAAAAACAGATCCTGAGGCAGTACCAATAACATCTCCAACCCTCAGTCGCTCAACGGCTGTTCTATTCTTAATCTCATATCTCCATAAATCATGTGGTCTGGTTGACTTTCTGCGAAAGATAGTCGTGGCAAGCGGATTCAACGCATGCAACCCCTCTCTAGTTCTGCGGAAGAGACTAACGGAGGCCCATGGGGATAGCATAACTACCCCGCATTTACTCATGCTAATATGGGGTAAAGAAGAAAATTTGGAAGCTGATCATAGACTAAAGAACATATCAGAAGTATTCCCCTGACACTCCCCGGAGCCGGCAGTTGTAACGGGATTTTGCAAACCCCGCATTGCATCAACGTCTTTCCAGCACAACCACAACCATACCCGTAATAGAGTAGCTTCAGTCAAGACTGGCTTCACAGAGGCTGGTAGCGATTTTAGGGGCGGACTTACTCTCCTCTATTTGATATATCCCAGAATTCGCGCGTTAGTCGCTCGCTACCTTACTAGCTCTCATCCCATCCCTCGTGATCACCCGGTATCCGACAACTTCAATGGAACCGAGTCCTGTTCTCTAACTTCAGAAGGTTTAGCTCTCGCATGAACTGCTACCATGGCCAGGAGGCTAGCTTGTCTCCTCTGGGAGAGCGAGAGTCTGATCGTTGTATATAAGTAGTCGATAGGAACTCTATTGTTTTCGTTCACAGTTCGACTATTTCACCGATCCACGACTGTGCGGGTACATCATATTACTTTAATACTATTCAGGCATGGCCGACTCCAAGCCCACGATCCTATTAGCCCCTGGCGCTTGGCATACTGCTGACTGCTTCGATGTTGTCCGGGATGCGCTGCACGCCCGAGGTTGGTCGACAGAGGCCGTCGATTATCCATCTGTCGGCGCTGAGCCACCAAACAAGGGACTCTCAGATGATGCCGCCGCCCTTCGCACAGCCGCCGAACGACTTGTTGGTGCGGGAAAGCAGATTGTACTTGTTGTACATTCGTATGGTGGACTTGTTGGCGCCAACGCTGTTCAGGGCCTCGGGTACCAACAACGCCTCAAGCAGGGACTGCCTGGCGGCATAATCATGTTTGTTTATCTGGCCGCCTTCGTAACCCCGCTGGGTAAAAGTATCAAGGAGATGCTGGGTGGTCAATTTTTGCCATGGATGAATTTTCAAGTATGTTTCACACCTGTCCGCTATGCTGTTGTCGGCATGGGCTAGCTATGCTGTTGAATGATGTATAACACGGATATTGAAACAAGACTAACCCACGACACAGGAAAACTATGTATACCCGGATACACCAGAGGTTATATTCTATCACGATATGGACTCAGAAGCGCAGAAGAAGGCCATAAGTGCACTGAAGCACCAGTCAGCAGCTGTCTTCACCGATACTGTTACCTACGAGCCTTGGCAGGATATTGAATGCATGTACTTCTTCTGCGATGAAGATAAAGCTCTACCATTACCGGTGCAGAGTCAGATGGCAGAGTTGCTAGGTCCCAACGCAGCCAAGTTCCATACGGTGGCTTCACACTCTCCATTTTTGTCTCAGGTCGAGGATGTCGTTAAAGGTCTGGAGCATGCTGCCGAGGAAGGTCAAAGAAGAGCGACAGCTTGAGCGCAAATTTAACTTAATTAAACGTGGAATTCAACTTGGCAATCAAAGCGGGGGTCCCAATGTTGATGATCATTGCTACTGTGATAGACATGTGAAGACACTGGAGTTGCAACGCTAGACTTCCATGCACCTGGATAGGGTACGACTTAAGAATACCCGTAAGATGGGGAAGAGGAAGTTGGTCAACGTAGCAGCAGCAGGGTTTGGGGTCTTAAAGACTCGAAACAAGAAGAAGTGTCAGGGCTGCAAAACTAATACCTTCGCCCTGACTTGTAGTCCTGACCTTGCTACCCTATAACGGATGATCAGACTCTTGCTAGCCATATCAACCCGTTCGGCCATTGGAGTTCATCTCAGTAGCTATACCCAAAGACAGAAAAAGCTTAATGTTCCCTTTCTTCAAGTCCAGGCACTCCTTTTGTAGCGCTCTATTACATTGACCCAAGCTGTTACAGCGGTTCTTGTTAATGTATCTACACTCTTGGGGGTTGAAATCACTTGTCAGCATTTATAATCAATAGTCAGATTCATCTCTTTCACTCAAGCTTCAAGTTGGCTTTGTTATCCCCCTCATTCTTGCCGTTGGCGATAACCACTTCTGTCTCTTGGGTGTGGTCCGCACTAACAAACCTTACAGCAGACATACGTAATACTCCCCCGACAGCACTCCTCATATCTCAGATAAGACTTTTCATCTTCCAGCACCGTTGGTTGGCTAAGTGATGTGCGCATTGCGAGATCCACCATGAGAGAAACCATGTTCCAACCACAGACTCTTTCAAACGCTAGGTTGTATCACTAGGCCGAAGCCAAGAGTTAAGAGCCGAGAGCCAAGAACCCTTACGTACAGAAGACGACTTCTCATAGGCGAGATATACTATGCCAAGTCGTGCCGTCGCTTTCCGCCGGCCGGGAGATTTCGGCTACGTTAGGAGCTGCCACCGAGGATCAAAACATCACGTCATGTTTTCTTTTTTCGGACCACTTGGAATGGTACTAGAACTTGGGCTAGGCGCACTTGCAACGTGCGGGGGTCCCCGGGAGATAGCTCTCGTGGAAGTCGTCACTTTTTACTGCTGTCTTGGCTTGCATTAGGGTGGGTGAAGGGCGGCTTAACGTTGCCCTTGCACGGAGGGAGATTCCACTTGGCAAAAAATCACGAATCAGGATTCTTGCGTAGGCCGGGGTCACATTCTTCGGATCTGCACAGTTGGCGTTAAGCGACGCGGGCGGAGGTTGGGCGATGCTTGTTCTCCGCGATAACGGAAACACCTGCAGCGGGGAGTTGGGAACGGAGGCGGCACGGGGAAGGCCTTGGTTCTCAGTTCTGCCGAAACGACCGAACAAAAACCAGCCAAATCCGGCGAAGGTTGTATTAGACAGTTTGGACTCTTAACTCTCAGTAAACTCAAAACCATCGCAATCCCGCATTACGACCACGGTAAGGGGAAATAATTGTACGATGCGATGCATGGCTAGGTTCACAGGTAAAGTCGCCGGAGTGGGGCACCGGGCGGCTCGGAGTAAGCTCTTCTGCAGGGAACGAAATGCGGTGGTTCAGATCAAAGCCTAAGCGTGCCATGTAGCGAATGGCAGCCTTTGGGTGTCAAGTGGCTGGCTTATTGTATGCGGCATGAAATCTCTGACTATCACACAGTGGGGTGGATGTGATGAGTCAAGATAACTGCGGGAGCGAGCAGATGATGCTTAAAGCGAATGAATACGGTGTTGATCAATGTGAGATGGGTGTCGATCGCATATTTTCTTGGTGGACGGTAACTTACCCTGTACCGATCTTGTGTACGAAGCCTCAATTGATCAGCCCATCCGGACGAGAGGGTACAAGATTATCATCTTGCAGCATCGTGAAAATCCAAGCTGATTCCTCATGGGAAAAGGATCAGAAGTTGAACCGGGGTTACATTTGCGACGTCAATCTCAAGGCAACAGGCCCGATGCAGAAATGAGTTGACACAGCCCCATGTCAGTTGGGCGATGACCCCACACAGAGGATTTGCTCAAAGTGACGACGCCGAGAAGGGTCCAACTTGCCAGCAAGGAATCTACGTTCCGGCAATTGCAAAGATCGATGCTCTGGAAGATCGATCTCACCGTCATTGTCTGTTCCGCCGGGATTGTGGGTTTCTCTCCGTTCACAGTGCTAGCACATGCGACTGGGACGCGGGGTACGGGGTAAGAGAGGTACGGGGTAAGAGAGCCGCGCATAGGTAGTTACGTTATGAGAATAGTGGCAGAAAGACAAGAGGAAGCGTATATTCGAGGGAGACATTACCCCGAATTGGCCCGAGTCGCGCGATGCCATCACTTTGTCACTGCCTAGATACCGTCAAGATAGCATTTAGTGGGGGAGGCTTGACGGAATGAAACCCAAGATGTGATAACATGTGGGTGAGATTGCGACCAACCAACGACTGATGGCTACTTATGGTTAAGGCTTGAAAACAACAAGTACATACTACGCATGCGTAATGTGATATATGCAATGCAGAGACGAACCGTACAACAGCACATGAGGTGCAGACTTTAGCCTCAACACTTTCGAGAAACCGGATCGAAAACGCCTTGCGAGTGGCCATGATTTGATACTTGCGTCCAAACGTGCAGCAAGCTTTCTAGACCATGTGCCAGTGCCTGTGCCGCTCTCCTACGGCACGAATGGAGCAATGGAATGGTTGAAAGAGACACCGAGAGTCACTGGCCAAGATGGGACCGCGCCTCGGACACCGGAGTGTGAGCCATTCCCGCGGAGGAAGGAGGAGGGAGTGGGGCAGCCAGGAGCGGGGCGGGCGCGACGAGTGGGGCCTCTGGATCCCGCGGCGGAGCACGTGACTGATCCTGTTGGCGGAGCGCGGGGGCGGAGGTGGAGAACCCCTGTCGCCACCACCGGGATACGCAATACGCAATACGCAGGCATTGCAAAAAATATCGACGGAGATGCCGAGAAGAGCCCGCGACGGCGGAGGGCGGAGGGCGGAGCAAGTCACATGGCCATGGGGAAGCCCGTTGCCCCGAGCCTCGCGGGGCGGAGCGGGGAGGAGTCGACGACTGTGTAGGCATTTCTCGGCTTCTGTAAACGGTCAGTTCCGACAGACAAACACACAGAGAGACATGCACACACCACAACCATAAACCGAAACCGAGTTTTCCCGGTTTGTTTCACTTGTTGTCTCCCAACTCATCAGTACCGCAATCTCTCCTCCCCCCTCCTTCCTCTTCCACAACACGAGTTCATCAACGCAAAGCCAAGACGCCGTGGATGTAAGTGCCCCTCCTCTGTAAAGGCAAACCCCCATCATTGGCCAATGAGGGACTCGCCGTCGCGATTGGGCATCGTGATTGGGCCCGTGGAGGCAAGATAAGCTTACTCAGTAGTGCCAAGCAACAACCTTACCGACCATGAGTTTGCAGGCGGAACCAATTATCTCCCGGGCCAAGAGGACTCTAGGCCGTTCATAGAGGGTACGTATTACGTAGTCGGCCCGCCAAGAATCCCGCCAAGAGCTGCCCAGGCGTGGCGTCCTGGGTCCGCCACCAGTCGCGCAGCAGGCAACAAACTTGTTCTTCTACGAGCAGGATCCTCCGATTCCATGCCGGAGACAACTCCTGGCCGCCTGTGGGGTCCGCCTGCGGTGGTGCAACCGGCGCTCACGGCCTTCCATTGGACATGCGGCGCCAAGATACGCGCCAAGCAGCCGCCAAGCAGCCGCCAAGCGAGCGACTCTGAGATGCTGGGACGCCTATTTCGCCCCGACGACTTGCAGAAAGTTGCTCCGTGCCTAACTGACAAACCAAGGAAAAAGTGCCATGCGGCTCGTGGCGTCGGGGGTGGATGCGCCAACTGAACCTTGATTGCTTTGGCTCTCGGTGAGGCGTTGGTTTGTTGAGGCCCAAGTATTGCTAGTTGATTGACTTTAGGACCCGCTAGTTGACAATGGTGAGTGTTGGTAATGGTCTCGGAGCATGCAAGAGATATCGGGAGAGATAGCGAAGCATGGTTCATCCCGGGATATTATGGATATTTCCTCGTTGCACATGGAAGGATCACGGGGGGTTCCATCTGTAAGGAAGAGCCTGCTAGTAACGTCAGCTGCTCTAGCATCGACGCGGGACCGAACATGGCACAGGGAAGACGGAGATGGAGGCCCGGGCCGGCCTGGGTTCGCGGTGCATCGACGTCAATGAAGAGGAATCAGCGATGCCAATTGCCATGGGTCATGGCCATGACGAAAGGCAACGGCAGGGGAGGTATCCTCGCCGTATCAGTTCGCCGCAACCGTCTCATCCCATGATACACCAACACTACCTACACCAATGACCTCACAACCCAGTCTTGGCGCCCTCAACCCACCCTCGCGCTCTGTCCGAGCTCTCGCGAGCTTCTGGCTTTCTTCCCTGTCGGCGGTTGCTTGGCTTCGCACATGTTTGGCCCAAGACGTCAAGCGCCAAGCGCCAAGCGCCATGTGCACCCCACCCAGCACACCACTCACCACCCACCACCCACCACCAAGGCGTTCTTTGTCTCCTCACACACACTTTCTCGCACATCAGACCGGTCCCGGCCAAAGCGTACTACGTACTTTTCCCGGTTGCGCCACCGCCAACCGAGGCCGGGGAGCCCACACTGGTGACTTTTCCTTCGGTGCTCGACGCCGACAGCGCGGCGCCGCGTGCTTGACGTCACGGGACCCCCCGAACGGCCTTCCTCCACCACGCCAACCACCGCCACCACAGATAGCAAGAGAGCCAAGAGCCGAGAGCCAAGAGCCAAGACTCGCCCCCCCTGGTTGGTGTCGTCGAAGCCGTGGGGAACAAGCAAAGCAGAGGCGGCGGCTTCTTAGCTCTGACTCGCCGTCGCCGTCGGGATGGAGTCGTGCCAAGAGCCCCAAGACCACCAAGACCGCCGGGGGCGTGAGAAGACCGCCCCTCCGGGTGGGCTCCTCATCTGGAAATCATGACGGGGAGTTGGCAACGGCATTGGCAGCATGGCGGGCTCAATGTCTATATATGACCGGGACCCCGCATCCCCTCCGCCAAGGTCCTTTCTTCTTCCAGTTGTAAATCATCAAACGGGAAAAGGCCAATTCAATACAGTACCGAACTAGTACTTGTGTTTGATACCCAGTAGTCGCTCTCTTGCATTGCCGAGCTTCAATCGCATCTTGCTCCACGTCAATGACGTCTGAGTAGACTTTAGCACCACATCTTTACCCCTTCCACCACATGATTAGACGGTAACACGGTCAAAACACCACAAACTACAGCGAGGGCACAACGAAACGAATTCCCCTCCCGTCCCCTCCCTTCCTCTCTCCCCGGCTCCGGTAAACACCACAAACCGCAGCCATGGCGGACTTCCCCAAGCACCCTTTCCTCCTCACCACTGAGGAGACGGCCCAGGCCCTCGGCACCGATGTTGACAAGGGCCTGACGTCGATCCAGGTCAACGAGCTTCAGCAAAAGTACCCCAAAAATGAACTTGATGTCGGCGGCACGATCCCTTGGTACAGCATCATGACCAAGCAGATTCTCAATGCCATGATTATCGTGAGTTTTTTTCCTGCTCGCAATTGGTACTGGATCGAGATGAATTGCTAACCACTAGTCACAGGTTCTTGTGTTTGCCATGGCCCTCAGCTTTGGTATCAAGGATTACATCGAAGGCGGTGTCCTGGCATTCGTCATTATTCTCAACGTCACCATTGGTTTCTGGCAGGAGTATCGCGCCGAGAAGCGCATGGATGCTCTCCGAGCTCTGTCATCCCCCAGTGCCATGGTTCTTCGTGACGGCAAGACTCAGGTCATCTCCAAGTAAGCTCTCCCCATTGTCCCACCAGAGCCCTACGCCTGTTCGATTGCGATGCTAACCTTCCAATAGCCCGGAAGTCGTTCCCGGCGATATCGTTCTTCTCAAGATGGGTGACACCGTCCCCGCCGATCTCCGACTGTTTGAGGCCATGAACCTCGCCTGCGAGGAAGGCCAGCTGACTGGCGAGTCCATTCCCGTCGAAAAGATCACCGATAACAACATTGTGGAGCCTGGCACTGAGAAGATTGTCACCGACGAGGGTGAGATTGGTATCGGTGACCGCATCAACATGGCATACGCCACCACCGTCGTCCGAAAGGGTCGCGGTCGTGGTATTGTGACTGCCACTGGTATGGCTACCGAGGTCGGCAAGATTGCCGCCTCTACTTCCAAGAAGACGCGCAAGGCTGGCCGCTCCATGAACTGGCACAAGTACGGCAAGCGACAGCCTGTCATCGGTCTCTCCAAGCGTATCTACGATGTCATTGGAAAGTTCCTCGGTCTTACCGAAGGTACTCCTCTGCAGAGGAAGCTCTCTGCCCTGGCTTACGTTCTCTTTGGCTGCGCCATCGTCCTCGCCATCATCGTCTTTGCCGTGAACCACTTTGACATGCGAAACGAGGTTATCATTTATGCCACCTCTCTCGGTATTGCCATTATTCCCGAGTCTCTTGTTGCGTAAGTCTCTACCAGTCATTCGACACTACATGACTAAATAGCTAATGTGAGAAATAGTGTCTTGACCATCACCATGGTTGTTGCCGTCACCGTCATGCGAAAGGCCAACGTCGTCGTCCGTGATCTCTCCGCCCTCGAGGCCCTCGGCGGTGTCACCAACATTTGCTCCGACAAGACCGGCACCTTGACTGAGGGCGCCATGATTGTCCGCAAGGCCTGGATCCCGTCGTCCAACCTATACACCGTCCGAGAGTCGCAGAGCCCCAACGACCCCACCAAGGGCAAGGTTACCTTCTCCAAGCAGGACCCCCAGGAGCCAGAGACCGAGGAGCCTCCTCGTGACTACGACCGAGAGCGTTCTGCCGCTGTCCTCAAGTTTGATGTTCCTGACGAGAAGCTCAACCCCTCCAAGGCTGCCAGGGCTCCTGTCCCTGAGGTCGACTGCGAGATGACTGACGAGCTCCGCGCTTTCCTCCTCTCCACTGCTCTCTGCAACCTGGCTACTGTGCGATTCGACGATGAGGAGGAGAAGTGGCAGACCACCGGTGAGCCCACCGAGATTGCCCTTCAAGTCTTTGCCCACCGCTTCACCTACGGCAAGAAGACCCTTGAAGGCCAGGGCTGGAAGCAAACCGCCGAGTTCCCCTTTGACAGCTCCATCAAGCGCATGTCCGTCATCTACGATGCCCCCAGTGACGCCAGCGGCTCCATCATCGACACCGAGAACAGCATGGTCTTCACCAAGGGCGCTGTTGAACGTGTCCTGGATCTCTGCTCGCACATGGGCACTGGCAAGGACCGACAGGTTGTCACCGGTGAGCTCAAGGAGCATGTACTCAACCAGATGAATGCCCTCGCCTCTCAGGGCCAGCGTGTCCTTGCCATCGCCTACCGCCCTTGGATTGGTCGCTGGACTGCCAAGCAGGGCTCTTCTCCCGCCGAGGATGAGAAGCTCCGTTCTGGTGTTGAGCAGGACTTGACTCTCCTCGGTCTTGCTGGAATCTACGACCCTCCCCGTCGCGAGACCAAGCCTTCGATTGCTGAGTGCTCGCAGGCTGGTATCCGCGTCCATATGCTCACTGGTGACCACCCCGAGACTGCCAAGGCCATCGCCAAGGAGGTCGGTATCATCCCCAAGAACCTGGGTGTCCTGCCGGACCACGTTGCCCAGTCGATTGTCCAAAAGGCCACCGACTTCGACAAGATGACCGATGAGCAGATTGATGCCATGGAGGAGCTTCCCCTAGTTATTGCCCGCTGTGCCCCCGACACTAAGACCCGAATGATCGACGCCCTCCGTCGCCGCGGTGCCTTCATGGCCATGACTGGTGATGGTGTCAACGATGCTCCCTCCCTGTCTCGCGCTGATGTCGGTATTGCCATGGGTTCTGGTTCCGATGTGGCCAAGTCCGCCGCCAAGATCGTGCTTACTGACGACAAGTTCAACTCCATCGTTTCTGCTATCCGCGAGGGCCGCCGCATGTTTGACAACATCCAGAAATTCGTCCTGCACCTGCTCACGTCTAACGTCGGCGAAGTCATCCTCCTGGTCGCTGGTCTCGGCTTCATCGACAAGAGCGGATTCTCCGTCTTCCCCGTCTCGCCGCTTCAGATTATTTGGATCAACATGGCTACTTCCTCTTTCCCCGCCTTTGGACTTGGTCGCGAGGCTGCCGGCCAGGACGTCATGCGCAAGCCGCCGCAAGACAAGAAGCGCGGTGTCTTTACCAACCAAATTATCGTTGACATGATTGTGTACGGCTGCATCATGGGCGCCTGCACCATGTCCACCTTCTGCATCATCATCTACGGCGCCAACGGCGGTGACCTCGGCGAGGAGTGCAATCAGCGCTACTCCGAGGCCTGTATCCCCGTCTTCAAGGCTCGTGCCGCCACCTTCGCTGAGCTGACGTGGTTGATCCTGATCTCCGCTTGGGAGTTCAAGAGCCTGCGCCGCTCCATCTTCCGCCTCAACCCCGACGACGATAGCCGATTCCCCGTCTTCAAGGATATCTACGCTAATAAGTTCCTGTTCTGGTCCGTCGTCATCGGCGGCCTGTCCGTGTTCCCCGTCGTCTACATTCCCTTCCTCAACCACAAGTTCTTCAAGCACACTGGCATCAGTTGGGAGTGGGCTCTGTCCGTGGGCTTCACCATCGTCTTCGTTGCCGGCATTGAGCTTTGGAAGTTGACCAAGCGCCACTTCCGCCTCCTCGAGGACGCGCCTATCAAGCGCGGATCTTGGGGCCAGGGTGGTTCCGACGAGGAGGGTCGCAAGTTCGGTCGCACCATGTCATTCTCCAGCTTCAAGACCTGGGCGTCGTTCTCACGGAAGGATACCGGCGATTCGTTGGGCAAGCACAGCAACTCGCGGGGCCATGGATCTGCGCACCCGAGCGTCATTGTTCCTCAGGGTCTGGCGGCCACCGAGGCATGATTGTTCTCAATTTTTGCAATGAAACAAAATTAATGAGGAAGAAATAAGAATCTGGAAAGATTTTGGGAGGATGAAAGAGAAAATTTGTGTTTGACGAGAAATACATGATCCATCCCGACGGATGTTGATGATGACGGTTGATACCGTGGTTTTGTATCTTTGTTAGTTTTGCCTCGACAGAAGGGCTTAGATATCCCAATGGCCAGCTACCAGGAATGGGCTGGCTGTACAAATAGCATTGAATTTGCGAGAATGTCATCAGGGTGCTCTTCCACATTGTGATTAATGAACTAAGGAATGGATTTTATGATCAATTTTTTTGTGAGGTAAGCTAGCTGACATGACTGTCATTAAATGATATGATCAACATCGACAAATGTGTTTTTGGTGTATGTAATGTACGATGTCCAGAGTTGAAAAACTCATAGCTAGGTCCAATAACATTCGGGACATGTCCCCAGGACTCATTGTTTAGAAATAGCTCCGCGGACAGAATTCGAGCGCCGACCCGATCCGAACCCCCCATCGTTGCCATCATCGTCGGCATCTTCGCCGTTCGAGGCGCTGTTGTTGATATTTCAAGCTGGCGAATTAGACATCGGCTCGAATCTCCCGAATTCGCTAGATGCCTCAAGTTCCTCGTCAAATATACACCATGGCAGGTTTGGCATCGTCAGTCGTGAGGACATTCAACAAGTTGTGCTGTTGTTCGTCTTCGTAGGCCTGGCAGAAACTTGCCATTTTATTCCCCCAATTGTTCTGTCGATTCTTGGCCTGAGTGGCGTCATCGCCAACTGTCCACTCGCTGTACCACACGATCTTGTCTCTGTGCGAGAGAGGAAGTTGTATCATCTTGCACAGACCATCCTTCTTGTCCTGGAGAAGGAACAAGTTGGTCCTCTCATCTTCCAGTCTTCGGACCATGATGGGCAGATTGGGCAAGGTCGAGATGATTGTGTGGTGATTGAAGTCGATTGCCATCCTCCGCTTGAACGTCTCGACAGAGTTATTTGGAACGTCTGGCAGAAGTTCCCCACGTCAGTATACTAGGGACGAGTCGTTGGTATTGTTACCGCCTGGGTAAGGTATATATAGATGTGTTGTTTTGGGTCTTATGTGAGGCGGTATTGAGTGTAGTCATCGCTCGTTGTAAATGATCGTCCACAGTCTGCGCTGCGAGGCGGCCTGAGTATATATGATTACTAGTGCAAGGGAGGGCATTGTGTGCTGTGCTGATAGCGCAGTTAGCCACCGTATTCTTGGTAATTTAACATTTGCTGTCCACTTACCTTCAGCATGCTCCATCGCACGACGTGGAGCCAGATGTCACACGTGAGGTCGCCGATGATGAGCGAATGACACAGGATGCGGAGCCGCTTCAGCTGTGCTGTCCTCGTGCTTGGGTCTCGGCGAAACCGAAGGCGCGGCTAGGACTGGGTGAACAAGTTGGCCCCATCGATCGTGAAGACGGTTGGAGTCTCCGGTTGACGGTATTCTTATACGATTTGATGCAATTGCGGCAGTAGATGGAGTTAGTGCGGCAAATGAGCGCGATGATGGTTGCCTTCACCTCAGTGCGACGAGGGAACTGGTGAAAGAAACACTTAGGCAGGTGAATGTGCTGAGCAGTGGCGTTCATCGGCCGAATGCCAACCTTTTCGATGCGGCGGATATTATCCAAGAGAACACCATCCGAAGATCTAGTGGTGGAGAAGGAAGCAACATCAGCTTTGGCCGGAGATCGTACAGGGACAGGCTTGAAGCCTTGAGTTATTGGAAGGCCAAAACAGTAAACCCGGGAGACCTACAATAGGTGACGATCGTGGGTAGGTGACAAAATGGGTCGATTGGCAGGACCAGCTGTTCGGAAGATTTGTGATGGAGAGAAGTGCGAGGTTGGAGGCCCAGATGATTCATCCGACCGGCTGTCTCGTTGTCTGTGGTTTCCGATTGCCGACGGGTGCGACTGGTTCGGGAGTTCATCTTGGTTTCTTTGTGTCTTGAGTGTGAATCTGCGGCAAGGCCGTTGCTCAACAGACTGCTCTGCCGGCTTCGATATAACTGTTTCGTTCACAGCAGCCGGTACTCTTCAGACTCCTTTATATTTTCTTCAACGGCCTTTTTCTTGGTGGCAAACCCGGCTGGAGAATTAGCCGAAAATGTTCTTTGCGCCGTGAAGCGAGACTTTCGTGCTATGTTGTTGCATGGTCGCGTAGGTGTCGAATGGCTTAGGATTCCACAAGTGGACGGGGTAGGACCTTGCCGGCAACCATGGCGCGCGACAAAGAAAGGCAGGACTTGGTCCCTAACTCTAAACCTAATCCGTAAGGGATCCCGTCTTCAGGTGAATCGTTGATCAGTCGTTCCTCTTCTCGCGTGAGGAGTTCTTCGTCCGAAACTTGAGCATCGGGGTCCCACATCCGGGAGATTTGTGAACTGTTGATAGCAATGCCTTTCTTCGCCTTGGAGATCCGGCTGATTCTGGTTGCATAGGAGGTGAGGATGATGACTCGTGCGGTCTATTCCACTGTTAGTATGGTGTGTCCAAGGGGGTTATGTCAGATGTTGCCGGCTCTAGGAACTGCAGTTCCAGGCAGTAGGGGGGTTTAATGGGATGTTGGGCACTTACCTTCGGTGATAGATGCTCATTTGCCAGCTTATCCATGAGATTCTGCATCTCACTCGCATTGTCAAGGGTCCGAAGCTTGCGTTCCGGATTCGTGCAATTGTCTCGCGAATGATACAAGCAGTAGACGTCCAAGACGCCCCTCCAAAGAGTCGTCAGCTCGTTGAATGCCTGGTTCACGGTGGCGGCCGGCATGAACATGATGGACGGCTTGTATACCTGCTCGCCGTTCAGTACGGACCCCGGGTGTACGTTCGTCCTCATAATATTGGAATGTATGACAAATGACAGCGCCAGCGCTGCCGTAAACGTTTTGCCAGTCCCACACTCGTTGAGGAGCATCGCGAAGTGCATCGGTCCTTGCAGCAGGTTGGCGATGTGGTGGGAATCTGTCGACGATTGAGTGCATCAGAGATATTGTGGCAAAAGAACTGAAAGGTGGCTTGCCATCGTTGGTAAAGTTCTGGACGTCAGGACACGGATGCCAGAGGCAAAACTTGTACCGCATGGGTGAGTGCAAAGGCCATAGTGGCGACGGCGGGCTTGCTTCTGTCTCCGTTGAGGGCAAAAGGCTTGGCTTGTATCAGGATGCTGCACCTGTATTGACAAATGGTTGGTTTCGCCGTTCTGTAACTCCTCGGAGACGAACATGGGAGACATTTCGCGGATAGTCGAAAGGTCGAATGCTAGAAATTCCAATTGTTTGAAAGCGAAAGATGGAAAAGAGTGAAGATATAGTCAGAGGAGGGCGATATATCCTCTGTCGGTCTTCGTTGGCTGTTGGAGGTGGAAGGGAGAAACGCCTTGGCGTTGCGCAGAATGCGTCAGGTAGTTCTAGTACCAAGCAGCAGCTGGTCGCAACTCTTCTGGAATCTAGGCAGGCCGTCCTTCCAGACCCAGCGTCACTGGATAGGACCACAACCTGTTGACTGTTAATAGATTTCTGTAGAGCAGGAAGCATTTTATTACTTGAGTTTTATGATAGACGTCCAGGAAGTCCTGGCGCCTCCCAGAAACTGGAAGCTTGCGGCGATCTGGAAGAGGAAAAGCATTTCCCGCTCCGCATTTGGCCTTGTTGTATTGCTGCCTATTGCCAAAGCGATGTCGTCTGTCTCCGGGGCGTGCGCTACCCCAGATGCATATGCATCCCATTTGTTGGACGGGAAGTCCCAGTGTTTCCCAAGACCACGGCTGATAAGCCTAGGTGAGGTGGTGATATATAGCCTCTGAAAATATCGTCTTGTAGTAAGCTGTCCGCATTCGGGTATATAAAGGTGGCTCGATTTAAGTCGATCTGTGTTGATAGCTGGCTGTCGGCTTGGGTGTCCCGGCTCCTCACATCTCTCATCAACGTTCCCTCTTTAGTTTGACCTTGGATTATACAGTCAGAAAACATCTTGCATAGGGGCGGTAGTGGACTCACAATTGATGCTCAGCATAGCGGACATCATGGCCTGTTTCTGCAGTCAGGCCTGGGCCAAACCACTGGCCCGTGTGTTGGAACGAGTGTTGGCGCAGTTGCGACACTCGACCTTGGTGTCGCCATACTTGACCCAGTCGCATGGGTGTTGTCGGTGGGCGACGATGACTTGCGGGTGCGTTGCGCAGAGATGACAAGGCTTGGTAGATGGAGTCTTACGAGGGTAGGTTGGAGCGTGCCGTGCCGTCTAGCGGTGGGAATGTTCGTGAAAGGCCAAGAAACGAGTTACAGAAGACGTTGCTAGTATAGAAAGTAGGTACTGGGAGTGAGAAGTAGGGTTGATGGAGGATGATGGAGGATGATGGAGGATGAAGCACCGATCTGATCCGGAATTTATAGTCAAAGGCCCAGTGCTTGCGTGACTCTCAGTTCGGACTTTGCCGTCGGCAGGAAGCTGAGCGGCGTCAGACAGAAGCAAAGAGAAGCGCCAAACTTTGTGTGCTTGCGGGTGTTGTCCAGTAGAACCAGGAAGCGATGCTTATTTGTTTGTTTGGTTGCCTGCCTTTTCGCTGGTGCTTGCCAACAAGTGTATGCAGCATTACGTGACACAGAAGAGGGGGCATGGTCCCATGGATTGCATTTGGCGTGATCTGTCAAGCTAGTTACAAAGGACCTGGCAATCACCCCACCAAACTGGATGCTGAGAATGACTCTACTGGTAAAGCCAGACTAAAAGAGAGAGTTGATTGATCCCCAATCTTAGTTATGACAACAAAGTTAGCAAGAGTAGTTCAGGGCCGATCCGGAGGGGTTGCTCATCATCGGAGACCGTCCCCACTCTTCGGAGGCCGTCCCCACCGGCATCCGAGCCTAGCCCGATGAGGTAAGCCGGGCCACTACCGAGACTTAGGTAAGCATGCGTCGGGGCCTCGGCGCCCCCAGACCGATACTTCCGCGGGAAACAAGCCGTGCAGCAGATGTGCCTCGGCCCAACCCCACACGCTGCATCAACTAACTCATTAGAGCGCGGCGGAACGGTCAAGGACGGAGTAAGTACCGCGACAGGTTGCCGTGGCGCCTATGATGAAGCGTTGAACGGCGGCCAAAGCTCCCGTCCCCCTCCTCGCTGCCTCGGTTCAGGGCCATGATTTGAACCTCTTCTTTCGCGTCTTCCGCAATCGGTTCACCATCCAGCATCTCCCTTTGTTTATTCCCTTCCATCCACCAAAGATACCCCCACATACGTCGTCGCCATGGCTGTCGAGAGAATTGGTTCTATCCTGAAGCACCTGGCCCCTGGGTCGTCGCTGAACAACATGTAAGTAAGACGTGGGTCTGTCTAGCTGTTACCCCGGATTCTAGGAGACGTGGTTGAAGCTAGGAAGTATGCGCGAACAAGTTGAATTGACCGCGCTGAAAGCACATCCAAAAATGCCGACGACATCGTCATCACCCTCGCGATTCGAACGCCGCTCACCAAGGCCAAGAAGGGTGGTTTCAAGGATTCAACCCTAGAGTACATGCTATATGCGCTGCTCAAGGAGGTCCGCGAGCGATCCGACTTGGATCCTAGCCTCGTCGAGGATGTCTGCCTGGGCAATGTATGTGATGTCGCCTCCTGAGGTTTGCGCAAGATTGCTAACCAAGAGTCGCATCCAGGTCTCCGATGGCAAGGCCGCCTACAAGGTCCGCGCCGCTGCTCTGGCCGCCGGCTTCCCCAACACCGCCGGCGCCTCGTCCGTGAACCGATTCTGCTCCTCTGGCCTCAAGGCCACGGCCGACATTGCCAACTCCATCACCAACGACGTGATATCGATTGGAATCGCCATGGGCGCCGAGAACATGACTGTTGGCGGCGACAAGCTAGACCAGCCCTTCGACGAGGCCGTCACCTCGGCAAGCCAAGAGGCCGAGGACTGCATGCAGCCCATGGGATGGACCAGCGAGAACGTGAGTAAGGACTTTGGCATCACCCGAGACCTCATGGACGCGTTTGCCGCCGAGAGCTTCCAAAAGGCCGAGGCTGCGAAGAATGCAGGCTGGTTTGCGGACGAGATTGTGCCCATCAAGACCAAGATCCAGGGTCCCGATGGCGAGTGGAAGGAGGTGACCCTGACTGAGGACGAAGGCATCCGACCCGGCACCACCAAGGAGAGCCTGTCCAAGATCCGATCAGCGTTCCCTCAATGGGGTGGCTGCACCACTGGTGGCAATGCCAGCCAGATCACAGACGGAGGTGAGTGTTTCCTTGGAATTTTTAAATCTAACGAGTGTAACTAAGCTGACTCTTCAACTAGCCGCCGCCGTTCTCTTGATGAAGCGATCCACAGCCATCAAGCTCGGCCAACCCATCGTGGCCAAGTACGTCGGCTCCACCGTCGCCGGTCTGGCCCCGCGCATCATGGGCATCGGCCCTACCGTCGCCATCCCCAAGCTCCTGACGACCTTCAACATCTCCCTGGACGACATCGACGTCGTCGAGGTCAACGAGGCCTTTGCCTCCATGGGCGTCTACTGCCGCAACAAGCTCGGCCTGACGTCGGAGAAGATGAACCCCCGCGGCGGAGCCATTGCCCTGGGACACCCGCTGGGCGCGACTGGTGTGCGACAGATCGTGACGGGACTGAGCGAGTTGAGGCGGACGAAGAAGAAGATTCTGCTGACGAGCATGTGCATTGGAACGGGCCAGGGAATGGCGGGACTGTTCGTCAACGAGCAGGTGTAGATTGGTGAAAAGCAGCCTTGTATTATGTATCTATGTAACGATAGTTGCAATCCAGAATGACGTGCACACGTGCCGGACTGCATGAACTTGAATCTGACAGACAGATGACTTTACGGATGTATATTTGTTGTCGAGGGACAAGAGACAACATGAGCCGAGCAGACTGTCTCGCTTGTGGGAATGTCCAGCAATACTCATTTCGGTGTCCCTACCGACGGTTACACTACCCGCTCCAGCACCACGGCACCCGGGACCTGACTGCACACCCATCGCACAGCGCCTCCTGCGGTGTAAGAGATGTCATCATGGCAACCCCACGCCCACCCACTAGAAGTCGTAGAGTCGCAGCGTGTGGCCTTGCTCCGCGACGCCGTTGGCTGGTGTCTCGCAACCACCGGACCATCAGCCGGCCGATGTCGGGTGGACCCCCTCGCATCCCCCTGTTGGTGATGGGTGCACCGCGCAGGGATCCGCTGAGAAACTGCAGGGCAGCCATTGGGCTCGCCAACGGCCAGTGGCCTTCAGCGGGTGTGGTCACCTGAAGCCTCCCGCTGCAGGCGCAGGCGGCCTGATGTCACACGCTATGCACGCTAACTGCGGCTCTCCAACGCCCCCCCAGCGCCCTAACGCCCAAATCTCACAGGCGGCCCCGTGTTTGGCCGCCCGCCGCCCGCCGCTCGGCCAAAAATTGTTCGCCATGGGGAATATGCCTGATGATCAGGTAAATCCGGGCTTGGAATGACAAACTCTCTGACGCTGTTTGTCTCTTAGCTTGTTTTTCGTTTTTTCCCCTCCGCTTTGCCTCACCGTCGTGGGAGGATTAGAGTCAGTGGAAGCGACGGTTACCCAGGTATCATGCCTTTGTCGTCCCCTGTGTCGTTCTCGTTCTCCCTCGTCTCGCGTCACCTCCCGCCGTCCATTTCTGTGCCACGCAACACCGACACCGCAACACCACGAATCCACGAATCGGCAACCATCCGCTGCCCTTCGGACGCAGGTCGTTAACGACGCTCGACTCTTCGGTTAAGATTGACGACGTCAGCTTCGACTTCAGCGTCGGCTTCGTCGTCTTCCCACCGACATCATGGCTTCCCACAGTCGAAACTCGTCCGCCAACGACCACCGGCCTGCGCAACCGAGCTCCCTCCGCCAGGCCCTGTCCGCCCAGAACCGATCCTACGACGACCGAATAAACAATGGCGGTGACAATAACGCAGCGGGAGACTCCTTCTCCTCGCCTCCCTCCTCGCCTGGCCCAGCGTCCCGCACCGCCATCCCCGGCATGTTCGCCAGCGAGTCGACGCCCTTGATCCAGGACCAGTCCGCCACTTCCCGCCGAACGAGCGTCCACCCGGGCCTCTGCCGTCACGGAACATTCAGCCCGCGACCCACGAGCCCGTCCGTCACCATGCGGAGCACCGACGAGGAGAGCAGTGAGACGGCCGGTTCCGGTACTCACATTCCCGTCCTCGACAGTGCCATCACCACCATTGTCGGACATGACGACTGGAAGCGGTGGCTGAAGAAGAGGATCAGGACCAAGAAGATGGGCCACAGCCGCATGCTGGCAGAGCAGGCCGGCTTCAAAGATACGACCTCGATGTGCGTGTCCTACAGACATCTGTCGGAATGGGAATAAATTCGCTAATCAGCTTCTAGGTACTTGGCCTACTACATTCCCTGCTTGACCTGGATGAGCCAGTACAAGATGTCGTACCTCCGCGGCGACATGGTGGCCGCCATCACCATGGCCTCGTTCTATCTCCCCATGGCTCTCTCCCTCGCTGCCAACCTCGCCCACGTCCCCGCGATCCACGGCCTCTACGCCTTCGCCTTCAATCCTCTCGTATATGCACTGCTCGGTTCCTGCCCCCAAATGGTGGTTGGTCCCGAGGCCGCGGGTTCGCTCCTGGTGGGCAGCGTCATCAAGGCAAACGTCGACTCGGGCAACGACAAGGAGGCCAACGATCTTGTACATGCCCAGATTTGCGGCATCATAACGGGCATGGCTGGAGCGACGGTTCTGGTAGCTGGTTTGACACGGCTGGGATTCCTGGATAGCGTCCTGAGCCGACCTTTCCTGCGAGGCTTCATCAGCGCCATTGGCTTTGTCATTGCTGTGGACCAGTTGATTCCGGAACTGGGTCTCACCGACCTGGCTGACGAGGTTGGTGTCAGCCATGGCAGCCCGGTCGAGAAAATTCAGTTCATGATTCGCAATGTCAATCAGACTCATGGGTTGACATTTGCTATCGCCGCCATTAGTTTCCTCTTCATCATGGTCTTCCGGTTAGTTGCGGTCCCAGACAACTCTTCAGACGAGTACGCTAACAAACTTCAGTGAATTGAAGAAGCGCCTGCAGCCCAGGTTCCCTGGAGTCGCCTATATCCCCGATCGATTCTTCGTGGTCTTAGTCTCCGCCATAATGTGCTGGCAACTTGACTGGGAAAATCAAGGTGTCGAGATCCTCGGCGAGGTCAAAGCAGCCAACGGCAACCTTTTTGCCGTCCATTGGCCATTCAAGCTAGAGAACATGCCGCACATCCGGACTGCCATGTCAACGTCTTTCCTGATTGCCCTACTAGGCTTCTTTGAGTCGTCCGTTGCAGCCAAGAGTCTTGGTTCTAGCGAGACGATCCAGGGAATCCAGCTCAGTGCCAACCGAGAGCTGATTGCGCTTGGAGTCGCCAATCTTGTCGGCGGATGCTTCATGAGTGTTCCTGCTTTTGGCGGTTATGGTAGAAGTAAGGTGAACAAGAGTACTGGTGGCAAGAGTCCTATGAGCTCAATCTTCTTGAGTCTCATTGCTCTTCTCTCCATCTTGTTCCTTATGCCCTACTTCTATTACCTTCCCGTAAGTCCCTCCGATCTTTCGACGAAGTTGAAGCTCACAGTATTTGCTAGAAACCTGTTTTATCATCGATGATTTCTGTTGTGGCTTGGTCGCTGATAGAGGAGGCGCCTCATGACATTGGATTCTTCCTGCGCATCCGGGGATGGAGCGAGCTGGGTCTCATGGCCATGATTTTCTTGGCCACCATGTTCTACTCGCTGACTCTAGGCATGGCGCTGGGCGTCGGACTGTCGATTTTGCTTGTTATTAAGCACAGCACCCGGCCGCGAATCCAGATTCTTGGTCGCATCCCGGGGACGAACCGATTCGAGAATGCTGAGGGAGAAGACAACAGCCTCGAGTTTGTCGAGGGATGCCTCATTGTGAAGATCCCCGAGCCTCTAACGTTTGCCAACACAGGAGAGCTCAAGTCGCGCTTGCGTCGGTTGGAACTGTACGGTACGTCGAAGGCTCACCCGGCGCTTCCGCGACTTCGCAGCCAGGACTCCAACCGCAACGTCATCTTCGATATCCACGGTGTGATTTCCATGGACGGATCAGGCACCCAGGTGCTCGAGGAAATTGTTCGCAACTACCACGACCGTGACGTGCGCGTCTTCTTCTCGCGAGGACCGACGAGCCCGGACCACCCCGTGTGGCGGCTCATGGTGAGCAGCGGCATCGTGGCGCTGGCAGGCGGAGAGTCGCACTTTGTGAACGACGTCGAGGAGGCGTTGAGGCTGACGGAGTATGAGGAGAGCCTGAGTGGAGAGCAGAGCCGACTGAGAGGTTATTAGACGGCTCAACGAAGAGCGTAGACGAAGTGGAACGCGGGATTAAGACGGTGGACTAGTGGGGGGTGCATAAAAATGGTGACGAGAAGAACACATGGCATGCTTGGCGTCATGGTTCATATGCTGCAGAGTGGAGGAGATACCATACTGGGTTGCATTGACATGGCATGGAGGGGCATCGACAAGGGCGAGAGGGAGCCCGCTGGGGGACAAACTGCATAATCACGAATATATCTAGATACACATGGAAGCATGGCGCTTTTGGGCTTTTGAAATAGATCAGACAGTATTATCCTTATCTTCGCGATCCTTATCTTTGTGATAGCGGTGTTGGTCTTGGACAATGCAATGCAGAGTGAACGCCATGGCTCAAACCTGCGCTCCCCCCAAGCGCTTACCATGTAGGTGATAGCTGCTATGTAAATAAGAATGCAGGTGAAGACTAGAAAATCCCCTCATGGGCCGCCATCTGCCAGGCTGCATGGCTTGGCTGTTTTCAACGCCAGCGGTTGGTCCATCCCAGTTGGCTTCTCTCGCGAGGAGAGGGTCCACGATCGCGGACAATTCGCCCGCGGGCGGGCCACCTCCCCGGCGACGGAGTGATTCATGGCGCCCTTGCCTGCGTTAGCGGGACAAGTCAGCGTGCATTTTAGGGCGATGAGGAAACAAAGGTGCGAGGGGAAAAGCGGGGAGGCGCTGCAATGGAGATGGTGAGATTTCGATGGGTTGATGACGGGGGTGGGAGGTGGAAAAGCATCGAAGGGTTCTTGGGGGTTGCTATTGAAGGCTTGAAGATATGCCGTGTACTTGGGATGTGGTGATATATGTTAAGATATATATACATACAGTGAGGGCGGGCTTTATAAGGCTTGCAGCCTCTCCATGTTTAGATCCCGGCTCATCACGACTCCCCACGAACAAGCCAGGCCAGCCCGACACTCGACAGGAGCCTGCAGACTGCACACAGAAGCCCGCATGCTCCTCTGCAGACAAAGAACGCGAGGGGCGGATTTGTCAATAAATGCCTGAACCATGGGGGCGGGCAGCTCGACGAGACCAGGGTGCGCGCTGTGCGCCATGTCATCCATCGGCTTGCCTCGCTCGTCCAACCATCCAAAGATCCATGTGCATGGCTCACTGCATTCGTTCGTCTTGCCAAGTGGTTTCATCTCTTCTACAGTCCTGTAGTTCCATCCCAGATTGGCAGTGCATCCTACATAGAACCGCTGCGATCCGCCCAACCCATCAAACCACCCACTCCTCCTTGCGACCTGGCCATCCTCCTCCCCCTTCCACGTTCCAACCACACACAGACCAGACTCACTACCGTGCTCGTGAGAAATATCACGCCACCGAAATAGATCTGAACATGGCCGGAACCGAGGAACAGCAGCCTCCTGTGCAGCCGGAGACCACGGCGCCGCCGCCCGCGGAGCAGGCCCCGATTCAATTTGTTAGCTGACCCGTTTTTGAACACTTCCCTCCACCTCCTGCTGAAGGAGCTCTCGGCATCTCCGGTCATTTCTGCCGCACCCATATAGTCAGTTCCGGAGCTCCGGACGCTTGGGACACTCGGCACCGCCGGGGGTGCGCCGGAGGCCTTCCCGGATCCCTCCCGATCGTTCTAGGGTGGAAAGGAACGATATGCTAACTGGCATCTCATAACAAAGGACCCTCGTGTTGTTGGTGACCTCGACGATGACAATGACTCCGCTGCCGATGCAGAGAGGTAAAATTTGACTTGTTTTGTTATCCACCATCTACCTGGGATTGTATTAACGGGATAATTGCAGCCTGCGTGACTCTACCGCATCCATCACCTCGAGCATTCTCGAATACCGCAACATCAATGGTCGAAAGTATCAGTCCTCCAAGACCACTGAATACTGGTAAGCCTTCCATCGTACAATGCACTACTTAATGCTAAGCTGTGTTAGGGCTCCTACCGATGAGAAGCACATTGAGGGTCTTGATGTCTCGTACGCTTCTCCCCAAACCGCCGTCAATAGTCTGATGCTGATCCATGGCATTCAGTCACCAGTTTACCCTGATGCTTATGGGGGACAAACTGTTCTTGTCTCCCCTTACTGAGAGCCCACAGGTATATTTCATGGCCTAGCCACTCTCACGTTCAACTAACGTGTCCCAGAAAATTCTCGATGTTGGGACCGGTACCGGTATCTGGGCCATGTTCGTAATGACGTTTCCATTCCCAGATCGACCCTTTCTAATACGGTTTCCAGCGATATGGCCGACGAGTACCCCTCCGCCGAAGTCCTGGGCTTTGACATCTCCGCCGTGCAGCCCAGCTGGGTCCCTCCCAACTGCAGCTTCCAGATCGACGACGCCCAGCTCGACTGGACCTTCAAGGGGGACGAGTTCGACTTCATCCACATGCGCTACCTGTACGGCGGCATCGACGACTGGAGCAAACTGTACCGCCAGGCCTTCCGCCACGTGAAGCCGGGCGGCTGGGTCGAGAACACCGAGATCGACCTCGAGACGCGCAGCGAGAACCCCAAGGTGTCGGGCGACGAGGGCCACATCTTCAAGAAGTGGCGCAACCTCTTCTGGGAGGCCGGCGAGAAGATCAACCGCACCTTCAAGATCGCCCGCGACAACCAGATGGAGCAGAAGATGCGCGAGGCCGGCTTCGTCGACATCCAGCACCACCAGTGGAAAGTCCCCATCGGCGGCTGGCCCCGCGACCCCAAGCTCAAACAGATTGGCCTCTACAACGGCATGTTCATCGACCGGTCGCTGGATGGCTTCGCCGTGTTCCCCATTGGCGAGATTCTGGGATGGACTTTTGACGAGGTCACCGTCCTTGTGAGCAAGATGCGTCTTGCCATCAAGGACCCCAAGGCTCTTCCCTACTACAACGTGTACGCCAAAGACCACCTCAATCTTTTCTTCTCTTATTCCATCGATTCGTATGCTGACACTTGAAATAGGCACACCGTCATTGGTCGCAGGCCAGAGACTGCGCCCGCCGCCTCTGACTAAGACGATATGGACAAAGAGTGACGTCGTATCACAAGGGGAAACCTCCTTAGTCAGTTCGGCATTCAGAAGTAAAATTATTGACCATACGTGAGGGGAAACCTTGATCATGGGATGGTTGGTCTGACAAGGAAGATACACCATCCAACAGAGAATGAATAAAAACGTTGTCTTTGGGTTCATGCAGTGATAATCTCACTTGGCTTGTGCGACAATCTCCTCCAAGCAGTTCATGGCATCTCGCACAACGCTCATCCCGGGCCCATCATCCTCGATAAAGTTCATCAACTCAAACAGATGCGACTGACCCTCTACCACGAAGAGCTTGACCTTTTCGTCGCCTAAGGACTCTTGCATCTGCTGGCTGACGCTCAAGGGAACATCTGGGTCAACATCCCCGTGGAAGATAACCGTGGGTGGCCATCTCTCGACCCGTGGCTTGTTCGCAGGGTCCTTTGCCCAGTCATACCCCACGTCTACTTCGCCTACCAAATCTAGCCATGCGTTCTTGTAGATGTAGTACTCGTATAGATTGCCCCGATAGAGCTTGGTCCTGGGCTGTTCTACCGGCTCAGCAGGTTGCTTGTAGTCCGGGTTCTTGGATGCATCGGCCAGAAGCATTTCGAGAACAAAGGCTGTCGGGCTTCCGATTGGCGTCTTGCCAACGACAAGAGGGAGCGCGATGACTGGTGCCATGTCGGCGTCCAGGATGGGTTCGGGGGTACGAAGAGTGGACGAGTTGAAGAAGGGGTGTCGAAACGTGGCGATCCCCGAGATGGAAAAGAGAGCGAGAGGCGGCGGAGTGCAGTGATGCGCGATCAATACAGTGGTGAAGAATCCTACGTTGGTTTAGTCCCGTCCTCTTCGTTGCCATGTTGGGATCTCAAGGTGCATACCACCACTAGCACCGCCGACTATAACCCGACGTTCTCTTCCCTCAGGCGCATTCCATTCTCGTGCAAACTTATACGCTGCCGTGACGTCGTCGAGCAGTCCGCGGGCGCCAACTTGGGGCATCAGGCGATAGCTCGCACTGATGAGCGGCCATTTCCTCTGCGCACATGCCTATATCAGAGACGCATTAGCCATCAGAGTTCCAGTGAGCAGAGTTCAATAGCCTTTACTTGAACCAGCCAGGGCGCGAGACAGTCGCGGCCCCAATCTACCAATCCTCCAGGGTGGAAGTAGAGAAAGACAGGTGCGTCTTCGGGGTAATCGCTGCTGGTGTAAATGTCGCACTCGATGGGCATGCCATGATCGGCGTAGACCTCTGTCGATTTAGAGAGCATGACTGCAGGTTTAAACACTTCTGTGATATATGTAATTATACGTCTTTTGATCTTGTGTTAAGTGGCGGAGTATTTATAACTTCGACAGATGATGTCCGACCCCGCGCGAGCCATGTCAAGGCAGCAGCAGGCTTACCAAATTACCCGATGAGATCAACCAGCTCTGAACGAACACGGATAAACAAGACATCAATTAAATAATCGGCTGGTATGATAATAGTGTTTATGACAGATTTTCCAATATCTCACTCATCAGTTTAATCCCAGCCCCAAGTGTTTGCACTGTTTATGCGCTTCCTCAGTGTTGGCCCCGGATCGAGAACATTCCGCAGTCTGGCTACCCTGTAAGTCGGGAACGATGACGCCGCAATTCTTCAGACAATGCTCCTACCTCCATCATAGTTAATTCTGGGCAGTTGACTAAAGTGAGCCACAATTCTGCATGACTGATGTCAGTCGACTGGTATAAATCCTGGACAGCCAACATCACCCTGGGTGATGTGTTCGCCTGTTGCATTTGTTGTGAGCCACTCACGCCGACAGGCTTTTCAACGGCCTTGGGGGCGGTACGGAAGTCGTATGTGACATCTCTCGACATTCGTAGTGGTGAGTTGAGACTTCACTGTCCCGTTCTTTCTAGTCAATCCTACCGTCCTGGACAACCCCAACTGGACCATGTCCAGCTTCTATGGCGAAGAGATTGCTCGTATCCGAAAGAGTGTTGGCCCTACCGCCCAGCTAATCGAAGCCGTGTGTGTAAGTCGTCCAGAGTTGTATTCCACGCCAAGCATCACTCGAATTATGAAATCCCTTGAAACAAATTGACGGTAACACAAAAACAATGCTAACCCCGCTAAGGTGGTGTCGACTCCACTGTTGGTGCGAAGCTGCTCGAAGAAGCGATCGGAGACCGATTCCATGCGGTGGTGCGTATCATGACTTGACATCCCCCAACTAGGAAATTATTATTCCGGATGCGTGCCCTTCTAATGCCCCTCTTCAACTGACTGGGGATCCCGCGCAGCTCGTCAACAACGGTGCCATGCGTCTTAATGAGTGTAAACAGGTCAAGGAGACTCTTGCCCAGCATTTGGGCATCTCTCTGACGGTCGTCGACGCAACCGATCGCTCTGCGACTAACGACACTTCCGCAAACATTTAGATATGTAGCTATTTCCATGGAGATCATTTCTGTAAATTTATTCGCTTCAGCAATGCACTCATTGTGAACAATGAATTCGTTCGAAATGGGAAGTCTAGGGGCTCTGATAACTTTGACCCGACCCGCGATGTCGGTGTAGATTAGCAGGAGAAGGAGTTATTCACGCGCAAATTTGAATCGAACTTGACAAATATCGACTGTTTACTTAAAAAAATTTACTCTCGTTGATGGCTGTAGACTGTCGTTTGCACGAAATTGATCCCTGATAGAGTGGTAGTACATGCACTTTTACTGAATTGTCTCGCACATGACGTTGTGAATCTGAGCACAGTATAAAACATAAGCTGTTCCTTTCCTAAGACCAACCTCTACAATAACTATAACTTTACCTGCAAGATATCGGATCCCTCGCTCTTTATTATTATTATACGCATGAACCGTTCTGACTTCTTCTGTTGCTCTCCCACATCTTCACCCGACTGCCAATCCATGACGCACCGATGATGTCGAAGACGGCTCAGACTTGGCACGGCGACTCCGCGACCAACAGGTGATACCTCTGCATCTCGACGAATTGCGTGATGAATACGTCCAAGTCCAATGGGTCAGCAGGGCTCTTGGCAATGGATCAACATCAAGCGGCATTCGGCTGGAGCCCCGTAGAACGTGGGCGACACTTCCTTGCTCCCCAATCCCTCCAGACCCAGCATGATGAGGGGACGACTCAGGGATATCGACTCCATCCTTGACGGTCGCTTTATCCACTAATTATTCGTAGGATTCGTCAGTTTTCGAGGAACATCAGAATCCATGTTTATGGCGCAATGCCCCCAGCCCTAACGCCGTTGCCGCCACATGTCCCGCCTCCAAGTTCAAGTTCTGCCTAGTCATGAGTGTAACGTTGGCTCCGTCATCCTTCGACAACACTTGGAAGCCGCTTGCCCCTTTGGAGCCCGCAATTGTGACCAAGTGGGCAATGACTGTGAAGGGCAATTGTTTATTTATTATGCTTAATTCCAGTGTATCTTGTAGCGCGCGCAACTTGACTATTTTCGACCATGTCCAGGACCACCTCCAACAAAACCTCCGTCTTGCACCGAGCTCCTGAGTACTTCACACTCAATCGCCTCCCGACCGTCCGAGGTGGACACGGCCGCTCGCTGCCTCCATCGTCAGCTTTCTCCACCCAAAGTCAGAATGCCAAGATGCTCGGCACCTTGGCAGCGGAGTCGGCGAGCCTTCGCATCGTTCTATCATACGAACTGTTCACGTTGCCAAGCACGTCGGGATGCGCCTAGGATACTACCAAGTCGATCATATCCCCAAGCATGCAGCAGCGCAGTCGGCCCCCATCTCTCTCGAGGATTGGGATTGCTTGGCTTGGTGTGGGATTTATTATGAATAAAAAGAGGGCGGTTCCCGGTGCGACCCCAAAGCGCGGCCCGGGCCAGAGACTCGGGATTCTTTTCTTTTTGCCTTGCTGGCCTTTGCGTACAGTAAAGTAAATCCTGGAAAAAACTCTAATTACTGCGGGTTCGTGTATATACTCTCGCATGTAAGTCACGTCTTCTGGAACCTTGAAAGGTTCAAGTCTGCGGAGCATGAGCTTACGTTTTCTTCGAGATCCCTCTCCCAAATCTTGTCCACAGACACACTCGACCTGAACCTTCCTTGTCCATCAATTCGTCCGGGCTATTGACCCTGGGCCATCTCCTCCTAATCATGGTCACCATCCTTCAAGCCCTGAAGAAGGTTGGCAACTGGCTGGCACCACCACCAAAAAAGTCCGAAGATGGACGCGATCAATGGCCTTCTCGAGCGGCATTCCTCCTCGCTGCGATGGGAGGCTGCGCCGGTATGGGAAATCTGATCCGATACCCATCTCAAGTCTACAATAATAATGGCCTGCAATGGTTCATCCCATACCTAATGTGCGTCTTCCTCATCGCCATTCCGTGTCTCGTCCTGGAGATCGCCATCGGCCAGGCCTACCACGGTGGATCTGTTGTCGCCTTCAACAACGTCAACCATCGCCTAAAGGGACTGGGGTCTAGTCTCTTATACATAGGCTTTATCGTCGGCCCATATTTCGTTGTGAACCTCTCCTGGATCATGATCTACTTCCGAAACTCATTCAAGAACCCACTTCCCTGGGAGGGTCGCAGCGAGGAATTCTTCTACCAGATTGTTGTCGCCAACGTCGACGCGATCCCGGGGAATAAGACGAGCAATTCCGTCATTGATTACACCGAGTATCCGGGTGTGAAGTTGTTGGGAGAGACGGTGGCTTGGACTGCTTTCACCTGGTTCCTCGTCTGGATCTCCATCTTCCGAGGGGTGGGCTTGACTGGCCGTGTCGTTTACTTCACCATGGGCCTTCCAATCATCATGACAGTTGTGCTGGTCGGACGATCGGTCTCGCTGGAGAATGCGGGTCGCGGAGTCAAGCTGTACTTTGGCGAGTGGCATGGCGAGAAATTGGCAAAAGGAGACATCTGGCAGACTGCAGCTGGCCAGGTCTTCTTTTCAACCGGTGTTGGCTTCGGATACTTCAGTTCCTATGCCTCCTACAACCAAAAGCACTCTAATGCGGTCATGGACTCTATCTTGATCGTCGCCAGCAACGTTCTCTTTGAGGGTTTCGCTGCTTTCGCTGCTTTCGGTGTCATCGGCTACATGGGGATGTCTCCTGTCGACGGCGAACGAATCGGTGCCTTCACAATTGGCTTCCTCACCCTACCGACTGCCATCACTGAGCTACCCGCAGCCAACTTCTGGGCATTCGCATTGTTCTTTACCCTCATGGTCCTTGGATACAGTTCCGCCTTTGCTATGCTGGACGCTGTGGTTACATTAGTCATGGACTCTGGCATCAAGGCGCGACGCGAGTGGGTTGTCACGGGTCTCGTCATCATCTCCTTTTTGATGTCGCTTCCCTACTGCACAGAGTTCGGGTATGCCCTCCTCACCGGAATCGATCGGTGGATTAGCGACGTTGCCCTGGTCTTTGTGGTCTTCTGCGAGTGCGCAGCCTCTACTTCCCTATACCGCTGGAGGGACGTGGTAGGCCAGGTCGGACTCCCTTCATTCATCACCTTCAACTCGGGTTTCTTCGGCGGTATGGTCTTTGGCGTTGCGATTGCGCATGCGGCTGGCGCTCCTGTTGGCGCTGGCGTTGGCTTTGGTCTCTTCATTGCTGGAACTCTCATTGCACTCTTTATCGGCAAGACGCCCGATTCTGAGCCACCATCCAAATTCTTTAGCAAGAGCGTCTACATCAGTCGCTTCTGGTACTTGGCCTTCTACTCAGTAAGTCTATGATTGCTAATTCTATCCGGGAATCGTACTAATACTATTTTAGGGACAACAACTCAGACTTGATCTCAACATGATTGTTGGGACTGGTAAGAACTGGACGATCCCCGTGATATGGGGTCCTCTTCTTCGTTTCATTTCGGCGCCCACTCTAGCCATCATTTTTGGCTTCTCCTACCCATCGTTCCATGAGCTCCGCGAGGACCCGCTCCACATCCTGGGATTCGGAGTCGCTCACATCTGTCTATTGTTGATTGGTGCCGGCGTTCTATTTCCCAGGTGGTTCGACGTCTTGATTCCCCCGAATCGTCGTGGCGAAGGCAAGATCGCATATGCCCCCAATGTGGTGCAAGGAAGTGTAGAAGTGCAGCAGAGTGACTCGATAGAGATGGGAGAAGGTGAAGAAAAGGGCAAATAAATCAACAGGGATTCATGAGCCTTGTAGTGAGATATTTGTATTTACATATATACACCTTGAACATTTGACTACATCGTTGGGCATATAAACCTAAATACAGCCGCATTCGGCCATTGAATTCGATTTGGGAGATGATGGAATCAACCCCTTCAAAATACTCTTGAACCTTTGCAAAGGTCGTGGCCCATGATATTCTTGAACAAGCGAATTACCAACAGGGTGGTAAAGAGAGATGGGAGTATTCCAGCACATGCGAGCTGATCTAAAATGGGTACGTCTTTAGATGTGCGCCAATGCCAACATTTATCAAGTTGCAGAATCTATAAAATAGAAAATCAAGTACTACTTTTTCAAGCAAAATGCGAGAGGGAGTTGTAGCTTGGTAGTGTAAAAGAGCACAGCTGGCGTTTGATTCAGCCCAATCACATTCATCTCCCAACGCCTTCCGCAAGCCTTGTGCGGCTGAGCGGCGGTGACTCCTCATCTCCGCCGCCTCCTTGCAGTTGTTCCCTTCTCTCGCCTGCTTCTGCTACTATTTCTGACCTCTCGTAACACCCGGCCTTTGCAGCATCGTAGAGTTCCCCTCACCGGATTACACCCTGCATGAATCGATCATGGCTCAACATCTTCCCCACGTCTCTGACCTTATCCGCATCGAAGAGACATGGCGCAAGGAACGAGAGCTTGGTAACGGCACGTTTGGTCGGGTATGGCTCGAAGGCTGCATCGCCGGGCCTGCTAGCGGCAAACTTCGGGCCGTGAAGGAGATGGACAAGAACTCCGAGGTGTCAGCGATTGACTACTCGAGGGAGTTAGAGGCTGCGGCAAAGTTTTCTCACGGGAAAGTGCGCCTCAGACCCGACCCATGTTACTGATTGTACCTATGTTAGCTGACCCTTATGAAAGTATGTCCACTGTTTCGTCGAGTGCACCGGCTGGTACGAGTTCGCGGATATGGTATTTATCACAATGGAGTACCTTCAGCACGGCGATCTTCAAAAGTATCTGAACCGGTCCTTTCCTGAGGCCCAGGTCAAAGATATCGCTTCTCAGCTCGTCGAGGGTCTAGGGTATATGCATGACAACGGGTTCACTCATCGGGATCTCAAGCCGGCTGTAGGTAACATCGATACCTGGCATGCTGCCACATGTTTTCTTGACCATGCAGGAACTGTTCGGCTATGTTGTCCGTGGACATGCATTCCCTACATCAGTATTGACGGAGGCGGGTGCGAGCCAGGACTGCTGCGAATTCGTCACAAAAACTATGTTGGCCGATCCAAGCCGTCGCCTAACAGTTCGCGAAGCCAGTGCGCATCCCTGGGTGCAATCGCTGCTTGAAGAGCCAGTCGTAGATCCTGAGGCATCCCAGGAGAGCGCCCGGCCCGACTCGCTTTCAAATACGGGGGCAGTAACCCCTTTTGAGGATACAGCTCGATGGAGCACCGCCATGTTCTCATCTATCGGGCAAACTGCGTACCAAGATCAAAGGTCCATGGCAGCGAATCCCAATCACTACCCGACCCAAGAGATGCAGCCAGCAGAGAACAAAACCATTCAAACAACCCCCAATGATCTTACAAATTCTGTTGATCGTACACAAGGTCATGACTTGATTGGGGGTCTTCGCAACATGAACCTAATTGGCAAGATCACCAGTGCTCCACAAGTAGAGGAACCGAATTCCTACACGACGCTAGAACATCACATCGACCACACAACTCAGCCGTTGACCTCGCGCCTTGCTTCCCAGGCTATCACTCAAATAGGCTCCAATTCCACCAGCAATAATCCATTTCGCAAGGCCCGTGAAAATGATAAAACATCCGAGCTCATATTACAGGCAAAATACTTCATAGAGCCGACCACTGTACTGATGAAGAAAATGTATTGCGCCGAAAGATCTGGGTCTGCCGCTGGGATGGAGACCGTATGGCAACCTAACAGCGCTAGATTGACTCGGTCTAGGTCACTAAGCCAGATCAATTTGGCTTCAGCTTCAGCGGCATTCTTAAAGCATTAAACGTGCTTGAGTGCTGAAAGGATACTTCGGTTCAGGCCGAGGCGATAATCCGATGCCTCTAAAATCGGATATTGTGTGATATACTGCAATACAGCGGGACTCGTAGGGTTAGCCGGGCTGACTACAGTTCTTATTATTAAAGCAGGTATAATAACTTCGATATATAAGATAGATGAGAAGATAATATATAAAAGAGGGAAAAGATTAGAGCTTAGTTTCTTAAGCTAATTAATTATATATTTATATAAATTTTAATTTTTCTAAGTTGAAAAGCTTAATATTTAGGTATTATAGTAGTATTAGGTAATAAATATTTAAATTATAAATAAAATTATATTTTTTTAACCTTATGCCGGCAACTTGCTCACCTTGAGGGAGCAGACAGAAGTTAGATTAGCATTACGCCGAAAGAGAAATAGCGACTATGGCAATGCCAACTGACAAAGGTACACAATCACGGCACCAGCAGCTGATCTCACAGAGCGATGCGATTCTCGCCGAGTTGCGTAGGCGGGTGGTTGAATGCAGTGCCAACCTCACCGGGGAGCATGCTCAAAGGATTTCCGGGTCGCGGGAGGGAATGGAAAAGCTTGAAAATGTAAGACTCGAAATGGACCAAATTGTGAAAGGGACAGGTGAACTCAGTGCACTATGGAGCAAGAATAGATCAGCTTAGAGCGGCTGCACACTTGGGATATGTGAGGATGGGCTCCACGATCTGCGAGGAAGAAAGATATGAAACTATATACAAGTTAAGGCCTACTGGCTGAAGCATTCTCATCGAGAACAAGGCATTTCGGTGTAGAAGTTGCTTCTGTTTCTCGTTAAATCACATACAACCATAAGCTTTGCAAATTACGGGATCCCGTCAAGTTCTTGTTTGCGGGCCAAGTATACCTATTTCTTGACTTCTGTGCCTTGTTTATTATTATAGGGTATAGGTGGATTTTTAAGTCCGCTTGCGTGTATCGAGATGGCTTAACTTACAACTCTCTAGACAAGTCCCTCACTAGCCTTGGGAGATTCTCAACCTCACGACTGGAAATGAGCGAGTGGCGACAAATGCGTCCATACTTCTTTAATTTCAGTGATCTTGATCTCTAGAAAGAATCTTAGGCTAAAGTTTTCTAAACGATCAGTGTTCTTCATCACGTCGGCCGCCCTGCCTGTCTCTACCGCTCAAAATTTAACGACAGTCGGTAACATTATTTATCTGAATTGGAAGCCAAAATGATGGCAATTATTACTCATCTACATAATTATTTCTTTTCATAATCTTCACGGCTCAGGGCGGTCGATCCCTTGACAAATCTGGCTTCATCGAGGTTATGAACAACCCCACATTTTAGATACGATAACAACCAACCCATTGCATTAGTCGCCTGGTTTACATCCGGGTCAACAAGATGAATCTTTGCTGATTAGAATCACCGGCTCAATGTGTTTCTGGCAACCCCACTGTCCCTCTTGGTAACGTGGATGGGGTCGATGGGCATTGTGACTCTATCATCATCCGCGCAGTCGTTCAGCAGCCCCTTGGTGCCCAAGGTCGCGAGCAGCAATGTACCATCTCTCTGCGGATTGCACATCCCGATCAACAGATATTCCGAACTCAAAGTAGCAGCCCATCAAGAACTTTGCGTCGGGCAGGTTACTCGACGCAGCGCACCGCGCGTACTTGAACGCAAGCGCCTCATTCCTTGGTACCAGATTGCCGTAGCCAAGCAGGAACCATCGACTCAAGCTAACCTCCGCCTCTGGCAATCCTCGCCGGGCCGCAAGTTGGAGGTAGCGAAGCGATTTACCCGGGTCGAAAGTACAACCGAATTCTTCCTGCTCGTAGGCAGTCCCCATCGCAAATTGGCCCAGGGCACATCCAAGGTAGGCGCTCTTTGCGATATACTTTCTCGCTAGATCTGGGTTGATCACAAATGAAGATTCCGTGATCTCAATACCTTCCAGGCGTCTAGCTATCAGCATGCCATATATGTAGGCGCTGAGGGGTGCATCTTCGTCGGCAGTATCCGCAGCCTCTTTTATCAGCGCTAGCCCGCGCGCTTGATCTTTCGTGTGACCGTGATATCCATTGAGATACATCCAACCTATGGAGAGCATGGCCGCTGAGTCTCCTAGGTTTACAGCTTTGTCGTAATGATTGAGAGCCATGGTCCAGTCTCCGGATTCCGCTTGTAGCCAACCTAATTGGAATTCAGAACGCCCATGCCTAAGACTCGCTGCTTGACGATAACTGACAGATGCCTCAGCTATATCCATTGAATTGCCAAGTTGGCCGTACTCGAGACACATTCCCTTCAGATAGAGTGCCTCTGTGTGTCCCTGCTCGGACAGAGAAGAGATGATATCCATAGCGTCGACCCTTAGTTCGCGCCCTATATCATGGGGATCTTCAGCGTATACATCGATGCCGATGCGCCAGTTTCTTTCAGCAACCTTTTCCCACATCAGGACGTCGCGAGCCCATAGTAGCCGCTCGTTAGAGTCCTTAGACTGTACAACACGGATGCGGTCATGCAAAAGAAGCTCTTCCCTTTCTGTGTCGCTGATAGGTACGTCTTCACCATCAACTTTCGAGAATGTAGTGTTCGAAAGCGGCCCCCAGACTTCTTTAAAGTCATTCGTGTCATCGTAGTGTAAATGATGAGGCTGTTCTTGATGGCCTCCGACAGATATTGTGTCCAAGTATTCCAAAACTGTCTCTATTTTGATCTCTAGATCTGTTTCAGCGTCACGCTCGGGGGGTGATTGCTGAGGGTTCTTGCTGACAACGCCTGCCCCCTTCTTCAGATGCGAGTCATCCTTTTGCTGACTGTCCAGGTCCATGTCTGATGGAAAGTGTCGAGAGAGCTGGGTCACAGTCCGGTTGATCGTCATCAAATGTTGTAGCAATGTCTCGTTCTGCTCATCTGGGTGAGCACCCGTGACCCAGTCCTGCAGACACCTGCTGAGTGCAGCAACTGAAGCTTTGAAGCGGTTCGCAAAAGCAGCATCGAGATTGGGACTTCCATATACCCAGCTAATGATCTCGTGTTTGAGGTTCTCTTCAATATCCGTGTCACCATCAACTTGATTGTCTTCTGAAAACTCGCTCATATTCGAAAGTCTGGCCAGATCATTGCTAGAGCCCAAGTCAGGAGAATCGGAGGAGTGTTGGTCCTTCGTATGTAAGTCCCAAGGAAGCGCTATCAGCGCCCAAGAATGCAGATGTTCAGCAATGTGGTCGTCCTGATCCGGCCTTACGGGGCCGGCAGGACGACTGCAGAGGGAGCATTGAATTGGTTCAGTGAGTCGTCTCCTGCTTAGGCTCAAAAGCAGTGCTCGTTGAGAATCGATGAATTCGCCTCCGTGGCAGGTGCTCATGTGTTGTTCCCAGTCTGTCTCATCATCAAATACGAGGTCTTCACTTAAATCGCCCCGAAGGGTGCACTGATCGCAAACCCAACGCTGGGTGCTGTGTTGGGTTGTAATATGCTTGATCCATTCATCTTTTGTGGCGTAGAGCTCTTGAGGATCTGGGCAATCTCCGTATACACATGAGTATGGGTTCAAATCTTGTGCAACATGTCCCCTGTGAAAACCAAGTTAGAGATGAAGACAAAAGATTCTATCTCAGGTTATGAGACACAATAGAAGCATACCTCCATCTCCATTTCGATAGGTACTCTTCAGGGAGCACCTGCACGCAGTATGGGCATTGAAAGCTACCCTGGTGAGTAGGGCAGGGTGGGTAATCTTGCTTGAAACCAGTCCGCGTCATTTTAGTCACAATGGACAGTGTCTCTTTTGCTTTAGATGGCAGGATATTAGGCAGGACAAATCGAGATCCTAGCTCCGTCGCAGTCCAGGATCTTGTTGACTCAACGTGTTGGGAGGACGGCTGACCCGGAGATTTGGTTCTGTTGGGCTTCTTTATATTGCGATCAACCTGCTCTGGCTGGATAATTGGCGGAAGCGGTGCTTCTGATATTTGTGAAATGGGCGGACCTTCTCTAGGTTTCGTCGGGAAAGCATCCTTGTCGAACATGCGCCTTGCATGAATAATTCGGTTCCTCCTCGTGACATTCGTCTCGATGAGTTGTTGCTGAATAGGAGTGATTCGGGATGGATCGAAAATCCATGCACGGATCACGATTTCGACTGTTCGTGACAGCTGACCTGCAGAAACCTGGCGGCCAAGTTCGTTGAATAGACGTTGCTCGTATGGGCCAACCTGAATTAGGAAGCAAAGATGCTTCCTCAACTCGATGTACTCGTTATCGTCCATGTGAGTCTTCAGATACTCATCTGCTTTCAAGTATCTTAATTTTGTACCCGACCTCCTGATTGCGATGGACATCCTCGCGAGCAGATTGAGGTTGGTTGTGATGAAGAATTTAGGTCCAGAGTCGTCAGAGTCGGGGGATGCTACCAGGGTTATATTCGCCTTCCCTTTCGTCTCTTCATCCGAAAACTCAGACCATGGAGAATCGCTCGCGCTGTCACCGGAGTCGGATAACTCTTCATCCGTTTCGTTCTTATGGGGAGGCGGATCATCGCATGACAGCTCTTGGCGCTCATCAGCACCTAGGTCGTTAAGTTGAGCTTCCAATCGCGTCGAGTGTGGGCTGGGTGCGTGTTTTTACTTACAACTATGTAAATATTCTTCTAAAGCCGAAAATAAGCTGTGCAGAAGACCGGATATGACTTTTTGAATGTCCAGACGGTTTCTCAACCGAAAGTCGAGAGAGCTTCGGCCCGTCTTCTGGGCCTTGAGACCGTGTGACCACCATGCAAAGTCAGCAGCACGATCCTCAAGCCAGTCATCGTCGGATAGCTTTGGATGATCGGCCATGGCCGTAAATAAAGAAGCACATTTCTTAGTGAGACGGCAGAGCTCATCTGTATGTTCCATTCTCGTATGTGCTGGAAGCCATTCCAGGCTGTAAGGTGAATGTGTGTGAAGCCTGTGTATCGTTTTGGAGCCGGCTGTGGAAGTGTGGCTACTTGAGCTTCCCTCAGCAGTAGTGGCCTCAGGCCATGCATTCTTTCTCACCGCGGGATTTATCTTCTGGCTTCCCGGTTGATATCGACGTCGGGGGCTGAGCGAAGGCGTCCACCAACCAATGGGGCATCACTCTCGGGATAACTAATGATCCCTGACAACCCCGCGTATTCCTTTCGGTTCCTCCTGATGCTGAGGTCAATATTGCCGCATTTAACGTGTAGCCGTGTGTGTTGTGAGTTGTGACGTCTGATAGCAGGTACACGCATCACTGATAAGATGGAAAAGTGCTGGTTCGTTCTCCCTCAAACACACTACCCTCCCCCCCAGGAGAATTGCGACAATGGCGCAACCAAACAAACTGGGCCAATATGCCTCGGTCATTTCATCAAGGACCTCAAACACCTCGACCAAGTGATCAACTCGAACGGTCCCGAGCCATTTCCCCTCGACATGCCTGTGTATCGCACCCGTCCGATCGATTTCGATTGGGAAGAGAAAAAGGAAAGTGGCGTTAATATAGACGCGACAGCTACGGTGCCTATTGCAGCAGCAGCAGGTGTTACTGCTAATGCCTCGCTGGGTTTTGCTTTGAAGAAGACTGTTGGCAACTACTGGCAGATTGATGAGCTAGACACCCTCGTTGTGCAGCCTACAAGGGCGTATGTCAACATTTGTCTGGCTAGCGCGCCAATTGTCGAGTTCTTGGAATCCGTCAAGCTTGGTCCGACATGGTCAATCTTTATGATTACTGGGCTCAAGATCGTCCGTGGTAAATCCACCCAGACAACTTCTCACGGGCGGGAGCGAGGTGTCCATGGAGGTCCAGGAGTGTAAGCACCCACATGCTCTCGGCGCCATTCCGTTAATTTTATCTAATACGGCTCAGAGGAGTTGCCGGCATTGCTGAAGTTACCATAGATGGTGGTCTCTCGTCAGGACAGTCCGTTTCGATATCTGCAACATATGCGCACGATTTTGTCTGGGCCGTGAGGCTTTCAAAGATCACCAAAGGTTTCTTTGACAAGGTATGGACACAGAAGACTTTCTCCAAGGGCGCGACATTCAACATGGATGAAGGTCCTGAAGGCGTAGAAAACATAAAAAATATTCTCCTGGATGAAGGATTACCTAGCAACGAGGTGTATGCGATAGACTCTGAAGAAGAGGGAGACGAAATAATAATTGTGTCAGAAAACCATCATTAGATAGTTTATTTCAGGGTCGCTATTTTTAGTACGAGCTCAAGGGATTGTGTCCGGTGCGACTTCCGTGGCTGGAGGATCGCTACCATATTCACGCAATGCTAGGTAGCTTTCTAACTCCATTACGATACAAGCTGACAATAATAACCGAAGATTTCGAAACGAGAGAATGTAATTTCAGTGTACGGGCTCTTCTTGACTCCCAACGCGAAGAATGACACTTACTCATCATGCAGCACAAGTCCCGTGACCCGATGGCCCCATGACTTGTGGTGAGGCTGAGCCTGATGAAGGAAGAAAACAATCTTACCTTTCATTTTCTTGACTGCTCGGGAATACTCGCCAAATCGGCTTGTTGTCGGCCGTGCAATCGCCTGAGTCGGAATGGGTGCACCTGAGACCTTGCTCGTCGGCTTTGCAATCGACGTGACCGAGCGACTCGCCACAATATCACAGGGCTTACGAGGAAGCGGAGAGGACCAATTTTGTCCATCATTTTCTGCGGCTCTTTGGTTAATCAATCAGCAACTCCAAGGCCAAGAAATACCGACTTCAGGGCTTGATACTCGCTTACTCAAATTACTGAGTAATCTCGAAAGAATCTGCAAAGTAAGCAAACACCAAATGAGATCTGTGGAGGCCATTTGTGAGTGACAATTGGGCCTATCCAGCCACAATCTAGTCTTTCCTATAAACGCCAGCCAGGTCCGTTAAGACCTGGAAAGGAGGGTCTCGACCTTGCACAAAGGTATCCCGGCCTAGATCTGCTCCGCCATAACAATCGAAAGAGTGCCGTGGACGGTATTCGAAAGTTGTCTTCAGGCCAAAGGCCCGAGTCAACAAAGAGGAAGCATGATCTGCTGAAAATCCTTGAAGCCTTCGGTGGTGCGCTGGTGGCTGAAGACCAAGTCCCTGATCCCAAAACGAAGAAAGACATCTGGACTGGCGATGATTTCACGGGCTCAATCCGAACTCTCCACCAGGTTCTGTCCGAATACATGTTCTGTGACGCAGGAAGTCAGAAGAAAGAAATAGCAGGGAGGCTTCGATTGGCAGTGGAGAGTGACCAAGAATCCGACTCGCCGATGTTTGACATGATGTTCCTCGCGCATCCGCACAACGAACTACGCGAGGAATCTTTCCGGTGGCGAGAAACCCGAATCCGAGTCAATAAAAGGCATGAACCTTTTGAGCATGCGTATCCATTATTACCTTCCAAGTGCTAACCAGACATAGGAAACCCAAGTTTAAGGGCGAAGAAAAAAAAGACGTGCAACTGTTGATCGGTGGCGAAATACACACCACAGACTTTTGCGAGAGAATCAGTGCAAGAGAGCAATACCAACTATCTCTTGTGGTCTCAGACAAACAGCTAGAATTTGTCGAATGGTGTGAAGGGGCCAAGTCGTGGGTGCCAAACTCCCCCTCGGTGTCCCTGAACACCATTTTGAGGAACCACAAGCTGTCTCGAAAAATGAAGTATTTGCTGTCTTACCTTCTGGCCAAGTCAGTGTGGCAATTCTACTCCACTGACTGGATGGGCACAGAATGGTCAAAGGACAGCATACACTTCATGTTTGAGCACCGCAAGAGTGCTAGCAACGCGGGCATATATCTGAACGAGCCTTTCATTTTAGCACGGTTCAACCCGGATGCTAAAATTGATGACGCAGTGTTTCGGCCTCACAAATTCCCCAAGATAAAAGCCCTCGGCATCCTCTTGTTGGAAATTGAACTTGGAACAGTCATTGAGGATCACTTCGGACCAGACTGCTTTGCACCTGATGGACAACCCAACGCCGACGCGGATCTTTATGTAACCCTCAAGCTCTATGATGACCCTGACATATTGGAGGATTCATTTCCACTACTGAAGACTGTAATTGGCGAGTGCCTACGGCCTTCAAAATTCATGCAACATCGGCACAGTGTTGAGGAGCTTCGGAAAGTTTTCCAAGATCATGTAGTTGACCCTCTTCATACGATTGTAGGTCTTTACGGCCAGCCAGATAAGATTAAGCTTCGCCCGACTGTTCAAATGCCACCCACACAGTCCCTACAGGTTACTTATCAGCATCAAAAGGTGCCATCTCGGTGAGTTGCATAAAGCGACGTTGAAAACGGGCATCAGCTGATTGGAATTTGCACGAAGCGACACAAAAATTGATGAAGTTCGCCAAGTAATAGAGACTGCCACTTTCAAGGGCTCCGTGGCAAGCTGGTAAGGAGTCTTAGATGACCGCCAATGCAACCAAAGCTGACAAAACCAGCATCGGGCAGGCCTCGTCGGAAGATTGGTTCGATGAATTAGACAACCTAAACGCCATCCTCTCGTCCATGCCTGATGAGGTTGATCAAACCTACAAGCGAGTTCGCGTCGTAGTCATAGACACGGGCATTGATGGGACGGATCCCTACGCCAAGCACGTACGAGACTACAAAGACTTTGTCTCCAAAAATGATGGCGTTAAGCAAGACAAGACTGGACATGGTACAAATTCCGTAAAACTTATCTTCAAGGTCTACGCTCAAGCCGAAGTCTATGTGGCCCGGGTGTTTGAGAGTAATCACGCGAATGATGATACCCAGGACTTGATGTTGGAGGTGAGGTGTGCCAGTAATGCACTAAAGTCTGTAACTAATCGGTGTCCAGGCAATACAACATGCAAAGGATGTTTGGAAGGCCGATATCATCACGATTGCATCGGGATTCGAGAAAGACCACGCCAATATGCGGAAAGCCATTAAGAGAGTCGCGAGCGATGGGACTTTGGTCTTCGCGGCGGCATCGAACTACGGCAATATCAGGCAAGTCACTTTCCCAGCGCGAATGCAGGACGTAGTATGCATGTACTGCACAGATGGCCGCGCCAAAGTGTCGCCGTCCATCAACCCTGCGCCTCAAACCAGCAAATCCAAGAACTTTGCCATCCTAGGCGAAGGGGTGATGGTTCCGCCTTCAATAGGCCAACAATTGACTGGAACATCTGTGGCTACAAGTATTGCCGCTGGCCTTGCTGGACGACTCCTTGATTTCTCACGCCAGATCGATGGCCAACAATGCATAAGATGTGTTGGAAATTTGGCGAGCGTCGAGGGCATATCTGCGGTTTTCAGTCATATGGCCAAAGGAGCACAAGACTACAAGTACAATTGCGTGGTGCCTGGACGGCTCTTGCAGCACTTGGACGACGACTTGGAAAGGAAAGTCAAGAGAAAAAGAATATGTGAGACGCTTTCTGGCGCCTTGGAAAACATCGACTTGGATGGTTGATGGTTCTGCTTGCAGTAGTGCAGCGGCGGGGAAAAGAGAGAGTTCGCAAAACGCCGGGATGTAGATGTTAGATTGGAAGGTTGGAACACCAGGGCTCCATGATGTCACGTGAGGCAGGGAGCTCAGGCTAGACCGTATTCAGAAGGAAGGAAAACCTAGACCCGCCGGCCCCTGAAGGGGCGGGCGGATTTGAACAGATACACAATACACACACAAGTTCAAGGTCATCATTTGGTCACATCAGCTATCCAACAGTAGTGAGACCGTGGATTCTCGCGCATCCACGCTTACACCTCGGTTGTTCAGAAGGCGGCTGCCCCGCTCTTGCCTGAGGCCGAAATCAGTTAGGAATGAGTCGACTATCGCTCGAGTGACTGTTGTGGCTGTTGTGGCTGCTAGCCGATTGATATTGGACAGATAACGAGGTGAGGCGGGCTATGCGCTCAGTGTGGAGGGCATATCTCGGCCAGAGTATACTGAGAACCTATGGATATGCGCCTTGGCGACCAATCTGGCGGGTCAGGATGGATGGGATAGTGTGAGGGTTTGGGTCTTCGGGCACACCCATTACTTAACGGACTTGATATGTAACGGTATAAGGTGGTGGCTAATCAATGAGGGTATGTCCTCCCCCGGACTGCAACGCCGGGCGAAGAGAACAAGAAGGAGAGCGAGGCTCACAGCTTTGACGCGATAATGATCGTCACCATGTAACAATTCATGCGTACGTCCGCATTTTATACCAGGCGTGGAATGGCAATTGCCCCAGCTTCATCTTTTGCCCTTCGTAGTACTCCTTCACTAAAACTTTGCCAACGTCAGGTTTAGATCAAAAGCAGTGCGTTTCTCGCATCTCGACACTTAATACTTATATTGAAGGAACGCTAATACATTGAGAATCTATGGGTAGCACGAGCTGAGGTTGATCGCTCGAGTCATGCACGGCTAAACATTATTGGCGACTTTCGGCGACTCGTGCTCGTGTGATACTGGAGACTAAATGAGGATGCGTTCAGAGACCACAGCAGCATATTCAACTGTATCTATAAGCTCCTAAAACAAGGCCTGCAGACCGTAGAAGTCTGGGATAATCGGGGCCCTCCGTACTATAAGCAGTTCCTCCATCTCTATATGGCGATTGAAGGCAGCTAATTACAATACAGTCAACCCGCATGCATCTTCTGCAGCAATATCGACCTTGCCCGTGTCGAGAAGCATGTTGACTACTGCCTCGCGTCCGTTCTCAGCGGCCCACAAGAGAGGCGTCCGGCCGCTCTTATCTCTCGAGTCGATGTCGACCTTGCCCGTGTCGAGAAGTATCTTAACTACTGCCTCATATCCATTCTCGGCGGCCCATGAGAGAGGCATCTGGCCGTACTTTGTATCTCTCGAGTCCACATCGACCTTGCTTGTATCGAGAAGCATCTTAACTAGCCTCTCCCTTCCGTTCCTAGCAGCCCACGAGAGAGCGCTTCCATACTCTCCACCTTCCGCATTAACATCCGCATCCTTCTCTAGTAGTAGCTGAACAATCTTCTCGTATCCTCCTGCTGATGCTGCTTGTAGAGCGCTTCCATAGAACTCTTCACTCCTCGCGTTGACGTCCGCACCCTTCTCTAGCAGCAGCTGGATAATTGTCTCGTGTCCTCTTGCTAATGCCGCCTGTAGAGTACTTCCATAGTATCCACCTTTCCCATTGACGTCCGCACCCTTCTCTAGTAGCAGCTGGACAATCTTCTCGTGTCCTCCTGCTGATGCTGCTTGTAGAGCGCTTCCGTAGAACTCCTCACTCCTCGCGTTAACGTCCGCACCCTTCTCCAGCAGCAGCTGGACAATCTTCTCGTGTCCTTCTGCTGATGCTGCTTGTAGAGCGCTTCCGTAGAACTCCTCACCCCTCACATTAACGTCCGCATCCTTCTCCAGCAGCAGCTGGACAATCTTCTCGTATCCTCTTACTGATGCCGCCTGTAGAGCACTTCTATAGTATCCACCTTTCCCATTAATATCCGCACCCTTCTCTAGCAGCAGCTGGACAATCTTCTTATATCCTTTTGCCGATGCCGCTTGTAGAGCGTTTCCGTAGAACCCCTCACCCCTCGCGTTGACGTCCGCATCCTTCTCCAGCAGCAGCTGGACAATCTTCTCGTGTCCTCCTTCTGATGCCGCCTGTAGAGCGCTTCTGTACTCTCCACCTTTGGCGTTGATGTCTGCACTCTTCTCCAGCAGCATCTGAACGGTATTCTCATTGCTTCCAAACGATTCCGGTTTCTGTCGTAAACTATCTGCGTAGCATCTATCTCCAATAGGAGGTAAAGCAGCAAGGGTTGTGTCATCTAGAAGCATAGACACGATTGAATCAAGCCCAAGAAGTGAAGCATAGTAGAGCGGCGTTGGAATCTTCCCGCGAGGTGCCTCACCATTATAGCCATCAACATTCCATATGGTAACCCAATTTTCGAATAAGCCCTCCTTGCTTTTGAAAAGCTGGAGGGCTTGAACGTCCGTCGGGGAGTCTTGAACGCCGTCTCGAAAATGGCCCGGCCAATACCGAGCAGCATAGCGTGTCAATGCAATGTTGTCTTGCCGCAGCGGCGTCGACGCGGACGTCACCAATCCAGGTTCAAGCAAGACTGTCAGGCAAATACAGGCCATCTGCGCATCAGCGTATTGCTGTCTCACGCTGAACAAGACGGCATTCTTAGAATCCCGTATCCGCTCGGATTCCAAGTATTCCCGAACGGAAAAGTGAGCGATGCGTACGGTAGCTTCTAAGGTATTGGGATCCACATCCAATTCGGTGAACCCGGGGCAAACTTGTTGAATTGCGTCAATGTTTTTGAGTTGTCGCTTCGGATTGTACCTTGGCGTGTCACCAAGTTGGACGGCGACTCCATCGACGAGCTCCGCTACCGTTAAGGGCCGCCTTGCACAGCAGAGCAACGTCAGCATTTGTCGGGCATAATCCCTGGAAGTTGATGGGACATTGCTGAGCATTCGTTCGTATGTCTCGTCCAGCGTTTGAGGCAGGGAATCGAGCAACTGTTCGAGGAGGTCTTCGCTCTGTGGACAGCTGGCCAGCGCTTTGAATTGACACTCTACCCAGCGAAATCTATCTTTGGTCAGTGGTTGCTTGTGAGGCTCAGTGTAGGTTGGCCTTACACGCCCTGGGCTCGCTTGGTGAGTGCGGTCTCAATCCGAGCATGATGCTCGTCCCATTTCCGAAGCCGTCGATTGTTGCGAAGATGCTCAGAAATGAAGGATGCAATGTCCCGATTAACAGAATCATTTTTCATCTTGATTGTCTCCTCGGGCAGCGCGCCTAGTTCCTCGCGAATGTCGACCTCATCTCGACTCGAGACAATGAGGTGCAGGCCGGGCTCGGACCAGGCGCGCAGCTCGGCCAAACACTGCAGCATGGCCTCGCGGTGCTTATCCCTCGGGCTCTCATCCAGAGCGTCCAGGACAATGTACACATCTTCAAACGCCCGTACGAGCTGATGGAGGCAGTCCATAAGAGCGAGATCTGGTGGTGAGGCGTTGCGGTAGCTGTCGTGCAGCCGCGAGAGAAAGGTATGGTTGTCGTCAAGTTGGCTTGACAACTGTAGTACAAGGGCACGGAGCATAGCAGACGCATCTTGTTTGCTCTTGTCATTGAAAGTGAAGAAGAAGAAGGCTATGCCAATACGTATGTTCGCCCGGCGATGTCGAAAGGCGAACTGAATGGCTGTAGAGCACAACACAGACTTGCCGCATCCTGCGAAGCCAACGAGCCAGAGGAAAGAACCAGGCTTCTCGAGCCATGCCGTGAAGTCCGGACCTTTGACAAACCATAGTCCCGTGCCGGGATGCTTCTTCTTGACAGCCTCGTTGAAGCCGATCGTGGCATCCGGAGCCTTGAGCCATTCTCTGATACCCGAAGAGACCTGGGTAGCTCTTGCTAGGTCGAGCAACGCTTTGGTATCCTCGATGTCATCCCGCACTCTGCAGATGTCACTCTGCTGCAGTAATTGCATTGCCAGAGATAAACAGGACACGAAGTCATCGACGTCCTCATCCAGCTTCTGTAGTGTGCTCTGTCGAAAGGGATACGCGATGCGGCGGCCAGCGGCGCGAAGTCCCGCCATGGTGCCTTGGTGGGGGGCTTGATTGAACTTGTTCAGCTCTGCCTCGAGGTCTCCGATGAGCTCCTTGCAATCTTCCATGCAAGACTCCATCTTCGCGAGTATTACACGGTCGTCGGCTTGGGATTGGGGTCGTTCGAGTTGACGCAAACTCTCAAGCAACTCGAGAAGGCGAGAGAGCTTCTTGGTCGTGTGGGCAACATCGGATTTCTGGTCTTGAAATGCCGCGTAGTAGTCAAACAATCCCTGAGCAACTGTGATGCCCAGCGATATAACGCCGACGGCGCTTCCAGCGACGGACAATGGGTCTGCCATGCGCAAGGGAGCAATTCACGTCGGGGGGATATTTGCAGTGGATGGCAGTCAAGAGGATTGAAGAGCATGCATGGCTGGTCGGAGCTGGGACTTTGCCCGCCTTTCACGCCTAACCGCCGTGGCGGCGTACTGGACGTCAGGCAGCAATTATATGCAGGCAGCCCAAAAGTAGGAGAAGATTCTCTACTGCCTTGGCCGTATCAGCCCTGGATTATCGGTTTCCAATCAACTTGCAATGTCAGCCACAAAACCATCGCTTGAGTGACTGTTGTGGCTGTTGTGGCTGCTAGCCGATTGATATTGGACAGACAAACAGATAACGAGATGAGGCGGGCTGGAAAAACGTTGACGCCAAACCTCAATCTACGTCGGGGCTTATGGGTGGACGGGCTCCGAGGCTTTTCGGGCCATCTCCCTAGATCCAGTCAATTCCTCAGATGGCCTTGAAGATCCTACGATCTAATGATCTAGTCAAGCTTCATAGTGACCTATCTGTCTCTTGCACGGACTCTAAATTGGGGGCGATGTGGATGCTCTCAGACTCCTCGTGGACATTAGGAGATGGACCTTTTTAGCCATCAATTCAGCACAAAAAGCATTGTGGTTCCAGCACCGTGGGTACCATGTCAACAGGTGTCGCGAGAAGAGGGCCAACGACAAGATCTACATCCGTGGACAAGACGATTAGGAAGTGATTTGCAAACTCGACGGGGCCATACGCGACTCTTCGGGGACGCCGGGTTGTAAATCCTGTACCGCAGGTGCATGCTGCGTGGACATGAGGACGGCGCAGAGTACCTGCATACGAGCGACCAGTGAGACATCTAACCCGTTTACGGCCAGTCGGAGAGTCATCCAGCGCAATCCGAATGGCCAGTAGCGGGTGACTAGCCATCGAGGCCTCACTACTCTCCTTGCATGAATGGATCGATGGCTTCTCCGTCCATACATTGAACGCCTCGGCCACACCGACACATGATCAACCTGCACACCGACTCTACGGGCCTGTCACAAACCCAGACGAAGGGTCTCGGGGATTTTTAGCGAGGAAAATCTCACGTTCCTGCACGGCCGCTGGTGTAAATGCATCACAGGGCTGGGGATCTTCCGTATTACTGCAGGTAGAGGCGCCAGGGAAGCTGAACGAGGGCCCAACCACACCGTTCAATGACGAGGAGACCCACGGCTCTAAGCCCCATACACACATTCCAAGACTCTCAAGCGATTCTCCATGCTATTGCACCTTTCGGTCCGTCACTTTCGGCGTGTGCTTGCTCCTGGCGATGAGGTTGTGCAACACGATATGATGTAGGGCGAGAAGCTTGTTACACAATGGAGGGGTAAAAGGAAAATTATTTCGATGACGACGCAAATACGGCACATACAAAGAGAGCAGCAAGCAGAAACGATGTCGCTATACCCGAGTTAATGTTATGATTGAGAATTGTTGCTAAAGGTTGTTAAGATTGGGGTTGCGGCTCCGCGCCATCAAGCGTTGATCCCCGACAACAGGGGTCTTGTAATCGCTCTGTCAAGCCAAGTTAACCTTTACATTCCCTGAAGATCACCCTAAGCGCTTGAAGCCTAGTCGCTTTTGCGTTCCACGTCCCCGGTTTCTAGCGTTAGACCTCGGCAAACAACAGTCGTCAACCAACGAACGAGCATCCAAAAGCCAAGAGTCCCATTGAACAATACCCATCAGAGGTAACACCTTGCGCAACATCAGCTGGACGGCTAGCAACCCTCCGTAACCTAACTAAGGACTAGCTACATCCCGTGAAAACATGTCCCTCTACACTAGACCGTCCAAGCGGGATCCAGCTCACCCCCTGTTCAACGAACCCAATTGTCACTCCCTCTTCATCTTAGCACACCCAGCACAAACTAACTCAACCGAGTCGAATACCACATACCACATCCTTGATAGACGCCATAACATCAGATAACAGCCACTACTCGTAGAGAAACTCGACCGGCTTCCTCATTGGGAAGGTCCTTGGACAAAGCGCTGCACTACCATGAAACGCATCGGGACGTTATCCTCCGCCTCGCACGCACGAGCAATCCCGTATTGTACCGGCCGCTCGGTGATTATTCACTACGCTATTTAGGATGCAAGGAACCGGTCTCCCCGTCCACCTTGTCCCTGTCTCCATGCATGTCCCAGGTCCCTATGTTCCTCTAAATCCGCCCCATTCCATGCCTGATCTCATGCTCCGTCCCCATTCATTAGCCGCGGAGCCGCGCCATGTTCCCCTCCGTTTCACTCCGGTCACGAGCCCTGCTATCAACGTCTTCGATCCTCACGCAACCTGTCCGTGCTCAAGCCGGTCCGTTTCCCCCTGGAATGTGTGTTCAACCCCATTGCTACACCTTATTGGCCATCTTCCCGCACTTTCCCGTTACAGCGGCCCGGTCGATGGGCTACTACATTACCCACACTGGTGTCAGAACCCATTGGGTACATCCTGGCCTCACCCTGACGTGCCTCGGGTAGCAGTGCGTCGTACAAGGAGCCTCAAAGCGCCTCTCAGACTAAGCTGAAGACTTACTGGATGAGTGACCGCCGGCCCGGCCTCTAGTGAGGCATTGCGCCGGTACCCGCCTACCCTATCATTGAGCACAGTTTCCGAGAAAGTCGCCAGTCTTTGAGCCTCTCGCATCTTTGAAGGACTCTCAGACGTATGTTCCCGCGGTTCTATCAAAAACATCACTTAGCAGACCGGATTAGCCGAGAGTCAATGAATCAACGGCTACCAGCGTCACGGACCGAGACCTTCCAGCCCTTGCCTCCATCAATGGATATGATTGAAGTATTTAAACAATGCGAATCTCCTTTTAAGCAAGCAACACACACTCACTCCATCACAACACTCCTCCATCAACCCAACCTTCGTCCTCGTAATCTTCATCCAGCCTACTTTCGAAATGATGAAGCCGTGGAGTCTTACAGCCTCTGAGGCTCTCGTCGAGATCCGATCCGGCAACCTCACTGTAGAGGCATATGTCACGTCAATCCTTGAGCGTCTTCGACAGCGCAACGACGCCGTTCGGGCGTGGGCGTATCTCGACGAGGACTTTATCCTTGAGCAGGCCAAAGAGTTGGACAAGGTGCCTGTAGACAAGAGAGGCCCACTGCACGGTTTGCCAATCGCGGTTAAAGATGTCATTTACACCAAAGGTACATGCATCTACGACGTGATGCATATTCGGGCCGGGAATAGTTGCTCACATTGAGATAGACATGCCAACACAGCACAACTCGCCCTTGTACCAGGGAAGTTTCCCCAAAGTCGACGCCGCCTCCGTCAGAATTCTCCGCCACGCCGGGGCTCTCATCCTTGGTAATTGTCTTACCCGCTCTGAATACCGACCTACTCACCAATTCCGCATTCGCAGGTAAGACAACCACCACCGAATTCGCCGCCATCCACATCGGCCCCGCTACCCGCAACCCGCACGACCCGACCCGCACGCCGGGCGGCTCCTCGGCCGGCTCCGGCGCCGCCGTCAGCGACTTCCAAGTCCCGATTGCCCTCGGCACGCAGACGGGCGGATCCACCATCCGCCCGGCCTCCTTCAACGGCATCTACGGCTTCAAGCCTACCTGGAACTCCATCTCGCGCGAGGGCCAGAAGGTCTATGCCTTGATCCTAGATACCCTCGGTCTCTACGCGCGCTGTATTGACGACCTCGTTCTGCTCGCGGATGTCTTTGACCTTGAGGATGATGAAGAAGAGACCTACCCGTTTCATGGAGTTGAAGGCGCCCGCTTCGCCATCTGCAAGACTAGCGTCTGGGGCCACGCCGGCGAGGGCACTCGACATGCCATGGCCCGCGCCGCCATCCTTCTCAAAGCCCACGGCGCCATTGTTGAAGAGCTCGACCTCGGCACCGACTTTGCTAACATGGAAGAATGGTACCGCGTCGTCCTGCATAGCGAAGGCCGCACGGCGTTCCTGTCCGAGTACCGCGCGGGTAAAGACCAGATCCACGACGTCCTCGTCAGCCATGTCGAGAACGTCGACCAGTTCAGCCACAAGACGCAACTTGCTGCATTCGACGGCATTGCCGCACTGCGGCCCCGAATGGACGAGATTGCAGGGCGATATGCAGCCATCATCACACCGAGCGTCCCGGACGAGGCGCCGGTGGGCCTCAGGAGCACGGGAAGCCATGTCTTCTGCAGCATGTGGACGGTAAGAAATCCCTTTCCCTCGCATCCTATCATTGCGTTCTACCTGCCAGGCGACCCAGTAGGAGCCGTCTTACTGGTACGAATGTATGCTTACGTCGAGACAGGCGCTGCACAACCCGGTCATCAATGTCCCGGGGTTTCGGGGAGCCAATGGCATGCCCATCGGAGTGTCTCTGGTTGCTCCACGGTATCGGGACCGACATCTCTTGAAAGTCAGTAAGGCGGTCGGCAAGATCTTTGAGGCCGAGGGCGGGTGGAAGCGACAGGCGTATGAATAATGGGCTGACGCGGGAGGTGAAGCCAAAAACATGATGCCAGAAGGGAGCGATAGAGCAATGACTTAATGCGGCGTAATTGAGAGAATTTGATAGACAGAAGTGTAGTGCCAGACCTGAGAAAATATGTCGTCTTCAATGACGATTTATTGCTAAAGCAGAACACTACTTTGCAGGGTGGTCGCGTTTCCTTGTCGGCAATACCCAGCTCAAGAAAAAAGCAAACATATTTCAATAAAAGTAAATATTTGAGTTAGAGTAGACTAGAGTCTGGAACAGTATCCAGAGATTCATATTACAAGCATGGAGCACGCGTCGAACGCATTAAATACATGTAGAAAGCGATGCGGATATTCCACATCGGCTTAAGTTCTCTCGTCCGCTTTATTTTTTCCCCATCAAGCTGTGGACGATTTGCCTTACAGGGGATACCATAATTACCCTGGCATACATTTCCCCCAGTCTGCCGAGAGCAATCTTGCTCGTTAAATTCGCTGTTGTGCTCGTTGAGGCACCAAATACCCCGCCATCCGCTGCCGGTTTACATTTCATCCACCACGTAATGCTGAGAACTACCCAGCTCTCAACCATTTACTCGAGATGGAGTAAAGAAATAATGAAAACGCCGAGAATGTGGCCAAGCCAGCAGAAGAGGTAGTGCCCGGTCATTTATTATCGAACAAGGTGTAAAAAAACGCCCAAGGTGGAACGATGTTGAATGTCTCACCGCTTCAAGGGCATGAACTTGTCAATGCATTCAACGAACTACAGTAATCGGTTAGCATCGATGAGAATGGGATAATGAGTTCGCTTACCTCCTCGGGCATGATACCCTGGTTGCCAAGGTAGCGGCCCATGCTCTTGACGAGCTCCATCTGCTCATCAGGAGACAAGCTGGTAATGGCCGTCTCAAGAACAATACCGAGGTTGACCTTGTGCAGGGCGATGAAAGTGTGGTAGTACATGTACGCAAAGAAACCCATGATAAACTGGCAATCCATGCGATCGGTAATGCCACCGTGGCCGGGAATAGAGTCACCAAAGTCCTTGATCTTGAAAGTGCGCTTCAGGCCGGAGGCGAAGAAGCCGCCAAAGGGGGCGATAAGAGAGGCGAAAGTGGCGAGAACGAGGGAGTGAAGCTGCATGGGAGCAAAAGTGACGGAAAAGCTGGTCTTCTGAGGAAGGAAAAAGAACTCGGGTAGCTGGTAGGTCTTGGGGTGGAACACTGGGTTGGGGTCGCACTCGAGGCCAGTGAAAATAGTGGCACCAAGGTCCTAGATCAGGTTAGGAGCCGCGTCCATGACGAGGGGAAAGGCAGGCGAGGGAGTCTCACATTGACAGGGCAGATGAAGTACTTGGAGCGCATCATGATGTTGACGAGAAGGATGGCAAACAAAACGGTCATGATCCAGGCGCCAACGAAGCCCTCAACCGTCTTCTTGGGGGAGAGCTTGATGAGTTGGGTGCGACCAAAGGCAATGCCACAAATGTAGGCAAAAATATCGTTGGTGATGACGAGGGCGGCGGGTAGGAAGAACCAGATCATGCCCTCGAAGACGTTGTTCATGACGAAATGGGCCTGAACGACAATGAGGTACAGGGCCATGTGCGTCCAGGCAAAGTTGGTAAACTGAAATTTGTAATTACCGGCCTGCAGGGAAGCGACGAAGCAGACAAAGCCTAAGCAAATGTGTTAATAGTGCCAGGCGAAAAGGAAGAGATCCAAGGATGACCGACCAAAGACATAGAGAATGAAGCTAATGAAGCGATGGTGGGTAGCCAGAGGTAGCAGCACCTTGTCGACGAGGACAATATGCTTGAAGTAGTAGATGACAGTCTCGCCGTAGAGGAAGTACATAGTAGTCGCGAGCCAGTACCAGTTGAGGCTCTTGGTGGATCGCAGGGAACGGGCGCGGCTCGGGACGTTGGCGATAGCGATAACCTCCTTGAAGGAGACGATTTGGACGGCCGTGATGATGGTGATGATGTAGATGTGACCCATAAAGAGCGCGGAGAAGAAGAGGCCAAACATGACAAAGCTCCAGAAGGTGCGAGTAATGAAGTTGGCCTTTTTCTTCTCGTAATCGGCCTGTTTATCAGCTGCAGTGGGGGGCTTCTGTGTGGCGGAAACGGCGCGCATCGTCAGCTTGGTTCCTCGCGAGTTGCGGTGGTTGTGGGTCGTCATGTTGGAGTTTGGTGTTTTGGACGTCAACCCGTCGTCGGGCTCAGTGACACGTACCTCGTTGACAGTGGCAAGCTGGGCCTGAGCCTTGCCCTTGGAGGGAGATTGACCATCATCGCTCAAGTCACTGAAGCTTGATCGTCGTCCATCGGAGCCATTTTGGCGGTTGGGGAACCTAACCCCTCTCTTTGACCGGGCCATTGCGAAGATGTGGTGGGTGGTTTGTGTAGGGAGCGACGGGTTTTTTGCGATTTCGCTGTCACAGCGTGGTTTTAGCGACTTGTCTCGACCGGTCTCGCGCGTTACTGCTAGGCGGGGGTCGTATGAGGATGCGTCGTCGGTCGTCCTCGTAGTCACAGCGTCGCGCGACTACGGCAGGGTCGGAAGATTAAGTAGGTAGGGAGGGAGAAGGGAACTCCGGAGCTTGCGGCCGGGGGTGAGCTGAGCTGAAAGGATCTCGGAGTGGGCGAGCGGCGTCTCGGAGTCGAGGCGGCAAGAGCGGGAGCGGGCTGCGGTCCGCGAGAGAGCCACGAGCGTGCGGTCGGGCTCGGAAGAGAGGGAGGGTTGGTCGGGAAGATGGTTGATGACGATGGGAAAAGTTGGAGGATGGCCGTTTCCCAATGTGGGTGGTGGGTTTTGCGCAGATGCTGACGCTGGCGCTGACGCTTGCGCTTGGCTGAAGCAGCCTAAAAGCACTGGCGGAGCGGAGTTTTCCAGTGGGCGCGCGGCTGTGGCTTGACGTTTCCGGGGGTTTCAGCGTGCAAATTGGCACTGGAATGCACTGGAGGTAGTTAAAATACAGCGGATGCTACAGTGCGTCATCGGTGCTTATTCCACCCGCCCGCCAATCAGGGTCTTGATGACTTCAACAGCGCCCACCAAGGCTGCGTCGGGATTTGGTCTACGGAGTTTGGACTCGGGCTCGGCAGCTAGACGTTGCTGCCAAATACCGGCCGGGGGCGATGATAAGATACACAAAGATACTGGATGCCCTTAGACTGGTCCGCCAGAGCGATGGCTTAGCTACGTACGTGCTAAGCCATGGATCGAGGCCTTACTTGGGAGCACGAGCCGAAGGACATGGACGCAGGGGCTGATTAGATGTGGGACTCGGAAAAGACAAGTACCCGGTCACCGTTGAACTGCCCACGCCAAGCGCAAGGTGGAACCAAGAAGAGAGATCTGTTGAGGGAGATCTGCGGAGTCGACGAATATGGTCGTGGAATACCTAGCCAAGTGAAGCTGGGAAATGGTTCCCCGAATTTTTACAGTAATTGGTTGCGGTCTGGCTAGGTTTGTGTCCTTCAAAGGTTCAGATAAATACACCCTTGCATCACGTTGCATTCAGAAGACAACACATCCTTCTCTCCCAGCTCTCTGCAACTCTCATGCCAGATCTGCAGCTCCTCTAGTGACGTCGCATAGTGACCAGGTCTGCGTAACACTCATCTTCTTCCATCCTTCTTCTGTGGGCATGAAAACGCCAAGCGCGTACTCCGTAGGTAATTTGCGAATCCGCGGAAGCCGGCATCATGCCCCAGAAGAAATCCCCACAACTTTTCTACCTTGGCCTGGACCTCTTGTCTTCGCTTCGCTTCCACGCTGCTTCTACGCGTTAAACTGTGGCTGAGGGGTGAGGGGAAATTGGAGATATTTTACTGCGTCTTCATCAAGAGCACTTCCGAGATAAGATACCCGCACTGGCTGAAACAACCAAGAGAACTTGATACAGTGCCGTCGATGACGCACTTGGAGCTTTCACATGCTTCAGCACAGAAAGGGGAGCGGGGATCCACACACACCTGCTGCGCCACAACCACTCGAGCTTCCCACCTAGCTCAGCCACAAGTTTGTCTGGACAGCTTGAGAGTACCCACGTGACCTCGCGACGCGTTCCTCTGGCCCTGTCTCGGACTCGCGAAACAATGTCAGGCTCTCGAACGAGGCGTCGGCTGACAATCTTCCTGGACAGCCTCGTTCAATGGAGCTGCTCCAACCTTTCCAATCCATGAGCCATGGACCTAGACGAATTTTCCGACGATGGACTTGACGACCTTCCCGATAACGCCCTCCAAGAGCTGGAAAACAATGCTATCCAGCTTACCCAAGGCCACCGAAAAGGCCCATCTCAACAACCCGAATCCGCCTACGCAGATGCAATCTGGGTCGAAGACGATGATCTCGATACCACAGAGGTGACCAATGATGTTGGGGAGCCTGTAGGGAGGCCGGTGGTGGACAATACGCTCCAGCAGTATTCCCAGCAACAACACCAACACCAAGAATCCCGACGATCCATCCCCCCGCTCCCCAACCCACGATGGGACCCGATTGTCCATCCTTCCAAGAGACAACCTGCCGGGCAGCCACCACCTCGAATGCCCGGTGCTGCGGCTACGAATCAACCCTTGTACACATCGCAGCAATTTCAGTCTCAAACGTCAAATCTGCATCGGCCTCAGGCAAGCCAGTTTGCTCGACCAGGACTCGCACCGAACCACTACATTCCCTCCCAAAGCCAGCCAGGCGATGTTGTCTCGGCCCTTCAACAGCGGCTGCGGGCGCTCGAAACCGAACTCAACGCCGCCCGTGGCGAGGTGTCAATCATCCGAACCAACTCCTCCAAAGCCCAGCAGCAGCATGACGCAGAGGTCGCTCGCTTGAAGAAGCTCAATGCCGAACAGTTGAGCCGGCAAGAACGAATCGCCGAAGCCGCCGTCGTCGCCGAAAAGAATGCCAACACCGAGCTGCAGTTTCTACAAAGGGATATGAAAGAGGTTAATGACCGCACCCGAAGGAAAGATACTGCTGTGGCTACAGGGTCGGGCTTAACGACACCGAAAAAGACATCCAAGACTTGGCGCGTTGCCGATGGCTTTGACGAGATGGACATTGTCTTGAGCCCGAGCAAGGGCCAAGGTCGTAATAAAAATGCCGGGTCGGTTGCTGCCAATGTAGGCGAGAGGACGCCAAGCAAAGGCAAACGAAAGCGACCAGCCCTGGACAGTCCTATTATGGCGCTGGAAACGCACATGGATGACATCCAGGTTATTGACAAGGAACCGGAGCCTTCCACAGTGCAACCTCCCATTGTGATTGCTGCACCACCTAGTCTTCCCTTTGAGGTTTGTGCGAATGCCCTCTTTTCTTGATGCTTGACTAACAGATCCCAAGTTCTTACAACTGGTGCTGGACCATGGCTCCTTCCTGGATCAGCCTCCAACCTTTGAGGTCCTGTCTCGATTCTCGTTCTCATCGGAACCCAACACGTCATTTGCAGCCTACATCTTCAAGAAGGTCCCCGTAATGGGCAACCCTCAACGTCCCATACAATTGTTAGTGGACTTTGTCCACTTGGTTGTACAGATATGGACCCGCTGCGCGGACGAGCAGTACTGGGAGCCTATCAAGTACCTCGTCGCTCTCATAGCCTTTACGTTCCAACTTCAAGCAACCGAGGTCGCTCCCTGGATTCTTCCAGATCTCGCCCCTGTTGCTCAAGCAACCATATGCACTCTAGCTGAATGGAGGCATCGATTTCCCGATGAAGACCGTGTCAAGGATGAGCGATTCAAATTGCTTGAGGAGCATATCAACATTACCGATATCCTATCTCTGCTCTATACGACTTCTCTCACATGCGCCACCGCGATAATGGAAACGGAGACGGGATTCGAATCCAAGGCGGCTCACTTCTGGAGGCATATCTCGCTTGATACGCCTCTCATGCTCCTTACGCCAAAACAAGAGCTCGCCGACATCCTTGGCATGCTGGACCTTCTGGCCACCTCATCCCTGCCGAGCTCGATCGGCCCCATCACGGATGAGAAAGACCCTCCTTTTGTCGCACGCATGATCATTGACAAAGTCGCGACCAGGTTGACTGAGTATCCTCGCTCGGCAACCACACCAGCCGAGAAACGCAGCGTGCGCCTTGCAGCTTTACGGACGCTCATAGCGTTCGCCCGATATCCTTTTGGCGCAATACAGCTCGCATCGCATAGCACCGCCCTTGCTCGCCTAGTCATTTGTCTGAGTTCATCCATAGACGAACTTTATGACCAGCCTATTCCATCAAGCATCCTACCAAATCTCTCGAGTGAAGGCGAGTCAGAGACACGTTCAGCCTCTGACTCTTCTTCTGAACTCTACCGCATCATTTCCCAATGCGTTCACCTCATCCATGTGCTTGTCACCGGCCCACACACTGCAAACTTGGCCGACATCACCCAGAAACTGACCTCGGCACACGGTGGGAACCAGCGATACCTACTTGCTCTCGGAAGGCTGGCCTTTGTGGAAGAGGATTTGGTAATGGAGTCAGGGATTGACGAGGACACAATTGAGGCGGCTGCTGAGTTACTAGAGATGGCGGTTACGCCGGATGAAGGCGAGGTTGTGAGCGAGGCGTTTGTGATGTAAAGATATATGTCATGGTTGGGGCATTACTCAAAAGTTTTATCCGATTTGGAATAGGAAAAATGTATTGGTGGGCGCTTAGATGGGGCATAGTCTTTGGGAGTTGGTCATGGACATTGAATGATATCACGTATAGGCAATGAAGACAGGGGTTTGGCGGCGGTTGGAGAACCGGGGCATTTATTCCATATTAATCATGGACACTTCAGACACTCGATTGTGACTTCACGTGCCACACTCTGTGTCAACATCAGGGAGCGAGATGACCCAATTCCAGAGCGGTCAAACAAGGAGGTATTCATGTGCACTCTTTTCTGTCCTTGGCTGACATCCTCGCCAGGCTCATTCATATAAGAACAGATAATATCATTCAACGTGTCAACGTCATCACTACCCAACCAATTCCCCACTCAACAGTTCCTGCAACCAATCTAGCTGTTGTAAGAAACGTGGACGTGGTCCCTACGGCCGGTCAGTCTTCTGGTCAAATTTCACGATGTTCTCGGGGGGCAGCTTACCAGTGGTTCGCGGTCAGAGAGCCGCGGTCTTCCATGCTGCGCCAGCTAGCCCAAGCCTTGGTCTTCTTGTCGACGGAGTAGGTCCAGATCCTCTGGCCCCAGATGACATACTTGACGTCAAGGGCCTTGCGGTTGTTCATGACCCACTCGGCAATCTCGCGGCCGGAGAGAGTAGCATCCTGGAATACACGTCAGCGTGGGGTTGTGAGAGACGTCCAAAGAGGGCACTTACACCACCGTGATCAGAGATCATCATGTCGGTAGCCCGGCCGCAGCAGTGGTCGGAGCTGCCACTGGCGCCGCAGGTGCAGTCACGGACACAGCCGATCTCGCGGACGCGGCCGGGGAAGGCGGCAACGATCTTCTTTGCGCCGGTGACGGCGTTCCTCTTGCAGGCGCCGACGGCCGGGATCCTGGGGGCCTTGTAGCCGCCGAAGCCGCGGGCGGCGGAGCTGCAGCACTTCATCTGGCCGGGGCCGGGGCACTGGTTGCTCGCCTTGCTGCCGGCGCAGTCCGACGTCCAGCGGCAGTTGCCCGCGCCGCCCGAGCCGCACTTGGGCTTGGAGCAGCACTTGACGTTGGCCGGGTCCTTGGGGCAGGCGCCCGAGATGGTGGTGCCGCCGGCCTTGGAGCACGCCGACGTCGTCACGCACACGCCGGCGAAGCCACTCTTGCCGTAGCAGGGCTCGTTGACGGCCGCTTGGGCGCTGACGGCGAGGAGGGAGACTAGGGCTGCGATGGAGAAGCGCATGGTGGGCGAGGAGTGTGTAAGAGGTGGAGTTGAGGGTGTAGGTCAGGGAGCTTGGAGTGTCTGCTCTTCTGGAGTTGATGGCTCAATTCATAGAGGACACGATGGGCTTTTTATATCCCCCTAAACCCAGGGTTGATCCTCTTTGTTTCGTTTACCCGTCCTTCATCACTGCTTCTTATTTCTTGTTTCTCGTTTCTCGTTTCCGTCTAGACCATTAGACCCTCCTCTCGTCCCACGCCGTCCCCATGACCCATCATCTGCATCTCAACGTTCTAGCCCACGCCAACTAGGGGCGCAGCATCGTGCAACCCGCCCGGGGTTTCGCATAGATCGGCCGTGCGACTCGAATCCGCCGTCCTAAATTGATCCCGCAGTCAGTTTGGCCAGTGAAGTCGTCGCTCAGGTCACACGCTGCTCCGTCTCGAGTATTCCTCTTTCAGCTGAAGAGGTGAATCTCCACTTCTTGCAAGTCTCCCAATGTCACGGTTGCGCCTCGGCGTCAAACATCAATGCTCTCCTTTTTTAGCTTTTTAGCTCTGCCAATCCGGTGCCAATGCTTCCTTCGTTCGGGTCCTGAGAAACCAGGTTGTTCCCTTCGTCATTTCAATTTTGTCCGAAAGAAGGTCCCGCTCCCTCGCTTGACTGTCCAATGTTGACCTCACAACGTTGCCATCGCAAACCATTTCCAACGCAAACGAAAAAGCTGGCGTTCACTTTCTCTAAGCGATTGGACAGCGCCAACCACACAATATCTGCTGTGATATATCTTATTATAGTATCGCCTGCCCAAGTCGGCAGGTCGCCCTCCTGCACCTCATCGCCCTAGCCCTACCGGGCCCTCGCTCCGTCCCTGCGTCAAGCCTAGTTTCAGCCCAACAGAGCTGAAATGTAGGTTTAAGCTTACACGGCAGTCAATTGATGGGCGACTGCAGAGTAATTCGGGGCAATCGTTAGGCCGGAAGCAATTAGGTCAAGACGCTGGGAGCATGCATATTAGCCGGTTGCTGGGTACCGTAGCCGTCAGCCCATTGCGGATATAATTAGAATTAATTCAGGGTTGACACGGTGCTTCATGTTGACAGCAACTCGAGGCAGTGGCGCTTTTAGGGGAAATCTGTTGTTATTACTGTTTGTTGTTTGTTCAGCGCAGAATTACGACTTTGTATCCCCTCACCACGCCCTTCATTCCCGACTGAATAAGCCTATCTGTCGATGCGCTGTCAGTGCGACCAGGATTGATGGTGTTGAGGAGAGGAGACTCAAAGTAAGCATCCCAATTATCCTCTAACCAGTCAAGTCTAGGCGCCGTTGACATGCAGATGGCTTGCTGCACCCCTGTTGCTCTCCCACTTCAGCAAACTCCTCGAGTGTGACCTCCGCTCCCAAATCCCTACACGGATCACTAAACAATAGCGTCAACACTACGTACTCCCTTGGGTTAGAACCGCTGGGAGGTTCTTATTCGGAGGGGGATTGGACAAGTCGTCAATGTGCCTCCTCGGGTCCTGTCTGGGAAAGACGGCGTTGTGAAAGAGTAGAACATTAATCGGTTAATTGATTGATGCAAAGGCATTGATTAACTCGAGGCAACAAAAGAAATGGCAGTGTATCATCATGCAAGCTCAATACAGATATGGAAGAAGCCTCGAAAATGTCTGAACTATGTTCATAAACCATCCCCGGCATCTTCGAGACAGAAACTTCTTCACCGTTTGGCCAAGCCCGTCCACGATACCAGCTACTATCATCCCCACGACGCCAACCGCGCCTCCAACCACACCCTTACACCCGAACCCGTCACCGCCTTCTCCGGTGGTTCGAGGTCCAAGTCGGATCCGTTTGCGGAACCTAACCTCCGCCTCCCAGAAGGAGCTCAAGTAGGTACCCTCAGAAGCAGGCCCAATACCCATGTGACCAACCCCCGGGATTTCGATGTCGATTTCTAGGCCTTCATTGTCTAGCTGAGCATGGAAATAGGCCCCGTCTTCATCGCCCAGGCCCGCGAAGAGATCGAGCAGTTTCTGCGGTCCTCCGACTGGTCCACCAGCTGCGACAATCCATCCATGTCGCCTCCGAGGCCTTCCACCATGTGGAAGAGGTTCTCTGCTCCGCCAGCAGCCTTCAAGAGCTCATAGATACTGCTCGTGCCGTCGCCATCGGAGTCGCTATCGGGGTTTGTGATGAGAGCAATGAGATTTTCCGCTCCTCCAACACTTTCCACCAAGTCCAATAAATCAGGGGTTTTTATACCGTCCGAACCAGCCCCAGCACCTGCGGCAATTTCGAAAAGGTTTTCGGAGCCAACACCAGGCGCGAGATGAATGAGGTCTTCATTGTCATCTGCATCCGAATCAAGTCCGGTTCCGGTTCCATTGCCTGTATCAAACGAAGAGTCTTTTCCAGATGCATCGCCTGAGCCGCTCAACCCGTCCACCGAAGCTTTGAGGTCAAGGGGAGGCTCATTGTTTTCGGGGGAGCCCCCTGAGCCCCCTAAGCTAGAACCTGAGCCCGAATCGGAGTCGGAGGGTGCCTCAACAAGATTGTTTTGGAGGCTCAAGATTCGGGTTCTCCATACCGTAAGGCGAGAAATCAGGGTATTCATCTGGGGCCATCTTGTAAAATGAGCGAATACATTGTTTCAAGGATCACCTCCGGGAGTGTTGTCAAACAGGATTCCTCCATCAGGAGTGGTAAGCTTAAGGGTACAGTCGGAACCGTTCTCGAGGTAGCAGCCGATGCGGAGCGGGATATAGTTGTCACGCCAGGAGAGATCCCATGGCAGCCGCCTTGACCCAGGGGAGGATGCCTGGGAAAGCCAGGTCTGGCCATGTTTAGGTGATCGTTTCAGCAGTTTACCTATTAAACTGCTAAATAATTGCCAAATAGATTAGAGATGCCAGTTGCCGAATGTCGATGACAAACGGAGAACAGCAAACAGGGACTTAAGTATAGCGTCATATAGATGATCGACCATATCTCGACGAGCCAGCTCGCTGTTGGCAATGCCAGGGCTCATAATATCTCATACCAAGAAGCACCATTATGGGTCGTAACAAGCAACGAGATGATGATTCTCTGTTGATGTCTTGTCCCGCAATATCGACTCCCCTCTCTGAAGTTCATTGTAGACACATAGTAGGTTAGGTTAGTCGGGGAAGTTGAAACAAGTATGGAATGCCTCTCGTGGGGGCATCCTCCTTCTTTCTGACCTTGAAGTCATCGACTCTCTGCTTAGATATCCAGAAGCGTCCTCGCGCCATCTCCACACGAGGTTTATGCTGGCGTACACACTATCAACATACCATCTCCTAGGCCACAAGCAATCAGGCTTTGGCGATGGACGGACTTGCGCGGTGTCTCATTCTGCGGTTATGGCTCTATACTGACGTTAGGTTGTCTCGTCATGATTCAACCCGCCAAATTCGTTGTCCTCGCATTGTTAGCCGATGTCCCCTTATCCACCCACCACGTGTCTTTCATTAGGATGCGTTTGACGATCCATGAGTACGATCCATGAGTAAGATCAAGTAGTTGGCCGTGGGATATGGTGTATGGCTCTTGTAAATGAGGGACCGAGGATCAGCTGCAGTGTATGCAGGACGTAGATCCCCCAAACATCGGCTACTACACAACCCATCCCCTGGCCACTTCAGCGTCACACGTTCTGTTTTCACGTACAGCAAGCTGGGCGTAACCCAATCGCAATTTTTTGAACAAACCGGTCCATCCAAATTATAATATCTCGTAATTGGCAATGCATCGCTTGGGCGCTGTAGCAACAAGCTCTCACCCATCGTTCTGATAGTGCTCGCAGCCAGCGCCAACGCCTCGATCGCATCTGCCAGTCTCAGTAACCAACACCAACACAGCATTCCTAGCCACATTTCGAACCTTTTCGTGCCATTCTATCGTGTGTCTCCCTCTTTTCCAGACAGGTAAGCCGGGCAACGAGGAACTGCATAATGAAACATTTTATTTCGATCGTCAAGGGTCTTGCACCACTTATAACATTTCTCAATCATTTTGTTGGTCGAACACGTTTACAAGATCACTCTGAGAGTTTCCAAAATGGAGTGTAGATAATTCCTATAGCTCATACTCAAACATACTGCGCTTGATGGATGACAAAACATGCTTGGCGCCTGTCGTATCTCACTATATTCCAGCTGAGACGATCTGACCTCCGCAAACCCATAGAACTCTTCCCCCTTCAAGCTTCCATTAAACACTACGTCCGGAATGACCCCCTTCTTCCCCTGCGACTTGGCGACTCTCACAAACCCATCAACTTCCTTATGCCATTATTTTCCACAATCCACGACGGCCCCAGCTTCGACGCGCCGGGCGTCCCCTCCAGCCTCCCATCCATCTTGCCCATGGCCAGCTGCGTCAGGAAGTCGCCCAGCATCGGCGTCGGCGAATGCATGCCCTTCATGAGCGCCCGGATCGGCGGGCCGAGAAAGAACATGCTGACGTTGTGCACCGCGCCCGGGTCCGGGATGTACGGCTGGATGGCCTTGTGGTGCGCGGCATCGACAAACGCCGGCCGCGGCGAGTCGACGTGCAGCGTGGGCGTCGAGGCTGTTAGATCGGCGAGCGCCTTTTCCGTCTCGCCCTTGACCCGCGCGAAGATGGGCGAGAAGCGGCCCGGCGTCTGAGTCGCTCCCGCGCCCGAGACGTAGACGAAGCGGAACGGCTCAGCCTCCCCCGTGGACAGCGTGGCAAAGGCCTTGGCCGCCTCGAGGGCGTAGTCCTTGGTGACCTTGACGTACGTGTCGGCGTCGACCTTTGTCTGGCTGATACCCAGCGCCCACACGCAGCCCTTGGCGCCCTGCAGCTGCTTGAGCAGCTCCGAGTCGTACTTGTCAAACTCGCTCTGCAGGATGACGTTGATGCGCGGGTCCTTGGCCTCCTCGGCCATTGGGACGGGCCGCCGCGAGAGGATGGAGATCTTGGTAATGTCCTTGGTCTTGATCATGGCATCGAGGGCTGCAGAGCCGACGAGGCCTGTGGCGCCTGTGAGGATGACGTGCATGGTGATGTCTGGTCGCTGGAGCTGACGGTTTGCGATGAGATGGGATGAGGATTTTGCTCGTTTTCAGTGTGGAATTCAAGCGAGCACCGGTAAGTAGGCCTTAGGTTTCTATCTCCTCATCAGCGTCATCTTTCTGGCTCCAGGCCCGTTCTATATAGGCTCTTCATCTCATAAGCCCATAATAAGCCACTGCCGTCAGCCCAATGAGGCTGTCCCCCAGTAGCCCAAAGCGGACGTCAGCAAAATCCGGGCCTATCGCCCGGCGTCCGGCGCGGACTTAACGACCGGTCCGACACACCTGCGTCGCAATATTGCCCGCTACCTTGGTGGGATTCCGCGCAGCAGTGTGTTCCTCCGCAACTCCGCAAGGGGAGCAGCGCGTGCGCCTACTTGTTCGTTTACGAAGAGTTCAAGGTAGATGCGAACACGTAATCCGCTGTGGTAGCATTCGCCGAAAAGTGACGCCACCTACCCTGGAGTATCGGGCTTAACGCTGGCCCACGATGGCTGATGGTTGCAGCTGGGCTGGAAGGGCAGCTAATCAACTGAAGAGGATATCATCCTTCTGATCGGTCTTCGGATATTGCCGATGCATCACGTTCCCATTGGCAGCGACAGCCAAGGTCGGAGGAGTACCAGTCTCCAAAATTGAATTCGCATTTTAGTAGTTCAAGCGCTCAACAAATATTCTCCAAACCGTTCAAGTCGTAACGTACATGGCCCTATTCACACCAAGGAAAAGGCGTACAAAAAAACGCCGGATATCTACGCCAGCTGAATGAATATACAAAAGGAAAACACCTGACCAGCATGAAATAGCAGAGTATAGACGCGCACAAAGATGCCACCACCCGTGCAAATACAACATATCTACAACCGCCAAAATATCGTCACTCACTCACACCATCAGAGCAGAACAAAGACAAACCCCAAGGCCGCAGCCGCTAGCCCGAAACTGGCCGGTCTCGCGTTCAATGCAGCGTTCGATGAAGCGACCGAAGACGGCCGAACGGCCTTGACGTTGATGTTGTTGGCCGCGCTGTCTTGGCTGGGTGTGTAAGTCAAGGCGGTAAAGTTACACCCCTCCATGATAACGTTGATATCTGAAGAATGTTAGCCCTGGAGATCTGATAGAGGTGGCTCAAGCCACGAGGGATGGCGTCTACTCACTATTATCGGGGAACCCTGCCTGTGCAATGCAACTGGCACAGAGCGCGGTAATTTTGGCCACATCAAAGCTCTCATTGAGGCACACACAGTCTTTTTCCGCGTTGCCCTGGGTATACAATTGTCCCTTTGGCTCCTGGATGTCGTCATCCCAGTTCCAGCTGCTCGTCGTCGAACTCTCGGCGGCCTCGTCGGACATGGAATTTGAGACAGGGGGAATTGTAATTGAGGTTATTAAAGAGGTGATAGTGGTAGTGGTGGTGGAGGTGGAACGCGTTGACACTGCGAGCGTGGTCCTGAAAGACGCTTTCTCGATCGTGGGAGTGATGCGTGTCAGAGTCGACTCTGGCCGCAGATCGAGGTCGCTATCGGTCGTGGCGGCGGCCTCGACTGGAAAGGATGTTGGCGCCGCAACGATGATCGAGAAACTCCTCCTCCCGAACCTATCAACAACTTCGGTTGACCTGACTCCCGCTGTAGGCTGGAAAGGGCCACCGACTTGAGGTTCCACCGCCAACTTCGGGGTCCATTCACGTCGAGCGAGGCCGTCGGGGTTTCGTTTCTTTAGCCGCCAGTGAACATCGCAATCCGTTGTCAGCTCGACGATTGGGCCACAGATTGGCACACACTGCAGTGGAATGTCCTCTGGCGGCAAGGCATCGGCCGTCACAACGGCCATCAGGCCCGATATCAAGGCCAAGCCTGCCGAGATCGTCTTCATAAAGGTCGTGGGATGCGTCGACTGGTCCCGTCGTGGGTGTGTTGTTTATCGTCCGGTCCACGATGGAGCGATCATGCATCCAAACTCTCAATGTGCTCACGGATCGTTTGTCGATGGTCAAGTTGTTTACGTCTCTCGTCCAAGCGCACGCCCTCCAATCATCAAAGGAAACGAATGGCTGGCTTCGTGCCGCGTCGAAAGCCTCCCTCAAAGGGAATGAATCGAGGGGATGGCGATGACCATTCAAAGAAAGTAACTCTCGTTTCTGAAGCAAGTTGTCACCAACTCAGCGCGTAATGAGGGATGTGGGAAGGACAATTCCACACAGAGATCTGCGAACTCCGAGGATCATTCTGGCGCGGAGACGTCGTCCAACGGCCTTTGTATGGGATGGCACGGCATCTCGTGCGATGAAACGCCCGAAGGGGTTGACAGCCGCCACTCCACGCAGTGGCTGTCACATTGCAGCCCCGTGCAAGTGGACAAACGGTGGCGATGGTTAGTGCGCGAGGGTCTGTTCACATCCTCAATGCAACCCTGCATATCCTGGGATGCGACTGGCACTGCAGAATCGAGACAACCCTTAGAGAGCAGGGCTATCCAGGGGCCGAGCTAGCGTTTACATGGAGCTGTTACTTGGCGCTGTCTGGAATGTCGGCTGGTTGAAGTCGCACCTCATGGCTGAGACGTTGCCGATCGTCTTCTGAAACAGGCACGGCTCGAGCCTCCCCGTCCTCTAGCACAGAATCCATCCCCATCCCGGCCTGCGTCTCATGGACTGCGAAGCAACTGGCGATCATCATCCACCGGAATAAAACGCCTCGTGGCAAGGGAAGAAGCGGGAGTTAAGTGCTTGCAGAGCCCACGTGGATGAGGATGTCATGATCCGCCACGAGTTTAGTCCCGTGATCAAAGTCTGCTCTCCAAACTCTTCCGTTGTGCACTCCCTTTCTCCTAACATTTTCCAACCTAGGCAATGCGCAAGCAAACAAATATTTCCAATGTTTAGTTTAACTTCAATTGATTGATCTAGTGTTTTCAAGCCAACTCATGCTTTGGAGATCTAGTTCTATATCCAGGACCCATTCTCCCACGCCTCGCACCCTTGTCCATCCAGTTGACAAGCCTCCTCCACATGTCTCGTCGGCCGCGTCCAAATCTTCATTTCATGCCTATTAAAACAGTAATAATTGTTTGCCAGACGACACATTCATACACCTAAGAAACCCAAAATGTCGGCCGTCAAAAACCTGCCCCCTCGGACCCTTCTCAGGTCGCTTAGAAGCGGTGCTGGCGACCAACACTCTCGACGCGGACGCCCAGCTTGACCATCTCGCGCGAGTCGATGACACCACGGCCATCGAAGACCCAGCGAGGCTTGGCCATGTTCTCGGAGATGCGGACCCAGTCGACACGCTCCTTGGGCTTGTACTCCTCGGCGCTGCCCATGCCAGTAGCGAAGCCAGTCTCCTTGCTCTCGCGCTCCTGGATGCAGTCGGGGCAGTCATCCTCACAGCTGGGCTCGACGTTGAAGCGGTCGAGGGGATCGGCCGACTTGACATCATCGCGCTGGACGAGGTACTTGTGGAGGGCGAGGAGCTCGTTCTCGGTGGGGACCTCAGCCTTGAAGGGGCGAGGGTCGGCCTTGGGGTTGGGCTTGCGGCTCGTAGGAGCGGGCTCGACGGGGGCAGGCGCGGGCTTGGGAGCGGGCTGGTTGCGGAACTCGTCGAACTCGGTGGCGATGATGATGGCAGTGCTGGCGTCGCAGGCGTCGTAGGCGTTGCCGTAGACGGAGATGTTGGCACCCTCGGCCTGAGGGCCAAGAAGGGCCTTGATCTCCTGCTTGATGACGAGGGGGTTGCAGCAGGGGTCGAAAACAGCAACCTCGCGGGGTCGCTCCTCGAGAAGAGTCTTGATCATCTCGAGGGCAGGGGCCTCACGGGTATCGGAAGTGTTCTTCTTGAAGGCGAAGCCGAGGATGGTGACCTTCTTTCCAACAAGGGTGTTGTTGAGGCACTTGATGACACGGTTGGAGAAGCGGTCACGGGCATACTCGTTCATCTTGACGACCTGGCGCCAGTACTCGGCGACCTCGGGGAGACCCATAGTGTCGGCAAGGTAGACCAGGTTGAGAACGTCCTTCTTGAAGCAGCTGCCACCGAAACCGATACCGGCCATCAAGAACTTGTTGCCGATACGGGGGTCAACACCGACAGCGCGGGCGACCTCGTCGACATCGGCACCGGTCTGCTCGCAGAGGGCAGAGATGGAGTTGATGCTGGAAATACGCTGGGCCAGCATAGAGTTGGCGACAAGCTTGGCGAGCTCAGAAGACCAGACGTTGGTGGTCAGGATGCGCTCGCGGGGGACCCAAGCAGCGTAAACGCCGGCAAGGGCCTCGGCGGCCTTCTTACCAGCGGGGGTGGGGTTGGAACCGATCAGAATACGGTCAGGGTACAGCAGATCGGCGACGGCGGTACCGGCAGCCAGGAACTCGGGGTTGGAGAGAATCTCGAAGTGGACACCGGGGCGGTGCATGTTGAGCTAGACGGGCAAGTTAGACATGTGAAATTTCCAGCGAGCGTTCCTAGAGCTAGGATAATCCCACGAGCTTCCTCTAGGTGGAATTTAGACTTACGGTGTCAGCGACAAGCTGAGCAGTGCGGCAAGGGACAGTGCTCTTCTCGACAATGATGGCGCCCTCGCGGGCGTGCTGAGCAACAACACCGGTAACGGCCTCGAAGGCGGTCATGTCGGTGGCACTGCCGGCACCAACACCACGGTACTTGGTGGGGGTGTTGACGGCGACGAGGACGATGTCGGCCTCGCCAATGTGCTTGGCAATGTCGGTAGAGAAGAAGAGGTTGGGCTGTCGAGTAGCAAGGGTGACGGCATCCTCGGTGCTGGGCTCCTTGGCGACAGCGGCCTCGCGGCTACCGTCACGGGCAATTCTGATGATGTCGTGCAGACCGGGCTCGTAGATGGGAGGGTGGAGCGAGTTCCAGCGGCGGATACGGGTCACGTCTCGGTCGACAACGGTCACCTGGATGTGAGGGTTCTGGAAGGCGATGACAGCAGCGGTGGGACCACCTGAGAGAAGGATGTCAGTCGAGATGCGGTCAATTGGCGCTTCACCGCTCGTTCTGGGTGGGTTGAGGCGTTGCGCAGGCGAGACTGGCACAAGAGAGTCTCGAGTCTCGCCTCGCCAGATGGAGGGGTATTGCAGGTGAAAGAGCTTCCGGGGAACATACCGACGTAACCAGCACCAACACAGCAGATCTTCTCGACCTTGATATCGCCCTTGAAGGCGTTGGCCTCGGCGCCGTTGGAGATGACGGCGGACATGATGAAGGTTGGGTAGTGGGGTGGAGGGGGAGGTTCGCACGGGCACTGTTGCTGGGAAGAACACGCGCAAACGAAGATACGAAGCTACGCGTATAAAGTAGCAACGAGCAGGTGAGCGAGAGGAGGGGGAGCGAGTGGAATAAGAAGGGAAAAAAAGGAGGCAGAGGAGTGGTGCAGGGACGGGAGGGCGAGGCTCGAGGAGAGGATAAGAAGACCAGCGTAGCGTAGCGCAGATCCCAACAGCGTTGTACCAGAGCCAGAGAAAAGGGGGGCGGAGTGGAGGGGCGGGAGGCACGCACAGCGGCTGGCACTGTGCAGGCCCAGTACCAACAGTAACCACGCCGTCAGGTACCTCCAGGGCGCTGAGGCGGAAGAAATTAAGGCGGTGAGGTCCATTGTCGCTGATTAGTTTCTGCCCGCCAGTGGCCAGCGGACTGCGCCAAGGGATGATGCTGTGATGGCGGGTTGATGCCAGGTCCCACCCCGACCACTCCCACCAAGGCCCCAGGTAGGGATGCCAACCTTACTCTGTCAGGACTTGGAAGAGCCTTTCCAGGGCCGGGATTGGATTCCCTGGCGCGTGGGGCACGCGTTGCAGCCAGGAGCGGGTACTTTGGCTTCAGGTACCGGCTCCCTACAGTGTCAGCGGCGTTGGTACTTTGGCCTTGCCTCTCTTGATTGTCTCTGCCACATTAACAACAACAACAACACACGCTTTTGCCATTCCCCCCTCGCCCTTCCGGTGCAGTCCTCTCTTGGCTCAGCGCGACTGGAACAAAACTGTCTTGTTGAAATGCAAATTACGTAATGCAGCACCAAAGACACCGTGTCAAAACTCCAATGCCGTGGTTTGAAAGCCTCAACCAACTCTCGCGTCCCTTCGGACACTAAGCTTACCTCTGTGCCATTTATCTCCAAGGCTCCACCGCGCACCACTCACTTACAGCGCTTACAGGGCTCGAGCTTTTAAGGGGCCAGGGGGGCTAGCAGCCAAGGCGTCCAGGGGGTCGCTGACGGTGGCGTCCCAGCGGGCCCAGTCCTGCGGCTCCTGGCAACGACATCATCCTGTAGCGAGTACTTGCTGGGCGCGCCTGGATTTTTAGCGGGCGATCGAGCCAGAGTCTAGACGATTCAGCCGTGATAATTGTCACTCTTAGGAGTGCTGTTCGGGGGGCTGTAAATTGTGGCGGGGTTTCGTTCAACAGCCCGCCCTTTCAATAGTTTTCCCCTTTCAATAGTTTTCAATAGTACAGTGGGCGCGCGTACTATATACCGAGACACGTCCAAAGAGAAGAAGCCCAGGCCATGTCGATTTGTTGATGACAGTCGGAATCACCCCTCCGCAGTGGGACAAACCCATGGAACCTGGCCCAGGCCTCACCCCCAGCTGCCCTGTGGCCGCGGCCCAGCCTTGTTCGCTGCATCCCGCCGCCGCATTCTCACTAGAAGGGCTGGGTTTCTGCGGCTGAGCTGGTCTAGGTCGGAAAACTCCATCAGCCGTAGGAACGGCTCTCAGGAACAAGCCGGGCTGGAAGGTTGCGGGTACATGGCCAGATGTACTGGGAGGCACTGTGGATTCGCACTGTAACCCACCACCCGTCTATCCCACCAAACGACACCCAAATTGGCCAACCTCCCCCTCCACGGGGAAACGACCAGCCTGGCCCAAAGCGCCGGGGGATCCATTTTCTTCTGCGGTGCACGGGCGGTCATTTGCATCCCGCGTATGGCTTTCAAGGTGGGTAATTGCACTGTGCCCTGGGGAAGCATCACCATCACGCCGATATCTCGGTGTCATTGTCAGGATTCCGACATGTCCGGTCATCACGCGGCGATCGAAGAGGCGGTAACGCCCTGGTGGTGGGCTCGTATGTTGCCAAAAATACCACCGCAAGAGGAAACACGAAGCCAAGAGTTGAAGGTGGAACGCCGTCTCCGTCCGTCTCCTGATGGCTGAATGCCGCCACCTTGTTTTAAATTCCTGAAGCTGAGGCTGGGATAGGATGACGGATGTGAGCAATAATATTCGGTGGGGAGACTACCGAGATTTCTTCATCAACCAAAACGACAGGGGGGTTCTGTCAACACGTGTGTCTCGGTGCCAAGCATAACAGACACATGGCATGAGTCGACGAGACAACGAATTGCAGAACCCTAGGAAGACTGCTCACAAGGGGAGACACTAGAGGCAGTAAAACTCGGACTGGGCGAGCTGAGGCGACGCGTAGTTCTGTGGCTGCGGGTCCGGTCTAGAAGCTATACATTCATACATTCGTACAGTACGTACGTATGGCATATCAGTGTGGACGCCTCCCGAGGTCGACCAAAGCATGCGAACGCCCCCCAGATTTATTTAGCAACATCCGCCACTCCCACGAAGTCAATTATCTGTCCCTACCTTACCCACTTATATATTACCCTGGATTTTAATCCGATGCCGGCTGGGCCGATTTAGGCTGGCGCGTCCTGGACGCTGACCAGGCCAGGGGCCAGCCGCTGCCTGTGCTTCTGCCCGTCATCCTTACGGCAACTGGCCGAGGCGCGAGGAAAGGGAGCCTGGAAGGGCAGGACGGTGGGTCAAGACTGGAGTGCGTTGAATTACTCGGCCGGCTCCGCAACGGATGGATTCGAGATGCCCTGGAATGTGGTCTGTATCAACGCCACCACCCTGGCTCAGCCGCAGTTGCTGACCGGCGACTGACAGCTGAGGCTTAAACCTGGCACCAGACTTTTTTTCTTTTGTCACAGAGAAAGCCAAGGAAATTAGGAAGGAATATGGCAGGACCATTTTTTCTCGCGCGAGCCACAGTGTCATTCCTCTGAAACCAAGCGACAAAGCCCGAGCCTAGCGAATCATGATCGGCGGCATCGGTTATCGGACTTGATTATCGACTCCCTGTAATTATCCGCACTGCAGCAAATCTACACGCTACAAACCTCAGAACATACGATATCTGAGCCGGAGGAATTGGCAAATTGGTTTGAAGCTGAAGATATTTACTATGTAGTATGATCTGAACATTTGCCATTTCTTGGCGCTTCTGCCGGAGTTATGGAGAACCCCTGGAGCTAAACCAATTTCCGTCCTGTTACGTGGCTTGACTCGACTCAGAGCAAATAGTTAAATGGGGGCATCGCAAACTCCAGTAACTAACTGGTGAGTGGCGTTGGACAACGCATCGGCTAATGGCGTTATGGAGAGAAAACGAATTGGGCGTACTCAGCTCGGCACTTGCAGCCACGCATGGCAATTAACGAATACTAGCGAGGCTACGATGGGCCGGTGCGTTGATCGTGCATTCAAGGGTCAAGTCTGGCCGCGAATCCTCCTTACCAAATCCTCTCATACTGACCCAACTATGCATTATGGTCCGTAGTATTGTCCACACTAGTTACATAGTACAAGCGGGCATGTATCATGGTCGCGTTAGCACCTACCCAGGTAAGTAATCAATCTCCTGTGCATGGATGCGGTCCACAAAGAGCCATGGAACCATCGAAAATGGACTTCGGCATTTTGCTGATGGGCCAACCGCCCCAATGCCATCCCGTTTGGATAGAGGCATGGGTAATGCGCTAGTGGGCGGCTGTAATGAGTCAGTGCAAGTACGGCCCTACTTGCATAGGCCATTTATTATTTATTTCAAGATGCTTGCTCACCTGCTTCTTTGGACTTCTGGTTGTACGCGAATCCGCTTATCAATGAATTGATTCAGCATGGAGTATACTACGTAGTAGTATTGCCCTCGTCAAGAACCTGGTCGGCCAAGACGGGACGGCAGACTCAGGACAAGGTCTATCGAGTCTCCACACGGCGGACGGACAGATCCATGTTTAAACTGCGGTCGATCGGTCCGCGTATCCCGTCACCCGAGCTGTCTCTCACGCGCGGAGACGCCGCGGTTAACATGGCACTTTGCGTGCAAGATTTTGCCGTGCGCCATGGCGTTTCGTCACCGATCACGTAAGGAATATTGATGCTTTCCAATTTAGCTTGATGGAGTCGATAGTTGAAAAAGCACAGTACGAAGAACAACAACCTAAACCTGGCGATTGCAACATAGGGACGCGCAAGCAGGCCGATGACGCCATCGAGGAAGCCCAGTAGGGATATTGGCCCATGCCCTGTCAATTGAGGGTGTTGCGAAAAGAACCGCGGGGTGAGACGCCCATATCAACAATTGGGAGGTGGAGGAGAGGATTGCCGTACTGTAGGATCTCATGGTCAAATATGCACCTCTTCTATTACTTGAGGTTTGCTGTTGAGGGTGGTTACAGTTGCAGTCGGTCTGATGCAGGTACGGCATTACACTGACCAACACGTGACTCCACCACGTGCATCGTACATTTGACACTGACAGCAATGACAAGGATGGGCGCCATTCGGAACTCAATTAATTTCTCTCGTGTCACTTTCACGCTCATCGCAATGTCTTTGGCCTAGCGAAGCCAGATAGCATTCCGGGATCTAACCCATGTTGCACTTTGAGAGCAGACCCATGTCTGGGTCATTTCCACGCTTTCCAGTGAGAGTGGGATCTTTCCGTAGGCGGGCAAAGGCGCCACTGATAATATCCCCCCAGGCCAGTTCGGCGCCCAGTCGGTTCAGCTCAGAAAATGGAAGGGCGCTCCGTCTCTTCCCGAACCGTTGCGACTTTTCCAACCTCCTGCGCTGACGGATTTGGGATCTTGGGGATTTTCGGTCACGGGTCTTTTCTGAATCGAAGGCGGCAGCACGTCCTGAACCTGGTTGAGAGGTGCCGGACAACGACCGCCAATGGCCCAGACCAGCGCGGCCACGAGGGCTGAGACTCCGATATCCATTCGAGGTTTGCGGCGACAGGGCGCGACAGGGCGGTTTGGAGGTGATTGGCTGACTGGGCAATGTGATTTTGACGCGCCGTCTGATTCGCCAGCCACACGCTCCCTTCGCAGGGGGTTCGCCTGCGCTATGTGACCAGCCAGACAACCTGCCAATCGATGGAGGCATCTTGATCGGGAAAAGACGTCGTCGAACTCTCAGGCTGAGGCGGCTATGGGAAGAAAGTCCATGTTCCACAGGCGGAGTCGCCGCTGGAGCGCAGACGAACTCGAGTGAGTTCCGGGGCATCACGGTGATGATGAGGCGGAAAGGACGAGCAAGTGGCCGCCGTATCTGACCTGGATACTCGCTGTTGCGCATGACCAGATAGCCCTCTATCTGCCTGTTATCACGGCCTTTCCCCGTCCAGCTGAGCGCGTCGTCCGTCTTACAGGACCCTGAGAGGCAGACACCAACGCACCAGTCCCCTGTTGATACACCGCCCTGGTTCCCTTTGATGGCTCCCGTGACATGGAAACGGACGGCTGGTCGGACTGGATCAAGATCTACCCCTCCATACTTGCCCCTCCCCCACCAGCCCAGGTGCCGCGATCGACGAACTGCGTTCTGCAGCACCTCCTCGTGGTGGTTACTGCGGCGCCCATTGCAGCCTCGTTGGCTAGAGGCTCGGGGTCTCATGTGCCTCCCCCAGCTGCCACTGTCCATTCCCGTGCCGTCGTCTTCATCCACGTGGGGAGGCCTTTTCCGGTCCCCAAACCATGATAACAATGTGCAAACAGAGAAAAGAGACGGTTCCCTCGTCCCGGGTGGCCTTGGGAGCGTCTCTCGATGGCAGAGACAGAGAAGCCAGTTAATCCCTTCTCCCCCTCGCAACCTCGTCGCAACACATCGCCATGGTTGTCAAACCGCCGCAGGGCAGCTCGCCCTACCCCAAGCATGACTTGTCCCAGTTCCCCTCGGCCCTCAAGGGCAAGCGCATTCTCCTCTGCACCGAGTCGTTCGGCCCTGTCAACGGTGTTAGTCGCACGACTCTGATGTTGGTGACCCATCTGCGCGATCATGGCGCTCAGGTCGCTGTCGTTGCGCCTCATAACCACACCAAGCACAACACCTTCACGCCGCCTTCATCGCCCTTGATGTCGCCTGCCGACAAGCAACCCGAGGTCCGCGTCACCGGCTATCCTCTCCCTTTCAACCCGGAACTCTCCATTGTGTACCCAGTGCGCAACTCGACGCTATACGCGAAGACCTTTGGTGACGATGCGCCACCGGATCTGATCTATCTCGCTTCGCCCGCGAGCTTGGGATTCCAAGTCATGCTCCAGTTGCGACAGCAGCCCAAGGAGAACCAGATCCCCGTCATCTGCAACTTTCAAACTGATCTTGCCGGCTACTGCGCCATCCTCTTCCCCGCCCCGCTGAGTTACTTTGCCGTTTTCGCCTTCGCGGCTGTGCAAAGCTACTTGTTCCGACATGCCTCGGTCAAGACCATTTTCTACCCATCGACATTCGTGAAGCGATACCTTATCGGCCAAAACGTTCAAGAAGACAAGCTCGAGGTTTTGACCCGCGGTGTCAACACGGACATGTTCAACCCGAGGAGGAGAAGCGAGGAACTGCGAAAACAACTGGCGCCGAATGGAGAAATCATCTTTGTGACCGTCTCCCGCATCGCAGGTGAGAAGGGTTTCGATTTCCTCGCCAAGGCTGCCAAGGAGCTTGACGCGAGGGGCTTGAACTTCAAGCTTTACATCGTGGGCGGCAACCGAAATGCCGACGTCGAGCGAGAAGTACACGAAATGTTTGACCCTCTGAGGGAGAGCGGCAAGGTCGTTTTTGCGGGATTCAAGGTTGGAGAGGACTTGGCCACTGCCTATGCCAGCGGCGATGTCTTTTTGCACTGCTCCGTGACCGAGACCTTTGGCTTGGTGGTCCTTGAGTCTATGGCTAGCGGCGTCCCCGTCATTGCCCGCGATGAAGGTGGCCCGTCGGATATTGTTCAGCACGGCGACAACGGCTTCCTCATCCCCCCCAACGACCTCGACGGCTTCGTTACCAAAGCCATGAAGCTTGGCCAGGACCACGCTCTCCGCACCAACATGGGCCACGCGGCGAGAACTGCCGCTTGCGAAGCGACCTGGGAGAAGATCAACAACAAGGTCGCATGGCGCATGGCCGACACCATTGCCGAGAGACAACGCGAGATGACGGGTCCTCAGACCCAGCAGCTGAGCAAGGTCGGCCTCGACGCCCAACAGCTCATCCCCATCTACGGCTGGCTCATGATGAACGATGCCATGCGAGAGAACATCACCCGACGCATCGTGGACGCACGCCTCATGGGCGGATTGGGCGTCATCATCTCCTTCTGGATGGTCACCGGCTGGTATATGGTGTTTACCGAGTGCTTCCTCTGGGCCAAGGGCAGGTGGAGGGAAGCGGAGCGCACTAGGCGGGGTTCGATTTCGGCGTAGACAAGAAAGTTGGGCTCATCATTGGCGTTGACGCATCTGCATTTACGAAACTGGGGTACTTGAAAGATGGTGTTTGGCGCAGGACAGACGGCTACTGTGCTTTGATGAACGGGTTTCCTTATTTCCTTGAGTCCTGGCATTTTCCTATGGCATTTTCCTATTTCCTTGCTCAAGATTAGACAACCCTATGATACCATATTTGAATTCACGATTGCCATGATATCATGCGGTTCCCGTGTCCCAGAAAGCCGGCTGGCCGAGTTGCCGGGTTTCGCAGCCAGCATACGATACGTGTTTCAAGTTCCATGCAACCACGCCACGTTCGGTCATGTCAGGCTCATGTCAGAACAGGGAGCTCCCGATTAGGAAGTAGAACGCACATTGATGTCATTCACGAAGGGTATTGAGGGGTAGATTGATTTAACTTGATTTGTATATTGTCTAGAAAAGAAGGCATGGTAGTTTTAGTATAGTGTAAAAACCCTATAGGGCCAGATGTCATCTAGTGACATGGAGTGCCGTAAGAAATTGGCTGAATACTAGAGAAGATGTCGTAAAAGAGAATAGTAGAGTAGTAAGTGTCACGCTTCGCTGTAAAAATAAGATATCTTCTCCCTGTCGCCAGAGAATCTCTAATGCACTCCCCCTTCCATTAACCCCCGCTCCCCCCCGTGTCTCGTGCTTCCTCGTCGGTAGCACGCTCATATCGTGGCGACTCGGGGGATCAAGACGGCCTGTCTGCGCCTGTACATCTCGGCGTACTTCCAGCGCTCGTAGGTGCCGAAGCCGACGACGGCGGCGCCGATGAGCAGCCACGTGCCGGTGATGATGAGGCCGACCGGGTAGATCATCAGCTGCACGCCGGGGAGCACAAAGGCCACGGTGCCGTTCTTGAGGCCCGCGAGCTGCTCGTCCACGGCGGACTGGGCGGCGCCAAAGTCGGACTGGATGACTTCGCCGGAGAAGACGCCCGTGAGGAACGAGGCTTCGTTGATGGAGACGTTGGTCTGCACTGTGCTGCCGCTGCTGTTTGTGCCGGTGAGGGTGAGGGTGGGTAGCACCAGTGCTTCAAAAGCAGCCCTAGATATCTCAGTCAGTATGCGCTCAAGAGACGTGTAAGTGAATGAGGGTATACTCACATGGTCATGTTGTTCACCATGCGGTCTTGGTCGATCTGACCAACAAACATGTACGTTTGAAGAAGCTGAGGCACTGCCCGCTTCGCGATGCTCGCCACGGTGCCCACCATACCAGCGGATGACACCTCGCTTTCATTGACGGGCATGACGCTCGCGCCCACATAAGACAATCCCACGCTGACTTCCTCCGGGGAGATGCCCGCAAAGTCGCCTCTTGAATCCGACACCTTGAACAGCCGCAGGTCGGCCTCGAACACGCCCGTTTGCGTGTCCAGCGAGGGCAGGTTGTAGCACACGCAGGCGCCGGAGGGATTCGTGCTCTGGATCAGGGTGCTGAGGGCGCCCTGGCAGGCGGCGTTGGTGGCCTCGTTCCAGGCGGTGATGTTCAGGCTGCCGTCCTTGTTGATGACGACGCCCGAGGTGTCGGCCTCGGTTGCGCTGGTGGTTGCGTTTGCGTCGTCGCGGGTGTGCAGGGAGGAGCTGAGGACTGTGGCATAGGGGCGGCCGATGACATCCTCGGCGCGGAGGAGAATGGCGCCGCCGGAGAGAGGCGTTGAGGCATGTGCTGAGAGAGCGAGAAGAGAAGCCGCGAGGGCGAGGGTTATGGCCGGAGCCATTGTCTTAAGTTCCTCTACGAGGGCTTCTCCGGGAGATTTATATCAGGTATTCCTTTTCCTCCACGGTACCAGATTCAAGTGCGGCTAGCGACGTTTTCCTCCCACAATCCAATTCGGGTCCAGAGATGATTAAAAGCGAGTGGATTCCGTCCGGCGGTGATAATTCAGTATACTCGAGAATCGAAAAAGGCGTGGTGCGAGTGAGGTGAGAGAACAGCTCGAGAAGCTCGCTTTCGTCCAGGGGTATCAATGAAAGGAAGGGATTCGCAAGTGGCGGAAAGTCAACCGACGACGAACAGCAGCTAAGCCCTAGGGAGAAAAACCGGATCCGACGGCGGAAGGAGGATTAAAAGAGGGAATATCAGGAAACGATCGCTGGTGGAAGTCCGGATAGAAGAGAAGATAAAAAAGCCACCAGGGCCTGAGAGGGACCAGCCCACTTTCAACTGAGGACCCGCGAGCGAACCGGTGGGCAACTGGCGAGGGGGCTCTCGAATCGTACCAGAACCAAGGCGGAGGGACCAGAAAAGCAGACGACAAGCTGCCAGGGATGGCGAGATTAGGTTGCGGTGCCCAGTCGAGAGAGTGAAGAGAATAGAGAGAGCCGCCGTGGAGGTGCATGTGCAGAGCCGGGTCGGGGGGGATGAAATGGGTAATAGGGCCCGCGAGGCGAACGGTGAGAGCGGCCAGCAGAAGCAAGGGGCCGTTGAGAGGAAGCCATGTGCCCAGCAAGCATGCACCCTGGAACGGGAAACTTGCGACGGGGGTGTTTGGACGGCGACGCAGATGGGGAAGCCATCGTCGGATCGACTGAGGATGTGACGGGAGTGGTCTGGTGGCCGGCCGGGGGGGAGGCAAACTCGGCATGGTCGGCAGCGGAGCTCTCCACCGGAGCACAGCGCATGAGCATTACAGATAGGGCAATACAGTAGGGCCACAGGGCGATAGGGCACAGCAATTCAGTGGCCGGGAAGCGCCAGGGGGTGGGATTGAACAAGCTCTGGCTTCACGTTGTGGTTGGCTGCGCTGCAACTTCTTACAACGGCGCCTAGCCACAGACGAGTTTGACATCATCTTCGTCCGGTTTCTCGTTTCTCCTTGACACAGACTCTCGACCGCTGAAGCCGCGGGTGACACTCAGTGACACTCGATGACACCGCACGACTCGGCATCTCCAGCCACCGAGTGTCAGTCCTCCGTCCCAAGTCTCACAGTCCCACGCCCCCCGTCTCGGCCGCGTTCCGGGCCATGTCACCTTGGCAGCAGCACAACCGGCCATGCCAAGACGTGACACAAACCTCACAGCCACACAGCGTCGCCCGCCATACGGGAAGCGGCATCGCGGCGAGCAGGGTGGTGTAAGAGATCGGTTCGCGAGCCCGACACGCGGAGCCCAGCTGTGTGCGTCCAGGGTTTCTGGCTTGAGTCGCTGCGAGGCCTTGGCGCGCCTTGCCGTCGAGTGCCGAGCGCAGCGGGGATGCGCCGCGCGAAGCCGCCTCATTGGCTGCGCGACGACGGCGCAGGGCTGCTGCGTTGTGGAATGGGCAGAGAAGGGGTGGGAATCCGGAGTCGTTGAGTGGGATGGCTCGTTTCAGGTTGAGAGCATGGGGAGGGCCAAAGACCAAGATGTCGGGTTGAGGGTTTCTGCCAGGCCAAACACAGACAAAGGAGGGGGGGATGAGTTTAGCCCTCTTTTGTCTAATTAACCCGGCGAAGCGAAGGAGCACAATCTAGGCAAGCAAGTTGAAGGCATAGTCGGTCCAAAATGAAAGACGATATGCAACTGCTGGGCATACGTAACCCTTTCGACTTGCATAGTCTCCTAGGAGCCCTCCTCCGGTCGTTCAGTTGAAAACGGTCGGACTGCCAGGCGGGAATAGGCACCCTGCAAGCAGTTACAGGGGGGCCCCCACCGCCTCCGTAGGGGCCTCTCAGCGGTCTTCCCCTTGCAGCTGGTGGCCGTTGGGCGGGCCCCTCCTGTGGCGCTGGGCAGCGAAAAGGGCCGGACTCAAAAGGCCAGTGTGGAGGGGCCTCCCGCGCGCTGCTTCAGGCCTCTCGAGCCCTGCACGCCATCCTCCTACAGGCCCGCTGTCCACTGACGGCCGCCGAGCGCCTGGCCTCCCTGCAGCGGACCCCGTCCATTGGTGCCTGTGCCTGGCCCTCGTCCAGGGACTGTCAGCGCCGTCAGCCCACCGCCGCTTCGTGATGGCTTCATCTGCTCATCAAGTTGCATGTTTTCCGCCCGTATCAACCGGTGCTCTTTTTTTCTCCGTCCGCCTAATTTTTCCACTGGCCGTGCCGCCTGGAAAACTGCCGACCGTCAGCACGACAGGCGGGTTTGTGCCTGGCCGAAACACAGCCCGGCCCTGAATGCTGACGTTCGCGGCGCCAATCGCTGCGATCCTGGTGCGCGCGAGGTGATACTCGTTGAGTCGATCATGGCACGGCTGCGATGGCTTCCGTTCGCAGCTGTGTCTCGTCTTGTTTCCTCTTGTTTTCACACAATGCAGCGTGTCACACAGCGAAATTCTCGTTGTTGAGACGACATCGGTCGCGGGCCCAGAGATATGGTGGTATCGGGATCCCTGAAACGGCTTCTGCTACAACGGCGCTCTTCTCACCCCGCGCCCTCACACAACTCGCCAAGTGTGATCGCCTCTACGGAACGCGGATGAAATTCTGAATCTCGCCCGGGTGATGCAGCGGCTGCCTGGCAGCACTCAATGTTGTGGGCGTGTTTTGGAGGCGGTCTAGACTTTCCCCCCCCCAGACGTGAATCTCTTCCATCCCCTTGCCTGGCCGCCGGTATATGCAAGCCAAGTAAGCGAGAACTTGCTCAATGACGGCAAATCCGGCGCATTGGGGTTAGGCGGCGGCCAAGGCTTGGCCCTCAATCTCGGCGACATGTGTCAAACTAGGGATCGGGGCTTGGTGTTGAGACGATACGAGATTGAGACGGGGAGCTTGCCCAGCCCGCGCGACCGTGATCGCCCGCCGGGTAATATGGCTAACCTTATTGAGGTATGCTTATTTGCTCGACAAATCACGGCTGCGGGTGGTTGTGAGAGATGAGACGGGCTGAGGGCTGGGAAGCAGAGTGGGATGCTCATTACCGACGAGCGACTGAGTGAGCATAACGAAGTTAGATATAGATTGCCGAGCACATCTGGGAAAATGCCACTTGAGATTCCTCTAAGCTCAAATCGTACATCTAGTCGATCTGCCATGTAGTCTCCTGATGCAAGAGTCCGTCACGGCGTGCTCGAACGACGGCTGAAAGCTGAAATGGTGGCGTGGATGATGGACTTGCGTTGGTGGTCTGATGGTCTGGATGTATTTCTTCATCTACAGCTCGCAGATAAACCAAGAAACCATTTTCATCTTCAACTCCAATACTAACCGTGAATAGCACTTGTGTCGAAATTCCAACGATCCCTTCGAGATTAGGCCTCGAGAATGGCGACGAGCGAACCCTCGGAGAACGACCCAGAGCTCTTCTACATCAGTCTCAATGACGACAAGCCCACTACGATCGTCCTTCTACACGGCCTGCTCAATTCACACCTCGAGTGGGAGTTTGTGATTCCTCACCTGACGGACTATCACATACTCGCCCCCGATATAAGCGGCCACTCCCGCTCTCGAGACATCCTCCCCGCTGACCTCTGCACCTCGGCCGACCGCGTTGCTGCCCTCATCCGGAAGCACGCAAAGGGCGGGCGGGCTCACGTCGTCGGGCTCTCCATGGGCGCCTTCGTCACGCTGCGGCTCAGCCAGCGCCATCGCGAGCTGGTGTGGTCGGCGTTTGTCACGGCGGGCCATCCCATGGAGGGCCGGTGGGCGTGGGTCGTCGGCCACCCGCGCGTGACGTTCTACGTGATGCTGTTCCTGCTGGAGGCGGTCCCCCGCCGGCTCTACCTCGCGGTCGCGGCCCGCCACGGCATGCGCAGGCACGAGGCGCTGCTGGGCGAGATGCGGCAGAACCGTCGGTGGGATGTGATCCGCGACGTGGACCTGGGGCTGCTGGAGCTGACCTGGGACGACGTGCGAGCGCTGCCCGTCAAGACGCTGTCCATTGCGGCCGGCAACGTCGATGACGTCGAGGCGGTGAGGCGGATGGGGAGGGAGATGCCGGTGGAGGGGTCCTTGGGGGTCGTGGTGCGAGGGGCGGTGCACACGTGGAACCTCCAGAAGCCAGAGCTGTTTGCGGAGGGCATCAAGGCGTGGATTGAAGGGAGGGGATTGCCAGAGGAGTTGGAGGTGTTGACGTGAGACTGGGGGTGATGCTCTTGACTTATTGCCTCAATTGCCTGCACTCATTGCCTTCACTCACTATTCTCCCCATGTCTCACCCCGCCATGCCCTGAATGATAGCTCTCTCACCTACCTATGAGAACCATAATATTAATAATAATGATAGCTTAACGCAGCCTCGGCGACTAGTTTAAACCCAAGACCTTGTCGACGACGGGAAGCGCGCCAACGCATCATCGGCGTCTTATTCCCTCCACACGGCACTCGTCGTCCAACATTCCCCCTCACAACCGTCCTCGCCCTCACTGGCTCGCCGCTCGCTAGACTGCGGGCTCCGGATGCTCCCTTCAACTGCCGCGGGGGACCTGGTGCCGCCCAGTGGTCATCCGTCCCACAATACCGGGCTTCTGATTGATTAGAGCAGACGTGTTTGCCAGGGAACGTTCAACACTGTCTTTCACCGGCTCGCGTTCAATCTACCTGATACACAAAAACCCTCCAAACACGGCCCAAATTCGCCCTTCATAGGCTGCTGTCCGCCCTCATTCTCTGCGTCACGTGAGCTGTCTGACGTTGGATCCTGCAAGCTGCCGTTAGCGCTGTGCTGGTTGTTGCTTGAGCTGCGCCTCGTCGCCGAAAGCTTCGTTCCGCAAACCTGAGAAGCAGAGGCCACGTTTTGGACTCTTTTTTCTTTATTTCTGCGAGGTTTTGGATAACAGGTATTAAAGACAACTTGATTGAGTCGGTTTCGCTCGACCATAAATTCAATCATGGCTCGCGAGAAGGAGCCCACGGCTGAGCCCCAGGTGACGTTCGCCTCAGGGCGGGTTGACGACGGAGGATCGGCCGATTCGCCGCCCGATGTGCGCATTATTCACTACAACGACGTCTATCACCTCGACCCGTCCAGTGCGGAGCCCGTCGGCGGCCTGCCGAGGTTCATCACCCTGTGCCGGGAGTACCAGGAGGGCAAGCAGTACGAGGGCCAGCCCGAGGCCTTGACCCTGTTCTCGGGGGATGCCTTCAACCCAAGTCTTGAGAGCAGCGTGACCAAGGGTCAGTATGAAGCCTGTAACTGGCTGCAATGGTATACTGATCACTCGCTAGGCCAACACATGGTTCCGGTGCTCAACATGATTGGGACCGACTGTGCATGCGTAGGGGTGGGTAAGTCGAGCCACCCCGGCCCGATCCGGAGAACTAACACGGCCTCTAGAACCACGACTTTGACTTTGGCATCAAGCAGTACGAGCATCTCGCGGGCCAGTGCGACTTTCCCTGGCTGCTCGCCAACGTCCTCGATCCCGCCCTGGGCGAGGACGTGCCCATGGGCAACGCCAAGAAGACGCACATGATGACCACTTCCAACGGCATCAAGGTTGGCTTCATCGGCCTCGGTGAGCGCGAGTGGCTGGAGACGATCAACAGCTTGCCTCCGAATCTCATCTACAAGTCCGCCACGGCTACCGCCAAGGAGATTGTCCCGCAGCTGCGGGAGCAGGGCGCCGAGATCATCATCTGTCTCAGCCACATGCGCGAGCCCAACGACAACAAGCTGGCGCAGCAGACCGAAGGCATCATCGATATCATTCTGGGCGGCCATGACCACTACTATGCCCACAGCTTCATCAACGGCACCCACGCCCTGCGATCGGGCACCGACTTCAAGAACCTCAGCTACATCGAGGCCCGCCGGAAGCCGGACGACCCCAAGCGCTGGGACTTTGACATCTGGCGGCGGGACGTCACCTCGTCCATCGCGGAAGACGAGCCCACGCAGAGGCTAGTCGGTGAACTAACTTCGAAGCTCAACCAGTCTCTCGCCAAGCCGGTGGGTTGGACGGCCACGCCCTTGGATGCTCGGTTCAGCACCGTCCGCCTGAAGGAGTCCAACATTGGAAACTTTGTCTGCGACGTCATGCGGCAACACCACCACGCCGACTGCACCATCATGGCGGCGGGCACAATCCGCGCCGACCAGATTTACCCCCCTGGCGCGATCCGGATCAAGGACATCACCACGTGTTTCCCGTTCGAGGACCCCGTCGTGCTGCTGAGGGTCACGGGACAGGCCATCTGGGACGCGCTGGAGAACGGCGTCTCGCAGTATCCTGCTCTCGAGGGACGGTTTCCCCAGGTGTCCAACATCCGCTTCGAGTTTGATCCCAAGCTGCCAAGGGGGCAGAGGATCCTTTCCATGGAGATTGGCGGAGTGACGTATGACCCCGAGAAGAAGTATGTCCTTGCTACTAGAGGATACATGGGACGGGGGAAGGGTGAGCATTGACATCCAGCTTGACAGCGTGCTGCTAACATTTTTTTAGACGGATTCACCAGCCTTCTGGTCAAGTCGGAAGGTGGAGAGGCAGAGGAAATCATCGAGGAGGAAAACGGAATCCTCATCTCCGCCATGCTCCGCCAGTACTTTATGGCGCTGCGCACCGTGGGCCAGTGGAAACACCTCTCCGACCACTGGGTCAACGTGGTTGAAAACTGCGAAACACCCATCTCGCCCATCCGCGAAGGCGCCTACGGCTTCCCCAGCATGGACAACCTCGCCGCGTACCTCCCGGTCCCCGACCGCGCAAAGGTGACGGAGGACTCGGCCGACCCGTGGAGCAAGTTCCTCAAGCGACGCTTCATGGTCAACGCCAAGCCGGTGCACGAAAACGTCGACAGCGAGGTCGACGAGGACGACGACTCGGACGAGGACGCGCGCGACGGCGGCGACCAGCTCGACTTTGAGATCCTGCTGATGCGCAAGTTCTGGACGCGCTGGGCGCTGAAGACGGGCGTCAAGTCGAGCATCTGCGATCCGCTGAAGGAGGGCGCGTTTTCCGTCGACTGGACGAGGTGTATTGCGCCGGTGGTTGATGGGCGGATTAAAATGGTAGAGTCATGAGCAATTACAAAGCAGGTTTGGTGGTATTGTTCTGAGAGTATTTCTGAGTATCTACTCCATAAAGCAATATGACGCCAAATTCCTCCCAAGAACTACGTCGTTTTATGAACCACGTCTAGATGGGCTTCTGAACCAGTACAAGCGAATGGTTACCACCTGGTATTGATCCCGCCCTATATTCTGCCCCTTATTGCTCCTCTTCCATCCGAGTTCCCAGAATACAACCTGTGAAATGTCATTGTCAACCTTGCAGGACAGTTCATATGTGGCTGACCCTCGACGCAAAGAAGTAATACTCATAAGATTATTTGTTTGCTTCTTTGTGTCAACAACCCTGTATGCAGGACTTTTGTCTAAAGCTACCAAAAGGGCATGTCTGTGCTTGTAAGCTGGCGAACACAGCCTCTTCTCCTGTTTCAGTTGCATCGCCGATGGCCCGAGAATGAAACATGGGAGCTTTGAACACCTAGCGGTCCTTAATGCTTGTCAATTATACAATGCGATATATACAAGGCTGTCATCTTTTAAATTGGGTTTCACGAAACATGTCGACCTCAACGAGCCACAAGCTGAGAAAGTAAAGTGCACATACACCTCTCCATATAGAACAGAACTAGTATACATATCTTCTATGAATTTAAATACAGACCAGCTGCCATCACCTAATATACACTGCTGATGCACAATTGGCCACCCAGTTAGCTGCTATCCAAGATTCCACGCATGTCCATTGCTATAGGGTAGGATTCGTTGCCGCGGCAGAAAGGTCGGGCCGATACATTCGAGGAACAAAGTCGGGCCGCTGTCGCCGAGGAGGAACATCGAGCTGTGGAAACGGAAGAATGCCGGGCCGGTCAATTCCCGATGCGGGTTCCCGCCGCCGTAGTATGCCGAACCCTTGTCTTAGTGGCGACCTAAACCTCACGTGGAAGTGCATTTCGAGTTGGTGCAGATTAAATCATCAGAGCAGTCATCATAGCTAGAGCAAGTAGCACCTGTCGATCTATAAGCAACAGAGTCACGGCCAGGGATTCATCATCCGACGCACCTTCGCAGTGGCCAGACCACGAGCAGTCATCGCTGCTGCTGCCATTACCACCACTGTTACCGTCACCGCTGGACGACCCGCCGAGACGCTCAATCAACTTGTCTCCCAGCGACGAGATGCTCTCCTCGAACGTCTCGTAGCCCGAGGCGTCCCACGTGGCGCCGTCGGCTCCGGGCACGGCGTCGCTGCCGGGGAAGGCGATGAACAGGACGTCGTTCTCGGCGTGGCCGTTGTTGCCGTTCATATCGGTGCCGTAGCAAGCCGTGGCCAGCGAGATGGAGGCCTCACCGACCATGGGGAATTCGCCGTCGTCGCCGTTCTCATCGCCCCAGACGCCGTAGATCTGCGTATCTGTTAGTGGACAGTTACGAACCGAGCTTTGCACGTACCAGCTTGTCACCGCACACGACGGCCATGACACTCAATGGCTCGATGCCGTGCTCCTGCGGGTCAAAGGTGGCCCAGCCGGACTTGCTGCCGGTGTTGCCAAAGACGACATAAGGGTGGATGTTGGCGTCTAGATCCTTCTGACCCGTGCCGTATCCCGCGACCGTGTCCATGAACGAGGTCATGGACTGCGTGTCACCGGAGCTTCCGCACCGGCCGTCGTCGGCGGAGCTGCCCTGGATGCCGTCACAGTCAATATCGATGTTGACAAGAGCGCCGTTCTTGCCCTGGAGGTAGACGACGTTGTAGTCATCGATGTGGTCACCACAGTAGTCGAAGTCTGTAGGTGTTAGCATCCCATCGATAATGATCCCTTGCTGTGCAACTAACCGCCAGAGTCGCCGTCTTCGCTGTAGAAGCCACCAGCGAGCACGTTGTTGCACTTGCCCTGGGCAACAACGGCGTCGTAGAAGCTCTTCACGTTGGTAGGGACGCTGCGGGCCGAGGCAAGACCAAGGAGGACCGAGGCGGCCACGAGAGGAGTGCGAATAGAGGCCATGGTGAAAAGAATGGAAGGGTGTTCAGAAGGTATCAACGACGGATTGTGGATATCAGGATACCATCACCAACTCAACGGGCATCACCTCGGGTTTATAAGTCGATGCCTCAATACTGGTCCGTCGCAGGCCAACTCGTGAAGGATTGAAGCTGTTGCAAGCTGCCTCTTCCGGTCAGCTTTGCATCCAGCATCGACCATACGAGGCGGCCGCCTCAATCTAACCCAGACCAGCGACTCGACCATACCCCAGCCTGCCGTGTTCAGCCGTACGGGGCCAGGAGCCAAGATGGCCTAATCGCACGGCTAGCTCCAAAGGGAGACAAGGATGAGGCTCCATCCTGCCGAGGAACCGGGCCTATTTCAAGGCTGTAAAAGTCAATGTCAATGCTAACTTGGACTTTGATGTCAAATGCTCAGTTTGTTAGACTTGAAGTTCTCTGTTCGCATACGGGAAAGAAGTCTGGCGCATGTTTTTATTTCAGCCTGTGATGAACAATAGATAGTCTAAAGAAAAGGTTGATAAAAATCTTAGGGAACATATCCCCGCATCTATCCCCCTGTCGGATGAAACAATCCGTCTGACGGCATGGGCCTGTTTCATCGCCAAGTGTTGTCGGACGATCTCGACAACGTTGTAGTGCTGTCCCATATGGGTTGTCGTGTAATCCTCCAAACAAATTAACAAAATACCCAGAGAGTCTTCTCAATGCATTAGGAATTCTTATTAAACACAGTCATGCGAAGTAAGAAAAAAGTACCGTGCATTGTCCGTCGACGGATCGTCGTTCAATCGGAGGGAATCCTTCTGATCCTTCGCTCGGCCGACTAAGAAGTTTAACAGCACACATGGATATTATATCCGTTTGGTCCGCCTGCCTCATTAGTCGTATGGATTTGTTGCCTATGCCAAGGCTAAACTCGATTGTCTTCTATGGCGCTGTCCACGTGGGCGACTGAAACCTAGTAAACAATACCTTCACCAATCACACTTGTTTCGCTCCTTCAATCCTTTAAAATAGTCAGCGTTCCGATGGACCTTTCACTGGCGACGAAAAGCCCACGGGTTTATTTTAATCGACATTCATCTACCCGTCTCATCCGTGTGGCGTCATGGGGAGTATTACGGAACCTGAGCTTTCGCATTGATGATTTCCCCAAGCTGCACCCCTGAATTCCGAGGCTCACTCAGCCGAGCATGTGGGACTTTAAGCACCTGCCAAAAACTGCCTTTCCAAGAGTGGCGGCCGATTTATCCATAATATATCCCTGCAGTGAAGTTTTCCATGTATTTTGTTGGAAGATGACCCTGCATTACGAAACCTCTGCTAGATCGATATCGTGACCTTAGCCAGGGGGTCTAATAACCCTCTTCCGACCGGCCCGGATAACCGACACAAGCAATGGTCAATATCATATCTAATTGATCAATTTTATCATTGCTTGAACACTATCCAATGGATCAACTTGACCGTAAGCCGCATCGTAGCAAACATCAGCAACATCGCGATCAACAAAACGTACCAAAATCAACGAACCGAGGATCCAAAAACGTCAGAGAAGTCCACAATAACTAACCTGAGAATTACTAGAGAAAGCTGATCAACATTGTTGATTTGTAAGGTCATTCATTTCGTCCGTCTCGGCGTCCGTTGCCCACGCGTCGAACCTTGGATTCCGCTTTCCATCAGAGGCCAAGCGCTATCGGCTTCTCCTTTACACGGCCATCGGACAACATAGATGTCCGAAAACTCCACCGAATGCAAGATAGGAGTGCAGTATAAATATGAGAGGAGAAAACAGACTAGATTTCTGACAATTCCAACTTCATAAAGCGGGTGTCACTCAAAATGTCTGCCAAACTACAACATGAAGCCGCCTGGGAGGCCGGTCTTCTCGCCTTCATATCTCGCCAATTCATCCAAACAGTCCCTCCGATTCCCAAGTCGGTCAATTTCTCGGGGAAAACAGCACTCATCACTGGCTCCAATGCTGGACTAGGATTCAATTGTGCACGGCAACTTCTAGGCCTCAACCTCTCACACCTCATCCTCGCCGTTCGCTCACAGTCAAAGGGCGACGCCGCAGCCAAGACCCTCCAGGGCCAATTTCCGTCCGCCAAGATCGAGGTCTCGCTCGTGGACATGAGTTCGTACAAGTCCATTGTGGCGTTTGCAAAGCGGTGCGAGGCCCTGCCTCGGTTGGACATTGCCATTTTGAACGCAGCGCTGGACCGAATCACATACGAGCGCTCTGAAGAAACGAAGCACGAAGTGACATTCCAGGTCAATTACCTCTCGACTGCTCTCCTGGCACTCCTCCTTCTCCCAATCCTCAAGTCCAAGCGGGAAACCGAATCCCCGGCATACTTGTCTCTTATCGGATCTGACGCGGCGTACTGGGTGGATTGGAAGGACCCAAGCTGCCAGTCTGCTTTTGAGGTGGCGGATAACGCAGCCGAGTTCGAGTCGTTCAACGCATACAAGACTTCCAAGCTCCTTCTCCTCATGTTTGTCGACAAGCTCAGCCAGCATGTGCCCGCTGATCAAGTCGTGATCAACGTCCCCAATCCGGGGGCATGCAATGGCACCGAGTTTACGGACGACCACCCGTTCGAACTGAAGCGATTTTTGTTCGGCCTCATGATTGGAATGATGGCGCGACCGGTAGAAGTCGGGGCGCGGCAATATGTACATGCCGTCACCACGTATGGCGCGGAGAGCCATGGTGGGTTTGTGAGCGATGGCAGGGTGAAGCCATAAGTCCAGTTGTCTGTGTTTATGATGTAAATATTAACAATGTCATAGATTCCCCCCTATTATGTATGAAGAGTCTGTCCGATCACTTCAGGAGACGCTGTGGCGAGAGACGCTAAAAGAGTTGGAGTTTGTTGACCCATCAAGCATCCTTGAGACATGGTCTAGCTAATTTGCAGGGGCTATTGGAGTCTTCTTTATCTTAGGATCGCGATCCATTAGAAAGGGCACATAGAGCACGCTTGCATACTGATTCTTTAAAATTTCATGCATGACAAAGGCTGTTGGTCTAAAACATGAGATTCTCGTCGTTAAATGCTTCCGAGAAAAAAGGCTCAAAACTACGAGTCTGAATGCAAAATGTCGTGCTGCTAAAAACTTGGACTTAAACATCATCAGTCCCTCACCACCCGTCATCCCATTCTATTAATCCCTCCCAAAGATGAACCAGAAGACCATCTGCCCTGATTTTAGAAGCCAACCAACACCCCATCCTCCTTTCCTCTTATGGTAGCCACACCCTAGTAGTTGCACTTTCCAACTCTCGGTCCAGCTCGTTCAGCTCTCGGTCCAGCTCGTCAAGCTCCACGTACTGCTGCTTCAGGCGATCGACCTTTCGCAGGCGGCGGTTGCGCATGGTGACGACGAATGCGCAAAGAAAGCAGACCAATACCACGCCAAGTAGGAGACTAGCCGTCACGGGGGTCGAGTTGTAAATAGGTCTGCGTTGAAGGATTTTGGTGCCGGTTTGTAGTAGCTTGGAAGAGAGGCTGGAATTGGCCTGGCCGTAGCCGTAGTTTTCTGGCTTTTGGACCTGCATGTTGTTGATGTGGACAGGGTATTTTCCGAGATTTAAAATATTAATGGAGTGAATTTGTTTTATGGATGAGTGTTGAAGTTGTTCAAGGAGAGAGGAGAAGTGTTATAAAGGTGTACTAAAGCTTGAAAAATTGATGCAGCACCCGGGGCCATTTATCCATTTTCTTTCCCGTCAAACCTTGGCTTCATCAACCTTGTTGTCTACCTCAATCCCATCCACCTTTAGACCATGGACCGCGGGACCGTAGCGGGCATATTTTCCATCCCCTCGTCTTGGCCAAAAGAGTCTCTCCGTGCGTAATCTTCCTTGAAATGCGCAGGAGTAGGCCTGGCCAGTCCGGCGCGCATCTCAAGGTCCGTCGGGCTGAGTTCTTGCTTGTCCTCCTTTCGTGGAGGTGTTCGCTGGAGTCTCCGCGCGGCTGTCTTCCACGACGAGCCGTCTCTCCTGGCTTTCCTCCTGGCCGCGCAGGACCACAAGGCCATACACGACGAGAAAATGGCGACTGTTACGACGCAAGCCAGGAGGAGGAGAAGGACGATTTGCGACCCGCTGGTCAGCCAATACTCGGCCTCCTCGTTTGGGATATCCCGAGGCGTGTGGGTGTGAAGCTTGACGATGACGGGCCGCCGATTGGGATCGTCGACTGTGTCCCAAGTCTCGATTTTCTTGTCCGAGGAGAATTCAAAGAAGCGATGAAAGCTCTGCCAGATGTTGGCCATCTCGAGGTATTCCTGGGATGTGGTGTTGCCGAGGACTGTGGTAGTGCTGGGAGTGTGGTACTGCGAGGTGTGACTTGCGGCGCCGTATTAATGTTGAGAACTTTTTCACGCGTCGGTTTGTATGCGAGCCGATTATTTTACGTAGATGGTTGAGTATAAATTGGCTCTGGCAGCAGAGGCATCCTTTTAAAGTGAAGACATGCGTTTGCTCTTCACCAACCCGGATGGAAGGTTTGTTACGCGGTACCGTCACCAGACCGAAGGCACCCGTGATGTGCGAATCTTGCACTTGATGAGGAGGAAAAGCCTTTCTGGCAGTGATTAGAGAACTTTGATTATATACGGAATATAAATTCAACGCCCCCCGTTTGCGTATCCCTGGCACCGCATTGTAGCTTCGTAAGTCGGCGGTGGGACGGAGATATCACCAGCTTGCGGCTCTTCGACGGGCGTTGGCCGCGAGGCTGCTCCACGATCCATCCGAGTCGTCCCAACATTGTTCTGCCCGCGAACTCCCTTCGGTCTCGCGGGTGTCTGCGCCCTCGGGGCCGGTACTCGCAGCACCCTATCCTGCGCGTTTGCTCTCTCCAGATCCCACGCGTTTGCTCTCGCGCTGCGCCGCCCACCTCGGGCCAGACAGCACCCTCGCAGCAAGGCGACAATGGCAACAAGGCCCACGAGCCCGAGGCAGAGGTAGACGGCTTTCGGACCGGCGCTGGTCGGAGTGGCCCACCAGCTGGAGTTGTGGGTATATGTGAGTGTGGAAATGAGTAGCCAGTTGTTCATCATGTTTGGCTGCGAGTAGGGGCGATGTGGATGCGGTGCAGTGGTGATGGGATGAATGTGGTGATGAAGAAACCCCGAACTAACCGTATTGTACGCAGGGCTCGGCACGTCGCGAGTAAAGGCGCTCTGATTCGAAGTCACGGAAGTACTGGTGGTTTGGCGGGTGTATGACGAGCTGGATGTGTTTGTCGAAGGAGAGAAGAGAAGCCGTTGATTCATGGACCGCGAGAAATAGTTGATCCTTTATCAAGTGGCGATTTCGATATACCCGGACAGCTATAGATCTACCTTTGCGGAGCGGAATCTGCCCTCTGAGTTGTGGCCGTGGCATCACGGGACGCTCTCGGTACCAGGGGCGATTCCACCTTGGTTGGCAAGACAGCGCACAAGTATTTCTGCGACCACTGGCGGGGACATCTCTGGCATTCGTTTGAAGTTTTCATCTTTTCTTCACCTAGCAGTCGTTGTGGTTCGATCTAGTTGATTCTCGCTCGGTTCTCAAGATGGACAACTCGAATACACCAGCCGGTCTCCCCAACGAGTACACACCCTTGTTCGCAATCCCGCGCAATGCGCCTTCCCATATCGAATACGGCGACTTGGGCGATTGGGAATCGACGACCAACTCGGATTTCAGCTCCTACGACATCTGCGACGGTACCGATTGCGTCTGCGCAACGAGCCACGCGCCGAGGTCGAGCCCTCATCTCACGCCGCATAGCTTCACGCCCGAGCCCGCCCAGTCGCACGTCGAGAGCAATGTAACTGCTGGCAATTCGACAGACCCGGGAACTTCAGCCATGTATCGCATTTTGCATATCGCGTCGTATGATATGGAGTATGCGACGTGGAGGGCACTGGAGGGCACGCTGGAGCGCTGGAGGAGAGCGGACAACACCGGCAACGAGGACGACGATGCGGGCTGTTGGCCGCTGTGTTGGCCACAATGGTTGACCAACTTCTTCCCATCCCAGCCAAGTACACCTCACAGTACGATTGGGAACCGGGAAACAAACGCCAGCGGACCGGTGGCAGCGGAGTAGATGCCATCGCAGTCCCAGGAACACGACGGGGGCGTTTCAAGCACGATTGAACCACCGTCGCTGAACATAATCTGCAGCGTCTCGCGGTACGCAATCAACTTTCCGGCACGCCAAGCCCAGCGCTCCGACACTGCGCCTCACACAGGAGGGTTGTGATTGTGGAGTCCGGCCCTGGAGGGGAGGAAGAGACGGAGGCTTAGCTCGGGAACCTCAACGAATGACGAGTCAATTCCGCACGGCTTATGGACGTGAGATCGATACATCGGTACCAGTCAATACGCGGGAGACAAGGGGAGCATGCAGCGGTAGTTGGTAACACCAGCAAAGCACCCCAGCCAGCCCGTGCAGCTAAGCGCTTGGCACGCAACATGATAGTGGACGATCTTTCAACAGAGCAATAATGAACCGGTTTGAAGGGATTAGATCCATGTTGCACTCTATCGAATAGCGTAATGTGCAGCCTCATGGCCATGTTGTGATGATGGCGTCTCGTTCAAATGCAATATGTAACGGTTGAACGAAGCGCGCAGGTGCCGTCTCCAACGCCGCAGGGTCAATCTATAAGTAATTCGTAACAGTCGTGATGCAGTCCTCGCCCGCAAAGCTGGACATTTCCCCCTCTCGGGCCATGGGCGGGTGGTGTTTGGGCGTTTGATGCCTTGGGCTTCCTATCCTCCCATGTTCCCATTTTCTCGTCATCTCCACAAAGGGCAAAAATGGCCCCGGCAGTTTTATGATGCCGACACACACCGCCATGGTCTACATCTTGAGCAGGGCGTCATTGTCGACGACGCGGTCTTTCCAGCCCTCGCAGGCGACCTTGATGACGGCCTTGGCGAGCTGCGGCGGCTCGATACCCGCGCTGGAGCGGCTGCCGACGAGGCGACGCTTCTTGGGGGCGTCCCCGGTGGCGATGCCGCTGGGCCGCAGGATCCAGGTGGCAAAGGCGTCCGGGTTGGCGTCGGCGATTTCGCAGAGGCCCTTTTCGGCCTCGCCTCGCTGGCGGCGCGCGTCGCTGAGGAACAGCAGCGTCTTGGACGGGTGGCGGTCGGCGCTCTTGGTGCTGCAGAAGACGAAGCTGAACTTGGAGCCGGGCGGCGCGGCGGCGGCGATGGAGTCGCTCATGGCCTTGGCGGCGGCGAGGGGGAATTCCACCGTGACCTTGTGGAGGAGTTCCTTGTCGTTGTCGTCTTGGTAGGCTCTTCCGCCGATGGCCCTGGGGGTTGGATGTGTTTAGTTTTGTGTGTTTTTTTTTGTGTGGTGAGAGGAGAGGAGAGATGAGATGAGATGATGAGAGTCCTGAGACAAGACGAGACGAGGCTGGGAACCGAGAACCAGAAAAGACTCCGATTTAATCCCAGGAAATAAAAGCAAAGAGACATAGAAACGTACCATAAACACGCCGATGCACCTGCCAACCGCCTCATCAGATCCTCCGAGTACTTGGAAAAGTCCTGATGCATGACAATATCAGTCTTCGGGTGGCTCTCCACGTCCATGGACACGGCGCGGCGAGTCAGAATGACCAGTTTGGTGATGCGCGGGTCGGCGAGGCACTGGCGCACAATCTCCTTGCCGACGAGGCCGGTGGCGCCGGTGACGATGACCTTCATGGCGGTGCGATGGGGGTTTTTCCGTGGTGGTGGCCGAGTTTTGATCCTTTTTTTGCGTGATCCAGTTTCCAGTTTCCAGTTTCCAGGGTTTCTTGGCTGGTTGTTGTTTGGGTCGCAACCCACGAACCTGCGAAGAGTTGTGCCGTGCCGGTGCCCCGTGTGCAACTCCCTAAACCCCGGCCCCCGGCGGGAGAGATTACGTCGTCAGTTTAGTGGTTTAGCGGTTTGGTTTTAGTGAGGGTGCGGCGGCGGCGGCGGCAGTGGCAGTGGCAGTGGTAGTGAGAGCAGCGTCAGTGAGGGTGGGCGGGTGGTGGGTGGGCGGGATGGATGGACAGACAGGGCGGCCGCGGGGAGTTGATTGATGTGAGCAGTGACATTTGGGGAGAGACACAGAAGGAGAGATGATTGAATGATGATGGATTCCCGTGGAAAGCGCAAACGCCGAGTCGTGCGGTTTACATAGTCTTTTTCCCCCCCAGGGCGTGTGTTTTTGGTGGTTCGAGCCCGCCACTACGCCCATCCCTGCTCCACGAGGCTTGGCATTCGGCCGCAGCAGCGTCCATCCCCCCCCAAAACAAGCCAAGCAAGCCCGAGTAGTGACAGTGGCTGGCCGCGCGCTTTGGCAGCTCTTGGCAAATCTCTCCCGCAGCCGGTTCCTGGGGGCGGAGGGAAGGGGCGATCGATCGGGTAGACAGGTACTCCGTAGGTACCTAGACGCGTAGACTCGCGATGGCTTCCCTCCAGAGCATCGCCCGGATATACACAGCACGCCAAATAGGCGATAGGGCTTGTAGACCCCTCCCCATCCCCTCCCCATCCCCTCCCCATCCCCTCCCCCAAAAACCACCAAATCTCGGGATCCGGCAAGTCTCATCCCGGCTATGCCCCGGAGATAAAACAAAAAACAAAAAACCCTCCTCAGCTTTTTTCCTCATCAACATCCCAACCAACTTCTCGGTGCAAATCTGCGCCAAGACCGACTCCCCCCCCGCCCCGGTAGCCCTCAATTTACTCAGCATCCCCCAGTGACCTGCTCGCCCGGCTCCATTGGCCCAACGGGATGCTGCTGCGTATGAAGCAAAAAAAAAAAAAAGGGACCCTAGTGGGAAAAATGCTGCTAGACAACCTGCAACTTTCTGCGCCTGTGGATCGCGGCCCGGGAGTGGAGATGCAACTGCAGAGGTCGGCTCCGCGGGACAGCGAGAGAACCAGAACCCTGGAAACTCCCCGACCTTGGTCCTTTTGCCAAGCCGGACAATGGGCCATTTCGTCATCTCGTCTGGAAATACAAAGTCGCATTGATGCCCATCAGTCAGCATCGCCGACACGTTGCAAATCTTCTTCCCCTCATCCACATCTCGCACGGGAATTCGGCAGCACAAACAAAGGAACAGAAAGAAAAAAAAACAAGCTTCGTGACTTTGGCCTTCCTTGGTGCCGATCATCCGGCCTGCCGAGTCCCATGATGCGATGCACTCCAACCCTATCCTTGACTCTGTGACGAGTTTCCGTCATGCGGCCGCTCGCCTGTTCGGCTAGCTGCCTCGTGGCAAGGCCTTCCTAGCTGACCTCGGTTCTTACATAGGTCCATCCAGGATAGTCGAGTTGCTTCATTGACTGCCTGACTGCCCTCACTGTAGCTTACTTACACACACGGCCAACAGGCATCACCAATAAACCACAGCACCGCGCTCTCCCTATCCAGGATCTCATGCGAACAGCATCTCTTAATGCTCGAAAACCACTCCGGCCTTCCGGTTTCACCACTCATGGCCTACATCATACTTTACCGAAGGCTAGACCACCGCCTCCGTTCCGTGCATGAGGCTCCTGATGGCCGAATGCTTATTTCTACTTTCTCTCTAATCGAGACCGCAAACCATGTCCCCAAAGCCCGCTACAATTGGCTGGCTATTTATCCGCCCATCATAGTGCGCCATACGGAGCGCGTACTAGGGATATAGTGCATGACCTCAACTTCGCAGACCCAGTATCGAGGCGCAGCAACCCGGCTTCATCAACTAGTCCACCAATCTGGGATGACGTCTCCGGCATCACCTCACCAGCAAGACCGCTACGTACTCTGCCAAGTACTGAAATACCTGCTCAATAATCTCACTACTTCTCCAACCTTGCCACTGTCCATTGGCCCAAACTCTCCTGCCCGTCCTCCACAGCAGCACCGCAGGGGCCGCAAACACAGCCTACCCCAGCCACCAAATTGTTGACGTGTCCCTCGTCCAGAGACTCCTCGACGCCCCCGGTCGACCAGTCTACGCGTACAGATAGTCTCGCCACTAACAGAATAAGCTTATAAACATAGTCTGGATATGACGATCTTGATGCAGGCCAAGCCGGGCTGTGCTGAGATGGCGGGTGACGTCCGGCTGAGCTCCAGTTGGGTACAAAAACTTGGCGAGTCCCCACGGATCTGGACCCGAGGAATGTGAGATATGGGACCGGGGGAAACTTGTGAGCGGTTTTTTTTCTTATTCGTGTTGGCTTGGGTGGACCAATCCGTCATTTGCTATGACAGTCGCCTGCATTATCGGTGAGGAGCGAGTTGGGGGGATTGTTGAGGTGATTCGTTCGCGCGGGAACCATCATGTGAGTTTTGACACCCTAGACAATCCCATGTACATCCCCTCGACATAGAATCAGGTCCGTGACGCTGCATGCATGGACCGTCATGTTTTTATCTCAAGGTTAGGCTTGACTACATGGCCGGGGGTGGTTATGTCCAATGTTCAACATTATCACGCATTCGACGGTTGTAGGAGAAGCAAGTGGCGAAAAACAGGCCCACCGGTTAAAACCTTTAATTGATCCTCTAATGATGTTCAAATAATCGAATATATGTCCTTCCAGAACGCCAATGCTACCCGTGACAAGTATAAACTCTTGTTCCTATTACCACAACCTTCCACTGCTCCAACTCACTCATGCTCCAACTCACTCATATACCGCCAACCAGGCATGACCGACCCGTCACCTTGCTCATCTGTTTGAAATACCCAGCTGGTTTGACGGCGGGTTCGGGTTCGGGCTCTGGTTCGGGCTGACGCCATACGTCATTTCCGAGCTCAACCCAGGACTCTGGCCAGGGCTGTACATGTGCTCGTGTCCCGTACCCAGCTCCTGCGGCGGAGCGTGAGACGTGCCGTCCATCTCCTGCACGGGAATCATGGGCATGGGCGAATAGGGCTGCTGCTGGCCGTACCCCCGGGGGACGGAGCTGACGTCCGAGTAGGTGCTCATCGAGATTGGGCGGTCAAAGGTGGCCGTCTGCGGCGAGATTTTGCCGTACTGGTCCATGGACACTCCGCTGGGGTAGTGGGCGACCGCAGTGGGAGTCGAAGCAAAAGATTCTATTCCATCGTGTCAGCGACATCTCGTCTTGCACATCATCCGGAGGAATACATACGTTGGTAGTGGCTCATGGGTGACTGTCCGGAATAGAAGGTCCCCGGAGTGCCAGGCTGGTCGGGCATGTGCGACGAACGGGCGACGGGCGAAAACACCTGGCCCTCCTGCTTTCTCTTGCGCGGCGCCCACCAGAACTTCCAGATCAAGAAGCCCAAGAAGAGCACGCCGACGGCCGCGGAACCGGCAGCAATGCCCGCGACCGCACCGGTTCCCAGGCCACCTTCGCTGTCGGAGGCTGCTGCCGATGTCGAGGCCGATGCCGATGCCGACGACGTACCCGTAGAGGTGGCACTTCCCGATGGACTCGCTGATGTCTGGGACGAGTCGCCGTCGGGGGTTAGAAAATCGAGCTTGTTGTTCTCATTCGAGGAGAGGACAGCCGGCACCAGGTTGCTCCTGGCGCACCCGCTGTTGCATGCAGGCTCGGAGCAGCACCCCATGAACGGGGGATTGGTGTAGGCACATGTGTACCAATTGGTCACTCCAGCGCTGTTGGAACAGTTCTGCTGGGGCAAGTCCGCGTAGACGTCCTGGTTGAAGCTAGAGGCCCGCAGGTTGCCGCTGGGACACACTCCCTTGTTGGCTCCGCAAGGGTTGCTGGTGCAACACCCTATGAACTCGGTCGCATCTCCCTCGCAGATGTAGAATTCGCCGCCGTTAGGGCAATTGAGGCCGAAGTACTTGAACGCAGTAGAGTTGGAGTCCGACATGGCGAGAAGAGTCGACGCAGTCCCCGAAGAGGCCGCTTGGTGAGAATAGTTAACGAGCGTAGGTTCTGTCAGCACAGGGGTGACGGACAGAAGAGCAGAGAGGGACGAGGAGCATCAGCCCTAATAACTTAGACGCAGGCCGTCGGGGCTGCGGCTCTTTCGTTTGATTGCGGACGCGCAGTCGGTAAGACTCCCCCGGCAGGCGGATGACAGCGCCCCGTAGTTCCAAGGCCAGCCTGCAGATGAACATCGCCAATAGCGGCCGCGGCGTGGAGACGCAGAGCCTGGGCGGCATGGGTGTAATTGGGTGGAACCTCCGGAAGATGGTCGTGATGTGCCACGCCCGCTGCACTTTCGACGTGCTAGTGGGACAGACTGCGTACATAGCTGAGCGCGCCATGTCTCTCGTCCGGGCCCGGGGGCAGTACACGCCTCTGGCGCAGCCTACCGCCGGCTTCACTCCGCCCCTATGCATGTTCTTGACTGAGAAGTTGCCGGGGTGGGAGCATGCCAAGTTACTGGGAAGCTGGGGAGCCTGGTTTGGGCCTGTGGTTGAGAGAGTTTCCTCGACATGGGCTGCCATCCATTCTCGTACATGCTGTACCCGTGCGTATGCCAGATCAACGCTCGCTCCTGGAACTCGCAGAAGAGCTCTCTCTCAAAGGGCCTTTTGCAGCTCTCGAGAGCGGACGAAATACGATGGATGGATGGCTGCATAGTCGGGCTGTGTCCCACCCACTCGCTCCAGCCCCAACCATTCAGCAGCCACCGACGAGCCCGCCCCAATCCAACGTCAGAGGGACAGTCCAGATACCGCCGACATATGCAATGAACGGCCCCCTCAACACGACGATCAGTCACAATCCAAGACTTGTGCTCAACCAGTGCCAATCAGGCGGAGCGTCTCGTAGCCACCTCAGCCCTCGCAGCTCTCTGCTCCCCACAGCTAGGGACGTGGTTGGTGGCCTCAAGGCACAATTGCGCAGGCTGTTGGTGGCTTGGGACTCGCAACTTCTCGGGCCTTGGCTCTCCCACCGCCACGGGCGGAGAGATGAGAGCGAGCGGCGCGGAGCTGGCTTTTCTTTGTTCGGGACAGCCGTACTTTGAGATCTTGGCAGCCGGCTTACGCCAAGCACTCAGGCTTCAGCACACGAAGACCCCCCGGGCAGTCAACGGCCCCCACGGAGCATCGCTTGAGGGACATTCCCTGAAAGAGCGCAGTGAAAGAAATGGAACAAGGTGGCTTCTCCGCAGCAAAGAGACCCGGTCGTCCAAAGCTGAAAATTGACAGCGTTGAGGGGATCGCTCCCTTCAACTGAGTCCTTGTGAGGCTGATTCAGGTCGTCGACTTAGTCAATTGGCCACGGACGCCATTGTGGGGGCCAAATGTCTTATCCATGATCCATGTCGACTCAATGATGCCAGAGCGTCTCTCCGCCCAAGTCTCGTGCTGTGGTCGGCGACCTCAGCCCCTCCCCACAAACCACCGCGAGTCCAGTCAAGTTGAATGCTGCTATTCATGGATGTTCTAGTGTAACACTCGAAGAATGGCTCCGAAAGCAGATGTCCACAATGTTTTCCCAAGGCCTGACTTATCGTCAATCCTGCGGGTTGTAGATCAAATAATGAAGCACCTTGTGGTGTGGTAAAGGTCTCAGGTCTCAAGCCTGGGCTTGCGTCTGTCCAATTTACCACCAAGCCAAGGTCCCCGGGGCCTTGTTGGCATACATGCAGGACAGGTACATGTGCAAAGTACACCTCCGCCAACAATTTGGGGGCTGATCTAAGAGGGGCCGGGCAACCATGATTCATGACCGAGGGCTGGGCAGCCATCTCGAAGGCAAATGATCAGACGAAGCCATGGAGGGCGGAAGATGCAAGCCTCTCAGCCCTGTTTTAGACGATCCAGTTAGATTTCCCTCAAACCAGCCGTTTTGGGGAGCGATGGAGATGTGTCCTGCAAGCTCAGCCTTCTTGCTAACCCCAGTTTCTCAAGAGGGTCTTGACCGCTCCGCTGGCAGGGATCATAAGGCTTAGCCAGTGAATGGCGTATCCGGTTTATCAATAAGGTCGGCGACCATCATCTTAAAAAAGCCGCCCTAGCAAGCATGCTTAATCCAATCCTTGTTGAGGTGGCCAGCCCAGAGGCCATGCTTCGTGGGTATTTTCGTAAATGATCCAGTCAGAATGACGCACATCAGCAAGAGGCCGACTTCTTTGTCGGGATTGAGCACCCTAATTCGGTCATGACGCCCTTGCATCGCCCAGGTTGCTGCATCGCTTCCAAGCTTTGATTAGGCATGGGCCTGTCATCCTGGCCCAATGGTCAAAACGAAGAAGCGAGGCATGACCACCCCAGCACCTTTTTGCATCTGCAGTTCGCAGGACACGGGCTGCGTAGCGGCCTGTGTTGCTGGGCCAGATGTCTTTGGAACCTGAAGCAGGGACTGTCACGTCAGGTGAAGAGGGAACGCTCCACGGTGCAGAGCTGTACCTTATGTACCGTAACAGGGACCGTGGCACACGCATGAGGACAACGCATCCTTGACCAGAGTGTCACATTCAAGATTCTTCAATTCGCTTGAAATCCCCCGGGTGAACATTGTGATCAAGCAAGCAAACAAGCAAATGGGTATCATTGAGTTGTACACGGGTTAGCAAGCCCGCTCGCCTCCGCATGTTGTGTAATTGCGCCATCCTCAACCATTAAACTTGGTCGAAAATAGCTGGGGAAGCTGGTCTCCTTTTATCCTGTCTCCCAGTTGCTCCACAAACGTCCATGCAGCACGCGAGAGGTCATCGGTCATCTCGCCGAGCCGCAATATTTTCAGACGGCTCTGTCCCAGAACAAATCCACTGCATGATATCTGCGTGACGCGAACACTAGGATGAAACAGGTTCAATGCGAGGTGGTGAGCAAGGTATCTGCCTAGGGCTTCGGTGAATGGGTGCGCCTTAGCATCCCTGCCCGCTCGCCATGCCCAGCCGTCATCGGAATTTCCACCTGCAAGCCTTCGGCGCTCGCGGGAATCATTCTCCCACGGGCCGGGAATGTCTTTTTGCGGGGGTTGGACCCCGGCTCCCGCACGTGCGAATCGCTGGAGGTCTTGGTGTGATATAGTAATCTCAACGGACCTCAGGCCAGGCGTTGGTGAGTCTTGAGCAGCCTCGTCGTTTGAATCTTCCAACGGGGTATCGCCGGTTGCTGCCAGAGGCACGTTGAAAGCCAAAGTAAGGACAAAATCAGGCCCGCTGTTATTAATCCCAACAGCCTCGATCCAGCTCTCCCAGACTCCCAAGATGGTCTTTGTTCCCATTGTCATCCGACTAACACGGCAGTCAAACGTGGCAGAGAGCCAATCGGTCACCACATTTTTAAGTGCGATGGGCATCCGCAGCAGAAGAAGCGGCAGGTGGAGAAAATTGTTCTGCGTATCGGTGTTGCTTAGCTGGGGCGAAGCAGACATGCCGGGGAGAAGAATCCCTGCGTATGCAGCGTTTTCGTGTCGTATCTCGATCCAGAGGCCCCGCCGATTCTCGTTGTCTTCATCTCCGCCCAAGACTGTGCTCGCTTGAAACCACTGAACTCGAACTGTCTTCAACGGTCCCACTTGTCCAGATGGCGTCTCGGTAGCCTGGATTCCGACTTGGATGCCGCGGACAACATCACCGACCAGGGTGTCTCGGAGGCGGCGCGAGATTGCTTCCAGTCTCGCTGGAGTAAGACCTTCAGAGTTGACGTGTAGAGGCGATACGCGATGCGTCGAGAATGTAGTGTTGAAGAAGGGAGGGGAGTCTGGGGTATTGTCGTCGGACGGGGCAGGAGACGCCTCGGTTCCCACGCCACTCAGTCGCGCCATGGTTGAAGAGGCCCGCAGGAGGCGGAGGTTCGTTGGCCACTGTGTATCCGCCGATGGTCCTCTCTCCGTCTCTCAGTTTCGTCTCGCAGTCTCGGCTCCAGTCTCGTTTCGGGTTCGAGTCGTGGCGTTGGTCGCGGATCAACGTGGTGTGCCGATGGCTTTAGAGGGGTGCGTCGGTGCTCTGGCGCGTCGCAACAAGTGGAATTGCGCAATTGATGCAGTCTCGAGTTTCCACCGAAGTTCCTAGGGAGAATGACGCGTGAATACGACAAAGAAACAAAACTCAACGACTTGCGCGTGATCTTGTGCCGTTGGATGGCTTCTGCAGGGAGACTCGATGCTCAAAGAACGTGGGGTCGATTCAAAGTGGGCGGGACAGTGCAGTTGGATGACTCAGCAGCGCCATCCTAAGCTTCTCCAAGCGATCGATCAACCAGTCGAAACAGGTACACACCAAACATAGGCCATGTCCCTACTATAAAAGCCTTTGGTTTATATAGACTGATATTTTGTATCATATACAGAAACCATCAAGACTTACGAATGTCGCGACTGTCAGAGGGTGATAGTCGAGGTCCAGTAGGCTACCCTATACCACCATAACTCCTTCAAGGCGATCATCACCAGACACAGTGAATGCGGCGCCACAATGCCAAATCCCAGGTTTTACTTCGAGTCTATTCTATTTTCTACAGGGTTGCTCACTTAGACTAAGCATAGACCCCCATGGCACCAAAATGGTGCATCACTCAGCTCTTGCTTCTTTGTTAGTGACAGTCGCCCAGCTTCTAACAGTTGACAAAGCCCAATGGCATATGCCTTCCTCACTTAATGACCACCTCGCTCTTTGTTCAACCCACTGCTTTGTCTGCAAAGCAGACTGTGTTAAGCCCCGGTCTGCATAAAGGGCTGGGGTTGACTGCAAGAGCATGTTCATCGCCGTAGTTAATTGCGGTTTGTCAAGCAGTCATGACTTCACTAAGAACTGACAACACAGAGGCCGAGCCTAAAAACGACCCAACGAAGACCGATCCTGAAAATGACCCAACGAAGATCGATCCTGAAAAAATAGAGGAGATCAGGCCTTTGAAACGGAGTTGGTGGGAAATGTGCCATGCGTCGCACCTGGGAAAAAATCGACAGATCGCGGACATTGGGCACGTCTTGTGTCCCCAAGGCTTCAAAAATGACGTGCAACAGGAGGCTGCCGACCATGAATTTCCTTTGGGTCCGCAATTTCCTTGTAGCACTTTGAAGGTGCTCCTGCGGCATCGGTTCGGGTCTACAACAATGTTTCCTCCCGTCCATCCGTTCACGCCTCGTCACGAATTGTACAATGATCTACAAATGCTATCACAGTCGACTCTTGAGGAATGGAAAGGACTGAGCCAACTGGTGGCAACTAAAGAGCTGGAAATCCAGCAATCAATCATCGACTTGAGCGAGAAGGAGGGCTCCCTTGGTCTTGAGCCTTTGCTAACAAGAGCGTGGAGGACGGCAAGGGACAACCACAACACCAAGCATGCAGTCCCGCCGGAAGGCATCCTGCCGGGGTTTGCTTTGGATCCCCTCGGAGAAATAGCCGGTGCCCACGCTAGTGATCTTGATAACTTCAGCCTGGACTTCCTTTGCGAAGCGGACAATGCGGACGGTTTCACCCGTGTTCCAATTTTTCGAAACGGTGCAAACTATGAATACGATCCTGGGAATAAGTTCCCGTCGTTTCCAGACTGGCCGGAACCCCGAGTTAGGACAAACGGAACTTTCCGGTATAATGTTGACGTTCGAGGTCATGTTGAACGCGTCAGAGCCAGCTACCTCGTACCGCACATCAACCTGGCCGACCTGACCAACCCGCTGAATCTCCTCACCTTCATCCACCATCGCGCAAGGAAGGCACCCTGTGAGTTTGCGAGGCTAGACAACGACCTCACGTATCTCGGAAGAAGCTGTAGGATTCTCGCCGGAGCCTTCGCCACTTGGAAAATGATTTCATTCGTCGAACCAAATTCCGAACCCGGGAATCCATGGGGTTTCAAACTTCACAATGCATTCGGCATGGATATAATGCCCCAAAAACTATTACCCAAAGCATGCCATGAGCCTGACGAAGAAGCTTACAGAAAAAATTACCAGTCGGGCAATGTGTTTGGGTACATGGAGGGTTGGTTGGTGATGCAGACGCAAGCCATCACATACTCGTTCTTGCATAACTTTTGCAAGGAACTAATGACCGCCACGAAAATAAACCGTCTTCCTGTGGATATGCCCCCCGAAAGGACTGGTGAAGAACATCAACAGAGGATTAAAGCGGATGCTCTCGCGATGATTGAAAAGATCAAGTTCAAAACAACCAACGGGGTAGAGAACTGGCAAGACTTGGCCGTGATACGCCAATACGAACCTTTTCCTAAACGCGTCAATGTTAATAAATATCTGCCGACCCTCCACTCAAAGACCGACGCAGCGGATCAACACCTGACAAGGTTGTTCAATGAGCCGGATTACTTTTTAGAAGCGGTTCTCGAGCAGAAACGACACCACTGGGCAAACCTTTTTATTGACTATAGTGACGCTCAGACAATACACATCGAAGAATACCACAGAGTGAGTCATCGCCACATTTTGTACCTTGACTGTTTACGGAGCGTCTTGAGGAGCGCCGTATTTGGATTCTTCATCTGGCCCCTCGTCGAGACGCGACTGGTGGCTTATGACAGCAAGTTGCAAGAAGAACATCAAAAACAGCCAGCTACTAGCTTTGTCGATCTCACAATGACTAAGGCGAGTGGGGAGTTCAAGGAACTTTATTACATCGTTCGACACTGCGCTGTTCTGTTTATGAAGGAGTTTTCGTCCAAGCTGATCCACGCCTCGTACGAGCCCATGCTACAACACTACTCCAGGATCACTCAGCACAGCGATTTGGTCCCGCCGAAAAACAAAGGTGACCCGCCCACATTCCCAACGGGACTATATAATGCACCTAATCGCACCTGCAAACCTAATCGAACCACACTACACCTTAAACACGACGACTTGAAGGAGATTGTGGGCGAGCTGATGAACAACTTCATTGCGCACCCCACCGGGCGGTTGTATGTTGGCGTGCGGAGGGTGACGGCACGGCTGCAGAGGTATCTGGATGACTGCGAAGATGAGCAAACATCACAAATCTTTTCGAGCCTCGTGGCGGACACCATTGATAGCCTGGACGTATTGGCCGAGATTGCCCAGCATTTGGAAGATTTTCTTCCTTCATTTGCTGTAATTTCGCAAGCGGAGTATGCCCATTTTGTTTCGAAGGCTTGCGTTGACAGTTCCATCAACTTTTTTGCATTTGATGCGTTTCCATACGACGCCCATGTGCCGGGAAAGCGGACCAACCGTATCTGGAAATTCCTAGACGAGGCACAAGGGTTCGATGCCAAAGTGACCGTCACCATTGGACAAGCTCGAGGTGATCTGAAGCGACTTGGGGCGTCGATGTTGAGCAACCAGATTGTCCCGACAAATAAAGCGACCCAACACGGTGCTAAGAATGAGAGATTGGAGCGACTGGAGGAGATCATGGAAGTCAGAAGGGACCAGTACGAATTCCACCCGGATGAGGTCCCCATAGATCTCGATCGACTGGAAAAGATTCCTGTTCGGCACGCCCTAACCACATGGCGGATGGTTAAAAAGAATTGTCAGAAGGAGGCTGTAAGAAGACGATTGGACAGGAGGGCGAGAAAGGTTGTGACGGCTGGCTTCAACGAACATGTGCTGAATGAAATACGCCGGCGGGAACTTCTCAAGGCGCGGCAAGAGAAGGAAAAAGACCGCAGGCAGCGGTTGCAAATGCGCAAACAGAGATGGAACCAGCGAAGACAAGAGGAAGCTGAGCCCGGCAGGGAGCAGCCAGTGGGCGATGAGATGGAAGTCGACCAGGGGCAAGAACTTGCTGAAGGTTTACGGCAGCTCGGCGTCCAAGCCCAACCGGTACCTGAACCGGAGCGCCAGCCGGCCGTCTTGCCTCCGCTCCCCGCCGATCAGCAGCCGCTCCCGCCGGCGCCGGCACCGGCGCCCCGCGCACCCAAGCCGGAGCCACCCCGACCACCGGCACCGGACAACCAGCCCAAGGGGACGGTCCACAAGCGGGTGTGGACGACGCTCAGCGCCGTGTACGGCAAGGACAGCTCCAAGGTGTCGTGGACGGAGCTGGTCAAGGCGATGGGCACGCTGGGCTACCGCGAGCAGGGGCGCGGCGGGAGCCACGGCGTGTTCCTCTGGACGAGCGGGTGTCGTTGGCCCAAGGAGGCGCTGGCCAAGGGGCGCAACATCCAGCTCGCGAGGAACCACGAGGGGAGCAGGGCGGGAGCTGCGCGGGGGAAGACCAAGGACTGGGGATTCAGGCTTGGCCAGAGGGGCATGACTTGGGACTTTGTCAAGAAGTGGTATCGACAGAAGTGATTGGTGGGGGTTTGGACGCTTTTACTTTGACGGGGTGACTATGGGTTTGGCTTGACTTTTACTGTAGACTTTTGCGATGGGATCACTATGCTTTTTGATTGGATTTGGAGTTGTTAGCTGGCGTATTACTTAAGTTGTCTTGGTTCTAATCGGAGTTGGAATTTCCTAATCGATGACTATAATTTCTTGCTGTGATGCTGATCAAAACAGCTACTTGCCGACTGGAAGTTTCCATGCTTCACATGCCGAGGCCTTTTCTCAATCATTTCGACACTGCCGTAATAAAGATCGTTCTTGGACCGTTGGAGTGTGTTGGCCGAGGAAGGTCGAAACGACATTCCCAAGTTAAAGTTAAGCTTCGCTCGGCTTCGGATTACAAATTTACGGACCGGCCAACCACAACTTGATTCCCAATCGTCTTTATCAATTGTCCTCGGGATGACCAATTTACAACAGCCGAGATACCGCGGGAGTTGCTGAGCGAATAACTTGGGCGAGTCCGGACTCCCACGGAGATGATGGGATGATTGGATCATGTAAGTTGCTTGTGTGTGGAAATATACCAACCCTCTAGACGAATTACACCAGACTTCAACTCCAGATCGGACCAGCGTCATTGCCTTTGACTCACTCGGCGAGACTCCCTCGCAAGTATTCTCGGCGTTACAACGTGTAGGCAAAGGTCCCAAGCTGGCGTATTTGTCATCGGTCGCCATGTGGGGCTGGTATGCATCATGATGGCTGCGTGGACTCCGGGGCCGGCTCTGAAACCGAGCCATGGCACGATTCCGAAGCGGATGGTATCTTTGGGTCCTGAACGGGTTAATCGTTACTTAGTGATTGCGACAAAGGGGCCTTGAAGCTCGTCTGAGGTTGGTACAGCGACCACCAGTGCCACCACAACGAGGCCCCTAGAGCCTAAGCCCGCCCCCTCCAAGTGCCGCTAAAGACGCGGCTTTTTAGCTCATTCGACGGGGCAATGATCTCATCCGAACCGTCTCGCAAGTTCGCACCGGCGGGGTTGCCCTGTCTGGGCATGTGTGGGCGGGCTCCTGTTGTCGGAAAGGCCTTCTTCGATGTTCGGGATTGCCCTCTTCCTGGGAGGTTTGTTCCTCCACTCCTCCACTGCGGGTTCTACGATTCGCCAACTGGCACACGCCAAAGAGGGGTAAACGAGATAACTACCGCGAGAGTCGCCGCCTCGTTGGTGGGGGAGGGGTCGTTGCAGCCGAGATGTGCAGTCGGGACAGGGACAGCAAGGTGCTTGGGCAACTGGCTAGCTGCCATGCTGGTGTTGTTGGTCAATGAAGACCGGATGCTGTGCTGTAACGTGGTGAATTCGTAATCGTCCGACGGGCTGGTGTGCGGGAAGGGGGCTAACGGGGATATATAAGAAAGCTCCTCCCTGTGGGTTGACAGTGAATCCTCCCTCTTCTCTTCCTCTGATAACCTCCCCCAACTCCCAAAACCCTCCCCCACACATACATCACGCAGCCATGTCTCTCGGACGAACCGTCAAGCTCAACTCGGGCGCCACGTTCCCCCTGCTGGGATACGGCACCTGGCAGTCGGCCCCCGGCGAGGTCGGCACCGGCGTCTACGAGGCCCTCAAGGCCGGCTACCGCCACCTGGACTTGGCCAAGATCTACCAGAACCAGCGCGAGGTCGGCGAGGGCATCAAGAAGGCCCTCGCCGAGGTCCCCGGCCTGAAGCGCGAGGACATCTTCATCACCTCTAAGCTGTGGAACAATAGCCACGAGCCCGAGAAGGTTGAGGCCGCGCTGGATGATACCCTGGAGGAGCTTGGTCTGGACTACCTTGACGTGAGTGGCGGTGCTACGGTGCCTCAATTGAGATTCTGAGTAAAAATCCTGACTCTATATCCAGCTTTACCTTATCCACTGGCCCGTTGCCTTCAAGACTGGTGACGCCCTGTTCCCCAAGGCCACCGCCGACAGCCCCGATGTCGAGTTGAACCGTGATGTTTCCATCAGTGCCACTTGGAAGGGTACGTTCTTCTACCATCTTCTCTTCTACAGCTAGGATTCTAACCCGTCTCACAGCCGTTACCAAGCTGCCCAAGACCAAGGCCCGCTCTATCGGTGTCTCCAACTTCTCCATTGAGCACGTAAGTCTTTGCCCGTCCACCAACCTCAAACCCTCATGCTAAACTCCCGCCACAGCTCGAGACCGTCATCGCCGAGTCTGGCGTCGTCCCCGCCGTCAACCAGGTCGAGCGCCACCCTCGCCTGCCCAACCTGCCGCTGGTCGAGTACCTCGCCAAGAAGGGCATCGTGCTTACGGCCTACTCGGCCTTTGGCAACAACTCGCTGGGCCTGCCCCTGCTGGTCGCCACGCCCGAGGTCAAGGCCATCGCCGAGCGCCTGTCGGCCGCCCAGGGCAAGACCGTGACGCCTGCGCAGGTCATCCTCGCCTGGTCGCAGATCGGCGGCCACGCCGTCATCCCCAAGTCGGTCACGCCCTCCCGCATCCGCGAGAACTTCCAGGAGGTTGAGCTTGACGCCGATGCCGTTGCGGCGCTGGACAAGCTGGGCGAGACTCCCTTGCGCTTCAACATCCCCTTGAACTGTAAGTCGATATTGTACACTGAGGATTTCTCAAAGACTAATGGATTGTGCAGACAAGCCCAAGTGGGATATCAACGTCTTCAGCGACGAGAAGGAGAGCGCTGCTACCCACCAGGTCATCCAGAAATAAAGAGTAAAAAGACGAATCAGCACAACTGGGATAAACTAGCCATGGCATAGAATGGCGGTAGACCTGCCTCGTATATGAGTATCACGAACCACTGCGAATTAGCAGATAATAATGATAAAGATTACGCTGGAACACTTTAGCCGAACCATGTTGACGCCTGTCCATACGCGATTACCCCCTACAAGCTGACGTGGAGTCGAGAGGAGAATGCCAATGTTAATTCCAAATCGAGTAATGTCGCTTTTCAAACTACCCTGGTGATCCTGACCAGACAATGGTTGTGTACAAGTGGCTGTAATCTGCGATGACGCCTTGTCCTCCTTGTTGAGGGGTCTCCCTCGCCGTATCCCAACAGTCTTCAGCAACTCAAAGACTCGCACATAAGATACAGCACGATATAACAACAGATATATCCCCTGTTCGCCTGTTTAATAGCCACAACAATATTTTCCAAGCGCTAATATGCTCCCGTGTCCCAAATCATTCATCATTTGTACAATGCCCATCGACGCCCTCGACCTGCCACGCATAGAGTGCCGCTCTGGTCTGCTCTGGTCTGCCTTTCTGACCGACTGTGATTTATGCTCCCACGCTGAAACCGAACGAACCGTCGAAAACGTCGAGCTTCTTGACATCGGTGCCTCCGCGAAGGGCCATCAACACGTCCATGGAGGGGACCTTGTTGGCGGGGTAGAAAAGGAGGACGTTGTCCATGTCCTCTTCGGTGAGGCCGCACATTTCCTCCCAGGTGTAGGTATCGCTGACCTTGGACATCCTGGAGCAGACGGATGATTAGTGCGATATTCTGCCAGTATTTCGGGAGCCGTCGACTACTCACCACAGCATCCGCTTGGGACCGTCTTCGGGCCTCGGGGCGGCCTTCCGCAGCTTGACGCGCAGCTGTCCGATAGTCTCGATGGCGTTTCCGGCATTCTTGGGGAGCTGCTTGGCGATGAACTGGCGGATGGCGGCGGCCAGGCGAGGGCCCTTTCCGTTGGTGCTGACCATGATCTGCAGCGGGCCGTCACGGTGGATGCTGCCAAAGTAGAAGTCGCACTCGGGGGGCACGTCGGCGATGTTCGCGGGGACGCGGCGCTCCTTGCACAGCTTCCAGATGACGCTGGACGCGGCCGGGTCGTCGATGGCCACGAGCACCATGTCGGCGCCGGTGAGGTCCTCGGGCTCGAAGACGCGGTCGACGTGGACGACTTGGCGTTCGGCGATGCGGAAGGCGACCTCGTCGTTGAGGCCGGACTTGGGGCACACGACAGTGACGCGGGCGTCGGCGTTGAGGCAGTTGAGGATTCGGCCGGCGGCAACCTAGAGCGAGAGAGAGATGATTAGCTGCCGGATGGGTGAAGGCATTCGCAGGGGCATTCATTCGCTGTGCCGTGCTGCACCGTGATGCACCGCAATGCAGTCACCATGTCTCATGACGTACCTCACCGCCGCCCACGACGAGCACCTTCTTGCCCTTGATCTGCCATGCCAGAATCAGGCTGCCTCCGGGCTGGACGGGCGGATACGACTTGGCCATATTTTTTGCGGCGTGTTGGAGTTGGGGGAGAATGTTCAAGGAGAAGCCAGAGCCGGAGCCAAAGACGGCGGCTGCATGGTTTAGCATGGAATTATTATTAGCATGACGGATGGGCCCCTTGCCCGTCCCATGTTCTTGGTCGCTCAGGGTTAGCAGGGTTACGATAAGCAAGTTTGGCGGGAAGCGATAAGGCCTTGCTTTTTGGAGACAGTCTGATACATGGTGACCTCGTTTCCCTCGGCGGGGACACGCTTACGCAAGTACCTCTTTATCGGTAGTCGCCAGGCCTTCCAGAACCCGCCCCGTCATAGCCTACTGCGCACTACGACGTACTGGCATCCAGCCATCCCGACCCTGGACCGTGGACCGTCGTCGTCGCCCCCATCTTCCCGCCTCCAACTACTCAATTTCTCCATTCCTGCTCCTGCAAAGCCAACGGCGGTTTGCAGCTCGAGGCCGAGTTCGACCAAGTGCTGGTCGTGCTCAGCCTTTCCTCGACCCAGCCCCCACCTCCTTCCTCCTACTCGTCGCCATCATGTCCAGCCGCAAACTCGGTGGTGGGCGCATCCTGGGCAGCGGCAAAGGGCTGGCTCCCCCGACGCCTCCGAGTGCGCCGCGCGTTGGCAGCCCGCTTGCGCCATCTGAGAGCACCGTGTCCATGGCGTCGTCGTCGCTATCGCCGCCTCCTAGCGCTGGGCTGCCGCCGCTGGGCCAGGACATTGGCGTCAGCATCACCGTCGGCGTCCCGGGCAAGGGTGGCCCGGTCGACTCCGCGGGGCTCGTGTGTCCCATCTGCAATGAAGAGATGGTAAGTCTGGACTGTTACTGTAATAATCGAGTTGCTAATGATCCATTCAGATGACGCTCCTCCAACTCAACCGACACATCGACGACAACCACCAGGAACTCGCCGTCGAGGAACAGGACGAGGTCAAGACCTGGTTCGACAAGCAGGTCCTCAAGGCCAAGCGCTTCCAGCCCCTCTCGCTCATCAACCAAAAACTGCGAGGACTCGACGTCTTCGAGTCCAACGAATCCATCCCCATTCTGCCGCCTCCCTCGACCGCCGCTGGCAAACTGCCACTCGAAGTCCCCATCGACCCCGAGGAACTCATCACCCGCCATCACTGGCAGAGATCCACCAACTACGACTTCTGTACCGACCCAACGTGCGGACGAGGCCTCGGCCCCCTAAACGGAAGCATCAATTGCCGAAAGTGCGGCAGGTTGTTTTGCGGAGAGCACACCATGTACCAGATGAAGCTGAGCAGGAGCGCGAATCACGAACCTGTGAGGGGCTATTGGGCGAGAGTCTGCGAGACTTGTTACAAATCAAGAGAGGGCTACAACGATCACAACGGAGTCCTCATCGACCACTCAAACACGTTCGCCCAGGCGAGGAGGAAAAAGGTGGAGCGACAGAACCTGGAAATATCGAGGCTGGAGAAGCGCTTGACGAAGCTGACGAGGCTCTTGGCGAACCCACCCGAGAAACTCACGCAGTCCAATTCGTCGTTATTAGCACCCGTCACCTCTTTGTCGGGCCAAAAGAACCCCCGGAAGCTGATTGAACAGTCCGTCGTCACTTGGGAGGAGGATTCGACCGTATCCAAGTGCCCGTTTTGCCAACAGGACTTTGGCTCTTGGACCTTTAGGAGACATCATTGTCGGATCTGCGGCCGGGTCGTCTGCGCGGACCTGCAAACCTCTTGTTCCTCCGAAATTGGATTGAATATTGCAGGTTGTAAGTCCACCACTTCATTCAGCCCGTTTCGTCTCACTAACACCATCCAGCATCAAATCCAGCAACCGAGAAACCCCCCACGGCGGCGACCCCCGGCCAGATGAGCATAGACATCAGGATGTGCAGGGACTGCAAGCACACCATCTTCTCCTCAAGAGACTTTACAGCGTCTCTCCAGCATAAACCCCCGGACCAACGTGCATACGAGACGCTACGCCAGTTCGAGCGTGGCATTCGACAGCTTCTCCCGTCGTTCCACCGCACCCTCCTCGCCCTGCAGCCGGAGAAGCAAGAGAGTGGCGAGGTTGATCTCGACAGACCGCCGCCGACGCACGCCCAGATCCAGGAGGCGGCCAAGATTCGCAAGAGACTCGTCGACAGCTTCGCCAAGTACGGCGCCGCTGCAAAGCGCCTCCGCGACCTTCGAGCCGATCATCAAACCCAGAAGCGCCTGCAGATGGCCATCTACACTTACGCCAGCGGCTTCCTCCATACAAACATGTTGCCGCTCAAGAGCCTCCCGCAGCTCCTCCGCTCACGGTCCTCGGCCTCGTCGGCCCTCTCCACGCCGACCGCGTCCCGCCTCCTCGCCTCCAACACGCACTCGGCGTCTAGCCTGCGCCACTCCGAGCTCGTGTCCGAATCCGAGACGGCCTCACAGGCGCCCAGCGAGGGCAGCACCGTCGTCAGCCAGCTCGAGACGGAGGAGAAGGAGCTCCGCGAGCGCCTCGTCGTCCTCGAGGAGCAGCGCTTCATGGTCCACGACATGGTCAAGTCGGCCCACGGCGCCCGCCGCTTCGAGGAGGTCAGCGCCCTCTCGCGCAACGTCGACGAACTGGACGTCGAGATCCAAATGCTCAAGGGCAAGATTGGCGGTGTCGAAGAGCGCTGGGAGGACGTGTACCGGAACGGTGTGGTCTGAGATGCGCTTCAATTGGTTGCATGGAGAAGCGATACAGGGGATTGACGGATAGGGAGGTGAATCGAGTATATGACAGCACGGCATTGCATGGCGTTTGGGGCGTTTTTCTTTCTTTTTCTTTGGGACCTATGCGCTGGAGCTAGCAGTCTCCCGAGTGACAATTGTTACTTACACTACTATTTTCGATACCGTTGAAGGATGAAGGAAAGGCTTGTAAAGAACATAGGTCGACGGTTGGTCTCAGGGCCAGAAGTGGTGACAGACAAGAGGCAAGAAGCAGAAGCACGAGCAGAAGTAATATCTGAGTTGAAGACATCAACATGATAAACTGAATTGTTTCAGCGTCACATCACGACACTCATCTCTCCTAATAAAACCATGACGTTCCTCCCCGTACCACTATATACACCGTATAGTAAGTCATCGTATCCCCAAGGTACCGTACTCTGGGCAAGCTCCAAGCCAGCCAACACAAAAAAAAATACACAACCAGACATTGGTTTATGATATCAGCCACTCCTCACCAACGGGGGCTCCTCGACAAAAATGCATCCCGGGACAAAAAGGGGGAACAACGCAAACCACACACAAAAAAAAAGAAGAACGCCTATCCTGTTCCACCGCGAGCGGGCTCAGCTCGGGGAGGGTATCAAAAGAACACCGGAATCATACACGACGAACCAGAAAAAGCCGGACATCCCCAACTCACCGGACGGGGGGGGGGGGGGGGGGTCGGGTTGCAAGAGTCATTATATAGGTAGGAAGAGCCAGCGCCAAGGCATAAGACGCAAGGCCCGGGGGGGTGGGTTTTGTGGGAGAAGAAGGGAGAAGCAGATGGCTCTGCATCACTAGTGCACGACGCCCTCGACGCCGCCGAGGAAGCGCCTCACGCGGCCGATCTCGAGCTCATCGCGCTCGCTCTCGACAGCCTTGAGCAGGCCGTCGACGACAGCATCGACCTCGGCCTCCTGGACACCAGTGCACAGGGCGACGACGCGACGGTACTTGACCTCGACGTCGCGGCTGCGGCCTTTGAGGGCGTAGACCATCTTGCGCGTCATCTCGCGGCGGCCCTCGAGGGCGCGGATCCTGGCCTTGAGCACGGCGGCAGAAGGGAGCATGCCCTCGCCGCTGGCGGATGAGTCTTCGGCGGCCTCGAGCATTGCGGAAAGCTCCGTCTCCCAGGAGGATGACGGGTTGGGCTGCGAGGTGCGCGACTGCTCTTGCATGAGGCGGACCTGTTCATCCTCGCGGGCGTGTGAGAGGTTGGCCACCTTTTGCCGGGCAAGCTGCTGCTTCTTGAGGGCTGCGGAGAGGTGCTCGAGGCTGCGGCGGGACTCGCCGAGTTGCGTCGAGGTTGTGCGGAGGGTGCTGTGGAGGGTGTCGAGAGAAGTCTGCTTGGACTTCATCTCTTGCTGGAACGTGGACCCAGTTTCGCTCAGGAGGTGAGTGATGGCTATCTCAGGTCAGTCGGTGGCTTTTCAAGGTTTATGAGCTGACTTACAAGCAATGATTTCGTCGCTGCTTTCCCGGCTTCGTTGACTTGAACCAACAACGCCATTTTTCTCTGTTGTCGCCTCCCCATTCGTCTTGTCATCCGCATTCTCGCCTCCGATGCCAAAGTCCAGGGGCCTCAAACCCACGCGGTTGGCGATATTGGGGTCAGCGCCGACTTCGAGCAGCTGTGAGATGATACTTCGGTTGCCTATGCGAGCAGCAATATTCAGGGCCGTATCGCCCGAGCTGTCCTGCGCATTGACAATCTCACACATGAAGCGCGCGATGCCCATCTTAGGAATCATCGACTGCGAACCACAGGGAGTAGCGCCGTTGACTTGCGTATTTTGGCTGTTGGGGGCGCTTCCTTGTCGGACGACCCACTCTAGTAGACTTTCGAGATAGTAGCGGCTGGCCGCATTGCGGCCCTTGACGGCGCTTGTGACGGCAATGTGGTGAAGAACTGTCCGTCCCTTTTGGTCGCGGGCCTCGACAGTGCCGCCGAGAACTTCCAAGAGGTCGGGGAAAGAGCCGTGGTCCATCGAATTAGTCACCAGACAAGCGCGCATTAGTGCCGTCTCTCCGGAAGCGTTGACCCGATATGGCGAAGCACCGGCAGCGATGAGGGCGCGGAGAAGGGGCATACGGGCGAGAGTGGCAGCCCAGTGAAGCGCAGTATGGCTTTGAAGGTCGATGGGCATGTCGAGCTCGAGAGGGGTAAATGTTCTGAGCATGTCGTGCTTGGAGGCATCAGTCGTGGTTGCGTCCATAAACAGACCCATGAGCATGCTGCGCTTCATTTCGACATCGGGAGACATTTCGTAAGGGAGAGGCTGCAGGGGACCATTGACGTCCTCGACCGGTGATCGATCCTGTAGGGAGTTCTGGGTATAGATGAAGGACTCGTTGGGTTCAGTGGGCGAGCCAGGGAAAGCGGTGGCGTACATGTCCATGTTCTGGCCGTATCCGCCGAAGCTATCGGCCGGAGTCATAGTAACGCGCTGGCGCTTTCTCGGGGGCTCGTTCTCTGGCATCGGAGGTGGGTTGCTCTGCTGCTGGGTTGAGTAGGCCGAGTCAACCTGTTGGCCATAGTCGGAGGCGAAGCTCTGCTGAGAGTTTCCGGGGAAGTCATCGCCATTCTGACCATTCTGGCTGTTCTGCATCGAGGGCTGGCGGCTGAAGCTTGGAGCTCGGGTCGGACCATTGCGGCTTCGGGGCCCGGGAGAGTCGAAGCGGGCCTTGCTGATGGCTGCGACGGCGTGGGAAGCGGTGCTGGAGATGTTCTTGAAGAAGGTGCCGGAGAGCCCGTTAGGCTTGCCGTCGGTGCTCGAGTTGTACATACGCTTCCGCTGGGCGGCCATGGCCTGTTCCTTGGTCGGGGTATTGAAGTCGCCGCGGCCAGCTACACCTCCATCTTGACCCATATCGTAAGTCAGGAGCGGCCGCAGCAGCTCCTCAACACCATACTGGCGGCACACCTGGACTCCGCGATCGAACTTGATCCAGGTTCCCTGATATTTGCCGTAACCGCCCTGAACCTTTTCGTGCTCGCCGGTTTGGATCTCCTTTTCGAGGATTTTGGTGCGCTTGCCCTTGTCGACGCCGGCGACCTTGAGGATCTGTGTGGCATTGAGCCACGAGTCGTTGCGACGGCGCATGACGGCGACGTTGTTGACCTCCATTTCGTAGACATCGACGCCCGAATAAGAAGCCTGTTAGGAGGGATAGAGTCAGCAATTTGCGTCACCTCTGTGGGGATATCCTTTGAGAGGGATAGGAGAAAAAACATACCGAGTAGATTTGGGGGCCCTCGGGTCCGCCATTGTAGCCACGGTGGAAGGAGGCGGACAGGCCTGGCTGTGATTGTTGGCTCATTGTGAAAGATTGCTGTGAAGTTTGCGATGCCGATGGCATCTTGTTGTGGAGGGAACGGCTCTCGGTAGGAGAAAAGGAAGGAAAGTGGATATAGTCGTCGCAGGGTTTGTCGTCGTCAAGTCAGCGTCAGAGCCAGGTTCGAGGTCTAGGTCGGATGGCGTAAAGTAGGTATTCGGAATCGAGGGCGCGATATGCATCAAGCGTGGTCCAATAGGCTCAAAGGCTCAGGAGAAGGAACAGAGAGAGAGTGTGTGATGGAAAGAAGGGCGCCTCGTGGGAGTCGCAACGAGAATCCAAAGTCGCCCATGCGCAGAGTGGCCGGTTGCGGGATTGAGGGTTGGGACGGGGATGGATTTGTGCGGTGCGCCAGAAAAACCGGTGGTGAAAGCGAGAGTTGGGATGGAGTATGGCGTCGAGGCGAAATGAGCTTCTCCCGGGATGGCGCTCGCTGCAGCGGGCCACAGAACCTAGGGAACTGCGTCGAGGCGAGGTACCTACGATACAGAGGGTCTCAGGTACAGCCCAGGTACCCCAGACACCTGGCGGAGGGGCGCTTGGGTGCGCTGTGGGTGCGCTGCGGGTGCTGGAAGCGCCGCACGGGGGACGTTGTGAGTCAATGGTTTAGCGCCCTTGCGCACTGAAACGGCCTGTAGAAATGCCAATTATGGCTAGGTTGCGGGCCTGGATGCTCGGAGTACTGCGGGCAGCAGAGCAGCAGGGTCACAAAAGGCAATTGGGGAGAAAATACTCGGCGAGTGCAGAATCAAGAAAGCCAAGTGTGCTACTGCACGGCATTTATCGTGCTTTCGTGATGTGCTGCTGCAGGTTGCCGACGCACTGGTTCACTCGTGTACCTGGGCTCTGATTTGCAGCAAGTCGCTCACGCTGGCTCACGGTCGCTCACGTCCACGCTCACGCACGCACGTTAAAGTGGAATGCGTTCAATTAATCGAGACGTGTCGGTTTCGTGATTTCGTGTCCCTCCCACCGTGTCGCGCGCGTAAATCATACGTGACGCAACCCCGCGCCGCGCCGCTCGACTCGAGTCCCACCTTTTCGGCCTCGGCCAAGGTATCTCCGCGTCCGGGCGAGAGGGGCTTAAGCCTCGAGCACAGCGGTGAATGCATAAATCGCCCGAGGCGTCTGGATACAGCGTCATAGGGCCCTGTGTTACAGGCAGCCGACGCCCATGACCACTGGTTTCAGCACCTGCACGCGTTGGTGAGACCGCTAATGCAACCACTGTTGCTGGCCTCAAAGGCCGTGTTCGTCTCGACCTGAGCTTTGAGTGGAGCCACATGGGCATGGACTCGGCATCCAATTGTGCAAACATGGACGCATTATTATCTATGCTACAAGTCGGGATGTGCGATGACGATTGAACTTGACAGAATTGACTCAAGAGATACATTTAAGCTACTTCTAGATCATCCCTTTGCATGAAAACAAACAAAACATGCAAAGGTAAGGTAGTATTCGTTGCGCCAAACATAAACATTATGCAAGGTGAGGTGCACATCCAGTCATAGTACTTTGTGCATATCAGCCGAAGTTTCGCCGCTGTTCACGGATAATCCTAAACACCAAAATTCACAAGCTTGAGCAACAAGGCACATCGCTCAATTTACAACTTTCCCTTATTGGTCAATTCAAGCTACCCTAACAGTTGTCCCCTTCCATCCTGGGGCTTTTGCCTCTTACTTGAAACCCGCCCTCTTCCTCTTTTCTTCTCCTCAATCGATCACAATGCCGCGACCAAACAACTCCATCTCCAGCTTCCTCCCGCCGCTCCATGTGTACCGCCATCTCCTTCGTGAATGTACCTATCTCCCCCCCGCGTGGCGATCCCCGATCATCTCCACCATCCGCGAACGATACCGAAACTACCGCAAGAATGACGACCGACAACAGAAGCATCGCGCCCGCGCATTCCAACTGCTCAACACCCTGAGGTCGGCCAACGATGGTCACAGAGCCTCGATGCAAAACTTTATGCGTATGGCCTTTGGCAGACAAGGGATTCGCCGGCGGAAGCTGATGAAGAGTTTCGTCTTCCCGGACACTGGCCCAAACAACTCGGAGGACTTGGAAGCTTTCCTGCATGCGACCGACAACACCAGGGCAAAGGTCAAGTCTGGCGACAAAAGCCCACCCACCAGCCAGCTCGATGGAACGGCGACTATAAACTCCGACAAGAGACCCAAACACGCCTTCCACCTCGACTGGGATAAACCGAAGCTACTCAAACTTCTCTCAAGCCAGCGAACGATGGAGAAGGCCAACCCCCTCATCTGGCTCTCCCGCGAAATCAGAAATCTCGAAGAAGACCAATATGTCCCCAAGACCACCATCTGGGGCAAGCCGCCCGTCGAGGACCTTGTCAACTCTAAAAAGGGCACATGGTGGAAGAAGGCTGCGGCCAAGATGATGGTTCCCCTCGAAAAGAACGAGTGGGAGGTGCTTGGCCGACTGAGCGCCGGTGCCCAAGACGTCGACGAGGATTGGAAGATTTCCGAGCGACGAGCGCCTGGGAAGCTCCTACACGACGATAAATCAACGTCCAGTGCGGTAGATTGGGACTGGGAGGGCTACGCTAGCTACAACGTCAATCAAGTCGAGCGGGAAAAGTCCCCGAAGCGAATCCGGCGTACCGGTCAGGAAGATACCGGGCCATACCAGGCACAGCTGGCTCGGCGGGAAATCACTCCACGATGGTACAGGCGAGCATACACGAGGCTCTGGCAAATCACACCGGTGATGGAGCAGGACCCGCGGTCGTTGAAACAAAATTTCTCTTGGGGCACTTCACGATCTGGTCTAAGGCCAGCGAGGAAGTCCCAGCTCGACGTTTTTGAAGGCGTCAATGACAAGGGCGTAAAGCTACCGGATCCTCCCAGCAACAGCTCCTGAAACGCCATTCTAACCCGGTCCCCCGTTTTATTGCACGTCGCACGGCTTGTCTAGTCAGTCAGACTGGCCAACTTGGCCAGGCTTTCGCCCTCCACCCGCATGCCCACCCAATCGTCCATAGCCTGAGCGCCGAGGCTCTTGTAGAAGTTGATGCTGGGCTCGTTCCACTTGAGAACCACCCAATCAAGACGGAAGCCGCCCACGGCGACCACCTGCTTGGCCAGCGCGCTCAGCAGCTTCTTGCCGTACCCCATCCCTCGCCCCTTGGGCCGCACGTACAGGTCCTCGAGGTAGATGCCCGCCCGCGACCGCCAGGTGCTGTAGTTGTAGAAGTACAGCGCCATGCCCACGGCCTCGCCCTCGGGCGAAATGAGCAACAGACACCTAGCGGGGCGGGTCGACGATATAGGCTCGGTGATGGGCATGTGCGAGTCGGGGGCGTCTGAGGGTGCGAACGCAATGGTATCTGTCAGGGTCTGGACTGTGGCCTTGACGGCATCTGGCTCACGCTCGTAGTCGGCGAGCTCCTGGATGAGCTCCAGGATAACGGGGGCGTCTATGTCTCAGTCAGTATCTGGCAGCTCTTGAGACCTCCCCACACGGTCCGGAGAGCGGGGCTTACCCTCCCGGCGTGCGTGTCGAATTGTAGCCATTGTGTGGATGATAGGCGTTTTTCTTTGGTGTTCTGTAGCGTCGAAGATACCCTCAACCCAATTATAGACGGACAATAGTCTAGAAGGAAAATAGAAGCGGCAATCCGGGGAGTTTATAAGCCTTGTGATGCGATGTTGGTGGGGCAATTCTGTAATCGCGGTGTGAAGGGAAGGGCGCGCCTGGTCCGGGACAGGAAGTGGGGTTTTGTTGGTTGTGTGCTAGTGTATACCAGTCTTTCAGTGCAATGGTTAGCATTGGAAGAGAGTGGAAGGATTTGGGATGGTGCTGTGGACTTTCTTTCGGCGATGCCGGATTGGGTCTTGGTGGTTGCGTTTCATGCTTGAACTCAGAGCCCTGATTGCCTTTCCGGGAAAGACGGACATTGGTTTATTCATCTAATGCGATCAATGGCTGCTTGTCTAGGTAGGTAGAGCCACAGATCGATCTTTACTTCAAGTATCACTCACATACGACGGGTACCCGATTGGTCAGTCATTTGTCAATTTCCCCCTACCGCTAACATTGTAGATTAGCGCTCGGCGCCTCGATCAACCCTAAAAAATCCTTAAATCTCATGTCCCAGTCGTTGAATTATATGCACATCTCTATCATCATCTCGAGGACTGAATCCTCTCTGGGGTATATACAAGGCAGGTCTTTAGCTGGCATGATCGTCTCACATTCCCCTTTCTCTTCTGCCCCGTCGCATCATCTCCCCTCAGCTTCGCATTGCCGCGATTAAAACGCTAGGACAGCGCCGAGAGCGAACAGGACAGCGCCGAGCTGAGAATTGCGCGACCCGGCACTGCTGTCGCTTGTCGTCGCCGCGGCGGCGCTCGTGGTCTCGGACGCGGAAGATCCGGATCCAGAGGCGGAAGATGCTGTAGTGACGGCCGTGGTTTGCGATGAGGCGTCGCTGGTGGTGGATGAAACTTCGGTGGTCTCGGACTTGGTCTTGGTGGCAGATGCGCTCTGGGTCTTGGACTTGGACTCGGTAGTCGTCCCCTCGGAAGCAGACTCAGTGGTTGTGGCCTCCACCGTGGTAGTAACCTCCTCTGTGGTAGTAGCCTCCTCCGTGGTAGTCGTGCTCTTCGTCTTGGTGGTCTTGGTACTCGAAGCAGAAGTCGAAGTGGAAGCCGAATCCTCGGTGGCATTCACCCGCTCATGCACCCACGCAGCAGCCATGTCGCTGTACACGTCAAAGTAGTTCAGGTGGTCAGCCACGACGTCGCCTCCAGCGCAGATGGGATCCTCCTTGACGCAGTAGTTGTGGAGCGCATCGCCGTACGTGACGAGATTCGTAAGCATGGCAGCCGTTCGCGGGAAGAGACCGTCCGCTCCAGCGCCGCTCAGCACGTTGTACGGCTGGTTGGCCGTGTGGCGAGTATCACCAAAGATCAGGGCCGCGACAACTACGGCACCGTCTTCGTCAGTCGCATCCCGGTGAAGCATTGTCTCGTCTCACTTACTCTTGTTTCCGGGGGCCGAGTCTGCGTTCAATCCCTCGTTGCTGCCCTGGACGCAGCCTTGGAAAAAGGTGCCGCCTCCACCACCCAGAATGTCGCCCACCACATGTCCGCCCTGCGAGTATCCGCTGACGACGAGCTTCGAGTCCGGGCACGCCTTGTTGTACGCCGTGATCTGGCTAATGCCGTTCGCGGCGCCCTCAAAGACGGAATCGCAGTACACTGACTCTAGCGGGTTGTAGAACTGGATGTCCTCGTAGTCGCAGCTGCTCAAGCCCGAGCAGATGGCCGTGACCAGCTTGCCCTGGCGGCCCGGGTACGGCTCGTTGTTGCCGCGGGCCAGGAAGACATGCACGTCCTTGCAGTCGGTGGCGCGCGAGGCGATATCGCGGCCCTCGGTGGCGGCCGCGAGGAGCAGCGGGATGGCGATTGCCTGTCTCATGGTCGCGAGGTGTAGCGAGGAGGAAGTCTGAGGCGAAAGACAGCAAGCAAGCAAAGGACGACAGAAGCGACTGTGACGATGAAACAACGACCGAGATCCTCTGCAACAAGACTGGGAATCGAAGACTCCCTGTCTCGCCAGGATGCCCTGGGAACGAGCCAGGTTTTAACTGTATCACCGGCGCGCTTGTGGACATGGGATGATCGCCCGATAGGGGGCAAACATGGCGAAGCGGCCAATCGTCTCGCTCAATCTGGTTCCTGGCCGGGCGATATTGCCTGTCCCTGCCTATCATGCTATCTTCTGTGACGACACGGATCCATCGCGGCGGAGCCGTTAATATGGAGACGTGGAGCCCTTTTGGCGATGTTCAGCTTGACAGTGTTGTTTTGGTTTTTGTTAGTTGGTGGAGCATCGGGGTTTTCACGAGGCCGTGAAACCGTTCCTTGCAGTCAATGCTCAAAGTTTTTTTTTCTCTGGAGGCAGCTCGGCATTGGTGATGCCTTCGTAGGCGCACACAAGGGACGGGTGCGGCGTAGTTGTGCTACGGAAATAACGCTCTGTTCCTGGTGATAAGGGTGCTTGGTTGGACCATAGACGCATTGGAGGAGGGCATGGGAATGAAGACCCATGTAACGATTCATCTATCTGGGTATCTGGCTCCACACCTATTTTGCCAAAGAGGCAATTGCCAAGGCCTTTGCCTTCTTATCGGCTGAACGAAGTAGGAGTCGTAGCGACAACGATTTAACCATGGCTTCAAGCTTGATCGACCGCTTCTGTAGCCTATAGCCAAACCCTTTTCCAAGTCTTCATCACTTACGTTGTTGTAAAGTACTTGAGATTCCACTACAGTCCAAGTGCTATTGCAGTCTTGGGATAAAAAAGTCGTGCGAGTTTCTGGCCATGTTGACAGACAGCATGTTGATGGTCAAAGACACCACGCAGAATTTTCGGATTTCAACCTTGGGGGCTGTGCCCGTGACATGATTCACCGTACTGGCCTAACACCTAACACACCAATACCATGCAGAAATTGGCGGCCATGCTCTTCAAAATTCTCAAGTTGGCCAAGTCTCCATCAAGGTTACCACGTTTTGACACTACACTCATCAACTCCATGACCAACAAGGGCCGGTAAAATCGTCACGGCTGAGCTACAAGGTGCCGACACCGAAGTTAACGGGTTCTTGGGCACACGGCGATGGAAAACTGTGCGACCTTGGTGGCTCCTGCTGGAATATAAAGACAGGTCAGGACCCCCGATTACCACAGGATGGACTTTGCTCACATACCAACAACCCAGACCCCGTCCTCAAAGAAAAACAATCGCCATGAGTCTCTTCAAAGATGTCGACATCCTCGCCAGGATCAAGGCCGCGACCCTGGCACAAGGGGAGTGTCGGGAAGTACAGCATGTGCAGAAGGCGCAGAACGCGGACTGCCCTCTTCTCCAACTTCCCGTGGAGATACTCCTCACGATTGTCGAAATGCTGCCTGAACACGACATCATGGTCGTGCTCCAGACCTGCCGCTCACTGCGTTTCGCCGTTGGTCGTCTGCGCCTTTCTGTTGACTACCTCACCCGTGACGAGGCCGTCGAGTTCCTCGTCAGCATCGCACGCGAACTGCCCGACCGATGGGTATGCGAGCTGTGCATGAAACTCCATCCTCTCCGCGTTTTCGACAACTCGAAAAAGGTAAAGAGAAGCTCTTGTCCTCGGGCTCCTCTCCGGGAAGAATACTACCCCATGAACTACGACCGACGACTCTGCCACCACCACGTGCAACTCGCTCTCAAGTACGCACGCATGGAAAAGATCCAGAGGAGGTACCGGAAGTACCTCGAGGCCGTCCTGTCCCCGAGTCACATGAACTGCGTCTCAAGCGTCGTGGATCTTAGGTGCCATCAATCATACTACCCCAAGATCGTTGGAGGGAGGTTCTTGATGCTAGGAGTCTTCCACTATCACAGGAATAGGGTGGACGTCTCGGCGAAGGCCATCAGCTACTTGACGGTCTGCTCGCACCAAAACTTCATCTTCTCCGACTTCGCCCGATTGGAAGCGCTCCGGGCAATTGAACCAACGCCTCCACCGGACCCGAACCTCGCCCTCTCAAGCACGATGCTGGAGGGATTTGAGGCCGGTGGCATGGAAGTGCAGGGGTGTTGCTCTCGCTGTCCAACCGATTTCGCCTTTCATGGTACTGCCGACCATGCCACGCTGCATTTCTGGCAAGATTTGGGACCCGAGGGGTCACCACTGAATCCGGAATGGAGGATAAACTTGCTGAGTATCCATATTCCGGAGGAGAGACTCAAGGTGGAGCATGTGGAGGGAAGCATTCGGAGCCTCTACGAGTCCGACAGTTAGGCAAAGGATAGATGTGAAGATATTATTCGGTACAGAGTATTAATAATTACACGTTCAGGGTCTTATCGTTGTTGCTCAATACGTCCCGAAGTATTAATGTATGCAGTTTCCGGGTTCATGCTGCTTGACGTTGCCTGAAATACCAAGGATGAATCCCACTGTGGCACATTCGACTCCTGCATTATTAGTCTTGGCTGGGGAGGAAAGTCATCACCCAATTTAAGTAAACATCCCCTTGAGATCTAAAAGATCTGGTATGCTCAGAAGACTCGGCATGTCAGTATCTTGAAAGTGGTATCTATTGCGGTTGTGATGCAGTCAAATTCGGCTGAAGGTAGCATAGGCCTGATTGTCGCTAATGATGCAATGGTTTTTATAAATACAGAATGAGCTCAAAATAACTACAGGGAAATAAACTCCATGTACGCAAGATGGCCTAATACCACTTGGCCTTGTTCCAGAACAGCGCCTGGTCGTTCAGGAGGCTATCGGTCTGGGTGTACATGGTGGTGTTGAAGACTAGCTCCGTAGCCGCGGTGTCCTCGTTGTACTGTGGCCAGTACAACTTATCATCCGCCCACTTCTTGTTGGGGTTGCCAGTAAGGACAAAAGACATCAGGTATTTTTGCATGGTGATGGCGATGGTTGAGTTTACAGAAGTGCTGCTCATGCCGCCACCTCCTCCTGGGCCACCAGTTGTGGAGTTAGAAGAGGAGACTCCAGTAGCTGCGGCGCTGGAAGATGAAGTTGCGGTTGAGATGGAGCTGGAGCTGGAGCTGGAGTTGGAGCTGGAGCTGCTTGCCGAAGACAAGGTGTACGTGCTGTACCCTACGAATGGTTAGAATGTAGCCCACACTTTTATCGGCCGAACTCACAGTAGTAGCTCTGGTCAGTTCCATGAGTAGCCTGGTCAAGGGCAACCATGGCGTTCCATGTCTTGTTGTTGAGTGCCTGGGTAGCGGCCAGGTTATGCGCCGTCAAGTCAAAGTGCTGCTTCATGTCCGCGAATCGCAGACCGGCGCTCGTGTAATCGTCCTCGGGGTAAAGCGCCAAGGCTTCGTCAACAACCTCGTCCGCGATGGCCGGGAAGAAGATGCGGAGATAGGTGGCCACGTCATCCTCGGTGTCGACTCCAGAGTAGGCCTGGCTGTTGGCCTCGTGTTGCTCGTGGCTCAGGACCACGGGGCCGGTGAAGTTGAAGCGCTTCTGGTAGAACTGGGCCTCGTCTTGGGGGATTTAGCAATTGATGACCGGTGATATAATGTTACAAGACTTACAGGTGTCGGCAACTATTTCGCCATCTACTCGAGGCTGGAACTGGTAGTCATATGCGTCGACGACATCGTCCGCGGCGCTGGTGAGGGTGGCGAAGTCGACCTCGCGCATGCAGTCGAGGTGGCCGTCGGTACAACCCACTGCGGTAGAGACGTTCTGCCAAAAGGCCTATGCATTGTATTAGCGCAAAAGCCACAGGATGAAAAGTTGGTGTCTAAAAGAAACCCACCTCGGCATGCTGATGGCCTGCTCCAGGAACAAATCCGGGAGACATGACATAGGCACGAGCGAAGAGTTGCTCAGCGCGACCGGCGAATCGCTAAACAGAGTCAGTCAATGAGCAATCACTTTGCATCTCCACGCCCTCAGGGTTTCCTACAGTGAATTGGAACAGGGTCTGCGATCCCCCAGCAGAGAAGCCGACGGCAGTCACCTCGTCCGGGTTGCCACCGAACTTGCCAATGTACTTCTGAACCCACTCGAACGCATGCTGGACATCCCAAATGGCGGTGTTGGAAGTACCGCCCTCGTGGAGGAAAGTCGGTCCGTTGGCAAGACCAGTCATTCCCAGTCGGTAGTTGTAGGCGACGTAGACGAAGTCGGTGCTCAGGTCGAAGAGGCCCTCAGGCGTGTTCTGCGATTTACTTCCACCGGTGAAGCCTCCGCCATAAGTCCACACCATGACGGGGAGCTTTTTGCCCGCCGAGTTCGCGGGAGCCCAGACATCGAGAAACAGGCAATCCTCCTCGGAGCTGCAGTCGACATCGGCATCCGCAAGCGATCCGGTGTTGATCTCCGTCTCGACGGCGGGCCACTGCGGTTTGGCCCAGCGCAGGTCACCGGTGGGAGCCTTGGCGAAGCGGATGTTCTGGTACTTCCAATACCCGACGGTCGAGTTTCCGGCGACGGCGGCGACGTCGCAGTAGTCGAGAGAGACGGTCGGAGTGGCCTGGGATGTCGATGTGGTCGTGGCCTTGACCTTTTGCTGGTTCGCGTTGGGGATTTTGGCGGCCAGGGTGCCTGACGCCGCCAGAGAAAGCAGAAGGTTGGAGAGCAGATGCATTATTGGATCCTGAGATGAGGTGCCTGATACCGTTGAACTGAAGGGGATCGATTGATTAGATGGATTGTAACTACATCTTATAAGTCGTGCTGCTGTCCACCGCCAACCTACCCCATCTGCTCAAGAGCTCTTGACTTCCACCCCACGACGTCAATTCCAGGGCTTGAGCGAGTACCGCCGATATTACCAACTACTGAAGGGGCCAAGAAGATGCGCGTGGCCTCGTCATCGTCGGACGTGGCCACGACCGTTCTACCCCAGACCTCTCCGATGTTCAAGCTTCAACGCGGAGGAGATGCCCATGTACAGTTTAGCGGCACGTCGGTGCGAAGATGTATGGAAGGGATACATCGCCAGGTTCGGCACAAGCCGTTCTATTGTAGAAACAGACAAGCATCCCCCAGACCGGTTCATCGCATACGCGTACGCTTTTATGGGTCTTGTCCGTGCTGGTCCATCTGCAAATCGCCTTATGACGGCACTGGCCCTTGAAGATTCTCGGTGAATTCGATCATCAGCCTCAATAAGCCGAGTTTATTTTTGATCCGACACCGGGGGGCATGGATCGACACCGCAACGCGCCAGTTTCAATCGCATAATGTATTGCTTCAGAGATATTAGCCGCGCTATGAAGGACTGTCGACATCGTAAGCACCTGGACAGAAGTTGCTGCAGCTTGCGAGATTCGGCCAGGTTGCAATTCAATTCGTCTTACGACGCTGCCTGAAAACCACGACTAAAATACTAAGCTCCCGTTCGTTGGCATGAGTAGACGCCGGATCTTCGAGCCGTTGTTCGGGAAGGATTCCGGCTGAGCTCGTCGTCATCGCCCTTAGCGTCCCATGTCTAGTGGGAAACGCCACCATAGTCTCGCCACAGCAGAGGTACTCCTGGCACTTAAAAGCCTTGCGTACGTGGGTAAACGTCGCAATTAGTGAACCAAGAATAAATGGCGAGCATACAGAAAGGCGATGCCTTGGAGACGTCAGCAGGGGGCTGAAGCGGGCCGAGAGGAAGCCCATCGAAGACGGGAAGCGGAGCGACACAAAAACGCCGACGGCCATTCGATACCGATGGGATTTTCCCTACCACTTTCTGGTATTGCGTCGTCAAAAATGGTTCAAGAATGAATTTATTAAGTCGCTACGCTGCCGCGTTGAGGAGAATCCCAACACGAGATCGTACAAGGTGTCTATACGAATTGGCCCTGCGAAGAGGTACTACGGGTTTGCATGTGGACACAGGAAACTGGGGGACTTTATCAGATCCGATTTTATCACATTCTCGTATATCACAATTCGGTATGACCCACGCACCCTTGATCACGGAAATGCAAGCCCCCTAGAATACAACCAAGTCTTCGCCAAGGCCGGAGTGTCGCATTTTCGCCCGTCCTAGCCGGCTAACGACTCACCGATTGGACGAACTTCTTCCGCAGTGATTAATCATTGTTCAATATTAAGTCCATTCACACTCTGAATAGCTAGGCAGTCTAAGAACTGGAAGAGCCGACACCCATAGTCTACATAGCACTCATTTCTCGGCTTTAGTGTAGTACGACATGAGGAAGACGTTTGAACATGGCATTGTCTCATTTCACCTTGGGACCTTCAGCTAGGTCGCCATGTTCTCCAGAAAGCCAGCACGCTGACACTCATAAAAGCCACCCAAAATAGAGAGGCCAGTAAATAAGTTCAAAAACAATCGCGGATCCCAGCGTAATAGTGGGATAGTCTCCAGCTTTGAACAACAAGGGATTCACATGTCAACCCTCGCCATCGGTTTCGGTCTCGGGTTTCTATAAATGTGGCCCAATTACTGCCCGTTTTTACGAGCGTGTTTGAGTTCCCGGGTCGTCGCAATCCATAACAGGGCTGTGGATTGCATCCGGGCAGGCAAGCCCGAGGTTGTGGACAGGGTCTCCCTCGTCTGCTCGTTCACAAGACTCATACAAATGATGCTGACTTTGTCTACCCTAGGCCATATGACGGCATCGATCGAACTTCATTGCCCAGGTGGAGGTGAGCGTTCTGATGTAGATGCTGGGATCGCGGAGCTTCAACAGGAAGTTTAAATGGCCGCGTCCCCTCCAACCCGGTCATATGATGCGTTGTGAGCACATTATTTGCAGGGCCCTTTTTTTTGTCAATAAAAGAAAGTTCGAACGGGGCCCGAAGGAGTCAAGACATTCCAAGTGGACTGGGATCGCCGTCATCAGTGCCCAGTAGGTCGATACATGGTTACGCGTCCACAAAATGACCTTACTTCCACTTTCGGCCTATCACAGCACAGTATTGAGGACCTGGTAAGCATCGACCCAAGCTAGGATGGAATAATTCATGCAAATGCTGTCATTTATAGCTGGAAAAACGGCTGAATTGAAACCTTCGTACAGGATAACTAATATGAGGAATGACTGCCAGGCAGCACGGTATACAATCTTAGAGGTGAGCTGTGCTTGCCGTGTCTTCCAGCCCGATAATGATTAGCGATCTGGTAACCATTGCTGATAATGGCTCAAAGGCGGACTTTCTGCCCCCTTATTCCTTGACTTCTTCCTTGACTTCCTTGGCGGGTGAGATAGGCTAATACCGGTCAGCTGCGTGTTGCAATGTTCAATACTCCTTAAGCTTACCTTCTTGTCGGACACATAGTCGAATGTGCCGCCCATCTTCAACAACCAAACATCCTGAGTTCCATTGCTCTGCCCAGGCTGGACGAGGAAGCTGTGAGGGAATCCAAGATCAAACTCGACAGCATTGTCGATCTCTTGAATGTCCTCGTCGCTCAGGCTGATGTTGAGCGCCTCAATGTTGCCCTTGAGATGGTCCACCTTTCGTCCGCCGACGATGGGGAAAACATACGGCGTCTTGTGCATGACATAGGCGAGAGCGATGCTAGTGATGATGGTGTTTTTGCGGTTGGCGATCGACTCGAGCACTTTGCTGGCCTTGATCTCGGCCTCGGTAGCCTCGACCTGGCGGCCGTCCTTCACCTTCCGCTGTTCTTCGGTCTTGAACTTACCGCCGCCCAAGGCTCCCCAGGGGGCGATGCCCATGCCCTCGTCTTTGCACATAGGAATGATTTCTCGCTCAAAGTCACGCTTGGATGCAGACCAGAGACCCTGGTAGACAGAGAATGGCCGGAGCCCGTGCTGTCTAGCGTACGCATTTGCCTTACTGTGTTTAAATAAGTGAGCCGGTGTACTCTAAAAGAGCTGTCAATTACTTACGCCACGACCCAAGCAGGGCTGTCGCTAATGCCAAGATACAGGACCTTGCCAGAGATGACAAGCTGGTTGAGTGCCTGCATCAGCTCAGGGATGGACGTGCTGTAGTCCCACCAGTGGACGTAGAGCTGTGAGAAATTAGCAATGAGGATGAATTAAAGGCCACGATGCCGTACAATGTCAACATAGTCGGTCTGGAGGTTCTTCAAGCTGTTGCGAATGGAAACAAACATGCTCTTGGTGCCGTTTCCAGTAAAGTTCGACATGATGTTCTTCTCATGAGGGCCACCATTGAAGTTAATGGTGTACTTGGTAGCGATGACTTGTTGTGATGTTAGTGTTGTGATGGACTAGATGTAAGAGGGCACCATACCCATTTCATCGCGGTTGTCTCGCTTCTTCATCCATTCTCCGATCCGTTTCTCAGATTCCTGGAACTGATAATTGTTGGCGGTATCAAGGAAGTTTCCTACTCTGGTCAGGATCCATAGTAAATTATTCGAGACAGTGTAACCGACCTCCCTTTATAAACGTTAGTATCATTGCTCTCCGCGGTCTGGATAAATTTCCTTACCTGATCATAATAAAAGTCAAGAATGGACTCAGTCGTGGCCTGGTCGCATTCACCCATGTACCCCTTCCTGTACCGGAGTTAGTGTTACTCAAATAAAGCACGATTTTAACGAAGTCTTACCAAGCGTCGCCGAAGTTCATGGTGCCAAGGCACAAAGGACTAACTCGGACGGCAGCCGAGGGCGACAACAGTCGGTATCGGGCCAGAGCACTCTTGGGAGGGGGGGCGAATGGGAGAGCCATAGTGCTAGTGGTTTTCGGGTAGAGGTACGAAAATTCGGTTATTAGTAGAGGTGAGAGAGCGAAGCTTGATCTCAACGAAGGACTGGATTGATGTGGGGGGAAATATAGCGAGAAGCGGGTGGTACTTTATATGTAGAACTGCTTGGATTTCTTGGGGGGGCTGATTAATTACTCCTCTACTTGCTCATAGAGGATATTTAAGTACGTTTACCCTGACGTCTGTACGTCGTCGTTATCGTCGTTTGTCTAAACTCCGGACCTAAACGCCGGGCTAGTGGTTGCGAGGGGCACTCCATCACGCCAGAGTAGCCTTTCCCTCACGTACAGCACGGGTCTTGCGATCCGGTGAGTGGGCTCTAAACGAACTGCATTATTGGAACATCGGAGTTTAGGTTATGTGGCAGGGTCAAGGGGAGACCAATGAACATGAATGATGATGCCATGATGCAATGCATTTTGATGTTCCCGCACCACTTGAGACGGTGAGGACCAGCAGCTAACCTCCAGAAGAGTATGGCCCCAGTCTTCAGGCGTCTGAGCCAAGCTTGGCTTGATCCATTCGGCAATTAGCCTCGGCCCGTCGCTGGTAGTTGACGGAATCCACTCCGCCTTGTCCACTCTCTCCGCCCGGTCCACTCTCTCCGCCTGGATGCTCCGCGGTGCCATACCACAGCAGGCGGCGTTAACGGTGTTACTCTGCCCAACAATCATGAAAGCGGCGATAGAGGCCTTCAGTGAGTATTACCCAGAAATAGACCCAAATTTCTTGCCTTAGACAAGAGAATCTCCAACGAAGTCCAATTGCAAACTTTGCCAGTCCCACAACCCGTCCAGAATTCCCAAGTCGATTCCCTGTACTCCGTTTTCCATAGCCAAGGATGCGTCCAAGAGATCGAATTGGCCACTCGTAGATGGTTGGCCATTCACCATGAAATTGAGATTTTCAGAGGAGGATGTCTCGGGTTCGACTTGCGTTGTATTGACGCCATTGATACGAGTCTTACCGGACCGAGCAGCTTCGTCCAGTACGTCTTTCTCAGCTGGTTGAAAATCGATATGCGATATGAGCGCGGTAAGAATACTCCATGTGACGTCGGACATCTTTGTGTACCCTCGCAGACAGTGAGACACATACAGAGCTGTTCCAATGGCCGCCACTACTTCCAGGCGTCTCGGTACTTTATTTCCCTCAGTGTCGTGCAACAGCAGAGAACACAGCGACGCCGCATTGTCGAAGGGGCAGAAGGACACCATGAAATATTTGGCCGCTTCTGGAAAACACAAATCGAAGAATTCTTTGCTCACAGCCATGGCCTTTAGACTAATATCAACAGCATGGTGTACCGAACGAGATCGCTCCGTTTCCGGCTGCTCGTCGTGAGTAGCATCCACTTGTGATACAATATGGGGCCGGAGAAGTATTAGTTGTGTCATGTAGCCAACTGAGTGCAACTGTAGACGCTGGAAGGCCAGCCACGGGTACTCCGCATCCCATTGCCTGTCTGGGTCGGCGACGCCAAAGACAGGTGGTAGTGAAAGCATCCATCTCTCGGCAAATGCGAGCATGTCGACATAGTTATTTGTTGCAGGTGCTGACTCCACCAAGTGCCTTGCAAGTTGATTTTCAAATACCTTGGCTGCAGAAGGAGATGGAATTTCGGGATTTGTTGCTGAACTATCGAGACTCTGGTTGGGTGGTTGAACTGTGTCACCAGGTTGGATGATGGGTGGTCGGTGAAATGTAACAGCCATAAATCTAGATCAATTTTATTAGCGACACAGACAAAGAAACTCGGTAACCACTCACTTGTCCCAGGTATATGCTGCACACCATAGTCTCCTTCTCAAATCCCTCTCAAATACAGTCATGCCGCCGGGTAGGTCATCGAGGTGGATACCTACCATTTCTATCATCAGCCATGTTTCCAGATACCTCGTGTGGCTTTGTGAACCCACCAATTTCCTGTCCTTGTCTCACGCAGGCAGCCAGCTGATGCCAGGCCTTGACAAACTCTGCTTCTGCTTTGAGCCATGTAGCCCCGAGAAAGAGCTGCTGGGCGTTGACCAGGCCGCCGGCACCAGCTGGGAGGACGTCGCTGAGTATATCAGCTGCCCCGTGGTAGTCCTTGCTGATGCTTTCGACCGAGTCCCCAAGGTCTGATTCTAGCTGAGATTTTGTAGTAGAGGAGATGAACTGAGTTGAGTTGGCGCATATCCGAAGTAGGAGACACGCCATCGCAATGCCAGAGATGCTCCGTGAGTACTGAGGCTCACGGCGATGGGACCACCATTCTGTGTAGGTAGTCACAAATGATGGCTGGTGCAATATACCGTAATGGTAATTCACTCTGTCGAAGAAGTTCTGGACAAGAATATCCGTGTATGGGCGTGGAGGCAGGGCACGAGTTGCTTGCAACACAGAGGCTGGCAAATCTAGCACTCGGGAGTCATTTGATGGTTGCGTATCCTAGAACATCAAAATTAGGAGGTGATCATGATGGCAGAAACTAAATTAATTACCATGACCGCTTCAAACATGCCGCTTTTGACATATCCGAGGATGTGAACGGCGGAGGCTGCATCTGGGAACAAGATGGAATCGTCTGATGATGTCGACGTCGTCGTTGTCGTCACCAATATCGCCGTCGCTGTCGCCGTCGTCTCAACCTTTGAAGCTGGCTGTTCTGGATGAGCGATGGTCGAGGAGCTCCTTGGTCTACCGCATCAAGGTGAGCAGATGATCTGATGATGATTGTTAGGTGTGTTTACTGCGCTCGTTGTGCCGTCTTGGAACCCCCAAAATCGCACAAGTGAGCAATCCTGCGTTCTTGACAGTGATTGCACGGCCACTGCCGGTTGCATTTCTTCTTCCTGCGCTGACACGCAATGCAGGCTGTCGCCGTGCGGCCGCGCCGGCGCTTTGCGGCGTTTGCGCTATCCCCGTCGTGATCCATTCTGGGCGGCGTCGCGCATACGAGGTGGTGATTTACTCACCGGCGTGGGGGGATGGCACAGACAATTGAGTTGTTAAACGCGATATATGTCGGGAAATGCAGATTCTGTCGGACTTGAGGTCGCCCATCCTTTTTTGTTATCTTGCCGTGCTGTCGAATCATGTCCTCCGTGTCAGCGCCAAGACGAAATATCGCGGGGAAAAGGGCCATTTGTCGGACTTAAGCTTGCAGCCAGATGACGGGAATCGGGAATTTTATCTTACTCATCTGTCAGCTGCAAGGGTCTGCGGTTCTATCCTGGGCCTTGTACCGTCGGGAAACTGTCATCACATCGGAATAATCGTGGGGAGACGGTGATTAGAAGTAGCTTCGAAGAGGTATTAAAGTGAGCCATTGCCACCGTGTATTGATGGTCAACCATCCAGGACATTAAAAAGAGCCAGTAACCAACATCCACAAAGTACTCTATCTACATATTACAAACTCAGTCAAAACCAACCAAACACACTAAAGCAATGGCCTCTTCCAACCTCGTCTGGTTTATTACTGGAGCAAACTCTGGTTTCGGCCTGCTCCTCGCCCAGCTTGCGCTCTCCAATGGCCACACCGTTGTAGCCACGGCCCGCAGCCTTTCCAAGTTCCCCCAAGCTCTCCAGGAGAGCCCCAACGCGGACTTGATTGAACTTCAAATCACTGCTTCTTCATCTGACATCACATCCGCCATTGATTCCGCTGTTTCCAAACACGGTCGAATCGACGTGCTCGTCAACAACGCGGGCTTTGGGCACATGGGAGCAGTCGAGGAGGTCTCGGACAAAGAAGCCCGCTACCAGTTCGATGTCAACTTCTTCGGCCTGCTCAATTGCACTAGAGCAGTGATTCCTCACATGAGGAAGCAGGGCTCAGGTGTCATCCTGCAGATTTCTAGCGGTGCTGGCCTACTGGCGGGTCATGGCGCCCCGATTTACGCAGCCTCCAAGTTCGCTGTGGAGGGGCTTAGCGAGGGCATGAATGAAGAGCTCAAGCCATTTGGCATACGAGTTCACCTCATTGAGCCGGGAATCTTCAGAACTGAGTTTTTGAAACCCAGTTCTGAGGGCAAGAACGTTGCCGCGAAAAAGGATGGATACCTTGACATTGGCGGTATCCTTGGTGGCATGCATGGGAAGCAACCAGGAAACCCCGAGAAGGGAGTGCAGCGTATTTTTGAGGTTGTAACAACAACTGGAATGGGAGCCGTTATGGCCAAGCAGCTGAGAGTTCCCCTGGGATCTGATTGTTTTGGCATGCTCCAGAACAAGGTTCAGCAACTCACCGAGACGGTGGAAAAGGGGCGGGAGATCGCACTCAGTACGGACTACTGAAATGCGAGCAGGTAATCGGCTATAGTTGTTGGTAAAGAGAGTATTCCTACTTGGGTTTTAAAACGCGGCAGATCATTGGCTTTTGGTGCCGTATCAATGTACCAGGCTGTGTGTTAGCTCCAAAACGCCATGGGCTGTTCATGGGATTGACTCTGAAGTACGTACTTTGGCGAATGGAGGACAGCAATCTGTTGCAATGATTACAATGCATGCAGTGACACATTGGAGGGTTCTTTAAGGCCTAATGAAGTGTGATATGGTGTACTCAGTTGCCCTCGAGGCCATGAAATATTGCACTGTGAAGAATTCGTGACAAAAAAAAGCCAGTTTAAAAACATGTTGATGAAATTCGATGCAATACAATCATGTTGCTTTGAAGAGAGACGGAAATAGGTCCCTCATGAGCAATAGTACTACTGAGAGCAAATACCACTTCCGGATATCTGGCTCTTTGGGTAGAAAATGAGTGGTCTCCCTTTGGTAATAGTCACGCTCAAATTTCCATTCGAGTCGGTACTCACGGCCTTGCAAGTCAAAATCTCAAAAATAGCCTGATTAGCAGTAAAGCCAGTCACAGAGTTGCTCAAAGACAGCGTCTTGTCCGCAGCAGAATCGCCCGTCTTGCTCAAGACGGAGATGATCTGATTCCCATCGAAGCCCTTCCGCATCACAATGGTCGAGGAATCGGTGTATGGGAGCCAGGCCTTGTAAGTGATGTAGGAGCTGTCCTTGAAGATTGCCTGATTTCGGAGCTGGTTAAGGCTCGCGATGAGAATGTACCACTCCGTAGCGGTGTTGAACCCCGATAGCCACACAGCAGCACGGCCAGTTTGGTCATTTCCAGTGTAAAACTGTTCCTGGCCTTGGAAAACGATAGGGATTCCATCTTGAAGAAAGGTGAAGGCTATGGCGTTCTTGTTGAGAGCCGTGTCGCTAGTAACCGAAGGGAATCGATCCTGATCGTGGTTCTCCATAAAGGTCCCCAGGCGGCTTGAGTTTACAGCGTCATTCTTGACCGTTTCAATACCAGCGGCGAGCTCGGTAAAGTCACCACTCGTACTCCCAAATGCCCTCTTAAGCCAGTAGTACATGGGGTAGTTCAGAACACCACTCATCTCCTGTTGGTAGGGAAAGGTGAAAGCAGGATCGCCGTTCAGCACCTCGCCAATTGTATAGACCCTGGCAGCCTTCTCGAAGGGTGCGTGGAAGGACTTCTCAATGTGTTTGGCGCTGTCGATTCGTAGACCGTCGATCGAATAATTGGAGACGATCTGTTGGATCCAATTGAACCAAATGCCGCGAACGTTGTCATTCTCTGTTCGTAGATCAGGGAGGCTGACGGTGTTGTCACCTTCCCAACACGTCTGTATATTTGTCGACCACTCATCGCTGTAATCGATCAAGCAGAAGTTATGGAAGTACGAAGACTGAGAGATAGGTCAGCGCACAAAAGAGCAAGCGATGGTACAATGTATGATGACGAACATCTGGGAAAGCATCGTATTTGCTGTAGTCGACGCAGTTACCGCACCCATAGTAGCCCATGTGGTTGGTGACAATATCTACAATGAGGTACTTGATAATATCAGCGCCCTTCAAGTCTTAGCTTTGTGTGATGTTTACCATTCCTCTGTCATGAAGGGCCTTCGACAACGCCTTGAGCTCAGCCGCGGTGCCAAATCGATCGTTGATAGACCAAATCTTCTGGGCCCAGAAACCATGGTATGCTTGGCTGAAGCAGGTTGCGTTAACCACCAAGACCAATACTTAAATCTGTGCTAAGATCTGACTTACCCCAAGCCTTGGTTAGCGGGCACTTCAATGTTGGCAACGATGGGAGATATCCAAACGGCCGTAAATCCCATATTCTGGATATAGTCCAGCTTTTTGGTAAGTCCTACGAAGGATCCTCCGCAGTATTGTGCTTGAGAAGCATCACATGCCGCGCTGACACTTCCGTCAGTCCGCGCAAACCGGTCGGTGAGAACTTGATAAATGCTTTGTTTTGACCACTCGTCCGCAGAGAGTGCAGCGACAAGGGATGTTGCCCCAGCGAGGACAGCTGGTATTGAGAGCTTCATATTGGAAAGCTTCATTGTTGGTGGTGATGACAGTCTCTAAGGGCGCATACGGAGAGAAGACGACCGATGAACCATTTAATAACCGAACCGTATGATTAATTAAGGGGAACCATGAGCCTTTCTGGAGAATTTGCTTCCTGTGATAGATTGTTTCCCGATCCTGCGAATCCTCCCCGCGTCATCCGTAGCCTTAATAGGGCAATGACCAGGAGACCCTGGTTATTCGATGTTTCGCCGAGAGTCGGCGCGATTAGAAACGCGGTACTCGGTGGTTTTAAGAAGGAAACAGTGTGATTGCTCCGGTTAAACGAGGTTGAGGACCATCGTGTAAAGCTTAGTTTCCATTATCCTAGTCGGCGGCCACGTCGTGAGTTTTAATCCAGTTTTGAGCCACGCTAGAACCAGGCACATGAACACTTTCACGGGACCAGTGCCAGCACGTGCATTTCGGTCCAGATGACTGCTAAGCGGCCGAAATAAAGCTGGCATCAAAGGCCACTGTATAATAGGTAGGAGGGTGAGGGACACGTCAGACGATGCAGCACGCTTGCGGAGCGAGCACATGTGAATGAAGGTACGTCGCTTAGGATCTTTGATTCAACCATCCGAATCTATTTGCAGGTCTATACGCCATCTAACCTACATCTATTCTAGCCAGACTCTGGTTTTTCTTTAAGAACTTCGCCCGTTTTCGAATTCGGTGCGTCAGCCTCCGACTCGATGTGCCCTGCTTCCAGTCGAGGGCTGGAGCTAGTTGCAGCTTCGCTCGACTGCTTTTTGGTAGGCGTCTGCTTGATGAAGCATGCGGCCATGATCATCAAACCTGCAATCCCAGTGTAAAAACCCCACATGATATGCAATGCTTTCACATATTCCTTTTTATCCGTTGTTTGCCCTCCTCCGTGGATCGTTGTTAAGGTGCCACTGCCAACCGATCGTTGGATCAATACGGTTCCAATAACAATCGAGATGGATGTGAAGAGACTGCGAAGAAAGTTGTATGCCGACATGGCGGCAGCCATATCCTTGTGATGCAGGTGACTCTGCAACGCAATCATCGGACTCTGGAAGAGTACACCTGCTCCACTGCCTGCGAGTATCTGAAAGATGATGATCTTCGGCCAGTTTGTGTCGGTACCGAGACTGATAAACAAGCCATTTCCCAATGTCATGAGAACTGTTCCAGCAATTATAACGATGAGAAAATGTCCTGTTTTTCGTGTAACCAAACCCCCAATCAACGTCAGAAACGACAGCGGAAGAATCAACGCGAAAAGAGTGATGCCTGAAATAATTGGTTTGAAGCCCAGAATTACTTGGAAGTATAGGGGCAGGAAGAAGTCGTACGAGATGAAGATGAAGGCGTGGAGGCAGGAGACTGTGAAAGAGGCGATGTTGGTCGTCTTTTGGAAGATTCGAATCGGAATGACGGGGTTCTTCGCAAATTTGGCTTCCCACACCATGAACAAGGCGAGAATGAGAAGCCCAAACACAATTAGGCAGATGACCTTAGCCGAACCCCACGGGGCGAGGCCGCCGGAGCCAGCCTCAAGACCATAGAGGAAGCAAATTGTCCCCCCGATGATCAAGGCGAAGCCCGTCCAGTCCAATGCACGTAGTCCTTCAAGGATTGGCTCCTTTCGAATGTCGACGTTGAGGGCGAAGAACAGAACGATTAGGGCGACACCGTCAAAAGGAAGATTAATATAGACTAGACTCAAGTCAAATTCTGGACGCGGAACAAGGGTAAGGAGAAGTCGACTTACAGCACCATCTCCAATTTACAGCTTGCGTAAAGACGCCGCCCAAAACAGGGCCCACGGCGCTTGCAATACCGAACACAATACCAGTAAGACCGTAGTACTTGGCTCGGTCCGCCAGACTGAAGAGGTCCCCGATAATGATCGTGACAAGTACAAGGGAGCCACCACCACCAAGCCCTTGCACCACTCTTCCGGCAATAAGTACAGTGCTGGAATTCGCTAGTGCGCAAATAAGACTTCCTATCATGAAGATTGTTGTAGTAGTCATGATGGTTGCCTTGCGGCCGAAAATGTCAGACAGCTTGGCCCAGACTGGCGTCGACGCCGTGGTGGCGAGGGTGTAACCGCTTCCAATCCACGCGTATTCCTGGGCGGTGACATGTAATTGTTCGGCGATGGTTGGAAGCGCGGTCGCAATGATGGTAATGTCGAGAGCTCCAAGGAAGAGAGTCAGACACAGAGATAACATCACCAGACGACGATGCCATGTCTTCATCTGTGGAGGCTTGTATGACATGCCGGTCTGGACGGGCTCGAGGGCGAGGCTGGCCCCGGAGGAGTCCTCATCGTGGATGCTGGCGACAGGATCAGGGCTTGCTGAGTCTTTCTCCACCGACTGGGTCTTTGGGAGGCTTGACATAATCTTGTCGGTCTTGAAGAGAATTCGCACCTAGAATACAAATCTCAAAAGTTGTAGAAAAGAAAATGCTTGGTCGTGTTCATCTTTCATGAGATCACTTTCACGAACAATATGTACAGGGATGTCAGGCTCGGTTCGGTTCGGTTCGGCTGGTAGCATGGCACGATTTCTTAGTCAGTACGGATGGCCTCTTTGAGGGCAACTTAATTTTGCCTAACACCTAGCAGGTCCAAAACCTTGATATAGAAGGTCCTCAGTCAAGTGGTTGAGTATCAGCCTTTTTCTTGCGGCAAAAACCTTGGTTTAGCGTGTCAGGATCGAATGGCCGAGGTGTGACTTACATCGCTCAACGTGACACCCAAGTATCTCGCCTACCCTAGACAAGACCACAGAATAGACACGATAGTCACACAGTTCACTGCAGCTACATACCATTCTCAAATGCAGCACGCAATAAGTTAATAAAATAAATAAATAATTGATAGCTTAAATACCTGGTCAAAGGCGAGAGTCTCTAGTAGAAGTGATCTGCATTGCTCTCCACGGCGCCTTATACGCACCGAGGTAAAGCCCAAGCGTCACGAATCAACTCTGCCGCTAGTAATAAGAGGCAGAAAGATCAACTCTCCCAGCGTTGAAAAAAGAATTTGCTGTTAGAGTAATCTTAGGTCTCGCTCTCCCAGGAGGCCATTTACTGAACAGTTTTATATTACTCTTGCTTTAGAATCCCTATTTTATATTCTGAATCTTGCTATTCTCGCTTAACCAGCCTCTATATAATAATAGAAATAGATTTAAGGAGGCTTTAGTGTAGCTGAATAATAACTTAGTATATGTTAGTGTTTTTTTAATATTGCTAAATTTTATTTATTGTGTATATAAATATTAAAATTAAACTGTGCTGCAGTTAGTCAACTGAGAGGCAGCAAGAAGTCAGCAAGATTACGCGCAACTACACTCAGCCAGTGCCAATTGTATAAGAGAATCTCCATATCTGTTTACAAGACTAGTACGCCTCGTTTTCAACTACCTAAGCACGGACACTATGACGAGGGCTTACAGCAGTCAAACACGCAATCGACTTCCGCAGGAAATGCGGGTGTAATGGCTGTCAGAATAAACCTTCTTCTATCCTCAATTGGAACAGCCTCCTTTGGCCTAGACTATTGTCCTTTTCCCTGTGCCGTAGCGCATCTCAACTCAGCCTGGTAGACCCATTAGCCGCAGTCATTTGTCTGATACTATTTTATAAATAGCCTTACAGGATAAGTAAACTACAGGCGTCGCTCTAAGGTCGCTATGGGCGTTATGACAGGCAGCAGAAGGCTATGTAATTGACCTTTTAACGTGCTCTAGAGCTAAAATTTGCTTCAGATTTCAGAAGTTTCATTCAGGCTTGTGATGATCTTTTAAGTAGGGTTCGCTGTCATGTGTTCACAAAGTCTCCCGTATGCCAGCGGAAATGGTGATGTGACAACGTGTTGATCCGAAGGCCCAATGTCTAAATAAATTTGGGTCCCTTGCGTGGCCTCAAAGACAAATTCGGCTTGTGGCTAAGGTGCTGTCCAAGGCTCTTGGGATGCGCGGAAAAAGCTGACCTCCCAGGCTGCATTTATGCAACATGAATCATCTTTGCTCCAACGCTGCCCTGCAAGAAAGCTGGCGGTGAATCATTTCAGCCTGAAGGCAGTGGTGCCTAATTTTCAGGGCTTGCGAGTGCAGTATTGGGCTGCGAGCGTCATATATGACTGTGCCTCAGTTTGCCTAACATGTCCAGCCTTTCCTCTTGCCAGCTCACACAACATGCAGACAGACGATTAGCATTGGCTCTTCCATGGCATGTGATACATGACAGGAAGGAGCAGGGCCATCCTGTGGGAAAGGCGGTCGCACGTACCAATTTCTTTGTGTCTGATATAGGTGATAACTTTTATGGGTATGAAATACAGTAGGTAGGTAGGTACCCTTCAATACCTACCTACATACCTACCTACATACCTACCTACCCACCTCCAGCTCACATCCTGCAGCCCGCGTCGGCACTGTAAATTCTTCGAGGCAGAATTAGACGGTCGCCACACCGCGCGGGCTCACGAGCTGGCGGAACTATTCGTCCCCACGAAAACTACCAGTACCGCCGCATACGCTGCTGTGCTCGCTGTGACATCCTTGTGGTCTTTCAGCGACGAAGCCATGACAAGGCCAAAGAAGGTGACGGAAAATGTTGTGACGAGGAGCGAGGTGAGCGATGAGTTCACGAGCACCATCACCCACATGGGTCCGATCAGGAAGACGCCGCCTATCGCAGCAGCGAGCAGACGCCTCTGAAAGTCATTCAACTGAGCCATCCGTTCATTCTCGTTGCGCGTGCCGCATATGGTGGAGAATTCCTCGCGCTTCTCCCAAACGTGTTGCGATGCGACCCGCCTTAGTTTCTCACTCTGGAGGCCGTTTCTCGACGATGCCATGCTAGTCAGGACGTAGTCGTCGACCGTGTACTCTCCGGTGACTAGGAAGGGATCCCTCGGTCGCTGGCTGCACTCGGTCATGTAGTCGTGGTCTTTGAGTGCCTGGGCTGGACCGTGGTGTTTCGGGGTTACCATGGTGGTCGAGATAGATAGAGTGGAGATGAGATGTACGCGACTCACTGTACTCTTTTAACCTCGTCTCCCATTCTGGGGCGTTGGTTCCATCGCAGCGCATTTGGATGACGTCTTTGGTGAGCTCACACTGGAGCTGTCGGATTCGCATTCTTTGCAGCTCGGCAAAGCTGATTCTCAATCTCCTCCTGTTCTGGCCGACCCGAGACTGGTCAGGGCCTCCATTCTGCTGACTGGTTTTGGATGAACCGTTGCGAAGGGCAAGCAGACCCTGGCAAAGACTCGTCCATGAGGCGGAAAGGTTACTCAGGTTTGGCTCATCGAGCTCCTCAATCAGGTTCGGAGCGTGGTGGTTGATGACCCATTCGGTGATGTTGTCGTCGTTCAACTGGATTGGCGCATCCGCATCGACGAAGGAACCGGCGGCAGCAATGGAGGAGGGCGGCCGTGTTGAGCCTCCGCTCTCCAAATCGTCGACAGGCATTAAATCTCGGCCTCACTGACAGCACAAGAGGCGATGCTGGCGATGGGTCGTGGGAATGGCCCCTACAAAGTTTTTGGGTGGGCGAGTCGCTAAGTATGTACTGTACGGTCCCATTCGTCCTATCGGGAGCCGTAGTGATCCGTTAGCCAAACCAGAAGGTGGTGGGGTGATGAGGCAGTGCATTCTTCTGCAGGTCTCCGTTTTGTGTGTGGTCAGCCAGCAAAGATGGCGTGGCTACGTGGCTGAGTTATTTCTTTCTCTTTCGTATTTTCTAGGGCTATACTTAAGGGCTTGGAGCCTTTGCGTATCCGTCTATCCCATGTCATAAGCAATCGGCGATATACACATAAACGCACACATACGCGGACATCTAAGCGCACTATTTTGACCATCATGTATCGTCACTATTTTATTTTTGACCGAAGTTTAAGCGATATTACAATACTGACTCGTTTTTTAGCGCTTGCAACATGTCAGAAGTCGTGAAAAACCGGATCCAAGTCTTCCTCGAGTTCGACCCTAGCCCTCGGGTCCAGCTCAAGTTTGAGGAGTCGACGCAGGCTGAAGCATACTTTAAGATGATTCAGAGGAGTGCAAAAGCTGGGGTTTCCGATATCTCAGGTCGTGACGTGTACATGACACTTCCTCCAACGATGAGGAAGCTGGAGGCGCGGCCATCCCTTGGCGGCTTCTCCTTCATTTTCAACGATGCAGAAGCGGCTGGTACATGGACGGATGCCCTTTGGGTTTGCGTTTCTAAAACCGGTCTCAAAACTTTGTGCATCAAACGTGATTGGACACCCCGGGGGCTCAACAGGGCCCTAGGGGTGGAGGGTGGCGCTGGTGACGACGAGAAGGGCGGTCCCAAGGTGGTTGGCTCGGCGAAGCCAAGTCGGCACTGACAGAGCTTCTTCAACTCATTCTACATCTTTAATAGGAGCTACTGGCAGAGCAGCCCCCAGTACTATCTTCCTCCAGGCCATCAACGACGAGTACGACCATTTCTGACTGGCGGGGAAAGCTTGGGAATAAAGTAGACAATGTTATTATCATTTAGCGATACATTTGTCGGACACACTTAAAACCCATATTATTCCGAGATATTGAAATCAAATGAGCAACAGGCAATATCACAGTACACTAGGAGAGATAATACGGAGGAAGAGTGGGAAAGACAAGCGAAACAGCAACTGGAAACTAACCAAGCTAGCGTCGTCGAACTGAACCAAAGAATCTAGCAAATACTCGACAAAGCGACTTAGCCCATTTAGAGATTGATATGCCTCGTTTTGTTTTGATGGGACTCGATCTGGCAAGCCTATCTGATTCTGTAGGGCCTAGATCGGCGAGGCCATCCTGGTTTGCCACTGACGTGATTGTGTCGGCCTGATTTGTTCGGCCAGCAGCAATGGACAGGTTTTCCTTCTTGGAATTAACACCAGACATCGAGCTCTGTGACTTCGTCGTGGAGTAGGCTGGATCGCTTTCGAATTTCTTCTTGATTTTCGCGAACTTTTCGCGGGCCTCCGCCGACGTCGCTCTCGGCTTAGGGTCGACGATAAGAAGCCTGTTTGCGATGAAGTCCAACACGTCGACAAAAAGGTCGCTGCATCTCTCGTGTTGGACAAGCATTTCGATTTGCTGAGAAACGGGCATGTGAGTACCACTGGTCCTACAATGGGCAGGAGGGCTTTGGTGAAAGGGATTGGGGGGCTTTACAAACCTCTGTGACAGCCTTGTTCACAACGACAGGGTTCTCCGAGACCGCTCCTCTAAAGTTGAAGAATGTGTCCTCTGAGAGAAAATTACCCCCTAGCAGATGCTTTGGAGAGTCTTCCATGCGCCGCCGTTCGGAAAATTTGTCGACCCCGTGCCAACCTTCAACATACCACGTAATGAACTGCAGTAGAACGCAACCCAGAGACCAGAGGTCGTATGACGGCGAGATGAATTTACCAAATTCACATTCCGGTGCCCGGTAAGTGTCACTTCTTCCAGTCTTGCTGGCTCTGACAAGGGATTTCGACAGGTTGCTGTGGAAGTCGGTGAGGCCAAAGTCGGAGATCTTGAGAACACCTGTTGGGTGGTCAGGGTTTCCATGGTGAGTTCCGTCAAAGAACCAAAGGATATTCTCGGGTTTGATATCACCGTGCCGTCCGAAGTCTTTGTCAGAGGGACTCTTGTCGCTGGTTTCGTGTATCATATGCAACCCCTCGGCAATGCCTAGCATCTCGCGGGATACCCAACCTGCCAGTTCACGTCCGCGCTTGGGGATGTCGGCGTCGGGAAACTTGTGCTTCCAGAACTGGCCAAGATTCGCGTCAGCCCACGGAAAGATCATGTGAAACTGGTTGCCGAACTCGAATGTAAACAGGAGTCTAATCAAGCGCTCCCCGTGGTCTGTGTCAAAGAAGCGCTTTAGGTTGTTGACTTCGTTGTTGACTGCGGCTTCACTCGTCGAGTCGTATTTCTTCTGAATAACCTTGACTGCGTAGAAGGCCTTTTCGCACCCACCCTGAGGAGAAGAAACCTTGAGATGAAAGAGCGTGTCAATCATGGAGCTTCTAAGTGCTATGGTGTTTGACGACACGCAATCAAAAGATATCATACGAAAAGAAAAGAATAGACTAACCTTTCCATGACCACATCTTCGATGTGCGGAATGGATGCCGACCTTACGAACAATAGAGAAGCCACCATGAAATTCGAGATTCAATTGCAACTCAGCGTCGCTGTCGTCACAGTCACTGACCTGACGAATAGAATTTACGTCGTCCCCATACTCATCATCCTTCTTCCCGGGTCCCCCAACAAATGGGAGGATGGTTGAAGTGTGCTGGAGTCTCAAGTGCTCAAACTCGGGCGAGATGTCGCAGCCTAAGACAAAGTGAGGGACCACTAATTGCCACTGGTATCGGAAGAAGGAATCCTGTTCCCAACTTTCCCAGTCCTCGAAGCTCTTGATTGCCCTAGTTTCCACAGCCGGGCATCTGTCCTGGTCTAATGGGTGATATGATAGACTGCGCGCCGGAGTTCTTTCTTGTTGGAATGGGAGGTGCTCATCCATAATACATTCGTCAATGAGCTTGAAAATTGCCTGGCTCTTTCTCATCATGGAGAGGATAGCCAAGAGCTTTCGTCTGTGCGGGAAAATGTTCGAGAGTATTTGTTCGTTGTCCTCGCCGATGTCGAGCTCACGTTGGACACTCTCATGGTTGATGGCCATATCGATCTTGTCTTCAGGGAGAAACCTGCCAGAGTTTGAGGCCCACGTGCAATCCTCCATTAAGTGTTGGATCTCGTAGTTAAGCGCCCTTGACCGCTGAGTAGATGCTGTACTTGGGTGCCTGGCTGAAATACTGCCTCCCAGAGAGCTCTTGGCGGAGTGCGGCTCCTTAGACCAGACGGACCGCGCTCGCGATGCTAACGACTCTGGAGACTCTGGGTCTCCTTGATCTGAGCCATTCCCTGGCGATTGGCCAGTTTGTGGGACATGTAATCGTTGGTCATCTTGGCTTCCATTGACAGTGACATCTGTCCATAATTTCGACATCTTTGGTTTGGCACCAACGATGGACTAAGACGCGCGGAGTGTCAGCATATCTTCCGCCGGTTCGAGATGTTACGACTCAGATGTAAGACATACTGCCATTTCCTCCGAGCCACTATTAGCGAAGATATGTGGCGCTGGCTTGGAGTGCTGTGTCAATAATTCGGCCATAATTCATGAAGAAGACCCCGGTGTTGAATGCTGAAGAGGAATATGGATATACTGCCTAGTGGGAGGTAGGTAAGCCAGCTAGACCGTTGCTGCCCTAGCGGTTACGACAGTGACATGGGCCGCCTACTTATGCTCCGCCTTTTCCCAAGTTCCCACTCTGGAAGAGCCGCATTTTTTCCCTCATTCTTACAAGTCGGAACTACTGGTTTCCGCTCTACCACTTGACCCGCTCAGACTCATCATGTTAAGATGTCAGCCTCAGTGGCGCCCCCCATACCGACCCTATCTCACCGGTCTGTTCTTCCCTCCCCGTCGTTGATCCTAGGGAGGAAAGACCTCCTTTCCTGGAAAGAAGCTAAAGGTTGAAAGATCTGTCGTCAGTGTGACGTTTCGTACCAGTCGTTGTGGACTATGGTATAGGTCTGCGTGTGTAGGTAGCTGGGCATGGCTTGCAGATGGAGGGCGATTCCTCATTCAGTCCAAGTCCAGATTTCACAATACCCTCGTGGGAGTATAGCCAAGAGCTGACAATAAGCTTACACAATACACCAATTTGCAATTTGCAATTCGGGGTTCCTAAAAGAGGAAGTGTGTGTGTGGAGAGCAGCGAAGTGTGGCGTCCTCAACACCAACTCGCGACCGGCAAGAGCAGAAAGTTGCCTCCGACTCAATAGATAGTGGTGATTCGATTGCGTAATGACTCTAAAAGACTCATGAGAGCTATAGACATAACGGCACAATCTTCGGCCGGCTCGGCTCTACATATTCGATAAGCCGGAACTGGGAACCCTTGCGGGATTCCTGGTACCGACTCCCGCCGTCTCAGCCTCCAACATCTTTTATTCACTGCACCCATTCCGAGACGCGTCACTCTCTATACCCTTCGTAGACACTCCTTTTGGGGGTGGAGCTCAGCTCATCAGTCATCTGACCCTCCAACTTCACACCAACTTGCCGAAGATCCTAGTCTGCCCCAGCAACCCAGAGATGGGTTAATACTATTCAGACTCCCGTTTCTGTTACTACCCAATCACTGCTTCTCTAAGCGCAAACTCTGGGCTTGAAAATTATCCACCCTAGTGTTGTAGTGGTGGACACGGGTGTTCGGCTTTTGGACTTGACGGTATAGCACCATGTGACATAGCAGGGAGAGTGTGATCACGCTATCAGTTCATTGAGTACTCATGGCCGGATGAGACCTTACTGTGCCGGTGACTTGGCCATATCTTCATTGTGTCGGTCCAATTAGTCGCCCCAAAAGACTCCGCCTCTTCTCACCACCTAGCTCGACGGCTGGGTTACTTGAAAAAGCATCCCACTCCCCTGGAAGACCCCGAGACGCTCCATTTTGAGCAAGGCTAGATAAGCATTTCTCATGTTCGCTTTCCTGAATTTTTTCTCTACTTTCCTCAGATGCTCTACCGTCCCAGCAGACCTTCAGTCAAGCAACATGTCTCCTCCCATTCCCCAAAACACCACTGGTACTACAGGCGAAGAGCCCGACAAAGCCGCCGCGGGACAAAAGAGCAGCGCTATCAAGGTTCTGAAACTACACACAAGATATGTTCCAAGCATCGAAGAGTTGGCGAAAGCTGTGCAGATGGCTGTCGGGGAAGGCACAGTTGAGATTGAGGCAAGAGTCATCTTTCACAGCCCGTTGTGCCCACAATGAACTGACTCAGGAACCCCCCCACGGAGTAGATGCGCCATAGTGTTTACATTATCAAGCTTTCCACGGAAATTGAGATGGTTCGTCTTGCCCCTTCCTCCTAGTGCCCGACGAAGAGACTCGGTGCGCTCAGTCGCGGAATTCCAACCTTTGCTAATCGACTGTGTCGTTACAGAAGGACCTTCTCGGAATTATTACTTCGCCCCGGAAATCCCAATCTTTTTCGAACCTACCTTTCCTAGGCGAGGAGGGAGATTTGTCACACGTGCAGATAACAAGTAGAGAAAGTTCGGGACTGTTGAAGAGGAGCAACACTTTCAGTCATATGCCGGCTGCGGAGACAACAAGCCCGGTCTCTACAGCCGCCGAGATCGGAAATCCGCTCGCAGCGAAGATACAGGGAGCGAGTGGGCTGGCCGGGTAATGCTTGAACCTGAAATGGCTTGTATGGCAGAGGATGCGACGCAAGGGGAGGGGGGAAGGATTGGGCAAGAGCGCCGATGATAGCTGAGCTGAGCAACCATAACATTGTCTAGGTAGGTAGGGGACATTGTCACCACAAGAAGCGGTGGTAAGCAAGGTTGGCCGATTAATGCCGCACACCACTCCCTCAGCCCTGGAATTTTGATTTGACGTGATTGGTAACTGCTGTGATGTCTGGCCCTGACTGCAGGTGATCTATGCAGCATCGACAAATGTGATACGGCTGTGTGTCTGGCAAATCTTACAGACTCACCAGTGTGGTAAGGCCACCAACAGGAGCACACCAATCTTCGTTGCATGACTCGTGTTCCGCCCAGATTGGCTTATGGCTGGGCAATGGTGCCATGTTTTGCAACATCCGAAGGCCCGGGGACTGATGAAGGTGGTCGCTGATAAAGGGAGACAGACTGGTTGGCAGTAAGCTGAGGCTCAAATATTGGTTTGAGCTGCGAATTGGCACTTCCCCGCACTGCGCCCTGCAGGGTGAGCTTGGCAGTTGTATTGCGGTAGGTATGAATAGCAGGGAATCGACCTGGTTGGCTCCAAGATCCCTAGACGTCTTATTATCTTTGCTAGGCCTCCTACTCAACTGTGAGCATCTTTCTGCTGTACTTTTCGCTCCACAGGTAGCAAATTATCCCTCATTCTTGTCAAAGGACTGACAAAAGAAGGCCAGCCACACATTTGTGTGCGAAAAGAAATTCGGAAAAAATGGATGCATCGAACACTCTTGAACTTCAGTTCGAGCAGATAGGCTTCGACAACCAGAAGGGCTTATGTTTCTGGACTTCCAGTCTCCTTGAGAATTTCATGACAAAGGAAAAGGTTGGGGAGATTTTACGCGGCGTCAACGGTGGTGAAGTCGAACAGCATCTTGCCAGCATCATGCCGGAGAAGGCAGACACTGGTAAGGAGTGCCTTAAGCTGTTCACAATTCTCCTTCTGTTCGATCACACTCAATGTATTGGAGAGTTTATCAAACAGGACCTCTGCGATACACATCTACCGCTGTTCAAGGGCAAGGAAGGTCGCCTCACCATCCCAACGAGCGGGGGAAAGACTGTGCGAGCTTGTTGCAGGAAATGGCGCTATCTTGAACACCTTTTCTACATCTACCAGTGGCGTCTACTCGTCCCTTTCTTTAGCTTCAATGAGAAAGGTGCGCCGAAACACTATCCATTGCATGTCGACACCATGCTGCCCTGGGCCCCGCTCGATGAGGCAGAGGTGTTTGAGAGGAAGGGAGGCTTTGGCACGGTCGAACGACGGAAAATGCACGACAACTGTCACGGTCTTGGCATGCGCCTAAGAGCTATCAAGGTAAATACACTCAACTCAAACAAATCATCTTCAATGATACGGACTGACATGTGAGGCTCGTCTCAAAAGACTTCCGCTCCTGAAAGCTACACATACTTCGCAGTCAAGAAACTTGACCAAGTACACTTCAAGCAGGAAAAACTCATGCTAGATCGGCTCGTCCGCAATGGCATCAAACACAACCATCTCATCTCGCTTCTGACGTCATACGACGTTGACAAGCGCGACTACTATCTTGTCTTTCCTTGGGCAGATTGCAACCTTGAAGAGTTCTTCAAGAACGAGTCTCAGATCACTAAGAACGGCAGCATTGACGCCGGTGTGATGCAATGGTTCTCCCACCAAGTTTTCGGCATCATACAAGCGTTGAGTGTTCTACATGACCCCAAACTCAATCCCACGCCAGACGCGGGTGAAGAGCCACCGATAGGATATGGGAGGCATGGAGATATCAAGCCAGAAAATATCCTATGCTTCACTCCTCGGGATGGCTCGAATGGTGGTAGTATTGAACGACGCACTCTAGTCATCAGCGACTTGGGCATTGGAGAATTTCATGGCACCGCGAGCCGATCCAACTTACCCAATCAGGGTATTCCTCACACTCCCGACTATCGTCCTCCAGAGTGCGATCTCGACGGAGGTACCGTTTCCAGATTGTGGGACATCTGGACCATTGGCTGTCTCTTCCTCGAGATGGTCTGCTGGTTGCTCGAGGGGCACGACTCACTGACGGAATTCGAGAAAAAGCGGTCCTCGTTCTTTTTGTACGGGGACCAATCTAAAGATAGGAAAGTGGCGACGTTTTTCGACATACAGGTGGAGGAAAACTCGGATCCGCATTCTGCAGAATACATTATCATGGTAAAGGACGCAGTCACGAAGGTACGGCCTCCAAATGAGGCACTTGCCTCCCATCAAGCCCGCTCGTCCCAGCCCTCTCCTGGCCCATTCTTCCTTTTCCTTGTCATCTAAACTCTAGTGTCACATGGGTGAACTAACTTCATTTGGATAAAGCGAATCAGCGACTTGCACGACTCTGAGTTATGTACAAAGTATATTCACGACCTCCTCATGCTGATACAGGTCGACATGCTTGTCGTCATGTCGCCGAAGCACACGAGACAGACATCTCAGATGCTGTGCAAAAGAATCTCCAAGATGCAACAAAAGGCCAAATGTGACAGGTCTTACCTCACGGCGAAGTGTCCCTGCAAAAAAGCCCATATAGGACCTCCGAACATCCGGGCAAAGCTCAGCAAGAACGCCACTGACACGATATCGAAGCTGAATCTACGACCAAGCTTCGCCACGTATACACCACGCTCTGCATCAAGATCTACTACGCATGAAACACGCCGGCCATCAACTCCAGTGCAAGTTTCCAATGAGCAGCTCAACAAGCTGCAGAGACATTGACGGGCGACGAATCGCGAATGAGTGTGCAAGGAGGTTTCTTTCGCGTCACGAACAATCGGCAGAGGAGGCGAACGCAGCCGAAAGGGGGTTTTCAATGAATGCAAGGTAGTTTCTGAATGTATCGAAAGGAATGTTGTCGTTTTGTATTAGTGACTTTGTACTTGGTCCGATGCACCGTGGGAGGCCTTCCATTTGGGTAATAGTTCTTCCAACCACTTAAGTCAAGTTACCCTCACGCTATTCACGTAGTCAACTGAGTCAATCCACGTGATAGAGCTATTTTGGTTAACGAGCCAATACCTACATCACACGTGTTCACACGGATTGCAAGCATACAGTACCCTTACAGAACGCGAAGCTAGTTCTTCATAATACGGCGACAAGTCATGCGTAATTCGAAAGGTTCGAAACACCGGCACTGCGGAGGAAAGAATAAGCCAATGTTATGTCAATATCCAAGCTCTTCATTCTCGATCAATGGCTGTTCATATTCTAGCCAGAATCAACCAGACTGTCAGGCCAGACAGAGGGAAGGGTTGTCTGAGAATTTTTCTGCCGTACTAACTATCCCAAAGCTCTGTCTGCGTGTCAAATCATGGCAGGCCATGCTGCATACGTGAGCTAAAAGTGCTACATTGCTGTCAGAGCTGCCCTAGAATCGGCAGGGTTGTAAGTCAACATAACCCTAATATATTAATCCATATTCTGCTTGAGAATATAAACTTACCTGAACATGATTTACTCACCGTGCAGGGTCTTCTAAGGCGATCTCGTTCTGGATGGCGATGTCTCAGACAGTGTGATAACTGGCTTCCTAGTCGATCTTCCTGCTAAACGTCGACATCTGAAATTCTACACCAAATTTAGTACGGCACATAAAATAGTGTCGTCAAATCATCTAGCCTATCGCAAAAGCTTCTTATCGAGTAAAGGTAATAGAAACTGTCAACTAAGTCTCGGGAACAGTATCAGTATTTTGTTGGTGGGAGAAACACCTAGTGCGGATAGGGCCTGCGACAGTGAGAGTCTGCGATACCTTACAGTTCGGGTTAAGAGGAGGTCCTGCAGCTAAGACTAGCTCAGGGATTTTAACAAGAAGGGAAAGTTAAGTATTTAATTAAGTATAGCAGAAGGTAATAAAATAGAAAAGATTAAGAAGAAAAAGATAAGAGCTGTTTTCGCTGGTTCACTCGGCATATAAGCCCAGTTTGCTTGACGAACCAGTAACCGGTCAACTTCCACTCAACGTCGGGGTTCTCAAGCTCAAAATGGAAATTACGGAGCAGTTGAGGGACGAGTTTAGACATCTCCATCAGCGATACATTCTTGCCCAGACACGACCTTGATCCGGCTCCGAACTGGAACGCGAGGGCAGCATTAGCAAAACCTTGACAAATACATTTGGTGGAAGGGCAACAAACCGCAAAAAAGTTTCTCTCCATCGCTTTAAGAGAGACTGCGTCATTGTACAGCCATCGTTCTGGAACAAAGTCGTTCGCATTCTCTCCATAGACAGCCTTGTCTCTGCCGATCACCCATGGATTCACACCAACAATGGTGCCCTGGGGTAAGAAAGTCCCGGCTAGCGTTGCACCGCCCTCAGGAACCACACGCTCAAGCATCTGACCACAAGAGGGATGGAGTCGCATCGCTTCTTTCATGCACGCATGGTAGTATGTCATCTTTGACACTTCAGTGAAGGTCACTGGGTTAGAAAATTCGCCCCTGCTATCCATGCCATCGATCTCTGCGAGGACCTTCTCGTAGCAAGTAGGGTTCCGACAAAGGTAATAGATGATCGCTCGCAAAGAGATGGCGGTAGTGTCGCTCCCAGCAAAACTGCCAAGGGCGTCAGTAAAACAAGGCTCTGGAAACCGCCAGGGGCTGTCTTGACGTACATGTTGGAAGCAGCATGGGCCAACAACTGGTTATCCGAGATCAAACTTTCACCGTCTTGCATAGTTTTGAACCGGGACAACATGTCTCGAATCTCTTTTGGCTTCTCGGAATTGTTATATCTGAGAAGTTGCTCTGCAGCAAATTTCACAATATATTGCGCCGTGTTTAACTTGGCTACAGCCTTGAATCGTGTGCCTATGGATTTGAATAGGCGGTTACCAAGCAAGAGATTATGCAACCAAGGAGCTTGGCCAACGACAGAATTATAAGCAAGCCGGCCCTCGATGGAATCGATAATATCGTCGACGTCAGTCTCCTTCTCCATGAATCCGAGTCGGTTGGAAAAGGTGATCGATGTGATTAGATCGAAGGCGTACCAATGGAGCCAGGCCCCCAAATCGATAGGTGCACCCTGCTTTTCCTGAAGCTTCCGCTCGAAAATCTCTGTGCAAGCATTGGCGGCGGGTTCAAGTTCGATCATGGAGCTCATCGAGTAGGCATTTGCAATCGGCCGTTTCATTGATTTGTGCATTGACTGGTCGCGGACGGAGAAGACTGTTGGAACTTTGGCTGTACCCGTATCTGCATCAAACAAAATATAGAAATTACTCTGCACAATCGATGAGTAGATGTTGCATTGGGTAGGAATTTCCGTGTCCGTACCTTGTAGAACTTCGAGGTAATGCTATAAATCTGGCTGATGCACTGCGAGTCTGCAATCGAAACGTGATTCGGACCAACCCTCACCATCGGTCCATAGGTTTTGTGATACTCGGCATGCTTGAGAAACTGGTGACCGCCGAAAGCTGTTACAACGCGGGGTAGCGACGAGATACTTGCTAGAAAGGGCCCTGGGAGGTTCCTCAGGCCTCGACGGTATCTGGTTTGAAGAAGTATGCCACTGAGACCTAGGAAGAGAGCAAGAAGAATTTGCCAGTACGCTCGGGACAGTACATCGATCAGAGAGTGGATACATAGGGATACCTGGCAGTAAGCTGACCAGCCTCGAGCGTGGAACGAATTCTGGACATAATCGAAGTAGTCTGCCGTACGCATGATTCTGGGCTTGCAGTGCAAGGACAACAATTAAATGTAGGAGAAAAATTTGGAAGAATGGAATAGTTCAAACAATCTGTGAATTTAAGATAGCATTTCTATTATACTTGATCAGTCGTGCCGAACACCGGGACACCCGGAGTTCTCAGGGTAAAATCGTCCCTATTGGCCTACGCGGCAGCCAAACCGCTGCATGACCTTCCTGTGACGTTGATCTTCAATTGAAGGAACTCGACTGGAAGTATGGCACTCATAAAGGCGGGGTAAATCCGGGGTTTGAAGAATTTCCGGGATGGCTGCCGATGCCGAGACCTGTTCTTAGCTCGTGATGTCCGGGTTTCGGGGATCCATCGGTTCGCCGGGTCGTTTGGCACAGCACAGTGCATATTTGGATCCAAAATTAACGGAAGATCGGCTAACTTGATATAGATTGAGAAAAACTTGGCGATTAATATTTACTAAAGTAGACAACCAATACGCGCGACTACCCCTGCTTTGTGTTCGTACCTGGGGCTGCAATTCTACCGGTCTACACCCGTTGCCTTGACATATAGCGGGGATGTAGCCAAGTTTACTGCAGCAACGCTGACTTTGCAGAGTTAGGAGAAGGGATCTTAAATTATCGGGACAAAGCTCTTTTGGAATGAGTTCGTCAAGATTGCAGAGGAAGTCCGCGGTATGCCTCATCCTGAGGAGGGCATTGAGCTACGCTAACCCAGGCTGCAGGGATCAAATTCAACGGTTCGTATAATTCTGTTGATCTCTTGAAATCTGGCGGGATTTCTGAGCTTCCTGGCCATTGATATGCATACGAACACATGCCCAAGGAGACTCTTCAGAAGATGCTTGCAAATTTCGAACTCCTTTTCGAAATTTCGACGAAGGCCAGTTTGGCCTGAAGCCGGAAGTATCCCTGCATGATATCTTCCCGAACATTCAGACGAGATCTGCGAGAGAGATGGTAGAGATGTGCTGGAAGAACTAGACGTCAGGCCTCGAAAAATGCCGCAGAGAGCGCATGGCGCCCACAGATAGTCAGTTTACGCACAATAATTTGATTATATGAAACACGATCAAAATTTATACAACTGTGAACGCACGGGAGTCAGGAAGGAGGAGTAGTGTGACATTTCGAGTGAGTAGGCCAATACTTCTATCATATCATATCGTGCCACATCTTATTCTGTTGGGATAGTGGTTCGTCGAGGTGTGTGAGCGGATACAAGGATGGCTGGAATGCACGAGGGACTGCAAAGCGTTTATATCCATCAGGATTTTGCCTTTTCCAAGATCTAGCTTTTCCAGTAGATCTAGCTTTTCCAAGATCTAGCTTTTCCAGCAGATCTAGCTTTTTCAAGATACAGCTGTTACCTGCAGCTTATAAAGGTATTGGGAAAGGTAACCAGTTGGACTAGAAACCTTAGTCTGTCTGAGTGTATTGTTGATCTTTGAATGGACTGGGTATATAGTCTGTATTGCTGATACTATTGTTAGTATTTTCTTTTTCACTGTTGAGCTTCTAGTCCCCCCTCTGGGTATGTGTGTACTAGGGCACCCTAACCTCTTGATATCATATCGTGCCATGTGCTTTGTATTAGCACAGAGTATTGTCAGAAAATATCGACATGTAAGTACACACGTGCTTGAACACGTACGACAGGTAGTCGAGATTCAATGCCCAGGAATCCAAAGAAAAAATATACCTCAAATCTTTCGTCAATGGCACTGCGCTCTGAGCTAGATGAAATATTACATAAAAGAATCGTTCGCCTCTGGGAGCCGAACAAGCCCTAAAATTCTCCCTCAAGATTCTTCCCGTTTTATTGGGTGTTGAACATTATCTTGCTCCAAAAACCATGACCGGAGCTGCACAAAATGGACTAGAAATTGCGCCGCAGCCCGACTCTTGTTATCTCCGGCTGTTGCATGGAGCTTTTCAAGGAGGCTGTCCAGATAGTAGCCGACCTTCAATCCGTCCTTGTCGATGGCCTTCCCAAGATTCGTGCTTAGTGCCACGACAGAGACATATATCCTGATGAGCATGACGACCGCATATCCAACTCTCGCAAAGGTGAATACTGGAAGACAGCGGATGTTGTCAAGTTCCATGGCAAGGAAAGTTGTTAAGGCGCCCTCAATAGCGGTCAGGCAGGCAGATAGAGAGTTGATTTGGGTTGTTGTGAGGTAAGATTGCTGGGTCAGTATTCCGTCCTTCAGACTCTCGAGATCGAACGGGGTTTTCATTTCCTCCTTCATCCCTGCACGGAGTAAAATATCGTGCATTCGAAGTGTGATTACGTGTAATGAGAGCACTAAGGTTGCTGATTGCGAGTAAGCATGATATTCTGACGTATCCCAGCAAGGTGCGACCTACGTTGTCTCACTTCTTCGCGGATCGCGTTGGTATATTCTTCCAAGAGATGTTCGAAAGCTCGCAGAGTATACTGCGACCGCGTATCGCTGATGTTCGGCGTCATTATTGCATCGTCCATTGGGAATGGTACTACAATATCCTCCGCGACGTGATGCGTCCAAACAAGATGGCACAGATACTTATCCGTCGGCGCAGCATCGAATGAGTTCTTGAGGATGTTGAAACATTCAGCTGTAAACGGTGTCCACTGAATCAAATTTGGTCGATGAAGTGTCATAGAAGAACTCGTTGCTAAGAAATAGCACGTTAACCACGCTCTCCTGGACTCTATGGTCTTTGGATCCGGTGGGACAGTTCGTCGGAAGGAGTCAGCTCGGAATCCGAAGGGTGATGGTGCCACAGGTCTTGCAACAGCCGGCTCTCTCCCCAACCCAATATCGATAGCCATCGTTGTACCAATGTGCACGAGTTGGTAGAAGTCCATTTCTTCAAACATCTGAGGTAACCAGTACCATATTACCGCCAGTTGGAGAGCCTGGACTATCTCTAAGCTCTTCTCTCCTTCGATGATCGTTTTCCGAGCAAGTTCACGTCGTAATTCCTCGACTAACTGCCGTTGAAGGTTTGGGATCTCCGAGGAACTAGCGGTCATGATGGCGAGAAAGAGAAGGGGCTTCGTCTTCCGCAGTTCAGCAGCTGATACTGTGGATGGTAAGATAACGGCAGGTAGATGCTGTATCATCTTGTTGTTGTATCGCGCGAATAATTCTGTTGCAGTCTCCATGGGGAGGAGACCACGATCAATGATATCTGCGACATTGTTCCTCGGTTGAATTGGTGGTAACACCAGCTCCGGGTACTTGATGTTTCCCCCGAATGCACGAGAATCTCGACATACGCATGCCGCGGCAGTCTCCGATCTCGCCGTGTCTGAGTCTTCTGAACTACTGGCAGAGCAAGACTTCTCCACTGCCAGCATTGCATTATTGGACTCTTGAGTGCGTAGAGTGTCTCTCAAGGCAACAATCTTCAACTCCATTGCCTCTACTCGATTGCGAATTTTCTTCTGTCTGCCCTTTAAAGATGCTGCTGCGGTACAATCCTGGCCTGACTTTCGACATCGCTTGCATGGCCCTGCCATAATATTGGGGTCCGGTTCGCATCGGAGTTTGGATATTCGACAGGCTCCGCATGCCCTCCGTCGCTTGGGGTTATTGGGTTCGTGTGTCAGTTCGTGTGTCAGTTCGTGTGCCAATTCGCGTTGTGGGATGTTTCCGCCGCGGGTTTCGTCTGCAGAACTCGTCGAAGCTCTTGCATCGGAGGCATGGCCGTCTGAAGTCCATCCTGTGAAGTTTGCGATCGCATGTGGACGACTAGAATTCATAGATGACGTCTCGCATTGTGAGGTTGAATCGACGGTAGTATGAATGTCCTGCATTCTCTGTCAATGTGTGGAGGTGATTCTGCTGATGCAATAATTGTGGCTGACGAGGAAGGGTGGAATCTCGCGGATAACTTAGCCGCCGACAACACCGATTTGCATGTGGAGACGACAGGTGATGGATGCATGATCTGATCAGTGATGTAAGTAGCCTAATACAGTAATTCCTCTGGTGGGACCAATGATCAACGCACCAGGTTGAGGGTGGCATCCTGTTCTCTTGGATGAGGTTGCGCTATTTCCCCCCCCAAGTCAGGATACTCATGGAGTCATCTGGCCCCTTACTGAACAGCAAGAAGCTAGCAAATTGCGGAAATTGCAATGGCAGTAACGAAGCGATGTTCCCTGAAGAAATACCTTTGGAAGGGGTAGCGCTCGCTGGAAGGACTTCTTCATGACCTCGTACAGGGGGCCAAGCTGGCTCCGTCCGCGATGCATCTGCTTCTTCAGTATATAGAACCTTGGGGGTGCGCCGGATTGTCCTTTTCCAAGTATCAGAAGATTATTCGCACCGGACATTCTCGTGTCGACTCTATCTTGGCGTTGGATGCTCTTTCTGGTGTCGGTAAACGATTGGCGCATCGGCTTGTCGCGCTTCGCGTTTGATATCGGCGCCGATGCTCGCGTTCCGCGGCGTCGGTAAATTATTATCGGCGCGAGATGGCCGCTGCTCGCGTTAATCTCGGTGCCGACCGGAAAAACATATTTCGCCCTCCTCAATGCTCCATGCTTGATATTTCCACGTGATTGGCAGTCATGAAACCGCGAGTGTGAGGTAGTCAACGGGACCCAATCTACGCTGGCATGGCGCTGATTCATTTGTCTTCTACCAGGCTCCGGCGAAACCCAATGGGCATCACCTTCACTCAAAGCGAGCATTTCGGTGTTCGTGGTTGAATTCCGGTGCATTTTGTAGGCCTATAATTGCCCCACGTGGGGGAAAACACGGCGCTATGATACCACATTATATGCTCGGCGACAGAACAATATGTTCTTGAAAGAGCAATAATCAAGGTCGTGACAACGTGATCTTGAACTGTTGAGGATGGTCCCTAATAAAGCTAGCTTGAACTGATACAAAATAAAGGCGTCGCAATCTCCGGAAAGCCTCTTCCACACCCAAGCCCAGAGCTGAACCGAGCCTTAGTCAAGGCTGCATATGCTCACGGCTCAGTCGCTGTCGCGCTTTTTTTTTTTCCCCCAGGACGAAACATTGGAGTTATTGGAGGCTGTAGTAAACGGACTAGCCCACTGGTTTTCTGATCAGGCTCTCTGATATATACACCTAGAGTATCTACAACATAGGGCTGAACCGTGTCGGCTCGGCCTCCACTCTTCCTGCTCGGATAAAAACTTCCTGTTCACAAGCAGTGTGCTTCGTTCGATCAAGATCGGCTCTACACTCTATACTCAAGAGATGTTTATTAGATATAAAACGGGTATCATGTGAATACATCATGTCAAACATGGGAACGAACAGAAAACGCCCGAGGGATGCCCGTATTAGGAACAAATGCCTCTATACCCAATAAACAGAAACTACCCAAAAGACCCTCTAGTGATGGAAATAGATCAAGCCGTAATAGTACAAACCAGCAGACATGTAATTACCAATGTACCCCGCCCGCGAGGTAAAGGCATCCCAAAATGTAGAAGAATGCCGCATTCATGATTTCAAGATTTCTGAAAATCGATTCCTTCTCTTTCTAGCGCTCTGTGGGGGGCTGGTTTGCATGGATGGTGTCGACACCACTGTCCTCGCCTTTGCGTCGTCTCCGCTTTGTAAGATGCTCCCCAGGATAAGTGAATTCACGTCTGGAAAATCCCAGGGCTTCGTGTCGACAATGTCATACCTAGAAGAGAGCATCATATTAGTTCAAATGGCTTTTATCAACAAGTGTACAGCCCAACTTACTTTGCGTTCAGATTGTCGTCAAGGTGTTGAAGCCGCCGTAGTGCCTTTTCATCATTCCCATAGGAAATGAACTGGATAGTGAACCAACGTCGTTTCAACGAACCTATCTTCGACTTAAGTTTGGCAATGAACTCGAGTATCACATTCTCGACGTCCTCGGTGAGCGCCGATCCTTCCCAAAGCCCGTTGGTTAGGATGATGAGGGTCTTTTTCTTGCTGAAATCCTTCAAGTACTCGTCAAAAATTGCCGACAACGTTGCTGCCATGTCTGTCTGATCGCGTTCGTCTATGCGGTCGTATGTGTCACTCATCGATTGCCGGAACCGGGGTTCGATCCTCCAGCTCTTGATGTCGTTCAACTCATGGTGCTCACCAATGGTATAACGAAGGTCCAGGCCATCCTTGTCAAGAGGCCCAATTTTCATGGCCAGTGTTAAGAGAGTCATTTCTGAGTTGGTCCAGTGAAGCTTCATGCTATGGGCGTTATCGACGACAAATGTCTGCAGTCAAGGTTAACAAACATCCCTATACGATAAGATATTCAGGGTACGTACAATATCTCTTTTCGAAATGTGGTGATCGAGATAGTCATCTTTGGGAATCTTGGAGAAAAAAGAGGACACTCCTTTGGATTTCGCCCACAGTTCCATAAGGCGATAGTATTCCATCGCAACTGCGGTAATTCCAGACTGTGGTCTCGGAGTAGGCGGAACAGCCTCTTCTCCAGAATCTTGCTCCGACACGGCAGATATTGGTGATGGAATGGCTGGATGGTATGAGTCGTTCAGCTCTTTGCGGGTTGCATTGGGGTCAATCGATAGATAACCCCTTGACCTCTCGATCCCCTTACCTGTCACCCTCGACTGCGTTGCATCTAGTTCATGGTGTGTTGTTTGTATAATGGGGTTGGGTGGCTTGCGGATAGGCATGGTTTCTGAACGACTGCTTTGCTCGCTTGTCTCATTTCGGTCGGAGATCCTTGAGTCAGACCGGATCACCTGTTCTCGGTTTGCTGTCTTTGCAATAACAATTTTGCCAAAGTATTCCGACTTGCGAACACGGTTGGAGAGACGGGGCCGTGGCAGAGTTGTGTTCTGCTCATGAAGCAGTTTGGGGTTGATAGCAGAGTCGGATTCCTTCTCCGCTTGGGAGAATGACTTGGCAATGGTCGGCGCGTGCAAATCAAGTTTTAAAAGGGCTTGTAAGGTCCCCTCTGATTCTTTCTTCAGCGTTCCGTTTTCCACGGATTGTTGATATTCGTCGTTCGCACGCAAAACGATCTTGTCCAAGCTCTCACACAACTTGGCCGACGTCAATCTTTTCTCAGGATCGTCAACGAGCATCCCTTGGTCGACGAGGTCGAGCACATGGCGAGAAATGGTGTCGGCTCTTCGTGTGGAGTTTCGAAGATGATCATGCCACTCGGTGACAGCATTAAGTACCTTGCTGCCGTCGTGAAACGCGTCGTCGCAATCGGGAACGCTGATGCTTGGGTCGTGTTGGCGACGCCTGTGTAAGTCCTTGATGGCATCTTCGCGTACCCTATCATAACCGAGGCAAAATGATGGGCCAAGTATAACCCATGTTGCCACAGCCGAGAGCACACAACCAAATGACCAAGTGTCTGTGGTTTGTGAGCTCCGTCCCACTGTGTCTCGCTCCGGCGCCCCTGAAATGTCAGCATTTGGTTACTTCATGCCTAGAGGAAAACTCTTACCATAAGTCCGAGTGCCCCCAAGAAGGCGTGTTGAAGCTATGTGCTTTTCGATCTTGGAGATGTCAAAGTCGGCTTGCTTAAACTTGGAGAAGCCAAAATCAGCCAGCTTGAATTCCTGACGGACATGGAGTATGTTCTCGGGTTTTATGTCTCCATGCCAACTATGGTATAAACATGTTAGAAATGCCACTGCATGCAAGGAGGCTATTGAACTTACCCATTGAGTAGGTGCATATTTCCATCTTCTCCCTTGTGGTTGAGTATGTGTATTCCTTCGAGGGTATGGGCGACCTTGAAGAGACTTTCCCAAAAGTCGATTATTTCCTTGTTCAAAACTGGTGGGCAGGTGTCGGCCAGGTACTCGTCGAGGTCTTGCTCACCGTACTCCAGCATAATATGATCCCGGTGATTTCCGCCATCGGTATGATACGCTCCAAGATACTTGACGACTCCCAATCCTTCCTGGCCCTGCATGCCGGTGAATGCAGTGCTTTCCATCATGTATACGTCGGCGTATTCGCTCATGTAGGACTTGATCGCCAGTTCGTAGTACTATAGGTACATTAGTACACGGTTCATGAGATGAGTGCAATGTATCGACTTACATCCCCGTATGTTGGGTCCGTCTTCTTAGAGGACTCCAAGATGTTCGCCAAATCGTCCTTAACCAGGTCCACTTGCACCTTACAGTGGTATACTGTTGCAGTTCCTCCTTTGTTGATAATCTCCATATGGAAAAAGGGCAAAATGCATTTATCGTAGCAAATGCTTTTGTCCATCTTCAGTTGAAGCGAGGCCGGCACAAAGGCCCATCGACGCGCATCGAATGCGTCAATAACGGCTCGATAGCCGCCCATCCTGTACCGGGGTGGTAACTTGACATGATCATTCGCCATGGAATCCATGACAGATTTGTATAGCCCAGACAAGTCCGGGATGTTCAGGAAATAATCCTGCATTGTCGTCATAAAAGCGCGGATCATATGCCCACAGTCCATGTCGGTGAGAATAGCAAGGACGAGCGGATAGTCGTGACCGATCTGATCTGCCGTTACCGGCGCAAATTGTGCGTAGGGCGCGAAGACAGCCCAAAGTAGTTTGCCTACATTGGGGGCTTCCCCTTCTCGAGCGGTCCGCATTAACCAACTCTTTATGGGCTCTGGGTGGTAGAAGGGCTTGTTCTCGAAGTTGCGTCGACAAACTCCTTCGCTCCGGAGATGAGCCCGGAACTCATTGAGGATATCGTGCGATGATGGTTGACCCATCTTGTCGTTCGGGTCGGTGAGCACGAGGCGCAGGAAGCGCACCTTTAAGATTCGTTGGCCGAAAGGGAGGGATCGAGCTGGATAGAACAGCCACGTTTGCGTGGTCGACCGCGACAGCAAAGATAATTCGTCGCTCGTCAGAGGCGGAGGAGTCGCATCGCTCGGTGTGTTCGTGGAAGAGTGTCAGGGCAGATTCTGGGCAGATTACAGAGGGGAAAGAAGCGTCATTTAAACCAGTAAGGCAATAATAAGGCAAAAGAGAGCCTGGATCACTCGTTCAGCCTCACTCGGCTGAGAACTGTCCCCTGGATCGAGGCTGCCGGGGGATGGGAACCGTGGGGCTGGCATCCCACATGTTAGCACAGTGCGGCGCTTATACGGGGCCACTTCTGCTCACTCATGCAGTTCGCATGCAGATGGACATGAGATTGAGGCGGAGAGGTTGCCGAATGAGGCCTCCATTGGACGCCTTGGAAGGTGAGGAGGCTCTACCAGGAGCGGCTGCAGAACAAGTAGGGCACCATTTGCCTAATCAGCCCTGTGATGAATTGCCGGACTTGCCGTCTCACCAAGGACTTGAATTTCTCTTTTCTCATTCTAGCGATTCTATCACATGAAATACACGGTTCAACTTCGGCTATCTATACCCAGCCCTAATCCCGCAATAGACTGCAGACCCCTACATCTCTCAACTTCCTTGGGCGGCAGGCTGATTGTTTATGGGCAGCAGGGGGACTGGAGCCCCGAAAGCCCGTTTTGCCAATGCCTTTGGCCCCCATCTCTTTAGCGTTGATGTCTCGTTTGAGGACGCTGGCGCTGCCTTGTCGCCCCCAAGTTTCGCCCACTGCCACCATTGATTGAGAGGAGCGACCGGCTGACCGCTGACATCCAGCTGGCTATCGTTTCCCCGCCGGTATGACCCTGACCTGTTATCTCCAGACTGTTTGTCTTGCGCCTCCACATCCCCGTCCTTGTCTCCATCTTCTTGCAGGACGGTCGGGTGAGACTGTCGCTCAGCCCATTTTTTCCCCAGGTACGCAGCACAGAGAGTCAGGAAAGTCAGTGGAAGAGTGACCTGCAGCCATCGCTGCATAGCCACCGCAGAATAGTTCCCCTGTGGTGAGCCCTGGTACTTGATGATGTCGGTGCTGAACAGCGTCTGCAACATTGAGTATTAGCGTCGGCCAAAAACCACCTCTCGACCCTGCAAGGCTGGATTCATAGCACGTACCGAGACAAATGTTGCGGGGAGGTAAATAAGCGTCACGATCGTCACAATCCGAACCACAATCGCCTCCTTCTCCAAATTCCCGTTCAGCCTCTCCAGCCGGTGTTGCTTCACCAGCTCCGTCCGGTTGCTCATCACCCTAACCAGGGCCTTCGCCCGACCGATTTGCAGTCTAAAATCGTCCATCATTTGGCTCAATTGACTGGCGAAGACGTCAATGTCATAGCTGCAATCTTCTTTCAGGTCAAAGTCCTTGTTCACGACCAGCTTCTCGTAGAATCGCTTCAGTGAATCCATGACCTCGACATTTGACTCCAGGACAGTAATGACCACACTGATTCTTTCCTCTAGTGTGAGTAGTTGCTGAATGTCTCCCGCTGTGTAGATGCGATGGTGATGCCCTGTGCCAATGGGACCCAGCACAGCCATCCTAGTCTGTATTGAGGCATTAGTGCCAATTCCAAGTCGGCGAGCGCTTCATGAGATGGACGAACTAACCTCCTTTTCCACGATATACTCCAGCCATTTAATGTAAGCTCGCCAGTCTTCGGTAGACCAATGGCAAAAGAGAAGATGCGCTGACAGACTTGAGCTGAAACACTCATTCGGATTACCAAAGGACTTGTCTTGGGGGCGTGCATTCCTCCCAGTCAGTTCTTTAAACCGTCCTTGGATATCCAGCCCGCCTTTGGTAACCATCCAGAGCGCATTGCCATTTTCAATGTCAAACCGGTGGTAGAACGCCGCCGGTCGAATAGAAAACTCGTCCTTCGACGGGTTCTCATGGTTCCTGTATTTGGCAGTCACGCCTTTCAGATTGTAGCAGAGTTGGTATTGTCTGCCAGACCGTGCCAAACCTTCGATCCCAAACGACTTGCATTCCTTTCTCAGCGAACTTTGCTCGCGGAAGCTGCTAAACCGCAGATCATGCTGCTCGCTTTGCAGTCCGAAAACAAATAAGAAGTCTAGATAGTTCGGCGACACTTGATGAAATGTCAAAATCTCGGTAAGCATCGATCGTGTGATATTTAGGCGAGCTCGTGTGTGTTGTCCGAAAATGTATCTGCCGAGCATTAGGGCTTTATCCAATGTATTTCTAAGCAGAAGCCACTAACATGAATCGGCATTTGGGGTCTTTGCGTTCCACGGAAATTATATCTTCAGAGTCATTTGGATCTGAGCTTTCGGTGTGCTTAATCCCGAGCCACTTGGTGAGACCTTCGGGAGAGTGGATGTTGCGCTTTTCCACATCTATTGTTGATCAGTGAGTTAAATTCCCGCAGCGCGCCAACCTGACGTACCCTTTCCCTCTCCATTGTCGGCCTTGAGATCGCGGAAAGAAACGTCCACATATTTCAGGTTTTTCTCACAGAGATCTTCTGCTGCTGCATCTAGTTTCTTCGCAAATTCTGCCAACGCGCTCGGATAAGTGCTGACGCTCCGATGGGTGTAATTGCAGGGATACGAGTTCCGATCTCGATAGGAGACTTGGAAGTCATTGGGCAATTGCAGTAGAGATGGAGGAGTCATGATCTGATATGCGAGGAAATTGAGGTCTGCTCAGAGAAACTAGGGAATTCGTTTAAATCGCAGTGGAAACAGCGGCTATTTCTAATCGAACGTCGCCTCGTTTAACAGTTGGGAGGCGCAGGAGACAACGTGACAAGCGTGGGCCAGGCTCAGCAAAGTTACGCGCCCTGTCGAAGAGGAAAGCCTATCCAATATTTCTACTTCCTGAAACGAGGCTCTGGCACCGGGGCCGCAAAAGGGCCGGGTGATGGCTTTCGCCCCCATTCAACGGGCCAAGACATTCAGCTGATGCAGTGGGCCGGTGTGTCGCCCCTCCACCACATTAGCCCGTGACAGCGCGATAAGGCTTGCATAAGCCCCGCTCCTTTGGTTGCCTCGTAGCCAGCCTGATGTGATCAAGGCAGTTGAGCAATTGCCTCACGGGTTGGGGGATGGGAATGCTTCCGTCATGAGGTTGACAGATATATCTATGCGTGCTGCCAGCACGAGCAATGGGATGCCACGTTTCCGCAGTTCCAGACCGAGAATATGAAACAAATTACAATTTATTACTCTGTACGCTATGGCAGTGTCCCTCCCTCAGTCTGCCTAAAATCAGGCCTGACAATGTCAACAGCGCCGACTGTGCTAGACCCCAGTCTGACCAGGCTCCGAGCCATGCGCCCAAACGCCACCCCGTGCCCAGCCCGGAATATCCCGCTGGTAGTGAGTACATAAACTTGTCCGTGTGCTGGTACTCTCATTCCGAGTCGGAAACTGATGGTCTGCGTTGCCTGTTGGCATCCCTCATCGCGGCAATGTTGGACCGGTCTTCCTAAAGAGAGATGGTATTTTAGCATGCAGTTCTTCATCTCAAACGCTATTTTGCGACAAATCACACACCTCTGTGAGATGGCCTGGAGCATCAAATACCCAATAATCCCTTATCTATTGGCCAGACTGTCAGTTCTGTGCATGTGGAGGCCATTGAACCTGATTCTCGGAGCGAACCACATGTTCGGGCTGTACCTTTGTCTCCGTAAAGTTCCAGCCCGGCCACTTATTTTCCAAGTAGCCCCTCAGCTTCACCCAAGTAAGACCCCGATAGCAGGAGAAGTACTCTTGAACCACGCCTTCGGTGAGTTTGGCTTGGGTCCCATCCGGGTTAAAAGTCCACCTGCGCGAGACAGATTGTGAACTTGAACCGGCTTGGCTCGAGTGCGTGCGTCGGCGACGCGGTTCCCGGCGTTCTGGCGGGTGCTGATGGTGCGACATGTTTCGGTGGGATCAGCTGGGCTTTGAGACGACAGGCCGCAGTTAATGTGTAAAATACCGCTGTAGCCAAGTGCAAGGTTGACTGGACTTGACGGCGAGGCTCCGAGGGCTGGGTGGCGAGGAGCCCGTTTTATGATGCGTGCCACAATGCCCTCGGCCAGGCTGCGACGGTTGCCTTCGGACGCCTTGCGATACATTCACCATGTATTCTCACCAACTCACTTAACATTGGCCCTCTATGGACGCCCTGCTGTGCATCTTACAGCATATCCCACACTCCACCACGGTGAGGGCGGCCCCCTCCTTTTCAAGATAGTGGTTGCCGTACAGTGTGCAGACCCCAAATCGGGACTGGCTTCTCCGATGCAATAATGCCCCAGGCAGAATTCCGAGAGTGACCTGATGGTGGCTGAGTCAATTCAATCCGTCTTCAGAGGAGATCAGCCCAGCCATTTGACGCGTTGCTCCGCCACATTAGGCGCCGTTGGGTGTTTTACCCTTCTCCCGTCTTAACATTATGCCTATCCTTCGAGCATCTTTTCGTTCCAGCTAGCGACGATATAGAGAGCCCCTAGAAAGGTTTGATGAGCCGTGAGAATTTTATGAGCCCACAACACCATTCAGGTCACCCAGCAGATACCGAAACGCTTCGCAATACATTCTGCACCTACTCACCTCCAGACCCGGCGCCAGGTTGGCTCTACGAGTCACACTCTCTCCACAATGGCGGAGGTTGTCGGTCTCATAGCAAGCCTTGGCGCTATCGCCGCAGCCAGCTTTAAAGTTGCAAAGGCGATTTCAACAATCACAGACGAATTAGGTGAGGCTGGTGCTCAAATCAACGGGATCGCAACAGACATGAGGGCTGTAGGCTTAATTCTGCACGAGTTGAAAAAACGCCTGGAACAATCACAGAGAGTTACTCGAGAAGTTCGGAGTGTGGCTCATGAGATTGTTGCCCTGTGCAGGGCAGATATAGAAGACATCCAGGGATTTCTCATCCCTTTTATGTCTCCAGCCGGCAAGGATGTCGGGGCCAAGCAGAAAATCAAGTGGCTTTTCGCCAAAGCAAAAGTATCCTCGCGGCGAGCAGCCTTGGACTCTCTGAAGTTGACCCTGAACCTTTTCCTCCACACCCTAAGTTTCATTGAAAGTGGGGAGATGGAGTAAGTATAATCTTCCAAAACTGCTGAAACCTGAAGCAAATACTAATATAGGTGCAGCGAGTATATAGAAGAAGAGGTTGACGCCTTGATACTGGAAACCCAAAACACAAAGACCACGTTGCTCAACGCAGAGCAGGCTGATCGCAAATCGAAAAGGGTCCATCGGTCAAACGAGGGGCTCTTGTCCGCAGCGGTGCTGCAAATTGAAGGTGGCGAGTTCACGTCTGGAGGAGCCGATGCGGGGGACACGGCGTCGTCTCAAGCAACAACTGATGACAGGTCCATTGACTCTGACAACGATGAGAACAAGCAAATGCAACTCATTAACCACGGTTCAAGAGCTGAGTCAATGAGTTCACTGGAGAGCATGTCCGATGACGAGTTCATACAAATTGCAGAACATGTTCGTCTGCAAAATCTCGTCAGGAATTTCGCTCTTAGAGTCATGTATCCTCGAGTCGGAAACAAAAGTCACGATAATTCATTCGGAGACGAGGCCCGTGGACGCAGCAGTCATGAGTGGCAAGACGGCTATGGAGGTCGGTACGGCCATGAAATTCCAAGACCTAATTCGGCTATGTCTACCAGAAGTGACTTGGATTCTGAACTGGAGAAAACAAAGGTCGAGTTAATGGAATGTCAAGGGGAGATCGAGCGGTTGAATGAACAGCTCAAAGCGTTTCAAGCTGAAAGAACCAAGCGCGAAGAGACTGAGAAGTGGAGCGCTCGGGAAAGACAGATAAGAAAAGATGCAGAAGAAGAATTTCAGCAACGGATGGAAGCCATGCGAACAGCACAAAAACAAGTCGACAAAGCGAAGATCGAGGCGGAAAATACCGCTAGAAATCGAATTCACGCGGAGCGGAAGGCTGAAGAAGAGCGCGCCAGGAAACATGCTGATGCCATGAGAGAGGCGGAAGAAAAGGCCAGACTCGGGTTCGAGACTGAATTGAGAGCGGCCGAGGAGGCGAGGAAGAGGGAACAGGAAGTGGAAGAAGCTGTAAAGGCTAGAATTGAGGCGGAGCAGGAGCGGAAAAGGTGGGGAAAGCAGGTTAGGAAATATTTTCGAGTATTTAAAGAGAGAGATACTTAAATAGATAAGATACAAATTTTCTAACTTCAGTTTCTAGCTTAAGATTTATTTCTTATATAAATAAAAGTTTATTTATTTATTTATTCTATGGATCAGCCTCACTACTCCCGCCGTAATTTAATCTGTCTGATTATTCTTGTAGCTGAGGAACTTGTTCACATTGACAAACAAGTTAATGACAAGGGCCCAGGATATTGGCTCGGAATCATGGTTGTGTTTTTGTTTACTTATCTATTTTCAAAGTTTAAAAAGCTGATACCCATGTTTAAGTGTGGCGTCAACCTTGCTTCTTAGTTCATCGTCGAACTTTGGAAGGCTGAAGGTTCCTGGAAGGAAATGGGTTGCGGCAAATATAATGATGAGTGGCCATGTGTTGAGGCCATCGGCCCGACTGGAGCAGACAAGGCCTTCAAGGGATACTGGGCTGACTGGACGACGGAGTCTGATATTATATAGATTTCCAGCCTTGGGCTAAATACTGTCCGAACCCTAGTTGGCTTCTATACTTGTGAAGACCTTGTTTATGATGATGACTATTTCCCCCTGGCGGCCTTACTTATCTTGACCGAATTGTTGGTTGGTGTAAAAATCACAATCTTTACGTCATTATGGATCTCCACTCGGCTCCTAGGTCGGAATCTCCAAATGAGCAATTCACCTGCCATATATGCAACCCGGTGTTTGGGTTTTTACCTCATTAAGTTATGAAGCTAATGCATTGATTCAGTCTACGTTGCCTAGATTATACACGCCTGAATACTACGAGAGAGCTCTCAAGCTTCTCGAGTGGATGGCGAAGCGAATCCACACCCATGATAACTATACCACAGTCGTCATGCTTGAGGTTCTAAACGAACCAGTTCATGTCAGCGCCTGGATGGATAATGCTGCCGATATGGTGGAGAAATTCTACCCGGCGCATACGAACGCATCCAAGACATGGAAACTGTCCTAGAGATCGCCGATGCCGACCACCTACACATTCAATTCATGGTACGTAATTTCTTAAATATAGTAAGTCTGTGGAGTATCTAAAGTATTGAAAGAAACAGAGTAAGTCTTGGGGTTCAGGCAACCCACGAACGTACCTTCCAAGTATCAATAACACTTTCTTTGACGCACATCGATGTCTAAGTTTTGACAAGCGCATCACAATCACCAAAGCTGGATATATCGAGGCATCATGTAACGACGATATAGGCCGTAACGTCGCTGTCGTTGAGTGGTCTCTATCAGTCAACAGTGCTTTGAAGAATACCGATGAGTTCAAGATCGATGGCCGAGAGACCCAGCAGGTACCGCAGCTACAGGGCTGCCCAGGCTCAGTCCTTTGAGCGATCCAATGGTTGGATCTTTTGGTCTTGGAATTGCGACGTTACTGGTGATTAACGATGGTGCAATGAGTCCGCTGTAGCTGCTGGTGTAATTCCTGATGATGGCGGTACAGGGGATAGCCTCAGACCATGTTGATGGGTCCTACGATAAATCTTTGTGAAAGTATTAGGGTTAGAGAACATCAAGGTTATCCTGAAATAAAAAGAATGGAGCTCAGTGAGCTATTTTAACCATAAGCATAATGAATAGTTTATTCTCGGGGCCCCATCAGTGTGGAGATGGTTAAATATGCTTATCCCACAGCGGGGATGCCGCTTCTGGATTATCCCGCTGTCTATCATGTAGCACGACGATAAGTCGACATAAGATAGGCACTATTGCAGGGTTGCGTGTGGGGGACGAACATGGGTTTCGAAGTTTGGCTCATGGGGAACCCGGTGACGCGATCTGGATGGATGATGATGTGCCCTGCCACTGCCTGCGCGACTAATTGCGTGATGACCTATCGGATTCTCATCTATAGGCCGAATCCTTCCCAAACTCTTGGCCTGCTTAAAACTCCATCGCTGTTGCTACATAAACCGGACATCTAGCCTCCCGGATGAATCCAGATCATCCGGTAAAAATACCCTGCCATGATAATGGGCATATGATGGGAGGCGATCAGGGCTTTTTCGGTCACATACTCGATTCTAGCCCCAACACCTGTCAGACTCGCAGGGGTCTTGATTCCTTACACTGCACTATCTGGCGGGAACTGAGCTCGAAATGGGGAGATCATCATTTATCCCACCGGAATCCTTACCTCTATTCACCGAAATCAACGCAACACTTCTTGTCACGCAATCTGGTGGGATGAATACGACGTGATTATGGCCGTCGAGTTTCAAACTGTTGCTTCAAGAATCAAGAAGTTTGGTTATCCTCAAATACCATATAATGATCCACGAAGAATGATATTTTCTTGGATTACGACCGCCTGTGTAGTCTTATTTGTCCCGGAATATTTACTCCACGGGCTTCCGTAAATCTTGCACTCATGGCGACTTCATACGACCTGAAGAGTCCTGATCTTGGCCACGAGCCTGAATTCGATCATGGTCCTGGAATATCCAAGTCCTCTACCCCGCCAACAGTCACCGTCCAGGAAGACGATGATGGTATTATCCAAAGGGTACCACAAAAGACCTGGAGATCCTACATCTGGGATACTCTCGATAAATCCCCGGAAGAACGGAAGTTTCTCTTCAAGCTTGACGCCATCATCTTGACCTTTGCGAGCATTGGCTATTTTAGCAAGAACCTCAACCAAATCAACATCAACAATGCATTCGCCTCTGGGATGAAAGAAGATCTTGGGATGTACGGCAACCAGCTCAACTATATGCAGACCTGCTGGACTATTGGCTATGTACTGGGAGAAATCCCGAGGTGAGTTGTTGCTTCAATCGAAATCGACTTAGACATCATACTAACGTCCGACAGCAACCTAATGCTCACTCGCATACGGCCATCCATCTGGATCCCATGCTGTGAGGTCACTTGGTCTGTCTTGACTATTCTTCTCGCCAAATGTACCAACTACCACCAGATGTACGCCTTGCGCTTTTTTATCGGGCTCGCTGAGAGTGCATTCTACCCTGGGATGCAATACGTCATCGGCTCGTGGTATCGCAAAGACGAGCTTGCAAAACGGTCTTGCATTTTCCATGCTAGCGGCGGCATCGGGGGAATGTTCTCGGGTTATCTGATGGCCTCCGTGTATAAGCTCGGCGGCAAGCATGGCTTCCACGGTTGGCAATGGCTCTTCATCATCGACACTGTCATTTCTCTTCCCCTCGCCCTCCTTAGCTTCTTCTTTCTCCCCGATGTACCAGAGATTGATAAGTCTTGGTATCTGTCTGAAAAGGAGATAGAATTTGCAAAGAAGCGTATGGAATTCGAGGGAAGAGCGAAGAGGGCGCCTTTTACTAAAGCCAAGATAAAGAAGATATTTTCCAGCTGGCATATCTATGCGCTGCCCGTTTTATATATCTTCTTCAACAATGGCTGCGGAACAGGGTCTCAACCGGCTTTCCAACTCTGGCTAAAAAGCGAGGGCCACAGCGTTCGCGACATCAACATCTACCCGACGATCACCTCAGCCGTCGACATTGTCGTCACTTTGATCTACGCTTGGTCATCAGACACCATCTTTCGCGGGGCACGGTGGCCCCCAATTGTCTTCTCCGGCTGCGTCAACCTCTTCGTGAACATAAGTCTATCGATTTGGAACATCCCAAATGGCCTCAAGTGGGCGTCTTTTATCATGGCCGGGTTCGCCGGCGGAATCAGTGGACTCACCTTTGCATGGGCCCACGAAATCTGCAAGGACGACAATGAAGAAAGGGCGCTCGTTACCGGAGCCATGAACGAAATGGCCTACGTTTTTCAGGCATGGTTGCCGCTTCTGATCTGGCAGCAAGTCGAAGCTCCGCGCTATCCAAAGGGTTATGTCACGATGGCTTGCATCGCATTTAGTCTTATCGCAACTGCCTTTACTATTCGGTATCTTCATGGACGAGAGCTTGCAGAGAAGGAAAAGGCATCTGAATCCGAGGCAGAAGGATAAAGATTGAGCGCTCCTATGGCTCAGGATGACCTTATTGTCAATAGCGAGGAAGGTTGAGGACCATGCACGAAGAACTCTATGAGCTGCGGCATCTTCGGCACTAGGAGTATTACTAAATATGTTCTCGTATTGTTGGTAACTACTAAAGGACTTTAATTGATCTGGTGATATTGAGCATTAATCCATCCTGCGACAAGATCCCTTCGCCGGAGAGCTTTGGATTGATGATCTCGCTTTTCTCGTTCTGCGATGTCGGAATCATGATGCGTCTGATTGGCCAAGCTAAGGACGGGGATGACGAAGGATGACCGCCCCCTCCTCATCTGAAAGCGCCGAGATCCGAATAGACCAATCCTCTATCGCGGTTCGGCGAAATTCTCCGCGAAGAGTCATCGTATTTCATCAAATAAAAGAGCTATTCTAAGAAATCCCTCCTTGACATCATCTTTTCCCTCTACAAACATATCTATGCTACGATGTCGTCTCAGGTAATCCACGAGTTGGACGAGCTCCGCGCTCCAGGTCCTCTCACTGAACAGCGACCGACGGGGCAAGATGAAGATCAAGCGTCAATTGATGCTCTTCCTCCAACCGATCGAGGCCGTGGAGCCTACATCGCTCTCGCTTGCTGCACTGTAGCCCAAGCACCGATCTGGGGCATGTCAGCGACTCATTTGGATTGAGTCGATCACTAACAAGTCACAGGGTATTCCGTCGCATTCGGAATCTTCCAGGAGTACTATACCGCGCAAAGCGATATCGAAGCCTCCCCAAGCGCCATTGCCTCAATCGGGGCCTCTCAGACTGGTATCATGTACCTAATGATGCCACTGGCCTTCATCCTCCTGAACCGATACCCTCGCCTCCGACGATGGTGTGGACCGTTGGGACTTCTCATCACAGTGGCAAGCCTTACGGCCTCCGCCTTTGCCAGCAACATTGGCGCCCTGATTGCAACCCAGGGTGTGTTTTACGCGCTGGGTTGCAGCTTGATCTTCAGCCCCATCTCACTCTACATGGACGAATGGTTCGTCGAACGCAAAGGCTTTGCTTACGGCGTCATGTGGGCCGGAAAATCGGCTGTCGGCGTCGTAATGCCCTTCTTATTCAGCGCCTTACTACGGCGATTTGGTCCTCGGAGCACGCTTCTCTCATGGGCCATCGCCTCTGTGGTCCTGACGTCCCCAACACTGCTATTTCTCAAGCCTCGTGTCGAACTCAGCCGCGACTCTCGGGCCCGGCCAATCTCATTCTCATTCCTCAGATCTGCTTCGTTCTGGATGCTGCAGATTGGAATCATTATCCAGTCCTTGGGGTATCTCATGCCAAGCACATATCTAGCCAGTTATGCCAGCGCGATTGGGTTGTCAGCTGTCACTGGCCCGATCCTGCTGGCCTTGTTTTCCCTGGCGTCGGTTCCTGGCTCGCTCATCCACGGCATGCTTGGCGACCGAGTTTCAGCTTCCAAGGTAATATTGGTGTCATCTCTTGGAAGTGCTGTTCCTGTTTTTCTTCTTTGGGGCCTCAGTCGCCACATCAGTACGATGGTACTCTTCGTCATATTTTACGGGTTCTTCGCTGGTGGCTTCAGCTCTACGTGGTCGGCTGCCTTACAAGACATCAAGGGGGATAACGAATCCATTGATACGTCTCTGGTGTTTGGCATGCTTCTTGGTGGGCGAGGTCTTGGTTTCATTATCGCCGGGCCTCTGAGTGGTGCTCTTGTTGCTGCCGGGAGCTCTATTTCTGGAGACGCCCTGGGATATGCGACCAAGTATGGACCGATGATCCTCTGCACAGGCGTCACGGCGATCCTGGGAGCCTGGGCGCCACTTTGGAAGGCGACTAAGGCCGTAAGCTCCACCAGGCTAGGTGCTTGCATGCGAGTGACGGCAGCGTAAGTTGAGAAAAGGAGGTAATATCTTACAATTCTCTTGGTTTCTTCTTGAAATTATGATGGTGTTCATGAGTAGAAAGTAGTAGTACTTGCAACGGGATGCGAATGGGAGACACTGTGTTCGATTTAACCATGTTAAGATGTTGCATGCTGTGAGACTTTTACGTAGACTAGTATCATTTCTTGTCCACCAAAACTTCCCCATTCATTATTCCGAGAGTAGCATCCTCAGTCTTGCTCCATTTGTCCCAGGCGTCAACCATATCGTCCATTTCCTGCTCAGTGGCCATGCCTAGCTCGATAGCTTTCCCTCGCATTTGACCATTTTTCAGTCTCTCCATCATCGATGATGCTAGATATTTCGTTAGTGATTGGTCGAAAGCCGGCAATATTCCTGGGTGGGCTTACCCCATGGCAATCTGTCCTCTGGGGCGCTGTAGCACCACGTTCCAAAACTAGCCGTGATATCCTCCCGAGCTACTCCGGCTTTCATGGTCCAGGACACGAGTTGGCGCCCTCCCTTATCTTGGCCGCCGTTTGCGACAAGAGTCTTCGCGGCGATTTCGTGAAAGCGCAAGAGCGGAGGTAGTTCGGGGAAAATGCACCACATCTTCATTTCACTCTCGCGAAGGGCAACCACGCCACCAGGCTTTGTCACGCGAACCATTTCGCGAATCGCATCGGAGGGGGCATCCAAATGGCAAAGCACCTGGTGAGCATGGGTAACGTCGAAGGTCGAGTCAGGGAATGGCAGCTCATACACGTTGGCTTGTTGGAACTGGATGTTCTTCACGCCAACGGAGTCTGCATGCAACTTGGCGCGGCCTAGGATCTCATCTGATATGTCCGTTGCAGTGACTTGGCCCTCGGGTATGTACTTTGCAAGAGACGCAGAGATGGTGCCAGACCCAGCGCCGACATCCAGCAACTTCAATTGCGGGGTCTCCTTCGCGATTGACTGCAGTCTTGGGAGAAGATGACCCGCGCTGTTCTCTGCTGTTCGCCACTCGTGATGCGTTACCTGCGTAGCGCTATACCCCGGCCCGTACTGGTTGTGTCCTGCTGTCGGCATTGTGGGATAGTAAATCTAGGTGTTTGATGGTTTTGAAAGAGAAGTGCCTGCTTTCAATTCGACCTGTAATTATAAATGGAGATAAGCCGGAGTTTGCGGAGGTACATGTTTGAAGATCATGTGCATCTCACATGGCCAGGCAACTCCCACTAGTGGTACGATGGGACCATTCAAAGTTCAGCTCAGTTACATTTGTCCCACATTCTATTTTCAGACCCAGAGAGAGTCGGTCTATTCAAACCAGCAATACTATTAATTCTTGTCCGAATATTTAACGTGCCAGTTAATGCTTATTCTGTATAATTAAACGGCAGGAGCCAAAATCCCATGATCTACTGAACCTAGGTGTGAAGCGCGGGTATCTCAAGGTTGTCTTCCATATACCTACTTACCGACTCCTCTGCGTATTTTCAGCTTCATCAAGACCGCGCCAAATCACGGAATCAACAGAGAAAATTCCCCAAAACGGTCAGGCTCCGTTTCTCAGTTGTAGACTCGATTCATTCCGTCATAGCCGGGTTGCCTGCATGTTTGCGGCGACTCTTAGCCCAGAGAGCCACCACAGGAGTAAGATGATAAAATAACCACGAGGCTTGGGTCAATCACACAGCTCTGGGCCAAAATAATCCATAGGTGGCGTATATTCTAACGCCAACATTGTATGTACAGAGGTTTTGGACCCATCCCGCTTGTGAATACAGCAGAGGAGCGCTGTGCATGAAATTCTACTATGGCCAACGATCGCTATGCTATGTGTTCACCCCTACTTTTCTAGTCACTGTTTTTATTTACACAAACTTGTAGCCTTCTTATGATAAATTTAAAGCCTAAGATCATCTTCTCCATTAACGGATTCAGCTATGGGAAAGTCTTTAGGTCATTGGGCTACAACAAAACGTTTAAATGTATTTGCTGGCTCGAGTATAAAACGGGCCCCTTTCGCCGAAACTCCTTATTTTAATTTATTTGAACACATATTATTCAGTCCGTTTTGTACTTCGACTATCACCTTATATAATTAGTAATGAGCCGATCATATGTGACGGATCATTCCACGGCCTCTGGCGCGCCACTAAGCTACTGCTACTGGAAGCGATACCGATTCATCTATTTAATTCACCTGTGCACCATTAGGGCATGTCGTTTGAAGGTACCGTAAACCCGCCGTTCCTAACCTATAGGGCTTGGGTGTACTCAACCCACGTCAGAGCATTTGAGCAGAAAAAAAACACGAACATAAGGCGATAACTGCATGGCTTGGCCAGATCCTTTCGTCCGACCAAAGATTGTACTCGGCGTTAGGGAGTGCCCGACGATTTTCCCCATGGGGCGACATGCTGCCATGGTTGGACGAATTTGCATATGTCCCTTGTGTGCGCTGCTTCGCCTGACCTGAACAGGGTAAAAAAAACGTGCGAGGACTGCTGCGTCCACAGAAACAACCTTGTCGTCAGGGACAGGCCAGCGACGTTTGTAGCGCTGTAACATGGGCCCCGATGTTTGGACAGAATACGACAATTCATCAACATCGTCCACCGCAACTTCAATTCAGCTGCCTCAATCTTCCATCGCCGGACCGAAAAAACGCCACTTGGGTTTTCGGGATTCGGCAGTGGCGCCGGCTTTAGCAGCTAATTTAAACCCGAACAGCCGCACAAACTTGGCGTTTTTTCGGAGCTCATCTGGATTGACAGGGGTGAAGTTGACCTTCGACTCACTCGCGAAAATCTCCATCCTCAAGGTCTCGCATCCGAAGTCGGTCGCAGCGACATGGGGAGCCCCAGTTATACCCATGAAGCCATGGGCTTTGCGTTAAAGTTTTACTGGAGAAAAGACCTTTTGTGCCCCATCTCCACAGCGCATCCGAGGAAGCTGGTTCCTGACACGGCGATCAATTCGCCGAGGCCATTGCCCAGGCTATGCCCGGTCAAGCATTCTTGCGGGGTGGCTCGGGGAATCTAATCCCAACTTGTATGGGATCGCTGGGCCTTGTGATCCATTGCCCGTCATGTTGCAGTGCAGAAATCATGGTGCCGACCTCGGATCTGCAGACGATCCACTGGCGAAAGGGAGATTAGCAACGGGAGGCGGGATGATGAGTAAAAAGTAGTGTGTGACTCTGTACAAGGTATTTCTGTGCATGTGTGACTCTCCGAGGCATCGCGACTCCCCCTCACTCTCCTCATTTTTCTCTTATTCAACCTCCTCGCATTCCCGTCGCTCGCTTCGTCCCGAGGCGCTCTGTGAAATTTGACCGGACTCAATTGAAGCTGCCAGATCAAAGGGGAACAACATGGCACTCGGACCCAGCGACGAAAAGGTCAGCGGTGACTCGCCGTCGCCTTCGCTGGAGAATCGCGAAGGCGTTGATCCAGAACGCCCTGGCGGCAGCGTCGACGACATCTACGCTGATGGCATTGAGGTCCAATGTCCACCGCACACGACAGAGCGCAAGCTCGTGACCAAGATTGACTTTCATGTCGTGCCGTTTCTCTGCATCATGTATCTCCTCGCCTTTCTTGGTTAGTGGTCGATCTCCCACCCGCCTCAATGGCGTCACGTCCTGATGAGCGACTGACTAACTGTGCGCGCGTGCAGACCGAGTCAACATTGCCAATGCCAACGTATTTGGCCTGTCCGACGAGCTTGAGTTGGATGGTACCCTCTACAACAATGCGCTGGTCGTCTTCTTCGTACCATACATCCTTTTTGAGATCCCATCCAACATCCTGCTGAAGAAATTCCGACCCCACGTCTGGTTGAGCATCAACATGTTCCTCTTCGGCTTCACCACCATGATGCAAGGTCTCGTCAAGAACTACAGTGGATTGATCGCGACCCGATTTTTCCTTGGCGTATTCGAAACTGGAATGTTCCCAGGAGGTACGTCGCTTTCCTCAATTGCTCGGTCTCATCCAGTCCGACTAACAACCGACCGCTAGCTTTCTACCTCATTGGCATGTGGTACCGCCGCCACGAGGCCCAGCGACGATACTCCTTCTTCTTTAACAGCACTACTCTCGCCGGTGCTTTTGGTGGCCTGCTTGCCGCCGCGATCGGCAAGATGGACGGATTGAGAGGTTACCAGGGCTGGCGCTGGATCTTCATCATAGAAGGCGGCCTCACGGTTTTCGTCAGCTTCTTTTTCTACTTCTTGCTGCCTGACTTCCCCGAGGAAACCAAGTGGCTCACGCCAGAAGAGAAGGTCTACGTTTCTGCGCGTCTCCAGGCAGACCAAGGCCGCTCCAGCGTTGAAAGGAGCATTACGATCAAGGACGTCGGCAACATTTTCAAGGATTACAAGGTCATCCTCGGCGGCTTCATGTACTTTGGTCTCATCGTCCCTGCTTACGGATACGCCTATTTTGCGCCGGGCATCCTCCAGACCTACGGCTACTCTGCCATCCAGACGCAGCTGCACAGTGTCCCTCCATGGGCAGTGTCGTTCGGCTTCTCTATGTGCATCGCATTCTTGTCGGACAAGACGAGGCATCGATTCGCTTTTGCCATCGGCGCCATCTGCGTTGCCATTGTCGGCTTTGGAATTCTCATTGCCGTCCACGACAATACGAAGCTCCAGTACGCGGCCCTGTTCCTTGTCGCAAGTGGCGCATACACCGCGATGCCCATCATTGTTTGCTGGTTCAACATGAATCTCGGTGGACACCATCGGCGATCAATCGGCAGCGCGTGGCAGGTTGGCTTTGGCAACATTGGCGGTATCATCGCCGTGTTCGCGTTTCTCAAGAAGGATGGGCCCAAGTACATTCCTGGCTATTCAATCTGCATCGCATTTACGATTGTATCGATCATCGCTTGCATCCTGTATGGTTTCGCCTGCTGGAGGGAGAATAAGAAGCGGGATGAGAGCACCCCGGACCCGAACCTGACAGAAGAGCAGAAAGCAGACCTGGGAGATCTGTCGCCGACCTACAGATATCTTCTGTAAATTTTTGTATCTTGGAAGTGAAAAGCTTTTTAGATTATTTATACATTTTGATACCAGGTATGGCAATTAATTATGTCTTCCTACATGTATTACCAAGTCCACATCTGAATCCGTTCAGGAATCGATGGAGGCCAGGGCATCTTCCAATAAAATAATAGGCGCCTGTTGGCTAAAGCTGAAAAAAAAGTCACCAGGCAATGCAACCCGCAGGTAAACCAAATACATCAGCCTCCATCCGCATCATCCCCGACGAAACAACGGCCAAGAAGACCTCGCACTGTCGTGATTCTCGGAGTAACACACGGTGCGGTGTCCACGTGACTTCGCGACAGAAGCTTCCCGCCCCACTTGCCTGCCTGGGAAGCGACGTCGCGCGAAACACGTTGAGAATGCAGCCTCACTTGACGTAATTGCAAACGTCTCGAAAACGTCAATTCTGTATCTACGTCCTGTACCAGTGGTGTTTCTGTGTTCTATTTCGGTTTGGCGTCTGCGTCCTGTGCCCCCTGTACAGGAAATCACCTCTTCCACCATCATTCTCGACACACCAGTACAAAGCCGCTGCCAGTTATCGCTGGCACCCCACAGCATGATTGAGGACGAATTCGACTCTGGAGACGACCTCTTTGACGGTGTCGAGGAAGCAGAGGTCCTCACATCTGGCATCAAGCGAGCAAAGGGCTATGGTGATGACGACACGCCTCTGAACTCGATCAAAAGGGCGCGACATGGGTCGAATACCTCCCCCAGTGATGCGACTGCCGACGAGTCAAGGCTTCGCCTTGCGCAGAAAATCCTGGTTGAGAAATTCGGTTACCCTGCCTTCCGCCATGAACAAAAAGGTGCAATCAATCGAGTCCTTGGTGGCCAGAATTCTCTCGTCATCTTCCCGACTGGCGCGGGCAAGTCCCTTTGTTACCAGGTGAACACCGACTCATCCTAAACTTCTACTCCTCTGGCTCTACATGTCAACTTAGACGACTGACCGTTATTCTAGATTCCCGCGGTTGCTTTCGAGGAGATTGATCGCCAAAGCAAACAGAGAGATGAAGGCGACTCGGGCATCACCATTGTGGTGTCGCCTCTGATTGCTTTGATGAAAGATCAAGTTGACGCTCTCAAAAAGAAGGGCATCCCTGCAGAATGTATGGACTCCACCAAGACCTGGCCTGAGCTGCAGGAGATCAATGATTCTCTTCGCAAAGGAGAGCTTCGTCTCTTGTATTGCGCGCCTGAGCGGTTGAACAACGAAGGTTTTGTACAGATGATGAAGCGAGTTAAGGGAGGCGTCCGATTGATTGGCGTAGACGAGGCCCATTGTATCTCCGAGGTATGCTTTGCTTCTATCTACCAAATCTCTTCTCCCACTAACAACTGAATCACCAGTGGGGTCACTCTTTTCGTCCGGATTACTTGAAAGGTAACATTTGCCTCGATGTGCTGATGATCGATTGAGATGCTAACAAGAACAGTTGCCCGGTTTGTCCAAGAGATCAAGGCTGAGCGAGTTATCTGCTTGACAGCCACAGCGACGCCTGTCGTCGCCGACGATATTTGCAAAGCGTTCGATATCTCCAAGGAAGGCGTCTTCAGAACATCCCCGTACCGCCCGAAGTGAGTAAAACATGATAGAATGCTCCGTCATTGCCTTCTGACACTGTTTTTAGTCTTCGACTGGAAGTCCAACCCACAAAAGTGAATGCAGACAAAGACGCCTTGCTCTTGAACTTTCTCAAGAAAAATTCTGGCTCAACTCTCGTCTATGTCACTCTCCAAAAGGTTGGTGCACTCAGCTACAGTCTCGAATCGAAGGCTGTGCTTTTTTACTGACTTCTCTGCCAGCAAGCTGAAGAAGTGGCAGCCGACCTAAACAAGAAGGGATTTGGTGCTCATTTCTTCCACGCCGGCATGAAAGTAGAAGAGAAGAAACGAATCCAGGACGATTTCATGGCCTCCAGGATCCGAATCGTGAGCCGAACCTACCGGTATTCTTTATCTCGCCTCGCCTGGCTGATAATTGTATAGGTTGTTGCGACTATTGCTTTTGGCATGGGCATTGACAAATCAGGTATGGTATCCGTATAAATTCTATGGAAGCAAATCACTCACAGTCACAGATATTCGCAACATTGTCCACTGGGACTTCCCCAACACCGTTGAAGAGTACTGTCAACAGGTTGGCCGTGCTGGCCGTGACGGTAAGCCGAGTCAATGTATGCTCTACCTTTGCCCAGAAGACTTTTACATCAAGGAAAGCTTTGCACGGGGTGACTTACCATCTCGACACTCGCTCCGGGCTCTTCTCAAGGATATTTTCAACAATGAAGTTGTTGGGCTTTCCCCGGACGACACGTTCAAGACCAGCCATTACGCACAAGCCTCCGAGTTTGACATGCGGCAAAATACTCTGGGCACCATCTACGCCGCTCTGGAACTGAGGTTCAATCTTATTCGCGCCATCACCCCGGAATACAGTTCGTACAAGTTCGAAGCAACTCCGAGTTACTTCCCCCGCCTAAAGAACAGCAAGGCACCCGAAGCCAAGGCCATTCTCGACAATGCGAAGAAAGCAAAGAAATTTCACTCCATTGATCTCACTTCTGTATCCCAGACCACAGGTTTGCGCCGCCACGACATTGTCTCACTCCTCAACCAGCTCAACGAGACTGGCGCCATCAAGCTGACCGTTAGTGGTGTGGAGCAAAAGTACAAGGTCCTGGGCAAGCTCCCGTCGACTTCTTCTGAGATCGATAAATTGACAGACCAGCTTCATGAGACTCTAGAGACGCGAGAGCAGCAGGCTCTAGAAAGAGTGCAACAGGTTGTCAATTTCGTCACGGCGCCAAAATGCTTCGCCCGCTCTATCGCTGAGCATTTTGGAATGAGTCTTCCGGATGGAAAGGAGAAGTGCGGCCACTGCACATTCTGTATCAGCGGTATGCCGGTGCACCTTCCACCGTCACCTCCCAAGGCAGTAAGCCAGGCTGCGATTCAGCGGGTGTTGACGACAACGGACGTACGGGACGACGCGCGATTCCTGGCCCGGGTGGCTTTCGGGATCAAAAGCCCGCGAGTTACCAAACTCAAGCTAGACAAGACTCCCGCGTTCATGTCGATGGCGGATCAAGACTTCAGTGTAAGTTGAGACCCCCTTATGCAAGAGGCGCACGATGCTGACCGATATTCATAGATGATTTTGAAAGAGTTTGAGAAGGCGTGTAAGAAGGCTAGTCGATAACAAACTGGTTTGTAAGACAACGCGTTGGTAGAACCCGTCGGTGTAGTCCGAAACACTGTTAGGAATCCGTGGTTACAAAAAAGCCTTGTCTTAATTGTCTTAGCATTCTTTAATTTGACACTCTGTTCTCTTTCATCCCGAGCCATAATAATAGCCCACCACTGAATATTATCATTCACCATCTTCGATCCCCCCTAGTCTAAAGATGGTGGTCGGTGCAGAAGTACAATAACCTGTCAGCCTAACGTTCTGCCTCGGCTGATAAAACAACTTGGGTAAGGTGACTAGTGACGCAGTGCCACGTCTATGTCAGCGGTTAATTGCCTCGAATCATCCCTGTTGGTACAGTAGGGCGCAGAAGGTTTGCATCTAAATGCCTGTACCATGAGAACTTCACTAAACAGCCCAGTATTCTGGTGCTCTGGTAAAATAATTTTGAATCAAGAAAAATAAATCATAAAGACGAAGGTGAATATAAATACTTTACCGGGATCAATATCCTAACTCATATGCTGGGAATTACCTAGTGCATATTGTATTGAGAAGCTACCTGGATTGGATGCAAACTTTGTGCATCCCACTGTAGCTGTCAGCCCAATCCAGCTGCCTCATTAAGGCGTCGGTTTTACTATTGGCCGCAAGATTCAAGGCAACGGGGTTGAAATACTTCAAAACGCTCGCGAGGCTCAGCCTTTAGCCGCTGTCAACCACACATCATCGAAACCATGGAGCCAGTGGGTTTGGCCGTCGGAATATCAGGCCTAGCTGGCCTGTTTACTTCCTGTCTGGAAATCATCGAAAACATTGATTCCTATCGGGACTTTGGACTTGATTCTCGGGCTCTGGCTGCCCAGTTCGACGCTGACAGGCTTCGCTTTGAACAATGGGGTCAAGTTGTCGGTGTCGAACACGGGAAGCTCTCCGACGACCATCATCCCGCTCTTGATGATCCCCGAAAGTTGGCAATGGCGAAGGAACTCCTATCCCTTATTAAGCAGATTTCTGGCGATTCCGATGATGCTCTCACTCAGCACGAACTTTTGTTGGACGCTGAGCTCACTGCCCAAACGAGATTTACCCCAAACCGGGCCTGGCTTAATCGCGGTTCACTGGCAGCATCGAAGCGACAAAAAATTGCTTGGGCTTTGAGAGGAAAACGGAAGCGCACAGCACAAGTCGAACAGTTTGGGTCTTTGGTGCAACATCTACACACGCTCATTCCTCCAGACCCAGCACAAAAAGAATTAGCGACATATGGACCTATGCAAGGTTCGAATGGAGCTCCAACTTGGTCATCACGTTATCTTACTAAAGGGAATAGGCATCCTAGATAGCACTACTCTTGTCGAGCTCAAACAGGCTCTGGTTAGGATAGAGGAGGAAATTGAAGGTAAGGTTTGTTCTGCTTTACAAGTCATAACCCCATGTTAACAGGCACAGCCGAAACACGACGAGATCTGCACGCCTGGCTGGGTCGTCATTCTCCCACTGATCTCTACAATGACTCCACCCAAAAAAGAGTAGACGACACGTGCGATTGGATTCTAGATCGCCCTCTGTTTACTAGGTGGCTTTTACCCGACGAGAAAGGGCAAGTTGCCAATCTGCTGTGGGTGAATGCACCCGCTGGGTTCGGAAAGACCATACTATGCGCCAGAGTTGTCGAACACCTCTCATCGTCGCTGGAGACACCTGTTGCATATTTTTTCCTATCGTCGAACTCCGAAGGCCGTGACGACCCATATTCAGCAATAAGGTCGTGGATAGCCCAGGTGATCTCTCGCGACCAGACTGCGTTCGACTTGGCCCGTAAGATGTGGCTGGCTCAAGACGAACAAATTGCGACGAGAACGAACATCATTACGCTCTTCCGAGACATTTTGCATGCCGTGCCGAGTTGCACCTTCGTTCTGGATGGGTTAGATGAATGCACGTGGATCGGGGAGGACCGAACGGGTCAGAACACTGTCGCCAAGTTTATTGAGGCAATTTCGCGGGCGATTGCGGATACTACCAGTCGAATTATGATCGTCAGCCGTGACGAGCCTGAAATCCGACGGGCTTTGAGTGATATCAAAGGGTTTGTCGAGCTCAAGATTTCCCCTCAAGATGTTCGACACGATGTACTCTTGTTCTCTAGAAGTATCGTCGACCGAAAACTGTCTAAGAAGGATGAAATCACGAAGAGTGACATCTCTCTGAAGATGGCAGACCGCTGCAATGGTCAGTTCATATGGGTAAAGATGCAAGAGAGCTCCCTACGCAATTGGAAAAACAAGAAGCAGCTCGAAGATGCCATTGATAAGACACCAGCTCTTCTTGAACACCTCTACGAACGGAACTGGACGAGGATGTCTCGACTTCCTGTCGAAGAAAGGAACCGCGCTTATTCTCTGTTACGATGGGCTGCTTTCGCTCTGCGTCCCCTTACTGTCTGCGAGATCGCAGAAGCGGTACTCATCGAGAACGAACGTGATCAACTACACCTCGACGAGATTCCTGACTTTGTAGATGAAGAATACATTGACAGCGAGATTCTTGGTCCGTGTGGATCTCTTCTAGAGATCAGAAACTCCACATCACAAACCTGCGCTGCCTTGAAGACGGTCCATCTGGCCCATTTCTCGATTAGACAATATTTTCTCTGCCACACTTCAGCTCAAGGGGAACTCCTGATCGCCAATCACAACTTACAATACTCCAATGAATCATTGGAAAACGCCAGACTCGCTATTTTTTGCCTACGCTATGTTGATTATCAGGACGGGTGGGAAGGTGATCTTCCCCTTGAGGAAGGCAACGTCAAGAGATCATTCCGGGATTACGCGGCAGGTGTCTGGTATGAACATGCGACCGCAAGTGGATCAAAAGACTTTACTTTGGTTAATCTCATGAATGGGTTGTTTGACACACGCAATCCTAATTGGGATCGATGGAGAAAATGGGTCGACTTGAACAATGAGACGCTACAGTTGTATGAAAGTTCGGATGAAACCCCGGCGAGCCCCCTGCATTATGCTTCGCAACTTGGCTTGGTCGAAGTTGTACGGCATCAACTAAAGAATGGAAACAGTAGAGTGGATGGCAAACACGCATGCGGAACAGCATTGGGGATTGCCTCTGAGAGGGGAAACGTGGACGTGGTTGATCTACTACTGGAGGCGCGGGCCGACGCAACAATCACAGACAGCGCCGGATGGACGCCTCTGCACTCCGCTTCAGATCGAGGACATACGCAGGTGGTGAATCTGCTTCTAGACTACGGCGGCGATGCAATGGCTACCACAAGCACGGGATTCACGCCACTACACGCAGCATCCGAGTCAGGTCATGTCGACGTTGTCAACCTGCTTATTAACAAGGTGGCCGATTTGTCGTTCACAGATACTAACGGGTGGACTCCGTTGAATACGGCTTCGTTCAATGGGCACACTGGGGTGGTTGAGTTACTTCTGGCCAAAGGAGCCGACTTGACGGTTCCAACTATCCACGGATGGATGCCATTACATGCGGCTTCGTCCAGCGGTCACATTGAAGTAGTGGAGCTACTTCTCCGCCATGGAGCTGACTGGATGGTTTCAGACACCGAGGGATGGACGCCATTACATGCGGCCTCATCAAAGGGACACACCAAAGTGGCTGAGTTACTTCTCGACCAGGGAGCTGATCGGAATGTTGCAGATACCGAGGGATGGACGCCAATATACGTGGCATCCTCCAATGGACACTCTGAGGTAGTGAAGCTACTTGTTGAAAAGGGGGCCGATCTAACGGTGGAGACGAATTCTGGGTGGACACCAATAAACGGAGCATCCTCCGAAGGATATTTTGAAGTGGTGAAGATCCTACTGGAACATGGGGCTGATTTGAATGGTGCGAATAATATCGGATTGACACCAATGATCTCGGCGTCTATCAACGGATATGCTGACATTGTCAAGCTACTTCTCGACTGGGGGGCTGATAGCTCAATCGTATCCCACCAGGGATATACAGCACTACACACAGCAGCACGGCACGGATGTATTGATGTGGTCCAGGTATTATTAGAACATGGGGCTGATGTGAACGCTACGAATCATATCGGATGGACGCCAATCATCACATCGTCGATCCACGGATATAGTGACATTGTTAAGCTACTTCTCAACTGGGGAGCCGATGCCACGATTAAGAATCAGGATGGACGCACGGCATTGCACGCAGCAGCATCACTTGGGCATCTTGAGGTGGTGAAAGAATTAATGGGGGGATTGGGCGATCATGGGGCCACTACCAACGACTCTTGTGGTCGCACGCCCTTATTTCTTGCAGCCAGGGCAGGGTATCATCAGGTTGTCATGACGATGTTGGCCAGCAAACTATCAGCAAGTGCAAAGGACTGGCACGGCTCAACAGCCCTGTTCGCTGCAGCGAGGAACGGACATGCTAAAACAGTAGAGCTTCTGCTCGCGACTAACGACGTCCAAGTTGATCAAACAGACGGCTTTGGTCGGACACTCTTCTGGTGGACCGAGTGGAATGGACACCACCAAATTACGAAGCTCTTACGACATTATGCCGAGAAGCAGGGCACCAAAATTACCTATGAAGATACTCCAGCAACTGTCACCATCGTGCCCTACGACATGGAGCAGCCATATTGCGACGCTTGTTTGTTATGCATCCCAGCTGGCTGCAGCTTCTTCCATTGCTATAGCTGCAGCAGTAGCAACTTTGATCTCTGCTTGCAGTGTACTGAGTTTGGAGTCAAGTGCATGGACACATCGCATGAGTTGCTGTTATTTAAGCCTAGTACAGAAGCGCCGTGAGAATAATGATGATGTTCTCTATGGAAACATTTTAAAATTTGGCAGTTGATACGAACGCTACTCTCCGGCCTGGATGGTTAACAGGGTGATGTTGTTGCCACCGGTTGGGCATCCCCGCCTAATCAACAACTATCGAATCCACGTACCGTCTAGCAATTGTATTTTTTTAATAATTCTTTTTAGCTTTACTCAATATCATCAGATAGATCAAAGCCATGCTATATTCTCAAACAGTCGAGATAAACAGTAAGTGCTACACCCAGCACTAGAAGAAACAGTAGCTGAATGATAAGGCTGTTGCATACTGGTATTTGCCTTAAACTTCACTTCAACCCTCCTGACTTCAACCCTGATGTCTGCAGTTAACGATCTAGCTATCTCTAGGTGACAACATTGAAAAGGAACCTCATTCCGAGCAAGAAGATATAAGAGAAACGACTCCCGCCGTTAAGAAACCAACTTTCTTCCCAATAATCATCTAATTTCTTCAACTTTCATCATGACGGCCATCATCCGTCTGACCCTACAAGACTTTTGGCTCAGCGGTTAATTGATCAGCATTCGCAAAAACTTGTAATAAACCATAATAACCTACTGCGTAACCATTGCGCGTCGCTTCAAGGTGGTGAGTTGGCTCATTCAGGAACAACACAATCACATTGACGAAGAGTAAGTAAGGTATGATGGAAGATAATGCACATTATTTTATGAAGTCTAAAAATCATCAGGTCTATCCCTGAATTCATGCTCTGTGTATCGAGCCCGTCTATTTCCAGATACGCTTCTCTTTCCCTGGTATCTCCATCTCAATAAAGAGTGTCATGATGATCATTGATCCGTCCGTCGTCACGGTGTTGTCATTTAATGTGCCTCCAAACGCCGCCGAGCTTGCTCATGCAAGAAAAGAATTAAAAAAGGGCCGTTATGCGGGCCAAAAGGATCAGAAGAAGAGAAGTAGAAAGAACGCGTCGTTAATCATCGCTTTGTCAATCGTTCACAGAACAGCGCTGATCTCAGTGATGGGAACCTTGGTAGTGATGGGCTCGCAGCTGGTGAGACGGTGAGAGTAGAGGCCGCTCTTGCCCTCGGTGTAGTTGGGGTTCTTGTAGGTCGAGTCCTTGCAAGCGAGCTTGAGAGTCTTGGAGCCCTTGGCCTCGAAGCGACCGCCCTCGGCGGCGCAAGACCAGGACTGGTCGATGGCCAGGAAGCCGGTCTTGTGATCGAAGGTGAAGCTGGCCGAGTCACCGGTCTCGGACTTGCAGTTGTAGGACACGCTGCCGTTGAGGAAGTCCTTGGACTGACTGGTGCCCTTGCACGTGGCCTTGTAGGAGAGGGCCGAGTTCTCGAGGGTGAAGCTGGCCTTGGACGAGTAGACGGACTTCTTGGGGCTGGTGTAGGTGTGCGAGGCCTCGTAAGTGAAGTCGTGGATGTTCCAGCTGCTGACCTTGGCGCCCCTGGCCATGCAGGACTCGGTCTTGCGGGAGACGATGGAGAGGGCGGGAGCGGCGACGGCGCCGGTGGCAAGGAGGAGAGTGGTGAAAAGGGCGGTGATCTGCATGTTTGCGGCGTTGAAGGGGTGTGAGAGTGATGGTTGAGTGTGAATGGTTCTTAAATAGAATGCGAAGGGTGATGTTCTGGATTCTTCTGGCTAAGAAGTGTGGATGGAGTGTGGTGATGGCGGTGTGGTGTTGTGATGGATGTCTTATGCTTATCCCAAAGGGCGACAGGCCTTCTTAAATAATCGGCCCTAGCTCATGTTCCCACGCACACTCGCCGGAATATTGAACAGCATTCTTAGTGAAGCCACCGTCGGACAACCGTTCAGCGCACACAAGGCCGCCATCCGAGAAGCGTGATGGGACCGCCCGGCGTGACGTAGCACGCAGCTCGTATTTCCCCAAGTCCACGCCCAATGCGGCCCCGGCAGAGCGGAGTTGGACGGCTGGTCTCCATTTGGCGTGCATTAAGCGTATGCATATCCTAAAATAGGTGAACAAACCAGGGACCGAAAGGGAACAGAAACAAGGGTATGGCCGGTAGTGAGAGGAGAGGGGGGAAAGAGGCTTGCAGCTGGGCGTGGTTTGCTGGCTGTTTTTGCACCATCCCGTCGTGTACCGCAGGTGTGCTTCTGTACCGTCTTTAGTGGCGTGACGGTGAGAGCCTCGCCCTTTCTAGAGTGAGACCGGGCACATATGCGCTATGCTATAGTGGTGATGGGGCTGTCAATAGCGGGAACGCACCGACCAGACTAAGGGATTTGGCCTGGCTGAACCAGGGCCATTCTTCCACGCGAGATTCTTCCACGCGAGATCACCAAATCTTCCGTTTATAATGCCGGCTGTCTATTGTCTGTCTTGACATGAAGAATCAACACTGTGAAATCATCGTATCAGCCGGCACCGTTGCTCCGTAAGCAAGCGACGCACCACTCGATGGATGACATGTACAGGCCGTAACAAACACGCCTCCACAGCTCCAATCCCATGCATGGATTGCATTCATTCTCGCCGACGTTTGCTGATCCATCCTCCAGCACGCACCACATCCAGCTGCTCCCTTTCCCTCCGTGCCGCCCGAGGTGAAGCTTCCGTCCCCCCGCACCGCTGAGCTGAACTTGGCTACTCGGCGATATCATCGGCGGTGCGGTGGAGCTTGCACACGGCCTCACTAAGAGGCCGCGGCGGGTGGTTGGAGATCCCCGGGAGCCAAGCCGGGAGACCAAGCGGATCTGCAGCGCCAAGGGTCGTCAAAACCTTTGACGGATGCGGCAATCACTAAACCTCTGTTCACCTCTTCAAAGGATCAGCCAGCAGCGTGTCCGTCGTCGTCAGCTTGTCCGCTGTCGTTGGGAGAATGTACGACGGTTGGGCTCACGGCATAGCCACGCATGTCGGTCAACCCGCGACCTACCGTATTTGCCATGTGCGATGCCGCCACACACGCACCTCGCACTTACACGGCGCCGTTGGTCAGTAGTCGTTGCACCACCACCTCGTGGACACGGTCAGCGGACTAAGTTAGACTTGGCTTGCCCTGGCAGCTCCCAAAGTCCCTCCCGTGATGATGCCAACTGCAAGGCTGGGCGGAGCGGGTGCTGCACATCAGAACACAGACTACTGCACAGAAGCAATCCTCCGAGCCCAGGAACCCCATCTACAAAACAACCCGGTTTGATCTATCCTGGGCTGGGCGGGCGATCAGTGAATCCACCCTCCCGCATAAACGAGGGGAAACCGAACCATCTCGGCCGGCTCTTGTGCGTTAGATCACGGCTCGTTTGTTCAGCCTTGAATGCCGGACAACAGCCTCAATCCCCCTCCCAGCCTCTCGCCACGCTGTTGGCCAGACCGTCAAGACCCATGAAAGAAGTGCCCTCCACCACGCTAGACGACCACGACATCGTTCTGCGGGGTTACGAGCAGCTCAATCACAGTCGCGCCGTGGCACCCGAGACAAAGAATGCCACTTCCACGCCTTGCGTTGCCGTCTCCCCAATTGTCCACATCGCCACCACGGCCCTCAACAAAATTCCAAGAGAGCGGTCTGGGGCGGCCTCCTGCTTCTGCAGACGGGCGATGGCCTTGACCGCCCGATGGGATCCAAGGGAATAGGCCCTTGTGCCACCCTACGAGCGGGCCACTGCAGGGACCATCCCCGTGCGCGTCACCACGACATGCATTCGCCGCGTTGCTAAACATGGCATCGGGCCACTTCCGCAAGGGAAGAAGTCTGCTCTCGAGGGGGGAAGAGGAGGAGCAGGGAGGCTGGGCCGTTGACGGGCGATCGGTGCGATGCTTGTGTCTCCCATGTGAACTAAGACGGTCTCTCCCGGTCACACCGATGTCTCTCCGATCGTAGCTTTCCCATGCAACGTTGGACTCGGCCGCGCCAGCGTCAGCCGGGCGAAGAAGTGCCTCGTACTAGTTGCGCATCTTCCGTGTGCTCCGGGACCACCTCCGGTGTCGTGCCTGCCAGGGCCCGGTCGGCCGCTTGCGTTCTACCGTATTGCGTGCATGATGTTGCATCGTGAAGCTTTGTGAAATAGCTCACATGGATCCAGGTACCCGACGCCATGTCTGACTTGGATGCCTAGGGAGGTGCTGAGGTCGCCGCGATAGTCGCGGGATACCAGTTACGTCACCATATATCCTTCCCCACGGCGGGATAATGCCTGGCTGTATTAGCAATGGTTTCTCAGGTTCGTAAGACTGAACTAAATTTATCTCAATAATTGTGTAAAGGGTAGAATGTCGAGGCGTCATAGATGGTGTTCTGGTATTTTGGTCTTTGTTTGGCGGGGTAAATTCCCTGTCCCAACGTCGTTCTTGTTTGTTCTCAGCCGGCTGTTCTCGCATTGTATGTCGAAGAATATCCTTCAAACAGCTTACACTATGCGAGAGACGGGATTCCAGATCTTTCGGGTATTTGCAAGGGAGAATTTTTTCATTGTTTGTCTGTGGCAGGACTTGAGAAGGTCTGGATTGTTGTTTGACGGCAGATTCTTGAGGAAGCACGGCTACCAACTTCCACACCATTAGCAAAGAAGGTGCTCGCCCTCTCCACCCACCACCATTGAACAATATGCCACAGATCATTAATTTTTTATCAAGCCATCTTCACATAGTTTGCCCACCTCTTCAAGCCACTGTCGATCCCATCTAGTCCAGGGTAATTCGAGCATTTGCGTTCTCATCCCCGCTTTTATGTCAGCACTTAATCCTTCAGATGCCGCATATCCGCGCGAAAGCTGGAGGCCTGATTATCTGGGTAAACTTCTTCTTATTATTACCAAATATCCCGCGTTAAAACTCCGATCTGATGGCTTCCGAGAAAGAAAGAGAGGCCAAGGCCGGCCAAGAGCTCGTCGATGATGCGCCTCCAACTTATGAGCCGACGGACCCTGCGTCATCTACGCTCCAGCCGGCTCTACCACACCCCGTGGACAACAAGTCGGGCCACTCTGATTCAACTCGCCCGACGGCCGAGTCGCCCTTCAACTTTCCGCTAGACACTCCTCTTCCCCCGTATTCAGCTGCATCGGGGTCGGCCAGCCAGCGGCCGATTGCGATTCCGCAGGTCACTCCCAGCCCGGCCTCGCCACTGCTCGCCGCATACGCCCCGCTGCTCCTCAGCTACGGCATCCCGGCGGAGACGTGGCATTCCTTTCTCGATACCGTGTCCGCCTTCCTCGCGGCCAAGGTGTCAGACCGCGCGCTCCGCCATGCTGCAAACATGGGCAAGCAGGTCGGCGAAGGCCCCAAGAGCCTCGTCAAGGGCATCGTCTCCCACGCCAAGGACGTGGGCAAGGGCATAGGCAACAATGCGAAGCGTGGAAATATCATTGGTGCCGCCATGGGCGTTGTCGGCGGCATTATCTCGATCCCCGTGTCGGCAGCTCTGGGCACTGCTCGCACGGCTGTCCAGCTCCCCATGTCCGCCGTGTCAGCTGCTACCAGCTCGCCAGAGTCGGCGCGCGAGCGGGCTACAGCTTACCTGGCGGTTGTCAACAAGGACTGGTTCCATGGCCGCGGCCTTCATGCGACTTTGCTAGATTCGCATGAGATTTCTCAGCTCGTCGGTACGTCTATAATTGACCAGGTAGAACTACGGACCGACAAGGAAGAGAGCGTGGAGCTCAAACTGGGTGCTTTGGGAGATCACATCGCCAGGTTGGAGGTTCAGACACCGGCCAGCCTGGCCGTGGGACCCAACACGTTGTGGTTGGTATTGACGCAGGTACATCAAACGGATTTGTGATCTCAACATGCTGGGCTTGATTAATGTGTTTGGAGAAAGACTTAGCCATCTTAATTATTGCCAAAACAGGCCAGGGGAGTATTCAATCTTAAGTATTACTCGGTCGTCCCGAATTAGTTGTCCTCAGAGGACCCCTTGGTGCTTAAATTTCCTCCATGTTAGTAACCACCGGAACTCAGAGGAGAGAGTAAATTCCGAACTTTCTTAGCAAGGAGCCTTCCGGGATATAATTGAGCATTGCTATACGCGCACACACCGCGTACGTGCGCTAGACTGTTCAAGACGAAACGGAAGGTAATATATCGGAGCAGGGTCATAATATTTATCACTTGAATTTTTTTTTTTTCTCTTAGATCTAGTTTGAGCCACAATAATAGCTATCTAGACTAGTTTACTCTTCCATTACATGTATGGTAGGTACTTTGTTCCAGCTGAGACGTTAAAGAAGCCCGTGACAGTGTGCGAATAACAACACTCTATTAACAACCTGCCTGCAATAAGCTCTTGTCATGGTCTTTTCTCCGTAAACCACTGGATTTTCTTAACATTTATCCACAGCCTAAACATTGACTCAATGTCGTGATTTCATCCATCACACAGTTCAGTCTCTTTCTTGAATAGCTCTCCGCCTGGAACTGCCTTATCATGCCGCCACCGCAGCCCAGAAATGCCCCCATCACTCGTGGCCTCAAATTCAAACCGATAGTATTCATGCGCGCGGATGTACTGCGCGCGTTTCACAGTGTCGTCGTAGGATATATTCCAAGCAAAAGTGTCGTAGTGATAATGCCGCAATTGATATCGTTCATCTGCTCGGCCGAGGAATTCGAGATACAGTTGCCCATCCGTGACCTTGATATCAATAAACCAATTCTTGATTCGGTTGAAGTATCTTCCTTCATATCTTTCAAGGGGACGCGGGTTCGTTCCGACAATGCGTTCCTTCTCGAGCGCCATTTCTACTTTCTCCATTCGTTGAACACCGCTATCAACGCACTTGGAGACGAGCGAGAGATAGTCTTGGGCAGGCTCGCCAAGCATGAGCTTGTCGATTATAGCCTGACATGTCCAATCGGCAATGTCACAAAGTCCTAGGGAGTTTTGCAAAACCACGACTGCAGTTTTAGACTCTGGAAGAAGGCAAATGGCGCTGGTCGTTCCTGGCATGTTCCCTCCGTGCCAGATGACGAGCTTTCCCGGATATCGCTCACCAAGCAGCGGAAATGGCTCCAGCATATCCTTGTTCCACCCAAAATCCAGCTTCCCAGGAAGTTGGGTTCTGTTCCAACCCAGGGCGTAGGTTTGCTCCCATAGGCTATCTACAGGACGCGCAACATGAGGTCGGATGATGGTTGCTATTTCCCGTATTGGGTTTACCGGCGATATTGTGAAAGGCGGTGCTGGAGAAGAAGGCTGAAACGCTGATGACGGTACTTAAAAGAAATTGTGTTAGTTTCAATAGCAACTAAACTTCATAGATCACTCACCTGTAAAGACAGGGGCTTCGTTCTTTGGCATCATAGACTCTAGAGCCTCCAGGTAGGCTCCAGCATATTTTAGCAAGTCCGCCATACTAGTCCTGATAGACTGCCCGGCGAACATCATAGTCTCATTAGAGACATTGCAAAATGGTAGGCGGTGAGGAGTTCGATCGGTCAAGATGTTGTAAGGGGCAGCGACGTTGTCATCCTCTGGGTTACTCGTAAATGTGCGCGTCATACCCAAAGGAGAGAAGAGGTTTTCTGACACGAATGTATCCCAGCTGACACCGGAAACTCTCTCAATGACCAATCCTGCGATGTTGTAGGCGTGGTTGTTATACATGTACTTGCTCCGCACCGGCTCCACCTGGGGCAAATAGTCAAATGTAGGGATGGCTTGATCCTTGGCGAGAAGGATTCTGTTGTTGGACTCGAGGTAGAGCGCATCCGCCCAAGCTTTACCAGTCCGATGGCTGAGGATGTCCAGCACGGTCAGCTTGGCGGCATACATATCAGTCTCCTTTGACATTTCGGGAAGGATGTCATGAACAGGAGTGGTCCACTGTAGCTTATTTCTGTCCACGAGGATGCCCAGGGCGGTGGCAGTCATCGCTTTTGTGAGAGATGCCACATGGAAAATGGTATTTCGGTCGACTGGCAGGTCAGCCTCAACGTCTCGGCGGCCATGGTAGAATTCATAGAAGTTGCCGTGATGAATGATGCCGACGGCAATACCTGGAACACCGGCTTTGTTGCACATGGCCTCGATCAGTGGCTGAATGCTTTCCAGTCCCGTAGGATCTTGGTTTGACGTTTCGAATCGCCCATTCATGTTGATCCTTTGACGTTAAAGACTTCATGCAGAAGAGGTATGACCTATCCTTGAGAGAACAAATCTGTCTAGGGCGTTGGCATTGGAGATCGGTGAGTTAGGAGCGAATGCTGATGTGTTGGGTGATGTTGGAAGGCGACAAGTAGTACTGGATAAACGAGTAGTGTATGCTCCAGGTATGCAGAGAGGAAAGCTCCGTGGACACAAATTTATTTGTTTTCTTTGTCTAAAATATCTCTCGTATCACAACTTGATCCTAGCACAGCACATCTATGTTAGGTACTTCGATGAGTCGCGCTACCCAGATCAATTATTAAGGTGATTAACTGGGCTACCTATTGGAATAGATTCTGTGACATTTTATGGTAGTAGGATGTGTGTGGGTAGGGTCTCGGCTCAGTGTCCCCAGGCGTGTGGAAGGCAATGGCGTGACTCGCATGACGTCGACATTGGCTGTTGGCATGGTTGGCCAGTTGCTGCCCCGAGACTTTCTCCGCACTTTGCTCCTGCACACTCACTCCATAAATTTACCGTGTAGGTTCATTCCAGAGCACATACGCAGTTGGGTTGTTACCTATTTCTGTTTCTTGAAAACTACCTTGAAGGTCAGCGGAATATGGCCAACATCGATACCTCGCTTCCTCCCGAGACAACGGGTGCTGCTGCCCAGCTCGCTGCCGAACACTCGGCCGAGCACCCGCTGAAGCTCTACGGGGGATGGTTCTGCCCGTTTGTCCAACGATCCTGGATCACGCTTCGTGAAAAGAAGATCCCCCATCAATACGTCGAGATTAACCCGTATAAGAAGGAGGCGGCGTTTGTGGCGATGAACCCTAGAGGCCTGGTGCCCACACTGGCTGTGCCTGCGAATGCTGAGGGCCAGGATCGCAGGCCTCTATTTGAGAGTAACATCATTTGCGAATACCTGGACGATGCATATTCGGACAAGGCGGTATACGGTCCTCAGTTGCTTCCGTCAGACCCATACGAACGCGCGCGATGTCGGCTCTGGATTGACCACATCAGCACGCGCATCATCCCGGCGTTCTACAAGCTTCTACAGCACACTCCAGCCAAAAAGTACACTCTTGACCAAGCGCGAGAGGAGCTTCAGAGCCACATCCGGTCTTTCGTTGAGCAGATGGATCCCCAAGGCCCTTTCTTCCTCGGGACTAGCTTTAGTCTCGTGGATATCTGTCTGGTGCCGTGGGCAAAACGCCTTTTCCTGATTGACCACTACAAGGATGGCGGCCATGGGATTCCTGAGTCCGGCAGCGGGGAAGACGGGGACCTGTGGGCGAGGTGGCGGAAATGGGCTGATGCAACTACGAACAGGGAGAGCGTTACGGCAACTTGGAGTTCGGAAGAGCGATACATCTTGGCTTATAAGAGATACGCTGATGACACGACGAATTCCCTTGTTGGACAGGCGACGAGAGAGGGTGGGAGACTCCCTTGAAGACTTTGGTGGCGGCATCGGTGCGCCAATGACTCTGAGAGTCGATGATGATAGTGTTAATTAATTCCTCTAGAATGAAAATTTCTTTCATACATAAATGTGCCTATTGACCACCATGATGGTCTCCAATTGGAAGTAAACCATTTGATGGGGTGAGATCGGGACCAACTTGAATTAGCACTGTACCCTGATAGACAGTCTCCGCTATACATACAGTGCCACTGGCCGCGGCCCACTGTATCCGATCACGGGATAGTTTTCTGCCAGTTGCCTGCGCATCCATGGATATTTCAACTTTTTACCATCATCCACCACCCACGACAGCAATTCACCTCCTACGATCCACAATGTCCGACAAGAATTCATCGCGGTTCACACCGCAGAACAAGACGACTAATGAACGACTCTCCACGCACACGGTCGGCCTCGTCGCGCTATCCGACTTCCGCAAGCGCCGTGCCGAAGTCCTCGAGCAGCAGGAGCGCGAAGCCCACGAGGCTGCGTTCTCAGGCACGTCCACACCGGATCGTTCCGTGACAGACACTCCTGACAACGCTGGCAGTGACGCGGGAGACGGAGCACGTCCCGTGAAGAAGAAGAAGAAGAAGAAGCAGGGCAAGAAGCTGCTCTCGTTTGACGACGAGGAAGAAGACGGGCAGGACGCGCCATCACCGAGACCGACCTCGAAGCTGAGAGACACCGCCGCCGACGGGAGCGACAGCGAAACCAAAGGCAAGGCGAAGTTCAAGGCCAATGCCGCTGTGGGAATTGTGCCAAAGTCCATGACGAAGGCAGCGCTGCGAAAAGAAGCCGACGAGCGAGACACATTGCGCCGCGAGTTCCTGGCCCTCCAGGAGGCCGTCAAAGCGACCGAGATTGCGATACCGTTTGTTTTCTACGATGGCACAAACATCCCCGGCGGCACGGTCCGAGTTAAGAAGGGCGACTACACATGGGTGTTCTTGGACAAGAGCAGGAAGGTCGGCGCGGAACTTGGAGTTGGAGAAAAGGCCAACGCCCGTAGGGAATGGGCGAGAGTAGGCGTTGACGACTTGATGTTTGTCCGTGGAACGGTGATCATACCACACGTAAGTTGCATACCGCTTGCTTAGTATTGTCCTGTTCGTCTTCTAACTGTTTGCGCAGCATTACGACTTCTACTTCTTTGCCATGAACAAGGCCCTCGGCCCAGGTGGCCAGCCGCTGTTCGAGTACAGCGCAGATCCCCCGAAAAATCGAGCACCGACCGACCCTGCTGCCAGTCCTCTCACCACTCCCGCCTCCAAAGCTGCTGCCCTCCGAGCTCTCCCCGACATCAACACCCTCGAGGGCGCGACTGATGACCCGAATCTGACCAAGGTGGTTGACCGGAGGTGGTTCGAGAAGAACAAACACATATATCCGGCTAGTGTGTGGCAGGAATTCGACCCGGAGAAGGATTATTCCTCAGAGGTCCGGAAGGATGCTGGTGGAAACACTTTTTTCTTCTCGCGATGAAGAGTTTGGATCCGTGTCATTTGGTACACCGGTGTTGTCCTTTGGATTCGCTTCGGAAGTCGGATTCGTTTATGTATAATTGATGGTCCAAGTCCACTCGGGACTCGACGAAGGATGCTCAACCGATGAGCATCCAAACACCCCAAGATGCTCCTCCAATCACCCACCACCCGGGCCAGAATACCAGGACGAAGACGCAGTTACCGCCACCGAGAATAAAGACGGCAAATTCGTAAAAGAGCTTCTTGCGCAACTTTTGGATGGTTTGAGAGTTCCAGACTCCATGAGCGGCTCTGGTTGACATTGTATAGCTGTGGAATGCGCCAAACTTGGTTGCGATGAAAGCCTGCAGGGCGACAACTTTGCTTGCATATAGGACGTTGGCGACGGTGACACTGGCGAGGAACCATGCGCGCAAGCAGAGGAAGAGGGAGATGGAGCTGAGGAGGCTTTGGAAACGGAGAGCAATTTCCACGGCAGGGCCCAGTAGCCTGATGATGTCAGAGCGGGGATTGACCGAAACCCCCAGCTCCACTTTGGACGCCGTGAGCAGAGTAGCCTTGTCCATCGTGAGGGGATATTGGTGGTGTTGGAGGGCGGAATGAGCCAAAGTGATCAATAACGACTGAGGCTTAGGAAGGAAGACAGTAAAGATGTTTGGATTCTTTGGCCCCTAACAACGGCTCCAACAACAGATGTTCCCGCTATCCAGAGGCGTCGTCGATGTTTATAACTCCCGCGTTGTCGGTGGATTCCCTGAATCAATCGTCAACCCCCACCCACCCCTCTTCTGCCCCTCCCGCTCGCGGTCCTCAAAGCGCATGTTGGGCGGCAATCGCGAATGCAAAGACGACTTATGTCAAGCACATTTCCGCTTCGTCGCACTTGACTTGTCGACCCTGGTTCATAACTCGCGCTGGACCCGCTGCGTGCCCCATCCCGAACCGGGTTCCACATGGTCGCCTGCTGAGACACGTGGGGGCTCTGATTCGTTGCTTGTGGCTTCTTAGCCTCGCTCTTACGGCCATAGACCGGATGGAGACATGTTGCACTGTATTAGACGGTGGGAGGCGTGAATCCTACGCATACAGGTAGCGTGGGGAGTCGCGGAGCTGCGTGAGACGGCTGAGACTTCGTCTGGAAGCCTTCGGACGTTCCGTGTCGTGGTTGTCAGCTTCGCCATATGAGCCGCCACCTGATCCCTTCAGCCTCTTGGCTCTTCCCAGCTGACTGGTTCTCAAAATGGAAACAGAAATCTCTCGCATCTTGTCAGTGGTTCGTGCGTAAACAAACCTACGACACCCAGATGGGTGTTATGTCATGACTGATGGTGGACGTCGAAACGAAAGCCAGTCCAATGGCCCACTCCACGTGTTGGGCTCGTGGCCGTCGTTTGTCGCGACGTCGAAGCAACACTACCGGGTTCAGCAAATGCGACCGAGAACATCGAGAGTCACTTGATTGCAATGCTGGAATTGTGGACTGACGGAAATGCTAATTCTGGATTCCCGAGTTTGCCGTCGCATCGCGTCGGTCTTGAGTCGCCAATCGTCCATCTCCATCGGGGTGGCAGAATGGTGCCGATCTACACTTCACGAGGTCCTACCGTGGATTCTCCTTGGACGAGGATATTGAACAAATCATTTGCTTCAAACCTAAAATTCTCGTGATTGCCATTGTTGACTGGGGAAATGCCCGAATTCTCCACCTCAAACCTCAACTGGGCAACACATTCACGATACTCATGCAGTCTCTCCAACATCCTGCAAGTCTTGAGTCTTGGGCCACAAGACTAACGCTATCCATTGCAGAATGACTCTCTGATCCGTGCCAGCGTCGCTCATGTCCAAATAGGGACGGCCTCGCACATTAGTTGCAGTGGGTGGATGTTGCTTGCATTATCTAGCGCCTGGGGTGTTGCTCTTCACCGAAGCCAAAATCGGGATAGCAATGTATGGGAGAAACCGGGATCGTGGGATTATTGCAACGAGCCAAACAGACTAGACGGATAACCCACCACTCGAAGACGATGCCGCCTCCATGGACCACGATATCAGGCCCGTTGATGTATGAACCCGACCTGCTCAGCAGCATCACCACAGCCCCAGTCACCTCCGGCATCCCTAACCACCCAGATGGATTGCGGTTCACTTTGTGCACTGGCGCAAGCCCATTTCCAGTGTTGCGCGTCGTGTCAATGTACCCAGGACTGATTCCTTTGACGCTGATGTTGCACCGCGTACACTCGGCCGCCAGCGTGCTCTTGAGCATCAAGAACGCCGCCTTGCTAAAGTTGTGCGCCACCTGCGACTGAGGGGAAGCCGGCGCGGACGTCGTGAAGACCGTGTGCCCGACCATGCCCTGCAGGATCATCTACTTCGCTACTACCTACGCGCAGAGGAACGTCCCCGTGATGTTGATGTCGAGGATGTGTCGCCGCCGGTCTCGAGATAGCGTGGGCCGCGCCCGAAATCCCAGCGCAGCAGACCTGGGCGTCGATGGAGAGCTGAAGGCAGCGGCTGTGGCATTGACGGCTCGTCTGGTCTCAAGGTCGTCAACCACGTCGACTTCAAAGCATTGGATTCTCGCTCTTGGAAATTCGTTCTTCAATGCCAGGATTTTTTCACGAGACGGGATGAGGTTGATGTCAAACACAGCCAGATCAGAGGGCCGTGCTGTAAGAGCGCCCTTGCGACTGCCATGGCTATGGCTCCGTGGCTACCGGTGATGATGGCGCTGTCGCATATGTTGAATAGCCCAGCAGCAGAGTCCCTCGTAGGTTGTTGGGGTTTGGCCTTCGCGGTCTAGTTTCCATCGGCCAGGGTCATTTGAGGATGCATCCTATTACGGGTCCTGTACATTTCAGCATGGGACATCGCCATCTTCAACTTCCTGGGAGGCAGAAATGTGACGGTGTTTGTCGAGTGCCCTCTATACCCAAGTATGAGCCCGCCTTCAGCTGAATTGTACATCGGGTAAGTTCTGCCAATGCGACTCAACTTACTTAATACGTTCTGAATTCCCACCGAGCTCGGTCGGAATGCCTTTGTATTCTCGCAATACTTCGGATGAGTGCTTCGGATGAGTGCTCATTCCAGGCAATATCGTCAGCTCAACCCCTGCACGATAATTAGTCTGACTCGGGGTCACAAGTGCGCGTCGCGTAGACGGTGGCGCCGAATAACAATCCACGAATTGCTGGTGAGAAGGTCTCTATTGATCAACAGAGTGCTGCAGGTGACTGCTTCTGGAACAGCAATTTAATACCAGCCCAGGTCATGCGGCTTTACCTGGGGTGATTGTGATGTTTCGCGAGGAAGTAAAGGAATTAGAATTGGAGAGATGTGTATTCATAGTTATTGGTGTCGATTGGTATACAGCAGCCAATGCCCCAATTGATTGCAAATTCTAGGAGGCCAGCTCAGTTTCAACCTTCTCACATCAAACAGATAGATCCTGACGTTCATATTCAAGGAATAGTTCTTTGGGAGTATTAATACAATGCTTGGAAACATTTATGTTGCTACCATCCGACCCAAAACCCTGGTATCGCGGTGTCCTCCATTCCAATATATTGGGAGGTTGAATTCCCATCACAAACGCCCATCGACCACAAGTTAAACCATCTTATCGTCAACTCCCCGTGTGGAATGAACACAGGTTCCGTCTAGTTGGCCGCCGCCTTGGCGGCATCCTTAATCTCCCACCGTTCCTTAACCAGCTTCGACATGGCCTGTCCCGTCTCTGACTCCAGCTTTGCGAATCCCTTGACAACGCCCTCCCTGTCGCCGACGCCCATCTCCTGGCTCATCTTGAACTTGCCCTCTAACCTAGTTATGGTGATCTCAACCCCGATAATGGCCTTCCTCAGGAGGTCGACGTATTTGCTGGGGGCGTCGGAGACCTTCCATTCCACGGGCGCGTCGCCGCCGGTGTACCCCATGATCTGAGTCTCGGATTGGTGGCTGAGGTCGACCATCTGCGTTTGCAGGAACTCTGCCGTCTCGTCGGACTTGCCGTCGTAGTAGACCTTTGCCCGACCGTAGACTTGGGCCGCGGCGTAGTTCCACGTGGGCACGACCTTGCCGCTGCCGAGCTTTGTCTCGGTGTAGAACTTTGACGTGACGTAGTGCTGGACCGGAGAGTTGAAGATGATGAGGACGTCCTGCTCGATGACGTTTTCCAGCGCCGGGTTGTCGGTCAAGCTCTGCATCATGGCCTTGCTCTGGGGGTTCTGCCTCGCCATATGGCACCGCAGGCGTCCGAGTTCTGTCTCACTGGACTCATCTTCGATGTCGAGCACAAAAGGGATGTGGCTAGTCTGGAGAAAGGCGTGTTCTGTTGAGGGGATTGCAGTGGTCATCAGACCGAGGGGGTTCTCCCGGATCAGTTTTCGGAGGACGCGGAGGTCCTTCTCGGCGTGGTCTGATCGGAGATGCATGGCTGGCTGGAGGATGTGACGTATTTAGTAAAGATGAATTGGTAGATTGAAATGTGATAAAACTGTATTGAGACCAAGAGGATGGTGTTCTTTATATGTTGGGCCGTACTCGGGTTGTCATCGTCAGATAAGAAACAATCTTGTTCGTGGGGCCCCGCCCGCATGTCTGTCAAAGGGCGGCGAGTTTGTCACAGGCGGGGACTTGCAGCCAATGACGGAGAACATAAAGTCACCCAACCGCCATTTCCACGTGTCCTGCTCGCTAGAGAAGTGAGTAATGAGTCTTAGTTCCAAGGAGCGGAATTGGAGCCGGCAAACGTAACACTTGGGTGCAATCGCGTTGCAGGCGGGTTCGACCGGCTCACTCCCGGTTCGAGACGAGCTTGGAGGTGGGCACGTATAGAAAGGAGGGTATTAGTCACGCCAAGTGGAGGGAACCCGAAGAGTATATGAAGATTGTCTTTACGAGAAGCTGGATTGACGGCGCGAGTTGCAAATAGAAACACGAGTCTACAATGTACACATTTGTTCCGAACTGCAACGAATGAACTTACAAGGGTGGCGGCTGATCTGAAGAAGCCCAGATCAAGACGTTCGGATCAAACCCCGACCACCCCGCACTCGACTTGGCGGCATCCCCACAATCACACAGTCACACAGTCAAGGAACCACAATTCCGCGCTCGGCATTGTACCTATCTGAGGCTTGGAGGCCGCGGAGATGCGCGCTTTTAGGGTGGATTACTGCCAGGGGTAGCGGGCTAGAATTACTGCGTTGAACCGGGCTGATTCCATATGCTTGTGGATCGACGCCATGTCATCCGCCGGTACTCGAGATGTGACTTCTGCCAAGAACATGATTGTTTTTTTTATTCATTTTAATTAATAGTGACAGCCTGAGACATCAGACGCAAGGAGTCGCCCGACTACGCGTCTGTGTTTCTGCCATCACATACCGCCTAGCAGCTTCCAACGCGACACCATCACCGAGCCTCCCTTCAGTTACAACAAAGAAGATGTGTTATCCAATGCAGCGCCAGCAGAATGCAGGACAACCCGCCGCACGTTAGGCTTCGTTCCCATTGCGGCGCCTGTGGCAGAGCCTTTGTCGCACGCCAACGAATCGGCGCGCGTATGTATTAACTGGATTCTGGATTCCTTCACACGGACAAGCCCAAGCTAATACTCCACTACCACAGTTCTCGGCAGCCATGGGGCGCCCCGCTGCAGATACATCGACGCCGCCCTCTTCCCAGCCAACTACTTTTGCCACCAAGGAAATGCCAATGTGATATTCTGCCGAACCGTTCGCTGCGAACTATGCGCAGAATCCGCCGAAACCGCAACCATCCACGTCGATTGCTTCGTCCTCTTCATGAAGCGATGCACGGCGCCAAACAGACTCCAGAGGCTGTGGGTTGCATCGACGTGGAGAGATCCCTGGCCCAAGGCTCCACTCTCGATCCTGAACCCTGTCGCCCATCGCTGGGACTGTATAGACGAGATTCCGAAAAGATACAATCTGCCGGGGTTTCAAACGCTCCCGCCTGAACTGCAGCTGATGATTTGGAACTATTCGCGACCACCTTTGCTGGAGAGATATTGCTCTGTGGCGGCGCTGGCTGACTTCCTGTCCGACTCTCAGCCAACTCGTCGAACATCCCTGCCACTCGTCGAACTGCAGCAATGGACTCGTGGGAGTGATCCCATATCCGCAAATGCCCCCCTGGCCGAGGGCAGTACCATACATCTCACAATAGATGCGCAGGGGCTCAAAGAGATTAGCCGCACCCCTCCACAAGCCTCGATAGCCAACTCCCGACGGGGCGAGTATTCATACGCCATAGCAACACCAGAGCAGTGTGTTGGCGTTGAAGCGGAATTCAGGGTTCTTACTCACCTTCATTCTTGTCTACAGATCCACAGGCTAATGAAGATAGTACGGCCTCGGTCGTCTCCGATTCTCTGACAACTCTCCGCCCTTGACAATCTGGGACACTCCCACTCCGCCATCTCTAGAACGGTCTCTTCTCTTCCCAGTACCCTCAGACAGCACCCGTTTTTCCACTGCCAATTTACGCCGCTGTACGGGTATCACATTTTTCATCAGATACTGCTCCACGGTCGGTGTTCATGTCCATACACCACAAGCCCCCTGTGCCCTGATTTCCGCCGCGCGGCTTTCAGCCAATCCACGGCGTCCGGCTTGGGTGTATGTCCCTGTCAGCCCCAAGGACCCCATCTTGGCATTTGGTATCCGATCGGACGACTTGAGAGGATACGGGGTAGCAAGGAGGCCATGCTTTCTGGTACGTCTATGTGAATAATAGCCCCAGAACCATTCTAACAAAAAAGCTTCGCATGTTACGCTCCGGAGATTTCGCTGTTGGCCCACATCATACCGGAATCACCGAGGATTTCGTCTCTCTGATAGGACCTAGTTCTATACTTGTTCATGATTCCCCTAAGTGGTGCCTGTTTTCGGTATTCGGTATCGATCCCCGGGAAGATGCGGATTTTGAGATAAAACCCTTCGCCCCTATGACTAGTGCCCCCATCAACCATGCTTGCTTCTCTTCGGCACCTCTACAGAGCATAGCGTCCACCCAAGCTTTCTACGACAAGGATACCAAGGTCCACAGGGGAATCCTCATTACCTATCAGGATGGTACACGCCGAGCTCTTGGGCAATGTCGAGTTGGATTGGACCCCTTTAGACACTGTGTCAGCCCTGCACGTGTTTGCTTCACCCTCCCGGACCCAGCACAGCGTCGTATAAGGCTCCATCAGGAGTTTGGCGTCAAGTTTGAGTTCGGCACAGACGTGGAGCACACACACGACGGGACAGACAATTTGGAGTGGATCTGTTCTCCGATGGAGGGGGTTCTGCAGTTCTGGTTCAGTGGCAGAGACACCAGGCTTGAGATAGTTCATCCCTAGTTTGAGCTAGCGAGTTTCTTCTAATAATTTACTGCTGCTCTATAGCGCATCATCCTGAGCAGCGAGTGGGATGAAGGGAATCACGCCAGTCTTCGGCACGCAGTTGACGTACTCAAACCTGGCATCTCCCTCATTGAGCACTGAAACCTCATGCCAAGTTCGAAACTTCCTCGTATCGCCAAAGATTTTGGCATGCGCCAGCGCTCCCCGATAAATCGCGAGGTGTGATCGATGTGTCTTTGCCCACGCCTCCAAACGCCCCAGACTAGTAAAGAATCCAGCGACGCATGATTCCTTCCGATCGTCATCCGCCTCAGGCGAGGTATTCTCCGTGTTTTGGAGATACCGCAGTCCAACTGCGCCGCCTTCCTCGGGGTTGTCCCAGAGATACTGCAGACCTTGTCGAAGTGTGGGCTCTAATTTCTCCTCGTATGCGGCACTCTCTTTCGCGTCGCAATTCTCCCAGAACTGGCCGGAGCGAATGTGAACCAGGTTATGATGGTTGGTTCCAACAAGATGCTGCCCAAGCCCCGCTGGAACAGTTGTAGTGCGATCTGCGTCTACCCCGTCGAAAAGATCATGGGCAGAGTCCGGGATTCGATCTCTTGCTGCTCCCCAGTATGCTGAGAGAGAATGCTCAGCCGTGCTTGTTTCTGGTAGTCTTGCAAGCCCCGGAAGGTAGTCGAGGCCAGAGTAATTGGTCTCCAGTCTTGGTGCCGGAGTAGAGAAACTCTCCTGCCATATGCCGATGGATTTGCGACCGGCGGCAGGTAAGCTGAAATAAAGAGCCCTCAAATTTAATAATCCCATGCTCTTCTTATAACTTTCTTCGTCTCGCCAGTAACAGACCCAGATAATGGCATTCTTTCCGTCGTTTCCATCGAGAAGGGTGAATGCCTCTGACGCGGAAGGGCGCACGCCATCTTGGCCATGGAGCCACGTCTCAATGATCTTGATTGCCTGGATCCGTGCATTCGTGGCATCCTCGGATTTCGAATGCTGTTGAATGCCTATGTATGCCGTTTGTACCCGGTCTGTCTCGGTTCCGAGAACAAGTTGGTATCGAGGAATCGGAGGAACATGGTTTTTAGGCTTTTGCAGTGGATACGTACGTTCTGGGGCCGACATGCTAAAAGCACTATGGAGGTTATTTTGATGGGTAAAATAAAAAGGATTTTTATAAAAAAAAAAAGCCAGTCTTCAGGAAAATATGCTTCTTATAGAGTCTGACGTCGGTTCAGTTTATGGGAAGAAGCGGAAGTTCCCCGCACAAGACTTGTGCAGAGAGGGCGTCTTCAGGTAATCTTTCGGTTCTCGTTGGTCAAGCGTTGCATCGTCCGGAGCGGAGATGGTCTGCCACGCGGCCCACACCTCCTCACTCACGGGTAATTAGCTCGGCTTTTCATCATTAGCCCAACGGCCATACTAACAATACTCACGTTTAGACTTGTAAGGAGAAGAAGCGGACTTTTAACTATGCGCAAGCTGGAACTGTGCTTGCTTTATCTTAAATTATTGACTAACCCAAGTAGCCCAGCCTACAATTACCTCAATGATGCTGAAGTACAGTATAGAATAGCTGTAGTCCTAAAAAGGAGAAAGATTTAGGGCTGTCAAGATATGGCTGGGTGCTGGGGATAACTTTAGGAGAATTGGTAAGCACTGGGAACTGCACTGAATAACGAGCAAAATAATTCGGCGGGTACACAACGCCTTGGTCTCTTCAATACACGTATTAGTGGGCGTCAGGGCTATCTTTATTAGTAAATCTAACTTCATAAAGCTAAAAAGAATTACGTCTAAGCAAGGAGTTATTAGGAAATAGATACGTAAATTAAGATTTATAAAAACTGTATTACCTGAGATATTAGATAATTGTCAGCAGGATTGAGTGAGATATGTATTTGTTTGCGCAAATAACAATAAGCGCGGGTGCGAAACGCACTACTCTCTTGTGATGGGGTGTAGGCCTGTAGTCTTGGTCGTGTTTCATAAAGGGTTCTGCTATTTGGGTTCAATGCTAGATTCAAGAAGATCCCATATCATTACTAGATTACCTTTTGCCTCTCAATCAGCGAGAGCATATGGTCATACGGGAGGTAGTCAAGCTTATTAGCAGTTGAGAGAAAATGGTTGTATTAATCGATGCAACTTGCCCATAGGCCGTAAAGACTAGAAAACAAGGAAGTACAGAAACTGCAAAAAGGCTAGCATCTCTCCATGACCTGCATACTCTTTCCCTTCACACCTCGTAGTAGCTGATAAAACCCTTGCTATCCATATCTCCACACTTAATTATTGAACCCATCGCGATGTAAAAGCCCAGGAGTAATGAAGTAACTGCGGTAACTCGGTATTGGGTTGCTCGAATGCACCGTGTATAGGTGTGCACATCGTTAATGATCGAGATAACTGTAGCTAAGAAAGAGTGTTGGGTACATGGGTCATATCGCATGAACGCAGATCTTCTCCTATCAGCGGTACACAAATAGGATATATTATTCTAGCAAGAATTGTCATCGAGAATGGCTGCCTGTTATTTGGCCAGCCCCGTCATTCTGCAAGTCAAAACAAGGATTCATTTCTCCCGATGCCCTTTCACTGAAGCAGCGTTGTTGTGACTGGGCTTGAGTTATCCAATTCCTGAGAATTCACTTCCTTAGGTCTCTGTATAGTTTGTTTGATCCAGGACAGTTGTTCCTGACCGGCCAGAAGTAGTCTTGCGTGGTAGATATTGAATCGGTTGGCTATTCGAAGGCAGTTTTCTGTGTATGGAGCCAGTGATTCGCATTCTCCGACATTCCTCGCTCGGCCGATGTGAAAACACACAAGGAGTATTTGTCGGAGCCAAAATTCTCTCCTCTCATCTGTGCAGGTTTGTAATACACATGTCCGCCAAAGAGCCGGTATCAGAATGGGTCGGCCGACTCGGATCCCCAAAGATGCCTTTTCAAATGCGTGGAGTATTTCCCCTGACTGCCTCCGGAACACATTGCTTAGACGGAGTTCCGGATGAGACCTTGTGATATCATCAAGATGACCATCGACTTTAGAAAGGAAGTCGAAAATATCAATCTTTTGACGCATATTCGTGAAAAAAGGAGCTGGCTGTAAGAAAGCCATGAGTTCTAGCAAGTCCATCAAGTCTGGCGCTTGCGATGCAGAGCAGTCTCTCAGGCGCTCCAGCGAGCTCTCGTACAGCTTCACTATAGAGCGACTTCCGTGTTCCGGCAGCTCTACGCTGAGCAAGCGTTCGTAAACCTCCGACCCCGATCTTTGTAGAGTGTCAATAAGATGCTGCAAAAGGTGTTCATCTGGTAGCAAAGGTTTCTCGAGTCCCAGGAAATATAGAGCTGTCGAGGCAGCGCAGACTCCAAAGGCATGGCAGTCTAGGTTGTAGGCAAGCAGTTTCAGCTGCTCATCGTGCTGAGTATGGGATACCGAAGACAGACCGGCCTCGTTGGCCCTGCGTTTAAACAGCGACAACATGTCGTCCAAGTCTAGAGAAGATACTGGTTTGACCAAAAAGCCCATCTTCTTCGCTTCAATGGGATCTCTTGCTGAAGTGAGCACTGTCGTGTTCTTGAAGGCAATGTTGGACCTATGCTGTTCTTCGTGGAGGCCGTGGAGATCATCGAGCACAACGATGCAGGGATGGAATCGAGCTCCCCTATCAACCCATGTCATGAACATCCGCTCAATTATTTCAGGGCTGAAGCTGTTCCAATGTTGCAGCTGAAGGCCTTGGCGTGTGTTTCCATCCATTAGGTCGTGACCAATCATGATGGCAACATCTTGCACTGCACCTCGGAGGTCTTGGTCTCCAGATGAGGGCAGTATGAACACACTGTGAGAAGAGCTGTACTCATCTGCTAGCTGAAGTAGCACTTCTGTTTTCCTGTGGTTGCTTGTCGTCAATCGGCGGACATCAAATACAGAAGAGAATGGCATCATGATTATAACATACCCTGCTCCCGCCATTCCAGTTAGCGCAATCTTGCTGGCCTTGTAGTTGTCTTCTAAATGACGTCTGATCTCATTTAGGAGGGCGTTCCTCCCTACAAACCCTGCTGATGGTTGTCGAGATATCTCGTTATAAAAGAACAGCTTGTTTTGGGGAGGAAATGACGGTGCTGAGATAGGTATATGACCAGGCATATAAACCTACAGCAGGTTAAACTTGCTCATCAAAATAATATGACACCCCATTACTGAGACGGTTCCTGTACATTTGAAGGGCGCTCGACAACTTCAGCACTTTGCTCCAGCAATTCGTTCCTAAGTTCTTTGATGGTGTCAAGGACCTTGGCATAGCCTTTGTCAAATTTGGTTTCGAATCGACAGACGCTATTGTGGTCAGTCCCTGGAACGGGCTCAGCCGTGATGCCCATGAAGCCAGCAGACACAGCAGTGACAATCTGAAGTTGACTTAGTATACAATCTTCTCCTGCATTTTGGTTCAAGCCATGGATTTCTGTGACAGTAATTACCTGTTTGTCTCCAACTGTCGTCTTCGTCAAGTTGGTTTCGCAAAGACAACGGACAATGGGTTGAGGTTTGATGGTTTGCCAGTCGTTGATGACTTCTTGGAACGAGGGATTGAATACTCTTAATTCTTCGACCAGTTTCGTGCGCACACCTGCCATCAACGAAGCAAAGTCAAGGGCCAAGTCAGAAAAGTTGGCTAGGTTAGTACCGCTGTGCGGTGTACTCAGAAACAGAAAGCCATAATTGACAAACTTTACTGATTTGTACTTCATCCCTTCTCCTCTCCAACGCCAGTGGCGAGTCACAGCCAGACGGCTAACGAAGCCACCCATCGAATGACATATGAACAAAACTGGACGGCGTTTCTCGTCATCGGTAGCTCTGACAAATTTAAGGCCGTCAATTAACGAATCGGCAAAGTCTTTCAACCCATGGTTGATACTTTTGCCATCCATCAAATTTGAGTTGTAGCCGAACGTCATTATGCGACTCTTTGGAAACTCATGGGGCAAGTAGTCTCGGAGCCACATCTTAGTTTTTGCCATCCAGGTATCGAATGCATGCCCATCGAGTCCATGAACGGCACAGATGCTGTGTAGAGTATGCGTGAGTATTCCGATGCCCCAATGGCCATGTCATGGTATGTATTGAAGATGAAGGAACTTCTTTTGGAATGAATTTGGGTTAGGGGCGAGTGATCAATGAGATAATGAAGGGAGATAAAGCGGAGCGGCGAGAAAAGAAATACAGAGGAGAGGAAATATTATGCTGGAGCTTTGGATATAGGCTGCTACCCATGATCTCGGTGCTTCTAGGAAAGGATTCTCACTCATCTGGGTGTTGCCAAAGCTATTTGGTTCACTTACTCTAAATCTATAGGCATTTCATTTCCTCCGTAGAGCACCGTCACTCCTTCAAACTCGTCATCCACATTTGCGCACTCATTAGAAGGTCGAAAGGATTTCGTTGCTCTTTGCTTCTTGGTCTGAGAATTGTACGTGATAGTGGCGGTCTGAACGTTGTCTCGTATCGTCAAGTTGGTGCCCAAAATTACAGGCGACTGATCACCGTGTGATAGCCCAAAAGTTTGGCTGACTGAATTCAGAGACGCCTTGACTGACGTCTTGAGCCCTCGCGGCTTCGCGCATAAGTCTTCGGCAAGTTGGTTCAGGCGATCTTCGGTGACATCCGACCCGAGCCCTTGCAAGCGGCACGTTCTGGTACTCTTCCTCATGGTGAAAGCGAGCAACAGTGACGGCGGTGGTGCCGATAAGGCCAGGGCGATAGTCTCAACGACTTTGACGTAGCAATCGCGTGTCAACTTGGCAAAGAAACGAATGCTCACATTCGGAGCCTTATTTAATTGTTAAAACACAGCCGGTTGTTATCTGCTCACGTGGCTTTCAATGGTTTTCTCAGCCCTGTTCTGCCAACGCAACTTGTGCCATATCCACCGAATCATCAACTGCCACGACCCATTTCAGTCCAGCCACCATCAGCACAATGACGTAACAAGTGCGGAGTTATCGGCGGATAGCCACTGACCAGATCCGAGTTTTCTTTGGCAGTATTCATCACAAGTTCCTAATTAAAGCCTCAAGAACGTGATAGCTTGTTGGAACGCCATACGCCGCGGCAAGATTGAGCAGACTACCGACACAAAATAAGAACATACCAGCAACCCAGTTGGCAGGTTAGCGGCGATACACATCAAGACCAACTTGGAAGTCTCGCCGTCTTCATCGGCAGATCGTATTATGGCACTTCCGAACATTAAGAACACAACCAAGTTGACGACCACGGAGACAGCGACGACCAGCGCGATAACGACCAGAGATGGGAACTTGTTCCGCAACGGAATACCTCTGTCCGATGCCGCGACTATGTTGGTGCTCTTACTCGGGGCTAGCAGGAGCCCCGAGGTGCCTGCATTTGTCTTCCTCAGACCTTTCGTACCGCGCATTAGGTGGACTGATTCGGGTGAAGTTGTCATCGCAAATTGCGGTATCTCAGATAGATCACTCGACCTCTTCAGCCTCTGGCAAGATAGGCCACCTGGCCCGATGGCTAAAGATACCGGGGATGGACCAACGTTACCCTCAGACATTTTCGCGTGGTTTTGTTGCTCCCCGCATGAACTCAACACTGAACAGGTTACATTACATCTGGGGGATGAGTTGAAGGGACTGCTCTCCGAATCGACGCTGGTCGCCAACGTCAAAGACGGTCTCGTTTATTTGGGCCTTTCTGAGCAACTACGAAGCATCCTACCTAGAATGCCGACAAACTTATTGCTGAAAGCAAGATCGCAATTGGCGAGACTAGTCATTGTCAGTTTGGCTGAGCCTTACATTGAACCCATGTGGGAAATGGTCTCGCTGCGATGCCGCGATATTCTCAAATCCACCGTCATTCCTTACTTAGTGCGAGCTGAGTCTGGATATCTTCAAACCATGTCCCTAATGTATGTATTTTGACAGCTATTCACAGGAAAACTTATGGCAGTGGCTAAATCTGTACTACAGGATCAAACTCACCGTTGACCGGCGATTCAACAGTGCTTTATTGGAACTCCCATTCCATCTAATGCATTTGGGATTCGTGACTGACATGATCGACTGGGACGCCTTATTTGGTGATTTCCCTGCATGGTTCAACCTTCTTCCTGGCGCATTAAGTGCACTTTCTGCGGAAACTGGCACGGAGGCCAAGTTGGACAAAATGATTACGGGAACTCCTTGGCTGCAAGAAAGCAGTTTCCTCTGGTCTCTCATTGGATTTGCCATTGCGCGCACTCACACGAAATCAGCATATATCATCCCGGACTGGTATTCCTCCGTCTCAAATATGTGGCTCGAACAGGGGAGGTTGAGGGGATTGAAGGAGAGCACCATGGGCAGAGCCGCATACAGTCTCGTTTTCGCCGCGACGGCAAAGAAGGAGGATTTGCTTGAAAAATTCCCTTGGTCAATTCAAAGTTCGCTCGGTATTGCCTTCAATGCCTTAGGGTATCAGGGTAATGGCAGTACTCTTCTCGAAAGATCCTTGGCAGCCATGGCTTCGGATGATGCACCCAACTTCAAGCCAACAGAGTCGGTTGTTTACGGTCTTTTGTCTGCCGAGCTATTCAACTCCAGCAATGTGATTCAAGATAGCAAACGGCATCAGGCTCGGGGACTGGGTCTGACTCAGTCAAGAAACGAGGCGCACCTTGGAGACCGCTTCGACAGTATCCTCGTCAAAATGGCCGTGGCAGACACCCACATTGGGTTGGCAGACTATGATACAGCTGAGACTCTTCTGAATCAGGTCTTGTCAGTAACCGATCTCGGCCCATACATCCAGATCGTGACAACCCTTCGTTTGAACAAGATTGGGAGGAGGACAAACCGATTCACGACTCGATTCGGGGACAGTCTGAGAAATGTCATCCCATTGACCATTGAAGCAGATACGGAAGTCCAAATAGAATTTCTGGCTGAGCTGACAGCTACCCTTGCGCATCTCAAATACGGGGAAAAGAATAGTCAATATTGTTCAAAGCTGAACGATGTTGTGCGGCAGACGATAGACCTCTACCAAAAGCATTCTATTCTCCAGGACGACTGGCGCTTGAAGAAGATCACAATAGCGTCAAAGGAAATAGCTCCGGCAATCTCAGTACTCCCGTCAGGGGAAACTAGTGGACAAGACGCTGTCGAAACTCCCGAGATCAGAGAACCAATCTACCAGAGAATTCTTGAGCACTTTGTCCAGAGTACATTCGACAACCGGCCTGAGCACTTTTTGCCAGAGGGCTCAATCGACCGCATTCTTGACCGCACATCTGTCGTTGACGCCATAGGCACAGCAAACATGATTGAGAGCGACCAATTGGTCAATTTCATAGTCAACAAGGCCCGAAAACTGTTCCTGATTGCGATCTATAGTGGTCTCGAAGGGGAGACTCTATCCCGTGCGATGAGATCGTTTGAAGTCAACAACCTACAAGATACCGACCTCCCAATCACGGACCTAGATCATGAGCATTTCATGCCATCCAAAGATAAATTGGAAGGCTGGTATGAGTTGTGGACTCCAGTGACCTTTTACAATCTTTGCCAAGCCCAATGGAGGTTTTTAGCCCCTGTGTTTTCGACCGATCGGTTCTTCTATGATTTCGGCCCTCGTTCCATCATCCCAGTTGTCGAAAAAAGCGATCAGTATAAGGAGGGTGCTTTCAGCCGAGTTTTCAAGGTCAAGGTTCACGAAGCGCACTTCAAGGATCAGAAGCAATCGGTGAGAATCTGCAGAATAGCAAACAACTTGGCACTCCATATACAATAACAAATGCTAACTCTTGTTCTACAGACAGTTCCATACCCTGAGCTTTTTGCCCTCAAGCAGATTCGTCACGTTGACAATTGGGCTGGGGAATTGGGCGCTATGCATTGGGTACATTCTCTCCAGCAGTCGCACATCGTCCAGGCCATGGCTGCATTCAAAAAGGGCGCTCGTGGTGCCGAAGATCATTACCTGATGCTTGAATGGGCCGATGGTGGGAATCTTCGAGAGCTGTGGATGGCTCACCCGAACCCGATTCCCAGCCCTGAGTTGATCAAACTAGTCATCCAGCAACTCCTTGGTCTTACCAGTGCTCTTTGTGTGGCACACGCAGATGGAGTTCGACATGGAGATATCAAACCGGAAAATATCTTGAGATTCATGGGTAAGAGTGATAATCTCATCGGAACGCTAAAGCTGGGTGATTGGGGACTTGCAAGGCGTCACACCACCGTGACCGAACTGCGAGCCGAGCCGACAACTACCAGGCAAGGCACTCTACGCTATGAGCCACCGGAAATCAATACTTCTCGGTCTCGCCTGTATGACATGTGGGCCATTGGCTGCATCATTCTAGAGTTCACGGTTTGGCTTCTTCATGGTAGGGAGGGGTTAATCAACTTCAGCCACGACACGATTGGGAACTCTACACATGGTGGCCCATTTTACGAGCTGGGAATCGAAAACGGAGTAACAGTTCCTAGAATTAAGGAGGCAGTGGTGAGGTGGATGGATATCATGGCTAAGCAGGCAGGAGGCGAAGTTAAAACCGCTCTTGGTGACCTTCTAGCGATTGTTCGGAACAAACTCCTAGTGGTCCAACTCACCCCCGATGCCACGTTGAGTAATCCGATACCGAACGATTCACCAGGTTGCGATGTCGTTTCGAACATCAAAATCGACCATGTCGAAATCAATCTCCCGGGCTCCGTTAAGATCGTTCCGGGGTCTCACCGGGCCGGGGCCGCGGAACTATGTGAACATCTGGAAATGATCCTGGCCAGAGACACTGGTCACGACAGCTATTGGGTTGTGGAGTCCACAGCTTCGTCTCCTGCCGGTCCAGATGTGTTGATGCCATACTTATTGTCTCTTCATTTCCACCACATGTCAAACAAATCGTTTGGTTTCACGTGCATTACTTCGAACGGAAATACAAGGGCTATTCACATTGGGGTCGTTTCTCGAGGGGCTGACTCTCTATCGGCAACTGGTAAAGATGTGGATATACGGCTACGTGGCTTCGACCTTCCGACAGAAGCGCAACATAAGATTCCATACCAACGCCGTGTCCAATGGGACGATGATAAGACGGAATTTGCGGGCAAGGTGGCTTTCTACATCAAGACCCAAGTCATTTCCTTGCTAACTGGGATAATAGAAACTGCAGCATAGGCTATCCATGGGGAGCATGAGTCGTCCCGGCGAAGCAACAGACCCCAAAAATATCATCGACACCCACAACCATGCTCTGGTGCCGACCGCTTCGCAAAACAGTCACCATAAATTGCATGGCAGTCTGCAAAATCAATTGTTCCAAGCGATGGTATCTAACCCAACACAGAGAATGGCGTTTCTTCCGAGGGGGGGATTGTTACGGCTTATCAACGAGAAGTCTGTTCAGAAGCAGTTGGTAAAAGACGAAAGAAGAACATGGCGCAGTTACCTCTCGATGGGTGGAGCAGCTGCACGCAACGCCAAAGACATCAAGTCTTGCGCCTTAGAGATATGCGGGATCGTATTTTCTGGATCGCAGGGAGACCGTCCGAAACGACTCAAAAAATCGTTCCGAAAGATATTCGCCATCTTGGTCTTGATCCACGAATCCTCTCGGATCTGGGACTTTGTCGGAGAAGGTGTTTGCGATGCGGATCTACCACTTATTGAAACTCGAGGAGAGCATGGACGCAAAGCCTTTGATCTTCGCCGCAAACATGCCGCAGACCTTCCTTTACGTTGCTTGAGAGGATGGAAGCAGAGCGATATGTCTCGATTCGCCGAATGGCAATGGACGATGATCGCCCCCGTTTTTTCGAGAGCTTCTGACAATATTCCCGTGCACTATGTGCTTTCACCGGACGTCATTCTTCCATATGTATCCGCTCGAAGTGAAAACGAAGGAGGATTTTCGCGGGTATTCAAGGTTTTCATACACCCCGATCATAACAACCTTGACTCTGCTGAGGTATGATCCGCCATTTCTGACATTGCCATCGGAATCTGCCTCTAACACTATCACCAGGAGCCGCATCAGGGATTTGCTGTCAAGCGTCTATACAGTAGGAACCGAAAGTCTTTCGACAAAGAAGTCGAGGTGCTAAAAATGCTAAATCGGGCTTCTCATCCACATCTCATATCTCTCTTGGCATCCTACGAGCAGCATGGGGAGTTCAATGTGATATTTCACTGGGCTGACGCAAATCTATTGGAATACTGGGAGAAAGTAAAACCTAAACCAGCCTTCGATAGGACAACGATGCTGTGGGTGGCCGAACAATGCCAAGGCATCGCCGAGGGACTTTCAGTTATTCATCACATTGGGTCGTTGCCTGAGAACCAGCAAGTGGGTCAAACCAGTTCCAGTCCCCCATTCTTTGGGTACCACGGCGACATCTCAACGCAAAATATCCTCTGGTTTTCCAAACCGAGATACCTGAATGACATGGGTACTCTCAAGATATCTGATTTTGGCACTGCGAGCTTGCGTGTTGTGCCATCGGCACGTATGGCTATGTCACCGACGTATGGAGCACCTGATGGCGATATGCTCGGTAGCAAACCTAACTCGTCCTTCGACATCTGGTCGCTTGGCTGTGTGTATCTCGAGTTCGCTACCTGGCTCTTAGGAGGCGAGCGACTGTTGCAACACTTCTGCCTCGAAAGGGTGGAGCAAGACCCCGACCGTCATTTTAAAAGCGACTGTTTCTTTGAATTGGTTAATGAAGAGGATACAAATTTGACGTACCCGAGGGTCAAGTCATCAGTCATCAAGGTTAGTTTGTATTCTCTCAGGTCAGAGTAACCTAACTAACCTGAATTATGGATAGTGTTTCGCCGAACTGCATACACTCTGTAAGCAGGCCACTTACTTTCACGAGTTTCTAGATATTATCCAGCAAAGCATGATAAAAATTGAACAAACGGAACCTTGGGGGCGAAGCCGACTGGGTAGTAGCGAGCTCTCGGAGAGACTCGCCCTGATGTACGAGCGGTGCGTCCGGGAAACTACAAATGCACCTCCGTAGGCAAAGTGCATCATTACAGGTCATCTCTGCGCACTGAAGCAGTCGAGCGTTCAATTGTTTAAGGTATGCTGCGAGGTTAGGTTGAGAACTTGATAGAGTTGTATATAATGAATCTAGTTCCTTCTTAGTCCTCGCAAGGACTTGCATCATGAAAATGCCGTTGCCCAACTGGTAAAAGCCCGAGCATGGTCACTATATCCATTGTAACGATCGATCAAGGAACTTGCCTTACCAACCAGCATCAAACCATGAATAATAGCCTACTTATATTCACATGTCTATCAGCTCCAGCATCGGTGTGGTTTGGTAAAACAGCCTGATCCTACTACTTACATAAACCGGCCAGTCTGATCGCAGAGGCGATCACGGATAGTTGCTCTTCATCATATTTATGACTAATAGGAACTTAGCGCTTTCACAGTCTTGAATCATTTCCGACAACATGAGAAGCATTATCATGGAACTCACGCGGTCTTTTCTGGGTGCATTTCAAAGCCGTCTATTGATTATTTTAGGCTTACGGTTCATGCTCCATTTCGTGGCTGCAGTTTACCTTAATCTCTCTCTCGCAACTTGTCACTAAATCACCGACACGTTTTATAATACTCCTGCATGTTCACATTATCTCTCATCTGTGTTGTGGTTGATCCAAGGAGCTTCTAGATTCCATTTGCCAAGCCAGAGCGATCTAAGCTTCTTCTGTCATTACTTAACTAGTTGCTCAATCGGCAAAGGTCTTCGCTCTCTAACTTGAAATGCATCTTATCCTTTTTGTCACAGTTTGATGTGGGTTAAGGACGAACAAATGGGTTATTGTCTTTCATTAAATTCATAATATCGCTCCCGATGAAACGGAGTATAGTTGTTAATCATTCTAGGTTTTACATCTTTGCTCCTTGATCTGGATTCTGATACAGCCATGTCGATCAAGCCAGTCGATCAAGCCGCCTTCTTGGCGTTCTCGCGCTCCTTCAAACCTGCTCGCACCTTGGGAAGAATGTACCGTCCGTAGTCGATGGAATCATTCAAGTTGTCGTAACCACGGATGGAAATAAGAGTAGCACCGAGGTCGACGTAGTCCAGGATAGAGTCGGCAGCCGTCTGGTAAGATCCAACCAGGGCAGTTGAGGCACCTTGTGCGCCGGTAGCAGTAACAGTCGGGTACCAGAGAGCGCGGTCCTGAACCTCGCCTCGGGTAGCGATATCGAGAAGTCGCTGGGATCCAACGTTCTGAGGCGGGGGGGCGTTGAGGGGAACTCTGCTCTGGCCCTTCTCGCGGTTCTGCTTGAGAATGTCCAGGGTGCGGTGGGCCTTGGCCCAGGCGAGATCATCAGTCTCGGCGACGATGGGTCGGAAGGTCACCCAGATGCGAGGTCGGTCCTCCTTGGGACGGCCAGCCTTGTCAGACTCGGCGTAGATGCGGTCGATCTGCTCCTTGGTCTCCTTGAGGGGCTCACCCCAGAGGCCGAAGATGTCGGCGAGAGCGCCGCCCTGGCGGTAGGCGGCGTCTGAAGATCCTCCCACAGAGACGGGGATGGTGCCATTCGTGGGTCGGACGGTGCTCTTGAAGTCCTTGAACTTGTAGTACTTGCCGTCCCAGTCGAATGCCTCGGTCGACGTCCACACCTTGCGAACGATCTTGATGTACTCCTCTTGGCGCTCGTATCGCTCATCCTTGTTCAGGAAGTCACCCTCACGGGCCTGCTCGGCGTCATTTCCACCGGCAATAAAATGAACAACGACTCGGCCCTTGCTCAGCTGGTCCAGAGTTGCCAGCGCCTTGGCGGCAACGGTGGGATAAACGGTGTTGGGGCGCAGGGCGATGATGATCTTGATGTTCTTGGTCACGGCAACAATGGTTGCGCCAATCGTGAAAGGATCAAACGAGGGCGAGCCGTAAGGAATGAGAGTGTAGTTGAACTCATGGTCGTCCAGCGAGCGGGCATAGCGGATGAGATAATCAGGGTCAATGCCAGCGCCAGGGATCGGGGCAAGCTCCGTCGAGGCGTTGGGGAAAGTGACGCTAATAAATTCGGTAGTCATCTTGAATGCTGAAGTTGTTGATGTTTTGGTGTCTTCTACGATCTGAAATCATCTCCTTGAGGCTCGCTTTATATCTTGACCTGCCACGGAGGAGGTGTCGTTGCCCGCGTCTGCACTAGCGAATTATTAATCTCCGTAATGGCGAAATTATTGCGACAACTGCTGAAGGATCACGCCTTACCACCACTACCGATGTCGGCCGAACGGGATAAGATCAGCGCCGGGTGCAATTGAGAAACGATTGAAAATTCAATTAGGATCTGGTATTTTCTCGAGTTTGCACTAGAAAGCAATGAGGGCGTATAGAGCTGCTACAAGTTTCCGTTTCTCGCGAACCAGATATTGGAAGGTCCGAGAGCATCATATCGCCATCACCCTCAACACGTTTAACCCCCATTCTACTCCGAACCCCTCCAACTCGGAGCCGGACGTAATGCACCATCGTCTGTGGGTTCCAACGGGCCTGTCGAACGACCCCGCAATTGAAGCTATGGCCCCAATGCGACTCTTTGGATTGCTCCGCGATGGCGTCAGATGGCGAGTGATCCACAAGGTGGTTGCACGCGGCCAGCGCCGGCGCGGATCTGACGCAGGCAGACGACGCTGAATCGCAACGCAGGGATCTCTATTGGTCTCTGAGACTGCATCCGGGATTAAAAGCACCTGCCGATGCTGCAGTCTGGTGGCATGAGCCGGTGGGATGGTGGGCATCTGGTGCGATAATAACCTGGTGGGGTCAGAAACGTGATTGAGGAACGCCGACAGCCTAAGTATAACCTCACTTTTGTATCCGCAGGCGACTCCAACCGAGTGGGATGGTGGGATGGTAGCATCAGTCTTTTTGATTCGGAAACCCCATTGTATCCCGCTAAATTTTATGTCCTTTCCAGTGCCCGAGTTACTCTGCCAAATGGACTCACTCAAACCAAACGTATTCTGAGACACTTTATCAGACAGTGTATGGTTACTTTTATGCTTGTGCTGGCTAACTGCGGTAATAAAACTTTGAGACAGAGCCAACTTTTACATCGGTTCTGACTCCAATGGCTTCAAACGCTACCCGAATCGTGTCGTGGTTCTCCTCCGACAAGCCTGCCAAGCAAACGTCCCGGAGGCTCGGAAAGCAGCTGGAGGCTTTTCGAGCCAGGTTCAGGATATCCGAGAGCTGCTTGTCAAAAATACTGTCGATCGTCAAGCTCTGGATAGAAGACGGGAGAAAGTCTGTCAGTAAGTCCCCTGTGGTTGGATTGCGACCCCTCGAATTGTGCAGGCCACAGCCATCGACTTCTAGCCTTTCGAGAAGCTGCATCTCCTTGAGACTTGACACGAGCCATGTCTCAGTCATGTTTTCAGGCGGAATACCCTCAGACGTGAACCAGAGCGACACGTTTCGAAGAGTGTCTGCTCTTATAAGCAGGGCTTGAGAAATCTCCTGTGGTGTGGCCTGGTTGAGATCGTACATGGGGAAGTTCCAAGCTCGATATGAGAAAGTTTGCAAGTTCCTAAATTGGCGCATGATTGTCTGAAGCGATCCGAAGTCCAGGTTGTTGTTTCTCAGCGTCACTTCGACCACATTGTCGTGGCGGATGAAGTCTGAAGCAGAATTAATCCGGCACGCCTCCAAGGAGCTCAAGGCCGGCGCTGCTTGCAGGAGACTATCCACAGCGTTGAGATCCTCGCCCCTGCGTGCGGCTCCGTGCTCAAGATATAACTCCCGAAGGCGTGGGAAAGATCCAGGACGGCAGAACATAAAAGATAACGGTTCGTCATCATAAGCCCCGACCTCAAGCCGCAAAACGTTGGTTATCTGTGCCAGAGCCAGCGCGGATAGAGCCATACGGGGATCATACTGGAATAGTTCGGTTTCAGAGTGGATCAAAGGCTGGGGTCGGACTGTCAAGTGCCAGTTCTGAGAAACTTGGATCGGTTGCCCGTCGACTCCTCGGCACTTTGACAGTGCAATGTTGAAAAACGCCACATCGTTTGCAGAAATAACATGGCCTCGTTTCAAATGCCAAGGCCCGTTGACTCTCAGCACTCGAACCATTTGCGCGAGATCCGGTCGCTCGCAAAGCGTTCGAACGAGGGAGATGAATCCACTGCCCGCAGTAAGGGGGCAATAGTACAGCATCGGCTGGGCTAGATTTCGGAAGGTCCAGCACGTTTGAGAAAGCCCGGAGAGTGCGCTGATAAGCACTCTGTTGAACCGCATGTTTTCAATGTGTTGAAGAGATCCATGGATGTGGGTTGGAGATAAGGCTTTGCATATTTCCTGGAGGACCTCGGTAGGGAGATCAAGGAGGTTGGTCATTTTGAACCCGCCAGATGCAGACGAAGGAGGATAAGGCATTGACGTTTGGTGATATCCGTGCCAAATCAGTATTCATGAAGGGCGACGAATACTCGCGAGGCCAGCGAGATGAAGCCGAAGGCGACGCAGTAAGACATGCTGCCTTAGGGCTAAGGCGCAAACAAAGTGCAAATAGCTTGGATACCCCGCATTACCTTGGTCAGCAAAGCCGTTGAGGAGAGAGAGGAGATGGAAGAGATTATCTGCTAAAAGCCCATATGTAATGCTAGTCTTGGTTTCTAATAAAAAGCCTTTTAAAGTTCACATTATATCTTCGAGAAGCATAGATCACTAGACATTGCCCACCTGGCCGCTTGGTTTGGAGCCGCCGCGGAGGCTAGGGAGCGGTTACCCCGCCGCAGGATTGCGCGAAGGAGGGGTCGAGGGCCCGCTACAACATCTTACCCCCTCTCTTGAAGAAAGTGATGGAAAGCATTTCAGCCGCTCTTAATTACTGCACAGCGCGAGATGCTCCTGTGAGACACTAGGCACTGTAATGGCGCTCATGTTCTGAAATAATAACGAGCTTGATGTCGCGGCAGTGGCAATATGGCGCAACAGACGTACGTAGGGGCAGGTTGCCTTGGACGTGATGATGCAGGGGGGCGTTAGGGCTGAGCAAAGACGACAAGTTGGAGAATAACAAACCCCGAATGACGGTGCAGATAAGAATCCAAATAACCAAAAGTAAACCCTAGAAATAGGGCTCGCGCACCTATTCACCGACATAAGCTTTTCTGCTCCATTGAACAACCTCGCTCCAGATCGCCAAGAGCGACTTGGCACCCAGCAGCATGTCACTGTCTTGGCTTTTCCCGGCGCTCGGGGATGCCGCCTGCGGGGGACCCTGGGCCTAGGACGCATGCGGGCTGAATCCATGCACCTCAGCCACAAGCAAGGCATTCTCGCCATCAGTTTGTGTGTGTGTAGCTGGTGTCCTACGCCGTGCTGCCACCTCAAAACGCGGGTATTCGGCTCTCATGTGGCTGATGAAGCGCTGGAGGCCGGAGGCTGGAGCACGATGCCGCCGCAGTCACTGCGCCTGCATGGACCCATGACGTGCCGCCTGGTTATTCAGGTTAATCAGCTGAGGCACACTAGACACACCTTGAGCTATTTGCTATAATACCTACCGAGCTTACTCCTCTTTCAACCCTCTTCCCTTCGATCATCACGCATTCATCCATCGCTCGTCCATCGGTTCGCACGCTCCCAGCACATCCACACCACACCCAGCAGAATGTCGTCCCAGGATTACTACGGTGGAGGCGGCGGCGGCGGCGGCTACCCCCAGCAGCAGCAATACGGCCAGCAGCAAGGCTACAACCAGCAGGGCTACAATCAGCAGCAGCCGCAATACGGTCAACAGGACCACGGCTACGGCCAGCAGCAAGGCTACCCTCAGCAGGTTCGTCGACCCGGATGACTTCATTCCCGAGCGATCCGCTCTCTCCTCGCCAACATGCTAACGTGCGCCTCCAGCAACAATACTCCCAGCCTCACCAAGGCTACAACGGGCCGCCCCAGGGCCACGGAGGCTATCAGTCGGGTCCCCCTCAGCAGCCCAGCTACGCCTCCCACTCTCCCCAGCCCAGCTACAACTCCCCTCCGCCTGGCCAGCCCGCGTACGGCGCTCCTCCTCAGCAGCAGGGCCACGACCAGCGAGGAAGCTACCCGCCGCAGCAGGGCGGACACAACCCCCAATATGGCGCACAGCAGGGCTACCAGGGCCCCCCCGGCCAATATCCCGGCCAGCCAGGCCAGCCCGGTCAGGTCGGCCCTGATGGCGAGCGAGGCCTCGGCGCCACCCTCGTCGGAGGCGGAGCCGCAGCGTGGGCCGCCCATACTGCCGGAACCGGTCTGATGGGCAGTCTCGGTGCCGCGGCAGCTGGTGCTATCGGCGCCAATGTTCTAGAGAACAAGATGAAGAAGTGAGTTTTTCCGGATACATGCCGTAGCCCGATTACTAACAAATGCCACAGACACAAGAAGCCGAAGAAGAACAAGAAGTACAAGAGCAGAAGCGGTGGCGGCTCTAGCAGCAGCTCCAGCAGCGATTCTGATTAATGACCGACATATGATAATGCCACTGGGAGTTTTGGGAGGTTGGATTTGATACGTTTTAGGATCTTTGTTTTCATTATTTTCGCCATACCGCGCCAGATAATTGTTGATTATCATGCTTCTATGACTCTCTTCAAATCCATTCCACTTATCTAATGTTTGCCATGACCAGCCCCCTTCGGCAAAACCTCTGACTGATTCACTATCGGTTCAGATGTGTCCTTTGTACACGTGATCAGCATGTAGTCACCGTTATTCAAGGATGCCAGTGTACTCACCAAAACTGATAGCCAGATAGACTGATCACAAAGACGCACGCAATGCCAGAAAACCCGACCGCAACCCATCCAACTGCGCATGCATAAGGAACTATACTCAGAGATAAAAACAAAAACGCCGTTACTAGCAGCAAGTGAAGCACGGTAGACGCCAAAATGCCAATGCTCTCCCACTTCTTCGCCCAGTCGTCATCATAATTTCCTCGTGCCCTATTCCGCTGAATGGTAAGCAGGCTGGAACTGTATCCCGCAACCGCGATGGAGAGAATAAAGCAGAGCCACGCGATGGCAATAAAATTTCTAATAGTCGACAGGGTAAATGGCGGCGGGTCTGGCTTCCAGATGTCGGCGGGGTCGGTCATCTGGCCAACCACCACGGCAAATGTCGACGCGCCAAAGATGGAGACGCTGAAGACGAAGGAGATGAACATCTTGAAGTCCTCTACCGACGACTCGATGGGGTGAGGCATGATGGCAGGGCTCGGGGCTGTGAGCTTCGGCCCTCCTCTGTCGGAGACGGCGACATCTGGAGGGCTGACAGCCGGGGTAAGAGGATTGTGTTGAGCAACTTGGTCCATGTTCTCGACAAGGTGTATATGGACGATCGGACGAAAGCTGAGCCAGCATGTGTAGTTTGTAGGGATGCAAAGTTCTGAAGACTTAGGCACCGACAAGACAAGGCTGAGACTCATGCAGCCGACTGGGGTCTAGACCAGTCTGCCCCTCTTGGCACTGCAGCGGACACCTCATGGTGTGAATATCAGAGTGCCTTTTTCCAGGTCCTCCGCACGTAGTGTATCATCATTCAAAACGAAGAGAACCTTGCACTCGTAGAAGCAGTTTCAACCACATCGAGATAGTAGTTGAAATTCATGACTTTTAAAATGACAAAGTTCACCCTGCGTTACTGCTTCCTGCAGCCTATTTCCCTTTAGATTGCTTAGTATTTTCATGCCCAACCGCCCTTTTCAACACCGATTCGTCCCCAACCGCCGTGGCAGAAGGTCTCTCAACCGGATCGCTGTTTTCCCTCACGCTGAAACTATCCACCTCCATATGAAGATCATACACACCCTCTGAGACTTTTGTATCTCTATAAATCCACAAGCACTTGCGCCCAGGCCCTTGGAGCGATTCACCCGTGCTCCCCCCGCGCAACGCGATGGTGTCCTGGCTCGCCATTGCGCGAAGAACTTGCGTCACGGCCACGGCGCCGCCGTCGGGCACCACGACACGGTTCGCGACCAGGGCGCTCGCAACCCCCAGGATAAGTTGCAATCCTGCTAGTAAAATCAAAATCACAGTGACGAGGTTCCAGTGTGTGACATCAAGCTCGCTTCCCACTTCGGGTGCCATCCCGTCGATGCTAAGGTCGTTGTTGTTGTCCGCGGTGGCTGCGACGACGCCGATTGTGAACCGCGCCAGGAGAAAGGACAGGCTCTCTTCACTGCCGTTGACCGGTGTGCCGAAAATCGACTCGGCCGGAAACGCTTGGTACTGAATGTCTGTAACGTTGATCAAGGACGAGGCTTCGTAGCCTTGCAGCGCGATAGCACCTGACATTATCGTCGTCAAGTCGGCGCTTACGTTGTGCTCTGAGCGAGTGGCGTTGGCGACTCTGCCCACGGTAATGTTGCATTCGTAGTACCATGGCGAAGTACTCGAGGCTTCAAATGCGTATATTGAGCTGCAACCGACGCCGCAGGACTCGGAGGTATTGGTCACGAACGTTGTCTGGTTGATGCCGCCTGCGACGGGTATGAAAACAGTCTCCTGGCCCTCGTCAGTGATGACGGTGATGTTGGTCTCGGTGCCATCGCCACCACTTTTAACAGGCCAGCTGTTGCACATAGCTGATGCATCAATGCTGCGTGATGTGGTAACAGTGGTGGGGTTGGATGCCGAGTTCAATATCGATTCGGTAGCCGTTTCGTGAAAGACGTAGCGACACGTTGTGTCTGCGCAAAACACGAGCGAGTCGCCAGGAAACCAGATGATTCCAGCACCTGGGACCTGGTCCATAGTCCCCATGTCATACGCAATGGAAACTGTGCCGTAGCTGTGTTGAATATTAGCATGAGCCCTCGAAACTGGCATTGCATGAATGAATATATACCTATTTGCCGTGTACTGCTGAGCGCTCAGTGATGAAGACTTGTCGGATACAAGCCTGGCGGTCTGAAGGCTAGACATATCCGGAATCGACACGTTCCCGGGAACCAACAAGGCATGTTTCTGGGCCGTGTTGTTTGAATAGCACAGACCTAATGAAGCCACGCCAACTTGTGCTCCCTAGAAAATGGTGAGTTTCAGCCAGTGTCGGGTGGAGAAGGGAGAAGGGCGTCCTACAATGATTAAAAACAGCCAAAGCAAAGCTGCTGCGTGAATTGAGAGACGGCGAGATCGTGCTGCTAATGTGATGACATGCAGCATACTGTCGGCTTCCATAATCAGTTCGACCTGTATAAGATTTCAAGTCCCTGCGTTAGCCAAAACCCAGCCCCAAGACGAGGCCACATACCTTGCGTCGGGATCTGTATCGACGGCTTAGAATCCACCACCGCAAGTCACCAACCATGCCGTTGAGGTTGCTAGCAATCGCCAAGCCAAGAGCAATCGCCAATCCGGTTATGATGGCGTTGAACTCGCGTCTCTCCTTCTTCGACATGACGGGCTTGTTCGAATAGAGATATAGTGCCACAAATATGGACACCGACAGGACGACTGTGACCAGCCATCCCGAGAGCACGCCAAATGCCAGCTTCCGAAAGGGTCGCTTGGTAGCGCGAAGGCCTCGGAATCCGACGACCTCGGAACCTGGGCGGAGCATCGCGATATTCTCCGTGTCGTCAAAGTCGCCTTGGTGAGTGAATGGGTCGGTCACTTCTTCATTCTTTCCACTGTTCCTGGCAGGAGATGGGGGATTTGCGGACCGGCTTGTCATCATCGGGAGGCAAGTCAAGCTGGCCGACGATATGACGATGGTTCCGGCCACGTCTCGGAAGCTATCAACGACATGAAAACAAAGCAAAGCTCGGAAGCCTAGAGCAAAACCAGATCGACGGGGATTCCCATTAATGCATTCGCAATAGAGTTGGGGGCCTCCCGCTAAGTACTGCTAAACCTTTTACAGGCGCAACCGCGTCGTAATTTTCGTAATGGCGTGCCAAACGCGGCCTCGCCGAGAGCTTTGACTCATTCCATTGGAGCCCCCACCAAAAACAGACTTCACTGTGAATACAACGTAGTAGAGAATACGAGAAATAAATGGGGACTGTCTTGTCGCGGTTTCAAATACTCCAGGCGGGGAGATGCGCAGGGAGGCAAACTCCTGATGCAACGTTTCGAGTTCTATGTCTTTTATGCTAAAATGACTCGGAACATGAATTAGATATCTTGTTGAGACAACGCCTAGATCTTACAGTATTGACAAACACGACACTCGGTACAATGATATGATATTCAGTGGCACTTTCGCCATTCATTCCCACCCTAGTCTTCAGTATATCTCCTCTTCACCATATCATTCACTCACGGCGTGTTCTTGAGAACCGAATCTATCTCCTTCTTGAACGTAGCGCGAATGACTCTACGATCCAGCTTCTGCGTAGCAGTGACAAGGCCCTGCAGGTCGTTAGTAAATTATCACATGTAAATAGACACAAGCCCACTGGGAAACGTACACTTGGAGGTAACCACTCCTCGTCGGTGATGACAACGCCAGCAACAATCTCCATTCCAGAAAGGCCGGCCCGCTTGCCAGTGGTCTGGAGATCCTGAAGCACAGCGGCGCGAACCTTGGCGTCGGAGTGCTGACTGTGCTCGTCCACGCCAAGGCCCTTGGCGATGCTGACAAGGACCTTTTCGTTCGGCATGATGACGGCAATTGGCCGAGAATGCTCCGGGTCGGCGTGGATCATGACATTGGCGACAGTCTGGGCGCCTCGATAGACAGACTCAAGTTTCTCAAGGGCAATATACTCGCCACCCTGCATTTTAACGAGGTTCTTCGCACGGTCAATAATGCGAATGTGGCCGTCAGCATCGAATTCGCCAATATCTCCAGTCTTGAACCACCCATCAGGAGTAAGAGCCTTATCCGTCTCCTCCTGGTTGTCATAGTACCCCTTCATGACCGCGGTACCCTTGATCCAGATCTCGCCCTGCGGCACCTGGGCATCGGCAGAGTATCCTAGATCGGGGACAGAAACCAGCTTCAGCTCGATAGAAGCCGGAGTGGGGCCGATGGAATCCAGCGTATACTCGAGGGGGCAGCCAAGAGCGCCGCTCGAACAGGTCTCGGTGAGACCATAGCCTCCCATCATAGGGGCGAGTACGAGGGATAGGAAGCTCTTGGTGCTATCAGCAATACCGCTGGCGCCATTGATAGTAAACCGAAGTCGGCCGCCAGCCATCTCCCGAACTTTGCGAAATACTATGCCGTCGAATAACGTAGCTCCGGGGAGCCTGTTTCTGGCCATAAATCCCTTGAAGCTAAGAGCGCTCCAGAAGAGGGTTCGGATGATCGGGCTAGACGTCTCTAGCTTGGCAATAACGCCCTTCTTGACCGTCTCCCAGACCTGCGGAACACCGACCAAAACTGTAGGCCCCAGCTCTCGCATATCTCCAGCGCAGTTCTTGACTGATGTATCGGCTAGGGTTTTGGGATTACCATACCCTAGTGAGCCGCCGAAGAATAGAACCACGTTTTCAAGGGCCATCTCCAGAATATGAGCAAGTGGTAGGTAGGCGAGCACTACCTCCTTATCGCTGACGCATTCACCGACGCAGCTATACATACCGGCAACTAACGAAAACATGGGTTAGCAATCTCGTCCGTCCGTTGTGCAGTGGGAGCTTATAGGACTCACCTCCTGCAATAAGCGCGTCATGAGTAATACAGGCGCCTTTCGGTGTACCAGTAGAGCCAGATGTGTACATGACGCAGTACAGATCTGTAGGTTTGGCCGGCACAGGCTCAACCATATTTTCCTCTCCCAGCTTGCGCAGCTCCTCAAAGGTAATGACATTGAACTCCGGGTTGGCTGTCTTGAAATCCGCTATTTCGTCGCCCGTAGCAAAAATACAGCTGTCATTAATAATGACGGTTTTGATACTTGACTGCTTCAGAGGCTTGATCGCGGTTTTCAGTAGGTGAGGGTCGATGTACATGGCGTTAGACTGGGTCTGAACGAGGGTGTGTTCGAGCCCGCTCTCGCCGAGGGTATCGTAGGCTGTGACTATGGAGATGGATTGAGAGGCGCAAGCGTGGGACATGGCGATCCAGTTCGCACTGAGAATTTTAATGAGCACGATTCCACTGGGCTCCAGCAGCAATTGTAGCTATCGCAGTGGGAGATGACATACCTCGTGGCGCCGAATAGATGCAGCTTATGTTCAGGAGTCAAGCCTAGCTTGCGCAAGCCGGAACCAACCTGGAGGACAAGGGTTTCGTACTCCTTAAAGGTGAGAAAAGAATATTCCGAGAGCTCGTAGAACCTCCACTCCTTCTCGACCTCTTTTACTTGACCGTCGACGTTCTTCTGTATCTTTTTCATTTCCTTGTGGAGCTTGATGAGTTTGCGCGAGCCCACAGCGCGGTGATTGGGGTAGAGACGCGCGCTGCGACGGACGATGTCGTAAACAGTGTGGATATCCTCGTGAGGGCGGCTAATGAGGCCATCCTTGGCTGAAGGATGGCGACGAGGGATAGTTTCACCAGGGACCTTTTCATAGCCCGGAGAATCGATGGTGAAGGGCGGTTTGTGCACTTGGTGCATGGGCATTATGCCCGTTCTGTAGTTGGCCATGGCGGGAGGTGGTGCTGGACGGGTTTAGGCCGAGAGAAGCGGATGTTGAGGAATCTCCGCGTCAAGAGATCTGGGCGACGTGGCGGATCGCGATGTCAAAAGATGAAGGTAAAGTCCAAGTTCCAAAATGAAAAAGAAGATGACATGTGAGAGACAAGGGAGATTGATTGCATGTGATGATGGAGCCCATGTTCTGGCCATGGTGTCAGAGTGGAGAAGACAGGAGGAGCTTGGGCTGTGTCCCTCGGTGCCGCGCAATGAGCTGCTGTAAACCGGGCTTAAGCCTGGTACGAAAACTCGATAGAGAAACTCGATGGAGAAACTCGGCCCCGAATGACGCACTGAGGGGCCTTTGTCGTACGAGAAATTACATGGGGACGAGGGGTGACAGTCTTTGTTGCAGCAGCCTTTTGAGTATCAGACCACTTCAAAGCCAATCGAAGCGCCCCTCGACGCCAACGCAAGACATCCAACTCCGTCACGCGGCAGCTCCTTGTTGCCTATTATACGAATTAAAATACTACTCGAAATATCTGCCGGCTCAGCTAGATTAGATGCCTACTCAAGCATCGACAATTCGAAATTAGGCACGACCGTTAATTGGATCACATGTCCGAAGAATCCGAACCTCGGAACATGAGATTTTAGTGACGAGTTTGAGGCCCCATCGCGATACGATACCCCTGCATCACTAAGCTTTATCGGCTACCCTGCACCACCCTGGGAAAGGAAGACCGGGTCAGATCGCCATGTTCACGCTATGGATCGTTGCTGTGGTTGACCTATTAGAAAAGTCTCTTGTCGGAGGTTGTATGGAATATTTGACTAGGTTTAATGGAATGGGGGGATTTCTCATGTGCGGGAATTCGATCAGGAGCAATACGCATTTACAGCCATGAACTTATATATTGACATCGGCTGCTTGGATTCACACGTTGGACGGTGTGAAAAGAGAATACTGGAAGTCAAGATCTACTACAGGGACAAAGAGTTCGCTCAAATCCCCAAGTGACCGGGATTAAATATATCATTATTCAATCCCACTTACAACGCCTATTACAACATCTAGAGTGCTTTCATAATCATGTTGAAGATCTTGAAATCGTCCTCAGAATCCTCGATCGTAGTCTTGACAGGCTTGTTCAACGTCACCAAGTCGTACAACTCCCTCATCTCCTGAGTGTAGGCGTCCTCATACGTGGTCCGCACAGTGGTTTCCTTGAAGACCCCGTCGACATTCTCCGAAACGTGGACTGTAATCGGCAACCCTTTGACATATGGTGTGTCGTACTGAATCCGAACTGTCTTTTCGCTTCCGTAGACTGTGATATGCGCATCGAATCTAGGGACGTTGTCAATGCCAGATTCGTAGCTGACGTTGAAACCAGGGTATTTGAAGAGGACGCTATGTACTTGTCAGCAGATGGACCATACCAAGAGGTGCTGTGACCTACTTCCAGAATGGCATTGTGACGCTTGCGCCGAAAACCCCCTCCGGCATGCCCAAAACCTCTCGCATTGCAGAGAGATCGTGAGAGGCTAGGCTTCCAAGGAACTGCCAGAAAATCCGGTTCCCTTCGGAAGTCTCCGCACCACACTCAGTGAGGCCGATCCCAACACTCTCCGTGTTGCGGGCTTTCAAGTCATCGGAGTCTTCCTGTTGGAAATCCGAGAACTTCTTCGGGAAGGTGCCTGATTGAGAGACAAAAGCCGAATTGGGTCCAATGATGTCTGGGTTTGTTAACTTTATTGCTGAAATTCGCTGTTTGTGAGGTCGGGTTGCACTCACCTCTTACACGGGCGTATAGAATCTTGTCAATCCCTCCGATTTCCTTGATGGCGGTTTGGAAGGCTGCAGCGTATCTCCGCATGTATCCCACCATTACTTTTCCCTGCGAGGACTTCTCGGCCGCCTTGATCCTCTGCAGGTCACGGACATTGAAAGCCGCCGGCTTTTCAAGCAAGACGTACTTGTTGCTTTGCAGGGCGAGAATAGCGTGATCGGCGTGGTATTCGGTGCTGTTGACGACGAACACCACGTCGACGTCGGGCGATGCGCAAAGCTCCTTGGGATCCCTCGTGGTCTTGGCAACGCCGCCGACGACCTTGCTCTTGGCGTGCTCCAGGGCATTATCTGACACGTCGCAGAGATAGGTGACTCGGAAACGGTCTGATAGGAAGCCTAGCGTGGGGATGTGTATAACTTGCGCTACTTCTCCGCAGCCGATGACACCAACCCCGAGGATGCGGTTTCCTGCAGACATGGTCTTGTGTTGAATGGAGTTGCAAGTGATGATTCGGGACGAGGAGTAGTAATTGTGAAGCAGAACTGAGTATTTTCGGCTTTCTGTAGAATATGAATGGCTCTGATAAACATCAAGCCGGGTTTATATAAAGCCACTCCGCAAGCATGTAACTCGTCCACGCCCGAGTCCGGCCCAGTCCAGATGCCATCCCCGCGTTAATATCACTCGGCTGACCAAACGATGGAGCCGACGTGGCTTGCGGTTAGTGCGAGTGTCTCTGTTCCCCGCTCGAGGACAATCGCCCACGTCAGTCAGTCGTGCCCCCACTTCTGCCGGAACTGGCGATGCGATTTGTCCATGGTGTTGTGGCACGTCTTCTCCACCTTGGTGCATAAAATTGCCGCTGGGTGATTCTTCGACGGCATCTTCGGTTGCTTGCCGTGCGGCCGTATTCCATTCTCAAGGCTGACTCCCCGTCGAGCTCGGTATCAAGCTACAGCAAGTATACGACTTTTGCTGAATCCGTCTCGTTCGGGTCTCACTCAATGGAAGAAGCCCCGCAGCTGGATTCGGCCGACGAGGACCACGGCCGCAATCAGAGCGTGGAAGCCTCATTACCAACCACGTCATCTCGCAAACGGCCTGCAGCTGATAAATCTCCGGCCCGCCAGGTTCGAAAACGGGCCCCAATAGCCTGCCACACGTGTAAGAGCCGCAAGGTGAAGTGTTCCAACGACAGGCCGCAATGCGACGGCTGCGTGCGACTGGGCTGTGAATGCGTCTACCCTGAACAGAATTACCGGCCCCTGTGAGTATTCGCCTTGGCACAGACATGCCTCCTGGCTAACATGGCATGTCCCATCTTGGAAGGCCTGATCCAAGTACTCCGCTGATTCTCCGCACCTTGAACGAGATATTGGAGAGGCTTCCCCCTCGTGATGAGAGACCTGCAGGGCCCCCTGCTGAAGCTAGAGCCCAGTTTCCCCATAGGGCACAACAACAGACATCCAGCTACCACCCAGATGTGGCACTTACTCCTGACGCTAATCAAGTGCAGTATCAGAGAAGGCCTGCTACGGGGTGCGATGAGCCATCAGAGTATATGGCATTGGACTCTGTATTCCGGTGGCCTATTTTCGCCGATAGTTCTGCGGGTAAATGGTCCAGTCAGACTTTGTTCATTGCTGATCAGGAGCCTGGATACAATGATGCCCTGATGCACACGCATGGCACAGCGAGACTACCGCCATTAAATCACTTTGACGACATTGTGTATCTCATTCATCAATTTCTTAGGCATGTGCACATTAAGAACCCGGTGTTAGATGGCAAGACTTTGCTTGGCGATGCGAGGATAGTCGCAGAAACGGGTCCTTTGTGGGATACAAGATCCTGCCTCGTGGTGAGTAAAGCCCAGTCCAAATCCATGACACTCTCAAATCCCTTTATAGTGAACCCGGCAGCTGAAGGCAATTTTGAGTCAATTCATGTGGGTAATTATTTCAGTCAATTCATTCTGACCGCTGTCGTTATAGCTTCTCGCGGCTGCCCTAGGCGCCATAGCAACGCCATTCATCCCACGCACCGCAATGGAAAACACGCCGATTGGCTCATCATCCGATGATTTCGAGGCTCGGCTCCGCGGAGAGACGTACTACCATTCCGCCCGTCGTCGGTTTGGACTTCTCGATCGAAGCATCGCAGCTTGCCAATGCCATCTCCTGTCGGGAATCTACTTGATGTACACGATTCGCCCACTTCAAGCCTGGCAATCATTCATCCAAGCGTCAACAGTCTACGTCGTGTATTTGAAAAGTCAAGGGAGGTTTAGCTCGGAGGGGAATCAGTGGAACGACACCCAAAAACCATCCCTCAGAAGTCTCGAGCAGAGACTCTACTGGAGTTGTCTGAAGTCTGAACAGTGCGTCCGAGTCTCCGAATGCAAAGAATCGGTTCAACTAATGTCTGAATGCAGCGAAATTCTCAGCGAAATTCCATTACCGTCCTCAGGCCTCTCTGCAATCAACTATCCACACATGTTCCCGTCCCCTCCCTCTGCGGACATGTTAAATGTCCCTCTCCCCAATAGTTTTGATGCCTTCAGTAGTGGCACTTTGTCGGCTGTCTCGCCTCAATCTACCTCAACAACATCATCCGACTCGGTGGACCAAGCACTGCTACATGAGCAATCTTGGTTTTACTACCTCACCGAAATATCTCTCCTCCGACTTTCCCATAGAATAATCAAGCACTTCTACACAGCAGAAAATTCGTCGTGGCTTCGGACAAATGTTCTGGATATGATCAATGCAGCTGAGGAATTTGAGACCCAGCTTGAAGGATGGTGAGCTACATGATGAACATAACAGGTCACGAAATATAAGCTAAACTAAATAGGAAGAGCTCGCTTCCAGTATCAATCCGGTTCTGGGACTCAAATCTCTCGCCCGATAAATATACCGAGCTGCATATAATGACATGGGGCCGATATACAAGGCTGAAAAAGCTGCTCTACCGACCATTTCTTTATCGCTTTGTCCATCCACAAGACAACGACACTGTATTGCGCGACGTCATACAGTCATACGCGGAAAAGTGCGTTCACTCTTGCCTGGATCCGATTGTTACAGTCGGCCGCCTCCACCGTCACCATGGTTCATGGTTTGGATGCCGCGAGACTGTGGTGGCATCTTTGATCTTACTTTCGGCGAAGAAAGTTGGCTTGATAAAGAGCATGAATGTGGAGATGCAGGCAGATTATTTTTTGCGATCGGGTATCGATCACATGAAGTATTGGGAGGATGAGAGCCCCGATATCAAATTATCGCGCCAAATCATGGAGATGATGTGTGCAGAGTATGGCACATTGGATCCTAGTCTGCACTAAATTCTGATACCAGAAAAGTTTAAATACACCCTACTGCTTGTCTTGGGGATAGACCAAGCCATTCTGTGCTCGAATCTGATCCATCAGGCGCATCACTCTCAGCGACTCTGCGAGAGGCATTCTCTCGTTTTCCGTTCGTCCCGCGGCGATATCCTGTGCAACTGCATCTGCCTCATAGATGAATCCAAAAGTGCCTTCGGCATGCTTGAAGGGGAAATCCTCCTCCTCTCCCTTGGCATTTTTCACCCTGAATCCGGTAGGGCAACTAGGCCCCAGCTCAGTGTAGAGCGTAATTGATCCCTCCTTGCCTTCAATTCGCCCAAAGTCCGGCGGGCTGTCGGCAAGGACAGTCGCAATGCAGACGGCAGTCTGTGAATGGTTGTCGGGCGTTTTGTATTGCAGCGTAACGACATCGGCCTCATCAGCACCGTTGACGATATCCATTGACGACGTGACCTTCAACTCGGGATGATCCTCGCCGAGTTGACCCCGGCCCATGATCAAAGAAGAGTAGCTGATAGGATAGACGCAAAGATCCAGGAGGGCACCACCACCCAGGGCGGGGTCCTTGAGGCGTGAGCTTTGAGGGAGGGCATCCCAGTCGCCTCCGAAGCCGATTTGGATGATGGAGCGCCATACACGACCAATGGCACCTGCCTGAATTTTCTTCTCCAGCTCAATGGCCAAGGGGAAGAATCTCGTCCAGACCGCTGTTACTTGTTAGTTATTTGGTTACAACAAACATTTCAGATATTCTCACCTTCCATCAGGAAGACGCCCTTGGCCTTCGCGGCGGCGACAACTTCTTCAGCCTCTTTGCTGTTGATAGTAAAAGGCTTTTCACATAGTACGTGCTTTCCTGCCTTGATGGCATCTAGGCAGTTCTGTTTGTGGAGGCTGTGAGGGGTGGCGATGTAAATAATGTCGATATCAGGAGAGTCGTACACCTCCTGGTACGAAGCGTAGGCCTTGGGGCGTTGGCCATCGCCTTTCCAGTGCGCGTCGATGAACTTTTCGGCCTTCTCAACGCTGCTCGTAGTGCCAGCAGCCCCAAGGATGTGCTTCGCAGGACCACTCGCTCGGGGAGCAAGGATATCGTCGACGAACATGCCGGCAATCCAGCCGGTGCCAACAACTCCCCATCGCAACTCAGGGCCTGCCATGATAAATATGGGATGGAGTTTGGATAAAGTCGTGATTGAGGCCGGGAAAAGAATAAAAGAATACGTATGTTTGGCAGGGTCACATAAATATTTAAATAGCCACAGCGTCTACGGGAGGCCGGAGCCGCGGACACTATATAAGTGTCGCTTGTACAAGTACCAAGTCCCCTCATCAGGCGCTATTCTCTGTGTCGGAGCAAGCTCGCATCATCTGATGTGGGGAAGTTTAAACTTGACGGTAATTTCGGCGGTCCTTCCGAGCTTTCTCTGGTGAGACATGACGCGTAGTGGCTCAGCGACTAGTCCTTATTTGGCGCGTATTCTCATGCTGCTTTAAGTAAGAAACCCAAGTGAATCGCTTCAACTCTGCTTACAATTTTGTGTCCGCCATCACTCCAGCCACCACTTTTAAGACTCTAGGAGACATATGAAGTTGATTGTATACAGGGCTTCCCCTCTCGCTGCAATAGACGCGCACGATAGACCTCAACTTTCATCGGTGGCCATCAGATCTTGATCGAATTAATGTCTGGTAAAGTGGAGGATAGCTAATGATCCTGACCCCAAGCTCATCTCATATAGCCGTCGCCTAATGATTCAGGTTGTATATATGGGTGGGTGCAGTGTGGCGGAAAGAGTCATCATTCAGCGAGATTCAGCGAGAGGAAATCCAGCAGGAGAACGGAATATGGATCAATAACATGCTAACCATTAACGCCTTCCTTAGGCGCCATCAAGCTGGTATATTTACCAGGTTCAAAGGTAGCTTAAGACAATTACCCGACCCCCTTCCCTCTTAAATCCCGTGACGTCTCCCTCTACGAGCTGCTTGCAAGTGTTTGGGACGGTTCAGACGGCCCGGGCTCCTTTGCCGCAGGCGCCTGTACATTTATTGGTCCATTTGATACGGCTCCATTCGTCCTTTTTGTCTTTTTTGTCTTATTCTGGGCATTAGAACCCAGAGCTATTGTGCCGAGTTGTTAGAGAGACTGGTTTCGGTTGGAACTATTTCTGCTTACCCATTTCACGTAGGATCATTTGGAGGGTCCGCTTTTTGCAGACGTTACCAATCAAATCTAATAGCTCTCTATGCTTGATATTCGGATTCGTCTGCTTGACGGCATTGATCAAATCGCGGGTCTCGTCCGTAACTGCTCGCGGCCGCCCTGACCGTGGATTGGTTTGGTTGTCAACGCGGTGGGCCTCACGGCGGAGGGTTGATTTGATCGTGCCGAGCGGGATCTCTGGATGCGCCTTTTTAATCTTGGCGTGCGAAAAGCCCTGTGTTCGAAGCTCGCAGATGCGAGACCGTAACTGGGGCGTTAATTCGTGGCCACGCGGCATTGTTGCGGTTGTGTTGATGATGTAAGGTCGAAAACAAGGGGCCAAAAGCAGCATCAAGTCGTCCAAATGGGCCCAGGCCGGAATGGCTATACATTACTCCGGATCCAAACCTTTTGCATCCAATTGGTTTGCCCTCGCCGCTTTAATTTGAGAGCGGGTCCATGGAGGAACGAATCGAGCCTGGTCTTTGTCCCGACATCTTCGCCGAACTGCCGATGTGTCCCCTATGAGATTACCAACCAGCACCTCCTCTTTGCCTATCCTTCTATGTCATCATGCACCGGAATGAAGTTGACCGGAGTATCCTAGGTAGAATAGACCGTATTGATAAGCAGCGGCGGGGATAGTGGCATGCTTAGTTCCTTGGCTTTCCCAACATCCGTACCGCTACCATTAATAGACCTTTCTCCTCCCCGGGCTCTCAGCGGAGCTTAGAAACTCATAACCCTCAATTTCCTAAGCATCACCACAACCATGCCATCGAAAGTTTACAACGCCGGCATTATCGGCTACGGCACGTCGGCCAATGTGTTCCATATTCCGTTCCTCACGGCCTCTCCATCTTTTAGCGTGCATTCCATCGTGCAACGCTCTGGTGATTCCGCAAAGGAGGCACACCCGGAGTGCATCATCTATAGATCTACGGATGAATTACTTGATGACAAGGACGTTGATCTTGTGATACTTTGCACTCCAGTCGAAACTCATTTTGAGATGGCCAAGAAAGCTGTGAATGCTGGCAAGCATGGTGAGAAATCCCGGGAAAGAGATGCAGAGAAGTTATTAACGCTGGGAATCGACAGTGGTTGTGGAGAAGCCATTCTGTCCCACTAGTGAGGAGTGTGACCAACTGATTCAGCTGGCTAAATCCCAAGGAAAACTTCTCGTTCCTTTCCAAAATCGCCGATGGGACGTTGAGTTTTTGACACTGCAAAAGGTCATCGCTGAGGGGCATCTTGGTCGAATTGTGGAGTTTTCATCGCACTACGATTTGTACTTGAAAGATCTACCCGGGTTTTGGCCCGAGATGGTCTCACAGCCTGGAGGAAGCCTCCTTCACGGGCTTGGAACTCACATCATTGATCAAACGCTAGTTCTTTTCGGGTTGCCTTCCAAGGTCACCGGTGTCTTGCAATCACAGCATACAGCTGGCATCAACGACGCTTTTACGGTCTTGCTCCATTATCCAAACGGCATGCTAGTCACACTCAAGTCAAGCGTGTTGAGTGCAGAAGCCGAGCAGTTGAGATTCTGGATTCGCGGAGAGAAGGGGAGTTACAGAAAGGTATTATGCTATTTCTTGATGTCCCAGTCCTTTACAGAGCTGACGTGACTTCGACTAGTGTCACATCGACCCCCAAGAACCCCAGATTAATGAGGGGATGAAGTTGGATGACCCGGAATTTGGGAAGGAAGACGAGAGCAAATTCGGTTGGTTTCTCTCCCCGTCCCCATTAAGTGGTGTGTGCTAAAAACAGTGTAGGTATTTTGACTGTGAGCGCGGAAAACGCAGACGCAACTCAAAATCGCTTCGAGAGTGGGAAGCTCAACAAATCTGTCTACCCAAACGTTGCCCCGCAGACATATGTGAAGTTCTATGACCTTCTTGGAGCCGCTCTTGATGGTAAAGGCGAAGTGCCGGTGAGGCCAGAGGATAGCCGAGATGGGATCAGACTTGTTGAGCTGGCGACGGCCAGCTTTGAGCAAGGCGCTACACTCGCCGTTTAGATCTATCAGACTGTTGTGTAATAAACGATTCACAAGCCTACTATATCTGAGAATCAGACTATCCTGCCTGGGGGCATTGGAAGGACCAATGGATAAGAGTACGGTGAATAGGGTCCTCGATGTCTCCGAAACGATGAATAAGAAACGACTATAGTCCAATTTGTTTATCTGCAACACTACGATAGTTTATGCAATCTTATCTAACATCTCACTGAATTTCTTTTATTGCCAAATTGATATAGTACCATTAAGGTCAAAATATGGACGACATGATCCAGCCTGATTATTTTACATGGCATCCGGGCTCATATGTTGCTGTTGAACCCGATTGAAAACCTCATTGACATCATGATTCGAGGTCGCTCGCTTCTTTTGAATATATCCACGGAGCCCAGGGACCTTCGAAAGGGTCGACAAGATGGGCTCCTTCATCGGCAGTGAGCCGGTCCGCTCCTCATATAGCAGACAGGTAATGGCCAACACCAGGCAAATCCAATACACGTTGTACGAAATGACTGAACCGTAAGTGGCAGTGTTTTGCCAGCCCAGAATCGCGTTGAAGACATCCCATCCGTTGTCGGTTTCGGGATTGCAGCAGTTGACATGCCAGACGGTTTCTTTGATGTTGTATGATCCCGGTCCATTGCCTGCTTCCGAGACGTCGCTTCCAACTTTGACCGCAAAGGTGTGGTACTGGAGACTCCAAACAGCCTTTGAGAACATTCCCGCAGCGATCAGATACAAAACACTCGTTGAAGCAATCAAGAATATTTGAATGGAGAGCATGTTTCCGCCTCGGTAGATGAAAAGGCCAACAGCGACCCCCGCAAGCGCGCCACAGACAACTGGGAGGGGAAATGATGTAGCTGGCAATCCCAATGACACGCCTCCAACAAACACAACCGCCTCAACACCCTCGCGAAGGGTTGTAATGAATGGCAGGATAAACATGACGTGCCTCCGAGACCAGTCGCCAAGCCACGATTTCTTCGACTCCTTTGTCCTCTCGTCGAGGGCTTGCGCAATCTTGACCCTCCACTTGTCTTGCATCTTGTTGATTCTCAACAGAGCAAGACCCATGATGGTGATGATGATGCAAGCGATCAAATAGAAGATGCCTTCCCACAGATCCTCGGATTTAGCCCAAATGTCGGTTCCCAAGCCGTAGAAGACACCAATAAAGATGCCTCCGATGATTAGGCAGAGAAGGATTCCGGAGAGGGCACCAGCCCATACTTGTTTTACCAAGCGCTTATAGACTGCCTGATCTTGGTCAGGCCCTCCGAGACATTTTTTGAGAAATGAGAGGAGGACAGAGATGATGATGATGGCCTCCAGGCATTCTCTAAAGACGATGAAGAATACCTGGACGGCAAACACGTTTTTTGCCATGGTTTCAGTCGTATTCCGAGAAACCGGAGGAAGAATCCAAAGAAATTTCCAGCAGGATTGAATTAATGTTGGGTTACGCAGAAAGGCAATTCTGGCTTAAGTCGGGAGGGTAGAGGGAATAAGTCCTGACCCGGTACGTCGGTACATTTTCAAGTGTGGCATGCTTAATCCCGCTGGCCAACACTAAGCTTTTTGATTAAGGCGCCAGCAAAGTTATCAGATGATCAGATTTCGGCCCGCATTTCGAGGTCCGTCATTTGAAACTCACTGGGCGAAGTTTTATCGATATCGGCTCGGATTGGTTGTAGAAGTGCGAGTTTGATGCCGATGATGCCGCGATGCCGTCTTAACCGAATGCGTTCGCGTACAGTTCGGCATTCTCCTCCCGGAGCCTCCACTTAGATTATCAGATTTTGATAACGATCCCCATAAAATCACGGATTTTCGGTGCCGAACCATCAGCCCACGGCTGTTCGGATGGGCTATCGACGCCTCGTATACATTCACTTCGACCCTAATGATCCATGTGGGATGATATTGGTGGTTGCGGGAATAAGATGATTGTTAGAAACGATCATGAGCGTTTAATCGGGTAGAATAATGGGGCTTTTTCTGGGTCCAAAGGGACCATTGAAGCTTGAGCTCATTGCCCGGTTGTGCCTTGGTGCGTGAGAACAAGCATCTTTCAAGTCTTAATCCTGTCCGTCGGGAGCACATGTCAAGATTGGGCTTGTCATTCCGCAGACTGAAAGAATACACTGTCTGGCCCTCAATCTTACGGCTTCCTCCCCAGGAACATCCATCTTCACCTACTCTGAAATCGGCAGGAAGATGGCCAGCTTGTCTTACCTTGGTTTCTTTTTGCTTCTGGTCCTCGTAGCATGCGGCTGCGAGGCCAAGACCGTCACCTACGACTTCAATGTCACCTGGGTCACCGCAAACCCCGATGGCTTACAGGAGCGAAAGGTTGTCGGCATCAATGGACAGTGGCCGCTGCCTGTAATTGAAGTCGACAAGGGGGACCGGCTGGTTGTGAACATGGACAACCAGCTTGGCGACAAGTCAGCTTCCATCCATTTCCATGGCATGTTCCAGAACGGCACGAATGAGATGGACGGACCTTCGATGGTCACTCAATGCCCAGTGAATCCGGGCTCAAGCATCACCTACAACTTCACTGTCGACCAGAGCGGCACCTACTGGTACCATTGCCATACTGAATATTGCTATCCGGATGGTTATCGACAGGCATTGATCGTCCACGACGACGAGGCATTTTTTGCGAAGGACTACGACGAAGAGATTGTGCTCACCATGACCGACTGGTACCACGAGCTGGTGGAAGATCTCGAAGCTAAATTCATGTCGCTTTACAACCCTTCTGGAGCAGAGCCTATTCCTGGCTCATTTCTAGTCAACGACACCATGAACTCCAGTATATCTGTGAAGCCAGACACGACATATCTGATCAGGCTGATCAATTACGGAGCTTTCGTTGGCCAATATTTCTACATTGAGGACCACACCTTCAAGATTGTTGAAGTCGATGGCGTTTATACAGAGCCAAAGGAGGCCAGCATGCTCTACATATCTGTCGCGCAACGCTACGCCATTCTTCTCACAACCAAAAACTCAACCGAGAAGAACTACCCAATTGTTACGGTCGCCGACTCCAGTCTTCTTGATACCATCCCGGATGCCCTCAAACTGAACAACACCAATTGGCTCGAGTACGACAAAAAGGCATCGCATCCTCAGGGCGTCGTCAAAACCGATGACAGCACCACTCTGAATCCATTTGACGACTTTGAGCTCGTTCCATACGACAAGATGGAACTACTCCCGGACCCAGACATGGAAATTGATGTCACTGTGTACATGAAGAACCTCATGACCGGGTTCAACTATGCGTTCCTCAACAACATTAGCTACACGGCCCCCAAGGTTCCAGCATTGTACACAGTCCTGTCGTCTGGCGACGCGGCTGGGAACGCCTCCATCTACGGCGACTTTACTCACCCTGTTGTCCTCAAGCACAATGACGTTGTTCAACTGGTGTTGAACAACGCGGACAGCGGATCTCACCCTTTTCACCTCCACGGCCATCAGTTCCAGGTCATCGACCGCCAGCCGCCCTACGGTCCTACGTTTTATGACTATTTGAACGGTGACCCTATCCCATACGACCCGAAGAACCATTCCAGCTTCCCAAAGTACCCTTCAAGAAGAGACACGATTGTGCTCCCTCCGCAGGGATACTTGGTCATCCGCTTCGTGGCTGACAACCCTGGAGTCTGGATTTTCCACTGTCACATCGACTGGCATTTGTCTTCAGGTCTGGCCATGCTCATGATTGAAGCCCCAGAAAAGATCCAGGAGCGAGTCACCATTCCCGATAACCACTACGAAGTTTGCAAAGAAGCGGGAGTCGCCTACAAGGGAAATGCAGCAGCGAACACGGAAGATTTCTTTGACTTGTCTGGACAGAATGAACAGCCTGCGTGGATCCCAGCCGGCTTCACCACACGTGGAATCGTAGCGCTTGTGTTTTCGGTTATTTCTGCAGTTATTGGCATTATTAGTATTGTCATCTATGGCTTGGCGGATATTAAGCACAGGAAAGACCCGGGGTTTGCTGCCCCTCCAAGCGATCCAGACGAGGTCGTTGTTGAGCGGAGCTCGGCCAGGCCAACAAAGGAGTAGTTTGTTGACAATTTTGTGGATGTTCAAGATACCAATTCTATTTTCTCCTGTATTGAGAGGATTCGATACTACCGCTGGAGTGACAACTATGTTCACGGACAGGTGGAGGATGAGGAAGAATGCAGGTCGTTGATATATCTGTGGGTGTATGTGGCAAATGAATTTAGAGCGTCTGGGAGCGGATTGAGATAGCGAATCAATGCGTGAATTTATTCTTAAGCTAAAGTGTTCTGAAAAACACAAGAGTTTGGAAATGAGTGACGAAAAAGTGACTTGCTTTGACTGGCCTAGCCGTCTTTTCGCCAAAGGATGATTTACAATCACTCCCCGGTCCCATTGCCGACAAAGTCTATCAAGAAGTCAACACCGCCACTGCGAGATAGTTGTATCTCCATTCTATTGCTGCTATCCAACCGGTTAAGATGGTTCTGGCTGTCTGCGCGGTGGCCTCCCTCTTCCGCGTGCCATCTCGCGCGATCTCGGTCTCATGTCATTGTTACCGGGCGTCGACCATGATGCACTGAGTGCGCTCAAAGGCGCTGCATATAGTGGCGAGTTGACTAAACCTGCCAGCATAGAAACGGATATGTCACATTTGGTTAAGAGGATGGAGCGATGATAGGAAAGATCAAGTACTATGTTGACGAGTCGGTTTCATTTAGGTTATAAAGCAAGGTTCACACACACAAAGCAACGCGAACACCAGCGAATCCTCGGTGCAGTATGTTTTATCTTTTCGTCCCTTGCACACTTCCCTAAAACTTTTTTGTAGCAACTGGTAAGTCAATGCGAATCAGATCTAAGGATAGACTCCATCGCCGTCGGGCAACGTAAATGGAGTCTATCACGAATAACGCCGGTGATAATTATGCAATCACGTATTGGATTCTTTAGGGGCACAAGCATTCAATACAGACAAAGTCTCTCCGTACTTGTGAATCATGCATTTGGTACAGCAGCGATGCGATGATGGATTCTCTCCCTGGTCTATAATACAACGCCGGGAACCAGTAGTATCATTTTGGCTCACCTACCAAAGCTACCATCGACCCACAAGCTATGCAACCAGCACCAGATCAAATACCCTCCTTCGCTATATTCGTGGTCAGATAACTGGGAGATCTAACAATCCACACACTCAACAGATTCAACACCGGACATCACGGAAGAAATGGACTTCAAAATGGTCGGCTCATACCCTGAGAGCCCTCCGGGCGAGGCTCATGAACAAATGACACCCGATACCGGTCCAGACATCCCTCAACGGCTTCCCCACCGGTGCCCGGAAGGCTCTAACTGTCAACCCAAGCCTGTATTGGCAAAGTATACAGCAGAAGCAGTTAAAAGGATGGTTTCCGAGTGGCTTGCAGAGCTGCCCCAGGGCCCTACATATCCAGGCACCATCCGGATCAGCGAGACCGGCGAATTTCGCATCGTTAATGGTGTTGCATCTGGGCCTTCCTTGGAAGATATGGCGAAGGAGCGCAAGGTCCGTGTTAGGGCCATGTATTTGATGGAAGCGATGCGCACAGTTCTTGGCTACCGGTTGCTGTGGAATCGACAACCGCCGTGGGAGAATAGCGCTACGGAGTCGTGCGATCAGCAGGCTTGGCATATGCTCAGCCGTCTTTGGGAGCTTCAGGGTGTAGGTGAAGAATCGGACCCTGAGATTGAGCAGCGCATTTGCCTCAAGGTTGCTACCATGAGGAATTTCCGTACGGGTCATTTACTGCATGATGAAAATGAGTTCAATTCAGAGTGGGGGCGCGAGGCCAAGAAATGGCTCGTTGACCGCGAGAAGTCAGGAGCGTGCTTCTGCTTTGAATAGCTTATAGAGAGACGGAGGTGAACCACTGAAGAGTTTTGGATTTGTGCAATGGCTGTACGATTGCAAATGTGCACATTTGGCCTGTCATTCACAGATATTTCATCGATAGACTCTTGGCACAGAGGCTCTTGGATAATGCTCCTCGATACTTCTAAATTATCTCCATCTCTAAATCTTTGAACAGCAACTGTTAGCAGCCTCAGCAGTGTCCCGTCTGCAATAACAAGACGACTCAATTGGCACATCCACAAACGCCATAGCCGTCTTAAGCTGCTGCTTTATGATGCGTGCCTCCCCTTCTAAGCCAAGCTTCACCGCACACTCGTGGTATCCATGCAGCGCCCACACATTGTTCGGGTGGTGTCGTGCGCGGAAGAGCGTGTCGTTCAGGCCTAGGTCGGTGCGATAGACCTCAGCGGCTTCCTTGATGCGGCCCTGCTCCATGAGGAGGGCGGCGTAGGCGTGGCGGGCCGGCTGCATCCAGGCCCATGGCTCGGAGTAGATGAGGGAATCGTCCCGCTTGATAGACTCTCGCAAATGCTCAAATGCCAGCTCGATGTTTCCCCGACGATACTCTAGCTCTCCATCGAGCATGGCTTCAGCTACGGCCAAAACATTAGAGCATTTGTTCGGGTAATCGATGCGGCTGGGGGGAACTCGGCCCTTCGCTTGAATAAAAAGCTCTCGCTCTTTCTCCGCCTCGGGGACGTTTCCAGTCGCCGACCAGGCCACACCCTTGGCGTAGTGTATCGTAGCTGTCGTCACACAGTACAGCTGCTGATCCTCCGGTATTGGAAGATCGATTATGTCCTGCCAGCGTCCGAACCGGATCAGCACGTGCGGACGCACCGATCGGAACGTCTCCAGCCAGTCAGCCATGGGCGGTGACTGGATCCGCAAGTGGCTCTCAGGAAGGGCGGCTTCCATCTGGTCCACCGCGTCTATGGATACTTTGAACTGCCCGGCAAACATGGCAGCGTAAATGAGCGAATGGTAATCGTGCATGCGGTAGATGGTGTAGAAGTCACTGCCTCCACGGAGGGAGACGAATTTCTCATCGGCTCGGACAGCCTTTGCATTTGCAGTGATAGCGCGTCGGTAGTCTCCGATGAGAATGTCGAGATGCGACGGCATGTGCGCGAGATGGCCGACCTCTGCTGATAGCCGTCGGAGATTCTCTGCCGCTGGGAGGCCGCGTTCAGGTTCGGTAGACATCTCAGTGAGATGGACGTACATGTGCAGAAGTCCAATATGCTCGGAGCCACCTTCTTGGGCCAGGCCCCTCTCGAGAACATCCTGGGTCTCCAAAACTCGCGAGCCAGGTCCCGGCTTCCCGGTACGCACATCCCACAACCCCCAAGGCGTGAGATTCATGAGCGCATCAGCATACAGAACAGCCACGTCGAGGTCGTCTTTGAACTCATCGTAGACTGGCTTCATGGCTTCAGCATATGCCTTGTTCCAGGCTCTGTACTCGAGGCGGCTTCCAATCCCGCCATCCTGGGGGAATCGATGCTGGAGGGCGTCGATAAGAGCGCGCTCTACTGGGTCGACCGCCGAAGATAGTGACTTCGCCTTGGCCAAGGCGTCGCGGCCTCGCGCGATGGTAATCTTGAGATCCTCCTGGTCAAAGTGATTCCACGGCTTGTTGTAGTTGGGTCCGAGAGCAAAGGCAAGCCCCCAATATGCCAAGGCACACTCGGGATCGATGGAGATTGCCTTCTCAAAGCAGCGTGCCGACTCCGCATGGTTGAATCCATAGCTCCAGATGAACCCGGTCTCAACCCATTTCTTAGCCTCGGGCTTGCTTGTGGTGACGTTGCGGTTGTAAGGAGGCAAGGCGAAATCGGCCGCCTCGGGCTTTGAAGATGGGCTAGAGCGCGTCATCGCTTCGTACTGGGGATGGCTCCCCGGATATCGGCCTCGTCTATTCACAGCAATCTCGATAGCGTACGCTTGTTCGCAACTTGGTATCGTCCGCAGTGCCAACCAAGCTCCCAAACTCTCGTGAGGTCAGATGCTGGTTCTCGCTATCTCAACAGTTGCGGAGAAACCCAAGGTCCACCGTACTCCGTAGCGTGGTGGAACGTCAAATCAGCGCGACGTGGCGTGCTGCTGGTGGGCCGAAGGCGGAGGTAATGGACTCTTGCTACCGTGATTTGTAACAAACCCAGTGTGAGTTTGAGCGAGTCACAGTATATGCAGTGTAAGGACAGACAACAAAGGCGAAGGGAATGATTGACCGGTTTCAAGCGAAGGAGTTCACGTGGACAAGGAATGTCGTGTCTCACATGTCAGATGATAAGGCTGACATAATTGGAGGTACAGGGTAAACTCCGAAGCAGCATTCACTTGAGGAGTGGCAATGAATAAATCTGGAGAAAATACGACGTTGAGCCTATAAATAGCTCGATTGACAGCTTTACTAGGGTCGACTGAAAAGGTTGAGTAAATCTCGATTAGAGATCTAGATCTGGGTGCATATACCCGGCAGCCAATCCACACGAGTCGTGATTATTCATTTCCCATCGCCTCAAATAAAGAGGTGCTCCTGCTTTGCGCCCTCCATAGCAGCCAAGTATCCAACACGGTCCCTGCAATAGAACTCGACGTCGATCTTGTTGTTCAAGTTGGCCTTGCCCTCGTCCAGGCCGCCGGCCTTGATGATGACCTTGCCCTCCATCACGTCAAGCTTGGTGAACAGGCTGGAGCCGCAGTCGCCGCAGAAGAAGTGGTGGTTGATCTTACCCGAGGCAGCGATGATGTCGCACTGCTTGGGCGTGCCTACGAGACGGTCAGCACTCACCAGTTCGTGAGAGTTGGAGGTGGGAAAGATGACCCTTGGTGACGGAGAACGAGTCCGCGGGGACCACGGCGTTGGAGGTAAAGGCGCCACCAGTCCACTGCGTCATGGTTAACACGGCTCAAATGCCCGAGTTTCAGCTGGATAAGACCTTTTGGCAATCAAGACAATGGCACAGGGCCGCAGTCGCCTCCTCGCCTGTATTTTATTAGTGATCCCTCGCAATTTGAGGGTCGGATTTGACCTCACTGGTGCTCTTGTACGCAATCGCTCCACACATGCAGCTGCCAACAAAGACCATTTTGACGGTTTAAGTAGTCGAACTAGGGCGAGTCCGGAAGTCGGGTGTGGGGTTTGGACGTATTGAATAGAGATGCGAGCATTAGTGGCGATAAATTGACTCTCAAGGTTCTCAACGTCTGGTATATATATACCCGTGGCCGGTCCTGCGGAGGATCCATTCACATTAGAGCCATGATGCGTCACCAGCCCAACTCGAAACCGTCTACCCCGCTATCCCTCCCCCGCGAGTGCTTCGGAGCATCGCGCTGCCGCGATAAGATCGGTTTCCGAGGGCCCGGGATATCAGGGCAGTACTTAGATCCGCAGTTGTAGCCAATGGCCGAGAACGATTGTAGTCGTCCAGTTGGTGGCCGACTCCAGTTTGGTCAAGTTCCCCTCTCGTCACGAGCTCATTGGGCCATCCCATCAGTGTCTTGACACCTCACGTCATCCTCTCCGGTGCGGATCCGCAATATGGCGATGATGCAAATCATTCACAGGGCGTGCCAGAGTGGGCGAAGGGGCCGAATTACTCAATTCGCACCCAAGTTGGGAGCAGTGGCTATGGATTATTGCGGGGGCGGGTCACAGATGGCGGGGTAGAAGGGGAGGTTGAGGCATCATTTGAGCGGAGGGGGAATGATGGCTACTCAGTGAAAGAGACGGTATCCTGGAAGTGGAATAAACTGGTGGAATAAACTCATGCATCAAGTCAATGACTAACAATGTGCTATCCTAATTGGTATACATGATTTGGAACCCCTGGCCTTGGCTGTTGTCTCTCAAGAACCACGAATACACCCATTTGGAATCACCATGGACGCAATTCTTCCTTCATTTCCTCATATCCCCATCCTCACCGCTTCAAATCACTGCGTATAAGAAACCTCGGGCTTCTCAACATCGCTGTGTCGCGGCTCAGACTCGGCATATCCCCTCGCCACCCTCGCGTGCTCCATGGCCTCGGCGCCAACAACCTCGCGCGCATCAGAGTCGTGCGCCACGTCAAACTTGCCGCGCAGGTTCTCGGGGCCGACGAGCGTCAGCACAATCACGTACGCGTACACGCAGCCCATGAAGATGCAGATGACCTTGCCGTAGTCGTACCGGCTCACGCCCTCGGCGCTGGGCGCCAGCGGGAAGTTCTCGCCCAGGCGCGCCTCGATGGTTGACGATGCCGACGAGACCAGGTTACCCAGCTGGTACGAGGTTCCGACGACAAACGTGCGGAACGCGCCGGGGGACAGCTCCATCAGGTGGATGGGAATCACGCCCCAGGCGCCCTGCACGCAGAACTGCTGGAAAAACGCGGCCGCCATGACGGCATCGCTGCGGACGAACGTGTACGGGTACAGCAGCGCGCCGCCGCCGATGCAGCAGCAGATGATGCTGAACCGACGACCAACCGACTGGCTGCAGAAACCCACGACGGAGCCGCCCAGCATGGCACCCAGGTTGGCCACGACTTGCGTGACGGTGACCTTTGTCTTGCTGAAGCCCAGCTGGTTCGTCAGCATGGTCGGGTACAGGTCCTGGCTGCCGTGGCTCATGAAGTTGAAGCCGGCCATGAGGAGCACGAGGTAGCCCAGCAGCAGCCAGTGGTGCTTCAGCGCGACCTTGCCCTCCTTGAGGAAGACCTTGCCGACGCTGTCGTTTTCCGTCCCGGCGTTGGTGCTGGCTTCCAGGCGCAGCTGCGTGCGCTCGCGGTAGGCCACCGTCTCCGGGAGCATGAGGCGGACGACGATGAAGATGGCGGGCGGGCCGGCGCCGAACCAGAAGAGCGGGCGCCAGCCGTGCGAGGTGGTGTCGACGAGGCCGCGGGCGAAGGCGGCACAGAGGAGGTATCCGAAGGCGTACTGGAAGTGAAAGGTCAGTAACGATGGGGGTAGGTGAGATGTGTGTGTATCAGGGGACTTACGCCTTGCTGGAGCATACCGCTGATGAGACCTCGGGCTTCTTCAGGACAATCCTCGAGGGCTGTGGCGGCCGCGTTGCCGTAGAGGCCACCCATGGCGACGCCAAAGAGGGCTCGGCAGGCGAGGAACTGGTTGTAGGTCTGACAGAAGCCGGTTCCCTGGAAGCACACGACAAGTCAGCTATGAGGAGGTTCGAGGGTGGCAGAGATATATCCGTACCAGCTCAAGCACGATGAAGAGAAGGTTGTTGACGACAAAGGGCCACTTGCGTCCGTACCGATCACTAGCGATACCGAACGCGATGGAGCCAACAGATCGGAACATGAGCACGAGGGTGATGCCCCATGTAATGTCCGTCTTCGTCTTGCCAAAATCCTCGGCCAAGTCCGTAACGGTCAACGACACGGTGAAGAAGTCGAACGCATCCCACGTCTACAACACGCCGTCAGCACACCACTCATCACACTGTCAACAAACGCGAGGAGACATACCCACGCCGCAAAGGCGATGAAGAAAAAGGCCCACTGCTGGCCGCTCAGCATGCGGAGCAGCTTGATGGGGTTCGGCACGTGCGTCATGGGCGGCTTGAGGGTCGAGATGCGCGACGAGACGTACTCGCCGGGCGTCATGCCCTCGTGCGGCGCCTTGGTGTCGTATTCGTGGTGACCCATGGCGGGCTGGAGGAGGTGGTTGTGTGTTGGGAGGTGACTGCTACCCCGTGTCACAGTCGAGTGTCGTGGGTGGTGATGTCACGCTTGAGACGAGACAAGACAGGCAAGCTACTGATATAGTGCTCAGAAGAAGTCAACACAAGTCTGATCCAGGACAAGACAAGGAAGTCGAGGGATGATCCGAGGAAGCAACTCACCCAACACAGCGGGAGGGCCCAGGCAGATATACTTCTCCCCCTCGCCTCTCCTCCCCCGTCCCATCCCATCCCCACTTACACGACGACGATCGCATCACCAACCCGCCTCCGCAACGCCCCGAACCCCAGGTCGACCAGCCCAGCCTAGGGAACCAACTTCCCCAACGCCAAAGGCCCAGGGACCCAATAGTCAAACCCGTATTTCATCGCCCGTCGCCAATCACGCACCCTCGTCCCTGGTCCCCCTTTCCCCAACGGCTTTCCCCGTAGCGTTGCTCCCTCCCCCGCCGTCTAGTCCACGCGGCGGGCGCAGAGACAGCGCGAAGAGAGTCATTGCATCTCCGACTTGTTCACATACCCGCCGCACAGACGTCCCACCGGAGAGGACTGGGTCAAGAGAAAAAGACGGGATCGTTCGGCATGGATGGAGCCGTGGCGAAAAAAAAAACGTTCTGTGCTTCGTTGCGTTCCAGACTCCTGACGCATTGGGAGGCAGGGATTCGGCTGGTTCGCCATGCGGGTTGGGTCGCCGCTGAGATGGGGATTCTGCCCTCCGGTCAGAGTACCCTCCTCCGGTCAGAGTACCCTCCTCCGGTCAGAGTGCCGATCCCCACTGCGCCGCGTCGTCACATGGCGGGCGAGGGGTTGGCAGGTTTGAGCCTCTCGTGGGGAGAGTTGGAGGCAACTTGCAAGGTTTGGGTCAGCCACGCTAGAAGACTCGTTTCCGTGTTCTGGCGGCCTGGTCGAAGCTTGGATGTTAGTTATCGTGGATGAGATGGGAAGCGAGGGAGATTGAGGTCGGTCAGGGCAGTCACGGGAACAATCTGTGGCGGCGAGTAACTATTGCCATGTCTCGATAGACTCCAGTTCACAGAAGTCTCAACCACCAACGTTGTCATCGTGGAGCCTCTCACATCTCTCCAACGTTTCCCCTCGCCACACAAACCGCCTCCCCCTCTCCCGCGCATCCCCTCACGCCAAAAGAACTCACCTCACCCTCCTCTCCCTCTCCGCAATGGGGACCCCACACGACCGCAAACACTCTAATCTCGCAGCCAAAAAAAAATGCCGAAGTTGTTAGTCGAACCCATGGAATCCTTCTCCGCCTCGCTTCCCCAGGTGCCCACCATTCCCGGCACCCAAGCTTCCGAACGCAGCGGGTCCAGCGGCCGGGACTATCCCCGTCTTGGCAGGAGAGAGGCGCGGGAGGCGGGGCCATCTCAGGATATATCGGCAATGCGGCATCTCCACGTGTGGGTGCTCCTCTTTCTGCGACGACTTACATGACCATCAGCTTTGTGTCACCCGTCGCTGGTCAGCCGGGCGCGAGCAGCGTGGTTCACCGCGACATTGCAGAAGGGAGGAATTGCACTGAAGCAGAGGTACACTGACAGATCGAGCTCGTTGTCCGTGTTTTCGCGAGTCAGCAAGCCATCCATCATTTCCCTTCCTCAAATCGCCGTCGCCTCACTCCGAATCCACATCCACATCCGCATCCATCCTCGTCGTCTCCACGAACGACCCATCAGAAACCCCTAAACCATGCAATCTTAACACTTTGGTAAAAAAAAACCTTGAATCCCCAGAAACCATCTCCGCATGAGCCAAAGCTGGGGAAGCTTCGTCATCTTCCATTTCCAAGTCATCATCCCGCCACCCACCACTTACAATTTTGGCGTCGCTTTCCTACAGTACTTGGCGCATTAGCACCCATCCCAAACGTACCTGTTCTGGCTTCTGCCAAGCTTCTAGAAAACACAAAAGTCTCCGATAATCCAAGGCCAACCAGAACAACAATTCGCGTCCAAAGGGGAAAAAGAAAATCCGAGTGTCAACACAACCGCATCCCTGTCCCCACTGTCACTCCGTCATCGCAGCCCTGTCTCGTCGCCGAACCCACATTCGCCTCACGACCACCCCGATTTTTCTTCCAACCCCTGTGAGATCCTGCGAGATCGTACGGTCTTTTGCTTGCTTATCTCCATCTTGGTAAGATATCATTTGATCTTTGACCCTTCTTATCTGACCCATATCCTCGGTAATGCCTTCGTCGCCGCCTGCGCCGCCCGTCCGGTTCTTCAGGCGACAAACATCAATCCACAGCAAAGAGACTCCAAATCGAATGTGCAAGTTAGAGCCAAGAGCTCTATCCGTCGTCTCCACAACGGGTCGGTATGAGTGATTCGGTGGTGCCTGACGGCTGATAGCTCGTTGTTGAGCACCTCTGAAAGTAGACCTGAGAGTGTTGACCGACACAACCCTGCCGATCCTTTCAATCCAACATTGTCCCTTCAACATTCCTCACAAATATAGCACAGTATACAATCAAATGATATTGGTATTTGATACAGCCCCTCGCAAAGGGGAAGCAAAGATCGTCTTGATGCCCTCTTGTACCGATTGCCATTGCACCAAACTAAACATTCCCACCCCAACGCCCCCGGCCCAGGGTATATCGGTATCCCCCGTGATAAATAATCCTACACATCGCATCTCTCTTCTCTCACTTATGCTTCTTCGTCGTCACATCCCTCTCCGCAAAGACATTACCCCCGCTTCGTCATCCCTCATGTTTTTGTTATTTCGCCAAAAAAACAGAAACAGAAAACGGCACCCTACTCCTCATTAATCTCGCTAGATTCGCTAGACGCCCATGTCTTAAACCGTATCTCTTTTTTACTCTGCGTAATCACGTCTTCTTAGACGCCGCCACCCATGAAAGCTGCGAGATCATCAAGATCAAGAAGCTGTCGCTCAAAGGCCTGGCAAAGTTCGGGCGCAGTCATGTCTTGGCTGGTAGTCTGGCCATCCTGCGACGCCACCATGCCGTTCGACATGTCTGGGCTCTGCGGCTTCGTCTCGTGAACGTGCAGCGAGGTGTGAGGCGCGCTGCCGGGAGGAGGCGACACGTTTGGTGTGGAAACACCGCCTGAGCTACCATTGATAGTGGTGACGCCGGGTCGTCGAGGAAGGGCAGCAGGAGGCTCACTGTCCCCGCGGACCGACTCAGAGAGAGATCGAACAGGGGCCTGTCCCGAGACGCTGCCTCCAGCGTTGGTCTGCTGGTCGTAGTCCATGGCGTCAGGGTTGGTATCGGCGTTGGAGGAGATCTCATCCTTGATGCCGCTGGAGGGACCGTGGGAGGTCGAGCTGTGTCGGATTGAGCCTGTGGTACCGGCGTCGTTGTTCAAGACGCGCTGCATCACAGTCAGGTGTCGGAGCCAGCTGCCCATCAGCGGCCAGTTCTCGGTGCCATCGTTCATGAAGCGGAGACCGTCCTTGACGATGTGGGCCGCTGTCTCAACCGCGTTAGGGGGGGTAAGACCCTTGAGCGACAGGTATGCCACGGTGGCGCTCGAGGTAAAGGAGGAGAACAGCATGAAGATTGGGAAACAGGGAATGTGATCCTTCTCGGAACCAGCTTCGACAGCAGTCAGCAGGGAGATTATGCCATGGCAAGAGGTAAAGAGGCGGTCGACGATGTCGTGGCAGCGCGGGTTAAGGCGGAAGTTCTCCAGGTTGAAGTTGGGAGCAGTCACCTCCTGCAACAGGCGTCGTCGGTGAACGAAAACGGTAGCGCAGTGGAGGAGACAGTGCAGCATGGCAAAGGTGTAGCCAGATCCCATCGTCATGTGGAGGTTGATCTGACCAGGCTTGTCGATGAACTGCATAGGGAGCGACGCTCGCAGACCTTCGATCTTGGTGATGAGGTCAGAGCAGTCTTCTTCACGGAAGCTACCGAGGGACGTCGTGGTTAGCATGCCGACGACATCGCGCCAGATGGTAGAGGCGAGAACGATGTAGCCAAACTCGCCAATCTCAGCGGAAGGTGCCTGACTAGGCGGGATAGCTGTGGGGTCGAGCTGCTGGCGGAGCGTCTTGACGAAGACGGCATTGCCAAAGGCAAAGTTGATATCAGAGCATGGCAGGGACACGTCCGAGGTATCGTGGGCGCTCAAGGCAGGGTAGCGTCCGGGTGTGCTAGTCAAAAGACAGTCGAGGATGTAAATCAGCCAGATGGTGCGTCGCAGCGACTCATCACGCAGGAACTGGTCGGCGTCGGGAGACGAGTGATGACTGTTAAGAATCCGGTACATCTGAACCATGCGAGCAGCCTGGCCAAGGTAGATGTAGGCGCGAACGGCATTGCGGGAACCCCACTCGTGGATGATGATCAAGCACAAAGCCTGAATATCGACGAGATTGGGATGGTCGAGGTTTTGGTTGATCAGCGCAATCGCCTTGGCGGCGAATGTCTCGGCAGCCGCGGTCGGGCCGCCATACCGGCGGATGAGGCTCGGCGAGCTCCTATAAAAGATGGAGTTAGCGGCCGGATACTTGAAGCACGTCTCAGACTGTTTCAAAATGGGCAACAAGCGGCGACGGAGCGGATTCGGAGACTAGCGAATTCGGGAATGCTCGGCTCAAGTCCGGGCCACCCGGGCACGGGGCTGAATCGAGGCATAGCGTTTGAGCCAGCGCAACGCCCCCGCCGGTGACGGTAGCACCGATCGGTGTGGATCCACAAGCCGGCGGGCGGCGACTGAGCGAGGGTGCGGGAAATGAGCGCACAGCAATACGCTCACGACGGGGAAATGAACAATGTGGGGGCGGCGTCGTCCTCTGTCCAGTGGCAAGGAATGCGAAATGGAGAACCGGGAACAGGAACGTACCGAGCGGCGCAGGTCAAAAGACCGTAGACCAGGGCGGCGTCGAGAGACGCGCTCTTGAGCTGTTGCACAAACGAGGGCTTGTGGAACGCAACACAGGCGGGGAACGTCTTGGAAACGACACGCTCACATTCGGCGATGAGCTCGGGGGTCAGTCTGGAAGGCGGGGCGACAGGGTTAGCACAAGCATTCTCAACAACCGGCAGAACAAGTCCGGCGCAAGCAGAAGTAGAGGCCGCGCGACAAGGCGGCGGCAGATGGGGAGGGGAATCGACGTAAGTGGCACGAGGCCCGGTTGGGGCTCATGCGCACAAGCAAAGCAACCAGCGGCATGGCGAGGCAGAGTGACCCAAGCAAACCATAGCCCAGCAGGGGACCGTCGTGGCGTGGGGCCAGCCGCCAACCGCCCAGGGCCCGGTCGGGAGCTGCAGAGTGCTGGACGACTCGGGGATGCTCGGCGGGTTGGACGGGCTAGGGGCTGGGGCTTGAGGAGGACGAGGACACGAAAAATTTCGGGGGCAACCCCGTGAGCCGAGGAGCAAAGACGGCGGTGGGCTGGAAGGACAGGCCAGTGCGACTCGGGGACACACGACTTGGGTGCGAGACGCGGCCGGCGGGCGTGTGGCAAGTGGATAATGGGGGAGCAAGGCAGGGCAAGGCCAGGGTTTGGGACATGGGGGGTGCGAGCAAGTGGAGGAGGCGTCCCGGCCACTCGGACGGAGACGCGAAGGAAACGGACTGACGAGAAGAGCGAGAGCGAGAGAGAAAGAGGAAGACAGGCGACAGAGGGTGCGCGCACCGCCGATCCACCTCCCGAGACCCGAGGCGTCCCAAAGAAGCAGCAGCAGACCGACGAGACCAAAGTGCGGTGATGTTGAGGATGTCGTGATGTTTGAGGACGGGATGACAGGCTCGGGGACGACGGGAAATGGGGTGATGGGCAAATGGCAGAGCAAAGAGCAGTTGTAACTTACTTGTCCGAGTTGGCCTGAACGTGGCGGGCGGCACCAGAGCCCACGACGGCCTGTCGCGCCTCAGCACCACCACCGGGCCCGGCGGCCGGTAGGCTGTCGCGAGGAGGTCGATGGGGATTGGCGTGGCGCGCAGGGCTCTGGCCGTGGTGGTGGGCCATGCTCTCCGACGGGAGGTAGCAGTCGTGCATGCCCTTGGCGCAGTTCTTGCACGGAGCCCGGCCGTTCTCGTAGACGCACTTGGTCTTGCCCTTGCGGCAGCGGACACAAGCGCCGCCGGCCCTAAGGGCGGTCGAGCGTACGACGCCAGACGACATGTCCGGAGGCGCAAAATCGCTTGGCAAGGTGAGCTGTGAGTTTGGTGGGTGGGTTGGTGAGTGTGCGCGGCGGCGGCGGCGGAGGTGGACCGGAAGATGAGACGAGACGAAATGACACCAGCGGCAACGGATGAGCGCACACGGCGACGACGGGAGAGGGTGAGTCGCGTCGTCGACACGGCACGCGGTGAGGCTAGAGGTAGTGAGATAGCCGGAGCAAAGAAAGTCGGGGGGCTTCGGTGCGGGTGATTAGGGTGAGTCGCAAAGGAGACGGAAGATGCGCCGGAGGGGGCCGCGAGGAAGCAGGAATTCAGCGACACCGAACGGAAGGCGCGCGCGCTTGGTTGGTTTTGCGGTCCGGCGGAAGAGCAGCTTCTCCCTCACCACGCGCGGGTCGATGCGATGCCACGGAGCAGAAGAAGACCGGTCCTGACGATGATTCACTCTGGTCCGGAGAAGGATGCCTAGGAGACGGTGCTCTTTCTTATTGCGCGGAGTGCGGACGGGAGTGAGAGGGCTGAGGCGCACGGAGGATGCGAGCCGGAAGATGAGCTGGCAACGCAGCGACGGCAGAGGCCGGAGACGTGAAAGAAGAATCTCAAAATAGAGACAAAGCCGGCACCGCTCGGAAACAAAGGCAAGCGGGACGCGAACGAGGACGACTCTCGCCTCAACAGCTGATGCGTGAGGAATATGTTCGGGCGGAAGAGGAGAGAGGGAGAGGATGGATGGTGGAGGAGGAGGAGAGGACGGGGAAAGCGAGGCGGGCGAGGCGGGAGTCTGGCAGATGGGGCAAGGCAGGAGAGACGCCCACGAAGGCCCCTCCCACCCCAAAAGAGGACTCGAGAAAACGGGGAAAACGGAAGCGCACGGGGGGTGGGCCCGTAGGCCGTGGGCCGTGTGAGCGGGGCGGCCGCGCTGTAAAAGAGGGAGCAGGACGCCAGGACACCTCGGGGCCCGCGGCGTTATAGTGGCCGTGGTGGCCCGTAGTGGCCGCGGCTGGGCCCTGCGCAGGCGTGCAGCCCGGGCTTCCAGGCGACGAGCGCTGTGCCCTGGGGGAAGGCTGCCCGTTTTTAGTGGGGGTCGTTCCCTACCGACCGCCCCCTTCGCAGCGCCCGCCCGCCAAGCACGGGCGGATCGGGGACATCGGATGAGGCATTCCCAAGGCCGCCCGTCGCCGGCTTCAAGTTGACGTCCTCGCAGGTTCTTTGACTGGGTGTAAACGGGAGGGGGTCGTCATCGCAGCCCCTCTCGCGTCTATTTCAAGTGCCTCCCCCCCCCCCTCTTTCGCCAGGCCCCGGGCACGTGGTGCAGCCGTGTTGGACACGCGGGATGGGGCGCACTCGGGAGGTAGGAGGAGCAGGCGAGGTGGTGGTGGGTGACGCGGAGGGGCCCCGAAAATGCGGCGGCGGACGCCAGCACCAAAATAAAAAATAAATAAAAAAACACCTCGCAGGGCTGGCTGCCACTACTTCTTCAATCCGCCAGCGCCTACCTATCATGTGTATTGTTAACGCCCATCAGGTCTTTACCCCAGCCTCTAGGAGGTGCTAACGGATGTTACTGCCGCCTGCCTTTCCGCCATCTCCGCCACTCCGCCTCCATAACCCTCGGAGGATGTGTGTCGGCTGGTTTTGGGAGCTGCTGCTGGAAGAGTGACGTGAGATGTGCTGTACCGAGCAGCATATAGCTATTCCCGGGGGTTAGGGCAGACGCCTCCATGGATCTCGGCCTCCGATCCTCAAACTCAAATATACCATTCTTCTCTATCCCAGGGGTGCGACATTTTCCAGACTTGGCAATCGTCCGTTATATCCTCCGCCGTCCTTATGGATACCTCACTATATAGTCCACTTCAGAACGAAAGGGCCCTTCGAAACGGCAGGCCAGAAGCAGGTGGTCGCACGTACAGTCCACCCATCTGCCGAGTCGTGCGTGCCGCCGGCCTATGTTGCTTCCCCAGTCCGCCCGAGGTTCCCAGAGTCCCCTTGATCCTAGAGCCTATAGTTACCTATGCTTTCACCGCCGACCGGAAGCACGTATTGACTCCACTCCTGTCACTCGATCTACGGGCGGAACCCCCCATCGGCCGCTTCGGAATCGAGCGCACCCGCGTTCCAGAGCCCCTTCCTCTGCCTGCACAAAATTTGGGATGGGATTGCTGGTGTCAGTTGAATAAAGAACTCAAGTAGACTGCCTTATAATTTGTCCAAATGTCCAACTGAAGTAAACACGTTCAGTCGCGACCCGGGAAGGCTGCCACAGGTACCGCCCCTCTAGCTCCGGGGCGCGAGCTATGCGCCGGCCGAAGCCACCATTGACCACGTCCGTGACAGCCCAGGCCCCACGATGGGCGGCCAGAGCCAAGATTCGCAGCACACTCGCGCTCAAAGTCCGCTGATCCAGCGGGCTGGGATCTGCTGTATCCCCTACTTTACGGAGTACTGGAGGAGAAGGGGGGTTGCAATAATAATCCCTGATCCATCGTGTCATTTATGGTTGGTCCTAGACGGAGCAAGGAACTCTAGTCTTCCGATACGGCTGGGGCCGTTAATGTCCAGAGGAGGGCTGCCAAGTCTTGCAAGTCGGCCGTCCGCTCAACGTCGCCGGCTCGGGGACCATTGCGTGCATCCGGATGTCATGATAACGAAGCCCCAACCTCAATCAAAACGAGAGATAATTTCTAACCATCTGCTCTCTTCCTCGGTCGTGGCGATTTCCGGTCCGGCGCATACGCTCCTCCAGCCAGCCGGAGGCATCGGGCTTCCCCGCCCCCAACGGGTCGCTTCTTAATCCCGCGCCGCCGCGCAGCACCTGGCCAGACGTCGGCATCAAGCCAGGAGGTATAAACTCGACGCGCCCACTCCTCCTCATCCTACACCGGTCAATCCCCAACGCTCCGGACGGGGTGGACTGCAAATACGTACCGTGTAGCAAATCGCCCGTGGAAGCAAGTCACCCAAGAATGGTCGGATTCCGCGACCCCAACCGGCAGCGGCGCTGCACGCTCCGTCGCAGCCTGGTTACCCACTGGCCGGGCGGGATGGGGATGGCATGCCGCGCAGCAGCAACCGCAGCAGATGGTGGCCAGCACGCGCTTCGCTCCGCATGGCAGGACGCAGGACAGGGCATGGCATACCTTCGTACATACGGACCAGAGGGAGCAGCCAAAGAAAGCAAGCCCCAGGAATCAGGACAAGGCAATTTGGCCAGGGGGTGTCGGCCCAGGGCATGGGCCAGCCCTCGTCGGAGCTGAGCTTGAGCTGCATCGCAACACACTCCTCCCACCACACTCCAGCTCACCCCCTCCGACCGACGAGGCGCCCAATCTCGGGCGGTTGGAACGATGCCAGACAGCGACACGCTCACTTTCATGCTCCCTGACGCTTTGGAGTTCGCCCACCTGCTTCCCCCTTTCATCTCTGCTCACACACGCGCCCAGCCAAGTTCCCACGAGATTCGGCGCTCTCCGCGAGCAGAGCCGACAGACGTGGGATAGGAGGCGCGCGCTCTTCGGCAGTACGAATTGCGGTGGGGCCGTCTCTCCGAGCCACAGCACCGTGCAACCACCAAAGCGGACATACTGTACGGTAAGTGCCAAACCCCAAAAAACCCACCCCCGTCCATGAAATGTACTACGTCGCACAAACGCAGCCCCCGCCTCGAAAAGGAAGAGGAAATCCGCGTGCAGCCTGATTTCCGGGCTTTGCACGTGTCGCCAATCGTCTCCATCCCACGCCGCTATAGCTGACGTCGCGGTGATGGCATTGCGCGGACCTCCGGGCTTCCCAAGTCCTCTGACGACGGCTACGGGGCGGCGCCGTGCGCAACGGTGGATCAAGGTCTCCGGGGCGAGCCAGCACCAATCTCGAAAAACGGTGTTGGGGACGGCTACAAGCTACGCACGGTTCCTCACCTACGTCCGTACCGTCACGGAGGCGGCCGGGGCTGGCACTAGGACATGGGGCGGGGAAGAGCGGGATCTGTTCAATTTGTACTAGTCTATGGCTGCTTTTGCCGTCAACATTCCGCCATGAACCCGGGACGCCGATATCACGTGGTCATCCTGGTGTGGCTATCCCCCGGTATGCAACTGTCATGGCCAATACATCCACATGCCATGACCTCTGTCGCGGACCTCTAGCCGCGGACCCATGTCGCCCTTATCCCATCTGGCGCCATCTCACGATTGTTCTCGATTCCCGAGATACCGGGGTTTCCCCATTGACGAACGCTTTTCTCCATAATTCATCATCACATTGTTCACACGGCCGTCATGACGACACATGTACTCTCACGTACTCTCCCATCTAATCTTGTCTTTTTTCTTCCTCTATGTCATCGGCATGACCTCGTCTAAGCCTTGGTCTCTCGCACCGGCAGAGCCTTCTCCTTCTTGGTAGTGTCCTTCTTCTCGGTTCGCTCAGACTTCTCGGGCATTTCCCTGGTGAAAGGCAGGAATTCGGGCTGGCCAGGAATGTACTTTCGGAGCACCTCGGGTACCACCAAGCCTTCCTCCGTCTGGTAGTTCTCCAAGACACAGCATAGGGTTCGCTCGGTCGCGCAAAGGGTCTGCAATCACTTCAATTAGCACCAATATTTCACCAACAACATCCAGACGCCTGGGACAACTTACCGCGTTCAGAGCATGCACATACTCCTTCCGTCCACCTCCAACAACGGTCTTGCCCTTCTTTGAGCCGTGGCGGATCTCCAGCTCTCGGGTCTGGTAGTCCGTGCAGTTTGAGCATGAGACGAGCTCCTTGTACTCAGACTGGAACGGGAACCAGGCCTCAAGATCGTACTTCTTGGCAGCCGCATTGTTCAGCGCTCCAGAGACAATACCAACAACCTGGTAGGGGAGCTTCAGAGACTGGTAAAACTCCTCTGAGTTGGTCATCATCTCGTCGAAGTGGTCCCAGCTGTTGTCGGGGTTGCAGAGCACAAACTGCTCCACCTTCTCGAACTGATGCACACGGAAGACACCCCAAGCATCACGGCCGTGGCTGCCGGCCTCCTTTCGGAAACAGGTGCTGTAACCGCAGTATTTGATCGGGAGCTGGTTGGGCAGGAGCCACTCGTCGGCGTGGAGACATGAGAGGGGCTGTTCGCTGGTGGCAATCAGGTATCGGTCGGCGTCGGAATTCTCGCTGCCTTCCGAGACACGGTAGAGCTCTTCGTCAAACTGGGACAGCTGGGCCGTCTTGGCCATCTGTTCGCGGTCGAGCATGAAAGGGGGCTGGTTAGGAGTGAAACCTGTGGCACGACATTCGTCAGTAACCCGTGAGGGTACAGGGCGGATCGGTTCTAATACTCACCCTTGTTGAACAGGTGCTCGGTGGCGTAGTTGACAAGGGCCATGTTCCTATTCACAGTCAGATCGCAACTTTCCCCACCAGACTCTCCAAACCTACAAGAACATGCCGTAGCCGGTGAGGCAGTAACCTCGGTGGCCGACAAGCTTGACGCCGCGAATGGGGTCGTATCCGCCAAGTCTCCAGAGCACCTCGTGGTGAGAAAGGGCCGCCTTCTTGGTCTCCTCAAAGCCCTCGGGCTTCCAGGTCTTGACGATTTGGTTGTTGTCCTCGCTCTCGCTGACATGGACGGAATCGTGCACGTAGTTTCCGACGGTGCGGGCCTTGGCCCTCAGCTCGGCGTTCTTGGAGGCGGCAGCCTCCTCCTGGGCCTTCTTCTTCTGGGTCAACTCCTCCTTCTGCTGGAGTAGCTCGGTCGCATCCTCCTTGGCCCGCTTCTTGAGCCCAATCTCCTTCTGGACACCGTTGATTTGCGTGCCGATTTGCGTCACCTCGTACTGAGCTTAAAAGGTCTCAGCAAGGGCACCACTACAAAGAGCTCCCAATGTTCATCGTGACTCACCTTTTCGGGCATCCTGCCACAGGGCAATAACCTCGTCGACCAGCTCAACAGACTCGTTTCGGCGACGCTGGCTCTCTCTGATCTTCTCGGGGTTTCCCCCGCGCTCCTCGATGAAATCTTCAATGTCCAACATGTTTGCGATTTGCTGTGGTACGATTCACGCTTGTCGTTGGGCAATGTGGTGTTTTTTTTATCCGTTGGTGATAGCCCCATGAAGGAGGGGGAGGGGTTATCATCTGGGTCACATGACTGGGTTTCGAGTCAACTTGTGGTGAAAGCCCAATCACATGAGTCATCCAGGAGCATAGCCATTGTTGATTGCAACCTCTTGCAACCTCAGTAATAAGAATGCACATTTTTCACCTATAAAGATGCACGATGCAAACATTTTGAGTTCTTGAGTCACTCGCCGAAGCTCTTGCGATCGTTGTACTCACCAGCGCATGGGAAATCGCACCGCCATGACGACAAGCCACAGCTGGGCCACAGAGGGGCTACGTCTGCGGCACACGCTCACGGTGAGTACACGCCCTGGTCACAATGGTTCCTAAAGCGGCGCTGCGCCGGGTCGCCGCAACATTACGTGACGGTAAGACATAATCTGAAGACAGGCAGGCCACGGAAGTGATCCTAGTCCCGGGCAATTCATCACCCGAGGCGCGCGTGAACCAGTTTCTCCGTATCCAGTCCTGTCGTTGAGTCAACCACGACGAGTCAGAATCGGCTGGATTGTTCCGATGTGTCTGACTGCTTCTTCATAGACTACTGTTTTGTGCACCTCATTCAAGTACTCACAAGGGGAAATACATGAAACACCAAGTCGCGCGGGCAAGGCCGGTGCCGCCGGACACCGTCACGCAGACATCCGGAACGGGCCACAAGATCCAGCGCCTCATGTCGGAGGGAGGAGAGGGGGTGGACAGATGGAAATCACCCGTGTTCCAGGGCCAGCGTAGTGCACTCTGTCGAGACGGGCCAGGCCAACCGAGTCGACTTCGGCATTCTGGTTGCTTGTTGGCTTGGAGGCCGCGCGCGATATTAAATATGCGGATCCACACCGGCACCGTCCGTCCTCTGTGCCGTACACCATTCCTAGGTCCTCCCGCGAGACGAAACTAGGACAAGACGCCGAACCGAACCGCGGCATTTCGCGATACCGGCGCTACAATGGCCGTGTGTCCATCATCACGCCGCCGTTGATCGACATTCCCCTTTAGGTCGATGCATCAACTTCCACGTTTGGCCAACATTGGCGGTTGTCATCCCGGCCCCGGCTGAGCTACACAGTCTAGGCGGGTGGAGCCCGGTCGATGGTGTGGGTTCGGGTCTTCGCTTTTGCCCGCGTCACATCTGCACGTCGCCAATTCATGAGGCCGATCCCGGAAATGTCCTGATTGAGTGGGCCTGCCAAGCATCCTTAGCCTCCGTATTTGACGGAGGCCGGCGTTTGAGATACTAGCATCTCGACAATGACCACTCGGACCTTCAATAGTACGTTATTCTCGCCAATTTTTATCGAAGCAATTCTCCAATAGCTTTGGGTTAGGTCAGTGACAGCATGTCGGCGTGTTCTATTTTACGCCAAGCGTGATGGCCTAGTGTTGAATCAGCAGCTTACCAGAAATGGGGTTCTACTCGGCTGGCAATTCAGACAGAAATGCTAGACTTTAGCATCCACACGCGGTTTTCGAGGCTACTCTATGATAAAAGGTTCAGTATGGGATTATTCTTCTCGAGCCTTATTATTCCCACATGCGCAGGTCGTTACTCACGCACATAAGCATTGGTCTCAAATACACTTAATAATACTATACCTGATATACAGGTTTAGATAGGAAATAATACCCATATGTACAAGCCTTAGGCTTGCTATTTATACTCTATTTATTATTTTTATTTTCATTAAAATTTTCTTATCAATAACGGAAGCCCTAACGCCTCTCTTTTAATGCATATATTAGGGACGTTAGGTTGCCTAAACTAGTCGAGGAATGTCTTTTTCTAGTGCAGCCTACAAAGTTATCCCCCTAAGCACTGTCGTCGACAAGCTTCTTTCGCTCGGCCTCCATCACCCCGCTAAGAAATAAGCCTGGGAGCTGACGCACATCGCCGCTTTCTTCTCTCAGATGTCCCGATGATTCCTCGAGATATTTTTGGACGAATATATTCCAGAGAGCCTTGGCGACTGGGATTTGTTGAAAAGGCCGCGGATAGTACGGGTCATTAAGTAGAAATGACTCCACAGCCATTGCAACACCAGCTTCGTCCATGGTGATCCGACGCACTTGGTTGAAGTCCAAGAGCCACAATGCAGTGCTCTGATAGTGGAAGTCTTCAAGGTTACCGCTTTGTGGGCCGGCTAAGGAGTTCGGTGGTAAAGCAGCGATCTCCGACGTAGTTATCCCTGACAGAGGTTTGGTGGAACTGCCCAGCACAAACTCCACGTCCCTAGCGTCTGTCTTTGCAGCCCAGTGCATGGCAGCAAGAGCAGTAGCCATGTCAGAGGCTATGCCTGCAACGGCCATCTTCAATTCGATCATGTGATTGAGGTAAAGTTTTAGGTTTCTTAAGTTGAAAAACCTGTTGATACTCCTGCCGTTGAGAGACCCAAGGTACACTCGCACTAGGCAGTCTTTGTTGGAGACAGCATTGAATGCCTCAGTCTTCACTTTTCTGGGGCAGAATTTCTCGATGAGGAGGGTTCGGGTCGTTTTCGGGAGTGGAAGAATGCGTTCCGCATATAATGCATGGGCCGGAAGGTTGCAAATATCCTTAGCCGCGTTGGTGAGGTCGAGGTTGTTATCCCAGAACTGCTTATGACTCCTTGGAATGAATCCGTGACACTTGGGGATCTCAATTTGCGTAATCCCGCAGTTTTCGAATGTTTCGGCGATGAGACGATGCATCACGAAGTCGTTCCAAAGCTCGTCTGTCGGGGACTTCGCGAGCTTAATAACAGTTGGCTTGCCATCTTGAGCGAGAATTGCACCACACGCGCCGCCTCCAATTTTGCGGAAAACAACAGGTGCGCAGGCGTTTCGTTCGGCAAAGGAGGAGGAGGGAGAGATGATCTGGAGGGACAACGCCCGTTTCAGTTGGGCGTTGATCTCGTTAGTAGCATCGTGCGTATCGTGCGCACCCTGCGCATACTCGAGAGCGTCTGCAGCAACAGGTTCAAGAAGATGCTGCATATTTGCTTCCGTGCGAGATTGTAGGGTTCTTCTGACGCTTTTTCGCGTCGTCAATCTGGCTAAGATGGCTTCGAATGATGCAGAAGGGAGAGAGATTGGATAGTGGGGAATCGAGGGTGCAACACACTAACGACCTTGAGGGTAGTTAGGCCTAGGCCTAAATTTAGGTATTAATAAGATCGATTTCATAAACATAATAAAAAGAAGTATTAGAGGGAGTGTGCTTAACTTTCATAAAAACGACTTAGACCTTGATGAGCAAGCTGCTGCCTCGCAAAAACGGAGCCAAGTCATTCACGAGATATTGTCGCCGGTATGTTCCGACTGCACCAGCTAGCCAATGTCTCAGAATATCGCTCGCCAAGAAGGGGGAACGTACAGATGGAGAGAAACGAAGAGGAACTTGTCTTTCATAAGGATATTCTGAAATCACCCAATTGTGTTGCGATCTCACATCCGAAGGCGTAAAAGGTAGCCTTGATGCATTCCATCACATGAATGGACGATTCGTTTCATCTTGCATCTTGTGCTCTATGGCGACTACAGACTTGATATAGCAAACGTACTTCCCCTGCACCTCGAACTGTGACACGTTCTATGTATCAATTTCTTGTTAAACATTGTAGGCTTAGTTTACAATAAGACAAGAAACTCTCGGAAGAATCTTGAACCTAGAGCTGGAATATAGACAGAGCCTTATATGGGACGACGTGGTTCCGAATCTCTTCGATTGTCATGGAGAAAGGCTGTCAATCAAGAAAGAGAGTTCCTAGCCCTTCCAAGATCTCGAATGCGGTAATATTCTAACACCTACACAAAACGGGACTCCATCAAAGTGCTCCTAAGCTACGCAGGGGCAACCTGTGAGGGATACACCAAACTGTCTGGGCAAGCAGATACAACCTCGCCTTGGCCTCGCTTTCGTATCCTCCCAAGAACCCTCGCATAGTCAACCGAAGGCTCACCCGGCTGTCTCTGCCATTTTCCAACAAGCCTGACTTTTGCCTGGACAATCCCGCTCCATAACACTGGCTGCGCCCCAGACTGGGATTGCGAGGAGTCAGTTTCTGCACCAATCCGGCTCTGTTCAGTGAACCGCCCAACCAGTAGCCATTTCCTAATGTCTTCGGATTGGGTGAGTGAAAGTATGTCCATGGGTCCGCTTTTGCCGATATAAAAAACAGCAGCCTGGCGTTGAACCAGCAGCTTGACCGAATCTAGACTTCCGAAAGCACTGGCGGCCATGAGGGCCGATCCCAAGGGGCATCCTTCGAAGTCGATTTCTGCCCCCATTGATAGGCAGTTTTCTATGACATCAACTAAATTTAGAGATGCAGCACGACAGAGGGGACTCCACCCACGCTCCGGTTCCAGGTTCAGAATTCGTCGAAAGGTCTCTCGTGGTAGAGTGAGCTGGAACCCTCGAAACTTCGACCTCAAGAAAGCGAGACATCCATAGTGACATGACTCTAGATGCCATGGAAACGCGCTTGTTCTGTGAAGTCCGTAGTCACTCTCAGCAAGAAGATCTAATGAGTCTTCTCTGGATATGATGCTGTGCATCAAACTTCTGCTTCTTTCGTCTTCAGACGTGAAATCGCAGCCGAGTTGTCTGAGTTCTTGAAGGCATTGGGAAGAGAGAGGAGCTTCCTCGCAAGCTATCGGGCATCTTGTACATGAAATGTCCAGCATCGTCGACTTATTCAGCCTATAAGCCTGTGAATCGTCCCCACAAGATTGTGGAAAGAGCTCGCTAAACGACTGGCGCCACCTCCACGGGATGAGATACGGAAATGGCCCCGGTCTATAGACTGCCGCTGTAGATGCGCCCAAATTAATCAAGTGCGCTGCCATTTCTTTGCTCTTGGCGTACCCCAAAGGCGTCCAACCATTGTCATCAGTCATGTCAACATTTGCCCCTTTCTCGATGAGAAGAGATGCTGCCGCTTTGTTTCCATGAAATGAAGCAAGATGCAACGAAGTAACCAGGCAACTGCCTTTTGTGAGTTGATGCATCGTTGATTGGGCGAAAGAAAAGGTTTCTCGACGATTGAGAAGTGTCGACATTGCTTGCTGTGGGGACATTTGGCTATTTTTCCTATTGCGCTTGTTAGCCAACCCGCAAGTAAATCGCTTCCGACATTACTAACGCAATTATGACAATATTCTTTTCGACTTCCCGTAACAATGTGGCAAGACAGTCGATATTCTGACACATGGCTGCTTTCTGTAGAGGGTAATCGGCTCCACGAACCAATTCCCCTCCTTGGGAGAGATAAGTTGCTAAGAGTCGCGGTAAGAGGACGATGAGATTTGGGTCCCCAGCAACAATCTCAATGACGCTCTTAACCTTGTGCATCAAACATGTTGCTTTCAAAGTACTGGCCCCGTTGTCCAAGAGCCACTGTGCGATCTTCAACCTGGATTTAGCCAGGGCTAAGATCAATGGGGAGCACCCGTGACATTCTGAAAGCCACAAATCGATGGGACAGCCGCTGGCTACCAGTCTTTTGCAATCTTCCAGATCACTAGCCTCAATTGCCTGCTGAAATGCCTTTGACAGGAGATTGGTTTGCGTTTGGGACCGGGTCTTGTGGCCATGGACGGCCGACTGACCCCTTTCCGCTCCCCAAAACTTTTCTAAACACTGCTTGATGTTGTTGTCATCACTTTCCTGGGCATACAATCGTGGGCTCTTTCCAAAGATGTCAAAGGATTCTGACGCGCCATGCTCCAACAGCATCTTTGTGCCAGATAAGTGACCTGCTTGTACGGCCATATGCAGTGGTGTGCTCCCATCCGTGCTTTCTGCCATGAGATCAGCGCCTTTGGAGAGAAGAAGTTGAATGATTTCCAGTCTGTCATAAGCGACCGCGAGATGAAGTGGTGTGTATAATTCTTCGCAACCTGCGTTTACGTTGGTGATAAGGTTCTTGTCAAGGTAAAATGCCAGACTTTCTGTTCTGCCATACGTTGAGGCCTGGTGAAGGGCATTGGCATCCCGAAGAACTCTCCGTTGCCCTTGAAGTTCCACTGCAAGGCCGAAAGTTGCCGCCCATGGGATCGTGAGTAAGTTCTTCTCGGCGTGCATGAATAGCTTCTGAAGAAAGGAAGCGCATTTCCCCACCAAAGCTGCCTGTGAGGAGTCACTTGGTACGAGCATCGGATCTGACCCCATTTCCAAGAGTAGTTCAGCGCATTGGAAAGACCCGCACCATAGATGATACATAAGGGCTGAATCGTATGGGGGACATCGAGTTTGTCCATTGATGTCGACTCCCCTTTCGACGAGTTCTTCAACAAGCCAGAGGATATCGGCTGCATCTTCCTTGGTTGCTAGCCTATGCAGAAGCCCTGGGCCTGGCGAATCCGACTGGGTATCATTAAGCCCCTCTTTAGTCGAATGGTCCAAAAGTTTATGGATAATGGCCTCTCCGTCGTCTGAAGCGCAAAGCTGGAGTATCAAAGGTCGCTGGCAGGCAAACTAAATTGCTGAAGTACCTCCTACGCGTTGATGAACATTAACGCCATGTTCAAGAAGCAGGCTGACAACCTCAGGACATCTTTCTTCGATGGCAGCTTGAAGAAATTGCAGTGCCACATCGGTTTCTTTTCCTGACGCCCAAAATCGAGTTAAACGTATCCCTTGAAGTAGTGTATCCGCTGATATGTAGCTTGTTGGGAGCCAGATCTCGTTGTTAATGCAACCCAACAGGAGGGTAGTCATTCCGGACTCCGCGCTTTGGTCCTCGAAAGCTGTCATGACACCAAGCCGCAGGCACAGTGCTATGGTGCTATCGAAGTCCCTTGCCAGTCCGGCATGGAATTCGGCTTTCCAGTGTGCGGCTCGATCCAGGAGAGTACACACAAACTCCCAGAGTGTTTCTCCACCTATATTGCTATCATTAAGTACACTTGAAGATGTCAGGACTTCAACAATCTCTGCGTCAGGGCGAGTGTTTCTGCTAAGTGTGGTGTCGATGTATAGTTCCACCGGCAGGCGTCCTTCGAATCTTTGCCTGTGGGCATCTCTATACATGCTTTGCAGCAACTTGACGGCGTTGATAGATACACTTTCACCTAGCCGGTGTAGTGGCGTACACTCTCCGGGTTGTGGAGGACCCGGCACGGCGCCACTTTCAATCAGGCAACGGATAACGTTCTCGGAGCCAAGACTTGCCGCAAGTCCGAATACGGGATCATGACATTGCCAAAAGCTTGGGATTGTAGCGCACAATTCCAAAAGCTTGTAGATTTTCTCCCTCGTGTCCGCATAGTTGTCTTCTCTTTTTAAGAGGAGCGAAAGAGGAGTGTCACCCTTATTCGTTCTGGTCAAGAGTGCCTCTGACCTTGTTGTCTCGGAAACAAGTGTGTGGCGATCTTCTAACAAGCCAACTGGCATGTGCCTTAATTCGGCCCAGAGATGCCAAGTTGTGCGTCCTTCGTCGTCTGTAGATAGGAGAGAAATTCCTCGTCTGGCAAATATTTTAATGACGTCCATCAGATTGTTTTCACCAAATCTCAATGCCAAGTGCAATGGCGAGTCTCCACTGTTGTCTTTCATGCAAGGGTCACAGCCTGCATCCAGAAGCACTGTTATGATACGACAATCTCCCATCACCACAGCCTTGTGTAGAAGAGGCGGACCATCAGGTCCTGTCTTGGATAGGTCAAGGCGCCCATCGGCGAGGCATTGTTGGAGTACCTGAACTTTGTTAGAGCTGATGGCACCTAGAGCCCCCGCGAACAGGGCGTTTTTCGATAATGAAACCCGTGAACCAATGATAAATGGGTCAGCTGTGAAAGGCAACTTTTGGTTAAGAGCCCATTTCCACGCTATTGAGGCAAGCTGTACGCCCCAATCAAGTTCACAGCATGATGCAGCATTAAGATACTGCATCAGTTCAAGTATGGACGCTTCCAAATAAGGATAGGCGGCACCGGCGGAAACACGATCCAAACATTTACTGAACAAAGGCATTTCGTGCATTTCCGGAATTACCCCTAGCGACAGAAGCTTAACAACAGGCCTGAAGTCGTAGAATTGGCTGCTTTGGAAGCAGGCAAGAGAAAAATTAGATTTGGCCCGAAGGGAAAGCAGGGGATCTGGAGTTTGGGTACTCTTTTCCATGAGGCAACTTATCGTCTGGTTCCGTCGTTCCGAAGAAGCAAGGAGAGGTTGGTTTTTTTGATGCAGCCATGCACGGTCGAATGAATCGTATTCAGTCCCAACTCCAGGTAGGAAGTATAACGTCATTATGGCAAGATCAAGCGGTGTCGCACCATTCAATTCAGAGGTGCAATCCACGCCATCGTTGAGCAAGGCGGTGCATATCTCCGGCAAATTTAACGCAGAAGCCATATGTAGAGGCCGAAAGCTGCTGTCGAGAACAATTCCAGGAAATTCCTTACGACAGTGGTGAGAATATTTTCTCCTGTTGACAAAGTGACAGAGTTCAAAAGCCCAGTTTGAAAACTGTGCCGTCTTGGATAAATGAAATAATGACCGTGAAAGATCCAACACAAGTGGATCATCGATACCATCCTTGGTAAGTTTCAGCCACCCGAAAGCTGAGTACTTATAGAATGGGTATTCCTGATCTCTGTCCTGTTTTATAACAAGGCATTCTTGTAGTTTGCTCGGTTGTTGGTCAAAGTTCCTTAGCTGAAGGAATCTAAGACACTGTGTTGCTAAAAGCGCGTTGCTTCTAGGCTGGGAAATCCAATAAGAATGAAGATTAGATTGGCTGGCGGCTCCGGATAACGCCGCCTCGTTCTGAAGAAATTCCTACACTGAGAAGTGGGCGAATTCGAAGTACTCTCCATTTTTCGACTTTCGTATAAGACTGCTGCATCTGCGGGAGATTTCTCCCTCCGACACGGAGTTTTTCGCGTCTAAACTCGCGCCTAGGATTTCTGGGGTCGAGACAGCTTGTCTCAGTTGCAGGATTGTCAATCTCGGTGATGCGAAAGCTATGAAGTGAAGGCACAATTGCACAACGGTCCGAACTCTCGAAGAGTAGCGATTCACACGCTCCAGAAGTCGGCGATAGCTCTCGGGTAAATCTGGAGGTAGCTTCTTCAAAGCTTCCCGTCTTTCTTCATCATGGGCGCAGTCGCAGAGGTAGTCCAGTTGGCAAACAACCCATCGAAACCTAGAATGAATTAGCAAAAACTCTACTTGGGAGCTTCGGGATTCATACATTCCCTGTGCCCGCCTCACGAGTGTTTCCATGATTTCTTCTTTCATGGCGATGCTTGTGAGTTCTAATCGATGCGTCCGCGTTCTCTTGTCCAGTTCTGCGCCCACATATAACCTGATGTCCTGTGTATGGGCTGCGATTGGGATGTGTTCAAATTCGCCCTCTAGGCGAACTCGAATGTTGTAATGGTCCCGACTAAACAGTGCTATTGACACACTTGTGGTATACTGTGCCAGCTCAGAAAGCACATCGACGACCTCCTCGGTATTATCGCCACATTCATCAAGCCCGTCAATGATGATCAGTGTCTGGTCGAAAAGTTCAGACATGCTGCTGATTCTTGCCCTGAGCTCATCAGGATCGGGTGTCTGTGGAAGCCCAGTTGGTGGGTTTAGGGTCTCGTAATAGTCCCGGAGGATATTGAAAGCCTCGTTGTTCTGGCGAGAAAGCTGGGATGCCACAGCCCCAAGGATGTTGGTGGGTTGGCCAGTAGATTGATCTTTGTAATCGCAGAAGAAGAACCCAACACCAACCCTAGCAGTGGTATGGCCGTGCGTAAGGGCTTCTTGGATGGCCGCACCCGCCAAGACTGTCTTGCCAGCACCAGGGATACCGCTAAACCAGAGCCTGGAGCCAGGCTTCTCCAACCAGTCAATGAAGGGAAGAGATTCGGTCAACCATAACCCTGTCATGGCATGTCGTAGTCTGATGCTCATTTCAAGGTTGGGTTGAGGGCTGATCTGCATGAAGTAGTTCAGAACGCGCTGCTTGTCGGCGTTGATATCGATTTGTGTGTTGATCTCGATCCTTTTGGCGATAACTGCAATACGAGAAACTTGCTCGCCCAATTCGTCCACTTTCGACAGACACAGCTGTAGCTTGCGCATTGAATCGGCTGATAAGGCGATGGTGATAGTTTCTTTGTGGCGCGAGAGCTCACCCAAGAGCTCCTTGGTTTCGGAAGCGGAAAACGGCCACTTCAGTTGACGGACAATGCCCTCCAATTTAGAGCGGCCAAGGCTATCAGAAGCCCTTTTAACTCTTCGTTCAATTTTATCAAATGTCTTCGTACAATGACTTAGACAATGGATCCTCAAGGTGGGATCGAAAGTATCCCCTTCTGACTCAAGGTCGGAAGCCAGCGCCTGGAGAGATCGCAGGACGGTTGCGAGGCCATTGATCTCGTCAGCAAGTGATTGAATATCGCTCTTAGCATTCTTTGCAGCTCTCGCATACTTAAACACAGCCCTAAAGATAAGATCGCTAATAGAAATTAGACCAGCGATGCTGGCTGAGACGGAGAGCGGATCCGACATGAGGCCGGTTCGTGGCGGTGCTGGTACGTGTCTTGACGGTGTGTGAACAATTGATGAGCGATTTAAACGAGAGCGACCATCGAATGGACGGTTTTGGGGTCACAAGGACTGTGTACTCCAGGTTCGGCGATCCAACCAGAGCTGGATTTGGGACACGTGTTTCAAGCAGTTAGGAGCCCTAACGAGGTCGAGGATAAATTGTTGGGGAGCGATGAGATTTCAAGTGGCCACTACTTAATGCCTCAGCTATCTCACCTTTCGTGGCACCCATTAAGCCTAAGGCACTGCCCGGGTAGCATTGTGCATATCATTGTACCTTGTGATCGTCCCAGACTGACGTGACTGGTGGCCTCTTGAACGACAATCAGCCGCACCAGGCTGTGCTATGGAGAAAGCCACACTCTGTGTGGCAGTGGACAGCGCCATGCATATGCATCAAGCCACCAGCAAATCCATCGGAAGTGCGGAATTGGGTACTCATGGGTGCCCGTCCGTCTTCAGACCATACAGTAAATAATTAAATAAGTTCAAAGGAAATTTGAAACGGAATATCAGACGTTTATTCACTTCTCTATTATTTTCTTTATTTTATGTTAAAGTTATCCAACGATGAACAATGCCTTGTTTTACTCCAATTTTGGTTACTCCTACCGTGGCTAGGCCCATCTTCCATTCCTGTTCGTGAGTTGTATCGCTATTTCCAACGTGTCTACATTGTGTTACTCGCATTCATTCCCCTCCGTGGCATCTACGACCGTAACGATATCGAATCGATGGCCTGCCCACCGCCCTTCATAGTCCAGTCCGTATTCAGGCGCCCAATTGTCGTTAGTCTATTGTGAGGATGTGACAACGACTTCTCCCACTGAACGTGTGCTCTGACTTAGCAACAGTCTCGTCAACCACGTTTACTTTGGTCGTCAAGTTTCTAAGGATCGCAGGACTTCTTGGGTTCTTGACCTTAAGCGGGACATGCATTATCATCTGCGTCAGGAGGTCACATAAGTGCGAGCTGATGCGTCCGGGCTATGGGGGATACCAAGAGCATCATCACTGACGAAGATGAGGCGGTCTCCAGCCCACGAGATATCTCTGGTCAGTAGAGACTGGAAATTCGAACCGAGGAGGCGGAAATGGTAGTAGAAGGTGTTCGATAGGTACCTATATGAGATCATCATCTGCACCAGTACTTGCAAGTATCGACTCTGCCTAGTCGATCACCTCTTGCGGGAGAGCAATGAGAGGAGACTCTGCCCTACAGTCGGGATTGAGAAGTGTTCAAGATCATACCACCTAAATCTTCATTTTAATTTTAATATGTTAGCCACCTCGCTAGAAATCTCCAAGAAGACCCGCCAGCTACCCGGCCGTGCCATTGGTGAGAATGTCCCAATACTTGGATTTCCCACCGTTGTAGAGCTCCCGCCGCGAGTTGATATTTAAAATTCCCCCACGCAGTCATCTGGCAATTAATCAACGCATGAAGGGTCCAGATGGGATCAAGTGCAGTAGTAAAAAATTGGTCTGCGATATTTACCGATGCACCTAGTGTACGTTGCCTTGGAGCGTGGTGGTGATAGAGCGATGACCTTGCTGTCTCGCTCAAGAATTTCCTACCGTGGCCAGGAAAATGGTTGAATCTGGTTGCAAAAAAAGAATCAATCAGAAATGTCGCAAAAAAATATGAATATTCAGCTAAATGCAGTTGTTGCGATGAGAAATTGACAATATCTTCTCACGATTGATTGCAGAGAGCGGGGAATATGGCTCGTGGGTGCACGTGATCAAAAAGCGACGTACCGCCAGGCAAGTTTGCTTTTTTCTTGCTCATACTATCAATCGTCCAGTTCAACTTCAAGCCTGCTCGCATGTCCTCTCACTTTGTCATGCACCCTTTTTCCCAATATGTCTATCTCATCCATCATTATCGACCCAATGGGCGATACTCTCATCACCCTTCCGCACCTAACTGAACTCAGTATTGAGTGCGACAGCTTGACCGCTCCCTCAGAAAAGAGGGATGATTGTGCGGTAAACGCTTACCCGGAGCCCAGTCCAATCAAAGGCACTTATTTGGCGATCCAGTAGAAATAGAAGCACGGAGTGCTAACTCTCACATAGAAAATCCTTCATCTGCAAAAAAGACGACAGAAATCCGGTCCGAAACCCATTTCCAAGTGTCCAAGAAACACCTAACGATAGCTTCACCTCGAGCACAAGCCATGTTTGCGGGAGGATTCAAGGAATCCATTCCACAAGATGATGGACTGTGTCACTGGAATTTCGAACCAATCTTTGATCCGGAGGCTTTTGAGATTGTGATGAAGATCATCCATGGAAAGACTCGAATGCTTCCTCAAAAAGTAACGTTCAAAATGTTAGCCAGCATCTCTACTATAGTAGATGACTTGCAATGCCATGATGCTACTTGGTTTATTGTGAGACAATGGCTGAGCCACATACCCCAAAACATTCCGAACGCAATATGTAAAGATCTCGCAAGGTGGATTTTGATCTCCTTCGTGTTTGAGGACTCGGTGTCTTTCAGACTCTCAACGCAACAAGCGATCCTACACAGCGATGGCCCGATGCCTAACTTCGACCTTCCTATTCATCCCTTGATCATTGGTTCGTCGTTGACCCCGGCACTCTGGATATAGAACTAACCAAAACAGATACAATTGATTCAATAAGACAGGATACCCTTGAAAAGTTGGTCGAGCATTCACATGCCTTGATGAACGGTTTATGCCGCAAGGAAATTGGGTGCAACTTTGGGTGCAGGTCCATGCTACTTGGTGCATTGATCCAAGAGATGAATTCGGGGCAGCTATACTCGCCGCGGCCAGTGAAACCATTTCCAGGTTTGAGTGTATCGCCGACCATCCAGAGCCTACGGCACTTCGAGTCACCGGACTACTTTTGTGCAGAAGAAGTACGTTCGAATATGACACCTCGAGAGACGTGGCGATTTACGGAAAATTCTTACGCCGCATCGACATTCAAGTCGAGAAAACCCGGAGCCATACAGGGAATCGAGAACAAAGCCTCGAAAATCCCGGAGCGCCTTGTCTACCACACATGTTCCTTAGGAACCCTTCTTCACCCTCAGATAGATGAACTACACAGGGGAGTCCAAGGTCTGGATATATATTTCATGAATCGTATGCGTACGAGCAGAGTCTTGGAGGGACTTGCTAGGAGAGTAACGACGAGCTTGTGACCGGACCGACGTCGGATTTGGCAGAGCGGAGTAATAAAAAGCTTATGACGAGGTGTGTTTAGAAGAAGGAATGGCAGCTCAATGTTATTCACCCTCAACAGCGATCAAGTTATTATCCCAGTTCAACTTTTCTTAGTAGGAGGAATTATGTCATGTTTTGTTCACTCAACGTGCCATCAGTTGCTAAAGTTGTGTTTATGGTAAGAGGAGAATATGTTACATGAGAGTCTACTAGTACTCGGAAAAATACTTGATCTATTTAATGTAGATGAGCACTACTATTCGCACTCGGGCATGATTTTGTCCACCCGCGCCCTCAGCTTAATCCTGGTACCTTGCCCTGATCTTTGTGGGTGATAGTTTATGCGCTTGGGTAAATGTCTGTGTTTCTATTCGTATAATCTATCTAATTCTTTACAAATAGTAGTAACTACTAAGCATTATTCTTATTTATCAAGATGCTCAAACATCGCTTTTGCAATCATCCTCTTTGACTGCGATATCGCCGATTGGTGTCGTGCGGGGTGTAGGGTAGGCCACGGGGATGAGGCTTGGCAATGGAGGGGAACAAGCCTTTGTTGGCTCCACTGCGGTCCATCCCTGGCGTTGTTGGCTGGCGTTGTTGGCTTGTGGTTGTGTAACTGTAAACTCTGGTTGTTGCAAATTCTTCTATCTAATTTGTAGGATTGGGTCTTTGGATAGAAGTGATCTATTGCTGAAGTGTTTTGACGATGTTCACGTTACTCAATTCCCACGTGCCCGCCCATGTGATGATGACGTTCGTAAGGCTGATACGGTGGCTCCGCCGGAAAGTCGGTGCCTAAGGTAACGAGGCAGCTCCATTGACCGTTACTGCGCCAGATGGTGGTGGGTGACATTCCCCATAATCCAGGTTCCATGTGCCCTCGACGGCCAGCAGAATTATTAACGTGACCAGGGCGGTGATCGAATGACGGGGTTTGGGGGCCGCTGTTTGAGACGGTCGGTAATGTTTGGGCTTCAACCCCGCGAAGATGGAGAAGCTGGACGACCCGACTCCCCAACCATCGTCATCGACAGGAACAGAGAGACAGAAGAGAGGGCCACCAGTTGCGTGGCATGAATATCTTCTGCCTGCGGCAAACCGCGCCCTAGGAACATCATGTCAGGAACGAGCATCTTTGGGAACTGGAACAACGAGGGAGGCGCAGGCGATGAGGCGCAACACCCACAAGCACTGGAGCTGGACAGCCCAGTGAGGGCGCCAAACCGCTTCAAGCCTCTGGACATGGATCTGGATGCGTCGCCCATCCACTTGGGATTGCGGTAGTCGCGCCTACCTTGCATTGGCCCACCACCAGCTTCTCCTCTAGCCCTGGCTGTGGCCCCCATGGTGCATGGTGCGCATCCTACCAGGGACAAGGTTGACTCCAGAAAAAGGCGACGAGGAGCCGCGCGACGGCCGTCGAACTTCCCCCAGTCATTCTCTCTTCAACGACTGCCCTCTGGGTGCGATGACGGATTGACGACTTCACGACTTCACGACTCGACGACAAACCGTCGCGCTGGACGCAATGGGCCGCCTTCGACAGACCATGTCCTTGTCCTCGGCCGGGTCGGCTGGCGACGCCAATGTGAGCGCCCATCCAAAATGCCCCGCATGATCGTTGGACGTTGTGGCTGAAATGATGGGGTTGTGCAGGCGCCGACCCAAGAGGATGACCAGCCCGAATACATTCTGAAGGAGATGCATACCCCTCTGGTGTTCGCAGACGGGCCATCAACTGAGCAACAAGATCTGGTAGAGTGAGTCCGGCCTCACTGCGAGCTCCCCACATCGGAAGCTGACGCGCATCTTAGCCTCGTCTTCGTCCATGGCTTGGGCGGGAACCTGCGCACAACATGGAAGGTTGATGGCACGACTGAGCCGTGGTTTAACAAACCCGAGTTCCTCGGACGCCTCGAGGACTCAGTGCGCGTCCTGTCGTTCGGTTACAACGCCAATCGATTTGGTGATGTGGCCAACACTCGCATCATCCACCACGCCAATGACCTGCTGCGGAACCTGGTGCTGAAGCGACTGGATAACCCAGTGAGTCTCGCAATCTTTGGGCCATGTTTCCAATAGGTCTGATAGTTTCTAGAACCGCCCCATCATTTTTATTGCTCACAGTCTGGGCGGCCTTGTTGTCAAGAGAGTAAGGTTTCCTATCACCGGTTCAATCCAACATTCACCAACCCGAGCTTGTAGGCAATTCTGTTATGTGCAACGAACAACGATTGGGGCGCCATTAAGAATTCCACAAAGTCCATTATCTTTATGGGCACCCCTCACATGGGATCCGAAAAGACCGAGGATCTCGTGGTTGTCCAGAAACTAGCATCTCTCATCAAGTTCCAGAGCCCAATCGCGACGAACCTGACAAAGGAGCTCAAAACCTTCTCAACCGCTGTACAAGATATCAACATGGAGTTTACAATCGATGTTCATAGGTCCATTGAGCTTCTATGCTGCTATGAGTCTCACCCGCAGCGCCTACCCAACGGATCGAGAGAAATCGTGGGTCGCCCGAACGTGATTTTGTGTCTGAACATGCGCTGACTTGACCAGATTGTCCCACAATGGTCTGCCGTACTGCAAGGCGTCGATAACATCGACCTCAATTGCCACCACGGCGGTTTGCCAAAGTTTCGTTCCCCAGATGAGCCACGCTTTGAACTCTTCTGGGGTGAGGTGCAAAGACTGGTGAGAAAGGCGACAGCCCCACCCCAAAAGCTGTTCAAGGCCCCAACCTGGACAGACGATGAGGCTGCCGAGTAAGCAACTTCACCCACCCATTTTGGACCATACTGACTTGTGAAGACCAACACCTCCCCGTGCACGTCAGGTTGCGCCATCTCGACGTCGGCACGAGGTGGCGCAGAAGGGTCTTAAACCATCGAGAGCCTCAATAATCCGATCGAGTGCGAATCAGATCTTGAAAGAGGTACAGAGCCGTATTGCCGTCGAAACTCCAGCGCAGCAAGAAAGCACCGTATCCCAATTAAAACCTCGTGATGTTACTGAAACCATTGGTATGTACTATATATGTTCTGCCTGTAGTCTTGCTAATTTGTGAAAGATCCAAGGGAGTTTGTTGACTACACCCGCCAATTGAGGACAGTTACCGCCGAGAATCGAGGCCTTGACCGCGAGGCCCCTCACTGGCAAACTTGCCAGTGGATATTGAATAACCCCCAATTTCTCGACTGGAAAGAGAGTGAGGAAGGATCTCTTCTATTCATCACAGGAAGTCCGGGCTGCGGCAAGTCGAATTTGGCAAAATACATCCAGGGTGTCATGGAAGAGCCGACCAGCGATGATGCCGAAGCAAATCTTGTCGTCTCATTTTACTGCGACAGTTTGGAGAGTTCCCGTGTGAACCCGCCAATCCTAGATCTAGTCGTCAGATCGCTTCTCAGCAAACCGAGGACTATGTCACGGCCGGTTCGGCAGAAGTTGTGCTCCTTGCTGGAGAATTTTATCCCCGATCGCCAGAAAACCCACTCCGTCCTGGAAAATGACTTCGACAAGCGGTTCAACCACCTGATGGAAGTCGTGCAGACATTGGTCATGGATCAAAATGGCATTCCCGCTTGCCTCATCATCGATGGGCTTGATCAATGCGAGGACGATTTTATTCTCCGACTTCTTCGCGGATTTGACAGCATCTTTCGTCGCGAAGGCTCGAGGCCTAATCTCAAAGTGGTAATAACGTCGCGCATGGCAGACTCGATCCGTGGATTCGCGCTCGCAAACTCCCACGTCGAGGTCACGCCCGAAATCGTGGAAGTCGACATTCAACGAGTAGTGGACGAGGAAGTCGACCGCATCATCATGGCACGCCAAATAGCTACGATTGCTGTAACCTCTGTTTCAGCTGTCATTGTTGAGCGCTCCAACGGCAGCTTCCTATTTGCAGCCTCGGTCTTGAAAGAGTTGTGGCTTATCAAAGATACTGGGGCTAATTCGGTCTTCACGCTGGTTACGAGTTGTCCTTCGACTATGGAAGCCATTTATCAGCAGGACATGGATCGGCTGGAGACCGAACGGCCGGACTTGTTCAGGCTGATTCAAATTATCTGCATCTCGAAGCGAGCACTCTACGTGCCAGAGGCCAGAGAAATCCTGCGCATGCAGAACCCCGATATCACAAAGAACTACGACCTCATTGGAGATTTGACAAGGATGTGCCAACGGCTGGTCAAGTTTGGTAGTGAGGGCACACTCGAGCTTCTACACCAGACCCTGTATGACTTTATCATGAACACCTACGATGTGAGCTTGATCCACGAGGCCTTTGCGGAAATCTGCCTCCAGTATCTGTCAGGCCAAAATTGGGATGAGGTATTGGAGCTCACCTCCAAGTATCGCAGTGAACGAAATCGCAGATACCAAGTCGACAAGCGCTACCCATTGATGGACTACGCCTCTCCCTGGATGGGATATCACTGGAGACATGCCGGGGCTGCCGCAATTCCTAAAGCATGGGAACTCTGGAACTTTATCTGCTCCGACGATGGCAGAAAATGGCAGACATATGCGATGCCAACGCGGACAATAGGGCCTCGCCTACGGCTGCCCCAGATCACATCCGCATCGAGATCTAGTTCATTGGGATTCTCGCCAATCGTTCGTGCGGTATCTCGGCACAACTCAGATCTGTCTGACTCAGATGAAAGCTCACGCAGCGGGTCAATCCCAAGGCCATTTGGAAGGCAGTTCAGAAGATCACTCAGCGTGTCAGCCAGCGAGTCGGACAGCGAGTCAGCCAGCGGATCAGACCGCGGATCTGCCAGCGAAGATGACGAGCAGTCCTCCGATGCAAGCTCGTCAACAACAAGTCTTCGGGCTAATGAACCTATGCCCCTTGTGGAATTAACCCCAAAACCGCCTTTGGTACTGCTTGCTCAATGGGATGTCGATTGTATTCTCAGAGAATTGTTCTTCGACGCGCTGGAATCCACTCCGCGACAACTGTTTCATAAACTCCTTAGCAATGTGCCCTACCTTGCTCCAAGATCAACGGGATATAGTCTTGCAGACTTTAAAGCCATGATCAATGAGGTTTGGGATGGGACAACTGCCGTACATTATGCAGCGGCGCAGACCGGGAAGGCACTGGAAGTGATGATGCCATATGTTGAGAACATTGACCTCCCAGACGACGATGGTGCAACACCGCTCATACTTGCCGCAGCGTCAGGCGGGATCAAAGGAGTGTCCCTCATCCTTGAAGCAGGTGCTAATATCGACGATGTCGACAAATGGGGCCAGACTGCCCTCTATTCTGCCCTCCATGCCAACTCAGCAGAAGTAGTCGAAATGCTCCTCAAGCATGGTGCGAACCCGAACATCGCCGCCGATTCTGGCCACTCGCCCCTCGAGGTGACTGTTGGGAAGAACCATGCAGAGTACGCCAAGATTCTGCTTGAATACTCACCAGATGTCACAGCCCGAATGACCACGGGACAGCCACCGGCTTTCTTAGCAAGCAGGCTCGGTAGCCACGAAGTCCTAGAGCTTCTGCTGCCGCACATCGATGTTGACCAAGTGTGGGATGGAGAGCGCATCATTCACAATACGTGTTGGCGTGGGTTAGAGACTGTGGTTAAGAAGCTGATCAAACTTGGCGCAAACTTGGATGATCCGCCAATTAATACCCCTAAAGCTATCCCGGTAGCCTTGGCTGCAGAGTTGAGCCACAACTCGATATTGAAGGCCCTTCTGGCTGCTGGTGCCAGAATGGAATGCCCTGTTCCGGATATGAGCGGTCCTTTGCATATCGCAGCTGCGAGAGGCAATGTGGAAGGCTGCAGACAACTAATTCGTGCTGGTTGCAACATCGAAGCAAGGGCCGAGCAAGGTCGTACGCCCCTTTATGTGGCGGCGGATGCAAACCGACCTGCTACGGTCGAAGTCCTCGTCGCTCATGGAGCGAATCCGGAAGGCACAGGATTTGAGTCACCCCTTCAGATTGCTGCCGATATTGGAAGCATGTCCATGCTCAAAATGCTCTTGGCTGGTCGAAATTTCCCAGACGTCGATGCGAAGAGTGATGCTGGAGAAACAGCACTCGGCATTGCATGCGGCTATGGAGATTTAGACATGGTGAACTGCCTCATTGATCACGGCGCCGACCCCAACATCCGAAGCGGGCAACGTACATCAAATACGCCGCTGCAGCTGGCCGCCTCCGCCAAAAAGGAAACTGTTATGGTGGAGCTGTTGAAGCGAGGCGCAAATCCATTCCCTGAGCTACCGAGGGAGTCAAGCCCTTTCCATACCGCATGTGTAGTGGGATATGTAAACGTCGTTGAGACCTTCTTCGAAATGGTCGACGACGTGGATGAACTGGTCAACTTTGAGTGGGGTTGGTATGGAACGCCGCTGCTTCAAGCTGCGCTTGGTGGTAGACTCGAGATCGTTGAGCTGCTTCTCGCCAAGGGCGCGAACCCGGACTACAAGCTCAAATGCAAGGTCAACAATGGCAAGACAGTGATTCATGCAGCGGCGGAGGGTGGTGATATCAAGGTCTTGGAGGCCATTCTCGCGGTTGCCAAGGACCCAGACTTGGACGTCCGCGATTCTAAACGACGGACACCTCTCTTTTACGCTTGCTTCGAGGGACGCGAAGACATGGTCGACTACCTACTAGATAAGGGTGTGGAATGGGATGTGACACTGACAACAGGCCAGAATCTCACAGCCGGAATCATCGATGGTGGCTCGGCCAAGATTTTGGACAGAGTTCTAGAGAAGCATCCAAACATGGAAATTGACAGGCCGAGAACAGACGGTGAGACACCAATTTTCTTCGCCGTCACGCTTGGGTCTGCCAAGATCATCAAGACGCTGCTCGATCGCGGTGCAGATCCGAACCGGCGTACCAAGACTGGCAATTTCCCACTCGCGGCGGCCATTCGATACCGAGAGAGGGAGTCTCTCAAAATACTCCTTGAGCACAAGGGAACCGATCTGACCCAACTCGATGTGTTTGGGCGAGGCGTATTGCAGATTGCGCAGCAGGCTGGAAGCCATCCCATGCCGAGCATGATTATCGCTGCTGCCAAGACTCCAGAGTTTGAGACGTTTCTGACCGAAAATCGGGACATGTTTGGGAACAACGCCAACGACTCGACCCGGATCGACATAAAGCGCAAGCCATCCTGGGAACACTGCATTGAGACCATCCGCAATGACGCTGAGAGTCTTCTGGACAACTTTGAAGCGCGTGACTTCCGATGGGAGCGACTTGGAAAGTTCTGCCTGCAGCTCTCATCGTACAGTTTTGCTCAGATTGCCCTGCAGCGTAGCGTGGAGGTAGTGGAGACGACGCCGCTGTTCCTGGAACACCAAGTCCACTGTCGCCTGTGTCTGGAGATGATCTCAGGCGTACGCTATACCTGCAGGACCTGCTGCAGCACAGATCTGTGTTTGAACTGCATGATGAGACTGCCGAAGCTGGGATACCGCATGTGGACCTGCCAGTATCACGTCTTTTATCAGGTCGTGTTTCCTGGACCTGGGCATGAGCCTCCAAAGCCAATTTGGGGTATGAAAGGGGGGGATGATACTACGGACGTTCGTCTGGATATTCTTTCCGATATTGCAGAGGAATCGGAGAGTGAAGAGGAGGAGTATGGGCACATCGACCAGCCTGATCCTAGGGTGGTCATCCATGATGAGGAGGTGACCGGAGGAGAGGGAATCGAGGAATCGAGATCCCAAGAAAAGAGATCCGATCAAGACGTCAATGACGCCCCTGCTTCAGAATCGGAGGTGTCTGAAGCGGAGGTGTCTGAGGTGGGTGGGAATGAAGCCGAGGCGCCAGCATCCCCGAACAAGACCTCGGAACGTGATGCGTTTGTGGAACCACCACCCGAGGGACCGCGGAGCGCAGTGACCGACTTGAGTCTCGAAGAGGGCGACGTGGACGGTGGTGATAATGTGGTGACGGATATAGTTTCCCTCCCCTCGGCAGAGGAGTATGTGGAGTTGACAGAAGAACAACTTCGGGAGTTTCTGGATGCGATTTTGAGAACCTTTACTCCAGAACGAACGCCGGATAGCCTGGCCAAGTGGAGTTTCTCAGCCGAGACCTGGAAACTGGACTATGATTCCAGGGCTCGAGCTCACCCAGGAGGCCCGGACGCGGATACCATGCCAGACTTGCTCCGACCCGCACGAGGTTTGAGACCTATTGGACCTCAGTCGGACGCCTACGAGTTCCTGGCACCGCTGGCGCTCTTATTTGCGGATGTGCCGCTTCACTACGTCCTGACAGAGATTCCCTTCACAGCGTATGAACGTCGGGCGCTGAGGAAGAAGAGACAGCTGCAGAAGTTGATCAGCAAGGTGATTCGCCCGACGAGACGAGTTGGGGAACTAAACTGGGACATTGACGAATGACCTATGACGCACTGAGGGATTGTAAGTGACGAAGATATGTAAAGAATGCTTAAGCGGAAACAGATTGGTGAAGATCTGGAGCATGTACAATGACAAGAAGCCTGCAGTTTGTTGATTGGCCGGGCCCTATGATGGTTTATTACGTCGGCATTGAAATGGCGATACACGATAGCCTGGTTTCCAATGCCACTGAATCAGTCTGCGCCCAGACTGTCTGTTCAATCTCTCATGTTTCTTCGCCTCATGTGTAGACAAATTTCCGAGACCTGTGACTCACAAACGAGTGAGGTTTCACCTCTTGTTCGCCACTAATTATCGTGACGGAGTACCAACCAGAAGCCAACATCGCAAACACCGACCTAATGGGTGAGTTTCGAACTTAAAGCGATCACACATTTTCACCTTTCCAATATTTTCCTTTTCTCGCTCGTGCGTAAATGTTGGCCACATGTGTGTGTCACAATCAACATTTCTCTTCGTCCTACGCAACACACACACACACACACACACGATAAAGCCTTGAAACAAGACCTGCTTGAGAACGAAGGGTGTAATTGATTGCACTCTCAGAGTACGTAGCCAGTATCATGTTATTCCGTGCACTGTTCTGCTGTCGGAGACCCCGACGAACTGTCGCCAGGCTTCAGATATAGCTGCTACAACGATCTACATGCGACCAATCTGGCGACTCGGAGATTCTGAGTACACGCTGTGTAGTCTATGCGAACGTATTTTCTGAACTGGGTACTCGATACACAGCCTTCACTCTTCGTTCGCAAGGGTTGTGGTGAGCTGAGCCAACGTGACACCTTGCGGTGATCCCACATATATTACACCTGGCTGCCTGCTCACAAAGCATCGTTCGCTCTCTTCCAGCCAGAATACATAACACAAACGCAGCATATTAATTTCTCAATATAGCACTGCCATACAAGCATTGTGGTACATCCTTTACTAGACTCGCTTGCGAAGCAGATCGTGCCACCTCGGCAAAGCAACTGCAATCTTGGAGCATGGGTCCGTCAAAGACTTCTTCTTCCAGGCGCAGCTTGGTTGTTAAACCTCCCCCGGCATGCAAGTTGTGTGGAAAAGAACTCATATCCAGCACATATGAGTACTGTTCCAATTGCGCGATTGTACGCACGACTGGGAAAGTTGTTCGGTTATGTATCTTGTGCGGGAGAGATGGCGTGTTGGCTAACTTCAGCTTCTGCGCCGAGTGCGCACTTTCAAGCAACGAATCCGAACAATCTGGGGATACGGGGAAGTCTCTGAAATCTCGGGTCGACTCATATCTTATGCCACCTCCACCGTTACCTCCGCATGTAAGTAGACCAAATACTCCAGCATCACAGCCGGCACCCAGATCGCCAACACCCAGATCTTCGACACTGCCGAAAACTTCGCTTGACTTTGGGACCTCTAATTTATCCCTCATGCCACCTCCGCCTCTTCCTCCAAATGTAGATACATCAGCGAGCCCGGATTCAATGCGGACGCTCAACTCGCCGTCGCTGGCTCACGCCACGCTGCCCCCTAGGACGTCCGCTTCATACGGATTTCCCATCTCTGCGCTTATCCATGGCACCCCTAGTTCATCTGAATCTTCTGATACTGCGACACCATATGGAACTTCTGGTTTAGATGGATCTACCGGCACTGCGCTCCCGTACGGAGCTTCCGCTTCATACGGGTCTTCTAGCTCTGCCTACCCCTATGGGGCGTCTGATCCTCTTGGTATTTATAACAATGCTCCTCCCCATGGGACCTCTAGTTCTCTTGGAGCTTCTGGCTCTGCGCTTCCATATGGAAGCTCTGGTTCATATGGAGCTCCTAGCACCGCCCCGCATGCCACCTTGAGCTCTGACGCACGCGCGTCAGGACTAACGGATCTAGAAATCGCATATATCACGTCCTCGACACCAGACTGACCTCCAAGGACAATGAATTACTCGTGTCTAGGAATATCGCTCCAAGCTACCCAGATCCGTGTAACTCGAGTGTGGTATGGAATCACATTCAGCAGTCAATGATTAAGCTACCAAATTATGTGTTCACCTATTGCTTCGTCTTCATTCTATCACTTTGAGCATTAGCTCTTTCGTGAATGGCGGACTTGGTCAGTTGTCTCTGTTCATTGCTGTGTATAGTCATCGTGAATGCTTGTCTTGCCCACACGTGTACAAATGTGCTACTACCTCTGTACGAGCCTACGTAGTCTGCTTGCAAACTAGACACAACACACCCCCATTATCCAAGACTCACTTGCGAAAAATAACGCGCCAAGACGGCAAACACGACTTCGGAAAATGGACAAGTCAATCAAGACTTGTGAGAGGTGCGGTGGACCGACAGGCACCAACGTTGTCCTCTGCATACTATGCGTGGAACGCATTTGCGCCGGCCCTCTTTGCGCCGGCCCTCCCACAGGTTCAATGCCTCCGAAGACCGGCAAAAGCAGTTTCAGAGGCGCATATGACCCTTTCCCGACAGCTTCTGGGTCTGGTTATAGCCATGAGCCCGACCCAGACCCCATAACACCACCCGATATAGCGGCAAGTAAAGGCCCCAAAGCCTGCACGATATGCAATACACCGCTCGAACACGATACGTACGACTATTGTACCACGTGCGCCCAGCTTCTTAAAGATACCGCCGAGCCGAATTTTGAGCCACAAACGACCGGTGAAAGCAGCGCCAGTGGCGCACGTCGAACTACAATTGGCGGAGGCAGTTCCTATGATGGATATAATGCTTATCAGACCGGTTCTAGCTCTACTGCCAGCCGCCCGACGAGTTTTCCGCCGCGAATGACTGACTCCAGAAGTACTGGAAATGCATATAGAACTGATGCGGAACTGATGCCGCCTCCACCTCTGCCTGTGCCCCGCGGGCCTGGCGGCTCTCGCCCAGACGCAGCCTCCAGCATTGGCTCATGGGCCCTACTGACAGCTGAAGATCATGCCCTGATCGCCAGGGGTCAGACGCCCGAGCATAGAGCCGATGTAGAAAGCGTCATCAGAAATATCAAGGAGATCGAGGAAAATGTACGTCGCAGTCAAGCTCGTCGCGAAGCGAGAGAAGCCGAAGACGAAGACGAGGACTGAGGCTGTCGGTAAGACCAAATGGCGAGGCAGCAGGGACCTTCAGGTGCTGGAAATGTCTTGCGTAGTCCGTATCGCTTGCAAGAAAATAGAACTTGAAGAGACTCAGGAGGAAGCCGGGTTGACGAGTGGCGGACCTTGAAGATGGTACTGGGCAGATCCTACGACACCCCGTCTCGAGAAGTCCACGGTTGAGGAGGCGAATTGTAACTAACTTAGTAATGAGTTTGAGATGAAGAACACTATGAAAAGAGTTGAACATATGCCTACTTCCAGCATACATTTTGTTTCCACGTAAAATTGAGTGAATACCTCGAAGACCAAATGCAATCAAGAAAAATACGAAACAGAGAGTACATCAAATTGTCCTTCCTTCTTACCATTAGAAACCAGCTGTGATTAAGACCGCACCAAGGAAAACAGCAAAGACCTCCCTCCATCAAGAGCTTCCATATCAAGCCGCCTTCGTGCAATCCTCTGCAGCTTCTCCAGACGGCAGCGAAACAGTGTACTCCAAGTCGAGCTTGGCAGACTTGCCTGGGTTCAGGGTGACCTCCCAGCAGAGATGACCGCTGTTCTTGAGGCGAACGGTACCCTTTCCCCAGTCCTTGCCCGCCACCGTTTCGCTCCCAGGAGCGCCGGAGGGCACGCGCGGCCCATCGGTCGTCAGACCCTTTGGAGAGACGAGGTCGACCCGAACACGGTCGTCCTCGGACACTGGAACCTGGTCCAAGATGAGCAGGTTGACAGCCTTACCCGATGCTCGAGTGTTGCGTAGCGTAACGCTGCGCTTATACACGGAGCTATTCTCCTTGTGGAACATGCCGGTTGTGGACCTCTGAACTTCGGCCTTCGGGTACAGAACCTTGATCGCTGGGTCGGTACCCAAGCTAAGGCTAAAGGTATCCCCAGAGCTGCAGCGGGGAATTGTGACATTTCCCATGAAACTGCCATCCAATGTCAAGCTTCCGGGACCCTTCAACAGGGCCCACTTGCTGTTGTTCTTGACCCTAGCCTTCAGGTATGCCATGGCGTGGTATTTGGCCACGATGGTGTGCCCGAAGAAGACGTTGGTAAACTTGACGCGGGCAACGCGCTGCTTTGTGGGCGTGAACTTGGGAATCAGGGTCTTGAGCCCATGGAGGTCGTAGGTCGTAGTCAGACCTGTTTCCTCAATGAGAGATTCGTGGAAATCCAGGGCCGACTGGAAATCCGGGCCTGACTGGAAATCCATACCCATATCGATGGCATCCAAAGAACCATCCCCGGGCAGAAGATGCTGGGGAGGTAGCATCTGGCCATGCGACGGTGTACCGTTAAATTGACCTTGAGGCGACAAGCCCTGTTGCTGTTGCTGTTGAGCCTGTTGGCGCACCGCTCGTTGTTGCATCATCTGCTGCGGCTGTTGCATCTGCTGTTGTTGCATCTGCTGTTGTTGCATCTGTTGCTGTTGCATCTGCTGCTGTTGCATCTGCTGCTGCTGGGCCTGCCGCTGCTGGGCTTGCTGTTGGGCTTGCTGCTGCATACCCAGTTGGGGATTTTGCGGTTCCTGTCTCGCCATCATGAACCTCTTCTTGTTCGTCTGCTCCAACATCATAATCTGCATCTGGTAGTCCTGAAGCTGGCGCGGTGAATCGCCACTAAACATGGTGGCCCTTGCACCGGGTACCTGGAAGTTGTTTCGACTTCTGTTGTGGAATTTCGCTCGTTCTCGCACCTCATGTTTGCTGTTGGTGATGTCGCCATCGTTGGGACCAATGCCCATCGGCGCCGCCATCTTGATGCGCCAAGGCTGGAGGATGGGCACCAACTCGTCGGAACCGCAGAAGGCTGCTTGAGAGGTGGAGAGAGTGATCTTGCAGTTCTCCCAAGTCTCCGACGTGGTGTTGTTAAGAGAGGCATCAAAGCATAGAGAGCCCGTACAATTGGTCGTGGAGAGTTGGAGGTCATAGCTTGGTGTCCAATATGCCGAGATCGTGACATAGGACAACACCAAGTCGCATGATGCCGGCTCATCAATCTCCATGGTCCCGCTGGGTGATCTCCGACCAAAGTCGGCTTCACTTGAAATGGAGCCACGACGCGAGGACATGGGAGTGAAGGAGGCATTCACCTCGAGTTGGATATTGACAGTCCAGCAGTCCTTGGGCCAGACGCGTCGTCGCTCCTCGCGGACTCGCGCCTTTTCCTTGAGTCGATCCTGCTGATGCGCCATGCGCTTCTGCTGCTTCTTTTGTTTAATCTTCTGGACCTTCACCTTTACTTTCCAGGCTTTGTTCTTGAGCTTTTCGTCAAGTTTCTGCAGCCTGGCATGCTCCCTTGACACCTTATTGATGGCCGAATTGATCTCGCGCTCTTGGATAGAGCCGGTCATGCGGTCTGCGTGTGCCTTCTCACGCTCTTGCTTGTACGTGCCAAGAATGTCCTGGATGACTATACCTTCCCTCTTGTCGAGAGACTGGCAGTAGGAATCGAGGATCTTGACGCGTTCGTCGGCATTTTGGATGAAATCCTGGGCCCGTTTCAGGTTGTCGCAAAGCTCAACAAGCTTTGCTGTGACTTCCAATAGCCCGGGTTGCTCAGGTTCTTCATCATCATCCGAATGATCATCGTCATCGTCGGACTTGTCAGAGTCAGAGTCTGGGTAGACTTCGTTGAACAGCTCCCGGTTGGGCAGGGACTCGACAGTGATACCGACGATGGTAGCGGCGCCGTTGCCCTCGACTTTGATCGAGTCTTTGATCACGGTTGGGCTGAGGCCAACGACAGAGATCTCATTGACACCTGGCTGGAGAGGAACATGTTAGTCGGAGAAGTTGTAGACGGAGGTGGAAGAGCTTACTCGCAGAGGGATATCCTTGATGTCTCGTTGGACCTGGGCCTGGTTGGGGAAGAGAGTGACGGCACGAGTAGCCAGGTCACGGATCTTGTATTCGACTTTGTGTGTGACCTCCATGACTGATGCCTGAGGGCAAGGCAACAAGACGAGAGACCAACACGAGCAAGGTCGAGAGGTAAGAGTGGAGGAGAGGGTTCAATGGCAGAGGTCCCAATGGCAGAGATCCTGAGGTGGAAGCAAAAGAAGAGCTTAAGAGAGGATGGGTATGCACAAGCGACACTCTGTCGTACGCGGCAGCGATGTCTACGACGACGATAGCGACGACGACGATGACTGTGATTGTGACTGTGCTGGGCTTTGTGAGGACAAGAGGAATAAGACGAGTAAGGTCAAGCAGGTATAATATGGAAGAGGGAGAAAGAAGAGTGAAGAGTGAAGAGGATACTGAGCGAGTCGAGGTAGGTTGAAGAAGAGGGGGGAACAGCAGATACTTATACTCGGAGGCAGGCAGCGAGAGACCGAGAGACCGAGAGAGCGGGAGCGAGAGCCAAGCAGATACCGGGAGCACACAGGCAGTAAAGAGAGGGCAAGGTCACTTGTACCAAGATTCATCATCCTTCAGGAGTGGGCATGGGCACACTTGAAAGGCAGACTCGCCCTCTTCTTGGGGCGCGAACCAGCACTCGCAGGGCACATCGAATTGTGGATATGGCTGGATGAGATAGAGAACCAAAAAAAGCAGCTCCGCTTGGAGATGTGAAAATACATCCTGATGAAGATTTGCGTAGCAAGAAGAATTGTCCTTGGCAAGCTTCTGTCGATTCCTGCTGGGAGAAGTGCGACGAGAGAAAGTGGGAGATGAAGAGGACGAGGGAGTGTGAGAGAGCGAAGGACTGGGGGGGAGCTGCCTGCCAGAACACCAGAGCAGCTCGTTGGTGGGCTGAGGCAACCAAGAATAGCACGGCTAAGTCATCAGATCCGGTCTCATGATTGGCTGGAGCGTGTAGCAACGCTACAACCAACGCAACGGTTTCGTTATGGGGCGAGTCCACCTGAATCTTTGAGATGCCCTGGGTGTATCTTTCTGGGCTTCGATTATGGATTTCTTTAAGGCATTCATCTAACATACAAACGTTTACTCATTTGGATTCATCCCAGCTCGAGATTCAGACGTCATCCGCAAGTCCAGAACCCAGACGAGTCCCACGATACCTGCTTGCTATCGTGCTTGTTTCAGGAAAAGTGCTACATCAGATGAAGTAATTAGTGGGCCCTCCTCGTGTAGGTTGGAGAGGCTTCCTGACGGCCGTGACTCTCTCTATTCGTACACTCATCAGATGATTCAACATTGTACGTCCAGATAATGTCAGGCAGCACGTAGACCGTATATGTTTGAGTAACTGTGTGTGCAAAGCACAGCTTTATCCCCAAATATTTGGTGTTTGTGGCCGTGACAACATGGCAATCTTCGCATCACACACGCAGCTTGCCAACACCATCCGCCACAAACATCTGGGCGAAGACAAACCGGCCGCCCAAAATGAATCATGCTCGAAATCTGGCGGGTATAAAGGCCAGGCCAAGTCCAAGTTCAGTTCGTCTTTTTCGAATGCATCATCATCGTCTTTCTCATCGCCATCATGGATGCACCACAGGACAACCATTCTCATCCTCGCTTTCGCGCCGGCAGCCCTCGCCACGGCGAACGATATCGCACAATAATAGACGAGGGCCAACTAGACGAGGACCAACTAGACGAGCATCATTTCGAAGGAATGTACAACGACTACCCGGAACCAAGACAGCCGGGACTCTGGCCGGCAGATTGGGGCAATTCGCAATTTGGGCCTCGTCTTGGCCGTCCAGGAGGCGCCGCGCTCCGATCCGCAGGAGGTCCAGCGTTCGCGCCCCCAAGGCGACGAACCATGGTGGCCGCCAATATATCGCCCGGAATGCGTGGGGACAGATTCACGAACCAAGGCACCTTTAACATCAATAGGGACTTGCTGTTCGCGCACTTCCCACGAGCGCAGGATGCGACCCGACGTGGCATCCTTGACCTGGATCTCTTCGTTCGGAGGGCAGTGGCTGACGGGCATCCAGAACGCATCATCCGTTGGGTGCTTCGCTTCATCTTTGGTCACATGGAACGCCTCTCACGTACTGGGCATCTGGACATGTTTGGAGCGGCCGAGCAGCAGATCGAAGACGCCCTTGATCGCGCCCCCACTGTGGCACTCTGGGCAGCGCGCACACACGCTATGTGCGTCGTCCTTGACCAAGACCGGGGACTCGGGTGCTCAGATGAGTTACTAAGCCGCATCATGACCTTTCTCGAGGTCCTTTTCCAGGACGTCCATAACTTGCTGGGCAGGTGGCAGACAAGGGTGCTCTTCGAGGCCTTTAGTGGTGTCTTCCGAGCGACGCGCTGGGACTTGGTGGAGCAGCTTCACAGACTGTGGAACAGGTTCGATATCGACGTCCAGGAGCATCTTATGTGCGGCATGATGCGTGCGGTGGGGAGGAGCAACGTTGAGGGAGGAGCACATCGCGTGTATCGAACTCTTCACCAGTACTCTTCACCAGTAGGGTCTTGGGATGATTGAAGGAAGAGTACGAGGCAGAGTGTGGGTTTATTCGGAGCCAATACGTCAGAGATCAGACAGTCCCCAGATTGAAGAATAATTGACTTCGTAAATCAATATACCCCGGTAAATCGCATATATTTCCCCAGCCCCATTGAATTCCACGCCCCCACCTTTTGCCGAGCGCCAGCGTCATTACCGCTGTCAATCGCCTTACCCTGTTCCACCAGCCTCTCACCATCCATCGCATCGCCAACATGTGGTGAGCTCCCAGTATTGTGACCTTGGGCATTGAATATCAACCTCTTAGTTTCCGGTAATCCGGTGTATATTGGCCTAGCTTCTTCCTTCCTTCACCTAATTCGTTTCTTTCCTTAAACCCACTCCTCCCATTCCATCGGGCCGCCATCACCATGTCGTCCACCCACTCCAAGTCGCCCATGCGACCCGTGGATCCTCAGCCGATGCGCACTCCGTCGCCTACCAGAGGCAACTCATATCCGCCTCCCCCGGCTCAGTCTCAATCGCAGTCGAAGGCCAAGCCTGAGTCGTACAGTCAGCCGCGTTACAATCCCCAGGACTACACCAGTCAGAGCTATAATCCCCAGAACTACAGCCCCCAGAACAACTATACCACCCAATCGTACAACCCCCAATCGTACAACCCACAAAGCTACGATCCCCAGGGCTACACCACGCAGCCCTACAATCCGCAGGAATATGGCCCTGCTATGGCGGCAACAGGTCCTCCTCTCGATCCTGGAATCCCCGTGCCCGGAAACCCTGTTCCCCCGATGATCCCGGTGTCAGAGTCACAGACTCCCAATTACCAGCCCAATTACCAGGGCAAGCCGGGTGGCAACATGGGCGGTAGCATGGCTGAGGTCCCTCGGCCCAGCACCCAGATGGCGACCACATTTGCTCCAACGAACCTCCGGGAACTCCAGGCTCTCAAGACGAATTGCCAGTTCGGCCTGCGCGAGTACCTCAGCCTCCAGCGTCGGCGGAAGACGGGCGACTCGGCCATGTCGCCTTATGAGCTGGACACTCGTATTCGAGCCCAAGCGGGCACCGTTCTGAGCGATTTGAAGGTCCTCCAAAGCGAGGTGCGCGACATTGCCAAAGAGGCGGAGAGCCATCGCTGGCGCAGGTGGATTATCGGTGGTGCCATGTAAATTCCAATCCCTCCCTTGCCCCCATCTGCCATTTCTGGCGTGTGCATTAGCTGACCGACTTTCTCAAGCGCGACCTTTATCCCTTTCATCCGCAAGTTCTTCCGTCGAACAAACGATGAGGAGTCGCAAACATCTTCCAATGACACTGAGTATGCATTCCGCAAGTCCAAGGGGCTCCTTGAATACATCAAGGACGGCGTCTTCGGCACTGGCTATTTCGCCAAGCTGGCATTCTTCGTATTTGCCGTACTCTACGTCTTTTCGAATGAAGTATCTCTGCGCGTTGCTAGAACGATTCAGAAGCGCGTGAAGAAGCTGTGCGCCAGGATTGAGCGAGGCGACTCGGATATTGATGAAAAGGACATGAAGCTTCTTGAAGGGTGGCGATGGCGGGTATTGCTTTGGTAGAGGCAGAGGCCGCGACGGAGATATCGTAGTATGAGGACATGATTGTAACGAAGCTTGCCTGGGTCATTGCATTTTCAGTTGGATTATTTCACTCGATCTTTTTAACCTCAGCTAATAACGAAGAATTTACCCTGCATGACATAGAGCCTGGAACCCTATCAGCTTCTACAGCCTTCTCGATTTTACGAGCCGTTGAAATATTTTTCTGGTCGGTGAAGATTCGCCCACGTGGCATTTGTGACTTGTCATGGGGCCGACATAATTTTGTGAAGCACAACTCCACTCGCCTTCAGCTTGCATTCACACCACCCTATACAGCAAACCAACCGTTCCTGGAGTTGCCAAGTCTGCCGATATCGGTCACGTCGCAATATGGCCGAGAAGCGCAAAAATGAGGACGAGGTCCCAGGCGGATCGTTATCCTCGCGTGAACAGTCCTGCGTTGATGAATCAAGGACGGTTGAGTCACGTCTCACTTTCTCAAATGACGATGCAGTCCGAGACCGTCGTTTTGCAGAGTTGTACTCAAAGCCTCCAGATTTCAAAGAGCTAGCACAGCTAGATCCAGATTTTGCTGACCTGTATGCCTCACTGTCTTCATGAATGATACGTACGTTTGTTCTCACGCAGAATCTCAGGTGGAACCAACGGAAACCCGACTTCTTCAACGATCCAAAGTGTGTCATGCAGCTGACCAAGACACTCCTCAAATTGGATTTTGACTTGCAGATTGAGCTCCCCGATGATAGGCTGTGCCCTCCTGTAAGTTGCCATGCACCAACTGGAAATATGATGGCTTATACCTGTTCTCGTAGGTTACGAACAGACACAACTATTTGCTGTGGCTCAAAGGTCTCCTGGACACTACCACCTACGAAAAGCCAGACCGTAAAATGGTTGGTCTTGACATTGGCACTGGGGCAAGCTGCATTTATCCGCTTCTCGGCTGCGCTCAGAGACCATGGTCCTTTATCGCTACCGGTAAGAGCCCCCACGTTGATCGCAAGACATTTCTAACCGCTATAGATATCGATACGAGGAGTCTCGAATTTGCAAGGAAAAATGTAGCACTGAACAACCTCCAGGACCGGATCAATGTTGTGCAGCGAAAACCAGAGGACTCAGTCATTCCCCTTGATGACCTCGGCATCGACACTATCGACTTCACCATGAATAACCCCCCATTCTATAAATCCGAAGAGGACATGGCCAACAGTGCTGCACAAAAGTCTCGACCTCCACTGAGCGCATGTACAGGAGCAAAAGTCGAAATGGTCACCGACGGTGGCGAAGTGGGTTTCGTTGATCGCATTCTGCGGGAGTCGCTCATTCTGCGCGAGCGTGTGCAGTGGTATACGGCCATGTTCGGATTCCTCACCAGCATTGTGGAGTTCATCGAGAAGCTCCGCAAGAACGGCATCGACAACTACGCCGTTACCGAGTTTGTGCAGGGATCCAAGACCCGGCGGTGGGCCATTGCCTGGAGCTTCGGGCCCATGCGACCAACCCAGGAAGTGGCTCGTGGTATTACAACCGCAGTATCGAAGAGCATCCTTCCTGATATCACAGAGGTTGAAGTAGCCAAGATTCCCACCCCAGAAAAGGTCGGCGAATTCGCAAACAACCTCAGCGCTGCAGTAGGGAAGCTGGAAATGATTTCTTGGGAGTGGGATCGAACTCGGATGGAAGGCGTGGGACGCACAGTGGACAAAGTATGGGCTCGTGCTTGGCGTAGGCGAAAGCAGCGAGAGATGCAAGTTGGGAAAGATAACAAGAAAACTGAGGATACGGAGGGGAAAAAGTGCGTGTTTGCCTTCAAACTGTTTATCCGAGTGGGAAAGGAACAGGTCACGGTTGGGTGCCGGTGGGTGGAGGGCCACGATGCGACTGCGTTTGAAAGTTTCCAGGGATTCTTAAAGTCGACTACGCGGTCAGTTTTGGAGGCAAAGACTGATGAGAACATCAACTAGTAAATATGAAATGTTTCATCAAGTTATTGAAACGTATTAAAGATGTGAATTCAATTTCCCTTCTTTGTCTATTCCTTGACGAGCAAATTGCGCGGCTATATAACCTCGGGATTATGCCCTGGAATTAACCCGGAATTTGTCAAGATCAGAGACAACCTCGGCCTTGCTCTTGCCAGCCAAAAGAGCGCTGAAGATTATATCCTGCTCGGAGTCTGGAGCCATGTTGTCCGACTTTGGAGCGTTGTTGTCCAGGTTGGTGGGGAAGGGATATCCTTCACCAACGATGGAAACGAACGTTTTTACCTCGTCACACAGTCCCTTCTCTTTGTACAGGGTGATGAGATGGTCCCAACTGCTCTCTACTAGGGGGAGGGCGTCGATCGTCTCCATTGGCTTGCCAAAAGCGCTGCTGACCTGCAGGAGGTTCACCAGGCGATTAATGTTGGTCGAAACATTCTCTCCGGCAGCGTGAGACAGGCCGGGGTTGAAGAAGATGCCATCACCCTTGCGTAGCGGTAGGGCGATGTAGTTCTTTAGGAAGAAGTCGTTGAAATCTGGGAGACGGTATGCCATGTATCCAGCGGAAAAGGTCTGGCTGAAAGGAAGCAATCGCGTGGGTCCGCTCTCGAGGGGCACATCGACATGGGCGACGGCGCCTTGAAGGGTCAAGCACTGGCTAGCCACCTGCATGGCTCGCGGATATCCGCCGCATCGGTCAGCGGACATGAAGCCCAGATGATAGTCACGGTGGGAGACTTGTGCAGCCGAGCCAGGCTTGACATTGTTGGCCTGGGCCGTGAGGCGGTAGCCGGGACCTAGCCATGCGCCGGAGATGAGATCAAGGTACGGGTTTGAGTAGTAGCTTAGGAATGAGGCCGGATCAGCGAGACAATGCTTGCTGAACGAGTTCCAGATGCGGTCGTTCTTTCCAGCACCCGCGAAGTGATCGCCGTGCGTCTTGGGCGATTTCTTTTCCTCCTCAATGATTGTGTAGAAGGTCTCTGTAGCTTTGTCGATGACCTGCGCGTCGGTGAAGAGGCCGCTGGTCACAAATACTCCCGGACCGTGGAGGAGGACTCGGTACCATTCATCTTGAAGATCCCTCTTCTGGTCCTCCGTCATTGTAGAGTAGGGAGCTAGCTTGTAAATCGGGACATTTTTCTCGATCGCGGCCGCTAGCGGGTATTGGTCCTTAGTGGTGGTTTGGGCGCAGATGGCTTTGAAGGCTTCTATTGACGGAGGCGGCGACAGGGTAAAGAGGCGAGACTGGCCCTGTTCTGACAGGAGGCCGCGCGTGGCAGCTTGCTGAGGATCCTTTGAAAGCATAATGAGAATGGCCTTTCTCAACGACGATGACAAGTTTACGTTGGTTTCGGGACGTGAATTCCGAAGCCTCTAAATATATAAGTTGATTGAAGTGGGGCAGACGGGATTCTGTCCGACCGACACGGCTGGAGAGCCCCGATCAATGAGGACTTCACGATCGCTTTCATACGAATAATCATTAAGATCGTGTTGATTGGAGGTTTATTTATGGAATAGAGCCTCCTAAAGGGAAAAAATATGGCATCGATAGCCAATTGCCAGGGATTCATTGCTACCAACCTGAACTGTTGGCTTGTCTTGGGGCTGTACGCATGTATTGTACCGTGTAGCTTATGGGCGGTCCAGGTGCCAACGCCGCAGTACTGATAACAGAGAAATTGGATCTGTAATCGCTGCCCTAGCGTAAGTCGTTGCTGCTACTCGGAGCCATGACAGTGGAAAAGACCATTTCAGTAATAAATATGAAAGAGGGAGGGAGTTGGTGAATTAGCGGGAAACCCCACTATTTTGGGACTCGGCCCCATGAATGCGGCTAGAAGATGCCAAGCAGCCAAGGCGATCTTCCCGATAGACCTTCTTTACTATATGTGTCAATGAGATTTGTGGAGTTTGTTGAACGTTCAGACTTTCGAAGCCGCTCTTGAATCACCACGGTATTCATCTTGCCCTTTCCAATGAACCCTATTTGAACCAGGGTACATGTAGTCGGTTTGGAGTAAACAGGTGTGGGTTACATCCTCTCGACAAAGACCGCCATGGATCTCAAAGGAGAGTCCGAGAGCGAAAATTAAATTACATTAGCGTCGGGGTCATGGGAGCGGCAGAGCGCTAGATAATTAAGGACTTAGATGATGACGACGACTCTTGATGAAAGCGGGGGGAAGGTCGAAAAAAGAGCGCAGTACCATCCCGGGAGGCAATAACCGACCGCAGCCACTTGGCCAGCTTGTTAGGCCTCGTTCTCGTTAGTCGAAGCGGTCTGGATGCCATCGGGTGGTCCGCACTGATGCCTTGCTGCCGAGGGAGCTTCAACTCCACGGTGACCCCAGAGAATGAAGCTTCTGCAGGGCGTCCCGGCTTCAAGGTGGGGGAGGGTTCATCCGAACTTCGGAGAATGGACGTCCGTGTCACACATCCTGGGAAACAACCGAGCTTAAGTCGTAGATCGGCAGAACAGTGCCGCACGGCTCAGCTCTGAAAGGAGGCCAATGGAAGTGCTCCGGGGATCCATGTTGCCTATTTGGAGTAGCTGACGGCAGATGTATTGGGTATCATGAGGTGAAGGACCGTGCAATACAACATAAACAGGGACGCCTCACCTGTGCTGCATAGCTACACGTCAGCTAGCCCTTGCCGAAATAAAATGAAGACACTATAACGACTCGGCTGTATTGCTCTATTTTGGCATCGCTCTTTTACTCCTCGCCACTCCACTAGGCGGGCCCGACCCGAACAAAGTCTGGGGTAACCAGCGACAACAAGCTGCCGAACGCGGGGAAACAGAGATGATCGCACGGTATAGACTACCCCAGTGCCCAATAATTACTACATTGGTCTATGGATCTTTGCGACTCCGCTTCATCAGTCGATCTTGCGGGGTAGAATGCGTGGAGCCGAAATTATATCGAGGGCGGCCACATCCCGATGCTGGATCCCTGCTTGGTGTTTACGTACGCTCCAACAATATGTAGATGGCTGGATTCAACAATTCATATATAAGGAAAGGAAGATGTTGACTTCAGAGAGTTTTCTGTAGGACTCAAGCAGGCAACTCAGCGACTCAGTTCTAGCTCCGACTTACTTCCCCCTTTGAGATTCACAATGGCCTCTTCCCTTGTCCTGGTTGCAGCGTTTCTGCGCGCCGCAGTTGCGACCATCACCGTCAACGACCCGTCCGACACCATCCTCCCCAAAGACTGGGCAGCCGATGATGCGATCCTGGCCGATTACGACATTCCCTTCATTTCAAGCCAGCCTCGGGACTGTATGAAGTCTCACATTGCACGAAACGAGCAGCTTGGCTAATTATTCTGATAGTGGCCACGGCCTACTCTTTCAAAAAGGGCAGCAAGTTGGTGGAGCATAAAGAATTCTCAACGGACAAGAATGACACTTGTGTCGTTGTCGTGTCGAAGGGTGCTCATCTCACGGCCTCTCATGTCGACATTGTCAAGTCTGGCTACTCTAGCAACCTCAACGAGGCCAGTTTCTACGGCTTTAATGCGGCTCTTAATGTAGTATGTTGGAACCTTTTATTACCTCCAGTGTTTCCCTTATCAATTATCTGCCACGGCTTGTATTTTGCCAAATACTTACTTCTACTCTTAGGCCAACGACTCCTCTGCTACTCTGGAGCATGTGAACATCACCGTCCACAATGGTGCTGCCAATGTCTACGCTTATGGCACAGGCACTGTTGTCAAGCTGAACCACGCCTGGCTCTACTCCAGCGGACCCGTCTCTCACGGACTTTATGCTTCGGGCAACGGAACCATCATCGGCCGCAACATCAAGCACTTCTCAGGCGGCACCCGCTCCTCGGCCTTCTCCGGAGACTCCCCCGCTGGATACGTCTACGTCTACGACTCTGTCTCTCACACCGCCGGTGTTGGCTCTGCTACCTACTATGCCCTGGGAACGATCTACGCCGAGAATGTCATCTCGCACTCCGACAACGGCCCTGTCGTCTTCAGCGATGGTGCCCAGAACGCTACTCTTGTCAACTGTGATGCCACTGCTGGTCTGCTCGGAGGAGTTGCCATGTTCAGCTCGTCGGTCCGTCTCTCCGGCGCAAAGCTTAAGCTGAAGGATTCCAAGATCACCACCCTCGGCAAGACCATGCCTGGTCTGTGGTTCGGCAACCTTATCGCCGATGTTTTGATCGACAACAGCCAGATCAACCATACTTCTGGTGTCTTGGTTTCCGCCAACTATTCTCAGATCACCCAGGAATTCAACCATTATGCCGACTACACGGAGAACAGCAACTTGCAGCCTGCTGAGGTGACTGTCAAGGTTGTCGATTCTGCCTTGACTGGTGACCTCGTCGCGTACAACGGCAGCTCCATCTCCTGGACTCTGAAGTCGTACAGCTCCTGGACCGGCGCCGCCTACTCCGGATACGGAGCTGCCTCGTTCGACGTCGCTCTCGACCGCACCAGCAACTGGACCATGACTAAGTCCACCACCGTCCAGAACCTCACCGACACTGACAGCACTCTGTCGAACATCCACAGCAACGGGCATACTCTCTACTACAACGCTAGCGCTACCAAGAGCCGCTGGCTTAAGGGACGCACCATCAAGCTGAGTGGAGGTGGCCATGCTAAGCCCATTTCTAAGTAGGTTCTAGCTTAAACTAATAGCGTTGTGTTTTTAATACGACATTATTCTAGACCCTATATCTTGATCCGTATTTCCAATGTGACTTTGTGACATGATTGAATCCTACACTATTGGTCTCCCTCTCACCATGACTAGTTATTGCACTATCCTAGAGCTAAGAACTTCGGCTATTTTAATTACTTTCCTATATACTTTGAACTGTTGCCATGTTTAAAGTTGGTTGTTATGGGATAAGGGATGAGTGTTAGAAGGGAAGTTGGCCCCTTGATGATGGGAGACGTCAGTCTCCCTTATATCCCTTTGCTCGGAATAAGGTTACTATCTCAAGGTTGTTGACTGCAGATAGCAAGGTCGTTGACTGTAGACAATAGGGTTGAAGTCAGAGGGGTTGAATGGAAGCTTCAGGCAGAGACCGGTGGGCAACAACCTTATTGTTCAGCTACTGTTTCTTCTGGTGCTGGGTGTAGCCCTTATTGTTTATTCCTACTGTTTGAGATTACTGTATGGCTTTGATCTATCTGATGATATTGAGTAAGACTACAAAAAAACCAAATATACTTTGAACTGTGTATACATGCACATAAAGAAATTATGCGTAAAATATAGACTAATACCACCTCGAGATGAGGTGGGGGTCTCGGCCGAGCTTAGTCAATCTGCGGCGGAGGCCTATGAATAAAGCCGAGACCGAGGTGACGCCATGCAGCGGCATTTACGTCGAGCACAACTAAAGTCCAAGGTTGAACTGATAACACGAACCAGCCATTTATGTCCGAGAATTAGATGGTTATAGACACGATGACTTCTAATGAGCCTATCAACTTGCTGCTCGGCTGGCCAACTCCAGCGCTTCATCCTGACCACAGCTTACTCAACGCCGCCACTGTTGTTCTCGCTAACAATGAGACGTCTACGCCAGCCCTCAGATATGGACCACAGCTAGGCCGCGATGCCTTACGACAGGGCGTTGCCTCTTGGCTCACTGATATCTATCGCCCCACTGCCGGTGATATCACTTTTGACCGCGTTGGTATCACTGGCGGAGCATCCGTCAACTTGACCAACATCCTGTTGCGGTTTTCGGATCCAATCTACACGCGGCGCGTGTGGATGGTAGAGCCAACCTATTTTATGGCATGCCCGATGATTGAGGATGCAGGCTTGACTGGAAAGTTACGGGGCGTACCCGAGGATGAAGAAGGTCTTGACATTGAGTTTCTCAGGGATGCCATTTCCAAAGCAGACGCCGAGGGTGACTCTGAGGCAAAACCGATCAAGACTTACCCAAAACTTTTCAGACACATCGTCTATGCCGTCCCAACCTTTTCAAACCCCAGTGGCAAAATTATGAGTCTGCGTCGTAGAGAAGAGATAGTACGACTCGCACGCGAACACGACGCCCTGATCATCACAGACGACGTCTACGATGCCTTGCGATGGCCAGTCGAGGAGAGTGCTCCCCTTGAAAAGGTTGGACCGCTACCTCCTCGGATTGTCGATGTGGATCGAGCTCTTCCTGGCCAGTCCGAGTGGGGGAACAGCGTGAGCAATGGTTCATTCTCCAAGATCATAGCACCTGGAATGCGTGTGGGGTGGTTGGAGGGGACTCCCAAGTTTGTTGAAAATATGGGAAAAGTGTAAGCCTTTATCTCCTACTCCAACTCTTGGCTTTTGCTTATATGACCAGTGGTTCGTCAAGCTCGGGTGGCTGTATTGGTCACTTTTCATCTTCCTTGATATCTCAGATGATTACGACTGGCGAGTTCACAAAGCATATTGAAAATGTGCTCATTCCAACTTATCGGAGACGATACAACGCCTTACTTGCTGCTATCGACAAATATCTCGTCCCACTTGGCGTGAAGCTCAATGCCGGTTCGTCCTACCAATTCAACGAAGACTCGCCGAAGATTGCGGGCGGTTACTTCCTATACATCACATTCCCAGACGGATTGCCTCCCGCCGATGAGTTGGCAACATGGGCCAAGACCTCACAGGCTCTCACAATTGCACCTGGGTCTATTTTTACAGTGCGTGGTGATGAGGGGAGCGACCACCGTTCTAGGACAAGCTTTGGACGTGGAGCGCGTCTATCATGGGCGTGGAACTCGGAAGAGGTTATCGTTGAAGGCATACAGCGGCTTGCAGTGGTTGTTCAAGACGCATTGGATGGAAAGGTTGAGCAGAATGAGGACGGCGGACAGACCTTTCTAGCCGCCATGGCTCGCATCGACATTGCAGATACGGCATAGACTGGGCTCTCGACTTACGGCCTCAGAAGAGCCTTAGAATACCAAGTATTTGCAAGACGTAGTGGCTTGTGTTAATCCCTTGAGTGATAGAATAGAAAATGCATTTCTGTTTGGGAGAATAATATTTTGATGGGTAATTCCTTTTTCTCTTTTTTTTATTCTTTTTCCTTTTCTTTCCTTTTGGTTTGGTTTGGCTCTATCGGTTCCCGGAATCCATTCCTTACTCCTCTATCGTCCTCTCCACAAATGGCTCTATAGTTACCTACTCTTCCTCGTTCAGCCTACGGAATTTTCTTCCACATGAAGAAGTTCCTACCCCCCTTGCCAGAGGATTTTTCGCGTACATACTCTCAGAAAATGGCATTGAATGCCCAACCAGTTCTGGGAGCATACGTTAGCTAGAATCGGCGGGCTTTCTAACCTTCTTTGATAGATTTAGACAGCATAAATCTCGGCGGTTGTCCCGCAGGTTTTTCGGCTGGCTTTCATACAACATTGCCGAATCTTGAGACGGGTGTCAAACACCTTGGGCTAACAATTGTTAAAGGAAGCCTACTACGGTGACCGTGGGCTCTGACAACCGGGACCTTACACAGGCCCCAATTACCTCGCCCTAGCTAGTAATAGTTACGATAGGGTATACATTCTCGACATTTTGAAAACAATTAATAACTAAGTGGTACTTGTCTAATAGAAATGTATTCCTTGCGGACTTTGTCGGCCCTCCGCTGCCTCGGAAACATAAACCTAGACGGCATTACCGATCTGCATTGTTGTGCCTTTGGCGATAGCTGAGCTACGCGTCCCCACTGTATCATAGCATGTACGCTTGACCTGGAATAAAATTGATACGATTTGTCTCAAGCTGGACGGATGCGTCAAACTTCTCTCGGCGGAGGGGTAGAGGGGGAGGGGGGGAAGAAGGAGGGAGAGCTCTTCCTGCACTCCTTGGACGATGTTAACTGTCATCTTTTACTTCGGCTGGTGGAGGAGGCAGAAATTTTCTTCGACTCCTTGGATTCCTTGGACGACTTGGTGGGTGATTTTTGACTTCAATTTGAGGAGCAGAAGGCAGAGGAGGAGGTAGAAATCTTCTTTGACTCCTTGGACGAAGTCGACTGTTATCTTTGACTTCGATTGGAGGAGCAGAATGAGTAGGAGGAGAAGTGATTTGTTGACCGGTTGAATTACGTCGAGGGTAATCTTTGAGTTCGATTTTGACTTGAATTGGAGTGGGCGGGGGAGGAGGAGGAAGGGGAGGAGGAGAGATGCTTCGACTCGTTTCTCGAGGTCGAGGGCGCTTGAATTTATCGATGAACAATAAGTCAGAGAGGCGGTTCTTTTTCTTTTCACTCTCCATCCTCTCACAGAGTTGATCAATATTGAGTGGTTTGACTCTTAATTCGTGGGGCGTAGTAAAAATATATCGTTTCTTGGTTGTTGGCATTTCGGACCCAGTCTTATCAGGCTGAATATGTGAACCATCAGCCTCCACTTCTGGAGGGACTATAACTGGCAGAACATTCTTCTCGGAGGTTAATGTCGCTTCTGATTGAATTTCGGGTAGATTCGATGGTATCGACCGCTTCTCCCTCGGCTGTGGCTTAGATTCGCTGGAGATTTCTAAACCATGACTTTGATTTTGTGTCTGGTGAAAGTCCACACCTGGCAGTCTTGACCTTGTAGGGAGTATTGTGGAATTTGGATCTCTTTTAGGCTTGAGCGTCTCTGTATCGGCCTCACGGCTGTCACGCTCTGTTACAAAGAGATCTGTCACCTTTTCTGATGCTCTGGACGGTGGAATGCCGATTTCGGTCGGGGAATTTCTGCTGATTTGCTCGACGTTTGTGTCTAGACTTGGGGAGGTAACAGGAGTTGGCCATGATGTTTGGTTTTCCATAGTTGTCCACGCGGCCGAGGCTTCGGTCAACTGATCAGATGGCGAATTCCCGGCGACAGAAGCTTCGGTCACCGAACCAGATGACGGGAGATCGGTCCATGCGGCAGAAGCTTCGGTCGACTGATCAGGCGAGAAGAGATATGGAGGCCCTGTCTCTTGGTGGTGACGATGCTCAGAAGGACCTGATTCTTGCAGGTCCTGTACCTGGTTTTGGAACGAGGTCATCCACGGATGATCTTGTGCCTTGGCTGCTTCGAGCCTCTCGTTTGGATTGAACTTCATGAGCGATTTGACGAAATACACGGCGTCATCGCTTGCATTTGCCTCCTTCATACCCCCGACAGGAAACTCAACATCGCCTTTGGAGTAGTGAACCAGGTTAGCGAGGTTACTAAACGTCCCAGAACCAGTGAGCATTTGAGAGACTGTTTCGCCAAAGCACCACATATCTGCCAAGCAAGGATCCACACTTTTGGGGTCATCGTGAAATCCAGCTGTTTCGGGGGCCATGGAACCAGGAGTCCCTCGCACAGTAGTAGAGCCAGGTTCACCCTCAGTCCGCTTGCTGAGTCCAAGGTCACGGACTTTGACCCACCATTCATCGGGGGGCTTGCTTTTGATGAGTATGTTCTGTGGCGAAAGTCAGAAGTGCGTTCACGAGCGAAGTTTATTGAGTCTTACCGCCGGTTTTATGTCCCTATGGGCGAACTTTGCTTCGTGCATCATGATGAGGCCTCCCAAGACTTGAGCGGCAATGTCCTGCGCCTGGTCTTCCGGTAGTCTTCCAACATTCTTGAGATATGCCCTCAAGTCGCCGTGTTCGCAAAACTCGGTAGCGATGTGGAGGAATCCATTATATATATACCACCCATAGAATTCGACGAAGAATTCATTGTACTAACAGGAATGCGTCAGCACAGTGAGTATTCGATATATACAGAGCGGCACCATACCCGATCTTGTGAGAATTTGGCTAGAGCCTCCAATTCACGCATGTATCCTCTAGGACCAGAGTCGCGATCAGAGATGCGGATGTGTTTCAAGGCACGGAGCTTCGGTGACCCCGAACTTTGCCTGCGCTGCAACCAAACCTCTCCATATCCCCCATGGCCTAGAATCTTGACATGACGCCATCGTTCTTGGTTGGGAGCATTTCGACGGCTTGAGGGTTTGGTGTGTATCGTGATGCTGGACTGGAAGGTGGTGGATAATTCCGAGTCCCGAACAATTTCAGGCAGTTCGTGGCGCTGTGCCATATCCTTTTGGCCGTGGAATGACAATGACAGTGGAAGGTCAGGGACATCTCATGGAGAACGGTGGGTTCGAAATGATGCTGCTTCAGTCGGGTGACGCTCAAAGACTCGATTGAAACATGATGGGACAAGTTGCGCGCAGATATGACGAGGAGTGATGTCGATAGAAACGGTCTGTGGATGGCAGCCTGGATGAAAGTCGGGTACTCACTTTCCTCACGTGCTAATGGCTGAAGCTGGAGCCATTCAGCCGTGAATATTGCCGCCACTCAACCGCCACAGTTGGAATTTGGGGCGGTTGCGATTAGCCCAACGTTTGCAAGGCAGAATCGGGCTTCGAGTGAAGGCGGAGTAATGGGAATACCGGCATGGATTGCAGAATTGGTTGGTGATCGGCACGCGACTTGCCTTTGATTCCCGATACTTGTAAAGCCTCTTTATTACCTACTGCTCACTTCGTAGCCCACTCGGCCGACCATCCTTGAACGCGGGATCCGGCTTCACAACACCTCCCTTGGACATCTCCGTATGAGCAGCCACACCTTCTGCAGTTCAGCCGCACGGGGCTAGCAGCCAGAGGAAGCCGGTTACCTGTCACAAACGGTCGTGTACCTTGCTACGCCACCCTTTATGGCGGTTAATAAATTGCACAAAGCACGAGGCAATACCGTATGAGCTGGGAAGAAGTAACAATGCGAGGCAGGCGAACTTGTTGCGCAGGTCACTATGTCCACTGCACACTGCACGTGTTCTGCGACAGCTTTCCCTGGTAAACTTCAGCATAGTGACTTGACGCAGGCATTCTCAATCCGGGTCGGATGGCGTTTTGTGGCTGCCTCAAAAAGACCCCCGTAGCAAATCAAGTTCAATTGTCAGCGAGTCACTTGGCTGCTCGGCGTAGATCTTCTCCAGACCCTGGTCGCCCATCACTACACACGTCTGCATGCCAAACTAGCATCCAGTCCTGCCTCGAACTATTTATGGCCGATTCCCCTTCCGCCTAGCTCCTTGCGAACTTATCTCCAATTCTTCCAACCCCGGATTTCAGTCCGCGGACAACATTGCATATGGCTCTCGACCCGCCCGATCCGGCCGCTCTGGGTCCCGATACTTCGGACTCGCTACCACAATGTGTATGCTATCTACACGATTTCACTTTTCCTCCAGGAGAAGACGGATCTCCTATCGTGTCAATCTCCACGTTATCAGTCGAGGACGACATCCTCGGCAAATCTGAACTACCACGAGTAGCGGATTGGTCCCCTCTCACTTTTCGATGGCTCCATGTGCCAGTCAACAACATGGCGTGGGTCAAGGTACGTCAAGCCGTTTGAAATCAATTCGTCGTCATCTTACTTGAGGCCTGACACGTACCTATAATTTACAAAGCGCTGCGTTGAAAAATTGTCAGCCAACTCTTGCGGGGTTAATGACAATATTTGGCTGTGCAAGGCGAGGCCCAGCCTGTCTCTTGACGTTCCACCTCATTCCCGGTTCATGGAACCATCCTGTGATTTACAGGACCCTAGTAAGTATATCGCATCAATTATTCTGTTCATGATTTCGCATTGACTGGAACCCATGTCTGCAAGTGATCTAACTAGACCCAGGCGACACCTGTGGTGAGAAGAGAAGCCACCCCTTGCTCTCGCTCTATGTCAGTCATCTTCCGCCGAATACACGCCGTTGCATGTTTACACTAATAATATCGCAGCTTCCCTATCTGAACTGGGACACGTATGAAAACTTTACAAGGCTGCGAGATACGTACAATGTGGGGCCTGAGGCTGTGTCTAATTCCCCCGAGTCAACAAGAGAGGGACTACAGCAGAGTGTTTCGTCCAAGTATCTGAACCACGATCCTCCGCTTCATCCTCGACGATCACTAGACCAGTTTTACTACTCTTCTCTGAGTGACACCAGAGAAAGGGACGCAGACCAGACTGTGTCTAAATGGACCGGATCACAGAGCAAAATTGCCGAAGATGGAAGAGACGAGGCGGAGCGAGACAGTCTCATTGTCATGGTAGATCAGCTCTGGGTCTGGGTACTCAATGAGCGTAAGTTCCTATACCGGTGTATGATCTTCGTCAGCTGCTCTAACAATAACTGCAGACTTCATAGTGTCCTTCTTCCCTTCACACGACTTTCAGTTCAATGACCCCTCTACATTCAGCGCGGATTCCCCCTCGAGCACCTCCAAGTTTAGAGATCTCTACTCCAGCATAAAATTTCATTCTGGACAGTGCAAAAATGTCTACGACTTGAACTCGTTGATTGTCGAACAGGCCATGACTTCTCTGTTCGGCCTGGAAAACAGGAAGTTTGGGGATTTGCTAGGCATCTATCGGTGGGCCATTGGAAACAAGGTGGGCTCCTGTTGATAATATCCCCCGATACTTGTGTCTGATCATAATGCATACAGAGCGCCCGACAAACCATCTACTTTCAAGACTTCCATCGTGAACAGTCGGATATCAGCTTATCAAGCCCAGCGTACAACGACAGAAAGGAGCTCAAACTCGTCTTGGAAGTGGCTGACGTTCTTGACGAACTCAACATGCTCTACAGGCTCATGGAAAAGCAACAAGAAGTGCTCGGGTCGCTTCGGAGCGCTCTCCATAACCTCATCCCCGGCGCTGAGGACCGCACAGTTCGGCCAAATGTGTTGGTGCACCAGAGAGGCGATGGCCACATGGACCTTCAGGGTTCCGGGTCCTTTTCAGTGACGCAGGACGGCGATGGGTTTGTTAGGCTGAATGCCGATCACGGAAATCATACGAAGGAGATACGAGGGCTTGCCGGTAAACTGTCCAAGAAAGCGATGCGAGAGTTGGGAACCATCATGAAAGAATTGGGCGGGATGAAGAGCGATGCCAAGTACACACACAAAATGGTGAGTTCTTGGCCTCACAGAAAAAAGCACCGTGAATTGGTCACTAACAGCTTGCACCAGGTTCTAGATTTGCTAGACCTAAAACAAAAGTCGGCGAATTTAGTAGAAGTCCGCTCATCCACCAAGCAGGGCCGAGCCGTCATGCTGTTCACCATCTTCACCATCATCTTTGTCAGTACAGGACCACGCTTGGTCTCGATTACAAACTAACCAGATCAGCTCCCCCTGTCATTTTTCACCTCGTACTTTGGGCAAAACGTGTCGGAGATAACTGGCGACGATCAGAACCCAAGAAGCGCAGATCTCTGGAAGATTGGAGGTAAGCCAGCAATAGTCCTGTAAATTTTTTTAACCAATCTAACATATTATCATAGGACCGATTAGCGTCGCGGTCATTCTCAGCGCATTGCTGATTGCATATTATATTAGCAATCCTGAAAGTCGACTTTGGCATCTGCGGCGCTGGTGGAGACCTCGTATGGATGGAAGTTCCCATCAAATGTGCTAAATATGCACACATTGGGTTCGCTTTCAATCTCGGTTCCTCTGCGAAATGCTGCTCTATACGGATACCACTGCGGGTTAATGGCACATAAGCCCCTCAAACTAAATAAGCCAGGCATCACAAGGAAGGGGAGGTATGGTTTAAGTTATTTTATTTTATTTTGATGACGATACCATCGTCAACACCCATCGGTCATTCCCGTGGGCTTTTTAATCCTCGTCATTATCATAGCCGAATACATATTCCCCGCTTCCTTATTTTCCTTAGTAGTTGCCAATGGTGATGCTCTTGATGTTCTGGTACTCTGCAAGGCCGTACAGACTGCCCTCCTTTCCGTATCCACTCTCCTTGATGCCACCGAAGGGAGCCTCGGCGGCGCTGATCTTTCCGGTGTTGGCACCGACCATTCCGACCTGGAGCTTGTTGGCGACGCGCATGACACGGCCGATGTCCTTGGAGAAGAAGTATCCGGCAAGACCGAACTCGGTGTCGTTGGCAAGGCGGAGAGCCTCCTCCTCGGTCTCGAACTCGAAGATGGGGGCCAGGGGGCCGAAGGTCTCGTCCTTGGCGACGGCCATCTCCTGGGTGACACCGGTCAGGACGGTGGGCTGGTGGAAGAAACCGGGCGAGTCGGGGGTGGTGCCGCCGGCGGCGACCTTGGCGCCCTTGGAGAGGGCATCGGCGACGTGCTCCTTGACCTTGTTGACGGAGGACTGGTTGACGAGAGGACCCTGGGTGGTGGTCTCGTTCAGGCCACCGCCCATCTGGAGGGCCTTGACCTTCTCAACCAGCTTGGCGGTGAAGGCGGGAGCAATGCCCTTCTGGACGTAGAGTCGGTTGGCGCTGCAATTGATTAGTATAAGCTATAACTAGAGGAGATGAGAGCAACTTACCAGACGCAGGTCTGGCCGGAGCAACGGAACTTGCAGAACATGGCACCCTCGACTGCGAGGTCGACATCGGCATCGTCAAAGACGATGAAGGGGGCGTTACCGCCGAGCTCCAGGCTGACCTTCTTCAGGGTACCAGCGGCGAGCTTGGCAAGCATCTTACCAACACCGGTAGAGCCGGTGAAGGAGATCTTCTTGACGAGAGGGTTGGTGGCCAGCTCGGTAGCAGCCGCTCGGTCGCGGGTGGGCAGGACCTGGATGGTGGCAGGAGGGAGGCCGGCCTCGATGGCGAGCTTGGTGAAGGCCAGGCAGGAGTAGGGAGTCTCGGAGGGGGGCTTGATGACGACGGAGCAGCCGGCAGCCAGCGCGGGGGCGATCTTGCGAGTGATCATGGCGGCGGGGAAGTTCCAGGGGGTGATGATGCCGCAGACGCCGACGGGCTCGCGGACGGTCATCAGAGTGGTGTGCGGAGAGGAGGAGGGGATGGTAACGCCGTAGCTTCGCGTAGCCTCCTCAGCGAACCAGGAGATGAAGTTGGCGGCGTAGACGACCTCGCCGGTGGCCTCGGCGAGGGTCTTTCCGTTCTCGAGACTGAGGATCTTGGCGACTGCGGAGTTTGTCAGTCTGGGAAGCTCGGAGAGGGAGGCTGAGAGAGCTTTGGGTGAAATCTTCACGTACGGTCATCCTTGTTGGCAATGACGAGCTCATACCACTTCTTCAGGAGGGCGCCTCGGCTGTTGCCAGTTGTGCTCTCCCAGAACTTGGTCTGGGCGACCTCGGCGCTCTTGATGGCGGTCTGGAAGTCCTCGAGGGCGCAGTTGGCGACCCGTCCGAGGACGGTGGCAGTGGAGGGCTCTGGGATATGGCGGTTAGTTCTCTGGCGGCGCAGCGACGAGGGCGAGTGGGAAACGAACCGAAGACATCGAACTTGTTCTCCTTGGCAACCCACTTGCCGTCGATGAAGGCATCCTGAATGAACAGGCTGGAGTCCTTGAGCTGGCGGTGGGAAATCGCGGGTTAGCTACGACGTTCTGGCGATGGAGGGGCAACGCGACACCTCTGCGCATAACGGGGAGTACTTACGCCGGCCAGGGCCTCGGTGTGGTACTTCTCAGCAGCCATTGTGTATGTGTCTGTGCAAAAAAACGAAGAAGAAATCGCCAGAGTACAGAGAGGGAGTCGGAGAAGGAGAGATGAAGAAAGGGGAGGAAAAGAAGATGGAGGCCGAGTCGTGAAAAGGGTCTGCGGTTGCTCTAAAGCTCCCGCGAGACGGAGCTTGCTCCCGCTGCATCACGTCACATGGGGCCGCGAGAATTTCGACCCCGCCGGACAAGGTGCATCGAACATGCCAACCACCAGCCCCATTGGCATGACGCCCGACGTCGGGGGAGCAGCCAGTCCGGTGTGAGCACGGCGACGATGAAGCGGCCACCTTGGATGGAGAAGACTTCGGGACTTGAAAGCCGCAGGACCGGAACCGGAACCGGGCCGAGCGTGGAGTGGGGCACGCATCCCGAGGCTCCAGCGGGGCTCCAGCGGGCGGGCTCTCATAATAGCTACCCCAAGAGGTCCCAGGCGGCCCCTAGAAGCCCCTAGAGGCCCCAAACGGTCCCCCGGAGCTCGCCAGGAGGCCACTATGCTTGCCGGTTTGGGTGGCGAGGCGAGACCCGGCATCTGTCGGGAATCTGCTCCTGCGCGGCTTCTGCGAGCAAGCTGCGCGGTGCGCGTGCGGCATGAGTTCCAGGGCTGGGCCAGCTATTGGTTCCCGAGGCACCCGTTGCATCTGGGGTTTGCGGAGTTGGCTGCGTTCTTGCGTGGTGCGTGGTGCGTGGTGCTCTTGGATCGCTGTGGTATCCGTGGGCCAATGGTTCGAGCATCTGCCGCGCTGTGCTGGAAGCTTCCCATGCAGCACCCGAGCAACTGCGGCCTCCCCCCCACCTCGAATGTGTCATGATTGCTACGGAACTGAGCGAACTGGCAGTGTTTTGCGCTCCAATTGTCGACAGATGGCCTCGAAAGGTGCATTTGGTGAGCCATCGTGAATCCCGGCTGCAACCCGGCCGGGTCAAGTGCCCCCGCGAGCATGATGCCGCACTCTACACACGACGAGGGTTGCAATGATGCCGAAACCACATTATCCGAGATGCACTCCAGCGTGGGAGCTTTCCGTTGCTACAACCTCAAGCACCACCCCTTTCGGCCCTCTCTTCCATCCTCTTCTCCCCAACCTTGACGGACTACCGGACGAGAATCGCGCACCGTCGTCCCCCACAACAAGTCATGACAAAGCTGGCTCGGGGCGAAAAATCCACCTCCTAGTGGCAAATCCGCCCCATGATGGAGGGTGAGCAACCGGATGGGGTAATTATTTGGTCAAATCGACAGGACATGAAGCAACCAACTCCGAACCAGCAGCAATGGCGTTATACCCAAGCGGGAAAGGTCCAGGTCGCAAAGGTGTGCGTTTCCTACCTTGCTGCAACAGTAGTCGGCGTCGGTTGCTTGGTTGTTTGGGAAATCTAACCGCAACGTCTTCCTGATCCGATGAATGCCGGTCTTGTTTCGGGGTCTTACCAAGCCGTCGATGGGCCATCTTTTCGATTGGCTCATCCAGGCTTCTTTTCATGTGGGGTAGCTTGCTCCGAGAAATTGTCGGCAGTGCCCGGTTGCGCAGCTGCACTTAGTTGATCATGTGGAGGAGTTGGCTGCATGTCCAACTTGCGTCGATGAACGAATCTGCAAATGTCTTCTTTGGTTGTAAGAGGCGCAATCACGGCCAATTGTATGAAGACTATGAACAATATCCAAGAATCCCACAATGGCATGACAGACAAAAATATCGGCCTTGGTATTGCCCAGTTGAGTGACAACCAGAAAGAGATCGAGTGCTATCGACACCAAGGAGGGACATGAGCACATTACCCCACATTCACATTCACGCAATTACATTCCCGCTTCAACCAGACGATGGGGTAAATTTAAAATAGGTAACCTGAATTCAACATTTTTACGACTAACAATGAGTGCTACAAGGGTTCCAACAAACTTGTCCCGCCCGACAATCAAGAACCTCAAACGACAACCAGCAAATCTATGCAAATAGTCGCGACACCAGAGCATCCTTCAGCGTATAAACAACCGCCACCACACTCTCCAACGTGGATTGCCTCCCCCGAGTCATCCCGATGGCGCACAAAAGGACAAACATCTTGGTGTAAATCGACATGGTCCTCAGGTGGCGCCGAACAGCATACACTGGCCACATCGGGCTCGAGCCGGTCATGTTAAAGGCCGACCAGTCGGGAAACATGGTCGCAAACCAGTATCCGCGCGCAAAGCCCGGCCACGACGCGGCGTTGCGGCCGTAGTTTCCAATGTACCAGTTGGAGCAGTCGCCCGCGAAGACGGTGCTGCGCAGCTCCTCGTGGATCGCGTTGGTCTTGCGGTCCTCGGCCGCCTGCTTGACCTCGATGGCTGTCGCTCTGCGGTCGATCAGAGGCTTGAGGAGTGACTTGATGGCGTACTCGGCCTGTGTCTCGCACGCGAACAGAGCCGAGTTGTTGGCAGGGAACGTGTTGGGGCCAAAGAGAATCGCCAGGTTAGGGAAGTTGTGCACATGAGTGCCCAGATACGCCTGAGCACCGCGACATTCCTTCCATTGATCCTCGAGCGACTTTCCAGTCGAGCCGACAATGTGCATGGGGGTCAAGAACTGCGACACCTGGAAACCCGTCGCCAGCACAATGATGTCGAAGTCGTCCTCGATCCCGGAGCTGCTGATGATGCCGGTCTCGGTGATCTCCTTAATGCCCTCGGCCAGGAAATCGACGTTGGCCCGGTTCAGGCTGTCGAGGTAGCCGGGGTCGAAGATGCGGCGCTTGCATCCCAGCGGGAAGTTGGGGATGAGCGACTTGGCGTACTTCTCGGGGACCTTGGATCGGATGTATCGCTTGGACTCTTCCTCAACTTCGGTCCGCAGCTTCACGCCCGCGGGGGTTGGAAAGTACGTCGTCGTCTCCTCATCAGCGACGAGGAAGATCTTCAGACGCAGCCAGCGCTGCCACAGGGGCACCCAGCGGAAGAGGAACTTGTCCAACTCGCTGTAGTCGCGGTTGGGTCGGTCGTGGAACCACTGGCCGCTGCGGGCATACTGCTTGACAAAGGCTGCGTCCTTGGCGAGCGCCGGCACGACTTGGGCGGCGCTGCAGCCGTTGCCGATGACGGCGACGCGCTTCCCCTTCCAGCTGACGCCGTGATCCCATCGCGCCGTGTGAAACATGTCGCCCTGGAAGTCGTCCATGCCGGGGAACTTGACGTCGCGGGGGAACGAGATGGCGCCCACGGCCGAGACGAAGACGGAGGCCTTCCTCGAGTATGAGATGCCCGTCTTCAGGTCTTTCAAGTGCACCTCCCACTTCGTCTCTTCGCTGATCCATTTGGCGCCGATGCATTCGACCGAGGGGTGGACGTGCTTGCGCAGGTCAAACTTGTCCACGGTGTCTTCCATATCTGTGAACACATCGTTAGCCCGGTATAGAAAGAGATCCAGCTGTCACCCTGTGCTTACATTGCAGGATCTCAGGTTGCTCGCAGAGTTCCTTGGACCAGTTGGGGTTCGGGTTGAAGCTAAACGAGTACAAATGAGACTTGAGATCGCAACCACTAGCCTCCTTGTCAGATGTGTTCGCCGAAGAGGTTCGGTTTGCATATCTTACCAGCCGGGATACGTGTTCGTTCGCCATGTCCCGCCAACGCCATCGAGCTTGTCGTACATGGTGAAGTCCTCGAATCCCAACTCCCGGAGGCGGTAGGCCATGGTGATACCGGCCGGGCCCGCGCCGATGATGATGGCATTCAGCTCTCGTGTGTATTCCGGCATCTTGAACTCTCGCAGGCGCAGATGTTCCAGCGGGAAATGATCAAAGATGTTGAGAGGGAGTCTGTTGAAGATTCCAGTTGGAAATTCGAGCCAGCTGGATGTTATACGTTGGCGAAGACGGACTTCTTCCCAGTCATGTCTTCATGGAAATTGGTCTCCTGGAGTCCACGCTGTTTCCGTCCGAGCTGTGGAATCCCAAGCATCGTGACCACCATCTCGGGCCTTGGCTCGTGGCGAATCCATTGCGCTCTTACGAGTATCCAGAGTTTCCGGTGGCGTTGATTTGTTTAATTCCGATGCGCTTTGGTGGTGGTTTACTCGCGGAAATCACTGGCCGAGTGCTACCCCACAAACTCCGGATTCAAGTCAGCCGTCAGGGAACAAGCTTCCAAAAGTGACATGCGGCTCAACACAGCGCCCACGATGATTACAATGCCTCTGCGTCTCAGTTCTGGTAAAATAACTCTCCGATATCGGTTCGCTAAGTTAGTCCCTGACTCTGAAAAATACTCGATATTACATGCTACGGTAGGTAAGTGCGTCGTGCACAGCAGACATGATGCCACTCTCTAAGACAAGCGTTTCGAATATTTGTTATAGATAGGGTTAACACGGACTTTACAATATTCCCAAGGAGAATTGGAAATTACGAAGAGTTATGTTCAAGATCGTGTATTTCGTGTATTTCATACAACTAGCGTAATTAAAGCCACGAGGCAGACTTAAAGCTGGCGCCAACCAGCGATTCTAGCATTCTCACCATCAAGTTCTCCAAGGTACTTCTTCACCTTTATCACAATACCCTTTGTATCCAGCCCAAAGCGCTCGTAGTTGCTCGGGTTCGAGGCTGAGTATCCGTACCCAGTCATGCCAATGCTGGCTGTAACATATCTCGCCCAAGTAGTCGCGACGTATTCTTCCACACTAACAATAGGAGTTCCGTCCCGTGGGTACACGCTATCGCGATAGGACTTATCCTGTTTGTCGAATTGCTCGAAACAAGGAGCGCTTACGACACGAGTCGCAATACCCTCCGCGGTGAGCAACTCGGCAGCGGCGACAGCATAGTGGAGGTTTGTGCCACAGCTGGTTAGAGTAAGCTTGGCTTCTGGCACGTCCTTGACAACGTATGCTCCCTTCGCGACACCAAGGCGGCTGGTGGAAGGAATTGGCCCAACCGGATCTCTGCCGAGGGACAACATGCTGGGACCGTGTTTCTTTGACAGCGCAAGGATCCAGGCGCCGATTGTCTCCTCTGGATCAGAGGGGCGGATATAGGTCAGGTTTGGCATCGCGCGGTACAGCGAATCAACTTCCACGGCCTGGTGTGTTGGGCCGTTCTGGCCTTCGGCGAAAGAATCGTGCGTTGCGAAATGGATCACGGGCAGTTCGCTGATAGCGCCCATCCGAACTCCAGGAGCAGCCTATAAGACGTCAGTGAAGGCCAGTGATTCCAGTAAATGGAATAACATACATAGAGGTAGAAGATGAGGAAGGTCGCGGTGATGGGCAAGAATGTGCCTGGGTTGTACGCAGCAATGCCATTCGAGATAGAGGCCATGGCATGCTCTCGGATTCCATACCGTACAAAGCGTCCCGCGTAGCTGACCGAGGGATGGAAGACATCGTCGGCAGTATATGAGACCTTGTTGGAAGTGACCAAGTCGGCACCGCCTCCGCACATGGCAGGGTGGATTTTCCAAATCTTCTCGATCAGGGCACCGTTTACTTCACGGGTAGCATAGCCCTTGAACTGCGAGCTATCGATTTGGCTGAGGATATCCAGCCACTCCGTTCCGTTGTCGCCCTTGCGAGCCCGGTCCAGCGATTGGGCGACATCTGGGTGCGCGTGGTTGTATTTGCTGACGAGACTATCCCAAGATGCATTGATTGACTCGCCATGGGTCTTGCGCTCCCTGAAAAAGGCAAGCGATGCCTCTGGGATGGTGTGAGTGACGGATGGATCCTGGCCTGCAAGGCGCTTTGATTCTGCAACGCTTTCCTTGTCGAAAACACCGTGGTGTGCCTTGGCGGTGCCGGCAACTTGCGTGCCCAAGCCAATGATGGTGCGCACATTGATGAAGACAGGTTGTCCCTTGACAGTACTTGACAGCCTCAGTGCTGAAACCACTGCTTGGACGTCATAACTCCCCTCCATAACGTCAATGACGTGCCAGCCGGATGCGCGCATCTTTGCATTGGCATCCTCGGTGTTGATCCAGTCAAGGGGACCATCACAGGTCACTTGGTTGTTGTCGTAGATGATGACCAGGTTATCCAGCTCAAGGCTTCCTGCCAGCGAGATAGCTTCGAGAGCAACACCTTCCATTAGACATCCATCGCCAACCATGCAGTAGATGCGGGACTGGACAATATCAAACCCGGGGCGGTTGTATCGGGCAGCGAGGTTCTTGGACGCGATGGCGAGTCCGACGGCGTTGGCTACACCCTGTCCAAGGGGCCCTGTCGTCACTTCGATACCGGGAATTTCTCTTTCGGGGTGTGAATGGCAGATTGTCTTGTATCCGTCCGTCTTCGCGCTTCCGTAGCCCTTGAGCTCGTCCATGGTCCAGTTCTCGAAGCCGGTCAGGTGGTTGAGGGCATAGAGGAACATTGAAGTATGGCCTGACAGAAAAGATTAGCCAAACCCAACTAACTTCTGGGGACAAGTGTCTTACCGTTGGAGAGCACAAACCGATCGCGATCGAACCAGTCTGGGTCGGATGGGTTGTATCGCATCACGTACTTCCATAGCGCAACTCCAATGGCAGCCATGCCAATGGCCGAGCCGCCATGACCACCGCCATTTTGAAGACAAAGATCAAAAACGAGGTTGCGCAAAGCAAGAACGGCGTGGTCATCTGCGTCAAGATGCTGTCTCCAGCCCTTGACGACGCCCTTCTGCAGGGTAGCACCGTTGGTCTCGGAGGCAGTAGTTGAAGGCATCGCGAAATATTCATGAGTGGATCAATTGTGCCAAAAGAAACGAGAAAACGGAGAATACCCTGAACATTTTTATTATTTTACTCTGGCTTCAGGCGTTGCCAATCTGAGGCAGATACACCCAGGGTTCCCTACCCGATATCGCACTGAGGAGATTCCGAGACACGGTCATTTTCGCTAACCGTCGATGAACAGACAACTTCCGAAAGCCTCTTTTCCAAACTCAATCTCCGTGGATTCTTTTCCATATCCTGAATCTCGCCACGAGTCCTTTCACCCGTTAGAACGGCTGACGCGTTGGCGACATGAATTCCGGAAACCTGCCCCACGATTCGGAAGGCAAAATCCGGGGTAGCCAAATGCTTCGTGCGGGGACTCTGACGATGAGGGTCCGACCGATGCCACTGCGATTGCGTTAAGATAGACCCATGTTTGGTTTCATTTTGATGTTGGAATCACAACCTTCCTTCTCTTTGCATTATTTACAACTTTGACAAAGCTCCCCCGACGCCTCCAAAATGTCCGTCCCAGAGTACAACCCCGACCGTTACCTTGAGAACTCTGTGCAGGATCTCCTGTCACTCCAGGGTCGCACAGTAGTCATTACTGGAGCCGCCCGTGGTCTGGGCCTAGCTTTTACTCTTGCGGTCGTCGAAGTCGGCGGTAACGTCGCCGTCCTCGACGCCGCGGAGAAGCCCCATGAGCACTTTTATAAGATCCAAAAGCAGTTCCCTAACTCCAAGCTGGAGTTTTACCGGTACGCAGGACATAAGTTGCCTCATCTACAACCGTAATTGGCTAACGCGGGTCCTGATGATAGCACCGACGTGACCAAGTACGATGTGCTCAAGGCAAGCTTTGATCAGGTTGTGGGAGACTTTGGACGTATCGATGGCCTGTAAGGCTCCCTCTGTCGGCAATACGGCCACAGGTGTTAACTTATTGCAGTATCACTGCGGCAGGAATTTGTCCCGATGAACCTTTCCTTGAGCGCTCCCCCGAGTCCGTTGCCCGCTGTATGAACATCAACGTCCTGGGGACATACTATGCGGCGCAATTGGCTGCGGCCCAGATGGATAAGCAGGAGCCTACTGAATTCAATCCCCGCGGAGGCTCTATCGTGCTGATTGGCTCTATTGCTGCCCACGTCGCTAGCAAGGGACAGACCACCAGCGACTATTGTGCCAGCAAAGGAGCAGTCGTTGCTCTGGCGAAGGCTCTTGGTGTGGAGCTCGCTGGTAAGGGGATCCGTGTGAACAGCATTTCTCCTGGGTGAGTCACACTGTTTCTCTTGATCTGTGACCTAGTATATGTGCTAATATGTGGAAATCCAGATACATGGCTACTGACATGACGCTGGATTTGTGCAAGAAATACCCCTGGCTGGGCGATATTATGCAAAACGAGCCGCCTATGCGGAGGATGGGAGACCGAACTGATCTCAAGGTTCCGGTGGTCTATCTGCTCTCGAATGCCAGCGCCTATCACACATCAGATGATATTTTGATTACTGGCGGTATTCACGCGGGTAGACTTTTGTAAAGAAATAAACTAGAATCTGGAATATGAACAATAAATTGCAGTAGTTGAGTGGAGACAGTATGGGAAGTGATATTGAGCTACTAGCAAGGCTGAATTCCTGGCGTTAAGTTCAGATGTTTGAAACGACGTGGTTGCGCCTTACGGCCTTTACATCCCTGTGATCCTTCATTGAATGGTGTACTTCACCGACGCAACCACCCCTGCTATTTGAATGCGTCAAGGGAAAAAGCCGCATGCGACATCGGATCTGATCGGTTTTTCTACTGTCCAGCTGCTCTCGATCGGCCCCGATTTACTAGAGGCGGTACATGGTGGTTAGTACATGGAGTCATGAGCCGAAGGCGGCGTTGGAACCTGGAAACCACTTGGTAGCGAGTTTGGTCTTGTCAATTAGAATCCTCGTCAAGCGATTGCAACAATACTCTAGAAACGTGTTCCACACCGATCAAAGCGAACAAAGCAAAACCAGTCATCACTTGACGCCCTAGTTAACGTGTGAATACTTGGTTTGGCTCACGGGACCTCGCTTCAACGAGTCAGACGCCTCCCCCAATCCCCCGCACGCCGCTCCCCACAAATTCCATCGTACATACAAAGCAGACTGTGGAGTCGCCGCCCAGTCTTCCACCTTGGATCTCTCCACTCTCCACGTCTCGCCGTCGTCATTCTGCCCCTTGCGGCGAACACTTGAGACTTGCGTCGAGTTGCGCTGTAGAGAATCACGCAGAAGCAACAAGATGCCGTCATCCGCTGCGTCAGGCTCGTCGCGGAGGAAGCACGTCACCACCGCCTGCGTGTCGTGCCGAGAGAGCAAAGTCAAGGTACGCTGCGCTCCCTACCTATATGACTCTAACCCTCGACTCCATCTTGTACTGCGCCGTCGGATATGTCTCTGACTACCCAAACAGTGTGACGGCGTGTCTCCCACCTGTTCAAATTGCAAGAACAAGGGCAAAGAGTGCCGGTACCAAGCCGGCGACGACAAGCGAAAGTATACCAGCACATCCAACCCTTTGCAGCCAATGTGAGACTGACCTCGAGCCCTAGGCTTTCTCTGCGAGTCGCCATTGAACTTCTGTCAGGCCGCATCGAGCAACTATGCACTTTCATCAATGACAACTCCCTCCAGCCTCCGCCCATGCCCGAGGATGAGCAGGTGGCCTTGGTCAAGGTGCTGGGCCATCTGAAGCTCACTCACACATATGCCAGCAAGGATGCGGCTAACAAACCCTCATCTAACACCACTAATTCACCTACTCAATCGCCCCATCAAGCAGGCGAGCCTTCACCTGCGGACCAGGAGAAGAATGACGAGAGCGGAGCAGTACAGCCACTGCCCGTCTCAGGGCCTCTCTCCACATGGGAAAAGATGAGCGAAGGCGTGGTTCCTTCTACTAGCCAAACGGCCAAAACAGTTTCGAATCACGCCGTGGAATCGGATGACTTGCATATAGTCGGGCAGCCCACTCCCGAAGATCACATTTCATCCAACATCCCCGCTCCTAATTGGACCTGGAACAATGCAGGAGACCCCGGTTTCAACTTCCCGCAAGAGTTCCCGCTTGATGCAGGCGCATTTGGAGATATGATGGGCTTTCCAACAACAGATTCAGATGCCATTAAGCACGTCATTCGGCTTCCCACGGGCCCGGTAAACCCCGACGAGGGCGCGAGCGACACAGAGAGCACCGAGGCACTCGTCGACCAGCTCTCGGAGCGAATCGGTTCATTGCAGATTGGCCCTGGGGGACAGGTTCGCTACTACGGGCCTACGTCAAACTTCAACCTCGTACAGATGCCCGCGCCGGACAATCTCACCATCCACCGCACCATTCGGAACGATGGCCAGGAATATCTCGATTGCCTTGGGATGGGCAAACCAGTGCCGCTTGAATTAGAGAAACACCTGGTCAACCTGTATTTTACGTGGCAAGACCCGGCCTTCCACGTCGTGAATCGAGCCATGTTCGAAGCAGCGAAGACTACCTGGACGGATAGCCAGGAAGACACACCGTATTACTCAGAGGCTCTTCAGAACGCAATGTCAGTTTACCCTAAACCCCTCAAGAGTCCCACTAACATGATCAAGATGTTCCTTGGGTGCGGCCTTTGAGACTCGCCACCACCCGACATTCGTGACCTTTCCCAAATCTTTGTCCGACTTCTTTGCGGACAGGGCAAAAGCGCTGCTGGAGATTGAGCTTGACAACCCTTGCGTTGCAACAGTGCAGGCCATGGTTGTGCTAAGCAGCCATGACATTGGGTGCAAGAGGGACGCTCGGGGTTGGCTTTATAGCGGTAAGCGATCTCTGAAGCAACAAGTCCATCAGGTCTAACATGGTGTAGGAATGGCCATGCGCTTAGCTTTTGACCTGGCCCTCCATGTCGATCTTACACCATACGTCGCCAAGAAATCTCTCACTCAAGCCGAGGCCAATCTACGGCGAGATGTATTCTGGGGCGCATACACAGTCGATCAGTAAGTCACGCTTCACCCCAAGAACGCTCATCTAACAAAAAAATAGCATGTGGAGCTTCTATCTTGGACGCCCGTTCCGGATCAACATGGAAGATGTAACCGTCTCAAAACCTTGCGGGGACACGCGCCCCGAGTCCGCTGGCCAGTGGATTCCCTATTCGTCCCCTCGCTCGTTTGAAGAGCACACTCCGTTGCCAGACTATACAAATGAATTACACAGGCAACGAGTCCTGTTGGGCGAAATTATGGCCCCGCTGGGCTACGCCCTGTAAGTCTGCTTCCCTGTACTTTGTTGATGCTGCGTGATCCTGACTTGAGTATAGATATGGGAATATGAGGATTTCTTCCAGTTCGCTTCAGGAAATGAATGTCGTAACTGTTGAGGCGCTTCTCAACTGGCAAGCGAACCTGCCGTCGGTACTCCAGATTGATCTGGACGACCGTGAGACACAATACTTACCACACGTCATCTTGCTTCAGTAAGTACCCCGTTTATTTTGCCAGCTCATACTAACCTTCCGATAGCATGCAATATCACCAAAACATCATCCACGCTCACCGGCCCTGGATGTCTAGGACATACACTCAACCAAGCCCCCCGCAGGGCCCAGGGTCGTCGCACGCCCGAATGATGTGTATAGAATCGGCTTACGCAATTGCAAAGCTCCTTCAGATCTACGAAATACAATACGCGCTCCGTAGAATGAACATTCAGGGCGTCGGAATCGTCTGCTCGGCGGCTTTGCTCCTGATCTTTGCCAATGTCACCAGCTTCAAGCGATACACACATACCGATGTCGGGCTGCACCTCAGCGCCTGTTTCAGGGCTCTCGACGAATTTGGCTCCACATGGGAGAGCTCCAAGAGGGCCAAGGACTTTCTCGTCTTATTGCAGCGACAGTGGGAGCTCCGAGGCCGGTCTGCTCGAGGCCGGAGGCCATCGCCTCCAGACTCACAAGACTACCCGTTGTCAAGAAAACGCACGCGGTCGTCGATTGACGAAAGTCGTACCAGAGGACAAGATCACCAGGATATGTCGCCGCCACCGCCGCCACAACCTGGATTTCTCGCCCCAACCGGGCCGGTAGATATTGACATTGGCATTGACTTGGACTGGATCTTTACTGGAGACACATACTCCCTGCCTTGAGCTCTTACAGGCTCTCTAAGACGGTGTAGTTGGGTTGGGACTTGTCTATCCTGCGTCGCTTTTTAGCATGTTGCGCTCCAAGACAGCATGTATGATACGAAATCGTATGGGTTCGGTTTTCTGGCGAACAGGGCCACACTCTATCGATAGTGGAAGGCACCGGGAACATGGGAATGGGATTTAAGACGACTGGCTTATGACTGCAATTGATGCTGAACGTTCATACTCGAATAATGGCTCACTATCGTCGTGAAGACTCACCGTCTGCCATCGACAATACCGCACAGTAAACAACCAACCGCAGCGGTGCTTGGTACCTCTACTCTAGACCCACTAGGAAATGTCGTTGTCGCCCTCGAACCGAAGCAAGAAGCCGCCATTTGGACCCGTCCAGAACAAACGGGTAAACGGGGTCCTGTGGTAGTTGCCCTTGTCTTTTGAGAGGGCGTGAAGCTTCCGGTACCAATGCGGGCTTTCGGTCCAGAGCGAGTAGTCGGCATTGCCGCCATCTAGACTGCGAAACCTGACCGACGTCCCCTCGAACTTGAGGTGGCGGTACACCTGGGAAATCGCGGCTGCGGCTCGATCGGGCTTGCGGATGCGACCGCGCGTTTCGTTTGGACAGCAGTAGACGCAGTCCCTACCGGATCTGAGAAACCTGACCTCTTGTAATAGTTCCTCCTCTCTGGCTGCCCTTCGCATGGCGTCCATGATGATAATCTCCTCGGGCATACCGGCCGTCGGCGAAATCAGCAGCAAGGACAGGACATTTGCTGCGTTGAGCTGGCCTCCAGCGCAGGCCACGAAGAAGAGCTGGCCGAGGAAAGTTGCGTTGTCCACGAAATATGCCACGTCCGCGAGGCTCAGTTGCGGGTTCTTGGGTTTTGAGAGTTGGAGAAAGCCGCATGCAGCTAGCAAAGCGCTGGCGGGCGAGAACGGGAGTCGGACGGGACGAGACTCCATCTCTTGTTTGTTCTTGGGCTTGCACTCGTTGACGATGTTGACGACACGGTCCTAGCCATTCGGTCGAGACATGATGTGTTGCAGCTCAAACTCCAAGGTGGAAAGGATGAAGCATAGAACGGGCCTGATTTCGATGTAACTGCAAAGCTCCTGCTCGATCCCAGTTCCAGTTGAAGGCTGAAACGTCGGTAGATGGAAGATAGGCTCCAGTCTTGGAAGTGTTCGTCTCATGTAATTCCTTCGTTCCTGTCGCACGACACGTTCGGCTTCAGATTGCGAGAAGCCCAGACCCAGCGAGTTCTCGTCATGCTGGAGGAACGTCCTGACACTCTCGTGGGCAAGTTGCAGAATGTCCCACTGGGTTGGCTCCGAATCTGCTGCATCATACGTCCGAGGGAGAGCTGGGATGACCTCAACAAATGCGGCGCACAGCTTCTCAATTTGCCGCCTGACCGATGTCCACCCTGTGCGTCCTGCCAAGACGTGCGGCCTTTCCACGGCTTCGTCGCTGCTCAAATCGCTCGAAATGACTTCCAACAAGTCCTGCAGCTGGAAGTTGTACTGGGACGACACCGAAACCCACATCAAAATGCGGCGGGATTTTTCCAACGTGCTCCGGCTGCCCTTGAAATTTTGTAGTAGGAGGACCGCGATGCGAGAGTAGAGCTCGGTCAGCTCCAGGGGCAGGCTCTCGAGTTGCGCTTTGAGTGATTTGAGGTCGCAAAATGGCTCCTCGCATTTTCTCCTCAGTATATCCATGACGGTAACAACCCAGAGCACAACCCCATTCGCGTTGGCTCTTAGGTAGGCTTTGATATCCAGGATCATTGACTCCTTTTCGGAACTGACCTGCTTGGAGTATTCCTGGAAAAAACTGACTTGGCGCTTGCGCGTTGCGGGATCCGAAATGAACGAGGACGAAGTTGACATTGTTGGCGTAATCATTGGCGAATAATCATCATCGACGTCAGACTCGTCGCCGTCAAGCTTCCGAGATAAATCTTCAACGCCGCGCTCGATGAGGAAGACGATATCTGGACGGTTGACGTCATGCATGGAAATATAATGCTGATTCCTCAGACAGCGGTTGATGTCATTGGAGAATCGACTCAGGAAAATAATCTTCAGTGGCAGCCCCTGTGTTGTAAGGTGAACCAAGAAATCCAACGCATCTGCTCGTGAGCAGTCCTGGCCCGTATCGGCGGAGTTACTCTCATCCAGCCCATCGACTATGAAAAGACAAGACGCCCCTTTCTTTGCGAGATTTGGGAGCATGGATGCCATGCCCCTCTTCAGGCTCGCAACTGGCCAGCTGATTTCACGATACGTCATGTATCGCTGCAGAAGCGATCTGTACACGTCCTTGACGTACTCAAACAGACTAGGTTCTTGAGAAAGCAGTTGTTGCATCAATGCTGAGAACATTTGCTGGTGCAGGACAAGATTGTCTCTGGCACTGTAGAACCAAGCGGCAATCAGTGACCTTGCTGAGCCCGATGTTGTCAGCAACTGCTCTTGTATTGTTTTGGCCAGCACGGATTTGCCGCTCCCTGGTTTGCCAGCGATCCATATGACGGACGATGTCTCGTCTTGCCAGCCAAGGTAGGATGGGTTCTGCCATATCCAGTGATTCGTGCCGACCGTGGCTGTGGTGATTCGGCCACGTCGGTTGTCCATGTTGTCGAATTTCAGACTGGCGAGGCATTCTAATGGACCGTTAGAAGAAAAAAAAAGGAAATACACAGATTATGGTAGTGGCATCTCACCCCTGTACTCGGTGTTCTTATCAATCACTAGAGAGTCGTAAGCAATGGACGCCATCATCTCCGGCTCATCGCCGATGATGGCAACTTTGAGATTCTTGACCCTCTCCTCGCTCGGCCCTTTAAGCAATTTCTCAACAAGTCCCGCAAGGGCCATTCTGGTAGCCATGTGCAAGGAGCTAGCGTCGTGGACAAGGAGTACCCACCGCCTATCTCTGTCCTGGTCCAGAAGCTTGCGAAGCACCTTGACGACTCGTTTACGCAGGTGAGTCTCAAAGGCGTCCTCTGGATCGCGTGACAGGATGTCAGAGCGTCTGACAAATGAAGAGAAACTCCCAGCCACGGGACTGATCATGTAGGTCTGTTGGAGCAAAGAAAACTGTGCCGACACGTCTCGTCTGGTACAGCGTGGCCTGTCGAGGCAGTGGGGATGGGGGCGTTCGGTGCAGCGGGGATGTCTGCACTTGGGTTGCGAGGCTTGGGTGCAGGGGGGGCGTCCATTGCAGTGGAGATGTTCTGAACACGGCGGACATCTGGCAAGGCTAAGGTCTGGTAGATGCGGAGTTTCCTTGGTGATGTGGATGATTGAGAGACCTTGCTGAAGTAAGAGGTGGCCCAAGGCTATGGGCATGTTGGCTGTCTTTGGAGACGCTTTATCGGATTTGCACCATAAAACGGCCGAGTTGTTGAACAGATTGCGGCTCCAGGAGTGATAAGCAGACGTATGTATAACCCAATCGAGAGAGTTGTCGGGTTGGTGGTAGAGGAGACGATTGCGCAAGTTGGCTGAAAACGTCGACATGGATTTGAAGAATGTCTCGATCGCGTCGAGATCACCTATGCCCTGTATCAGCTACTGACCAGTCACACAATCGGTTCAACCTTTTGGTGATATTATCCAAACATAACTTCCATTGTAATTGGGACTGCAGCCAATGTGAAACCGAAATCCATGAATGTTCGTGGTCTGGCATCAACTCACTTTGTAGCACTTGTCCAGGAGATGTTGGTTGTTCGCGGACATGGCCTGTTGCTAACAGTAAGCAAAGTGTATTCGCATAAACATGATGAAACCAGTACGCACCGGTCGTCATAGAAGGCACCCAGTACTCCAAGAACGCCTTGGTGCATGCCGCCGTCGTGGCTGCAGCATACCGCTGCCACGCTTTTGTCTTGTGGCTGTCGGCATAATCGCAAGCACCCTTGATCACAATGCAAGGGAATGTATCCCAAACCCCGGCGCCTTCCATTTCAAACCCAATAACACTCTCTCGTCGTGCGATGTCATCGCGCTCTTTTCCAGACTTCATCACCGTGTCGCCAGACGCCATTACGCCGAAGTGAACTGCCGGTTGCGGTACGCCTTGATCGAAACGACGGCGCAACATCAGCCCGCCGTTACACCCGCACTCTTCACAAGACTTGCCATCACTAATGTGGCGGTATGCCGCATGGAATAGCTTATCGTGTGCAACACCTGGGTAGTGGGCTTCTAGGGCGGGCACATCCTGGAGCTGATTAAGATATTTGGCCATCTTTCTTTTCAACACGGCTTGGCCGCGGAGTCCCTGTAGCTTCGCCAACAGCGCGCGGATTTCTATATTAGGCCTCCCTAATGATTCTAGAAGCGTACTCTTACGTATGAAACGTTCGGGGAGTTGTCTACCGAGGTCATATTCGATGATTCCACTGCTTATAATGACGTCGCCGAGGACGACCTCGATATTGCTGCCGGGGATAAAGGGAACGGCACCACAAATGCCAACAACAAGAGCCAGCTTAACATTGGGGAAGCTAGCACGGCAGTTGGCCGCGACGGCTGCAGAACTCGCCTTGCCCATGCCTGGCATGTAGGCAAGTACCACATTGTGACGGCCGATAGACCCTGTAGAGTAAGCGTTGGGGTCATCTGGAGCCTTATCGTAGCAGGGGCCATTCTCATCATCCCAGTAGTTGTCGAAGAGAGCCTCGACGGCGTCCGCCTCCAGCGTGAGGGCGCAGATAATAGCGATTTCGAAGCCGAGGCGGGTGCTTGGGCGCGCAGGCTCCATGCCGTATTCTCGAGGGAAGTGCCGTTCAGCAATTGTGAGTCTCTCAATATTATTCTAGAATGCGGGCACATGGCAAGATGCGAAGTCGTGCAAGCACTCCACAAGAGCGGGGTTTCTCTGCGGTCCAGCCTGGTGCTCGTGCGGCTGAACTCGATCACTCGGACGGGCATATTTATATCCGGGCATGTCGCAAATCAGATGCCAAGTTTACCGTGGCATACGCTGAGTGTCCTGGACTTGTGGTATTCGCGCTGGTTGACGCTGAAGGTGCTCAATATGCACACGATACGCGCAGCTTTTGCTAGGTACACGCTAAACGGGGCAATTTTAATGAAGAAAGGTGGATGGATAGATGGATGCTCTCGGGTAGGTAGGTAGCTTGTATACTCCAATTGCTACCCCCAGGTTGGTACCTACCTATCTACCTACCTAGGTAAGGCAGTTATTACTACAGTGCTTTGTTGCTTGAAGTCCCTCTTCGCTGATCCCCGGCCGCTCAGTCTTGCTGATGTAGAAGCTCTCACGGAGTTTGATGACAGGTTTTGTCCATGGCGGTTTTGCTCGTGGTGTCCAGCCAGCAAAGTGTTCAAATTCGGACCGTATACGGAATAGCCCTCGATCCATCAATGTCTGCGCCGAGACAATCTGGCACTTACCTTCGATCTTCAGAGCCCCTTGCGAGAGGTACTCTCCGAAGTAGTAGTGCCCCGAAAATCCCTTGCGTTTTGTCGGTCCACGATTCGGGATTTGATCACGAACCGCGCCAACGGCGTTTTCCTGTGGGCGTGGCTTATGGTGAACCAAGTTCTGAGCCTTAACCTCGAGGGTATCAGGTTGCCGAAGATTGAGGTTGAAATCCATCCATTCGGTCCCTTAGGAGCTCGATACCTTATAACCAGGCTATAACGTCCAATTAAAATGACACATTCAATCTGTAATGCCTGGCTTCCTATAATCGATGCCCAAAATAGACCGGTATTCGCCAACGATCCCAACCCCATGCAAAACCCCGCCAAGTCCTGTTACAATCCCGCATCAAGCCGCGCCTGAGCCGTGTCCCGGCCCATCCATGCGTGATGATGTGTCTAATATACAAGCCGCCTCAGCAGTCGTGCCACTGAGTGGCCGAAAATCTCTCAAGTGAATCAAACACAGAGCCCGGCCGCTTCCGAAAGGGCGCTTAGAAAACAGGTTCCCCTCTGTATGCCTTCGCGACCGTCTTCTTACACACCTCATCTTCCATTCGCTCGCCGTCCCACATCACATATCCGACTCCTCTCAGACCATAGACAAACCTCATCGGCGAAAAAGCATGCCTGCCGAATCTAAATCGCTCGTTGATGCTATCATAATATACTTTGCTCCAAATCTTCCGTGGCTGGTCATCAGTCTCATCGTCAGCGTCGACTTGCTGGGCGAGCTTGTCCATCTCCTCTGACTTCCATATACCATGGGCGGCGTCTGGCTTCTTCCCACGATTGAAGGTGTCGAGGTCGTCCTCCAAACAACTCTTGCAAAGGGCGCTCGCCTCGGAGAGGGAGTCTTGCCACTCGTCGCAGGTGGAGGCTTGCAGCAATCGGTGTAAGCGGGGGAGCCCGAGTGAGAGCTGCCAGTCATGGTCAGTAAAACGCTCATGGGTGTTTGTCTGCTCGATTTGTCACAGATTCCGGGCGCACTCACGCAGCGCTGTTCATCGAACAGCTGGCTTCGCTCCGTCAGCCATTCTGTCAGGTTTCCCCCCCACTGGAAGCCATTCACGATGACTTCCCGACAGGCTGGAGTGGCAGACAGAATGGTCAGCATTACTATTGAGATGAATCAGGTCAAAATCGCGGTTCTTCTTTAAAAGGCCCAGGCCTATAGGGATGTATAAGTGTCAACGCACCACCAGTCAGTCGAGTCTCGAGGTAATCGTAGATACAGACCAGCTGCTCATTGACCCAAGGAGAGTGACGATCGAAAAAGAGGGCTTTCTGGGCCTCGTTGGGCTCAGCACCTTCTTCCTGGTCCAGGAAGAGGTTGCCGTATATCTGGAAGCGATACAGCGCCCGGGATATGCGGTACAGCTCCCCCGCGGAGAGGCGCTGTTGGGCGGCAGATATCGGGTCATCCCGGCCCAACCCGTACAGCTTCTGCAACGTGGATTCACAGAACTCGCTGCGCAGCTCCGTCAGGGCATCGTCGAGCCTGCTGATGTGAAGCGCCTGGTCGAGGGTAATGTAATGGCCGCCGAGGGCATTGAACGGCTTGTCGTAGCACTCGGTCAGGAACTGGTTCGCATCCAGGCCGTTCTTGTCACGGACGGACTTTTGCGAGGCGTATGCGGCCAGGGCGAGAGGGAGGAGATGGTCGGGGAGCTGGAGTCGCAGGATATCGGCTGGGAGGGATGGAGCGTCCAGGAAAGCCGTGTAGAAGATGCGATGGCTGAGGAGCACAGCGGGCAGATGCTGAACATTGGCCACCATGCGCAGGATATCAGCCAGCAAGTGCAACGGTAGAGAGGAAATTGTCGCCATTGTTCGTGTTGCGAGTCGTCGTTTCGTCTGGGAGATGGGAGGCCAGCTCCCGCCGTGATATAGCCATGATGTATGGAATGGCCTGAGGTCCAAGGGATCGTCAGATGGCACGAGTCGTACGGTGCGGGCTTGGTCCATGCACGTGAAGTTGGCACCGTGGTGGGAGGCTGTGGAGGCACTGGGCACTGGAGGGAGCAGCCCGAAATGGCATCATTTCACCATCTCACCATCTCCCCACACTCGCATCGATCGGAGATGGGGAGATGGGGAGATTCCGCCGGCTAAGCTTTTAGTCCGAGACTGGGTTTCATGGTTTCATGCCTTGATGGCCTCATTGCTGCGTCTATCGTCTTGTGTCTGAGCCAAGTGGGCTCCAAACCGTCTATGTCTTGTTTGCCATGCCTTTGCTTTTTGCCTTGCGATGAATGGTCTTGCCTTGCCATTCCTTGCCTTGTCTTGCGTTGTCTTGATTTCTATCTCCCCATTTGTCCAACCCGTTCCGTTTATCCGATCCAGAATTAACGGCGCATCCAAGTGTCGACCCCTGCTTGGTCGATGTGGCCAGTGGAAATTGCATCGGCCAAACGGCGGAGAAGGCGTGAAATGAATGCCTAAGCATCCGCGGCGACGGCCACCACCTCCTCGGGCGCCTCCTTCATGCAAGGCTCCTCCTCGACCGCGATGGGAGGAATCACCATGCCAAACTTCTCGTAGGAGAAGTCGACCAGACTGGGAATGTACTCAGCCCAGCCATCGTCAACCTCACCAAGCTGGTGCAGGTCCACATCGCCCGCCTCGCCCGTGCGGCCAGCAAGGACCTCCTCCTCGCGGCCGGTATACTCCTTCTTGAGCATGGGGTGAGGGCACCAGATGACGCGCATTCCAGCGCGACGGCCAGCCTCGACACCGGGAACCGAGTCCTCGAAGACAAGGCACTCCTCGGGCTTGATCGGGGGCTCTCCAGCGGGGAGCGAGTCGTTGATGGTCTTTAGCGCGAGCAGGAAGATGTCGGGCAGAGGTTTGCCGCGGCCGGGCTGCAGGCGGTTGTCGTCGCCAAGAACGCGGCGGTTCGAGGGGAAGACGGAGAAAAGCTCCTCGAGGTGGCTGGTCTTGACCAAGAAGTTGCCCAGGTGGGAGCTGGTGGCGAGGGCAATATGAACGCGGTGAGCCTCACGGTCGCGGCCGTTGGTCTTGGCGTCGTCTGCAGCAGCGCCCTCCTTGACCTCCCAGTATCGAGTGCGACCGAGGTGACCGAGCATCTCGGGAATGCCAGGCAGCGGCTTCGTCTTAGGAAACAGCTGCTTCTGGAGGGCGGTGTTCTGGGCGACGTACTCCTCGGGAGTGATGGGGAGCCCGGCCCAGTCGTGGAAGAGCTTGTTCGCAACGGGACCGGGACGGCCCTGGAGCTTGGCCTTGATGGACCACGGAAGCTCGCCCTTGCCGTACTTCTCGAGGATCATGTTGGTGCAGAGGCTGTACGTATCCTCGGTATCGAGCAGGAGGCCGTCCATGTCGAACAGGCAGGCCCGAACGGGTGGGAAGCTGTGCGAAAACCGTTATCAGCCGGCTGCTTCGCGGGGGGAGAGGGGAGCGCCGTGAACGTACTCGGTGCGGGGAGCCATTGCGGCGTTGTGCAGTCGCGACACGAAGCAGGCGAAAGTCGAAGGTGGCGATGCGTTCGGCGAAAGGGCGAGTCAATCGAGAGACCGAGGACGTGGCGAATTAGTTAAGAAAAGGTCCCGGCCCGCAGCGCAACAAAGGTGAGAGGTGGAGGGATCCCGCGATATTTATATGGCTAGTGGCGGGGGAACGCGGGGCAACTTTTGCTGCGTGAACGGCGCAGCGATAAGATAACAACCTCAAGCCGCCTCGACGTAAACTTCAGCTCACCATTCTAGCTCACCGTCACTTCGAATTCTCTTCACCGGCTCCCTTATCAGCTGTAATCGGAGACAATAGATAAAAACATTCCGAGTTTTCCCATTCGCACCGATGCGATAAGCACCTCGCAAGCCACATTGGGCAGAAATGCACCCTAATAGAACCCGCCGAAGCATGTGATACGTTGCGAGTTACACCAACTAGCCCTGCAGTGACTCAACTCAATGAACAACATTTCCAACACGAGCATGCAGGCACGTTGGAATACGTTAGGTTGCTATTGGCCGTGGGCCATTTAGCGTCAGCTTCTTATCTATTGTGATTCTTTCCGGTTTCCCTAGTCAATTTGGAGCCGCCAAGCCAGCGGCCTTCACCGAACCCGACTCGAACTTCATTTTGAGTTTTCTACTAAAAATACTGAGTCCCTTGTTGCCCTTATAACCATCGGAGACAACCTGGGTTGGCTCTGGAAGAAATATATTTGGAAACTCACAAACTCCGAAAGCACATCTTGAAGAAAGTGGTCGCCCATTATCTCCCAGATGATCTTCTAGCTGTTCCTGCTCACGGTGACCTGGGCTTCATCGTTGCCACAATGGCAGACGCCGTGATGTACTCATAGAGAAGCAATCCGAAGTCCCCTCATCCAACCATTTTGGGACGCGGTTTCCAGTTCAACTTCCAACATCAAAACCTAGGTGCCGTTTGAGCATTCTCCAAGTATGGCCATGAAGCCCAGGGCGTGGTTTCTAAGGAACAACTTGCTGCTGCTATACATCATGCACGAGGAGACATACAAATCAGTTCACCACTACCCTTAGACAATTATGTCCCTGTGGGTGGCTTGTTTAAACAACCCGAGATATCCATCAACATCTTGAACAGACTGATCCTGGGGCAATAGAATACTCTAGTGCTCCATCAGGACGGCAGTAGGTCATTGGCCACTATCCTTAACCGTAGGGGGCCGATCTACCAACGCAGGCGATGAAAGTGCCATAACTCTTAGGAGACTATTAACTCCTTGCACAGCTTATGACTACCTTGAATTATTTCGAATTCTAGGAAAGCCTCCTCACAAGTCTGCTATTTCTTACTTACTCCAGATAGAGGTCTACGCGGCTTGTGGTTGAAAGTCCTCCTTCGCCCTCCGCGAGTCCCGCGTCAGTAACTTAGTGGAGGGGTCAAGCGGCTACAGTGGTCGGGTTGCAAGCAAACAAACTTGTTCCAGTGGAATTTCTTGGGGAACAGCGGACGACCCCTCACTGAAAGCTCCCTCTAATTACCCCACCACATCCCCTAACTCTTAGTGGGTGCGGGGGTTCCAGTAGAGGGGCTGGCTCCCCCCTCAATGAATATCACAAAAATCACTCCGGGAACAAATTCCAAGTGTCCTCATTCATCCTCGCAGCCGTATCACCATCATCGCAACTCACCACAACCCACGCTCCGCTGAATCCTATTACCGCAGAAAATCCCTAGCTAAATACCCAATTGAGAGGCAGTCAGTGGCAAACGAGGACCGTGTGAGCCGAAACAGAGCGTAGGTCTGGCCAAGCAGAGGACAGTGACAGCGACAGCGACAGCGACAGCGAATAGAGATGGCCTCACAACCGCAGGCAACGACAGACTCAGTCAACGGTGAAAAGAACAAGTCGCCGAAGAAGGAAGAAGTCCAGGGGAAAGAGAAGAAAGATGCTGCCGCGGATGAGGCAGACGGTGAGCAACTGAAGTTCTCCCCAGAGGAGGAAGCGGTATGTGGTGTGATAGCGATCTCAACATTCAATCTTTCTCGTACACTGTTCAAATGCAATTTTCGGGTTTCTTTTCCTTGGGACATCTATCCTTTCCTTAAATTCAACCCATTTTCTTATCATCATTTCATCGGATCTATCCAAAAACTTCATCTCATCTCAACCCACTCTCACACCTTCCTAGGCCCTCCTCGAGGAATCAAACACTGCCAAAGCAGAGGCCAACGCCTTTTTTTCTTCAAAACAGTACCAGGACGCCCTCGACAAGTACGACGACGCCATTTCCTCATGTCCCAAGTATCTACTGTACCCTCGCGCTGTCATCCAGAGCAACATTGCCGCATGTCATCTAAAGGTCGAGCAGTGGACGGACGCCATCAAGTCTGCGACCGAAGCTCTCGATGGGCTCGCGAAGCTCGAGCGTGAGGATCCCCGGCTGAACCCAGAGGGAAAAGAAAAGGAGGGCGAGAAGGAGGTTAAGGCGGCGGGGAATGAAGAGTCCAAGTCCAAAGACGACGATGACGACGTCGAAGAGGAAATCATCAGCTCGGGTGCATCCCGATCGGCTCCTCCGCCACCATCTCCCGCCGACGAAGCCCGCACGGCGCTCCTCGCCGATATCCAGCGCATTCGCTCCAAGTCTCTCATGCGTCGCGCCCGCGCCCGCTCTGAGGCCGGCGGCTGGCAGAACCTCGCGGGCGCCGAGGAGGACTACCGCGCGCTGGCCGCAACGCCGGGCCTCGCCGCCGCGGACATGCGCATCGTTCGCGCCCAGCTGCGCGACTTGCCGCCGCGCACCAAGGCCGCGCAGGAGCACGAGATGGGAGAGATGTGGGGAAAACTCAAGACTCTGGGCAATGGCATCTTGAAGCCGTTTGGACTGAGCACGGAGAACTTCCAGATGGTCAAGGATGAGCAGACGGGGGGATATAGCATGAACTTTCAGCAGGGACAGGGTGGCGGTAGCTCTTCATGATATATTGAGCTTTTCCATCAAAATACAACAACTTCTCCGTAGAAGACGATCAAAGCCTGTCTTGGCTGATACCCTCACATCAATCAGCGATATAATAACTGCAAACCCAAGTCCCGTGCCTCTAGCGGGTGCCCTTTATCTTCCAAAATGATTCGAGCATATTGGCCACCAAAAATATCAACATACTAACCGCATATATGCCAAAGAATCACTTTTCCATCTCTTCTACTCATTTGCTACCCCCGGGCTTGTCCTATTCGGTGGCTCATACCAGTTCTGATACGGATGGTTCGGCAAACGAAAGTCTGCGAAGCTCAACGGATTCACACATGGATTGGCAACCCCGGGAGGTGTCAATACTCTCATTACCGCAGTTACCGGCGAGTCCGAGTTGGGCATTGGCATCATCGCAGGCGCGCGTACGGGCGGCGGCATTGCATGGCTACCAGCTGGTGGCTGGTCGTCAGGCTGGCTCGTCGCTAATGCCACCGGAAATCTTCCCCGTTCCCAGCCCCAGGCTCTTTTCAACTCGGGTTCGACTGAGCCAAGATGCCATCCGCCTTGGTTTTTGAATCTGTCCAGGATTCCTAACACTTCTGCTTGTTCGTGAAACTCGGACAGGACAAGCGCGGCGATGGCCAAACATCGAATCGTCATTGGAATGACACCACGGTCCTTGGTAGACGCCGCGATGCCGCAAACTTGGTGCGCGTGGTGTAGCTGCAAGTTTCTCATTCCTTCAGAATCGGTTATCTGCTTGGAGGGGTGGCTCTGGCTGAGAATGCATTGCGCTGTGTGATAGAGCAAGCGGCCGAGAGTTGCCGCAGTTTTAATCATCCTATAGCACATCAGTTAGGTGGAGCGATCTCTCTGGTCTGGGAAATTAAGTTACCAAATGTAAGGGAATACTGAATCACCCGTAGACTTGGATGGCTTCATATAGCCATACGGGTGCATCGTCCTCGGGCAGCGGTGGTTCCATCGATCACAGAGCCGCTTAAGCTCATGCCAGCGGCCCAATCGCTCTCTTAGCCAAAGCTGTTCATCCTGAGGAGAAATTTCCTCAAATCCAGGGGCCGCTGCTCGAAAGTTGACGATCTTGGCAATGACAAATATGATCCTGTGCACAAAGACTTCGTCTGGCTCGATCGTCACCTGGTCTTCTCCCTCCTTGAAAAAACTAAGGTCCAGACCCCAGTCATCAGGGCTCCAAGTCGTCCGCCAGTTCTCTGAAAGGCATATCAACACCTCCATGGTAATGTTTTGCCAGAAGCACGCGGCCCCGATTCCCGTACTCCTCGCATCCCATCGACACTCGAGGATCAAGGCACGGGCGCCACCGATGTGCCGCATGCGATGAGCCGGTTTCTCCGACATGATTTCGTATACGTTGAGAATCACCGCAGTTATCGCACACTCCGCCATGTTTCGGTCTGGGTTTTGAAGGCTGCGGAGAAGTTGGGAGGTTGCCGTGTTATAGTAGAAGAGCGCCTTGTCATTTTCGTCTGGGGAGCTCAGGGAGAGGTGCTTCACGCCACAAGCGAGAAATGCGTTGAGGAGCATCGTCGATTTGAGGGCATAGAAGGGAATAAGACGACTGAAGTGTTTTTCTTTGTCGAATGAGTCCATCCACACCCACACGTCTTCGACAAAGACTTGCATGTACCCAATCTCTTCTGGAGTGCTAAGAAACTCGCGTCCGGGCGTCGTGGGGTTTTCACTCGGCAAGTTGTTGATGGGGAGCTTCGTCTCGTTTGGCGCTGTGATGGTTGCTTGTGGAAGGATAGATGCCGCAGCCGATACATCACTCCTTCGACGGAAAGATGGTTTTCTCCTGACAGCGACGAGGTGTTGAAACGAATGTGCCCCATATGCGACGTTGGACTGACTTGAAGATGACGGAGTGGCGATATTAGATGCATCGCTTGTGGTTCTCGAGTGTGAGCTACTACCTAAAGTAGCAGGGTTCTGATTGTTTGCCCAATACTTTTCTGAAGGTAAGGTTTTCGGACCAAATTCAGCCCGTGTGCCAGAGGCCTTTGCGTCGTCCGAGTTGTCAACGGCCTGCGAGCTGAAGTTGTGCACCATGGACTGCGTCCCATGTTCCGAATGGCGTCGCTCGTTTAGACTATGTCGGTTGACTCCAAGGTTGCGTGGAAGTTCTCGTTCCGAGTCATATGGGGCATAACGTCTGAGCCCGCCTCGATACTCCGACGCAATTTCGCGAGACTCGTCGTGGAATTGGACTAATGAACTCGGAGTCAACACACCTGCAACTCATTTAGTAGTCAAACAACGAACCTGCCCATTCTTCCGAAGTTGGCACACAGGTTAAGCTGTGCACGTTGATGTCGAGGAAGTTAAGGCGTACTCCTCGTTTGCAGGCGCGGCCACGTTTTCGACAGTTGAGACAGTCCGGCAGAGCCTCGTCGCACTTTAGGTGCCTGTCACGGCACGTCAGACAGCCGGTCCGCACCCGTTTGGCTTTGGGCGGGGGTGATCTTGGCACGGCTATTGCCTTTTGGGCGGTAGTTGAAGCAGTTGGTGGAGGAAACACGTCGGCCGGAGAAGCACGTAGCTGTTGATCCCACGGTGTCTGGATGGCTGCCATGTTTTGCCGCTTGGACGGCGAGTCGTCCACGAAGTCATGCTGAGCGGGCAAATCTGCGACGAAATATTGCGGCGGTGGGTGGTCGTTCCAGTTCTGTGAGAATGTCGGTGTCTGCTGGCTCCGAAGCTCGTCATGATGCATCACCGCACCGAGGCTAACACCGGGTACGATGATGCCCTCTGGGACTTGGTACTCGGCCACCGTCGTCGGCCTGGCCCTCGTTCAAGGAAGCCAGGTGTATACAGATATAAGGGAGAATATCGAGATCTGGCGAGTGGATCGGCGAGGGAGATGATTATACCCGGAAAAGTGCTTCACTTTGCGGTGCTCGTGGGCGCCACGCGATGAACTCGATCTCGGCCCGCCACATCTAAGACCTGTGAGTCCACACATCGTAGATTGCGGCGGCATCTGGACGAGAAGGATGACCTCGCAGGCTGAAGCTCCACCGCCAGACTTGGCAGCACAGGCGACAGGGCCAACCGCCACAAGAGAATGAACCGGGGCGTCAAAGACACCGTCATCACTCCCAATAGCCGAGCCTCATCCATCGTCCAGGCCAGCCGAAAAGCCTGTCTCATCTGCAACCGAATCCTGGCGCGTGTGTGTGCGTGCGTGCGGCCAATATGTCTCTCAGGCTTGTACGCCGGTCGACAAAGCCGCCGCTGTGATTCGAGAGGCGGGATTCCCACACGCACACGCCGACAGCCGTGGCGCTGGGAACTGTCTCTGCCTCGAATCTGGGCGTTACGGAAGTGCAGCGGAGACGAAAACCAAGCCACATGGCCAATAAATATGAATCACTCGGCCCGGGATCACAGAGGGACGCAAAGGCTGCTTCCAGCTCCCCTGCTGTGTCCGGGTGGGTTATGCAGCCTGATCGATGCACGACATCTGTGGCGAACTGAGCAGGCTGCGTGTCATCTTCAACCCGATCCTCGAGTCCTTGTCGAGCGGGCTTTCGTTCGTATTCCACCAATATCCGCGTCATCGGCGTCGTTTATTGTCGAGAACGGTGTCAAATCCTCGTATTGCTTGGCTATTGAAGGCGTCTGGCGCTGTGCGCAAACTCGGCTGAGCCCAAACATATCCTGCCACTGTGCAGAGTACATTTGCGTTATTCCCGGGAGCCATGGCCGTACTGACAGAGGTACAACTAAATCGTTCCCGGGGGTACACAATCTCTGGAGCACAGTAGATCCTTTCGCCAGCATGCTCTGCGAGGTGTCCTCAGCTTAAACATTTCGGTTTCATAGGTCGCCCTGTCGGCTATGTATTTGTTCCACAGCCTTGGTCACATTGCGCGCTGTCATAAAACACGCCATCTAAGGATAACAGGAATAGAGTATTACAATATTAGTCTAAGTTGGTGCTACCTTAAGGGCCTCGTCAGGTTACCGTAACGGTGGCGGATGGGCTGATTACGAAGTCTTCCAATTAGACATCGACGATTCGCCCGCTATGCCAATTTCCTAACATTGCGCCCCGAAACATTTCCTTGTCTATATACTCTTCACGCCCATACGGTTTCATGAATAGGTACAGTAGGAATTGAGTATCTAGTATAGAGTTTTCCTCGGAACGAATACACAAGAGTGGAAGATGGATTCAAGAGGGATAGATGGACAAAACCCCATAGTGTGGAATATCTCATTATTTCAGTGCATTCATCGTTAGGTTCTATTCATTCATTTCTATGTGTCTTCAATATGTCCAATCAGATATCTGTAACCACTTCACATCCAGTAGAATGATCATTTGGCGTCCTCAAAGACCACAGGTCTCTAGTACATCCGACCCCATGGTCCCACGCTGATCCGGCTGATATTATGTCCAACGAAAACTCTCAGGCACACGCATCCACAACATACATCTTCTTCTCAAAACATTCAGGGGTGGTCTTGCTGAACTCTGCTCCCAAAACCATGGGCGTCGCAAACCACTCCCAGTAAATAGGGCAAGTCTGCCAAACGTGGATATCCCAGGCGGCTTCCGCAACGTCGCACTGGAGCTCTCTCTGAATGCCGACCTGGACAATGGCGCACTTGATGTACCGGTACCCACGTAGGTCGATCCACGCCTGCGTGTTCCAGAACATGATCTGGAAATCGTTGAAGTAGTCGGTGTTGAGGTACCGCCCCTTCCGCACCTCGCGCAGGTAGCCTGTGCCCGGCTCGATGGTGACGAGAACCGCGCGGCTCTTGGAGGCTTCGGCCATGAGGACGGCGTCGCCGGCCTGACCTCGATAATTGGAACTGCTCATCAAGGCGAGGTAGTTGTTGTCCCATTGATCCGTGCTGCTGCGGTCGGCGTCCCGCATCTGCACGAAGAAGGTTGGCTGTGCCTCGGTGCCGCAATTCGTTGGCTTGCTAAAAGTCCTGGTGTGAACCACGCTTATGGTCGAGTAGTCATGATTCGTGTATGTGGACTATGATTGAAAGCCTTGTCAGAATACTAAGCCTTGGGATTGGATAGGATAAAGGGAGAGGAGAGGAGAGGAGAAGGCATACCGTCGTCCAAGTAGAGTCCGAGGCCACGGTATACGTGGCTGTAGCTGTCTCTTCAATGGCAAAATAGCTAGTTGTGGTTGTCAGCGTCGGTTTCTTCACAAGGCAGCTGCAGGCCTCGCTCACGATTCTCGGGGAGGATCCAAGTACACGTCCACGGTAGTCGGGCTTGAGCTTCTTGGGAAGGGCGCGTTCTTGGATATCTCGGCGCAGGTCTTCTGGGTCGGCTTCCGCATCGTCGTACGCCGGGGCTTGGGTGATCTGAGACGAGGCGGCGGTCGGATTGAGCGCTGGGGCGGCGCTCGCCGCAACGTCACGCTTCTCGACGCCTTCATAAACGCCAATGGTGCGAATGACGGTCGTGGTGGCCGAGATTGTCGTGGTGGCAAAGGTCAGAAAGGTGTCGATGCCCTCGGTGACAAACTCATCCACCACGTTAGTCCAAGTGAAGGTCTCGACAACGGTCTTGGTCTTCGTTTTGTAGTGCAGGTATGACGAACAGAAGGTCTTGATCTGCTTGCCGGCCACGGACTTGGCTGATTTGACCAGCGACTTGACCTTGGGGTTGGAGCAGTCGATCTTGCGCTCGACGAGTTCGTTGGCCGAGACCAGCGGCTGAAGGGCCAGCAGCGGGAAAACGAGCGACTGGAGTAACACCATGTTGGCGAAGCTGCGTACGCGCGGCTGCTATGTTTGCTACGGTCGACAAAAGACAATCAATTCGAGGCTCAAGACTTCGGAAAAGCTCTCTTTTCATAGCACGGGCCGGTCTCGCATCGTTTGATGAGCGCGACGGCGATTAAACTAAAGGCTTCGCGCCACCCAGCCTCTAACAGCCCGACTGCACGATGCGCTGCCACATGGACGCAAAACTTCAGCCGCTGGCCGCTAAATCCTGGCTTCGCTGAGTAGGGAGGGTGGAGGAGAATGCCCGTTGGTCACGGCCTCGCTTCCAGGTGAGGGAATCCAGCCTCCAAGATCCCCACGGCGCGGTCCAGCGTGTCTAGACTCTCGTGGGCGTTTCCTAGCGCTCTGCTAGTAGGTAAGCTTATGCGCTCGGGGGATCAGGGAGGAGATCACTTACTCGCCGCCCAACAGTCTCAGACAATCAAGGCCAAGCCGAGCTGAAGTGAGATACATTAGGATGCTGTTGGGCTCAGCATTGAGACATGCATCAGAATCTCCACCCCAGATCTGAGCTCATAGAGGATGTCGCAACCAGCTGCGCACTCTTTGTTTGAGTCATGACTTCTGACCAAACCATAAAATCTCCCGTCGAAGCCATGAAACACGCACATCTCAACGCCGACATTTAAGCTTAAATTCAATCTGTGCCTCGTTTTGTCCCGCTGGCGATGGGTGTTTTCCAGCTGAAAGACGCGGTCACCTGACTCAAGCTGGTTGGGTCGGTGAACCATAGCGCTAGACCGAGGATGGAAACACGACCAAGAGCACCAGCTTCGCTATCACGGGCTGCCTTGACAAACCCATCACCAAAAGCCCATGACCAAAAAACTGTCGAGCAGGTTGCCGCGAGGAATCATAAATACGTCAGCCAATCCCTGCTTCAGATCAAAATCTTTTCAGGGTCCCAAAGCTCTCACGTGCTTTGGCAAAATGCCCTCACCGTAGATATCAGCAATCCTCTCCGGGCGCCCGTTCCTAAACCGCAGTGACAGAAACACCATCAAAAATGGCCGACTCCGCGCCCTCGCCAAAGGCCATTCTCCGCGGCCACAAGGCTCAAGTCCACTCGGCAACGTTCATCAGAGGCAACAGCCGCCTAGTCACCGGCGATGCGGAGGGCTACGTCGTCGTGTGGGACCTCACCATCATGAGGCCGAGGGCCGTCTGGCGGGCGCATGAGAGTGCAATTCTCGGAGTCCAAGGTTGGGGCAATGACAAGATCATATCGTAAGAAGAATTAAGTCATTTTACCACCCCCATGTCCAGATGCTAACTACCTGTAGTCATGGCCGCGACCACAAGCTCATCGTCTGGAAACTCAGCCTCGATGACGAGGAGAATCTCAGCAAGACCCTGCCCGTCGAGGACGTGCCGACGCCGCGGACCCAACCCTGGATTCTTCACCTGCTTGAAGTCAACACGATGAACTTTTGTTCCTTTGCGGCCAGTTCAAGTAGCCCAGGTCATATGGATGACTCGTCCGAAATCCTCATCGCCGTGCCCAACACCCTCGCGTCTGAAGCCGTAGGTGACGCCTTCAGAACAACTTGGCCCTGTCGCTAATTTTGCGAGTAGATCGATATTTACTCTTTGCCCTCTCAAACTCGAATCCACACCATCAGGCCGGGAGAGAAAAATGGAATGGCCATGTGCCTCTCCCTCTTCCATCTGCAGGACGCCGTGACCCTCGTCGCCGCCTTCGAAAACGGATATGCGTCGGTTCACCGTCTCAACGCAGACGGGGAATGGATCACAACATATCGCTCTCAAGCTCACTCACAGCCAATTTTATCACTGGACGTCGATCCGGGACGCGCGTTCTTCCTTTCGTCCTCGGCGGATTCCCTCATCGCCAAGCATCCCATCCCGACTAGCCGCCAAGAAACCATCACTATCCCACAAAGCAACGCAAGAGTGGTTGAGATAATTGACGAAGAGCCAACCCAGCCTCAGTCCCTTTTATCTTCCGGGTTGAAGCAAGCATCCTCGCACAGCGGCCAAGCTGCGCCTCGGGTGTTGAAGGAGTGGGAAAACCCTCTCAAGGTCGTCAACACAAAACACTCGGGCCAACAGAGTCTCAAGATGCGATCCGACGGCCGGATATTTGCCACCGCTGGTTGGGACTCCAAGGTGAGAGTGTACTCTGCCAAAACCATGAAGGAGTTGGCAGTCCTCAAGTGGCATCAGGTGGGATGTTACGCCGTTGCCTTCTCGGATCCCACTGCATCGAACGATCTCTCCAGCCCCGCGTCATCTACAATTCAAGATGCTTCGCGTTCAAAACTCCCACAGCAACCTACATCCTCGGATACATCGGGAATGGGCATTTCTCTCCGAAGCGCCGGGACACTGGTCAAAAGCACCACAAGCGTCAAGGATCGGCGCATCGCCCAAGCAAAGACAACGCACTGGGTCGCGGCAGGCGCCAAGGATGGCAAGGTCAGCTTATGGGACATATATTGAGCCTAATAATTGGCAGTGGTGAATCCCTGCTAGTTATGCTTACGGTGTGTTGTTTAGAGATACGACGAGAGGAGGACCTTCATGCCACGGGGTCCCTGGACATGTGGGTGAGAAGCTTGTCAGTTGCCCGTTTGGGAACTCGCCGGTGTTCCACAACTCCGCAAATGAGAAATGAGAGGGGCTCAAATGAAGCTCTTCTATCATGTCAAGTCGAGGGACAGAATCCAGAATACAGGATCTGAAGCAGCGTGGATGTTGGCAGGCCATTCCAGCACCATCGAGGATAGACAGGGACTACTTCGGTTTCGTACAAATACAATACCAAGGACAGCCAGACATCCGTCAAGGAACCCCAAAATTACCACTATTAGACCCAATATTAGCATCATCTCCTCATCGGTTCATCATCCTGGATCCGCAACTTGCCTTCTCAACCCGCTTAATTCCCCATTCCTCTTCCCGAGTATCCGTTTCGCTGCAAGGTTCAGTCGTCAGCAATCAGCGCATCCATCTCACTCCCGCCCTCGGCCTGCTGACAGGAGCGAGCGGGTCGAACAAGCACTCACTGTCCTCCCAGCGGTTCGACCGGTAGTTCCCCTTGGCCAGCTCCCACCACACCCTCAGCACCCAGGCGGCCACCAGCGCATCCCGCAAGGCCGCGCCCATCTCGGCCGTCACCACCAGGCTCATGAGCTCGTCCGTCTCGACCTCCCGCGCCAGCAAGCGCCCCTCGGCGTCGCTCCATTCGAAGCCCACCGCCCGGTCTCGGGACGGGGCCGCCGTGAACATCGTTTCCCGCGCCTCGTGCCGCCGGTCCGCGCCCCGTACGGCCCGGTGCACCCGGTATCCCTTGCCCTTGCCCTTGCCCATGCTCGCGAGCAGCCCGCTCTTGGGGCGGAATGTCGTTATCCCCAGGGAGCAGAGTGCGCGGCGCGAGGTTGACTCGGCGTGGTACTCAAAGGTGGGAAACTCGCCGGCAGTGGGGTGTCTCAGGTCGAACAGATGCCGATTGCGAGTCTGCACTTTGGGCGTGCCATTGTGGTCTCTGACAGTCTGATCAACCCGCTCAACCTTCACGGTGCGGTCTGTATCTCTCAAGAACCCAACTGAGTGTGAGAATTCATACAGCGGCGGCGCTTCCGGGTCACTTGAGTGCACGAAACGGCCAGCAATATACAGGGTAGCCGGGCCGAGGATCTGGTTCTCGACGATGACTTCAGTGTTAGCAGAATCGTCGTAGGACGGTAGGTCCGCTTCTTGTATTTCATGCTCGGCCATTTTGTGGTTGTTTTCCGTCTTTGCGAAAAAGAAAGTGTTGTGGTGTAAGGCTATACGTTAAGTTAGAGTGTCGCGTGCCGTCGCGATTCCGGCGTGAATGGTATGACGTGGGGGAATCCGGCCGTAAGCCGGTCCAACGCACACCACACACACCACACACGCAGACAGCCAAGCCACATGAAACAACAATTCCAATTAATTTTTGTACTGCGAATGGTCCTTTATTCGATCTTATTGACATTTCCCAATGCTGCATACGCCTAGCGCCGAGTCCACTGCGAAAAAGCCTCAACAGAGGCACCCATTAAATGCGAGCCCCCAGGTTGACATGCACCGCCTTGATGTTGCTATACGCCTCGAGTCCTGCCTCGCCCAGCTCTCGTCCAATACCGCTCTGCTTGACTCCGCCAAAGGGAACCCCGGGCTCGCAGTCTTGGCTGCTGTTGATCCAGACCATGCCAGCCTGGATCTCGGCCGCAACTCGATGCGCACGCTCAATGTCCTTGGTGAAGACAGCTGCGCCCAGGCCGTATGCGGAGTCGTTGGCGAAGCCCAGAGCCTCGGCCTCGGAGCTGAAGCGGCTGATGACCACGACCGGCCCGAAAATCTCTTCTTGGAAGACGCGCATCGTGTCCTTGACCTCGCCAAAGACGGTAGGCTCGACGAAGAAACCCTTGCCGCTGACATCCTTGGGCTTGCCGCCAGCGAGGAGCTTGGCGCCCTCTGCCTTTCCAATCTCGATGTATTCCAGAATCTTGTCGAACTGCATCTTGGAAACCTGGGGTCCCTGGTACGTGTCGGGATCCCACTGATCGCCGACCTTGCTGACTGTCTTGGTCGTCTCGAGGAAGCGGGCGACAAAGTCGTCGTAGACACTGTCTTCCACGAGGATCCGAGAGGTGGCGGTGCAAATCTGACCCTGGTTGGACATGATGCCCATGTGAGACCACCTGGCAGCCTGGTCGAGGTCGCTATCGGCGAAGACTAGGAGAGGAGACTTGCCTCCCGTCTCCAACGTGATGTTCTTGAGGGTTGCCGCAGCCATCTTCATGATTTGAGTGCCCGTCGCAGTAGACCCAGTAAACGCCACCTTGTCGACCAGCGGGTGCTCTACCAAAGCCGATCCCGCCTCCCGGCCGTAGCCATTGATGACGTTGAAAACGCCGGGAGGAAACCCGACTTCCTTGACCGCAGCGGCCAGGAGGAGGATGCTGAGAGGCGTTTGCTCGGCGGCCTTGAGAACAATTGTGTTTCCGCACGCCAGAGCTGGGCCAATCTTCCAGCTCGCCATCGAAAGGGGAAAGTTCCAGGGAATGATTTGTCCCACAACACCAATAGGCTGGCGAATGGTATAAGCGAGTTTCTGAGGGTTTGCTGTGACAGTCTGGCCGTGGGTCTTGTCTGCCCAACCAGCATAGTAGCGGATGACGTTGACGACTTCAGGGAGGTCCAGGGTGATGGCATCAGCAAAAGTCTTGCCTGTGGGAAAGAGTTAGAACGATCTCGCGGAGATGAGCAATTCGCTAGGAAGGGTACCATTGTCCCAAGCCTCAGACGTCGCAAAAATCTCCTGCTGTTGCTCAATGCGCTCGGCAAGCTTGTACATCAACAGGCCCCTCCGCGCAGCAGGCATTTGCTTCCATTCGGGGTTTGCGAGGGCGGCGTGCGCAGCGCGGACAGCCTTGTCTACATCATCAGCGTTGGCTGCGTGAACTGCAGCAATCTCCTTTTCAGTGCTGTCAAGGGTGGTGTAAGTTAGCGACGCATGCTAGAAACAGGCCGGGATGGTGTGGAGCCACTGACGCTGGATCAATGGAGGCGATAGTCTGGCCCGAGGAGGAGGGAACGAATTCGTTGTTTATGAAGAGCCCGGTGGGCTGGGCGTACTTGACGCCGTTGGGCGCCTCGAGATTGACGAATAGTCCAGCCATGTTCAAATCCGGGAGTTTGGAGGCGATGTTTCGGTAGAGGGCTACAGTGGGACGAAAAGCGAACATGAATATGCCAGGGTATCAAGGACGAGTTTAAAGACCGGCGACGAGTAAAAATAAATAGAAAATAGAACAAAAGCCACGAGAAACACAGAGTTCCTACAAAGAACATAACAGTGACTGCACCAGGCCGCCGGCGCCTCCTCCGCAACGACAGTTCCCGCGGCATCTTTAACGTGGGGAGGAGGTTAAGTCCAGAATAGGAAATTTACCCTGCGGGAGTGGATGGCACAAGGAAGCGGACGCAGGGTAGCTTTGTTCTTCATACGGCATTGCCTGTTCTGGGAAAGGTCGACAGCGGAATAGCGGGTCGCCATTGTGTTTTGCAGCTACTTCCAGGACGTATTCGCCTTGTTTATTTCAAGAGTGAATAACCTTGGCTGGCTATTGGGGGATGAGGAAGCGAATATAATTTGACTTAAATATATGCACATGCGGCTCTGCGAATTGTTTCATCCATCCTCATAATATTGCGTCTTCACTCGTGCTGATCTTCTGTTGTCTCACCCAGAAGACCCAGCTGGAGTCACAAAGGAAGCTACAGCGAGACCGCTACATGTTAAGCCCGCCACCTCTCCTTACCTTGGGCATTCTCGACAAAAGTAAAATTCATGGAATCGAGTATTCTTCGTTATCAGCACCCAGCTCGCTCGTTTCATGTCTATGCCGTCGCCGAGTATTCACGGCGACTCAATGGCGACTTCACCGCCGGCGGCCCGACTAAGCCCTTTTGGCGAATTCTCGTGACGTAAAGTGGAATATCAAAGGGCCGGAGCGGAACGGACATGGCAACCGGGTCAGATCCGGGATTAGTCATGATGGGAAACGAGGTCGCCGAGACGATGAGACGGAAGAATGCAAAGGCTCGGAGGGAACGAGGAGAGAAAGAGTCTCGGGCTCACCGATCTTTGTACAGAATGACTTTGCCATTCTTGTGCGGATGCTGATGTGGGATGAGTAGGTACGTACCTTAGGTAAGATCAGATGTGGCTGAGTTGCATGTGGCCGGCCATGTGGCGAAGCCATCTCCGTCTCCATCACAGGCACCAGCCGCCCGTGATTTGACATCTCAAACTCGCACCCATGCGACGTTGGGTTGATGCTCGTCGTCGCAGGAATCCCATCTCACGCAGACGCGCCCATTCGTACCAGACTCACGATGACGCAGCGGATGCCATCCTTGCCTCGCCTGATTAGCGTCAAGCTACCTGCTCGACGCAGCCAACCACGCTTCCAGACGTTGAAACCCTCTCACACCCAAACGCACCCTTCGTCGGAGTTCGGAGCATTAATCATCGTCGACAACTGGTTAAATCCTGCTCGAGGTGTCACACTTGGTCAGCAGCGTTGCTCCGAGCCGTCGGCCGGTTGGCGCTGGCCTCACACCCCGCTCGCCATTCCTCCGCAGCCCGTCCGTTGCGGACTTTGGAACTTTGCGACACCCCGACAACGTCTGATTGATTCGGTTTTTACCGGCAGCAGACATGCCACCCATGGGATCTGCAACCCACCAAGATCTTCGGAAGTGGGCAAGTGGGCACCAGATCCATGTCGTTGGGCTTTCCTGGTCCATTGAGGCCCAGACTCAGCCTGGAAAGGCTGCACCAAGTACACGCCCAGGAGCATGTGCAAGCGGCGCGAACGTTGCAAATCCTGCAAACTCGATCGAAGGCAGTAAGACGTGGGCTGTACTCCAAACCACAATCGTCGCACATGGAATTCTGCAGCCACACGGGCGGGCGTGCGCCTTAAGTCCGCATCTTCCGAACGTCGTCGGATCGGTCTTCACACCGCACATCTGGTGGCTCACCATTGTCTGCCTCCACCATATCTCCTCTAACTCCAGCCGTCATCAGACATTTCCCGCATCTCTGCAGTAAGATGATTCCTCTCCGCGATTCCTCCCGGCGAGTGAGTCATGATTCCCCCCAAGATGACGGTCCTCGCATTGCTTTACACAAATCGTGAGAAATTTTTGAAACGAGGCTTTCAGAGTGAACCAGATCGCCTTGTTATGCCAAGGCGTTATGCTTGAGGGGGGCCGTGACGCGAGTTAGGGTTGTTATCTTGCTGCTGCGGCAGTCCCAATAAGCCTCGATAGCACGTTGCATTCGTATCCAACACAGCAAAAGGCCTTTCTTGGCACAACCACCATGTCGTCGTCGTCACCGAGTATTTGACAGGGAATAGCATACAGCTGTCACATTCTTTTGTCCGGACGGCGGACCAGCTGTCCGGGATTCGTCAAATGGCGTCAAGCCACCCCGCTGCAAGCGTTGAGTCGGCGCGATCCACCCAGGTCCGTCATCTCCCATCAGGATGGCTCATCCAATATCCGCATCTGGCTGGAGGCTTATCCCGTCGAGGTCAGCGCTTGCCGCCCTTGTGCGGACTATGCTTACGAGATATGAGATAGTATGCACAATGTGCGGACCTTGTGCGGGTGGAGTCTGAGACTACACACTGGCTCCGCTCCGCAGAGCGTTATGCCCATTCAACGCCCTATCATTGTACACGTTGACATGTCTAAACACCGGATTTTGCGTTATGGGCCCGTTAAGTCCCCGGAGGGCAGTCAGATCCTTTGTATCATCCATCGAGACGCCATTGCAGCCACAAGATATAAAGTTACAGGCCGCTCGCCCCCCTTGGTGTTGATAAGTCAGATCCCAGATCATCCCACAGCCTCCTACCAGCAAGCACACTGCACACCCATTTAAGCATTTGGCTTGTCTAACCCCAGATCAAGCTTATTTCACCACAGGAGCCCCTATTCGCGGACCCCAGAAGCCACACAGATAACAATCACCATGGAAAAGCAATCAGCAACCCTCGGGGTTCCCAGAGAACCGGAACGACCCGTGTCTACAGCCTCCACGCTCCGAGGCGAGGACCTTTCTCAGGAGAAGAAGCAACAGGATGACGGTACCACGACAGACGGCGAGGCCACCCTCGACGGCACCGAGGATGAGGTCGACCTCAGCGAATACCCGACCGGCCTCAAGATGTTCTTCATCGTCCTGGCCCTCGTGCTCAGCATCTTCCTCGTCGCTCTCGACATGGTACGCTACCCAATACCCCTAACCCGCAACATTATTTGCTAACTCTTGTCCCAACAGACCATCGTTGCCACTGCTATCCCCAAGATCACCGATGAGTTCAAGGGTCTCGATAAGGTTGGCTGGTACGGCGCAGCCTTCTTCATGACCGTCGGCGCCTTCCAATCGACTTGTACGCTCCGCCCCTGAATACCCCTTTTCGACCGGAAGACTAACCATCATCGCAGGGGGCAAAATTTACAAATACTTCCCGCTCAAGATTTCCTTCCTCATCGCCATCGTCATCTTTGAGGTCGGCTCTGTCCTTTGCGGTGCTGCTCCCAACGCCGAGGCCCTCATCACTGGCCGCGCCATCGCTGGTGTTGGTGCTGCCGGTATTGCGGCCGGTGCCTATACCATCATCGCCTTCTCGGCACCTCCCAAGAACCGCCCTGCCTTTACTGGTATCATCGGTGCATCATACGGAGTCGCGAGTGTCATCGGCCCTCTCCTGGGTGGTGCCTTCACTGACCATGTGTCGTGGCGATGGTGCTTCTACATCAACCTCCCCATCGGAGGAGTTTCGGCCCTCATCATCTTCTTCTTTTTCCAGACCCCTGCAGCTGCTGTGCCCGAGGACGCGCCGCTCTTGGAGAAGTTCTTGCAGATGGACCCCCTGGGCATCGTGCTCGTGATGGGCTCTACTGTTTGCTTCATCCTGGGCGTGCAGTACGGAGGCCAGGCTGACCCCTGGGACTCATCTGTAGTGATTGGTCTCCTCGTTGGCTTCGTCCTCATCTCCATTTCCTTTGGTCTTCTCCAGTGGTTCCAGAAGGATCGCGGTATGATCCCCATGCACATCATCAAGCAGAGAACCGTCTTTGTCATGAGCGCCTTCGCCTTCCTCTTTGCCGGTTCTTTCTTCCTTGCCATCTACTACCTCCCCGTCTACTTCCAGTCCGTCCACGGCACCAGCCCCACGTCTAGTGGTGTGCGAAACTTGCCTATGATTATCGCCGTCACCATCGCCACCATCGTCAGCGGTGGCTTGGTGACTGCCACGGGCTACTACCAGCATCTCTTGCTTGGCGGATCTGCCCTTGCCTGTATCGGTGCTGGTCTTCTCTACCTTCTCGACGTTAACACTACCACTGGCAAGTGGATCGGCTACCAGATCGTTGCCGGTTTCGGCTGGGGTGCTGCCTTCCAAATCCCCATGATCGCCGTCCAGGGTTCCGTCTCGCCTAAGGATCTTGCCGCCGCCACCGGTGTTCTTCTCTGTAAGTCATTATCCATCCACGTACCAATCCCAATATGAGACACGTTCTAACATCTTTGCAGTCTTCCAAGGTCTTGGCGGTGCATACCTCGTATCTGGAGCCCAAGCTGCCTTTATCAACCAGATGATCCTTGACGTCATGAAGCACGCACCCGGTATCGACAAGGGAAAGCTCATTCTGACTGGCGCCACTGAGATCCGAAATGTCTTCTCGGATGCTCAACTTCCCTTTGTTATTGATGGCTACATGCAAGGACTCAAGGTGACCTTCGCCATGGCCATTGCCGCGACCGGCATCACTACCTTGATCGGCCTAGGTACTCGCTGGAAGAAGCTGAACCCCGCGAACCTCACTGGCGGCATGGCCTAAGCAGATGGTCTTGTTGCTGAACTTTGAGGGGATCCAGAGGTGCATTTTCCACGGACTTAATAGAGGGGGCATTGGTTGTGCCTGGATGGGATGTGGGAGAGAACATAGGCATTTAGATTGGAGAGGTATAAAGACGGTGGGTGTATATAACACGGGCTGGAGATAATATCCCACTACATATATAATGATTGCTCTAATAGAGGCTGGGTACTTTATGATGAGTTCATGGGACACAACGCTCAACATGACGCATGCCTTCCAACTCGAAGTACACCAGCAGGTTAAGGTCCCATCGCCATTTCGGCCTTGAAACCGAATCAATTATCTAGAGCTAAAAAAAAAACCTCAACCACATCACGGCTGTAACAAGATCGACGAGTTCACAAAACCCGCAAATATGCTAAAGCTGTCAGTGACGATGACAAGAATCGAAACAACCCCCCCCAAGACAACGGCGGTCGGTGCAGGGTAGCTCTTATCAGATAAGCACCCGCCCCTGCCAAAACTCCGTAACTCGGCCTCCACCGGCTTTCCATCCTCCAACCAACGCCTCACCCCGTCCCCAAAAATCCGCCGCAGAAACCATCACGAGAGCCACGCCGGTCCGCGCCATGGCCTCAATGGTTCTGCTGCTGCCCTATTAAATAGCTCAATCCCCTCGCCGTCTCCTGCTTCACTCCTCCCCCCTCTTCATCTCTTTCTCCGCCGCCGCAATGCTCCCCGCGCTCCTCCGCCACCAGGCCCGGCCGCGCGCCGGAGCCGCCGTCGTGAGCTCCGTGTCGACCTCCGGCGCCTCGCTCCGCACCCTCGCGTCGGCGTGCTCGTCCGGGTCCGCCTCGCAGACCCTCCCCAAGTCGCCGATCCGCGTGCTTCGCTCCGTCGAGGCCGTCCGTCGCTGGCGCCAGCCGCACATCATCAACCACCGCTCCGTCGGCCTCGTGCCCACCATGGGCGCGCTGCACGAGGGCCACTTGTCGCTCATCCGCGCCGCCGCCCGCGAGAACCACCACGTCGTCGTCAGCGTCTATGTCAACCCCGCGCAGTTTGGCATCCGTGAGGACCTCTCCTCGTACCCCGTCACCTGGGACGAGGACGCCAGGGCCTTGGCCAAACTCGACCGGGAGCTTGCCGACGATGGCGGCAACCTGGGCCGCATCTCGGCCGTGTTTGCGCCCACGACAGAGGAGATATACCCCTCGGGCTTCCCCGGCCAGGAAGTCGACAGCAAGGGCAGCTTCGTCACCATCACGCCCGTCGGCGAGGTGCTCGAGGGCGCCAGTCGACCGACCTTCTTCCGCGGCGTCGCAACCGTGTGCATGAAGCTCTTCAACATCGTGCAGCCGGAGCGCGTCTACTTCGGCCAGAAGGACGTCCAGCAGACCGTCGTCATCCGCCGCATGGTGAGCGACTTCCTCCTCCCCATGTCCGTCGTCATTGGCCCGACTACGCGCGGATCCGATGGCCTCGCTCTGAGCTCGCGCAACGTGTACCTCGGCCCGCGGCGCCGGGCCGTGGCCGTCGTCCTGCCCGGCGCGCTGCACACCGCCGAGGCCATGTATAAGTCTGCTGGGCGCCGCGACCGGGATAGCATCCTGGGTGCCGCACACAACTTCGTCGCGGCCGTGGCACAGGTGCAGGCCGACCTGCCCCCAGAGGAGCGTGTTTCGTTTGAGCTTGACTACCTTTCGCTCGCGGACCCGGAGACGATGCAAGAGATAGATGAGGTGGACCCTGCTCGCGGCGCTGTGCTGAGCGGTGCCGTCAAGATGTTGCCCGTGGAAAAACCGCGTGAAGGCGAGGATCTGGGACACAGTGGAGGCCCAGCGGTGCGGTTGATTGACAACATCATCCTCCCGCCCCAAGAGGCCAAGGATGAGTGAAACGAGGTTGATGAATTAAAAAAAGAAAATACCCCGAGCAGGATAGACCTGTTTAAGGATAATGAGACAATATATAAAAAGGAGATGGGCCGGTCATAAAAAAAGGTCGTGTATACCTGGGACTATATAGCATATATGTGTGTATATGGCATGGCGTTGCAAGACATGGTGTCGAACAACCCCAATACTCAATTCTACGGGTTCCATGGAGGCGAACCACTACCGCATGCATTGTACAAAAAAAAAAAAAGACTCGCTGCTAAATGCATAGAAATTGTACAAGTTCTAGCCCACGCTGCTTTCCACCTCACAGACGTGCTCTTCCTCCCATCTGTTCTCTCTTCCTCTTTGCATCCCTGACACTCTTGCCCAGAGCTTCCTTCTCTTCACGATTCAACCGGCTGGGCACCTTGCCTTTGCCACTCCGCTCTGCCTCAGCCGCCTCCTCGAACAACTTCTGGCCCAGTTCATCCGTAAGCCGCAGTACGCGACTGCTAACAGTGGCGCCGTCACGACGGTTCTTGCCCTCTCGGCGGGACTTGGCAATCTTCTCTGTAAAGTCCCATAGTTTGCCCTCAGCTAGGAGGGCACCGGTCTGAGAGTCGCGGGACGGTCGCCATGATGCATCGAGTTGGATGCGAGGAGGGATCTTGAAACCCTTGGATTTGACCACATGAAGAAGTTGATCTTGCTCGAAGCGCAAATATGAGTTCTTGAGGGTTTCTTTGTTGACGGCCTCGAAGTACGAGAGATCCCCCTGATGGTAGAGTGTTTTGCCAAGCTGGAAGGGAGTCGTGTTAGCTTCATTAAAGACAAGTGCCATCGGAATAGAGCTGCTTACCAGTTGGGCGCTGTTGTGCGCTTTGCCCTGCTCGATCCATATCTCCCCATTCTGGCCCGCCGGCGGGGTCAGTCCCATGAGCGAAACAGCAGCCAGCCAGCTCGATTCGATAAATGGCCAGATGAGGAAGCAGTAGAAATCGTAGTTTTCTCTTCCCGCTTTTCTCTCCTCATCTGAAATCCCAACCACGGTAATTTTACCCTCGCTGTCACGGTCCAGACGGACGACGTTGTCCGTCTCGAGTCCGCGCAATGTCTTGTCAAGGTTGACATCGAGACCTTCGCTGGAGAAGATGAACTCGCCGCGGAACAAGGACGACAAAAAGAGGACCTGTGCCTTGAGTTCCTCAAACTTGATATCTTGCATATGCGGCGCACCACCTTGCTTCACCTTTGTATACATAGCCACGCTGACGAGGGCTTCGTAGATGAACAGATGGATCGTCATGTTGCGGTAGAAGGATAGCTGGAAGCGGTCGACAGCATAGTATGTAGGCTCCGCAAGCCCATCAACAACACCAACCAGCTCCTTGCCAAGGACCTCGAGACCCCGATCGATAATATCGGAAAGTGGTGCGTTGCCGAAGTGAGCAACCCGGCCACCCTTGGCGCGGACACGCTCAGTGAGCCAGGAGACGCGGCGGTTTAATTCCTGCTTGCCGACACCACGGCCACGCAATGTTAAGAGAACCGTGCCGATGAGCGCCGTGGGCATGACGACAGAAACGTCGTTGATGTCACTCAGAACCTTGTAACCCATCGTTCGCAGAATCTTCTCACGCAAGGCTCGTATCTCCGGCCGATGATGCTCAGTGTCGAGACCCGCAGGTACACTAGGTAGTTTCGACAGCTGCTCATCAATGAACTGCCTCAGACTCCAGGGCTCGTGAAAACGGACATCCACGCGTCCCAGTCGTAGCGACAACACAGAAGAACCTCCGGTGAGGAAGTCGGCCAAGTTTTCCTTCTTCTTTGGCATTCCCAGGAGCTCGGTCACGTAGCCCTCTGTCTCAATGACCTTGTCATACTGAGTGCTGACGGGGCAGATGATGGCGTCCTCAACCCGGCCCGACAGGATGCTATCAAGAACGAAACTGAGAATGCCGAATTTGGGAGGAAGGAGTTTTCCGGTTCGTGAGCGTCCTCCCTCAATGAAGCACTCGAAATTGTATCCTTCCTGTAACATTGTATCAATGTACGACTGCACTAACGTCGTATACAGGACATCGTCTCCAAAGGCCCTGCGGATCCACATGGCGCCTGCATGTTGAAGAAAGCTGCCTAGGACCGGGATATTCAGGTTATCCCCTGCCACGACGACGGGCAGTGTTAGGCCTAACCGGTAACATATGAGTTGTAATGAGACGTAGTCGACATGTGATCGATGGCTCGGCAGAAATATGATACTTTGCTTCTTCTTGGCCGCGACCTCGGCTACCTTTCGCAGTCTCAAGACTTCTTCGCTGGAGACGTGGATTCCCTGGTGGTAGGCTCTTGTCAACAGCTGCGTAGCCAGGTAGTATGCACCGCGGATGAATGTTTTGCTCTCCATTTTGCAGATCATATCATCAATCATCTTTTCAGCTAGCTGCTGCAGGCCAGTCTCGATAGCATTAAGTCGCTGCGCCCGCTTGATGAGGTAGTCTTTGCCGTCCTTGGGTAGCATGCCCTCTCTTTCCTCAACGGTGACGCGGTGCTCGGCGAGCTGGGTAATGCGCTGCTGCAGGAGAGGCGCAGATAACACCATGGACGTCATGTTTTCTGAGAAACCTGGGTAGAAGACGGGCTGGCCAATGACGCGATCGTAGGCTCGCCACCCCTGACCAGAGACGTAGAGGGAGACCTCGCGGAGGAACCTGGAGTCAATTGTCTTGTTAGCGGACATGTCGAGGGAATTGGAGGCCGCGAAACTTCGCACGAGAAGAGGGGGACATCACTGGAAAGGTTCAGCGCGGAACGAGGCAAACTTATCCATCAATGCCTCCTCCTTTTCCTCTGGCGCCTCCCTGGCTGGTGGCTCGACATAGCCGCTGGGCTGGAGAGTGACCTCGTCGCCTAGAATCTGGAGATCGGGAGCGGAGCCTTGGGGCAACGAATCGCCGGCGTCGTCATTTGGGCTTCGCGCCATGACTGGAGATGGTTCCCTCGTCTGAGCGTCTCAAGATCTGAAGGTCTCAATGCGTCCGGGTCTCGGGCCGAGGGAAGGTGGTTCGACAGTCAGATGCTTCGCTCCTTCTCAGCAACACCATAGCAATAATCGCATGGAAAGACAGCGCGTCACGAGATATCACGAGTCAGAAATGACCAGGCACGGTCCAAGTTTCGCGTGTTTGGGCCTCTGGGCGAGTGCGACAAGGACATGACATGGAGTTGAGATCGCGAGGTGGGGCTGGCTGCTGGCCAAGTTATGCGGAGCGGGTCACCTTCCATAATCGCGGCAGTGGCAAGTGGCATGTGAACACTGAAGGAGCTTGGACCACGTGCAACTTTCCGGGGTAAAAAAACAGCCATGTCGGTCTGTTGCGCAGCGCGCAGGCAGGCATGGATCAGTATTTCTCCACCGAAGAAATCGCATCACAATCATCATCGGCAACTTTTTATTTTTATTTTTACCTGCGATACCAACACCAACACCACGATTCCCTTCGCCCACGCCGGCTCCTACAATGTCTATCTCAGCGCAAAAGACCACCCAGGACCTGCTGGCCAGGGCCCATTCCCCCGACAGCGTCAACCGCATCTATTCCGAAAAGATCCAGCACCGCTCGCTCATCCTCCGCCCGACGTCACCCCCACCAGTAACCATCAACGCCCGCGCCGCCCGCAGAAAAACTCGACAAGATAAGAAGGCCAAGCAAAAACAGCGGCCGAAACCTCTTTCCTCGCGCGAGCGCCGCGACTTGGGCCTCTATACCATCCGGAAGGAAGACCAGAAGTACGAAATCTACGAGCCGCTGAATCAGCTCTGGTTGGGGTACGCTCGTGAGCTGCTGGGAAATGATGTCTACATTGGTGGCCCGGGTGCCGCTGCAAAGCTGACAAGTGCGGAGTTCCATGGCGCTGCTGTTGAGGTCGTGAGGAGTCGCTGCTCCGGCAGAGTTGGCATCCAAGGCATAGTGGTGCGCGATCGCAAATTCGTCATCGAGGTGATTACAAAAAAAAGAGGGCTGAAGATGGTACCAAAGGAGGGCACCGTCTTTCGGGTCGAGATACCGGTTGAGGATAAGCCGGAGGTCGAGGGCAAGGGCGACAAAAAGTTCGTATTTGACGTGCTGGGTGACCAGATGATGCTACGATCCGCAGATCGTGCCAACAAGAAGTTCAAGGCACACTACCTGACTACAATTTGAATGGGCTGGCCTATCTTCAACATCCGGCAATTCCTGGAAACCATCGACTCGACATGCTCCACACAAGCTTCGGTCTCGACGTGGAAGATCAACAATGAGGTGTGACCTGGAATCATGTTAGGTTCACGTCAACCAGAAGAAAGCGGGGGTTTGGTTGCGGCACTCAATGCTGGAACCTAGATGCTATCTTCCAGTACTCCTCATAAGGTTTGCGACAGTCAAGGTGTCCTATCCAAAATGGTCCTGCGGACCCAGCTATAAATATGCGATCCCTCCGGAGCCCTCTTTTGCATATTTGGTTGCCATACTCTCAATCTTCGGACGGCGCAAAATGCCTTGGTATCCATGGGGATGGCCTCGCATGGGCCTCTACAGCTCTGGAAGAGATTACAGGATTCCGAAACACCTCATGGGGCCCATCGTCCGGACTTTCGTTACAATGATGTTTCTATCGACTGGAAACATCGTGTTTCCGATCTTTAATATCGGCGGTACCGTCGCGTCATGGCTTCTCTTCTCGATCAATTTGCTCTGGGTATGACATGCTTCCTAACTAAGGCTCGGCTACGGAACGGGACACGAATGCTAACATTTGGTGAAGATAATAGCTGCTACGGTTTGCATCTGTGTGGTCGGGAAGTTTCGCCTCTTCATCGGGGCATACGACCCGACTGTGCGCCTGTTTGCCTTGACAATGATGGCCGGTTGGTGGTGTCTTGCGGCGATCAATTTCACCTTTATGACGACTGCTATCTGCCGATGCTACCAGGGTGACAAATTGGATTATTGTGCTCTATTTGGCGTGGGCAACTCTGTGATAAGCGCTCCGCTTGTGATGAGGATATCCGATACCCAGTGGACACTGTTCTCGTGGATGGTATTGGTTTTGATGATGTGCGCAACATCTGTACCTGGGTGAGCACCAACAATATGTATTTGGACTAAGCAGCCAGCTGACAGAGGATAGCTGGGATTGGATGTATCAGCACTGGAGGATTCGGGAGCGCATCAGGCTCTCGCTGGAACCTCGCTAGAAAACGGCATGCTTGCACATGTTTGAGGATGAGATGACTGCGTCCCTTGCATATGGCTAGAAATGATCACAGCGGGTGATGTACACAAGCGGTTTGTGGCAACTGCGTTGGTGCCATCCCAGTCGTAGTCCTCGTCATGGGCCCCTGCGTGGCCTTGTTTGGTTGGTGGCAAGCGAGGAGCAGCTTGGTGCAGTTCCTGTAGGTGGTCGAGACCAACAATGGGAACAACAATAGGAGCACAATAGGGGCAACAATTAGGATGGTTTCGGTGGCCACCTGAGTCATGAAATAACAACCGTGTCTCTATGCACACGTATGTCTGTTTGCCTGCGTAGGCGGTTTGCTTTTTCGAGTTGAAGATCGATTCCCCTGAACTATTGATTACATGCATTTCGTGGCTGAAGTATTCAAGCCAAGCCCTTCCTCTGAGCTCAGTGCCTTGAATGGCGACGCGTCGTGATAGGTAGGCAGGCAATGAAGCATTGCTTTTCCTGGGGCACGTGACTAAAGTAAGCGTCACGAAGTGGCACGGTACATAGCTCCATGTAGATTGAATGCTGAGACGTGTCAAACCTGGGGAAACATATCCGGCCCTTTTAGTTGTTCGACGAATTTCAACAATACCCGAACAACAGGGAAAGCCCAGTCAACCACGTAAGTATGCGTGTGATGTGCATCCCTTACAAGGGCAGACAAACACCAGGGTTGGATACACAGGCACAGTCAGAGCGAACCCGCAGTGACGCACACACAACATTGACAGTCAAATGTCCCCATTTTGTTAGGATTCAGCCCTCGTCCCAAGGAAAGAACCTTGTCCCGACAAGGGAGAATTATGGAGGTGCAGGCGCGGCTAAAGCCCGGGATGCGCCCCTTCCGGCCTAGCGCTACGGCACCTGACGGGCAGCTGGCCACTGACGAGCCGCTGAAGACACGGTCGACCACTAAAAACATTGGACACGTCTGGGACAATCGATGGCAATAGCAGAGGGCGTAATGACCGCCTCAGTGGGACACTCACAGACCCTAGCGGAGAGGCCGCTGAAACTGGCCGCCGCCGCCCACTGAATGGGTTGGACGGGGCGCTGTGGCCACTGAGCTGGGGCCAAACGAGGGGAGGAACTGGCTAGAACCAACCAACCAGACGCTCCCGGTTCTGGAAGGAGGTACCTGGAGGCGTGGACAGGTACCTGAGCCTAGGTACCCTACCACTGAGAGAGTCAGAGAAGACTCCAATTTTCCCTTTTCCCAATGCTTTGATTTTTTTCCACGTCAAAGTCACCACCACAATCGAACAACGTTTTAACATCACCACGCCCAAAACAGCCTTTTTCCACGCTCCTCGCCGGACCCCCGATCAAGACAACACTCTTCCTTCCACCGACCACCGTCGCACTCCCGAGCCCGATTATTCGTCTCAGCTTCAACCAATACGCTTACACGTCGCTTTGCTTTCGCATAATTCGAAAGTAACCCTACGCACGATCCGCCCGTTTGTGTTGTGCCTTTGTGTCTCCAGGTTGCCTTGCGATCGAGTCAGTCCAGTTCCCTCTCCTCGTCCGCCAACGCAACCCCCAAGCCAACCGCAGAACCGACAGACAGATAGCCAAGGCGATTTCGAGCATTTGTACGTCATCCATTGAGTGCGCAAGATCCCGTCTCTTCGTACCCGACTCTTCGCCCCGGACGATACGTGAAACCGCCCCGCGTATCCCAACGTCGTCCTCGCCCGCGACATCACCACAACACTAACACTCGCGCTGCTGCAGCTACTCAGAGTGTCCGCCCACTATGCCGTCCAATCTTCCTTCGAGCTTCGCCTCGGCTGCCGCTGGCCAGAACACCAACCGCGATTCTAGAGGTGGGAGAGCTGATGGGAGGGGAGCTAATAGCGGAGACTGGTGAGTGGCCACTCCCTTTTTTTCATGTCTTGTGGATCGTTTCGTCCACCGCTGCTGTGCTGCTCTGTCGTATTCCGTACTCCCTTTGTGCGGTGTATGGCGCTCGAGTTTTGTTGTGTGCAGCGTTGGGTGGGATTTTCGTGATGCCGTGTTTGGACAGCCTCGAGACTCGTTTACCGCCAACCCTTTGTGCCTGGCCGATCTTCATGCGTTAGTTCACGGATGCGGGCCCTCGGCCTCGGCAGCGCTTACACGTCATGTCTCTCGGCATCCGACTCGAGGCCACCAACTTTGCTTTGTCCTCTTCACGTTGTGCACACATTGACTGCAGAATACCCTGTACTAACCCGTATTCTCTTACAGGGCGAGACGAGATGGACGTTCGACTAACGGTACCCTTACCTTCCGCCGATCATCTACCACTCCCTTGGGTCAACCCTCCTCACAGCCGCCTACTTCGATCGACCATGCCGTTCAATTTCTTGCCGGTGTCGAGACGTCTATGGCACAGCCCTTGACCCAAGAGTTAGGCCCTGCACGCTATACAAAGGACGACCTGCTCGACATGTTCCGCCCGCAAAAAGGCCATGACACCTCGTCTCGACTGTTTATTCCGGGCTGGAATCCGGGCCACGTCAATGGCCACCCTCCTAGAGGCTGGGGAAAGACCAACGATAACTACATCCCGCAGGAACCTGGCGCCTGCTGGGATCAGATTGGGGATAGCACCCCGATGGGACTGCAGGACTTGTCGTTAGAGGAGAAAGAGGTGCGCTCGCAAACATTCAAGCTGAAATCCTTTGCTGACAGCTGGCAGGCATTTTCTACAGAAATTAACTCTCCTCTCAAGCCCCCGACCCAGAACAAAGAAGCCCACCAGGGCAATGCCAACGGTCGAAAGGCCTCACTTTCCCAAGGAGCTCCCGCTGCCTTTGGTGTGAGCTCACCTTCATCCGCCACCAGACCTGGGACCCGTCGACGCGAGACGCTCGACTCGAACCCCTTCAGCGCTAGCGCCATGGCCTCGCCCACCGCTGGCCGATTCTCTCGAGACGACCCTGCGTACTGGTTCCCGCGCAAGAATACCGACCTGAAGGAGACGGAGCCGGACGACTCTGATACGGAGCTGGGCCCTCGTGATGGATCTGCAAAGCTGCCTCCATTTGGCAACCTGATTCGGTCCAACACTGGCGGAATCGGTAGCATGGGGGGTTCTATGTGGCCACCTTCGGCCCAGGGCCCACCAACGCCCAGCACAGCTGGTGGCTTCGGAAACTTCGCCATGCCCTCCTCATCCGCCGTTGGCGACAAGCGTGTCGGTGCACCGGGTGGGGGAAGTCGCCTAGCCCATCTGATGCCCAAGGATAGCTCCGAGAATATTGGTCCCAAGGGCCCCGATAGCCCTAACCCGCTCAACCAGCAGTCTTGGAGGTCTCGCCCTCGTACCGACACCGACCCCTTTGGTGAGGATAACCTGTCTGGAAGCGCGGTTCTCGGAGGAGCACAGGATACCGACCCCGGTGCTCAGCACGGTAACCGGCCTGGGGCTCTCGGCACCCCAGTCAAGGGTTCTACCGGTGACTTTGGCATGTCGGGTCTCAACTTGGGAGACGACGGTCCAGTCAGCCCGTCCGAGACAAACCCTTACCGCAGCCCCCCCGCCGAGCGTCACGACCACGATGATGATGGCAGCGGCGATAGGCCCCATGGCACGAATCCTCATGACCAACCGTCCAACTTTGGCTCGATTTCCCGCGGCTTTGGTGGCGTTCCCTTCGATGGAAGCGACCGCAGCCAGACTTCTAGCGTTGGGGCCAAGGGATATCCGTCGTTGAGCACCCTCTCTGGTTGGCCCGCCCCTGCTGGTCAGTCGATCGGTACCCCGGATCGCGAACGCCCCAACCTCGGCAGCGCCTTTGGTAGCTCCCTGTTCAGTCCCATTGGCGAGCTTCAGTCCCCTGGTTTATCTGGCCTCAACAATGTGTTTGGTCCTGGTGGTCCTGGAGGGATGGGAACCGGCAGCATCAGTCGCGGAAGCAAGCTGGGCTCGCTGTTCCCCGCCGCCATGCAAGCTCAGATGCAATCCCATGAGCATGACAACAATCTGTCTGATTCCCTGCCTGATCTTCGACAGAGCAACCCCCTCGGAGCCATTGGCCGCGGTACCTTTGGCATTCCCTCTCGTGACACCGAAAGCCCAATGCGACCCAATCGCGGCGTGTTTGAGGAACTTTTCCCCTCGAGCAACCCTGGCCAATCTCATGGTATCTTCAGTACCGCAGAGCCGGGCCACCCCGGCGCCACCTCCACGGCACCTCAGTCTTTCACCCCTGTCGGTGGCGGCCTGCCTTTCGGTGGAAGCCAAGGCGGTGCGGAGCCACCTTCTGCCCAGGTTCGTCAGATGGTTATGCCCGACAGGATGCGATGGGTATACCTCGACCCCCAGGGACAGGTCCAAGGACCCTTCACTGGACTGGAGATGAATGACTGGTATAAAGCCAACTTCTTCACGCCTGACCTGCGAGTGAAGAAGGTTGAGGACCCTGAGTTTGAACCGTTGGGACAGCTCATTCGACGCATAGGCAACTCGCGTGAGCCGTTCCTGGTTCCTCAGATTGGCATTCCCCACGGCCCTCCCACGCAAGCTGGGCCTTTCTCCCCGACCAGTGCTGCTGGTGTGGTTCCTCCTCTGAGCGGCGTGTTCCCCAGCTTTGGACGAACCCTCACCGCCGAGGAGCAGAACAACCTTGAACGACGCAAGCAGGAAGAACAGTATCTCATGGTTCAGCAGCGCGAGTTCGTCATGCGCCAACAAGCCATGTCCAAGTTCCAGATGCAGGGCGGCCCATCTCTCCAGCACCATTCTAGCGCCCACAGCCTCCAAAGTCAGCCCAGCTTCGGCAGCATGACATCGCCCAATCCCATTGGAATGCCCCATCAGCAGCCCATTGGTGCTATGCCCCCTTCCGGATTCTTTGATGGTTCTCAGCCGGGCGCTTCGGGAAACGGGGACCCTTTCCGAGATGATGACTTGGCCAACTTTTCCGCAACTGAGCGCCAGGTGCTTGCGACTCTCCAGGGCGCCGCTGGCTTGGGCGCTCCCCAGCCCATCGGAGCCCCGGCCCTCGATGTCAACCTTCGCACCGGACTTCCCGAGACCGAGGAGCTCCAGGAGGACTCCGAGGGCTTCAAGGACCGTCTGAAGGAGTTTGAGGACCTCCGAGCGCAGCACGAGGCTGAGCAAGCCGCCAAGGCGGCCCAGGAGGCCGCCAGGACGGAGCTTGAGGAGGAGGGCACACCCGAATCCACTCCTAGTGACATCGAGCAGTCCCCCGAGCCACCTGTTCTCAGCAGCAAGGCCGCCAGGGCCGCCAAGAGGAAGGCCGCAGAGGATGCCCTCTCACTCACCCAGCAGGTCCAGCAGGCCCAGGCCCAGGCCCAGGCCGCTGCTGTCGCTGCCCAGATCGTGGAGCCCGGCATGCCTATGCCTTTCCCTCCTCCTCCCGCTTCATCGGGCACTCCTCTACCCGCCCCTACCGCTCAGCGTGCCCGATCCAACCTCCCCGACCAGTTTAACCGATCGCAGACGGGAACTCCTGACACCGCTGCATCTGGGCCACCACCTCTGGCCCCCTGGGCCAAGGATCCTGCCACCGACGGACCCAAGGGCCCCAGCCTGAAGGAGATCCAGGAAGCCGAGGCTCGCAAGGCTGCCAAGGCTGAAGAGGCCGCTGCCACGCTCCGAAAGGCAGTCCTAGAGCAGGAAGCTGCTGCCATTCGAGAGCGGGAGAAGTTTGCGGCTGCCAACAATGCCGGTCTCCCCGCTACTAGCACCTGGGGACACGGCTCTCCAGCCCCTTCTGGTAGCCCCTGGGCCAAGCCTGGTCCTTCCAAGGGCCCTGTCGCTGGCTCGGCTCCCCCCGCGACGTCTGCAAGCAAAAAGACACTGGCCGAGATCCAGCGCGAGGAAGAACTCCGCAAGCAGAAGGCCAAGGATGTTGTCGTCCAGTCTGGCGCCCCCATGGGCGTTTCCAAAAGCTATGCCATACTCGCTGGAAAGCCTGGTCAATCTCCTCTGACCAATGCCGCTTCGGCGGCTGCTGCTGCCGCCGCCGCCGCCGCTGGTCCCCCCCCTGGCAGCGGCTGGGCCACCGTTGGAGCCGGAGGTAAGGTCAAGGTCCCCACCGGTCCATCGACACCAGGCCGCTCTGTTAGCGCCGCTGGCATCAAGCCTGTGACTTCGCCTGTCAAGGCCATGTCGAAGCCTATGTCTCTCGTCTCCAGCGTTAAGGCCGATAGTGGTAGCACTGCCATGGACGAGTTCAACAAGTGGGTTCACCGGGAGCTGTCCCGTGGCATTATCGGTGTCAATGACAGTAAGTTTACTCTTAATTTGTTTTTATGAAAGACGCCATGGACTAACTAGCTCTCAGTTGCCACTTTCCAAGCCACCCTTGACGTCCTCCCCATGGACACTAGCCTAATCGCCGATGCTGTTTACGCCAACTCAACCACTATGGATGGCCGTCACTTTGCTGAGGAGTTTGTCCGACGCAAGAGACTTGCCGAGCGCGGCGTCATTGAAAAACAACCCACTGCCGCCGAGGCCAAGGCTAGCGCATCCGGCAGCGGCTGGAACGAGGTGGCCAAGAAGGGCGGCGCCAGCACTCAGCCCCGTGATGGCGAGGCGGGCATGCAGGCTGCTGGCTTTAAGGTGGTCCCTAGCCGTAAGAAGGGCAAGAAATAGAAGCAGTTGCCCTTTAACATATTGAAGGAGAGACGAGCGTGAGATGATGGATGTATGCTCGGTTCTTGTTTGCTCTCAGTTGGCCTCCTCGAACGTGTTGCGCAAGGATGGAACGAAGTTGGATGAAGGAAACGGTTTTGTATCATGATCGGATGCGATGAAGATGTGATGATGGTGTTGCAAAAGTTGCAAAGCGTTCGCAAGGACAGGTTCAAATTGGGAAGCGATGTACAATTACTATAATAGCGTGTAGGAGACATGTCCAAAGCGAGTGTGTACAACCAGCCTGCCAAGTCGTGAATACATGCGGATCCAAGAGATTCGTCCGTCTCCTTGTTACAATTATACGTCCATAAACTCGCGTGTTGGATTCCAGACATGATGCATTCATTCACATTCACTGTCTTTTTATCTATCCCATTGCAGCCATTCCCATTCCCCTGTCCATCATTCAGCATAAGTCCATAACCCATATCCGTCATAACGTCTCCCACATCACGAACTCTTCAGGTTCTCCATCAGTCCCTCCAACACGGTCCACCCATCGGAGCCCTCCCAGCTCTCCCGGCCCTTGCCCATGACACTCCGCACCGCAAGCCGGGCCTTGCCCTTCCACCTGGGCCCGATGGTCTCGACTTCCGGGCCCCAGTTCTCCAGCACCGACACCAGCGCATCGGTGCGCTCGACGACAACGGCCCACGCGCCGGCGTCGGCCGTCCAGTCCCGCGCCTCGTCCGCCGAAGTCGCCGCCGCGCCGGGGAGCAGTCCGCTGCCCGAAGACCCGATGGCCGCGCGCCAAGCCCGTTCGGCCGCCTCGATGGCGCCGACGTGGTCGCGACGCCAGCCGCGCAGGCGCGACACGAGCGCCCACAGCTCGGAGCGCTTGGTGATGAGCGGCACGATCTGCTCCTCGACGATGCGCGTAACGAGGCGCTCGTGCGAGCCGCGCGGGGGCTCGTAGATGTCGGTGCCGGCGGGCTTCTCCTTGGACAGCACCACGTCTTGCAGCAGGGCGCTGAGCACGTCGATGTCCAGGGCGTCCTCGGACTTGCGGATGAGGATGATGTGGCGCAGGGCGAGGACCATCTCCGCAATGGCCGGCGGGTGCATGCGCGCGGCGAGCGTGAGGACGTTGTCCCAGATGCGCCAGTTGGAGTGCGCGATGGAGGCGCCCTTCTTGTACGCTGCCAGGGCTTGGGCGAGGAGCGTGGCGGGATCGCGGCCAACATCCTTCTTCACGACCGTAGCGGCCATGTCATCCTCCTCGTCGTCCGCGAGAGCAACGGGCTCCGTCTTCTCAGGCTCCTGCTCCTGCGGCTTCGACGTCACCTCGACGTACAGACTCCACAGCGCACTGCCCAGGTTACTCCACGTCCGGGCATCCTCTCCTCCGGCCGTGTCGCTCGCGCAGCTGATGGAGCGGTTGAAGGCCGCAGCAGCATCGTCGAACTGGCCAAGCCGCAGGCTGATATCGCCGAGTCGGCTCCACATGTCGGGGCTCAGTCGGTTGACGGCCGTGGCCTTCTTGTAGGCGTCGCGCGCCTTCTCCAAGTCCTTGATCTGGAGGTAGTGCTCGGCGAGCGACTTTTGCGCGCGGGCGAAGCGGTGCTTGGAGATTTCCCACGCGCGTTCGTAGTGAGCCGGCTCGTTCTCGATCTCGCCCAGGATGCAGAACAGACGGGGGGCGTTGGGCGGCGGCGGATCACGCTCGGGGCCGGTATAGTCATCGGCCTTGAGATACATGACGTCCTCGCCGATGTTCTCGTCGTCGGTATCTGCCGACGCATCTGTTTCCCCAGTACGCTGGAACAGCCGCCATCGGACGATACCCTGTGCCTTGGCCTCGCCACCGCTCCCTCGGCCATCCTCATCCTCGGTAGCCTCGCTACTAGCGAGACAGAGCGCGACCTCAGCCCACAGGCGCAAACGCTTGAAGATTTCGAGAGCAGAGGTGAGAGAGCCAACGCCAGCCCAGGCGTAGGCGAGCTCGGACTCGAGGTGCCATCGGGGAGGAGACGAGAGGGCGTGGATGTACTGGAGGCGGATATGCGCCGGAGCAGACTCGGAGGCCTTGGGGGCAGGGAGGAAGGATGTAGGCTTAGACACGGTCTGGCCGGGAGCGCTGATCTGGATGACGGGCGTGTCAGTGTTGGCCTCTTCGGCATTTGTCTCCGGCTGGGCTTCAGATGTCGTGTCGGACATGACCTGGTCTGCTACGGCCTGCAACTGCAAGACGCCGCGCTCGATGGTCCTGCTGCGATGGATCTCTATCCGCGAGCGGACGAGCAGCGCCTGGGTGTAGATTTGCCAGTTGGTCGACTTGTCGCTTATGACACGCACGGCAAAGGGAAGGACCTCTTCCGAAGTCAGAGTGTCCGCTGGCGAGAATGCATCCTTGAGCGTGGCCTCGGTGAGGAGAATGATCTGGTCGATGGGGGATAGTTGGGGCTGGTCATCGGGTGCAAGGTCGGCTAGGGCCTCGGGGAGAACTGTCTTGGGGTCTTCACTCGCTTCTTTTTCCTTGGTAAAGTGAATCTCTTCGAGGAGAGTGTCGTTGTTTAGCGGTAGGGCGTCGGGCTTGGCGTCCTGCTCTTTGTCCTCGCCTTCAGCGGGTGACTCGACACCACTCTTTGCCAGGACGACGAGCTGACTCGTGCTCTTCTCCTGGAACTTGGTTCTCTTTCCAAGGGCGCCGGAGAGCGCGTACACCAGACCACTCGTCTGGCTGGCCTCCTTCAGGGCTTCCCGGGCCTTGTCGTCCCGGCCGAGGAGGATGTAGTTGTTGGCAGCCTCCACGAGGAACTGGACCTTGTCCTCGCGGCTCCAGGAGCCGTTGGCCGCCCACACCTCCTCGCTGAGGACTTGCGAGCGGACGACATCGATGCTGTCAAGGATCTGCGTGGCCAGGGTCGGCACGTCGCTCCACTGGGAACTGCGGGTGAAGTTGGACCCGGGGCCGAGACTCGGCTGCGTCAGGAGCTTGTAGTGCCACACGCAGACGCGGAGCCGCGTCCAGGCAAGGCTGTGCTTGAGCGCGCCCTCGTCGGAGGGGATCTCCACCACGTCGGCGGCCACGTCCTCCAGCGCCTGGGTGAGGATGAACTTGGCGAGGGCGAAGAGCTCCAGGTGCGGGATGTAAGCGTAGGGCGAGACGCCGTCGACTTCGAGGTCGCGGAGGCAGGCCTTGTGCAGCTGGTCGAGGGCGGCATCAGCGACTCCCGGCTGCGCGTCAGACCACGCTTGTGTCAGACGGGCATTGATGGCGGCGGCGTCGGTGAGGACAGGACCTGTGACGTTGACCTGGAGAAAGGCGTTGAGGGCGGCGAGCCCGACAGCAAAGGTCTGCGGTACATCCGCGACAGCAGCGGCGACGACATGACCAGCAGAGCCAGACGCAGAGGCAGCAAGACGCGCAGCAAAGGCCTGCATCAGGCCCGCCGAGACCGGGGCCGGGGTCGGGGCCGGAGCCGGGGCATCTGTGGTCGCCTCTGCGGCCGGGGTGGAGGCGGCGGCCGAGAGGAGGACGGAGGCGTAGTGCCCGGTGCGCAGGGCTGTGCCACACCGACGGGCGGCGTCCGGAGGTGTGGACATGTTGCGTGTGTTAATGTGGTTAATTTGTTAAAACTTGCTTCTCTTAGAACCGTCAACCCAACAACACACTGGGCTCTGTGGCCAAGGGCCGGTGCGGAGCAGGCTGCGTCTTCGAGTTCTCGTCCCCCCGTGGATCCAGGCGTCGGTCCGTCTCTGGGCGTCTGGTCGCGGGCGAGAGTCTGCGCACGTAATGTATGTATGTGTGTTGTGCGTTCTTTTGTGCGAGAGTGTGCGCTTGTGCGTTGGGCTCGTCTAGATTTTCACGCCCGTCTCCGCTACGCCGCGCGCCGAAGCGTGTGGCAGCGCTGAAGGCGACCACCCAAATCCAACGCCTTCTACCACGTCGCCAGCGGATCCCCCGGTCCCGAAAACTGGCCCAGGGCTCCGGCGTCAGATTTATTGAACGGCTCCCCGGGGGGGGATGACGGATGGCGCATTTCCTCGACGGGGCCCGTCCTTTTATTCATCACGTAATGGCTCTCGCCTTCTCCATAGATCTGGCTTTAGATCCGTGTCGTGGGCTTAGGCTTGGTCCGTTCACCGTCCCGTCCCCTGGTGATGTCGTCTAAAACTGTCCATCCGGCCGTCGCTGACGTTGATGGCTCGCCGTGGGTCACGATATTGCGTTTTCGGGACGGAATTCTATCCAAGACGTGCTCGTCGTGGCTCAAGTTAGGCCCTGGAACAGAGAGGCCGGTTAGCGCCCAAGAAAATCTCCTTCTGCCCTGCCAGGCTTAACGAATAAGCTAGACGACAAGGGCTGCGCTCGTCATCAGTAATTCACGCTTTGTTTCTGGTGCCTCCAAACTCATTCTGCCTGTTAGTGCAGATATGTCTCGGTTGGCCTTACAACCAAGGACTCTCAACAATGCACTTCCGAGCACAAAGATCAAAATGAAAGTGTGAACAATAAAGCGTACGCACGAGTCAACCCTCGGCAGAGAGACAACCTTCCTCGTAAGCCCATATGCCCTGCAACACCTAAAAATCGGCTGCTGCTCCAACTGTCAGAAATGGCATTGACGTCTTTTGCGGGGTCGCCTCCTAAACCTTGCTGTTGAGATGAAGGTTTCTCACTTTTCGCCTCTTTTTTGACTTCTCTCCCAATCCTCGGTCCATCTCAGACCCCCGTCAGCAACCCAATGCTACGTTTCCCCCCTGTGGATCCGAGGGTGACAATCGCCTGATGCACCGTGTGTTCGCCTACGCTCGCTCGCGGGCCAATGTCCGGTGAGATGGGGCGCTGCTCTGGGGTCCGTCGTCCGTTCAGAAACGTCGTCTGCTGCGGCCGCATGGTCCGCCTGGTCTGGCAGAACAAGGCTCTGGCCTCCCAATCACACTTATTATCCTGTCAGACTCTGCGCTGAGCCTAGACCACCATCGACTTGAGTAGATTGCCACGGACAGGGTGTAAGCTTGACGACTTGGGTCGCCATCAGTTGATAGGACGCTGACGACAAAGTGGAGGATGTAGTCCGTACGAAGTACAGTCCGCCCAGGTACTGGTAATTAGTTGCAACGTTAGGGGAACGGGCTGCAGAAACCATCTCAAACGTACCAATGGGGCGGCGGGACGGTTTTTGGGACACAATTCCGTGACAAATGCCAACGTCCTACTACGTAGTAGACCGTCTCCGACTCCCGTCCATGACAGTCGATCTGCTACTTCATTACCTTCATGATTACTTCGTTAAACGCCATGCATCAGAGCCTCGCCACCAGTGGCGTTCATGTTGGCTCTTTTGCAGTGGCACGTAGCCCTGTTCGTACTCCGTGTAGAGTAGTCAGTCTGTCGCAGAACATGGCGCCGCGTTAGCGAGCTACGATACGAAAAACAGGCTGCTCACCCTCAGCCTTTGTCTCTGACCACCTAGGCAAGCCTGGCCCGCAACTGCAGACTAGCCTCATCCATGCATAATGTCTATCCCACGGGCCATGGATCTTGAAGCTTAAGGACCAAGCAAACAACCCATTTTGCAGCTGCATGGATCAATAGACAACCAGGCTGCGGCGCCATCGTCAATCTGGGCCTTTGATGGCTCTGCCGTCTAGTTGGGACCTGATTGCCCAAACCGTGCCTACCAGGGTATGAGGCCAGTCCGGTGCCCCATGCCTGAGACAGAGTCGTAACATTCGAGACGCCGGGTATCGCTGGATTACCTCCCCTGTTGTGCCATCGATGAGCACGTGAGGGAGACCTGGTCTTTTGGGTAACTCCATGATGAAGCCGTAATGGACGGGGAACTGGAACAGGTTGCAGTACCACGGGGCTCACGGCACAACGCCGATGGAGCTAGACCCTGCGGGGAACGATGAAAATTCCGTCAAGTGGAGCCCGTCTTGGATCCTGGCCCAAACTACGAGCAATTTCTCGACGTTCACGACGGATCATTGGATCCATTGCCGGACGGTTTTGCTGCTGTTGTGTGGACGAACATGGGTAAAAGTGTGCTAGTGGATGGAAGGTGGAGTAATGTGGATGCTGAAGGTCAGGAAAGCAAAGTGAACTTGGTGCCTGAGGAAACATACCTAAGCAGAAGACTCTCCCCAGCCTCAGGCACCCGCTTGGGACGGCGAAAGCCCAAGGCCACACCAACTACAACCACACCAACATCCTGGTGGTGTCTGATGATCGACATGGCTTACCCATGAGACGGGTCAACGGACTCTGTTGGGCTTAGGGCCTGGATGGATGTTGGATGGGCGGACGGCACAATGCTCAGACTGCCGTTCTCGAACATCTCTACATTCAGGTGCCGGGGAATATGTGAGTGTTGCACACGGGCAGCACAAGCGTGTAAGTCTCACAGAGCCGACGGGAGTTAGTGACGTCGCCGAGAGTTGCGCCAAGGCTTATGGCGCCGCGGGAATTGGATGGTTTTTACGGAGCAGCTGTGAGGGCCCGGTGGAGACTTTTGCTTGGCAGCTGAGTGTACATCGTAGCCTGGTACCTACCTAGGCCCCGTGGCTTCTTCCCATTGTCCTCGGTGCAAGGAAAGATAGTTGAAGACAATTGCAAAATAGAGGCAGCTTCAAAGCGAGCAGAAGGTGAAAGCCGACGTATGGAAACCTATTCAGCGGTAGCGAGATAATTGATTGGCCAGGATTGCCAGATATAGGTGGCGAGACAAGAAACGGGAAATGGAGCCGGTCAGTCTGGGGTTGGCGGGAGCCGATAGCATAACATTTCCGTGTTGAGGAAGAGCAGACGAACGACTTGTAGACCGAGAACGGACCTCGCTGTGCACGGGAATATCTCGGTGAGCCTCCCAATGTTGCGCCCCTTTTCCTACCTAGCTTCAATCCTAATTCCTTCCATCTCTGCCGTTCTTCCAACGTTGATTGACTCCATACCCGTCGTGTTTTATGGCGGCGATCACTCCAACTCGGGGGGGCACGCGACACCATTGCCAGATCCTGCCGGTAGGTACTCTGTGCCCAGGACCGCATCGCCGGGACTGCCCTGATCTCACGAGTACGAGGTACCCAGCTCACCTCGCATTCTCTTACGTTTACAATGTATCCATACAAGGCCTTCACTCCAAGGGAAAAAATATCCGGTCCTCCTGGCGTCGGCCTGGTCGTTTTCCTAGCCCGCCTGTTGTTTCTCTGACGAATCGGGCAGGTGGTGGAAATGCTCGACTATGACGTCATACTACCTCCCATCCTCTTTTTTCTCTTCCACCTCCTTGCACATTCTGGAGCCAAACTCCAAAACGAACCAAACAAACCATCGCCCGAATCCCTTGGCGTCCTTTCAGCCAACAAAACGAACGCCGGAACCCTTGCGTACATGAACATGTGCATGTGCGCATGGTACCACTCCCCGGGCTAAATCACCAGCCTGGCCCTTGCCATGGGGGATCTGGTTGGCCCAGAGTGGGGAAGCAAACATCCAGGATGGCTAGGCTCCCAGATAGCCCACTGCGCACGGAGGAGGTTATTTTGTACCTGGTACCAGGTCGTCCCCAGAGGCTACAGCGGCCTTTCAGTGAAAGATGAGGGGGCCTCCAGCTTGCGCTAAAGCACTCCAGGGCATTAAACAGCGGTCGGAGCCACTGGAGCTCCGTGACAGCTGCTGCATCCCAGGACGAACTCGGGCTCTCTTCAGGGGACTCCACGGGGCACTTTCAACGGGTGGAGGAGGCACAGTGAGCAGCTGGTATGGATACCTCCCACTTCCGCTCGTGGCGTCATCACTATCTCGAATCTACAGTAGCTCGCCACACCCGGCGGCGGGAGCCTCAAGAAAGTGCCTCTTGTGGCAATAATTCCAGCCTGGACGAATGGTCAAGAGCCTTCTCCAACTTGAACTGACTCAATTCGGGCCCATTGCCTCCCACCACAACCAGGGCACGACAGGCGGCATGACAGGGCCAACAGCCCTCAGCAGCAGGGGGGTTCATCGTCAGCCAACCAGCCGGTGAGGATTGGAAGGACGACTCAAGACGAAAGAGGGACCAGAAAGAGAGACAACGTGAGGGGGGCTTGCCAAGTTACACCCCTCCTCCAGGGCATGGGCCTCCAGGACGCCTCCGTGTGTAGCAGGGGTCTGTCTCCATCTCCATGGGGGTCTCCATCTCATCATGGATCATGGTCTCTCGGCCAGTGTCATGGTACGAATGAGCGCTACATCGTGTCTATGTCGCGTCTACGGAGTACAGAGGCATGGGCTGGGTGGGCGGCAAGGCTCTAACACGAATACCCTTGGCTAAAACTCGTTACATTTAATTGGTTGGCCCAGGCCGAGCCCAGCGTCGTGACAGGACTGGACAGGAAAGCTGAAGCATGACAGTACATGTTTGTCATAATCAAAAGATGGCTGAACTGGGCTGAGCTGAGCTGAACCCTTTACCGCATATTCTGTGGCAATGGAAAGAATTGACGAGAACACATTCTGCAACTACTGGTAGTGGAGTTGGCGAAGCTGTTGTTGGAGGCGGAAGACGGCTAGTCAGAGATAAACAGATAACAAAGCGATAAGAGCATCTAGAAGGACTACTCCGTAACTACCTTATGGACAACATCGTGTATGTCAAAGCTCCAACTATTGGCATTTCTCTTCCCGACCATCAACTCTTGATAGGGACGACGACGCTCGGAGCGCACGAGGCTCGCTTCCATGGCACGCCCTGGAGCGTCAGCAAAAGATAAGTGACACCGAAGGACAACGGCCCAGCGCCAAGACTCATATCACACACATCGCCGTCATGGGCCCAGAACAATCCCGCCTCTCCTCCCCGGAGAGTGGACCTGGATACCAACTTAACGCAGCAAGCAACGCAAATCCGCCGCGGCCATGTCCAGGGTACAAGCCACATTCGGATGCAAAAGAAGCTCCTCCCCAAACTACGACGTAGTACCTTGCGACAAAGTACCCCGTCTAGCGCCGTCGCCGCCGGTGGGTACCTCTGCCGCACGTAGCCCGAAACGAGGGAATGAAAGGCACCGCGGTGTCTCCACACCCGCCCTCTGCTCTTGCCTGTCCCACTTCTCCCCAATCGCAATCGCACTGGCTCTGCTACGGAGCACCTACCTTGCCTCCGCGCGAGAAGGCGTGGTACGGCGTACTACGTACAGGAGATCAGCATGGCAAGGCAGGGTAAGGTAAGGTAAGGTGGGAAGGAACTGGCTGGGTTGCACTTGCTCGTCCACCCATGCGATATTTTACTTATTATCCTCGATGTCGCCCATCCCAAAGCTCAGTCTTTCCTCTCCGTCTACCCTTTCCTCCTCCCCAACCTTGTTTCTCTTTCACCTCACCCTTCTTCCAATTCAGGTCCGATCTGCTTGCTTGACTGCTTGCAGCGTCCTGTTCAATTGGATTTGATTCAAGCTTCGCCTCTTGACCGGACTCGATTCGCTTCGATTCCCACCAGTTGGCCGCGTCCCGCTTTCTCCTCCCCCTCCAACTCGGTCGCAACTCGACAATCGCCCTTCGACAACACACAACCAGTGATTCCCTCCCCACTTGCCTGACAAGATGGCGTCCGACGAGGAGAAGTCGCCCAAGTTCGACGCTGCCCCTGGCAGTCCCGACCTCATCGCTGGGCAAGCCCGCGACAACGCGGATGGCCTCCATCGCCTTCTCAACAACCGACAGATCCAGCTGATCGCCGTTGGTGGCTCCATTGGTACCGCGCTCTTCGTGAGTATCGGTGGTGGCCTCGCCAAGGGCGGTCCTGGAAGCTTGTTCATCGCTTACACCATGTACTCTCTGGTCCTCGCCCTCGTCAACAACAGCATCGCTGAGATGAGCACCTTCATGCCCGTCTCCGGTGGATTCATCCGTCTCGCCGGCCACTGGGTCGACGAGGCGCTTGGCTTCACTGCTGGCTGGAACTTCTTCTTCTACGAGGCTATCCTGATCCCCTTTGAGATCACGGCCCTGAACCTGGTGCTCTCCTTCTGGAACAGTGACATTACCAACCCTGGCCCCACGGCTGGCGTTTGCGCCGGTGTCATTATTTGCTACGCGTAAGAACCTGAATCTCAGGATGCATCCCACCTTTTCTTTGTCTTCGACGTGCCGTTGCTGTGCTCTCCGCGACTTCCCCCGGCCGTCGTCTCTGGGAATTGCTCCTCCCCTCCCTGTGAAAGACAAGATCGCATGCTAAACTCTGTCCGTGTGAATGTAGTGCTCTAAACATCTTGGCTGTCCGTGGCTACGGTGAGGCCGAGTTCTGGCTCTCCGGCGGCAAGGTCATTTTGATCCTGATCCTCTTCTGCTTTACCTTCATCACCATGGTTGGTGGCAACCCCGACAAGGACGCATACGGTTTCCGCTACTGGCAGACCCCCGGTGCGTTTGCGGAATGGAACCACACGGGCGACCTCGGCCGCTTCGAGGGCTTCCTCGCTGCCCTCTGGAGCGCCGGCTTCACCGTTGTCGGTCCTGAATACATCTCCATGGTGGCTGCCGAGGCCAAGCGCCCCAGCATCTTCATCAAGGCTGCTTTCAAGACGGTCTACTACCGTTTCTGCTTCTTCTTCATCGTCGGATCTCTTGCTGTGGGCATCGTCGTTCCCTGGAATGATAAGACTCTCACTGGCATCTACCGTGACGGCGAAATCGCTGGTGGCACCGCCGCTGCCTCGCCCTATGTCATCGCCATGGAGAACTTGGGCATTGGCGTTCTCCCCCACATTGTCAACGCCCTGATGCTCACCTCCATCTTCTCAGCCGGTAACACTTACACTTACTGCGCCACCCGATCCCTGTACTCACTGGCTCTCGAGGGCCGTGCTCCCGCCTTCCTCCGAAAGTGCACTGCCAAGGGTGTGCCCATCTACTGCTTCTGCGTCGTCATGCTGTTCCCCTTCCTGTCCTTCCTGCAGCTCAGCAACAGCTCGGCCAAGGTGCTTACCTGGCTCATCAACATCATGACGGCCGGTGGTCTTATCAACTACCTCATCATGTCCATCACCTTCCTCCAGTACTACAGGGCCTGCCAGGCTCAGGGCTTCGACCGCAAGACTCTACCGTACTTTGGTTACTTCCAGCCTTACGGCACTTACATTGCTCTGGCCTTCCAGACCATTATGGTCATCTTCTACGGTTACGCCTCCTTCACTCCCTGGAGTGTTGAGAACTTCTTCTCCAACTACACCATGCAGCTCGTGGCCCCCTGCCTCTTTGTCGCCTGGAAGGTTCTCAAGCGCACTACCTGGAAGAAGCCCCTTGACGTTGACCTGGTTTGGGAGCGCCCCCTCATTGATGCCTACGAGGCCACCTTCACTGAGCCTGCTGTGGGATTCTGGACTGAGATGGGTCAGCTGGTTGGACTAAGGCGAAAGAAGCAGGCGTCTATTAGCGCATAGATGGTGGATTCGCACGCTTACTTGAAATAGTTTATTGCATAGCTTGAGATGTACTCAATATACGCACATGTTGTCATGACAATGTTATTGGAGCGTCTAGTGAGATAGTTGATGAGATTATACCCAAGATAGAAGACGACGTTTCTCAATTTGTCAATGCACATCAATGTCCGTTCCAACGCCTCCCCCGTGAGTGAAGCGTCTCCCCATAACGTAGCGAATAAAGACGTCTGTCGTAGTCATCCGTCTTATGACAAGGCATGACATCTACCCATGCAACAGCGTCAGCAATAGCTTTGTCGATTGGAGATAGACCCATGCCATCATTCTCGCACTACGGTCTCGCCGATGCAGGGTGATAGTGTACCCCGGAACTGATAAGAGCTTGAGGCTTGTCACACGCTCCGGGGGTAAACTGCACCCGCATCCGCATTGGTATCTCTCATCGAAATGCTCCATGCAGACTAGCCCAATCGCCCGGGCACCTTCTGATGGTAAACCTAACAATTAAGCTAGCCAATCCATTATCTCGAAGTGCGCCCAGGCACTACCGAACGACGCCGAGTCCACATCCCGCGCGGGGTTGGAAGGATGATCGACGGCGCCAGGGCAACCCTTGGTGGCTGCCTACTATTAGAGCCAGGATCGGTTCCGGCCGGCTCTTATTCCGACCACGTGACCGCAACCGTCCCGTAATCACCGGGCGAACGTTCCACGTTGCGAGTCAGGGCGGACGAGGCGCAGGGGAGTTGAAGCCCGAGAGGAAGCGGGGCGACACCCGAGTTGCAGCGAGTGGGTGGTGGGGTACAACTTATCAGTGGTGTCATGTTGGACGCGAGATTTGGTTGTCCCTATAGCCCCGAGATGAATACCATGCTTGGACCGTTGGCGGTGGTGTTCCCGGAAGGGTTGCGAGACCGATGGGGTTATCGAGGATGATTACTTAGGCCATTAGAATGGGACCCTGGTTGGTGGTGAACCGTAGATAGTGGACGACGGTGAACGGCTGACGGGGTGGGGCGACGGGAGTGAGGTCGGAGGTGGGGCCGGGTGGAGGCCGGACATTGAGAGTTTGGTGGAGGATTATGCGAATATGTCGGATGATGGACGACGTGGCTTTGGAAGAACTGATAGAAATTACCCGGAGCAAGCGGTGATGATGTTGGAATCATCTGGCATGGTGAGTATATACAGTGCGGTGGATCATAGCGTCAACTGGCAGGGTTCTGCCAATAAGGATTGACATGAACGTCAAAGGTTCTCTCACTGCTTCATACCGGCAGTTGTCTGAGCCTCCACGGTCTGGTATAAGCACCCTACTGATTTCAATTCGGCACAATCCACCAGATCCCGACAGGGGCTCAGAAATACACTGGTCCCAGCGGCATCTCACCATCCGTCAGCCTTTGATCGACAAGGCTCTCCGAAACTGTGTCAGCATCGTCAGTAGCAACCCGGTCACCCCATTTATGCTGCGACCTTCTCCAGTTTGGCTGCCGCTTGTTGGGACCCACGGTTGATCACAAAAGGCTCTTTCCCGTCAGAAGGCTAGGTCTCAGTGGAAATATTGGTGGCCTCCTATATGTATAGATCCCAACACTTCACTGCGATCGCCGGAATATTTATAACAAGGCACTCTCCATCACCAAGCTGAACCTAACCACAATAGCATCCATTTTACATTCAGGAACACTACAATATCTGCAGAAGAGGCTAATACCACCTATTCAAATGGGGGCACTACAAATCTTCCGCTACCTCGTATTATGGCGGTCGAGGACTTACCGATGTATGATCTCTTAATCTTGCGATGAAACTCATGGCATTCCACCCGTGGGTCATTCAACACTCCAGCACGGTGACTTCTAAGGATTCCAACCATTTGTATTTTCGAGGTCATTCGGATCGCTCAAGAACAGCCAAGCCTGTGGTTCAAAGGGAAGGTAGACACTCACTGACGCCACAAACCAGTTGCCAAACGAGAAATTTGCTGAAAGATTTTAACTTACGTAATGGCATGGCTACAGACTCAGAGTCATCTAAAGCACGAATGCCGTGACCGCTCGCTATAGATCAATACGCAGTTCCTTGGAGTGTCTCTTGATAGTATAGGGTAGTAGCCCTTCGCTGAGTCGAGGTTTGCATCTCGTTCTTGTTGTTGCCTCTGGAATTGAACCGGCGCATTGCGAAGACGGAGGAAACTATGTTTGTTATTTAATGGAAAATAATCGATTAAATGCCTTGAGGGAAAGAATGGTACCTCTGAAGTTCCTTCTAAATACGGATTCGACAAGCGCTCAGCCTCAGCGAGACGTTGTGAGATGACCCCACCAACCCAACATCCAAATTCAGGTGTGGCTCGGCTCATATATGATAATAACGGAGCCACTAACAAGTCATCTGGTGAGATGGCCGAGTTGGTTATGGCGCCAGGTTAAGGTTAACCTTGACAACTACATTCCTGGTGGAGCAATCCTCCTGGGTTCGAATCCCAGTCTCATCATTTCTTTTTGCATTTTTCGTGCATTTTCGTTCTATACCCATGACACTTCTTGTGTGGAACCTCCTTTTGTTTTTGGTTCTGGGTTTCTTCGTTCGTGAATAGCGGATGATGAGGGGATGAAATCAGAGGCAAGAGAAAGACACAGGTTTAATCTAATACTGTTAATAAAGAAAATCTAAAACTAAATACATATATCAAGTCCCTGTCTTCTTAAAAGACGTGTCCCTATGTAGGACGAATGGATCCAACTCAATGCCCACATAGCTTTTCCCGTTATACCCTACATATCTCCCGAAACTGAAAGTTTGGTCTTTCCATCCCGAGGGAGGAGTTCCGTCTTTAACCGCTCGACTTGTTACAATATAGGACAGAACTGACCCAATTGTCGTCGGGACTCGTGGTAAGATGTAAAGGTTTTTCGGCAGATAGTAGGCCAACGCAATGACAAGATCGATGCAAAGTATGGTAATGGATATGATAAAAGCAGTATTATCCAAAACGATGCGAGTCTCCGAAGCAGATCTCGTCCCTGTAATAGACGACTTTTGCTTTGCCGCCTCCAAAAAATCCGGCTTAACACCAAGGAAGGCGGAAAAGGCTCGGCTGTAGAGTTTGGTTATTACCGGCGTAAGCTTGCTTGCGTCTGGAACCGGGAGATTTGGATCAAGGAAATCTCTGGATCCAGTCTCCCAGGCGATGAACTCGGACAACCAGCTCGATGTGCTGGTATTGTTTCTCCACCTTGAGTTCGTGAGTAAGAAACTTTTGTTCATTATCAGGAAGAGCAATTTCGTGTGGTTGCTCGCCTTGGTATAGTTCAAAGTCGACTCAATCTTGCCGACACGCTGGTAATCGAGAACATAGCCCTCCTCGTTAACGGTGACGTCGAACATGGCCGTTTTCAAGATTGGTTGGCACTGAGCGTAGCTATAAGACATGGTGGCATTTTTCTTTGCTCCCTTCGGTGCTCTGGCCCAAGCCACGGAGAATGGAGGAGTGCAAGGTACGCTCAAGTCGTCAGTAGTCGTGCGAGCGACATCCATCATTGTAGCTGGTTCACTGGATGGCCACTGGATGGCGGCTGCAAAGAAATTTTTTAAAAGGTTATCAGGGCGAAATGCACACACTGAAGAAGTGTCGCCCTCATCATCTTCCTCAGCATCAACCTCGTGGATAGTATAAGTCGAAGCTGGTATCGATGTGCAATTGGCATCGACCCCGAGCCCTCTGGTTCGCACTGTGTAGTCGTCGCTAGGTGTCGCCTTGTCTGCCTTGACAATGGAATGTGGTAGAAAGAAGTAGTCGGTTGATACCCATGGCGATAATGGTGAGTTGTAAGACATGTTCGCCAGTGTCATAGCTAGGAAGTCTCCGTAACCTTGACTGCCTACCCCGGTGTTTTCTTGAATCACATCATTGTTGAATTGTGACTCGTATAAAGGCTGGAATTCCTGTGCGTATTCGACCACCACGGGCTTTTCATTAAACGTTGCACTCAGACTGACAGCTAGCACATCCGCGAGGAGAGCAGCAAGACAGAGCAGGGCTAGCATGATGTGCCGAGATTTGATTGCCTTGAAGAGTGCCAGTTGCGGTGGGACTGAGGCATACGTGGCCTCGATGGACTTCGCTGGCCGAGAATGCCCCTCACAGAGATCGATGAAGGGCTGGAAGATGCATATTGTTCGTGTCAGGAAAATCCAGAATGACTCGAGCAGTGTAGCAATGACGGTCGGGATGTAATTCTCGAGTAGTTGTAGGACCTCAAAGTTATTTGAAGGGAGACGTAAGCCTAAGAGGGCGATTAGTTGTGATGTCAAGAAATAACAATGGTAGAGGGGTTACCAACCGTTTTGCTTCTGCTCCATCGCCTTCAAAACCGACAGCACAACAATGCTAGCCACCAGAACTGCTGCGAAAGCACATCCAGTTCCCGTCCTCATTACCCATGGCTTAATGGGCTTGAAGTAGCATCTCGGAGGCATGCCGCGCCGCATGTCAGAAGGTGTTGCATCGGCGTCTTCCATCGTGATCAGTTCGTTGCGTTTTGAGAGTCGGTCGCCGCCTAGCTGAAACCTCTTGCCTTGGAGACTACTCGCAAGGAGTTTCTCGTTGGCCGTGTCCATGGATCGAAACACCTTCGCCCCATCTGGGCTGTTGTGGGCAATATCCAGCAGTTGGCCGATCGAGGACGGGTTTGTGTATAAGGCGCATGCAGAGGTCCGCGAATAATAAAGAACAAGGCCTGCCGCAATGGCAATCAACAGCAGTAGCGCTTCCAAAACCGCAGCAAAGACTCTGCTAACAACTATGCCTGTCAGTTGAAAGACTGATTTCGCCGAGTCATTGGTCGATGTCTTTTCCTCCGTGAGTCGATCCATCATGGCAAGGCTGAATAGTTGCTTGTGGACATCCTGCACCAGGCCCTGGAGCTTCGATGGGTCCTTCAACACCTCAACGGATTGGCCCTTTTCGGCAAGCGAGTAGCGGAAGATGGGATTCAGCGAGACGCTGATGTTTTCCGCGCTCTCCAGTGTCCGCATTTCAGGAAAATGCATGCTCACAAAGTCTCTGGTATTCGAGTACGAGGCTGTCTGAAAAAGGGGTAGCGACCTCAGGTACGGCATCAGGGAGAGCTCCTCCGAACTGAGCTCTGTCGGCTTGGAAAGCGGCTCCATAGCGCTATCCACAGGTTGTAAATCTCGAGAAGTAACCGTGGCTCTAACTTGCTGCTTATGATAAGACAGGTCGCAATGTAGTGCTGTGATGTTGAATTCCGGTGCTTCGTCGGCCGAGCGCTCTTCCTGCTTGTACCAATAGACTAAGGCAGAGTAGAGGGTATCCGAAGGCTTTTCGCAGTCATAACTGCTGATATTGTACATTAGGTCAGGTATGTTGTCCATGTAGGCCACGGTGATATTGAAGTCAGAGCCATAGAGCATTAATAGCGCACTACAACCTCTCCCCTGAAAGTCGTACATTGGGTTGTTGCGGGACCCGTTGTTTGTTTTCTTGACTGTGGCGGGTGTGCAAGTAAACTCGGCCCACAACTTGGTTGTCTCGGCGGTCCAATTTCTCTCAATGTTGGACAATGCAGAATCATCAACATCGTCGTTGACGTAGAAGGGCAGAAGTGCGTAATCCCGGGCCGTGAAGGCGGGATATGACTGGTTCAGCCACCCGATCGCATATGCCATGTTGAGATAGCGCATGTTGATGACTTGTTCGTCGGCTGGCAGCAGCATTGACCTGTTCATTGCCGAGGCGGATCTTGTGTGCGTCGAAGTAGATATACCGAGCAGCGCACTCTGCAGAGGCGTCATGACCCAAAAGATGAGCACCACGGAAAATCCAGACAGGAAGACGGGCCAGTGCCTGTGGAATTTAGCAAAGTCTCGCCAAGCTACAACACAGCGTCTTACCTGCGCTTCGCGGCTCGAATCGGTGCCAAGGCAATAAAGTCGGAGGGATAATCCAGAAGAATTGAATCCTCGGCGGTCGCTCCGGTCGACTTGGAGAGTTCGATCCATGGCTGGATTCGCTTGATATCGAGATCGACCCAGCCCCATAGCATGCTGAAAAGAACCGCAACGACGGTGGGCACGTAGAGGTAGCTGAGCATGGCGTATGTCGCTATCTCATCTTGAGACGAGGATAGTGCTAGGCCTCCCCGCACTTGACTCAATTGCGCAAGAGTCTCAATAACGGCAAAAAGAATTAGTGACAGCGCTGCGACACCCAAGAGAACTGGTGTCGATAGAAGCAGGGGCTTCCAGCCGCCCGATCTGGTGTCCATTGCTGGTGTCTCAGCGTCCTTGTCAACGGCCATGGTGACGGTCAGGGCAGTTTCATCAGCCCTCAGAACAGCATTTCTCATACAAAAAATACAAAGGCAGTGGGCTCGCAAAACGACAGAGAAGAACGCAGTAGAAAACGCACCTCGAAACCTATCAACTCCTGCAGCGGGTATTAATATCGCTGCACTTCATGTGTGTTGTTGGTTCGAGCTGCCACTGAATGCGGAGCCCGTTTGACCAGCGTTTGCTGCCAGGGTCTGGTTGGGCAGACTGAAGGAAAGCGCCTGCAGGAAGGATTATTAGGCTATTCGCTCTCGTTTCATCGACTAGGTGCAGCTTCAGCCGGCAGGGATAGTTGGACTGATCACACTCGTATTGCGAGCTAGAGTGGAGACAGCTTGGCATGATCCTATGTGCCCAGCGCTTAACAAAAATAGACCACTAGAAAGACCGAGACAAGCCCAGACCAGCTTTTGGACTCTCTCTGGACCCTCTCGATCCTCGGTCCTCATTAATTTGATGCGCACCAGGTCGTGCGCTGCTGCAAAGCAACATTGCAACATCAAGATACAGCACTCGGCATCGTAGACACACAGCCCTCCCCGGCCGCTATACAACATCGTCACTACGCAGCACGTCAAAAATGATCTTATCAAGTCTATTTTGGCTCTATCTATTGCCAACTTCCAAGTCCACCTAAGGCCAAGGAATCAACACATCTGGAATCCTCCAATCCCAGACACAGCCTCCATCCATTTTCCCCAGGTGGTAAGTCTAACAGAGCATCCCATCTCTATCGGGAGCCCAAGTGTGCAGTCCATCCATTACCAAGACGCACCCTTAACTTTTGATCAACGCAAGACAAAGGAAATATGGTATGTGGTCATCAAAAGAAGTTTGTCGTCAGAACATGGTCGAGTATCGGCGTTGGAAAAATGATTTCTTTACAGATCATCCTCATCGCTGAACACCTCCTCACCACGCTTGCGGCGAGCCATACGCTCTGTAAAACTGTTAGCATCTGTCGTGCTTGATTGATTGTGGTGTGATGTGACTTACCCTTCTTCTTCTTTCGCGCCTCAGAAGAGCTCAGCTTGACCTTCTTCTTGGTGGAGACAATCTTGTTGCCCATGGCGTCGAACTTCTCCTCCTCATCATCGCCGTCACCCTTGAGACGGGGACCAGCACCCTGGCCCTGGACCCAGTTGTGGCCGGAGGGAGTCATCTGACCGTCAACGACGGCCCAGACCTCCTCAGTCAAGTCCTTGGTGAACTCGGCAGAGTGGGTAATGATGATGACACCACCCTCGAACTTCTTGAGGGCCTTGGACAGGGCACCGAGAGAGTCACGGTCGAGGTAGTTGGTGGGCTCGTCAAGGACGATAAGATGGGGTCGCTGCCAAGAGCAAGCGGCGAGGACGGTCTTGACACGCTGGCCACCAGACAGACCACGCATGCGAGAGTGAGAGACCAGCTCGGCGTCGAGGCCGAAGTTGGCGCAGTGAGACTCAATCTCCTTTCGGACCAGAGGTCGGAACTGACCAGAGGCGAGGGCCTCCTTCATATCGACATCGGCAACCATCTTCTGATGAGAGGCCAGGAGCTCGTTACGGGGCAACCAGGCGTTGTCAGCGGTCATCATGGGAATCCATCGCTCGTTCTTCATGCCAATGTTCTCACCCAGGGCGAATGAACACTCGTACTCGTAGCTGTTCTTGAACTTTCTTCGGCTGTTGATGCCGATGACGCGACGCTGGGAACCCTCGACGCGGAAGACCTTGTCCATGGCCTTCTCATCAGCCTCGGTGATGATCTTGTTGGCACGGTCCATGGTCTCACGATCCTCACCAGTCTGGAATCGCCACTGGATGTACTCAGAGGGGGTCTTGTCCAGGTGGTGATCGATATGGGCAAAAGCGTGCTGCTTGATGTAGGCGATACGGATGTTCTCGTGCTGGTAGATCTCACCCTGGGTAGGGATGAGCTCACCAGTGAGGACGTTGATCAGGGTGGACTTGCCAGCACCGTTGGGGCCAATGACGGCAATACGGGAGCCGAGCGAGCACTGGAAGGAGATGTCGGTGATCTGGGGCTTGGTGGTACCGGGGTACTGGAAGGACATTCTGGTGGCACGGAGGATGGCCTTGGCCTTGGTCTTGACACCCTCGAGGAAACCGGGCTCAGGGAAGGTGAACTCCATCTCGGAGGCGCCGAGCTCGTAGTAAGACTTGGCAGAGGGGCAGCGCTCGACGAAAGCCTTCAGGTTACCACGGTAGCGCTTGAGCTTGAAGCGCTCGTAGTGGACAATGTGCTGGCAGACGTTGTCGAGGAAGCCGGAGTCGTGAGAAACGATGATGGAAGTGCAAGGGGAGTTCTGGAGGTACTCCTCGAGCCACTTAACGTTCTTGACATCCAAATGGTTGGTAGGCTCATCGAGCAGCAGGATATCGGGGGCCTCGAAGACGGCACGGCACAGGGCCAGCTTCATCTTCCATCCACCAGAGAGGGCGCTGATCTCACCCTTGATCATCATCTCGGTGAAGCCGAAGTCGAGAAGCTGCTTCTCGACATCATCCTGAGTGTTGGTGACGCCAGCCTCGGCAAGCTTCTTCATGGTCCACTCAATGGTGGTCATCTCAGTATCGGCAGAGTCCAGGTCGTGCTCGACGAAGACAGTCTTGACTTCGTCCTGCTTGGGGAAACCCTCGACCTGCTCGTTGTTGATAGCGCGCATGAGGGTGGACTTTCCGGAACCGTTGGGACCGCAAAGACCGTAGCGCTGGCCACGCTTGAGACGGAGATGGGTCTGGTTGAGAAGAATCTTGGCACCGTAGGCGAGAGAGAAAGTGCAGTTGCACAGATCCTCACCCTCCTCCTCGTCCTCCTCCTTGTCAGCCTCAGCAGCAGCGCTGGGAAGAGCGGCTCGGCGGAGAGCCTCAACGAGAGACTCGGCGTTGTCGATGCCAGAGATGACAGCAACGTAGGGCTTGAGGTTCTCGTTCCAGATGGCGAGCTCGGCCTCCTTCTCATCGACGAGCTGACCGGCCATGGCGGCGATGTACTGGACAACAGGGCCCATCTTCTCGACGTAGTTGGCGAACTTGGGCTTGAGGACGGCCTCGACCTTGGGGACGACAACGTTGAGAGCACCGTCCAGGCGGGCCTCGGGGATGACGCCATCCTTGATGTTACCGACACGGGTGAGGGTGTCAAGAGCCTGCTTGGTCTTCTCACGAGCCTCGGGATCAGCCAAGTTGTCGTAGTTCTTCTGGAGACCAGGCATCATCTTGGGCAAGAAAGGAGCGACAATGTTGGGGTCGTCGACCAGCTTGCACATGTTGTCGACAATGACAGCAGCCTTTCGCTTGATACCAGTGTCACGCTCACCGAGACCACGATCCAGAAGAGGGACCATGAGGGCGAGGGTGGGCTCCTGAACCTCAGTGACGAAGGTAGTGGCACCGAGCAAGTGAACGGTCTCAGGGACGTTCTCAGGCTTGGCGATACACTTGATAAGCTCGGGAATGAAGCGCTCAATATCCCTGTTGACAATCAACTGGCAGAGCTGCTCCATGGTCTTGTAGGCGCGCTCCTTGACCTCCTTCTTGGTGTCCCACATGGATTCGGAAATGACGGGGATCAACTCGGGGACGCGGTAAGCGAGCTGGGCGGGGGAGGTCTTGACGAGGGTATCGATGAAGTCGAGGGCAATCATCTTCTCGGGCCACTTCTGGGCGGTGCGGATGGACTCCATGATGGAGGGAAGGGCAGCCTTGACGGCGTTGGCGTTCAGGGCGCCAGCAATGGCGAGAACGGCACCGGAGGCGGCATTCTTGACAGCGGTAATCTTGTCACCAACGGCGGCGAGGACGTTGGGGAGGAGGACGACAAGGTAGGGCTCGATAGAGGCGGAGACCTCGGCGTGGGAGGCAATGGCCTGGATGGCGATGGCGGCACGCTCACGGGCGACAGCATCCTTCTTGCTGGCGAGGTCCTTCTTGAGACCATCGATGACCCTGCAAAATTGGGTTCGTTAGCCAAAAGTCGCCACTAAAAACTTTTTGTGGGCGCTGAACCGGGCGCCCGAGCGGCCGCAGCAGGGGAATGTGAATTAGCGCCCAAGGTCGCCCAACGGGGCTTTTTTTCTGTGAAGTGAGGGGGAGGGGTAAAAAAAAATTCAATGCGTGGCAGAAAGCCGGCCACTCGCCCTGCTCGGCAATAGGCAGTCCACGCTTCCACGCAAGCACAGGCATGCCGCCGCTGGGTTGGACTGCCGATTGCTGCAGGTAGCGAGCAGGGCATTAACCGGCAGAAGAAAAAATTGACAGGGTGGCGAATGTGTGAGATGAAGCATGTGAAGCATGAACCGCCATCTCTCGCGCTCCATCCTCAGCATCGGGAAAATGCCAGGACTGAAGCCGAGGAGAGGCAGACAAGCCAAAGTATGCAAAGGAGGCGCTGGATCGGGGCAAAGATACTCACTTGGTGGGGACAGCCTGGTCCTCGATGCGACCGTTGATGAAAGAGGCCAGCTCGTTGGCAGACTCCTTGATGGCGGAGGCTTCCTTGGACACGGTGAGCTTCTGGAAGAGCTCGTCCAGGACCTTGATGCTCTGAGCGTTCTCGGTAGGCATCTTGGCGGATGTTTGGATTTTTTCTTTTTTTGGAGGGGTATTAGGAAGAGAAAGTCGGATCGTCGTGAAGCCCACAGAGATCGATGGAGGGGTCGACTCTGTTGTTATCGGCGGGGTGACGATATGGTGATCCTCTGGAGGAGGGGCCGGGTTCGTTCAGTGGAGATAATCCAAGGAACAAAACGCGCGAGCGTCGAAGAGAAAGGTTCGTCTGGAGGAGGACGACCGTAGAGAAAGATGGATGGGGGAGGATGAGATCGAAAGGAAGAAGGGAGGGAGAGGGGAGAAAAGCTCGGAGAGGCCTGGGACAAGTTTTATGTTATGTGCCTCGCCTCCTCCGGAATCCACAACTTTTTTTTTTTTTACTGGGGTTAGCCGTCAGCGAGCCACAGTGCAGTGAGAGCACCAAGCTCACACTGGTCCTCACACTGGCCCTCGCACTGGCCACAGCGCCCAAGATTCGGCGCCGCCAAAATTCTCGCTCCTTCCGTTTACCCCTCCAGGCCCCTCGCCCCGCCCCCTCCACCGCCCCCTCCACCCCTCCTTCCCTTTCTTTCCCTGCCCGTCGTGCCCGTGGCAGCCCAAAACTAAATGCACTGTACCACACTGTACACTTCCCTCCTGTGACGGCAAACTGCGACTCAGGCTTATCGGGTTTATCAGCGCGCGCTAATCCTAAAATAGGTAGTGGGAGATGGTTGCTTTCCAGTGAGGCGAGGGCGGTGAAGCCTCTCGATGCCACCCTTCGCGGCTAGACCCATGCACAAATACTGCAATTCATTGGCGACGAGATTGATGGGTTCTTGACTGGGATACGGGTTCCTGCTCTGCCTGTGAGAGGGAAAAGAGTCGGGAGTTGGAGGCGAACCTTGCCAGCAGCCACAACCGCAGCGATAGCGAGGAGGGTTGAGTTGGGAACTATGCCCTGTTAGTCTGGTCCCTTGTTTTTTTTCCTCCGACCCCCGACGGGGCCGTTGGTTCTTTATTGTACACATTTTTGAAATTCTAAAATGTTTGCTTCTTATTATCCTAGCATCCCTCTCCCTTGAACCGCGAGCGCAGTGTCATCCCCCAATAGGCAAGAGGTTACGGATGTTGTCGGTTGGGATATTAGGAGGTTGTTCTCTAGCACTCCACTTTCTTCTTTCCAAACCGAGTTATCCACTCTCAGTCTCTGCCGTCTCCATGACGACCTAGCTATACCTGCGGTGCTGTCTGCGTGTCGCAGATTAGCGATGAAGTGGCCCGGATATTGAGATGGAGCCGGAGAAAGAGACATAGTGGGGTCAATACTGAACTTTTCGTATTCGTACGAGGTGGTGGTGGTGGTGAACTGAATCGTCGCCAAACCGCCACATTACCTCAAGCGATGGTCAGAATGCCGTCACAGATCCCGCACCAGCTCATGGGAAAATTATGTATGTTTTATAAACATCTTTTAACCAACAAATTACTTTCCTCGACCAAGACTGCGGGACCTGCGAATACTGTGTTGTACTGGGTGTGTTCAGCTAAGATGCCGATGCTACTGCTCGGATATCCCTCAGCATTGGTTGGTTGGGTGGCTGGCTGGACCTCCTGCCGTCCGGGGTCTTTCCCTGTTTCCTAAACCGAGGACATCGTAGTTCGCATAAAGTGAAGATGCCTGAGGCTTTGTCCCAGGATCTAAGGCATCTGATCTGGGGCATCGATCTAGCCGAGGAACAACCTCTCTTTATTCCGATACTTGACCCTCAACCCTCAACCAACAAGGCGAAACGGCCACTCCGGACGACACCAGCTAACATAGCACCAGCAGCCAACTCATGTAGCTTCTGTTGCCTCCCAATTATTTCCCAATCACCGGAGGCGAGTTATCCTTGGCTGATGGTCGGTGGGGCCTGGCTTATCCACCATGATCCGCCATTCCCAATCATTGCCTCCGCCACGTTGCCACGGCACATCTACTTGAGTGGCTACCTACCACCGATGCGTGTCCAGCTCGCACTGTGGTGTTCCCATACTGTTGCAGCGAATAGTGTTTGGATAAGTTTACGCCGGGTGCTGGACGAAGAGGCATGTTTCTATTCTCATGTGCTACTACTCGTGATGGTGATAGTATTGATGCATTTTGGGCATCTCAGATTGCAGGGCTTCCCATGCTTGCAGCGGTGCTGAACTGAAGCCAATGCCGTGCCCTTGAGGCTGAGCTCTCGTCAGCATCACTTCGTTCCACAGGAGTCATACCAATGCTGACCACCCCAGCGACTGCTCGAATATCCTATGCTTCACACATTGTACATGCGCTCAGATCCTGGGCTTATCCTCCGATATGGAATGGACCGTGGGTTCTATTTCGCGGGGCCCCGGAGTATCCAAATGCTTGGCCTCAGACCCTCACCGACTATTGCATGGTCCACATGCCAACCCAGAAACGGCAGAAACAGTCGAGAGTCATCTACGCCGAGTGATCTACTCTAGCAAACCGGCACAGTTTGGACCGGCTCTGAATCTGGAGTTGCATCCACTTCTGTTTCTCTGGCGGTACCTACGCCATCTCCCAATCCCATGCAGAAGGCGTACAGGCGTCAGTGCAGATAATCCCTGACCATGGCTGCTGTCAACAGCCCAAGTCAACCCTCGCTATCAAGCTGTGCGAAGCCTAGATATGAAGACGGAGCAGCAACGTTTCCAGGTCGGTAAATCGAGCCTGGGAATCTGTCTGTCCTGTCCATTTTATCCACCAAACTAGAGGATCAACATGATAATTTTTCACATTGCAAATAATTGGGTTAAGCCGATCAAGCAGCAGCACCTCAACTTCTCAGGACTCAGACCCGAACCTCCTGCATTGCATTGCGCCTACCCCCTGCCCAACCCGCATCGCATAACCATGACAACAAGAGACGGCGCAGCCAACCTCAGTTTCAGGGCCTGTCCCGATTTCCTTCCATATCATAGATCGCTGTGACCTCTCCTACGACGGTAGATTTCTTTGACATGACACTCAATTCGCTCGTTTGGGCCTTTGAGTTTTAAATGGTTCCAGATCCTACCTTGACGGTTGAGTGTTGGTGTTGTATTTTACATTAAAATAGAGCTGAAGCTTCAAAGAATCTTTGTTCATTCAGGCTTTTACTCACAAAGCCCTGTTAAAATTAAGGGACAAGTCCGAATCTATGAAAATCTTCCTCGGGTGTGAAATACTACGTGTTCTTCGCGTACTCGCCTGGGCTCAGGTCTGAGAAATAGCTTTTAAATATCATATATTATTTTGAGTCCGTTTTCGCAATGTAGATCAACGCTGGGACAGAGCGTGCAATGAATATACCCAATCTTGTTCGCCTTTTGTCTCGCTCTCTAACAATGAACATCTCATTCCATACTGTCCTCGAATCATGAGACATAAGTAACAATGGTGTCCGATCCCAGACATTGTTCTTTGTTGAAGAACTGTCATGTTCTAACAATGACAGACAACGCGACCCTCCTTTGAGGGACAAATGCACAAAAGGGTGCTGTTCCCCTTCTCGTGTTGGATTATTTTCTGTCCAACAACCCCGGTATTGACATTTCCAGTACAACTCACCGCGATGTCTTCAAATCAGCCCAATGAGGGCCACAAGCAACCTCTGAATGACCCCATGGCTGGCTTCTTGGGAGATGAAGACTCTATACCCGATGACACGGATTATTCCGAATGTAGTGATGAATCAGAAGAGAGCAATCCTGACCCATGGATTCCACACGACCCATTTCTGTCGGATGTGCGGCGAATACAATGGCCAAAGGTTCTGATGCCTCCCAAAAACGCCAAGGAAGGCTGTTGGGATCACGTTCGCTATGCACCCGCTTGGACGGACCCAGACTGGGAAGACAATGGCCCGGGGCGAGACGATCTCGACTACCCCATTAAAAACGGTCTCATGAGTCAAGTTAGACCAGCATTGCTTGCAAAAGATCAGATCCAGAACCCGACCCAGTATGCCAAGAGATTCGGCATATTTCCTGGTCGAGTTGACGGTCGTTCCAGGACATCCCCAACTCGGGCCGAGAGCCGACAAGTATTTCCCAGCGGAGATGTCCGAACCGGAAAGCAAGTATTCATTCGGCTTGAGGAGTTGGCTGCTGAAAAGGGATATTCTCTGGACGACTTCATGGCTCAAAAAGGAATCGACACGAGCAATATGCGCGAAACTGACGAAGCATGCATTCGAGTGTATGAAGAGCTACTGGTTGACGAATATTGGCAAGGAATCATCTTTGGAGATTTAACAATGGATGAGGTACGTGAGAAATACGGGAACTGATTCGCCATCTGTGTGAGTGGCGTTGCTAACAATGTTTTTAGCTGCGTGCTGAAGACTACTTCACTATGGGCGATGCCGAATCGAATCTGAAAGGACCATTGCATCCGTGAGTCTCCCATCCTCAGTTACAACGCTGGCTAACATCAAAAGGTTGCTGGATCGGTCCCGTTGGGTTAACACACGTTGGCTTGGGTTTGAGGAAACGGAACCCCGTACTGCATATAACATTAATGGCGAGCGAGGGGAGTATGATCCACGAGTAAGATTCTATCCTTGATTTCGCCGCTAGGGATACTCACATGATGGATTAGAAGAATGACAGGGTCTGGGACGCCATGCAGCCAGCTCTCCAACTCGCCTCACGACTTCTCCGGGCAGACGATCCCTTCCTCTCCGCCGTAAAGGACGTCACGAACAGGTTTCGTATTGACGATACGCTCGACCGGAGGCCAATTGAAGAGAGGGAGGAGACCCCGAGATTCCAGTTTCGGCGTTTTGTCGACATGAATGACCCCGATTTAGTGCCAGCTGCCAAAAGGATGCGACAATATCCCAATTTCAACGCCTCGGCTTTCACCGAAGCTGCACTCGAGAGGTGCCTTCAGCTGAATATACGTAGCGGGCACTATCACTTCGGTACTCGCTTTTTTGAGAACGCGCCCGCCGGCGTCACGGCGGGCTCAGCCTTGGAAGATCCGAACGCGCCCATCAGGATAAGCATATGTGCGGAGCTGGTCTGGCCGCTCTTGGAACCAAATTTCAGCACGAGCGAGAAACTGATGGCGAGCTTTATCCTTGCCACGACCATTGTCCATGAACTCATGGTGAGTTTATTAGATGGGGATTCTCCTTCTAAATGCATGCAAAGTCCCTTCCGGAGTTGAAGGCTAACAAATGATTATAGCACGGGTGGGGCATCTCTCACTACAAGTGGCTATACAGTCCAGACGCGTATGGAATCTCAGACCCAGTCCTCCAAGGCATTTGCGATGAACTACGCGAGGAACTGTATCCTGGGGGGAAATGGTCAATGTCCATGGAGCCGAGCTTCGAAGAAGATTCCGTTTCAGAGCTTGGCCATGCATATGAACAACATGTAATTAACTCACTCTTGAAACATCTCTACGCGTCACAGCATCTAAGACGATAACTAACCATTCATCTTTAGGTTCTTGGCGGTGGTTCGTGGTCGTTGTCTTCCAACATGAGCCTGCGGGCAGGCCCATCCCTCCTAGGAGACTATTCGGGGTTGGCTATCCACGTTAACTGGCCCGATGGAACGCCTGATGCCATGCTGCATGTTCTTTCTGAGCCCAAGCCTCGTTCAGAACAGTATGCCCATTTCCTCCGAATCAACGATGTCCAGCAATACTTTACCGAGGAGTTTTGGCAAATCTCGGTCAAGAAGTACGGCATGGCTGCGATGAGGAATCCCTCGAAGAAACCACACAAGATTTTCTTCGCTCCCGAAACCTGTCGGACCAGCGCCGCACTCTTCCGTGAGAGCGGTCTGGGCCCAAGGGAAGTCCGGGAGTGGATAGTCAACTACCTCTACACCCTCAACCAGCAGGGCAAATCCACGCTCAACACATATCTACGGACGCTCGTTTCAGAAGCATGTAATTTTGGCCTGATGACCAAGCGCTTTCTCAAAGACAAGAAAACACGAACTGCCACCGAGTGGCTCTGGCTAAAGACAACTAAATTCGCCCTCATGCTTGTCCTAGAGCTCAGAGGCCACGTGATCGGGTTGTCGAACAGTTCAGAGGAGAAGAAACTCGCGAGCTTTAACAAGGAGTACTCGAGGTGGATGCAACTGGCCACCTCGGCTGGCGCTTGGCCCGATGAACGGTCTCAGAGGTGCCATGGCGGCGTCTACACCTTTCGTCAGTCCGTCTCTAACATTAGTATAAACGACCACAACGACCGCATCATCCCAAAGTTGATGGACCTGGTAAACTACCTCGAGGCTGAGCGTGAGCACCAAGAAAGTATGCTATGCGAGCTTTATAAGCTTCCTTCACAGTTCTGGGTACACTACAAACGCGGGTTTGAAAGCCACTACAAGTTCTGGAAAGACCAGACAACTCTCATCTTAAGGTCGCTGTCTACTATCATGCAAATGGCGAACGACATCCGCGCCTGCTTTCCGCCTTGGGATGGCGAATGGAGAGCGCGGTTGCAGTCTCTTGCAACGGCATTCACCAACATCCAAAGGCTCCTCGAGATGGACAATAAGAAAGTTGGCGAAAACTGGCACGATCTGTTGGTGACGGTGCCCATGCTTCGCAAATGCCGGCGGCAGGCCCATCAGCGGTTGTTTCCCTTTGCCAAGCAGGAGATGCTGAACCTAACGGGTGAGGATCTTGAGAATCTGAAGGAGTTTAAGAAACAGCTCGATATCATGGTGAACCTGGAATCGTACAAGATTGTTCTTCCGGAAACGGACGTGGATGAACAGGGACTCATGCAAAGGTGGGCTGGCCTGCTGGATGATGTGATGGAGAAGAAATCGAGCGGGTCAAAACTGGCGAGCGTATTCGACACGCGGCCGGTGCAAGGCCTCGCTGGAAAGCTGAAGCAACAGGAGTTGGAAGCCGAGAAGAACAAATGGGATCGTGCAGCCGAGCAGGCAGCAAAAAACACCAAGAAGGCAAGGCAGAAGCAAAAAGGACCAACACTTCAACAAAGAGCCGAGTCTCAGGCGCTTCAAGTGCCACAAGTCACACCACAGATCACGCAGCCATACGTCCAAAGCGCTGCTGTCCCGTTTGGAGGCTTCCAGGCAGCGCAGTTCGGGCAGACAAGCCAGATGTCCAGCTCAACACCAGGCCTCGGCACCACCAGCCACGGTTTTGGGCCCTACGCGTCTGGTTCTAGCTTATTCCCGTCACAAAAAGAAGGAGAGAAGGCACCATGGACAGCCAACAACCCGGCTGATCAGGCCGCTCAGGTCAATGAAGGGGATAAAAGCAAACCATATAAGACACAGCCTATTGGTAGCATCATGCCTCATCCGTTTGCGATCCGATCGACTATCACAAAAGACCTCTTGAACGTGGTATCAGAAAAGCTCGAATCTTCAGCTGTAGGTTCATTTGAACAAGATGGGCCTCGAGAGGGCGAGTCTATTCTTGGGCGGCCTGGGCCTCAGGGAGATGGAGAGCTCGGGAACATGGACGACGCGTGGGAGCAGCAGGATGTCGAGATGGAGGGAGTGGAATATGACGATGAAGGCCAGGAAGAGAATGGTGATGTGTTGGATAAGTGGCTGCAGGGCGAAAAGAGAAACGAGGAAGAACAGGCCGCTGCCCGGGACCGCGATGCGAACAAGGGTCACAATGGCATGAACTTCCCACCGGGTGCGGCATTTGTCGCAAAGTTGATGTGGGATGACGACGACACTGTCTCGACGAGTTCGGTAGCTTCGAGCCCAGCGACTCAGGAGAGCAACGATACCACGGCCGTTGAGTCGGATGGTTCAAGCGGACTCGAGACGGACGGAGGCTCTGGGTTAGATACGGAGGTTGCCGATGTTAAGTCAGCAGGGTTGAAGAGAAAGCGGAGCTGTGTCGCTGCAGGTGAGACCAAAAGGGCTAAATTGGACGGAAATAAGAGAGAAGGCAAAACATGGTGGAAAGTGGTAGCTGAAGCTTGGCGTTTGAGGTGATTTGGGGTGGGTTAGAGATGCAGGCTAGATGGTGTTGCTACACAGTGGACTAGGGAGTCAAGACATAATCCTTTGTGTCGCTTGGTATCATGACGTCTCAAGAGAAGTGCTGTATTCCATTAAGCTAATGACTGCTCGCAAAGTCTTCTTTCTCGAACACAAGGACAATTACGAAAAAGACACGATAGCATGGCTTGTGGTTGTGACCGTTTATGTCGTCATCGCCGATAAGATAAGAAACGGTCAGGCCACCGTTTGCCTCGTCCCTTCCTACTATTGTTCGACTGAATTGACTCGTCCGGTGCGTTTCCACCAAACACAAACGAGCAGAACAGAGAAGACGAAAACCTTTGTATTGACTGTTCTGCCGAAAACGGCGACATCCCCGATTCTACTGCTCACAATACCGCTGAATAAACTGGCTGTATTCAATCGGCAGGTGACTTGTGAACAGGGTTGCTGTCCCCCGTGGCTCTCAACCGTGTTCATCGCCCATGATCCTCGAACACGAGTGCCTTCAAACGACGATAAAGATCACAACAATTCTCTGGTTTGAAACTCTTTCTCAAACACATCACCAAACCCGCCACCCAACACACCATCAAAACACTCAACCAAAATCTCTGTGACAATCTCGATCCACACACTCAAGATGGCTGCCAGAGGTCTCTCCCAAATCCCAACCCTCACGGACCTCTATCAAAAGTCTCTCCTCCATGCTGCGTCCTCTGCTTCGACTTCCTCGGATGGATATCCTGCCAATTCTGGCATAAACGACCACGTCGGCCTCATCCGTGGCGACATCACTCGCCTGCGCCTCGACGCCATTGTCAACGCAGCCAACTCGTCCCTCCTCGGCGGCGGTGGTGTTGACGGCGCCATCCACCGCGCTGCTGGAACTCAGCTCGTGAAGGAGTGCGCTACTCTCGGCGGATGTCCCACTGGCGAGGCTCGCATCACTGACGGCTATGACCTGCCCGCCAAGCGCGTCATCCACACCGTTGGACCTAAGTACTACTACGACGAGGATCCCGACGTGCTGCTGCGCCGCTGCTACCAGAACAGTCTAGAGCTAGCGGTGCGCGAGGGCGTCCAGACACTTGCCTTCAGCTCCATTAGCACGGGTGTTTATGGCTATCCGTCGCTGGAAGCGGCCGAGGTGGCTTGCGAGACTGTGCGCAAGTTTCTGGACAGTGACGATGGACCCAAATTGAAGCGTGTCGTCTTCGTCACCTTTGAACAAAAGGATGTGGATGCGTACAACACTCTGCTCCCGTAAGTTGACCCCTTTTATCTACATTGTTCTGTTTTCACATGCTAACGATGGAACTCAGGAAATTCTTTCCATCTAACTAGATGGTACTCACAACGGGAGGAGAGAAGAACGATGAGCACTGGCGGAAACGCGGAGGATAAGTCAATTAGTTACCCCTCTGCCAGGAAAGTTGATAATGAGATAGCGCGTTGCGTATTCTGACTAAATACATACATGATAACAATCATAACTGGGACCCTTATTAGCTCATCCGATATCGAGGTGTTCGTGACCGATATGCGCGGTAAGTGAAAATACCGATTACCGGCATTGTGGTCATATTTATCGTGCCGGAATATACTAGATCCATGTGCCAATCGCCCAATGGCTGCCTTCTTTTCCGTCTGGGGAGACGATGCGGCCGCCAAAAGTGGATGGTGTTTCGAAACTTGCTTAATCGTGCTCTTTATCAGGCATGGCGGAACGACGACTGTCGGAGACACCGATCGCGAGGGGGATATTGGGATGTGGCTACAGCAGTTGTCTCCAGTTGAGAAAAAAGGTGTGGTGATGGTTTAGGGAGTATCTTGCTCAATTTGAGCGAGGGTTGGGGTTGGAGTTGGGTGTAAGAGAGACGAGAAGATGAGGAGAATAGATGAATATACAGTTGCTGAGCAGAACCAGGCCTCTCGTCGCTGATTATACGATTATACCAACTTGAAGAGAAAAATAGCTTTCCGTGCCTCTTCTTTTATACAAGAAGGGGCGGGTTCTGAATATCACTGGTCGTCAGACCGTGCGGCCTGAGCCCAATATGTCGTACCAGGAGGCGCTTTCGCAAGTCAAAGTAGCGCCCACGGAAGTTCTAGGGGAGGAAGATATGTTGAATCGGACCGTCACAGTGGGTGAAGAGGCTTACTTGGCCAACATCAACATCTATGTTGTGTTTGAAGAGATGGAGGTCAATCATGAGACGTATCGGTGAGTAACATGGCAGCAGCCCCTGAACGAGCATCAACGCCATGAACACCATCACCACAATAACAAAGATCACAGCCAACTTCGCCCACATCCTAATTCTTTTAATCTCCGGAGGCGTAATCCCCATCTTCCTCTCCCTTATTCGCCTGCTTCCCTTCTCCGCTCGCCTCGTCTCGAGCTTCAACGCATACATGATCGACCCATCGTTTTTCGGGAGCAAGCATGCCTCGCACATCCTCAAGGCATGTTTACGCCTACTTCCCGAGCCTGACATAGCACGTTTGGGAGAACCACCGCTTTGCCGTCGTAAATACGAATAGTTACTCCTTCAAGACAACCTACTCCAGTTCAGAAGTTGATGGCTCTACACCGTCGAAATCGAGCATCACCTCCGCTGTTGTCAAGGAAGCCGGTTCGACATCCTCCGATGCAACTTCCGTCACCACTAATCCCAATCCCCACGGAATCTCCCTCTTCATCCGGGCTCACAAAGGCATCACCGCGACGCTTGCATCAAAGGCGGGTCTCGCAGGCGGCATCCCCATCCTCCTCGAGTCCTCGTATGGGCACAAGTCCAGCGCACTCCTGAAGGGCAGCCCTGCTCCGGCGCAGTGTATCGTAGCTAGACTAGGCCGGCACGGCGCCACAGCAAGATTCGCCGAGCAGAGCTTCATGTGATAAGACTACAGGAGAGTGTCGTAATAGATGAAGGTTAATTGACTCTCACGTTCAACATTAAACAACAACTGCGTACCTAACCAGAAGACTGCAACCAAGATACACAAAAGCGCTGTCGCGCAAACAAAACCAATGGTGCCAATCCGAAGGTCCAAACGATTCACATAGCATCCTTCATTCTCAAGTCGAGTCATCGTGAACCTATCCCTCATCTTGTTTCATGCCGTAAACTCCACAGCCTGGCCTCTTATTCTGCAGGCCCTCCAGAGCCCGAGGCTCCCGCACCGCCCTTGTTCTTCTTCTTGTTCTTCTTCTTCTTACCTCCAGTCTTGCTACCTTCTGCAGCATCCGGGGTCTCGGTAGCTTCAGATGCCGACAGCACATCTGAAGATTCAAGTGCTTCTAGCGTCGCGGGTGTCTCTGGCATGTCCGAAAGCTCGTCTTTTGGGGCCGCCTCTGGAGTAGCTTCTGAAGCTGCCTCTGAAGTCACCTTTGGAGCCGTCTCTGGGATCACTGGTGCTGCCTCGGTCTTCTGGTTTTGAGTCTGCTCCGCTTGGGCGTGGATGGCCTTGCTCATCTCAGACAGCATCGACTTCAGATCGTCCAACTCAGCACGTAGCTTGCGAACTTCAATCACAGCCGGCTCATCCTCGACGTTGGGCTTCGCCATCTCACACGTCTTAGCCCAGCCCGAACCCTCAAAGTCCATCTCGTGGGCCAGTTGTTCCCACTCGTGAACCTGGTCGTCATCCTCTTCACCTCGCGACCGGTTGATGCGGATGGCGTGCGCCGTGCGTGTCTCAAAGAATGCTGCTACCAACAGAATGGGCGAGTAGAGGACGGCCATGACACAGTCGTTAATAAACTCGTAAGTTTTCTTGTTCATCCACCACTCCAGCAACCCAGAAATGACAATCTCCAAGATGTTGAACGGCGCAATGTATACGTTCTCATCAGGGGCTCGGACGAACTGCATCGTCTTCTGGGCGAAGAGGGCGAGGTATTCGTCGTCGGCATTCTGGTAAATGTCCTCGTAGGCTGAGTTGTAGAGGGCAATGAGAATGTTGAGGAGAATGATCTGTAGTAGTTAGCGCAAGTTTGATCCAATCCGAGATATCGCCTGCTAGCCGACTCACCATGACCACAAAGGTAAAGCAGTAGTAAAGGATCAGTCCCCACGGGTGTGCAAACGACTCAAAGCCCTCGAACTCGGGACTTTGCATAATTGCTTTCAACATCGACTCCATGATGAACCAAACATCACCAGCAACATTGTCCTCGGTGATGTCCAGACCGATAAAGGCCTGTAGAAAGCCAATGACCAAGATGACTAGCAGGGCAAAGAAGATGACAGACTCCTTCATCATCACCTTGAGCACCACAAGCATGGCGCCAAAGAACTTGAAGCTGTCGAGGTAGAGTAGCAGACGGCCCCAGAACAATGGTGCAATAAAGGACAATAAGTTGTAGCTGAGTTGGTTGTAGTACTTGTGAGCGTCCTTGTTGTTCGTATACGACAGGCCAACAATACGGAAGACAAGCGATACAGTCAGGAATGAGTAAAGGGTTCCATTGAAAGCGTTCCAGAAACCAAGGATGTGATAGCCCGCCTTGTAGAACTTGACCAGTTCGTCGGCGACATAAGCGAAGGTGAAGATGTAGAGGGCGATCTCGGCGCCGTCCAGGACACCGGTGGGATTAACCGAGTTGATGGCGGCCGTGTAGAGGCCAAGGTAGATGAGGGAGAAGACCACCTGGGCGGCATTCTGGTAGCGAGGGGCACGCATACGATCGGGGTCCATGTGGACAATGAAACTGCGGTTGTCCTTGTCCTTGTAATCGACGAACACAGAGGGGTCGTTCTCGTCCTGGACGAGCCAGCCGCGCCAGAGGTAGGCGATGCACTTTTGGTAGCCTGAGGAGCCGATGACACGAACGGCGTGCAGGTCGACGGCCATTTCGATGACGTTTACGGGCCCAGTAGGGACATTATCGATGAGGAACGAGTAGCGGCGGAGAAGAACGTTGTGCAGCAGATATTCCATATTTTCCTCGGTCTCAATACTGTTGTGGCGACCCAGTGTCAGCAACGCAGAGTGAGTACCTTCAGGAATTAGACTTACATCTGTTTGGCGATGACGGTGCAGGCAATGGCACGAAGGTCGTGTAGGTCGGCATCCCACAGCTCAAGTTGGGCCTCCCGCTTGAACCAGTGCAGGTTGACGAGCAGCGCGTAAACCTAGACGTCGTAATTAGCCAATATCATTGATTACGGGTTTGCCGGCGATAACATACCACACATGCCCCATTCCGGTGGCCACCAGCCTCCTTGGCAGCCTTGATGACCTTTTTGGTGATGATTGTGCTGTGAGAGCGAGTGATTTGGGACTCTTCAAGCTCACAGGGAATGCACTCGCGGATCAGGTGTCGGAGGCGCAGACATATCTTGGTGACTTCGTTGGGGTCGATGACCGATTCGATATCCTGATTGCGATAGTGGGGAAGGACTGGGTTAACGAGCAGTATGGTCAGTATCCGTCCATTGATTACTCCAGTTCGTCGAGAATATGCTGGAATCGCGACGGCGATGATGCATGGGAAGACAACTTACGAGCTCTCTCTTCCTCGTGTAGCCAGGCATGGCGATCGGTTGCGCCGGAGCCATTGAGTCCAGAGCCATTGGCGCCGTTGCTATGGCCCAAGAAGCCCTTGAGCGGATTCCAGCTTCTCGGCATTGTGGACGTGCGCAGAGGAAGATTATGGGTGCGTGAAGCCAGAGTCCGAGATGGTGGTTCTGTGGTTGTTTACCAGCCTCCCTGCGATGCAAGGTCACGAACGAGCAGCGGCGCTCCGTAGGCTGCTTGACTGTGGTGCAGGCTGCGCAGACAAACACTCAACGGGAAGCGCGCGGTCTAGCGAACAGTCGTCGCTAGGGATGGGGGAGGATTCAGGAAGAGAAAGAGAGCGCGTGAGCCTGACTCGGGAAGAATTGAGTGAAGGTTGTGTCTGTCTCGTCTCTTCTCTAGAAGAAAGTGAATTGCGAGAGCACGAACGAGACCGACGCCCAAGCAAGCTGAAAGCTCCCCCCAAAGGAGCTACCTCGGGAGACTAGTCCACGCACCGATGACGTTGGTCATGGGGCGTCATTGGTCAAAACAGGTTGCTGGCGGCAGGTGGTGGCGGTCATGGCGCGCAAGAGCAGGAGAAAGGCCCTGTAAGTTGGTGGGTTGTAGTGGATAGGTGTGGGTCGTTGGCCTGTGCGGGCGGTGGTTTCTTGCATCAAGTTGGAGCATCTTCAGAGGGGCCTCTCCACTACCAAGATGTACAGTACGATATGGTGCCATGTCGTCCGTCAACTCTCAACTCTCGTTTCCAGACCATTTCCACTAAAGTCGAAAGTCAGTTCCAGTGACGTCCTCTGTCGGCAGTGTGCTGCAGTCAGCGTTACATACCTGGGGTATCCAGCAATACACCCTGAAAAATACCAGGTACGGGGGCCAAATGCAGCAAAAACGTACCCAGCTGGACAGGGAAGTCCGATCTCCGAGGTTCCCCTCTTATCGATCAGCTGGTCCAGGCTCTTCTCCTGCTCTGGGTTGTGTGAGAACCCCGGCCATCCCATCCCCAAACAGGAATGGAGGCAGCCATCGAGAAGACAATCGAATGGTGTTGCGCTGAAAGCGATAAGAAGAACAGTTCCTCTCCTCCATCAGGAGCCATTGCTTCAACCTCTGGCATGGATGGTTCACTGATCATTGGCTTCAATGACGTCGCCCCTTCAAACTCGACGGCATCCTAGCTTGCGAACCAATGCTGCAGCAGGCATTGTTGCATGAGAGGAGGCCGATCAGTGACGCGCGCATGCGAGAAATCACTCCAACCGCTTTACCACCATGAGGAAAAGCAGGGAGAACAGGACCAAATCTTGGACGAGCGTCACCCTGCTCCAAGAATCATATGTCGTACCCATCAATCATCCCGCTGCCCTGTTTGCGTCTTAGCCGATCGCTCACCTTGGCTCAGATTGATACAACATTTTCCCTGCTCGTTCTCATTCCGTGGTGACAAGGTCCGAATCGACACGCACAGACTGACCTGTTTCGCCTTGAATGCAATGTCGCATGCTGATGGTTCAATGACGAGATCCACCCCGAGGGTCCCACGACTTCGCGGTCCACGATGCTGCCATTGTTGGTGTGTTTGGCCTGTCGTTTTGTCTTGTCTCTCCCTCTCCCTCCCGTGTGCACTGCGTCTCGGCCGTGTTTGTCGACATGCATCGCCAACGCAGCCACCTGCAAAAGGGAAGTCTCACCAGCCGTCTTTCATTCGTCCACGCCGCAGCCCATTCGCGCCCATTCGCACCCATATTTCCCCGGAACTTTTCATGTCCAGTTCGTTTTGACTGTTGTGTCGTCAACCCCGCCGCCCTTGCGGCTGCCATGTTTCCCTGATTTCTACCACCAGGATGACATGACGATGCTTTCTTGTTTGCTGACCCGCATTTTCGCTCCAATGTTACTCTTTGCGACTGTACGCCGCCAATTACAGTAGCAGCGTGGTGGCCAGCGACCATCGCTCGGTCGACAAAATCGTAAAACAGGCATCAATGTTTCCCACTGGATAAGTGAGAAACATCGCCTGTGTATCGCCAACGGAACGCTCGCTTGGGCCATAACAGAGAGGGCCATCAGATGGCCATCTAGCTCCTTTGACGGATCACATATTGTGCGCAGAACCGAACCATATTAGCATCCCCATCAGGTCAGCCACAGCCCCAGGCATCCGGCATGTAGTGCAATTGCCGATGGTGTGTATATTTGAGGAAATCCGCACTCATGTTAATGGCGCCGCCCTCGCTGCGCTCTCCCCCAGTCACAGCCTGCAAACCCGAAGTCGTGAATTCTAGAGTGTTTTTTTAGCGGAGGGGTAATTCGCGCTGGATTTAGTTATCAATCTCAGTTCAGTTCAGTTCAACGGGTCAAAAACATGGTACTGACTGGCCATGGACCAGTGAGAGGTCAAATGCGGGGGTTCACTTCATTCAAATGTCGCAAATGTGTGTACCAGGTTGAAAAAAAAAATTGAGTGATTTATTTAAGAAGATGGATGTGCAATTGTATTTGAAGGCAGAAGAAGAAGAAGAGGCTGGCCGTGGGGGCCGCGTAGGATTTTCAACGGAACACACCCTCGATTCTTACTTCCCGATTCGTGTTTCAACCCTGCATCGGGCTGGCAAGGGTCCGTCACCCAAATCCTTCTCATGTCTAGATGCCAAGCAATGGTTAATGCATAAGGTACCCAAAGGTGCAAATCGCAACAACTACCTCATGCTCATATGTAGAGAGGAGATGAAACATTCTTCATTTACGCATGGACCATACGACGTCTCGTTCTTTAACAACTCACTTTTGTGTTGGCAATGTGCATGCAGATGTGTGCATGTATAGTCGGTCCTAGCAGCATGCTTTCTGTTAGATTCTAGACGTGATTAACAGTAAGTAGGTAGCTATAGTATAGGGGTACCCAATACTGTTAGCTCAGCTGGTTAATCCAACACTTTCTATAACACGTAGGAAGGTACCACCGACAGTATCTCTATAGTCAGATAACTAAATCTGATTTGCATGCATCGGCAACAGAGAAGCCGGGAAAGTCTAGATACTCAACGACAAGACAGTCGACCATAATCCTAAAAACCGTAAGGCCCAAGAAAATAGAGTTGTGTTGGAGAGGATACGCCGAGATGATATAGCGCCTCAGTAAAATAAACGGAAATACAGCATGAACGGGCTCGAGACTTGACAGCTATTAGCTAGGAATCTTGAGACGGACTCGAAATACGCGTGAACTTAGAGAAACTAACTATAAAAAACGAGCCCTGTCACCCAATCCCTCCCAGGGGATAGTATAGGACTAGCTTTGGTAATTTCTGTGCAATTTTGCTGTAGCGACTTTGTCTCATCTTACAAATGAAGCGGGGACACTCATGGGGCCGACATTAGTCGAGGTCAAAGAAAGCGGAGAACTTCGTTTTCGATAATTCAAAACCCATTCCTCTTTCTGCTCAATAAAAACATATCCGGAAGCTAATTTTTTTTTCATTTGCTTATCCTCTTTCAACAGTAAAGTGATGAGGTGAGCGGATCAAGTCTCCAAGCAGCAACCCGCAGGGTACAGAGACGTCCGAATGCGCAATTCCTTTGCTGGGGCCAAATCAGGAAGGTTTAAGAGAGCCAAGCATTCTTGTGAAGCCTTGAGCGAGTCTAGAATATGTAATCAAGGACTTAATTAAAGTTGTTTAGCCAACCTACGGGGTATCTCCATCGACACTGCCAAGAACACGCAGTACAAATTGAAGTGGGTGAACCTACGCAAGCCACACTGGATCATATTTTTCGCAAAAAGGTTTCCATGCCTTAGACCCTATCCCCGAGAATTTGTGCCTTGTATTTCCTTGTGGTTGTTTTATCTCATCACCGTGGCGCGATATTTTGTACACCGACTTAGGCGGCCTTGAGTGCGGGCACCACATCACATCTCACGATCACAGCGCCAATTGCATTATTACCTCGTCTCAATCAACTCTTGCCTGACAACAATGAACATAGCTGGTCCACGTCCGGTGGTAGTTCAGGTTCGATCATTTCAATACGGTCATCTGGTCTCGTTGCTCACACTCCTTAGGCTACGGGATGGACACTAATTGCCATCGCGGCAGGTGCCATCATGGCTCGTCTGTATCTCCGTCTCAAGATCCAACGGAGGAGATTATTGGCTAGCGACATGTTTATCTGCGGCGCATGGGTTGCCGGCGTCGCCATCACGTCGTTGAACGTTCTCCTTCAGCAACTGGGAGCACTTGAACCCTCAGTAAAGACGAATATGGAGGGTTTTAAAGGCGACCCCGAGGACATTCCCAAAATTTTCAAGGTGACTGGAAGAGCAACATTGAATAAAATTAGTATGACTGCTGACGCGAGCTTACTCTAGATCTTCTGGTTGGGAAATGTCCCTCTCTGGTCAGCTTTTTACCTCTCCCAGGCGGCACTCCTTTCTATGTACTTGCAAATATTCCCAAAATTCATGGTAAAACGGAGAATCTTCCTATGGGCAACGATTGCCTATGTCGTCACGGCCTACGTAGCTAGCATCTTGATGTTATTTCTCATCTGCATTCCAGTTGAGAAGAACTGGTGAGTCAATTACATCTTTCATTCAACAGAAATAGCCGAGGCTGGAACAATTGTTAATACTTCCCGGTTAGGGACATGGACCCCCACTCAACATGCCCACCTGTTCGAGGCTACAACGTCTTTCTGGTGGGCTGGGCCTTGCACCTCGTTGGAGATCTCTTGGGTAAGTTGAACACAACCGGTTGATATAAGCAAGGGGACTGGCACTAAAACCCAACAGTATTTACTCTACCATGGCTCGTCGTGACGGGGCTGAACTTGAGAATGACCCTCAAGATCGGGGTGTACTGCACATTCCTCCTTGGTCTCATCAATATTGTGTTTGACGTCTTGCGCTTTGTCCCAATTCAGGCGTCACAGGTCGGTAATTCGGCGTCCATCAGTTTAATTGGTATGTAGAATTCCTCCCTTGGACTTCATCGCCGTGACTAGGGAATGGACTAATTAGTAGTTCCAGCGCTGTGGGGCATTCTCGACGTCAACATCGGGATCGTTATTGCTTGTTTGCCGGCTTTACGACCGTACTTTAACAATTCAGAGTCCAGTCAAAGAGGCAGCTCAAACAGCGAGGCCAAGTCGTGGGGCTCATCAGTGCCACCAGGGGCCGTACGGACCGTCGGGTGTGTTGGATCAAACCCCCGGCATAACACGAATGGGCCTGAAGATAACTGGGATGGCAAGAGGAAGAGCAATGGGAGCGAAGTTGAGTTGTTCCAGAGAAATTCGGGAGCGGCCGAGATTGCGTGACAGGCAAAAGCTAGTGGTGAGGTACAGACACGTCTCACGGCTACCTAGGTCCGTAAGATGAGGCTAATGATACCGGAATAGGTAGGTAGGTAGAAAAAAGTAGGCACGTCAACACATACAAGGAATCATCTCTGGCTGCTCCAGCTCCACGTGCATGAAAGAGAAATACTGTCGGACGACTAGCCCCAGGCAACAACCTGGGGAGTGGTTTTTCCATTTCGCACGAGGCTCGGGTTGAGAGGTTCCCGCTGGTGAGGCAACTAATCCGTAGGTGGGTCGCCCGGTGAGCCGCCTAGCCATATGACTGCGGCCTGCAGGCGCCTACAGGCGACGGCTGGCGACGGCTGGCCACTGACAGAAAGAACGCCGGGGTCAACCCCACTACCGGGATGCAGCACAGTGAACCAATGCACTGCAGAAACGGCTTCCAGCGTCTCATTGGGGCTCGACTGTGCGGCGTGAGATGATGATGGCCGCCTCTGCCTGATGTCGGCGTGTTTGACTCTAAATGATGAGCCATTCGGCGGAGCGTCGACCTAGCTTGTCTACTGCCGTGATTGCGATACGTCCGTCGCCGGTGGGCGCTCTTTGTTTTCTGTTTGTATCTCCGTGGCCGCGCACTGATGCCTGGTGTGACGTGAGCCATGCGATGCCGTTGGTGGAGCCTGTTACTTGTTACTTGACAGTCGATGCCGCAGATGCAGTGAATCTTGCGCCCATCCGTCCGTCGTTGGCTGTTGGCTGCCGGCCGTGATTGTGAGGCTGATTGTGAGCCCTGACCATCCACATAGCCGTCTCTGCGGCCTTTCTGCGTCTCCCCGTGACCTTTGTTGTGGCCGTTTGGCCGACTGCTTGCATCTGGCTGTTTCGCGGCCGACGCCTCAGGCGTGCAGGCACATCCATTCACATCCAAGTCGCCATCACCACCCGTCGGGAGGCTCTCAGTGATTCATCCATCACAATCCCTCCTTCATCGATCGGCAGAGATTCAGTCTCCCAGCTGCTCTATTTAAACGTGACCCATCACCTGTCCTCTCATCTGGCCCTTCTTTGCACTTTCCTCCCCTCCCTCTCGCCGTCACCCGCTCTCGCAGGCACCCTTTGACTGTCATCCTCACTTTTTGCTCGCTCGCTCTCACATCGCACCACCATCATCATCCCGCACATTTTTTCTTCAACTCTGTGTCCTTTCGTCCCACTTGCTTTCGGATCACAACGTTGGCTGTCCACTCGACCAAGACGTTCGCGAAACGTCATCCCTGTCCTGTCGAATCGCATCTCACCATCCGCTGCGTCCTTGTGCGTCTTCTCCGTGCCCCCTTGCTCGTTTGGTTCGACGACATATCTTCCTCTCCCACTCTCCCACTCTCCCATCCCATGACCGGCGAGCGGGAAAATAATCCATCTCGAAAAACGACGTATGCTCAGCTCCCCCCGCGGAATCCGCACCATAGAACACGCTGCTAATATCTCTCCTAGCAACACTTACGCGGCCATCATTTCGAGTATCCAAATAACCAACCTCGCTCTCGTATTCGCGTCAAGTTGGTTGAGCCAGGCTTCTATCTGCCTAAGATCAGACTCATCGCTGCCTGATAGCCTGATATCCTGAGGCGACCGACCTACAGGCGAGCTACAGCTGGCAAACAACCATTCCAGCTAGCAAGACGCTGCGTTGGTGGATGCAACCCACCCGCTTGTACAGCTGGCAGCCCACAAACCCTTCTTGGCCTCCAGTTCCATTTGCATTCCACCAGCACAACGCACACGCACACTTGAAAAAAGACATTCCCTCGGAGCTTTTCTGATCAAGATATTTTGCTCTCTTCTTCATTCATCAACTCCGGCATTCCAGCTCTCCTTTCATCCCACCTCTTGCCGCCACGCCGCACGCTAAGTGACGTTGCAGCCACTCAGAGCTTCGTCGTCAAGGATGGAGTCCACCGAAGCCACCATCGCGCCGGCAGATCGCCGTGACGACGCCAACCCCATTGGTTCCACAACGGCCACTGACGACTCCGCCCGGACGCCCGTGGAGACGAACCCCAGCTCCACCGAGCCCGACTCTAAGCCCGCCGGAGCCGGTCGATCCGATCCCGCCAAGCGAACTAGCAAGAAGTCTGCCAGCAAGAAACATCGCCACGACAAGTCCAAAACCTCCAAGCGGTCCTCCAATAAGACCCTCGCCGACGCCAGCCTGAGCGATAATGAGGACGACAGTGAAAGCTCCGACGCCGTAGATTCTTCCGATTCAGAGTCCGATTATGGCGATGAGGTTGAAGCAAAGTCCAGTGTGTCAAAGAAGCACGTCAAGGTGCCCAAGTCCAAGCCAAAGTCCACCAAGAAGGCCAAGTCAAAGCAGGAACCGAGTTCGAACAAGGCAGCCAAAAAGATTCAGAAGAAGAAGAAGAGGGCCAAGGCGTCGGCTATCGATTCTGATTCCGATTCTTCCTCTGATGACGAATCTGCAGATTCCTCCGACGAGGAAGTGAGCGAAACCAAAAAGTTGGCTTCTCAACAGGACGGCCTAAAGGATGAGTTCCAGGCTTTGAGGATTCAGGTTGCCCAGCTGCAGCATCAGTTGGCCCAGAAAAACAATGCCTCACAATTCGCCCCTGGTGGGTTTGGCTATCAATTCTCTTTCCCCATGGCCCAGCCGCAACCTACCATCCAAACCCCCCAAATCCCTTCTCAAGTGACTTCCACTCACGCCCGCAAGCGTGGTGCCCCACCTCCGAGAGGAAATCCACGACTGCAGAGCAACAACAGCCTGTCGGGTCTGGGAGAAGAGGACAAGGATTCGCTAGATGAATCGAAGACGCCGAAGAAGTCTGGTGTCGACTTCAAACGCGTCGATTGGGTGTGGGACAACAAAATCCACAACTACACCCTGCAAGACACGACCGAGTCTACGGGTGACTCTCAGTACAATGACTTCATCTTCCATGTCCGCAGGACCTTTGACTGGGAGGGAAAATACCGGTCTACGGTGGTAGACATCAAGAGCAAGCTCCTGCGTGAGTGCCTCCAGGATATCATGGGAGATGTCACTGGAGTGAGTTTGGTGGACGAGACCCCCAAGGTCGACCCGAACCTTCTATTCCTGTAAGTGCCAGCCAATCATTTCCTCCCTTTGGCCAACCTATGTTTTGAGTACCATGCTAATTTCGTCATCTTTAGGTATCTGGAAGACATGCGCGACCATAGAAAGTTCCTCAAGCATACTAAGCCTGCTGGAGACAGCAAGCAGGAACGTAAGAAGAACCAGAAGCGGCTTAATGAAAAGCAAAAACATCTCAAAGTCCTCCTCAAGTACCTCGACAAAGACTATGCTGCAACCAAGGAGAGCCTCTACCCCATGCTGGAAAGTGGTTTGATCACATTTGACCTCTTGTGGGCGCTGTGGAAGCCAAACACCATGGCTTGTATGACCACGTATGGCTCTCCGAGTGAGCCCCGTGCCTTCAAGGTCGAAATGGCCCAACTCCACGCAAGTATCATGAAGGGTAACTTTTACTATGTTGATGGAAAGTACTTTGAGTACGACGGGAAAAAGTTTGGCTACGGCAACATCTCAGAGGACATCCCCGAATTCCACGGCGCTCGAAAGATCACCAGCCTCCCATGCTACCCGCTCAAGTACCATCAGAATGAGGAGCAAGTTCGCCAGAGCCTGATCGAACGTGGCAAGAAGTTTGTGTCTCTCAGCGGTGTTCACTACAAGAGTTATCAGGGAATGGCTTTCCTAAAGCGTAAGAAGAACGCGATTGTCAAGTTCAACGTCGCGCAGAGCAGGATCATGGTAGACCCAGCCATCTTCCGGCGGATCAACCCCAACTACAGTGTCTCTATGGTCAAACCCAAGGATCATGATATTCTTGACGACGACGACGATGGTTCCGGTTCTGAAGCAGCCTGTTGCTCTTGTGAATCTTCAGACTCTGAAGGCGGTGAGAAGATCAAGTATATCACCAAGGTCTTCAAGGACCGCAAGGGCGAAATTCACATGGCGCGAATCCCCAAAGAAGAGATGCCTGAAGGGCCTGAGCAGGACAGTCTCGATTTGTTACCCAACAGGCAAGGCTCAGTCAAAGAAGACAGGGTCGATGAGGAGGGCGTCAAGTCGCTACCCGAGTTTACTGATGAAGAGTACTTGATGGCGTCTCCTGTAGTCCTTGGGTTTGCCTTCTCAGAGAAGCAATGGTTGGAGTTTACTGTATCTGGTGTCAAAGACATCAGTTGGAACGAAAAGGCTTGGGACTCGCTCGTCCTCGAGGATGGGACGAAGGACTTGATCAAAGCGTTGGTCGAGTCTCGCAAGTACCACGCGGCAACCACGATTGATGATGTGATCCAAGGCAAGGGCAAGGGCCTCGTCAGTAAGTTTATCCTCCTACAAACGGTTATTTATTTGGGACATCAAGTGCTGACAGAGCTCTTTAGCTGTCCTCCATGGACCTCCGGGCACTGGCAAAACCCTGACAGCCGAGGGTATCAGCGAGCTTCTCAAGTGTCCCCTGTACATGGCCTCTGCAGGAGAGTTGGGGACGGACTCCCGATTCCTTGAGGTAGAGCTTCAAAAGATCTTGGACATCTGTCATGCGTGGGGCGCCATCCTGTTGCTGGATGAGGCGGACGTGTTCTTGGAGAAGCGAGATATGCACAACATCCATCGCAATGCCCTCGTGAGCATATTCCTCCGACAGTTGGAGTACTTCCAGGGCATCCTGTTCCTGACAACCAACCGCGTCGAGGTATGTCTTTCCATTGCTCTATGTTGCGTTCGATTGCTAACTTACTGCGTCCCAGACTTTCGACGAAGCGTTCCAGTCACGAATCCACATTGCTCTCCGATATGATAACCTAGATGCCAAGGCGAAGAGGACAATCTTTGAAATGTTCCTCGGCCGAGTCAAGACTCTTGGCAAGATTGAGGTGAAGCCACTGACGGAAGATGACCTGGTCCTGCTATCGAAGCAAGACCTCAACGGTCGAGAGATCAAGAACGTGGTGGGCTCTGCTCAGGACCTGGCCGTTAACAAGGGCGAGGCATTGAGTATGAAGCACATCAAACAAGTACTGAACGTACACGCCAAATTTGGGCGGGATCTGAAAGGCGGGACTGGGTATGAGGAGGCCATGAGGAGCTACTTCTAGAATCGAGGTGGCACACCGCCATGCTCGGCAGGACAAACTCTAGAGAGATTGACCAGAGAGGTGAGAGTTGGGGGAGAGTGATCGAAAGGCTGGTTGACCGTGAGGTGGAGCAGCTACCTGAATGCGAGGCGCAAGCGAAGCGGCTTTGGCGCATGAAAATCCATTGGAGATTGAAGATGGATAAACTGGGGTTCAACGGTGGTGGATAGCGATCAGCCTCGGGTTACGCGGATGGACCATTAAATTTGCGGATTCACCATGTACTTTATGATTGCTACGTAATAGCGAGCGAAACAAGGAAGCGAGAAATAGGTTGATATGCATGATCCGCAATTCTTAACCCGGGAGCCAAAAGAAGCATCCTCGTTGGACAGAACATGAGGTTCCATGAATTGCCACCGCGCGACGGTCGGCCGGGATGCCATGGAACGGCCCCTTTCTGCCCCCGGCACATGGAGACGGTCAATCTCGGTGAGCGCAGTCCGTGTAAGACCTTGATCGCCAGAGCACCCGAACAGCCACGGCAGGCCTCCCCTTTTCCGGGTCTGCAAGCTTGGACACGGAACGCAGTGCACGAGCCATGAAAAACGGTAGGGATTTGGTTGAAGCAAGCGGAGACGGTGTCAGCACGTTCCCGAGAGTGGTTGGAAGCGATTCAGGCGGCATGGTTCCAAGAGGCGGCTGGAAATAGCAACGTGGACTCGTATGTAGGACGGGTAAGCGGCCCCACGCCGTATTTCCTAAATACGGGGTACCGATAGACAAGACCATTGCCATCCTTACTAAGGGAGCTGATCAGCTGGGGTTATCTCCACTTGAGCCGGATGTCGTCGGCTGAGGCTGGGAGATGGCTGACGATGAAACCATCAGACGCCGGGTCGAGGGTCGTTTGCAGCTGGAACCTAATTCTTGGTAGTTTTCAACCGGCTTGCATGAATGCAGGGTTGAGATGCAAGAGGAGGTTGGAGATGAGCGGAGCCTCTTGGAGCGGGTACTATGCAGATGGGAAGAGACATGGAGCCATTGGGTTGCTGGTATGTCAGACGGGGCGTTGCGAGGAGGATGGCCATAGGGATCTATGATGATCCAGGTTGCGTGCGAGCATGTGCTAGGATGCGGAGAGAGGGAGAGCAATGAATAGGCTCAAGCCATCTTGGTATAATAGGGGCATTTGATTAGTGAGCATAATAAGCAAGGAGTCAATAGCCTGTGCATCTGTATCCCTTGGCCAAGCATCGTGAGTTCGCCTTGTTGCCCAAAGAGGTAATGCTGCACCTGTACCTAAAGGGAGGGAATGATACGGAAAGGCAAACCTAAAATACACAATGTGATGAAACAACACAATCGAAGAGACACGATTGAGATGCGGAGACTAATAAACCGTATCTTGTTCAGACTATTCAGCAGGAATCTTGGGGTCACGCCATGGAATGCATAACACCGCCTTATCATCATCACAAAGTCAGATCGGAGCAGAACAATGCCAAGCCCGAGGGCCCGAATTGGATTGTTTCTGCCCGTCCCGACCGCCTACTTTATTCGGATGGCCAACGTCCCGGCCGATGCTGCCTGAGGCCAACATACCTCCCGGCCCCCCTTTCAATCGCTGAGGTTGGCTGATGAATGGCTGATGAAGGCTGGCTTGTCTCTCATTTCCACTCCCCAGGGCTGTGAGCCAGTCGTGCACTAACCGCTGCCTCGCCTGAAAGCCCATGTCGATCATTCCGGAGCGCAACGAACACGATGCGCGCCAGTGGCTTGCTGTTTATTGTTTCATCACTGGCCGCGTCGTCCAGACGGCGGGAGTGAGGAAGGAGATTTAGGTGATTTGCTATGTGTGCGAAGTGGGCACAGCGTTACTGACACAATCCTCTTTTGACCGGACGAACGAACAAGCACACCGCAACGATCTAGGATGCGCCAGGATGCACCCAGGATACCGTGGACTGACAGAGAGTGGGGAAGAAGAGTGAGGGCCACGACGCAATGCGCAGAGCCACGCAGGGCCACGCCAGCTCATGGGCCGGACGGTCAAGAAGCATCCAGTCAAGCAATGAAGATGGCGGGGCGACCTCTGAGGAAGCAGATCCATCTGATGGCTACCGTAGATGGTCGTTTCTCGGCGGGCTAATCACTACACTACTACGTGCCCTCACTGGTTAATGCGACTTGACGGAGGTCGGGTGCGCTGGCTCATTCGTGAACTGCTCATGTCGGCCTGGCGTCTAGGCGGTCAGCGACATGCCCCTTACAGCAGCTCGATGAGCGGCAATTGATACCATGCGGACGACCAATTGCGATGCTATCGTCGTGTCTCTCAGCTGTCACAAGGCCAGTCCCGTGCGAATGCTTGGGTCCACGTATCGAGCAGATGTCGGCCAGATGCTGACGGCCACCAACCCCTGCAGTGCAGCGGAGAGTATTCTAATGCAACCCGAGAATTGGGGGAGGTGCCCAACTGAGCACGAGCACCCCCCCCCAAAGCGGTGGCGGACCTTGTTTTTCTTTTTAGCCAGATTTTCCGGTGTTTCGTCCTGTGTTCACTTGCCGTCGCCACGCAGTTACGAAGCCTCATACCGGGAAGCTGCCCGGATGGATGCTTCGATCGAGACTCCGCCGGATGGATTCGAGTGCCTGGAGATGCCCACTTCCGGCTTTCATCTGGTCTAGTTCTCTGGGATCTGTCGTCCTGCCTCGCTGACGCGGCGATCGGATGGGCTGGTACGGATACTTCTCTGGTGGAGCAGCCGACGCAGTCGTCGACTCGTTGAGCGGAGGGCCAAGGCAACTCGGGAGAGAACCACGCAACCCACTGGCCAATCGGGCGCCCATGGTACCTGGCAAACCCCGGTCAGTCATCCTGGGCGAATGTTACATTCCTGTCCAAGCCCTTGGGTTTGAGCCTGCCGCCTTGGGCAAGGCCGCTTGAAGTCCTGGACGCGCTGGGCCAGGTCGAGCCTAAGGTGGCCAAGGTGGCGCTGAGCCCGGCCCACACCCGGTGCTTGGTGGTGACATTCGCTAGCTCTAGGTCCGGGTGGCCAAGCACCGCATGCCCTGTGAGAAGGCTTCCAAGGTTCCAAGCGGGATCCACCAGACTCGGAGGAGAGATGAGAGCAGCCGTCTAGGAGGGTGTGGCCATGGGTTCTCCATCTTGGCCGACCCAGTGAGACAGGGAGAACGACAACAGAGACATATTATGTATGTGAGAGTCCGCCCACACCTCCCGGACCACCCACACACACCTACTCATACCTACTGGCACACCCCCGACTCGCCTTATTAACCCTCATCTCCCTCCTTTCCCATCTCGTGTTCTATTCCTTCCTACCTTCCTTGAATCCGGCCATTTGCCAACAAGTCACTCTTTAACATAACGCTCTCTAAAACGCAAGACTCCCAACAGTCTTCCCTCACCCTCTTTTCAAGGCAAATCAGCAGTATTCAGGGAATACTCTAAACCGATTCATACTCCCAATCCGTCAATATGAAGGTCTCCTCCTCCGTCATCATCCTGGGCGCCGCCCTCGGCGTCTCTGCCCACCCCAGTGGCCATGCCCACCAGAACGCCCACAAGCGCGGCAACTTCGTCGTCGCCAACAAGCCCACTACCACTGTCATCGAGTACGTGACCGCCGCTGCCGTCGCCGCTGAGGCTGTCTCTACTACCGCCGCGGCCGCTGCCGCCTCATCCACCGCCACCGAGGATGACAGCTCCAGCAGCGAATACGTCGAGTTCTGCAGCGGCAGCACCGCCAAGCGTGCTACCCTCGCGGAGATCGCCTACAAGGGCAACACCGGTACCGAAGACGACTACGGTTGCAACATGATGACCGTCAAGGAGAGCATCGCCTCCCTGTACAAGTACACCGCCACCTTCAACAACGACGTCGCCAAGGACCAGGCTTGTGTCTGCTTCAACAAGATCGGTGAAGATGGTGGCATCAACGGTTTCTGGAGCGGTAACGAGGCCATCTCCTTCACCCTCCCCGCTAGCGGCACCAAGGTCGTCGCTTTCGAGGCCAACTCCCAGGGTGGCTGCGCTTGCAGTGTCGGTACCGCTGTTGAGCTCACCGACGCTGGTCAGTTCGCTAGCACCTGGCTCGAGTTCGACTTCGGTAACACCTCCAACGACGACTGGTCCGGTGCTGATGCCTCTTGCCTGGTCTCTGCCGCCAACTCCAAGTACATCCCCGCCCTCAAGGTCTGCGGCTCCGGCACCTGCTCCACCATCTACTCCGGTGGCAAGGGCGAGAACGCCTACCTCGGCGGCATGGAGGCTGAGGATGGTGTCGGCCTGAACCTCGCCGCTGGCAAGGTCCGCCTCACCCTCACCGTCGGCGAGTAAGCTCGTCTTGATGACATAAAATGGCTCCTTATGCGCGGAGCAATCCGAGCTTATTTGAATAGATTTGGCGGTTGTTTTCTATACCTGGTGTTCTTTGGTGCGTGGATACACAACACAATACAACTGGGGTGATGGGTTTCTCCAGATGAGAAGCCGTAAGGCCACCTTGGATACTGGTTCGGGATCTCTTGTTTTTTACCATTACATATACATAGTACTATGATATATTGCTTTCAATTTGATGGACTCCTAAAACCAATTCTCCACAACCAATTGCTCGTGCATGCATTTGACGAGCTGACATTTGCGTGAACCAAGTGAACCGAAGGGTTGTCCCTTGGCTTACATGAACCATTGTCGTTGCGAACCGAACCGAAATCTCGACGAAACCAACGGTATGCCTGTCAGTCAATGCGTAGCCTTGTGTATATTAAATTTGGCTGTTGGTCGTCGTCGGTCGTTGGTTGTTGGCTGTTGGTTTGTGTGCCACATGGCAGATATGCCCGGTAGATCGCCAAGTCCCCATGAACGAATCCTTCGCAGTCTCATTGAAGGTCACACTTCCCCAATTATCCTACCGCGGAGTAAATCCTGCACTGTAAATCCTCCTCCCCTCATCGCCAGCGATCGTTTCTGAATGTTCTTTCGATCGAGAGCACTAGCACGCAGCAACCTCATTCACTCACCTGCAGTTGAGTCACACACAGTATCCATTCAATACACACGCCCCCCCTCCATCAGAGTTTTCTTGCCTCTCTTGCTTCCCCAACCTCGCCCAACGAGAAGATTTCAGGCTGCGTCTTTTTTGCCATTTTTCCCTGTCGTGGTTCGGGACGGGATGAACAAAAAACTCGTCGGAGTCGCATATGATAGGCCCTCATGCGTCCACGACAGGTTGGGGCGGGGAAGAACTAATGCAGCGTTGCCTGGTTTGCACGGTCGGTGTAGGGTAAGGTCTGGCAGCCTTTGTATGGGGCATTAATGGAAGCCGCTTTAGAGAGATGGAAACTAGTTTATGTGCGGTATTTGTGACAATTGTGTCGCATTGTGCGTAGGTGGAGAGAACGGTGGAGTTGGGAATGGACCGTTGACGGTTGCGGCTGGGACCGAGCCGTATGGTTTGTCAGTTATGACGAGTCACCATGCATGCATTGGTACAGTCGCTAAAGTGAGAAAGAGCATGAATAGGAGTACATGACATCAGCATGACATTCAACACAGGAAGCATTGATTGCCAGAAACTCACACATGCAGCTGACTCTTCAAGCGCCTGGCAATGGAGTTACGGTTAAGCAAAACGTCCAAGCACCGCGCCACAGGGACAGCCGTTAGCGACAGACGGTCGGTAGCAGCTAAAGGAGACTAACGGAGAAGGTTATTATGCCGAAACGGCCTTCATAAACTAGCAGAGATCAAGATGTGGATAGAAACTAACGAGTCATTATGCAGACACTATTCGGTAGTTGTAAAGCAGCGTTCTTCACAAGTCCGCACGGACTCCCCGGTGTCCAATCAAGACCAGCAGCCCCTGACTCGTACCTTGTTAGGCCCACTTGTGCCTGACATGCACCACGTGGATAGCACACCGGCCGGCAGCCCGCTGTCACCACAGCATTGACCCGCAGGCTACCCTATAACAAAGGCGTTGCGTACATACCTAGGTACATATCCGGGACTCCCGCGAGAGTTTCTTCTGCGTTGGAGCGGCATCGGGTGCGTTCCGCGGTGTCCGGGAGAGGGAGGACGGGGAGCAAATTCTATATTTTCCCCGCCCGGTGTCGGCAGTTGAGACCGTCGGGTTTTTGCTGTCGGCCGTGGTGGTGTGGAGAGGACGACGTGAGCGAGGTGGAGATCGGGATGTGGTTTTCGGCGACCGACTCGGATGCTGGGATGATTGGATGAATTGAAGTGAAGATGTGCCGACATGATGGAGTGTGCTAGAACAAGAGTCTAAGTACGTAGGTATGATGCACTCCCATCAGGTGGCTTCGTGATTGTAGGGTGGGGTTGTGGCGAGTGAGGGTAGAGGTGTTTTTAGGGTGTATTCACAACTTTGCTCCTACATACTCGCAGTTGGAATCTACAGTGATCATTAGATCTAGTATTGTGTCGTCGTTAAATTGGTGGTTTGAACATTCCGTTCTCCGGGTGGATGGGACAGCATGGGTTGAAAGTTGGGTGCATTTTACTTTTGTCGACTGAATGCATGTTTCATGAGTGATGAGTGGCATTATGCCGAACTTTGTGGGACAGTAAAATAGCTCTGATTCCGTCTCGGATGACGGCGGGGCGGACTCAGGTGGTGCTACGTCTTCGTTGGAGAGCTGGAGAGCTGGCATCGTCGCGAGTTCGATTCAGGTGCCGCTGCATCGCCGTAGTGGATAGGTTCAGATTGTTCAACAGCTTTCCGGTGAGGTGTTCGATGTATGGTGAGTTGGATTCATGCAAGTGCTGCCATTGAGGTGGCTAGCGAAACGACACGGCACAGCACAGCACAGCACATTACGGCACAGCATAGCACATACGACAACAACACTTGCATTGTGACTTGGCTTACTACGTAGTACACAGGATATTGACTCGCAGCGAGACAAGGGCCAGGTATTGAGTGCGACGGTAACAGCCGTTAGTCACCGGCGCTATCGACAGGGGATACGAATGCAAGAGAGATGACATGACGGAAAGTTGGGTGCCGATGACATTCCATACGATGTGCATGGTACATCACCATCGCCGACGGATATCTATGAATGCTAAAGGTTTCGACACTTTGTTTCGAAGAGTGGAAATGAGATGGTCAGCGCAAGAGGGTCAGATCGGGGACAACGAGTGGCGAATCTGAAAGGATTCCCACCGAGGATGTGCATCATTTGTACGAGGGCCAATCATGATTATCCCGGGTCCGTGGAACGAGGGATGGAGATAGACCTCTGGACTTGAACTTGGCGAGAGAGAGTTGACTGGGGTGCCTTGTTGAAATGAAGGAATTGCTCCGGGTCCCGTCCCCGGGAGGGCACGGATCATGGACGTGAGATCCTAGCCGTACCTGTCGATCCAAGCCAGGTCGCCACGCCATGAAATTTATTTGGTTTGGGTTAGTTTTGAGATGAGATGGACATTGAAGTGCCGTCGTGTCTTTCCAAAAGGGATGCATCTTTGAGACTGCATCCAATAGAAGAAACCCGTCGCCGCTTGCGTCTGCGCCGGTCCGAAGAGTCGACAGGACCGGGGCCCGGACTCGGTGCCGGCCGCGGACGGAAGGCGCGCACGGGGCTGTTACGGGCAGGAACGCCTGGTGTTGGTCTGCCAATTAAGCATGCTAGGCAACAGTGCATGAAGGAATGAACCAAGGCATGATGTAGATTAATTTGAGATTTTCTTTCCTCTCAAAAGCCCGTTGCTTTTTATTATTGTCGTGTTGGTTTTCCTTTTGCCTCTCCGCCATGGCATCATTTCCAACAATGCGACATTGAATCCTTTGCTTCAAGCTAGCGCGGTGGGTTTCTCGCGCCGTGAGGTCGAAAACAAAAGAAAGTCAAGCGACGAAACGGAACAAGACGGAAATGCCAAATAATGACAGGATGCAATAAGACACGCGCCAGTCAGCATCCAGCACGGCCATGGCATTTTGCTCGCCTCCTATACTGAGTGATGATTGATTGACTGATTGCTGAGGATCCTGCCACTCGGACCCTCCCTCCTCTAATAAAATGGCACTCGGAGCGGCTCCCTGGCCAAGCTTGGATAAAACAACTGGTTTTTTGGACGATACAGAGCCAGGATAGGTCAGTATGGACCAGGATAGGCCAAGACAGGCCAAGACAGGACGGGGCTTTTTATGGGATATGACCAGGATATGCGACGCGTCGCCAACGGCCGCCACCGTCCGCCAGAGTTTCATCTCGACGAGAACAGACCAAAATGAACCGCAGTTGAAGCCGCTACGGCCATTGTCTCCCGAGGCGCCCCGGGAGTCCTAGAAGTCTCAGGAGTCCCAATACCGGCACCTATCCAACATGACAGCGCTCGTGGGCCGTTGACGGTTGGACTCTGGCACCCCGGGTTGGCACGTTTCAAACAGACGGCGCGATTATTCCCCTTTTGGGCAAACCTCCCCTCTTCGGCGCCCCCTCGCTGAAGCCCTCCGGCCTCAATCCATACACAGTCGGTATTGGACCCTGGCCTCCCGGCTTCCCGGGGAACCTTGGACAGGGCATAGTGGATGATGGGACAGGGTGCAAAGGGGAGAGAGGGAAACGAGGGTGTGCTTGTGAGGGCTGTGCGCGCCAGCGACATGGGAAGCCCTTGAATGTGAACGGAAGCCTCGTCGTCTGTTGGCCGGGGCTGTTTGGCGTTGGTCTCGTTGGTCTCGTCGGCTTCAAACTTGGCCCTCTCCTCACATCATCGTCGTCTTCAGCGGCTTCTGTCCTTCCTTTGCGTCTTCTCGACAGACACCCGTCCGTGATCCTTCCCCAGCCCTGGCCTTGGCTGAGTTCACTCGTTTGACACGACCGTCTTGATTGTCGCGCGTTTCCCCTTCGTTCCGTCTGACCCAGCGCCAGACACACCCTCGCCGATTCCAGAAAACCTGTTTGGGGCTCCCAGGGGACCAAAAAAACAAAAAGAGCCTCACCACCGTCTCGTCTTCCCCCAACTTGCCGGATACCCAGTATATACATACCCAGCATCCAGCGTATCGAGATATCCCGCCATGGCGCCGTGATGTCGTGGAAGCACAATCCACGACTACCGACGAACCCTCGATCACCATCATGATCCCGCAGCCTCACCGGGCGAACGAGTCGGTGCCGACGATAGCTCTATTTACACCGAACACACGCACCTCCCACCAACACCCTCGCGGTCATGGACCCGACCGCGGGGCGAAGTGCGCACATCCCGCCTCCCGGGATTAAGAGGCCCGTCGATTCCTACCATCGCCAGCTGCACGAGACCCACGGCGTCCAGATCGAGCACCCGGCGTCCGACAACACGGCGTCCGGCTCCGGAGGGCGGTCCTCCGGCTCGCAGCCGCGGCCCGACTCGTGGCGGGGCCGCATCGCCTCGTCCAACATCGGCCGCAGCGGGACGTCATCGCTCGCCCACGTCACCTCCTTCTTCGATTCCGAGCGCCTGGCCCGCTCGGCCGTGCAGTCCGAGGGTAGCTATTCGCCGCAGGGCCCTAACCGGATGCGATGGCCGTTCTTGGGGAGCATCAGGTCCCAGCGGTCGTCTCCCACGTCTCCTGTATCTGGAATACATGCGCCTGATTCTGACGCCGGCGACCCCAACGAGATACACCTCCCGTGGCGTCCTTTGTTTCTTCACAGACGGGTTCTGGCCTTGTTTGTCCTTTTGTTCGCTGCTCTAATCGCAGGTCTGGAAGCTGTGCTGGTTATATCAAATCAAAACGACGGACTACGGAAATCCAACGAAGCCTCGAGGCTCCTCTGGCAGTATGGCGTGGTCCTCGTCTTTGTCGTTGTTGCTGCCCTTTGGGCGAGGGTCGAGTATCAAGCCGCGGTTACAGCACCGTGGATACGCATGTCAAAGGCCCCCACAGACATCGACAAGTCCTTGCTCCTCGATTATGTGTCACGATTTCCGCCTTTGGCAATGGTGAAAGCCATGCAGAATAAGGATTGGCTGGTTGCAGCGACCTTTGTTGTCGGCCTGCTTCTCAAAGTCGTCATCATCTTCTCCACTGCCATGATAACACCCAGGCTGATTCCAGTTTCCAACCGCAGCACCGCAATCACTGTGGAGGCGGGCTTTGCCCAGAGCAACACCGGGCTAGAGAACGTGGGGTCTCTGCCATATTTCGCCATGGCCGGCCTACAAACAAACAACATGAGCCTCCCCAACGGGGTGTCTTCTCGAGCTGCCTACTTACCGTTTTCCAGCGATAGGGACGACTTGACGACGTTGAATGCGACTGTGGATGGATTTATTGGTGGCATGGATTGCGAAACGGCCGCGCTGACCTTGAGCACGATGCGATTCCAAGCGGGTTCCATTCGGATCAATGTAACGGCGTCGACAAACGGTTGTTCCACCAGCCAGCTTATATGGAGTACTCGATTCATCACCACCAGCGACGACAATCTCCCGAGGAAATTTCTACTCTTTCAAGCCGGGAGCTGTGATAAATCTACCAAGACGGAGGACCAGCGGATTGTCGTGATGGCCGGCACAGTGGATCTGGACCTTGACGCCATCACGAATGCCAAGAAGAAATCGTCGAGCACCACCACGACCCTCAGCGGCAAGCTTTTAAGCTCGACCGCCTTTCTATGCACGCCAAACTACGCAATCATGAAGATGCAAGTTTCCAAGGAAGCGGAAAATCTCTTATCGATCCAACAAGCCAATGGTGCAAAAAACACGACCCTCGATGGAGTCGACCCCTGGAACATTGCAGCTGCTCAATTCAATTCATATACCACCACCGAGACCACTGGAGACAATTCTTTTGCGGCCGCCACGGAATTCTACCAGAATGAGGCAGTTTTCTTCGCTAACAAACCGATGTATGCGGCCCTGGCTATGAGAGCCAAGGAGTCAGGGTCTCCACCGGAGCTGGCTTCCTTGGAGAACAGTTCGACGTTGGAGCAGCTTGCGAAGGATTACTACGCGCAGTTCTCAGCGTTGATTGCGAGGTATTCGATGACGGAGCCAACTTCAACTTCGGCAACCGCAGTTTCAAGCTCCACCCAGCGTCGACTCATCGTGAGGTCTCCTCCTACGCATCTTATGGCTGGGTTTTTGGCCGTTTGCCTCTTGATCACCGCCGCAGCCATATTCGGAACCCCGACCAAGGGATTTCTTCCGCGAGATCCAGCCGCGCTCGTCGACATGGCCGCCATCGTGGCCCATAGCCACCCCCTTGTTGAGTGCCTCCGAGGCATGGGTGCTGCGAGCGAGGAAGCTATCCGGGTGAGGTTGGGAGGTTCGGAGTACACCACTGGTGCAGAAGGGCACGAGAAGCTGGGAGACCCCAACTTGGGATACTTTCACATCTTTGGCGGCAAGGAACCGCCCCGGAATGCTCATTTACGCCGTTCTGCTACGGTGCGATGGCGCCAACCGGTCTTCTTCCACGGGCTCATCAGGCTTCTCTACGCCATTGTCCTCGCAAGCGTCATTATCGGCTTCGAGGTGGCGCTGCGGGCATCGGAGCGATTTGACGGGGTGAGGACTATCGACAACGACGACGCCTACATGGCCTGGACCGCGGCGCCGGCTTTGGTGCTGCTCTCGATCGCACTGTATATGAGCGAGGTGGACTGGTGGGCGAGAGTTCTCGCGCCCTTCGCTCACTTGACTCGCCAGGGCGAGTTCCACGATACGATTGCGCTGAACTTGGTCGACGTTTCGAGGCCCGTTGCCTTGTGGCGGGCCTTGAAGATCAAGGAGTTCGCTGCCCTGTCAACAATTTGTGCGGTATCCCTTGCAGGCCTGTTCACCGTTGCATCTGCAGCCCTGTTTGAGCCGGTTTCAGTTGATGCTACTACTGGCGTGGTTCTCCACACTGGGGACTTCTTTGCAAATAGCCTGGCCTCATCTCCTGATGATCCGATCTGTACCGACTGTAACAACGACACCCTTGCTGCGTCCCTGATCCTTGTCGGGGGTGCTCCGTTTCCCAACTTTACCTTTGCCGACCTCAACGTGCCCTCCGTCACCCTGGAGGGTGAGGATTCTGCCGGCGACGACTCCAAGATTTCAGTCAGGTTGACGGCCATCCGGCCTAACATGACGTGTCGGCTGTATCTGTCCAACGAAATATCGACCAACATCACGCTCGAGTATACAACTGATGACAACATTGTGAACCCTCTCCAGATCGACCTCAATGGCGAGACTTGCCGCAGAGCCGGAGCGAGTGATAGCAACGCCATTCTTGGAACATCGGACGCCTCCGCCGAGAGCGATAGCAGCAGTTCAGACAACGGCGTGTTCTTTGGCGTGGGCTTGGGCAAGACGAATGCATCCTCGCAATGCTCCGACTGGATCTACGTCTGGGGCCGGCTGGCTAACACGAACAGCGACAATATCTCGGTTAGCAGCATCAACGCCTTGGCGTGCAACGAAACAATCCAAGCAGTCGAAACGGACTTAAATCTCCATGGCGCCAGCTTGCAAATCGACTCGTCAGACCCTCCGGTTCCAGATGAAACGACGGTTGAGGACACAGAAGTGGCTATCCCAGATCTTGACTATTCGTCTTTGATCAACGTGACCCATACCGGGCTCCTCGACGCATTTTTCGCCATGTTGAATGCATCCGAATTTGCTGTGTCAGATGATGCGCTTGGAGGCTCATCGGCCGCCTTGGCCGGTGATGTTCGATCCGCCATCCTCAGCCAGCACGGTATCATCCGGGCCCAGTCGTTGAACTTCAAGAGCCGGCGACACTTGTCCTCATCTGGAGCGTTTCCGACTGTGAATGGGCAGGACATCATGAGCGGCGTCAAGCCTGACGCGTCTGTTTCCGAAACCGTGCCGCTGGTGAACGGCAACTGGGTCTTCCAGCGGATCCGGCTCCGGCAGGGCGTCGTCGCCACGAGGATCTTGCAGGGTATCGTCGGCGCTGTCTTGGTTCTTCACATCATATCTTGGATGTTTATGCCGAAGAACCGTCTGCCTCGATCGCCCACAAGCATCGCCTCCGTGGCTGCCCTCCTCGTGGATGGCAACCTGCTCAGGATCTTGCCTCGCGGAGCGCAGTGGCAGCCCAGGAAGGAAGTCGAACAGGGACTTCGGGAGAGTGAGCTGGCCGAATACTACGAGATGGGATGGGAGACGACTCGGATACGAAAAAGGCGAGATGGGCGCACGGTCAAGGTGGAGGGTGGTAATTTTGGCATCTGGGCTCGCGCGGAGGGAGAGTACGGGCCCAATGAGGAGATTGAGATGACACCCGTCGAGAGAAGACCTGAGAGGTCGACACCCCCGGAGAGATCAACACCCCCGGAGAGGCCTGAGGGGAGATCTAAAGGGAAATCTACTGATATGAGGAACATCTACAAGCCGCTGCCTGCTCAGATGCCGTCCGTGGACATGGGTTATATGCGGAGGGTTCCTTCAGAGAGACGCAGGTCATCTGTTCCGAGGTCGTATTTGGAGAAGAGGCCGTCAGAGCCGATGCCGATGGGGACGATGCCCACGGAAATGAGGCCATCCGAACCAACATCAATAGCCAGGATGGTTGGAGAAAGGAGGCCTTCGGAGCCAACGCCGATGAGGAATATCATCCCTACAGAAAGGCGGCCGTCGGAACCGACATCAATAGGGAGGGCGCCGATGGAAAGGATACCATCCGCGCAACCATCCACCGACAGCATGGCTTCAGAAAGAAGACCAAGAGAACAAAGACCTATGGCCCCCGCGCCACTGGAGCGCCTAGGCATGGTCCGCAGAGGCACAGGGACTCTCGGGGCCGACCCCGTCCAAAGAAGATCCGTGGTGGTTGGCAACGACCCGCGTGCTTCGACGCAGACGACGGACGGGAAGAAGGAGGTTGTTAAGGTGTGGTGGAAATCATAATATCGCAAGGTTAATGGGCGGTAATGTCATGCGAGTATCTGCGTCAATCTAGATTATTACCTACCAGGGGATATACATGCCCGGTGGAGTTTTTGGATTTGGGAATTGAAGAGGGAGGATTATTGGTTGGACCAGGACACAAACAATGGATGCCGCTGCCCCCAAAGACACCTGACGATTTTCTATGTACATATTATGCGCTTATGTAGAATACAGCAGCTTATACCAAAAGGTTAATGCGATGCCCAAATTCGAGGCTCTATTCGCCGGAAAGATGTCGTATGGAGGAAGGAAAATAAGGTTGGACCAACACAACATCTTCAAAACAGGGGATGGCCAGGCGTCTGCATGGTATCCTTCCGGGTCGTTGGTTAATTACTGTAGACATATATGTTACGCGATCATTTATTTGCTGGGCTGCCAAGGTTGCAAATAATGGCTGTGTAAGTCACGATGAAGGAAAAGTTGACTTTGGTAGCCATCAAAGTTAAACGTTGGCGTAAAATCAAAATTAATTCACCTATATATAGAGGTGGTCAATCCCTAGATTTTAGAGAAACAGCGTCGAAAACCCCAACGACTACAAACTCATCAGAGTCTGTTGCGGATGCTTCAATCCTGCAGGCCGAGGTGAGAGCAGTCGAGGGATCTGCGTCCAAGTCGATCTGGGGGATGCGCCAACGACAAAATGCCAGGCACTGGGCTTGTCGGTTTGGCGTGTAAATAAAAGCGAAGATCCGATGAAAAGCGCGCAATCGAGACAGTGATGAAGAATCCGACTCCTGGTCGGGTTAGCATTTCGCAGTGTTCTGAGTCTCGACGAGAAGTTGCGGATGCCAGCCGAGTGGTTGGCGATCGAGTCATGGGAGGCTGCAACAGGAATGTACTGGATGTAGCTAGAAGATGGATGTAATTGGAATTTTCGAGAATAAAATATCGACTCTTCGTATCGGCTGTAGCAAAGCCGTGTGATTTGTTATTGATGTCATGATCGTACTGGTGCCTTGCGCCCTGTGGTGGACGCCTTGTCGAGCACGCATCCACTGTAAGATGTGGCATTTAAGTGCTGCGTTGGTGGTGATCCTTCAATTTTTCTCGAGGCCCACAGCGCTGACGATGGAATTTCCAAACCTTCCTCTTTCACGACCCTGAACTGCGAGCGGACCTGTCACACTGCTACTGCGACAACATGGCCGCGAGTGAAGCCCACGACGCGGGCGCCGAGCCGGCGGAGCGTCAAAGTCGGATGCTTGAGTCAGCGCGGAGCCACGTCGAACTTGTCGATGTTTGCGTACGGGAAGTCGATGCCCTCATTGCGCGGCTGCAGCCCAAGTGCAACCCGATGCTGTCGACTGGCCTGCCGACGTATCTTCGCACGCTGCAGCGCGAACATGTTCTCCTCCGGGAGCTCGTCGCGGAACTTGCGGGCCCAAACTGCGCCGACGAGTCCCTCAAGCTGCAGGACCGACGCCTCGAGGCCAGCGTCAACGTCGTCAGCCGCGGCGTCGCCCAGTGGGAGCGACTCAAGCGGTCTCGCAGGATCGTCACCGTCAACCAGGCCTTCCAGGGGTCGTCGCGCGATGACCGCCGCAGCGAGGTGGCCAAGCTCGACATGGCGGGCCGCGAGAAGCAGAAGATGCACCGCATCCTCAAGGAGCAGGGCCGCGTCGAAGTCGACGTCGTCGAGGGGGGCCGCGAGTGGCTGGCCGTCAAGACGGTCCAGCGGGATCGCCTCGCCCGCCAGTTGACCGACTGCGGCTGGTCGTGGGGCGAGCACGAGCTGGGGGATCGCGTGGATGAGGATGAATGGGACGATGTGCCTCTGGCCAAGTACGTCAGGAGGTTGGTTGCTGCGGCGAGGATGAACCGTCACAATTACCGCTTCCCCCGGATCCGCCTCATACTGTCGAGTCTGAGTCGCGCAGATGACGAGATAGACATCTTTATCGACCAGCTAGTCCATATAGACCCTCTGGTTGAAGTCATCATGGAGTACCAGGAGGGCGCCTTCATGTCGACTGCGCCCCCGCCTCTTGATGTCGCCCTCGACAACCTCGTTGGCGACGAGCTTGAGGATCTTACTGCTACCCTCAACCTAGACCATACTATTCTCATCGATCTCATTTCAGATCTCACACATGCAAGTCTCGAGCCACAACTCTGGCAAGCCCCGACCACCCGCGCACAGATTGAGGAGGAGAACCGCCACGACGGGGGACTGATGGCCCGCACGCTGTACCCCGTGTTGGCAGGTCGGAGGCTAGTGTGCACGTCGGAGGCGGCAGATCACTTCCACTATGTCCTGCGTAACGTGGGCACGGAGACGGAGCGTGAGAGAGCGAGGTTGCTGGTGCCCTGGGACGACGAGACGCGGAGTATGTCGACCAAGGACATCCGAGACCGCTTCCAGCAACTCTCCATCCACCAACTCCCCGATGATGTAAAAGTCCCCATCGACATTATCCCCGAGCCGTGGGATATGCCCGCCATCTCCCAAGCCGTCTCCAGCGGCGTCCTTCCTCGCGTAGCCCTCGACGTTGCCGAAGCCAGTGCCTTCAAGAGCTCCAAGCTGTCCATCTTCATATACGGGTGGGCAGCCGGCGTAGCGACGGTGACGAGCAACAAGGAAGTGCGTCGACAGGTGCGGGCGTGGGTCAAGTTGAATGCCCGGTCGGAAGACGACATTGGGCCGTTGATATGGACGCTGCAGGTCACGCGGAACTTGCTGGCCAAGAATGCGAGTCCAAGACCGGGGTGGCACGACAAGTCCACAGGGAGTGATTGTGGAGCTTATGAGGATGATAACGATAATGAGTGATGGGTATATATTTATAAATTAGTAGCGGCTGGGTTCATAGCATAGACGGAGTGTATCCTCCAGGATGGGAGTCCACGTAGTCACAATTAAGACTTGTCAACTACAGACCAGTACCGTTATTAATCATGTCTTGTCCTTGACTTTCGGATACCGCTCTCATATGAACCACGGTTCGGCAACTGCAGTATCACTCACGTCCCACCAGCTCGCCCACGCCCCTTTACAGAACCCCGCGAGATCATATTGATTCCAAAATGCTTCCACCAGACTTCTCATGACCCGGACATTACCAATTCCCCGCACCTCGTCCATGCGATTCAACACCCCAAGAATTGCAATTCGGTATTCATCTGAGGGTGCGCTTTCACAGGCAATAACAAATACTGGCCATGGGCTCGTGGCGACTTCAAGTCTGCTGAGTATGTCGAATGCCTGCTTCAGACATAAAGCACGTCTGCCGTCGTCTGCTGGCATGGGGCACACGCGTTGGAGATATAAAATAGAGGCAAGGCGGTATAGTTCTGCAATAGCAAGGACCCGAGCTTGCTTTGAGGGGTCTTCGGAGGTTTCGAGGGAAGGGAGAGTTTGAGTGAGGTTGTTGAGTTGTTGGTCGAGGGCGAGTCGTTGCTTTGCGATAGCTGGGTAGGGATTAGAGGGAGCAGTATTGGCGCTTATTGACCGCATTTTGTTGATCCTGTGGATTATGGAGATGGTTTCTAGGGAGCAACCAAGTGACCCGATGATCTATCCCTTCGTCAGAACACTGCCATGTAAACCCGAGCAAAGTGAAAAGAAACTCACAAGAGTGACATCAGACACGGACGCTTGAACTAGAGGTAATATGTCTCCTTCATCTTCGTCCGCCCTCAGGGGCTGTGTAAAGCACCCCAGAACCTCATGATAGAGAAACCAGGTCAGGGTAAACTCAGAGTCAAGTCGACGTCGCCTCCGTTGAGTATAGAGACTCTGCAACATCTTCTTGGCTCCGTTGAGGTGGACGGTCCAGTTCCCTTCAGCTTCGTCAAACACCTATCTCCAGAATAAATTTTATTGTAAATAGTAGCAATTTGTGGTGTGTGGCAACTTACATTGTACACGCAGAGCATCATGGACGCCGCCATCTGGATCTCTGTTCCTCCAAAGTTGGAGGCCAGAGCCCGAGACAAATAACTGACTGCGTTTGTCTTATACGGCAAGGCTGCAAGTGTGCCGTAGGAGTGATATGCGGAAATAGCGAGCATGGCGTTGCGGAGGGCTGATGAAGCTAGGCATGAGGTGGTGAGCGCCATGGGGAGGAGGTCGTGGTGGAAGCCGTTGCGGGTATGTGTAGTTGATATCATTGTTGCGATCCGGTTTTCATCTTCCTTCCGGTTTAGGCTCAACTCGTTTGTATTCTAGAGTTTGGCAGACTTACAATAACTCAGGAGCATAGCATCCTGATCCACGACGGGGTGAAGACTGAGACTGCGTGCTGGGCTGGGGAGGCGTCTTTTTATCAAGGGACGATATAAATACCCGTATTCCACCACCTCAATGTCGTCAAATGTGACGTTTAAAAATTCAATAGTGCGATACGATAGTCGCTGCTGCTCGGAGGCACGAGGTCTCGGCGGTTCCTCGTACAAGACCTCAGTCTTTGACCGTCGCCCATCCGGACGATCAGGCCACACGAGCCGAAGGCCGTAACCCAGGCATTCCCTTCCCATACGGATACAGTTGCTGCAATGCGGTAAGCCCTTATCACAGCCAACCTTGCGTCCTGCATGAGAGGCGTTAACAGCAACTTTTGGAGCATTCAGGGTGTAGAAGAGTTGGTAGTTTCACCTTTGCAAGTCCAGCAACCTGACTTGGGTCTCATTTTTGATATGTGTGAGGTGTATTCAAAGATCTACGTCAGTTAAGAGAAAATACACACCATTTGGCTTCATAATAGAGCTGATAGTGATGATCTAATTTGTGAAGTGAGAGGATTGACTCATGTTGGAACGTCCGCCCCGCAATTAGTTTTGAGTCCAAGCTACCCTGTAGTTACGGTCGTCGCAATTGCGGACACAGATCCTTCGAATATGACACTGCAAGTTAAAAGGAAGCAGGTTTTGAATGATTTACATTAAGTTGAGTTGTATTTCCAGAGAGAAAATAGGCTATTTTCCGCTGAGTGGATTGTCGGGATACAAGATCCAGCCTCTGAATCAATTGTGACAAGCCGAACCATCTCCGTCTATGGTTATTTAACGCCGGCGAACAAACACTTTTATACAGGATATCATCTCAACCATCAGAACTGTGACACCACCGAAGGATCTACAGAGTCAAAATCCCCAAAAGGCCGCGGGACCTGCCGTCCCCAAGAAAAATCACTCATCGAATCCCAGTTGAAATCACCCATCCAGTCAAACGGCATCTCGACGATGCCTTCCATCGTCTCAACGGCCTGGTCCATCCCAGCCGGTGAACCATCTTCATTCATCTTGGCCCCTTCCCGCTCGGCCACCTCTTTCAACAGCTCCCAGCTCTTGACGCTGATACTCTCGCCCGTGTCGACGACGGCCCGGTCAACTTGATCTTGAGACAGGCCCTTTTCGATACTATCCGCAAGCGCAATGCACGCCGCGGTGAAGCAGTACCCCTTGATATTGGTCTCGCCCGACCGGATCCGGCGCTGCGCCCACACGAGCGCGGCATCGAGCACACGGCGCAACTCGCTGCTGCCCATGGAAGGAATATTGCCAAGGGAGTCTCGTTCCTCCTCCTTTTTCTTGATGAGTTCCATCGCGACGGAGAAGAGCGTCTGCACGGGAATCACGCGGAAGAGTCCCGCGCCGTTGGTAATGAGGCGGTCAAATGCCGTCATCGAGTCCATGGCGCCCGGAGGTGCCGAGGGGTACCGCGGATGGGAGAGATTGCAGATCTGGGCGATTTTGAGCGAGGAGTCGAGAGACACCTTGCGGGAGTAGTACATGGTGGGATCCTCGGCTGCCCTCCTCAGTATGGGCTGATGTAACGAGAGGAAACAGCGGTAAATGAGTAGTTGGACTAGACAGCAGTGGAACTGCGTGATGATAGACCGAGATATTCGTTTCTGGGCGTAAGTGAGGGTAGCTAGAGCCTCTGTCAGGCTTCGGCAGGCCTTGGTGAGTTCCGAGTTGAGCCGTAGAGTTTCGTGATACGACTCCTTGGACCGAAGCTCGTTGACGTGTTTGATAATGCCAAGTCGTAGGGGCTGAGACTTGTGAAGGGCTAGTTGAACGGACATGTCGGTGAGGGTATCGGGATTGCTGCCCGGCGCTTTGTTCCGTTCTGACTCGTCGGTGAGCTGATCGTCGTTGAGGTTTGCGGGTAGTCGAGTATCATAGTGGTTGGATGAGAGCAGTGGCGGACCGCCGGCATCGTATGAGGACTGGAGGTTCAGCTCGAGGATTGTTGCCCACAGTCGCCGGCGCATCTCAGCGCGGTAGACGGACATGTCGGCCAGATGTTTGGGATCGCGGTGTAGTCCCATGTACATGGCCTGGCGGACCAGCCCACCCGTAGTGACCCAGGTCAAGTCCTGGCCGATAGCGCAAGTGGCCTTGGCGATGGCCAGCATACACATGATCTGTATGCCTGCAATTGTCATCCTGCTCTTCTCAGGGGGCAATAGCAGCCACAGCTGGGCCTCGTGAACCCACTGCATGGCCGTAGCGCGGAGCGAGAAGAGATCGTCGTGGACCGTCGCGCCGAGGGCCATACACAGCTGCATCTGCATGACGAAGACGTCGTTGGCGGCACTGGGGTTCTGCCAATACCGCTCGTACTCGGCGCGGAAGGTCGGGACATGGAGGATGCGGATGGCGCCCTCGAAGGTGCGGAAGTAGGCGTCAACCAACTGGTCGGCGAGGTCCCTCATGGGGATCGCCTTGCCCAGGTGAGCTGAGGTGATGGGCCTGATCCGGTTCTCCTTGATGGTGCGTGCCAAGGTCTTGCACTTGACGAACATGCGGTGCGGTCCTATTTTCAGCGCTTCGGCGTGTCTTAAGGCGCCGAGGATAGATGGGAACTGGATAGTGTTGGAACTTGAATTAGGACAAGTGCGAGTGAGCCCGGGAAACTTACCATGTCTACGCCGTTCATCCAATGGCTTTGTCCGAAGAAGCGAGTCTTGGATATGGTTCCTTTCATGGGTGCATGAGCCTCCTCTTGTTCCTCATTGTGTTCTAGTTTATCCTCTGTCTTGCGAGAGATGAAGAAAGAGTCGGCGAGTTTCTGCTCTAGCTCACGCACCCTAGCAGCCAAAGCATCCACTGTTGACGTGTCCGAGGAAGATCCCATTGTGGAGCTAGGAACGCTCGATGAGAGTGCCTTTGGGCCAGGGTTGTGCACGGGGAGCGGCTTCTGTATTTCAAATACAGGAGCCGACCTGGCCGGGACATGGGACGATGCCGAGACGGCATCAACGTCTTGGGCATGGTTGAGATTCTTTCTGGTCCGGGATGCGGGAATATGAGTTGGAGCATAGGTACACGGAGAGATCTTGGACTTGATGCAGTTGACACAGGGTAGGCCGCGATCACAGCGGATCTTGCGACGGCGACATTGCTCGCATGAGAGGGCGGGACGCCGGCGTTTCTTTTCCGGCTTGGCTGTAAGTGGATGATGTTCTTCCAGTGACGCAGGTTTTGTTGTTGTTGCGTCCCCAGCCAACGGAGCCCCAGCCAACGGAGCCCCAGCCAACGGAGCCGACGACTCCGGAGCAACCTCCGATGTCTCGGCGGCGGCCCGGTCTTGGCTGGGAACAGTGGGTAGGCTGAGTCCCGGCTCCGTGAGGTAGAAGCTGGGATGGCCGATCGCCAGGGGTGGAGACGGAGACATGGCGGCCGGATGCTTGCTCTTGCGCAACCGGACGAGGCAGCTGCAGGAGGCAGAAAAAGAGCGACGGTGAATCGACAACGACGCAGAAAAAACAGCTGCGGACAAGGGTTTTACTTGAATTGCCGTCGCCGTTTGGCAGAAGAGCGAGCTTTGCCTGGATGACGACGATGCTTCGGCCGCTCGCTCGGACCGGCAAATTCAAAAGACCGCCGTCGGCTCGCCCGCTGATTGGCTGGATGCGTGTAATTCACCGAGATGGACTGGGAATTCACCGACATGACTTACACGACCCACGCGCCAACATCCTTCATGCTTCGAAATCATCGTCGCGGCGTGGCATCAACTACGAGTAGAGGCGTCTTGGCTGCACGGGGCGTAATAATCTGACAGAAGTATGCCGGGATTGTCTGGCCTGGATTGGAAAAGGCCGGCAGGATGAAGGTCTGCCCTGGACTCGACATGTTCGAGTCAAGGTATAAGGAGGCCGTGGTTGCCATCGAGTCCATGGATTCAGTATGATACGCAGAGCTTCAGCAACATTCGAGGTTCATCTACAAGAGAAAATAAACACCTTTAATCGGGGTTCGTTTCTCACTTCAACTCTCTCCACGAGCCGGCATCACCATGGCCACCGAGAAGCCCCCAACTGAGACACCCGACAACCTCAACGACGCCAGCATCACCACAAGCGACCAGAAACCAGAACCCACAGACCAAGAAGCGTTTCCCGACGGCGGCCTCAGAGCATGGCTCGTCGCTGCCGGTTCCGCGGGCGCCTTCTTCTGCACCCTCGGCTACACCAACGTCTTTGGCATCTTCCAGGCCTACTACATGTTCAACCAGATGCCTGAGCGCAGCGCCGACGACATTGCCTGGATCGGTTCCGTTCAAGCGTTTCTGATATTTGCGACGGGGGCTGTGGGAGGGCCGCTGTTTGATCGCTTTGGCGCGTGGGTATGTTGTCTTGTTCACCGGGAGGGTTGATGCTAATGCGCAACTCTGTAGCTCGTCCGTCCAGCCGCAGTGTTATACGTCTTCGCCATCATGATGACCAGTATCTGCACGTCATACTGGCAATTCATGCTCGCCCAGGGAATCCTCACAGGCCTCGCCAACGGCCTGCTCATGTTCCCGGCCCTCTCAGCCGTCCCGCAGTGGTTCAACCGCAACCGCGGCGCAGCCATGGGTCTCGCCATCGCCGGGTCCTCGCTCGGAGCCGTCATCTTCCCGATTGTGCTCTCCAACCTACTCACGAAGACGGATATCGGATTCGGCTGGTCTGTTCGCATCACCGGCTTCATCATGCTGCCCTTCCTCACCTTCGCCGCCCTGAGTATTCGCTCCCGTCTGCCGCCGCGCCGCACGCGCTTCTTGCTCTGGTCCTCGTTCCGCGAGCCCATGTACGTGCTTCTCATCGCGTCCATGTTCTTCGGCATGATCGGAATGTTCGTGCCGATGTTCCTGCTGCCGACGTATGCCATCACCAAGGGCATGGACGAGAGTCTGGCGACCTACCTGGTGGCCATGATCAATGGGGCGTCTATATTCGGACGAGTCATCCCAGGTGTGTTGGGCGACAAGTTCGGCCGCATCAACACGCTCATCGGTGCGTCTGTAGCTACATCTATAATTATTTTCTGCTGGCCCGAGGCGGAGACTAACGCAAGCATCATTGCGGTCGCCACGCTGTTCGGCTTCACCTCTGGCGCCATCATCTCCGGCGGGTCTGTGGCGATTACGCTGTGCCCCGACGACCCGAAGAACATTGGCACTTACATGGGCGTGGGTATGGCCCTGGCTTCGTTTGCGGCGCTCGTGGGACCACCCGTGAGCGGTGCCATGATGGACAGATATGGGCGGTTCGAGGAGGTGACGTACTTTGGAGGTGCCATGACAATGTTCGGAGGTGTCATGGCCGCGGTGGCCAAGTCAAAGTCCCCTCAGGGACTGTTTGGCAAGACTTGAAGAGACTCTATCGGGTCGACTTTGAAGGTTTGTAAAGCGGGTATCGTTATGAAGATTGATAGAGACATTTGCATTGGAGTTAGAGGAATCCCAACTCGTACAAGATAAACCATTCTAGTTGCAAGAAATTAGACAAGATTCAACCCGACGAATCCCATGTAAATGACTTCTACCACGAATATGCCTTGCTCTCCTTTTCCGAATATGCCATGCGAAGACTTGAGTTTTAGATCTATACATTCACCCTTCCCGTCATTACTCCTTCTTAACCTCTTCAATAACAGACTCTCCCTCAGACCGATCCCCACTCGTCCACATCCACTTCTCATGCATTCTCAACCGTCCATCCTCCAACACCTCTGGCTTAGACCGGCATTGCCCCGTCATGAGCTCGCCCTCGCGGTTGACATGCTGATATCGCATATCCAGGCTGTTATCGGCGCTCGCCACGGTAGCAATCAGCGTGCCGCGGACGATGGAGCCGCCTCCGTACTCGGCCCACACAATGTTGCCGTCCTGGTGGTAGTGGAAGAGCGTCTCGGCGCCGACTTCGCCGTTGGCCGTGTTGGAGGCCGAGCGGAACGTCTTGCCGTCGTACAGGCTCATTGTCAAGTTTCTGTTCCCGGCGATTGAGTGTTGGTGTCTTGGGCGGAGAGTCTTCACTCCAGTGCACAGGCTCGCAGCGATGCCTCTTTTCAATTGACGACTCCTTATGATATAATAGTACATGGAAGAAAGATGGCCAGCGATTCCTCCTGCGTCATGCAAGTGCGACTCTTGCTTCATATACGCCTGTTTCCCGTCAATGTGGAGAGGCCGATTGCGGGGGTCCTCAGGCTTAGTGTAGGTTAGAACCGGCTCGCGACGGAGACTATGACTCCCGGTTGCTCCGCCGCGCAAGTGTGAGAGAAATAGTGCCAATTCAACCTCCCTAATAACCATTAAGACCCTAACTATTTACGTAAAACGGATACGATAAGCCTAGAGGAGAAGCACGTCGATATCGTCGAGTATTATTCTTAGGATTTGTACCCCGGATTTGGTGGGAAACGTGAGGGTGTGACGGTGGCCGTCAAATGAGTCCACTTTAGAGGAGGAGCTCGAGAGGGTTCTCAAGGACCTTCTTCAGCTCCTTGATCCACTCGGCGCCAACAGCGCCATCAACGACCTTGTGGTCGAAGCTGCCGGTGACGGTGATCTGCTCGTCCCACTCAAGACCCTCCTCGTTCTCGGCGGGGATGGCCACCTTGCGGGTGGTGCCAACAGCGAGGATGGCGGCCTGAGGGGGGTTGATGACGGCCGTGAAGTGGTCGACAGCGCTGTTCATGCCCATGTTGGAGATGGAGATGGTGCCGCCCTGGTACTCCTCGGGCTTGAGCTTGTTGTCGCGGGCCTTCTTGGCCAGCTCCTTGACCTTGCTGGAGATGGACTCGAGGCCGCGGCCCTCAACACCGGTGACGATGGGGGTGATGAGGCCAGTGGGAGTGGAAACGGCCACGGAGACATCGACGGAGCTGAACTGGCGGATGCTGTCCTCGCGCCAGCTGGAGTTGACCTGGGGCACCTTGCGGCTGGCGACGGCCATGGCCTTGATGAGGAAATCGTTGACGGACAGCTTGTACTTGCCGTCGGCGGAGCTGTTGAGGGCCTGGCGGAGCTTGAGCAGCTTGCTGACGGAGATGGAGCTGGTGACGTAGAAGTGGGGGTTGGTCTGGGTCGACTCGATCAGACGGCTGGCAATGACCTTGCGCATGCCAGAGATGGGGGTATCCTCGTAGGTGGCGCTGGGAGCGGCGGAAGCAGGGGAGCTGACGGCCTTCTTGACATCCTCCTCGGTGATCTTGCCACCCTTGCCGGTGCCCTTGAGGGCGGCGACACTGACGCCGTTCTCACGGGCCAGGCGCTTGGCAGCAGCGGAAATGTTGGGCTCACGGTCAAGAGCAGTCTCGAGACGGCCCTCGGTGGAGGTGTACTGCTCGGGCTCAGGAGTCGACTCGGTAGCGGCGGGAGCAGACTCGGACTTCTTCTCAGCCTTGGGGGCGGCAGGGGCGTCACCTCCAGCATCGGCGATGGTGAACGACTCGAAGGCGGAGATATCGGCGCCTTCCTCGACGAGAACGGCGATGGGCTGTGAGAGTTGACCAGTCAGTGATAAGAACGACGACGGAATCGCGGGCGTTCCCTGTGGTGAGTACACCCGGGAGGGGCGTCGCTGGAGTATGATGGGCGACTTACAGTGCCAACAGGAATATCCTTCTCGCCTGACTCCTTGAGGAGCTTGGCCAGAACACCCTCCTCTTGGAACTCGAAGTCCATCTGAGCCTTGTCGGTCTCAATCTCTACCAAGACGTCACCGGGAGCGAGGACATCGCCGGCCTTCTTTTGCCAAGAGCCGATGTTGCCCTGGGTCATGGTGGGCGACAGAGCGGGCATCTTGATAACCTGATGGCTGGGGAAGGAGGCATAGCAGCGCACGGCATGCGCGGCGAAGCCAGTTCGCAGAATGTTCTGGGCCGGGGCGAGAGCGCGCCCTCGGAGAGCGGCGCTGAGCATCTTGGGCGTCGTGGGGGAGGGATAAATGTCTCTCTAGATGGCAGAACAGGGGAGTGGTCAGCGGTGAGGGATAACACTGGGATGACGCCACGGAGGCCGGAAAAGACGCAGACTTACAGCAAAAGGGGCAATTGACGTCGATTGAGGAGGAGACGGATGCCGCCGGGATCGTCGGAGCGAAGGGGGAAGGAGGAAGAGGGAATGAGGTCGAGGCTCTTGCAAAGGAGAGAGACGGAAGAGGTTCGGGGATGGGAAATTCTTGGGGTTGGACGTGGAGTTTTTCGCGTTGCGTTGAGCTCCAGCGGCTTCCGGGCTTCTTGGAAGCTTTGGGGGTGCTAAGCCACATTGAGGCCTAGCGTGAGGCGACGACAGCGCAAACCCCTGCCAGAGCAAGCCACTATCTGGGAGTCCAGGGGCGGGTGTAGAGGGCTGCGGGCTATTCTTACAGCGCCTTTCAGGGCCTTGGCGGTCGTTGGGGGGGTTCGTCGGGGGGCTCTTGGGGGGGTCATGCCTCTGCAAGAAAGCCCGCTGCTGGAGAAGAGACCCGCTGGAGGAGGCCCCAAGTTCGCACCATGCACATGAGCGCCAGCAGGGAACAAAAAAAAGTCGCTCGGGACATCATTTGCGCGACATGAACCGAACCCCGGGGCAATGCGATGGATCGGATTCAGAGCATGTGTCTGCCCGTTGATTGTTGATGGGACTGTTGAGTACATATTCACTCGTGCCGCAGCATGTGCGCATCCAACAGGCATGGTCGTTTAGTTCCTTTAGTTCCTTTGTCCCCATCGTATTTGCTGGCTGCCTCTTGGTATTTCCTACGAACGATAATAAAGTACCTCATTGTCGTGGCTGGATTGACCACCCCACCAGCTTTGATAACCACGGCCTCTCTTGGGGACACAGCGCGATCGGGCCGTATGTGGATAATCACATCTTCCCGCTCCGATGCCTTCCAGGTTGCCTTATGTAATGTCCTCTTATGTCAGCGGATTTCGCCATGCCTGCCCCTGACACCTTGCGACCTTAGTCATCCATCGACCGTAATCTTCATTTCCTCATCTGGCTCAGCTGAAAGCCGCCGTCTAAAACGGCCACCCCTTTCGCGTCTCCTCCACTCTTCATATGCCAAGCTAACGTTAGCCGGCCGTCAATAGAAGCCAAAGCCCAACCAGAGTAAGCCAAAAAGTCCAGGCATGGCCCGTGGGGTCCCGCACCGGCCAGGACCCAAGCTCATTTTGGAACGCTGTCCACTTCTGCCATCTCGAAAGCTGACCGGCAACAAGTCCTGGACAAGGCATCAGCATTCTTTCCCTCCTCTCCTTTTTCTAATTCCAGCTTGTCCCGGAAGCAGAAAGCTAGGATCCTCCAAACGAACCGACCTCGTGTTTCGCTTTCGCCGGAAGAAAAGGACAGCGCGCTGCTCCGCCCTCGAGCTGAGCTCCATCCCGATCCGCCGCGCCGCCACCATCGCCGCCGTCCCCTTTATTAATTACGTGGAAACTCCGGCCTGGCCTCGACTTCGACCTTGGAACAACCTGCAACCTCTCCCTTGCCGAATGGCTGTTGATCCTCGCTCCGCTCCCCCATGAGCTCCCTCAAGTTTGTAGTGTCCTCGCTCGAGGCCATTGCCTCGTCCAAGGATGCCCAGCGCAATAAGCAGCTTGCCGAGTCGGCTACCAAGGCCCTCGAAGCCATCAAGGAGCAGGACCAACTCCCCAGCCCCGAAATCGTCTTCGCCCCCCTACAGCTGGCCTCAAGGTCCAACAATGTCCAGTTGACCACTGCCGCTCTCGATTGTATCGGCAAGCTCATCTCCTACTCCTACTTCTCTGTCCCTAGCAGCCTCCCCGAGGCCCCCGAAGATGGCGCCGAAGCCCCCGAACCCGCCCCGCCCCTGATCGAACGGGCCATCGATACCATCTGCAACTGCTTCCAGGGCGAGACTACTGCCGTCGAGGTCCAACTACAGATCGTCAAGTCCCTGCTCGCTGCTGTTCTCAATGACAAGATCGTCGTCCACGGTGCCGGCCTGCTCAAGGCCGTGCGCCAAGTCTACAATGTCTTCCTGCTGTCGCGTAGCACCGCAAATCAACAGGTTGCCCAAGGCACATTGACACAAATGGTCGGCACCGTCTTTGAGCGTGTTAAGACGAGATTACACATGAAAGAGGCTCGCATCAACCTTGATCACCTCAAGAACGGCTCCAGCAATGCCACCTTTGAGCAGATTGACTCGGGCAACGGCGCCCATGATGGACATGATCGCGACGAGTCCCCAGCGCCCCCATCGGAGGCGGGGACGACGGAGCCATCGGAGAGTGGTGTCAAGCTGACCCTCAAGGACCTGGAGCACCGAAAGAGCTTCGATGACTCCAACCTCGGAGACGGACCTACCATGGTCACCCAGCTGAAGCCTGCGAAGAAGGATACCGACACCGCGTCCACCAACGACCAATCGGGCCCCGATTCCTCTCCCTCAGAAGACGACGATGCGCTGGACGCCGAGGACGAAGTTTACATCCGGGATGCCTACTTGGTGTTCCGCTCCTTTTGCAACTTGTCTACAAAGGTCCTGCCCCCGGATCAGCTATACGACGTGCGCGGCCAGCCTATGCGCTCCAAACTCATCTCCCTCCATCTCATCCATACCCTCCTCAACAACAACATTGGCGTCTTCACTTCTCCCCTCTGTACTATTAAGAATTCAAAAAGCAATGAGCCCACGACTTTTCTTCAGGCTGTCAAGTTCTACCTCTGTCTGAGTATCACCCGCAATGGCGCTAGCTCGGTGGACAGAATATTTAATGTCTCGTCTGAGATCTTCTGGTTGATGATCAAGTTCATGCGAGCGTCCTTCAAGGTAAGGCTTTCATTGTCTCTTGTTCCTTAATTCAGGTAGGGTGCTAACTTGTTCAACAGAAAGAAATCGAGGTCTTTCTGAACGAAATCTATCTGGCCCTCCTTGCCCGGAGGACGGCGCCACTATCCCAAAAGCTTCAATTCGTGACCATCCTCAACCGACTTTGTGCTGACCCGAGAGCTCTCGTGGAGATCTACCTCAACTACGACTGCGAGCAGACAGTCGACAACATCTACCAGACCATCATTGAAGATCTGTCCAAGTTTTCCACTGCACCCGTCATGATTACTACCATCCATGAGCAAGTCTACGAGGAAATGAGACTAAAAACCTCTCCCGCGAGTGAGTGGCAGCTGAAGGCGACTCTGCCACCCCCCCTTACTGTGGCCCAAATCGCGCCGCACTCAGAGCCTGAGCCGGATTACCCCAAGGAGTACGCGATCAAGCGACTTTCACTCGAGGCTCTGGTTGAAACCCTGAGGTCTTTGGTCAACTGGTCGGCCCCGGTTCGAGGCGACAGTGATAGCACGCGAGCAGACAACATGGAAAGCAATGCTTCTCTGGATGTCATCCGACCTTCAATCGATCCAACAATCAGTGACAGCGCTTCTCGCGTTGAAACGCCCGTGCCTGCTACACCGGTGGTGGATGACGACCCGGATCAACTGGAAAAGGACAAGGCCAGGAAGACAGCTCTCACAAATGCGATTGCACAGTTTAACTTCAAGCCCAAGAAGGGAATGAAGCTCTTCCTCCGTGATGGTTTCATCGCGAGCGATACCCCCAAGGACATCGCAGAGTTCCTTTTGAAGGAGGACAAGCTGGACAAGGCCCAGATTGGAGAGTATCTTGGCGAAGGTGACCAGAAGAACATCGACGTCATGCACGCTTTTGTCGATTCCATGGAATTTGCCAAGAGACGTTTCGTCGATGCCCTTCGACAGTTCCTGCAGTCCTTCCGATTGCCTGGCGAGGCTCAGAAGATTGATCGATTCATGCTGAAGTTTGCCGAGCGATACGTTATGGGCAACCCTAATGCCTTCGCCAATGCCGATACGGCCTACGTCCTGGCTTACTCTGTCATTTTGCTCAACACCGATTTGCACAGCGTCAAGGTTGCTAAGCGAATGAGCAAGGAGGAGTTTATCAAGAACAATCGGGGCATCAACGACAATGCTGATTTGCCCGACGAGTATCTGCTCGGGATCTACGATGAGATTGCTGCCAACGAAATTGTCCTGAAGAGCGAGCGTGACGCTGCCGCACTAGCTGGCGCTCCCCCACCAATTGGCATCGCCGCAGGCCTCGGTCAGGCTCTTTCCAACGTTGGTCGTGACTTGCAGAGAGAGGCGTATGTGCAGCAATCCGAAGAGATCGCCTTGCGATCAGAGCAGCTGTTCAAGAACCTCTTCAAGAGCCAACGTCGCAACGCCACCAAGTCTGGTAACAAGTACATCCCAGCAACCTCCTTCAAGCACGTCGGACCCATGTTTGATGTGACCTGGATGTCCTTCTTCTCCACGCTGTCGAGCCAGATCCAGAAGTCTCACAATATAGAGGTCAACAAGCTGTGTCTTGAGGGTATGAAGCTTGCGACGAGAATTGCCTGCCTTTTCGACCTCTCCACCGCCCGGGAGGCATTCATGTCCGCCTTGAAGAACACGACCAACCTGAACAACCCTCAGGAAATTCTGGCCAAGAACATTGAGGCCTTGAAGGTCATTCTTGAGCTCGGGCAGACGGAGGGCAACATTCTTCGTAATTCATGGAAGGATATCCTGATGTGTATCAGCCAGTTGGATCGACTTCAGCTCATCTCTGGAGGTGTGGATGAGAGTGCTATTCCTGACGTGTCTAAGGCCCGGTTTTTGCCCCCTCAGAGGACGGAAACCTCGGATTCTCGTTCATCAACCCAGTCTCGAAGACCCCGACCTAGGTCCGTCGCCCCGCACAAGGGATTCTCAACCGAAATCGCGTTGGAGAGTCGATCGGATGAGGTGATCCGCGCTGTTGACCGCATTTTCACCAACACCGCGACCCTTAGTGGTGAGAGCATGGTTTACTTTGCTAAAGCTTTGACTGAGGTTAGTTGGGATGAGATCAAGGTCTCTGGCTCCAACGACTCGCCCCGAACCTACAGCTTGCAGAAGATTGTTGAGATCAGCTACTACAACATGAATCGTGTCAGGTTTGAGTGGAGCAACATTTGGGATGTCTTTGGTGAACATTTCAACCGAGTTGGATGCCACAACAACATGAACATTGTGTTCTTTGCCCTCGATTCACTGCGCCAGTTGTCTATGCGATTCATGGAGATTGAAGAGCTAGCAGGATTTAAGTTCCAGAAGAACTTCCTAAAGCCATTCGAGCACGTCCTCGCCAATTCCAACAACGTCACAGTCAAGGACCTGGTGCTGCGATGTCTGATCCAGATGATTCAAGCTCGCGGAGACAATATCCGCTCTGGCTGGAGGACCATGTTCGGTGTCTTCACCGTGGCGGCGCGAGAGCCGCATGAGAGCATCGTTAACCTGGCCTACGAGAACGTCAACCAGGTGTACAAGACCAAGTTCGGTGTCGTCATCTCTCAAGGTGCCTTCACAGATCTCATTGTCTGCCTCACAGAGTTCTCTAAGAACCTTAAATTCCAGAAGAAGAGCCTGGCGGCTCTTGAGCTTTTGAAGTCGCTGATCCCCACGATGCTCAAGACGCCAGAGTGTCCGTTGTCGGTGAAGTATGGCAAGAATGGTTCTCTCAATGGAGAAGACGCGTCAGCCGACACACTGAAGCGGACGAGGTCCAACAACACCTCTGTTGAAGAGGGCTACTGGTTCCCAGTGCTCTTTGCATTCCATGATGTGCTCATGACTGGCGAGGATCTCGAGGTACGCTCCAATGCGCTTGAGTACTTCTTCGAGGCCCTTCTTAAGTATGGTGGTGACTTCCCCCCGGAATTCTGGGATATTCTTTGGCGCCAGCAACTCTACCCTATCTTTATGGTGTTGAGGTCTCGACCTGAGATGTCCAACGTTCTCAACCACGAAGAGCTTTCGGTGTGGCTGTCGACAACCATGATTCAGGCGCTGCGCAACATGATTACTTTGTTCACGCATTACTTTGATGCGCTCGAGTACATGCTAGACAGGTTTCTAGAGCTCTTGGCCCTTTGCATCTGCCAAGAAAACGACACCATCTCTCGAATCGGAAGCAACTGCCTACAACAGCTGATTTTGAAGAATGTGACCAAGTTCCAGCCACAACACTGGACCAAGCTGGTGGGAGCTTTCTGCGAGCTGTTCGAGAGAACTACAGCGTACCAGTTGTTCACTGCTACGGCAATTAACTCGACAGCCTCTCTGGAACCGCCACCGAACGGGCTTGATTTCTCAGGTGCGAATGGCGCCCGGGGTGAAGGCGATGAGCTTGTCGATGAGAAATCTCTGAAGATTAATGGTGTTGAAGAGACCCATCTTACTACAGACGACGACTCGCTTGTTCCACCCTTGTCTCCTCGCCCAACTGACGAAGAGTTGCCGCCAAGCGCTCCCCCACAACTGGAGGAGTTCAAGCCGACGTCGAACCTGCAACAGCAGCCTGTCGTAGTAACGGCAGCTCGCCGCCGGTTCTTCAACCGCATCATCTCCCGTTGTGTCCTGCAGCTCCTGATGATTGAGACTGTGAACGAGCTGTTTGGCAATGATACCGTCTACGCACACATTCCCTCATCGGAGCTTTTGCGGCTGATGGGTCTTCTGAAGCGATCGTTCCAGTTTGCTCGCAAATTCAACGAGGACAAGGAACTGCGCATGAGGTTGTGGCGCGAGGGCTTCATGAAGCAGCCGCCCAACTTGCTGAAGCAGGAAAGTGGCTCGGCGGCGACCTACATTTCGATCCTCTTCCGAATGTTTGCGGACAACGCGCCGGAAAGACTTGAGAGCCGCCCCGACGTGGAGGCAGCGCTGGTGCCACTGTGCAAAGATATCATTGCTGGCTACTCAGCTCTCGAGGAAGAGAGCCAGCACCGAAACATTGTGGCCTGGCGACCGGTCGTAGTCGATGTGCTGGAGGGCTTCGTGACGTTCCCCATCGACGCCTTCAAGTCGCACATTCCGGACTTTTACCCGCTGTCTGTTGAGCTCCTTACTAAGGACCTGACGCCGGATCTGCGTAGCGCTCTCCTGCTGGTGCTCCGACGAGTTGGCGAGGTCGGACTTGGCATTGAGGGCATGGGCAGAGTGCCTGACCGGAGGCCCTCCGCGATGGTGAGCCGAGGGAACGATGGGGCCATGGGTGACCGCGAGGCGGACGCGAGGAGGATGCTGTAAGATTGAAGGCAAGCCAGAGGAACCAGATATCGGCAGCAGACTGCTAATGGCTGACTGTTGACGGCGAGCCGGGCGTTGAACGGGGCAGAGTGTTGGGTTTATGGTACTTCTTTAGAATACCCAGGTCGTTGTGCGGCGGTGGCCGGCCTGGGGGGTTGTGTAACGAGCTGCTTCAACCGGATGTGACAATATATTGGTCTATTTGATTTTTTCCCTCAATGTCATCATGTCAATGTCATGGCTGGCTAGGTTTTGTGTCTAAGTCTGGTCCTAAAAAGTTGTTGCTAGCCATTTGATGGTTCCTCTTTTCCGCCCGTGGGTATCTATCATACACGTCTCATGAGTGCAAGGCTTAGTCGAGGATCTGGCTGATGTATCTTGCCAACGGCTCCGATTCCTCCTCAACTGTCCGATCGGGAAGGCCTCTCAAGGCGGCCTTCAGTTGCTCATCGTTTTGGGCAGCAGTCCTCACCAGGTCTCGCACGGCCTTGTCCTTGTCCGCCGACTGCCCGGCCACCCGCATCACGCTGACAAAGGTTTCGTAGAAGTCAATAAGGCTTAGGTGCATGAGTATATCTGACGTGTCCACCATGTTCAGCGCTGCCCACTGCAGTAGACCATGGCCAACTTTCTCAGCGAGGGGTGCCGGCACGGGGAGGAGGTCAGGGAAGGGCGTCTGGGTGAGGGCGCGCGGGTTGAGGGAGACGAGGCGAGGGACTAGGCGCAGGAGACGGCCTTGGGCGAGCGTGGTTTGGCGGTCCGTTTTTTCCAAGGCGCAGAGGGAGACGATGATGGAAAGGAACGAGCGGTCGAGGAGGATGAGACGCCAAAGCCGAGCGTGGCCGGGTACACGGCGCTTAACCAGGTCGGTGCCGTGTGTGCCGTCGCCGTTGGAGAGGCCATTCACACCGTCAATAGCGACATCGCAGTCCGTCTCGAGCAGATCGCCCAGCACCTTTCCGGCACGCTCTGCCACGCCGACATCCGAGCTATCGAGCCACCTGCGCAGCACCTCCTCGACGACCTCGGGCAGGGTGCTCAGCAGAGCGGCATCGGCGGGGGTGCGGGCGGCCTTGTGGACGATGACGAGAGCGAGGAGGATCGCGCCGGGAACCGGAGAGGTAAGGGCGGCGACCAGAGCATTAGGATCGGCGATGGTGAGACAGCGAGTGAAGGAGAGCGGAGAGAGGAGCTTTGTGGCGAGGGAGAGCAGCGGCGAGGGATCTTGGGTTGTTTGCTTGAGGATGGCTGTGAGGGGTGGGAGGAGAGTCGGGAGGAGGGGAGGGATGTTGGTTTCTGTTGGAGGCCCCGAGTAAGCAGAGTTATAGAAGAAAATGCGGCGAGCAAGTGGGAAAATCAAGGAACGAACCGTTGAGTTGGAGCTCGACATCGTCAAACAGCTTGGCGTCGAAGGCGGCCGAGGGATCGTCGACGAGCTGCTCGACGTGGGATTGAAGCTCTTCGAGGCCCGAGATGGGCACGTTGCTGGATCCGGTCATGTTGTATTCGGGGACGACCCTCTGAGACATCACACACGCTCGCCAACAGAAGCTCCGCAAGACGTGATTAATAATTCGTGATGGTGTTGGTTGCAGGTGCGAGGTGTAGATGGTCGCCGGCTGCGGGGCAGGCGTCATGGCAGCGGAGTCAATTCCGCTGCCTCAGGGACCCTCGATTCCACCCCGCAAAAAAATCCCATCCGTCACCAGCGGAATGACTGTTGTCGTTTGACAGTCAGCTCAGCTTGCGCATCAAAACTCCCGCTTCAACCGTCTCCTTCACAGCGTGCGCGCAGCCCAGTCAACTGCCGCTCTTTGCTTCATTAATTGAGTCTGCCGCGCCGGCCGAACCCCAATGTCTCGAGGCGGTCGAGGAGGTGGCCGCGGTGGCAGAGGCGGCGGACGAGGAGGGCGCCCTAATGTGCCGTGGGACACAGGCGATGAGCCTGATGCGCGGCCCTCAGAGCTGTTTCCCGTGAGTTCTGGCGTCTCTGCACAAATATAGAACAAAATACTGACTAAATCCCACAGCCTTACCTCGTCCCGACGCAGAAGGCGCTCTCCATGGCCGAGAAGCGCGGCATCCAACATCTCCTCCTCCTCCGCCACCAGATCCACGGCGGCGCCCTGTACACCTCGAAGCGCACCTTGCTCAACGACCCGACCGCCCCGCGCAAGCTCTACGGCCAGGCCCAGATGAACGCGCGCTACGATGTCAAGAACAAGGCCTCGCTCGACCCCTTCACCGCCGTGCCCACCTACTCGTCCAAGTTCGTCCGCGAGGAGCGCGCCCTGCCCGACTGGTCACACCGCCCCGTGTGCCGCGAGCTGTTCCCCGCCGAGCTGCTCGACACCATCGACGCTTCCGCCGCGGCGTCCACGAAGCCCGGCACGTACAAGCGCCGCCGCCTGGAGCTGAGCAGCATCAGCGCGCTGCCCAGCGCTGAGGAGGCCTTCGGCATGGAGGGCGACGACGAGGGCCAGGGCCGCAACTTGCTCGAGCGGCTTGAGGCCATGAAGGACGACGAAGGCGGCGAGGGCGGCGAATTGGAGGACGAAGAAGGCATGGAAGAGGAAGAGCAGGACGAGGCCTACGACGACGAGGATGCCGGCGACTACGACGCCGAGAACTACTTTGACAACGGCGATGAATTCGGCGAAGACTACGGAGATGACGGCGACGGCGAGGGAACCTTCTAGGATTAGGATGCTACCCACCAACAAGCTGGAAGGACATCAACTGGAACCGACGAACGGAAAAGATGGAAGCAGTACGAGAAGGGTGCATCGAGACAATCAGCGACTTGTTCCCATGGCGTTCATCACAAAAACTTGTATATATATGCGTGCAGTCCTGCACCCAGCTTGATACCCACGCCCACGACTCGGGGCGCGATGCGGATTAATGAAAAATTCAATCAAACTAAACATGGTGTGCGTTTCGTATTATCCCTGGCTTTCCAAAGTCTTTTTCGTCTCGAGATGTCGAGGGTATCTATCTACCACCACAGGGTTCTAATCCAGACCAATCTTCGATCCTCGCTCCCCATTGACGTCTCCGTTTTCTGCCCCCCTCCACCATAGAATTTCACAAGTGGTTACGGAATGATGATGTTGTTGTTTTGCTGTATTCGTACATGTCGTAAGGGCTTTGTCCTCCTCTGCTGCCCCCTCGCCCCTGACGCTTGCTGTCTTGTCCATCCCTAGGCACTTCGAGCTCGGCTCTCACTATATAAGGACAAGGGACGCTTGCAACGTCCATATAGTGTATCCGCCCAGAGTTCCCATTAACGGACACCAACTGGTTTAGTAGATGACGTGCTCAAGCCGCCATGCCCATGGCGTAGACGCCGCTGTCGACGATTCCAGCCTGCAGCCGTGACAGTCGCTCGCGCGTGTCGGCAATCTGTCCGGCCTGGGCGACGATGGCGTTGCCCGTCTCGCGCAGTGCGGCCAAGACCTCGCCGAGCTGGTCCTGGACGATGGCGTTTCCGGCGCTGCGGTCACGCACTGATCGGATCTGCTCATACAGGCCGTTCTCGACGCCGGGCATATCGCGCTCAATCTCGCCGCGGTACTCGTCCAGGCGCCTCTTGTACTTCTCAATGTCGTCGCAGATGCGGTTGAAGTAGGTGATGAGGTCCTGGGCATCGGCGTGGGTCGAGGCTGCATCCGCACTGCTCGAGTCGGCCGCGGCGGTGGTGCTGGCGAACAACCCGGTCTGGTGGTAGTGCGTGGGCAGCTTGAGGTTGTCGGCGCCTCGGAAGCAAAGACGGGCGTCGGCGGCGTTCTTCTTTGTGAGGTCCTGTAGGGCCTTGACGGTTTGGATGTCGTTGTTGAGGGCGACCTGGACGGTGCGGAACTTGGACTCGACAAACTTGACGTCGCGGCCGAGCTGGTTAATGTCGCGCTCGTGTTGCGGCATGAACTCGCCGATCTCGTCCTTCATCTTGATGACACGCATGATGCCCTTGTCGAGCAGCGCGATCTCGTCCTGCACGGGCTTGGCGAGGTCATCGAAGCGGGTGCGTGGGCGGATGTTGTCGTAGTTGATCTGGACTGCCGAGACTTGGTTCGTTGACTGACCCATTTGTCCCATTTGTCCCATCTGGCCCATCACTGGAGTTTGCTGAGGTTGGGTCTGGCCGCTGTTGGGCTGTTAGTGATCGAGATACCCAAGACGTCAGACTTGTTACTTACAAGAGTCCGCCAGTCGGCTTTGCCTGTGATTGTCCAAAGAGACCACCGCCTGTATTGGCCTGAGTGTTTTGTGCACCAAAGAGTCCACCAGTCTGTTGCTGGGGCTGCTGTTGTTGCTGTTGTTGGTTCTGCGTAGACTGGCCGAACAGACCGCCACTGGCCGGAGCTGTCTGCTGAGCAGTGGCCGCGCCTCCGAACAGACCGCCGGTTGCAGGCTTGTTGCCAAATAGGCCGCCAGCCGGCTGTTGTTGTTGGGTGCCAGCAGCCGCGTTGCCAAAGAGACCGCCTCCCGTCTGGGCTTGTTGTGGGTTGGCCGCAGTATTTCCAAAGAGACCGCCTCCTGTGGTTCCTGTAGCCGCTGCCGGCGTCGCAGCTTGTCCAAAGAGACCGCCCGTTCCCGTCGCTGCAGCGCCCGTCGTCGACTGCCCGAAGAGCCCGCCCGGCTTCGCAGCGCCGCCAAACAGTCCCCCAGTGGTCGCCATCGTGTTGGTGCCTGTGCCGCCGGTCGCGGTCGCAGTTGTGGATGGCGTTGAGCCTGAGCCAAAGAGTCCGCCCGAGGAAGTAGTTTGTGCGGTAGAGGCGCCACTGGAGAGAGTCCCGGAGTGTTAGCAATGGGCAGATGGGTCGTGTTGTTGCGGCTGCGGAAGCTATCGCGTGGAGCTCGGCAAGGTTCTTTGTTGTCGGGGAGATTGGTGTAGCGGGAAGAGAGAGAGCTTACAAGGCGTTGGCCGCACCGGTGTTGATGGAAAGACCGCCTGCTGGGCCGCTTGCTGATCGAATCAAGGACATGACCAGACCCAAAACAAAACTTGACCAAGTGTTTACGACTTGTCTTGAAAGTCGACTTTTCGCGAGGCTGCGCCGGAATGAAGGCAGAGCGCCAGATTTGCGCTTGGGCCAGGTACCGAGACCACGGTGAGCGGACGGTGAGGCTCGGTCAGTCTCGGTGACAGGGAAGTGGCTGCGCGGAGAAACCTCGGCGCCGAAGAGCTGCTTGTTGCTGTTGCACCTTGGAGCTTTCGGAGCTTGACGTCGATCCAGATTCCCAGTTCAAACACCAGCATTGCGCACATTTACTCGACCACGAGAGTTTGGTAATTGCCAGAATCGCCATTATGGATATCGACGAGGACGACGATCTTTACGTGCCTGAGGAGCCCAAGGTCGAGACCACGGAGGAAAAGAAGCCCAAGTTCGACGACCTGGAAGAAGGCGAGGAGGAAGATGAGGGTGCTGCCATGGACGAGGATGATGATGATTCGGTGCGTTGCGCGTCGCTTTGAGAGGGTTTTCGTTTGGCTAACCCATATTCAGGATATCGACATCATCACCGAGCGCAAAGATGGGAGCAAACCAGCCCCTCCGCCGTACGTGAACCTGCTTTGCGACAAAGCCGACAGAACAACCAGAACGCTAACGTTTGGCTTCTCCATAGTCAATCCAAGTATAGCGATATCCGAAACATTCCACAACGATCCGCTTCAACAGATGTCACCGTAAAGCCGGCACCTGCTAAGAAGGAGGACGAGTCGAGGCAATCGAGCACCCTCAACGTCGCTGCGCCCAGCGCCGACAAGACCTCAGCCGCGGCGTCCAAGTCCACCATTGACATTAATGCAAACCCGATCCACGCCGGCTCAGGCAAGCCCATTACCCAGGTCAACATTGACGAAGGTCAGTCATCTCTCCTCCCTGAAATGCGCAGGACGTAGCTAATGGTATCTGGTGTAGACCTCCCTGAAAACGACAAGCCGTGGCGCAAGCCCGGCACCGACATTAGCGACTACTTCAACTACGGCTTCGACGAGTTCACATGGGCCCTGTACGCCTCCAAGCAGGAGACCGTCCGTGGCGAGTTCGGTGCCGACGTTTTCGCAACCAACAACAAGAAGATGATGGAGGACTTCAACAGCATGATGATGATGGGCGGCATGGGGATGGGAGGAGGCGGTGGCCAAGGCGGCGCGCAAAGTGGCATGGCCGGTATGGATGGTATGGCCCCAGAGATGCAGGCCATGATGCAGCAGATGATGGCCTCGGGTATGGATCCCAGCCAAATGGACCCCAGCCAGATGAACGCCATGTTCGCAGGCATGCAGAACGCCGGTGGCAGTGGTGGAGGAGGCCAGGGCGGTCACCAAGGTGGCAACTTTGGCGGCGGGTTTGGCGGGAACCAAGGCGGGTTTGGAGGATATGATCAGAGCATGTCTGGAGGAGGAGGAGGAGGTGGCGGTGGCCGCGGCGGGTTTGGCGGAGGCCGAGGACGACGGGGGAGATGGTGAGCGTGTGTCGAAGCTTCCACGGCTTCGCAAGGATGATGATGGGCTTTTGTCGATTATGGATTGGGAAAACCTGGCGTTGGGGAAACTGCCGAACGGGCATGTAACGATAGACGGGCCTGCAATTATGGCTAACTACCTTGGGTGCACAATGATATCCACAGATTATCTATCCTCGCATTTCCGCCTCTCAGTCCAGCCTGACCTCGGCGATCTTGGCCGGCTCCGACCTTCCATCCACAGGCGCCATGATGCCTCCCGATGTTGCGGCATAGAGCATCTTCTCGCCTTTCCCAAACACGCACGACGTTGAGCCCACAACGGCCATATGATTTGCCTTTCCCGCAACGGCCACAGCCTCTCCACCGCTTGGTGGGATGCGTACTACCGTGTTCGTAGTGTTGGTGCACACATACACGGTCCCGTCCTGTGCCACGGCAAGGTCGTCCGGCAGGAGCCCTGAGGCGAGCGTCTCCGCGGGACCGGCCGGCTCGAGCGTCGGTGTGACAGACAGGCGGAATACGGACTGACGTGTCGTGTTTGTGTAGTAGACGTAGGCCTGCGTGGCGGTGCGGTGGACCTTCAGGCCGTTGATACAAATTGGGAATGGGGCGTTGGGCGGCAGGGTCATGGTTTTGTCCTCGAGGGCAATCGAGTATGAGCCAGAAGAAATATCGAGCCTGTAGATCTTTCCATTCAGGCAGTCCGTGACCAGAATTGTTTGTTCGTCCCACGTCGCCATTCCGTTGATGACAATCTCTGGCGTGTCAGTGATCTTGGACACACGGGGCTTGTCACTCGTTAGGTCCACGAGCCAGATACTGAAGCTACCATGTTTCGGTCCAGTCCCTCCAATCATGTCGTAGACTCCTGCGCCAATGGCAAATACATCAGGGCTTAGTTCGCAGATGCCCGTGAGAGCGTTGGTTGGGTCATCCTTAGCGAGCGACAGTTGAATGAGGGAGGAGCCAGTCGAAGTGACAGTGTCAATGGCCCAGACCTCGGGGATATCAAGACGAGTCGCCAGGACTATTCCGTTTGGTCGGATGGATATGTTTTCGAACCAGGTGGGTTGGGAGGAGAGTTGGAAGATGGTTTTAACGGATGCCATTGTTGGTTGGGTGTGAGAATTGGATAATTTCTTGGGGTTCGTGGATAGACCAGTGGGATGATATGGGATGATATGAAAGATATGCTTGGATACTGAGCAATGATACTAACGGGAATATGTTGCGTGTTTATTCAACTGATATACTCAAGACGGACACGCATTAGCAAATACTCTCTCCTCGCCATTCCCATTCCCATGCGGAGAACGATGCGGAGTTGTGGCCGCCTTAACAGCCAGTAATTCCGACCCCTTGGCAGCCGCCTTAAAATGTTTTAATTATGAGCCGAAGCCCAATACACCGCAAATCGGTCTTTGCAAACTAGTACTGCGGAGGTCTTGATGTGCATGTTCGGTAGAGGTGTGGGGCATCTTGCGGAGCGGGGCCGATTGCTAAGGCGAAACGCCGTGGACCTCCGTGGCGGGACGATGGATGATCGGGCCGAGGCTATTAAGAAGCACTGGATTTAAACCAACGCGCCATATTCATCGTTTGGATTGTAATAGATTCAATCCATTAGCATTGATACTGGTAGACAAGATATTTCCTTCCGGAATTCTCTTCTCAATACTATTTGCCTACAGACTACAGTGGCCACCGGCTTCGGTCCATCAATTTGTTTTGTCGACAAAGAAAAGGCCACTAATCCAATCAAAACCCTTGGTCAATAAGCTGGGAGAGAAAAGAAATCCTTCATCCTGGTTCGGAAGCCGCCCCCACCAGCCCCATTAGAGCTTTGGCTGCTTTGACTTGGCCGACGGTTGACGACGTTGGTCACGTCGCTGCCACCAGAAGGATACCGCGTGGCAGCAATGCGGTTTGTCATGCCTTTCAAATGGTAAGAAGGTGGCATAAATTAAGGTTTTCTTTTTGCCGGCCTACCAGAGGTATTATGTCTGTCGGGGTGGTTGAGGACGGCGTCAAGTTTCGCCTTCGCTTTCTCGGAGGCGGGAGGCATTGTCAATGATATTGTGTAATGATATTTTGTCTCTGGCGGTTCTACAGATCGGTAAATTCGAGCATGTAGTTTTAGGTTTCCCCTCTCTCCTCCCCTCATTATTGATGGGAAACGGCAATATTTATCATTCGTGGACTCCATGTAAGTGTGTCTCGTGATAGCGCTGACCCCTCATGACGTAGGTATGAATTGCATCCACAGGCCTTGCGATTGGGGGAACGAGCCGGGATTTAAACTTAGTTAGAGTCGTATTAGTGTGAGATAGAGAACTCCTACTGTACAGCCTTTTGTCAGCAGTGGTTCGGTCTGGGCGAAGAAGGTTACATCCCAGTGGGGGTTTGTTGACACATCAGACAACACGACACAGGTCCGAAGTTGTGAACTAATTGGCTCTAACAATGTAAAAGCACCACTAGTTGGTGGTACACGATTCTGCCACTTGAACTCTATGGAAGCGCTAATTCAAATAGGTACGCATGAATCAGGGGAGCCTTGGGACATTCGAATACTCGCGTATCGATGAATACATTCCTGAGATATGACCACATCTAAACGCCATTGATCATCGCATAAAAGCAGGGTTTCAAGATTCATGTTCATCTACTTTCACTATTGTCATATACATCCATCCGCCCTTGTCCAACAGCACAGGTGGTGAAATCTCCATGTAAACCCCCAGTCTAAGCTACCCACATCAATTACTAGACATCGTCAGATCTCGCCATTTTTCGTCCGAGGCGGCCAATACTTCAGCACACATCTTTGCATATTCCACGGTGTCACGTCCAGCCAAAAGTCGCAGTGGCGGGTCGTCAACCTCGGCGACTTTCAGGACGATGCTCGCAACGCCGGCGGCAGAAGACCAGGTCGGCTTCGACTGAGGAATCAACTCCAAGAATGCGCCCACCGTCTGTTTGTAAGGCTCACTAATCGGGCCCATGCCCAACGAGGAACCTGCCCAGTCCGTTTCCATGCCACCGGGTTCCAAAACCGTCACTTTGATGCCGAACGGAGCGACCTCCTGCGAGAGGGATGTCGAGAAGCCGCCGATGGCCCATTTGGCACTCTGGTATGCCGAAAAGCCTGGGGTTGCAACCCGGCCACCTATTGAAGAGATCTGGATGATATGTCCGGAGCCCTGTTGGCGCATCACTGGCAGGACAGCTTTGCTGACGTGGACGACTCCGAAAAAGTCCGTCTCCATTTGCGCGCGGAACGACTCTAGGCTCATGTCCTCAACCGAGGCGCAGTCTGCGTATCCTGCATTGTTGACAACAACATCGATACGGCCAAAGGCCTTGATGGCTGCAGCCACGGCTTCAAGGACTTGGTCGTTCTTTGTGACATCCAGAGGGACGGCCAAGACTCGGTCAGATGAATATTTGTCGACAAGGTGCTTGAGAGTCTCTGCCTTTCGAGCTGTTGCGACAACTGAGTCCCCAGAGGCAAGGATTGACTCGACCAGAGCGAGACCAAGGCCGCGCGAGGAACCTGTAACGAACCACACTTTACCCATCTTGTGTCTGTAGTGTAGTCGGGAATTATTGGACGGTTGGAAAATTAATGAGCAAGATGCTGATGCACAGGAGCTTTCCTTCCTAACATTGGCCCATTACAGTGATATTTGTATGCATCCATGGTATCCATGGTTCATGCAGGCAACTTATGGTTCGGCCTTAACTCCGGAGATAGATATTGATTCCATTCTTCCTCTATAATTATCTCCGTCACTCCGTTGTTATTTCCGGCATTGCTGGGCCCTTATATCCACACTGATCTGTGTCCAGCCATCCACTACTTAACTTATGCCATTATCAGATCTCCTTGAGCAGCAGCAAACGGTTCCGCGATTCGCTGAAAGTCAAAGGATGATCCCTTCATCAAAAAGAAATGAGGTTATGGGCTTTGATACCTCAATATAGATGTCGTGGATCACTCAAAAGCTCGGTTTCAGTGATAATCCTATCCAACGCTATCATGTATTTGACCCGTGTCTTCTTATTGCCATTGCTAATAAGATAACATACTCGGTAATTGTTATGACTTTACCTGTATTGAATGTCATTATTCACTAACAGGTACAAATCCGTTTACTTGAAGTCTCAGCCAAATCAGTGTACCTAGCCTATAACTTCTGCTCTGGTAGTCAACGTTCACCTCCGCACAACTTACATTATCTAATGCGTCGAGACAACAGTACTCACAATAACAACAAATCGAGACATAATTGCTCCCATCAATGACCTCCTGAATCGCAATTCTGCTGTGTCCAGAGCCAAGACCGCGATTTGAGTCCTTTTGACGATGGCAACAAGAATTTATGCCGATGACATGGTGATTTCGAGGAGGCCATCAGCAATAATGAGCCCTAGCATCAACGGAGATTCAAACTCGACTTGGATTATATCAACACCTTCGTGAAACAAATTGTCAAAAAATCCAAGCGCCTTTTCCGCAGGTTGACGACGAAAGTCGGTCACCAGACCAAAAAATCACCTTACGATTTACTCCTCACTATTTCTCCCCATCGCACTGCTCAAATCATCCATAATGCCCATCGCCCATATAGTGTACCGGTGATGTGCACCATAAATGCGTTTGAATCCGGCCGTGCAGCACTCTATCAAGGCCAGAGCATCGGACAGTCGACTTCCACAGCTCCAGAACCAGGCCAGATGACCCATGCAGATCAAAGTTGTGGGACTGTCGTCTCCTAGAGTCTTCCTATAGTTTTCCAGAACCATTTCTTGCATCTCCTCCCCTTCATTCTGGAACCCTTGCCGCCATAGCGCCATTGCCAATTGAGTATATGCTCTCATCGTGGTTGGATGCTCCGCCCCTCGCTTCATTGTCCATTTTTCGACAAGATCCCGATGGATCGCTTCTGCTTCCTTCCATCGCCCCAATTTATCATATATTAATCCCAAGTTACCTGTGTAAGTCAGCGTGTTTGCGTGGTCCTCTCCAAGGATGTCCTTTGCTGTTTCTACTACCCGCGATTCAATCTCTTCAGCCTCTTTCAATTGGCCCTTCCCTGCAAAGACTGTTGCTAGGAAATGCATAGCATCCAATGTGTCAGGGTGGCTATTTCCCAGGTTTTCTTTTCTTATTTCAACAATCCGTGACCCCAATTGTTCACACTCCTCCAATCGGCCTTGATACTTGTATACCATCGCCAGGCTTGATCTTCTTCTCACTGTGTTTGGATGCTCATCTCCAAATTCTCGGATGGATATTTCAAGGACTTTCAGTTGCAATTCCTCGGATTCTTTCAGTTTTCCTTGTGTTAAGAGCGTCATGGCGAGTTTTCCCATGCACTCCACAGTGTGAATATTCTCAGACCCCAAGTACCGTTGGCTCGCTTCCAACTCTTTTCTGATCAGGTACTCTGATCCTTTGTTGTTTCCGACGCTACGCATAAAATAGGAACATCTGCCTACTAAATATACCCAGGATATAGGATCGTTCTGTGGTGGCTCGCCCTCTACTATTGACTCAAGATGAGGCTGTAGTAGACGGCAAGTTGGCCAAGTCCCAACTTCTCCGGATGGGAAGGCTGTTGCCATGGACTCAAAATAAGCATTCTTCCATAGTTCGATATCGCCAGCCGATGAAAGCCATGACTGTGTGCAAAATTGTACCAGGGGATGCATTTCAAATGCATCCGTCGAAGCCATCACAGATACAAGTGAGTATCCACGGAGGACATCCAAGTCGTCGTCGAATTCGTCTTCACCGTTGCCTTCTCTCAGATTCGTGGCAGCGGTGTTATATTGGCGAGCCATGAACTCGGGAATACCTTGTGAGTTGAAGAAACTCAAAAAGGAAAGAAGATCAGCTGCGGATGGCTTTTCGCGACGTATTTGTTCAAAGGTCACTTGCCAAGTTGCAACCACGGAATTTGATACGCTTTCATCTCGTCGAAGATCTCCGGCGTCTCGGTTTAGAAGACTTCCTTTCTTCTTCTCACTCTTTCGAAAGTCATCGAGATATGATCTCACTGTTACTCGAGGTGCGCGGCGGTTAATGTATGCGGCTGCTTGGGTTATCGCAAGTGGGATGTAGTTCAAAGCGTGAAGGAGTTCGCCAGCAGTATCTTGGTCGAGATTGTCTTTTAACTTGTTTCGGAATAGTTGGAGAGAATTGGCGTCGTTCATGGTGGACAGTTTATAGATCGTCTCATGGCTGCCCGTTAATTTCTCGGCAACGTCCAAGCTGCGCGTTGTGACCAGAATGGTTCCATTGCTTCCCTTGGGTAAGAAAGCCGCGAGTGGTTGTTGCTCGCTCAGATCATGAGAACTTGAACCGGGTGCGCTACGGGATGCTTCGGATTCCCTCACGTGGAGACCCGGATAGAACAGGTTGACATCGTCGGCATTATCAAGGATCATCAACCAGGAACCAACTTCTTCTCTCTGTAACCAGTCCCTAACCAATACCATCTCGTTGACTTGAGGCTTGTTTCTGCCTGGTATCTGCAGTCTTTCTGCAATTAACCGATATGCTTCTTGAAACCTTGGTTTCGAACTCGCGTGCACCCAAAAGACGCTGGTCTCTGGTAGTTTAGAGTGCGTTTGATGTGCGAATTGAATGGCGATCTGTGATTTCCTTTTTTCTATTAGCCCAAATTCTTCTATCTTGGTTTAAAATGGCAATCTCACCCGAAGCCGCCCATTCCTACGAGCGCCATGCGGTTGTGATGGCCTTCGTATTGCTCCTGGACCCATTGCATTATCTCCGGCCGGTCGACGAAGTGAGTATCCTGTTCGAACGGCACGATAAAGCAGGGCTTGAACTTTGCCCCAATACTGTTCTCTGGTTGAAAAGACGCATTGTTCATCTGTTCTCTCATTTCAAGAAGAAGAGCACTGCAGTGGTGATGGTGTTAGTTGCGGTACCGCATTGGAGAATGGCAGAACCCTACGTTTGGTCAACCTGTAGTCCCAGGTGGATGGTTCGCTCATATCGCTCAAGTCTGGAGATGATACCGACAACTTCTTGCATGTCAAATGGCCATTTCAAAGCGCGGAGTCCAAATCGACGCATAGCCCTTGCCCGCTTTCCAAGATCTAGCTGTTTGTGCAGCTCGACGAGCTCGGAGGTGCAGCCATCCAGAGAATCGAGCAGGTTTTGTGATGCAGTGAGCGATTGACCTTCGGGGCCACCAATAACGCGCCTTGCTTCCTGGAGCGTCTTGCTGAGGCCATCTACTTGGTCGTGGAGGCGACCAATGTCCTGTCTTGCATTGCTAACGGCGTTTGAGTAATCGAGGCAGAGCTTGCCAACCTTTGCCGAGAGCTCGACGATTGCGATGATGCTCGACGCCAGCCCGACCGCCTCAGCCATGGTAAGAGTGAAAGAGGTGTGTCAGGTTGGGCGTTGAGTGGTCTGACGATGCAAATTGGGCTGAGCGAAAAGCTGAGGCTGAGAGAGGGGACTGTGAGGGAAACTAGGCCACAGTGCGCCACACATGGCATGTGCACTGTTCAATGATGGGTCGAGTACAGCGTCACCAGGCATTTTGATGAAAGAGAATGATGCTATTTACAGATCTAGCGCATTCGGCATGGAATTTCTCACTCAAGCCCAATCACTCCAAAGACAGGATAAAAAGAATCTCTAGCATTTCCTATCTAGCATCTGTTGAACCACAATCCACCGGCAAAAGGTTGGATACCCATACTGATGATGTATGGATTGTGGGATATACGCCTGGCCTTTCACCACCATCCTCCATTAAGAGAACCACATCTCTAGGAATGACCTGCAGTTCCAGAAGGAAACGGCGGATGAGCTCCACAACTATCCAGGACACCCTCCAACACGATGCCATTCGCAGCACACCACCGCTCAAGTGCCTTGCCGCAGTCCATCCTCAGCATGCCGCCCTCGCACTGCGCGGTGCCGTTCGCCCACAGGACGGCGTAGCCCAGGCCGTCCTGCAGGTTCATGGCCATGGCGACAACGCAGCCGTTCTCCAGCGTCTCCTTCAGCCCGGGATACTGGCCGTGCAGCTCGACCACCTTGGTGCCGTCCTGGCGCTGCGCGACGAAGGCGTCGCCGCACCCCAGCCACACGTTGGCGATGGGCGAGGCCGCCGTGGGGGTGAAGAGCTTCTGCGTGACCTGCGCGGGGAGGTCCCATTTCTCCTCGCCGTTCTCCGCTCGGATGAAGTAGTGACCGTTGACGCCCAGGGACAGAATCTCTGGGCGTTCGACGTCGTGTTCGTCTAGGAACACGACCAAGTCCTCGTAGTCTTCGAGGTCGCTGTTGTCTATCGGAGAGTTTCAGGTCAGTCCTGTTCGGAAGCTCGAGACGGTTGACTTACTGATGGCTGCGACATTCCCCTCGCGGGGACGAGTGCAGCGAAAGTAGTGGTTCCTTGGTCCGAGAACGACGTAGTTGGTGATGTCAGTGCCCGTACGATGATCGTATTCCTGTTCATGCGGAAGCCCGATGGTGTCTTGGACACGACTAACAACTCCAAGTTAGTAGTTGTATTGTGTGGAAAGGGGCAAGACTCCTCTCTCTCCTGGGCATCTTACCCGCAGCTCATGGCCGGCCCACTGTAGAAGAACGAGTCTCCGCAGAGGCTGAGAGTGGCTCCCTCATTAGGGTATTCATCTTCCTGGAAGTCCGACATGGTTGTGGCGAGGGCTGGATAGTGATATTGTTCCAAGTGTCTCAGTTGTGTGTAAAAACGTTGACAGACAGGGAGAAGACGACCCCCTCCTTGAGAACAAAGTGCCGTTCTTATAGTTGGGCAAAGACCGTCCTACTGCAACGTTGTAAATCACGTCCCGTCATGTCGGACAACGAAGTTGGTGAGAAGGACGACACGTATCATGATGAGTCTTCCAAAGTGCCAGGTGATCTGTGGATGAATGTTTGTCTCTTCGGCGGGACGAGGCCAAGCCGTGTGTGACGGGTTCTCGGAGCGTCCATGTTGAGCAAGTCCTCCGTCAAGGACGAGGGTGTTTCCGTGCTTGCGCGACGACGCTCCGGCAGTTCTCTCCGATTCCATTCACAAAATCGACATTATCTCCGGTGTAGGACTGACAAGACGTGAGCAAATGGAAGGATCAAAGCAATTTCTTATCGCATCTCACAACAGAGTGCGATGTAGTTTAGTTACAGAGGGTATCATCCAATCTCTCAGTCTAGGAATGCCTTGGCATCCCATCACAGCATCGTCCCTCCAAGGAATAATCCAGCCACCCTTGGGCCTCTTATCTGATTCATTATCGTGGTCATCTGCAATCCATCCGGCCGTCTCTAGTCTTTGAAGTCAAAGAGCCGAGTCTGGTGTTTCCCAAGTACGCCCCGAACATTCCCGTTCGCACAAACACGCAAGTCAAATATCCACACAAAGCCATCTCGTAACGCTGCACCACTCATCAGGTGGGGATGAACTTCTGAGAATCCTTCTCCTGCTCGGAGAAGGACTGGGAAAAGGCGGCCAGGCCAGCGACGATTCCAGCCGCCATGAAGATGACGGAGACGATGGACCAGATGACACCCCAGCACTGCGAGGAGCCGCCGTAGCGCTTAGCGAAGACGCTGGCGTCGGAGGAGTTCACTTTACGAAGAATGAGATCGTCGCAGATATCCCACACGCTGTAGAGGGAGGACATGACGCCGATGAACAGGACGACGAAGCGCAGGGCCTGGGCGTGGGAGATGAACCAGCATGCAATTAACAAGCCGACAGCAAGGAGGACGGTCATGATAGTAAGCCAATCACGCTTGCCCCACCACAGAGTGAGGAGGAAGCAGCCGCCGAGAACGAAGCTGGCAACCTTGCTCGCCACAATGTTGAAGCCACAGAAGATCAGGAGGGCGCCGATAAGGGAGGAGCCCAGGTAGCCAGCAGGCAGGGTGATGGCGCTTTTTCCGCCGAGCATGTGGGTGACGCCGCCTTCGTTGGGGTCGAGACTGATGGACTTGACCTTGCCACCAGTGAGAACAGCAGTGATAGCATGGCCGAACTCGTGAAAGGCAATGACAAGCATCTAGTTTGTCGGTTAGCGACTGGACGATGGCCAACTGTGTCGCACAACACAGCAGACATGGGTACACTGTACACACCTTGAACGGCCAGAGGACCATGCGGACGTACGGGACGTTCCAGAGAATGGCGATGACGACGACGTAGGCTGCGATAACACCCAGCGTGACCTGCTGGGTGTGGTTCGGATTCGCGAGATCGCGGCGCAGCAGGCCGTGGCTGGATTCGGATTCGGCTGCCATCTGGACGACGCCGATGCGGAAGGGCGCGGCGAGCGCCTGTGATACTGTGGGAGCCATTGGTGGTGGTGGTTAGTGGTGGTGGTTGAGTGGAGAGACTCGCCCGGCCGTGTGGTGGGTGGGTTTATTTAGGTAGTTCGGATTCGGTTTCCAGGTAACTGGCTGCCTGACGAGCTATGCGGCAGTAGGGATGGAGAATCACGGGTTGGAGGGTATCGTAGGGTGCGTAGAAGCAGGTCCGAGTCGAGGTAATGTACGGAGGGAAAATCCTCACTGCGGTGCGGTGCGCTTCGTCATCTCGTCCCTTGTGATTAAATTCCTTGGAGGGGAGATGCGCGGTCTTGGCCGTGGGTTGACGCGGCACTCGTGAGGCGGAGCTGAAACCGCGCCTCGTGTCTGTGTGGCTGGAGCGGCCATGGCAGCTGTGATTGGCCAATATTAATAGGTTGGTCCCGCTGTAACTCGGCCTTAGTAAGGCCAAGCGCATACCCACCCAAGCCCCTGCCAATCATGTCCCCATCAGCCCAAAATCGACGTCATCCTCTCGCTGCGCAGTTTGTTACTTTCGGATCAAGGCAAGTAGAAGGACGAGGCCGGATGACGAACGATGGGTCCTCGCGAGCAGAATCTCCAGATATCTTTCGCTTGCTGCTCCTCTCTTTATTCTCAAACCACGCCCGTCTTCAATTCTCTCCACTTTGCAAGTATTGCGTGCCGTGCGGTGAAGACTTTTTCCCAGTCGCCACAACGACGAATGCTTCAACGGAAGTCAAGTCAACAACCATTACAGCCAACTAGGCCCATGCTAGAACTACCTACGGAGTATTAACAGTGTTCCCTAGCGTACCCGCGCGGCAGTCGAAACGCCTCTCAACGGCAGTCTCTAAAACGAAACTTTGGCCTGCAATGTATCAATACTCTATTGCACTGCAACCGATGGCCGATGTTTCAGCCTTACCCCCACACGACGCGCCTGTCATCCCATCATGGTCAGCGAACAAGTACATGATGAATCCTGTCTCTTCGGATTAACAATACCATCCATAGTCCGTTAATCTAAAGAGCGGGTCAATCGAATCCGCGGCAGAATCGAGACGCTCGGTGACGGAAAAAATCCATGATCCATGTGAATATGATCGATCCCGCAGCTGCCGCCACCACCGCCGCCTTCTCCATGTTGGCCCGTCATCACATCCTGGTTCCTGTGGACCCCCTTTCCCAGTCAGGAACAAGGAAAAGGGGATTCCGTCGAGTCCAGTTGGCACTAATTATTCACAGTCAGCTTCTACACATCCATCGTCTTTAGCGTCACCAGTACAGAACAGATTTCGCAGTCATGACAGGCTCAGCGCCCCAACTCCCGCCGCTCGACTGCTTGTCCTCTCCCCTCCTCAGCTCTTTCGCCGACATCATGCCCGCCGATTTCGACAAGCAGAGCTACTGGCGCGACCGCTTCACGTCCGAAAAATCCTTCGAGTGGCTCCTCCCTTCAGCTGACTTCTTCCGCATCATCGAGCCGCAGCTGCGTTCCATGCGCCCAGAGGCCCGCATCCTCCACATCGGCATCGGCACCAGCGATTTGCAGAACCACTTCCGCGCTCGAGGCTATTCCAACGTCCTCAACATCGACTACGAACCCCTCGCCGTCGACCGCGGCCGTGAGCTGGAACAACAATCCTTTGGCGATGTCAAAATGCGCTACGGCGTCCACGACGCAACGCAACTCGACATTGGCCAAAGGGAAAAATTCGACCTTGTCATTGACAAGAGCACCGTCGATGCCGTCTCTTGTGGCGGCAAGGACCCGCTGCGTCGCATGGTTGCCGGAGTCCGGGACTGTCTAGCCCCCGGTGGCATCTGGGTCTCTCTTAGCTACTCAGAATCGCGCTTCGACCTCGACGACCTCCCCTTTGACGTCGAGGTCCTCGATAAGACCCTAACACCCAAGCTCAAGCCCAACGATCCCGACGTTTTCCATTGGACTTACCTCTTGCGACTCAAGCGAGACGCCTCCGGCCTGTCCGGGGCGAACTAGACGCCCCCGCTGCGGGCCGTGGTGCAGTCTAATTCAACTCCATACCAGCATGCCGGGCATCGTCTGCTAGGCCGGATTTTTGTTGCATCGGACTGGACTAGGAGCGTTTGGGGATGGAGGTCACATGGATCCTCGAAGGATCCGGCAGTTGAACCGGACTACCTCTTCCCATGCCACCTACCGGATAGAGCAAGCGACAATCTCTGGGTCCATCATTCACCAACATGATACCATGGGCTCAGGCTAAGGAAGCGCTCTTCTTAGGCCTGTTAATCAAGGGTTTCAAGATGTGGCGCTGAGGTTGGATCAAAGGGAGTAATAGTGCATTTGACTGGTGGGCGTAGCTGTAGACGACCACCAAGGACCTAAAAATACATGCTTTTTCCTCAATCATCCCCGTCTTGTCTATGACGCGCTATTCGTGATGCCCAAAATCAACCGCAACGCCGATCCCAACCAATTCCAAAGTTCGTTTGACTCGTCAGCTCAATGGCTCAGTGGCCCACGCATATTATCAGGGAGCCTGTGCTCTCGAGCCGGCCAAGTGTCCATCTCCAACGTTGATGCCGGGCTATTACTGTCCTTGTGACGCCTCATCTCAAAGGTGCCGCCCTCAATGTCGATGTGGTCATCCTGGATCTTGATCCCTCTGCTGCCGCGTTGCAGTGTATCCGCCCAGCTTCGGCCATTCTTATGCGGGTTGTTCACCACCTGGGCGGCAGTACCACTGCGGTAGGCGGTCGAGGTGTTGTAGTAGCTGCTGGACTTGGAGCGGAAGATAGTCTTGAACAGCGGGCGCAGCGCCGGTATACTGCCGCAAATGACTCCCAAATTTGCTTCTACTGCGGTCCAGATCCATAAGTAGAATCCCTCCCAAGTAACGTCGTAGGTCTCTTCGGTGACATAGTGGGACCAGTAGGCACGCATGGACGCGGCGAAGACGACAACGATTCCGAGCGAGAAGAGGACAATGAGCGCAATTCGTTGGGATAGCGGGAGCTTCAGTTTGAGGAGGGTCGGCAGGGGTAGGGCGCAGACGAGCAAATCGGTGGCGACTGTGGTGATGGCTTGTCCGCTAATACAACGTCAGCACGGGATGACTCGGAATGGGATGCGCAGAAACTTACAGCACTGGTGGGCCTTCCAAAGCACAGTCTTCGTGCCCTGTCAAGGTCCAGTACGACTTCATGGGACTAGATATCTGTCAGTCTAAATCCACGAATATTGGCCGTGAATGCGTGGAGAAAACTTACTTGCATTGCGTCCATAGCACAATGAGGAAGATGAATATAAGTGACGTGACAAGGACGATGGAGGCGTATGTTGCGCGGCGGAGCCACGAGCCCTTGGGTGCAATCCGCAGGTAGGAGACTAGGATGGAGTCCTTTGCAAGCCCCGAGGAAAAGAGGAAGAGTGTCTGAGCAGCGATGGAGACCTGTCTACCCTTCACAGCCTGCTCGCTCTGAAGATCCCACACATGGATATTCCAGCCGTACAGTTGAGCTGAAAGAATAACGCAAACTGTTACGCCAATGCCGAATATCTGCAGTGGAACAAACAGCCGTGTTAGATATGAGGGATAACCACGGGGTACTGGTTTGGAGCATCGAACAAGGTTGGACCGAGGGCTGGGAAAGGGGACTTACCATTGCAGCCAACATCAACCAGTCATCGAGGCCGCTCTTGTTGACCTTGAAAATGCGAACATAGAGACGGGCCAGTAGGGTGACAATGGCGATGGACCCAATGGTTAACTCAACAATGAGGAGGGCAGGCCCTCGACTGACTGGGTTGACATAGTTGGGTGTTGGCCAGGAAGCGGTCACAGAGGGCGGCGGGTTGCGCATGTTGACACAGTTGTCAGCGTAGTCTCGAGGTCTTGATAATGACCATAGCAAAAGAGGGCAACTGCCAGTCACAACGGGGCCGGCGACGCGGAAGCATCATTATAACTAAGAGCCAACGGTGTCGGTCTTCCAGGACCTTACAGGTCTCCACGTCTCCACGTCTCCACGCACACTATAATAGTACGAGGAGCCAGTCAACACACACAAAAGCCTCAGTCGATGGGGTGTCTACGCGCGCCACAAGTGTGCGTTGGTGGGAACTGCACCTAGATGCCCATGTCGCATGATGGTGGAACTTTCTGGGCGGCGATGATGGACGTGAGCACCAACGCTAGAAGGAGACCATGAGCGGTTGAAGTGGGCCCTCCTGGGGCCGACTAGCGCCGGGAGGCGTCGCGGTGCATCGGAGCAATAGACTGATGGATATAATGGATTGCCGACTCGAGGCCATGGGGCCGGACGGGCAGTTCGGGGCGTGGCCGAAGAGGGCTTGGTCCGGGGCCACTGTGGACGACGTCGAGGGGGCGGGTCCCAGTCTTTCGCGATGGCGATTTTCGACGGCGATCCAAGCGGAGGGGCAAGCAGGGGGGCATGCGAGCCAAACGTTCCCCGAGCGCCGGCTTGTTGGGGGCCTTGGTGGCTGAATGGGACGAGGCAAAAAAGACGAGACTTCGTTGGTGTCAGGACGTGGGACCTTCGACGAGGACGAGCAGAAGGCCCGAAGTGGACATAGCCGGCTCTGCAACGTCGGGACGACGGGCCACGAAACATCAGAGCCACAGAAAATTACCTTATATTGCCTTGGCTTGCCTAGGTTTTCTGTCCCCCCCTTACAGCCGGTTATGGACGATGGCGGAGACGGCCGGATTGCGAAGCCAGGATACACGGAGGAGTTTTGACTCCGGTTTTTGGTTCGGGGAATTTTGTCTGAATACGGAACTGACCGGTCACTGCTGCATGTAATTAATTACTGTCAATAGTTCCATGGGAAAAGTGTCCGGATCTACTCAGCACCCATTGTTCCCTGCTAGAGTCCGGGTTGTCAACTCCAAAACACACATCATTGCTTCTGCATGCAACCTTCTTCGGGGAGGCTTGAGCAGACTAGGTGAAGCAGCTTGCGTACGCCACCGTACGACCTGCATCACCGTCAGGAACGCCCCAGGTCCCAGGGGAGAGCGGAACGCTTCAGGGGTGGCTGCTTGGAGCAGCCCATGATTCGCCCGGGTCTGTACCGGGTCCTCGTGGGCATGCTCTGGGCATGGCCTGGTTGCAGGGTGCTCGTGTGCATGATCACCAGAGCGTGCGTCGACGACAGACAATGGCGAAGAAACGGTAGCATTTTTGGCGTCTTTGACAGAGACGCTATCCAGGGATTTTGTTGCGAGTTTTTGGAGGGACCCAGCGGAGCGGGTTCGGGCGTTTACTGCTACGCTGTTGTTAAGTAAACGTCTGACACACGACCATGACGACGACGACGGCGGCGGTGGTGGACCATGTCTCAGGCGGTTGTGGCTTTCTTGGATCAACTGAATATCACTTGAGCTGGTGTTTGGTGGAGATGATCTTAATTTGTGTCTGGCACTAAGTAAGTATCAAGAATGGAATCCAGTTACTCGGCCGTTGCCTGAGGCACTGCCGTCCCGCTCCTGCTAGACAGGCTACTCTACTCGGGGCAGGAAGGTGCGACGAAGCCCTGGCACCAAATGGAAGCCTCGGGTTTTTTATGGGGGCTAAGTAAGTAAGCATTGACTGATCGGCCACCAACTCTTGCCTCTGTAGGGTTGCGATTGATAATCGCCAGGAAACATCTCCACGCTCTCACAGCCCACATCTAAATCCACAACATCCACCTCACATGTCGGGCTTTTGGGCAGGGAAAACACGTTGCCAGCATGGATAGATCTTGCTCCATGAGATGAATCCCCCAGATTTTCATTTAGGTTTTTGCTTTTCCCTCTCTCGCTTTTACCCTTTGCCCACCAGGGCCGGTTCCCCGTCTAAGAACCTCCCCTGGCTCGGCCCTGACGGAGCAAAACCCACACACCCTAGCCGCATCGCCCCCTTTCAGCGAGTATTTCCACCAGGGGGTTCTTGGGTCCCCTGTCAGCGAGAAGTCACGTCAAGCGGCCAGGAACGATCTCTTGTGCGCATCATCATCTCATCCTGGCTCTGGTCATTTTCCCCCTTGTTGAGCACCGCCAGATCGATTTATCTCGCTCGATCAAGTCGCTTCCCAGCCCAACTCCACCTGATATGTCGGGTCTCACACGCAGACCTCAGGCCATCGATGCAAGCTCTAGGGGCCAGGCATGACCGGACAAGTTACATTATATTATAGCCTGCGGCGGTGATATTGAACAAGTGGTGGATGCAACAGCGGTTCTACCCGCACCACCATCCCCTTTGTGCCGCAGCCTTGGGTCGCCGCAACGGCGTCGCAACACCAGCCATGCGCCGTCACTGCGCCGTTCCCTTACCCTAGCATGGGCGCTCGCTCTAACACCCAGTGTCAAAGTGTCACGTTGGCAGCTTGACTTGACATGACTTGAAACGACGAGATGAGATGAACATGCCACATTCACTGCTCCTCAAACCCGCGCAGAAAATCGCAAATGTGATCCATCTGATTAGGAACCTGGAACCAGTGACCCTCCTGTTCGGCGCCTGAGTACTCCCTCCAGTCAACGCCATGTCCCGCCCGCAATAGAACCCGCGCCGCTTGCCGTCCCAGCTTAACGTCCACGTACGCATCGTCCAGTCCGTGTCCGAGAAGCACAGCAATTCCAGAAGGGGAAGCTCTCGGTTTCCCATCGTCCGAGGCAATCATTCTGCGGACAAATGGGTCGTACGCAGTGGCATCCTTCGATGTCGTGAGGGTGTGAGAGTCGTCGCCAGCGCATGATTTCACAAACTCTTCAACAACACCAACACCTCCCGCCGAAGCCGCCACAGACGCAGACGCAGATGACCCCAAGATTCTCTCCAGGTTATCCCCAAACGGGACCCAGGTGCTGCTACCCACAAAGCCACCTGGTCCTCTCCCCAGGTCGCCCTCGCATAGCAGCGTCCAGATGCCGATAGCTCCTCCTTGGCTAATGCCCCCCAACACCAGCCTCTCAGCTCGGCCGCCCACCCTCGACCTCTCTTCCTCCAGCACGCTCCGCACGTAGTTGACCGACTCCTCAATTCCCGCCGTCTGCAGATCCTGCCGCGCTTCAGGGTCCGTCAGCGAGTGCGCCTCGAACCAGGCCGGCATGTACTCCTCGAACGTCGCGCTCCAGAGCTCCCGCGACGACGGAAACACCCACCGCCACCCCGGCAACGCCTCACGCAGACTTCGCCCATCAGACAGCAGCGACACCATCAACTCCTCCGCAAACTCTTCCGCCCCGCTTCCCCGGCCATGCAGCATCACTGCCGTGTGCGTGTGCTCATAATCGGGCTGCGGATCTAGAACGTGTGCGGGGCCGAACCCTTGCTTCAAGGATCCTGCTCTGGACGACCCGGATGAAAATGTGTCGCTATGGCCATCCATTTCAGCCTGGTGTCGGCGTGGCTTTTGCAGAAGCGAAATGGGTCCCGTCAGGATGGTAGTGATTTGCTGTGACAGCGTCGATCATGTGCATGGTTTGTACGAGTACGGTCCTTCGTAAAAGTTGAAGAATGCCGCCAACGCAGGACAAACTCCACACCACACACCGTTTACTGTCGACCTTTGACCTAATTAAGCCACTTCAACGAGCCAACCACCATACAAGTCGGCCAACCATCCGGAGCAGAAAGCAAATTCCCCCCCTCCTGTGGGCTGCAAGGCTATTGTCGGCTTCATCAGCCCCGTCTCATGTCAAACCGGTCCCAGAAAGTTGCCTCGGCTCATTTCTAGTTCCCACCAACCTTCACAACCTCATTAACAATCTCCATTATGCAAGTAGCTCGCAACCATGGCACAAATTAGTACCTCAAGACGACATAGTACATGCATAAACTTCCCAATCGGTCCGGTGCCTCGCATCTTGGAGGTTAGAGCCTGTATTTCTTAGCCGTATTGCCTCTGCATAGTTGGAGTCAAAAGCACAATTTGTCTCATGAAACCTCGGCTGCACAGCACAACTTGCACCATCTTGTTGACAGAAGAATTCTTAGAACTCTCCGCCTCCCCGAAACCCGGACGCAAGGAGCGACTCAAGTCAAAATACGTCACTCGAGTACGGAGTGGAACCGTGGCTATTAAAAACGTAATTGAATACTGCAAACTAACACTAGCAGGAATAAAGTCTAACCGTCACTACCAAGACGCCCAAGCTGTGCCTCGGTATTGCAAGAATACCGGTATTCCAGAGCCCGATCAATCAAGTTCCGAAGCACACCCTCCATGTCCCAGTCCTTGTCCTTGTCCCTGTCAACCATACCGCAGCTGTCACTCCGCAGTGCTGCCCTTTGAGTCAGCCACCATCACCGACGACTCTGTTTCCAACTGGTACAGAGGGGGCATGGGATCGACGTCCTGCCCAAGCATCCGCCTGAAGTACCAAGTCAACCGCTGAGCATAGTATCGCGCGTGGTCACGGTTTCGGACGCTGAAGACAAGATCCAGTTCCTCAAGTGTAAGCGCCTTGGTCTCGGGCAGGAGGAAGTATGCAAAGACCCAGCCCACCAGGTTCCATGTCGCGTACCAGTAGAAAGCGTTGTGTCCTCCAAACGTTTCCTTCATTTTTGGCCAGGTGAAGCTGATCAGGAAGTTGAAGGCCCACGTGATGGATGTGGCCGAAGCCATACCTAAGGATCGGATATGCAGTGGGAACGCCTCCGCGCTGTAGGTGAATGGAACGGGGCCCATTCCTGGAGAGTAAACAGCCATGAAGATGTAAATGCTGGTTGCCAATAAGCCAAGGCGGACTTGTTCGGCCTCAACGCTGAAGTTCAGTCCGGTCCAGAAGAGACAAGCGCTCATCATGGGGAAGGTCACCAGCAAGAGGTTTCGACGTCCGAATGTGTCAATCGTCCAAATCGCGGGCAGAGCAAAGAGCCAGTTGATGACGCCTCCACCGAACGAGACGAGCAACGCTTGCGAGCGCGAGTATCCAGCGCCCTTAAAAATCTCGGTACTGTAGTACGCAATGACGTTCACTAAAGGATATGTCAGCTCCATTTTCATCACATGTAGCTCAAAGGGATACTTACCACCACAGAACTGTTGCATCAACATGCAGAACCACGAAGACTGCGCAGCTCTCCAGTTTCGTCGGACAGTGAAGAACTCCTTGAGGACGCTCCGGCCCTCCTTAGTCTGCTCCTCGACCTGAAGGAACTTCCATGCGAGGTACATGTCCCGTGCCGCCTGTAAATCGTTGCTACGGAGTTTTTGCAGGGACACAAAAGCTCGCTCAAAGTCACCCTTATCCATGTACCAACGAGGGCTCTCCGGCAAGAGGTAGACAAGACAACCGACGACCAGAGGTGGGAGTGCCGTTGATCCTATCATCCAGCGCCATTGAGAAGTCTCCCCGAGGAAATCCACATTCTGGAAGGCGAGAGAAGATGCAAACCCTATCATGATTCCAAAAGCCGTCCACATTTGCCACATCATGGTGAGAGCGCCACGGATGTTCGGGGGAGCGCACTCGGCAGCGTAGACAGGTGTGGTACTCGATTTAGCGCCAACAGCCAAGCCAAGGACGAAACGAGCGATGAGGAGTGAAACCCAGCCAGGAGAAACCGCCTGCCAGATAGCAGTCACGAAAGCGAAGAAGCATGAGAAGGCAATGGTGCCGCGGCGGCCCCAGTAGTGGTTCAGCGGAGCGTTCAACCAGCATCCGATCAGAGCGGCAGAGGCATATGGGGCTCCATTGACGAGACCCCGCATCAATGCCTGATCTTCGCCGATATCAAATTCTTTAAAGTAGAAGTACTGAGCAAAGGTCAGTATGTTATCATAACAGATATCGGTGTCGTTGTCATACCTGGGCACCGTTGATGACGGTCTGGTCCATGCCCTGCACAATGGCACAACCAGCGCACAAGGCGCAGAGGAAGTAGAGCATCTTGGGCTGAGAAGACCAACGGTGTTCATTCTCGTAACGGAGGATCTCTTTGTCGTTTTCCGATAGCTCAGGAAGAGTCTCGAATCCATCGGGAGAGTTGTGAACCTTGGCCAGGAGTGCTCCCTTGCGAAAGACATCGCGGTAGTCGGGCAGGCCCTTAGCGACGACAAAGGCATCGACGTCAGCAGTGATATCGTCATGGTTCAGGTGTGCGAGGGGGTTCTGCAACAACGCAGTTGTCGTCTTGGAGCCGGGGGTCTTCCCACCAGCATCCTCAGGACGCGAGATCTCATCCACCGACTCCATTATGGACTTCGATGTGGCCGCCATGGTGCCTAGAGTGGAACTGGAGATGCAAATGCTGTTGAAATATTGTTCGGATTGATGATCTGGGGTGAAGACCTGGGGTCTGAGGATGTGGAGAGAAGTAGTTTATATACCTCCAAATGCAAGGCCGAACGATCCAAAAGGTTGGCTGTGAGAACCTGGATGCTGCAAACTTAATACTGGGTGGAGATGGCCATGGTGACCAGATATTGTGCTGGAACTGCTGGAGTGTTATTGGGAGATTGTGCTTGGCACCGAGATGGGTGAGCGAAGAGATGGGCTTTTTAGAATGGACAGTTGGCCTTGGCTGGCTCTTTCTTCAAACAAGACACCAGGAGACATCGCGACCTTGATTCTCCGACGTCGGCCATTCTCCGCAACACTGTGAGCAGGAGCGCCTCTAAGCCTGCACAAACTTTGGTGGCTGCTTCCCAACGAGGTTCTCACGATGGTCTCGCGCGTTGGCAGGGTGGCGGCTCTGTCGCCGTTGTCGGTCTCGCAAGGGATATCGAGGAAGGTTGCATTTTAGTGTTCCTTCAAGCAGGACGAGCGGTTGAGTCGTAACCTTGCTACTCCTTCTCCGTCTACCAAAAATACGATCACCTGATATCCACAAATGATAAACCTTCCGGCCACTCCAAAAGATCGGTCTCGTCAAACAGGACTGTCCATGAAACCAGGTGGGTCATCGGGGTCGTAAAATCCTTGATCTAGATGCTTTTGGCAGACCCAGACTTCTTCGCTGAGAACGCGGTCTTGGCAGGCGGTAGCATGGCACTGATGCCAACCCGCATCGTGCTGCTCCTTTTCGAGTAGAGTGGTACATTCTTCCTGGATTATTGTCGAATATCTTGGAGGCTGTTTGATTGGGGGCTCCTTCGTCTCAGTTTCAGTAGGGGGCGGAGGTTCAGGTAAGGTGTCTGGGTCTGAACGGCTGTCTTTACGGTTTCGTAGGAGGGGCTTCCAGTTGAGCAGTGATCGCACACGTGAATGCCTCTGCTTTGTCGGAGGAGTGGGAGCAACGGGAGTAGCCTTGGGAGGAAACCTGATATCTTCCCATCCCAGATGAGACGAGCAGTGCCAGGAATCAGCCCGTGGGGAACTGCATCCAGGCCATGTACAACGATGTCGACTGCACTTGCTATCGAATCCTGTTTTGGCTTTGGCATTGACGCATGCTTCGCAAGGCGGAGGATCAGGTGTCGTGGGCTTTGGTGGCTTCGGTGATATCGGTGACACAAGTGGAGGTGTTGCTGTTCGGGTCCCTGGCTGGGATGGCAACAATGGCGTAGACAAATGGCCCTCCTCACAAAACCAGGTGAGTTCGCCAAATATTTCCACTCGCGGCTTGGGACAACCGGGGTGGGTGCATCGGTGAGGTGCGCAATAACACACTCCGCTCGGGAAGGCAGGCAGGTTTATGTCCTTGATGGAGGCGCCACAGGCCTCGCAGCGTCGAAAATGTGACTGCGTTGCGCTGGGCGTCGGAGTGTGCGGGCTGTGCTCCGCGCAGGCCAAGTTAGAAATTTGCCTTCCACTCGCAAAGGGCTTGAACCGATGGAGGTTGAAGATGGCAGCATTTCCAGCCCTCGGCTTGTAGCAGCCCTGGTGGTTGCATCGGTGCCGTGAGCAACAACCCGGTCCATCCTGCGGGACGGTGTTGGTCATGTCCGTGAAGGGGATGTCGCAGACCTGGCATTTCCGCACTGCATTACTCAAAGATTGGCTGGGTGCTGGGTTATCAGCAGCCTCTCGCCCCTTGGCGTCCTGGTGTAGTTTGCACCATGGTGTGAGGTCATACCGGGACTCACCACAGCCAAAGACGCTGCATCGGTGCTGCGAGTAAAACATCAGTCCGTCAGTGGAGTATGCCATGTCTAGATCTTCAACGCGGACGGTACAAGTTCCGCAAACCCAGTCCTGGGGCTGGGGCGGATCGTTGGGTGTCCCGTTGGACGCATCTTTAGATGGAGCCATCGCCCCCGACTTGTGGTCCTCGTTCTTGCACCACCACAATGAAAAGCCATCCCGGGGCCTGGTGCAGCCGGGAAGGGTGCATCGATGCCGTGAGCAGTACGAATTCCCGTCTTCGGGGTTGTATATGGCCGACTCTACAATATGAGGCCGTCCATTGTGGTTGTGGCTTGCAACGCAGGTATGGCAGGGGCGTGATGCGCCGTTCATGGTTTCGTCAAGTCGATGATAAGTCAGCTAGATTTGTAAGTAGTCATCAGACTGTGAGTCTGAGCTTTGTTTCATGATGAATAAAGTTGGTCGTCTTTGAAAACGCTCAGCTTCATCGTCATAAGGCGTATCAGTACAGCTGGCGGTATTGATTCAGCCTGACTGCCGTGTCGTGGCGAGTACCTGTCGTGGCTGAGCTTGTTCTACTGACACCTCCTCTACTGAGAGCGCCCGGCTAGGGCGTCACCCCCCTGTCATAACAAGCCCTGCCCGCTCAGCCCATCCGGAGAATTACTGAGCTTTGTAAGGATTGTGGTACAGGCACTGGCAGCCTGAAACTAGGCAGGTACCAATTTCCTCGCTAATTACGTTACTCCAGTTAGCCGAAGTCGGTAATCAGCTGGTCCCTTGATCTCAAGCTTTAACCACCTCATCTGCTCGGCAAGCAATTCAGTGCCGTCAAAGAAGAGCCCTGCATTCTAAATTCCAGAGCTAATTCATTCCAAACCATTGTCTAGGCGAGCATTACTCGGCATTTTCTGTCTGCCTCAGTCAGCCCTTCCAATTGGCCCACGAATCGATGCTGTCGTGGGGAGTTTCGTATGGCTATGGGAATCACGGCAGATGCGCCAATTGCACCACCACCTCTGGCCGGTTCACGAGGTGATACTAGGAGACGTCACACCAAGACGAGCCAGGTGCCTTGACGTAACTATGACCAAAAAAGACACGTTTCATGCCCTCATTATTAAGCGGCGATAAATGTTCTTGTTGTAGCCGACCAGAGCGCGTCCGCAAGATACCTAAGTTTAGGGTAGCCTAATTACCGTTGGCACTGCAGCGCAGACATCCTCACCAAAAAGACGACCCACGGATGTGTCGGGCGGTGTTGAAGATGCCACGAGCGGATGCATCATTCCCTCCGGCACCGAAGACCCAACAATGCCAACCAGTCACAATCACCCAACCAACACAGTGGTACCTAATACCCCTGTCTTCGAAACAACCTTCAACACCCGATGGGGTCGATGCGAGGCTGTGAGACCGACTCTTCGCCTAAAATGGATGTTGCCGGGTCAACCGTCATACGTAATCTCATTGTTTGGTTGCTCCAAGCTCCTTCCTGGGAGAGGAGCTACCTCCCCCCACTGACCACACCGGCTTGGAAAGTGTCTATCACTCCACGTGCCTGCCTACCTTGCCGCGGTTTCGCAACTCCAAATCTGCCTCTTTAGACCATCCCCAACAAACACCACGAAGCGCCAATTCTACAAAACTCCTCTCGCGGAGCCCTCGCAACTAACAACACTATCCCACCGTTTCGCATCCGCAGGCGGTCTACCGGTCTTTCTTCTAGCTTTGCAATACCGGCGCAAACCGTCACAGACACCCCTCGTTCGCTTCGGATCGCCAATCCCCCCTCCATTGTCTTTACTCGCGACCACATTCCAGCACCCGAGTCAACGCCATGGACGGGCAGCACACGCCCTTGCGGCCGCCGGACTACAGTCTGCCACCGTACGACGACGACGAGCTCCATCACACACCCACCGGCCAAAATCCCGCCGCCGTAAGACTGTTGACGTCGGTCGAAGAGCCCTACGATGCCCACACGTATGTAGCAACTCCATTCCTACCCCCAGCTCCACTTTGTCTCTCAGTTCCTTCGTCTCCCCTCAAGACAGCGTCTTTCCCCGTCAAAACGCCAATCTTGATTCCTCTACCTGTTTCCCCTGTGTCTCCATCTTCGAAAGCGCCCCCGAACGTAGGCGCTCAAGCAACGACTGTGGACACTTCGAAAGCAGACCACTCCGATAGCTTGGAGAAGAGGCACGGCAAGGAAGCTGCAGTTCTTCCATCTCTCTCACCAGACCCTACCCTCTCAATCGCCAACACTCCATCCACACTACCCAGCAAGTGCCTTTCTGGTGCTTCTCCTGCAAAGTTGCAGAACCAGGACCAGAAACCAGTCAGCGAAGTCACCTTCGCAGATATGCCCCGGGATCTTCCAGAGATCCCGGCGGGTGCCAGCGACCGGCGCAAGGAGTATCACCAGCAGCATGCGATGAACCACTTCTCTCCAGCGCCACCACCGTACCCGTTGTCACCAGAGATCAAATACCCACTATCACCAGAAATCAAGTACCCAACATCACCACAGAACCCCAGCAGCTCACAAAAACGTGTCAGGATCCGCACACCGAGAAAGAACTTGAATTACCAGTCCAGTCTTCGCTCCTCGCCATCCAGAACCGGCTCTTTACTTGATGATTATCCCCGAATGCCGCCTCCCGACTCTACATATGTGCCCTTCGCTGGCCGAGATGGCTCCCCTCAACGACCGTGGACACCTTCATCACGATTGTCCGACTTTACCAGGTCTGAATTCACCAGGTCCGAATTCCCCAGGTCCGATCTCTCCAGGTCTGATCTGTCAAGGTCCGATCTCTCCAGGTCCGAATTCACCAGGTCCGATCTCTCCAGGTCTGACTTGCCGAGATCCGATCTCTCCAGGTCCGATCTCTCTAGGTCTGACTTGCCAAGATCCGACTTTTCTAGACCACCCCCAGTCAACGGCACGTACGAGCCCTCCGACCTCGATGGCAGCCCTCGGCCAGGAACCCCATCCTCCAGATACGGCGGTAGTCCTCGCCGGCCGCTACCTCCTGCGCCACTCTTCTCAAACACCAATCGCGACTCGCGGACTTTCGCAGACGATGCAACAGTGTCGATTCCTCTTACTGACCTCGATGACGACGACGTCTTTGGTCCCGAGTCCGATCTTAGCGAAGCACGACCTCTACCAGACCACCGCAGCTCATACCTCTCAGCTGATTCTCAAGAGACCCTAAGCCAGGATCCCGAGTACTTCGATAATAAGGCGGAACACTATGGATCAGCTCCGGATGGAGCTCAGGAACGCCGAGGTGTTCGGGCGCCCCAGATGTCCAAGAGGGAGGTTCAACTCATCAATGGTGAGCTCGTGTTGGAGTGCAAAATCCCCACGATTCTCTACAGCTTCTTGCCCCGCCGCAACGAGGTCGAGTTTACCCACATGAGATACACGGCTGTAACTTGTGATCCCGATGATTTCGTCGACAAAGGATACAAGTTGCGCCAGTCCATTGGTCGCACCACTCGTGAGACAGAACTATTCATCTGCATTACCATGTACAACGAAGACGAGATCGGCTTTACCCGCACGATGCATGCTGTCATGAAGAATATCTCTCATTTCTGCTCACGCACCCGTTCTCGAACTTGGGGCGAGACCGGATGGCAGAAGATTGTTGTTTGCATCGTGTCAGACGGCCGTGAAAAGATCCATCCTCGCACCCTTGACGCTCTCGCAGCAATGGGCGTCTACCAAGACGGCATCGCCAAGAATTTCGTCAACAACCGTGCTGTGCAGGCCCACGTCTACGAGTATACAACTCAGGTCTCACTCGATGCGGACCTCAAGTTCAAGGGAGCTGAGAAGGGCATCGTTCCTTGCCAGATGATTTTCTGTTTGAAGGAGAAGAACCAGCGCAAGCTCAACTCACACAGATGGTTTTTCAATGCATTTGGCCAGGCTCTCAACCCCAACGTGTGCATCCTACTGGATGTAGGAACACAACCTGGTGGAAACTCTCTCTATCACTTGTGGAAGGCCTTTGATACCGACTCCAACGTCGCCGGTGCCTGTGGAGAGATTAAAGCTATGAAGGGCAAATGGGGCGTCAACCTCCTCAACCCCTTGGTCGCGTCCCAGAACTTTGAGTACAAAATGTCCAACATCCTTGACAAGCCCCTCGAATCTGTCTTTGGTTACATCACCGTGCTTCCCGGTGCTCTGAGTGCGTATCGATTCCACGCACTGCAGAACGACGAGACGGGACACGGTCCGCTGAGCCAGTACTTCAAGGGTGAGACGCTCCACGGACAACACGCCGATGTCTTCACAGCCAACATGTACCTTGCGGAGGATCGTATCCTCTGTTGGGAGTTGGTCGCCAAACGAGGCGAGAGATGGGTCTTGAAGTATGTCAAGGGGTGCACTGGTGAGACTGATGTCCCTGGTAAGTTGATAACATCACCCGATTACTCCTTGGCTCAGTTCAATTCACTAACAATTACTAGACACAGTACCCGAGTTCATCTCCCAACGACGACGATGGCTCAACGGTGCCTTCTTCGCTGCCGTCTACTCCCTCGTTCACTTCAAGCAAATCTGGCAGACGGATCACACGATAGCACGCAAGGTTTTGCTGCACATCGAATTCGTCTACCAGTTTATCCAACTTATCTTCACGTACTTCTCTCTGGCCAACTTCTACCTCACCTTCTACTTCGTTGCTGGCGGTTTGACCGATAAAAAGGTCGATCCATTCGGTCACAACATCGCAACTGTCATCTTTCACATCCTACGCTACTCATGTGTGCTTTTGATAGCGACGCAGTTTATCCTATCGCTTGGTAATCGCCCGCAGGGTGCCAAAAAGCTGTATCTGATAAGCATGATCGTTTATGGTGTCATCATGGTGTACACGACCTTCGCAACCATCTACATCATTGTCCGACAACTTACATCCGAGCACAACAAGATATCGATAGGCAATAACGTCTTTACAAACCTCATCGTTTCTATCCTGTCAACAATTGGAATGTATTTCATCATGTCGATCATGTACTTGGACCCATGGCACCTGATCACCTCTTTCGCACAGTACTTTATCCTCTTGCCAAGTTATATCTGCACTCTGCAGGTCTACGCCTTCTGCAACACCCACGACGTTACCTGGGGTACCAAGGGTGACAACGTCATGAAGACTGATCTGGGTGGCGCCGTAGGTAAGGGCCAGACCGTCGAACTGGACATGCCCAGCGAGCAGCTCGACATTGATAGCGGCTACGATGAAGCGCTGCGGAACCTCCGTGATCGTCTCGAGGTTCCTGAGCCCCCCGCCAGCGAAGCCCAGATGCAAGAAGACTACTACAAGAGCGTCCGTACTTACATGGTGCTATCTTGGATGATCTCCAACGGTATCCTCGGTATGTCTGTCTCCGAGATCTACAGCAGCAAGGGCATTGGTGAAAACTACTACTTGAAATTCATCCTCTGGAGTGTCGCCTCGCTCGCCGTCTTCCGCGCCATCGGCTCCACCACCTTCGCAGTCCTCAATGTCATCAACATGATTGTAGAGGGCCGCGTCCGATTGACCCTCAAGGCACCGAGGTGGTGGGGAAGTGTCAGCGATCGCGTCAGCGAGAAGATGAGCAGCGTGGGCACCACATTGAAGAGTTGAGTCATTACCTTGTCATTTGATATTGTTTATCTGTTACGGATTTTGCGGGCGTTGGGATATACCGAATGGTCTTTGGCATGGAGTTTAAGGGATCTAGCATTGCATTCATGCGGTTGGAACAAGATGCGGATATGCTTGTTTGTGTATGCGACGATGTACGGCATTCGATGATGGAAATGCCTAGTGCTGTCATGAGAAATCAGCATACGTGGTTTACACGTCTTGCTTGATACTAAGGGGCTTGGAGCCAGATTAAAATAAATGGATGTTAATACCCCTAGTACACTACTTCAACTTCTTAATTGCTTGTTCAAATTTGATCGGTCGTGTATCAACATTTGTATGCTTTAGGGCAAGAAATGAAATGCGGACAGAGTCACCAGTTTATGTTCAATGTGTAGTATGTAAAAAGACTTCTTCATGCTAGATATTCCTACATGGGGAATGAATGCGTTCCAACCAGTGCGCCTGGCCAAGTAAACCACAAAAAACATGCACAAAGATGCCAATCTCATAACAAGACGCCTAGTTTTACCCCTCCTTCATTTTTGTTCTATTTATCCAACTCATCCAATTGTCGTCATCATTTATTCCTCGTCTTCCTCATCATCAGGAACCTAGAATAGGGGTTAGCACATGTATACAGAAGGTGTAATAAACCAAGGACTTACGTTGTCATGGAAGTTCTGGCCATCGGTAGTGGCAGTGATGACACCAACGCGGATGCAGAAGTCACCGAAGCGCTCGCCCTCCTCACGCTCCAGGGCGTACCGCTTGAGCAGAGGCTTCATAATAGAGAGAATCTCTTCCTCCTTGATGCTCTGGCGGAACAGCTTGTTGAGGCGCTGGCCGTGGTAGCCACCACCCAGGTACATGTTGTATGCGCCGAAAGCCTTACCGACGAAGGCCACTTCTGCCAGCCAGGGACGAGCGCAGCCGTTGGGGCAACCAGTCATACGCATGACAATAGAGTCCTGGCGCAGACCATTCTCCTCAAGGCATGACTCGAGCTTGGTGATGAGCACGGGCAGGTATCGCTCCGACTCGGCCATGGCAAGGCCACAAGTGGGGAAAGCGACGCAGGCGGAAGAGCTGAGGCGGAGACCGGAGAACTGGATGTTGTCGAGCTTGTACTTTTTCATCATCTCCTTCATAGCGGGCAGGTCCTCGTCGGCAACGTTGCTCAAGATGAGATGCTGGTTTCCGGTAAGACGGAACTCGCCCTTGTGGACCTTGGCGATTTCACGCAGGCCAGTCTTCATCTGGAACTCAGGAGTGTCCTCAATACGGCCGTTCTCGATGAAAAGGGTGAAGTGGTTAAGACCCGTCTCATCCTTCTGCCAGCCGAAGACATCGACGTTGCTCTTGAACTCGAATGGGCGCTCCTGCTCAAACTTCTGGCCCCAAAGCTCCTCAACTCTGGCACGGAAGACGGGGACGGTCATGTCGTCAATGGTGTACTTGAGACGGGCATGCTTGCGGTTCTTTCGGTCACCGTTGTCACGCTGGACGAGCATAATCTTCTCACAAACCAGGTGGATGTCCTCGGCCTTGACGAAACCGAACATGCGACCGGTTTGGGGGTAGGTCTTCTTGTTGTTGTGAGTTGTACCCATACCACCACCAGCGAGAACGTTGAAACCAGCCAGGTTGCCGTCTTCACCCTTGATGGCAATCAGACCAATATCGTGGGCATACACGTCGGTATCGTTGTGGGGAGGGATGGCAATGGTGATCTTGAACTTTCGGGGCAGGTACGTGGGGCCGTACAGAGGCTCGAAGTCTTGTGTGGCATCGCCAGCAACCTGAACCTTCTTATCGTCGTCGTCGGTCAACCAAATCTCATGGTAAGCGTTGGTAGAGGGGAGTAGATGCTCGCTGATGTGAATCGACTTGGCATAGACTTGTCTGTGGTAGCTGGACTGGGTGGGGAGAGAGCTGCACATGACGTTTCGGTTCACATCACCACAGGCGGCAAGGGTGTCCATAAGAGAACGGTTGATAGCCTGCATGGCAGGCTTGAGCTTGCTCTTAATAACACCGTGGAACTGGAATGTCTGTCGGGTGGTGAGCTTCATGGTCTCGTTTCCGAGCTCGTTGGCGATGTCGTCCATCTGGACCCACTGCTTAGGAGTGGAAACACCACCAGGCAGTCGGCATCGAATCATGAAGGAGTAGGCGGGCTCGAGACCTTGGGCCTTGCGCTCATCTCGGACGTCGCGATCATCCTGCATGTAGGTACCGTGGAACTTGGTGAGCTGCTGGTCAGACGCGGAGATGGCACCGGTCGAGGTATCCCTCAGACCCTCCAGAATGGTACCACGGAGGAAGTTGGACGCGGCCTTGATATCCTCGTTGGTGATGGGCGGGGGCTCGTCAGGGAGACCGTCGACAAGGTCGACGCCAAGAGCCTGCCAGATCTTGGGCTCCCAGTCGGAGTACCCGGTCTGGAAACCATCGGGATCCTGGTCATCACCGAGGCCGGTATCAGCCAGATGCTTGGCACCAAGGTTGGTCAACACGCGGTCGAGATCCTTGGCAGGCTTGTTGTAGTAGATCCTGTCCTCCTTACGGGGCCAATAGTGGCTGTCGCCGAGACCGAAGATAGAGTAGTTGACAGAAGCCAGGTCGAGATCGGTGTTGTCCTTGATGGCATCCCAGAAGGGAAGACCGTTTTGGGGGAACTCACCCTGACCAGCAGTCGAGGAGATGAAGACGATGTTCTCCTCAGTGGGGAGGTCCTCCAGAGGGTAGTCCTCCATGGCCATGACGGAAGTCTTCAGGCCACGAGCACGACCACGGTTGGCGAGACGCTTCGCCACGGTACCGGCGTTGCCGTTGTCGGAGGCGTAGAGGATGGTGAGAGGAGCACCCAGAAGACCCTCCAAAAGCTGGTTGTAGGCATCCTTGGCCTTGCGCTTCTGCTGTGCTCGCACCTCAGTGCCAAAGTCCTGTGCGATGGCAGCAGCAAACTTGGGCTCCTTGTTCATGAGCTGAGTGAGCTGGTTATCGCGGGCTAAGAACTTCTTGAGCTCTTGCTTGATAAGCTCAGAGTCGAGAGAGAAGTTGGGCTCTCCCTTCTCCTCGTTCTTGGGGTTCCATCGGTACAGGGGCCAGTAGCCAGCATCAACAGCCTTCTTGGTCTCCTGGAGAACAGTCAGGGGGGAGTCATTCTCGCCGAAGTAGGGTAGGTAAGCCATGACGACCGAGGGACCGTCGAACTTGTCGGCCTCGAGCATAGCCTGCAGAACCTGAGTATACGAGCTGTAAACGGCTGTGGAGGCGACGTAGACGTTTCCGAAGTTCATGGCGTACAGACCGATGTCCTTCTTCCTCCTGTTGGCGTCGGCACCAGCCTTCTCGGAGAAGGGGGTCGAGTCGATGATGAGCATGTTGATGTTCTCGCCGGAGGCAAGAACGTGGTGAACACCAGAGTTGCCCAGATCGTAGGCCCAGGCATCGGAGCCAGTTAGCCAAAGCGACTCCTTTCGGAACAGGCCCTTGGCAGTGAGAAGCTTGGAGGCAATAGCAGATCCGTCAGTCTCGAGGCGAGAGATGACATCGTCGGCAATCTCAGTTGACTTTGTGGCATCGTTGGCGTTCAAAGCCCACCGAGCCAGCCAGCTCTTAGGGGTATCAGTGATGAAGCTGCCGCTGGTGGCGGCCTCCTTGACCTCGGCGACAAACTGGTTTCGGCGCTCCTTGCGAGCCAACAGCGAACCGAAACCGAACTCGGGGCTAGCGGCAACGGTGGCGGACAGGCCAGTAGTGGAAGACTTGATGGCATTGGCGATGTAGGTGCGCTGGCCAAACAGCTGGTCGAGGATTTTGGTGTAGGCGGTCTCCAGTTGAGGAGACTCGAGGTCGTAGCCAGTGGGCTCCTTGTAAGCGCTCTTCTTGCCAACCTCGAGGTTCTGGATAGGCTTCTCAGCCGTAAGGTTCTGGAGAACACCACGGAGGGCCTGGGTGACGGTCTCAGGGGCAATGTAGCCGAGTTGATGACCGACAATGGTCTCGACACCGCCGGGGCCGCTTCGGATGGAGGTCAACACATCGATGAGGAGAGGTCCCCACTTGGTGGTCTTGCGGTGGATCTGCTCGAGCACGGCAATTCTCTTGATCGACTTGGGGATGGCATCTACGAGCCTGGAGCCAATCCATGGTCGGTAGAGGCGGGGGGTCAAGATAGCGGTGTTAGTGAAGACCTCATCGGGGCGAGCGCCGTCAATGGCCTCGGCAAAGGTGCCAGCATCGGAGCCGAAGATGAAGAGGCAGTTCTCGGCATTGGCGGGGCCGGAGTACTCAAAGGCACTGTATGATCGGCCGAGGGCAGTCTTGATCTGAGCCCAAATGCGGGTGGCGCACCTGTACACATCCTCGGAGCTGACTTGAGGAGGGGCGGTCTCGACGGTTGTGGCAGCTGACGAGGGCGCGAGGGGGGTGCTGGCCTCGCTGGCGCGGCTAGACTTGACTGAGGGGTCGACAGAGGGAGCCTTGGAGGTGCTGGAGCTTGCAACTGCGAGGGAATCGACCTTGGAGGTAGCGCCGTTCACGGCAACGTCGTGGTCCGAAGAGACGGCAATGTGGCCGTCATCGGCGTAGATGCCAGTGGCCGAGGTGCCAGCGCCGGCCTGGAATCGCCGGACACTCTCGATATCGAGGACTTCACGGATGACGGAAGCGTCCTCGACGGCGATGGGCTTGTCGTTGGCAGAAGTGGAGGGAGCGAAGAAGTGAACGACACCCTTGCCGGTGCGGATGGCGAGGGCATGGGCAGTCACGGCCATGTCCTGGGCCTCCTGGAGGGTCTCGGAATGCACAAAAGTCCATCCTGAGTTGCGAATGGCGGTGATTACTGAGTAATCGGCAAATGTGCGGGGCTGGAGTGAGACGTGGAGGACTATGGGGTAGTTGGCCAGCTTGTAAAGGTGAGAGACGGAAGGAAGGAGGATGGTGGATGTGGTGGTGACGGAGACGAGCTTGCCGGCTCGAATTGGTGTAAAAGCGGACAACAGAGGGTCGGCATTGTGTCGGACTGCGAGGATCTGAGGGTTGGCGGTTAGTTTGTCTGCGCTCTGGTGGGTTTCCTTACTCAATTGCAGCCCAATTGCCGTCACAATCCGTCGCCTTCACTCCATGTGCTTCCCATGCGCTTGCGTCATGCTCACAACCACAGCAGGGATGGTGGAGGGGCCGACGAACCGATGCAGGGACGGCAACTAGTCATGAAGGCGGGGCAATTTGGGACCGAACATATCGAGCAAAGATGAGGGGCTCTGGAGCTTGTTGGCTTACTTCAGGGACCGAATCAGCGCTCTGGGCCACGAGGCCATGGTCTTTGCGACCGGCATATCGCGTCAGGTGGGAGGAGAATTCGGAGTCGGTGCCGATGGTGGGCTGGACGGAGACGATGACATCGCTGGAGAGGTAGGCGATTCTCGCGACTGTGAGCAGGAAGACACTGTCAGCTGGGCTGCTTTCTAACGGAATTTTCCACCGGCAATGGCCCGGAATTCGGCTTGGTGGTTGAATTGGGGATTGAGTCGGTCCGCCGCCGTCTTGAGTCTCAAAAAGCTCCCGGAGCGCGGGCGTGAGGGAGGCAGCCTCCGGACAACGGCCCAGCGCATTCCGCAGCGCATCCCGCCGTCTCACACAACTCATACACCAAGCCGAGCGGTAACCACGGTGCCAGTGTCATGAAGATGGATAATGGGGAGCTGCTTACCGGCCTCCTCGGGCGTGCGAATCTGGTGCTGTGAGGCGTCCATGGTGTCCCGTCGTCGTGGTCTCCCGCACAGTAACCTTTTGGGTTCGTGGAGGGGGGGAGCAGACACAGACAAGGGAAGAAAGGAGGCAGAGGGCAAAGGGAGTGAGGGATGAATGGAAGGCGGGAGAGGAAGGAAGGAGAGGAAGGAGGGGGAGGGGAGGAGAAGAAGGAAGCCAAGAGGGCCGGAAGAGAGACGGCTTCGCTCACGCGGGCTCCGGGGAGGGGGGTGTTGGAATGATTTTTTTGGCTCTGGTTTCTAAAGCGAATCTTCTCTATGGATCGGTTCGAGTCCGGCCAAGGAAGGGACGACGCCGAGGACCCAGTGCCGTGTATACTTGACCCGGGCTGGGCTGGTCCCGTCTCGGGCACGCCTTCCCCCTCGTCGCCCTCGCCACGGGGCTCTACAATGGTCTACTATCTGCTATGGGGGGCATTGGGACCCTGGAACGAGCCACCGAGATTTTCCCCGCGCCATGCCAGCGACCCGGTGCGCTCAGCGAGCAGCAGCCAAAAACAACAAGAAAAAAACCAAAGGGCCTCTGACGCTTGATGAATCTTCGATTGCGTGATCGGTTAGCGGGAGATGCCATGCCCCGGACGGCCACGGCCCCACACCACACCACGACCCCAAAGCCCAGCCAGCACGCACCGCAGCTGGCGACGGAGCCCCAAGCAGCACCCGCCGCAGCGACCCAGGGACCCTCGGCGCACGTCTCTGCGACCAGAGATGACAAATGGCATCGCTGGCATTTGCCTGGGATCTGCGGCAGCTTGGGTCCAGCAGCCAATCGCCGCGCCGGCATGTGTGTCTGCAACCTTTCGCTGGAAGTGCACCATCGACTCCACCCCGACTTCCTGCTGCGCACCGCTTGCTCGGCCACCGACGGCCCGCGAGACGCTGACACGCTGACGGGCGAGGAAATGCCTCTGTGTCGTCGAATTCGAGCCCTGGGCGCGGGGGTGGCCGTAGCTCCGACTACCGGCCGGCCGCCGGGTGTGCGACGATGACACCATCGAGGGTTGCAGACACGACAAGTCAGACAGCAACGGCAGGATGCTCACAGCCTGCACGCATGCACTTTGGGATCCTCTCAGATGTCCCTTGAGAGACTCATCAATCCTCGCCAATGCTATTCAAGCTCTTCAAGCTGCCAGCTGCAAACAATAATAATGGCGCACATATTCGCCCTGGCTTCTATTTCCGAATCAACTCCGAATGCGGAGGTTGAAACAAAGACTTCAGCAAAGACTGGATGACTGATTGATTAAATGGTAGTCCATTATTGGTTGCACACGTCAACCTAGTTCCGTCGACCTTTGCCGCCATCTCCACCAACACACAGTCAGTCCTCGACGTGCCACAGCACGGGAAATACTCGGAGAAATTGGCCATCGTCTTCACCCCCGCACAAATTGTTAACAAGTGATTTCTTGTTGGATACATAAGTATGCTAACTAATAGGTACAATGAGAATTATGCCAGCTCGGTATTAACAGTCCCTTCCTCCTCTTTCTATCCTTGGGCTCTCTGCGCTTCTCTTCGAATTCATATGCCGTAGAAAGAATCAAAAAGACAAAGCATACGCCCCCGATGCTCCTTTCACGCCCCTGTCTTCAATCATATGCCGCAGTCCTTTCTTCTTCCTCTCATTATTCTTCTGCCGCATGCCGCATCACGCAATGCCGCAGTCCACTTTCACCGCCCGCCACGTGCCTATAAGCCCGCAAAGCCTACCAGTTCACTTGCCGCGCTTTCGCCGCACTCGCCGCAATTCCCCCGGGGCCGGCCGAGTGCCTCGTTGCACTTGCCGCCCGGACTGGTGTCCGTTTGGAGCCGCCCCGTCTTGCCCCTCACACCCAACCAAGGGTCCCGCTGATATGCTTCACTTCCCTGCTGGCTTGTTCTCCTGGTCTTGTCTTGTCATGGTCGTGAAATGCTCGGGCCATTCACGAGCAGTCAATAGCCTATGACCCATCCAGAGCTCCTCGTCCTGAGCTGGCGGGGTCCTCGTGGACGGGGTGTGGTCACGCACAATGCACCTCGAGCAAGCAGCACCGCATTGCCCTGTCGCATCGCCGAAACTCGGCCAAACCTCACCCCTCGACTCCCGTCAATAGCCTGCAGTATCGCATCATCACATCTACACCTCACCCACGAGCGTGCCCAGCGAACCGGGCTTGTTGGGCTCTACGCCCCTCGCCCACTCGTCGGTGTCTCGCTGATCCAGCCAGTAGCCTCGGCCGTACGACACCATCAGCCGGCCCAGCCGTCCCTTGCGGCCCTCACCGTCCGGCAGGTCCTCCGCGAACGGGCCTTCGAGGTCATCCACTCCAGGGCCCTCGAGGATCATCAGCTGCATGTACTTCTGTAGCACCTGCTTCGCATACGCCATCACCACGAAGCTAAAGTACACTCGGATCAGAGTCGCGCCGACAATAAGCAACATGCTTGTAGCCGTCTCCTGTGGAACCACCTTTCCGTGGATGGCGGCCTCCTGGCGCAAGCCCTCGACACCCTCCACGACAAAGTTGGGCAGGCCCGAGGTCTGGGTATCCGTGCCATCCGTGGTCTGGCTCTTGAAGTACCAGTCCAGACCAAATGCTGCCGCGTACAGTCCGTTGACGGCCGTGTCGAGAATGTACATCCATGCCAGCGCTAGGCATTCGAAGGGGCTTTGTTTTCGGATGTGGGGGATCAGGTTGGCGAGCAGCACGAGGACGCCGATGGAGTAAACGTAGGTGGACAGCTGCAGCAGCGAGAGCTGGTAGCCGGTAAGGATGGCCAGCAGCCCGTAGACGCCGGTCACCTTGTTGAAGACGAGAGCGAGCGAGATGACCTCGGTGCCGGTCTGGAGGCTGATCATGCCAAAGAGAGTCTAGGAAACGGGTTCTCGTTAGCATTCTGCGTATCCTCCAACATGCGCAGGGCGATGAGGCCATCCAAGGGGATGAGGCCTCTCCCCTGTTGTGTTTGCCTTACCTTTGGCCGAGGCACCCGCAGGTACAGTCTGGTAAATCGCGACATGGTGGCGGTGACGAAGGCGGTGTCTGGGCTCGACTTTCGCACGCGTAGACGCTATCCTCTCTCACTCTCGGAACGTGAGCAGCAGGTTGTAGGAGAAGGGCACGAGATTCGAACAACAGATCAGGAGGAAGAAGACAAGAAACCACGAAACGCGCGGTGATGACGGAAATGATGCGGCAAGGGTCTGATCACTCAAAGCCTTGTATTGCGCCCCACTGTCCAAGTGTCGGACATCCGTCCATTCCGTGGCTCCCGAGCCCGAGAGCAAGGCGCAATCTGGTAGGCTGTCACGTGCCCCTCCACGAGACAGCACCCCCCTGCAAAACCTGGCGGCAATACCTGCCAAGCAAAAGTCTCCACCAGGCCTTTGCAGCTGCTCCGTAGAAACCATTCAATTCCCGCGGCGCCATAAGACATCACTCTAAACTCGGCTTTGCGAGGCTTACACGCTTGTGCTGCCCGTGTGCAATCCGCACTCAACAAGGCTGTCCACAACCCGGAGCGGTGGGAAAAGAGCATGGGGGGGGTCCTAAGGAGTATGAATAGGTAGCCGACGCATAAAGAGCTTGGGGTACAGTCCCACTGAGATCCTCCCGGGTGTCTCTGTAAGGGACGGTAACGCCATAAGTCGAGGACCAGTAAGATATTTGAGAAGGGAGCCCTTGTGATAGTGGTTTTGGAAGGATAACCCCCTAAGTTGACGCTACAATAAAGGGAGCTATTTAAGATACGCCACTGTTGGGGCGATCCATACATTGTATTATCAACCCGGATGGCATCTATCTGGCTCCCGGGAACCCAGACTTCTATGAGGACCAAAACTATATCAATTGAGGGACGGATACCCGGAGAACCCCAGAGACAAAGAGATCATATTTCATCAATTTTTGAGGAGGCCCAGAAGGAGACAATCAGGGGGGTGAATAGACGTATGGACTTCTTGGAGGCCGATGGCCCACCGGGCCTCAATGGGCTGGAAGAGAGGATGGATGGGCTCTATGCGGATATAGGGAGGATGAAGTGAAGAGGTAAAAGGAGAGGGGATATGTTAGCAGTGATTCACGATTATTGACATTTTAACGAGGAATGAGCCACTCCAATAATAGGTGATAAGACAGAACATAAGTCTTATTCTCATCACGAAACACTACCTTTACCTTTATCATTCTTTCTGCGCACAACCTCCAAACTTCTTCATACCGACTTCTGGACATTCACCACCAACCTCTCACCATGCGCCTCCAGACTCTACAAGAGGATATTCCGCGTGGAGGCAGTCGACCTGCCAGCTTGACGTCTTTTTTTGGTTGGGCTGGGGCCTCATGTGAAGATGGTCAAGCCCGAACGCGCTCCCAGAAGAGGGGCCGAGATGAGACTCCTGCGCCTGGAGACCCAACACTCACCATAAAGACTCGACCAGCCACCAAGAAGATCCGACGTGCCGTGACACAGGCTCCTGTTTTTCCTGCGCTTGGCAGGCACAGACAGGGAGCTAGTCTAGAGATGTTCCCTAAGGACGAGGATGACGAGATCGCCATTTATGGGGTGCAAATGACAGCACCTAACTTAAGAATAATGGGATCATGGGTCAGCGGGCGGATGACTCAGCTCCACCACTGACAGGAACCGCTGCAGCTGTGCAGCCATCACGTCACTAGACATGCAGTTACGGCGACCTTGAGCGAGACCTTTTCTTTAGCGGCTGGGGCTCACTCCGCAACATCGGAAATCCTATTTGACAGACGGAATTCGATGCCCTGTCTCTACCCGCTGTACTCTGTTGTACCTGTATGATAGCACTGCCTTGTCTACCTATCCCGAACCGTCTCTCCACCGCGTGCAATCCCCCCCGTCTACAACAGGTTGCGTTGAGCTATTAGTTCGACCAACTCCGACTAAGTCGCATTATCCACATGAGGTGGCTTTCGACTCTCTCCACCAAAAAGTCTTTGGACCTCGTGCCTGCGTCATTTCGGCCGTGCGACCATTCCCTCTATCCTCTCGCCAGCAGCCGTAAAACATTCAATTACCTGGTCAGATCATCAGGCCTCTACCAACAAGCTTCCGTTTCTGGCACCGCATTGTTCCACACCACCAGGCCGGTCCAGCATCGCCTACCCTACACTCCACCTTTTGATCTCCCCACCACCCCTCATCACCAGACTATCCACCAACGTGGGGTGCTTGAACTTCGCACACTCTCTCCTAGACTCAGCTCCCGTCCCAGAGCAAGTTCAGATACCAGAAACAGAACAATGTCGTCTGCCGCAGCCCTCGTGGAGTCGGCCAAGAAGTCGGCCGCCTTCCAGGCCGTCCACGACCACCTCCTCCCCGAGTACAAGTATGTCGGGATTGGTTCCGGCAGCACCGTCGTCTACGTTGTCGATGCCATCGTCAGCAAGGGCCCCGAGTTCTACGGTGGAATGACCTTTATTCCCACCGGCAGCCAATCCAAGGGTCTCATCCGCAAAGCCGGCCTCACCCTTGCCAACCTCGATGAGCGTCCTGTTGTCGATGGCAAGCCCGTGGCCCTCGATGTCGCCTTTGACGGCGCTGACGAGGTTGATGAGGACCTGAATCTCATCAAGGGCGGCGGTGCTTGTTTGTTCCAGGAGAAGCTGGTTGCCATTGCTGCCAAGAGATTCATTGCTGTCGCTGGTGAGTTGCTGTCCTACAAGTCCGTGCAGGGACTTATCATGATTCCGTAAGAGAGGCTAACACGAGATACTTCTCTTCCAAAAGACTACCGCAAGCAGTCCCCCCGCCTCTGCACCACCTGGAAGACCATCCCCATCGAGGTCCTCCCCCTTGCTGCCCCTGACGTCCTCCTCCGCCTCCGCGAGATGGGCTCGCCCTCCCCGGCCGTCCGCTCCGGTCTCCCCAGCAAAGCCGGCGAGTGCGTCACCGACAACGGCATGTGGATTATCGATGCCCCCTTCTCGCCCCTGCTGCTGTCTAAGGACGTCACCGCCGAGGTCGAGGGCCGCGGGAAGGACGGCGTCTGGGAGGTCAAGGCGCTCGCCGACGAGCTCCTCAGGCTGCCCGGCATTGTCGAGATTGGCCTGTTCCACGGCTTCAACGGCGATGAGGCCGTCAAGCTCGGAAAGCAATTGCAGGCGCAGAAGCCCGTTGCCGCCTACTTTGGTCTGGCCAATGGAGAGGTGCAGGTGCAGAACGCCGTTTGAAACAAATCAAAGAAAGCTCGGATCCTCAGGGACACATCATGCAATAATAATTCTGGAGAAGCCGTGTCACATTAAATCGAGGCAATACCAAAATTAGAGATCTAGAATTGACTCGAGTCTTGATGCTGAAGACCCGGGAGGATGGGTGTAACAGAGGAACCCCCTGTTCCCTGTCGGCATGCGCCACGCCACCACTGCAGAGGTTGGCTGGCTGTCGGCCATGCACCGGAAAAAGAAAAGAAGACAAGGCATTAATGTGTCTTATATAACGATCGTAGGCTCGTAGTCCCGGTTGTATTATACAAGCTCCCGCGCTCAGATCCACACGCTATGCTTGATATCCTGTCCCGTGCAACGAGGCACAGGGCCTCGTTTACGTCGCTAGCATGGTTGACCTTCCCCGGATACTCCTATACTCCAATCCCAAACTTGCTTGTGGGGGTGTTTAACATGCGCAGCCCTCTTGTGAGGGTTGGGTCGTGTTCGTCTTGACATCAATCACTGGAAAGGCACGCACTTGTTAGTATCAAACTCGTTGGAGCGCCGGACGGAAAGAACCTACTTTGGCTCGAGGCCTGCGCTGCGGCATCGGTGCCCTCCATACCCGGCAGGGCCTGTGCTATCCTCTTGAACAGGTTCTTGACGTTGTGTCCTAGCTTCGCGCTTGTCTCGACAAACATCAGGTTGTTCTTCTTGGCCTCCTCCTCACCCTGCTGCGTGGTGACCTCCCGCTTGTCGTTCAAATCGGTCTTGTTACCGACCAACACAATAATCACATCGTTGCCTCGCTCGGCTCGAACATCGTCGATCCACTTCTTGGTATTTTGGAAAGATTTGGCGTCTGCAAGAACAGATGGCATTAGTATGTGATTGGAGGCCCACGGGGGGGGGAGAAGAGGGAGGGGCCGAGAGGTGGGGGCATGTCAGGGGCAAACGTACTCGAGATGTCATAGACAACGACGGCTACACTCGAGTCTCGGATGTATGAGGGAATCAAACTTCGGAAACGTTCTTGGCCAGCAGTATCCCACAGCTGAAGCCGCACGGTTCGGTCCTCCAGGTACATGGTCTAGGTCCATATAGGTTAGTCGTGTCGTGTGCCGAGTCGAGCAGTCCGGGCGTCCTCACCTTGGACAGGAAGTCGATACCGATCGTAGCCTGATACATGTTGTCGAATGAATCGTACATGAACCGTGTAATTAGAGACGTCTTGCCCACTGTCGAATGTCGCCATTAGCCATGTTTCCCGACGCGGGCCGAACTCGGTCGGTCGGTTCTCGACGTACCACTCTGCTCTCCGAGAAACACCAGCCTATACCCGCGGTTAGCCATCAACACGAAGTGAAGACGCCGCGCGGGAAAACACATACTTGAACTTCTTCAAGGGGTTATTGTAGGATCCGCCGGCCTGCGCCATTGTTGCGGTGGTGTCGAATTACTCCACTGCGCGGGACGAGAGGTAGATGGGACAGCTGTCAACGCCAAACCGAAGGCGGCCGCGTTCGTCGAAGGTTGCACGCTGCGGGAAGCGGATGGGAAAAGAAGGCGGCGCGGACCAGCCTGGTTGGAGGGCTGGAAAATGCGACTTAACCGTGATAGTTCGGGTGTTGAGGCGAATGTCGAGAGTGAAGGGCCTAGGAAAGGAGGTCAATGTCGTCGTCTGGAGGAACCTAGAATTGGCAGGAGGATACCTCCATCACCGGAGCCCGCCCATGACAGCACTTCTTTCCGGCCCACCCAGTCCGGGCACGTGCAGATATGAACACCGCTCCGTTTATTATGCAATCCGTTATGCGATCCGTCTAATACCCGAGCCCCAAATCGGGGTTAGTTGCTAATCCGCCGACAGTTTATGCCAATGCTGGGACGTAACGGGATAACGGGGCTCTGTTCGGAGGGCCCACTAAAAAATTAAGAGAATGTTCAAGTCCCCCACCACCAACTGAACCTGCATCTCGTCTGCGACCGCCATCAAGAAGAGCCAGAGTCTCTTGTTGGCACCATTTCAATTCCCTTTTTGAAATTCGATCCAGTCCCAAGAATGCCCGTCATAAAGTCAAAGACCATCGGGTCTGGCGAGGCCCCGAAGCAGCCCAACCAGCCCTCCCGAAAAGGCAAGAAAGCGTGGCGGAAGAATGTCGATGTCAGCGAAGTGCAGCATGGCCTCGCAGAATTGAATGAAGAAATCATTCGAGGGTAAGGCCCTCCTCCGCCATTACTTGGTCTCCAATGCGCTAACAGGTCTAAAGTGGTGTCATCAAGGAAAAGGCCTCCGAAGATCTGTTCACCGTCGACCTCAAGGGCGACTCGCGCATCGCCAAAAAGTCCAAGCATGTCAAGAAGACCCTCAAGGCTGACGAGATCCTCGCCCAGCGATCCGCTGTCCCCGCCGTCTCCATGCGCAAGCGCCCTAGCGACAAGACCACCAACGGCCTCATCCCCGCGAAGCGCCAGCGAACCGGCTGGGTCTCCCACAAGGAACTCTCTCGCCTAAAACGGGTCGCCGATGGCCAACACGACAACACCGTCGACGTCAAAGATGCCACCTACGATGTCTGGGACATGCCCGTCGCCGTGCCGCAGACCGACATTAACGACTTCATCCCTGAGCAAGAAAAGGCCAAGGCTCCCAAGACTATGAAGAAGGCCCCCATCTCCCTGCTCGAGAATGGCAAGCAGGTTGCCGCCGTCCAAACCCCGTCAGGAGGCTACAGCTACAATCCCGTGTTCACCGACTACGAGGAGCGTTTGGCGGAGGAGAGTGAGAAGGCCCTCGAGGCTGAGCGCAAACGATTGGCAGCCGAAGAGGCCGACCGCCTCAAGCAAGAGGCTGCTGCCAAATCGGCGGCTGAGGCAGAGGCCGCCGAGGCCCGGGCCAACCTATCAGAATGGGAGGAGGACTCGGAGTGGGAAGGCTTCCAGAGCGGCGCCGAGGACGACAAGCTAACGGCCAAGCGACCGGAGAGGAAGACGCAGACCCAGCGCAACCGCATCAAGCGCCGGAAGGAAGAGGAGCGCCTGGCCAAGCACAAGGCCGCCATCAAGGCCCAGCGCCGCCAGGAGCACCGCATCAAGGAGATTGCCGACGAGGTCGAGGAGGAGGACCGCAACCGCCAGCTCATCCTCGCCGTTGAGTCCGACGACGAGGTCGCCACCGACCTCAAGGAGCACAAGCTGCGGCGCAAGCAGCTCGGCAAGTACAAGCTGCCGGAGGGCGACCTCGAGTTTGTCCTGCCCGACGAGCTGCAAGAATCGCTCCGCCTGCTCAAGCCCGAGGGCAACCTGCTCAAGGACCGGTACCGCAGCATGCTCGTCCGCGGCAAGGTCGAGAGCCGTCGCCATCTCCCCTTCCACAGACTGGCTGCCCGAAAGTATACCGAGAAGTGGACGTACAAGGATTTCACGATATAGAACGAGTACATCAAAAGCCGTGCTGGAGTTTAGCGAAGAAATTTATACAACTGTCATTTTGTTTATACCGGTCATGGATCTCGTTGCCCGTCTGGCCCATCCTTCAGTTCTATGCTTATATACACGAAGAAGAGTCAAGGGAATAGATATCAATAATAGAACCGCAAATTTCTAGCCGGTGGAAACCCAAATGAAGAAAATATCATAAATCTGCAATTTTCAGTGCTGTTTTCGTAGCGTCGTACTCCTGACCTTATATTACCCACGCCCCCGGGAGTTATTGCTTAACTTCTTGGGCCATCTATGCACTTAGAAGCTCATTAAATCTAGGACAAGGGCGTTAGCCTCTGAAATCAATGTTGGTTAGTGCAGAAAGGAACGTACCTCGACCAAACAGTCCTCGCTTAGCCCAGTCCATGGCCATGAGGATTCGCGTACGGAAGCTCACGCTCTGGGCAAAGTAGACGGATCGCCAAGCATACACGGCCCAGAGACCGCCAGCAAAGTTCCAGCCCTCGCCAAGATCAAAAACGGCCGAGTTGCCGACATACGCCAGGCTACCGAGGTGGCGGTACTCAAAGGCCTTGTGGACAGCCGCATCTACATCACCCTCGTAGATTTCGTTGACGCGGAGGCCTTCGGACATGCGACTCATGCGGTTGAACTTGCGGGCGAGGTACTGGCCCTGCTGGTGAGCACGTTGAGCGGTGGCAGGCAGCGATGTAAGTTTGCTGTCAATTTGGCGGAGGAGCTCACGCAGCTCGCCAAAGTCAAGGGTGCCAGACTGATCCTTGTCGAATTCGTTAAAGAGTTTGTCTAGACGCTTGAGATGGTTGACAGCTTGAGGGAAGCGCTTCCTGACATCCTGGGCAACCTCACGCCAATCACTGAAGTGGAGCTGCAATGTCTCCGGGTCCTTGCCCCTCTTCCAAGCGAGAGAGCGGAGGAAGGTGATTATGTGGTCGGCCACGTTATTCTGGACCGTAGAGCAATCACCGATGGCGTAGACATCACCCAAAGGTGCGCCGTTGACGCGGAGATGTGTGTCTGTCTCGAGAGCGTGTCGGTTCGTTTGGGAAGCACCCAGCTCGTCAGAGAGCTTCTTGCAGAAGCCGTTCTGTGACACGCCGGTGGACCACAGACAGAAGCCATGCGGGATCTCCTTGGTGACGAGGCTGCCGTCTTCCATCTTCTGGCTGAAGATGATCTTGTCTGCCTGGACCTCCTTGACTCGAGAGTTCGTCATGATCTGGACTTGATCACGGGCGAAACGGTCCTCGGCATACTTGGAGACGGTCTCATCATAGGTGTTGAGGATATGGCTCCGGCTTTGGATGAGATGGACGGAAATTTCGTTTCGCAGGAGTCGCGGGAAGTGCCTTGTCAGGTCCTCGTTGAGCAGGTCAACAAGTTCAGCGGCAAACTCGACACCAGTGGGGCCTCCGCCGCTAACAACAAAGGAGAGCAGGCGCTTGCGCTCATCATCAGGGGTGGTAGGTAAGCAAGCAAGCTCCAGGTTTTGGATGACCTTGTTGCGAATCATGCGCGCGTCGTTGATATCCTTGAGGAAGAAGGCATTTTCCAGGCCCTTGACGCCGTGAGGGTTCGTAACGGATCCAACGGCGATAACAAGCTTATCGTAGGGCACATAGAACCGGGTTTCTTTACCTTGAGCGTCCAACTGAGATACTTCAACCATTTTGTGGGAGAAGTCAACGTCCTCAGCCCTGGCCCGAATGAAGTGACCTTTAACACGGCTCAGAATGCGCCGGATCGGCTCGACGAGGGATCGCATCTCGAGAGTTCCGACGGTTGCGGAAGGAAGCATGGGAGTGAACAGGAAGTAGTTGGTAGGCGAGATAACGGTGACATGATAGTCGTCTGGGTTGAGCTCTTTCAGGAGAGCCACTCCGCCCCATCCACCACCGAGGATGACAAGTCGGGGCTTCTCCTTTAGGCGACGCTTCTCTTCACAGTCATTGTCATCAATGTAGACCTCGGCGACAGGTAAATTCTTGGAGCCGCCACGGCGAGGGTGGAGGGCAATCTTGGAAACGTCAATGTCGCCATTAGTGGGGTGCTCCTTGTAGGTGCTGGCGTCGTAGGCGAAGAAGGCGAAGACGCCGATGCCAAAAACGGTCAGCGATGTGCCGACCCAGGCAGCGCCGCGGTAGCAGAAGTTGAGGATCCACGACTTCCGCTGGGGGAGCGGCTTCCCGGAGAGCGCTCGCAAGAAGAACTGAGAGGGTAGTCGTCGGATGGTGCCTGTCGCGGTCTGAGTGCGCTTTGTTGTCGAGGCGCCAGAGAGCTTGCTGAAGCTCCGCAGCTGGGCTGGGCATCGTGGCCGGAGAGCGACGGAAGGGAGGGCAAGTCGCGATACGGTCATGGCCGTGGAAGATTGGCGGGCGCGCGCCAGGCGCATGGCCGTGAGCGAGGAGGCCGACATAATTTTGGTTGAGATCGCGGAGAATCGGGTTCGATTGACCTGAATGATTGACGATGCAGTACAGCGAAGGAGAGCAGGGGAGAGGAAGCTTAGAACGACTGCCAACTCAACATGTCGTGCGAGGAGGAAGGGAGGCCTCGTGGTGCGGGCGATCAATGGCCTGCAACCGATCAAGGAGAGCGGAAGGAAAAGGGGGAATGGAGGGGGAATAGAAGTCCAAGAGGGATGATGATTATGTGAGAAGCTGAGAATGGTGGCGTTGTAGTGGATGAATATGGATGGTGACGGGAAGTACCATGGGACATCCGTACCTTCCCTGAGGCGGCCACCCAGAGCACGCCCACCACAGCATTCTACAGTACGTCTACGTCATTGCAGGGCAGCTGTCGTTCACCAAACACGGCCGCCAAACTCTTGGCTCGGCGACCGATCATCGGCGGGCTCCACCTTTGCGACATAGCTGCTCCGGACGATCCTTGCAATCCATTACACTTGCACACTGGTTTGTGTAGTTATGTAAGGGTCAAGTAATGCTGCTACTTCGTTGTCATCGATGATTGATCGATTACTGCATGGCAATCCCCGATCGACTACGTGACGCGCCTTACCGGAACGGTCGGCTGCTTAACGGGCCGTCTCCTGGGAACGGTAAGGGTTCGTTCGCGCGTCGACAGTAGCTTGGCCGCCATCTAGTCACTCAATCCTTGCTTCCAGACCCGACGAAGCGGCCGAGAGATGGGATAATGTGGACCTTGAGGCGACTGGCGCTCAGTTTGCTACCACATCTCCGTCCACGTTCCGGAATCACGGGTTCCTCGGACAGACCGGAGTTGTTCTTATACCGCTCACCTACCGCGTCACGCATTCTCTGTCCGATGCCGCTCCAAACAGTTTACGTTTCTATCGGGTTGATTGTGATTTATCATGCAAGTATGCCCCAGGACGAACATCTATGAAGGTGTCGCACCAGGAAGATCGACAGACGTAGAACGATATGCCCGCACCAACCAAAGCACCAAATATGCAGCCCATATCCAGGTCTAGATCCAACAAACTCATCAGCAGCGGAAATATCTTTGCTCCACCCATCGCTCATCTGGCGTGTCTAGCATATTGCAAACCACGACTGTGATATCCGGAAACACTGATGTGAGCCGGTGCAATCCAATCTTGCCGGCCGAGTACGTCGCTAACACGATGCGCTCTTGTGGGACCCCATGGTCGACAAGCACTTGCACCGCCATCAACGCGGCTCCTCCGCTCGCCATTTGCGTATCGATTAGCAGCACGCTCTCCTGGTTCTTGATGTCATCCGGCAGCCGCAGGTAGTGCAACTCCGGCTCCCCCGTGGAAAAGTCGGACTGGATCAGGACCCGGCCCGTCCGACAGTCCGGGATCGTCTTCCGCAACGCCGGCTCAAACGCCGAGCCACCCCGAAGCACAAGCACCGCACAAACCTCGCCCTTGGGTGCGAGACCACTGTACTTGTGTCCCGTGGGGGTCTCGATGATCGCCTCTTTGAACTGGACATTGTTGAGGGCCCTAAATGATACGTCTTGTCAGCTTTCTTGATCAACGGTCCTAGTATTCGATGCAAAAGTATCTCACAATTCTATGATGAGGCTAGCCAGCCGGTCAAAGTAAAAGATAAAATCTTCCGGACAAGTGTCAATGTCCTGCAGGATCGTGTTCATAAACTTGAGCTGAGGCGTCTCGACGAGAACTACAACCCTATCAGAAAGTGGCGACTCTTTACACGTAGCCTCAAGTTGGGATAGGGCCTCTCGATGGTGTCGTGATTTTTCAAAGAGTTTTTTCTCAATGAATTGGACCATCATATCTTGGCCTGAGTCAGCCGGGTAATCCCAACAGCGTCACGGCCATGGGTAGTACTCACCGAGGGCCACGCGGTTCTCGATTCCTCTGGGCACAATGAGGTCGGCCACCTTTCGCTGAGGCTCAACGAACTAGTTACCTGTGTTAGCCTCTTCTATCCAGCTCAACCGAGCACATGCTGCTCCACAACCTTTTCAAAATTAGGCTTCACAAACCCGAACCATTGCTTGATGACACCTTCGATATCACGACCCCGCTCTCGTACATCACGAACGACTAATAGCAACCACGTTTCAGTTTTGGTTCACGAGAAATGTGATTGGCTGCTCGTCAGGTACTTACTTCTCCGTGACAAGCAAGTGTCTCCGTCAGCCTCACAGTAAATCTGACGTTGGTCATACTCATGTCAGCTTCATCGAGGAGATTATTAAAGCGTTGTCAACGTACGCCCATGTCTAGCAACTCCAGTACGCGAGGGTCGTAGAGGGCAAAAATTCCCTCCAAGACGAGCACATGTGGCGAGTAAATAGAAGTCGTTTGTTCCATCCGCTGGTGCTTAGCGAATGAGTAGACGGGGATATCTGCCCGCTTTCTGTCCAGGGCAGTGTCAGCTAATGTATATGTCCATTTTCGAGATGGACGTACCCGGCCTTGAGATCTCGCAGCCTCTCAACCAAGATGTCAAAGTCAATAGCCTACGGCACCCAAGAGGTCAATTCTAGATTCTCATGTGGGGTAAATGAGACATGAGAGTAAGGTCGTACATCTGGCGAGTCAAAGTCATACTCGTTAGCAAAGGCAAGCTTAGATTGGTCGGGCGTCAACGTCTTGTAGAAAGAGTCCTGGTAGATAATAAGCAAAGACGGCCGATTCAACTGGGCAGAAGGGTCATGCCATTGACAAAATAACGACCCAAGGCAGGTCCAGCTTCTTGACGATGGCCTGGGCCAGCGTAGACTTGCCCGAGCCAGAACTGCCAGCGACGCCAATAATGCTAACGTCGGCCCAGGGAGGCGAGTAGTAAGCCCGCTTCCGAACCGTGACATGGCTCTCAAGTCCGGTCATACTGGGCAGTAGTGGCTCTCGGCTTATGGTTGATGGCTCCTGAGGTGGCGATGTTCCCAGGCGAGGGATTATACAAGAAAATGAGATCCTAGAGAAGGTGGAGGAGATAGCGACTAGGGCGTAGGTAGAATTTGGCAGTTGGTTTTAGCAGTGAACAGTCTGCATCGTCTTCAGGGTAGCCCTGTCGCCCCTGTCACCAAGACTGGACTATAGCCGCTGCGGATGCGGGTGAGCACGAGCCTTAGGTCGGACCGAGATCCACAAGCAGAGCGATGCTTGCGGGAGCGGTTGAAGTCTGGATACAGCAAGAGAGGGAGAGGGAGAGAGATTACGTGTGCGAAGCAAATCCAGCAAGAAGAGGAGATGATTCACGGCACCGATATCAACAAACAGTTGTGGGGGTTAAAGATGGAGAAGGGAGGAGACGCCGCCTGGTGACCCTCTTGTCCCATCGGCCATGGGGCATGGATGGATCGCAGGACGGCGGCACCCGGCGGGCGAGAGCTAAGTTAAGGTACCTACATGTACGGATGGGGATGGTGAGGGCAAAGGTACCTACCTGGAAGCCGAGTCTGGGGCGGGCGAGCTAGACGCCTCACTGCCCAGTGCTCACTGACTCTCCGTGACGGTCTCGAGAGATAAGCATACCTAGTGCCAGGGCCTGCTGAAACAGCCCATGACCAAGCTGGGCAGCTGGGCAGCTGGGCAGTGCTCATGACACCGTCAGACCAGAGTCTGTGGCTTGGCTGGACCAGCGTCGACTCGCTGGCTTGAGACCTGACGATCCACGAACCAGACTACGGCGGAAGAAGATGGAGACTACGTTTTCCTATTTGAGACCTGTAGCAGCTGCCTTCCTCCTGGTCTTCCCGTCTCCTCTGCATCCTCATGCATACATGATACATCCCCGGCCGCCTGACGGTAACTAACCGCAGAGGTGTGACGGGTTCGCGGCCCTGACGCGGGGCGGGGGTTGAATGGAGGCTGCCACACGACACGGCGCTGACCGCTCACTGGGCTTCCAGTGGTCCAGTGGCCGCCAAGCTTGGTGCCCTGTGGAACGTGGAGCACGGAGCACGGAACAATAGCGGCCTCGCAGTTGAATCCTCAGGCACCACGTAGGGCAGAAGCTCCGGGTGGCCCGCCATTCCAGTCACATGATTGGCTCACCAGCCCCCTTCAAGCGTCGTCTGCCAGCCTGGACCCACGAAAACCCGGCGGCTCTTTTCCTTTGCCCCAATCACTTCTGCTTTCTTTCTCCTCTACATTCCACTCTCCTTCTCTTCCTTTGCAAAGCTTTCTTCCTCCTCCCCCAACAGCTTCGCCCGGCTCGAGCTCTCTCTTGCTCAGAGACTGGCTCTCTTGTCGACGTCCCAAATGCGCTGAATCAGCACCGTCCGGCCTGCTTCCCGGCTACGGCTATTCTTCCCCTCATACATCCTCTCCCCCTCCCTTGCTGCTCTGAGAGCTAGCTGGTGTCGAGAACCCTTGCAAATCCTGGAATCATGGTACGTTTATCTCTGCATCCGCCAGCTTCCGCCGGCGTTGGTCCTGTCCAGACACTTACCCGCTTCCAGACATCCTCTGCGTCCACTGCAACCCCCCTCAAACATGCCTTCGACAGGCGTGTCGAGGACGTCAAGTCGCCCAAGAGGTAAGCTACACGTTGCCCCCACCCGTTGGGGTTTCCCTTCAACTCCACCTGTGATGTGATGAACGCTATATCAATGGGAATCTCTCCTAGCATATTATGCGGAAAACACGATATCAATCTTCTTCTTTTCTTCTGAACTCGCACCATACTCGCTCATTTACTTGCTTTGCCATCATGTCACCGCAATTGCTAATGAGTTCATAGCGATATCAACGCCTTGATCCTAGACTACCTGACCATGGAGGGCTACCCCAACGCCGCCGCAAACTTCTCCAAGGAAGCGAACCTGCAACCCCATCAGGACACAAGTTCCATTCAGGCTAGGCAGGAGATCCAAAACTCCATACATGGTGGAAATATCCAGCTGGCGATTGAGACCTTAAATGATTTTGATCCCGAGGTAAGCTTCAACTTTTCTTTCCATCTCCACATGGCAGCCCCTTTTTATGATTAGAACTCGAGTTTTACATGCACCACTCATAGAGCCTTCGGGCCTTTGATGAGGAACAACCACTTTCTTATGATTATCTTACACCTACACCTTTATTTGATGCACTGTTATATCAAACCTCAGAGTTCTAACAAGATGCATAGATTCTGGATGAAGACAAAGCGTTACACTTTGCCTTGTTACGACTTCAGCTGGTTGAGCTTATTCGCACCTGCAATGCTAGCGGTGGAGATATCGCCCCGGCCTTGAAGTTTGCCACGGAGCAACTAGGACCCAGGGCACCCACCAACCCAAAGTTCCTAGAAGATCTGGAGCGAACCATGGCCTTACTTCTGTTCCCTTCAGACTCCCTTGAGCCTCGTCTTTCTGCGCTACTACATCCAGACTTGCGTCGGGAAGTAGCGGACAAAGTCAATAGAGCCATACTGAAAAGGCAATCCCATAGACGGGAGGCTGCCATCCGACAACTCGTAAAGATGCGGGTATGGGCCGAGAACACGGTCAGGGACAAGGGCATGAGTCTCCCTGATCGTCTCGACATTGGCCTCAACGGAGAGGACGCAGATGGTCCAAGCCGACGATCTGTCCATGGGGAGAATGGTCACGAACCAATGATCACGACTTAATTTCCTGCCAGACATGGTGATACAAGTCAATGCATTCACGAATTGTTTAGCTAGCGATGGAATTCTTTCTTTTAGATACATGTTTGGCGTTTGGGTTCGTCCATGGGGGGCAGGAAATATGGAGATGGGACTCTATGGCGTTTCGGAAAGATATCTAGATGTATTATGAACAACAGGTGGAGAGCACTGTCTGTGGAGTGAATCAAACTCATCATTCGGACTCTTCACTGATCACATATCCCAACCATACTTGATGTCAACCACATTTGAACCCAGCCATACTTTATCGTCCATGCATGCACATATGTGAGAGAACCCCGGCCGATGAGTGTTTGTCCATTTTGACGCCATGAAATGTGTTTGAGTAATTGTAACCGATACCATTGTGTCTTGAAAGAGTTTATTTACAACATGATGTCCCGTGCCGACACACTCCATCTATTTCGTCCTGATGTGCTTGAGCTTCTTGGGCGAGTAGAGGAAGTTGTTGGCGTAAGCCTTGGGGCTGATCTTCCTCGACTTGGGCTCCTGAACAAAGTACTCGTAGCCCTGCTTCTCAGCAAAGTGGATGGCGTCCTCCTTGCTCTGGAAGTTGATGTGGGTGCCCTGCATGAAGTCACCCGATGACTGCCAGCCCATCAGCTGGTTCTCCCAACGATGGCCCTTGGGGAGAATATCCCAATCCATGCGCCAGCGCTGGCCGCGCCACTCGCCGGATTGAGTTGCGGGCTTGGTCTCCTGGTAGATGCTATATGTTCCCGTCAGCGCCTAGATAGCTGGTGCGATGGTCGTAGTAGGGGGCGGGCTTTGACTAACCGGACAGTTCGGGCCTGGAGTTCAACGGGAGCGCCCGAGATGATCGAAGCAGGGAGGATCTCCTCGCTGCCAGTCTGAACTGACTTGGGGACGGGGGTAAAGGTGCTGGCCAGAGGTTAGCACTTCCTTGTGCGTGCATCAATGGGGTATCGGGCTCGTGTACGAGGTCGCCTTGTCCGCCTGGATATCGTAGTCGGGCTGGTTGGTGGTGCTGGGAGTAACGGGGACGGTGCCGGGGGCCGCTGTGGTGACGGAGCTCTGGAAGCGTCGGGGGGCGGCGGAGAGGGCGACGCGGGGCGAGGCGACGCTTCGCAGCATGCGAGCCGCGCTCTGGGTTCGGAGAGAGGCCATTGTGCAGCGATGAGCGCTCAATTGGACTGGCTGGCGGACGTGGGCGTGGTCGTTTATTTGCCTGACGACGGTGGGTTGCGGCGATTGTCGAAGTCGAGCAAGCTTGAACGCGGGGGCGCTGATTGGCTGGAGCGGAGCGACGTTTTGCCGACAACGCGGACGAGTGCTTTTCGGCAAGGAAACCTCGCTGCTAAACATCTCGACAGAAAACCCACCCCATCAGCCCTGCAACTGAGCGTCACGCAGACCCTCGACGGACCAACGCGGCAATTGAGCAATTCTTCGAGTTACCAGTCACCGACCACCCGCCATCATGAGCTTCGTTACCCGCCGAGCGCTCTCGACGCTCATCCCCCCTAAGGTGAGAAGGAGTCCTCGGTTATGGCCGCAGTGGCCCCGGTCCTCCGAATGCTTCCGTTGCTAACGTCGGTCATGAATATAGGTCGCCTCTCCCAAGGTATGCAACCCCCGATGAACCGCGATCACCTGCTTGAATACACGGACGAGATGCACACGATGCGATGCTTTGGACGATCCGGTCGCCGAGCGACGATGAATTGGCGCCGGGCTGAGCTATTGCCGGGATGAAGATTGGAGGCTGACGAGATCGACCACCACAGGCCATTGGCGGCGCCCCTGATGCTATCCGCATGCAGCGCGTTGTCAGCTTCTACGAGAAACTCCCCCGAGGTGCTGCCCCCGAGGTCAAGGCCAAGGGCATCCTCGGCAAATACCAGGAGAAGCACTTTGGCAAGAACCCCACTGGCCGACGTACCGACTCCCTTCAAACCCTCCGAACCCGGACGACGTCGATACTAACTGCGTGCAGCCATCATCCACGCCATTGTCTTCCTCGTTGCCATCGGCTACGCCCAGAACTACTACTTCCACCTCCGTACGTATCTCCGAAGCCGTCGGCGACAAAGCGGCGGGCACCTTGCGAAAACCCACCAACAGGACACGGCTAACCTTGACCACCAGGCCACCACAAGAACAATGCCCACTAAATGAAGTGAGGCCTGGCTAATCGGATGATTGTCTAAGAGGGGGCGAATGGTCGTGTACATATTCTCCCGAATCGTGTGGTTGAGCACGCCTTAGCTTCCCTATGTATCTCTAACACGCAAAGATGCGACATTTCTCCCACTTTGCCTCTGGGCTCATTTGTGTGATTCGCATCTGTGTCCTGTGCTTGATTGTATGAGTATTTGAGCCATTGGCTACACTGAAGATGTAGCGGCTTTGAGGTGCAGTGGCGCAATGAATATTGGTTGATGATTCGGGACAAACGCAAGATCTGATCCTCCGAACGCGGAATGCGAGGAGTGGTGGACAGTCAACCTGCGTTCCAACATATTTTTAGAAGCTTTTTGATGCATGGTGACAACGACTGGGATCTGAGGAGCTACTCAGTATAGCTGGGGCGGCTGAACAGCTAATCAGATAATGATCCCCTTGGGTTTGACAAAGCCATTTTACATGCCGCGACTCCTTCTGTACGAGGACGCCGATTCGGGGAGGAGTGACCTGATTTTATGACACATGGTACTTGACTGGGCAGTGATGAGTAACAACTGAACCGACCTGTCTTGTTGCCTGAACAGTCTTCTAGCATGCACAACATAGGTACTTAGTCTCTTCGTCGTTTGTAGTGGATGCTTGCGATGATCGGATGCTGGTGGTGGTGAGATGTATCCCAAGCTGTTGGGTACTTGTTAGTTCAGGTCCCCGTCAAGCTTCCGCCGCAGCAGGACGGTGGTGGCTCAGCAGTCTCCAAAGCGTGCTGTGTCCTCAGGGGAGTGGCCACTGCAACCAGGCGCTAGACCTCGGTGCTTGGGCCCTCGGGGCTGGTGTTAGTGGGCCATTAGCGACGCCCGTCGTACTGGAGAGTGACGTTCCAGGTACCTGGGGGATCCTCCGCCGACGCAGTCATTCGGCCGGCTGGAGGCGAGAAATTGGGAGGTACCTGCGGTACGAAGCACCCAAGCACCCCTGCCCAACCACGCATGCCATCCCATTCGCCACGCTAGGCCCGAATCAGGTGGCTCCCTCTGTGGATGAGTCGGCTCTTGGGCTCTGCTGCGCGGCCTGGGCCTTCCTGCTCAGTGACTGATCAGTGATCACCACCAAGGCACAGTCAGCCGCAGTAATTCCGGTACCTCGAAACCACCGTCCTTACGTTACCTCACACCTCATAACCTCATTCCTTTCGCCTCGCCAACAAACCCACGGCTCCCGCGCCCTCCCGACGATCGATCGGCTCTCCCATCCACACGACGCCCTCCTCCGTCCCGTTGCGAATAGCTACCGATACACGCGAGCCCTCTCCCCCTGCCGCTCCGGTTTTCTCGTCTCGCCCTTCTCGCCAGCGAACTCCCTCCCCGCCCCGCGGCGCAAACGATTCCATCCACACCCCCCCCGGATCGCCTTCGAGCCTCCTAGCGCAGGAACAGTAACAACTCTCACGCGACCGAGCCGGTGAATAGTCCACGAGGGTTCTTTTCGCTACTCCCCCCCACGAAACGGCGCATATTCACGACGTATGATGGCAACAGAGGCTGCCGTTGACAGAGCCGTCGATGCCCCTGCCTCCGAATCCCAGCTCGTGAGTCTGCCTGTTGCATCCCCAGTCTTGTCTCCGCCATCGCCCCTCGCCCCCTCTCTTCCCTGTCCTCCCCTCCACGGTGCATCTCAAGTCTCTTATTGGGATCTTGTGTCCTTTGCTGGAGCTCCGTAACCCGACTGCCCCCGGCTGCTTTCCGACGAGGCTAGCTTCCTTTCCGAGCTGCACATTTGCTAACCATGCGACCGTTCCAAGGCTGTACAGCCACTCGACACCCACAATGTCTACCTCGACCGTTCATCTGTGAATGCTACTCCTAGCATCGACGACATCGAGAACAAACGCATCACCAGTGTCGACGATCAGATTCATTCCGCCGATGTCAGTACGAGTGGAGGTTCGGACACGGAAGCTTCGAGAGCCGACGCAAAGAGTAAAGATGGCGACAAGGGGCACGGCCGCACCGGTTCATCCGTCAAAAAGCCTGCCACTTTCAAGTCCGTCTCTGTCAACAGGACCTTCCTCGCGGCCAAGGCGGCAAGTGCTAGTAGCGCCTCTGCTACCGCCGCCGATAAACCGCCTACCGGATCCAGCACCCCTCCTACCGGCTCGGCAACCCTCTCGTCTCGACCCCGACTGGTAGCCAAGACCGGTAGCAGCGCTCGCGATTCCTCTCCTCGCCTTTCGGCTGCTAACGGAGGAAAACCCGGATCTGCACCTGATGCGAGCGCCGTCTGGAATAAAAACCGCCGTATGTTACATGTTGAGGCTTGTCGAATCCAGCCTTGCTGACTTGACCTTTATAGCCCCCCCAGCCCCGGAACCTAAGAAGTTTACCGACGAGGAACTGAAGAAGTATGGTATTCACATGGCTAGTCGCCTCGAGGAGGAGGATGCTGCGGGACAGAACAAATGGGCCGATATCGACGATGACGACGAGGACTGGGCTCCTGATGCCATCACATGGGGAGATGGTACCAAGACGACTCTACCGCATCCTGATGAGCATCCTACCCCCGAACCCGCCCCCGCTCACATTCACGTCCCCGCCTCTGTTCCCGGCCCCGCATCCGAGAATGGTTCTGTTGCCTCCAAGGCCAGGGCTCTCGAGAAACCTAGGTCCCCAGCTCCGCAAGTATCAGTGGGATCTCCTCTCCCAAAATCGAGTGGTCTCGCATCTGGCAAGGGTCTCATCCTTAAGAGCGGCTCCCAGGATAAGCCGACTCTTGTTGCCAAACCACCGGCACCACCCGCTCCTGTCAAGTCCCCTTGGGCAACTCTACCTCCTGTAGAGAAGGCATCCCCCGCCACCGAGCACGCCCAGCTCGTCCGTGGATCGTACTCGCACCTGAAGGGCATGACTCCTCCTCCCAAGGAGATTGCTGCTGATGATTTCAACCGATCCGCTTGGAGGGGAGAAGGTTCCCACGGTAATAGGGAACTCTACAACTCCCACTCTGGGCGCTATGAGCCCGCACCCGACCGCCGCGGTTCCATGCGAATGGAACAACACCCTAGGCATCCGTCGCTGCTACAGCGCCCACCTTCCGATTACCCGGCGGAACCATCTCTCGCCTTCCAAACCAACAGAGTTTCCCAGGAGGTTCCCTTCGGAAGAAGGCGAGGTTCCTCCAATGTGAGTGGTGGGAGCGGATCGTTTATGCGGATGGGTAAGGGCAATGATGGATCCATGCCGCCCCCTGAGCTTCTCGGTGCTGCTCGACGGCCGTCCTTCGCAGGTTCCGTTGACAGCCCGGTTTCTCCAGGCAACCTCTCAGTTTCAGCCCACGGCCCTCCAAGGCAGTCGGGATGGATGCCTCGTGCATCTCCCCGTACGGCCTTTGCAACCCCTCACCAAGCTGGCCCCCCTCCAGAGGCAGTTTCGGGACCTCCTCCCCCAGTGCAACCCGTGGTAGATGAAGTTGAGTATCAGAAAAAGTTGATGCGGGAACGAATCGAACTTGCCAGGAAGAGGCGCCAAGAGGAGGAAGCCCGTGAAGAGGCCGAACGCCGGGAGCGCATTCAGAAGAAACTGGAAGCTTTGGGTCCTGCTCCGGAGAAGAAGACGGAAAAGAAGGAGAGCACGCCGAAACATGATGACTCCGCCAAACCGACACAGATTCAGCAACGGGATGCTAATGTGCCCTCTTCTGAAACCACTGCCCAGTCTCAACAAGACGGCGACAAGGCTGCTGCATCATCTCATGAGGAGACGCCATCTCCAGACACCAAGACCACCCCTCCCTCTAACAAAGCAGGCTCTGCCAGGCGCGTTTCCCAGAGTCAAGATGCCAAGCCTGCCGACCTGTGGGGTGCCGCCTCGGCCTCGCGACAGGAGCGATTTGCATCATCCACATGGAATTCAGCGTCCCAACCATCGTCCCGCAATGTTTGGGGCTCCCCTAACAATGACCGAGGCCTTGGAAACGGAACCTTTTACACCGACATTGGACGCCTCCCTACTGATGGCAGTGCCCCTGCGCAGGGCAGCAAGGGTCCCTCGCCGATTGCACCTCCAGGCTCTTCGCGACAAGCACCCTCTCAGGGCCGACCACAGCCCCCCCTCCCATCGGATCCCGGGTCTCGCGGTATGGTGCTGCCGGTGCTGCCGGTGCTACTGGCTCGGATCTTGCGAGCAAGTGGGTGGCATCAGTGTCCGACAACGACAAAAAGATGAGCGCAGCGAGAATAGCTGAGAGGGCTGAGCGAGAACGCCAGCTTGCGGAACGAGGTCTAACAATGGAGGATGCTCAACCCGCGATCAAAGAGACCTGGCGTCCAGTCCATGCTCCTGGCGATGGGACTCGACGGCCTGTTGGCCCACCTGACACTCAGGCACACCGACCTGGTGCTTGGAGAGGTCCTGGAGATGAAATTGCCAAGAACCAGCCTAATAAGGGTTCCCTCCCCCCTGGTGCACATGACGGTATCGTTGGGGTTGGAGGTGCGAATGCCTCTGTCCCTCCTCAGGACGAGCTTCCCGCTGGTGCAAATTCCGGAATTATTGGAGTCGGCGGTACCAACACTGCCGCTCTACCTACGGGCGGTAAAGGAACAACTCCTTCAAGCCGCTCGTCACGGTTCTTCCCGTCCAGGGATATTCGGAATGAGTCCGCTCCCGTTGACGCGCGATCCAAGTCTCCCACCCCCCCACCCCCCACAATGGAGGGACACCCGGTGTACGAGGGCGATGTGATGCGCCCTCACGTCTCTCTGCCTAAGCCTCAGCCGATCGTGAAGCTGCCTCCTTCCATGACCGCTTCTCAGCCAACGCAACCTCGGACGTCGTTTGGCTGGGCTAACCCGCCTCCCTTCAAGGACCCCAGAGCCCCTCTTAGCCCTGGTCGTGTCCCTCTCAGTGCTGGCGAGGCTACCCAAGAGAAGTGGCAGAGCCGAATCAACAGCCTCCTGAACGGCGCAAAGTCTCCACCGCTGAAGTCGATTGGCGTAGATCCCGCGAGTAAGAGCGCGTTGGACCATGCCACTCACCCGGACTCTGCGACGGTTTCGCTTCCCAGAGCCCCCCGAACCGCACGACCTGTTGGGAACCAGCGGGCCCTCATCACGAAGCCCATGGCCGAGGAGTGCTTCGAGGAGCAGGAGATGGGATCACTCCCCCAGATCAGACTGCCACACAAGGCCCCCGAGGCGGCGTGGCAGCCGGCACTGGCACAAACAAAGCCTCTGCCAAAGAAATTTCTGATCCAATCGTCTATCATGGAGCCATACTACTTTCCTGCCGAGGTTGTTGGCGGGGGCAATGCCATGAGGATCCAATTCCCCGGCATGTCCGAGCCCAAGATTGTCACTGTTCCTTTCTCCGCAACTCGTGGCGGGCGAGGCTCCCATACTCGGTCGGGGCCGCGCCACCGTGGATCGACACACGAACGTCGAGGAGGCAAGAGAGAGGGGTCGAGCCCTCGTGGCGAGCATGCTGTTCCATCATCCTCTGGTCGTGGTAGCCGTGGTAGCTACCGCAGCCGTGGATCTGAGAACTGGAGCCGTGCCCCAGCGACACCCCCTTCGTTGTCTACCTAAACAGACGTCAAGATGATGGCGTCGGATGCGGTATCAACTTGAGCGATTCTACATAATATTAGCAGAGTACTCTGTGTCTATCCAATCTAACTATCTGACGCATCCATGGTGCTCAGATCCCTGTCCCACATACAACATGTGGGAAGAACCCTCACTGTCAACAATCCCTTACGCCGATCTTGGCGCCCGGGAGGCTGCTCGCCTCGGAAGAGTCTGTGGCGAGCGTGTACAACTTTGGAGCGTGCGTGTATTCCATGACGTATTTGGCATCGCGGGTTTGCGACGGCTCGTTTTGGGTTCTGCAATAGGCTTGGGCTTGCAACGCTTTGAGAGTATTTCTCTACCATTGTTTCTTGTTTTTAATTTCCCCTTTTCTTCGCGAACCTCTTGAATTCCTCCCCCTCTGCAGGACGTCCTCTCGACCCTAACTCGACGGGCTACTTTTCTCTTACTCGATCGAGCTCGCGGCGTGGGAACCTACGGAAAGGACAAGGGCCTCGAACCCCTTTCCGAGTGGGGAGGAGACCCTGTTGAAGATCTAATCGATTCTTGGAACGAACGAACAACAACGAAACGAAGTCGCACGGCCACCAACCCCCCTAACTTGCGGGAAGAGGAGGAGGGGCGTATCCACCGGCGACGACGAATCTTTAAGGAAAGGTGCCTTGGCTTTTGCTTGGTATGACCTTCTTTTTGAAATCATGACCTACTGCTGGTTAGTGTTTCGGGAACAACCGCGGAGAGCCGGGGAGACACTTTTGGAACTTGCAAACCGGAACTGGACACAATTTCGGGAGGATGGATGATGATGGATGATGATTGAGGAGAGGGGAGAGGGCCAGCCTGACGCTGTTGAAGATAGTTAATGCGCTGGCAACCACAACAAAGTACGCGGAACGTTTTTCAAACCCATGAGTATCTTCCTCTTGTGATATTGGTTATGTGATGTGACATGCCCTGATAGACTACATGGTGTGAACGAGTGCTAGCACTGGGTGCTTTCCCGGATCTTTATCGATTCATCATATTCGTCACCTATCGAACCTCCGGTGGCTCTACAGATACATCTATCCACCATCCAATCATCTTTACTAGCGCTTCTGCGACATAGCTTCGAGCATCTCTATCGAATGACAGAAACAGACATCAAAATGCCCCGTGATATTTCCACTGACTCCAGAACGCCGCCCCCCCTGGTCCCAGACAGCTCGTGACCGTTACATGTTCATTACTCTCGTTTCAACTCCGACATTAGATACTGGCCGCTTCGGCTAGGATTTTTGCCATCATTGCTTGTCACCAAGGACTCGATGCTGGTGGCCTAGTACTCCTCCACCGCGCAGTTGGGGTGCAGCACATAGACGATCTGAGCGGCGGCGGCAGAACTGCCCTCGCCGGCGTCTTCGGTGGAGCCGTCGCCACGGAGAGCCATGAGGATGTTTTCCTGGCAAGGGTTAGTATCATACTCTTTACTGTGATGACTTGGGATTGGGAGTGGTGACTTACCTTGACCATCTTCTTGAGCACCATGTGGCAAAGTGCCTTCTCGCGGTGGTAGTCCTCCTCGCCGTCGAGCTCATCCTCCTTCTGTTCGAGGAACCAGTTGATGAGCACTTCGCCGTTGACGCCCTCGCCAGTGCCACTCTCGTCATCGTTGACGCGTTGGACGAACATGTTGACCATCTTGATGTAGTTGTCATATGTAATGGTGTGCTTGCGCTTCTCGGGTGCCACGGAGCCATCGGCGGCGCGTGGCTCTTCCTCTGCCATCTCCGCATCGCCCTCTTGGTCGCGGCCAGCCGCGGCATCAGCAGCTCTAAGAAGTGTCTCGCTATCCTCCTGCGTCTCCTCGTCATCCATCTCAACATCGTCGTGCTCGACGGAGATGATACTTTGCCGGAGGAGGTTGGAGGCTTCGATAACCATTTCGGCGCTGATGTCCTCAGTGCAGTTGACCTTGGCGATGGCCTCGGACAGACGAATCATACTCTCAAGCTGACGCACTGTGATACGGTAAGAGTTCTTGCCCACGCCGCCTTGGGCGTCATCAGCACGGAGCTCCTTGTACTTCTCGACCAGGACTTCCTTGGCCTCTTCACTGAATTCTGGGCGGAAAGTCTTGGCGAACCGGATGTACCGCTGAAGTTGCTCAGTACTGAACTCGGGCTCAACAGCCTCGTCTCGAAGTTGGTGGATGCTGACAATGTGCTCGGCAAGGTGGCGATCAACCTGCTCGTTACACTCGTCAAGGACGACGAAAAAGAGATCGAAACGAGACATGATAGGGGCGGACATGTTGATGTTGGCCCGAAGGGTGGTCTTGCGATTGTAGCGGCCAGCAACGGGGTTGGCAGCAGCCAGAATACTGGTTCTGGCGTTGAGAGTGGCCTGAATACCAGCCTTGGCGATCGAGATGGTCTGCTGTTCCATGGCTTCGTGGATGGCGACCTGGTCGACAATGTCCATCTTGTCGAACTCATCGATGGCGCAGATGCCGTTGTCTGCCAACATGAGAGCACCGGCCTCGATGGTGAACTCACCCGTCTCCTCATCCTTGACCACAGCCGCAGTGAGACCAGCAGCGGACGAGGCCTTACCACTGGTGTATACAGCGCGGGGCGCAAACGAGCACACGTACTTGAGGAACTGGGACTTGGAGGTTGAGGGATCGCCAACAATGCAGATGTTGATGTCTCCTCGGAGCTGCATGCCCTCAGGGGTAGTCTTGTGGACACCAGACATGAGCTGGAGGAGAAGACCCTTCTTGACAACTTCGTGGCCGTACACCATGGGGGCGATGGACTGAACGAGACGGGAGTAGATATGGTCACCGTGGACCATAGCTCGGAGGTCATCAATCTCAGAAGGGTTCATGGAGGAGAGAACCGCAGCCTGGGCACCCTCGATGGACTCGCCTCCCTCATTGACGTTGCCCTGGGTCAAGGCGTTGACAATATCGGCAGCACCGCTTGCAGCAGACTGGCCAGAGGAAGTCGTATCTGGGGCGACCATGCAGGCGAGGAAGGCCAGGCGGTACGTCAAGTCTCGAACACCCAGGGCCTTGAGACCGCTGACTCCAGTACCACCAGCATCGGCTCCACGGGGCGCGTTGCGATCATCACGCATGGCAGTTGGGCGCAGGCCAGGGAGACCAAGTTGGCTGACATCAGGGACGACAATCAAGGCACCGGTGAAGATGCACTTCTCGCCGGCCTTGGCTCGGTCGACAATCTCACCACGGAGAATGACATCCATGGTACGGGGCATGCTGCCAGTAGGAATCTCAGAGCTGTTCTCCTGAATGCGAACCTTTTGCCAATCCACAAAGGTGCTGTGGCGAATATCGAGTTGCCAGGCCATGCGGTTCTGGCAGGTGTTGTTGGGACATTGTGTGGGCTCGGTGTATCGGAAGGTCTGCTCGACGTTGGGGATGACGGTACGGCAGGCTTCGCAGACAAAGGTGGCCTGTGATAACTCAGGCCGGACCTCGGAAGTTCGGGTGACGGTACCGGAGATGGAAAGGAGCTGGCCGATGTTGGCGGCTCGCAGAGCACGCACCCGGGAGACTAGGGGTAGGTTATAGAAGGCGATGGAGAAGAGCTTGTCGGTCTGCTGGTTCTCGTTCTTGCGGTGCGACGACTGAGACTGGCTGGCGGAGCCGAGGTTGCTGGCGGCCGAGGTGGTCAAGTTGCTGGAGGCAGTAGGCTGGCGATGCTCGCGGAAGTACTGGGGCTCATACTTTGCGATCATGTTGTGGAGGGCGGCGGTGAGGAAGGGGAGGAAGCGGTAGTACTGGCGCATGACACCGTCGGCCAAACTGCCATTCTCCCATGAGGCGAGGTGCTTGTAGTCGAGGTAGAAGGTGGAGAGCGAGAGGTGCTTCATGCCCTTGATCTGGGCGACATAGTACTTGTCGGTGGTGACGGCGCTGGAAGTGGGGGCGCCCGACGAGAGGGGATCTTCAATGAAGCTGTTGGTCAATGGTTAGCCAGGGATATGTGTAGACAACCCAGCGCCGTGTACGACGCCTCACATGCAGATACTCACTTCTCGATGAAGGCCTCAAAGTGGTCCTGGACCAACATGCCAATCCGATCCTCAACGCGCGAGATGGTGGCGGAATCGGGGATCCTGGAGCCGCGGGGCACCTGGTCGTCGGCGAAGCCGTCGCCCTCGTCATCGCTGGGAGCGCCGCCCATGTTCTCCGAAGGCGGGCCCCGTGGCCGGGCCGACGATGAGGACGGGAATCCAAAGTTGTTGCGGCGGGGGGTCGCGGCGCCGGCGCGCGAGGGGGCGTCGGACATCATGAAGCCGACATCGCTTGAGGCAGCCATGGCGACTATAAGGGCGGGCGGGTGGTGTGAGAGGAATGAGGTTGGTTCTCGGTGCCCTCTTCTCTCTACACGCTGCGTGTCTCGAGAGGTTGGCGAGGTGACGAGGGTGGTGATGCTTGGTTGTGGGTTGTGGGGGGAAGTTTTGCTGGAGGAGGCGGAATTGGGTGCGTGGGCCACGTTTGTAGTTAGATTGATTGGCGAGGGAAGGCGCGTCATGAACGCGTCGAGGGGCTTCCCTACGCGACGCGACTTTAATTGATTGCATGAGGACGCCTAGGGCCTAATTTTCAGTGCACTTAGCCCTGAATCTTTAGCGTGTCTAATGCCTAATCTTTAGCACTTACACCCCGCGGCAGGTAAGTCAGGCGGGAAATGGGAATCCTACCTCTTCTTTCGAGATAGCATACCTAATTATCTAAAATACTCATAAGACTTATAATAGCCCTAAGAGATAGAAGCTTACGTATCATATTTATTTGATATGTTGTCTACAAATCTGGGCCAGTAATTATTTAAATTATAACTCAGCCGTAAATTAAATCCCTAGACCTACATGTACCTATTTACTTAGAATTCGATTGGTGGCGTAATTCAAATGTGTTCATCCACATTCCTACAGTGGTTCTCTGTATGAGAACAGCCGCGATGTTAAGACTAGGGACTGCAAGTAATCTCAAGTTTAAAGTGGCCGACACGCCTGAAAGAAGTCTCTAGCATTGACTATAAACGAGAGGTAAAGTTGTTCGAGGTTGAGGCTTCTATACGCAAAAGCCGCGCCAACTGCAGGAGATGGGAGTCGAAAAGGGTACGCCTGAAAAGAAGGCAACCCCGACTATTGCAATATCATTTCGCTTGAAAAAAGTGGTAGAAGCAAGAAGATTCTAATTATCAAATCGATCGCTCACTCATCATTCACCGTTTCCTGTGCTATTCTGAACCATGCCCGCCATGGCTCATATACCACGGACTCTAGTCGAGGAAGCTTGTCCAATAGATGGCACATTGTGCCAGGAGTAAACTGACGACGGAATTGTCGACGTAGGACAAATTTGGTAACTGCGTGGATTTTGGAGAGTTCCTCAATTCCTAAGTGGATCGCTTTGTAAAGTTACAATGCAGCAATAGATTGACTTGGAGAAGCAACTTGTTAATTGTCAACCCAACCGTGTTTTAGACAATGCAAATTGGAGGTAGTTTCCTGTGAATGGTCGCCGGATTGGAAAATAGCTTCTCGATCCTCGTCATCGGCTCCGGAACAACAGTTCTGGAACCAGTGTTCAGAGTTGCTGGGAGAATACGCGTTGAGTTCGAGTGTCAAGCCATCATCGGTTGAGTTCCAAGTGCTTAAAATGGAAAAGAGCTTTGAGATTTCTCTACAGATGAAAGCTTCGTTGCTTGAACCCCACGAATCTAGTTTCTCCCAATAACACCTTTTACAAGTATATTTTCCAAATTCCATACTTAGCTAGATGTGCCTGACGATTCCACTCTGCCGAACGACCATATGTTCGAAATCATTTAAGCATGATGATCGCAACTTCAGCCGACGGAATCTCTTCTTCTCTCAGATAGCCTGCCATTCTGTACAGAGTGAAGCAAAAACAGCCAAGCCACGATTTTCCGGTGTAAGTATCTGCAGGATCATGAAGCGCATCTCCGTAGGCAGGGAAGCCCAGGGTAAAACCCTTCTTGGCTGCATTTTTGCTCATATGCTCAACGCGAGTAAACCTTTAGTATGCCCTAGGTTTGAGAACTGGCGTCCGCGACTTCGTCCGTTCGGCTCCTGATCCTTTGGGTTTGTTGTCTGTATTGGATATAATCAAGGCAATGGTGGGCGGTTAGTGGCAGCGAAGATGGAATGGTTCTGCGAGTAGGTCTTGTGTGATTTATTTGATCGAGGGCAAACGGCCCTTTATATCCAGGTCTGGTGCCTACAGGCAGCAAGGTTGGGACATGAGAATTGAGTTGAGAGCTTGGGACAAAGGAAGATATGCTAGGACTGTGTTGAATAAGTTGCTGTATTTCTCGGCACTGGGTGTGGTCTACGTGTGTGCCTTTATTGTTTGCAACCTATAATAATCTCCAAACGCTGGGAGTAGATGGTGCCTCATCAAAGGATATACTTGAAATCCAAAGACTTGTCACCTTTTTCTCCATTATCAGACACTCCGTCAGCCCTCTGCTTGGCTTTAATCTGGTTCCTCCTCCTCAAAATGAAATAGATAACCACAATACCACATCCGGCCAGAAACTCCATGGAGAGACTGACGGCGTTGCCTAGAATGTAACTGTGGAGGTCAGTATTGGCCAGATAATTATGTTTGGTGGGAGGGATTACCGAGGCGCGGTGCTTGAGGGGTAAACCTGACCGGAAACGACGCCGGATATGTTGGCAATGGAGACGAAGAATGGCAGGGCTGCACTTCGCTTGTGGTCTGGCTTGATGTTGTTTGATACCCAGGCAACTAGTAGGGTGTTGTATGTGTATACTGGAGATGGCGTTAGCATATGAGGTCCTGTGGCAGTTGATTCGAACTCCTTACCGCCCGAACATAGGAACATGGCAAAGAATCCCGCACCCGCCACAGGAGTTCCAATGGCGATAGCGTAGCCAACAATGACAATCAACGGCACAAAAACGGCCACGGCGGCGCGCTTCTTTAACCGATCGGACGTGAAGGTGACAGCGGCGAGGATGAGACAGCCTGTGACATACACAGGAATCGTGAGGTAGTTGACCTGGAGAGACTCAAAGCTGCATCATGTGTTAGCAAATCGCGCAATGAAGCTCATTAACGTGGACAGAACATACCCCAAGCCCCTGATGATTGTAGGCAAGAAAGTACCAAATCCGAAGAGGGGAACACCAGCACAGAATAAACTGAGAGCGGCAGCCCAGACCATAGTATCTGTAACTGCCATCCAAACGTAGGACCACGAGAATTCATCCGAGCCTGTGTAGGCGATGTCGCGTGCTCTACGATCCTTCATCAACCTCTTCTCGTCCCCCTTCAAGAACCAAGCCTCTTCCGCTGAACGAGGAAGAGTTGCCCAGCATGTCAAGCCAAACACGATGGAAACGGCACCCTCAATGATGAAAAGCCATCTCCAAGCCTTAATACCCCGTCTGTCTCCCATAAGCTGGATGGCGTATGCGATCAGACCGCCAAACGCGCCGGCGAGCGCCGTGGAGCCATACAGAACCGCTATGCGCTTGCCTTGACTCTCGCGGGGATAGATGGTCGATATCAAGAAGCTCAAGGCGGGGAAGATGCCCCCCTCAGTGAAACCCAAAATGAGACGGAGGACGACGGCTTGGGTGTAGTTATGGATGAAGCCCGTGGCGATAACCACCACACTCCACATTACGATAGCAGTGGCAATAACCGAGTTGGCACCGTATTTCTTAACAGCGAGGACCCAAGGGATTTCGAATAGCACAAACGTGACGTAGAACAAAGATGTGAGATTGGCAAAGTCATTGCCCTTGAACTTCAAGTCTTCCTCGAACCCGAAAATACGAGCGTTTCCTAAGGCGTTATCAGTAAACCCATTGGAAAACTTGGCCGGGGATGGGAGGATTGTAGACATACCGATGTTTGTTCGATCTAGATACGACAATACTTGGATAATCACAAACTGGGGGAGAACATATCGGTCGAACTTTCTGACAGTAGCCTTCTCCTTCTCGGGGTCAATAAAGACTACGGTCGTGGCATCTTCGGCGGAGACACGAGGTTCCGCCTCGGGAGGGACGTCACTTGAGGCCTGTTTAACTTCGTCCTTTTCAGTACTCATTGTGAATATAGAAGGCGAGGTTTGTAAGAGAGGAGCCTAGGTCTGGTGTGGAAGGGGTGGACAAGAGGGGGAAACTGGGTTGGAATCGTTGTAATATAGTGTGGGACAATGTCTCTCAAATACCAGTGGGATTATGAACACCAGACTGTCGTAAGCACACATAATCACCTTGATCGGCAGTGACTTCTTAGATAGGCGCTTGGCATTCCATGGCGTGTTTCCTGGATAAGGCGTGCTGATCTCCGTTGCCCGCAGAGGAAGGACAAGGATGGACTGATAACCGAAGACGAAATGCGAACAGAGTCATGACGAGAAAGGCAAAGGATACCCGACGTATAGACAAGCGGGGCTCGATTGAAGAGCAAAGACGGCAGATACCCCCGTGAGCTTCATGTTTTGGCTACTGACAGCGAGGAGCTAACCGCTCTTTGGAAAGACACACGGTCGGAGGCTTTGCGAACAGGCATCGCAGCTATCAGGCACTGTTAATTCGTCCATTATGCTGTTCGATAGCACGGTCGGATTTGCGGGGCCGTCGGACATTGTGGCAAAGATCCGCGGTTGATGTATAGACATGGATGTCGATGTGGAGTTGCCAGCCAGGGTCGACTAGTGGACGGATATGCACCAGGACGCGGATGTAATCTGCGCTGTTGTGAAGGAACGTACTGTAACATGGGCGAGTGAACTTGTTATAACTGTTCATGTCTGGGGCCCTTTATGTGAATGGATTCCTTGTCCTTGGCCTACGTACAACGGCCATGTGCGATGTAAGTTGTATCTATTCACCTTCAAGTCTTGGGAGCGGTACCCCCTGTCTATCCAACTCTTATCAAGCAAGTTTCGTTTGGAGTGCATCAATACCCACAATTGAACTAGGACGAGCCTTCTAGGAAAATGGGTCTAGATTAAGCATTGGTCTATCTAGATATCAAGTTCTAGGGGTCATTATCCACCCGCCTTGCAACCGCCCCCATGCCCCTTCTATTTCCGGCCCATAGCATGCTCAATTTCTACGAGGGCAGCCAGGACCTTCTCATCGTTCTGCCTTCGTCCAATGAGCTGTAGACTCACTGGGGCATTGGTGTACTTCTCAGGACTGTACATGTCGTAGACGAATTTGTCCTGGTCGTTCTTGGGCACGTAGCTGAGGTCCTTGGGATCCTTGGCTGGGTCGACGGTGGTGACGGGGAACACGGCTCCGGGGTAGTCCAGCAGGTTCCAGTGTGCCGTGTATCCCCAGTACCGTGACTGGTCGTGTGGTGTCGCGGCTCCGAATGAGGGGGGGCAGAGGATGACATCCACCTCCTTTCCATCCTTCGCGCTGGTTTCGTTCCAGGCGCGGGAGTAGGCTGTGCGATACTCATCTCGCTCGACGCAAAGCTGTAGAAAGTGTCAGTACGTGGTTGGGTCTAAAGAATAAAGTAATTCTCACCTTCCAAAGTTCATGCTGGGTGTGGTTCTTGACGGTTGGCTGCTCCTGAATGATGAACTTCGTCAAAGGCAGGATGGGCTCTCCGCTTTCTTTGAGTACCTCAATGGCCTCTTCACCACCGTCTGGCCAATATAAAGCCGAGATAATGTCCCAGGCCTTGGCGTGATCCAGGGGCTCGCAGTCCCAGTCGACAACCTCCATGCCTGCCTTCCGGCATGCCTCTGCGACCTCCTTCAACGCTCGGGTCATGGGCGGGTGAGGCTGCACAACACCGTCCCACCACTGGATAGCGATTTTGAGAGGCTTCGTAAACTTGTATGGCGTCCACTCTTTAGCGGTGAGAGAGGGGTCTATGCGCCAGGGCTCTGATGAAAGAGCGACTTTCATGAACAATTCCAGTGCTTCACGGTCAACAGCCATGGGGCCTGCGGTTGAGGCGATGGTCTCTTTGCCGGCCATGATGCTCCTTTGGCCCGCTACTGAGACGCGCTTAAGGGTCGGCCTATAGAGTGTTAGCATCGGTATAACTTCCGTTTGAATGATGAGAGGCGTACTTGAAACCGTAGATACCAACATGGGCAGCTGGACATCGGATGCTACCACCGATATCGCCACCAACGCCCTGTTTTTGTTAGATGCGCTTAGTATTCCAAAGAGGCACTGGACTTACAAATATGCTTCCACGCATGCCCAGAAGTGCTGATTCTCCACCACTGCTTCCTCCAGACGTCAGGTCGCGGTTGTAAGGGTTGACAGTGCGGCCAAAGACGTTGTTGTTGGTCTCCAAGTGCATGATGGTTTGAGGCTGAGTTGTCCTGGCATAAAAGACACAACCCTCATCCCAGAAGGTGTCATAGAGAATGTTTGATCCATGCTTCTTTCCGATCCAAGCCACGAATGATGCCGTGGTTACGACGTCTGGGCCAACCATGCCGTGGTGTTCTTTGGTGGAAATGGGCAGGCCGAAGAGCATGCCCTTAGGTTCAGGCAAGGAGTCAAGATGCTTTGCTCGAGCAATGGCTTCATCCCACATGAGACCCACGATGCAGTTTGTCTGGGGTTGTCAGCCTTTCTACTTTGGGGGTGGGGGGATGAGTGATGATCATACTGCAGCTTGTGCGAGGGCGGCGCGTCGCAAGAAAGCCCTGGTCACTTCTTCGACTGAAATCTTCCTCTCGCGTAAAACGGCGAGAAGTTCGTTGACAGAGTAGTTTTCTGTGATTTCAATCTCTCGCGGAGTTAGAACAGACTTGGCCAAGTCTTGGGAACTGAGGGGCAGCTCGTCCGGGACACCCTCCAGCTTGGGCTCAACCTTGGCAAGGGAGGCATCGCGGTTGGCTCTGGCCCACGATGCCTTGTCCTCCCACGACTTCATATCCTGAAGAGCAGTCATTCTTTTTTGATATGGCAGCGAAGTTTTAAGCTGGAAGCTGTAAAGAAGACAAGTGAAGAAGAGTGGGATGTGAGATGATTACGAACGACCAAAAGTGAGTGAAGAGAGTCGCGGAGAGTCGCGGATTGCACGCAGGCAGTCACGGGTGCAGGTGTAAGTGGAGCAGCGAATCGTCAATTCTCGGGCCGACAGGGAGCGTTTGACACGGCAAGTGTTGGCGAGACGAGCGGCCGTAAGCTAATTAGTAGCCACGCCAGATACGGGCAAACGACAACATGTTCGGCATTGCTTGTATGGGTATGGATACCGTCGGGCCCCGCAAAGCCGAGCCCACCACCTCCGCAAACAAAGCGGGGTGCTGCTATTCCCGCTGCCCCAGAACATGGAGGGTGCTGTCTTAGCGGGTCTCAGCAGGTCTCAGCAGGTCTCTGAACAGCTCTTATCGAATCTATCCAATCTAGGAAACCAATCTTTTCTACCCCCTGAGCCCTGCGAATAATAGATGTCTTGCCTACCTGGGCAGCCGCTGTAGGCTTGATCTATGCAACGTTCCCTAACACCCCGAACACCGGATTCTCTTATCAGGCGTGTTCGTGTTATCTGCACCCCGCCCGATAAGCCCGTATCCCACTCATCTCCACAGCTCTTACACGCCCGATACGCCGAGACGTCGTTGACCTATCGTGGCCCCTGATACGGCCGCTGTGTTCTCGACATTCGCGTCGGCATTTCTTCTACGACCTAGCTTTATATTAACCTGTCACCTAAATCACAGCGAATAGTTCAACTCATCCCCTCGGCTAAGCTGCAGCTGGGCACAGCGTTGCCGCGTCTTGGGTGCGTTGGTATCCTGCTCATTCGTGTTTCACCTGCCTTTCTGCTCATGGCTGTGTAGTCAATTATCAATTATCCTCTGAGATACCCTCCTCACTTTGCCTTCGGGGTACTTGCCCCTCGTCGACAACCCCGACAAAGTGACGGCCTTTGAGACTCCATCCGGTGCGATAGTAACCTAGCCGTGGCCATCAGTGCGCCTTCAAATCTGATCACCTGGCATGAGAGCCCACGTAGCGGCTTGTTTTACCTTTGTAAGTTCCGAAGATGGGACAGGTGACTGAAAATGGTGGTACAACCACTTGCAAGTGACGAAAACCATCTCCCTGCTGGCTGCGGCATTCTACAGCTCGGGGAAACCCTGCATAGACCCGAGGCCTTTAAATCCAGTTCGCAATGTCAATGAATCCTCCGTAATTATACCTATCACGACATCATCGGTATGTGACCTTACGAAAGCAGCCTCTACCCAATACCAGTTCCCTTGAAATTATCACTAATGTCGTGGTCAGTTATTTGGGCGTCGCAGCCGGCCTACTGTATTTTACTGCGTAAACAGTTGTTAATGGGATTGGAAGAAAATAAATTCTTATTCTACCGGACTTGTTGATGTGGCCTACGCCTTGAAAATGCCGTTCTCATCGTCTATGATTGATGGGTACGTAGTCGGCTACACCTCGACGATCCTTCTAGCTACACTCAAATTCAAGCCTCATTCACCCTGTAGAGCCCAAGATCCACACTCGCGCGGATCATGTGGTAGATATCCTTATCGACACAACCTCCTGAATATGCCTGGATATGCTTAAATGGGCACCACTGTTCCCTCTGTTCATCGCTCGCGGTGAAATAAACGCCCAGGCCCGTATTGGTCTGGCTCGCAAACGACTGCGAAATACGTTGGAGAAACGGCAATTTCAAAATGTCTCGAGAGCCCTAGAGGTTCCGGGGGCGCTCTAGGATAGTTTCGCCATGCCTAAAATAAAGTGCAAACCGACTCGTCACATATTCTAGATGCTTAAAGAGGAGATCTGCTACCGGTAGTAACTTATCACACTCCTAGTATGCATCAGATTCCTAGTCATCGCAGCAGACATTTCCTGTTGAATTCCCACACTCTGCCCCGTTAAAGCGCGATGACCCGCGACATGCTCGCTAGTGTGGTTAAGCACAAGAACGCAGTAATTGGCGATTATTTACTCACATCAATGATGAATGATGATTTGGATCTGACAAGGATAAATTATGATTATTGTTTGAACAGTAGTCCTTCGTGATTTCGACTCCACAGTCGTTAGTCAGGGTGGTCTGGAATTTAGATTAAGTTCCTAATTAAGTGTCACCAACTCGTTTTTTAAGCTGGCCCTGGCTTCGGATCCTTGACCTGCGAATCTTGATGTGCAGCATTGTTGACTGAGCGTAGGCTCGGAGAGATTTGAGTTGGATGGAACGAAGGGCTGGGACAACAGACGAGCCTAAAAATGATGCCGGAACAGGGGTTACGGTTTTGGATAGCAAGAGATGTGGCAAAACACCCTGGCTCTCTTTTATACGAACAAATCAGGTCTCACAGCGCTGAGGAGAGAGGCACACTACTTGTCGTACTACGTAGTAATTAAGCCAGCGGATTCAGCGGGAGCGTTACTAGCTGCCGTAAAACACGTTGACCGGCAGTCAAATAGCCTATTATCTCATTTCGGGTGCACCAAGCCGAGCCCAAGCGTCCACGACCAGGACGTCCCGGTGTCGGTGACCGCTGAACACGACGCCGCTCGTGGGTGTGACAGGCCGGGACGATGTGTAGCGCTGAGCCAATCGGGAGACACTGAATGCGTAAAGTGGTGACAGCGGAAGTTAAAAACACCGCCAAATACGCCAAACACGCCGCCTTATCAAGGCAGCGTCCGAACACAACTCCGTCGTTAATTATCGAGCCAGCGGCACGAGGCGATAGACAAGGTTCGCTGTTCCTTGATAGGACTAAGGCACGAAGCCATGCAGGTTGCAACCGTCTGATTGATGGGAGCTGTAGCCGGCGTGGTGCGCGTGACTCGATTTACCTCCGGCATCGTATCGAAAGGCGGCAGATACACAGTAGTTAGCGTTATCAGCCGTATCACCCCGGACGGTAATGCCGTCCAGCGCTGATTGAGACCCACAAGGGTTACCTGTGTATATAGGCTTGAGAGTCGATCTCTTGTCATCGCCTTTCAGACTCATCTTCTGTACACATCCCTTGAGTAATTGACAGACTGCTGTTTTACCTTCGTCTCACGACTAACAGTCATACGCGTCCACAGAAGCAACGATGACGGTGTCCGCTACCGCACCCGAGATGGGCCCTCCGACTCCAGAGTCTGAACGAGACGGCATGCTTGGTGACCTGAAGCAGGACTCGCCGCCGAAGAGTGCCGTCCTCCATCGCAGCTTGAAGAGCGCACCGCTCCAGGTGGTATCCGGGAAAGGGAAACATCTAACCTTCTCCAACGGCCATTCGATTCTGGATACGACCTGCGGCGCGGCAGTGGCATGCATTGGATACGACAACAAGCGGGTCAAACAGGCCATGATCGACCAAATCGACAAGTTTTCTTACTGCAATTCTATGTTTTTCAGTCACCCCGTGGGCGAGGAACTGGCGGCTGAACTGGTGCGCGGGACTGGAGGCGCGATGGCCAAAGCATATATCATGTCTTCTGGTACGTTCTCTCGGCCTGAATGCCGTGTTGAATTTTGACTGACGGTTCTTTCCCCTCTAGGCTCAGAAGCAATGGAAGCGGCTATGAAAATGGCTCGTCAATACTACATGGAAGTAAGCCCACAGCAGCCCAAGCGAATCAACTTCATTGCTCGAGAAGGCTCTTACCACGGTACAACGCTGGGCGCCCTATCGATGGGCGGCCACGTTTCACGGCGCAGCCTCTTCGTGGACATGCTCCTACCCAACATCGGTCGGGTGTCGCCCTGCAACGCATATCGAGGGATGGGTCCAGAGCAAACCGTAGAGCAGTATGTCGAGCAATTGGCCAATGAGTTGGATAGCAAGTTTCAGGAACTAGGACCTGAGACGGTTTGTGCCTTTGTAGCCGAACCTGTGGTTGGAGCGGTACGTTTCCTAACACAGAATTGGTTCCGTGTGTTGCCCGACTAACGCATACTTCAGGCCCTTGGCTGCGTCCCGGCAGTGCCTAGGTATTTCAAGGCCATGAAGAAAGTATGCGACAAATATGGGGCTCTACTCATCCTTGACGGTTCGTATATGATTATCCTTTATATCTGAAGGCCGCTTACTAACTTTGAGATAGAGGTCATGTCTGGGATGGGGCGTTGCGGGTCGCTCCACGCTTGGGAGCAAGAGGACGTGGTTCCTGATATTCAAACCATGGCAAAGGGATTGGGTGGAGGCTACGCACCAATCGCTGGAATGCTTATTAACCATCGGGTAGCTGACGCTTTAGAGAGTGGAACTGGGTATGCTATTTACACCGCAGCAACCCTCAACACCAGAACAATGCTAACTCATCTCCAAGAACTTTCTCGCATGGCCACACCTACCAAGGGCATCCCGTGGCGTGTGCTGCCGCACTAGAAGTGCAGCGCATCATCCGAGAAGAAAACCTGGTCGAGAATGTTCGCAACACTGGAGCGTACCTGGAGAGCCTCTTGCACGCACACCTCGACAGCCATCCCCACGTGGGCAATATCAGAGGCAAAGGCCTCTTTTGGGGGGTAAGTAAAACGCAGTGAAAATTAGTAGAAACCTCGCTAAGTGGATTTCAAGATCGAGTTCGTTGCCGACAAGGCGACCAAGGAGCCCTTCCCGCTGTCAGCCAACATTGCCAACACCGTGCATCTGAAGGGTTTGAACGACCTCGGTATCAGTTTGTACCCGGGAAACGGTACCAAAGACGGAATTTTGGGCGATCATGTTCTTCTTGCCCCAGCGTATAACAGCACCAGTGAGGAGATTGAAGAGATTGCTCTGAGGGTGAAGGATACGGTAGATCGGACGTTTGCTGAGCTCTCTGCAGCCTAGGGGTTCGTATTTCGGAATATAATGGTAATTTTACGGGTTTAATGAATGGAGAATAAGTGCGAAGAATGTTATTCATTTAACTATTGGTGATGCAATTGGATTACATCGACCTGCTCATCCTAGGGTTGACATCCGCATTCATGATGTCACTGAACAGTTGACGTGCTGTCAGGACAAACAAGAGCAAATAAAACAAGTCTCCAAACCTAATATTATTTCCTATCGCAGCCCAGTTCATGTGAGGAGTAGAGGGAGATTCGTCAGCGGCGTTTGACCTGCCCGTCGTTTGCCGTAGCGGAACCGCCTCCCCACAATGCGTACGAATGCGAACCCGGCCATCAACCACGAGACTCGGTCAAGCATCACTATATTCCACCACTTAGGGGACGCGCTTGGTAAGCGAGAATTGACCCATAAAGAAATAAAAGCAAAACAAAAGGCCATTCATTTACTTTAGCAGCAGGAAGGGACGGAAAACAACACCCAACTCATTAACTTACCCTAGGGGAAATGCACAGAGAGTCGTCACACAGGCGTCTTGGCCGGTCAGCCCGAAGCTGCACCAGATTACGCGTATGAGGTCGGGCCAGTCTGAGGCTTATGTCTCCTGATAGGGAAGCATCTCATGAGATAGAATATCGGGTCGGTCGCAGGAAGGTTCGCTGGCAAGGCATCAATGGGGCCTGCGGCAGCCCGATATCTGAGGGAGGTCGAAGACGGAAGTTGGACAGGGAACGTAGTGACGGCAAGAAGGCTCAAATAAATCTCTCAAAAATGAAGGCAATCAATTAATAGACTCCCTAGCAGCCTCGAGCCCTTTCGGCCTCTCTGACTTCTAGGAAGAATCTCTGATGAAAGGAAAAACGATGATTTCCCCCAGTGACGGCACTGACCTCCCCTTTTAACCCCATCCGGGTCACCCTAGAGACATCCCCGCTAGCGACCAGCTAGCCCAAGTGTCCCTAACCGCCTGTCACATTACTTCAGGGATTTGCTAGTTGAAGCTTCTTTTCATCGCCGTCGCCGGTGCCGGTTTCGCTTGCTCCAGAGCCGTTGGAGTCCCCGCTCGTTTAGTCGGGCGAAAGTCCAGGTTCCGGGGGCTCGGTTTGCGGTATCTTCGGCTTGACCGGGGTGACCAAGGCTGTTTTGCCGTGTGCTTTTGCTGTGCGTATTTAGCCCACTTAGTATAGCCAGGGGACGCCCTGCCCGAAGGCTTCTAGACGTGGCTTGGACGCATTGCTCCATGGGTAGTCTAGCATCCTCTTGCCATTGACACACAAGGAGCATGGGTGTATCAGAATTACTACGTAGTAGCATCGTTCAGAGACCGAAAGGGGAGCATGAGATGCACGTCCGTCGTCGAGAATAGCGTCGTGCACAGCCCACATAAAGGCCGTGTTCGAAATTACCATGCAAGGCACCCCAGCCGTTCTTGAGTCTTAGGGAGTTTTAGAACATTTTAAACTTTCTAGGCCTTTTCCGGACCTGCCGAGTCTGTGGGATTCGTGATCCTTGATTCCCGTTCTTCGTATTTCACGGCTCGGCACTCATATTGAAAATGCGTATATAGTCGCCCACTCGCCCATTGAGTTATTGTCTATCAACTGGAATAATTCAGCCACTCAAGTTTCTTATTCCTCATAACAAGATGATCTTCTCTTCGCTTGTAGCCTGGACCGCTCTCTTCAGCGGCGCCAATGCCCTAGCCATCCGCCAAAACACCCCGGTCTGGCTCACTCTCCCCCCTACGCCAGAACTTCCGTCTCCTATCAGCACCAAGACGACTCCCATCAACGGTGTTAACCTCTGGATGCAAAAGTACAATGAGAAGGCCAACACCACTCCCATTGTCATGGACCACGGTGGCCTTGGCTACTCGGCCTACTTCGGATCCGTCATTTCTCGCCTCATCGCCAAGGGCTACTATGTGATCGCGGTTGACCGCCGAGGCCACGGCCGCTCAACGTTCAACTCCGGTGATCTCTTCACCTACGATCAGATGGCCAAGGACATCTATGACCAGCTTGCTGCCGCTGGTGTGACGAAGTACAATGTAGTTGGCTGGTCAGACGGTGGCATCACCACTCTCGCTGCCCTCATCAACCCGACTCTTGCGAAGCCCATCAACAAGGCCTTCATTTTTGGCGCTTCTGCAAACCCGGAGCAAACCAATGCTACCTTCTCCGACACGGCAATCTTTGCAGAGTTTGTCACTCGTTGCCGCACCGAATATGCCCAACTCCAGCCCAGTGCCAACTTCACCGTTTTCGCAAACAAGGTCGGCACCATGGAGGGCACGCTGCCGCAGATTTCAGACGCACAGCTGGGGACGATTACTGGCAGCAAGGTCATGATCGTCGGAGCTGAGCACGAGGAGGCGGTCAACCGGGATGTGCCAGCGAAGTTGCACGCCGCCATCAAGGGTAGCAAGATGCAAATCCTGCCTGGCGTGAGCCACTTCGCACCATTGCAGAACCCGGATGAATTCACCACGGCTGTGACCAACTTCTTTTGAGACATGCTTGCGTTAGAAAAGTAATTAGTTAGAGACATTCAGGAGACTGCCCTAAGCATCTAGAAATGAGGGTCAGTTGAAGACCATTCCGATGATATGAGACCTCTTTGAACATAATCAACTCCGAAGCACATGCAATTCATCGCAACTTTGATTAGGACCAAATTAGGCTGGTTGGGATCTGTGTGAATGTAAGAATTGATGACACGGGGATATGCCAATTTAAATCCGACTGCAACGACTAACTCCGTGTCGATTCCGTGCCATTGACATCATTCGTTTCCACTTTCAACTATAATAAGTAGCGGCAATCGATTCAGAGGACACAGGCGTGTTAACCAAGAGAAATCATTCCTAAGAGTTCGTTGGTGTTGATATCTTCTTAAGCTATCGAGGAATACATTCGCGTGCTTATGAGCCCTCAGCAACAAACCCCAACATGGCATCGCAAAACACCAAGTATCTCGTCCAAGGACAAGGCGGTCCATTGGTGATGGAAACCACTGCAAAGCCGGCTATTCTAGAGCCCACAGAGATTCTAATCCGCCTCAAAGCCATTGCCATAAATCCGGCCGATTGCAAAATGATTGATCAGGGCCACAGGATCACTTCATGGCCTCTCGTCCCTGGTCTGGATGGTGCCGGTATTGTCGAGGCTGTTGGAGCCAACGTGAAGGACTTTTGGCTGGGAGATAGAGTGCTCGCACTCTTTACGCCTGGAAATCGGAGTGGATCATATCAGACGTTTGCCGTGGTACAAGAAAGAACAGTGGCCAAGATACCAACAACATGGTCCTTTGAAGATGCAGCAACCTTAGGGTATGTGTTATTCTATTTCCTTCTCCTTTACTGCCCGTCTCGTCTGTACTTTGCATGATTCTGCTGGGAATTTGAATCTAGGGCTAATACCATCCTATAATCAGAGTATGTTACATGACTGGCATAGTAGCGCTCGGAATCGGCTTACGGACTTCACTGCCGTTTCTCAAAGACGGGCCAACTACAGAATTCAGTCCAGCCTCCGTTCTGGTCCTTGGTGGCAGCTCTGCACTCGGCGCAGCTACAATCCAACTTCTTCGTCTTGCAGCACCTGATTGCACCATCTTGGCAACTAGCTCCGCAAAGCACCACAGTACCATCATTAACACGCTTGGGGCTGACAGGGCCTTTGATCGAAATTCGGCGTCACTAGTTATGGACGTGAGGTCAGCAAGTCCAGGATCTCGAGGCGTGGACGCAATCATTGACGCCGTTGGCGCTGGTGGCACCCAACCAGATGTTTTTGATACATTTGAAATTAATGGGCCCAAGAAATATGCCCAGGTATGGACCGGACACGAAGAGATCAAGGTGCCTACGGGAGTGAACTCGGTTATGTTCAGGGGTCGGGATCTACCCAACCTACAGGGAGGCGAGAATATAATGCAAACCTTACAAGAGCTGCTGGAGCATAGAAAGTATAAATTACACTCCACGTGCACAAAGTGGGTGACGGATTGGGTGGGTTGGAAAGGGGCCTAGAGCTAATGTGTGAAGGTGTCAGTGGAGAGAAATTGGTGGTTACAATATAGATTCAGATGCCGCATGCTGGTTGGAATTAGGATAGTTGATATTTTTGATACGGTATCGGCTGCCTATAATCTGGGATCGCCCTTGTTCGAATACTCTTGTCCCCAAGACAACTTATGCCACGGGGTTGGCAAAAATGTGAAGACTAGGTTCATTCGACTACGTTTTTTTTTCTTCGATCTGTCATGCATTTCATTTCAATTCTTTAAAAAGTTTGTCCGCTGAATTCACCCGGGTACCCAAGCCTCCGTATTTCGGTATGAAAACGCCCTGCCGATCTATAATTAGGTTGCTATTAAACCGTAGAGACTGGAGCCTTGCGAGGGTTCCGAAAACGAGCCACGAAGCAAACGATGAAGTCTTGGTAGACAAAAGCGGTGCCCCAGTGCCTATAATGGCAAATATGAGGGAGTTTTGACATCATCTAACATTCTATCTCTTGACTACGGCAACTACATATACCAAGGCTGAGTCAGATCTAGGAAGGAAGCTGGACTGGGAGGATCCTAACCGGCCACTAAGCTATTTTACTGGACTATAAAGCAACATCATCTACACCATCTTTTTGCTCCGGAAGTACATGGAACGAGATACAAAGAACACATGTGTAGCAATATGTTAGATATTCGAGGTCGTGTCTACTTCTAAAATGTCTAAACCGTAAGATCAATTATTCAACCACAATTCGCCTACATTCCGGATGTCCCATTCCTTCGGCCTGACTTTGTTCAAATTCTTGCACGGCCCAGCTCATTGCTGGCCACCAATGACTTGGCAAAAGCTCCATGATCGCAGCGAACTCCTGTTCAGGAACTCCGTCCATCCACCAAAACGCACGGCACTTCTTGGCAACCATGAAGAAGTACCCCAGAATAGCTAGTGCTCTGGAATTCTTTGCTGCCAGAAGGTCCACAAATTTGGAGGGTACTTTAAGGAAGAAGAAGAATGGCCTCGCATGCTGTAAGTTAGAATAGAGCGATGAAAGAAGAGTCAACACTTGGCGGTAAGCTAATAATGCGTCATCGTTGCCAGTCTCCTGAGTGTCGGCATACTCAAGTAGGAATTGGAATTTGTCGCTAGGTATTGTCTGCATTGTGGCCTGCCGTAGCTGAGTGAGTCCTCGAAATTGTTGGCTCATTTTCCAATCATGTATGAAGGCTTGTGCTTGGTCAAGCACTTGAATGCCCATCTCTAATGAACGAAACCAATGAAGAGGCGACTGAAGACCAACTCCGGAAGCCAGGTAGGAACGGTTCACGCTTGAGTAAACAGATACCAGAGCGCAAGTCGCAGCAATACTAACGGCGTTCTTCTCATCGAAGCCAATTTGGATTTGCTCTCTATGATGTCGTATTGCGCGATCCATGTACTTATGTGCTGCCTCCTGGAGAGTTTGGTCGGACTTGGCATAACGTCGCAAGTGAAAAGCAGAGAACCCAAGCAGCGCATCCATGACATGAGGCGATTGAACTGCCTCTTCCACAATCCAGAATGCCCAGGTTATTTGAAAGTCAGTCGATTGAGTCGTCATCTGTAGGTAGTGATGGAATAGACGAAGGTCAAGTAGCCGCTCTACTCGTGTTCGGACACCAGTGGAGAAGAGGTCTTGTGACGAGATAAAGCGGCCGGAGACAATGGACGCATTTGTTTGTGTTGAATGTGCTGGCGAGGTGGCGGCCTCGTTTTGGGTTTGATCATGGTTGGGGAGAAGCCTCGGATGTTTTTTGGAGCATTTTGTGTCAAAGTATTCACACTCAATTCCCAATCTGGTGCAATTGCCACAATTTGGCCGATGCTCATCACACTTGAGAAGAAATTAATTATAAATCCAACTCCCTTCCCTATAATGAGCGGAACATGAACTCTTACCTTGACTCGGCGGCTTTTGCATGGTGTGCAGCCTGTTCTGGACTTATGATGCCATCGTCGCAATCCAGCCTCTTTTTTTGTGCGGGCTGGAGAGCGGTCGGCAGTCGGCCTGGAGACGCCGGCATTTGATTGTCGGGAAACTCGGTCCGGAATCATGGAAAAGAGATTCCTTGAGGCCTTTAGGCCTTTGGGAGGGGTGGCAAGGAAAAGGGAGGGGGGGAAGAGGGAATTGTTGACGTCTTGACCCGGAGAAGTCTGATCTAACGTACCGACCGTCAAATAAGCATATCAACAAACAATCGATTCACGGCGTCAAGGCGCAGGAGTCGGCCATGACGACAGCAATTGTGGCTTAGCTTATGCCGGCACGAGCGGCTGCGACAGGTATGTGCAGGGGAGCCTTGACGATGAGGTCTCGACTAATATTGGCTAGTCTCTTTGCTGAAGTGTCAGTTTAATGAGATTCACCAACCGCACGCAGTGACGGAAAGGAGCGTCGTTGTGGATCTCAGGAATCATAAACTCAAGCACGATCATTAGTGGGGAAAGTAATTTAAATCCATTCCTTTTCTATACTTGGATGATGTTTTTTGAAGCCATTTGATTCGAGCCCCTGCTTGCCCTGCCGGAAAACCAAATGGCTTGCTTATATTGATGTAATGTCCATACTATAAAATACATGTATAAGGATTTATGTAGAAAATCTTGCGGTCATCCCGGAACAACACTGCCCAAACTCCCGTCCGTCAGGATGTGAATGCGGCAAAACCACTACTGACCCCGATAGGACGAGTCGTAATCCGTCAGCTGCATCTCTGCGTCCGAACCATCCACCATTTTCTTGCCTGCAATGAGATACTTGGATGGGTGGAAGATGTTGAAAAGTGCACTAGCAATCAACATCAACGCCGCATCCAGGACATAGATGTAAACCTCCTTGGATTGTAGCTCTGAGTCGTGGCCCATGGCGTACTCGATCAACCGGAAACCCGAACGAATCAAGATGAGGACGCTCGTGACGTACAACACGGCAAGGAACTTTTGCCAAGGGGTGTCGATGCTGGCCATTGTCGACGTTGGGTTCTTCCGTGCCCTGGCGTGAAAGAGGCATGTGACGATCATAAAAAGGCTGAAAAAGAGCATCTGCACGACAAGGCCGCCGATAATGATGGACTCTCCCGTAGACCTCTCGTCATCCGTTTCTGCGTTGACTAGTTTTCCGCCTCCTATGATGAGATGAGTTGCCTGGCCATCGGTGTATTCGTGCAGCTGGTAAAGATGATCACGTACCCATGCCCTGTAGTGCAATCGAGAGCACGTCGCCGAACAAGAAAAACTTGGTCAACCAACTTGGCCTGATCAACGAGTATTTCTCTGCACCCAGCAGGCGGATGAGTCTGCCCAGAATCATGTAGATCGACGCGGCGTAACAGGTAGGTCCGAGAAGGAGAAGCAGGGATTGCATCACGTACGGACCGAAAGTCCAGTCTGGCGACTGTTTGGCACCGATGGCCCGTCCGATAAAGCCAACCGTTTCAACTATATCGATGCTAGTGTCAGTGCATAGTCGACGTAAAACCTCGATGTTGTGATTCGAAGGGTGGCTTGGGGTATCGAAATACGTACAAAGAGAACCGATTAAGAAAGGGATGAAGAACCAGGTCTTGGTCTTCCAGATCTGATAGACGTGCATTAAAGAGGATACTGAAAATCCAAGGATAAAAATGACGGCAGCAGCAAGAGATGGGTCGTATTTATAATATTTGACCTCCATTTTTATCCCGAGCGTGGCGTAGAAACGGATTGGTTCAAACAAGATGGACGTTTATCGTGATGTGAGTGAGTGCGCGAGAAGTTGATGAGAATTTCGATGCAGATTCCAAAGCCCTTGTTAAAACGAGAAGGGACGCTTTATATCTCCAATGCTCGCTGCAGAGAGTACAGCTAGCTAATGACGTGTGCAGCATGTTTTCTTGCTCGGTTGGTTGCGAAGAGGTCGTACCGAGACTCAGCCCCGAGTAAGCGCCACTAGCTTACGCCGCGTTTTAACTCGACGATTGTCCGTCTTGTCAATGAAGCAAAGTTCAAGGGATGTTGGATGTCGGCAACAATTTGCTTGTCGGAGTTCGGGGGTTCTTAAGATACACCGGCATCTGATTGGTTGACGGTACGATGGAAGTCCGACATGGTCGGAGCTTTTAAAGCACCTCTGTTTTGTACGGTGATTGAGGTGGAGCCTTTGCTTTCCTAGTCCTCCGAGCAATCCGAAAAGTACGGAGTACCAATGGACAAGGATAGAAAGATGCGGCCATCTTGTCCTTTTCTCGACAGAGCTAAATTTCGTCCAAGTTTGTTTTATCACCGCCTCAGCAGGTTTCAGTGGATACGTCTCTCTCCATGCACTGACTCTCTAATTATCTTAAGCTTATCGTGGATCCACACACGGATGCTAGAAGGTGAAGAGAATGTTGCTTATAACGTCATAACGCAGGCGATTGGTACTGCTGTCGGTACCGCAGATCCTCGTGCTCACTACGGGCTTCAGGTCTTTGGCCATGATCAAGGGACGGCTTGGGTCGAGAAAGTTGTCGTGCCCCTGTGGTGCCACTATCTCGGTGCGCAGACAAAACTTCAATACAGGACTATGAAGGTCTGAGGGGAGGCATCAGTCTTGTAGTCTTTACACTATTTTCTTGTTGAGTCTCCGGGGCGCGACGGTCAAGTTGCAGCAGCAGCATACAATCCTTTTTTTTCTCCCGGCCTATTTCTTTGAAGACCCCAGATCTATACTATAGGATTATGCCTCCAAGTTTAGAATCCGAGTACCGAATGCCGCTTATCATCCACAGCGCCGTCAAGAACGTGCAGGCGAGTATGGCTATTTCGAGCTAAAAGGTACACTTCCACGTCACAGTACCATGCCCTAGAATTATACCTGCTCGTACCCTTTGGTTGAAACCTGATCGATCCTCTTTGTAACCCTAATCATTTGCTTTGTACTTTCGTCATCCTTGGCGCTCTCACGGTCATCTCCGCCAACGGCGGTTGCCAAAAATTCAGCATCAGGGATTGGGTGGTGTCTACCCTTAACCTTCCCAATTGTCACCAGATTCAAATCCCCTGAGCCACCTTGATAGGAGCTCTCGTCCTTGGCGAACTTTCTGATGTACGATCGGAGCATTGGCATACAGCCCGCAATAATCCCTAGGTCGCATTCAACCACAGTCCACAGGATGATGTTTCCGATGTCGTCTGGAGGGGAGACAAAATGTTAGCTATAGTATGATAGTTCGAAGAGGGCCCGACACACGTAGCAGGTTGGTGGTGTTTGAATAGACGGAAGTGTACGGCATTCGGATGATGGTCGCAATCGAGGCCCTGAAATACTGGATTAGCGAGACACCACTGATATCATCGTTGTGACACGAGAAACTTACAGCACGCCAAGGCCTAGGACCAGGGCGACCATCTTCTTCAACGTTTTCCGCATCTGGAGATTCCAAAGGATGAACACCGGGATGATTGCGACGGACCAGTCCGTCACGATGTTAACTGCCGAGACCGCATACGTCAAGGCGATGATAATCGATTGATCGATACAAGTTCCCAGAGTAGGATTCCATGACGCTGCTACCGGTTTGCAGCGGATCAAGACCGCGGAAATGGCAACCGCCGTTGTTATGACCGACACAGCAACGAGCCCCCAGAGAGTGTATATATATCGCCGCTTCGTAGCAATTCGTGCCAATGTCGCGCAGATGCTAGCTTTGATGAATACTGATCCGCTGACATAAAATAGTTGCCAGAACACGATGGACTGGAGGAGAGGATCAGCTAAACAAGAATCACTAAACCTGTAGAATGCACAAACCTTGGCCCCTTCCATCATCGTAGCGGTATTCATCTTCGAGTCGTAGGTGCCAATACCTGTAAGGGTTCCCCAGATAACAACTCCATTATGGACCATGTTAAGTGTCTGCCTTAATCAGTCTTGCTTTTCGTATGTGTGCTGTTGGCGCTGATACTCACAAATCCAACGCACATGAGCCAGTCTTCAAGCCCAAGAACTCCTGATGATACCCTCGCACTGACACGGAGCCCGACAACAGCGATGCAGAGTACAGAGAAGATGACAGTTACGCTGAGAATTGCTGCTGCCAGACCGTCAGGCTTCACCATTTTCCATTCCGTAGAATCCGCCATGGTGAGCCAAGAAGTCGAGAACGGCGGGGAATTTGGGATATTCGAAGAAGTTTTTTCATTTGAGATCTAGCGCCACAGGAGGCATTGGGAATAACGGCGAGGAGCTGTGATTATCAAGTGTCGCTTATTGTTGGCAAACTCCTTGGCTCATAACTACAGGGGAAGATGCTACGAACAATGCAACGACAAGGAAAGAACCTCATGTCTAGTGTATTACCCATTCGGCGAAGATTATCGTGGGATCAAAACCATGTGATTTGGTGAGAAAAGAGGAATTTCGTTGTTGCTTCCAGCGCGGAAGGATCCCTACCCTTACCATGTTCGAAGGATGATCCCTAGACCTGTCGCTTTGGAGGATTCCATTGGCATGGACGCGAAACAAATGGAGACATAGCCTTGCGTACCATTACGCGGATTAAGAGGTACTTGATCAGAGGCCAGCAGTATTAGCAACCAACAAGTAACTGTCGTCAAGCCGGGAACCACCTGCCGCGCCAAGTCTTTGTAGGGGGACCCTGCTAGTGAACCGGGGAACAAGTCCGACTTTGCTATGGCCTGATTAAATCCTTGAAAATATACTTAGCAACCAACGCCACGTCGTGTAGTCGTATAAATCGTAGGGGAAATGGTTCGGCAGTGAAACAAGGATCGACACTCGAGTAGCATTCGGCTCTGGTAGTTCTCGCCAAGTCGCATTAGCGCTTAGTGTTGGTTATTGATATCTCCCAAAAAGGTACGCCGCATAGGTTTAATACCCATGCTGTCCTGAACGGTGTTCGGAGCATGGTCAAATTACGTGGGTAGTCGAGAAGAAAGAGTCAGTCTGTGGGGCTGTACCGCTGTTTGAGAGACTTATTAGAGTCATGATATCCGTCATTCAATCCCACCTCTATTCACAACCACCACACTTCTCTACACCCCGAAGTAGCACCTTGTACTCAACCTGACGCCATGTCCACTTACGATATCAAGGGCAAATATGCCATTGTCACTGGTGCTGGATCTGGTAAATTTTCCCTGTGGATAGATCATGCATAATCCCCGCATACGATACATATGCAAGGGGCCATGAACTGAGAGCTGACTGAGATCTAGGCATCTCCCTGGCATTTATGCAGCAGCTTCTTGACGGAGGCTGCTCAGTCATGATCGCAGATGTAAAGCTTCGACCTGAAGCCGAGGCACTCGTGGCCAAGTACGCCACTAACGACACCACCACCCCTTCGATCGATTTTCACAAAACGGATATGAGTGACTGGGGACAAATTGCTGCTCTGTGGAAGAAGACTCTCGAAACATTTGGCCGCATTGATATTGTGGTCAACGGTGCTGGTGTCTACGAGCCCCCCTCCAGCACGTTCTGGAACGCGCCTGGCATCTCTCCCCTAGCTGGGGACAAGGTAGACGCCTCACCGGGTGTTTATTACACATACGCAGTAAACACCATGGGGCCTATCCGACTCGCTCAGATTGCCATTGATTACTGGCTGCAAAACCGGGATGTTGAGGGCAACTTGCTCTGGATCGCCAGTCTTGGAGGCTATGTCCATTCCCTCCACACGCCCCTCTACTTTTCCAGCAAAGCGGCTATTGTGAGCTTTGTCCGATCTCTAGGCCAACTGCGAAAACGCCTGGGTATTAGGAATGCAGCTGTTTGCCCTGGCGCTGTTTATGTGCGTTTATCCTCCCTCGTTTCGTTTGTTCCCAGTCGCTTAGCGTCCAATCTCCTGCGTTGGATCACTTGCTAATCTGGTACGTCTTCTTGCTTCTAGACACCAATTTTTCACCCCGAATACTGCCGCGATAGAGTGCACCCCGATGACCTGACCCTAACACCTGAGCAATGCGCCTCGGTTATGATGCGTGTCCTAAGCGAGCCACAATATGGCGATGGCAATATTATTGAAACGCTACTGATTGGAACGAAGGATAACTCCTCTATCAATGTTCGTGAAGTGCCTTTAGAGGCATTGTATCCTACTGTAGGCCCAGTTGGGCAGGATAACCACTTACTTGAGGAGGAGGAGAAGTTGACCAAGCAACTCCAGGAGAAGGGAATGCGGCAATAATAAGTATACAGTTAGATTTCAGCTTGAAATGTCCTGAAGGTTAGGAGTTATTAACTTTTTTGCTCCATTTTGATATCTCCTGTTGTTGTTTTTTCGTGGAATAAATACGTCATGAAGAAGGTTGCGACGAAGCCTGATGAGCAACCGTGTCCTTCCCCCGATGAGCTTACATCCTCTGATCTGGTAATCTATCCATCTAGCTATTCGGAATAGAGTGCAAAATTTGTGTCGGTAGCCTTATCTAAAATTCTGAGTCCATCTCCGTGAACTGCGTCGACCAGACCTACAACACGAGATGGATAGCGGCAGTGACCACAGGGCCGCATTTGATCATTGCGTGATGTACTTCATCGGACGCGGCAGGAATAATATTTGAAAATATAGGAGCGTAAGTGGTGATATTCCCAGTACTAGCTACTCACGTCTGCCATGCACTCACTTACTGCCAGCCTTGTTGCTTCTTCAAATGACCGGGGTTCAAACTGAGATACTGGTTCTCAACATTGAAAGATTTGTGCGCCTTCAGCCTGTATCAAACATCAGCATGGAGAAGATATATGAAACTTGGAAGGGCAACAAACCTCTCGAACCAGAGAAGTAATCTCGCCACTTTGACCCCCTTCTCCCCATCGGCCGTCTCTGGTGCAAGGGGCCGGACCTCCAGGTTTTCTCTCTGGCTAGTGGTCGGATGTGCTTCGGAATCATCTTCAGTCTTCTTTTCCTCGCTCAAATCTCTCTCTGAGAGCTGGGGCCTCTGGAAGCGAGGAACTCGGCTGCATTGCTGGGGCCCACGTTGCGCACAAATTCGGACTCATTTTTGTTGGACAGCTCAAATAGCACAACCATAGAAATGCCGCGCACCTCGGCCGCCGCCGATGTGGTCGCAAGGTGGATGAGCTTGTGTGGTAGAGAGTCGCCCTGGCCAAGTGGCTTTGCCCAGTCTTGGTCAGATGGTAGAAGGCGTGCACGTAGCTGTGATTGAGCTGCCACTGATTCAGATTGCGCCAAGCGAAGTAGAGCAATGAACAGCGACATGAGCTCCCTCCCCCCCCCCGTACCATAAGCCAGAATGCCCGATTCTAGTATGTCTGCCAACTTGTCCACGGCCGACTCTGGAAATGATTGACTCGCCTGAATAGGGATAGAGGCAAGACAGGCGACTAGTGATGAAACAGGCGGCTGCAGGGGCGGCGAAAGCATGGGGGCGTTATTAAGGATTTCCAGGATTGGGGTTAGAGATTCAAGGAATCGATAGGCTTGTGACTCGTAATGTAGCGACAGGGTAGACAGCAGTGCGAGTGTCGCAGTACCGGATGCTGAAAGACCACTGGATGAAGGGGTTGTCGCTCTGACGTGACGTGATACGTTCTACAAAGTATCAGTGCGGGTACCCGAGACCGACAAACGCAAAGGAGAGACCCTACCGTATTGACAATGCCCGCGAGGTCATCTTGCTCAAAATTGGGACCAAGATCCAGACTAGTACCCGTTGAGCAGTGAAGCAAAATGCTGGTAGTGAGTAACTCATCGTCGGGGTCGCCATTCTACTCCTGATTAGCCACTACATCGACTCGGACAGCGCAACGCCGAGGTGACAGTACCTTCATCAGGCTAATTGTCTGTTTCACGTAGCCCTCGTCGACAAACACCTGCCTCGTTGGCGCCGACCGGAGAAACACATTGGTGAGGCATCTCAGGGCAGTACGCCACTCAATGGACGCGCCGTTCTCAAAGGCCCAGCGCCCGAGGGCACATACTCCGCGCTTAGTGAAAAGCGGGTGCAGGACATTGTCGGTGGCAGACTTCGTGCGGTAAACAAGCCGTTGAAGCAGCTCTTCGCGCTCTACCACAGCAAATATTAGTCCGTGTGTGAGGGGCAATTACCGGTGAATTGGTAACGGGTGGTTGGAAATGACCTACCTGCGCTTGTGCTCGCTTCCTTCCCAGCTTCGAGGACTTCGATTATCTCTTCGAGCTCGTTCCGTATTTCTACCCGGGCAAGATTAGTATCGGATCCAGGCGAACCCTGTGGTGCTTTTAGTTCGAGAGAGTTCCACTCACCCGCTTCGGTCTCTGCAGTTGCCATGATGAACGAGTAGGATGCCGGTTATTGGAGCCTAAGCAGAACTCAGGTTAATCGCTACAGACGTCACGCGGGGAAGCAATTGGCGCGTGCGGTTGTCACGTGATACTGCACTGAGCAAAAATCCAAGCCAGGTCAGCGCTCATTTTGTTTCCTGTCTGGACAAATGGTTTAATGTGATGCCTACCTGTATGTCTAAATTCCAATATTGCTAGCATTTCGTTTTGGCCTTTATATGGAGTATAAAATGTACCAGGGCTCTCACACCTTGCTATTATTTCAACAATATCGATATCGCTTTTCCCCAAGGTTGTACAACTCATGCCGGTGCCAGTCATATTCTACTTCGTATTCAGTCAGTCAAGATATTCTCTGAAGTGTTAAATGATGACAACTTACTTCCTCGGTCGAGATGCACATCTTCGATAGGCATGTGAATCCAGTAGCCTTCTCGAAGACTCTTCGTTGCAGACCCTCCTTCCTGGGCCTCATCAGAAGTGGTCGGCGTCGCTTCTGTTGCATCTCGATCCAAGCTTTTTCTGGGTATCTCCCTCCAACACCTCAATCCCTCGATATCTGCCCTCCCCGGTTTAGTTTTTTCTATCCCTTGCGTTTCAATGAGTTTGAGGTCAATCGCCTCATACCAGTCCCATTTAGAGCATGATATTGTGACTTCTGTGGTAGGTGGCACGATCCTGTCGAGAAGACGGTCGATAGTAGGGAGGAGGTGGTTATGTATTTTTTCCGCGAGGACAGTTTTTCTCTCATAAGGCCAGATGAGCCCAGTGGCCTCATCCATATCGCCATAGACCAGTCTCTTAAATGTGATGCGCAGGTAGACGAGTGCCGGAAAAACGGGTCCTGTCGAAGTAAGTTCAGATTGTGAACTGGGCTTGCGTTGGCTGGTGAAAGCCAGATTAAGCGGCAATTGCTTTGGCTTCCACACAAGTTCAAGGGATGTCATTTCTGAAACTCTCTGCTCGGGAATGACGTCCTGGAGACTGCGGAGGAGGGCAGGAGACGCGATGTGAATAGTGTTGGTGCTGTACAAAATATGCGTGCCCTCCACGTAACTGATGTTGAGTTCAATTAGTCTCCGGCCTTGTTGTATATTTATGAGATTCCCGTCACTTCTGTTTACGGTTGTGATAATGAGAAACCAGGTACTCACGCATTTCGACATGATAACAGCCACCCCATAATGCCGATCTGACACTTCATCGGCCACTCACCAGGCCATTCCTTGCACAGCCCAGAACCCAGAAGACAGTGATCGATGTCTGGCTCCCGAAAATGTCCCCAAGGATAGTTTCGTCTTCTCCCCAGTGGCAAATGCGTACCCTCGGGCGGGTACCGATGGCACACGCAGCTGAACCACCTCCATCTCATCTCCTTGGAAGTGTCTAGGTGAGAGTTGACGGAGAGAGTTTTGGAGTGTATTTTTGCATGGATTGCCCACGAATGATACGGCTTCTCGTCAACTAGATTCAAAGGCCGTTCAAAGCGCAAGTCCATATGAACTGTGCGCTCGCCGAAGGCCCACAGCTGAATGGAATGCCGGATCTCGGCGGGAAGACTAAAGAACAGATCTCGTTTATTTTCGTGTGGGTCGGAAACAGCGGTGCGCGAGGGCGGCCGCGTGAGAGGATGTCGCGAGAGTCGTTTGGCGGCGGGTTTGAGGAACATGGTTCGGAAGCCATCATCACGTCGTTTGCGCTCTCGGCGGGCTCGGTGATATGGGCCCCATGGGACAATGCGTAGCCAGACAAAACGGGCGATGCCATAGATTTTTACAAATACAAGGAAGAGAAACATGCCGGCAGTCGCAAAGGCAGCTAGCAGGAGATCCGGGGTGGCTCTGATGAAGCCTCGAGTTCTGGTACGGGCAATAACCTCGGGCCAGCCGTCCCAGAACTCGGCCATCTCATCGCGGATGGAGAGGGTTGGCCACTGGTATTCGCTGGCAATCATGGCGGAGGATTTGGGCGAGCACGCGGAATCCTCCGAAGCTCCGTCGTCGGATTCATGCTGAGGTGCTCCGGAAATGGGTGCATGAGGAGAAGGTGGAGTTATTGGTTCCGCTGTGTCCAGCGTTTCCGCGCCCCGGATCCAAATTGCCGCCGATCCGGAGCAGGGTTTCATTGGAGAACTTATTGGTCACAAATTTAAGACACGCCGATGGCCTCATTGCAAATGAAGAAGAAGAAAATATCTTCATTAACTGACTATTCTGCAGTTGTATCAATCATCTAGGATTTTATCTTCGTAACACTCTTTTCTGACTCCCTAGCCCCTCCCAGAAAGGCCTCATAAACACGTCAGCCTTGCGCATTTAAACGCATGAGCTGCTGCCACTGATGAACGTGCCATCCGAGTTCTCGCATCCGCAAACACCGTTGGTGGGATCCTTGATGCAAGTGGTACCGACACCGGAGGACTCGCCATTGTCGCTGCAAGTCGTCAGCTCTGTACTTGTACATTTTGACATCTTCGCCTTTGTCCGGTTCTCTCTCGCCATAGACTCAACAACGGGGTCGTCATTACTTACTTCCAGAAGAAAGTCCAGTAGTCATCATCAGACGTAAGCTCTTCGTCAGTAGGCGCAGTGCAAGTGTACGCAGAGCAGGTGCCATAGGGTGCGCCATTGTTGCTGTCGTACTGGTGGTCCGTCACAAAGACGGCGAAGGTCTGGGTGCCCGAGACGCGAGTGTTATACGCGCACTCGGCGGCCTGGATAGCATTGGAGACCTTGGTAGCTGTTTCAATGATGTGGCGGTCAGTCAAAATGCACTATATATGGTCATTAAATCGCAAAGGCGAAATTACGAACCATAGCAGTTCGGGCTGGCAGGGTATTTGCCCTTGGTGTTGCTGGTGGCCGGGTCAAGCGTCGCGCTGACAGAGGCAGCGGTGGCTAGAAGGGAAACGAAAGTGGAGAGGCGGAACATCTTCAAAAGCTTCACAAGAATAGCTTTTGGGGTTGAATGCTTGCTAAGAACGAACGTGGTGGCGAGTGCTGGCTTTAGACTAGTGAGGCTGATGAGAGAAGGCAAGGTCTACTATCCCAAACGAGCTTGTCCTTGACGTCTTTATATCTAGAATCTATGCTGCCGCTCACCCGGGAACGATGTTTTAGGTAGAGCGAGCAGTAGACATGAAACATTTTGGAGTGGATAATCCAGGGTACAGAATCGCGGTGTGGTGCTATTGTGGAGCCTCCGATGCTTCCCCATATTACGGAAAAATTTATGGGAGAATGAGAAGGGACCTCCTCGCAAGTTTCGACTGGAGAGGAATAGGCGAGTTTCAAAATAACTAAAGTGGACACCCGTGGGCGAGATAGATGAAAGCTAGGCGGCGCGTACCATTCAGAGCGGGTTTATTGTCGTACTATTTCTGCTCAATCGAAACAATGACTCGATAGAACAATACACTCGAGGCAAGCCCACCACAACATCCCTTCGAAATGTTACCATCGCTTTTTTCTTGTGGCAGTGAGATTCAACCAGGACCCCCAATAAGATCTCGGGCCGGCTAGAGGCTGTGCGAAACGATGAGGCGTTAAGCAACGCGTCAAATTGACATGTACGAAATTGCGCTAGTAGAAATGAATAGGGGAAGCGAGGCAGATGGACTGTAACAGCTTGTAACTTCACGATGAGCACCTTCTAAAGTCCTAAATATCTAGAAACGGGTCCACGAGCTGGCGTAGAGATCACCTTTGGGCACGCGCTCCGAGGTGACAAGGGTCGGTGACGTGGCTTGGATGAACAGCGGCTGAAGCGGCATCCACAAAAGGGGCGATCATCAGAGTGTCAGACAGATCTTGAGGTTCGCCATCGAAACTTGCATCGTATATGTTAGAATATGTCTCCTCGCGATGGTTAGTTCGATTCTAGCCGGCTAGCGGGTGGCGATTCGCTATCTGATTCTTTGGAGCTAGACAGTGTGGATTCAAGGTGTCCTTTGAAAGTTTCCTTGGCTCCCTTTTCTTTTTCGAGTCTATGAGAGCACTACCTTCGCTTCTACGAGAGTCTATTTTCGTTGTGGACGGAATACAGCAGAGTAAGACAATGTGCCCATGGCTAGCAACGTCAACATGACGGCGAGGAGTACGTAAACCCAAATATATCCCACACCAACACCAGCCTCCTTCAGGGTTCTGGTCCTAAAAAACAAAGGGTGAAGACTCCCATATCCCCAGTTAGCCTGGCATGTCCTCAAATGCTGGATTGCCATACCCATTGTGTCGCCACCGCCATTCTCTCAATTCACCTTATTTGGTATTCGCCACTGATTATTCGAAGGCGGCGATGGATCTTCTTTCCAACTATTCTTGTGCCTTGGTCCCAAAACTCTTTAAATTGGATGACGTCTATGTGGCCAATAACTAATGCATGAATATGTAGTAGTAGTCTGCGCAAAAATGCCAAAGTTCTCTCCTTTTCTCTTACCTTACACTTGCCACGACTTCCTGCTTCTCCTGTTCTTCCAGGGCGGTTAGTTTTCCCCATTGATATTCGTTTTTATCTCGATTATCATGACTCTTCAATTAGACGGCACCGAGATTCCCATACGATTGGGGTATAATAGGCATAACTCGGAGATGCCGTTGCGGGAAGGACATCATTAATTTCTATAGTATGTGTATCTTGGGGACTTTTAGCCCACTATTCTATCCGTCTAGTTATTATAACTGTTACTTCTCATCCTCTGCTGTTCTCCCAATGGCTCTTATCCTACCACCTCAGAGCCAAATGATCAAGACGATTGGAGCTCCAAGTGCAACGAATAAGAAAGCCAATAGACTGTTTCCCCAACCATAGCCAAGTTTTTTATACAGTTGTGGTGCAAAAATGGGAAAGATAAATCCGAGGATGTATGTCCAAAGCCGAGTCGCCGCACTGGCGCTAGCGGCTCGTGTACTGGTGAACTCGTCTACCAGATATGCCGTCATTCCTTGGGCGAACATAAACGCTCCACAAGTGAAGCAGAAGATGCCAACATCCACCACTGCCCAATGAGAGCCACTTTGCGCCGACCAAGCGTACCAAAACAATCCGGCAACCGCGGGGATGAAACCGGTCACGATGTATGGAATGCGATATTCTGGAGTTGGCTCTTGATCTGGCTGGGCCGCAGTCGTCCGGCGCCACATGAAATCCATTAGCCGCCCACCAACTTGGGCGCAAGCAAACGCACCAAGGGCTATGGCAATGTAGTGAAGACTGGATGCCGTTTCAGATTGGTCGTATCGCGTAATCCAAAGAGAAGCAAAGGTCGAGAGCACCAAGGTGTAGATGCCAAACTCGATGGCCATGGCCATGGCAATGAGCTGAATAATTGGGCGGTGTATAAAAAGATTGATAGGTCGAGAAATGGCGGGACGGAGCCGGACGAATACGTCGTTGAAGAAGGCTCTGGCCCTGATTCTGGTGGAAACTCCAGATGAATTTGGCGCAGCCGTAAGTTTCTTGGCTTTTCGTCGAAGGAGAACCGGGGCGTATGACTCGTGGATGACAAAAAAGCCTAACACAAGGCAAACGGCATTAAAGATGGAGAGGATCCAGAAGAGCCAAGGCCACCACAAATGCTGAGCAGCTAGACCACGACAATAGGGCCCAACGCTGGTCCTATATAGGGAAGCAATCCAGCAATAGCCAAAGACTTGGCCCTATCTTTAGCATGATACATGTCCGCCATTACCGGGCCAGTCAACTATGAGAGTCAGTCGAGTCGCAAAGACTTGGCACTTTGGGAACTTACTGTGACACCCACGCTTGCGCCAGATGCAGACATGGTCGTGACAAGCTGACTGGCAGAGCAGACAACCGCGACGGTGATTTTCCGATGGGATGGCCAATTGTAGGGATTTTCGGGATCATCGGGGCTATCCCATGTGACCTGATATAAGGGAGATGATTCATTAGTTCAATGTATTGGAGTTGAGCGATGTTATTGCGAAAGGCAGAAAATATGAGGTTTTAATCCTACCTCATGGTCGGCCAGCCGAGCGTTATCAGCCCCTTCAGATCCATGGGCATTTCCAGCCTCAACGTTGGCGGGCGACTTCTCTACGGTGGGCGTCATTTTCCAAGGGTGCCGATGCTAATGACGCAACCAAATAACAATGCCAAGTTGTTGAGAGGAGGAAGGTTTCATTTCTACGAGCTTCTGGGAACAATGTAGTATCCCGATACCGGAAATTCCGCCGTCAGCATGTCTTTTGCAGACTTGCCGAAGACTCGATCCGCTCGGGAAAGCCATAGCCAATCAACTCGCCAGTATCTAACAAGGGTATCAAGTCATCAGAGTCGGAGAATATCACAGCATAGAAATGTGTAGCTGCTGCAAACCGTTATTTGTAGGGAGCCTGAGAATTTGCTCTTGTCGGACTAAGCTAATATATACCCCAGGTGGTACTAGAGGTCTGTATTTACCTGGCATTGGCATTATCGCAGTGACAATAACAAGAGATAAGAGATAAGAGGCTATCGCGAGGTTAAATTCTGGATCGAAGTAGGTATCCGAGGGGCAACTGCTGATAGGCGAGGCAGCAATAGCGAGCTTTGTTGTCGTCGGGTTGCCGTGATTGACTATTTTGTCAGTTGATGGATACTCTGATTCTCTCCATTTAAAGATTCTCGCTACGAAATTGAAGAGCAGACAGAGTCGCACACCGCCATGGATTGAAGTGAAGGCTGAGGGTGTGCTTCGCATTAGGCTTAGTTGCTGGCCGATTAAAGCGACATTTCGTCATCCCTCCCGCACGATCACGCCGCCGAAGAGTTGCCATCAACCACACAGCCGACTTGACCGACGCAATATATATGTACAGGCCCTACGGAGTATATGAAATAGAGTCGTGGAAGGATCCTGGACTTTTTACACATACGACGTAGTAGGCCTCGAGAAAGCCTCGTACATGCGGGGTCTGTGTCGTGTCAAATGATACTGTTCAGGCTCGAAATCTGCCTCAGCTGATGACCAGGATGCCTCCGAGCAAGCCGACGGTGCGACACGCCATTGGCTACTACTCCGCGGTATTCATTCCGCGGTGGAGATACGGCCTGAATTGGGACTGGACGTTTCAGCGGCACAGCGCGTAACGATGGTACTTATCTGCTCCTTGGGCTGCCGCTCACCAGAAACTAGAAAGAGAGCCAAGAATGTGAAGAGAGAAATTGGCTAATAACTCGCCTGAGCAGCCACCTCAAGCCACCTTTTCCCTCTAGGACACTACGAGGATCGTGTCTAATTGAACCTCCGCTCGTCTACTCCGTACCTTGCGTTAGCTGAAGCCATGGCAAGCCCACTGCCGCCACCGCAGACGCAGACGCAGCCACCGCTGCAACAGCCTGCTTTCGCGACACGCACGCCGTCTGTACTGCGCAAAGCCGTGGGCGGCAAGGCTGTCGGCTATCCGCCTGGAACACAAACGCCTCGTTCTCGTCCTGTATCTGTGATGGGCTCGCCTCTGCCTCCGCTTCCGCCTCCGTCGTCGCAGCCTCAACCGCAGCAGCCGGGCTATCCTGTCCCAAACCCGCAACTTGTCCAGCATCAGCATATCCAGCAGAACCACCATGCCCAGCAACATGCCCAATACAATCAACAGCCTCAGGTTCAGCAGATACAGCAGGCCCAACATGGCCAGCAGCAACCCCCCACCCAGGCGCCAGGCGCGGCCCCAGTCTATGCCCAGCCTCACCCTCCAAATGCTCAGCAGCAGCCACAATACACTCAACAGCAGCAACATTTTCAGCAGCAGCAACAACATGAACTGCAACGGCAGCAACATTATCAACAACAACTGCAACATCAACAGCAACAGCAGCATCTACAGCAACAACATCAGCAGCAACAACACCCCCCCGCACTCATGAGAGCCTCAACCATGCCAATCCATCAGAAGCCCGTCCAACAGGGGATCCCGACCCATATCCAACAAGCCCCTTCACCCAGCCCTGCACCACATCCACAACAGGTAATGAGCTATGGTGGCAACCCTCAGGTGGCTGCATCGGCATCTAGTAGGCACGCAAGTATCAGTAGTAGTGTCGGCGTTCCAGCGTCTGGCACAATAACCACTCCACCTAACACGCTATCGAGTCCTATTTCGCAGCCTGGTGGCGATGTTAGACGGAGCAGCTTGGTGCTGGATAGCTCTAATTTGCAGGTTTGCAGTCAATGCAAAAAAGGTACAGTATCATCTACATATTGAGAGGAACACGATACTAACAGTTTATCAAACAGGCATACCAACCCACATGTCTATCTACACATGTCTTGTCTGCAGCACCGGCCACATCAAAACTGTTTTCTGTGCCAGGTGTATTACATCTGCCACAGGAGGCATATCTCACCCGCACGATAAGTCATATTACGTGACCGACTCTGATCGACGTGTGCACCCTCCTAACACATCCGTCCCGACACAACTGTGGACTATCCGTAAGAATGTCTCAGGGAGAACGTGGTATACACACAACGACACGGGGCTCAAAACACACATCAAACCGCGGCCATTGGCTATGCTGGCACAAGCTATGATGCCACCTGGTTGGGAAGAGCGCAAAACCCCAGATGGACGCACGTACTTCTTCAATACCAGGACGCGCACTAGTGCATGGACGAGGCCGGAATACCCCCTGCCGAGTGGATGGAAACAGCTGAAAACTCCGGATTTGGTGCCCTTCTACATTCAGGAGGCCTTGGGGTTATTATCGTGGGATCGGCCAGGGGATCAACCAAGTTCGATGAACACATTAGCGAACGCGGCAGATATGTCGGCGGCGGGAATTGTATCCGCGACAAAAGCTGCAGCTAGACTCACGGGCCAAGGAGTTAGACTAGCGAGCAAGAAGATGGGTAAATTAGGGAAGCCGCAGAATGCGGCGAAACCAAGTGCTGTGGCCACCCAAGCGGGTAAGTTGGCTGGCGGTGGTAGTGCGAATGTTGCTGCTGGTGATAATGGCGGTGGTGATGGCGTTGCAAATAATGGAGGTCAGGAGCTGGCAGGGTATCCAGTTGACGTACAGTCTGCATATGATCAACCGCAGCCTTTCCAGCAGCAGGCTTTCCAACAACCAGGTTACGAACTGCCTGTTTACGACCAGCAGTCTACACTCGAACAACAGCAGGCATTTGAACAGCAGCAAGCATACGCACAGCAGCAAGCATTTGAGCAGCAGCAGGCATTTGCACAACAGCAGGCTTTCGCGCAGCAGCAGGCTTTCGCACAGCAACAGGCCTTCGCACAACAACAGCAGCTTGGAGCTGATATGGTCCAGCAACAGCCCGTTTACGGCCAATCCGCATATGAACAGCAGCCAGTATTCCAGCGGCCATCTTTCGAGCAGCAGCCCGTAGAAACTGATGGGACCCAGCAACAACAGCCAATTCCGCAACCGCCAATTTACGAACCAACATCAAACCAACAACCCATTGCTTTCGACACCGTTTCACCAATGGAACAACAAGCCTATCCTGCACAAGCTGGGCAGCAAGAACCAAATACGATGCCACTGGCACAGGGTGGGCAAACTCCTGGGGCTTCACAAGTGCTGTCACCCACACTTCAACCAATCCAACAGCCTGAGATAGCAGAGGTCCCAGCAACGGAACAGAGAGTTACTGGGAACACCACTGCCCTCGAGAATAGTAGTAATGCTGGAGGCTATACGAATGTGTTGCCTGGGAGTGCTCAGAATAGCAACACAGCGCCATCAGCAGTACAGCCCATTTTGACAGAACAAGCCACGGTCAACCCCACTGTACAGCAGGCAAGTGTGACGACTACTTCGACCATCGGGTAGAGATGAAGATATTTGGGGACGTATCCAAAGAGTGGAATAATGTGACGATGAAACTATTTGATATGAATTCCAGCGATCAATACCTCTACTTATGGCTTGTAGTGCTTGAAACTCAATGGTGGGAAAAGAATAAGACGCGGATAGTGTTTGCCCTGGGGCCAGCCATCTCTGCCGGTGAATGCCGAGCCTTGAAAGTCTTAGCTCATGTCATTATGAAGTGATACCGTGAGGGTGTGCTAGTATGTCAGTGTGCATTTGGGTGTTGATACGTCAGCTCCGCCTTTGGTGAGCACAATATCACCTCTCAGAGGCTTTCAAAGCACTGATAGCACCACTGTCGTCAGAGACAGCCTCACTCTCAACCTCAAATACCACCTCAGCATGACACGTAATGATGGTGGTGAGGGGTTATATGTATCGTACCACTAAGAAACCGGTTAAGCTAGAGAGGCACGACCAACGTGACCAAGTTGCATGGCTGCATGTAAGACTAGGTAAACGTAGCCTGGTTGCCTTGAGGTCTGCCTAATTTGATTGTCAGCAGTGTTGCACTTTGGCTTGTGTCTCCCACCATACAATACACGTGAAAGCCCATGTTTCTGGTAGTCGCATTACACGGTAAAGTAGCTGCTAGATACGGTTGATACGTCTCAGCTGCCATCCCTTCTTCTGATTGGGAAGCTCTCTGGGCGAACTGCGCAATCTAATGCAGGCTCTGGATGCCCAAGGCGACTGGTGATTGCTGCCTACAGTACTACCTGAGCAAAGGACACTTGTACATAATTCCCACGTCGTCTAGTTTCCCTCATAAATAACAGTAGTAAACTCCCTCATCATCCATTCTTCCCTAAACGCTTCGCAACACAAACCGCCAACATGGCCGAAATCTACAGCCTTTCCAGCAACTGTTCCGAGTTTGAGGCGAGCGATGATGAACAAGCTTCGGATTGCATTCATTTGAACGCCAAGACACCTCGTTTGCTTTCCGAAATTTTGGAGGCCTTCAAATTAGAAGGCAGCTCTGGAACCGACTCAACTGCCATTAAGCAGCTTATGGAAGTGGTGGAGAGCGGGTCTGAATATAACGTGCAAACGTTGTATGAAGGACGCGCAAAGTGCCCGTGCTGCAAGAATTGGGTCGAGGAATATCCCGGTGATCTCAAGAGCTCGATTAAGCAAGCTAATGAGAACAAGAAAAAGGCACTCATCGTCCGGATGGCAAAGAATCATGGCGATGGAAACCCCTTGATGCTCCATTCAGTTGTTGTCCAGAACCAAGTCATCAAGGATTTGCTCGCCGAGGTTTTCCACGGCTACAATGGCATAACAACCGGCCTTAACAAACTGGTATTCCGGGCGCCATTCCGTCCCTTCTACTATCGATGGAAGCTATTCGCAGAGACCATTGATCGATACAAGAAGAAGGGCCATGATGCAGCTCCATTCGCCCAGCTTCTTTACAACATCATCGAATTGGAGTTGCGGGAAACGATGGACGAGATAGAGGACCTGAAGAACAACCTCGTCATTACCTACCAGCACCTGTGGGCCATATTCGAACCTGGAGTTCGCGTGTATTCTTCCTACGAAGGACACGACCGCTTCTTCCTTGTTGAGAGCTGCCAATACGTCGCGGAGCCGGTAGTTCCACATCTCGCCATCAACGTCAAGTTCATCGACTGGGATGGCTCCAGGTTTGGGTACGCTTCCACCACCCTACAGATCAACGCGTTTTCTGGAACCAAGGCAATTGCCGACTTGTCTACATACCCAGCCAAATTCCACCCTTACAAGGAAGAGGTCGAAAAAGCTGCCATGACCAGAGGCAAAAAGTTCTGCAGCCTTAGTGGCTTACACTACAAGGCGTACTCTGGCATGATCACATACCATGAAGGTCCGGACAAGATTGAACGCAATGTATGTTAGCCTACGGCCCTGCTATTCAAAACCTGCTGACTCGTTAAAAACACAGGTCGACGGTCGAATGATTGTCGATGCTTTCTCGTTCTCCTACATGAGGCCTCAAGAGCCTCTATATCTCGTTCCGCTTGATGCGTTCTCGTTGGAACTAAGAGTTGAGGACGACCTGCACTGTCTTGTCCCTCCGCCTCCGCCCCCTCCAGGATGCACCATCCCTATGGGCATCCACCCTCCAAACTTCCCCCCTCCGCCTCGTTTCTATCCTCCGCCTCCTTCCATCGCCCCGAGGAACGTGCTGTGTGTAAAATGCCAGAGCCAACCTGCCAGGATAGGGTTTCCTAGGAAGAATCTGGATGGATATAGCCTCGAGCCGAAGCAAGGTAAGAATCCATGTTACCTGATCACGAAGCAAGGCTTAATTCATATTCTCTAGAAAACTTGACCGATGAGCAGCTGCTATTGTGTAACTCACGTGTCCGAGGCTTCTCGCTAAAGGCCAAGGTCATGGCAACATTCGACGTCGATCCTATTAAAGAGATAGCGTGGAATGATTCGGCGTTCCCGAATCTGGTGCTACCAGCAGGCTACAGGGACCTTGTTCTTACATTTGTGGATCGCCAAACCACCAGCATCCGGAAATTCGATGACTTCATCGAAGGAAAAGGCCTGGGGCTGACGATGCTCTTGGTTGGAAACCCCGGCACTGGCAAGACACTCACTGCTGAAGCAATAGCTGACAAAGTCCGACGACCGTTGTATGTGCTAAGTGCTAGTGAACTGGGGAGTAAAGCATCCACCGTTGAGAACCGTCTCCAGTCGGCACTTGATTTCACTCGAAGATGGGAGGCCGTCTTGCTGCTGGACGAGTGTGACGTCTTTCTTGAAAAACGATCCACCAACAGCTTGACTCACAATGAAATTGTGTCTGTGTTTCTGCGGTAAGTTTTATTGAACGCAAACCAAAAACCGTCGCTAAATGAAAATAGGATGGTGGAATACTACCCTGGGATCCTCTTCTTGACGTCCAACCGTCCTGAGGCAATCGATCCGGCCTTCCAGAGCAGGGTTCACCTAACCCTCCACTATCCAGATCTCGACGCTGCGGCGAGGAAGCAAATTTGGAAGCAGTTTGTGAAATCTTCGGCCGTGGAAAGCTCTCTGACAGAAGACCAATTCACCGGGCTTTCTATGCTGCCCCTCAACGGTCGACAGATCAAGAACATTGTCAAGATCTCTCTGCTCTTAGTGGAAGGAGAGGGTACGAGGCTTACAACCGGGCACATCCAAACCGTTCTCCGAGCCACGAATGACATTGACTTCGGAAAATTTGAGGAAAAGGAACCAATCGAGAAGTCTTTTCTAGGTTGGAAGTAACATGTAGCTTGGGGACTGGAACTTTGCTTAAATGGTCACTATCTAACTACCATTGAGACGAGTTCAAGGAAGCAGGGACAGAAAATCCAGATTGGATATGCTACAGGGCAAATTTCTTTATATGGATGAATAGGCGAGGGCTCTTGTGGTGACGGGCTTTGCAAACTGTAGTGTGCGATTTATCTTGGAAATTAGGGTGCGATCTTTCTTTTAGTAAAATGGACGAGTGCTTTACTTCTTCGCGAGTGCAACTTCAATCAGTGATCGCCTCACATTACCGTACATGGTTGGTCTCTACTTGATATAAAGGCAGCTGTCGGGTGTGTCCGGTTCGTGCAGAGGGGCCGACTTTCACCAAGGTCCGCAGACTCAGACCGAGAGTGCAGACTCCAATGTTTCAAAATAGAACTTAACGTGATCATTGCACCTCCTCGACGAGGATTTTACTTTCCTATCTAGCTAGATGATGCCGAATATAAACGATAACTTTTTCGGTTCACTTGCAGTCTCGGCGAAGCAATTGATCCAACACTCACCAATCATCATGCACTCCATATATCTCTCGGTGCAATCGATGAGAGGCAACCCGCCGCTAGTCAGCTCACTCTCGACCTGACTCTCCATGATTCCACACGTCTTGATCGGGCGGACTAGGAAGGGAAGCTTGGAGCCGGGGAAATACACGACCAAGTCACCGAACTGGGCTGTGGGAGGCAGTAGCACGAGTTGGGAACAAGCCTTCTCTGGTTGCGGCCTGTCGACACCATCGTAAGGTGCTAAATCCTCAGGTAAGGTGTTGTAGACACCAAGCAGTCGTTGGTCAATGATGGAACTCCGATCTTTCATGATTCCTGAAGGAGGCTCATGTTCATCGTACCACGCCGCCGACTTGCGCGCCCTAGCAACGAGGTGGGACTCGATAGAACCCTTCTTAGGGGGGCACGTTTTCGTATCGATGTAATCCAAAAACGAAATGGGTGCATGCATGCCAGGGTATTGAGTTCCAGGTGGCTTGGCGAGCACCCGCGTGATATTGTAGGCGCGTTTGTGAAGATCAAATCTGGATGCTATTGTGCGGCTCCCAACCGTGTTCAGGCAATTGTCAGCCTCCTTATGGGCGGTGGCATCAAGGAAGTGTGCCCATAGTGTTAGAATCTGGGCTTCGAGCGGTTCTTTCTGGTAGGTCTCGTTCTCCTCCCAGTCATTTCTGAGATTGTCGAAATCTGCTTCGTTCTCACCTAGGAGCGAGGTGGGCGACATAATATTGCTTACTTTTCCAATCACTCGACCGTGAACCGCAAGCTGTCCATTTGGCAGCCATGTACGGAAACTCTCAATCTCATCAAGTAAGTGTCTACTGTTTGCCGTGGCGGACACTGGGTCGGAATCGGGTGGTAGAACAGTCTCGATGATAGCCCGGGGCTCAGATGCTTCCAAAGGAATGCACTGCCAGTCAGGCACCCACGACGGTAATGTCATACGCTCAATTCCAGCGTATTTCGCCCGCTGAGAGGACAATCGATCCACTTGAGAGGAGCACTCGTGAAATGCAACAGTTGCAAAGGACTCCTGATGAAGCGCTTGACACAGCCGCGCCTCAAGCACCGCGCTTCTTGTGTTATGGATTTGATTGAATTCCTGGTTTTTGATCGATTCCAACTTTTCCAAGATCAACCGGTACCTCTCTGCCTCCATTTTCCAATCCTCTATACTTCGATCCAACCACTGGATCGTCGATCCCTTGCTCAAGTAACTGAGAAGGGTGTAATCTTCGCCTGCGGTCATGAATTGTCTCGCAAAGGTAGAGTAAACTTGGGATGTGGACATGCTGTAGTCGATTGTGCTGCTCGCCTCCCAGTCAAAGCCAGTACTGATACCCAAGAGAGCGAAAATCTTGTCACGAGGATCCGAAGCTCGCAGATTCCTTGCGCGTACGAGCATATCCAAGATGTTGGTCTTAGTTTCTTTTGGGTTCGAAGCGTCCGTGTACCAGGCTGGGAGACATTGTTCCTGGCCCTTGGCTAGATGGAAGGCTATGCGAGCCTGCCAGATTTGGCGCACCATCTCGAAATTGTCCTGCTGTCGGAGGCTCTCGCGGTAGGGATCGTGTGCGTCCGATTGCAGGATCACAGTCTTGATAAAGTCATCCCAAGAGATTCGACGGTGGCCACACTGAATAGAGATATCCTTGGATACGACAGCTTCCTGAAAGACCCAGACTCGAGTAAACCACAGGCGAGAGAGGACATCATGGTAGACATCGTGGAGGTCGCCACGAGAACTAATCTCGCCATTCCTTATTGCGGGCAAGCCATAGTCCTTATCCTTGTTTTCATTAAGCGCCCATGAGCTATTTCGCTCCAGATAGTTCCAGGCCGAAACACCAATGCTTTCCCCAGTCTGGTCCCCTAGGTAGATGATGGTGTCCTGTGCGCACTCGTAGATTTGGCGCATCTGGTGGACTTGGGAACTTCGTTCTTGGACATCGGACTGATTAATGCATATGGCATCGATCCACATGAGCAACGGTCGGTCGCGTCTCCGCAAATGGCGTAGGGCCGAGTCAAGATTTGCACCAATATACAGAGTCTCGTTGCCAATAGAAATAGTGTGGGTATTTCGTTCGGTGCCCCAAACATATGATAAGGCCGTATATGCCAAATCATCGTGTAGGTTCTCCGAGAGCTGCACGTCTAACAGAGCGCCCTGGAGGCCATCATGAAAGAACTCAGCTTCAAGAAGAAAAAGAACTCTTGTTGACCCCTCTCCAACTGGTGTGTATTGGTAGTGGGCCTCGCGCAGATAGTATGGTAACGGCTTGTGAGGCTTTTCCGATCCCGTTGATAAGGACCCGAAATCTTCTTGGAGTTCAGGAATGCCCTCAAAATGCAGTATAATGCGGCTTTCGCTAGGCGAAGACATGATGTTTCTCGGGCGGAGAGGTGAGGAAGAAGTGGATTTTACCTCAACGCTGACGCTGACTTCAAGGGTGGCTGGGGGCACGTGGAGCCTCAGAAATGGGCCGATGGTAGGCTGCGGATTTACGAAAACTAGCGTGATTTTAACAAGGACTATCTGCTATCTTAGGAGTTGCGAGAGACTGTCCAGCAGTAATTGATATGCTCAGCCTAGTTAATCCAGCCACAGCTTTTCGAAATGCATATGTTCCCAAGAATCTCAGTTTTGGAAAGCCGGCATGCCACTGCTAAAAGAATCGTGTCATTGTAAGATGCCGAATGCGTAGGTTTAGGACAGATATCATATTTACTTGGTAAGTAAGTCTATACTTAGATCAAACTAATAAATCTCTTCATTGCAGTTTATGCATCAGTTACAAATCGAACGAAGGAAATTTTGGCCATCATCATGGCACCAATTCAGGCCTTCAATGCCCCACCGGCGCCACGTATGATCCAGCGCCTGGTTCAGAAGCTCCCCCCTCGAATTGTCAATCCTGACTGTATCAGAATCCTACAAAACCTTCGTTCCTCATATGGCATGAGTAAATACGATTCTTAGACTACTGAGCAGGGGACAAATTTAGTGTGGCTGCCAGCCAAATATTAAACATACCGCTCAGCAATCTCGTAAAGCTGTAGTGCATCATGTCGGGATTTGTAGGTATAAAAGAATCTTGAGACTACATGGAATCCCATTACTTGTGCCTTATACATGATCCTCCACGGTCAGTGTTCCAGTTTTGGTGACCATAAACTCCTCAATAGCGACATCTTTGCCGCTCTCTTTACCACATCCACTTTCCTTAATACCTCCAAACGGAGCCTCAGCTGATGAATTATTGCCTGTGTTCTTGGTGGAGAGTTAGCATGAAATTTGAATATTGAATACGCATTATGCAACTTACCAGTCCAATCATGCCAGCCTCTAGCTTCTCAAATAGCCTCCACAAGCGGTCTACATTCTTCGTAAACGCATAACTTGTCAGTCCCATAGCTGTGTTGTTGGCTCTCTCAACTACTTCATCTTCCGTGTCAAAGACCGATACGCCCAAAACAGGCGCGAAGATTTCTTCTTGGGACATGAGCATGTCGTCGGAAACGTTCGAGAGAATAGTTGGAGCCATGAAATATCCCGCAGCCCCACCTCCAGCATCGGAGGATGTGTGTAGCCTTTGGCCTGTTCCAAGAACAATCTTTGCGCCTTTGGAAAGTGCATCGCCAACAAGCTCTTCTGCTTTGTCCAGCCCTCGGGGCGTTGTGACAGGACCCAGGGTAGTTCCCTCTTCCATACCATGGCCAACCTTTAGGGCAGAAGTTTTCGTCACCAGGTCCGCGATGAATTTGTCGTACACCCCACGTTGGACATACAGCCTGTTCGATGAAACACAAGCTTGGCCAGCGTGTCTCCATTTGAGGTTCATGAGCTGTCCCATAGCCTGGTCGAGATTGGCATCGTCGAATACAATAAAGGGGCAATTTCCACCTAGTTCTAGGGTAGCCTTCTTCAGGTTCCTTGCACACAGCCCTGTGATGAGCTTTCCCACACGAGTGCTTCCCGTAAAGGTCACCTTCTTGACTAGGGGGTGTACACATAAAGCCTCTGCCACTGACGGCGTGTTCTCGAGACTTGTAGTCAGGATATTGAGGGCACCGGGGGGAAACCCAGCACGTATAGCCAGACAAGCAAGTGACAAGGTAGAGACGGGAGTTTCTGGAGATGGCTTTACAACCATGGTGCAACCAGCAGCCAGGGCCGCGCTGGCTTTTCTCAACACGAGGGCGATTGGGAAGTTCCAAGGGACCAGAGCAGCAACGACGCCAATGGGCTGCTTGATGGTGAAGGATCGCCGGCCAGGCGTGGCAGACGTGATGGTTGTGCCCTGGACTCTCTCAGCCTCCCCGACAAACCACCACGTGAAGGTTGTGGCATAGTCGATTTCTCCGTATGCTTCGACCAGAGGCTTGCCGGTCTCAAAAACGAGAACCTTGGCGAGATCATCTCGGTTCTCGACGATCAGCTGGTGCCACTTCAGAAGGCACTGGGCACGTTGTCTCGGAGTCCATTTGGAATATTCCTTGAAGGCTTCGTGGCAGGATTGCACGGCGGCGTCGACGTCGGCATCACTGCTGTCGGGACAAGAGGCCCATACTCTGGCTGAGCCTGGGTCGACAACGTCAAACCGCTTGCCCGACTTGGCGAGGACGGATTTGCCGTGCACCTGGCAGTCGAACTGGGCGAGGCTCTTGTCGGCCAAGCTGAATGGGAGCGTTCCGGTGTGGCTGGCTGACATGGTGTAGTAGTGGCTGCTTAAGCTGGCTTAACGGCAGGGAATCGGCCTCGTGGACACAGCTTACGAGCTGTATTAATTGGTCTTTCCGCACGACGAAGCGATGGAGAGGCCCGTCACAAACGACGCTAGCCTTGATCATTTAATCCCGAGAAGTGGTGAGATGATTCCGCCCTCGCCGTGCCACAGCCGGAGGTGGAGATGCCCTCTCGGAGCTCAAGCTGCGGGGATCCAGTGGCACGCATCAGGTGGCACGCTCCGGAGCTATCGCTGACTCGTGAGGCCTTGGGCAAATTAGCTTGTATCACCCTGTCCAGTCGAACCTCAGCTATGCTCAAAGCGTCTTCGAGGTTGGCCAAGGGCGCGGGGCCCCGTGGGGAACGGTATGATTGTGGCTGGTATAGATTTTGCTAGTCTTGACGACGTGGTTTTATTTACCATGCCAGTCGGCCATCACCGCTGACCTCTTCTCGTCAATCTATGCGTTAATCTATGCGTCAACTGCTTAACACGTCAGGTTTCAACATGTCACCAAAACCAAAGATTCAAGGCCGTCGCGCCCGGACAACTCCATACAACAGGCTCGTCACCGTCGCGGTTGCTTTTGGTTCCTTTGTATGCCATCCCCTTCTAGTATGTGATAACAGGGCTCTATCTAACATGGCTTTCACCTCAGACATATGGATATTGCTCTGCCATCATCGGCAGTACCATTGGTCAGCCCGGATGGTACGCCTTCTTCAACCTTCCTCAACAGGGTGAGGAGGGCTATGGCAACATCACCGCCCAAGCCATTGCTACGGCAAATGGTCTGTACAGCTCTGGAGGAGCCGTGGGAAGTCTCTTCGTCATGTGGGCAGCCACTGCTCTAGGCCGAAAGATGTCCATCCAGATCGGTGCGGCTTGCGCAATTCTCGGCGGCGCACTTCAAGGTGGCGCTGCAAACCTCGCGTAAGTCTTCTCACATCAGTACTTTGTGACCCTGCTAACGAGCAGGTAGCATGTTTCAAGTCGGGAGAGTCATTTCAGGAGTTGGTATCGGAATTCTCGTCACAGCATGTCCCATGTATCTCTCAGAGCTGGCGCCTCCCAACAAACGAGGCTGGCTGGTTGGCCACCACGCAATATTCCTCGTCTTTGGATACATGCTCTCTGGATGGCTTGGGTTCGCTTGCTACTTTGCCACTGACAAGAATCCCTCCTTCGCCTGGCGTTTTCCGCTCTGCGTACAGTGCCTGTCACCGCTTGTACTCCTCATCACAAGTATCTGGATCCCGCGATCTCCCCGTTGGCTCCTGCAGCAAGGCCAAGTCGAACAAGCGTGGAAAGTCATTCAAGCCCTTCGAAGGTCACCCGAAGACCCCGATGATCTGGTCGCCAAGGAAGAACTTTACCAGGTCAAGATGCAGATTGCTCTAGACACTGAAAAACTCAAGGCCATTGGCTGTACGCCATGGTCGGCGGTGTTGAAGAAGAAGAGTTACCGAAAGAGGATGATTATTGGATTCCTCACCCAGTGGGGTGCTGAGTTTGCTGGGCCACTCGTCATTGTAAGTCAAGTCAAATTACTTAACGTTGGGAAAATACTAATTGCTCAACTCAGAACAACTACTCCGTCCTCCTTTACACCAACCTTGGCCAGACGGGCTCCATGCCTCTGCTCCTCTCTGCTCTGTGGTTGACCACTGCTGGCGTCATCTACAACCCTCTCGGCGCTTGGCTCCATGACAAGATCAACTCGCGACGATGGATGTTTATGGTCGGACTCTTCGGCTGCCTCGTCACAACATCTGGACTAGTTGGGTGTATTGCACAATATGGCGGCACGACTAATCGAGCCGGCAACGCAGCGGGAGTGTTCTTCGTCTTCCTATATCTTGCATTCCAAGGGTAAGTTGAATATGCCTTGCAACGTATTCAGCACCAAACACTAACGAATATCAGTACACTCTGCGACACGACCATGTATCTCTACGTGTCCGAGATCTTCCCCACAGAAATTAGACCCATCGGCATGGGGTTCTCCATGTTCGGCCAGTTTGCCTCGACCATCATCCTCCTCCAAACCGCGCCAATCGGCATGGAGCAAGTCGGCTGGAAGTACTACCTGGTCATCATCGTGTGGTGCATCTTCTTCATTCCGATCGTCTACTTTTTCTTCCCCGAAACTGCGCAGCTGTCGCTTGAAGAGATTTCTGCTCAGTTTGGCGACGATGTTGCGGTTCATGTCAACGACGTGACGGACGCGCAGCGCAAGGAGCTCGACGATTTCTTGAAGAATCAAGATGTCTCCATGATTGCCAAGGATGACCGGCCCTTTTTGGAGACAGTGGAGGACAAATTGTCCACAGATAAGAGCTGATGGCAATAGCTGGATAGAACACACTGAACTACAATGGGCGTCGCTGTCTACTTAAATTTCTTCAGTTTTCAGCAATAGTTAGAGCGTATGATCTACCTCCTACGCCATCTCTATAATCCAAATTCTCTGGACCTTAGTGTTCCAATCTTAGTATCTCGTAACCATTGCAACTCGGACTCTTGTACCGACTAAACTCATCAACAACACGTTCTAAGCACCTGTCTTGACGGTTCGGAACGCACCACTAGAGGAAAACTCACACGCATTCTGTGCCTTACACACTCCATGATCTCGCTTAGGTCATTTGACAGTTCCACATTCCCGGTTCCGTCCATTGTCGAGTGACCGGGCTGAAGCAATGGCGGATGGCACCCTCCGTGTGGGGAATATCCTCGCCAAGATTCCCCCGCTCGTAAAGCTCTTTCGGAGGGTCTTATCTTAGTCGATTTCTTCGTTGTGCGGAGTAGCTTGGATTACTTTGGGGGCATTCGTCAAAAGCGGTACTTTCACCTCTGCTCCTCTCCCCTCGCCCATCGCCCGTCCCTTCTCAGAAACAGTCACTCGCAGTGAAGTTATTCGACCACCACATTTATTCTTGATCGAAGATGGGATCTATTCCAGCAATACCGGTCGATCCAATGCCGGAATCAATTCACAGTATCAAATTCGACAGCCTTCCGGACAAACACCGAGTATGGCATGCCAAACCAGGATCAAAGGAAGAGGGCCTCGGAAAGCTCGTGCTTCTCACTCCAGAGGTCGTTGCCAAAGCTGCGGCATCATGCATCAGAACCGGCCAACGCGTTTCCCTTAATTGGGACCTCACGAAACTCGACATTGCCAACTTCAACCGTGCCCCGACGCAACACCACATCACATCTCTCCTTGGAGGCGCCGGCTTTGACGACGTGTACATTTTCAATCCACAGCAGTCATCTCAATGGGACGGACTCCGTCACTTCTCTGCGCCATTTCCCACGCCCGAAAACCCTTCCCAAAGGTTATTTTATGGCGGAACAACGGCGATGGAAATATCAGACCGGTCTAATAATCGGATCGGTATTCAACATTGGGCCAAGGAAGGCATCTGTGGACGCGGTGTGTTGTTGGATTATGTGGCATATGCCCAGAGAAACTCCATCGACTACAGCGCCTTGTCAGATCATGCTGTTCCACTCCGCGTCTTGAAACAGATTGCGCAGGAGCAAGGCGTCCACTTCCAGCGAGGAGACATACTCTTCATCCGAATTGGCTTGACCAAGGAGTGGGACAATCAGATGGGCCCTGCTGATAAACTTGCATACGCGCAGAGTTCAAATCCCCAGCACGCCGGCGTCGAGGGAACAGAAGAAATGCTCAGGTGGATCTGGGATGAAGGGTTCGCCGCAGTAGCTGGCGATGCTGTGTCATTCGAGGTTTACCCTCCTCAGAAGTCATACCAGGGAGCTGACGGAAGCGAGGTACAGGGCTTGTTCATGCACGAGTATCTTATTGCTGGGTGGGGTCTTCCAATCGGCGAGTTGTTTGACCTCGAGGAGTTGAGTCGCAAATGCCAAGAGTTGGGCAGATGGGAGTTCTTCGTGTCCAGCTCTCCTCTCAATATGCCAGGAGGTGTTAGCAGTCCACCGAACTGTCTGGCAATCTTCTGAGTGTTTAGTGGAAGGCACGGTGTTTCGGGATATCGGCATATTGTACCATGAATTGTACTCACTCAGTTTTAATTTTCAAGAGTAATTAATCTCCGTTGTTCTCAAAGCATTGCAGAATCTTGGCAAACTTCTCGGCAAGCCCCCAAGATCTCAACCGCTGGAGCATGACCTGGGCGTCCTGAATGATCACTTTCGTCGACCCCTGGGCGAGTATGTCCTCGGCGGAGCCAATCCTAGCTGGTCCTCCGGTTTGAATCCAGTCCTCGATGGCTCGCTTTTGGTCTGCATGGTGATTTGGGAGATCTAATCGAACTTGAGCCCCTCGACCAGGTTGTTGTGGGCGTGGGTAGTATTGAGCAAACGCAATGATAAAAATGTAACTCATGAACAGACGCATGATCTCACATGGTGCTGACACCAAATATTCGTTTGCCACGGCTACAATCTGGCCAGCGTGCCATGCGAGCGTGCGGGCTCTTCGAGGATCGTTTCCGAGCGCTGAAATGAGACGGCGGCGTGCCAGATCCACACCATTGTCTTGAGTGGAGCCTCGTGATGCGACGCTTCGCACGATGTAGAGAATCATGTCCATTATATCATCTGCCGTGTACAAATGGGAGTAGTGACAGAGTAGACTCGAGATGCTGAATTCGGTTAGTAGCTGGTATCCATAGGATTCATTGAACCTACTTGTAGCTCACGAGGTCCCCAGTCGAGGTGGGGTGATTCATGGTCTCGAGCAGGCAGTCTAAAGCGTGCAGAAGTGACGCCTTTGACTGCTTTTGGCCTGTTGACAGAGAGGAAAGGCCAAAATATTCGGTGGTTGAAACAAGTTCCAGCTGCTTTAAATCCCAAAGAAGGCGCCCAATGACTTGGCTGCACAATCGCTTCGCCCACGCAGAAAGATGCCCAGGAATAGGCGTTCCAGCTATGGCTGCACCTATCACACCCGATACCGATGCTCCAAGTGCATTTGATGGCATTCTGGACTTGAGAGCAACCCAGGCAGCTGCTGAAGGGGCTTCCCATAGTGAGTCCATGCACGGTAGTTTCGATGGCAGCTCGCTAAGATCGACAGCACCTCGACGACTGGTGAGGGTGCATAGGCTGCAGTCATACTCGAAAGATGCCCATGCAATGCGAATTTCCTTTTCTCGAGCTGCCCAGGTGACCCACTCTGCGTCTAAGTTGATCCCATGTGAGGTCATAGAGTTGTTCATGTCTCCCTCTTCCTGCACGCTTGGACGGGACTTCAATAGTCCAAGTCCTCGTAAGCTTCCAATCAATACGCCACGGGTTCTATCGGCATTTTGGTACAACTGGCGGTTTCCAGACCCGAGGGAGTAGATTTGATGAAGACATAGAGACGCCAGGTATGAGATATCGGAATAATTTGCGCTGTCGGACACGCCCTGTCAACATGTTAGCGCTTGGGAGAGTTGCGCATCAGGAACACAACGCACCAGCCAAGTAATGATCGGAGCGCAAAAGTCGCTGATGGAGGCCGAGAGCTCAGCAGAATTGGGCTCGCTTGACAGGACGGCTCCAATACAGGCCATGGGAGCTAGGAGCATAGTTGGACAATTTCCCATACTCCATGTTGGAGTATGAAATATTGGTTGGATCATTTGAAAGGCTGAGAAATAGACGTCAAGAAGTCGCTTAAGCAAGTCAATTCCCAATGCCATATTAGGTTCGGTCACATCTTCAGGCTTAGGCAGCTTTTGCTCGGATAGGATCTGAACGAGACCTTCCAGCGCCGCCGTCTTAGTCCCCGAGCTCGACCGCAAGGAGTTTTGTAGCACCTCACGTAATGGAGGTAGGGGACACCTGGCTGAGGCGGTTTCTTGTCCTTGCTCGAATGGCCAGGGAAGGACAGGCGATTTCGCTTGAACTGTTGGGATGGCGTGAATGGAGACACTGGGCAGTGATCCAGGCAAGATCGATGTGGATGCAGGGATGGCAACATCGCCGACAACACAGTTAATAGCAAGCTCGACGTCGGGTGCGTCAAAGTCTAGCCAGTCAAACCCACTACACCTGAAGTCAAACTGAACACTAGTGTTCATCGACGGGCCAAACATGGCGGTTTCCCCAGCAAGAGCTGGCCCTCCAGAAAAGACCGGGCTAAATTGATCGGCATTAAGAAGAAGAGGATCCAAGGGTTGGCTGAGGCTGGAAAATGTTTCGGGCGATGCCGTGGCGAAATCGGACTGGTCGTTTTGCCTGGACCCTGAATCACTAGTAGACTGCATCGGGGTGGACGCGTCGTAACTCTGGTCAAGGAGCTGGGATGCAGCACCAAAGGCCTGGTCGGTCGGCGGGTATGAGCAGGGCTCGGTGGCAGCCGCTACAGCGCAGGAGCGGCACGGAAGAGCGCGATCGCACTTGAGCTTCCTGCGCACGCATCGATAGCAGGACTTCTGCTGGGAGCTGTTGGAGGGGAGGTCGACATCGTGGGCGGCGCGCAGATGCCGGAGGAGCACGTCTTTCCTGGAAAAGGTCTGGTCGCAGTAGATGCACGGGATTGTGTTGCGTCGAGACGGAGGGAGATGGGTCAGGCGATGGCGATTGAGGTGACTGGGACGAGAAAAGGTTCGATCGCATTGGTTGCATGACAGAGCCGTGCGGGTGGGATGCTGGATGTCTTGTCAGTCTTCTCTTCAATGGACTGCCACGGCTGAGTTTCGCTGCGTACCGCGTCAGGATTGTGAGGCGGGCTTAACATTCTGCGCTGGGGATGGATCCAGTCGTGTGCGGTTGTGATTGCTCAAATTGGCTGTGTCTTGGCCGCGAGGGACTGGGAAGAGATGCGAATGGAGTCGTGAGGAGGTTCTTGAAGGATGATGGATGGCAATTTTGGCTCCTAAATCGGCCTCGGATGGGGAATGTCCAGGCCGAGCAGCCCAGAGGAAGTGCGGGGGCTCAAACACGGGGTGCATTAGCGCTATTGCTCGATGGTCACAGGTGTCACTGCTGTCACTGGTGGGCGCACCCAGGCGCAAACCTGCATTCAAGATTGAATCCACGAGTCGTGGCGAAAGAAAGCAGAATTAATAATCTGAATAATTGTAATGTGGATGTATCAGAGCTTCTTTTAGATGCCACCATTTTGGTTCTGCTGCACGCGTTGAAAAGTCATCAATCCTGTGTCCTGTTCTTACACGCATCGCCCGCCATCAACCTCAATGTTGGTCCCTGTGATAAAAGCTGCCTCGTCACTTGCGAGATAGCAGCAGGTATTCGCAACATCTGCCGGCGTGGACGGTCGCCCAAGAGGGACCGTAGCTACAAACGCCTCACGATTCTCAGGCGTGTCGGCTTTGCCCAAGAACAAGTGCGTCCTAACACCACCATGTTAGCTAACGAGTCATGACCGACCAAGGAGGACTGTCGCAGGAGATACTCACATGCCAGTGCTCCCAACGACGGGGGAGACTGCGTTGAATCGAATCTGTTTTGGTCCATACTCGACAGCCAGAGTCTTTGTCGCATTGACCACGGCGGCCTTGGATGCGTTGTACCAAGTCAGTCTTGGCCGCGGTCGAATCGCCGCGGTCGATGCCACCTGAATGAAGGATCCGGGACGGTCCTCCTTGAGGAAATATGGCAAGAGAACCGCCGTCGACATGAAGATGGACTTGACATTAACGTTCATGACTAGGTCGAACTCGCTCTCCGTCACATCCTCGGTCGGCTTGTTGGCGTATGTCGCGCCGGCATTGTTGACCACAATGTCCAGCTGTCCGAACAAACGAAGGGCCTCGCTCAGGAGGTCTTCCCAGTCTGCCTTCTTGGTGACATCGCCTCTCTTGAAGTTGCAACCAAGCTCTTGCGCAGCTGCCTGACCGGCATCTTCCGAGAGGTCTGCAATGAGGACCTTGCAGCCCTCCTTGACGAATTTGATGGCGATGCCTTTGCCAAATCCTGAGGCGGCGCCGGTGATAATGGCCACCTTACCGTCGAGACGTCCTGAAGCCATGGCGTTGATTTGTAAAGATGAGACGATGGCGGAATCGACTGGGTGAACTCAGAGTGTAGTAATTAAACGATGATACTCTATTCACACCATCAATTTGCTCAATGTGACATCTGTATTTCACTCCCAGAGTCCCTAGCTCTTCATGCTGGACTAGGAGCGCCATTGCGGGGCAATTTCCACGGTCATCCCGTCCGGCGGCACAAGTGGCACGCTCCGGCGGGGAAGCGGGAAACATGAAATGGACACTCCATTGCGGGAAGCCATCACACACAGCTGACTGTATGGAGCTGACCGTATGGACAAGGGTCATCGTGGGGAGTCCGATGGCGGCGTACCTGGCGCCCTCCGATCGGCAACAATCTCAATTGGAGCCGGCCGTCATAACCCTCGAAGCTATCTAGAGCTCTCCAAGGCATACCGGTTCAGCTGCTTCGGGTGTGCAACAAAGGATATACAATGACTACCACAAATTTTCGAATTCTTGTCCTCCCAGGCGACCATGTTGGCCCCGAGGTCATGGGCGAAGCCTTAAAGGTGCTGGATGTTGTTGAAGAGCTTCGACCTACGCTCAAGTTTGAGAGAACCTTTGACCTCGCCGGTGGGAGCAGCATCGACAGGCACGGCGTTCCCATCACTGAAGAAGTGTTGGAAAAGGCCGCAAACAGCGATGCCGTTCTCTTCGGCAGCGTTGGCGGCCCAGAATGGGCGGACTCCTCACCGGGACCGGAGACGGGACTCCTCCTCCTTCGAAAACGACTCAACGCTTTTGCGAACCTTCGCCCTTGCGAGATTCTCGTCCCATCGTTAATCGATGCGTCTCCCCTCAAGCCAGATGTCGTCAAAGGAACCAAGTTCATCGTCGTCAGAGAGAACTGCGGCGGTGCCTACTTTGGCGAAAAGGTAGAGACCCAGGGCGAGGCTTCTGATCTCTGGGTGTACACCCCGTCCGAGGTCCAACGATGCGCCCGTGTTAGTGCCAGTGTCGCACGCATTCTCGGGAGAGATGGCGATAGCAAAGGCGGCGGTGGACCAGCTGTTGTGTGGAGCGCTGACAAGGCCAATGTCCTTGCCAGTGGAAGGCTCTGGCGGCGAGTTACACAGCAGATCTTTGATGATGAGTTCCCTGACATTGAGCTCCGACATCAACTCGCCGACAGCATGGCCATGCTCATGGTCAAGAATCCCCGCGGATTCAATGGCGTCATCCACACCGACAACACCTTTGGAGACATTCTCTCAGATATTTCGGGCGGAATTGTCGGCAGCTTAGGCACCTTGCCAAGCGCCAGCATCTCTGGAATCCCAAGCGAAGGACGATGCAATGGCATCTACGAGCCGGTACATGGAAGCGCTCCCGATATTGCCGGAAAGGGGTTGGTGAACCCGGTTGCGCAAATCCTCAGCCTAGCGATGCTGCTGAGATATTCTTGTCTGCTCGTCGAAGAGGCTTCGGCGATCGAGCAGGCCGTCCAACGCGTTTTTGATTCCAAGGACAATGGAGGCTTGGGGATTAGGTCGAGAGATATGGGAGGCGAGGCAGGGACTCAACAAGTAGGAGATGCCATTTGCGCAACGCTGAAGGATATTCTAACTGCGTAAATTGTACAAAGTCGAGCACTACATCAATACCATACTCAAATAATCTTCCCTGCAATATCCTGAATGGATTGACTTGAAGTGTGTGATGCTGTCTCTAGGCTGTTGTCGTATTGCGAGCCTGACCTGTCGCAACGATATCCCTCCTTTGCCGCCACTAGTCAGAAACTGAAATGAACAGCCTTCTATGTCTCAAATAACAAATGCCCAAAACGCCATATTCCATTTCTTTTTTATCTCCATGGTGTCTTGATCATAGGAGCCGAAACATCGGATCTAAGCCTCTCATGAGGAGTCATACGCCGATAAAGTATTAATATGTGCTCGTGCTTATTGGTTCGATTTCGTCATTTTTGGGCAGTGTCGTCCTCTTGCGCGAAAGAATGGATCTGTTCATGTCAGAACGAAGGCCGCGTACTCCAAAAGACCACACCTTACCTGATCAGCGACCTGAAGCCACTCTTCCATGCCCCTGATGTACGGGTCCCCAGTGGAATCATTCATGTTTTCATGCTCCCAGACGACCATCTCATCAAACTCTGCCGTGACCAGCATGGATCCAACTCGCTCGGGTGTGTCATCTCCGTCGTCGACATCGACAACTGCCTCGGCCGGAGGGGCCTCGTTGTTCTTCCTCTCTACGACGACGCCTCGACACTGGGTAGGTAATTTGATCGTCTTTCCTTGAAGTTTTCGTCCTCGAAAGTACGCGGTCTTGGTGTCATCTACAGCCCGCATTAGTTTGTGGTTCTGACAATGCTGGCCTGAACGTTTGGGCATCGCGACGACTTACCGTCGGCTATGGTTGGTTTCCAGTAGGCCGAAACCGGGTCAACGGGCCCATTGTGGTGAACGCGGCATGGCAGAATGTTTGCCACAGCCTTGGGCGTCTCGTCGCTGGCCTTTAGAGAGAGCATTGGTTGGGACATGATGTTGTGCGGTTTCAATGATTTGCAAGACTTTAGGCCTGGCGAGGGAGACGCGTTGCGACGCGTTAACTAAGTGGTTCAGTGGATTAGATTCGCTTATTCTTATCTCGTCCGATAAGTCACCGCAACCGATAAGACTAAGGTACACAGAGAGAGGGCCTAATTACAGGGTCCATCCTCTACGAACGCCACGAAACGCGTTCGCAAGGATGAATTGATCTGGATAGTACGGAGTGCTGTAGCTCGATCTTGATACATGTTCCTGATGGATGGTCAAACCAGCCTCGTCCTGTATCGGATTTGGCGTCGATGTGCCCTGAGCGGTCACGGAACGGGCCCCCGCCTAGTCGCTCTTTGTCGGCAATTTCGGACACCGAGGATCGATGACATCAACACTTGGTTCGATCTTGAGAATCCACGATTTCTGGTCTCCATCGGAGGCTACTCGCCAAAGGATTTTTGGGGCGCGGGTTAGCTGCATGCCCTTGCATATGCTCGGCAGCGGGTCATTGCGACCAAGTTTATGGTGTCCGCTCTCCCGGCCTCATTCCATGAGGACAGAAGGGAGCCTCACGGAAGAAATGTAACCGGCTACAGCTCGATTTTCTCACTATTTACTTATAAAGTAGTAGGAACACTTCCAGAGTGGAACTCCATGTTGCCTGGGTTTCAAAAGGGTCTGAGTCCGCCCGTGCTAGCCGCTGCATGAAGCCATGTCCCACGATGTGACAATCACTTAACATGCTCTAGTCAACGCCATCGGCAATCGATGCACGATGTGACTGGATGATCCGTCTCCCAGCCCAGATCGGCTTCCCATGTTACAAGCGAATTCTCCACTCGCGGTGAGCTCATGAGATGCTCTTGGTGCATGTGCCTGTAATCTGGACCTTTCCAGACTTTCCACTTCCCCTGTGCCTTCCAACCTAACGCAAGATCCCGTAATTCCGTTCTGCTTAAATCCACAGCTGTCCCAGGTCTCCGCTCTCTTTCCTTCCTCTCTGTTAACTACCGCAAACTTTGAACCGGTACTGCTGCTCAAGTCACTCAACCATGGTTCGAATGGGCGTATCTTTGCCGGCTTTGCCCCCTGTCATCAGCAAGCCCATCTCTCGTGGAGCAGAAGTCGTTCGGGGGTCCATTGGCAGTTGGACCTGGGGACCAGTTTTAGCCATTGCTAAACCTGCAATCTTGTCCGTCCTCTCGCGCATCGAAACGGGAACTCTCTTGATAGTAGACGAGCCCGCCGGGACGAGATATGTGTACGGCCAAAAACTATCAGGAAAGCTCGAGAGTACAATCGAACAGAACGGATTGCCCCGCCGAGCGGATACCATTCCACGACTTGAGATTGTAGTCAAGGACGATGCGTTTTGGATGCGGTTGTTCTTGTTTGCCGATATGGGATTCGCCGAAGCCTACATGTTGGGCGATTTCGAGTGCAAGGACCTAACATCCTTCTTCCAGGTCAGTTCAGCATTCACATCCCTGCGTAGGCCATTCAGACCAGCTCACACTCTAATATTAGCTGTTCATTATAAATCGCAATCAGATGGACAATGGGACCACTTGGGCTTCCAGCATGTCTTCGGCAATCTCAAGTGTAGCCCGATCAACGAACACGCTCTCCAATGCACTGCTCAACATCTCGGCGCACTACGATATCAGCAATGACATGTTTGCTGCTTTCCTTTCACCGGACATGACATACTCCTGTCCCATCTGGAAACGCCATGATGGAGAGGAAGAGTCGTTAGAGGATGCCCAGATCACCAAGCTGCGCCGATTCATTGACGGGGCTAGGATCCAGTCGACTGACCATGTGTTGGAAATCGGGACTGGCTGGGGGTCGTTTGCAATTGAAGCAGTCAAAAGAACCGGTTGTCGAGTTACTAGCCTCACACTTTCCAAGGAACAAAAGATCTTGGCGGAGGAGAGAATCGATGCCGCAGGTTACAGTGGCCACATCGAGGTAAAGTTGATGGATTACCGAGCGATGCCGGTTCCTGAGCAGCCATATGACAAAATTGTCTCCATCGAGATGTTGGAAGCAGTAGGCCAGGAGTACCTTGCTACCTACTTCAACTGCATCGATCGGCTGCTGAAGAAGGATGGAGGCATCGCTGTCTTCCAGTGCATTACAATGCCGGAGGGTCGCCACGAGGCTTATTCCAAGTCAGAGGAGTAAGTTATTCGGCCTGAAATCCTACGAAAGAGACTAACCATGAGTTACACATCTGCAGTTTCATCAATCATTACATTTTCCCGGGTGGGTACTTGCCATCCATCACCCAGTTGCTGAACCACATCAGTCAACAATCCCAGGGAACACTTGTTGTCGAGAATGTTGAGAACATCGGTGGACATTATGTGAAGACACTAAGACTGTGGAAGGAAAAGTTCTTGGAGAGCTTTGACGAAAAGATCAGGCCAGCGCTCGCCAAGGAGCACCCGGACATGACCCAAGAGGGGATCGAGGTGTTCCGAAGAAAGTGGGAGGTAAGGACATGCCCAAGATGCTTTACCGGAATCAAGTGCCACATGAAGCTAATTTCTTTGCAGTATTACTTCACTTATTGTGAGGCGGGGTTTGTGACGAAAACTCTCGGCGATGTCATCATCACTGTTGGGCGAGAGGGCGCTTTGGAGTTGATGGACGGTATCCCACTCTAAGGAAGAGAGAATAACCGGTGTTTCGAATTGTGCTATTGGAACTTCCAATTTTGGACAAATTAATGTCTCTAAGTCTAAAGGGGTATCGAGATCGAACTTATAGCTTGGCGTGTGATATTTACTGTTTCTGGCATTCATGCTTTGCGTTTCTTCTTAGACTTGCTTCCCTTCGTCCCTCCTACCGGTGCCGTAGGTGCATAACGGTTCGCGTGGTCAACATCGAACCCAGGTTTATGCTTCCTGAAGAGCAGCATTGTTACCCGAGCGTCTTCAATGCTTGAATGCGCCCCATCCTGAATCTCCACCGAGAGGATCTGTTGTGCAAGCAATCTCAAGGCCGGTTTCCTTCCATTCCCATACTTTCTGAAAGGGGGATACTTTGCGGTGTCGCGAATTTCCCTTGCCGGGTGGCTTAGGATCAGGGCTTCGAGGTCGTGCTTAATGTCGTGCCCGATCAAGATTCGGCCTTGGAGAAGCTTGTCCACGTCTTTTTGAACCACTTCGAAATCTCTGGCAAATCTCATGCTCTTCTGACTGATTCCGCTCACAGCGGTCCGCCAATTTGTGACTCTCTCCTTCGGCTTCACATATGAATCGTAGACCTGTCGCCCATGAAAGTCGACGACGCTGACGCGAGCAAGAGCAGACTCATGGCCACCAGGTCCAACACCCACCATTTCGCAGTCGATGGCGATGTACTTACCAATCTCGATGCCTTGTATGAGTCCGCTGTTGATCTTGTCTTTTTCTGATGCACTCATCATTGAGTTATTCTTCGTTCCCAGGCCGTAAGCCTCGGCCAGAGCCTCCGCGGAGACATCATTGTCCTCCGCCCACAAGGCGAGAGATGTCGAAGGGACAGTACTTGGTCCATCTTCCACTTTGGTGCTGTGAACTCCGCCCATTTGCTTCTTGGTGGTTGCCTGTGGCCGCTTCGCCGAGACTGGCTGCTTTGCCGCAGTTTCGCCAACTTTTCTGGCCTTCTTGGATGGAGGGTTGGCTGGTGGAGCCGCGGACTTGCGCTTCAGAGATGGCTTGGTTGAGGATTCAGCCTTGGATGTGGATTCAGCCTTGATTTTTGCCTGAAGCTTCTTCCAGTTGGAGGAAAGTTCGGCCATCTTCTTTAAGGTGAAGCTAGTTGAGCCCAGGTATCTCCTTCAAAGCTGTGCTGAGATCATGTATAAGTCGTCAAACAACAGAAGCAAAATACTTCGTGAGGGCCACCATTCCGGAGAGGCGCTAACCGGTCTTATGCAACTGCCGGGGCTCTGATAAGCTATATCCAGAGCTCACCGCCTTTGCGATAAGCCAGCAGCTTCTAGATTCTGCCAACCCCTCCAAAATTCATCACTTTATCCATCTCGCAACTCCACGCGACAACACAACTTTCATCAACAACGCCAACGCGCAGGCCTTTTTCATCATGGCTGGCGGTACGCCTGGCGGTGAGCCCACGGTAGGGTCTGACGGACCCCGACTCAAGGGGAAAGCGACCCCCGAAACCCTTCAGACAGGATGCATCGCCTGGGTAGAGAAGGAAGGACAACCGCGACGAGCCGAGATTCTCAGTATCAAGACAACAAAGAGCGGCATGCAATTCTACTGCAATTTCGACAGCTTCAACAAGCGACTGGATGAATGGGTTCCCGCAGCAAGGATCGATTTCGCGCGCGACGTCGAGTGGCCGAACCCTGACAAGGACAAGCCAAAGGACACGAAGACGAAGAAGACAACGACGACCGCGCAGTCCAAAAAGAACCAGGTGTCGAAGAAGGCGCAGAAGCGACCCAGCAAGAGGGAACAATCAGTGGCTTCGGAGGCGAACACCCCACATCCCTGGACAGGTGAGTGCCCGCTGGAACGGATATACTGTTGATCTAACAAGTTTGGCAGACTTCGTGGAAACGCAAACTCGACAAAAGTCGGCCTCTGTCGGTCCAGATGGAGAATCCCAAACGAGACCAAGTGTCGAGGGTGGCGCGACCCCTGCAGCGGCAGAAGATATGGACATGGATGACAAGGAGGAGGATGTGAAAAAGGAACCAAACGACTTCAGCCGAGAGGTGGAAATCGAGAAGCTGCGGACCTCTGGATCTATGACGCAAAACCCGACCGAAGTTTCCCGAATCCGAAACATTTCCAAAGTCCAGTTTGGAAAGCACGACCTCTATCCATGGTACTTTTCCCCGTATCCCGAGATATTCAGTCAGGAGGACGTCATCTTCCTCTGCGAGTTCTGCCTGGGTTACTATGGGGATGAGAAGGCGTTTACGAGACACCGACGCAAATGCACACTGCAACATCCACCTGGAAATGAGATTTACCGAGACGGCTTGATTTCCTTTTTCGAGATTGACGGTCGGAGGCAGAGGACATGGTGTCGCAACCTCTGTTTGTTGTCAAAGATGTTCCTGGATCACAAGACGCTTTACTACGATGTAGACCCGTTCTTGTTCTACGTCATGACTACACGTACGGAAAAGGGGTGCCATGTGGTGGGATACTTTTCCAAGGAAAAGGAGAGCGCGGATGGCTACAACGTGGCATGTATTCTTACGCTGCCGCAGTACCAGCGCAAGGGCTATGGTCGACTCTTGATCCAATTTTCGTACGAGCTGTCCAGGATTGAAGGAAAGTTGGGTTCTCCAGAAAAGCCGCTCTCGGATTTGGGACTGCTCAGTTATCGACAGTACTGGTCAGAAAACATTCTGGATCTGCTTATGGGATACAGCGAACGAGAAGAAAAGACGACAATCGAGGCAATCTCAGCAGCGCTAGTCATGACAACGCAGGACGTTGAGCACACGCTGCAGGCGATGCGGATGCAGGTGTATCATAAGAGCGACCACAAGATTGTTATACCAGACAAGCTAATCAAGCAGCGAGAGAAAGCGAAGCTAAAGCAAAGGAGGACAGTGGACGCGACAAAGATCCAGTGGAAGCCGCCAGTATTTACGGCCTCGAGCCGCACATGGGGCTGGTGATGTGCTTTTGCGCCGCGAGTGTCGGTTTCGATCTTGGGCGACTGTGTAAGAAAGATTATATAGAGCGAGTATGTTGTAAAGTGATACCCCATTCAACCATCATTAAAGGCCTTTTGAAGTGAGACTGCCATTACCCGAAGCGATCAAGAATAAATAGTGAACATCGGATCCAGGTGAAGGTGCACTTATTCCGGCAACTGACAGTTTCCATCTGTAGGAAAGCGAGCAGACTACCCCAGCACAGCATCCGTTTTAGAGAGGATGTCCCCTGTCGCCGGCCCCGCGTCCCTAGTGGCGTCACAGGCCAGAGCGGCAGAGCCACATCCTTGTCTCAGGTACAGAGCTCCATTCCTACGTGATGTTGAAGCTCGTCTCCGCGAAACGCCTGCAGCTTCAACTCCAACCCTACATCATACATCCACGTTTCCCTGTCCACATCTCGGGACCCGTGCATAGCCCCTCAACACCAGGGCTTATTCGATTCGAGCTGGTCTCTCGCATCCTCGATACACCTGCAGCACCTGCCGTGCCTCTATTCCCCCCAGACAGTCTGCTCAGTGCACTCAGTGTCGCCCTGCCGCCACCGTCGCAATGACGCTCCGGCTGTTAGCGGCAGGCCTGCTTGGCTTGGGCGTGCGCCTCACCAGCGCCTATGAGAGCCAGGAACCGCTCTCCAACTGGGCTGGCGCATGTCCTGAATACACTCTCTACTCTACCTTTCCACAGTACGTCTACCGTCACAGAGTTTCACGTTCAATTGCAACTAACCACTCCTCCTCCCAGTCGTCCCTTTAGCACCGGCCCCAAAGCGCTACCGTACCAACGACCGAGCCCGCAATGTCGAACCTTCCAGTCGGCCGAGATCGAGAGAGTCATCGAGGAGGTGACGGGGCTCATTCAGGACCCGGATCTTGCGCGCCTGTTCGAGAACACGTTCCCCTCAACGACGGACACGACGGTCAAGTTCCACACAAAGGGCAAGGAAGAATCAGGCTTCTTCAAAATGAACGGGTTCGGGTTTCGGGACGAAGGCGCCTGGGAAGGGCCACAGTCCTTCATCATCACCGGCGACATCATTGCCGAGTGGCTGCGAGACTCGACGAACCAGCTGCGGCCCTACCAACCTCTGGCCAAGAAAGATCCAGCCATCCATACGCTGCTTCTCGGCGCCATCAACACCCAGGCCGAGTATGTGATTAAATCTCCTTACTGCAATGCCTTCCAACCACCTCCCATCAGCAACCTCCCCCCCGCGAACAACGGCCAGGACGACAAAGTTCACCCAGTTTATGAGCCCCGCGCCGTCTTCGAGTGCAAGTACGAGCTGGATTCCCTAGCCCATTTCTTGGCGCTGGCCAACGACTTCTACGAGCACTCTGAATCAACCGAATTCCTCAACAAGAGATGGTATCTTGCTGTCGATACACTGTTGCAGGTCCTTGAGCAACAGTCCAAGCCAACGTTTGATCCTGAAACGGGTAGACACCAGCGCAATGAGTACACTTTCCAGCGACAAACCAACCTTGGAACCGAGACTCTTAACCTCCAAGGTGTGGGCAACCCCTTGAACTTCGGAACCGGGTTGGTCCGGTCGGCGTTCCGACCCAGCGACGACGCAACGATTCTGGGCTTCTTCATCCCTGCCAATGCCATGATGTCTGTGGAGCTCAAGCGAGCGGCCACAATGTTGAAGGCGGCCGGCAAAGCACAGCTCGCTCAAACCCTAGAGGACTGGAGCAAGACGTTGAGAGATGGCATCTTGGAGCACGCTGTCGTCAAGCACAAAAAGTACGGCGACGTGTTTGCCTTTGAGGTGGATGGGTACGGGTCGTCGATCCTAATGGACGATGCCAACTACCCGTCACTGTTAGCGTTGCCTCTTATGGGATTCTGCGAGGCTAGCGATCCTATATATAAGAACACGAGGAAGATGTTGCTGGAGAAGTCAGGCAACCCCTATTACCTGACAGGAAGGGACTTTAAGGGTATTGGAGGTACGTTTGGGATAAGGAGTTCTATGCGAGATGCGGCACAGCTGACGTTTAAATGCAGGGCCACACATCGGCTTGAGGAACGCCTGGCCAATGAGTCTGCTGATCCAGGCCCAGACATCTGATGACGACGCCGAGATCAAGGAGTGCCTGGACCTCGTGCTGGACTCGGCGAAGCTTGGTCTAGTCCACGAGAGTATCGACGTGCAGTACATGTCACAATATACGAGGAGTTGGTTCGCGTGGGCCAACGGCGTGTTTGCGGTGACGATTTTGGACTTGGCCAAGAGGAAGCCATACTTGATCTTTGGAGAAGGGGCCGAGCCGTACGAGGTGTGAGAAGGAAGAAACGAGACGGCATAGCATGACACGACACTGGGAACGACACCTGGCGCATTTTAGACATGGTTGAATTGTAAAAACTGACAAAATCAGAGGTGTTGGGCTTGTGTTTCATGGTTGATGGCTGAGCCACCCAATCGGACGAAGGAGCCAGACAACGAGAGGCAGATAGGGACAGCACCCCAAAGACAGACACGACCGAAGAACTGTATAACACGCACAACAAGCGGCACGACATTGGGAAGGGGTTTATTCATCCCACTATTGGGTTCGGCGCTGACGTTGGGTTGTTAACGGAACAAGCCATTAGCTTAGATTGATTAATGACATTGGAGATTTTTAACCGCTCCGCCGCCGGCCAGACCTTGGAGAAGTTGGAGATGCGGAGAGACCAGAGATCCACAAATATCCGCGATTAACCTTGTGTGCTGTCGTCACTCGGGCGTTGCAATTGCAATCCGGCCTTTGGCTCGATGCCCCAATGCCGCAAAGGGCAAGTTAAGCCAGCGCTGGGTTTTGGCAGGTTTTCCCCGTAGTAATAAGCGGCCGGCGGCGGCTTCATGAGCGACCATGTTTGAAGGCTTCCTCCACACAGTCCGACATCGCTGCGCTTCTCGTGAGCTGTCTCAACTTGCGCCGGCTTGCCTCGCCCCATTGCCGCAGACTGCGAGAAAAGCCAGAGGAGCAATTGGATCTTTAAAGAAACGTAATCCTGTTCTTTTCACTGGCTGCTGCTCTTCTCGCCGTCACTACAAAGTCTCCAAACCTCTGACATCACCATCGCCAGCACCGCAATCCCCCTCGAACCCCGCCGCCATGACAGCCCCCAAGCCCGCCATCAACTTCATCCGCGGCTGGCCCGCGCCGGAGCTCCTCCCCGCGCCGCTGCTCTCGGCGGCCGCGCAGCGCATCCTCGCCGACCCGGCCGTCTACGTGCCGGCGCTGCAGTACGGGCCGGACCCGGGCTACCAGCCGCTCCGCGAGGCCCTGGCGCGCTGGCTCGCCGGCCACTACGGCCTCGCCGCGGACCCGGAGCGCATCTGCATCACCGGCGGCGCCAGCCAGAACGTCGCCTGCATCCTCCAGAGCTTCACCGACCCGGCCGTCACAAGGGCCGTGTGGATGGTCGCGCCCACCTACCACCTCGCCTGCGGCATCTTCGACGACGCCGGCTTCGCGGGGCGGCTGAGGGCGTTTCCCGAGGACGAGGAAGGCATTGATCTGGAGGTGCTCGAAGCCAAGATTCGGAAGCTGGAGGACGAGGAAGTGAACGAGCCCCAGGCCCAGGTAAGAATAACGGCAGTAAACCTGCTGCATGGCCTCTCCAGCTAACACCAACATCAGCCGTTCAAAGACGCTGGAGAGCACCGCAAGTTCTACCGCCATGTCATATACGTCGTGCCCACCTGCTCCAACCCCTCCGGCAAGACCATGTCCGTCCGCCGGCGCGAAGGCCTCGTGCGTCTGGCGCGCAAGTACGACGCCCTAGTCATCTGCGACGACGTCTACGACCTCCTCCAATGGCCCCTGAACAACGAGACCAGCAGCGGCTCCCTGCGCTCAGACGAATCGCCCGAGATGACGCTCCCGCGACTCTGTGACATCGATCTTGCCATGGATCGTGACCCCAAAGATCCCAAGGGCTTTGGCTTCGCCGTCAGCAACGGTTCCTTTAGCAAGATGGCCGGCCCTGGTGTGCGAACTGGCTGGCTCGAGGGTTCGCCCGCCTTTTCCTTTGGCCTCGCCCAGACTGCCTCGTCCAAGTCCGGCGGCGCGCCCAGCCAGTTTTGCGCTGCGATGATGTCTGATCTCGTCGAGTCGGGCGCCCTCCAGGACTATCTCGCCACCACGGTGCGCCCTGGCCTGCAGCGCCGCCACCGACTCCTCGTGGACGCTATCCACGAGCACCTCTCCCCGCAGGGCATCACTATCCGCGAGGCTGGTCTCGTTGGCGGCAGCACTTATGGAGGCTACTTTGTGTGGCTGAAGCTCCCTCAGGGCCTGTCGGCGAAGCTGATCGCTGATGTCTCCTTGGTTGAGGAGAACCTGATTGTGGGCAACGGCAACATGTTCCAGGTGCACGGCGACGAGAAGACGGTTGACCTTGACGGCGCCATCCGAGTTACCTTTGCCTACGTCCCCGAGGACGACCTCGTCGAGGGTATCCGGCGACTAGGTGCCGTGGTGCAGAGAGTCAAGGCCGATCCAGCCAAGTACGAGAAGCTAGCCAACACGGTGTCGGACGCGGCTATGATAGACTCCAGCAAGTAAATATGGGGGATGAATGGGGGCTATTGTCTATCTACGCTGGACGTTTTCTACTCTGGCGCCTACTTCTTGGCAAAGAAGGACATGATGTTCCCCTGTCCCTTGCCGGCGGGCTTCTTTGCCTTGCCTGCCGACGACGACGGTGTTGATGATTGCGTCTGCGTCTGCGTCACCGCCACCGCCTGCTTCTTCGCGGGTGGTGCGGCATCATCCTCCGAGAATGATTCCCAGCCCTGTTCTTGAATCGTCACTGTAAAAGGGTTAGCAAAACCGAACATTTAACCATCATTAGGGGAAGGGGAGTGCTTAGGGGAGTGCCTCTCGTTGACTTACCCATGTATCCCTGATCGTCCAGGATGCGCTTCTTCTTCATCACCCGCCGCCTTCCCCTGCGCCGTCCGTCCCCGCTACTTGATACCACCTCGGTTGACTCCTGTTCCTCCTTCTTGGCCTCTGGCTCGGGTTCGGGTTCGGGCTCCGGCGCCTCCTCCATCTCCTCGTCGGCTGGTTCATCGTCCTTCTCAGACGCTTCGGCGTCCTCCTCATCATCGTCATCCTCCATCATGCGCCTCAAAGCATCCTCGCGTTCTTTCCTCGCCGCTCTCACAGCCTCGGGATCGGCAGTCTCTTTTTTGGCGGGAAGATCAGAGTCATCTGCTTCACCATCGTCAGAGAGGGCCATTGCTGTATCCTCCTCCTTCTTAGGAGCGGGCTTGGGCCTAGGCGGCAGCGCAGCTGCCCTGGCAAACGATTGCATGATTCCCCCTGAGCCGCCCTTCTTCAGAGCTGGCGGCTTCTTTCCAGCACTTGACGATGGCGTTGCATTCTTAGAGGACGGCTCTGGTTCCTCCTGCTTGACGGGTTTGGTGTCGGTAGGTGAAGGCTTTGGAGCGAAGGGATTTTGTTTGGTTTTCGCTGCAGGAGTTGGCTTGGGAACTACGGGCTCCTGCTTCACAGGCTTGGATGGTGGCGCAGTAGCCTTGGAACATTCCTTTCGGTCTCTCCGACGCATCTGGGTGTTAGGAATGGTTCCGTATTTCTTCGCTGCTGCAGCCGTGTCTTCGTTTATCGAGTACTCGGATAGTTGTGTTGAGACATCGGAGAGAAGGGATAGATCCTTTTGGGGATGAGGCGCCAGGCTGTAGACATGAATAGCAGTGACTTGTTTGTAATCTGCCAAGACATCTAGGGTTTGTTTGGTTAATATCGAAAAATGCTAGTGATGGTGTCATGACCACGGGGCCAAGGTGTGGTCTACCTTTGAGTTCTTCCTCTCTAGCCAGGGTTAGAGTCGTAGTGGCTACGTCCTCGGAGAGGGCATCATTGTCGGGCAAGGAGCTGGTCATCTCCACATCCCCATCGGCTTGAGCATTATCCGAGGTTTTGGCGCCATAAACGAGATAGGTGGCATACACAGAGTCAGAGCGCAGAGCATTCTGGTACTTGTGGAAGTCATATAGCATCCTAAGGCAGCGGCTGTCAGAAACCGACTCATAGTGCGTTGGTGTGTCGGAAAAACTCACTCTTTGGCAGTGTTGACGTGGACATCCAATGCTCTGCTGAGAAGGCGATATGTGATCTGCAATTGCATGAGTTCAGGGTCTGTCCGGGGTGTAGAATATGCATACCGGCCGCTCCTCACTGAGCAGACGATCTGTAAGAAATTTCTTGTGTTCATCCATGATAGACCAAGTCAAAACGAGCCTCTTGGTTTTCCGGGGTCGAACTAAAGTTAAGCAACAAGAAGGTAGCTTGGCGGAGGATCGCGAGTCAAGTCTCGAGAAATAGTGATTACGATGAAAGCTTGAGAGAGACGCGTAGAGTGGACGCGGTCTCACGTGTTATTCTTCCAAGCGGGTATAAAATGGCATCTTTAGATGCATATAGACACACTCTGTCTCGGACTCCCCCCGGGTGACATTCTAAAAAGCGGGGCCATCCCTATAACGAATTCAGCTGAAAGTTCAAGCGTCATTCTAGGGTCGCGTCTCGGCGCGATGTCGTCCTCAAAGAGTCGAGGGTCGGGTTTTGACTCTGGATGAAGCGGTTTCCCGGCGGCTCTACCACCACAGTTCGACAACTCTCCGCCGTTGGATAACGCATGGGAAATTCGAATTCCATGTTCTGGCGTCTATAATCCTCAACGTTCCACCTCCAATCCTCCATCCTCAACAGCCCCAATGTCCGAAAACGATGTCCCCGATTCGACCGACTGGCTTTTAACGCCGCTCTCCGGCTTCGCTGCCGTTGAGAGTGCTCTGCGCTGCCAGGTCTGCAAGGATTTTTACAAGACTCCCATGATCACCTCGTGTTCTCACACATTCTGCTCGTTATGCATCCGACGGGCGCTGTCCAACGACAGCAAGTGCCCGCTCTGCCGCGCACCAGACCAAGAGCTCAAGCTCCGGAGTAACTGGTCAATAGAGGAGACAGTCGACGCTTTTGTCAGGGCGAGGACTGTGGCTTTGGAATTAGCCAGGAGCGGTGGGGAAAACTCCCTAGCCAAGCGGAAGGCTGAAGATGACAACGACGAGACCAACGATGCACCAGAGGGCAAGCGACTACGGACATCGTCTCGATTGAGGAAACCGCAGGCAGACATGCCCGTTGCAGATGCGACAGCTTTTGAAGACGACGAAATCGTTGAGATTCCAGATGATGACGAATATGTCCCTGGGCCCGGTAGGACAACCTTAGAGAACGTCACACATGAATCATCCGCTAACACAGGCTCTAGAAGACGGCCTCGTCCCCTGTCCCGTATGCCAAAGCCGAATGAAAGACTGGCAAGTCTTTAAGCACCTCGAGTCTTGTCCAGGCCCAACCCCACCAAAACCACGAAGAGCAGCAGCCGAAAGCAGTTCTAGCGCCAGCGTCGGCTTCAGTCAACTACAACGGCAACAGACCAAGCCCCCCGACCGACTCCCCGCGCTCAGCTACTCGATGTTCAAGGAGCAGGCCCTGCGGAAGAAGATGGCGGAGATCGGCATTTCCAACCAGGGCAGCCGCGCGCTGCTGGAGCGCCGTCACAAGGAGTGGGTCACGCTTTGGAACGCCAACTGCGACGCCGCGCGACCCAAGAAGCGCGGCGAACTACTCCAAGACCTGGACATCTGGGAGCGCACTCAGGGTGGGCGTGCGCCTGTTACGGGGAGAGCGGCGCAGAGTGCGGCAGTTATCAAGGACAAAGACTTTGATGGCGCTGCCTGGGCGACGAAGCACGATTCGTCTTTCAAGGATTTGATTGCGAGTGCGAGGAAGAGCAGGCTAGAGGCGAAGAAGAAGATGGAAGAAGCTAAAGAGGAAGAAGCGAAGAAGGTTTCCAATGCCGAGCCATCACTGCCAGCCCCGGTGTCAGCACCGGCGCCTTCAGAAGTGTTGGCCAACAACGTCGAGACGACAGTTGTGCCGGTGATATCACAACCAGCGATATCACAGCCGCCTCCACAGAGCCAGGTCTACGAAGCACCCGCCCCTCCACCGCAAGTCTTCGAGGGCCTGTCATATCCTCAGGCTATTCCAAATAACCACTGGGATCCGCATCATCAGATACAACCCTCAACCCAGGCAGCCTGGCAGCCTATTGCCCCGGTTGCCTATCCCTCGCGTTACAATGCGGAGAGCTATGCCTACCAGGCGAACCCGAACACATACATGACGCACCAGCAGCAGCCAGCCTCGTCGTGGAACAATAGTGTTCAGCATACGGACCCATCTTCGTACGCTGCAACTGAAGAGTTTTCTTATCAAGGTAACTCGCATGTCCGGCCGCCGGAGGGACCGAATGGGTTGCCATGATGCTTCTGGTCCGGGGCGCACTTTGATCGGGCAGACGAAGATGGGATTATTAAATGATACCAAGTCAAGGTGATTATGTATATATATGTACACTCTAATGACGTGCCAATGACACAAACCGCTGAAACGCCGACGTATATCCTAACCCATAATGAACATCAGATGCGTGATCATACTGCTGGCAAAAGTTGTGCCTCCTTCTCTGCCTGTGTATCATTCTCGTTCGACAAGTTCGCAATGCTCGTTCGCGATGTCGGTGTCGCCTCCTTTTCCCCGACTGGTAGCTCGGTAGGCACCTTGGGCAGCTCGTCGAGCCTCTTCTGTAGCTCGGCCGCCTCCTTGGCTTCCTGCTCCTTTCGGGCCTTCTCCTCGACGGCTTGCTTCTGGCGTAGCACCTCGACATCCTTCTCGCGCTCCTGCGCCATCATGGCCTCGAGCTCGTCGTCGATCTCGCCCTCGTCCACAACAGCGCCAGTCGCCTCGGCCAGGATAGCGCCGACCTCGTCCGCCGCGCTCATCTGCTCGCGGACACGATCCATGACAGCATCAACGCGATCTGCACCTCCGACTTGCGCGTTCAAGCTCTTGAGCACGCCACCCGACGCTTCCATAACCTTGACAAGCTGGACATTGTCGGCGGCCTGCTCAATCTTGGCGGCGACTTCCTCAAGTTGGTTAAGGGTGGTGTAGCGTGTCGCAAGGGAAGCCTCGGCTGTCTTCTTGGATTTGAGGGCAGCCAGAGCGGCGACACGGTTTTTGCGACGGACAGCGTCCTTGGCGGCCTGAGCAAGCTCGTCGATGCGCGTATTCAGGATATCGGTTTGATGCTTGAGGCTCTCGGTTAGTTCCTTGAGGGAAGCTATGGCGGAGTCCCCCTCGGTGATGCCTCCCTGGTCCCCAGAGCCCTTGATCCGGATAGTCTGGCCATCGTACTCTATTACGCCTTTGTCCCTCGAGAGAAACTTTAATAGTACCTCTAAATCTGTCTCTGATAGGCGCTGGCCCTTGACGAGAGTGGATGTAAATGCCTTTTGGAACTGCATCTTGGTGAATATGCGGTCGAATCGGGAGCTCTTGTCAGCCGTCAGATCGCCCAGCTCCTTAGCTGCGTCCTCGAGATTTTTGACAACCACGAACTGGCCAATGGGCAACTTGTCGTCCCCCCTCGACGGATCCACGACACCTAGCTGGCGAAGGGTCCAGCCCATGACAGCCCACGGCACCCCCGCCCAGGTGCGGGTATAGATACTCTGCTGCGACTTGTTGAAGTCCTGCAGGGGAATGAACTCCCGTTCCGCGGTCGCCTCCCGCACCACCGTGCCGAGCGCGAGCGGCTGACCGAATTCCTTGTTCCCTAGTGATCGGAGGAGCGAATCGTCGAGCGAAAGGGCGAAGAGATTCGGGCTGGACCCGCGATGTGAGACGAGGCCGCGTGCCGCGATGTGAGAGAGCGCCTGCCGCCAGGCCGAGACGTTTGCAGCGTAGCCATCGGGGTTGAGCGTTCGCTGCGGTCGGAAGTCGGAGTAGAGCGCTGGCAATCGAGACCTAGATGAAGATGTCAGCGGGCTATGGTTTGGCCGTTCGAAGGGCGTGTGCCTACTTGCGGAAGCTGGGGTCGTTATTCACGAGGTAGTCGGCAAGCTCGCCCATGATGCGTAGTGGAGTTGAAGCAGCACAGTCGCGCAGGGCCCGAACTTGACAAATACGGTGCTTCCCTGCGGCAAACCGAAAGCAACAGAAACGAGTTGGTTCCGGCGACGCGTTGAAGTCGGTTGTCCACGTGTAGAAAGCGATGGCCAAACGGCAGATGGTGAAATGGTGGTGAACAAAGGGACGGAAGTAAACGAACCTTTGGTGGGGTGGCTGTCGTCAGGGACAATATGGCAGCGAATTTAGGCCTTGACGGCGCGTCATCCGCTGGTTATCAGTGGAGTAGATGAGAGCCAGACCGCTAAGCCCCCTGCAGGCGCCGAGAATTCCGGGGGTCAAGTTCAAGCCAGTTCATGTTCAATAGATTGAACAGCTCGGCGACTTGATGACACCAGGCAAAGATGGAAGAAATATGTCAATAATAATAGTGTATTCTCCAAGCCACATACGCTCTTTTGGAGCGCCCCGAAACCTTCCCTTTACAGTGCTGTCTCTGTCTATATGGCTCCCGTCATCCTACCAAAAGTTGTCATGATGCGTTCGTAAACCCTCTCACTCAGCCCTTCCAGCTGCGATCTGTTACCTATTAATCAAAATCCTTCTGTGCGCTGGGCTCGGACGCTTCCTCTTCTGCAGAGGCGTCTCGGTGTAGAGGCGCCGTCTCCAAACCGACCATGCCCACGGTGCTAACCCGTCGCGCGCGCAGATCAGTCAACGCCTCGCTCTCCTCGTCGATGTCGGCATCGTCGTCGTCCGCTGGGCCCTCCTCGTTGTCTGACGTGTCCGGAGACTCGGCAAGGCTGTTCTGGAGAGACGACATAAAGTCACCTGCCGCAGCAAACTTATAGATCGCCGCTTTGTGCGGTAGAGTCGCATACCGCCGGTGGGCTTCGTCTAGGCATTGCCGCGCTTGGATGTGCTTGGACTGTTGAAGCCAGGCATCGGCGGCTAGAACGTGCCACGCTGCCGACTTGCGGCGGCGAGAACCCCAGTGCCAACTTCCTACACCTTGCTTAGAAGCGTAGCATATGCCCAGCCGTTCCTTCATGAAGGCGTCACCAATGCTTCCAGGGATCTTCGACTCTAGGAGTCGGATTCCCCATCGCCCAGCATCATCAATACTTGTTCCGCCTCGCAGGCGCAGCAATTCTAGACCAAGCGTCAAGCTCCGCAGTGCACCGTACGGAGCAACGCAGCGAGTGTTGTAGGAATAGAATGCAGCCTCTAGCATCTGGTCGATCGTCTCCGCACGGTTTTTAGATGACAAGTGCTGTGGCAGAATGAGGAGACTTGCGGCTGCCATCTCGTTTGCGGCGGCGTGGTGCTTCCATGCCTTGGAATCGCTAAAGTCGGATCGCAATAGGTCATACGTCGAGTGGGCCAGCTTCCAATCGCGCAGCATAAACGCATAGTCGGCTAGTTTCCTCATGATAGCCTCGGGGGCTTCAGCTTGGTAAAATCCCGCCATGTTATAGGTATCCTTTGAGCTGCTTGAGTTGCCCGAAGAGGAACGTGAGCTGCTTCCAAATGTCCATTTCCTTGAAAGGTTCATGAACCGCCCCGTAATGCCTCTACGTCTTGAAGCAACCTGATCATTCCAGATGGATACGTGTCGTTCCATCGTAGGAACGATAGACTGTGTCACCATCTCACGTACGAAAGTCCGGATCGCCGTGGCATCAGATTCGAAGATATGCATCGTAGGGTCCTCAAAGTCTTCGTCATCCTGACTTCGTCGAATATCTTCCAGTTCCTCAGTGGCCGACATCCAATCACTGCGAGGAAGTGGTATACTGTCATCATCCGTCTCGGCGCTCGCGCTGCTTCTCAGTCTCAGGAGGTGGCAGTGGAGACCAAGATTACGCTTCATTTGGTCAAAAAGTCCCATCGAGCGCGTAATATCATCCTTCTCTTCATCGTGAATCAGGACATAGTATCGGAGATAATCGCCATCCACCCATACGGGAAGCCTCTTCTCTCCCTGACTAGTCTCCGAGTATAGCCTTCTAAGTTCTTCAATGGGGTTCTTGTTTCGGGAGCTGATGGCGATGACACAAGCCACAGGGTGTGCAAAGGTCTCATGAGGCGAAATCTGGAATCCCGATAATAGTCGCCGTAGATAAAGTGCGTAGTATGGCGACGTATCGTCATCCGAGCCTTGTCCGGAAAAGGGGCCCTGCGGCACAGTTGCAAACGACTCCTCGGCGTAGGACAGGTGCCGCTCCACCACTGCTTCGACGTTGGCTAGAAGCTGCTTATCTCGGGCTGTGCTTGCCTGGTTCCCAGTTTGACCTTGTGGTGGCGGAGCATTCTTGAAACCTGAGACCTTGGGGTCTGGGTGCTCAACATCGTGGCCGAATCTCGTGAATCGGATCGAGAAGTCCTCGGTGGTCCGGCTCATCCCATTACTATCTCGAATCGTAACCTTGCCCTGTAGATCCTCGCCAAAAGGGCGCAGTAGCTCCCATAGACCATTTTGAAATCCCTTGTCGCTCATCAAAGCCTCGGTATCCTCAGAGGCGTAGATGGATACGTGTGGGACGTACGCTTTGAGAATGAGGTTGAGCGGCTCGGCCGGGCTGTCTCCGGCATTGGAGGCGGGGGATCGGGGCGGCCGGGAATCGAAAACGGTGTTGGAGAGAACCCGCGACGGGGACCCGCGACCGGCTGGGGAGATGGACCTCGAGCCAGGGGGTGACAGCGTCGATGCGTACAGCGAAGCCCTCGAGGGGTTAGAACGGCGGAAGGGCAGGGAGGTCTCGGAGCTGGGCAACGACTCAATGGTGGACGTTGAGTGCCGCGTCTTAGGGAACTTCATGGTCGAGGCTGCCATGGGCAATGCCTGGAGCGGTTCCGTCGGCGGGTTTTCATCTTCGAAAGGCTGTGGCATGAAGGCGACTTCGGGGAGGGTCGAGTCGTGGGGGGTTGTTTGCGATGCCGCTGAGGGCAGAGCGGATTCACGATGCGCACGCGGGAGAGGGCGGGAGGTAGCTGACTGACGAGGCCAAGATCCGGCTCTGCATGATATTATTACTGAAGTCGTAGCCCAGGCAGGTCTGTGTCTCAGCGGAAAGGAAAGAGGTCGCGCTCAATTATCATTCTCAGAGGAGTCGGGCGACAATGTGGACTCAAGACCGTCGCTGATGATTCGGTACGTACCTCAACTACGAGAGAGCTTGGGTGCGCGTCTTCCCTCATAAGGCCGTAGACGTAGTCGACTTTGCCCAGTGCAGCAAGGCGCCATCAAGGGCCCCCACATTGCTCTACCGGGGCGACCGACGTCGCATTCCGGTACCTGCATAAACTGCATGTGAGCCAGGAGCTTCAGCATCTTGAAGTCTTGTATCATCGGCAAGGTCACGCTTCGCCATTGTCACACACACCACCACGATGCCCTCGGATCTCGCAGACTATCTCGCCACGCGGTACCTGGTCGCCGACCCAAAACCCTCCAAGAAGCGCAAGCGCAAGCGCGGCGCCGAGCCAGCTGGTCTGGTCATCAACGACGACGACGACTCGGCTTGGGGTACCAACACCCAGGGAGACGATGCAGCTGAAGATGGTCCTGTAACAGTAACGGGTAGATCCGCAGAGTTCCGGAAGGCCAAGAAGAACAACTGGACGTCGGTCGGCAAAGGCGCAGATGGAGCAGAAAAAGACGACAGCGCCGCGGCCGATGCGATCCTCGCGTCTGCAGCGGCCGAGAACGATGCGACAAAGGACGCGGAAGACGAAATGCCAGTGGTGGAAGACGGAGGGGGCGTGACAAAGATGAGCGACGGAACCCACGCCGGACTGCAGAGCGCCGCGGCCGTGTCCGCCCAGCTAAAACGACGGCAACGAGAAGAACGCGAGGACTTCGAGCGCCACCGCAAATCAGCAAAGGAGGAGGAGACAGTATACCGAGACGCCACCGGCCGACGCATCGACATCTCCATGAAACGCGCCGAGGCTCGCCGCGCAGCCGCCGAGGCAGAAGAGAAGGAACGGGCGGCCGTCGAGGCGCTCAAGGGCGACGTGCAGCTCGAAGAAGCCCGGAAGCGACGTGAGAAGCTAGAGGACGCCAAGCTGATGAAGTTTGCGCGGACCGTCGACGACGAAGAGATGAACGACGAGCTCAAGGAAAAGGAACGGTGGAACGACCCGATGATGCAGTTCATGGCCGAGAAAAAGGACACGGGCGGCAAGGGCAAGAAATCGAAGCGGAAGCCTGTATACGCAGGCGCAGCTCCGCCCAACCGCTATGGCATCAAGCCCGGGTACCGGTGGGATGGAGTTGACCGCGCCAATGGGTTCGAAGGGGAGAGGTTCAAGGCCATCAACCGACGGGAGAGGAATAAGGGGCTAGACTATTCATGGCAAATGGACGAGTAGGAGAATGATTACAGTAGGACACGGTTATACCCCATTATTGAACTTCGCTTGGAACATCGGAGCATACAATGTCACGTTGACTACGCGTGTGACAGGGCTTCTAGTCGTGACAACTCCTTGTGCAAGATAATAAAGTGTATTAAAACAATGGGCTTGGGGCCTGTTCACGTGGCCCATCCTCTCCATACCGCTCAATCCCCCATTGCGTCTCTGGGCGACGGGGACTTTGTCCTATGCCGGGCCATTCGAGAGCCGAAACGTAAGAAGGCAACCTGTCTCTACACCAGAACGACTCATACATCGTCCGCTCATCTTCTGCGTCGCAGTCGCTTATCCGGGCCATACTCACAGATTTGCTTGACGAGCTTGATCCACTCTCCCTTGGGCATCTGCCCTGGCTTCTCACCCACACGTCCCTGGAATTGTTTGATTAAGTCACCTATGACAATACCCTCCGCAGGGATCTTTTCCAGAATCTCCCACGACTCAATTCCAGAGCCGGACGGGCCAGGGGAAGCACCTAACCAGTCAACGTTAGCTATGTGGTCTAGAAAATCGCCAGCAGAAGTTCTCTGATTTAAGCACTTACCACCTTGGGTTGGGATAGGACTACCAGCTCTCGACGCTGAGGGGGTGCCTCGAGCGCTGCTGCTCACGAGCTTCAGCTTCTTCTTCTTGGGGCCAGCGCCGTCCGACATTTCACCACCAGTAGCTTCGCCGTCGCTACCGGAACCAGCACCCATCTTAGACCGCCGCATAGCAGCGCCCTGCGGGAGAGGTGTGCCCGCACGACTCCCTGTAGCAGGCGTAGCCGTCTTCTTCAACTTCTTTCTCGAAGACTCGTTGCCGCTCGATTCCGAGAGAGCTGGGGAGCCTTGTCGCTTGAGAGATTTGCCCTTCTTAGTGGGATCAGATTTGTTCTTCCCCTGTGGTGTTGAGGTGCCCTTTGAGCCCTTGGCCTTGTCCTTGCCCTCGCCGTCCTTTCCTTCTTTCTTGTCATCATCTTCCTTCTTGTCATCTTCCTTATCCTTGTCCTTGTCCTCATCTTCGTCATCAGATGAATTGTCTTCGGACTAGATAGAGTCAGCACGATCTCAACATAGCGCGTGTTGGCATCAGTCAGTCTTACCGAACTGCTCCAAGGGTTATCCTGGGATTTGTCGCTTTCGTAGACAAACTCGCGGTCTCGCTTGATGAGGGCCTTCTTGGTCGCCTTGCCATACTTTTCCCGCTCCAGCTCCTCTTTCAGCTGCTCCTTCAAATCCCTGTCTACTTCTTGTTCGTCACCGTCGCCAAACAGGTTCGCACCAAGTTGCTCGCGACGGATACGATCCTTAGATTCCTTGGTATCCTCGTCATCGACGTTACGCTCAAAATTGGGAGTCTCGTCATCGTCTTGGAACTCATCCCCTGACATGTCGATCTCGTCATGGTCCATCTTCTCCAGTCGCGAGGCTGCTCGGAACGTGTCACTTTCCGTCTTGATCATCGACCCACGTCCGTACAGCGCCTGGCGAGTCGCTTCCACGTCTTGCTGGCCTGCCCTCCGCTCTTCATCCTTCATGACCCAGCGGCCAACGTCCACCTTCTTGTTCATGAGCGCTTCTGCCTCATCGATGGTGAATGGCTGAAATGGAGGCTTCGATGTGAATCGATACCACTTCTCAAGAGGGACCATGCGGAACACGGACGTGTCAATCATGAAGGCGACGTTTGCCTCGGAAAGGGCGGCGACATAGCTACCAACCCACACGTTCTTTCCATCCGCATCCTCAAGATGCCATGGAAGTGCTTCCTCGTATCTTAGGTCAGACTCCTTCTTGGCTGCTACAGTCTTTGGTGCTCGGTTGAAGTTCGTCTTCTCTTCCTTTTGCTTCTTCGGTCGCTTGGGGTTGAGATCCTTGGCAACAGGGGCAATCTTGGCCTGGTCAACCGCCCGTTGGGCCTCTCGATCTGCCTTGGCCTGAGCCATCCTCTCTGCTTCTAGTTCGTCCACTGCGGGTTGCTCGGGAACCTCTACTTTGACAGCCCTGCCAGGTGGGGGTTGTCGGGCATCACGTCGATGCAGAGTAACGGGTCGGGCGAAATCGTCCTGGTCGGCAGGGTCAATGGGTTTGTCGCCTAGCTTCGCCTGGGAAAACTTCATCAAGTGATAGCGGATGCCATCGAGCAGCGCCTTCTTGGTGGTCATGATTGGGATATCGGTAAAATCAGGAGGTGGCGCCTCGGACCATCCACCATATTTCTTGCGATTCTCTTCGAGGTTGGGCTTTGGGCCATTCTGAGAACCTGGCTTGGACTTCAACGCGGGTTTGGGGGCGGGCTTTCGCGAAGCAACGAGCGGGTTACCACGGGGAGGCTTCTTGCGCATCGGCCTCAGGGGATTCGCCTTTGGGCGGCTGGGGACGCCATTGGGGTTTCCGGCCGGCGGTGCGCTCATGTCGACGGCGACCCCGTTGGTTGGCGAGATGGTGTTGAAAGGAGGCGCCCGAACCGAAGGGTGAGGCAGCAGCGGTGCGCCTGGAGCCTTGGAAGGCCGTGGGAAACGGAATGGAGACGCGGCAGACGGATGAGCGCGGCGGTTTCGTCGAGGGCAATCTGATCGCAGTCGTCCTTCGGAGGCGGTAATTGAGCAGGCGCGTCGGGGGCCTGGGAGAGGGTGGTCGTATCGCTATTGTAGGGGATGTTTGTTGAAGGAAACAGAGTTAAGAAAGCGAGAGGTGCTCCTGGGATGACGATGACAAAGGAAAGCAAGCCAGCGGAGACTGTGGCTGATGGCTAGGTTGTGCTTCGGCTGTGGAGGTACCAGGTACGGGGAGCTTCAGCCTCAGAGGTAAAAAATGCCTTGGGAAAAGGTGGCAGGGGATAGCTTCAGAGGGTCATGGGTACATGCGGCGCCTAAGCCTGGTGCCTTGGCTTGCCTTGCAGCTCTATTTGCCGGGCGAGGGTTGCTGCGGGAGGAATCACGATCAGAACACAAACAGCAGGGGGTAATGGGCTATGAATAACTACCTTAGGTAGGGAGCCGCCGCATGCTTGCTCCCGGTACGAATACTGGCACTTTGCTTGTGGCTTTCTGCACGAGCCCCAAAGTGCTTACTGTTGCCGGCCGCTTCCCGCCCTTGTCCACACTGTCCAACAAGCAGCGAGCAAATGAAAGCTGCAAGAAAACGGGGCGCCAAAAATGATGCACAGTATGCGTGACTGTCTGCGCACGCAATCCAGTCGTGCATAGTGACGTCGAGCCGTCGCTGCGGGGTATTTGCTCACTGATTCCAGCGCAACAGCTGGCAAGCTCAGGTTGCGACATACCGTTTGCCAGGTCGAATCGGCACAGTATCATCGCCAGCATCCCATTGTTTGCAATAGCATCGTGTGGGGATGACGGGACATCTGCAAACAACCATCCAGCCTCGATCACTCGCATCCGCGCTTGACTCTGACCAGGACCTGCCCTGTCCCTCTGTTTGATTTCCCTCTTTCCTCCTCGTCTTCTTCTTCTTCTTCCTCGCCCTTATTCCCTTCCGGTTCTTGCCTCTCTTTCCACCTGGACTCACCCCACCAACAGTCTCACTGCCTGCGGCAAGTGAGGTGATGCGCCCGACAGGTATCAAGTGTCTCAGTCAAGCCCAGTTTCTCTCCCTCACATGGAGCCTCAGACATATTGCAGCATCGACCCCAGCCTGTCCCCCAACAGGCTTTTTATTTCTCCTTCGAACCATTTTTCGTCCTAGGACCTTCCTCTTGCATCAGTTTCTTTGCCTCTCGAGCTAGACCTCAATCTTGTCGCTACCATTAGACACTCAAGGCATGCATCTACTTGCAATCGATTTACTTTAACTGAGCTCATCAAACGCAAGCCAGTGAGGACGCAACCAGGGCCCATAAGCCACAACGCTTCAGTTACCACGGCACCAAGAAGTCTGCCTACTGCCATTTCTCCAGCCTCCCATGTCGTCCAACCTCCAGAGAGGCTCGGCAGCTGCCTCAGGCGGCGCGCCCTCTGGTCTTGAGGGCCATCTTCGCAACCTCAACCTGTCAAACGGTTCGGATGGACAAGAAGCTCCCTCGCCCGGACCTTCTCAAGCCATTCGAAACTCTTGGCCGGCCGCTGCTGCAAACGTTTGCCAGCCTCAAAATGGTCCGTCCGACGATGGCATCATCAAGGAAGATCACACCAAGGGCCCTTCGCAACAGTCCAAACAGGGGCGCAAACGGCCCAACCAGGCTCAGAGACGTCAGATGAACTCTCAATTCTCTATCCCCATTGACCCTCGCCCTCAGCAGCCCCCCCAACCTCGTCAGCACTACAGTCCGACTTCGCATCATTCGCGGCCATCCCAGTCTTACCAGCGGCACATGTACACAAACTCTCACCCTCGGTCTCTGCCCCAGCAAGGTCACCCGAATCCGTCCCATTACCAAGGACCATGGAATGGCCCTCCTCCGCATCACGGCGGTCCTCAAATTGCGTTCCCTCGGAATCAGGCCCACATCTACCACCCAGTCTCCGGACAGGTTTACAACTCCAAACGTCAGCCTCATTTCACGCCAGAAGATGTCGCTGCCCAAGCCGCTCTCCTCGATAGCCTTTGTTTCCAAGTCGTCTCCAACTCCGAGATTGAGTTATCAGAGATCGCTGAAAAGGAGGCCTTCCGTTGCCATATCGAGGCCATCAGCCGCGAAGCCATTACCAAGTTTGAGCAAGAACGGGATGCGTCTCTTGAGTTTCATCCCGCCTCCGTCGAGCTTAAATGCTTCGGCAGTCTATCGTCCGGCTTCGCCACCAAGGCATCAGACATGGACCTCGGCCTTCTCTCTCCCATGTCCGCACCTCCGCCCGATGCCGCCGGTTCTCAGATCCCGCGTCTTCTTGAAAAAGCATTTCTGAATGCTGGACTTGGTGCGAGGCTTCTGACACGAACTAGGGTCCCAATTATCAAGCTGTGTGGGAACCCACCCGAGAAGCTTCGCCAAGACCTTCTTGACGAACGTTACAAATGGGAGAATGGACTTGATAACGAACCCCATGACACTCATGAAGATGATGAGCATGATAACGCCGCTTCTCATGATCACGAAGACCAAACCCAGGTAGCATCTGCTGGAGATGGTGAACCATCTCCCACAGAGTTCACAGTGCCCGACCAAGCCACCGGGCTGACGCAAAGCTTCCAACTCAAGCAAGGACCCAAGAGCTCTCTTTCATCCTATTATGGCCTAGCCAAGCGGATTCTTCGAAGAGCTGGCGGACGTGATGTTACGATTTCCAACTGTCGCGACTTCACTGATCAAGATTGGGACATTCTGAATCGTGTATGTCGGGCTTTTTTTTTCGGCCTTGCTGACCCGCAACTTCGAAAGCGCTTATCCGGCTACCCGTCTCTTTCATTCGACGACACGCCCGGCAACCGATCTCTCCTAGGTGTCTTCTCGCAGATTGAGGGTGAAGAACTTGTCCAACTCTGGAAGAAGGGAGGCGTTCGAAGTAAAAGGGCGAATCCACACGCCGAAGACGTCATGAACACTTGGGAGGGGGCGCAGATGACCACAAGCTTTGGCGACGACCCTGTTTACTTTACGAAACAACTCCAGTTGGCTTTGGATAAACTCAAGAGACTGCCAGTACTTCAGTTCTTGACCTTGGAGCAGGGGCAGCATGAAACCCCTTACGAATACGGCGACCGCACCCATGGAATTTCTCAACATATCGAGCTTGCCGACGATGACAGCACCCCATACTTTGCACGCCCCGCGGCCGTCGAAGAAGAATTCCCTGTCCTCAATAAGCCGGAATTGCTGGAAGCAGTTATGAAACGATATGTTGCTGGAATTTATCAAGAGGATCTTCGGCGTGGCGTGCAAGAGTACATTGATTCCTGGAGCCATTGGATGCCATTCACTGTCATGGTACGAAAACATGCGATTCTTCATTTGATATGGGAGCTTGAGAGAGCCCTTGAGAAAGACCTATACGAAGCACGCCACATTGAAGACATTAAGGAGTATATCAAACTGCTCCGGTCCCCCATTACGAGAGCCCCTGGTCCGCCTTATCTTCAAGAATACATAATTGTGCTCAACACTGAAACAGCTGCCCTCGCTGACAGGATTCGCATGATCCCAGACCCTCACAAAATGGCCCCCAACCAGCCTCGAGACCGATACCGAGATCGCTTGGAATTTCCCAAGACAGGTGCTGGTGTGCAGTGCGATATCAACTTCTCGGCTCACCTCGCTCTCCAAAACACTCTGCTCCTGCGATGTTACTCCCACACTGACCCACGAGTTCGACCAATGGTGTTGTTCGTGAAGGTTTGGGCAAAGATTCGTGGGATCAACTCGGGATACCGCGGAACCTTGAGTAGTTATGGCTACGTCTTGATGGTTCTCCACTATCTTGTCAATGTCGCCAAGCCATTTGTGTGTCCCAATCTTCAACAGTTGGCTCCCCATCGACCTCCCAACCTATCCCCAGCTGCGATAGAAAATACGGTCGTGTGTCGAGGTCACAATATCGAATTCTGGCGGAACGAAGACGAGATTTTGCACCTCGCTCGTGGGAACCGAATCAATCACAACACAGAGAGTGTTGGTCACCTCCTCCGTGGCTTCTTCGAGTACTATGCCTTCATGGGACCGATGACTTCTTTCTCCGGAAAGGGATTTGACTGGGGCAGGGACGTGCTTAGCTTACGAACTCCGGGTGGACTTTTATCCAAGCAAGAGAAGGGCTGGACCGGTGCCAAGACGGTTCTCGTCCTTCAGGGTGCGGGTGCTAATGTTGCACCAGACCAAACGGTGGCGCCTCTTCAGAATCCCGCCGCCACAAGCAGTGCCGGAAATGGAACACAACCCAAGCCGGCGGCTTCAGCGAATAAGAGCGCCGAGGTCAAGGAAGTTCGTCACCGATACCTCTTTGCCATCGAAGATCCATTCGAGTTGGATCACAATGTTGCGCGGACTGTCACTCACAATGGTATTGTATCAGTACGGGATGAGTTCCGCCGGGCGTGGAGGATCATCAGGGCAACGGGCAACGGCAGCTGGCAGGAGAACTTGTTCCGAGATGTGAATGAGGGTGAGGTAGAGAAAGACCCCTTCTTACGACTGTTGGACACTATTCATGGAGTTGGGATGGTTTAGCAGGTGCCCATTGAGTGATGTCTCCACAAGGGTTGGGCTGGTTGGCGGCGGCGCACAGGGGGTATCCGGTCAGGATTCAGAAAAGGACGCCAGGATGGAAGAGACAAAGTATTGTAGAGTAGTTTACTGCTAGGTTATGCATTACTGGGACACAAATTGAACTTTGTTACTCGCACACAGTTACAAGCTCCTGTATCCAGATCTCACCTAATTCAATGTGTCTGCCATGCACGCAAGCAAAGGTCACATTCAGATGTCAACTGCTCACCTTTAAGTTCCAAATCTAAAATTATAAACAAACGAAGCTTGTTTTATGAGAGACGGATGCTGAGAACCAGCCTTAAAAGATCACTCGTCTAAACTGCTAGATCCGAGGAGTGTTAAAATTGTCTTTTGGATCAGGGCATGTAGTTTTGTGTAAAAAGCAAGACTCTGTAGATCTGCCATGTGTCTTGTTTATGCCCCCGGCGAGTCCATGTGTTAGTCTCACTCAATGGTGGGCACGCATACGCACAGTGAGATTTCAACGATGTGATGATCAAGGATCGGGTTTGTATTCCTAACTACTATTTCTAGGCCTTGCCAAGGACGCAGATTTTGTCAAATTATTCATCTTGGGATAAAACAGCGAAGGGATTCTTCGCTGCTGGGGATTTTACACCTGTCGAGGCTTTCACTCTAGGTACACTGTCCTTAGAAGCTTTACGTTTCTTAGGCGCAGCTCGTTTCGACTCCTGGGCATCAGGTTTAGGCAAGGGCACAAACTTGGTGACCAGCTTCAGGGTTTGGAGCTCGCTTGCCTTGAGCAGGAACGCGATGACAGTGTCAATATCCGGGAAGTCGGATAATGGTGGTAAGGAATCCAGCATCTTGTAAAGATCGGGTAGAGTTTCTTTTGCCGGTACAAGTGATAGAACTTGGTGGAGGATGCGGAAAGAATAGTAAGCCGCCTGCACTTGCGCCACGAAATGGATGGTTTCCCAAGAGACTTTACTAGAGTTGACTTGCGAAGCCTTCTGGAGGGTTTGTAGAATATGGGATTGCTTATCTTCCTCGAAGCAGTGGCGAATATCGAGCGAAACACAAAATATGTGCCACGACAATTCCACATCGGCTCGGGTCTCTTTCAGTATTCCCGTCATTAGGCGAAAGAGATCCTGAGCAAAGTCGTGGGCGGGACCTTTAGGAATGAGAGGTACCTGCCGCCCCTTTTGCCCCGTGTTGTTCACTCTTCGGTATTCCTGGACCGAGGAAGATTGGCTGGGAATGATCCATCCGAGGACAGTGTAGGCCAGCTGTCGAATTGACGTGCTCTGTTCCCAAGCGCTTCCACGGGTTGGGTCTTCGATCAGTATGGGAAGGAAGATTTTGTGTTGTTGGGTGACTTCTGTACTGTACGATGTGCCAAATTGTAGAACCAGTTCAGATATCCTGGGATCCAAGAAGTCGATTTTGAGGGTGGTTCCAGAGAGAGAAGCAGGCAAGGGTGCAGTTTCGTGATGCAGATACTCTTGACGGAATTCATCATAGATGGCACCATCTCTAACTGGCTTGGAACATTCCTGCAAGATCTGGGGAAGTGAGAGATGGGAATCACGTTTCCGCTCATAGGCCAACCGACAGATTTGGTCTGAAGGAAGTCCAAGCCTCTCACAAATGTGACTCGGAGAGAACCTCGCACAGGCAAGTCTCGAGCCTCCGTCAAGGTAGATGTCTCTGAGGAACACCACACAGCCACGTCCCAGATCATGGACAAGTAGGTCAGAATCTGATGTGAGGACGGTACCACCTAAGTTCAGCAAATGTTGTGCGCAGTAGGTATCAGCCTCACCCGGCACCAAACGAACCTGCGAACGGTACTGTAAGGAGAGCCTGAGAGCGTCGATTACTGCAGGGACATGAAAACTGGGTGGCAAGAACGGCCTTCCTGGAGGCGGTTTGGGCGAGAAGAGAGCAGAAGTTTCGCATTTGTATTTGGGAGGGGAGAGGTAATTTCGGGAGCGTCCTCTTGGGTCTGCGGAGTGTGCAAGCTTTAACTGGCGAAAGCTCTTGGTCATTCTCTCCATGCGAACAGGACGCTTGGCGAGCGGGAGGTGGCCATCGAAGTAGATGGCTTCGCTGTCGTAAGGGTTAGTTGGTGAGTTGGCGCTGCATGAAGCACTACACTTACACAGTTACACCGCGGCTGGTGAGCTCGTCTAGCCAAGTAACAGCAGTGTCACCAAGAAGCCGGTAGGACGGGAGAACTACGCCATTTCGGTTGCAGATGTAGAGGATGTGGTAGGCGAGGGCAGGGCCGTCGATGACGACCGACTTATTGTCGAGGACGTCATGGACGGCGTAGGGCTCTAGGGTAGTGATGAGATGGGGGATCCCCATGATCTCCTGGTGTCGCTCGGTTCAAGTCGAGTTGAAACGCTGGAGATGTTGCAATTAGGCGCACAAATTGAATGTGTACTGGTGTGGTTACCGCATTGTGATTGATCAATTGAGCATTGTGGGGTTGGGAACGGCGGATGCAAAACGACTTCTGATCTGGTCAAGTGTGAATAGAAATGTAGTGTTTTTCTCACGCTCTACGCCTTTTTCGCATGCCGATTGGGCCTCCGCTCGATGATTGCCACCCCATTGGCATCGGCAGGCACGTTCTGATGCGTGGCAAGGCTCGCCCGTCACAATGGTTCCTTCCTCCCATCAACGAACGCGAGGCTGCAACACAGTTTCCGACTTGCCCCGCTTGCGGGACAACCCCGCCGTGACACGCTCTGACCTGATGCTATTACTTTTCGCACGGTGTATCACCCGGTCGCTGACTGGACAGGCGGCGTTGATAAGCCCCGTGCGACCCAGCCACAGTGTACTTCAGCGCGCTCAGCGAAGATCCCTCACTTCCAGGCTGCGACCTGCCCAATGCGGCCGCTAAGAAAAAGCAAAGAAGTCCCCATGTGCACCGTGTCTTGTACCTGTGGCTTGCACAGTATCATGTACCCGCCCCCTGCCGAAGTCGTAAGAAAAAAAAATAGCTTCCGCACCTGAGCACTCCCAGCTTTTTCTTCCAAACTCTTCTCTTCCACTTCCCTTCCCCTTTCTTCCTCTTCTCTCCAGCTCTCGATTCATGGGTTGGCCAAGATGCGCAACACGCTGATCTTCGCCGGCAACTCGTGCCCAGCTCTCACCGGCCAAATATGTGAGAACCTGGGCATGACTCCTGCTAACGCGGAGCTGACCCAATTCTCCAATGTGAGCTTCCTGCCGCCGCCACCTCGGCTTTGCTTTGCTGCTTCTCCTGCATTTCTCACTTCTCGCGCTTCTTGTCGCAAGCCTTGATTGAGTCTCGTGTCCCAAATCCAGAGACAGACTAACCACCTCCCAAGGGCGAGACAAGCGTCAGGATCATGACCAGTGTGCGAGAGAAGGATGTCTTCGTCGTCCAGTCCGGGAGTCCCCGGATCAACGACTCCATCATGGAGCTTCTTATCATGATATCTGCCTGCAAGGGCGGCTCTGCCAACAAAGTCACTGGTTCGTGGCTCTCCTCGCCCGTCCTGTAATTGAGACACCATCGGCTTACCCATTGTTCGCAGCTGTCCTCCCATACTTTCCCTACAGCCGCCAGTCCAAGAAGAAGTCGCACCGCGGTGCCATCACAGCCCGCATGCTGGCCAACCTCATGGGTGTTGCTGGCGTTAAGCACGTCATTACCGTCGACCTCCACGCCTCTCAGATGCAGGGCTTCTTCAAATGCCCCGTCGATAATCTCCACGCCGAGCCTATCCTCGCCAAATGGATTCGCCACAACGTCTCCAACTGGCGCGAGGCTGTTGTTGTCTCCAAGAATGCTGGCGGAACCAAGCGAGTCACCTCACTTGCCGATGCCCTCAAGCTCAACTTTGGCATCGTTACCACAGACCGGAGGCGCGGCGGTAACATGACGGCCAGCATGATTATGAGTCACTTCGATGGTAACGAGCGACACCCGGCGTTGGATTCCAATCGCCCCATGTCTCGAAGGGCCCCTGGCGAAGTTGATGTGGTCAACAGCGCGGCCACACTGACAAGACCTTCCCGAATCGTGACAGATTCTCAGGGTTCGCCAAGACGCGCGATCCCAGGCTCTACTGCTCGCATGTCAAACCTCAGTCTTTCTGAGTCTGCAGAGGACCCCAACATTACCCCCCCAGCAAGGTCACCCGACCCTTCAATCAACGGCGAGGCCGATTACGATGACCACAAGGTCCAGGAGGTGACTCATGGTCGCCTGGTCCATGGCCGTATCGTCGAGGATGATTTCCCTTCGCCCACACAATCTGCTGCCGACGCTAGTGTAACCGAGGATGACCCCATGGTCATGTCGCACGCATCGTCCTTCTTCGCCCCAGAGCCCCAGTCCCTTGGAGGATCCGGTGACGCTGCTGACAGCTCTGACGAAGAGGACAATGCTTTCGAGAACACTGGGGCCGAGCACATGATCACCCTGGTGGGAGACGTCAAAAACCGAACCGTCTTCATCGTCGACGACATGATTGACAAGGCCGGATCTTGGATCGCCGCCGCTGAGACTGTGGTCAAGAGGGGCGGCGCAAAGAAGGTCTATTGCATGGCTACGCACGGTGTTTTTGGCGGAGATTGTCTTGAGCAGCTGCAAGCATGCGAGTGCATCCACACCATCGTCGTTACAAACAGCTTCCCCATCGACAAGGAAAGGGCACGCAATATTCCGAAGCTCGTCATCCTCGATCTGTCATTCCTGCTGGCGGAGGCTATCCGACGGAACCACTATGGAGAGTCAATCTCCCCACTGTTCCAGCACTACGAGTAGAGGATGAGGATGCTTGTTCGATTGAGAGCCCCTCTCTGCTGTACTTTGTGTCTATGTGTGTGCTACCTTTTTTGATGACGATTTACATGGCCGTCCTTTTTTGGGTTTTTTTAGCGAGGCGTCTGGCGGAGGAAAGGTTGGTTTTAAGGGGCAAGGCCCGGACCATTCATTTCTTAAGGTTTACAACCACACGTGGCAAAGTAGGTGACGAATTACGATTGTTAGTCCTGGTTTTTGCAGCCTCGCCCTGGTCTGTGAAGTCGACTATGTTCCATTCCTTTTCCCCCTTTACCCCACACAGAGTTGCCTTTAGCAATTTCTGATTCTACTTCCCAGCGGTGCTGTCACTTGTTGACGGCAAGGGCCCGATTCATCTCAGAATGGGTTCTTAACGGAACGTTGGTAGATCAAATATTCGTTCTTAGAAGGCCCCCAATTCAGACCGCTTGGTCTATGCCCTCTTTTGGGCGAGTGGGTTGGGGGCAAGAGAATTTTTCGAACATTTCTTTGTTGATTGCCAAGCATGAGGCACTGGAGTAGACAGTAGTTAGGTCGAGCACATGACTGCCGGTGGGTGGTGTTGAGTTGAGGTAATCTCAAGAGAATGCAATTGTCCCTTAATGGGGAGTATCCCGTGGCCTTTCGTCATTTTCTGAGTCCTTTGGGACGTGTGGTGTTGAAGTATACATTTAGTTGGGTCGTGTGGGCTCTTGACGTTTCCTCTGATTCTATGCTTGGTGTGCGTACACGATTCGCATTCCTTGTCTATATTATCATTTGTATATTCTAAACCTTTCGGTGCATAGTGCCAGCACCAGCCTAGGAGGATACCATTGTCAGTTACGGAGTGAGTCTCGATAGCTATTGAGTCTTACCTGGTGGTTGGGGTAGATAAGAGTGTCAGCGACGACGACGTTTTCTCGGCGGGTGGCATTGAAGACGATAACCTCGGCGATGTCATCGGGGGTGAGGGGCTCGACTCCACTGTGAGGGCTGTAAGTAAGATGCGAAATTTCTGTGCTGAGCACCATAGGTTAATGGGAAACATACGCGTAGACAGCATCAGCCTTGGACTTGTCGCCATAGAAGCGGACAACGGAGAACTCCTAGGGACGAGGGTCAGACTAGGTAGGCAAAATATAGGCTGGGGAATGGTGCTGGTTACAGTCTCAACTTGGCCGGGATCAACCTCAATGACACGGACGCGGCTGGCGATGAGCTCCTTGCGCAGGGACTCAGAGAAACTCCGAACAGCGGCCTTGGTAGCGCAGTAGATGGATCCGCCGGCGTAGGGTTCGCGACCGGCAATGGAACCGACGTTGATGATGTCGCCGTGGCCACCATCAGGACGGGCGAGGAAGATGGGGAGGACGACCTGGGTCATGTTGACGAGGCCAGTAACGTTGGTTTGGAACATGACGTTGATGTCATCCTCGTCGATTTCGGGGGCACGAGCCACGCCCTTGACGAGACCGCTGTAATAGTTGAATCTTGTAAGTGCTTGACTCGTTCTGGTTGGGTTTGGAAATGTATTTGCATCTCGGGATATTGAGATGGTGCGAAGACATACGCATTATTCACAAGAACATCAATGTTCCTCCACTCCTCGGGCAGGTTCCCGACAAAGGCCTTGACCTCGGCGGAGCTGCTCACGTCGAGCTTAAAGGGCAGGACCTTGACGCCCTCGCCGACCTCCTTGGTAATCTCCGCGGCAAGCTCCTTGAGGGTGTCGATGCGGCGGGCCGTGAGGATAAGGCGCAGGCCATTCTGCGGCGCGGTGCGGGCGAACTCCAGAGCCGTGGAACGGCCGATGCCGGAGGAAGCGCCGGTGACGACGATGGTCTTGCCGGTGAGGCGCTTTGCGGCGGCGGAGGATGACATTTTGCGGATGGAGGAGACGATTGCAACCGAGGGAAAGAGAGCGGTGGTGAGAGAATTGATGGAGGAGAAGGATTGGCGTGGACGGCGGAGGAGGTTATGAGTGATGGTGGTGATGAAGGTGGGGGTGGTTGCGAGCAGATGGCGACTCATACGGAGAGGTGGAGAACGGGGATGAGAGGGGATGAGAGGGATGAGATGGGATTGGATCAGATATTAGAGATGAGAGCTGGACGATAATACGCAAATGGTTGACAAATGGACAAATGGCCCATGACTACTCAAGAAATGACTGTGACCAGCCGAACAAGGCGGGGCACGACAGGCGGAGGAAGCTCCCGCACTTTGAATTCCCCGTTTTGCCCCTCCGGATCAACGGGGGATTGCCCTATCACAGCGCCGGCATCTTGCCTTATCCGCGGTTGGACTGACGTGCAACTTGTAACTTAGGTTCGATGTAGAATAGACTAGATTAACTTGGGACGAAAGAGAAACGATAGAAAAGAATACAACACAACACAACAAGCGCATCAATATGGATCATCGGCATTGGCGGTGGCCGCCCTAACAGCATCCGCGGCAGCCTTCGCGGCGGCGGCCTCCTTCTTCTCCTTCGCGGCCTCCTCCTCCTCCTCCGCCTTCTTCGCCTGATCATCATCCGCATTCGAGACAAGCGGGTGGAAGCCGGGCACTTTCTCGCCGTTCTCCCACTTCTGCTGCGCCGTGGCGGCCGGGTCCATGCCCAGGCCCTTGTTGCGTTGCATCATCAAGGGCTCGCCCTTGCGCATCTCGACAAACGACCACGGGTAGTCGTTGAAGCCGACGCAGTTGTAGATGTACAGCTCGCGCCGCATCTCGGTCGCCGACTTGGCCGCCGCCTTGATGGCCGCCTTGACGGCGCGGATCTGGTCGCACCCGGTCGACCACCAGTCGAAGGCCACGTAGGCGTCGCCCCAGCGCTGGCCGTTGACGTACTCGAACTGCCAGTTGATGGGCGCGCATTTCGTCTCGTGCAGCTTCCCCAGGAACCAGCTCCCGAAGTGGCCCGGCCAGTTGCCGCCCACGTCGAACTGGTTGCTGGTGAATGTGCGGCACCGCAGCCACATCCAGTTGCGCGCCGTGTATTCCGAGTACGTGAGCGGCCGGTTGAAGAGGAGCTCCGTGAGGTTGCGTTTTGCCCCGCTGCCTACATGTTTCTTGGGAATGTAGTTCGTGGGTCTGTTGTCTGGGTGGTCCTTTGGGAGGCCGTTTATCCTGCCCTCCGCCTCTTCCAGCTTCTTCTTTACCATGTCCCTTATCATGTCAGTTGACATTTGTTTCAGCTTCTTGTCCAGCTCCTTGTCGTAGTCTTCCTTGCTGCCCTTCTTGTCTTTTGCCGTGCTGTCTGCCGTATCGTTCGTCTTTGACATTTCTTTTAGCAAATCCGCCAAGGCGTTGACCATGGCGTAATCTGCATCGCTGTTCTGCCCGTCATTTGCCGGGTCCTCTATCGTGTTGTTCGTCTTGTCATCCATCGTGACATTCACCGTCCCCTGTGACATCTTTTTGACCACATCATTTAAAGTGGCAAGTGTGGCGTTGTTTAGATTGATGTTCTGCACGTCATTTGCCGTACCACTTGTCGGGTTGTTCGTCTTGTCATCCATCTTGGCAGCTGCCATTTCCTTCACAAGATCCCTTAAAGTGTCGAGTGAGATAAGGATTGGACTGTCGTTCTGCTTGTCTTCCGTTTTGTTATCCGCCTTGCCAGTCGTCATATCCTTTGGATTGGTGTTCAGCTTGTCGTCCAATTTATCACTTGTTTCGTCATTCTTCCTATCCTCCGTATGGCCATCGACCTTGTTAGTCGTCCTATCCTTTGGATTGCGGTTCCGCTTGTCGTCCATTTCATCATTCGTCCTATCCTTGGCATTGTCATCCCCCGCCTTTGCATTTCCTTCAGACTCGGCCTTGGGTCGCGGTTTTTGCGGCTCGCCCTCATTTCTTGTATGAATCTGAAAGTGATCAAAATCCGAAATGACTTGGGGCAAGTCCTTGTTCGTTGAAATCTGGGACATCTCTCCCGTCGCCCTGCCAGTTGTCGGTGCCCCCAGAGCTGTAGAGGCTGCCAACAACGCTCCGACGAGTACTTTGCCTGTCACCATTCTCGGCAGTGTCTCCGAAATGCAAGAAAATAGAGGGTCAAGGCAAAGCGTGGGTGCGGAACTGTTGTGTTCAATTTGAACAAATTCTCGGCGGTCTATTGCTTATATATTTTAGGAAATACCTTGGCGTGCTATGTACAACAGGTTTCCATTGCCACCGTTCCACCTCATCCAACTCTAACCTAATATAAATCCAGCTCTATTTCTATGTTCTATGTTCTACATTCCTTTTACACATTGTTCATCAGGGTATGCCATGGCTACCTGGGACGCTAAATGTTTGGCGCCACTGTTCATCGGGGTTCTCTGGAATCATCTGATGGTCACCATGCCCGCACTCTGTTTTCTCTCCACCCTCCATCAACCCTTCCGGCCTGCTCTCTCCGACCTTCAGGTCTCTTAGTCATATCAGACTTTTTCGGTCCCTATTTGCGTGTCCACAGTGGCCGCGCCGGATTGTCCTCGTCGTCTAGCAACCTCCTCGGCTACTAGAGCTTGCCGTTGCTCTTGGATTAGGAAGCGGCGACGGCGATACGCACCCAGAGTCGAAATCACTCCAATTGCCGAAATGCCTGCCGCCACCTTCATGTCCATCCGGAACGACTCCGCATACGCGTAGTGGACCCTTTCTAGCTGTGTGTCGGAGAGATGCGAGTCGGGCCCGCCGACTGCAGCCAGCTCCGATGGCGATAGCATACCCGTAAGGTATTCGGTAACTTTTTGATGCAGCACGGCTGTCGACGTAGCGATTCCCAAACTACCACCGAGGAGACGGACTTGGGAAAGGATCCCTTGTGCAGGTGCTGTAGCGCTGGTTAGTACATCGGCTCATCTAGTTTATTTGACTTGTACTATACCATAGTTGCGAATGGGTACCTCAATTGTCGACATCATCGTTGAGGCCGCAATAGTGAGCCCGAATCCAAGACCGCAAAATGTGACGAATCCGAGCTGTTTTCCGCTATCCAGCTCGTGCGATAATGTCGTCAAAAGACCGCACCCTACCGTCATCAAGCAAGAGCCCACCAGCAGCGTCTCAAACACATAGTTTTTGATCGCATTAATTCTTCCACTGAGAGCGCTTCCTATGGCAGCGCTTCCTAGCATCGGGAGTAGCATCAAACCCGCCATAAGCGCCGACTTTCCACCGACGACTTGAATCCGGACCGGGATAGCGTAGATGAGCTGAAGATAAGGGTACCCCAACAACATGGTGTTTAGTACAGCTGCTGTGTATACTCGGTTTTTGAAGATGGTGAATGGGAAAGCGGGAGCGAGACGGTCCTCAAATCGGCAATGGATAAGGTACTGCCAAGCAGCAAGCAACGCCCAAGCGAATAGCCCACAAAGCAGGGGAGCAAGAAAGATTGCCTTGTGCCACTCATCGTCAGGAGATGACCCGGCATTCTGAAATGAAAAGACGACTAAAACGGCAGCGGAAATTGCGAGAAAGGAGCCGGCGTAATCGAGTTCTTTCCAGGCACGCCGCTCGAGTGATGGAAGGTATTCTGCGCGGGGCCAGGTGAGAAGGAAGATGACCAGAGAAACCAGGCATATAGGCCCACTACCAAGAATTAGTGAAATTCAAGAGCCAAATCATATATGACTTACTTGATCCAGAAGACCCATCTCCAGCTAGTGTAATGGGTGAGAAGGCCGCCAAGCACTGGACCCAAGACCCCAGCAAGGGCCACAATCATGCCCACGAGGGCGGCAATGTGATGTCGCAAATTGTTTGGGCTCATTTCGGGAAGCATTATCATGGTAAGTGAGTACAGACCTGGGTTGTTAGTACCGAATATCTAGATGGACCAAGACTGGGAAGACCCACCAGATCCGCCAACCCCTTGGAGGACGCGGAAGGCGATGAGCTGATCTAGACTCTGAGCAAAGCCGCAAGCAAGCGAGAAGGCAAAGAAGAGAACATATGCTGCAATGAATGCATTGCGTCTCCCAATAATGTCGGAGATGCGGGCAAAGACGACGGCACACCCGAGGTAAGATAGGGTGTAGGCGAGGGCGACCCAGTTGACAGTTTCGAGCGCCTCAAACTCGAGGCCGATGGTGTAGAGGCTGGTAGCAACGATGGATGTGTCGATCATGGAGAGGAACAAGCCGAGTAAGACGCTATATGGTTTCTATTAGTATCGAGCAACAGGGTGTTGGCAGGCAATAGATAGTTACCCAACACTCAACATCCAGAATCGCAATGCAGGGATTGCCGACTCTTGGACTTCGCTGTTTACGGGAGGAGAAGGAGTAGAGCGATCCTTCTCGGAGAGCTCATCCCCAAGAGGGCCTTGGTCTTGCTCCAAGGTCATGACTGCGATTCAGGAGAGATGCGATGCTTGTGTTCTTGATATTCTCGGTGGTGAAGTGTGAGGTTTAAGAAACAACAACTCAAGCAGGTCTGGGCGAGGTCTTATAAGTAATGACCGTGACCGGGCAATGCGGCACAACGGGAAGTGCGAGAACGAAGTCAGTGAATGATCAGACCCCAACCCAGTCTTGTTTGCACAGTTGCGCCTGTGACTGCGTTTCGCAACGCATATTTGGCAAGTCCGCGGAATAAAGACAAGCGAAAAAGAAAGAGAGCGAGAAAGGATGAAAAAACTCCGACGGAGATAGCATGATTCTTGCTAGCCATGCATGCGCTTGCGCGATTCGACCAAGACGACAAGCAATCGACTTCCGACACCTGCAGTGATTCGCAGGGCGCGGAGGTACTTAATGAGGTTGTGGAGGTGGGCGGGCGCTCGCATTCGGCTGCAGCGTGGGTCGCATCTGGGGGAAATCTTACCATCCTGGTCTGGTGGGTTATAGTGGGTTGTGTGGTGTTGGATGAGCATGTTGGCGTGTGTTGGCGTGTTGGCGTTGGCGTTGGCGTGTTAGTGAATTGCAGTTAACAAAGGGCGGTGGTGTTTGATGCCAATGATCGACTGTGCGTGTAGTCATAGTGGAGGCAGGCATGTACATGTACATTCCCAGTGAAATGAAACAGCGTGTGACAGAGTCAATGGGCTTCTTGGCGATCAACAAGAGGATGTAGAAATGTCGGCAAACCCTGGGTTGATGGAGGAATCCAAAGCCGATGCAGCGGTGCTTGAGCGAACGCCCCACCGAAAGCACCCGTTTCTTGCCGTTTGGCGCCTCTGGTGCGTTCCTTCACTGAGGCTGTCTCGCCTCTCGCATTCGCTCGCACGGACCACATTTGAACCGTTCTATCCGTCCTGCCCTGCAGACAGCGGGACACGGACTGACTAATTCACCGTCCTTCCCAGTTTTCTCATACGGTACGCCCGCTAATTACCCGCTTTCCTCTTTTGCTGCCAGGTTCGCACCAAAGCGCGGTACGGAGCTACCTGATGTGCCTGCCTAACGTCACAGCTCCACTTCAGCTCCCAGCTCCCAGCCGTCACTGCTCGTAAACTGTGCCGTTCGCCTACTGTAACGCCCGTCAACTTATGGAAAGCAACCCATCATCGCAATCCTCCAATCCCTAATCTCCACGGCGTCCCACGTTGTTTGTGCAGTGCGTCTAGTGCGTCTAGTGCTTTTCTTCCTGCTTCCCCAACTTCGATAATTCTCCGTCGGGTTGTCAGCCCTACTGGAAGTCACTCACCGGAACTCAATCACCCCGCTACTCCGGAATCCCAACGTACCTGACGCTACCATGGCCGACGTCATGGTCCAAACCCCCCCGGTCCTCCAAGGCCCCTCCGAGAAAGAGAGGAAATACGATCGCCAACTGAGGCTCTGGGCTGCTTCTGGCCAGGCCGCCCTCGAATCTGCCAACATCCTCCTCGTCAACTCCGGCTCCGGCACTGTTGGTGTTGAGACGCTGAAGAACCTTGTTCTCCCAGGTCCGCTCCACCTCCCGCCGCCGTACCCATCTCGATACTTACCCAAAATACCTAGGTATCGGTAGTTTTACAATTGCCGACCAAGCCACGGTCCGCCATGAGGATCTCGGCGTCAACTTCTTCCTTGACGAGTCCTCTCTCGGCGAGTTGAGGGCCGAGGCATGTACCAACTTCCTCATCGAACTCAACCCCGAGGTCCAGGGAAACTGGTACCCCAAGTCCAAGGCATGTCATCACATACCCCATCGATGATATAATCCTCAAAGCCCTCCAAGGCTGACTACCACCAAGGACTCCTTCAGCCTCCAAGAGCTGCTCTCCACTTCCCCGACATTCACCATAATCCTCTACGCGCTACCTCTGCCCCTGGACCAAGTTCAACTCCTCCATGACTACGCTCGTCAACACAGCACTCCGATCATGGCAGTTCACTCCGTCGGCTTCTATTCTTACTTCAAGACCACACTACCCGGGACCTTCCCGGTCGTCGATACCCACCCCGAGGAAACTGCCACCACCGACCTGAGGCTGCTTACCCCTTGGCCTGAGCTTGTTGACTTTGCAAATGACATGACCAAAAATATCGACAGTCTAGACAACCATGAGCATGGTCATTTGCCTCTTGTTGTCATTCTGCTCCATCATCTTGATCAGTGGCAACAGAGTCATGGTGGTGCCTATCCGACAAAATATGCCGAGAAGACTGCCTTCCGCCAGACGATATCCGATGCAATGAGAAAAGACAACCCGGAAGGAGGAGAGGAGAACTTTGAGGAGGCGGTGGCGGCTGTTATGAAGCACGTCACGGTCCCTTCCATCCCCGGCTCCCTCCAGCAGGTCTTCGATTACCAACATCAGGATCCCGTGGGTGTTCCCACAAACACCCCCTTGACCGCAGCTCCCTAACATTTCCGCTAGGCAAAAGTAAAATCCAGCTTCTGGATCATCGCCGAGGCTGTGAAGCGGTTCCACAAAGAACACGGGTGTCTCCCCGTCCCGGGCGGCTTGCCAGATATGAAGGCCCAGTCAAGTGTTTACATCAAGCTTCAGAATATTTACAAAGAAAAGGCACGTCAGGACGTCAGACAGGTTCTAGATTCAGCCCACGGCATTCCAGGCGGCGAAGAAATTGACTCATCCGAGGTTGAGCTGTTCTGCAAGAACGCCCGCTTCATTAAGCTCATCAACAGCGAGGAAGGAAATGCGGTCCGGGTGGATCAGGTCGTGGGTGAGTCGATAATTGCGCCTCCCGAAGTTCCGAAAATCAACGGCGACTGACCTTCCACGTCATTGCAGATCAAGAGCTAGCAAACGATGAGATTGCCGCCATGGCCGGCCCGGAAATGCCCCTGTCTCTTCTTCCCATCTACCTCGCTCTCGCATCCACCTCTCATGTTACGACTGCCTCCCCCCAGGCAATAATGGAACGCATTAGTCAACAAGCACCAAGGGCCGAAAGCAGCGAACGATTCCTCAAGACGGCTCAGGAGGTCTCACGGGCTGGTGGTGGTGAACTGCACAACATCTCTGCTGTCACTGGTGGAATGGTAGCCCAGGAGATGATCAAGGTCATCACAAAACAATACGTCCCAATCGACAACACTTGTATCTTCGACGGCATTGAAAGTCGATGCCAGGTGCTTCGCTTATAGGCCAGGGACTGTGTCAAGAGGTGGGGTGCCGGTCATAGGGGTCATCGTGCTTGGAGGCGGATGACATGCAGGGGGGGTTCCTCGGGAGGTCTATCACTTTGGGACATGGCGGCATGCGAGTCCCACTGTTGATCCAAGGCCCTGGAGGGCAAGTCGTATCTTGACGCCAGAACGCAAAATCTAATGTGGTGGGATGGCAGCAATATCCGGACGAGTCTAGCTGCTGCCACAACTGAAAGTGCGCGGATTTCCTCTGGACGGAGACCTCATCCGACAATGAATACTTTACAGGGGAGAAAGCCAAGACGCTTAGCAGGGCGAGGCACCTTGGGATCGAAATTGAAGCCGAGCGCACAGCAAATAGAAATGACTCATACGTTCATTCAGGGTGGACGCTGAGATCCAACCGAACGCCGATCTTTCGATGAGAATATCTTGAGGAATTACTATCTGGCAAAGTACAAATCGCCATATCATTATGAGAGGAACGGACACTTTGAAGAGACATGATGCGGACATACATGCGTGAATACTCCATGGCGCAGCGATGGGCCGTGGCTGATGATCAGTGACGGGATTTCTAGCAGTGCCACAGAATCACACCGGAAGAATTATTGTAGTAAATAGTTCTTGGAAGCCAATATTCGGAGGTGCAGGTCGGCGGCAAGGCCTCACCACTCAGACGTGTCTACCTACAAGTTGTTATGTGGGTCATCATCACCACCTGGCAGGACGCATGGATGACGAGATGGGCCGACAACTCAGGTGGCGACGGCCCAGTTGCTGTATCTGGATCGAGGGGCTGGTCCATCCTCCACATATTGGTTCTTGCGGTGCGGCTGACTGGAGAGATTTTGGGTCCGCTTCGATCAAGTATAGGATGAATAAAGGCGGTCGAGTGCCGGCGTTAAGAAGCGGCATTTCGGCGAGGAGCCGAAGCGGCGGAAGTGTGATTCGCCTTTGCTAAGTGACTACGTGGTATTATAAGGAACCCGAGATGCCATATGGTGATCGACGTAGGGGGCACGGTATACCGCCCTCAATTGCCGCCAACCGGCGGGATTCGGTACGCTAGCTTCAAGGTCAGTAAGGCTAAGCAGAGGCAAGGCACGATGGCCTTCAACTACATGCATTGGACCAGGTTGGGCAGGGAATGCAACGGGATGGCCCGGGGGCGAAGCAAAGATGGGCTGGCTCTCGGCAGCATCGGTATAGCTGCTTCCAGATGGTAAATGAGGTTTGTGCCGGGCAGAAGTTCCGATACGAGGCTGTGGGTAAAAAGGCCCCAGAGAGTCGGTCAAATGGACATGGAAGCGTGGAGAATGCGGAGAAGATTGAGCAGGTCAAGCAGCACGAGAAGGTTGAGGGTGGGCGGACGAGAGGGGGCCACGGATAAAGCTGATGATTGGCAGCACGAAAGCTGGGGTGCATTCTAGTGTGCCTGGTACGGACCGAAGATCCTGGGATGCGGGTGAAGAAAGTCGGTCGGAAACCAGGAGTGGGCCGATCGTCCAAGACTTTTGCTTGATCACATGTGGATTTCGAGCCGACGACGGCGAGCGTTGTGGTTGTGGTTGTGAGGGGCCGAGTCGCTAGTTGTGACGTGGTGGCCGTTTGTGATTTCGATCATGGGACTAAGGGCGCGTCTTTGCATCCAATATTAACCGGAAGGCTTGAAGGCAATGCCGCCTCAGAGTTGAGGGCTTATTCAATTTCGATTGACACAAACATGATCGGGGTGAGGATGCCAGGGACGGCGACCATCCAGGGTCAAAAGATGCCAGCATTTGCCGGGTTGCAGAAGAGGCAGGGACCTCACTGGCGGAAATCCCAATGTCCGACACTAGCTAATATCGGGGGCCTGTCGCGAGATTTTGTACGCAGCAAAGACGGCAGAAGCTTGGGTTGAAACATAAGGTGTGGCGGCAGTGGACGCCAGTAGACGGGGTTGTGGACTTGAGGTCCATTTCTTCGGTGGGTATCGTCGCCGATGGAGTCTGGAGAAGCTTGACGCCACACCGCGTGCGAGTCCGGGGATGTAAATCTGGGGTTTTGGGGTACGCAGACGCGAGGCGAGGAGGCATGTCGTCCTGCGTGAGGAACCATGCACCTGAGGAAGGAAGCGCTTGATGGTTCCTGCCTTATCCCTCCCCAAGGTGCCGAGGCTTGCTACGTTGGGAAATGCGCCTCCCAGGGCAAGCTACCTCTTTCCAGAGAAGGTGCCTGCCCGAATCTGACAGTGTCGTCACTCGCCCTGCCCAGTCCCATTGGATGCCACTCACACGCAGAACTTAAACCTGTACCCACCGCCCGCACAACGCAACGGCACCGCATCGCCACGTTGAGTCGGCTCACAGTAAGCCATTGTCACGCCGTCCATACACGTGCAGATGCGTTCAAGCATAAAAACAACCTGCGCACGTGTATAGATACAGGCACAGGAATTGACGCTTCCATGGATGAACAACAGCACGTCCGGGAGGCAGTTCCTGAACCGGACCCTCCAAGACCGGGGTTCCTCCTAACCCGGCCCCCCTGACCAAGTCGAGCGGCAGTGGTCATTCCTCCATTCTACTCTCGGCAGGCCAACGCCATGGATCAGGCCCCTCGAGCCATCATTCGACCCGTTCATCGTTCATCGGGCCGTCAACGCAGAGTCGATCGACGTTCCCCAGGCCTTCGAAGCTGTCGACCCTCCCTCTCGACTTCTGCCCCCCTCCCCCTCCCCCTCCCCCTCCCCCCCCCTCTCAAATCGCCAACTCGACGCTCGCCATCCCTCCTGCATGGGCTTCCAACACCCTTTCGATGCCTTCTCCCGCCGGCTTGCCGACTGTTCCTGTGCCTGTGCCTTGAACTTCGCCTCCACCACTCTCGCGAGTCGCCCACGTTTCTTTGAGCTCCCCACCATCACCACAGCACGCAACGGAAGCTACCGGGGCCTCAGCACTCGTAACTAGATGATACGATTCACCCTGCCACCCTCGACCGATCTTGACTTCAACTGCCACCCAGCTCTGTCCCGCCCGGGCTCGCTAGCCGCGACCTGCTTCATCTTACATCCGTCCATCTCGGGTAGCTTCTACTCCACACACCCCGTCTCCTCCTTCGACGGTCCTCCTCATCATACCCCTTGTCCACCACCCTCCCACCCACATGGCATTGATCTTTTCTACAAGCGCCCAACTCCAATTCATCCGTCGACCCTGGCCTGGCCCACTCCCGCTTCTCCGCATTCCGGCTCTCACTCGGGCCCTAAATCGATCCAAGCCCCCGTCAACACCATCAAGTCTGCCTCTATATATTTCCCGTGACCCCTAACTCCCCCCTCGGCCTTGTGCCGCTCCAAGCTTTGGACCGCCAGCCGCTCCTTTCTTGGAAACGTCTTGGCCCAAGCATGTATTGTCTCCTCATTTTTGCTTCTCTACACTCGAGTCTCAAGACGTTCTCCTTGTATATGCTTCGCCTCCTACCACGGGACCAATACTCACCCACCCCTCATCACCTACCATGCCTCCGACGATTTCAATCCCTCCCCGTAATGGGATGTTCCACACCTGTCCGTAGTCTCTGATGTCTCCCTGACATTCAACAAGACTGACAAACGATTTTAGTCCAAGGCATCACCCCTCAAAGGCCATCAGTAGGATCGCCGGACAGCCCAAAAACTTGCAGCTCGGGTAACAAGCGTATTACCACTCCTCATGCCTGTGCCGAGTGTAAAAGGCGCAAAATCCGTTGCGATGGCAAGCAACCCTGCGGCCAATGCCTCTCCAGCCGCGCTCCCAAGCGGTGTTTCTACGACAAGCATCGCCAGCGAGTTATTCCCTCGAGAAAGTGAGCTCATACGCCTTCATATTGAGGATTCCATGTATCTAACAATTCAAAGGACTCTCGAAGCTCTATCCCAATCTCGGGAGGAGTGTCGCTCTATCCTAAAGCGCCTGTATCCCAATCATGAGCCATCCGCTCTTATCCCTCTATCCCGTCAGGAACTACTTGACCTATTGGGGCCCCCTACAACCGAATCAACCATTGCCTTGCCTTCACCTCCTCTCAACTCTGCCCCATTGAAACAAGAGATTCCCTTGCGCCCGGAAACAGGGCTAGCTCTCCTTGAGCAGGTGCCTTCCCATGGCTCCGAATCAGACGAAGAGCGACGTGGCAGAGACCACATTCCTGTCGAAGCCGACGATGTCAACGCTCTTTCCCTCAACATGGACCGACAAACATCATCATATCTTGGCGCATCGTCCATTAAAGCAGCTCTACTCGTCATGCTCAAGGTTCAGCCGCAACTAAGAGACTCCCTATCCCAACCCCTGACGAATTTTGAAACGATGAATAATCTTCCATGTTTACAACAACGAATCGTTCGCACCACAGAGAACTGCCGAGTTCCATGGTCGTGGAAGGGACAAACTCTCATTGATGCATATTTCAAGCGAGTGCATGTCTTCGTACCAATGCTTGACGAACCCTCATTCCGGGCCGACTGCCTCGGGGGACAGAGATGTGACTCCCCTTGGCTCGGTCTTCTCAACATGGTATTTGCCATGGGTAGTATTGCGGCCATGAAGTCGGATGACTTCAGTCACATCGAGTACTATCACAAAGCAATGGAACATCTCACCATTGACTCCTTAGGGAGCAGCCATATTGAAATTGTTCAAGCACTCGCCCTCCTTGGAGGCTACTACTTGCACTATGTTAACCGACCAAATATGGCGAATGCAGTCCTCGGTGCTGCACTCAGAACCGCCAGCGCTTTGGGTCTACACCGTCAGTTCCAGACCCCTGGATCCACTGATGGTTCGACGGTAGAGGTTCGACGGCGCACTTGGTGGTCTTTGATCTGCCTAGATACATGGGCTACCACGACACTAGGTCGACCTTCCTTGGGTCGATGGGGTCCTGAGGTCAACATTCGCCCACCTGAGGTTGGAATTGATGAGGTAGATATTGCAACACCCCTAATACCCTTGCCATTGCTAACCACATTTGCCTAGGGCCATGATTCTGCACAGCATGTCGGCATCCTCCCCCTTGTCGAGAACATTAAATTCTGCCAGATTGCTACACAGGTCCAGGATATTCTTGCTGTTGCCCCCCTTCTTAAAATTGAAGATCGCAAGAACATGGACGGTCAGCTTATCAACTGGTACAACAATCTCCCATGGCTTCTCCGCAGCAACGACCCCTGTGCCGAGCCCCTTTACCTTTCTCGGTGTGTCATGAAGTGGCGATACCAGAATCTACGCATGCTCCTGCACCGTCCAATCCTCCTCAGCATGGCTTCCAACGGTGTCAATAGCCAGGCTGGAGAACATGAGATCGCGGCTGTGGAGACCTGCCGGGAGCTGGCAAAAGCGACGATCGATGAAATATCCCGTGAGTGGGCACGGAACCAGATGTCCGGCTGGAACGCCGTCTGGTTCCTTTACCAGGCCGTCATGGTGCCACTGGTAAGCATATATTGGCAATGGAACAGTCCATTCGTGTCGGAGTGGCAAATGCAAATCGAAGCTACCCTCACTTTGTTCGATGCCATGGAGGACTGGTCGCTGGCAGCTCGTCGCAGCCGCGAAGTTGTCCGGCGACTTTACGAGGCCCGACACCAGTGCTGTTACCAAAGTCCCCTGTCCTCGGCCGGGACTGATCCAAGCATGATGCTAGGCGATACGGGTCTGCACATGTCCCCCATAGAATTGGACCTTGACGATATGGTAGGAATGCTTGACCAGCAGGGCATATGGGACCTTGACGGGATGTACTGGGGAGAGTCCCAAGACACATTACCAGTAGATAGCGAGATGTACAATATGGGCAACGATGGTATGATGCAGGTGGGCCATGGTTCAATTTCCTTGGATGGGTCTAGCATGGACAGCACATTTTTGGTTCAATAACGCGGCGGTGTATGCCGCGCAGGATGGCTCGGGTTGTACATTAATTTCAACCTCTTGGGAGGCCGTTCCCCGAGGAATGGGTTTCGGTGCATGATGCGAAAACGAATGTATGATAAGACTAACGTCTCTTGATTTTAATGGTGTTTCTTGCAATATCCTGCTTCGCCCATCGGAGAATCTCCAAGACAGGCTCAGGAGAAGGGGGCTCAACCCGGTGACGCAGGCACAAAGGTCGAGCACTCCTTCCTCACGACCACACAAAACTCTAACACGACCAAACCAATGCCACCGATCCCCTGGTCTGGTGAATTGTCCTCTTTTTTGCAACCTTCATCGGCATTCGTGCCACCGAGGGACCAGCCTCGAGCATCCAGCCTCGAGCATCATCCCCGTGTTCCGAACTCGATGCCCACGGCCACGCTACATCAGGCATCATGGATTACTCTCTGACGTGCAACGTCCTCCAGTGCCGGCAAGAGTTGGGCGATCGCGTCCTTGTGACTAGCTGCTCGTTTGTGTTGCTTATTGATGCATCTTTTCTCTTTGCTAATCCATCCTTCGCAGTCACATCCTCTGCCTCGATTGCGTCCAACTAGCGGGCATCAAGGATCAAGAGAGTGATCAACGCATATGCCCAGTCTGCAAGTTCCAACTCAACAACCCCGACGACGTCATGTTTACAAATCTCAACCCCAGTGAGGACTACAAGTCAATCGTGTTGTGCGGTCTCTCTCCCAGCGCCATAATGGAATGTGCTGGACGAGCGCTTGGTTTTTGGACTTACCAAACATCTGCAAGTATCTCCTTCGAGCAGCACGTCTCTAAGGCGCTCAATGACAAGTACAATAACCTCTCTCTTCATCTCGAAAAGACTGTCAATGAGGCCAACTCGGAAATAGAGTCGCTTCAGCACAAAATAACAAGTCAGTGCCATTTGAGAGCTTGAGAGCCGATCGTCCACGATTTAACCAGAGCCAAACTAATGATGGCAGGCCTAGCCGCGGACCAAGTCACTTTGAAACGCAAACATTTGGACCTTACCCAAGCGTTTAAGGAGAAGAATCGGAAGCTCCTACATACGCAGGAGCTCTACGACAAGGTCAAGAGAAGGGCAGAAATAGGATCCATTCAACAAGCCGCATCTGACGCCGTGGATTCAAGCCACCGGGCCACACCACAACTGAGCCACGTATTTGGCGTCGTGGGAGATTCTAATGTGGACAGAAGCAACACCACGTCTGCTTTTGGTCAAAGCCACAGACTTGAGATGGCAGGCATGAACACCGGTCAGCCTCGGTCCCATGCCTCTTTTTTCAGGGATGACAGTCATTGGCCCAGGATAGGAGGCGCCTCCCGTTGTGGGTAGTCCCAATGATACTCCAAGGAGCCCGACTAACAAGTAACAGCGGATCCATCCTCTGCTCTGATGGGAGAGCCCGGGCGTCGTGGGTTTGCGAGTTCGTCGCTTCTTAACAGAACTTCCAGTCTACCAGCCCTCGTCGGAACGCCGGCCCCAGAGTCTGAGGCAGTGCGAGGAACGACTGCGCCGAGTTTTGCGAACAATCGAGTTGGTTTGACAGGAGTTGGCCTCACCTCTGGACTTAAAGTCAGTCAGTCGACTAGCAACCCGGGATTAGATGTTTCCACCCGGCATCTCTGAGCCTACAAGGAGGCACGTTCCGCAAACAAAATATTATTTGTCAGGATCATTATTGTTTGTTCGTCACCAGAATGGCCTACAAGGAGACATGGCCCGCAAACAAAATATTATCTGGCAGGATCATTATTGTTTGTTTGTCACCAGAATGGCCTACAAGATCCCTAAAAATCTCTGCAGTATTCTTTCGGGACACGAGATGGAGAATTTGGGTCAAGGGATGAAGCACCCTGGCTGAAAGAAGTAGTAATGTGTTACCACGCCTTTGACAGCTAACTAAAAAGACTTGTTGTTCGTGCCAAGATACAGTGGTGTTGGTGACACAAGGGCAATGTAACAAAGAACTCCGATAGTGTTCAAATACTTCCGTCTTCGAAATCAAGGGCATTTGTTTTACACATTTGGTACTTAAGAGCGAATATGCAGGCTGCAGAGTGATTGTTTATCCAAGTAGCTTTTATCTTAGTAACTGTTACGGCCATCGTTGCTCACGCGCCTCGATTAAAACAGGGCACATACCGACCGGTTCGGAAACCTAAACGAAACGAAACGAAACGACTAAGGAATGATCTGACAGGCAACACGAGACAACATGACGCTTCAAAATGAATTTTCGGTGTTTAGGAGGTGTTTTAGCAAAGTAGGATGGCTGCTCTCCATTAGAAGCGCAAGGCGGGGGAGAAAGACGCGCCCACACATCAATACGGGAAGATTCGGGAAGCCCCCCAAGATGGAGAAGGGAGAATTAGGAAGGCGTTTCAGGGCCGCAGACTGGACCAGAGAAGTATCAAAACCCGTCACATCGCGACCTCAACAACTGACGGTGCCCGAGTACTATATGCGTGGAGCGCTGGCAACCGCTCCAGTCGCACAGCAATCTTTTCGAGAAAGAATGATCCATGCGAGGCTTGGGAGGAGCAATGAAGCCCTGGGGTCTCACCCAGTAAAACAACCCAGTCCCTTAAAAAGCTATAGCTTTACGCAGCTTGGGAGGCGTAGCGAGGCCTTGGGGCCTCGCCCTACTGCGCACCCGAGCCTCCGGAGAAGGGATCGCTTCAAGGACCTCGCGGGTAGAGGGCTTGTCGACAACACGGAAGTGGAGGAAGACAACTGGTCGACAATGGCGAACTTGGATACCGGCGGCAGTTACAACTCCGATTCATCAGAGCAGGACTTTGATTCAGAGGAGAGCTCGGACTCAGAGCCGGACTCAGAGCCAGACTCTACTCAAGAGGAGAGTTCAAGTTCATGGCTGGACTGGAGTTCATGGTCGGACTTGGGTTCAGGGCTTGGCTTGAGTTCATGGCCGGACTTGAGTGAAGGGAAGTGCTTGGCTTCGGAGCTGTGCTTGGAGCCGGACTATACTGGAAAGTCAAACTGGGAATCGGACATGATTGAGCCCATGACGGAAAATACAGATGTCGCAATCAAGCCAAAGTCTGCCAGCCTCCCTCCTAAGACGACGGAGCAGCAGCTGGAGGATATGAAGACTCAGGTATCAACCTGGCGGACAAAATGCGACACGCTACGAGGAGAAAATTCAGATCTTCAGCGGCTGGTGGACGGAATGCGGTGGGTGTGCGAGGATTACCTAGAGCTGGGTCCAAACAACCGCGTGACAGGAGCACAGGCGGCCTTTCTGGCGGAGGAGATGAAGGAGCGGTTGCGTTGGTATGAAAAAAAATGCCCTCAGCTCCGGGATGAGTATGACACTGTTGAAAAGCAGAACTTAGAAGCAACGGCCGAGATCAAGCGTGAGGTCAAGCTTAAGATGGTGGCTCGAGCCAAAAAATGGGCCAAAGGTCAAGCCAAGGATCGGGTCCAGAATCAGGCCGAAGATCAAGCTAAAGATCAATCCCATGGTCAAGCCAATGACCAGTCCCAGGGTCAACCATAAGATTAACTCTGAGATCGGCCGAAGGACTATTTCTGAGGGCATGGCTGAGGCCGGGGATGTTTCACGGATAAGGGCCAGACAAAGGAGGGCCCGTATATATTGAGGGGTGCCAGTTGTATTTTCTCGATTTCTCTTCCCACGTTTTATTTTCCTTTTGTTCTTTCTTTTGTAAGTCTTCTCTTTTTCTTTCCATTTTCCTTTGTATTTCTGTGTTTTTCCTGAGGGGTCCATTCATTGACAGCGAGATGGGGGAATGTTATTTCGACGAATATACTATATAGCATCACGCATCACACATCATGCATCATACATCATAACTTTCAACACACGGTCAGCGACGGGAAGCGGCTATAGGTTCAATAAATTCCGCAAGGGACAGAAGAAGTGGGGTATGAAGCTAAATGCCACTTGCTTCGAGCACCGAAGGCGAGCCGAGACCAGCCCAGCCCAGCCCAGCCTTACCTAACGTCGTTGCTGGGGTCAACAGGAATGTTTTGTTGCTGGAGCGGATATCGCGGCCGGATGATGACGATATCATGCATACACCTGGAAGGCGTTTGCGGCAGAGGGTTCGACTGGGCGCGGAGTGCCAAGAATAGAACCCTGGCGCGTGTGGCCAATGATTGGCTGCTCCCAAGCTCCGCCATCGCTGACTGCAAGCAGCGTGTTGTCGGTGCAGCCAGTAAGAGGCGGCGATTCACGTGACAGTGCATGCGAGCGAAACCGCCTAAAAGACAACGCGAAGCACTGTGAATGCACTGAGTGTACTGTACGAAGTACTGCTAGTACTAAGACGACAGGGCCACGCCATCAGCGAGCGGAGCCACGCCATATTTCCATTTATGGAATCCTCCATCCATACCACTCCGGCTCTCGAATGATTGCTCCAGTGACACGAAAGTGACTCAATCAATCGAACCCATCCCTCCTCAATCCGGTACCTTCCCTTTCTTCACGACGAACCCTCCCCCTGCTGGCCTCGTCTGGCTCTGACTGGCCGTGTCTGCGTTTCTTATCTGTTGGTGCTGGTGCGGCTGCTGCTTTTGGAGCTGGCTTTCTCGCCTTCCCCACCCACACGGGCTGTCGATCAATCACCATGACCACATCGCCCACCCATTCCCGTACCCGTACAAAAGCAGAGTAGCACTCCGTACAGAGCTACTGTACCTGGTACCGACTGCGTGCCCCCTGTTCCATGCGGCAAATCTATTCGACACCACGATCCCTCAGCCTGGTCGGTGGCTTGGCTGACTCGTGTTCCTTCCCGTCCTTCCCTCCAACTTGGCCAACTCGGCCAACTTGCACCTTGGATTCCTCTCTTTCCTCTCCCGTAATTAGTACCGCCTCCAACTTTCGTTTTGGGTAACGAACTCAAATTCCCTTCGCTCCTCGGCCGATGCCTCACACTCGCTTCACCTAATCTCTCCGTTTTTCGTGCCCCTGCTATTCATCTTAATTTTCTTTATCGCTTCCTCCCTTGCTCTCGCTCATCCGCTCAAGCTCGTGCCACACCCATTGCTCGCTCGCTACATTCCTCCTTCTCTCCCCCCACGTCCAATTTTAGCATCTCGAACAAGTCTGGGCGTCAACTCCTGAGACTGCGCTTGAGACCCACCCCTCGTCGCGTTACGAAACAGATCGCCCTTGGCCGACTCCTTCAACCTTGAACCCGACCCTTGCCGTTCGTTGCTTTACTTTCGCAGTCCCTGACGGCATCTTCCCATCTTCTCTCTGCAATCTGCAGCCGCGATACAGCCATCAATCGATCCCGTCAGCTCCCGTCAGCTTCCAACCGCGCCCCGATCGAATCCCCCAAACACTTGCCCTCATGGGTAAATCATGTCAGTCGCCTCTCAACCTCCCTTCTCCCTGATATCCTAACTGACGACTCTTCGTCGCACAGCCCAATATGGCGTCATACTCGACGCTGGTTCCTCTGGAACACGTCTATATGTCTACAAGTGGAAGAACCACGCCGCCGCCGCCAAAGATGCCTCCACCACAAAGCTGAAGAGTCTGCCCGAGATCAAGCTTGAGAAGAGCAAGAAGATCCACCCCGGCGTCTCCTCCTTCGCCGACAGTGTCACCAAGATCGGCCCCGACCATCTCCAAGAGCTTATCGACTTGGCCCTCGATGAGGTCCCTCACCACAAAGTCCCCGAGACTCCCATCTACCTGATGGCCACCGCCGGCATGCGACTCCTCCCCGACCACCAGCAGAACGCCCTGCTCCAGACCATGTGCACATACCTCCGCGCGAACTCCAAGTTCATCCTGCCCGACTGCGACGCTCATATCCAGGTTATCTCTGGTGAAACCGAGGGTCTCTACGGCTGGATCGCCGCAAACTACCTGCTCGGTGGCTTCGATACTCCCAAAGACCACGACCACGGCAAAGACCACCATACTTATGGCTTCCTCGACATGGGTGGTGCCTCTGCCCAGATCGCCTTTGCTCCCAACTCGACCGAGTCAGTGAAGCACGCAAACGACCTGAAGCTAGTCCGTATGCGCAACCTCGATGGCTCCCCGGCCGAGTACAAAGTCTTCACCTCGACGTGGCTGGGTTTTGGCGCCAACAAGGCTCGCGATCGCTTTGTCGAGAGCCTGCAAGAAGCCTACTCCGGCGAGAAAGAACTCCCCGACCCTTGCATGCCCAAGGGCCTGCGTACCACTCTCACCGGTGACCCCGTCGACGGCAAGAGTAAGGAACCCATTCTAGTCGGAACCGGTTTGTTTGATGAGTGTCTGCGCAAGACACACCCGCTGCTGAACAAGGAGCTCCCCTGCGAAGATCAACCGTGTCTCATCAACGGCCAACATGTACCTGCTATTGACTTCGACATCAATCATTTCGTCGGTGTCTCCGAGTATTGGCACACGACCCATGGTGTATTTGGTAAGAAGCACAAGGCATACGATCTCGCCACTTATCAGAATAATGTCATGGAGTTTTGTAGTCGCGAGTGGGAGGATATCGAGGATGACATGGACTTGGAAAAACGCAAGAAATCACCAGAGGAAAAGGCCCAGGAAGCTCGACAAGCATGCTTCAAGGCTTCATGGCTCATCAACATGCTCTACGACGGAATCGGCATTCCTCGAGTTGGGCTGGAAGGTGGTGTCGCGTCCAACTCCACCAAGGACGATTCAGACCACGAGAAGGGATTCGCCGATCCATTCAGGCCAATGGACAAGATTGATGGTGTTGAACTGAGCTGGACCTTGGGAAAGATGGTTTTGTACGCCGCCGGCCAAGTGCCTCCGTCGTCAAACGACGCTCTGCCCGTGGGATTCGGAAGCAACGTGGAGTCGGGCAAACCAGAAGATTTCGAGCTTGCTGGATCAGTTCCAATTCCTGCGAACCTGGGCAGCCACGACGACGACGATGACGATGATTGGGATGATCTTTTGGAAAAGCCATCAAGCTCCACGTCCGGCGTTTTCGCTTTCATTTTCATTCTGCTCGTGTTGGCATTTATCCTTCGCAAACCCGAGCGAAGGAGAAGGTTGTTCAGCCTGGCTCGTCGTCGCCATCGCTCCAGCGGCGGACGCAAATCCAGCCGAGGTTTCTCGCTGGCTAACAAGATCTTTGGCCGAAATACGCCGGCGTACGAGAGGGTCATGGAGGAGGGTGACTTGTCCGACTTTGAGCTGGGCGACGTAGACTCGGACGAGGATGAGCATTCGGACAGCAGTGAGGAGGCTTCCCGACAAGGACGAGCGTCAGGGCTGGCGACTCCCCAGTTCAGTGGCCGAGTGGATGAGCTCCGACCTCCGCCGTCTGCCATGGACCGTTCTGGCCTGGTTGTGCGAACCGAGAGCCGGGAGAGGCTATCACTTCAAACAATCAACGCTGGGCGACGGAGTCGGAACGTGAGCCCGATCCGATCAAAGAGCCCATTTATGACGCCGTTGGCAGAGGACTAGACCAGTTAGGATACTAATGGTATCGGATCTGGTCAGGAGTCGGCCAAAGAGGTGGTCTGAAAATTGGATGGGATCTGAAATGGAACAAGCCGGCGTGCTTGCTATTTGTTTGGCGTTGGGTGACGGGGGCTAAAGGATTATTGGCGTCCTGTGAGAACGCATGTACCAGGATCCTTCTGGTGGGCGTTCATTTCTTAGCACGTCTTTATTTGAACACATGAGGATGTACGGGCATTTGAGCCTTCCGTGGGCATTATACGGGCTATTATTACATTATTGGGGGTGTTCTTTCACGCATCGTCCCGCTGTCATGTGTCATGTGCCATGTGCAATAGGCAACGGAGTTTTTAATACTAGCCAAAACATTGTGAGATTATCCAAGCATATAGATGCCTCCCAGTGAAAACAAACGCCTCATCGCATCGCTATCATTACAGCTCGACCATCCACCAGATCCGGATGGCAGACTGGTCAATCGGATTGCTTCTCGAGGAAACTGGGATCTGAGCGAACGCGAGACTCAAACTTGCGCCACCAGTCCTCAAATGCCTTGAGTGGCACGACCTCGACGCCGCCGGGTCCTGCGGCACCGCTGAAGCTGGAGAGGAAGTTGAAGGCGTTCTGGATGATGCGCTGGGCGAGAACCGCGGTGCTGGGCTGGGACGAGGAGCTGGCGCCGGGGTTGGAAGCCTTGTTAGCGGCCAGAATCTGCAGCTGGGGGGCGATGACTTCCTCGGCCTCGACGGAGACGCCGATCATCAGGCCGCTCTCGCCGGCCGTGACCTTGAACATGGCGCTCTCCTTGCCGGGACCGATGGCGCCGAGGAACTTGAAGTTGGGGCCGGAGGCAGAGCCAGCAGCGTCTGAGGCAGTGGCCAGGTAGATGGCAGCGGCGGTGCCTGGCGGCAGGGCGACGCCGGGGAGCATGAAGACGACAATGTGCGAGAAGGGTTTCGTGGTGGGGAGGCTGTAGAGGAGCGAGGTGGGGGAGGGCGAGGAGGCCGGCTCAGTGATGAGCGGTTGGCCGGCCGGGACGATGCCAAAGAGGGGAGACGAGGACATGGCGGCTGAGAAGACGGGTGAGGCCTGGCGATGTTGCTTCCGTGTGTTCTTTTGGTGTTTCGGCAATTGCGGTTGGTGTGAGACGATTGGGTGAGCGGTTTGCCTCTTGCACTACAGGGTAGATAGGGCTGAGGTTTTTGCGCTGTCGGAGTACAGCAGGTAAACGTAATTAAATGGTGAGACATCAAGAGACGCCGTCTTGCGAGGTAATCAATTAAGTGCTGCTTGGCTGCGAGTGACGGGCTACTAGTATTTATTTTTTGGGGGTCAATCGCGGGCGTGGGTCTCTGGTCATGGAACAGTCATGACGGTTCTACTAGTTCCCTTGGTTTCTTTGCATGTCCCTCCCTTCAAGTGATCTTCTGCCTAATCCGTCCTCACCGAGAAGAACTTCCGTCATTGTCCTGGCGAGCCGGCCCCCATTGCCCTGTCTCCGAAATTGGACTGACCGCCCAAAGCAATTCCATTATGCCTTTTGCAACTCGTTGTCTATAAAACTCCAGAGCTGCAACGAAAAGGCCGCACGTTTCTTCCCACTCGATTCTTTCACCCTACTCCCCGATTGCAGTTCACCTACCCTACAGCCAGTCGTCCAACCTTGGCGGGTGCTTCACTTACACGGGGGTTCACCACCTTTACGAATCACAAGCAAATCACGCCTTTGGACAAGATGGTAAAAACAAGCATCGACCTCGTCGACGATGTTGACATGTGCGTCTCACCTACTCTCCCGCTCCTCGGTCGCGACATGCAACTAAAACATGACCATAGGTTCCCATATCTGGAAACCAAACCAGAAGCCTTCAAGCAGATGCATGAAGGTCTCTACACGCTCCTATGGGAAGATGAGGCCGGCCACTACCCCATTGGCTACGTGCTTGACCGTGTCGTTCAGGAGTTGCTCAAGGTGCCCGTCAACATCCGGGGTAGCCTCGATGTTGACGACAAGCATCGCACCTTGAAGCTGTTCCAGCAGCCCACCGAAGAAGAGCGATCTGCCTGCGTCGCCGCCGTTTCCGCATACTGGCGCGAGAACCAGACGTTCCCGCTGCTGCGCGGCTGGCGCAACGAGCTGTGGCCTGTCTACAGCCGCAAGGGCGAGTTGCTCTTTAGCATGGAACGCGCCGCCATGGGCCTCATCGGCACCATGCGCTACGGCGTCCACATGATCGCCTACGTCCGGGACGAGTCGGCGCCGTATGGCCTCCGGCTCTGGATCCCTACGCGCGCCGCTGACAAGTCGACCTTCCCGGGCATGCTCGACAACACCGTCGCCGGCGGCCTCATGACCGCCGAGGATCCCTTTGAGTGCGTCATCCGTGAGGCCGACGAGGAAGCGAGCTTGCCCGATGCCATCGTCCGTAGCCGCGCCAAGTTCGTCGGCAACGTCACCTACGTCTACATCACAGACGCGGAGAAGATCGGCGAGGGAGGCTTTATTTACCCCGAGTGCCAATGGGTTTATGATCTCGAACTACCTGCCGACGTCGTCCCCCAGCCCAAGGACGGCGAAGTCGCCAAGTTTGAGCTCTGCGACATCGACCACATCAAGCGTGACCTCGCCCAGGGCCGCTACAAGCCCAACTGCGCCGTCGTTACGCTCGACTTCTTCATCCGCCACGGCATCATGACTGAAGACAACGAGCCCGACTTGGACCAAATCAAGACGAGGGTGCGCCGCGACATCCCGTTTCCCGGCCCGCACCAGAGCAATTGGCGTCCAACTTGACGGAACAGGTCTCGGCACGGCGGCGGTGCTTGGTGGGAGGGGGGTAAGGAACAGGAAGTTTCTTCAAACAAAATGCTTTGTTGGATTCGAGTTTTGACTCGCTGGGTATCATTGGCACGACCTAGACCTGGTAGAAACTACACTTCCCCACCCCCGGCGCCGCAGAGCCTCGAAAGGTGGACGGTTTGCGCCGTCGCTTATTTCTTGATGAGCAGGTAGACGTTGTCGACGCGGAGGGGCGTGAGCTTCTTGATGGGGCCTTGGAGCGACATCAGGAGTCCGCCAAATGAGACGTAGGTGTTGCTGTGTTTGGGATCGCCATGTTAGCACATGAACAAAGTTGAAAGGAAGGCTGTGCCGTCAACCCAAAAGGGAAAACAGCCACCAGGCAACGCACATGGTGTTTCCGTCGTATGTCTCCTCAAACTTGTAGATCTTGCCGTAGCACACGTAGTCGTACAGGTCGGCAATGGTGGCAGGCGCATCGCCGGCCTTGCCGACGTCTCGCCAGCCCTTGTCATCGTCCTTTGTTCCGTCGAGCGAGAGCGTAGTGGACAGGACGACGTGGAGGGTGTCGGAGACGGCGCAGGGGAACAGCTCCATGTTGATGTCGAGCGTCATGACCGTCTGCGAGTCGCTTGATGTGCACGAGATACGAGCCACACGGTCGTACTTGGATTGGTCATAGTCGGTGACCGTGAAGGACTCCTCAAAGAGGGTAGCGTCGCCGCCGCCGGACATGATGGGCGATTGGGATGCTGGTGGTTATGGATGAGCCTGTGAGTTTAGGTTACGCCGCTGGAGGAGGCAACGGCGAGCTGTTCGATTTCGTCGTCGTCGGAGACAGGGCTGTTGATTAGAGATGAAAGGAGAGTCGATCCAGTCTCGGCGGCGGAGAAAATGTTCGAGAGGCTGGCGCGAGTCGCCCCAAAATTTGGTAGTGGGGTTATGTGCATAAAAATAATGTTCAGGTTCGGGCCTCGACGTATTGTGTAAGCGGGGCACGCACACCACACTCTAGTCATCGAGGATGGAACTGCGATAAAACCTCTTATAACCAACATAGTCCTTTACGTTGCACATCTTTATTTTCTTTCGGTTTCTTGCTATAGGTTGGAGGACTGAGAAGACTTCGAGACAACCCGTCATGTCCTTCCGCAAGCGCAATGTCGTAATTGGGTCATCCGGGGCCTCTGCGCCCATCACCAGACAAGAGAAGTCTCTTGCGCCGGGTACGAGACCATCTCCTCTAGATGGAAGACTTACGACCTCGACGGGAACCCAGTCTCTGGATCAGCTCCTGGCTGGCCACGCTGGAATGCCCATGGGAACTTCCCTGCTTGTCGAGGAGACAGGGACCACTGATTTCGGGGGTGTCCTCCTGCGCTACTACGCCGCCGAGGGGCTCGTCCAGGGGCACCAGGTCCATCTCTTGGGTTTCGGCGATGCGTGGCGGCGAGAGCTGCCCGGTATCGGAAAACCGGGCAACTCGAAGAGCAGCAAAGCCACGACATCTTCAGACGACAAGATGAAGATTGCCTGGCGCTACGAGACCCTGGGACAGCGCAATGTGCCAGTCCGAGGCAAGTGCATGGCGATTCTTTGTCGCATTCCGAAATTCACTACTGTCAACTAACCATGCTTTCGGCAGATCCTCAAGCTTCATGGGGACCTGGTCAAGGTGCAACCCCCTTCTGCCATACCTTTGATCTCTCCAAACGCCTCGAAAACAGCGCCATCAAAGGCCAATTTCACGCTTCGGCCGTGGATGGTCCATTGTCATCACCCACGCAAGCCCCTTTCAAGAAGTTCATTGCCGACGTCATCTCAAGGATCAAGAGTTCTGCACCCTCAACTATCCACAGGATCATTGTTCCGAGTCTCCTATCCCCAACTCTCTATACCTCTGTGGCCAGCCAGCCACGCGAGGTCTTGCAGTTCCTGCATGCATTGAGGGCTCTTTTGCGCCAGTTTTCCACACAGGTCACAGCGCTGGTGACCCTGCCCATAACCCTCTTTCCGAGGTCTACGGGACTGACGAGGTGGATGGAGTTGCTGTCGGACGGGGTGCTTGAGCTCGTTCCTCTCCAGCACCAGGCGCCCGTGACTCGAGAGCCCGGGAATGAAGACAAAGGTCAAGGCATGCTCCGGGCACATAGCCTCCCGGTGTTCCACGAAAAAGGAGGTGGCCTGGAGGGCACTTGGGCTCGGGAGAACCTTTCGTTCAGACTCAGCAGCTCAAGTGGGTTGGTGATTGAGCCATTCAGCCTCCCACCCATTGGCGACGAGGAAGAGGCTGCAAAGGCATCCAAACCAAAAGAACCCCAAAAAGAGAGCCTTGACTTCTAAAGGCGAGACGTTGTCAAACACATTGGAATATGTTAGACCACAATCCACAATCCACAATCTCAAAAAGCATGGATTGTGGTATCTATGCCTGGTCTCTTCAACAGAATTGCTGCGCAGTCATTGCACCTATTTGGTACCTACTTTTGCTACCCCACCACAGCTGAGGACCAACGGCGAAATGGTACACTGGAGCTCTACTTACCTTATCTTATCGGCCCCTCTCAAACTTGGTGCCTTAGCAAGCTCCACCAGGCTGAAAATTTCACCAATACCTCGACCAGCTCGAACTCCAACTCTTCTCTCTTTCTTTCCTCCGATCAACAACATCAACCGAAATGGTAAGTCACCGATATTTTTCTTGCTCGCTCTCCTCGCGTTGCCCCTCAAAGGCGTACGCACAATGACACAATGACACAATGATTATACTCTTATTAATCTGTCAATCCCCTGATTTTCTGTGACGACACATAATAAATTACGAAGACGACTTATGATTCTGTCTCTACTGCAATCTTACCTCTCTACTCGCGATTTCTTGAGCATCAGCTAACCCGCGTCGCTCTTGATAGGAATCAATGGCCACAGCACCAGCTCCCGGCCCAGCGCGCATCTCCAAGATCGCCGGGCGATATCTCGTTTTTGACGCGGACACTGCCGCATTTCTTCGCCGCAATGAAAGCGTCAACGGCACCCTCACAGGGACTGCTCCCCAGCAGCCCACACAAAACATCTTCCTCGGTCTGCCCGTGGAGCTACGCCCAGAGGAGGCTGAGGCGCTCGTGAGGCGGAAGGTGGCCTATCTCGTAGACGATGTAGCCGCTCATCAATCTGTGCTGCGGAATCCCGACCCCGACGCGAGGAAGGCCTACCTGGACTCGCTGAAGACGCGGAAGCAGACGGCCCAAAGGGTCTTTGCTGAGCAGAAGGCCAAAAAGGCTGCTGAACTTGCAGAGCGTCATGGCGTCTCTGCCTCTCGGTCAAAGAAACCGCCTCCCACCAATGCAGATGACGATGCCCTTTTTTCCAGTAATCCGTCAGAGTTTTCCAGCCGTCAGCAAGACAGTGCAGCCAAATCTTTCGGCGTCACGCCCACTTCCAGCGGGTCTCTCATTTCCCGGGAGACGGAACGCATGTTCGGGGCCGACAAGCCTGATGAAGGCCCTCTGTGCAGATTCTTGTTGAGTTCTGGCTACCACATGACGCCCGGCCTCCGCTTCGGGGCCAAATACAGTGTCTACCCCGGAGATCCTCTGAGGTTCCACGCTCACTATATGGCATCGCAGTACGACTGGGACGAGGAGATTCCCATCCTGGACATCGTAGCGGGAGGCAGGCTGGCAACGGCTGTCAAGAAGGCGTTTCTGATAGGAGGCCAGGAGCCGGGGTCAGAAGCATCACAGGACGGTCAGGTGCGGACGTTCAGTCTGGAATGGGCTGCTATGTAAAACCCCGATTAATGCTACTATCAACAATGTGTTTGCGCGTCATGACAGACCATCATCAACACTTCGCCATCCTAGTTCTCATGGGGACATGTGCCACCAAACTCCTTAAGTGAAGAAATGGAAAATAATAAATTAAAAACGGCCCCATTGCATCGTTCCGATATCGTTTCACTACCCGTCCCAAGCGTACCCCCAGCGTCCCCAAATGCAGTACTCCCTAGCTGGCTGCGTATTAGCTAGGGCACGAAAATGCGGCTGAAGCTGATGACCTCTCGGCGGCAACAGACGCATTTGTCAAAGTTGTTCATGGCCAAGGACACGCGGCAGTCATCGCAAAGACTGAGACAGCGGCAAGGCCAGACAATGATGGTCCGCGGCGAACTCTGGCACACAACACACTGGGGCCCGTCGCTCCCGAATCCAGAGCCGCCGTCCTCCCACGATGTCGAGTTCCCCGAATCTGGAGGCACTGCTCGCCGCTGCGAGAGGAGCAGCTGCTCCAAGAGCCGCTCTTCCTCGTCCGGGCTCAACTTGGTGGTGCGACTCTGCAGCGCCGAGGGACGCCCTGGCTGGAGCAGGTCGGACCCAGGCGTCGTCAGAATCTGAGTGCGCTGTAGCTGCTCCATCCGTCGGAACCTAGACCGCGTCATAATACCGTCATTCTGGAGATGGGCGGAGAGCGTCCTGGCCTCTTCGCGTTCTTCTGGGCTGGTGGGATGCAGCAGCCGAGCAAGATCCGATATCTGCATCGGGCTATCGACGAATGGTGTATTGTCGCGAGTCGTTCGTGGTGACCGCTGCGTCGGGGTTCTTTGCCCATCGTCATCATCCGACTCCCATCCATCCTCCTCGTCAGTATCACCGGCCGTCGTCGACATAGAGATAACGCTTGTCGTATCGAAATCATCATCATCTGGATGGGGCTCAAAGTCGCCGCTGGTGTCAGTCGAACCCCACCAACCTCCCTTCAACCAGTATGAGTACAAGTCTTTTTCTAGCTCTGCTTCGTCCTGGTTCCGACCAACTCGTCTGAACTCGGCCTCTACATCTGTGCCATCCGTTCTCGGAATTCGGCCGTTGTCATTATATGCAAACTGTGGGCCACTCTGGTCTCGCCTCTCTCTCCGAGTCGAGGTCTTCTTCTGGTTCTTCATACTCTTAGGGTGCCGGGCAAGCCAGAGAAGCCAGGCTGGCTGGTATCGAATGCGCATGGCACCAAGACACCATAGTAGGGATTTAGCACCCAATCTGGCCAGGAGCTTGTTGATACTCAGTAGGAACTCCAATGCCATGAGCCACCGTGAACTCCTCTCGGAAGCCCCAATACCCACGCGGAGGCCTCGTTCGCTACGTCCCTTGGGAATCTTCTGTGCTGCACGTTCTCGTGCGTACCCATTAGATGCAATGGCCGGGCCCCCTTTCACTGGGATCAAGCCAATAGCACCAACTTGGTCATACCGTGAGTCTGGTAAGCCACTTCCGAGGAACTTTCTTTGCAACTCCTCAACCTCTCTGAATCGCTCCTCCTCGAGCCAAGTGCGCCGTTTCAGGCCCACACCTCGATCTTCGTTGAGGTAGACAGCCTCGCTTGCCATGGTGATAGCGCCGAAGCCAGTTCGGAGCAGTGCCGTATAGAAATCCATCTCCCTAGTGATGCGGATCTCCGACAGTGATACATTGGCCTGCATATTTTCATGGGCAATGGCGAGTCGTTGACGGAAGGTCAGGGACGCCGAATCTTGGTTTGCCGGAGGGGCCAGAGCAGAGAGGAGTAAAGCCAGGCCGTAAATAGACAGACACATAGCGATACCAATAAGGACGAGAACATGTGGCACAAAGCCAACAATGCAGACTGTCGGGAACCTCAGGAGTCCTTGCGAGGAGGGATCGTCGAGATCAAAAGAAATGGCGCTCCACACGATGCTACCCATGAAGCAGAGTCCCCAAAACCCAGTGCTAACAAGTCGATACTTGGCTTGCAGGTCGAGGATGCCCATGATGTGACTGGTTATGTGGGTCATGGCTGAAAGAAAGGCCACCAGAAGAACCTCTGGGGGTGTGTTGACTCGCTTCATGATCATGGACCGGCTCAAGGCGATGGCGCTCCCAAGAGCTGATGATCCTTCGTCGGCAGGCCGGGTCTTCGAGAACAGACCCCAACCCAGCTGGTTACTAATGGCAGCGTCGGCTTCGGCAAATGCGAGGGACTGTTCAAACAGTGTCATGCCAGTCTCGGGGGCAACAGGCCGACCCTGGACTGCACAAGAGACAGTCTCGAAAAACTGGCTCAGGCAGAAAGTCCCGAAAAGGGGCCAGAGGAGGGATAACGAGCCCGATAGGTCACGGGCAGAGCCGGTCTCTTCGGGAGGTATCATGTGAACAGCAAGACAAGATTGCTCGTCGGTGGAGGAAAACAGGAGAGTGGAGCTGAGAGTGTTCAGGAAGACGCTGGTCTGCGAGAACATGAGATCCGAGCTCTTGCTAGCATTCCCCCAACGTAGTTCGGCAAAGTCTGACGAAGTCTGGCACTGAATGGACTGAAGGAGCTGACGAGCTTGCCAGACGAGCATGATGAGAGGGATGAATCGGAGAAGAAGCCGGGTAGGCCATCGAAGACGGAGGCGTCTTCGGGTAGCAGCGAAGATGTGAGTCCGGTTGAGGATGACAGCCATGGCAATGCAGCATAGAGCCCATTTGCTTGTGGCATAGCCAAAGACGCTGCCCAGGCCGCGGGCACCGTCTACAGACAGGCGTGATGTGGGGGCAATGCGCTCGGCGACGTCGGCAGCCAGATCGTCGAGGCCGCCGCTGTTACCGCCAGTTGAGGCGATGAGGGGTTCCATGATATTCTGCAAGCCGGGGGCAGGATCGAGTAGGAGGGCAGCGGCTTCCGTAGCCTCGGGGGCGTAGTGGTTGACGGGGGAGTCGAGAGTATCGGGCAGGGCGATGTAGGAGCCTAGCTTCTTGACGATTCGGGGGCCGGCCCAGACAAGGTCTTCGAGAAGCGGCGCATAGCGGGTCACGTTGACGGACCAGGCGGAGAGATTGTACCACGAGCTGGAGATGGCAATAGAGCTGGCGTTGACGTGGGCGTTGGCGAAGCTCGGCGAGGGCGGTGTTGACGGCACGAGCCCGACGGCCATGGCCCTGTTGGACGGGGTTGGTTCGGATCTTCGGCGGCGAGGTGGGGAGCTGGGAATTAGAGAATATGAGATGTCGGGCTGATTGCCTGCGGTAGGGAGGCAGGCAGATGGACGAGCCGGAGGCGATGTCTGGGGCCGTGGCAATCGTTGGATGGTTCACGAGGTGTGGGCGATGGATTGGGGAGAAGGCATCGTGAAGCGTCGTGCCGCCTGCGATGCCGGATAGAGTCGAGGACGGGGAACGATGAGGAGTGGGTTTGTTGTTGATAGGGAGAGGTGGTAGCGTGCGCAGTAACGTGCTAACACGTCAGGCCTGGGGTAGGTACCTAATTAGTGATTAGTATCACTGGTGACCTGCTGTAGCGTCGCTATTAGGAGTCTGAGCGAGCTGAGGTACCTTGCCGTAGTGGTTGTCCGCCAGTGGAGCGGAGTGGAGGTTTGGGCCGCTTTGCCCATGACCGTTAGTGGCGGCCATGCGTTAAGCCGCATACAGCAGACAATGGGACCTTGGAGATGAGATTCTACCTGAGTTCAGTGTACGCTTCAGATGCCCGCTTCGTATCGACACATTTCGTTTAACGCGGCCATAATGGGTGTGTGTTGCCCGTGTTGTCGTCTTCAGTTGTATTTTTAATTGCACTTGTTCATCGTCATAATCACTTCTAGACGTTCACAGTGCGGCCACGGGCTTGGGTCTCCTTCTCAAACGTCTCTTCAAGGAATGACGAGTTCTAAGCTACTACTAACCATCACACGGGTTTTCTCATAACACCATCATCGTCGGCCTTCCTCCTGCTGCTCTTATTCCCCGGTGTTGTTTTTGTTGTTGTCAAATAGACAAAACAGTCTCCTGGGTCTTCCCCCGTGCTATCAAGTATTGTGGAACCCATAATGGGCTTTACCCTGGACCGGGAAGCCTTGTCAGCAGCGAGAAAGGTTCTGCCGTAGCTCTAATGCTCAGGATGCAATCGTGGGAGTGACCAGGTTTACTTCCTCCTCTGATGCCATTGTCGTAAGTAGCTTCCTTGGCTGTCTTGCGTGCTCAAGGCTAAGGCCCGGAAGACTGATACTGACTTGTCCCTCTATACACCTTTGATCCAGCCCCTGTGATGCATCAATACTGCCAACTGAAGCAACCCACTTCACTCATCAACCCGCCAATGCCGCTTCCGTAAGAGATGCTGCCACCGCTTGGCTGCCACCCTTGCTCGCGTGCACTGCGCGGGCGATAAGCATTCGCTGGAGGTTGGCGTCTGACGATAAACTACCCTTTAGCCACAAATTGGTGATCTCGTCTCGGGATGGGAGATATGCCACACAACAAGCCGCCAAAATCTCATGGTGCTCTGAAGGAACTGGATCAAGCACCATGACCGGTTCTTCACCATCCTTCCCTGGTACGAGGGCAGCGACTCCCCCCGAAACGGTGTCCACACAGTCAATGCCGGCGTCGGCGAGAGCCGCCGCTGCAACTGTGATACACCCACCCAACACGTTCATCATGTCCCATTCCTCGATGCCCTGCTCCACGGCCGCTTGCCGGGCTTGGTCGCCTTCGATGATGGTCACAACCACATCCACGCCGCTCTTGGGCCATCGGTCCGCAATCAGGGCGCCTCGGAGGGCTGTCTCAAGATGAGTGCTTAGATCCCGCTCGCTGGAGTCTCGAAGGTAGCCCCTCCGTTGTCGGGTTGCGAAAGGGGCGAACTTGACGTGGGTTGAGAGGACCATGTGTGGTGAGAATGGAGCTGATCGCGGCAGAGATCTCGGGCCATGAACGGTACAGGTCAGTTTCATGCCTTTGCTGGCAGAACCATTTCGAGGCTCAATCTCTAGGTATGCTGACCCAGATGCCGAAGGTGTGACCCCGGTCTTGAGATCTGATGTATTTATTTAGTCTGCGCAAAAGCGTCCTCGAGGCGTGGAGGTGAGATGGGGGGCTCTTACATTGAGCCCGAATGCCATTTGCCTGGCGGGAGCGATCTGGGAGTGGTAGATCTTCTGACTCAAATACAGGCGGCATGGTTATGCCCCCAGGGCCATTGACTCGTCGACGATCAGCCATTGTTGGATGATTACCGATTGTTTGGTAGTCCTCGCTCTCATCCAGCCTTTTCAGAATGGTTTTCACTACGTAGAGTGGAGGCTGGTTGCCGTCCCAGCTTAGCTCGCTTGGTGGTCCGCAAAAGATGCAATATTGCGAGTATACCGCTTTACCCTAGCTGCATTAGTCAGCCGTCCGCCCCATCTCTCAATGGTTTAAATTTTCTTCGCGAAGTACAACAAGCCAGCTTTTTTTTCTTCTCTCATCGCCAACTTGCTCATCACTTGGGTTGAGGACTACATTCGTGCAAACTCCAAGTGGCCTTTCGTCGCGTGCGGCCTCAACCCTTTGCTAATAGTTGAGATTTGGCATGGCACTTCTTCGGGTATGTTTTCCGCTCCTGTCCTTTCCGCCATCTCCTATGATGATCTTTCACACCACTGTTCCCGCGATCCCTGAGCGCCTGAACAACATGCACTACCATCTGAGGTTTCTCCAACACCGCATCTTGTCTTGCTCTAGCAGTATCATCTGCCGCCTCGACCAGTGACTAACTTGGAACAGTTGATCGTAACGCGATCCCGGCATATACTCATGGCTAAGGCCCGTCCATTTTGGTAAGTGGCTCATTGCAGATTCAATTTCCCTACTACTCCCCACGTCGATGATGAGAAACCTTTTCAATCAGTTCTGCTACTGAACCATTGTGATGATCCCAATATACCATACCAAGATCTCTGATACCACATCACATCCATACACTTGTTTCTTATTTCTAGCTGTGCCTGCGGCTAATCATGGAAATAGATTCACCCACCTTCGTGTTTCTGAGCTTGACGGCCCTCGTTTTACGATTCAGCCAATATGTAAGTACGTGATGTGATATTGATGTTCATCCGACGTGGTCCTATATGATGATACAAGTTCTATCCATTCAACGACTTCATCTCGGCCAAGTCACCCTCCCGCACCGTAGTTTCTCGCAAGAGAGATGATGACTGGTTGTGGAGTTGCTTAATTCGCGTGATTCTGACTCCCGTGTTGCGGCTGTCTGCAATCCGTTTTGGGTTGTAGACAGACGCGGCCGGCCGAGCTGACTGAGTATAACGGCTTATCTGATCGCATCCACGTACCCCATTTGGCTCGTCTCTTTTCTCAATCACACAAGGCATTAGCTAACGGATCGTGAAGGGACGTCGATGTAAGTACCGGTAATACTGATGACCCCGTAGTGACACATTGTAACCCAACTTGGGCATGGCCTTTTCAGTCTGCGTGGCACTTCGTCCGTGGGCGCCGCTCTCGATAGTCCAAAAAAGAAAATTCGTTCATAAATCTTTTGCTCTCTTCACTTGGTGTCTGTGACTTTGTTTGAGAGTAATGGAAAGTCGCGCGTTTGGCGGGAGATCAAGTTTCGGGTCTCCTGCGAGATCTGTTTCAGTGAATTGCTACTTGCGCGCAACTGGAACGTTTTGCATCCAAATTCGTACGGACATGAAGACGAATTGGCAGCCCTGGGCTGTCTCCTGACCGCCAACGGCTCCCTTCGAGATCTTCATGCAGCATACATCCGTTGTGACGTCTGCACCAAGCGTGCTACTTAAATTCACAGGGAGCGGTTGCACTGTCAGGAGTTGCGCACGTCACACTGGAGGTCCATTTTCGGATAAGCTACTTCTGGAAATCCAATTAAAACCGCCATGTCCTGGACGAGCCTAGCAGTCCGTGCTAAGGGCGCCGTCGTATCGCCCTGGGAGGTACCTTCGTTTCAGGGATCACTTTCACTTCGTCAATTCGCTGAGGTTCCTCACTCCTGGTAGGTACGCCGCCTTAGAGCCACCTTTCTTCCACCAACCCTCCTTCGGTCCGTTGCTCGGCTTCGCAAGCCCTTGGTCGACAGCACATCCATCCACGACCGACGACTTGCGACGATAATACCGCCGGTGATACAGACACAGCGACGTCAATAAATAAAGCCGTCGCACATACCGATCCGTCCCCATCGCCACCGGCCGCGCAGCCCCTGTATTCGTCGCCAGTCTCGACGACCCTCCTTCTTCGGCCTCTGGCCTTGTGACGACGTAGGCTCGCAGCACGCAGCTCATCCCTCGTCCAGTTCAAGGCCGAGTGTGGTCCAACGACGCGCTGGGGCGTCACCGCGCAAAGGTTGTTCAATGCCTTCCTATGCCTTGCCCACCGACGCCAAGATGATTCCTCGGCATCATGCTGGTGCCTACTCCAACGGCTATCCGCGCGGGAACACCTTCGACATGTCCCCTCATAGGTAACTCCGCCGCCAGCTGTATATTCCGTTCCCGTGCCCTTTGCTGACTCTCGACTTCCCAAATAGATTCCAGCCTCGAGCGTCGACTCCGGCCCAGAGACGGCGCCAGAAGCTCCTCGCCCGCCTCGGGGTAGTCTTCGTTATCCTCCTCGTCTTCAGCCTGTGGCTGTGGCCGTCTAGCCCCGTCGCCTCCCTCGTTTCCTTCGGCCTTCTCTCCACCGGCGACGGCCTCGAGCTCGAGACGGTCCGATACTATGACTTGACTAATGTCCAGGGCACCGCCCGTGGTTGGGAGCGCGAGGAGCGCATCTTGCTGTGCGTTCCTCTTCGCGATGCGGAGCCACACCTCGCCATGTTCTTCTCCCATCTCCATAATTTTACCTACCCCCATCATCTGATCGATCTGGCTTTCCTCGTCTCCGACTCCAAAGACCGAACCCTGGAGGTGTTGTCAGAAAACCTGGAAGCGATCCAGGCAGACCCCGACCCGAAGCAGCCATACGGCGAGATTTCCATCATCGAAAAGGACTTTGGACAAAAGGTCAACCAGGACGTTGAGAGTCGCCATGGCTTTGCTGCACAAGCTAGCCGAAGAAAGCTGATGGCTCAGGCTCGCAACTGGCTACTCAGCGCTGCCCTACGACCCTACCACTCCTGGGTGTACTGGCGAGATGTGGACGTAGAGACGGCCCCATTTACCATCCTGGAGGACCTTATGCGGCATAACAAGGACGTTATTGTTCCCAGTAAGTCTAAATGATCGCCATGGTATTTATGGAAGTATTAATCCGATTATAGATGTGTGGCGACCATTGCCCGACTGGCTTGGCGGCGAACAGCCATATGACTTGAACTCGTGGCAAGAATCAGAGACGGCCCTGGCCCTGGCCGATACGCTAGACGAGGACGCAGTTATCGTTGAAGGTTACGCCGAGTACGCTACTTGGCGACCCCATCTTGCGTACCTTCGCGATCCCTATGGCGACCCCGACATGGAGATGGAGATCGACGGTGTTGGAGGTGTCAGCATCCTGGCAAAAGCTAAGGTCTTTCGATCTGGTGTTCACTTCCCAGCCTTCAGTTTCGAGAAGCACGCTGAGACGGAGGGATTTGGAAAGGTACGATATGCCATGTTTCGGTTTCGTGAAGCTCAACAGTACTGACACCCACACTACAGATGGCCAAGAGAATGCGCTACTCCGTCGTAGGCCTGCCGCACTACACTATCTGGCATTTATACGAGCCCAGTGTGGATGATGTCAAACACATGGAGGTACGTTTCAACTTTGATGCTTCCGATATACCATGACCCCCTGAGATGTACTTGTTTATTGACTCTCGACCTAGGAGATGGAGCGAGAGAGGCTTGCCCGCGAGAAGGAAGAGGAGGAAAGGAAGAAAAAGGAACAAAAGATCAAAGAAGAATTCAGCGATACGAGGGGTGAGTGGGAAAAGGACAAGCAAGAGATGAATGATCTCAAAGCCCAGCAACGGGCGGCGGATGCAGACCAGGCCAAAGCTCTGCCTGTGGGAGAGAAGGCTTTTGACAAGGCCCCCGAGGGTAAAAAAGAGGTGGAAAGAGCTCCCGGAGGCGCCGCCGCGAAGCCTGATGCTCCCGTGGAAGCAGCCAAGGCAGAAGTGAATGCGCAGAAGGCCGACAAAGTGGAAGGAAATGCGCAAAATGATGAGAAGGTGAAGGTGAATGCACCAAAGGAAAACAAGGTGGCAGCTTAAAGGGATTCTGGGTCCCGACGAGGAGTCGATCTCCTCGTGTCATGGTTGGCTACCCTTTTGCAGCGTCTATTTGTACAATACAAGGCATGGAGATTGACGGAGGTAGATTTGGGAAGAGGGCTTTTACTGTCAGGAATGTCGGCTGGCTGGCTTGCGGGAGACATGATGAACACTCACTGTCTCGCAACGTACAAGGCGTCTGGTACAAGGAACTGGTTACAGAAAATGAACAGTACAAATCACATATCTCGAGATGGGGTTTATATTCATAACGGTCACAGGAGCGTATGTTTGATTCAATGGAGTTAGTTTTGTCCAGTTAGCAAGTGGTGCTCTGCAACATGATGGCGTGAGCATGTTCGTCCACCACTCTGGGCTGAACTTGCAGGTCCACCACCTATTACATGTCCCCCACTAAACTGCGCCGGAATAAAGTATCCGACTCCCCGTGGCCGCTGGACGTGCAGCACAATCCAGGGGCGAACAACCTTCCCAGGCAGGGGCGTCGGCGAGGCTCCCAGGCCGATCCGATGACACGCAGCCAATTAGGGCGCGGCTGGGACGACACCTTCGAGAAAGACCCAAGCTTCCTGTGATAGCTACCTCAACCACTGGCAGCACCCCAAGTCCGTTACCAGCAGCTGACTTTGGCATCGGCCGACTGGACACAGTATTCAGGTCGTCTGGACGTATCTGTCCCCTTGCCATCCATCATTAATAGCCAGGCTGGTCCATTACGGCCTCCGCTCAGACCTCACCTCTCCTCGCGCAACCTCCTCCGATTCCGAGCCCAGGCGAGTCGCACGGCCGCTTGACACCGACATCTGTCCTTGAGCGCTGCACGCCGCATCCGCAGACCATGAGTCGCGATGCGCAGCCCCCCACAACCATGGAGAGCCCTCAGTCTTCCGGGCTCTCGACCTTCGAGAACCGCACTATTCCCCCGAGGATGCAGTACCGAAGCCGCCCCGTCTCCGTCGCCGTCGACCCCGTCTCGCTGGTGATCTCTGAGTGCATCTCCATCACCTCCGTCATCCAGAAACATGCCCGCTCCCCACACTCGTCCGTCTCGGCCATTCTTGGAGGCAGCCCGAATCCTGTCCACCTGGGACCTCCCAGCCCAGCTCTGGGTGGGAGGAGCAAGAGCCCCTCCGGCAGCATCAGCGGCGACAGCGCCAAAGACATTGGCCTGGCCAACCGCTGGGGGCTTCGCGGCCAGAAGGGGAAGAGCATGCAGGACAACCCTATGATTACAGGCTTTGGGAAGCTGAGGCATGAGCTCGCTGGTGTCAAAGGTGCGCATCCCTGGCAGTGTTCCGCAAATGCCCTATGGTAAAGCTAACCTGTGTGTATAGACATCCGGTCCTTCGATGCCCCGTCAATCCTTGCGCCTTTCCTCCACGTTATTCAGGCCAAAGGCACCGCCGCTCCGATTACGATCCTCGCCTTGGGCGCCCTGAGAAAATTCTTGGCCTACGGTTTCATCTGCCCCGAGTCGCCTCGCTTTGCCTTGGCCATGCAGTCTCTTTCCGCTGCCGTCACACATTGTCAGTTCGATATTAGCGACTCGGGGCAGGTGGAGGTTGTGCTTCTCATGATTCTAAACCTGATGGAGGACATGATGTCAGGCCCTGGAGGAGACATCCTCAGCGATGAGAGTGTTTGCGACATGATGGGCCGTGGTCTTGCCATCTGCTCCCAACCTCGCTTCTCCCCTGTCCTACGCAGAACCGCCGAGGCCTCCATGGTCCGAATGTGCCAGATTATATTCGAAGATGTCAAGCACCTCGAGTTCGAAGCTGGTGATGATGCTGAAGCTCTAGATCAGCAAGTGGACGAGGATCTTGATAGTGTCAAAATGGATGCCACGCCCGCTGATACCGACACTCTATCCGCCGAGCCCAAAGCCCTCGATGTCGTTAAGGCGGAGGTGTCAGACTCGGAGCGAACTAGCAGAGACACCGCGGCCGATACGGAGGCGGGAGGAGTCACGGTCAGCGATCCGAGCGAAGAGACGGAGTCTCTAGACCTGAGGCCTTACTCCCTCCCTTCTGTACGGGAGCTCTTTCGGGTTCTCGTTAACTTTTTGGATCCTCAAGATCGCCACCATACCGATACTATGAGAGTCATGGCTCTGCGGATAATCCACGTTGCACTCGAGGTCTCTGGACCATTCATCGCTCGACACCCTGCTCTTGCTGTCATCGCAGAGGACCGACTTTGCAGCTACCTTTTCCAGCTTGTCAGGTCTGATAACATGGCCATCCTTCAGGAATCACTCATTGTTGCTGGGACTCTGCTGGCAACATGCCGAGGTGTCCTCAAGCTGCAGCAAGAGCTGTTTCTGTCTTACTTGGTAGCGTGTCTGCACCCCAAAGTGGAGATTCCCCGAGAGCCTGGAATCGAGCCCGCCTTGTATGCTGGCATCCCTCAGACGCCTAAGCTTGTGAAGCCTCCTCAATCCTCACAGCCGGGTAGTGGACGGGCGACTCCAGTCCAAGTCAAGGACCGCCAAAAGCTGGGCCTTGAAGGTGGTGCTAGGAAGCCCGATGCCCGCCAGGCCATGGTAGAGAGTATTGGCGTACTGTCCAGGATGCCAACATTCATGGCTGAGCTCTTTGTGAATTATGACTGCGACCCGGACCGAGCCGATTTGTGTGAGGACATGATTGGACTGTTGTCGAGGAATGCTCTGCCCGACTCGGCAACCTGGAGCACAACGAGTGTCCCCCCCCTGTGTCTCGATGCCTTGTTACGGTACATTCAGTTCATCGCTGAGAGACTTCACGAAGAACCTGTGCGTGATGGCTATCCTAGCCCCGACGCTCTCAAGGAGCAAAGACGCCGAAAGAAAATTATCACCAAGGGAGCGAACATGTTCAATGAGAAGCCCAAGGCCGGCCTGGGCTACCTAGAAGCGCAGGGTATTATCGAAAATGCCGCTGATCCTGTTGCTGTTGCCAAGTTCCTTAAGGGAACCTCCCGTGTGTCCAAAAAGGTCCTGGGTGATTTTCTTTCCAAAAGGGGCAATGAGGAGATCTTGAAGGCATTTATGGACGTTTTCGAATTCTCCGGGAAGCGCGTTGACGAGGCTCTGAGATTGCTACTCGAGTCCTTCAGATTACCTGGCGAGTCGCCTCTGATTTCCACCATTGTAGAGCGTTTCGCGGAAAAATACTCCAGTGATGAATCCGTCGAAGAAGTTGCCAACAATGATGCTGTTTATGTTCTGACATACGCAATCATCTTGCTAAACACGGATCAGCACAATCCGAACATGAACGCCTCGAAGCGGATGACTTTCGAAGATTTCTCCAGAAACCTTCGAGGCGTGAACAATGGCCAGAACTTTACACCAGAGTATCTGCAAACCATTTTCGATTCGATCAAGTCTAACGAGATTATCTTGCCTGACGAACACGACAATAAGCATGCCTTTGACTATGCTTGGAGAGAGCTTCTCCTCAAATCCGAGTCTGCGGGTAACCTGATTCTCTGCGACACCAACATTTATGATGCCGACATGTTTGCCACTACCTGGAAACCCATCATCTCAACTTTGTCATATGTCTTCATGTCCGCTACCGATGACGCAGTCTTTGCTAGAATTGTCACTGGCTTTGACGAATGCGCACGCATCGCCACCAAGTATCAGAACACCGAAGCACTTGACCAGATCGTCTTCTGCCTCAGTCACATGTCCACTCTAGCCACGGAGTCGTCCTTCAATACGTCCTTAAATACTGAGGTTCAGGCCGGTGAGGGTAGTGTCATGGTGAGCGAACTTGCTGTGAAGCTGGGTAGGGACTTCCGCGCCCAACTTGCAACACTGGTACTCTTCCGCGTCGTCACCGGCAGTGAAAGCTTGTTGCATGACAGTTGGAAATATGTAAGTTCGTGTCTTCTCCATCTTCGTACGGCACTAATTCTCTCAGATCATCCGCATATGGCTCAACCTCTTTACCAACTCACTGATCTCCTCCTTTTCCCCAAGCACCATCCCCTCTCTACCCGTCCCAGCCATCCCGCTTCAGACCCCATCCCAAGTTATCGATCGTGTCTCCCGGACATCGGAAACTGGGTTCTTCTCTGCCTTCACGTCGTATATCTCGAGCTATGCTGCCGATGACCCTCCTGAGCCATCTGACGAAGAGCTTGAGAGTACTCTGTGCACTATCGATTGCGTAAACTCGTGCAAGATGACGGATGTTTTCGAAAACATTGCGTGAGTCAAACTCCTTCATTTTAAATTCCAATCTCTGACGATACCGCAGCAAGCTTGATGCGGCGACTGCCACAATTGTGGTACAAACGCTGATCGACCAGCTTCCTGAAGATAACAACACGACGGTAATCACCGTCAAGCAAGAGAACATGCCTGCATCTCCTACAAGCAGCCAACTCCCATCGGAAGGACTGCCGAAGTACGACCCCAGTGTGACCTATATCCTAGAGTTCTGTACTCTGCTCGCGACGAGAGACGCCGCAGCTATCGAAAGTATGGGCAAGGTGGTGTTTGATACCCTGCAGGGTGTTCTCCGTGATTCCAGCCAGTATCATGCCATCACCATCTCAAGAGCAACTTTCTACGCTCTGAAACTCTTGAAAACCAGCTATGTATGATTTTCCAGGAACTTGAGCTACCAGCATGCTAATACAACCGAGAAGGAACACGATTTCGTCAATGTGCCATTTCTCCTCCACACAATCTCGAGTCTCCCCCAAGATGCGCTGGGTAAAACCTCGGATCTTACTCTGGCAGGCCTAGCGATCTGTATCGATGAACCTGGCCCGTTGAGACGGGAGATTATGACGTCTCCAGACTTCTGGGCAATCCTCCGAACTTTGGCTGGAAGGCCTGAGTCGGCCGCATTGGTGTTTGGAATCCTCGAGAGGGGAATCACTGGTGACCCTCAGGCTATCTTGGCTGATAACTATGAGGCAGCCATCTCACTTCTGAATGACTTTGCCACTGCTGCAAACCCCAAACAGCCTACCTTGCAGAGGTCGGGTTCTCAGCAACAGAGGACGCCCCAGAAGAAGCAAGAAGGAAAACGGTAAATTCACTGCAGCCGCCAGCTTAGGATTATGTGAGCTAATTAGTGCCAGTCATTCCGAGGTCGTTACAAGAGGATCTAAGGCTGTAGATATTCTGTACAGTCTTACGGCTCGGATCCCCCATCTCATGCAACAGTCTCAACTTGAGAGCAGTGAAGGTTTGCATGTTTCTCATCGACGTGATTGCAATAGCTAAAGTATCGCTTCCAGCCTGGTCAGCCTATTGGCTACCCATCTTCCAAGCGTTGACGAACCAATGCGCGAACCCCTGCCGGGAGGTGCGACAACTCGCCTTCTCAGCCCTGCAGCGATCTCTACTCTCGCCGGAACTCACTTGCAGTGATCCCAAGGAGTGGACCGCCATCTTTGGCAAGGTTCTGTTTCCTTTGATTCTGCGACTGCTCAAGCCCGAGGTATTTTCGTCGGACCGGGATGGAATGAGTGAGATGAGGGTCCAGTCCGCATCACTCCTGTGCAAAGTATTCCTGCAATACCTCGTGCTTCTATCTGAGTGGGATGGAATGTTGGACCTTTGGGTCAAGATTGTTGATATTATGGATCGTCTCATGAATAGCGGTCAAGGCGACAGCTTGGTAAGTCAATATGCGCGACAACCCTTGTTCCATAATTCAAGTAACTAACGGGACTCATTGCAGGAGGAAGCAGTCCGCGAGAACTTGAAAAACGTTGTCTTGTTTATGGCTAGCAGTGGATACCTAGTATCGCCGAAGAAAGATGGGTCCAAGGAGAAGCTGTGGTCAGAGACTTGGAAGCGAATTGACCGTTTCCTGCCAGATTTACGGAGCGACCTTGCATTAGAGGAGCCCCTGACCGAGGAGGAGAAGATCGCAAAGACGCACAGGCAGAGCGAATCCGAGCGCAAGGATGCTACACAAGTGAATGCGAAAGAGGAATCGACAGAGAAGCAGAAAGAAGCAGAAGAGGAAGAAGAAGAGGACGACGACGACGAAGAAGAAGAAGACTAAGAAGAAAATGAGGAAGAAGAGAGTGGAAGGGAGAAAGATGAAGTGAAGAAGGAGGCAAAGGAGGCCGAGATGATGGCATAGAGCGAATAGAAAGAGCACCAGATGCGCCTGGATGATGCGAATGATGGCATCGGCAGTATCTAGCCCTGAGACATTGTCGTCTACTATCAGATTAGAGAGAGAGAGACGTCAGTCGACTGTACAAATGAAATAATATAGATCATGTCGGTATAAAGGTGACTGGCCCTGGCTTAGTTTGGCGTGCACGTCGTGATCCATTATTAGATTGACCTGGAGGATTGAACCCTCGTTCTAGCAAATGGCTTACATAAGGTAGGTAGTTGGTCAAGGTACTGGGGTCTCTCTTAGCAGCTGCTTGGTTGGCGGGGCGGGTCTCTGTAGCGACGTCATCTGAATGCGGGCCAGTTGAGGTACGTACTGGGTGCATGTGATATACCTGGAGCTCCATGTGATAAGTTACCTGGAGCTCACTCTCACAAAGTATCTTGACAAGGCCAACCCAGAGCCAACCTCCCTCCTCCTTCACCACACGAGCTTCGCCCGCTGTCCACGAATCTCGTGCAAATCCTGTATGTTCCAGAGCTTCCGGTAACAGTCGCGCAGCCCGCCCTTGGCGGCAGGATATGCGTCATCATTCTCCAGCATGTCTGAGTTTGGTGTCCCAGACTCGCTCAGCCCAGCGCCCTCCGTTATCATCCCGACCACACCAGACCCGAACGGCGACGCGCCAGTCTTTCCTCTGCTACAAAACAATGGAGCTGCGAGCCCGCTGTCGTCAGATGCTGCGGGAGGCGCGAACCGCGCCGGCGAAGACGACAATGACGACGAGCCCGCCGTAGCCAAGCCCTTTGTCCGCACCACCAGCCCAGATCCCTCCGCCCGCACCGTCGAAGATACCTTTGACGACGATCGCGTGCCCGATCGCCTCATCTACAAGATGCACAAGTTCAGCCTCTACGAAACGGCTAGTCGGTATTACATTGTCGGTGTGGATGTAAGCGAGAAGCGGTACCGCATTCTCAAGATCGACCGGACCACCGAGGGCGCCGAGCTGAACATGACGGATGACAAAATTGTGTACAGCCTCAAAGAGATGAACCGGTTGTTGGACACTATCGACGACGGCAACCGCGGGACCGGTGGCATCAAGCTACGCTGCACCACCTGGGGCCTGCTTGGCTTCATCAAGTTCACCGGGCCCTACTACATGCTCCTCATCACCAAGAAGAGCACCGTTGCCATGGTTGGGGGGCACTATATTTATCAAATCGAGGGCACTGAGTTGGTTCCCTTGACCCCGGGAAAGTTCAAGCCTGACTCACGCAACACCGAGGAACAGCGCTTCCTCGGTATCCTCAATAACCTCGATCTGACTAGGTCTTTTTACTACAGCTACTCGTACGACGTCACCCGTACCCTGCAGCATAACGTCATCCGCGAGCGAGAAGCCCTCGCTCAGGGCATTCTGCCGCCCTCAGATGACGACTTCAACTCAATGTTTGTGTGGAACAATTACCTCCTAGAGCCGGCCGTAACGGCCCTCCGAGACCCCTACGATTGGTGTCGCCCTATTATCCATGGATATATTGACCAGGCCGGTGAGTTGTGCCGCAGTGCCACAGTGCAGACGAGGCTACTAACAGGAAACAGCTCTATCTATATATGGACGTACCGCTCACATCACGGTTATTGCGAGACGCTCTCGGTTCTTTGCCGGTGCCCGGTTTTTGAAGCGAGGAGCTAATGACCTGGTATGTCCCCTCTTCTTGTTTCTACACGGCGGTTCTATTATAGAAGACGCTGGCAGGGGGGGTGTTTAATCAAATGGTGCTAACTATCTTCAGGGCTATGTTGCCAATGATGTAGAAACGGAGCAAATCGTCGCTGAGTCCCTGACTACCTCGTTCCATGCTCCTGGTCCTCAACTTTTCTGTAGCCCCCAGTATACCTCCTATGTCCAACACCGAGGCAGCATTCCGCTTTACTGGACTCAAGATAACACTGGCGTTACCCCAAAGCCTCCGATCGAGCTCAACTTGGTCGATCCATTCTACGGGGTTGCAGCGCTGCATTTTGATAACCTGTTTGAGCGCTATGGCGCTCCACTCTACGTGGTCAACCTAATCAAGGCCAAAGAACGACAGCCCAGAGAGTCAAAGCTCTTAGGGGAGTATACGCATGCCATCAACTACCTGAATCAGTTTCTCCCCGCAGACAAGAAAATCATCCACAAGGCATGGGACATGAGTCGAGCTTCCAAGGTCCGCGGTGGCGACGTCATCGGCAACCTTGAGCTGATCGCCGAGTCAGTCCTCAACACGACCGGCTTCTTCCAGAACGGCGATGGCATCACGAGCTCCATGACGGCACAGAACGGGGTGGCCCGCACAAATTGCATCGACTGTCTGGATCGCACCAACGCGGCTCAGTTCGCCATCGGGAAGCGGGCGTTGGGCCACCAGCTGCACGCCCTCGGTATCCTCGAAAATACATCGGTTGAGTATGACACAGATGCCGTCAATCTCTTTACTCACATGTGGCACGACCATGGTGACACTATTGCGGTCCAGTACGGCGGCTCCCAGCTCGTCAACACTATGGAGACGTATCGCAAGATCAACCAGTGGACCAGTCACTCCCGTGACATGATTGAGAGCTTCAAGCGCTACTATAATAACTCCTTCCTGGACAGCCAGCGACAGGAAGCCTATAACCTGTTCCTGGGCAACTACATATTCACTCAGGGGCAGCCCATGCTTTGGGATCTGGCCACGGACTACTATCTGCACCACTCTAACCCCAGGAACTGGTCCGCCAAGACGAGGCGCAACTACATCAATTGGTACACACCGTCACACTTGAATGAGAGAAAGGTTCCCCCGTACGTCCCTGGCCGGGACATTGCGCGCTTTCACCCCATTGAATTCTTTGACGACTACTGGCTTGAGTACTACCGGCCTGCTACGCTATCGTCCTTCCCCAAAATGTTTGCGTACAAGATGAACTCCACAATCAAGTACATCCCCCTCAAGTCAACTCAAGACGGCCGGTATGACCTCAGTCCGTTTCGTGTTCGCACAGAAGGTGACGTGGTTCCTAGTGACAGGAAGAGACCAAAGAAGGAGACGATCAACGGCGTGGCGTCGGGTTCGTCTCGGTCAGCCTTGGTAGCAGACGATGCCCCCTCAATGGCTTCCAACACAACTCCGACGAAAGGCATGTCGCTGCGCTGGCTACAGCCAGTTCAGACAAAGAGAATGGCCGGCGACGATGCGTCCAGGTTGGAGTCGGCGCAAGCATTGCAAGGCGGCGAGGGCGCCCCCAAGACAAAGCCTACTGCCCTAGAAAAGTCCAATGCCGCACAGTGGACCTTTACCAAGGCGGTTCATGACTCTCTGAACCCCTCTGTCAAGGATCAGGAGGCAGACGATTATGAACGGTACATCAAACATCCTCAGAATCTTCCACTGGTGGTCTCTAGCGACACCCCCGTAGACATCGATTCTTCGGAGTATCAAGAATACATCAACGGCGGCTGGCAGGACGAAGGTCTCATCGTCAAGGGCACTGAAGAGGAAATCGACGTATATGCGGAGTTGCTCAAGGTGGGAGAGAATCCGCTGACAGTAACTGAAGAGGACGGGCCGAAGAAAAGATACAAGGCCTATAGGAAATGGCTGCGCGGAAAGTCGTTCTTCAAGCAGCAACCTCTCGATTGATGATGGACGCGCATCGCGACTCGTCGTTTGTGTCAATAAGCGTTTGCTCGAGTTTGACTCGACAAGTTTGGAAAGAGTTTAGTCAGTCGCGGTTCTTTTTCCAGAACCTCCGCCAATCCCTCCGGCGTTTTGGAGTGGCTTTGGGTCCAGACTGACTGCAACATTTCGGATGTTTGCATCAGCTCTTGAGATATGGCGTTCACGTCATTCGTGCCTGGTGTTGAACCCGTACCATCTTCACACACGTTGAGCCAGCAAAGAGACATTGCGCGGATGATCTGCTCCAGGTTTTCGCCCTCCTTGATTCTCGGCCAGCAACTAGTGATTATTGCACCCAAAGCCCTAGTAGCAGCGAGGATAGCAGGAGGAAATGCTGTCGCGAAGGGGTCTTCCATGACTGATGATATGACCGCGAGAATATTCTAGCCATCCGTTTTTAGCGACACTAGAGGGCGTCATGTTTGGAAAGAGACAGGTTTTACCTTTAGATGCTTGATTGAATAGATACCAAGACATTTGACGATTGACGCCATACTGTCCATTAGAATTTGGACGATGCGTGCATATTGAGAGGCATGGGAGTACGCTGCAATAACACCCTCTCTCAAGGCTTTGTCCAAGAGCCGTCGACGATTGAGACTTTGGGGAGATTGGTGAGTCTCTGCCAGTCTGATCAGAACATCATAGGCTGGCACAAGAAGTTTTGCGGATTCTTCCTCGGGTGTGAGACTGGGGAGATAGAGAAGAGCGGGAAATGCAACGTCTTCGAAAATGAGACCAATGCCTGTCGTATGAAGTACTTGAGTTGGACATTTCCCCACAAAGACGGCCAAAGTCTCCAGGGCCCTGGATTTCACATCGGTCAACTCGTCTTCTGCAAGAGTCAGCAAGACTGGGGTGAAGAGATGCCAGTGGTCTTGCATCAGGTTCGACTTTTTGAGTAGTAAATGTCAGCAACTGTTTTAGGCGAGATAGGGCTGGAGACCGACCTCGGAGGCATCGACAGCCCAGCGCAGGGTTGACACAGCCCACGGAGCATGGCCCTTCCATGATGAGGCTGCAGGGGGCTGCCGGCCTCTTTCGGCAGTTTCCTGGTAGTGAGCTGGCCTCCCGGACGCAGTAACTCTTGATGATGACTTTGCAAAGAGCGGCTTGAGAAATGTTTGCAGGATAGGGCCGACAATGAATTCTGTCTTTCCAACGTTCGATAATTGTGTCTGGAGCAGTCCTGACGCAACGCCAGCCGCCTTTACCGTAGTCCATGAGTCGCGAGGATCAGTGAAAGCGACCACTTTGAGCAGCGTCGAGTCGTCCAGACTGTAGGACCATGTCAAAGACAAGAGGTGTAAGCACGCAATACCTGCCTCCGCCACTAACGCTACCGTCTCTGGTTCTACAGATACATGTTAGAATTTGGAACAACTTGACACTACGTGATCCTACCTAGGCTGGTGTTTGGTGATAGGAGGCTCTCGCTCACAGCCTTGGTCAGATTCGACGCTTGGTCGCTGTCCCAAACAATAAATTTTGGCTGGGAAATATGAAAAACAACTTCAAGTGCAGCGTCATGAAGGTCCTAAAATGACAGAATTTTAGTACACTTGAATGTTGGCACAAGAGAGCTTGAGGGCTGAGGATGGCCATAGGCCCTGCCAAAGCAGCCTCCTGCGTACCGCGTTCGCAATTGAGCCCGGTATCCGGGAAGCCATATCGTCAAGAGAATGTTGCTCTATACGCTCTGTACTTGGACGCGTATGATTAGTTTCGGTTTCATGCGTCATTCTTTTGCTAGCGACGTACCGGTGGCGAGTGACTGGACCCTTCTGAGATTGGCCGCACCCAGCAGTGATTCCAACATGATGCCGCTGTCGTGGGGCATTCTTCGCAACTAGGCATGAAGACGGAATCCCCAGAAAGAATATCTAGGGTTAAAGAATAAAAGGTGTCAAGGCTATGCTTCGCTTTGATGTGTGTCTCGAGGGAAACCAGGTTTGGTGACTGGTGGGTAGGTAGGCAGGCATGCAGAGACGAATTATTAGGACGTCTCGCGCATTTACCCACACATACTGTGTATATAACACTGTATCTGCACTGTGCCCTCTGAGCCGGGACAAACACAATCACTCAACAAGCATCTCACCCCACGACTTTTCAATGAGCACACGACATGGAAGCATAATGCTTTCCTAATTTGTACCTCTCAATTCACTCGCTTACACTGGTATAACGTATATTTTAAAGTGAATGATCGCTCAGGCAGCAGACGACCTACTCCTACACTGAGCACACCTGGTTGCGAGATGATAACATAGAATTTGACCATTTTAATGGTATCAAAATCCTCAGAGTTGATCAAGGCAAAGGTATCCCCAACTCTTCCCGCCGCTGCCTCACTTCTTCAATCGCGCCCGCCGGATCATTCTCCTCGGGGTGGCGCAGCTGCCATGCGACACATACGTCAAGCGCCTTGCCAGTCCATATACCTGGCTTTGTTCCCAGCGCCTTTGCCAGCTGCCGTCCGTCAAGTAGGCGCTTTAGCGAAGGAGCCTCAAGCACATCTAGCTTGGCAAGGTGGTCCAGGAAATCTTTCCACCCGGCAAGGAACTCTGTCTGCCCTAAGAGAGCTGTTAGTTGCATCGCCACAGTCGGGTGTCAAAATAACAACCACTCACCCTTTGCGTCTTCCGATGACCATTGCTGAAGAACTTCCATAACTTCGACCAAGATGGCGTTCAGGACCTGAAGTCTCCAGGAACCCACTTGTGCATCCCATCTCCGGATAGCCATGCCAAATCTATCTCGCTCGTTAATAAAGGCCTCTCGACTGCATACAGCCTTTTTCAGAGACAAGATCTCGCTGCGGTTGCGGTAAGAGGCGGTGATTATATCGGTCAGTTTGTTAGGGGCCTTAAAGCCTTCTCGAGCGGCTACTGCGACAGGTGGCGGAGCATTTGCCTTTCTCTTGGGGTTTGGCGGATGATCCACAGTCATCCAGGGAGAAACAGCGGCCAGGTTCCAAGAGCAGTAGAAGCCATCTTCGTTGTGGATCAGCAGATGACCAATAGAATCCGGCGTTTTGTCCTGAATCAGTTTGTCCAGGCACTCGTACGCGACATGCCACTTGGAGATATCTGGTGACGCCGTGGTCTCCTTGGTTGGGTCGGAAAACACAGCATAGTACAAGCCGAGTTCATCAATGAGCTGAAGCGACTCGCGAGGGTGGGCACCTGATCATGCATCAGTCTACCTAATAGTCGGTTAGATATGTGAGCGTAGATAACCTACCTTTAAGCATCTTTTCCAACTCTGTTCCCACCCGCTCCCGGCTGATTTTGGCACGCAGAGCTTCGAGGACTCTCGGGTCGGCCATAAACTGACGCGTTACGGGGTCAATCGTGAACTGGAGACGGCTGGCGAAGCGGACCAGGCGCAAAACCCTCAGCGGGTCGTCCATGAACGTCTGGAAAGGGTCGAGCGGGGTTCTCATAATCTTTGCGGCCATATCCTGGAGACCTCCAGTGAGGTCCTCAACCTGGTCGGTGTGCAGATTGTAAAAGAGGGCATTAACGGTGGCATCGCGGCGGAAAGCGTCTTGCTGGGCGGTTCCGAATTCCATCTGCGGGTTGCGGCTATCCTCAGTGTACGTCTCCCTGCGAAGATTGACAAAATCCAGATCAAGACCAAAAATTTTAACCATAGCAGTCTCGAGATGCTTGGACTTGTCTGGGTTGCGAGCGACGTTGTGCAGGCTACCAATGTCATCAGGCCCGATACTGTGCTTTGTGACGGCCTCGGGCTTTTCACAGTAGTCACACATGTGCTCGGCAAACGGGACGCCAGTCATAGCGTTGATGGCGACGTCGATGTCGTGGCTTTCAGTGTTGAGCAGCTTGTCACGGACCCAGCCGCCAGCCCAGCGCAGCACGATGGGCTCGGGAGCATGGCCGGCCTCGTCAATGGATTTGGCCACGTCGAGAAGCAGGCGTCGAAGTTGCTGCTCGCGAGGATTTAGCTGAACCGAAGCAGTCGCCATAGTTGATGAGATAGGCGGGCACTGGGCTCTGTTTGGCCGCTTGGATGGGGCTGAAGCTGAGGAGGCTAAGGAGGACTGCAGAGGTTTATCTCTGAGGAAAGTGTCGAGCTTCCTTTTCATGACCAGACCCGGGCGACCCAGGCGCAAGAGCATGAAATGAGAGATTTGGACAGAGTTTTGTGGTGGTCACCAGTTCTTGATGACAGAATGGTTGAGTTGGTTCCAGCCGTGTGATTGCTCACGGTAAGGTTTCTGAGTCCTGAATGCGTTTCGTCGAGTCCATTTCAAGTCGGTGGTGCTGGTGAAAATAAAGGCTCAGCAAGCATACATCCCCCTTGAATAAGTGGAAGTCTCAAACGCCTCAAAATCCCAAGTTGGAGATGACTCAAATGGGGAAACCCCTTGTTGAAGACGTTATGTGTTGCCGCGATGTGCCTCGTCAGCTAGGTAGGTAGGTCAGTATTTCGCAGCTACCCTACGCAGGCAGGTATGATTGATTGGTTGATGGATGAAGTCAGTGAAGTCAGTTGAGGTAGGAGCACAGTGTGAGTCAGACCTAGATTCCTGCTTGTCACAAGCTGTGTGTGGCCAGTGATAGGCGGGAGAATCGCGGAAATTATGGGGCCATTCCGACCATGCTTGAACGTGGGTGTTGCCTACACACGGTGTAACTGATGGTAAATCTCAAAGGGAAAAATAAGGCTGAGTATAATAATGTCTAGTACATTTACATAGGTAGGTATTTACGGTATGTATTTGTCTTGGGGCCGCTCGGCACCTAATTGACTGGGCGTCTCCCGAACACCCCTCTGCTACAGAAAGGCGCGGGTCTGGTTTCGTCCGGTTCCCTACCTGGGCACCTTCGGTGTGCATTTCCTCAAGGGTATAAACAAGAATATGCCAACATGCCTACGAGATAATCAAGCATATGCAAGAATGGCCCCTGGGACAACAGTATTAGGTGGTGACCCCTTCCCCCCCCCAAGGTAGGATCGCTAATCACATCCAATGCCAACCACGCCACATGGCACAACCCCTTCACCTTCAACCTCTCATCAGTATTTAGCCCCATATCTCTTTGACGTTTGCCATCAAGACATCTCTTCCCCTCGGCCGGCCTCCCTTCTTTAACGCCCCGCATTGCGACGGCGGCAGTGTCTTTTGACCTATCGAATTGCTTGACTCCGTAGGGTCCAATCATCCGCTACCATCTTGAACGCTTGGGTTGTACGCTGAGGTAGGCTTGTAGCTTAGTAGCCAGCCGTATCGCACTTGTGTCAGCGTGCTTCGGCCATGGCCGTCGTTGTCACTCCCCTGTGGCGGGCAGTGCCAAGGCAGATGAAGAACCTCCGGGGTCAAACTCCCAGGTCATTTTTGTTGATGGTTGCCATCCTTCTCACCCGTCGTCCAACCATCCATCAATCCATCTCACCATTCGCCGCCATCGTCGTATCCTTCAAATCGGGGCCACGTCGAGACCACAGACCCTCCATAGATTCCCCATCTCTTATCTCTCACAGCCCGGGTCGCATAAGAAGCCATTATCAAACCTCTTCGATCAAGCACGCTCTGGTCTCACACACCATCTTCGACCATCCTGTATACCACCAAACACCGCCAAGGAGGGTGATTCCTTTCTTCCCCGGGCGGGGGTACAGCATGTTGTTCACCATCTCTCAACGGGACGGCACCCAAGGTAGATAAATATCACCACGCACGCCTGGAGAAAGGGGGCGCAGGCAGCTTTGTCGGCGGCCGATAGATAGCTCTAGCATCTACCGGTACATGACCTACCTAGGTAAGCATGACCTGCCGATTCGCCTCTAGGCAGAGGATGGTTAGTAACCTGCCGCCATCCGCCATTGGAGGTGTGCTACATCCGCATCGTGACCATCACAATGACGTCAATCGCCTCGACGATCGAGGCTCAGTGCCACCTCGTCGCTGGCGAGGCCTGTGATACCACCTCATCAGCCAACGACTAAGTCTTATCCGCTAGCAGAGGTGCTTGCCTCTATACCAACCTAAGGCATCGGGCGACTTTCAAGCTTTGCGGGGTAAACCTTGAATGCCACTATTCTAATCCGTTTCTGCAAGCCATGCATATATAACTTCCCAATACCAAGCTCTCACTGCTCTTTGCGAGCGTGTCCACAAACAGCTCTTTTGTGTAATCCAGAAGGGACTCGGTCTTCACTTATATAATTACACTCAAGTCCGTACAGTTCGCATCCACCACTCCTCATCTCTAGACATGGAACAGTCCGTCAACCAACAGCAGGGTGTGGCGGACACTACTCCCGTCGCCATGAACGAGTCTCCCGTTACGCAGACCTCCAAACAGGACCGAAGGATGAGCGACGAGTGGGGTTAGTAACCGCCTCTACACACGTCCGAAAACTTCACAGGATACTGATCTGAAATATAGATGCCGCGAAGGTGCCCCCAAGTCGTTTCCAGAAGCGCAAGGGCTCCATCTATGCCACGCAGAGCTCTCGGGATGGCCATATTGACAAAAATTACCATGAGAAGTACCACGCTAAGATCGCCGAGATGAATGGAGGGAAATGAGGGATGCGTGTAACACGGCCGTTGGAGACGATTAAGTCGTGGAATAATGATTTTGAAAAGAAAAAGAACCTGTACTATTGAAACCTATCCGCCTACCCAACCGACCGCCATTGGTGTGCGCAGCATTAATCATCAAGACCGTCAATATCAATCGCATCTGGGTTCGACGTGACGACGGCCGTTGGCACTGAGGGATCCCCTTTGGGTCCAGTACTCGCCGCGACGAAACCCTGAGGTGCCCGTGACTGTCTCTCCAGTGCTGCCATGGCATCAGAGACCTCGGCATCGTCCGCACCAGGCCGACGTTGGCTGCGGGCCAAAGCCTGGGATGCAATGAAGTTGACGTCTGTGTTGTATTGTGCTTGGACGCTTCGCTTGATCCGTAGCATTTCCTTGAAGGTATCTTCATTGCCATGTTGGACTTCAAATTGCTCCCACTTTGTCCAAAACTCAGGGTTCGTCCGGGGGTCGCAGAATTGCGAGGCATGTCCATAGATAGCACGCGCACGGTCGATCTCACCCAACCTCTTCTCCATGTCTGCAAACTTAAGGCACATATCCTTAGCCTCGCTATCCGGAAGAGCTGCAATCGCCCTCTCATAAATTGGTCGGGTTGACGGTAGACCAAAGTTAGATGCCGACTTGGTGATATACAAGTTGAACATGTCAGCTCGGTCTTCGTCCGCGACAGCTCTCGTTGCTCGCTCATATATCCTCATTGCATGCCGGGCCAAGCCGCGTTCCTCTTCCAGGTTACCATACATGAGATATATGGTCTTGGCGAACTTGGGCGGGCAATCCTCGACAGCTTGTTCGAAAAGATCGCGCAATCGCTCGATCCCAATCTTGCGGTCAACGGCCTTGGTAAGGTATAAGTTCCACAACTCGAAGGCTACTGGGTAGCTGAAGAGGTCCAGGCCGCGTTCGTAAATCTTAAACGACTCCTCGTAGTATTTGTGCTCCTCCAGAAGGTTCGCATAGTTGACAACGGTTTGGGGAGTCGCGATACGCAGCTCAAATATGCGCTCATAGACCTTCTTAGTCTCTTCCAGTGTCGAGACACTCTCTACGAGGTCAACATAGAAGCTCCACAGCTTCCAGCTCTTGTGGACTCTCTGTTGAGGCGTGAGCGTCTCATCAAAGTAGTCGACAGTGGATCGCTTGGGGGCTTGGACGGCCTTCGCCATGATTCGCACAGCATCGTCGAAGTTCTCATTGCGCAGCTCCATTTCCGCCCACTCAATCCACATGTCTGCCAATTCCGCAACAGACTTGAAGGGAACCTTAACAGCCTTTTCCATGATGATTCGGGCGTCCCGCAGATCACCCCCATGTTCATAAAACTTTGCGTAACTGGCCCAGAGCTGGTGGAACGCGCCAACGGCGCGTTTCGGTTGGATAGCCGCAATCGCATCGGTATACGTTTGGGCCACCTCCCGCTTATTCTCACCCCAGAGGGCCACTCTCTTTTCCCACTCCGGAACGCTGTTTGGATTCTGTCGCAAAAGAACATCGTTAAGAAGAAAGGGTCGTCGATCCATGAGTTGTTCGAATCGCATCATCCGTATGTCCAACTCGAAATCAGCCTCCTCATCTTCCACTCCTTTTTCGGCTCGAGCAGAGGCAACCTCCATGAGGGCGCCAATAATTGACTCTTCAAACTCCGTGTAAGACTCAAATATGAGGGTAAAGTCGCGGACAGTCATGACTGTGGTAATACCCTCCTCGAAAACGTCTCTTGCACGCTCGAAACTGCCTCGTCGGATCCAGTAGGTTGCAAGACCAGCCCAAAGCTTGCCTCTTTGATCGGCGAACCGGGCAATTCCGCTTCTGATAATGCGCTCTGCATCGATTCCCGTCTCGTAGCCTGTTTCGATCTCAGCGGCATGCTCAACTAGCATGTCCACCATCTCGCTCCATAATTCGAAGTGACCCTTTCCATGCTTGCTGACAAAGCGGGTATTGTTGAGGATATCAATGAACTTCACTGCCGCTTCTGTATAAAGACCAGTCTGAACAAGAAGTTCAATGAAGTCCTCGGCATCCTCAGGATGGACTTGCATATATCGCCTCCAAATCTTCACGGCAGTCTCGCCGGCGGCAGAATTGGCGAAGGGTCGGTACACGGACCAGATGCGGTTGTGTTGAGTGATCGGAAGGGCTCTCAGGGCGCGATCGAAGGTTCGGCGGGTGAGGGTGACTAGTGGCTGCTGAGTGAGAAACTTGAGGTACATTTCCCATATCCGGGGCATTTTATTGAGGAGGATCAGAGCTCGCTCGAAGAGGGCATTGACCTTGCGGTACTCGGCCGCGAAGATGGTGGGGTTCAACTTGGCTACATGCTTCACTCGGAATACGAGATACTACACCAGTCATTAGCGATAGCCTTGGAGTCAGGATAAGCCAGGGCGAAACAAACCAGTTTCCACAGCTTATAGGATCGAGGTAGCTGGACACAAGCCCGCTCCATGACGAATGCCTGTTCGACCGCAGTGCCATGTCGCATCTTAAAGTCGATATATGCCAGCCAGGGCTTGACGCTGCCAGGATCCCGGAGAATGTCTTGTTCGTAAACGGAGTCTTCGTTGGACTGGACACGAAGACGTTAGCGGCTATTTGTACAGTGAACACACGCTATCACAGAACGCACAACAAGATGAAGTTGAGGCTGCCTGCGCAGCCCGTTGAGGGCTAGGGCGATGGGCGCCATTGTGATCGTGATGGTTGGGTTGTAGGCGAGTTCAGCATTGGCCTCCAACGAGGGAGCGGCGGCACAGGATCAAGGTCAGGCGGAATTGCGCATCGTCGTGAGCTGGGTCAGACGCGAATAGGCGCCGCTCGGTTCCACGGGCGTCGCTGTTGCCGTTCACCGTCGTTGGCTTGATCTTGGGGTTTGTCACTACTGTTCGTGGCCGTCGCTGCCGCTGTTGGGGTTGTCGGGTGCACGCGGTGGCAGTCGAGTAAGAAGTTTCGGGTGTTTTATTTTTCCATCCAATTTGTTTCGCGCTGGACGGCAACCGAGATGGCCCAAAGGCCCAGAGCTCCACTGCGCTGGGCTGGGCGCAACAGGGAGCGCCCGCCCCCTTACAGTGATATTGATTACATAGCTACGAGGGACCTATCTTAGCGCCTTGGCTGTGTGACGACACAGCGTTGTCTCGAAGCTCTCCCAATTCCTCCCTCATCCGCTTGATAACCGGGACGAGCTACACTCTGGTCAACGAGTGATTCAACTGTCAACATGTCGGGCGCCGCAGTACTGTCACTTCCCGTCCCTCGACTATGCGCGAGAGAGGAGCTGACCTTGAGCACAGGACCGCGAAGCCGTCTTCCCCACCCGGCAGTCGCTGGGCCTCATGAAGGCGAAGCTCAAGGGAGCTGAGACCGGGCACAACTTGCTAAAGAGGAAGAGCGAGGCGTTGACCAAGTATGCATCCTCAAAATTCTGTGTCTGACTCTGAGAAACTAATCCGTCCTCTCTGCGCAGACGATTCAGAGGTCTGTTTCCATGCGACGAACGGTACCAAGACGCGCCTCCTTGCTAACAGTGCCTCGCAACAGAGATTACCAGGCGAATCGACGAAGCCAAGCGCAAGATGGGTCGTGTGATGCAGATTGCTGCTTTCTCACTCGCCGAAGTTACCTATGCTGTGGGCGGCGACATTGGATACCAAGTCCAGGAGTCCGCCAAATCCGCTCGATTCCGAATCCGCACCAAGCAGGACAATGTTTCGGGTGTTCTTCTCCCGGCGTTTGAGAGCTACCTCACCGAAGGCAACAACGATTTTGGGCTGACGGGTCTGGGCAAGGGAGGCCAGCAAGTTCAGCGATGCAGGGAGACTTACGCGCGGGCTGTGGAAGCTCTGGTTGAGCTGGCAAGTTTGCAGACTGCTTTTGTGATTCTCGATGAGGTTATCAAAGTTGTGAACCGACGAGGTGAGTTATCCAGCCTGAGCCCTTTCATAATGTAGATACTGAAATTGTGGAAAGTCAATGCTATCGAGCACGTCATCATCCCACGAACAGAAAACACGATCAAGTATATCAACTCAGAGCTTGACGAGCTGGATCGTGAGGAGTTTTACCGACTGAAGAAGGCGAGTCTAGAGCATGTTTATCGCTCCATACCCTCAGGCTAACTGTTCCTAGGTTGCAAACAAAAAACAGCGCGATACTGCAGCCGCAGATGCGGAGATGAAGGCCAAGCGAGAAGCGCGGGCGGCTCAAGGCGTGAAGCCTCAGAGTGAAGATTCTGGGCCATCAGACATTCTCGCTGCTGAGGACGAGGAGGATGTTATCTTTTGAGGATGCCCCAGATCAGAACCTAGGAGTAGAAGGACAAAGCGACTGAATGGACGCAGATGGGTAGAACATGAATCCACCCAGCACTTCATGTCCCACGCCAACAGGTGTGGGAGGGACAGGGTCAATAGGAGGAAAGGAGTAAGCATGATTAAGCTGTCTTTTCGTATTCACTTTTATAAACTCATGGTCATTATTGCCGTTGGTAGGTGACCTTGATAGGCTTGTCGCCCAAACTCATTCCAGCAGTATTCTCCTTCGCCGTGATAGCGCCTTGCTCTGCTTCGTACTCCACAAAGGCAATACCTCGTCGTCCCGGCACCAATCTAATCTCCTTAAACCCTTCAAAGCGGCCGAATACACCAGACAGTGCTTCGATGTCGTAATCGTCCGGAAGATTCTGGACAAACAGGATCTTGTTGGGTGGCAGGTACTCGTCGGGGACAACGGCCGAGGTCGCGGCACTGGTTGACTTCAAACCTGAAGGTCTGGCAGCCTTGGCCGGTCTGATGTCTGATGCGGCACCCGGGCCTCTCTTGTTGAGCTGCCTCTGTTCCTCGGCTGCCTCGAGGGCCTTCCGCTTGTCTAGAAGGGTAGCTAGTCAGTAACAGTTACAAGCGCTGGGGATTGTTACCATTGCCTACCTTTCTCCGCCTGTCTGTGTCGCTTGTGGGTCTCAAACTCCTCTTCGCCAACATTCATCGCCACGGTCTTGTCGCTCTTGGTGCGCGCCAGTGCCAACCTCATGGGCTTGTCAAAGAGCTCGAATCCCTGGACTTCGTCAATGGCTTTCAGCGCACTGTCCGCATCCTCAAAGACGACAAAAGCTTGACCCTTAGCCTTGAGGTTCTTCTTGGCAACAATATCGACAACATTGCCAAACTCGGAAAAGATGGTTCGCAAGGCCTCGGTAACCGTCTCGATCTTGACGCGTTCTTCGAGGTTCTGGACGTAGACACTATAGGCATGTCAGCCAATAATCTTCACACAGCGTGTCGGTGTGCAATGACACGCACGTGGAGATGGGTGGTGCGGAAGCCATCTTGATGAAGGTGTTCAGCGTGCAGCAGACAGTGACCTCTGTTGGATGGTGCTTGGGTGGTGGAAGAAGAGGCGACGAGCCAGTCACGGAAAGCACTTTGCCCCATTAGCCTCAAGACCCACTCGAGCGGACCATGCATCCATCTCCTGCATTCGCGCCCTCGGGATTGATGGATACCTCATGCGTTTAAACACATTAATTTATTTAATACATATAGCTCCAAACAAACAAACAAACAAACCATATCATCAGAACGCCAAAAGACAGTACGAAATAACAACCAAATCATCAGGAGATCATTTGTCTAGTACACTTCGAGGCACATCAGATTGGGCACGAGCTACCCTGTAGCTCCCATGACCCAGACATACCTGGTATTTAGTCATGCAACTCAACGCCCATCAGACATTGATCCTGTCAACTTGCACATTCTCACCCAGGGCCGTTCCCACTCTTACCAATCTTGCACCCCAGGCCAGGTAGGTAGGTTGGCATTTCTCAAAGTTCGGCGGTTTAGCTGGTGACATCATGGGAACTTTTCGGTTTCCTAGTTCAGATCGCAATCGGAGAGTAAAAATTTGGACATCCCGCATCATAATCCATTCATCGCCGACGCAAATCTCCGGGAGAGGGAGCCCAAGTCTGGGTCTAAGACAACTAAGTCTGGGTCTAAGACAACTAAGTCCGGAGCCTACGGACAAGGGATTTTCGGATGAGGGTGATGGGCACCAGGAACGCGGTAAATGCATCGGCAAGTGGATGAATCTGCATTGGTCAGTTATCAATATCAGCCAACGGCCAACCAGCACCAATACCGACGGCATAACGTGCTGGGTCATCTTGCAGTGTCACTACCTCACTCTTTCCCTGTCGATTGAATATTCTTTGAGTAAAAGACAAGGGTGAACTCCGACTTCCTTGGTACAGAGGTGTACTGTTTTTACGATTCGCCCTGGAGATATTTTCCTCGTATATATCCGACAAATCTCGCTGGATCGGCATCCAGGAGCTCTCTGCTATCTCCGGCTCTGCTTGAATTGTCGATCATATCTACTTTGGTCACCAGGGAGCCATGGAATCACGCGCGTTGCTTCAACAGGGTGAGCGCCGGCATGGATCATCGCGTTATATCCCATTCCCAATGCAAGTAAAAAGAGCATCGCAAACGTGGACCCGATACCACGCCGAGGGCCGGCGCTTCTCTGGCGAAGCTGGGCCGTTCCCATTCCAAAGCCGGTTGTGGAGTCTGACGTCCCGTAATTGGGTTGGTGGGGCCACGTTCCGCCGTCTCCCCGGGACGACGAAACCCAGGAACCTGGTGCTTGTTGTGGCTGACCCATTATCTGGGAGACATGGAGCCCTCAGAAGCGTTGCTTTTACTTCCAGTTTGCTCGCCAACAGTGCCGAAGAGCTAATGCTACAGTCTACTATGCCTCTTAAATTCTATGCAACATAGTGCCGCCTATCGTTCCTGGAGCTCGATTTTGGAACTTGAGAGTCTTGCCTTCAGCATCAAAATCGACATTTTCCCATTTGAAACTGGTCTCTTTGGAGCCAGGGAGGTGGGTCAACGGGACGGGGTGAGGCTTGAGGTTAACAAACAGGCGAAATCGACTCGCTGGTCTCGGAAGCTCGAGTCGCAGATCGTGGACTTCATCCAAGACATGTCCTGATTGCCATTACTTTTTGCGTCATGTCGTCAATGCAGAATATTATGAGATTGGGGACACGAGTAAGCCTTATGCTTCAGACACTATCGTAGGAATCGTGATCGGCGTCAGTGGGCAAGTGAGAGGACGATCTTGAAGCTCTGTGAAGAGTTCCCACTTCCCGTTCCCTCTAATGGTTATTGAAGACGTCACAAGCCTAGCACAAAAAGTCTCCTTATCAAAGACTGGCATGTGTTGTGCTTAAGTGACCCGCAGTATCTCGCTCGCCGATCGATTCCATCCTCCATAAGGCCTCGCAATATCGGCCCACAGGAACTAGGTGAAGAGTATATATCGTCAGGCATATTCCCTTTCCAGTGCTACTATCCATTATCAGCTACATGTTCACCGGCTACTCTTCAATTACGCACAGCAATCAACCCGTGCCAAACGAACAAAATACAATATCACCAGTCAAGATGAATCAAGAGCCACCTATCCAGGGTATCTCACCCCTCTTGCTCCAGCTTTACGACCTATCGCCGTCACAAATACTGGGAAGTCAACAATTCCAATTGCTTCATAAGCCTGGCTTGGACAAATCCCATATTTTGGCTTCCATTCCAGGAACCTCGAAATCCTCTCACCGGCCACTACACCTGCTGTACCTTCTACTGACAGAGATTCCTGGTCGATGGCCAACCTTCGACCTCATCAAGTGCCATACCCGGCTCTTCAAACTGCTTCCAGAAGATTCCAAGGCACGTCGCAATGTTGAGTGGGCTTGGCTCATCGATGCTACGACGAAACTAGTTAAGCAGTCATGTGGCTCGTTTTCTCAATTTATTGGCTGTGATGAGAGGCCTGCCCTGCGAGCTACGACTGCGGAGGATTACATCACACACCGTGGGTTGCATGACTTTGTAACCAACTTTAAGTTGCCAGTCAGCCCTAGTCGAACGAAGCCAGTCGTCGGCATCGCACTTCCGAATGGTCCCCTCTTGGCGGCAACTTGTGTAGCAGTCACCAGCTACTATGTGGCAGCGCCTATTAATCAAGCGGCGGGTCCAGAACAGTTCCAAGCAGACATTATCCAAGCTGGCGCAGATTTTATTCTCACTACGGACGATGACTATAAAAAGCTGCAGCTTGGAGAGGCGTGGGTTTCAGAGCGAAACATCCAAGTCTTTATTGTGGACTGGACAGGCGGCGACAACGTCAGCGTCCAGACCCTAGCTGGAGGAACCCTCGAAGGCTCCAATGTCACGACAGAGCCCAATCGGGGCGATGATATTGGGATGATTCTGTTCACGAGTGGCACGTCCGGTACAAAAAAGGTGGTCCCATTAACCACACACTCAATCATAGCTGGCATTGTGTTTGTCAAGGAATCCTGGGGCCTGACGTCAAGTGATATCTGTCTCAATATGATGCCTCTGTATCATATGTAAGTTGAATAAACTTGATACCCGGTTTCAAAATTCTAACTGCATGCAGAGGCGGCCTCGTGAGAAACATATTTGCACCGATTTTCTCCGGCGGCTCAACCATTTGTTGCTCTGCCTTTGACCCAAGCCTTTTCTGGGATGCTGTCCAAGACATTAAACCAACGTGGTACTATGCCTCGCCATCGATGCACTCAGTCATCTTGAGTGAGGCTACTAGACGTCCCGAAGCGTTGAAAAATAGCCGTATCAGGTTAGCATGCAATGCTGCTGGCGGTCTCCTGCCGTCCCTCGCATGCCAACTACGAGATACATTTGACTGCGTTGTTCTCCCCAGCTATGGAATGACAGAGTAAGAGATGTGAGATAGCTCTTTTCTTCGTCAGCTGACTTTTGAACCAGGTGTATGCCGATTTCTACCCCACCTCTGGATTACCAGCTCGATCGAGAGGGGACATCCGGCATCAGCACGGGACCAGAGCTTGCTATCCTAGACGGCTCAGAGGCAATGGCATCGTCTGGGCAAGTCGGAAGAATATGCGTACGCAGTGAACCCGTATTCCCAGGATATCTTAAGCCGGATGGCACCTTTGACAAATCTCCATTTAATGAGGATGGCTGGTTCGATACTGGTGACCTCGGATATATGGACGATGATGGATATCTCTATATAACTGGGCGCAGCAAGGAGGTTATCAACCGTGGAGGAGAACTCATCTCTCCTTTCGAAGTTGAGAATGCCATCATCTCAGCGTCCATGTCGGCTGATTCCCCAATCAGCGGGCGGATCAGCCAAGCTCTAGCCTTCTCAGCTTCCCACGACATCTTGCAGGAAGTTGTAGCAGTGGCTTTAGTATCACCAGTCAACAAGCCGCGCGTAGACCTCAAGACCCTTCACAGCGCTTTGCGTTCGTCTTTGCAGCAAGCGAAGTGGCCTGTCTTGATAACCTATATGGACGATCTCCCCAAGAAGAACAACAAGGTTCTGCGCATCAGACTCGGGAAAAGGCTCGGGATTCCAGATTTGACAGATGGGACACCGTATCTGGGCCGGCATTGGGAGGCATCATGCCCTCCTCCTGATACGCCCCTCTCTGTCTCAATCGGGTGTTCTCTATGCCCAGTCGACTACAACTACCTGGCTTCGAAAATACAGAACTCGGTCCCAGTTAGCATTCAAGTTTACTGTCGACAGGACCCCAGAGACGGCACAGTCGAAGCCTTTCTAGCACCAGGAAGCGTTATTGAGAAGGCTATGGAGCTCACTGCTATTGGAAACCTGCGGTTCCAGCTCGGACGGTCAATTGATAATTTCATGGTGCCCGGCCAGATTCACCTCATGCCTGACCCGTTTCCGCGAGATACATCAGGAAATATTATGGAGAACCGGCTCCAGGAAGAACTTGACAAACTCTTATCTGCATCTCTCGAGAAGTTGGGGATCTCCACTCAGGGATTGGTGAAGAAGGCTTTCGCAGACACACTGTCGCGTCCCCCCAACGACATCCCAGAAGATGTAGACTTCTTCAGTCTTGGTGGTGACTCGCTACGCGCCGGGCGGCTCATGTCTGCTTTGCGTGCTCAATTCAACGTCCACCTACCGATCGGCTTAGTTTTCAACGATGGCACTGTGGCAGCAGTGGCATCTCACATTGAGAATATGACCAAGACGCAGCCGTTTGATGACGCTGAATCCGATGTCGTTGGATGCACCAATACACACAGCTCAACTAACCCCTGCCTTATGTTGGTGCAGTTGATTCCACTGGCCATCGTCTACCCACTGAGACGGGCATTCCAATGGACTGTTTTTATGGTGGTGCTCGCATACAGCCAACTCCTGCCGACAAACGATTCTATTCCCGGCAGGTTGCTCAACCTGATAGTCTCCATCACGATTTCCCGAATTGCCGTCCGTTGTCTTGCCCCCCTTGTTGGAATCCTTTGCAAGTGGCTCATCATCGGCCGGTATCGTCGCGGTCTGTACCCCATGTGGGGTCTCTATCACACGCGGTGGTGGATGGTCCAAAAGATCACGAGTATTTGTGGCAAAGGCATGTTCAATTCGAACGATGCAACGCAGCGCTTGTATTGCCGCTTGATGGGAGCCAAGATTGGCAAGAATGTAAGTCTTGGTGCAGCAGCACTCGGGGAATGGGACCTACTGGATATCGGCGATGATGTTGTCCTCGACAGATGTATATGCCGACCATTTGCAGGAGAGGGTAACACGACGATGTATCTGGATAAGATTGCGATTGGGGAAAACTGCTCTATTGGAGCGGCTTCCATTATTGCACCGGGAACGACCATGGCACCTAACACTTGCATCGGCCTCAACTCATCTAGCTGGGAGACGGACGATGCGGATGAGGCGTACCGAGATCTCTCGCCGAGCAAGATTGCAAAGCCCCATTGGCCTCTGGTGTGTCTGCTCACCTTGCCACTGCGCGTTATTGCCGGGTTTCTATCGCTTGTCCCCTGGATGTGTGGTCTCCTCGGCATGGTGATAGACAGGCCGTCCGTCAACCACACCCCGATCCGTGACATTGTCAACTGGTTCACAGAAGCAGAGCGAGTAGGTTACCACTACCTTGCACTCGTCTTAAAATGTCTTATAAGCCCGTTTGTCTTGTTTGGCTTCACACTACTGGTCAAGGCCATACTCGACGCTACTTTTGGAGAACTGGGCCCCGGGCCAGCGCATGGCCAAGGTGCTATTGCCACCTGGAGGGCGAGCCTCATCAAGACACTCT